TTTTTTGGCTTTGCTCAACTTATCCGTCACGGTTATTATTGAAGTTTGCCGTCTGTAGTCTGGGAGTATTGATGTGTAGTCAGTTAACCAAGTACTGCTCCGTATCTCAAATTATTGTCAATATCAAATATGCAACGCAGATCCTTTTCAATATCTATAGTCTCTATAATGCATCATATGTTGTCCTATCGATTTCTATTTCACTGTTTTTTGTCCGGTGAGTTTTGGAGTGGTTGTTCACATTTATATATAATCCACGCCGATATCAATTCAACCAGACCAACGACATGGTGATAAAATGAAACATGGCAATTGCCTCAAGGCCATCGCACCTTGCATAATTTAATTTAATTTAATTTAATTTTTCATTCAGCACGATATTAACCCGTGATGCTATCGAATGATGATCATCACCCATGTCCAATCATCCCAACCACCTATGCACCGTAATTGTCAAAAGATATACTCCAGCAACTTTACGACATCCCGAGCATGTTTACAATAAGCATGATACCAAGCCAAATACTCGGTCTGTGACTGTCAATCAGACTAGCTTAGCGGACGAAGGTATACCCAATGTCGTTCGTGGTCGAGAGCAAAGCCCAGGGGTGCATAATTCCAATCGTCCATGGCTTCCAGACCATTTGAGCTTCCAATTGGACCTGACCTGGTCTTGGTTATCCGAGATATTTTTGACAAATGTGCATGCAGTCTCTAGTCACGCCTTGTGGACCCAATTGCTTGATTTCCGAGACTATGTCTCAGTTTCCAGATCGCAACTTATAACTGGAGGAGGCTTCCCGAGTCATTGCGTAGGAATACTAGAATATTACTCAACAACACCCGACAACATAGACATTGGGGATGTGTATGATCGTCTTCTGTCCACCTTCATCATTATTGTTTGGTCAAGGTTTGGAGCCGGTTGATTGCCGGTTTGCAGCCGGTCAGTTGAGTTCAACGAATATACAGAAACGTAATTGTGAAGGTAACGGGTTGGAACGCAGAAGGTGTTGAATTTTCGACAGACGGCCATGGGGGAGGGGGGAGGGAGGAAGGAGTGTATCAGTAGTCAGGATTGTATGAGAGGATCGACTTCAGGGATCCTAAAACAATCTGGAAACGTTAGCCATGCTAGCTGAAGTCCACTTGCAATGGTGGAAGACAACAACCATCCTGAATCCCCAGACCGCAAATATTGACACAGACAGGATGACTGAGTCAGAACAGAGTTGGAGAAAAGAGTGGACCTGACGTTTCCCCGGATTTTGGCCGTGCAGCTCGTGTTGAAGAAGCAGAAGACGAGGATAGACGATCGATTGGCAGTGGATGCGGGCGATGCCGGATGTGCAGCCGGGATGGGCCGTAGGGCAGAGTGAGTCAGCGAGTCTCGACCGGGAGATCTGATAAATAGATTGAGGAGATTAAGATATAAATAAGAGGAGAATTGGAGAAGAATCAAATGGAGATCAAGTAGATAGAATATTGTTTACTGTCTAGTATTGTTGTCTACTGTCTAGTTGGCTTCTCCTCACTGTGGCTATTTTCTCCTCACTGGGCGATTTTCCCCTCATGGGCCGATTTGAAAAGGGAAAAAAGAAGAGAGAAGAGAAGCACACGCTAGAACGCTTATCCCCAAGAAGCAGACGCTTATTTTCCCCAAAGAGGATAATTTGGAGAAGAGAAAATCACAAGGGAAAACAATAAAAAAATAATCAGCAAAAAAAGATAGCTGACAAAAGGAAAGAAGAGAAAAAAAAAAAAAAAGAAAAAACTCCGCTGGAGCGAGCTGTGTGATTCACCGATTCGCCCAAAACAGCCTAAGGGTGTGGGATCTCGGTCCCTTCGCAACAGTCATCTTCACCTCTACGCCGAGTTTTCCATCGCTTTTCAGCGCTGCGAATTGTCATTGTGACTTCTTTTCTATCCATCTCCTCTCTCCTCTCCTCTCTTCCCCTCCACTTGTAGGGTGCGACTGCCAGTCCGCTTTCAAAAGATGGCTTCTCCATCCATTATGCAGCTGTCGTCGCTGTCGCGCAGGTCGCTTTCGACGCGATCCCCAGCTCAGCTCCTGCGCTCCGCAAGACCCTTGAGGTCCTCGGGTCTCTCCCAGCAGTCTTTCCAGCGCACTGCTCGTCGCTCTTATGCTGATGCAGCTCCCTCATCTTCTCCCGCCCCGAAGCCCAAGAAGCGATTTAGATTTTTGCGATGGACTTGGCGGTTAACCTTGCTCACTGGTGTTGGTTTGACTGGTGTCCTGGCTCACAGCATCTACGACCTCCGCCAACCCCCAGAGCAATTTCACCCGGATCCCGAGAAGAAGAACCTGGTCGTTCTCGGTATGCGGACATCCCTTTTCCTTACTGTCGCGACCTAGCGAAAGGACCGTCGTTTCTGACTCAATTGATCTTCTAGGTACCGGATGGGGTGCTGTTTCTTTGCTCAAGAAATTGGACACCGAAAACTACAATGTCATCGTCATCTCTCCCCGAAACTACTTCCTGTTCACCCCTCTCCTGCCTTCCTGCACCACTGGTCAGGTTGAGCACCGCTCCATCATGGAGCCCATCCGTAACATTACCCGTCACAAGAAGGCCTCCGTCAAGTTCTACGAAGCCGAAGCTACCAAGATCGACTACGAGAACCGCAAGATCTTTATCAGTGATGACTCTGAGATCAAGGGTGACATCTCTCACACTGAGGTGCCTTTCGACATGTTGGTCGTCGGTGTTGGTGCCGAGAACGCTACTTTCGGTATGTCGCGGATTGCATTGATGTACGCGCATTAAGTTTAATGTTTGCTAACAACCCGGCGCAGGTATCAAGGGTGTCAAGGAAAACTCCTGCTTCCTGAAGGAAGTCGGCGATGCTCAGAAGATCCGCAAGCGTATCATGGACTGTGTTGAGACCGCCATGTTCAAGGACCAGAGCCCCGAGGAGGTTAAGCGACTTTTGCACATGGTTGTCGTTGGTGGTGGTCCCACTGGTGTTGAGTTCGCCGGTGAGCTGCAGGACTTCTTCAACGACGACTTGAAGAAGTGGATCCCTGAAATCAAGGACAACTTCCATGTTACTCTCGTTGAGGCCCTGCCTAACGTAAGAGCACCGGAACACTCACTCCGATTATCAGATGCTAACTATTCCATTTAGGTTCTTCCCATGTTCTCCAAGCAGCTGATTGACTACACCGAATCGACCTTCAAGGAGGAATTGATTACCATCCGCGCCAAGACCATGGTCAAGAACGTCACCGACAAGTTCATCCAAGCCGAAGTCACCAAGCCCGATGGATCCAAGGAGATCGAGACCATCCCCTACGGTCTGCTAGTCTGGGCCACCGGTAACGCCGTCCGCCCCCTCGTCCGCGACCTGATGAACCAGCTGCCCGCTCAGAAGAACTCCCGCCGCGGTCTTGCCGTTAACGAGTACCTGGTGGTGAACGGTGCCGAGAACGTTTGGGCTGTCGGTGACTGTGCCGTCACCAACTACGCCCCCACCGCCCAGGTTGCCAGCCAGGAGGGTGCTTTCCTTGCCCGTCTCTTCAACACCATGGCCCAGACCGAGGAGGTTGAGAAGGAGCTCAAGCACCTGTCGGACCTCCAGTCCCAAGCCAAGGGTAACGAAGAGCGTAACCAGATCCTCGATGAGATCCGCGAGCGCCAGAAGCAGCTGCGGAGAACCAAGCAGATTGGTCCCTTCCAGTACTCGCACCAGGGAAGTCTGGCCTACATTGGAAAGGAGCGTGCCGTTGCGGATATCAGCTGGCTGAGCGGCAACATCGCAAGTGGTGGAACCATGACCTACCTCTTCTGGCGCAGTGCCTACCTGAGCATGTGCTTCAGCAGTAAGTTATTCTGTTTACAATTACACAAAGTTCACGATTCTGACAAATAATATAGCCCGTAACCGTGTGCTGGTCACTGTCGACTGGATCAAGGCCAAGCTGTTCGGACGTGACGTTTCCCGGGAGTAAAAAAACTCACCAAAAATGCGTCTCTGAATACTTTCGCAGCGATCCGTCATACCTTATCTTCTTTAACGCCGTTTACATGACACCTTTCAACCTGTTTCCTCTACATCTTTTCATTTCTTCAAATCCTCCTTCCACCTTATGATGACCAATCGCTATGATTCCCCATCATCCACCCATCTCTATCCAACTATTTTGACCTAGGACGCTTTGAAGGAAGAAGAAATTCATTCCCATCTTCCAGCGTTGTCGGAACGAGAGAGAAGAAAAGTAATTAATCCGCTTTTTTCTTTTGTCTTTTTCCTTTTTGTTTGTACCAAAAAAGATAGAACTGGGTGCGGGATTATTGTCTAGAAATTCGTGAAGAATTGGCCATAATATTTTCTTTTTTATCTCTTCTTTCTTTCTTTTTTTATCTTACTTTTTTCTTTTGCCGGTTTTCTGCTTTTGAGCCTTGTAATATAGGTGTTCGTTCCTTTGTTAGCTTAGCTTTTGTTTCAATACTTATGGATTGGATTTCATATTTTCAATACTTTTCTTGTCTTTATTATTTGGTTTATTTTCTATGTATATCATCCAAGTGAATAATACCTAGGGTAGGTAGGTAGGCAATGACGGGAAAATCAAGGATATCCATATTATAAGGTCTATTGAAATTCTGATTGACTCAGACTGTTTAATCTGAACACCAAACTAGCTTTACATACAGCCCACTCGGGCAAACACCGACTAAAACGGAGCAGGGAAAAAAAAGGTGATGGGTGAAAAGAGAGACTCGGAAGAAAGGAAAGGAGATAATAATGCACAGCCGCTGTGTTGACGCCTATTCAGGGGGTTATAATAGAACTATAGACAGAACCTTCTCCTACCGGTTTAGTATGGACGAAGGTGGGAGAGATTGGAGGAGAGGAAGGTATGGTAGAGTCCAGGAGGGAAGGAAGAAGGAATAGCAGGGGAGGTACACAGCACAAGTTTGGGGAGAGGGAAAGAGTCGATCAGAAAATGTTCCAACCGCGACTTCTCTTTTCAGTCACCAAAGGGCTCTCCTTGTTCCTGTGCATACTGCGGCCATCGAGCTGTCGGATGCCTTCGATCTTCTGCAGGGCCAGTTCGAGTAGCTCCTTCTTCTTGATAATATCGAGGTGTCTTCGGATGCGTGGGTCCTCTCGTGCGAATCGCTCTACCTCGTCGTCGGAGAGGTGACGACCCAGTCTCATGTCCAACTCACGGGGGAAGTTGTAGTAGAACTCAGAAAGCAATTCCACGTTGAGGAAGAGTACCGCCGTCGATGTGAGCTTGTCTGCCACTACGTCGAGGAAAACCTCTGGACAGTAGTACTTGTTCTTCCTGGTAGCGCATTGCTTTGAACGAAGGGCAAGAAGCCTCATCTTGATAAGATCGGCTCGATCGCGGAGAAAAGCGCTTTCTCGGCCTATTGTTCATTAGTTTAAAGCGCAAATTAGAAGAAAATGATTTCAAAAATCATACCTGTGCGCAGCAAAGCAGAACTGAATCCACCAGCGCCACCCACACCGTCACCCTCCAAAACCACTTCACCCTTTCTGATCTTGTCCACAAATGACATTACATCCTTAATCTTTCTCCGCCCAACACTATCCTCGACGCGTTTGAAAGCAGCTTCACATGCCCTGAGTTCTTCCTTAAGTACTTTGCTCACATTCTCCCTTCCCTTTGCCCATTCGGGGTCTTCGACTTCGATTTCAAACTTGTACGGTTTGATACAGTTCTCAACCTGGTCGCTAGTACTGAAAAATCGATCATTCAAAATGCTGGTGCAAGCATCGGTGATCTGCTTCTGAGCATACGGATGAGAGGCGAAAGTGGACGAGGCCAGCAACCGGTCGATATGAGTCTGGAGAGCATTTGCCACGACAGTCGTGGCAAGTCTACCAATGCCAAGTTTCGTTAGCGAAGAAGTGGAGGCATCAAGTTTACGGTGCCAATATTGAGACTCTGGATCCGACTTGGGAAGGTCACTGAGAGGGTCCAGCTCAGGCAATAGAGGGGACAGGTCATCGACTGGCTTGTTCCAATACCGTTGTGCCAGTATGTCCATGACCCGCTGGTCGAGTTCATTCTTAAGCATCTCTCGGACCTGAGGCCGACCGAAACTCTCGGCGAATGCCTTGAACGAATGCTTGAAGCTATCCAGACTCTCGGCAAGGTATGACTCCGCGCTGAGAGGACGGTCATTATATTGAACCTTAAACTCATAAGTTGCCTCCTCTAACTCTTGACTGATGGCATCCCTAGTTCCTGCTAGGCTTGATGCCATGGTTTGCTCAAGAACATGCATGAGTTTGGTACGTAGGGTCGTAACACCCGTCGAAACGCCGGCCTGAGAGCCAAACGCTTCGGGATGCGCAGAGAAGAAGGAATTTTCATTATTCAAAATTGCGCTCGTGATATTACCACTGCCTCTGGAGAATAAAGCCGATGTTTGAGGGATCCTCGAGACCACACCGACATACCCAAGGCGCAGAGGGTACCTCTTGTCCGAGAGGACGTTAGAACCGCGCTCGGGGTCAATAAGATCCATTTTGGTAATGACTCCTATTGTCCTTTCACCCCGGGGATCTACCCTGCGACTCGCCCTCAGAGCCGTTGAGTTGGCAAGGTCAACATCTGCTGCAGAGATGGCTAGGATAACATTCGGTGTTTGAATGTACTTGTCGCAGAGGTCAGAGATTTTTTGTTTTAGTTCTGGGGGCTGGTCTTCACCAGCAACCTGGATGTAGCCCGGGAGATCGATGAGGGAGAGGTCAGGAACATTGGGCGAATATATGTTTAGTTGGATTGGGTCGTCAGTGACACAGTCCTTCTCGGGGACGGCCAGGTTAAGGTCGGTCAACGTCCGTTGAATTTGCGAAAAATCCGTGATCTTTCCCAAGCCCAAGGCCGGGAATTCCCCATATTCGGCTTGCGCATTTGGGGTGTTGACTAAAGTAAGTTCGATCGGTCGTCGAGTAACCATATTCGAGCCCTTCGGTAGAAACTCATGCCCAACAATAGCTTCCAGAACCGAGCTCTTGCCAGAGGATTGCGATCCAATGACTACAATCGATGGAAGCGTTAGCGTATTCGACTGCCCAACTGTCTGTAGTATGTTCCTGATTTCTATCATTTTCCGCGTTAGGAGCATCATCTGGTCATCCTCCGCAACCTCCCGTCCAGTGCGTACGTCCTCTTCATCGGATTGATCGTATCCAAAGGCCGAGCCGCTAGCTGCTCCAGCAGCTGCAACGCCAACTCTGCTCTCCTTGGGCGAACCACCTCCACCGGAAGAACCCCCGTCTCCAGAAGTAGACTCCTCATTAAGGCGGAGAATCTTTTGTAACCACTCGGGGATTTCAACATCTTCTGTCGTTCTTTGCCATCCGCGTTGTGTTTGCTCCGCCACGCCCTGGAGCCCTTCGAACAGGTTTGAAGCAGCATCGCCCGCCGTTTCCCCCGCTCGTTTGAAAATGTCTATCGCGTAATTACCGGCGACTATCAAACTATTAGTGGCTTGTAATTTTATGATTCCATCAAGAAGAACATACGGGTTGCTTGATATTGAAAATAAGCAAAGCCTGCCACTGTTGCACCCCCTAGCATAGCTGGCAGCCTCACAAGCTTGAGTGCTAGCCTAGGGATCATTCTCGCAAATGAAATCGTCCGCACAGCGGGGACATTGTTATGAATTGAATTTGCTCCAACAGGCCATGAGCGGCCTCGCATCGCAGCACTACCATCCGCACGCAGCAAACCCCCAGTTCTTGCTCCAGCATTATGAATATGGCGGGCCAATCGACCCGTCCGCAATAGCGGAACAAGACGGTGGGAGAGAATTCTCCCGCTCATTATTTCGACACTCTCATACACGCCCAGAGAATAAAAGAACCAAGGCGTTCATCTCTGGGCTGTCAGCCACAGAGAGATTATTTGACTGATGTTTTGTGGAGTTGTGATGAATGATAGACGATGTCATCAAAAGAAGTCGCACGAAGAAGTCCCGAATCTCCGCGCCGCCCGTGACCTGCACTACTGGCCGCTCCGCCGCCCGGATAAAGCCGGTGAGTCACGTGTGTACATTGCGATGACGTGACAGCTGAATGGAAAGAGGAAATCAGGAGCTTTCTTTCTGGAAAAGATAAAACAAAACAGAGCTTCTTTTTGGGTCTGAATTTATTCAGCGGTGCATTCTTGCTTCACTTGCAATCCATCTGTGACTGCTTGTGTCTCTTACAATTGCGGGCAGAAGTACTTATTGCTTTTGTCGCAATTGTCTTGTGACTCCGCGACGGGAGAAAACATTCTACTGAATACCGCAGCTCTTGCTTCTTGGACTTCTTTCGCCAAAATCCCATTCTTGCCTATAATTACAAACCGCAGTGTTTGTATTAATCTATATTTATTCTAAGAAACCCTTGGTCAACACATAGGCCCCTCGACGACTCAATATGTGTCGTTTTCTAGTGAGCTGAACCTGTCTACAAGACGAAAGCTGCAGCTGACCGCTTCTTCGCTAGGTATACAAAGGTCGAAATGATATTCGCCTCAGTAAGCTCATTACAGAGCCCAGTCATTCAATTCTGACCCAATCTTATGATTCTCGCCTGAGATTGGTAAGTCTAGCACTGCATCGGTCTACTTTGCCACGTCGAGATACTAACCCATTGATAAGGACAACCGCCGTCCTGTTAATGGCGATGGCTTTGGAGTTGGGTTCTACACGGACCCCAAACTAGGCCCAGAGCCATGTATCTTTACCTCTACCTTGCCAGCCTGGAACTGCGAGAACCTGGAGAGGCTGGCATCGAAAACCTGCTCGAATCTTATCTTTGCGCACGTGCGAGCTACCACTGAGGGCGCACTGTCTGACACCAACTGCCACCCATTCCAGCACCAGACATTGATGTGGATGCACAATGGCAATATCGGGGGTTGGCAATACGTCAAGCGGATGCTGGCCGATTCCCTCGCGGACAAATGGTACATTGGTGTTAAAGGCGGAACTGACAGCGAATGGGCATTTGCATTGTTCCTTGACTTATTGGAAAAGGAAGGGGTGGATCCCAGCTCTGATCCAGGCCCAGAAGGCTTCGGTCAGGCTCTTTTGCGACGGGTGATGATGAAGACAATCGCCAAAATCAACGAATTCATTCGTGAAATTCCCAACAGATATAATGTTCACGGCGTGGAGACCCGCAGTCTGCTCAACTTTGCTGTTTCGGATGGCCACACAGTAGTCTGCACTCGATACATCAGCAGCAAAACAGACGAGCCTGCCAGTCTGTACTTTTCATCTGGTACCAAGTGGGTGGAAGGAAAGGACAAGGGCCACTTCAAGATGGAGCGCCATGATAAAGGAGCCGATATTGTCTTGGTGGCGAGCGAACCCATTACCTTTGAGAGACGTAAGAACTCAAGAAAACAACCACCCTTTAATCGCGTGCTGATCTAGTCTATTCCAGATAACTGGGTCTCTGTCCCTACAAACTCTGTCCTCACTATACACAAACAGACCGTCCTTTTACATCCCATTTTGGACGAGTTTTACGGCGAGAATATGAACCAGGACCGTTCTTCGTGCTTTGCTGTATCCAAGGGTCTTGTCAGCACCGCACCTGGAACGACCGTACAACCGCAGAACGCAGATGGCACTCCTGATATTGCGCACTTGCAACAACCGCCGGCTCCCAGCCCATGCGCAGTATCAACCTGATACGACTGCAGGCCATTATTATTAAGTTGTTCTAAGAACACTACATTGTTGGAGTCATTGGTTAGTTTTTCTAGGGAATTGGATCAATGTTGGAGTTGGGGTTGTTGAAGTACTAGACTTTTCCTTTTGGTTACTGGGTGCTGGGCGCTTGCATATTGTTAAGAGGTCTATATATGTCCTTACTCGCATACTGATGTCGTAATTAGCATCTTCTATTTTTCAGCCCAGTGTTTACATGACCTTTCTGGACTTGAATATTTCGGTTTATTATGTGTTGATTGATGGTGGTGTGCTGGTTCCATTTCATTCTTGAATGTTGTATTAAGATTATTATCATAAATATGAAACGCCTGACCCAGAAATCATCATAAAACCAATTTGCATACAATGCAGCATAAAAGGTGACAGTTCAAATATCTTCACCGGAAATATTCGCATGTTTGAAATACTTCATCCCCACCCAAGCAACCATCACCCACACCCACGACATGACAGCCGTCAAGATAATGAGCGCGGGGTAATATCCAACAATAGGCAGGGTCGGGTCATCTTCCAGTTCTGGTGGCGCATAGGGCGTCTCCCCAACATCCCACGCCCAACTCCAGACCCCAAAGCAACTTCCCATTCCCACGACAAAAACTAACCAGGTCACAATCAAGATAATCCACCCCCACCACTCGGTCTCGGAATAGTCCCAGGTGATCTCTGGACTGTTCTTCATTTCCACCGCATGTGTGGCAAGAGGCGAGGATTTGGTGCGGTGTACCACACGGTATGTTGAGTCAGGCTGTAAGGCGTAGTATGAGTCCGAACTCGACGAGGGAGTTGGAAGGTGTAAGCCTGCAGTACCACTGGAGCTGCTGACAGATGAACTGCGCATCACGGAAGCAGCGGCATTGTTCTTATTGCTGTTTAGTCGGGGAAAAGACACCACGTCATCGTCATCGGCGCTCATCTCCTCACCGAGCATGGTGTGCTTGGAGAGGCTTGCCTGGTGGCGTGCAGTAGATGCGCCTAGGGGCTTTTGTTGTTGCGAGTCCAGCATGACCCATCGTGGGTTGTTTTCGGAATCATTTGCCCGGTCAAAGTTCCCCCGCGGTGTATGTTCGTGTTCTGAAGAGATGGTGTTATTGGTCAAGGATCGCAGCGGCGAGCTCGATGCGGTGGTGGTGGTTTGCCCACCGAGGTCTCCGCGTAGAACATCGATGGGTGCCCTACTCACGACTTTCTTGTCGCGATTCTCGAACCGGGTGCCGAGCAGCGCAGTTTTCCTTAACGAGCCCCTTCTCCGGCGCGTTCGTCTCTGCTGCTGTAACGCATTAGACATGGCCCTTTCCCCCCGCAGGCTTGAGCCGAGAATATCCCCGCCGTCGCGTTCGATGCCGGAATGGGCCCTCTCGGGGGTGATCTGTGTCGCTTGGTTCATTCGGAATAACGAGAGCTTCGATAAGAGAGAGCCGGATAGGCTGCGCTTGTGGCCACTACTGGCACTCCCGGATCGGACCCGTTCTGAGAGCTCATTGTTATCCACCGACAAGGCCGCACGCTTGCTATCGCCCCCATCTTCCATTGGCCCAAACTGGAGCGATTTCGCGGGCCCCTAATACATCCACATAAATGTTACCGAGGAAATTCCGAAATTCTCGAATCAAAGATAGGTAACACCCGTTCAAGGGTTGTGCTCGAGGGATTCCATGAAGCGGCAATGATTGCGCAACAGGGGAAGATCGACTAGGCGAACCATCAATGGACTCTGTCTGGGCCAAGACCCCAAGGCGGTAGCAGATCACATCTCAGTCCAACATTACGGCTATGTAGTATGTAATGCAGTATTATGTGTCTATTTGTTTACAAATACCATCTACCTAGTTATTATTCTTTTATCAACCATCTGATGTCGTTAAGTTGTCAACATCGTCGTCTCATGATACTCAGCTCTACATTTTAACTATATATAACAGGTTGGCAAATTACCTTTCATCCAAGATTGGCCCCGTGGCTCAATGGCAGAGCATCAGTTTTCGGCACTGAAGGTTGCAGGTTCGAGTCCTGCCGTGGTCATTCATTCATCCGATTTCTTTTTTCTTTTTTCCATTTTTTTTCTTTCTTTCATTTTTTCCAGACAGCATCATGTTACTTACATATATAGTATGTATATGTGGTAGACCACTTTCCTAGAGATCACCTCAGATATCCTTTCCTGGGCAGTTTGAGTAAATAAAAATACCTTCCTTAAGCATACCAGCAGAATATGGATATAACCTAGATATCAGTAAAACCTGCCTTAGAGTTATTTACATTTAGTCTCTCAACATGCAAGAATGGATTGAAAGTTCGCGATCCAGAAAAATTAGTCTATAATGATAATATCATCTGATACGCAGCATCGTTGAACCGAGGTGGTCTCATTGTTACTTGTTGCATACGCTATGCTAAACCATAAGGTAAGGTCCAAGAGCACGGATATTCCAGGTAGCAAAACAAAGTGGTATCATCCAAAACGCCATTGGGCCAAGACAGACGAGACCAGGACGCAGAAACTGGGCTAAAGAAACCGATATCGTCAAATGAGAAATCACCAGATGGGATGGAAATCGTAGCATCGTCAGTTAAGCAAATGTCAGGTCGTTAGTCAATGAATCCATAACCTTAACGGAAAGAAGAGGTTATTGAATAGATATAAAAGAAAGAAAGAGTGCTATCAGACAGAGAAAACATATCAGGCCTGCTCAGTAGACCATACACACATACTAAAGCGATACGATACAAACCCACACAAGACAAATTTATCAAATGATAGTCCAAAGGGGGTAAAAGAACAAGCATAAATAAAATAAATAAATAAATGAAGGGAAACAAAAAAAAAATGTACTTTTAGTTTATTCAGCAGCACGCTTGAATCAAAAAGTCCAAGAAGTTCTCAATAAAAGAGGAGAGCACATTCATTCAAAGGTGAAAAAATAGAAAAGTTGATTCAACAAAGTGGACTTGGGGTATTGGGTGCACGATAACACACAAATTTCATTTCAAAAGGAAGCACTTGAGAATGGGGAAACATGCGCTTGAAAATCCACTTAGTAGGACAGTTTGAGAAGCAATCATGATATAAAAAAAGCTTAAAAGGGGAGAATGTATGGGGGAAGTGAGGGGTTTGGAAAGAAAAAAAGGAAAGAAAGATAGACCTCTTTTTTTTTGTTGTTGCCGCAGGTATCGACTCGCACTCAAAAAATTTTTTTGAGGGAGAAGTTTAAACACAGTCGACATTCAAGAGGCGAGAATCGAAATTGGGCTACGCTTGGTAGCCCCCGAAACCGTTTCCAAAGTTGGCGTTGGCTGGCTGAGTCCAGCCAGAGTTTGGTGTACCCTGTCCACGACCATAGCCTCCGGCATTTGCAGGGACCTGAGCGTAGCCTTGTCCGGGCATTCCGCCCTGGTCCCAGCCTCGTCCAGCAGGGTTAGGGCCTAGAGAACATAATTAGTCACCGAGAAAACCCCTAGAAGAGGTTATAGTAGACTTACCCTGAGGAGCCATGGGTGCCCCGGGGCCGTTGTACTGGGGGAAGAACGGGGCTGGGCTGGCATTGAAGGGCGAGGTGCCCTGCTGGCCGGCAAAAGAGTCGAATTGGCCAGTGGGAGGACGGTCCTTACCCCACTACGAAAGTTAGCAAGAAAACATAAGATAAAAGGGCGAAAACAAGGTGAAAGGAGACGTACGCTGCACTTCAGAGGGCGGCCATTGACATTGTACCCGTTGAGCTGGCAAATAGCCATCGCAGCATTCTCATGTGTATCCATCTTGACGAACGAAAACCCGCGGTCGGCCTGCAGGCGGGTTTCCAGAACGTAGCCGAAGTTCTGAAACAGGGGGACGAGGTCGTTCTGGGTGGTGTAAGGGGTAAGGTTACCAACGTAGCACGTGGTCTGCCACTGCGGGGTTTGCTGGACAACCATGTCGTAGCTCTGGATGCCGTGAGTAGGGAAGTGATGGTGGCCAAAGGGAGTAGTGGGAGTCATGCCCATGGCAGCCATCGCTTGTTGCTGAGAGATAGAAGGCTGGCCCTTCTGGTTGGCCCAGTTGCAGCGAATGGCACGGGAACCGAGCCATTCACCATCCATCGAGCTCAGGGCTTTGTCGGCATCTGAGCGGTCACGGAAGGCAACAAAACCGTAGCCTCGAGAGCGTCCGGTCTTCATGTCCCACATGACACGAGCCTCGGACACCGAGCCAAAGGCAGAGAAAGCCTGTTGCAAGACTTCATCATTCACTTCATTGCTCAGGTCACCAACAAAGATGTGGAAGTGGTTGGAGGTGTCTTCCTTGTTTGTGTTGTTGGACTGGTAGGCCCAGTTCACACGGATCTCCTACAATGATAATCAGAAATAGCTTTTGTGGATTGTTGATCGATCACTCGCATACCGACTGGTGGATACGGCGCCCGTTGAGGGTCTGCATGGCTCTCTCAGCCGCGCCAGGGTCATCGAATTCGACAAAACCGTAGTTGCATCCCTTGTTATTGAACTTCTGTGTTAGTCAGTACAGCAGCCGGTTAGGCAAAGGTGGTTGCATATTCTTACCGAGCTGGCGTTCTTGTCGGGAATGACCTTCACGCTCACGACATGGCCGGTGGTTTCAAAGATTTGCTTCAAGATATCCTCTGTCACCCTGGCGTCGAGTCCGCCGACATAGAGAGCCCTCTTGTTGGGCTCAGGGGCAGCCCGACGAACATATCCACCAGCACTGGTCGGGGACATCATGTTCCCAGACATCGGGGAGGTGATAGCGGTGGGGATAGGGTTGGTGTTCTGCGGGATCACCACTGGCGGACGAGGGGGTGGTGGCATGTGGGAGGGATTGGCCTGGCCATTGCCCTGAGAGGCGTCATACTGCTGGCCCGAAGCCCCAGTGGCAGCCTGCGGGGGTGGTGGCAGAGTGGAGGACGAAGAGGCGGGAACGTTATCAGCCATTGTATACAGTATTCAAAGATTGCAATTATGCACAGAAACAATCAGTCAAACAAAGCAACGTAGAAATCGATGGGCGTTGGAAGCGCTTGACCGGGAAGCGTTGGGCGATACGACGGCGTTAGCGACGGAGCGATGCAGAGCGTTTACGGAACGGTCAACAAAATCTGGTGAGCTCAAAGGCGGAAAGCGGCGCGGGGATCGATCGAGACACGAAAAAAGACGTGGAAAGGAAAGGCCGCTAGGTCATGTAGTTTGAAGCACGGTATGAACAATCGTCAAAGTGGGAAAGACGGCCGCCTTGATTGAAAAAAAAGACGGAGAAGAAGAGTGGAAAGAGTTTCGTGACAAAGAGTCGAATGCAGAGGACTCAAAAATACAGCTTTCGAAAGCCTTAGCCCCAACGGCGAGATGGGGTGGAAAAGCAAAGTGATTGCTGGAAGATGACCAACGCTAAGTGTCGAAGGACGAGGTCGAAAAGAAGAGAAGAAAGAAGAAGAGCAACAATATAGGGAAAACAAGCGAAACAAAAGGAAGAGTTGAAAGGGAAAGTCACACACACGACCGGACGCCAACAGATGAGCGACGGTCAGCGCGCACGAGAGCTGGAAAGAAAACGAAGTGAAATGAAGTACGTAGAAGAGGAGGAAATAAAATGGAAACAGAGGATAAAAAAGGAAGAAGACAAGAAAGGATGATGATGATGATCTGACGGGAGGTCGACTGGAGAAGAGAACGAGGAGTTTGGAACGAATGGACGGGCAAGAGCCGCTGCGGTGGGGGGAGGGCCGCGCTAGGCCGCAAAGCGTTAGGCGACCCCTTACGGCTGTCGCGGTGGCCATGAGATGCTTAACTTTCTTTATTCTTCGCTGGATCGTGATCGGAGTCGAGAGCCTGAACGGTACTGGACACTGGAGAGAATCGTTGATCACTGAAGCTCAAGGTAATCAATCCATCATGCTGTTTGGTCTTTCTGCTGCTGTCCATGTCATGCATCTGTCTTATGTCTGATGTAAGGTGCACGGCGCACTGATTTCTCTGCGGCCATTGATTTGGCTCCTGTGCCGACGATATGCCCCCTTGCAACTTGTTTAAATAGACATCCTGTCCATTGCTGATATTCTCTGGACCTTTCTGTTGCTGTAAAGCTAACTGGCAGAAAACCTAGATCTCAGGTTTAGCAATAGTTACATTGATATAGCAAATTCTGTGTTCAAACGCCACCATGGCCGCAGATTTCTCAAATCCTGAATCCTTGGGGGTTCTGACCTCAACAGTGAACCAGACGGTAAGCCTACCTCGCGGGTATCACATGTTCTTTGTTCTAACAGAGCACAGCTTATCGAGACTGGTCGCTTTTTCCGATCAGCGGGCTCTATGCAGTCTAGAGCTCAATTGAAGCGGTCTCTTCCGGCTGCCCACGAACAATTCCAACTTGCATTGGACAGTCTATCTGAGCAGATTGTATGTGCCGGCCACCTGGACTGAATGTATCCAATGCCCTCAATCCGCCATTCTAACCGTCCCAGTTTATTGCCAAAGCGTTTCTAGAAAAAGACTACGAAGTAATCAGGGCAAAAAAAGCGGAATTACAACCAGCGAAAGACGTGGTCATGGGTGAAGCAGCCGAAAAAGAAAAAGAGCCTGAACCCAATCCCCAACCAACGGAGAAAGTAGAATCCGGTGCAGACGCAGAACAGACCGAAGCAAACCCGGCTGATGAAAATGCAACTTCAGCCGAGCCCGCAGCTGCAGCTGCAGAGCCCGATAAACCGAACACCACCGACCAGCCTGTAAAGACAGAAAATCAAGAAGAGAATACAAAGCAGAACCAGCCTTTCAACGGGGCAGAAGAGCTCAATTTTGACTCGGTCCTCAACGACACTGGTGGTACAAATGACTTTGACCTCAATCTCGACTTTGGCGACGATGAAATTGGGAATCAAAACTTCCTTTCGGGTTCAAATCTCGGAAATGCTGGCACAAGTGCTGGTGCAGACAATTCAAATAACAAGGATCAAGCGAATCCCTCCGCCCTTCCTGAGATCGGCAATAATACTACCGATACACCTGCTGGGGGCGATGCATTTGACATGGAATTTCAAAAAGCGGACGCCCAGCTTGGCAACAATACAGAAGATGTCATGGCACCTGGGGAATCCAGTTTTGACGACTTGTTCTTGGATACAGACAACTTTGGTGGTGATGGAATGGGTGATCAGGGGCTGTTGGAAGGGGATGGGTTGATGAATATCAATGAGCTTGACGATAGCTGGTTTAATTGAGATCTAGCTCGGGGGTGTATGATGCATAGGGAATTTGGGGCCGGGCAAGGGATAATGGATTAGCCTCAGGATAATGATTTGCATGTTTCCCAAAATAAACCAAACACGCAAGTCTAGGCCTTGTGCTACGAATGACGTATACACATAGGGCAGCCGAGGAAACCGTCGGGCTACATGGAGACTTTCCGAGAAAGCCCCAAAATAACGGTTCAACCTTGCTTGTGTTCCCATCCGACGGGAACCACACCACGCGAACGTAGGAAAGTGGAGGAATCAAGGATGAAGTAGATGACGCTGATAGGCCGATCGTTGACAGGATGACTATATAATCAGATAAGAGTCTCGATTCGATCGGTGCTGATTATGAATCATCGTACCGTGACGTGGGCAAAAGACGACATTTTCAAAGAGAAACAGGGCAAAATCTGGGGATCCAGCAGACTAACCTATTTGAGATAAGATTGAAAAGCCTAAGGTATCAAGGCTGACATCGCCTGCCATGAGGTCATCGCCTCATGCCATTTCCGCACAGACCTTCTTGTTTTCATTTCTACAGGATTGGCGTTGAATAATTTGGGACTTTTGGAACGTTTTGATGATGCAGATGAGATGAGATGAGATACCCCGCGTTTACCAGGTATTAATAGACCTTGGCTTGTTGACGCGTGTGCTGGGAGTGGAATCGAGAGTTTTGCAGAGCTGTTTAGGTACAGCAGTTTTTCTAAGGGATCGACCAAATTAAAGTGCCTATTGAGTAGCATGGAGTCTGCTGACTTGACGCTCACGGAACAGAGTTGGTTGAATCAAGCATACGCGGTGGAATAGACTTCAATTCTGGAGGATGTGATATCCTTTTGATATGTATTTTGCCAGGTGCATCCCACCTGAGTGCCCTGATCAAAAGACCCTGTATGATCCCTGTGTGTGCTCTGATCATTTAGCCCGGCATGGCAGAAACCCCCGCACTCGAGGTGAGTCTAGGATAGTCGTCAGATGGAGTAGTCCGAGGACTAAGCCGCAGTTGATACCTGGAGTAGTAGGAGTAATAAATTAGTAGTCGTCTAGATGGATAGTGATTCTGGTGCTCTAATTAGTTGCCTGTACAACCCGGCGAATAACCCTCATAATAATAATCGCCTTTGATTAAAACCGGTTGCCGGAATACCCGCATCTGGACATCATTCGCCTCGGGAGATCAAGACGTCATTCTCTCCAGTCTCTATCCTGCAAGTTCGGCCACTTCACATGGAGGATAGACATAGAGAGATACAATTAGATGGAAGAAGATTTGTATCGACTGTTTTGCCAGACGGAGGTTCAACACGAATATCGTCACACTTGCTTTTGCTCGTGGGGGCAACCCTTTATCGCGAATAAAATCCGTCCAATTCCTGGGGGAAACAGAGTTCCTCAACCAGTGGTAAGAAGGGTCCCAACAGTGGTTAGACTCTGGCGATTTCCCCTATACGGACGGCGATGATGACTCTCGGATCGCCGGAGTTGGTGAACATCCTGTGGCTCTTCCCCCCCTCTCTGGTCTCTCCCAAGCGATTCCGCGTCATCATGGATCTTTAGGTCATTATCTCAAGTAGTGGATATGGATGGTTCTTTTTTTTTTTTTTGCCCACTTTCCATTTCCATTTCTCTCTTTCATTTCGCTTTCTCATGGGATCTTCTTCTGCCCAAGACTAGAACCGCACCGCCTCACTCGTGTCGTGTCTGTTCCATCATTCCTTTTGCCATTCCTCTTTCTTTTCTTTTCTTTTCTTTTCTTTTCTTTTTTTCTTTTTTTCTTTTTGTTTTTTGCACCAACCATCATTTGTAGACTTTTATCATATTATCCTATTTTATTTTATTTTCTACACCAGTCACTCCGAGTATTATTACCTGCACCGCCCAACCCCCCCGCAGTCATCGGCCCTTCTGGCCTCTCCTTTCGCAACAGTCGGTGTTCGCTGAATGCGGTGATCATTTGCTTCTGGTCCCATCCCCAACTATCTACCCCGGTGTCTCTCCTCCTGCAACTGCGGCCAACTTCCTTGCGTGTCCGGTCGATCATCGGCCTAACAGGAATAAGTGAGAATCAAAAAGGCAAAAAAAGAAAGTAAAAGGGTAAAAAAGAAAAAAAAAAAGGATAATCTCAGGTCGCACGACTCAATGTGTCGGGACTGTGCGTAATATACCCCCCCGACGAAAAAAAAGTTGCAGAGTACGGGGTAAGTCACTTTTCTCCATTCACTTCGCTGTCACTTGCTCTCTCTATCTCTCTCTTATTCTTCTTCTTATTCCTCCTCTCCCTCTGAACTTTTCTTCTCTTCTCTCATTTCTTCCCCCTTCCCTCGTGCTTGCATCAAAGACATCATCTTTTTCTCCACCGCCACTGCGTCCTACCTTGTCTCTTGACGGAAACGAGGCCAGCTGTTCTCCCTCCCCCTCGAGAGATTTCTTTTTCGCTTTCGGTGAAAAGAGGAAGACGGTACTATTACAGCACCTAATTCTTTTTTCAACACCTCGAATTATGCTCTTTTCGCCGTGCGACCTCTATCCACGATGACGGCAGCTCACGTTTCCCATCTGCAGCAGGATTTGTCGAGGTCGATCACCGCCAGTGATCCTGTCTCCCAGCTTGCCTGCGATTCTACCGAACCTTTCCCGTTATCCCTCTCTAACATCTTCCGCACGAGATCGGGCCATCGCCGATCGCTAAGTTCCAATAGTACAAACACCGGTGCGAATCTCGAAACAGAACAATTTCCTAAGCAGAATCGCCGAGGATCGTTACTCAAAAAGCTGGCGGGTCCACGGGAAAACGCAAAGCGCTTCCTCCGCTTGGGGGCCTCGGTCAACTCTTCTAGTTCTGCTTCTTCGTCGCATCCTCCTCCCGCTCGATCGATGCCTCGATCATCTCGTCCCCGACCCATGTCTGAGATCATCTTATCTCCAAGGGATGCGCAGATGCTGTCTGCCCCCGATCTAGAGGGGTCCCGAAGGGGGAGAATGCGCTCGGGATCTTCTGCGACGACTTCCGCCGTCCAACCGCCGCAAACAGTTCCCGAGCAGCCGAGTAATGTGCCCGCTCCGGAACCCATGGAACCTTCGTTTCCCTCTCTTCGCAATGAGAAAATTGTCGCAACTGGAAGCGGCATCACTGTTGGGATTGCTCTCACCGAGCCGGTGCTCTTTCTCGCGGGATATGATCACAATGATCCAACCACCAAGAAGTCCGCCATCCTGCGCGGGCAATTGCACTTGAAGGTCACCAAAAGTGTCAAAATCAAGAAAATATCAGTCTGTTTCCGTGGTCAAGCCCAGACTGACTGGCCCGATGGTACTTGCTATTAATAATATTTTTCCGTGAAGACAACATGTGCTGACAATTTTTGCTATCTAGGAATTCCCCCGAAGAAGATCCACTTTCATGATAAGAAAGATTTGGTAACCCATGGAGTTGTCTATTTTAATCACGGCGATACGGCACTCATGCAAAATGATTTTGGGGCCCATTATTACCAGCATGCCAAACCAGTGGGATCGGTGCCTGGGAAGGATGGAGTGACCGCGACCACTCGTGAACTGTTTTCGAATCGCGGATCATCAACTTCGCTGAATAACAACCAGACCACCGCTAGAGACCTCAAACGCTTGTCCCTCCAATCAAACCACTCGCACTCGCGCAGTCTCGGAAAGAATGAGCCTGCACCACCTCATCCTCAACGCAACTACCGATTATTCCCCGTTGGCGATTACTTGTACAGCTTTGAATTTCCCATCGACGGGTCGCTTCCAGAGACAATTAGGACGGACCTAGGCTTTGTTCGGTATGATCTGGAGGCCATTGTGGAACGAGCGGGAGCATTTAGGCCCAACTTGCTTGGTAACCTGGAGGTGCCCGTGATCCGTACACCAGCAGAGGGCTCTTTGGAACAGGTTGAACCGATTGCGATCTCTCGTAACTGGGAAGACCAGCTTCACTACGACATTGTCATCTCAGGGAAATCATTTCCACTAGGCACACAGGTCCCGATTGCCTTCAAGCTGACACCTTTGGCAAAGGTTGAATGTCATCGAATCAAAGTATACGTGACGGAAAATATCCAGCATTGGACAGCCGACAAGAGTGTTCATCGCTTCCAACCGGCAAAGAAAGTACTACTCTTCGAAAAACGAGCGGATTCCGGCAGTGTCAGTACGTATCCTGGTAGCTCGATGCGGGTGACTGCAGGCGGTGGTGTTGATTGGGACCACCGTGCGGCTGCGGCAAGAGGTGATGAGGTTGTCGATCGGAATAGAACGAACTTGCTGGGAAATCTGGCTAGCGACGCTGGTGTTGGACCAACGGAAATGGAATTCAGCGTACAGCTTCCTAGCTGCCATGAAATGAGGAACCGAGACGAAGCGCAACGGTTACACTTTGACACAACTTATGAAAACATCCAGATTAACCACTGGATTAAGGTGAGTTGAGCATAGCCGATCAACGAATTTCGATCAACTTGCTAACATTTGTAGATCGTGCTGCGCCTATCGAAGGTCGATGAGCGGGATCCGGGCAAGCGGAGACATTTTGAAATCTCCATCGACTCCCCGTTCCATATCCTTTCCTGCAAAGCCACGCAGGCTAACATCTACCTCCCGGCGTACACATCACCGAACTCGGATCCAGTTCCCCCAGCACAGGAATATGAATGTGGATGCCCTGGGGCTCCCTTGGTCAGCAGGAACAGCTCGTCCAATTTCTTGCCTCTCCCTGATCGAGACGAATTGAACCCGAGCCCAACCGGACGAGCCATCTCACGAAGCTTCACCAACGGTTCCGGAGGTCTTGCCCGTCCACCTCAAGCGCATTTGGCACAGGAAGTGGGCGAGCGAGTTCCACGCCCCATGCACTTGGTTCGAGCCCCTTCGTTTGCTCCCCCCGCATTCGAGGATGTGCCCCCACCCCCACCTCTAGTGACTCCCCCTCCCGAATATGATTCCATCGTGGGTAATGATCAGGATGGTGTGCTGGAGGACTATTTCTCGCGGCTGTCAGCCCACGAAGACCACATGGACGACGAGAGAGGTCGAGGACGAGTTGACTTGCCTCTTACTCCCGGAGGAAGAGTGAACCGCAGCATGGATGTTCCGCGTGATTGGGTACGATTGGAACAATCCAACATTCCTCTAAGGGCACTGGATAATATGTGATTTTGTCAAGGACAACAGCAAAATGGAAATAATCACGGAATTTACGAATTTACGATAGCAGGTTTCTTTTTCAACATCGGGGAAGGAAAGTACGGGACATTTCATAGACTGGGATATTCGGATCGGCTTTACATATTGCAGTCATTATTGATCGTTGCATATCTTCATCATGGTTTCTTTGTATCTTTTTTTTTTTTTTTCTCTCTTGCAGTTTGTTATGTTCAGGCGCAGATGGGCGAAGTATGTGAGAGGATAGGCGCTTCGGTGTTGAGAAGGCATGATCGCTATGAGCGAATTCGAGCTACTAGCCTATATATATGCATGAAGAAATGTGTATGTATATGTATATGTACATACATTGATCTGACGGAGTATTTCTACACTCTTCCAAAAAACTTCATGGTTCTACACTGAGACAATCGATAAGGATGTGGAGACGATAAGCGGAGAGGGCCTGGCCCGCATACAGTTGCCTAGCCAGGCTAGTCTTGTTCTCCGCCTCTTCTGGTGGCCTTCTTCAAAAGCTCTGTTACTGTCTTGAATCTTGCCACCAAGTCCATATAACTGTAGGATCCTCCGGGTGTTTACTTTGTTCCTGAATATTTCTTGCAGCCCTCGTCACTGAAGCAAGTTGGTTTGGTTGCTCTTCAAGAGATATATATCTTAACCGCGGTTCACCGACACGTCATGGCGATCGAAGTCATTCCACTCACAGAAGGAGATATTCCCGGGGCTATTGAAGTGATTCAGCAGGCATTTGCGGATGATCCGTATTTCAAGTGGGTGTTTGATTCGGCCAAGGTATGTTCCTGCCGTCGAGAATATTAGTGAAAAAAGCCAGCAAAGAAAGAAAAGCTAACATTGATCCCTCTGTTGTGACGCGGTCGAGTTGTCACAAACCGGCCTGCGTGTTTCAATCACACTGAGACTGGGATTATAATGAAATAGTTCAATAAAGCAAGAAATCATGACTCTCTAGCCGTTCGTTGCCAATGGGGTATCGGCAATGCCCTTTTCCACGTCGCAAAAGAGAGCAATAGCAGCAGCAGCAACAGCAGTGCTGCAGAATCACCACCCCCCGTTTTGGGTGTCTCCTGTTGGCTTCCGCCTCATTCACCTTCGGAACCGGAAAGCTGGCATACCTGGTCACAGGGCTGGCTTCTCACTCTCCGCCAGATGTGGAACAATGTCCGCCATTTCGGGCGCGGGGGTCTCAACTCGCGCCGGTATTGGATCTGGAAAGCTCGACAGGAGGAAGCGCAGAGTCAGATCTGGGATGATCCGCGGGGCTACTATTTCTGCAATATTGTGGCTGTTAGTCCGGAGGCACAGGGTAAGGGGGTAGGGAGGAAGTTGTTCGAGGCTGTCACGGAGCAGGCGGATCGGGAGGGAGTTAAGTGTTATCTGGAGAGTTCGAAGGGAGTGCCTAACGTGGAGATTTATCGGCGGATGGGATTTGAGATGAGCATGGAGATGGAGTGTCGGGATGGAGAGGATGCTTGCATGGTATGTGTGGTGTTTTCCCACTTTTTCTTCTGGCAGATGCTGATATAAGTTGGTAGTTATATTGTATGGTTCGGGAGCCAAAGAACAAGGCTTGAATGGGATGATGTGAGGCTTTTATAGGTACTCTGATGGAGGGATGCGGGATTTGATGCGCCAATTGCAGAAGGCAGTGCGATGGCATGGTGATTTTCGTTACTTTTGTCTTCCAGATTTATTTATGGCGATGCATATTGGAGGGGCCCTATATCAGCCCCGAATGATTCCATTATTAGCTAATGACACTGGACCAATCCAAGACACGTGAGATGAATATATGAAGCGATGAAGCTATCCCTCACTAGAGCTGTCAGCACTCTAAATCTGAAACGCCAGGCCGACTTGGCCCCGACGCCCTCTCCACCTTTCCACAGGTCTCCATCTCACCATCTCACCACCATCTCTCCCGCCGTCAGTCTGTCTCTCTGCCGAACTCTTCACATAAATGACAAGATCCACTGTGGAAGAAAATTACAACCACTCGCCACCAGCACATTCTGATTTGCGCGCTCCATGTAATCAGAGCACCAAGACCCGGTGGATTGGATCGTCGTCTCCTGGTCCCCATGGTAATCCCATCTCTTTCCTTTCCGCGATACATAATTCAATCCCGACTGATACTTTGGCTACAGCTAGTGACCATGATAATCCCCGTCGTCAACCCTGTCCGGGTGAATCCTCCCATCTGAGCAATCGAACACCCAACTTGATCCATCACTTCTACCCCTCCTCGATCAACCCAGCCCCCCTCCCTCGTGACAAACCTGATTGCCACACGCTTACTCTCCATCAAAAAGTCATGGGACGTCAAATCCTTCTCTCCACTGCCCTGAAACTGGGGATTCCATCCCGGGAACCCGCCTGCATAACTCGCACGTTTCATGAATCCCTCAACGGCCATTGCGTGGGTTCTGCAGGATGATTTAGATTCAACGGACTGATCCGTGCTCTCTCGCCTTCATCTAACATCTAATCTATTACGGAGTTTTTTTCTGATCCACCACATCCTGCCTGGGTTTGGTCTGTTCCTTAACCCGCGTCTGTGCTTGATTGCACCGTCCAGGATGGCTGAGCGTTCATTGCAGACTTTTTTCTTCCCCTTCCCTTTCTCACCTGTTTAATCCGAAGTCGGACTGCTTTTGCCCTCTACGGATCTTACGGAAGGGGGATATCTCGAGAAAAACCGGTTATCCACTACTTTCCACAGAATTGGATCCAGATGGTTGGATAATCCCGTGGCGATCACTTCCCTGTGTCTTTCTTTTCGTTTGATTTTTCCTCTTTCTCCTCCCAACCAGCTAGTCGCTACCGGTTCAAACCCATTTCGTTCATTTCCTACCTACAGCTGGTCTGATTATACTCATTCGACCTTGGCCTGAGGCCTTTCATTCTTTTAGTTTGTTCTTTGATAATTGCTGTTGTTTTACACTCTTTATATTTACCCACTCGACAGCTTCAGTCTTATCCTGCCAAGGTAAACGATTTGATGGAATTTTAGACGACACCTTATGGTGACCGACGAATATGCATATGAATCATGGCATCAGAGTTGGAAAATGGAAAAGGAGCTATTTGACCCCTAGCCTCTCGTTGGAGCCCTTGTCACCACATACACAACTATCAAAACAAGATGATCACACCCCGACTTCAGTTTTACATATAAGAGATTCCAAAGAAAATGAACTGTCTCCATCAGGGAAAGCAGTCCTAGCTTTGGTATTGACAGGTAGGGAGATAATCTTGTCAAAGCCAGGCCATCATAGCTAATATTGACAGGGGCAACCTTGCTTATCATCTTCCTCTCTACGTTTGTCTTTTTGAGAAGAAAGTACGGACCAGGGTACACGTTCTGGTCGTTTGTCACCGGAACACGGCCGGAACCAGTCAGGCGGACCGCCAGGGACCTGACGACTCCAGATATCATGGAGTCGCTGCGAAAAGATGCAATGTCAAACCAGAAAACCCAGAAAACCACAGGGAAAGCGGCTGCCGATCTCTATCCTATATCAAAGGCATGTCTGGAACAAAAATCCGAGTATTCTATACCAATTGGCCTAGATACAAAGTCGCCAGCGATTCCAGACCCTCCTCCTAAACCACCCCGCCCTGTCCCCAAGGCACAAACAAAAAAAAAACGGTCCCATCTTGACCAGAAATCAGCCGCAAGCACCACGTACAGTATAAACATTGACGAAATCACAAAGGCCTCCATACCTCCCATTCCACCTCCACCCCCAAGTCCAACACCCAGCCGACTCAGCGTCAGCACTCGCTCCTCCGGCCCTCTTCCACCGTCAGTGTGTCAATACGGTCAAGAAACGTGCAGTATCTCAGACCGCGTCATCAGTCTGCCATCGCCACCAAGCCCCCTGCTAAGGAATCTAGCCATACCACCACCTCCTAAAGCCCTCCCACCACGATTCATATATTCGATGCACAACAGCACCCTTCAGCCCTCGCTCTCGCATCGTTCCAAGCCCGAGCCCCCATCTGTATTACCGAGGAGTACCTTTGCGGTCCCCGCACCGTCCAACACACCGGCACATGAAGCACAAAGCGGGGGGAGAAGTGGTGGTGATAAATCACAAGAGTCCGAGCGAGCGCGAACAGAGCACCAATGCACGCCTGGGGTATTCCGTCAGCACCCAGGCGAGGAAGTCGAGATATCCGAGGGACGACGGATTCGCAGTTCTAGTCTGAAAAGGCTTGAGCGATGAGGGGAGGTAGCTATGTTATATGATGTATGTATTTAATGTGAATATATTTTTATATTTTATTATTTTTATTATGTTTTAGAAAATAAAACAAAACAAAATAAAATCAATAAAAACTAAATATTATACGATGACAAGTTCTAGATCTCCGCAGTGACAGACGTACAAAAAGCGCGATCACATGCCACCTTGTTAGCAAAAGTACACGGAACTAGAACTAGACAGACAACGCCAGTCTGGAACGGATTCTGCATGGACAGCTAGCTGCATATGATTATGAAAGCCCAGTTGCATTAGCATCCGAGTCTAGACATGGCAGGTAGTTTAATCGATATCGGTCTTATCTCTCACATGTCCGGCGGGAACATGCAAAATGTACTGCAGGGCAAGGATGTCGAGATTTGATATTGATGTATTTGGATGTATATATACTAGAATATACTTTTATTTATAAATTGATATTGACAGATGAATATATTGATTGTTACCAAGTCCTACTAGACACTAGATCTATCAACCATGTGGAAGACTAACCAAAACCCACCGACAGAAATAACCCTATACTAAACCAACCTAGGCCAACGACTAACTGCGTACCATCCCCAAACACTCCATCTATATCCACACAACTGCGGAGTCCACCACCACGTTGTCTTTCCCAACTTCGCTTTTTTTTGAAACCCCGGTGCCGGCTATATTCCGAGCAAAGTGCAATTTCCGCGTGATCCTTGGGGGCTTTGGCCCTAGTGTTGCGTGCCATCTGCGTCGGTTGACAGCATACAGTAGTTACCCCGTACGGAGTAACAATTGCTACATAGTGTTCACATAGTGTCTGTTCATGTCCCACCGGGGTTTGAACGACCGGATAGATGGATGGCTGGATGTTTGGACCGGTGCATTTTGAATGGAGATGGGATGTCGTCAAAGGGGAAATTGAGGGTTGATGATCAAACAGGGGGATGTGATCATATGGCCCTGTTGGAGCATCAAAACGTTTCAATCAGATAGATCAGAGTTAGACGGGGGTTGCTTGGCTGATCATAGCAGACTGGTATTAATTTTTCCTTTTCAGCAAACAACATTAAAATGTCCGTCAAGTCAAAGTCTGTTTTGGCTGCTTTTTCTTTTTCCTTGTTGCCTTTTCTTTCTTTCTTTCTTTTTTTTTCCATCTGGGGAAACGATGTTGTGGCGTAGTTGATCTTCCCCTCTCCCGGCCTTCCCCCCCTTTTTTTCTCCGGCTCGTTCAAAACATAAACTAGGGCTGTGGGTAGGATTCGATCTCCACAAATTCACCAACCGAAAAGATGTAGATGTAGATATAGTCTCACTCCGGGGCTACATTCTCCGTCCTCCTCTAGGCACCATGATACGATACCAGAATTGACCTGAGATTACATTGCCTCGGTGATCAAGAAGCTACCACAACCAATCATGGTGTGTTTGTTTGAGACAAGTGACGGTATCTTGTCTCCACTAACAAAGGGCTAACCGCTAAATATAATAATCAATCCTGTGTCCAACAAGCACGATTCCACCAGCATCAGGATGGACATGGTTTGGACCAAGAGAAAAGGATCACACTATGCGATGTTGTGAAACTGGGCTTAGGAAGCACTCATCAGTCTTTTTGCGCTGCTGTCTCCACTATGCGACGCCTAAAGACGGAAAGAGGGGGGGATAGGGACTGAAAGAAGAAAAAGGAAAGGAAAAGAAAAGAAAGAAGACGGAAAAAAAAAAAAAAATTAAAAAAGAGAAAAAGAAAAAAAGAAAAAAGAAAAAAAAAAGAGACGCAGAGAGACTGAGATGGAATGATCGACAGCCACCTATTCGAGTCTGCTTCCACTTTTATCAACCGGAGAGACCGGCGGTTGTTCCCGTATCATCGTATGTGTTCCATAGCTGAATTTCTCTTGGAAGTAGCAACGCAAACCATGCGTGATATCGAGTTCAGGCCTACCGGATATCATCCCAGGCAGACCGGCAAGACGCTGTAGCGGTGTGTAGTCCTGTCCACCCCTCTTCAGAAGGCCCTATAGGGACACTTGATATGTGCTGTCTGTTCTCTCATCACTCAAACGCATACCAGCTCAATCCCCCCCTCCCAACGCAGGCTGCCAGCGTATAAGAGACAGCGTATTCGGCCCGAGACAAGTGCCTCGAAAACAAAAACTCAATTTGACGACATTAAATGCGACTAGTCGACACTGGGCACGGAAGGAATCGTTGGGCGCAAACCTTCTCCTTGATGAACACCGTAGAACCCTCGAAGAATAACATCATAATTGTAGTGAGCTGAGAGAGTTTCATGACAAATTGACACAGCCAACCAGCCACCCCCCCTCCCCCCCAGCCGCGCAGACGGTGCAATCATATCCTGCCAGGCTGCGGGGATAATCGCTGCGCAGTATCGAGTCCATAGCCCTGTCTGCCTCCGAAAAAAACTCGAGCTCTCTCCACTCAGACAGCCAGTAGCTGGCTTGCAAGCTGCGACCATTCGTTATTGTTCTGCCGCCCGCACTGTAAAATACTAATACATGATTAGCAGTTGAACAGCCCACTCCGATCGATTTCAGACCGTTTGCCCAGATAGGTTTGGTCGTTTTGTAACCACTACCTCCACGGATGATGATCCAGACCCCATGGATTGCTAACATTGCATCATGGGCAAGACCAAAGGCCACCAAGGTGGACCACCAGACATCCAGTGACAGTGAACATACAGAGCCATAGAGGACTGCATGCAGGCTTCTATCGAAGGGGGGAAATAGATGCCAAACAAGGGAGGTCATAGACATCCTTGTAGTTCCTGCACCTGAAGCCTTTGCTAAGTCCGTTTGGTTGTTACCATCAAGGAAGCGAAGGGAGAAAAAGGCAGGTGAACAATAACACACAGCCCGAAAGATGGCCATGGCTTCAAGAGGGCAGGATTAAATAACAGCGTAACCCCGAATCAACGAGCACAGACTTCGTCTGGTCTTTGAATAGTCGCTAATAGTCAAGATGCATGAGATTGTGCTGCTTGGCGAGTCACAGGGGCCGCTACAATGCAGGCCTTTGCGGCAACGGCAGAATCATCAATAGTGGGAATAATCAGAAGGAATAACATGATAACGAAGCGGTTGTTGATTATTATCATTGTTTGCTTTGGGTCTAAGCATTCGTTGTGTCTTTCTCTTTCTTTCTCTGGTCGGTCGTCTTCCGAAACCCTCGACATCCTGGATAAGTCGTCACCCAAGTCATCGAGAAGAAGTCTAGTGGAGGCCAAGGCGTCTGCCTGCATGAATTTGGCGTATCCCTTATCCTTACTTATTTATTATTCCTGGGGTTGCGTTTTGTGTGTATCGCCAATTTCTTTGGTCATCCCTTTTTCTTTTTTAATTTTTTTTTTTTTTTCCTTTTCTTTTTTAATAAAAAAAAAAAGATTTTTTTTCCTTTCTTCTCCATCGGGAAAAGGAAGACGTGCTCCGTTGCGCCAATCCAACATGTGACGTCGATTGGTGTTGGTATCTTGAACAATATCCCGGAACCAACGGTGGTGTGGTGTGTCAGTCCATGGCTTTAATTTTTGGTCCCTTGTTTGTAGTTGACTTCTTCCCCACCCCCTTTTCTCTTCTCCCCAGTCAAAGCACAGCAATAACGCAAGTGTAATTAGTTAATTTGCAAAACTCCAGAAACATATGTCCAATGCCCAAATCCCAGTCTAGAAGCCCAAGAGATTTTGTGGAAACTCCCTCGAGCGCCATTATTCCATCCCCAACACAAAATTGATACAGTGCAACCTGATCCAACTTTTCTTTTGATAGTACAGTCATTCAAGCGGTGCCCAGTTGAAGCACCGTCGTGAGTGGAGATAAACAAAAAAAAAAAAGACCATTTTCAGACGAGGATGATGCCAAAATAAAACCAGAGCAGATAAAACAATTATAACGATAATGAAAATTCGCTTGATAAGGGCGCGGTCGATGTTTGCCGATAAGCCGTATCATCAAATGCAATAGAATATCGTTTTCATGGATGATGAGGTCACTGATAGTGGGATGAGATAGGATGGAAATGCGGCGATGTGTGTATATTCGGTTCAAGCCGAATTGCTTTTGTTGATTAAGGGAATTCTCATCCGCCAAGGGGCGATCGTGGATAGAGAATGAGGTTCAACGAGTACACAGGAGACATTTCCCCACGACGACGATGAATCTGTCATGGGGACTATCCGAACAGCGATTGTCTTTAATTCCATCCACCGATGTGCGGATGAAATGAGAGGATGGGTCGCGGCAAGTGCTGTAGATGTAATAGTTTTTGAAATAGGTGCACATTGCGAACCACAGATAAAAAGTCGTGATCAGAAAGGACAGTTGTGACAGTGATGTTTGAGTGTGATAGAGTAACTGAATTGCACATAGAAAACCCAGTTGTGCAACTGTACAATTTTGAATCGAGCCGGTTGGGATACAGAGGGCCGGAACAATGACGATGGTGATTGAAAAAATCGAGGAATCCCCCAAAGATATACTTAAAGACCTGACAATGGTGGAGATATCAACTCCCAAAAAAAATCCCAGACATGTTATCCTTGACGGAGAGTTGCGGAAACGTGTTTGCCCGTGCCATCTGCAAGCACATCCGTCGACTGGGGCCCGTCACAGGCCGGCTGCAGCACATTTAGAGACAGAGGGAAAAAAATAGTGGACGAACCTTTACACGGCAGCCAGTCATTTTGGATGAAGGAATATCTACAGAATATCCAGGTACTGGGTGGATATCTTTTGTCCACGGTCCTTGTAGGGAAGCGGGTCCCGTATCATGTTCGCTGGAGGCGGAGCGCCGTCAAAAGTGCAACACTCTAAATAAAAGAATGCTATGACTGATAAAATCTAAAGGGGCATCAGTGGGAACTGTTCCACAGCTGAAGAAAAGCCCCATTTGGTTTGTATCAATCGGATCAATGGGAGATCGACACGGTCCCTCGCAGCCGTTGAGGCTTCACTTGCACGTGGCGCTAGTCAGGATCTTCATGCATGATACGATTGCGATGTCATCGATGATAGACCCCAAAACAAAAGGAAAAAAACATTGTAGAGTAACTCCGTGACGACGGCTTATGCCGATGGAACCGGGATTGTTGTTCGGCATTGGAATGTGCTTGTCGTCTGCAGCGGGAGACAGGCTAGGTAGCAAGCTTTCTAATGCATGGGCATAAGTCGGGTACAGGACTGCATACATCTTGCCCTGTTAAATGCTGCCATCGACCGGGATAAATCAGAGCGATGCGATATTGGGAAATCGGAACGAGGGGTGCTTCCAATTGGACGAGTAGGCTTTTGCATCCCCTGCCACACGTACGCCCACTGGAACTTTCTTGTTTTTCTCCCTGTCCCATAATAACCAGGCCCTGGTTGATTATTGCCTCACTATCTTTTGTTTACCCCCCATTGCGAAGAGACCGTCTCTCCAATATCGGAGAATTTTTACACCAACTAAAACGGCAATAGGGCCACGGAACAAGAGAATCAGGGGAAAGGAAAAAAAAAAAAAAATTAAGAAAGAAGAAGGGGTTGAGGGGCTAGGAGAGAAGGGGAAAAAAAAAAAAAACCCCGAACTATTGGCCGTTGGCTGTTGGTGTAACCCTAAGTAGCGTCTTCGAATTAATAGATCAAGTTTCTTAGCGTCGATAGGAACCAAAACATACGACAGAGTTTAGAACCAAGGTCCCAGTTACATAGTACTTACTGGCAACAGTACTATGTACTATTAAAGTAGGACTGTAATAGAGCAATAACAGGCACCAAGGTACCCAAAACGAGTCTGTAGTGACACAAGGATGGCTGTATGAGAATCGTCAGATTTGCTGTTTCGTAGTTCCCCATAATAATGGGAAAATGGAAAGAGGGGGAGAGGGGGGCGAGAGACCCAGTTATGACGACAACAAAGCGACGAAAACTGCACAATGTTGACACCCCACTAACAAGTCGAATACATACACATAGTATGAAATCTGTATGCACCAAGACGAAAGAACCGCGCCAAGCACCCACAAAGTTTGTTATTGGTTCTTGGCGTTTGGCCCTGCAAGCAAAGCTGCCGAGCGGCCAGGAACTGGCAAGCCAAGTTAGGCGGTTAGCCAACGATAAGCCTCTCTAAACGCAACTACTGCCAGTGTAGTAGCGGCGAGCTGAATATGGAGTCAAGACGGAGACCACGGAGCCAGGAACTGCGAAGCTGAAAGCCCACAGACTACTGTGAGGATAAGAGATGGTGCGACGTGTCCACTATCCACTCGTGTGTGTGGTCAGTGTGAGTGGTGCCATGTCGAGGACTCGACCGAGACGAGAAGGGCGGCCCATAGCCCGCCCGAACTGAACCTAAGATAGCTTGGTGGTTAGCGAGACACTGGTGCACTAGCAAAGCCGGGCAGATCCTTCACAGCCAACTAATCAGCCACAGGAAGCTTCCGATCCAGGCATCCAGCAATCTCGGTTCCGATCCCCAGAGACCTTGTAGATGTGCGGCAAGCTGAATGTAGGCTTCCGTCTTAAATTGATGCCCAAGCCCTATAAAAGTATGTAATATATATGCTCCATGACGTTGGCGGATCGATTATGACCACCCGCAAGAGCGCAAACAATTCGCTTGCCGTGAAGAAACCCGGCTCCGAGAGCTGGCTGGCTGACTGGCAAGTCAGGTACTCCGCACCTCTCGGGTCGTATGGATGTACGAAGAATCGTGCGTTCAGGATCAGACCATCAGAAAGCCAATAATTAGTGAGACAACAACCGAAATAAACTGAAACAGATGAACAGACACACCGCTGGGATCTTTCTGGAAGGAAAGTAGAAGGTTTAGCCTGCACGAAGATCTGCAGTTGGGTTACTTCAGTCGGTGCGGAATATACGGGTCTTCCAGAAGCATGACGATGCGGCCTCGGTCAGGCTGTCAAATGTCAGACTGACCGTCAACCTATGATCTCCCGTGAGGCTATCCGCTACAAGCCTAGGCTGTCGGACCGTCGGTGCCTGAGGATTTCGGCCGTGCCGCGGAATATGTCTCTTTGGTGGGGCTGCTTCTGTTTGTTTCTTTTTCTGTTATGAATGCAATGTAGTAATATCGTACCCCTGTTAGATTGAGCTTTGATAGAGTGATTTTTTCCTGATATGAGGAATTCAGGGGTTGAGGAAAATATGAAGTTTGTTAACTCCAGCTGAGGGGAAAAAAAGTACGACTGGGCAGGGACTCGAGGCCCTACTACCAAACTAGGCAGTAGGTGCCCTGCTTAGGTAACCACCCCACCATCTAATTAACTAGTTATCATCACGTACACCACACGAGCAGATGGGAAAAGCTCCAAGCCACGATGACCTCCAATAAGGCAATTTTGCCGTGTGAGATTAGCTGGCTAGACATAGGAGGTTGCAATTTCTAGCTCTTGGTCGACTGGGTACTCATCCAGCAAAAGCTTGTCGGATTCCTCCTTATTCGACAAGTCGAATACTCAAGATCTCAACTTGATATTGACTTGGGTCAGCATGGAGTTATTTCATGCATGGCAGCAAACTTTCTTCATCGATCTGTGAGTTATAGTATGGCCAATCTGATCCTGGGACTTTTTCCTGATATTTCTCGCCTGAACAGACATGGTCAATTTTGTAATACAATCCGTCCATCCCCAACACTCTCTAATCCTCGTCAATACCACAAAGACTGATCAAGAACGAGAGCCTGAGATTGAATATATTGGGAAGGATGTACCTCTGAAGAGAGCCAGCTATTGTTTGGCTGTTGGACTACGATGAAGAGGTGTGCTGGAACGAAACTCCACGATAGGGTGCAATGGGTGCCTGGGTCAAGATCGACACGCAGTAACGGTAAATAAACCGCGCGATGCGATGCCACGGAGAGCAAGTGGGCCATATGCTGCTTCAGACTCTCAGTTCTTTGAGTTCTGGTAAATCCGGGTATTTCCTTCCACGTATGGGCCTGAGCGCTGCCTAGCGGAGGCCACATCTAGACTCAGAGGTCTTATTAATCGCTCTGAAGGAGATTTAATATGGGTCTTGTGGTTAAATACAGTATGTTTATCTAACAGGTGGTCTTTGCAATTATGGGGGCTTTGCGAGGTTTGAGATGATTGGATCCTGTTGCGAACTTCAAAACAAGATTTTGGTCAACCAGGCATGAATAACTGGACTGGGACATAAATCTTAATAGTTTTACCTGTGTTGTAGCTCTCAATCCCAGGACAACGAGCCATTACATACTAGCCTGGTCAACAACATAGGTACTTGTTATAGTTGAAGAACTAGCCCGCTGATTATGGAATGAGATTATTCTACCCAAATTCCTACCACTAACTCAGAGTAAAATACAAAGCGGGACTTCCAACAAGATTAATATGAAGTATGATTATGTCAAACGTCCTGGGAATAGCTTCACGTACTTTTGATACTTCGATAGGCTTTATCAATGTATCCATTTTTAGTTTGACTCTATCCCTTTCTAGGTTAGACCAAAGATTCTATCTGGGGAACCTACGCTAGTCCCAGATGAGCCATGGTTGATTCCCGTCTGGGTCTAGCGTGTCCCGTGATTCTCGATCGCAGGGCACTCGGTGGAAAATCGGTCGACAACTCCTGTCGCTGCTGTTCAGACGGTTTGCTGACTCGTTGTGGTTAGGATCTCTGAGATCCGACCATCATTTTCGTTATCGCAGCTGAGCACATATATTGACATCGCTGAAAGTTCCTTATACTCAGTACGGAGGAGGGTCCTTGAGAAAGCCCGTCGTTGTGGAGACGGTTTTTGGGTCCGCCATCACGATACAAATCAACGTCACCAAAACAATCAACGTATCAACACCTTCGTTTCCAAACCAGCCATAACCATGGGCTTCGATGGTTTCGACTCAGTATGCCGCAAGGCACCGCTTCCAATGTGCTCCTTGGTGGGCCCTCCATCTTCGATATCGGGGTCAACGGGCATTATCGCCAACTGCTATGCGCGGAATATCGAACTGGCAAATACAATTATCTTTGAGGGAGCTGCATCCTTTATACACATCATTGCTCTTGGAATGACAGTGATTATGATTCTTCATGTCAGATCTAAGTTCACCGCTGTCGGTACGTTTTGAGCAAATGGGTTTGGTGGAAGAAGTAGTGCACCGCTAACGTCTTTTTTCTGTCAACAGGCCGTAAAGAGATCACCACATTTTTCTATATCTACATGGCCTTGACGGTATGGTCACTTGTGATCGATGCGGGCGTGGTTCCGCCCGGGAGTGAGCCTTTTCCATATTTTATTGCCATCCAAAATGGATTGACATCCGCGCTGTGTACATGTTTAGTCGTCAACGGATTTGTTGGCTTCCAGCTCTACGAAGATGGAACAGCCCTGTCCGTGTGGCTGATACGTCTGTCATCTGTCGCCATGTTTGCCCTCTCCTTCGTTGTATCCCTCTTGACCTTCAAGTCTTGGGGAGGGCTGAGTCCGACCAATACGACTGGTTTGTTCGTGGTGCTTTACATCCTGAATGCAATTTGCATCGCGGTTTACCTCGTTATGCAGCTTCTGCTTGTCATGAACACACTCGAAGATCGGTGGCCGTTGGGCCATATCTCCTTTGGCGTGATTGTTTTCATAATCGGACAGGTGCTTCTTTACGCTTTCAGTGACACCATCTGTGACAATGTACAACATTATATGGATGGACTCTTCTTCGCTACATTCTGCAATCTTTTGGCTGTCATGATGGTTTACAAGGTGAGTAACCCTGTTTTTTCTCGATTAGAGCATGGCTTTAGATGAAACCAAACTAACCATTACAAAGTTTTGGGACTATATCACCAAAGAAGACCTTGAATTCTCCGTTGGCATTAAGCCTAATACATGGGAAGTGAAGGAACCACTCCCTGATGATGACCGCCGAACAACTACATACCAGGATACGAACTCAGAATACGCTAGCAGCGTGTACCATCACCGGGCATCAAACTACGGCAACCATAATTACTAACTTTGTTCCCCATCCCGCTGTATATGATTTTACCAGATATGACGTCTGCTCATGCTTCTAACATGTCTCACGAAAGCATCTTTCCGCTCGGAAAGTTATGATGATATCCTGAGCTCCATGCAATGTTGTTGATTGTTTATTCCTTCTTTTTTTTTTCTCTAGCGGCGCCCCATAACTTTATGATCTTTTTTGGATCTATAAAGTGTTTTTGCGAATATGTTTGTATTTATTCTTGAATTTAGCCTTCCCCTGTATGTCCTCTATTGTGATGTGAGCTGATGTACACTGTGATGTAGATAGGTAACTGTACTCCAATGAAAATACTACGAAAGAAATTTCAAGCGTCACTGACAAGTCATGAGAATGGTCGATTTATTAGATTAACATATATTATTTTAGTCTCAAAAAACTCTAAGATACCCCCGCCTTGTATGTATATAGGGCAAGTCAAAGCAAGGAGCCCAAGTCTATTACTGCCATTCATCATGCAACTTTGCATCCAAGCCGGAATATCCCTCCACGACTTCAATTCCCCTCAATCTCTCCTGTTCGATTCTCTCCCATGTCCATCCACCCTCGTTCCACGAGTCTGAGTTGGCCTTCTTCTGCGCATCCAACGACCCCTGCTCTGGCATATCCTCGTCATCCATCTTCAACACCTCCCGAACCAGAGATCCATCAACACCTCCCGCACCGGCTGTGATGCCATCGCCATTTGCGGGCGTCCCAACTCCAGATCCATCAGTCGAATCCGGTCCCCCGTTCACAGGGGCAGATGAGCCGTCGGGCCGTGGAGGCAGAAAGCCACTCGCGCGAAGCACACGTTCAGGTTGAACACTCAATCGACCCTTCTTGACGACATATTTACTCAACGCCGTAGCGAGGAGGGTCTTTTCTCCGCCCTTTTTGGCGGCAGGACGGAGGAAGAAGGTTAGGATGAACACCCACTTCTGGTCCCAGGCGATAACCTTGGACTGGATCTCGAAGAGCTCGAATGGTTTAATTTCACGCTTGAAGCTGCAATACACGGAGCCGAGGGCGACGTAGATGGACTTCTTCCCGGGCGGTTTGCGGCCCTCTTTTAGGGCCGCTTCTGCGAGTTCCTTGTCGACTTCTTTGCTGATGATTGCGAGGCCGGGGGTGTAGAGACGGCTAACTAGGGCTGTGCGAGATATGTCTATATCCGAAAAGTAGGTGCTGTTGGATTTGTGGAAGTTGTAGTCTGTTTCCAGGATTGGGGCGCGGGATGTGATGCCGTATGGCACGAATACTGGATGAGTGGGTTTGCCCTTGATGCAGGCGATAGGGGTTCCCTTAGGGAACAAAGGATCACTGGCACGCCAGCGCAAGTTGGTCACAAAGTAATACAAGACTCGGAACTGTACGTACCATATCAGCGGGGGGCTTAACAGAAACGTGGGGGAGTAGATGGGATTCAACGCAAACCTACATGCCAGAAAAGTGGAAGATTTTTGATATTGATGATTGTCAGGAATAGTGCCAGTGTTTTCCACGAAACAAGCATAGACAATGACGATAAAAGCTCGTGAATGTTATCAACGCGGAGAGGAATCGACATGCTAGCCATAATCGGTGGAGATTGTGACCAAATTTGGGTCACTGATTACGATTAAGAAAAATGCTCCACAATGCCGACTAATATTAAATCCCGAGTGACGGATAGAAAAGAAAGAAAAAAGAAATGTCTCTTCAAGTTCTGGTGTTGTCGGAACTTGTGCAGGTATAACTGGTCGCAGGGGGTTTGAAGATATGTCCAGTCAACAAGCCAGTCTACTCAGGAGAAGTTGCCAACAGGACAGACTGCTGTGCAGATATACCCACAGGCCCAGGGGTCAGGACCGGCTTTGGAATCGTCAGATCTGACAGATCCCGAGTCGACTGGAAAAAGTGTTGGGAATCGTGAGCCGAGGCTGATCAACCTCACGTGGAAATTATGTAAGCATGTTGCATATTGAGATGACGTTGCATTGGTGTATGTAGTATAAGATATCGAAGATAAAACCCCCGAAATATCTAGACTCTTAGAAGAGTGCCATACAGTTAGGGGGGGTGGAAACTCCCTTGGCGCAGTTGAGTGGACTACTCGAGATGAAAAATGACCACCGACCAATCCGTTTACACATTTCCGAAAGCTCCTCCAGGTCAAACATCTCACCGATGGGAAGCCCCCAGCCAGCCAACAAGTGATGGTGTAGATCAAACTCAGGCTCCAGGGGTGGGAAAACTTCAAAGCTGACCGCATCTGTCGCAACGGCGGCAAAATGGTTGTCCCACATGAACCGGAGCACGCGCTCGTTCTGCTCGATTCCAGCATGCTTGGGCGTTTGCTGCTGGCTATATGTGTGTTTCTGGGAGTCGGTCATCGAGTCCCATTGCTTGGTTAGCCCAACCCGGAGGAAAAAGATGTCACCCCGCTGGAACTCGATATTGCATTCCCGGGCGATGGTCAACACATCGTCCAGCGATATGACCTGCTGGCTGAGAGCGTCAACGGGGATACCTTTCTTCTCGGCGTAGGAGAGATAATCAATCAGCACACCACGGCCAGCAATTCCCTTTCGCGCCCAGTGTCCCACTCCGATACGTGTCGAATTGGGGTCCTGAATCTCCTCCGCTGTCGTGCCGCCGTAAAACACGTTCGCATCCCCAGCTTTCGGGGCCGGGGCGCTGTGGTGTCGCAATCCATCCCATTGCGAGGACTGCTGTGGGTTGAAATGGTATTCATCGTCAAAAGAAACTCCATGATCGAGCCATTTGATGCGGTGTTCAAACGGTTTGCGGCCGAACCCTAAGCGGAGCAAAAACACAGGTAAGTAACAGGCCTTGCTCATTAAACCCTCTATGGCAGTGAAGAATAGGAGCCACGCCAGGAAAAGAGAAAAAGTGACTTACCAGGCGGGTTCAACTTCTGAATGTCCCAATTCAAACAAACCCGCTCACCGGTCTGGATCTGCGTCCGGGCAGCATTAGCTACGATCTCCGGGGTGAGGATCCGGAGCATCCCCAGTCCCTCATCCGGAGAACCAGCTGGAGCTGGCCAGAACCGCCGTTTGTCCGGGAGGTCATCAAATTTCTCTGGTAATGCGTTGACTCCAGACATTGCTGCGCTAAGATGGTGTCTGCTGGTATTGGGGGGGTTGCGGGGTTGTGAGGGGTTGGTGTAGGGACGATCAAGGCGAGATGAATCGATAGGACAATGCTTTGTCTTATATATTGATGAGCGACTGATAGTGACGAGGTCAAAACGTACTCGATAAGACAGCTATTGGGTGTGGTAGATGCATGAAGGTGAGTTCGCAGGAAAAGCTGAGGACGATCCAGCATCTCGGAGAAAGTCCGTAGCGACGTGGATATGCGATCATCACAAACCCCGCTGTATCGTATTTGCATCGATAGCCTAGTTGCAGGAACGGGAATCCTGGAGACATTAGTGGGCTCATGAGCTGATGGTACTTTTGAAAACTGGATACAGCTATCTAGCAAGAACTGTGCAAACATTTTGATAGTCATATATTGGAACACTACGGAGTACACTCGCTATATTATACGGCCAAAGAAAAAGAGATAATGTGTACAAAAGACAAAGGGTTATCTCACAAGTCATCTCCATCTCCATCTGTCGTTGCCTTTGCAGTTCCGTTCTTCTGCAGGTTTGACATCTCGTACTGCTCGCCACGTCCCGAGCCAGCACCAGAGGTCGACATGGCAATGGCCTGTCTCCCCGTGTCGGATGACTCAAGGAAATCGCGTAGTCGACGCTTGCCCTCCTCCACTGCTTGATGCGAGGCTGCCTCTGTCATCTTAATGATGGGTCCCCACAGGTTAAGCTGGTAGGTGATATATGCGCCCACGGCGCAGACAGCGAGAAGGAGGAAATAAGCAGGATTCCGAAGCACTGGTTGGGAAGACAGTCAGTCACATATTTCAAGAGTAATGGGGAAAATTAAAACTTACCAGCAATAATTTCGTTCCATCCAAGCGCAAGGAGGATACCATAGAAATACAGAGGAACCTGCGTCATGCCGCCAATTGCACTGCGCTTCGCTTCGACATAAACCCCATCTGCAGCCTTCTTGAAACGAACAGTGAGCTCCTGTCGTTTGCCGTCACTAAGGATTGCCATCTCCTCCTCCAGGCTCTTGCCCTCTTCTTCGTCTATCCCGCCAATGGGTGGAAGATCTTCCTCATCAGCCGGGGTTGCGGAGCTAGGAGTGTGCCCAATCCAACGGTCAAGCGGTGGCGGAGCAGAGTTCTCTTCCAGACGGAATCGCGAGAGAAGAGGAATCAAGGTCAGGGTCGACTCGCGAGCGCGGGTGTAGATGCCTTCGACGTCATCGGTTGGCCGCCAAATTCTGGGAACACCTGCATCATCGTAGCGGAACTTGTCCTCGAAGTTCTCACGCAGTTTGAGCAACAGGTTGCCCTCGATCATCTCCTCCTCGATCTTGGCGCGCAGGACGCCCCATGACTTCCTGCGGAGTCTCCAAAGACCAACATCGACTTCTTCGAGACTGGCATCAAAGCTGCTGGCGCGGTCTGTGAATTTTCTCTCCGCGTCGAGGACCGTCTCAACAAATACATTCCATACCCGATCCCAGAATTTTTTCTCAGAGGGCTTTTCTCCTGATTCGGGAGCACCGCCCCCTGCTCGTCCGGATCCAAGGGCGTTGAACTCGAGCCCGACCGATTCGCCGAGGCGAGATTGCACCCATCGTTCAACTCGGGTGGCCAAACGTCTCATTTCATCTCTTCTTAGGCGTCCGCTGACTTCCGCGAGCTCTTTTTCATACAGTGCCAATTCCTGCTCATATTCGCTCCACTTGGTACCTTCAACCACGGTATCCCGAGCAACATCTTCATACTTTTCGAGGGCAGTCTTCGACTCCTGCTTGACGATCTCTGCGAAATCGTACCCTGTACCCTTCTTCTGGCCCGATTTCACAGCTGCAGTGACAGCCTCGCTAAATTCATGAATGCCGGATTTGTGCATTGCGTTGAGCTGACCCTGGAAAAGGGCTTTCAAACGGGTGTCGACTTTACCCTCAAGCTCTGCCCGCTTTCGCTGATAAACACCCTTGTGGTACCGGCTCGCTTCGGCGTCGAAACCCTTGACGGCTTTTGCCCGCGAAGATCGCATGGCAGCACCCAAACCTCCAAGTATCTCAGGCTCTCCAAGACGGGCAGCCTGGGACTGCTTCTCTTCGAATGGAATAATTGCCTCGTCGAAGCTCACTATCACTTCCCTCAAGATCTCGTCGCATCGGAACTGTGCAAGCAATTCTTGCTGAGTAGGGAGATCCAGGTCTTTATTGTTGACAATCTGATCCCAGATACCTTCCGCATATCTCGAAAATCCGTCCGCAGGGATTCGTCGATGGTATTCTGGAAGAAATACGCCACCATCCGAAAACTCACCCTTCAATGCATTCATGGTCGGGTCCTTGTGGTCCTCCCGGAACCGCAAGCTGAGCTTCTTGGTCTCAGCCACAAATTGCTCTGGCTGGTAGCTCTTGTGTGGAAGTCCGTAGAATTGAAAGTCGAAGTAGTCGTGAACAGTCGCAGTCTCAAGGCCGGCGGGCTTGGAAATAGAGTCCCACAGGCCGGAAATGTCTTCCATCAACGTCTTCTGCAAGTTCTTGAGTGGTGTTGTCCCGACGAAATCACGGATGACGAAGAACAGGAGAGACCGGTGGGTGGTGCTAGATAACCCAATCAGTAACTGCATGCCATTTGAAAATCGGATGATTAGACCATGACATACTTCTTATCCTTCAAAAACAACTGCAAGTTGACCTCAAAGACGGTCTTCAATAGTCCCATATTTGCTCCTTGGTACAGTCCCACCTGGTGTTCCCAAATGTTTACAATGAGAACCTCACTTGTCGCAAGCGCAAACAGCGCGCTTTTGCGCTCAAAGTCTTGATCCTCGCCTCTCTCGCGGCCGTCTGTTCCTTCAACATCCATGACCAGGATATTATCGGCCATCCGAGTGCTTTCGTTGCCCGTATTCTTGTTCTTCGACATCCAAATGCCCTTAGTGGTCTGCCTTCTCTCTAGCTCAGACATGACGGAGAACTCGGTGCCGAACAGGTGGTTGAGAAGGGTGGACTTTCCCGTCGATTGCGACCCGAACACGGAGATAAGATGGTAGTTGAAGCCAGCAGGGGTGACGCTCTCAACTGTCAGGTATTTCGACAAGTTCGGGCTGTAGATAATCATTAGCTTCAATACCTCCCAAAAGTTCGGTGATGGAATTGAATCGCATCATAAAAACCAGCCCAGGGGCAAACTGTTGTATGCCACGTCGCTAGAATATGATAATGCGCAGAGGGTAGTATCCATGTTCCGACAATACTACATACTTGAACTCTTTGTCTTCACCAATAACCTGCACTCCATGCTCATATGCCCCTTGGTCGCTTTCGGCGCCAATCGAGGCGAAATGGCCATTGGTAGCCATGGTGGCGAGCGCTGTGGGTATTATTTCCGGTATGAAGGTAAATGGTATCGATTCGAAAGTGATAATTTCGATTAATGTCGACAAAAAGAAGAAACTACCACAGAGTGGTAGAAAAAGAAAGTGGTCGAAACGAGTGGGAAGACGTCAGGATGCGGAGACCGTGGCGAGTTGGGGAAGGGATTATGCAGTGGGAATTAGGGGTAAGACGAAAGACAAGAAGCCATGTATACGTTGGGGGGGAGAGGAAATATGAACAATCACGGGGTGAGATCACACCGGGTCCATGTGCGATTGTGTCCGAGGTTGACTGGCTGGTCTTGTGAACAGGAGATGTTGTGATGATGAAAGTCGATCTATCCAGGTCACTGGGGAGATGGTGGCCTGGATGCCTGAGGCCACAACAGTCCCGTCCAGCCAGTCATTGCCGAGGATGGATTAAGTCGGTACTTGAAGCTATTCAGACCGGGATGTTTGCAGAGAGTTCATCCCTGGCAGTTTATTCAGTGTAACCCTTGAAGTTTGATATATTTCATACTGAAAAATACCTGAAGAGCTCAACAAAGAGGAGCGAGAATGGATATTCAGGGTGATGTGGACTGTAGAATCACAAAATTCGGACCAAGCCAGCTAAATAAATAATTTCAGTTAGGGATAGCACAAACAAATCAGATTTTAAAGCTGTTTTAAATCCGTCCAAGTTTTCCTGCAAGGATGTGATGGGTCTGCGTTGCCTGATGTATGAACGAACATGGAGGGATGGACATATCGCAGCAGTGCCATATGGAATATTCTAGGCTCAGATAAGATGGAGTAAATATTTCATTCGTACTCTATCCTCCGATCATATGGCCGCAATTTTGTATCCTCTTATGTTCATGTATTTGATCAGGCATGTAGATTGTTGGCACATGATGCTGTCACAAAATATGCCGCAATTGAAACCATCCTAAGTGACTCTACATTAATGCCGTAGACGATGACTCGACACCAGGCTAGAGTGAGAATGCAGGCATCGCTAGATTCCTTGTCGATCAATCCAACGTGTACCGGGGGCTGCAGGCATCAACTCAGCCACTCGATACTGAAAGAATAAGGGAACAAATAGTCGAGATATCCTCGCACAAGAATTAAAAAGCAAGGAGAGTGGCTAGACAAGACAAGCAAGGCAAAATGTCTCTTCCAGCATCTTTCCTCCCTCCTATTCTCCCCTCCAACGCCACCGTCCGCAGAATCGACTTCACCACCACCACCCCACCTATCCCAGAATACCGCAATCACTTCGCCCTAGTCATTGACAACTTCCTCACCGAATCCGAATGTAAAGCTCTCCTCCAAGCTGCCGAGGCAAGCACTCAGCCTGACCCCGCCGCCAACACCCCAGATAACAATGATACCCCACCAACGTGGGAACGAGCTTTGGTCAACGCCGGTGGAGGCCGCCAAACCGTCTCAATAGACCGAAATTGCGGTCGAATCTCCTACAATTCCCCCATCATTGCGCAGAAACTCTTCATGCGCCTGCACCCGATCCTGATGGATGCCGGGATCGACACGGTCTTCAATCAGGGCCTGATAACCGGATTGGGACCGTGGAAGCGGCAAGAGGTGTTTCGAGTGTCAAGATTGAATGAACGATTGAGCTTTCTGCGTTATGAGGGGGGCGAGTTTTTCAAGCCGCATTGGGATGCACTCCGTGAGACCGAGAACGAGAAGGAGATTTCACTATTTACAACTCATTTGTATTTGAATGGAGAGGGAGAGCAGGATCTAGAGGAGTTGGAAAAAGCGAGAGAAGAGGCTGAATCTATGCCGGAATCTACTACTACTGAAAGACGTGGAAATCCTTCTGCTACATTGTTAGGAGGGGCGACGTCATTTCAGAATGGATTCTCGAACAAAGAGGTTGTTCGGATCTTTCCCAAGACGGGGTCTTTGCTAATATTCCAGCAAAAGGGGCTCTTGCATGCTGGTGATGATGTTTATAGGGGGGTTAAGTATACCATGAGGACGGATGTATTGTATCGGAAAAGCCTGAGAGTATGATTAACAGGCACATTATATACTTCTGAATTTAATGCATTATCACTTCGATTTTTTATTCGAGAAAGAGGAAATCATTTGATTCATATTCAACGGCATATCTCGGATGATAGAGGGGAGAAGAGATGACAGGACAAAATAAAAGAAAAAAAATAAAATAAAAGGTCTACTACATCTTTTAATACAATACAAGTAAATAGACATGACTCAAGCGAACTCCGGTTCAAACCACTATTCCCCCGGATTTCCGTGCTGATTCCCGCGCTGCAAGAAGGTGCGAACAAAAAGAAAGAAGTGCAAGGGTTTTTTTCATAGTACAAACCAGTCAATCAGCTATACTTTTGACAGCTGGCCTTATTAATTTATTTCTTCTCCTCAACGACACGGGTGATCAGACCAGTGGCGACGGTACGGCCACCCTCACGGATGTTGAAGCGCTGGCCAGCCTCGGCGGCAACAGGACGGTGGGTGGAGAGAACCATCTCGACGTTGTCACCGGGCATGACTCTGCCAGACTGGTCCTCACCGGGGAAGCTGAGGTCAGCAGCCTCGTCTGTGAAGTTTGTTAGCACATTTCACATTCTCTTTGGATGGCATATTTGTTCTAAGTACTTACCAGCAGTACGGAGGAAGACCTGGGGACGGTAGTTGGCACCGAAACCAGTGCGACGACCACCCTCAGCCTCGGTCAGGACGTACATGGACACGAGGAACTTGCTGTTGGCCTTGGTGCTGCCAGGGGCAGCAATGACCATACCACGACGGACATCGTCACGGCGGATACCACGGAGGAGGAGACCAGAGTTGTCACCAGCGCGCGACTCGTCGCAGGTCTTCTTGAAGGTCTCAATGTCGGTAACCTTGGTCTTGATGGCGTCCTTAGATCCTCCGACGATCTCGACCTCAGTGTCCTTCTTCAGCTGACCACGCTCGACACGGCCAGAGGCAACGGTACCACGGCCAGCAATGGAGAAGACTTCCTCAACGGACATCAAGAAAGGCTTGTCGAGGTCACGCTGGGGGGTAGGGATCCAAGTGTCAACGGCGTCCATGAGGTTATCGATTCTCTCGGTACCAATCTCAGGGCGACGGCCCTCGAGGGCGCAGAGGGCAGAACCGAAGATGATGGGAGTCTCTTCACCCTCGAATCCGTAGCTGCTCAGGAGCTCACGCATTTCGAGCTCGACAAGCTCCAACATCTCGGGGTCCTCGACAGCATCGACCTTGTTGACGAAGACAACAATCTTCTGGACACCGACTTGACGAGCCAGGAGCAAGTGCTCACGGGTCTGGGGCCTATTCGAAAGTATAAGCTTGGGTATGTTTTGGTAATGTGCAAAAAGATCAACCGTACATCTGACCATCGGAAGCGGCAACGACAACAATGGCACCGTCCATGTTGGCAGCACCGGTAATCATGTTCTTAATGTAATCGGCGTGACCGGGGCAGTCAACGTGGGCATAGTGCCTGTCGTTGGTCTGGAACTCAATGTGGGCGGTAGAGATGGTGATACCACGCTTACGCTCCTCAGGAGCCTTGTCAATGGCACCATACTCGAGGAAGTTGGCAAGACCCTTGGAGGCCTGGTGCTTGGTGATGGCGGCAGTCAAAGTGGTCTAAAAGGAAACGTGTGAGATTCCGGAAGTCCGGGATGAGAGGAAAGGGAGCAGTTGGATCTAACCTTGCCGTGATCGACGTGACCAATGGTACCTGTTTAGATGATTGATGAGCATAATTATTGAAGGAAGTCTAGAAATGATAGCCTTACCAATGTTGACGTGAGGCTTGGTACGCTCGAAAGCGGTTGCCAGACCACGGGCAGACATTCTGTCCTTGGTGAAAACATGGTGAACGGGGTTGACAGCACGGGGCCGCAGCAGAGAAGATCTGCTGGTGCGCAGGAGAAGGTTCGCGGTTCTGGAGATGCTCGACATCCTGACGACCCTGCAATGAAATGAAAATACAGAGAAAAAGAAGCCAAAAAAGAGAACGCGATGGAAGGAGAAAAACGGAGCTGAACCTCAGCAGGTCGCGAAGATCTCCAGACACCGAAAATTTTAGGGAGACGCGCTTAGTCATCCGCTGGCCAATCAGCGCTGGGGATTTGCGGAGGCATCTTACGCTGTTGTGGTTGATGTGATAGGTGCTAGGTATTTATCTTGGAAGGATTCTCAAATAATTTTCTGTTAATTCGATTATTTATCGCATCATAGGTGAACCGGCTCGACGACAGATGAAACGCAGGATTGGTTCATGTCCGCTAGAGATCACGCTGGTATAGGTCTCTCCCGAGTCCCGAACTCCCCCGGAATCTGTACAGGATTGTTGCATCAACACAACTTATATCCGAGATATTATGCCAACTAAGATAGTACCTAGATATACAAATATATTCCGAGCCTATTGGAGGTGTACACGCTAAATGCTGCAATATAATACCAGCTTACTCCTTGGGTTCAGGTATCCTTCTTCTTCACCACAACTTTGATAAATTTTCCTAATTCACCCTCCATAGGCTTGACTTGCATGGCATTGGCTGCCTTGGTTGTTTCCATCACAGTGTCCATCACATTCTTGATCTCATCCACCGTAGGAGCTCTTTTGCCCTTCTTTCTAATGAGGACAATTTCCACTCTCCGTCCTTTATCCAAGAAGGTCGTCAGCTGCTTCATGCGGTGCGACAGATCATGAGGATCAATTGCCCAGTTCAATTCGATCTGCTTCACTGAGCTCTTAGCAGCTTGAGCGGCTTTGGTTTTGGCGCGTTCTTGCTCGCGCATGACCTGTCGGTTCACGATTTTGCAAACAGGTGGTCGATCACGAGAACCGGGAGACACTTGGATGATGTAGTGTTCGGGACGTTCGAGAGTCCGTAGAACATCTCTGAGTTTTTCGGGAGCATCCAGGCTGCCTTCCTCGTTCACCAACTGTATGAATTCTGCACGGATCTCCTCATCTCTGATTTGCCTCTGTGCCAGCGGATTTGCTGGTGGCTGACGACGGGATTGATATAATCTCGATTGTGTTTGGTTCTGGATAAGACTGTATCGTAGGAACGGGGTTTGAGAGGTCTGTAGAGGTGGCAGGAATGTCTGGCGAAGAGCCTGTGTTGTTGACACGAGACCACGCATGTGCTTCATCGTGTTGGGAGTGCGGACAGTTTGTATGAAGATGGTATATCTCAGCTAGACAAATGTGATTTATACTCCGTAATGCAGAACGAGAGGAGAACTGAAGTTGCAACAGCGCAGCACCGGTGACGGCCTTGGGGATCTGAGGGGAAATCGACCGCATCCGGGGACATCTGGGCAAACGTACCGCCACAGACCCTCCGGTGCGCCACAGCGGGCTGTAGTTTCAGGTCTCCCCCTTTGGCCTCTTCTTCTCCCTGACTGTGATAATTTGGATTTCCTTTTTTTTCCCCCATCATCCTTCTTCCCCCAGTTTTGTTGTTCCGCCATCCGCTGTCTTTACCGGGCTGGTCCAGGAAGTTCTTGGAGGTTCAATGTTTTGTCTTTTCTTCAATCGTTAATTAATCCCTTCTATTCGAGGCTGTTTCATTTTTGGAGAAACGCCACCTTGTTACCCGTCTAGAACTTTGCTCGCATGTCGACTGGAGTTGTCGGTCGACAAACCCAAGGCAACAAGTCAATTACAGGCTTCAGCGCTCGTATACGCTCTAATTCGCGGGCCACCGAACCCGCAGCGCCACCCTTGAACGGGTCGAGTAGAATCTCGAGTAAACCATCGCGCAGTCCATCGCTCATCACAATGGCACAGACTCAGAAGTCGAGATACTTGAAGACGGGGGCCATCATTGGTTTCCTGTTGATGTTGATGTTTTGGCTTTCTCCGTCGAAGCCTTCGGTCTCTAGCTTTGGAAATGGTAAGTCGCGTGAGCTTTCCGCATAAAGGAGAATATACCCGCTGACCTCAAGTCCAATAGGACAAACATCTTCAGGCGCATCCCCTCTTACGTCCAAATGTTCTAAGTCTTACGACCCATCCAAGCCTTTGATCCAGTACGCGCTCATGATCGATGCCGGAAGCACGGGCTCTCGGATCCATGTGTACAAATTCAACAACTGCGGCCCTACCCCCGAACTTGAGCACGAAGAGTTCCAGCAGACGGAGAAGAAAACAGGTGGCTCTGGCTTGAGTTCCTTCAAGGAGGATGCCGAAGGAGCAGCCAAGAGTCTGGACCCTCTCATGGAGGTGGCTCTCAAGACCGTCCCTGACGAGTACAAGTCTTGCTCGCCGGTCGCTGTAAAGGCTACGGCTGGATTGCGCATGCTTGGACCTGACTTGAGTCGCAACATCCTGGAAGCAGTGAGAACTCGTCTGGAAACCGTTTACCCCTTCCCTGTTGTCTCCAGGGAGAAGGGAGGTATTGAGATCATGGATGGCACTGATGAGGGTGTTTACGCTTGGATCACCACGAACTATCTCCTGGGCAAGATCGGTGGTCCTGACGAGACTCCCACCGCTGCGGTGTTCGACTTGGGTGGTGGCTCGACTCAGATTGTGTTCCAGCCAACCTTTGAGAAGTCTCCTGCTGGCGGCATGCCGCAGAAATTGGCCGAGGGTGATCACAAATACGCTCTCCAGTTTGGTGGACGTTACTTCGAACTTTATCAACACTCCCACCTCGGCTATGGACTTATGGCCGCGCGCGAGGCTATCCACAAGGCTGTCGTTGAGGCTAGGTTGGCCCTGACCCCCAAGGATCTGTCCTGGGTGAAGCAGCCAATTTCCAACCCATGTATCGGACCTGGAATGGAGCGCGATGTGACACTGACTTTTGATGAAACACACGCTCTTGGAAAGGAGGTCACCGTCAAAATGGCTGGACCCAAGGAATCGACTGCGCCTGCGCAGTGCCGAGGTCTGGCTGAGAAAATCTTGAAAAAGGACGCTGACTGCAAGCTGGCCCCGTGCTCCTTCAACGGTGTCCACCAGCCTTCTCTGGCCAAGACGTTTGCAAGGGAAGATGTCTACATCTTCTCCTACTTCTTCGACCGCACGAAGCCTCTGGGCATGCCCGACTCTTTCACCTTGGAGGAGTTGCACCAACTGACTTCCACCGTTTGCGCTGGAGAGTCCAACTGGCAGGTCTTTGAGGGAATCGAGGGCGCTTTGCCTGAGCTGCGCGATCGCCCCGAGTGGTGTTTGGATCTCAACTTCATGGTGGGCTTGTTACACACCGGCTATGAAATGCCTTTGTCTCGCGAGGTCAAGATTGCCAAGAAGATCAAGAACAACGAGCTGGGCTGGTGTCTTGGAGCTAGGTGAGTTCTAACTTATTTCCCTAGACTGACTTTTGAAAGACTGGCACTAATTTGTTTAAACAGCTTGCCTCTTCTGAGCCAGGACTCTGGCTGGACTTGCCGTGTCAAGGAAATCTCATAATGGTGACGCATAGAATTATTATAATGCACGACATGGCTTCTTTTTGCTTTTTCTTATTTTCATGCAAATACATTAGATCATTGACATGTTTACCATTTTGACCGGTGTTTAGACTACTGCTGGTTCACTTTTGTTTTTTTCCCTGTACGGTATGGTTTTGGGTTGAATGTGATTCTTTTCGGACTGAAAAGATTAGATGTTTCGATTATTGTGTGATTACTGTGAAAAATATCAAGAATTCATACTCGAGCTTGGGAGATATTTGCAATATAGAAGCAAAATCGCAGAAAAGCGATTTGATAGAGCATCCAACTGTCATTAGATAGTAGTATAGCGTCACAGTTTTCCCAATTCATGACCAAGATAAAAACAACTTTTATTTCAAGAAAAGACATCCAAAAAACCTTTTAATACCGGGTATATTGCAATCGTATTCAAATGGCCGTCGCCACACTCAGTCGTTGAGCTCCTGAATGGTGGGCTTTTCCGAATCATCCTCCTTCTTTCCCATCAGTTTTCCTAGAACATTCGAGTCCTTGGGCCCTTGAGGCTGCTCTGTCGTAGACTCCTGTGCTGGTTTGTGATCATTGTCCTCATCGCTAGAGACGTCCTCGTCGCCGGAACGCGTTTCTTCCAAAACACCCAGGCCCAGATTCTGTAGAGCGTAACAATTAGCGATGTCAAGTTTGGAGAGAAGAGAAGCGCATACCATCTCAATAACCCGGCCCCGGTCATTCTCGTCGACTTCATCCAGTCTGAGGTCTTTCCCTCTTCCTGCGGCAATCTCTTTTTGTAGTTCCTCGTTGGCATCCTTCATCTTAGGCAAAAAGGCCGATAAACGTCCGAGGATGTCGCTATTCTTTTCGATCCGGTGGATATTTGGTCTTTGCCCGGCTGTTACGCGCGGGAGAGGACCTGCGTGGTTGGAGGCATCGGCCATATCTTCGTCTTGGTCATCCTCTTCTTCTTCTTCTTCGTCGTCGTCGCTATCGCTTTCGCCTTCAGATGAAGTAGATTCGTACGAGGACGAAGAATCGCCATCTTGATTTCTCAAGATTTGTCTGGTGGGTTTCTGAAAATACTTTGCGTTCGACGGATGAGAGGGATCGAGGATATCATCTAGCTCGATACTCGGCATTTTCGAAGCTTCCTTCAGCCGTTTCGCGAGATCCTCCATCTGCGCGGCCTCTTCAGGCGTAAGTTCTGCCTGCTCGTCATCGTCATCGTCGTCGTCGGTGACTTTCGAAGCGCGGGAGACTTTTTTGTCCGCAGGATCACGGGAGCTTATCGGCGGAGTCGCATTGGATGGCGAAGCGGTGCTCGAGTTGATCTGGGATCGCTTCGACGCTGATCCATTATTATCTTCGGGAAATGGCATTTTTCTCTGAAGATCGTCGGTTTGCGGGCGCTTCCTGATGTCGTTCCTATTGCTTGTCATTGGGTTGTCAGGGTTTTCCCTCTAGAGAGCGTTTCGCGGAGGCGGTGGGGACAAAGTGGATTGACTGGATCTGAGGATGTCGGAAAGAGGAGATGCAGAAGACGAAGACATGTGGTTGGGTATGTGGAGGATGTGACGAGGACGAGACAGAGCTGAGGATGGTGATGGCGATGGTGATTGTCCCGATGCTGAGCCAGTCACACTGGAGAAATGCTCGAAAGGCTGGTCGATGACTTCTTGTGACTCCTATTATTATATTACATTGATTAACTCCTGATTACTGCCATTGAGCCCAGATCAGGGCCAGAAACTAGCTATACTATGGCGAGTATAAGCAGCCTACCCCGCTCTATTTTAAGCCATCCCTATCCTCGAATAAATTGAAGCCATTGTCTCCATTTCCGGCCTGCAGCAGACCGGTCTCATGCCGTCCTGAAGAAGCGCCTTGGCTCATGCGAGTTTCTCCTGCAGGTCTGGTCTTTTGCATCTATACAAGCATTCGTCTAAGGTCAGTAGTTTCTATTAGTTTTGCTTTGGATGGATGGCATTGATACTCCTGTGCCACCTGTTGGGTCTATCCCCTCATCCCCTCAATTCCCCTGTTGCATAGGGGTGTACCGAAGACCTGCCATTTCCGTTTAGAATCTTCCCTTCTTGATCTGCTTTTAATAGATGATTATCTTTTGATCTTACTATTGTCTCTAAATTCACTCAGTGGCATGCCTGTCACTTGGCAATAGAAGTAAGTGTCACTGACAATCAACACAGCCACGAGCTTCACTGCCAGTCTTACACCAGCTGGCCTGACAAGGCATACTCCATTCTGGCATGACTTCTATATTAAATAAGACTCGCCCCCATTCATGATTCTCGTTCTCATACTACAACCGCCATCATGACCGTCCCTCAACTCCAGATCAACGACACAACCCCCGTCGTGACCGAAGACAAAGCAGACCAGCCCATCATGTCCACGACTCGAAGATCTCTCCACCAGAATATCTTTGGCAAACTCCGTCCCCTGCCTTTCCAGTATCACTGGGCTGTGTGGTACGAGAAGCATACCGAATCCTCCGATAACAAGCTGTATGTGCTCCACGACGACGTTGCCGATATCGCCACCTTCTACCGGGTCTATAACAACTACCCCTGGGAAAAGATCCGAACTCGAGACACAGTCCATATCTTCCGTCAAGGTGTCAAACCACTCTGGGAAGATCCAGAGAATCAGCAAGGTGGATGTTGGCGATTCCGTGTGCCCAAGAGCAAGGCGCAGGCGTTTTTCCATGAGACTGCCGTTTTGTGTATGGCGAATGAATTCCAGGCTGTTCTAGAGAAAGGTATGTGCCTCCTTATGTTTGATATTAGGTCTTGAAGAATCAGACTCTAATTCATATGCCTACAGAACATGACCATGTCCTTGGTGTCTCTACCTCTGTTCGCTTCAACTCGCATCTCATTTCCGTATGGAACAAACTTGGCTCCAACGACCGGTCTATCAGAGCCCTTGAGCAGACAATCATTTCTCGTCTATCGCCAGAGCTTCGTCCTACGGGAACCAGCGCAACTTCGTATTTCTACAGACGTCATGATGAAAACGAAGGGTACCAAGAGGCTGTTGAGAAGAGTGCGTCTGTTTCTGAGGAGTGACAGGAACATCTCCGGTTGACTTTCTTATTTCCGGTGTCTTGATGTTTTCTTTTTCTTCTGTAATTATTTGTCTTATAGTTGATAGCGTTTAGCATGGCGTATATGTGTTACTCAATTAGTGAATATAGTGGCATCGGATGCTATCATGTATGCTTGCAAAACACATGCAAAGGTACTAAATCACTGGGTAATCAATCATTAATTTTTGTTTCTATCATACAAGTTGACACTTGGAACTAGTATACAGTAGTATTACACTCAGGGACATTCGCACTTCGATACAACAGATCTCCTGTTGACGAAATTACCGACTTCGACTCCTCCGTCGGCTGGGACTTCTCCTTCGCGGCCTTCGATCGTCTTTTTCTTGACTTCGTTCTGCTTCGCGATCCCGGTCCCGGTCCCGCTCTGCACCTGGTATATACCGATCAAATGCCCGTCGGTCTTCACGCTCCGGACGGTCAGAACGGTCGTTGCGTTCGGTGCGTTCAGTACGCTCAGGGCGCTCTGGACGGTCACCGGCGCGGTCCTCCCGCTCTGGGGACCGGACCCGGCGACGTGGTGATCTGCTTCGGTTGCTAGTGGAGGGTACGTAGCGATCAATGTCGAGAAGACTAGGTGAACGTCGACGAGAGCGGGATCGACGACGGGATCTTGACCGTCGTCTCGAGGAAGCACGAGCGTGGGAATTAGAACCTTCTCGCTCGCGGTTGCGGTCTCTATCCCGATCCCTATCCCGCTCTCTGTTTGTGTCCCTGTCCCTGTCCCGATCTCGATCCTGATTTGTGTCCCGGTCTCTATCTCTGTCCCTTTCCCTGTCACGTTCCCGATCCCGGTCTCTGACGCGTGAGTGGTATCGTGCGCGAGAACGGGAGCGGGAGCGAGAATAGAAGCTGCGCCGCCGACGATAGTCATTACGATCTCTGCCTCGGTCTCGATCCCTGTCGCGATCCCTATCCCGGTCTCGGTCCCGATCTCGGCTGCGGTCCCGGGTACGATGGTCATTGTCTCTGTCTCGTCCTATCGAAGATCGTGCACGGTCTCGTGGCCGATCGCTCTCACGATCATGTCGACCAGTAGATCTGCTCCTGCTCCTGCTCCGGCGGCTGGGTCGGTAACTCCTGTCACCAAACCGATCATGACGGAAGTCACGAATTGCGAGTCTGTCATTATCATCACGTTCGCGAGCTCGGTCAGGCTCTTCCCTCGACCGATCCCGTCGACGATCTGCATCAAATCGGGACGTATGTCGTCTGCGTGAGCGGCTGCGGGCCCGTGGTTTGTCGGCCGTCGATTCCCGCCTTTTCTGATGCTGGGGCTCCCGAGGTGGACTTCCAGATTTAACGGAGGTGTTAGAGGCCCTTGATTCACCCGCACTCTTTGCTCGTGGCGCCTGCGGCGGCTTGAGTCCGTTCTCAATGGCCTCTGCTTCTTCGAAATCAAACTCGGGTTTCTGTCGAGCCTTGGCTGCTAATTCTTCACCTTCCTTCAGCAGAAGTTGCAGAGCAGCCTCCTCCAAGGACTTCTCATCCACAGGCGGAGGTGGAGGTGCAGGGGTGGGATCCTTCGGCGTTGGAGATTTCTCTTTCCTTGAATCACGACGGAGCGGGGACAGACCGCGATCTCGGTCACGACCGCGGTCATAGTCTCTATCCCAGTCACGATCTCTCGTTCGACTGCGGTTGCGTTCTCGGTCCCGTTCCCAATCGCGATATCGGTCGCGGTCTTCTCGTCGCCGCCGCTCATATCTCTCTTGGCGTTCCCGCTCCCGTTGGTCATCGAGTGCCCGTTGTTCCTCACGCATTTGCTCCCGCTCTGCACGTCGTTTCTCATCACGTTCTTTCCGCTTGGCCCTTTCCTCTTCGTCTTTTTGGCGTTCAATCTCCCGCCGTTTACGTTTTTCTTCGGCCTTCACCCGCGCTTTCTCCTCATCAATTTCGTTCTGTATGCGCATTTGTTCCTGCCAGGCCTCCTCGCGCACATCGCGTTTAGCTTTAACCTCTGCTGCGAAGTCCTCATCGGTTTTGTTCCCGGCTTTTTCCTCCCTAGAGGCGACCTCATTCCCTGCTTCCTGATAACGAATCTCTCTGACCGATTCCAGAATAAACCCCAAATGATTAGAGGCCAATGCGTCAAGTGAGTTTTCCACAGTCTTGTAGATGTCGCTTCGGTCGACGGCTCCTTCAATCAAGGTCGCAGCTTTTCCTCTTTCACGGGATAGAAGTTCAGGTTCGCGATCGATTTCCGACTCTGCTAGTTCGACCAATAGCTTTGTAAACTCTGCCTTTGGCTCCTGTAGATATAGATCGCAATGAGTAAATGGTTGTAGAAAAAAAAAAAAAGGAGGAATCAAACATACCCCCTCATCGAATTCTGCCCATATTTTCTTCCGCACACTATCGAATCCACCCTTTTTCTTGAATGAATGGAGAAGATCATCGAGGGCCGAATGCTGCGCTGCAGACAGAGGCAGCTCATCGATCTTGAACTTCTTCCGCTGCAGAGTATCAATGTCTATTGAGGGTCTTTTGACGCCAGTGGGCTGCACATCTGACATCTCCTCTGGACCAGCCATGGCGAGAAGCCACAAAATATCAATCAGATCAAACCCCCAAGAAAAGGGTCCGTAGGCATATTAATCATCCAGAGCTGGCCGGGGAAAAGAAATGCTAACCGCGTCGCGCAGGCCATAATGGCGGAAGCCCAGCCGGCGGAACGATGTTCCGTGGGGATTGCGAACTGCCGCTCCGTGATTCGACGGGCCGATCAACCTCATCTCGACTCTGTGCCCGCTGCCACGAGCCCCATTGCGTCGCCGGCCCGAGTTCAGACCTAATTACCTGTTGAATCGCGTTTGCGGTGGTGTCTGAAACGTTTTCCCACCATTTATACCTTGTCCAACGCTCGTCCCGGTCGTTCCTGAGTTCAAACCGCGAAGTCCGCACATAATTCATCATGGTTCACAAAGTCCTCTTCTGGGGTGGCTTCGGTACGTCGATATCGATTTGTTTGAGTAATAGAAAATGAATCTATTGCATCTGTTGCTTTACTCGTTCCGTGGGTCTTTGCTAACCATGTCCTACTGCGCAGGCATTGCTGTCCGACTCTGGCAACTCGGTATCGAAATGCGCCCTATCCTCGCCAAGGAATCCCTCTGGGTGTACCCCCTCTTCGCCGGTGTTGGTGGAAGCTTCGGATACTGGCTCCAGGGAGTTGAAAGCAGACAATTGAAGATCCTCGCTCAGCGCCGGGAAGCCATCTTGGAGAAGCGCCGGAGGAGAGATGAGCGGGGAGTTGCAGAGGCTGCCGCAACAGCATGAAGTGGTTGAAGCTCTATTATGGGGAGTGAGGAGGATATCAGGAATATTCGTCGTTATTGGGTGAAAAGGAAGCCCGATATTCACTTGTACCAAAATCAGAGGTTGATGGTCTGGGGCTTTATACTGCGTCAATGACCACACGGCCTTGAGATGTTTTTTATTTTTTCCTCGATGCGATTGCAAATGCATTTTCAATTTCAAGTGTAACCACAAATCGTCACTTTATTACATTGATAATCCACATTCGTCCAGGGAACCCAATTATCGAGCCATATGACCGGGCATCCATTTGATGCTATTCTTCCGCACCTTCGCCTTAGCTACTTGCTCGCAGCTCTTCGTTTTCTTCTACAAGCCTCTCGTAAACATTCTTGAATATCTCATCGTAGCGGGCAGCAGCTTCCCGGTCATCCCTCACTTCGTGTTGGTCGTAAATTTGCCCCAAATTCAGCGCCCGATGAAAGTGCTGCCGGTCAATTATCGCAGATATAGCTTCCTTCTCCTGGACCGAAGTGCCCCGAAAATGGATCTGCTTCGGCACTCCATGCAACCAGACATGGATACTGCCCCAATCCATCACCTCTGTAGCCAGACGACAGCAACCGTTAACACAGGTGCAGTGGTGGAGGTCAACGTAGAGGTTGGTTAGTTTGAATGCTTGTCGAACAAACGTCATGGTGCGACCCCAGAGATACTCTTTCATATTTTCGATGTGGCGGTTGTGATATTCGTACCAAATAGAATCTTCGTCATCCTCATCCTCATCATCCTCAGTGTCACTGGAATAGGGCTGTCGCAAACCCGGGACGTTGAGATGAGCATGCATTTCCTGCAAGCTGCAGATGGTCTTCTCTTTCGATTCTGACTCGTCTTCGACGGCCACTTCTGTCGAGACCCTGGGCAATACTCCCCCAAGATATTCTGCCATGTAGATGTAGTCACGGCAGTCGAATACAATCTCCAAGTTGCGGATCATCTTCAAGTTTTCAAAGACGCGCGGATACTCTGCACGAGCTGCAACGAGAATGTCGACTTGGACGACAGAGAAGGTGTTTTCGCTCAAGTATATGGGCATAGCCTCCTGATATACTTGCTTAGACGCACGGAGAAGGGTCAACGTAGGGATTCCATGTTTCTCTGTTCGATTGGGATCCGTGACATATTCCATTGAGATAAAAGGTCGGATGAAAACACGGTCCATGACGAGAGCACAGCGGTAAATCTCCTCTCGAATAGGGAGAGGAAGATCGAAGAGAGATGGCATGATTGTAAACAAACGGAAATAAGGCCTGGCAAGACCAGTTGTTTAGACTTGATAGGATGGCTTAAGGGCTGTCATCAGATTAGTCGAAGAGATTGAAGATGAAATAGCACGTGTTGTGCTGAGAATTTAGTGAATGAAAGAGAAGTGGGGAGTGCGTGTTCATCATTCTGTTCACTTATTATTATGGTGATCGATGAGATGTCTTGATTTGTTTTGGCTTGTATTATCACATCCAAGTAACTATAGGACACAGAAGAACATCAAAGATCATGTTCTCAGATTAATATAGGCAGAGAAATCATAATTACATACATTTACATAAATAAAATGCAAATAAATAAAATACTGCAGAAGGGGGTATTCACGTCCGTTCAACGGAAAGTTGCAAAGATACCTCCCACTTTTGACTGCCAGTACCATAGCCTCCACCTAACCGATTTCTAATCAGGCTAGATATTCTTTCGCGAAGACGAACAATATTCTCCTCCGATCCAGACACCCGAAGTTTTAGATTAGCCATGCACAATCCGTAGTGAACTTGCCAAAATCTAGCATCATCGATTCCAAAAACGGCGGGATCAGCTTCAATATCCCGGATCACGTCAGGAACTCCTTGACCGGAGTAGGACATCAGAAGCATTGACCCCAGTGTCTTAACCAACCGGGTTCCAAGCACACACATAGAAATAGCAATGGTTCCAGACAGAAGTGCGTCGAGCCAGCCGTAAAGCTTGATTGATACCAGAGGCAATATCAAGAGAAGAGTAGAACAAGATAGGGTAAGGAAATGTGACGGGTTGCTGAGAACTGACGGCAGCGATTCAATGTATGCAAATTGCATTGCCTTTCCAATACGAGCATGATTCTTCAATCCGATTGCAGAGACCAACGTTGAGGAGACGGCAAGGACGGCAGTGATGTCGACACTGCCCACGGAGACACGATCGTGTGGATGCGAGTGGTGAGGTTCATGGCCCGAGGATTCCAGAAAATGCTGCAGGTTGTGGGAGATGAGGTCCATTCCCATGAAGAGAAGCAGGACACACATCGCGAACCCTGCCAGGACCTCGGCACGTTCCAGCCCAAAAGGATGCCGAATGCTAGACCTTTTCCATACCTCAAAATTACCCAGAACATCCACCGCCACGCAAAGCAGTGCCCCGAGGGAATCAAACAAGATAAGGTGAGACAACGCCGTCATGGCCAGAGATCCATGGGCACTCCAGAGTGTGTACGCAGCCACGAACATGTGACAAACACTCCACCAGAACCGTGTCTTTTGTTCTTTTGACATGCTAGTCCGATATTCTTTCAAGGTTGGTATAGGCAATGAATTTGGTAGGGCTAGAGGTGCTCTCGGGGGAGGCTCAAGGAAGATCTGATGTGATATACTGCTATGTTTGTATTTATGTCCGCGACGTTGACCAATATTCTGATTTCGATTTCACAAAAGTTAATTGAGTTCACAAAGCAGTCTACTCAAGCCTTGCCACACTTACCGACTTCACGACTGGACTCTTAGCCATGCTTGTCGTTTGGAAATTGAATGGCCCCGACGAGCCATGATCGCTCGAGCCATGCTGAGCAGCGCTGTCTGTGGGACTCGTGCTGAAAGATGACTTGGTTGGACTCAGGCGATCACGGATTTCTGCATCTCTAGGGCTTCTTGGGGGGAAAGTGTCTACCAATGGCGACAGGGAGTCTTTGTTGGCGGAAGCAGCATCAACGGACAGGCGATCATGAGTAGGCACGCGGTTCGTAGTAGGATCATCATCCGGGGGCGGAGTGGGAGTGCGCGGAGGAATAGGGATGGGGAGATTCGACGCCATTGCACCGGGGGAAGAAGAGAAAATAGGCTCTTCTCCGACGATGTGACGGTGGTGGAGCCGATAAGTGGTTCAAAGTGGAAATGAAAAAATAATCATAACCTGAATGAAAGAAAGGATGGGCGTCGATGGAGGTTGGGAATCGATAAGGAGAGGCGGAAAGCGGGGACTTGGCCTCAGGCCTCGACTCGCTCGTCGCATCATTGACTGCGGCGTCGCCACCACTTCACCTTCTTTATTACTCCTCCATCCTGCTCGCCATTTCTTCGATACAACCTTGTATAATTTTTTCCTTGTTTTTTAATACCCTGGCCCCTTTCTCCGTGACGGGCTGGAAATGCGATGCCCATAGCTTTGACTGTTGTGATCTGAGGAGACTTGACCTCCGATGTCCATATCGGTTTGGTGTCGATGGATAACCGCGGCTCTTTCTTCTTCCTCTTGATCGTCTTTTATCTTCTTCTCAGCTCACAGAGCCGGCCTCCACTAGTCGATCAGAGCCGGGAACATCAGCGAGAGGTTGATGGGGAACGAAATGCGCTTCGCCGTCTAAATGAGTCGAAATATGGGGATCTCAACCCCCAGGCTGGCCGATGGCTTCCCTTTGCGGGTGTAAGGGAAAACGATAGCTATGCATGGGATCTCCTGCCGCAAGCTCAGGATATGGCGCGTCATCAGATCCAATCTGTCATCTCGAATTCTGGACTGGAACCATCCACGAATTTAGCTCCCAATCTAACCCAGATGCTCCTCCCCGTCTATCGCAATGTGACGGGAAAGCTACGCGGTGACTGGGTGCGGCATAAGCAGGACAGAGCTCCCCCTCAACTTAATATGACGGCGATTGCTCTGGAAAACGAATATTTCACCCACGAATTCAGTTCAAATGTTACCGGCAATAGTGGCACTTTCTACCTGGATTTAAGGGAAGGTGGGGGTGAAGAGCTCCGTTTAGGTGACGGTCAGATTCGGGAGATCAGGGCAAGCTTAGCCGTTGAAAGTGATGACTTTTGGGGGAACACATGGTATCTCAGCTTGGTCGGTCTTCATTTCCCGGAGACCGGGGGAATTATTCTTAGTACGACGAGTGAGAAATTCGAGGGATTGTTTTCATTGCCTCATTTCGCGCTTTCACAAGATTCCTACGAACTGGCCCACCAGCTTCTAATCAAGTCACTTTCCGATACAATGTCTGAAAAGAGCCATCAGCCCACACTTTTCCCATGGTCTTCAATCATTGGAACCGAGCAAGTCGAATTCCCCGCTCCAAAATGCGAGCACATCGTTTATCTACAACAGCATCCAGTAGCAATCAATGACTATTTGGCCGACCCACCTGTCATTGAGGAGATTGAGAAGGAACTCAGGTACCCCATAGGAGCACCAATCCCACCACCTCCACCTACGGTCATGTCGGCAGTGGTGTTTTCTCCTGATTGTGGGTATATCCTGGAGACAAAGAGCACTCCTGATTATCCGCCTTCCGAAACGTTATATCTGTCGGGTCCAAAGCTGGAGGAACTTGCCAAATATTCTGCTCGCCTGGTTCTTATGGTTTGCTGTATTTTTGTGACGCAAATAACACTGCTCTTGCGCCAAATTAAAGAAGCCTCCACACCCTCTACGAGGAGTCGCGTCAGCTTCTATACAATTGCCATAATGGCATTTGGAGATGCGTTTGTGCTTGTCTTCATTCTCCTAGAACTTTACCCAGCAGTGTCTTTCCTTCTTATGTCGACTGTCTCATTCCTCACTTTTCTTTCAGTCAGCTATATTGGAATGAAGTTTATGATGGAAATATGGGCAGTCCAAGAACCTGAGCGGCAAGACCGTCGCCCCAGCCCGCCAATTTCGATTGCACGTCCGACAACGCTGCCTTTACCTGCGACTGCGGCAAGACCAGGAGACACTGGCGCACCGCCTGTCATTCTAACTCCTGATCAAGACCCCCCTGATGACGAAAACGAGACACCTGCAAACCAGGCTACTGCACCGGCTGTTAGAGACCCTCGCGGTGATGTCGGAGCCATGTATGCGCGATTCTATTTCATTCTATTTGTCATGCTTATTGTCACGATCTGGTCTTTTATCTGGCCAAACCGTCTAAAAACATTGTACGCTCGGTGTCTCGGGTTTATCTACCTTTCATTTTGGTCACCACAGATCTACCGCAACGTCATCCGGAATTGCCGCAAAGCCCTGCGGTGGGATTTCATGGTCGGTCAGAGTATAGTTCGGTTGTTCCCGTTCGTGTACCTCCTGACTGTACGTGGCAATGTACTCTTTATTCGCCCTGACTCGACAACCGCTTTCGTTATGGCAGCCTGGGTTTGGATCCAAGTCTGGATCTTGGCTAGCCAAGACATCCTTGGCCCGCGCTTCTTCGTCCCTCGAGGCTGGGCGCCACCGGCTTATGATTATCATCCTATCCTGCGCGAGAATGCTGGGACAGATGAGGATCTTGAGTCTGGCGGCATGTTGCCCATTGGGGCTCTCCGGGCTGATGAAAGAGATGTTGCCAGCGAGAGCAAAGAACAGGATAAACATCGACCCAAGGACAAGAAAAAGGCCGTTTTTGATTGTGCGATTTGCATGCAAGAGATGGAGGTCCCCATCCTCGCGGCACTGGGCGCGGCTGGGGGCAGTAGCGTGGCTGATGGGGCCTCGAGCATCCTAAGTCGTCGTACATACATGGTCACTCCTTGTCGGCATATATTCCACAGCACCTGTCTTGAAAGCTGGATGAGGCTGCGATTGCAGTGTCCTATCTGTCGTGAATCTATCCCTCCTGTATAGAGCATGAAGATAAATATGTAATGCTAGTGCAGTTATGCATGAAATGATAAATACTGTTGCCCTCTATACCGGGGAATGGATCTGGCTTTGATATTTGTTACCATTTGTACAGATCCCTTGCTAGCATGGCTGGTCGAGAGCTTTGTCATATCTTGGCATTAGGGTTAAGGCATGGTGAGCATTCTTGGTAAACATTGGTAGACATCATCATTTGTATATAGAATAGACCAGTCCTGTTGAATAGAAGGCCTCACCGTTGACGGTTTCACGTAACTCTAAAGATTTTCGTTGAAGGAGATAGATAGTTAAACCTCCGTTGGACAAAACAAGAACACCCCAAGCCAAAAGAAAAAGCAAATCACTTCATTTTTATAACACATTCATATGATCCTCATACAGGTAATCTATTCCGCATCGATGGTCTCCTTGTAGGCCTCGACATTTAGCAAGCCCTCCAGCTCGGCACTGTCGTTGACCTCGATCTCGGCGATCCAGGCATCACCCTCGGGGTCCTCGTTGATGAACTTGGCCTTGTCCTCCAGAATGCTGTTACCCTGGATGACCTTTCCGGCCACGGGAGAGAGGACGTCGGAGGCCGACTTGACTGATTCCACGGCTCCGACGGGCTCGCCTGCGCCGACCTCCAATTCGGCGGCGGGAAGCTCGACGAAGACGACGTCACCAAGAGAGTGGGCGGCATATTCTGTGATACCGATCTTGGCTGTAGGAAATCATTGTCAGAATGTCACTATTCCCACCCCACTGACTGGCGTCAAGATAACGCAATGTAACTAACCGGTCTTGCCGTTATCAGCGAGCTCGATCCATTCATGCGATTCAGTATATTTCTTCACCTGCCCTATATTTTGATAATTATTAGCAACAATTTTATACAATAAAGCAGTCTCAATGCTATTCAGGAGCATTCTGGGTGGGAATTGGGCAAAATCGTACAGAAAGGGCTCTGCGAGAAGCTCCGGACACTTCCCCGCGGGAAACCCAAAGCGGGCGAGATTCTGCTCGCGCAAGAAGCAAGAGGGAGCTTCTGGGAGAGAACTCGAGAAGCAAAGGGACGGACGGTTCTGGCGACAGCAGACATTTTGAATTGGAGGTTTTGGAAAGGTGGAAGAGAGGAGAATTGCAAGTGGGAAGAGGTGTAAGGAAGAAAGAGGATGGGAAGATGGAGAACCCGCGGAGGGAGCTTCCCGATGATGATATAGTGCCAAGGCTACTGATAAGCGGCATCACGTTTGGCCGCTGTCGGAAAGCAGAGCAAGGCGAAAATCTCAACCCATCCGCGTCGATTTCCCCGAGGACCACACCGCCCAAATGTTGTACGAGCTGATTGCAATTGTATGTTTTGAGCCATCTGCTGCTCGTCATTAATGTGATTGAGAAAAAACTAATCCTCCCTAGGTCCGCCCGGGCAGCCTTCACGAGGTCCGAGAGTGCGTTCCCCCCTCGCAGAGTCCCCTTTCTCCACGACGACCTTATCCGATACGAAAACACTGCATCTTCATGAGAAAGTGCTTGGAAGAAGATAGAGCTAATTGATATATTGCAGAATTGCCCGCAATGCGGGAGTTCAAGTCCTCCGGTCTGGCGGCGTAGTCCGCGGTTATACCAACTGGGGCACCTTCCGTTTGCCCAAGCCTACCACAAAACACCAGGCCAGATATACCGAAGGACAACACTTCATCATGCGCTTCGATGCGGCGGGACCGGTGCAGAGCGCAGTCCGAAGAACCCTGGGCCTCGACCCTCGAATGATCCGTTTCTCGGTCGTGAAACTCGGTGACAAACTTGAAGAAATCAAGGATGTGGAAGGCAAAGTCGAGTGGAACAACGTCCGCAATCTTTCTGAATCGATCTAATGATTATGGCGAGTGGATTACGACCATGGTGACATTGGATGGGAGAGAATGAGCGTTGTTTTGATCTTTGGGATTTGTATTCTGGCATTGACTGTATTATGGGAACCGGGTAATTATCATCATACTGTATTATCATATCAGCATCACAGGCGTATATAGATTGTATTTCGCTTTGCGGGATTTCTAATCCTCTATCCTTTCCCCTTTGTGATGATTTCTCTGATGTCAATGTGTTTTTTACACGTGACCTTATTCCGGGGTAGCATTAACTGAACGCAACGACAGGTCCTCGCTATTTTCTGGATCATTGCAATATTGTGCCTCGATACAAACTACTATCATGTGCTAGCTTTCTATTCTACTAGTCTATTCCAATTGCCTAAGACTACCCCGGGATATGTTGATCGCAAAATGTATCAACATTGATGAACAACACCTCCGCTCCGATAAGCCGAGGTCCCCTATCCATTAGTTCGGTTAAGATGACATCTCATTCCATCTTGAATACTATCACCGCGTCCATTCTCTATCATTGAAATTCTTATAGCCCATGTTGTTTGCAAGGATAGAAGACAATTGCATAACTTACATACTGAATTACGAGCGCTGTCTTGATATCGATCCCCTCTTACTGAAACCCCGTCTATAAGAACCAGTGTCAGTGATTGACTATCTCCACCAACCCATTGAACCTTCTAACGACCTTTGTATAGACAGAATAAGAAGACCTGTCTATTGATTACACCGTTATATTGGTCAATCTATCAGCCAGCATTTTTGATCATGTCTTCCGAAGCTAAACATGAGGCACAAGAACTACGCTCTGTGTCATCATTTGTTGAGTTGATGGCTCTTGAACGACTTGAAGACGCGACTAGCTCGCACAGCTCCACTGAAGAGACGGAGAAGGTCGAACGGTTCCGTTCCTTGGCTGCTCCTTTTCCCCCTGGAGAGGGTGATAGGGCTTTCGGTGGACACGTATACGCACAGTCTGCTTATGCGGCCTCTAAGACGGTAGGAAAGGGTTTTTTGATCCATGTGAGCTCACTCATGACAGTCAATTACAAGTTTGACACTGACCCAAACAGGATATGACCGGTACATTCATTCTAGGGGGTCTTCTGGATGTCCCATACGTGTTCTCTGTCCGCCATATCCGAGATGGAGGAATGTATTGTACGCGAGCTGTTGACGCACGGCAAAATGGGAAGATATGTTTCTCGTGCTTGTGTTCGTTCAAACGTGACGAGAACCAACAGACATTCAACCATCAACCATTGCCCGCCCAAGAGCGATTCAAGTCAATCCTGGACGGAAAACGCCCAGAGGATCATCTTCCTAGTCCAGGTGTGGATTCAGACTTGTGGATCCAACATATTCAACAAGGGGACATTGAAGAACGCGAATTCCCCGGTCTTGATGCGAGAAAAGTAGACATGAAGGATTATAATGACTCAGAGGATGTGAAACGGAATCCAGAAAAGTATCGCCAGCTGGCACTTTACTCCCTCAAGGGATCTCTGGAAGAAATTTCTACCATGCCCAAAAGCAAGCAGGATCTCAAGAACAGAGACCAATCTGGTGAATTCGACAATCTATACGCCTGCGCACATATGTACGCCTGTGACAAGAACTCTCTCTTGCTGATACCGCGGGCGTTGGGCCACAAGCACTGGTCTGCAATGGCAAGTCTGACCTTAACCGTGATCTTTCACCAACACGGTGATGCCTTGAGAATGATCGACTGGGATGCAGCGTCAAAAGAAAATGGTGAAGAATTACCTAAAAAATGGTTCGTCCAGGAGGGCTGGACGCCTCGGTCAGGAGAGAATAGAGCCGTTCACGAAAGTTACCTATTCAGTCCTGATGGTACATTGCTAGCGACCTCATTGCAGGATAGTATGCTCCGACTCAGAAAGCTTGGCCGTGGAGGTAAGCTATAAGCATGATGGGGCACATTTAGTATATAGACGACCCGAATTCTGGCAAAACCGTGGCCGGTGTCGATTACCATGAGCTCAAGTATTATCCTAATAAATAGACCATTTTCGATACAGTGATCATTACCTGTCATATCGCTAGCATAATAATAGCCTGAGCAAAGCTTACAAGTAGTCGACTAGACATCCAGTCGAAATGATTTGTATGAGATCACGTGGGTGTTTAGCGATGATGTAAACCCAGTCTGGCCGCAACGTCTGAATTCATCCAAAGCTGATTCTTCTATCTGTCAGTTTTCACATAGAAAATGTCACATACACATCAGTCCTCTATGGCACAATGAAGAAGACACTTTTGATCGTGTTTATTCACGGTTTCAAGGTAAGCTTTCCCGTTGTCTCGTCAGCGACCTACCCCACAGAAGTCCCCGTATCTATCACGCACGTGTCGACAAGTTGACCGTGGGATGGCAAGAACCCGACTAACAAATTATCTTTTTCTCGTAGGGAGATGATGATACGTTTGAAAATTTTCCACAGCATCTACGTGCACTGGCTAGCCGTGCCTTACCTGCTATCAAGGTGACGACGGCAGTCTATCCGAAGTACGAGACTCGGGGGGATCTGAAAGAATGCGTTGGTAGATTCAGAGAATGGTACGTTTCCTTTCATTATAAGCTTTTCATTAGTTGCAGCAAATTTCGTTTTCAGTGCTAATTGTATTCGCATATAGGCTGCAGAATCAGGTCATTGATTTAGAGGTTGCAAACCGAACAGCCTCCCCGACTGTCGATCCTTCCGTCCATGTGATACTTGTCGGTCATTCGATGGGTGGAATAGTAGCAGCTGAAATGCTTCTCCTACTGGCAGATGAACAGCCGATTCCCCCTAAAACTTCTCCAGATATTCTAACTGGTCAAGAAACAACCGGTTCTCTGACGGATTCGGGAACGGCGGACAACTCGCGGATCGTAGAACCCGGTGCATTCATGTTTCCTCATATTCAAGGAGTGCTTGCTTTCGATACGCCATTTTTGGGAATAGCCCCGGGAGTTGTATCATATGGTGCTGAAGGGCATTATAATAATGCCGCAACGGCGTATAATGCAGTTTCGGAAGTAGCTGGTCTTTTTGGATTTGGAGGAAGCAATACCCAGGGCTCAAAGCAGCAAAAGGAACCAAGCAAATCTCTACCCCCGGCACCAACTCCTGAGGCCGCCCCCGCTACGGATGCTGCTGCAACGCCGTCCTGGCAAAGATGGGGGCGATATGCCATGTTTGCGGGTGCGGCAGGTGCCATGGCTGCAGGCGGAGCAGCAGCAATGTATACTCAACGCCATCGTATCACGGATGGATGGGGATGGGTATCTTCTCATCTAGTTTTTGTCGGGTGCTTGGCACGCTCCTCGGAGTTGCGACAGCGCCTGGCTCTTTTGGCGAAGGTTCACCAAGATCGAGACATCCGCTGCACAAACTTCTACACGTGTTTGGGAAATGGGGCATCGTCACTGGTTGAAAATACAAACCAAGGAAAGACGTTGCTAAGCCAGAAGATCATACGATCGAAACATCGAACTTTCTGTTCTCTCCCTACCGAGGTGGAAAATCAAGAGCCGATAAGCTCCTCGGAACCAGGACTTCGATGGACTAAGGCCGTGAACGACAAGGTAGGAGATGAGGTGAGCGCGCACACCAGTATGTTCCTGCCAAGCCAGAACCCTGCGTTCGATGAGCTTGCCACCGAGGCATGCAGGGTGCTGGTGAATTCAATCGACAAGGGCTGGTATAGCAATGCCACAGGACCAATTGAAGAGGTGGACGAAACACCAAATACCGAGAAGAGTGGTACTCAGCCAAATGCAGATAGTGGTTTTATGGACGGGGATGATGTTGTGGTTGTGGAATAGGATTCAACGATGGGTCGCCTCGTTCTATATTAAACCTTTCGGGTCTATTTTGACAGAATGCCAAATTTCCGGCAACCAAGTTCCCTGGCGACTCGAGTCACAAACTCGCGTCGAGATGTATGAATTGACACAAGACTGGATTCATACTCGCCACTTTACTTGCGTGCTGCCGGAAGCCTCCAGAGTACTTGATGGAAATGATATCCTCAAGAGCTATCCTGCTGTGAGCGGACAAGGAATTGGATTACTTTGGTTAAACAACCAATAGACTATTATCTATTGGTTGCCATTCTTATCTTTGCCATTCTCGTGTTAAATGAACTACATCATTGGATTTATTCGTGTATGCTAGTGAGGCTGTGTCCCCCCAGGACAACTAGAATGTTTACTGTTCGCCCGCTTAGACTAATGGATTAGCGCTGACAATCCCACCTCCACATTCTTAGTAGTCGATCTCATAACTAGATAAAACCTCACGGATCAAAAAAAAAAAAAAAAAAAAAAAAAAAAAAAAAAAAAACATTGTCAATTAGACAAACTACTCCTGATATATATACCTCTTGTACTCCTCTGTACCTCCAAAATTATCTCTACCCTTGACCAGAAAAATGCCCGTGAAACATAAAGGCGTTCTTATATTCTGCTTTCTGTTATATATTTTACTACATATTGTCCATAGCCACATCATGCTCGAGACCGATTTACCCCTCCCAGTCAACATCCTCGCCCATGCTGCCATGGGGGCCATTTGGATACAGACATATTTATCCTTGACGGGCGAGACGACTCTCCATCCGATTATTAATCTTGGGGTTACAATGACGACACCTTTTATCGCGACGTATTTGTATAGAGTCTTTTTATATGATGGTTCACGTGGGAGATCTTGTTGATGGTAGTGTGTTGCTTTGCTGGAATGAATGGGATTTTACTGCAGATATGATATATTCGCTAGACTCTCTGCATCCATCCGATCGATGAAATTGCTTTCGATTCTATGTCGATTACGCTGTATAACCACTCGTTCGATGACTCTTCGCCTGGCATCTGCCGGCTTCAGGCAGAAATGCTGCCTGAGGCAAAAAGAAAATAAGCGAGACCGCCACGCTAGCCACTAGTGGCGCACGTGCCACTTACCCTCGAATATAAATACTGTGTCGCGCCCGCATCCTTTGGGAGTTTTTTTCTTTTCTTTTCCAGCTCTCTTTGCCTTTTGGCTTAGATCAAGTGTAGTATCTGTTCTTTTCAGTTTAATCTCTGAAAGTGTTCTAAGGAACACAACATTGATTAATCTCATTTTTGGATCCCGTGGCAGGGCCTCTGTGCTTGCGCATGTCTTGCTACACAGTGTCATTGGGCTTACACTATCCCCAATAGACGCGAACTCACTTTTTCATCAATTTGGTCGGCAATGCCGGCTGCTTGGAGAAGAAGTTTTATTCTTTAGCTATAGAAATAAAAGGTTAAGCTGTAGCAGTGGGAATCTATAGTTCAGCCCGATATTCCTCCCCTGGTGGCAGTGGCACGTAGCCATACAGATTCATCGTCGCCGCGTCTTTCTGCATCTTCTGCATCCATTCTCCCAAGTGCTTCTGGAAATACTCGACGTTCTTCTCGTCGCTCAGATCAATTGGTTGCTCGTCCTTGCCCACCTGTTTCATCTGTGTTCCTGCCGCTGCGCTGGTGATGCCAAAGTCCTGCTGGTTGATCTTTTGATCAATTGCCCCCGTCACCTTGCCACTTAGAATATCCCGGGGAAGATGGAACTCCTGACAAGCTGGCCGGGCCAGTCCAACGCCATCCACTGTGTCCAATGCACTGACCATTCCTGATGCTGTTCTCAGCCCACCTGTCACGTAACTCTTGGTCTTGCTCAGCACAGGAGTGATGAGGGAGGCGAACTCCAAGAAGAACGACTCTCGGTACTTGGTAGACTCCCTCTTATGGCTGAATGCGAGGGACTCGTACGTTCCGCCTGAGAGCTCCACAAAGTCGAACTCATTCTGTTCTAGGATCGCACATAGTCCTCGGGCTTCTTCGGCAGAGAACCCGCCAGCCTGGAACTCGACCGAGTTCATTTTGATGCCTAGGATAAACCCCGTCGATGCAGGGAGTTCTCGTCGGATCGACTGAGCAATCTCCACGATGAGCCGCGCCCGGTTCTCAAGACTCCCACCGTATTCATCAGTCCGTTTGTTGGTGGTCTGCGAGAGGAACTGTGCGAGGAGGTATCCATGTGCCCCATGGAGCTGGATGCCATCGTACCCGGCTTTGTGCAGATACACAGCAGCGTGCGTCTACCGCCGGATGAAGTCCTGGATTTCATCCTTGGATGCAGCATGTGGTTTGGCGAATTTCATACCTATAACCTCCCCTGTGAGCTGGACGTCACTCGCTGACACCGGGTCCTTCTGTAGTCGTTGCTCCGTCTGTCGGCCAGGATGGCTCACCTGCCCAATCACCAGACTGCCTTGTTTCTTAGCTGCAGCGGCCAAGGCGGCGAATGCGTCGAACCGTTCCCCGTGGGGAGGATTTTCCAAATCGATAACAGGGTTCCCGGGGGCTTCGAGCTGATCGTACGCTATCATGATGTTGCCCGTGGAGATGAGGCCGTATCCACCTTCGCCCCAGCGTTTATAGACGTTGATGAGCTCGGGGCTGGGAACTCCACGAGCCTTCAGGTCGGTCGGGGACCAGGAAGATAGACGCTCCGTCATGGCAGCTTTGTAGAAGCGGTTTGAGGCTGTTCGCTGGCTGAAGTTGAAGTTGAGCGGTTGGGCGAGTGGGGAGACGTCCACCGCGTCGCTGGAATATCTGGAAGTCATTTTGATGGTCAATTGCGATGATTGATAGAATTAAGGTGGAAATTGCACAAGAGAGGTGCATTGGTCTTTATATCATGGAGTATTTCTCCACTATTCAGCGGTGATTTCTAATAAACTTGAGCTCATCCTGTTCGTACGAAGAATGATGTCATATATTGGTATGATTTTACCTTTGCAAAGAGACTCGTTCAGTTGATTTGCCAGTGAGCTAATTCCTAAATTTTATTCTACAACTCTATGGATAATTCTCCCAACGTCCCTCACAGCTCCTCAGTAGATCTTTCAACCGTCTCCATCTCCGAAACCGCTTCTCGAGCCTTCACCCTCGTCTCCTCCTTCAACCCCTCACACTCCCCAAACTCTGCAAACCGACTCTTCCACAACGCCCATCTCTCCTTACTAAACGCCTTCTTGCCCGGTCCCTTGATTAACGGACCGTGATAGTCTCCTCCCGGCGCCTCGCCTCTCCGATACAGCACCGCACCAGCATGGACGATCCACTCCACCGCCACCGCAACATGTATGTCCACCTCTGGGTCTGCAGTGGGATCGGTGATGATATTCCGTAACCGCCCTTTTCCGCTGTCATACCGGCCTTCTAGGGCGTCTGACAAAGCCCAGATGCAGTAGCTGTCGTTGGGAATAAGGTTAATTCCTAGTAATCGGGCCGCGTAGCTGGTTAGGTTGAGGAATCGGGTGTTTTTGGTTGTTTTGTCGAGGGGTTTGTCGTTGTCACTCTGTTTGGTTGGTTAGGATTTATTGTATAGAGAGTAGATGGGATCATGGGTGGTGGCGGTATCTCACAAAATAAGCATCGCTGAACGTCTCCCCGAAAAGAGGCAAATCCTTCCATAGCTCATAATCACCCCATTGCGACAGATGAACTGATCGAGAAGGAAGTTCTCGCAGTGCCTTGACAAGATCGACTAACCTCCCCTGTGCCGGATGAGTATGAGGGATCTGTTTGGCGATGGCGTGGAAAGGCTCGAAGAAGTAATAGACAAAGACATCGCCGGATTCCTTGTCTTTCTCTTCTCGCCGTTTGTCTGGGTGAAGATTATCGAGGGCGATAGCTGCGGTTTCTGGAGTAGTGGTGTTGGTAGGTTGGAGGTATTCAGCGAGGATGGGGAGGAAGTGGCTTTGGATGGAGATGGGCTCGTCTTCGAGAGTGAGGTGGAGGGAATCCATTTTTGCATATGAAGGTTATTATCTGGATCTGTCAACTGACTCTCTAGCATATTGGAAGATCATGACACCTTTTCTTTTTGTTTTTTTAGGAATCTTTGAATCTGACGTCATCTTATAAAATATAAGCAGCATATATGAATCTGTATGAATCTGGTTATAGCATTTCAGCACCCCCATTTGTATAGAATTAACTTAGATTAGACTTGATTCTCAGAGCCAAAAGGGATATAATTATAGCCAATCCTGCGTCTCTGGACTTCAAAATGCAAGGTTCATAGACTGCAGTCGCCTCGATCTAGGGGTTTATTGTCTTGGTTCTTCTGTCTGTCTGACAGAAAAAGCGCTCCCTTGCGGCTCTCGATAGACGCTCAGAAGGACCACAAATAGATAAAGCCGTAGATAGATAAGATCCTTTGCTGGTCTGAGAATGTCATCATCAAATTATCTCAAAATGCATATATCTCTGGCAATATTCATCTCCCTCTTCCCTCTCGTCTTCTCTCAAGCTCCTGACCCCTTTGCTACTTCTGTGCCATCCTCTCAATGTGATACTTCAAATCTTGTCTGCTGCCATGATTCTATCAATCTGAATACGTTGACTCCCGAGGCTGTCGAGACTGTCATGGCGCAACTAGAAGCAAGACAGATTCAAACTGGTGGTCTAAAAGGGACTATTGCATTTGGCTGTATGCTTATATTCTCTCTCGATGTAGAAAACAGCCACTGATCTTGATAGGCTATATAGAAAACCAGGGCAGCTTGTGTGATGAAAAACGACTTGAGACGTTGTGCTGCACGGGAGAGACTCAGTTGGTATGTTTTTCTGCCTCTGCAAGGACGGTCTGACAAGTATAGAATGGGAAATTCCAGTCAGAATGCACTCTGGTCAAGGGGTTTGAATAGTGATAGGATATATTATGTTGATATGATAGAATGATTAACCGAGACTTCGATTATTAGTCCCAAACGATGACTGTAGCGTTATTTAGTGAGAATGTAGATGTGCATCAGACAGTGAGATATTTTCTGAGCTATAGATAGACGGATCGAGTTGCATTTGATTGATTTCTCTGTATCTGTATATCACTGGTTAGAATCAAATGCGACATTATGCCCAGAACAGAATTAATATCAGGAAAAAAGAACCTCAATCATGGATGAATGATACGAATTTGACACAGATATTAATATCCAGCTTCGTATCACCGCCTGATAAGACTCCACAAGCTTATTGTGGTTCGGGCATTGCCGACCAGTGCCACCACCACCGCCGCCAAACCAAGCACCACAGCCGAGATTGCCCAGAGACTAAGATAGCCAGCCGTGGGGAATGGCTTCGAGACAAAGGCTTCGCCTGCCTCGGCCCACGCCGTGTATGCAGATTACAGATCGTGATTGGCTGTCGCTCGTGTTGTCGTTATCAGTACCCGCGGTGGTGCCATTTCCCGCCATCAATCAAACTCAGCTCTCCCAAACTACTCGCCATCCCCGTCGTAGATTAAAGCAATGCGATTATTATCAAGTTATCCCCTGATTTCGACGTAGCAATCCATATTAGTCCCCCGTTCATAGCCGCGGTATCTATAATGATAGGGCTGCCATTCGACGGTCACACAAAGGTCTGAGCGTACGTGGGACAATGAAAAAAGCCAATCAACCACGAGGGTTTCTCTTTCAACAGTTGGCTTTATCCTCGAGACATGCCTATCGATCCTTTGGACGGAAAAGGCCCGGAGCTCCTACGGGGTATCCTCGTGTTTGTTTGCAATTTCCACCCTGTTTTCGGAAGGTCAAGGCACGGCACAGTTGGTGTCTGACTGCCCCCCGGAGATCGACAGTTTCGGTTTAGACCAGATGGCGTGCAAATAGCGGAAGCAATAAGATGGAATTTTGCCAAAGTACTGTTGGAACTTGGCAGTGCATAGCTGGCAGTATGGGACTCGACGCACTGGAAGACCCAAACAGGCCATCAGTAAACCGATCACACAAAAACTGGGGAGGATGGTAACTCAATTTCCATGTAACCATAATGTCTGAGCTTCAGATCGGCTCCACCGAAGATGGAAATTGCATCGTCATGGCAAGCCGTTCACATGGCAATTGATAGAGGGACTGCCCACCGTCCAGACTCTTCCATAACGTCTCGTTTGTAGACGCAACAGGTAAATGGAGAGCCTTCCAGTCTTCTAGACGAACGCTAGAAACCCACTGGGCTATGTATCTGAAAGGATCCTGCAAGAAAATGCCCTTGTCGCCGCCATTTTTCCCTGTCTGTACATAATCTCCGGGCCTAAAGCGTCGCGTTATCTTAGTCCTGGTGGCCACTCAAGCTATCAGCCATCTCCACTTTGACCTCTTACCTTGCAATACAATTAATTGATATTCATTTGGCTAGACTAGCGTCTGCGCCGTTGGAATGGCGAAAAGTGGGCTCGGATTTTGATAGAGAGGTGCAGTGAATGACGGCCCTGCAGCTGGTGCGACGAGGTTGCAGCGTTTCCCTTTCTGGCCAGTTCGTCTTTTTCCATCCAGGCTTGCCCCTCATCCTCGACCTTTTTTGAACCTCTTGTTCCCTGGTATTTATTCCTGTCCCTGTGTCTCGCCCGTTTCCAACCTGACATCCTTTCCCCACACGATCATCCCTCTGGCTTTCCCTTTTCTCTCTTCCCCTCTGCATCATCTTTCTCTCTCTCGCATACCATATTCTTTTGCACCCTCTACGGCTATTGGGGTTCGTCCACTCATTCTCAGTAATGAGTGATCCGGTAGAGCCAACAGACCTGGTCTACGTGGCTCAGGCTCATGCTCCCCAGATCACGGCAGAGACCCCCGCCAAAGAGAAGGCCATCGATGAGAAGACTGTCGACGATAAGAATGAAGACAAAGACGTCGCAGTGGTTTCCTCCTCCCTGCCTTCCTTCTACGAGGATGGTCGCGAGCGTCCTACCGAGTTAGAAGAGCGCACTCTCCGTCGTGTTTCTGGCAAGATCCCCTGGGTTGCGTACTCGATTGCCTTTGTCGAGCTCTGCGAGCGATTCTCCTACTACGGAACTACAGCTGTCTGTATGTGCTGCTATCCCCCCCTAAGGAATTGATAACAAACTGACTCTATTAGTCGCCAACTTCATCCAACAGCCTCGTCCGGATGGCTCGTCCACTGGTGCCGGCTACGGTGGTCAATCTGGAGCGCTGGGAATGGGTCAGAGAGCGTCCACCGGCTTGATTACCTGTATGTTTTCCACTCAAATCCGTTATAAACCATAACTGATGTCTTTCTCTCAGTCAATACGTTCTGGTGCTACCTGATGCCCATCCTGGGTGCCTGGATTGCCGATGAATATTGGGGACGAATGCTCACTATTCAGGTCGCTATTGGATTTGCAATGGCTGGGCACGTCCTTCTGATCATCTCGGCTCTACCTCCTGTCATTGACAACCCTAATGGTGCCTTGGGCTGCTTCGCAGTCGGTCTGGTGATTTTCGGAGTTGGTGTTGGAGGTTTCAAGTATATCTCCGCTCTCTTTCTTAATGAAAATGGCCGTTGACTTATAATTTCCAGGTCCAACATTTCTCCTCTGATTGCCGAGCAGTACAAAGAAACAAAGCTGTTCATCAAGACAATTCCCAAGACTGGAGAGCGTGTGATCGAAGATCCAGCCCAGACCATCACCAGGATTTTCCTCTACTTCTACTTTATGATCAATGTCGGCTCCTTGGTGGGCTCAGTCGCCATGGTGTATGCGGAAAAATACGTTGGTTTCTGGCTTGCGTTCCTTCTTCCCACCATCATGTTCGCCTTCTGCCCCGTGGTCCTGTTCTTCTGCCGCAAGAAGTACGATGTTACACCTCCCACGGGCTCCGTTGTCGCGAAATCCTTCAAGCTTTGGTCTTTGGCACTCAAGGGACGCTGGTCTTGGAACCCTGTTACATTGTGAGTTTTTGTGCCCAAAGCCCTTTTCCATGTTCAATACCCAGAATAAAAGTAAACTAATCATATGAACAGTGTCAAGAACTGCAGATCATCTGATTTCTGGGAACGTGTGAAGCCTAGCAACATTGAGAACAAGCCTCAGTGGATGACTTTTGACGACCAATGGGTTGATGAAGTGAGCAGAGCGCTCAAGGCATGCGCGGTCTTCCTCTGGTACCCTCTCTACTGTGAGTATTACTGTCAAAAGCTCCTGCCATATGTCCAAAACTAATAATTCACGAAGGGCTTGCATACGGACAGATGACCAGCAACCTGACCTCCCAGGCCGCCACGATGGAGTTGCACGGTGCTCCCAACGACATCATCAACAACTTGGACCCGCTTGCTTTGATCATCTTCATTCCTATCGTGGATCAATTCTTCTATCCTGGTCTTCGAAAGCTGGGCTTCAATTTCACACCGCTGAAGAAGATCTATGCTGGTTACATTGTCGCCTCTCTGTCCATGGTTTCTGCAGCCGTGACGCAGCACTACATCTACAAAAAGAGTCCTTGTGGTGATCACCCGAGCTCTTGCTCCGAGCCGGCTCCTATCAATGTGTGGGTGCAGACTATCCCGTATGTGTTGATTGCCTTTTCGGAGATTTTCGCCTCCATTACCGGATACGAGTATGCGTATACCAAGGCCCCCAAGAACATGAAGAGTTTGGGTATGTATATCTTCTATCCCCCTTCTTACCTTTAATACTAATGTCTGTGATATAGTCCAATCCATATACCTGTTCATGAACGCCATCTCGTCTGCCATCCAGGAAGCCCTGACGTCTTTGTCTGCTGATCCTCTTCTGATCTGGAACTATGGTTTCGTTGCCGTTCTCGCCTTCATCGGTGGTAACCTCTTCTACATGACCCACTACAACCTGGACAAGCAGGAGGACGAGCTCAACAAAATTGAAGCGTCGACTTACCTGGGCCGTGGTCCTCAGGCTCAGAACGAGAAGACCGACCCGGAGCTGTAGACTCGACCCTTCTACCTTGGCGGTCCATCATGTTTTCGCTATTGCGGAGTTCTAATAATCCTGTGTAAACAATGCGGGAGAAAGGGTAATTTGTCTTCAATTTTCTTTTCGGGTGTATTCGGTGTATGATCTCAATGGGTTATGAAATACTGGAAAAATGGACATGTTATTAGTGGTTAATCCAGGCTAAAAAATGAACATAATGATAACATTTATCAAGTTGAACTATGTGCCAACAAGACTTGTATAGCATCATGTTTTCTCACTACTATGTTGAAGTAAACGCCAAATAAGAGAGCTCGTAGAATTTTCCCATATGTAGTATTAGCAGATGGTGGGAGATGAGAGTATAGAACTTAGGGATACATAATAATCATTGCACGCCTGTATTAGAAGATGAATGAAACAGATTCTTCTAGTAGAAGTCATGCATAGCGCAGCAGATCCACCAGTTTTTGATGAAACCAACAAAAGAAAAGAACGCCTTTTTGTTCTCCAAATAAAATGCAAAAGTATATACCAAATAGAGTCAAAAGGGAAGAAGGTTCAAACAATGGTAAGGAAAATCTGCCTTACAGAGTCGAGCAGGTTAGTTTTGTTTCTCAGACTCCTTGTCCTCTTCCTTCTGCGAGGACTTTTCTTCCTCTTCCTCCTTGGGTTGGCTCTTCTCAGCGGCTTCCTCACGAGGAGCTTCTTGCGACTTCTCCTGAGACTTGGTGGCCGCGTGGTTCTCGTAGAGCGACTGGTGCTTCTTCTTCAACCGGGTCTCCTCAGCAGCAACCATATCCTTCCAGAGATCTCCTTCCTCCGTACCCTGGGGGGTAACCTCAGCAGCCTTCTTAGCAGCCTCTTTATTCTTCCTGGCCGCCTCGACAAGCCCCCGTCCCTTGCGCTGATCGGAGATCTCAAACGCCGCAGACGCACACAGCACAGCGAGGGTCAATCCCTGCGCATACACACGCGCCTGGACAATCTTCTGCTGCCCGGTCAAGTACGGGTTGCGACCAACTAGCGCGAATGATCCGATCATACTAGCCACCCAGGTCACACCGACGATCTTGTACCGTTCCTCACGGGCAAAGGCGAGGGCGCGGTCGGTGAAACTCATGTGCGACAATTCCTCCTCACGGAGTCGGGTTTCGCGGTTCTCGTACCACAGTCGTTCCTGGTTGCGCTGCTTTTCGAAATCGCGAGAGGCATGATCGGCTGCGATAATACCGACAAAAGTACCCGAGGAGGTGACCAGGAAGGATTTCATCGGGAGGGTGAGGTTGCGGATGGTTTGGTAACGCTTTGTAGCGGCCATGACTCCGGCAGCTCCGCCTATACAACCGAGGATGGTTCCAAAAGTACCGCCTTTAAGGACGGACCTGGGGAGGTTAGTTTGATCTGTATGTGTGCTGTTTCGAGCGCTGAAAGACCTACTTGTAGTGAGCTTCCTCCTCTTCCTTGGTTAAGAGCTTCATGATGCGGGGGTTGTGAGGGTAGGTTCAATTCGAATCCAGAGGGTGTTGATGAGCAGGTTTAGAGAGTCAATTGCGCTCCCTTTCAACGACAAGATTATGGCACGATGTCCAGGTGTAAGATGAGTAAAAGAGTCAAAGTGATGACGGTGGCGTGAGCTCAGGAATCCCGTTTCTTAAAAATGACACCAAAGGCCGGTCGGGGAATGACGTTTGCTCCTCACGGGATCTGCTCGGCCTCCGTTCGCTGCCGGTTGCTTTTCGCCGGGGGAAACTCGGGGTCGACTTTTGCTTTTCTCGCACGAGTCGTTTCGAGGGAATTGTCAGCTTAACAGGGAGTCATGGATGGCGATCTATATTTATATCTATATTAATATCAAAGTCTTGTTTACTAATTGCATTCGTTATCCCAGATATTTTAATACAGTCAGAGAAAAAAACACTATCAACTGCCATTGGATCCTTAATACGCCCTTTGCATAACCAGTGGCCAAATGAAAAAAAGAACAAGCCCATGCATCCCAGCAGAAAAGAAGTGCAAATATACTAGTGGTTCATATGGCTCGACAGAGCCTAGACAAGATCCAGCAATCATCTTCGAGAAGATCCCTTCTGTGCTGCAATCTGTCGCGCACGCATTCTCCGGAAACGATCCTCTCCACTGGCTCCCAGAGGACGCGCGAATTTGCTTTCCTGCACCATTGTAGGACGTGGCACAACAGTGTAGCTGGTGTGAGTGATTTCGGCACGAGCACGGTTGGCAAGACGGGGAGGAAGAAGCTCTCGTGCCCGCGCTTCCGCTGCAGTAGCTTGTGCCGATTGAGTACGTGAAGTGATTTTCCTGTAACACCGTCAGCTTTTGATATCGCCCACTCTGGGAGGGAAATGCCATACGTAGGGTCGAATGCAGCCTCCTGGTACACTCGCTTCGAGTAATCATCACTGCGTTGTAAGATTGGTCGCGTCCACTCGGCAAGGAGACGCTCTGCCATGCGCTTGATACCAGGTTCAGGTCTTTTGGCTTTGGTATAGAACACAATCACCTTTCCGATCCCGCTGGCAATCAGTGCTTCCTTGTTGATGGGTAGCTTGGTCAACGAGGTCATTAGATCCCGCTGAATGTTGTAAGCAGGCAAAGACCCGTCATCCAGGGGTTCAAGGAAGAACTTGACGGCTTCCAACAGGTTGATTTCCGGGTCAACCAAGCTGTTGACATATTGGTTCCGGTTGAGCAATGAGACAACTTCGGGCAACATCTTGAGCTTGTGCATAGCAGGCTGGCCCTGTCGCCTATTGATAGCGTCCATCTGAGCGGCATGGGTCATACGCTTGCGCATATCTTCAATCTCGGCATCGGCCATTTGCTCCAAGTCCTACAAGGTGTAAGCCTACCATCGTCTGTGATGATATTCCATAAACGACGGGAAAGAACATACAATGCCATCCGCTTTCTTGAATCGTCTCTTAGTCGGCTTCTTCATAGCCTCGTCCATAGCACGGTCGAGCGCTCGGCGACGACCTGTTTATCGCGAGTCAGTACACAACCAGATATTACTTTCATCGTCACATACGCGTAGCAGGATCGAGCAGCTCCTCATCAACCGGGTCGGCTTCTCTCCTCTTACGTTCCTTCTTCCGGGAACGCTCCTCCCCATCACTGCCACCCTCCTCTAACTCCTTCATGCGACGGCTTTTCTTCTCTCTTCGTCCCTCCCTCTTGCGTGTGGACCGTTCACCCCCTTCCTCCGTCCTCTTGCGCTTGTGACGACCGATCAACTTCAAATTGTCCTCATCTATAGCCAGCTGAGGCCGATCTTCGATGTCGACATTTTCCGGGTCAAAGTCCTCGAATTGCGCCTCGTCGACTTCGGAGAGAACCGACTCGTCGTCAGAGCCACCACCACCACCAGCATCATTATCATCCGAGTCATCGCCCCCAGCAGCGCCGGCCTTTGCGTCCGCATCGTCGTCCGAGTCGCCCCCATTGGCAGCTACGTTGCCAGTCTCAGCTGCATCGTCGCCAGCGCCGGGTGTAACTGCCTTCTCCTGTTCATGGTCCGAGCCGTCTGCGCCTGGCAGCTGGGCTGGCTTTACTTCAGGGCTGGCTGACATGATTGAGATTGGGTATCGCGGTGAAGATTAGAGACAGAAAGTCGTTGGTTTTGATACGAAGATCGAAGAGAGAGATGTCGGGGCGCAGAAACGCCGCTCCGCGACTTAGTCCAGTCCACGTATGAAGAAGAAGTGACGGATAGTGGCAGGTCAAATTGAGGGCGTAGAACAAGAAATACGCAAATGAACTTTTCGGTTTATTTAAAGCTGAGAATGAGGAATGAAAAGACCGAAAAGAACAGAGGGGGGAGAGTAGTCGTAGCAGCAACAGCAACAGAGAAATTCCGCCTCCGTCAATGAAGGCAGGCGGTGAAGAGGAGCTTTTGCAGTCAGCATCACGGCTTCATGTTATTTCATCTTCTTCCTTCACCACGCTGTACTATTATCTCGCTATCACCACTTTCTCCTCCTCGATACACTTGAGATTCTAATCTCCCTTTCTTCAAACACAAATAATCACAATGTTCGCTCCAGGTCAGTCTACTTTCCCCCATCATCCGGGGCTTTATCATCGTCCCTTGGACCGCATTATTTCGTTTGAGAAACACCACATAATGCTTCATTGTCGAATTGATTGACTAACATTGTATATTCAGGTGGTGCTCCCCCTTCCAAGGATGAGATCAAGGTAAATCTACCTTCCTAAAATATACTACTTTTTATGTTGGCGTCAACCTCAAAATGAACCCAACGACTTTGACTCCAACATTTCCGATGTCAACGAGAACTTTACCTCTAACACTATACAAAACAGGCCGGTGAGGTCGAGGCCTGCCAGACCATCCACACAGCCATTGCCGGTGGTATCCTGCTGTACCTCTGTACGTTGAATTGCTCAAAACCCACCCCTCGGAAGATTTTGACTAGAAACTCGAAACTGACTGGGCTCGATGCTTTCAGCTCCCTTCGCTGTTGACTTCGTTAAGAAGTTCCTTTAAATAATTGCATATTGCATTCATATTTTGGTCATGATGGTTTGCCAATTTCGGAGGATTTAGGACGGAATGCTGGTTTTTTATGGCAGCTTCGCAATTTGTCTTTTGTCTCGCTGGGAGTCAGGGCATGATGTATTATTATTGTACATGTTTTTTATAGTTTCCGGATATAACGAATAGAAAGGGAAATGGTGAAGCGTCGCTTTTTATTTTAAAAGATACATAGATCGGGCTCCAACTCGGCATTGCAGGATACCAGCTCCAAAAAGAAAAACTCCTTTGCTCCTGGGCATCAAGTAATACATTACCAACTAAAAAACCACCACCGACGAAATGGAGGTGACGAAGAGAAAGAAGAATTAGGAAAACATATCGCATAGCAAGGCAAAGGAAAGGCTCAAAGACCTATCGAATCTAGTGGTCTACCGATCCCTGGAACTTCTGCGCCTCGTCGAAATCTGTCTTGACTGACGCCAGCTCCTTTTGTAGGTGCTGGATCTGGGCGTGGTAGTCATCCAAAATCTAGTGCGTTGTTAGCGAGTTGCCTTAAAGGAAGGACAACAGACTGCTTACCTTCTTCGCTGTCTTCATGGTATTCTCGTCTAATCCGTCGTCTGCCTGCGCCGCGGCGTTCGGGCCGGCCTTTTCCATCTCCAACTGCAGGCGTTTCGAATGCTCGCGAATAGCCAACATCCGGGCCCAAATCTCCTCGCCACGTCCATTCAGAGACGGATCGAACACGCTTCGCTCCAGCTGCGCCAGCTTTTTCCTCAATTCCTCCTCTGCGTCGTCCATCGCATAGCCTCTGTTCCTCAGAACCTGTGTCTTAGCCGCAAGCGCGAGGCAGCGCTTGCTCAGTACGATATGCTTCCGTCGGCAATCGGCAATCTTGACAGAGATCTTCAAATCATGACGAGAGAGCAAATCAGAGAGGCAGTTGTTGATCTCGTGCAGGCGGGACTGCATCATAGTCAGGAAATCCTTTTGTCTCTGCGCCCGTTTTCCCAACTCCCAAAATCCCTTGACGAGCACTGGCACGTATCCCGACCCGGGTCTGTTCCGCAACGCATCCTCCCACTTTGCTTCATCATCCTCCGCACTCGGTTGGTAAAATGGCGCTGCATCTTCACCGACATTGTTATACAAATACGTTCTAAACGGCGATACACGGTTTTCGGACCGCCACTTTTCCTGGACAATTGCCATCTGCATGGGCACGGTTCGGTGCACTACCAATCTAGTCAGCTCGGGCTATTGCAATACGCCTACACGTTCAAAACAAACCTCCGGTGACAGCACGACCCGGTGACCAGAGGCCGGATCCCTGCTGTGTTGTGCTCTGCCCCAGTACAGACTGCTGTGGCTGTGGCTGTGGCTGCTGCTGTTGTTGTTGTTGCTGAGGCTGGGTGCTGGCGCCAAGTCCTCCAAACAGACCAAGGCCTCCACCCTGCTGTTGGGGTTGTTGTTGCTGTCCTGTGCCCCCGAAAAGACTTCCCTGCGGTTTCTGTTGTTGTCCTAGTGACGCTCCAAACAAACCCCCAGTTTGCTGAGGTTGTTGTGACTGTTGTCCCGCTCCTCCAAAAAGACCACCGCCCTGGGGCTTCTGCTGAGTAGATGATCCGAACAGACCACCAGACTGCGGTTGATTCTGGGTTGTAGAGCCGAAGAGGCCGCCACTTTGCTGGGGCTGCGATGTCGCATTGGAACCAAACAACCCGCCCCCGGTTGAGCTCTGCTGGTTCTGTGTTGATCCAAAGAGGCCTCCTCCACTTTGTTGGTTTCCAGTAGTACTAGATCCAAACAGACCCCCCCCAGTACCGCCAGCCTGTTGGGTGCCTGTCGTACCTGAACCAAAAAGGGCTCCTCCAGTACCTCCTCCGCTCTGCTGGTTTCCAGTAGTACTCGAGCCAAAAAGACCGCCGCCTCCAGTGCCTCCAGCAGTGCCTCCTGCTCCTCCAAAGGGGCTGGGTTTATTGGCGGTAGACGACCCAAACAGTCCACCTGACTGAGGTTGGTTCCCAAAGAGAGACATAATTAAAAATAATCGGACCGATCTTGTATGGTATTAAATCCGGTGTGGGAGACAACCAAAACACAAAAAATTAAAAACACACAGGCTAGCTCCAGCAACGAGCGTGTGTTTCGGGCGGTGAAAAAAAAACAGACCACCCACAGTGGAAAGGTTCCGGTGCGCTTGATCGGGGTTTTGGTTTCAAGGACGACAGGTCAGGATCGCATCGTAGGGACACACGAGGAAAGGTGCGGCAGAGAGGATCTGCGAATGCGCGACGACAAGGGCAATTGGAGCTGTCGGCGATGACTTTGCTCTGGGAGCTGCGGCTTTGTTTTTCATGAATCACGTGATATGTTTCTAGTAGTACTCAACCACGGTTACCACATGTAGTTGAAGAATTCGACGACGGTGAGACTAATGATTTCGAGAGGTTAAGAGAGAATCAATGGAAGCAATTGTATAAACATTAATTTTTCAATTGAATATCACCCTCGCATCTGCACAGCAACTGTCATACAATTCCGGCAGCAGATATCTTACTAAGCAGCATCGAACCCCGACCGCCGGCCAATCAGAAACAGGCAAAAACTGACCTTCCCCCAAACTCTCGCAGCTCTCCTTCGACGCCCTCTCCACCATCGCCCGCCCATCGCCAGTCTCTACTTTGACAATTGAACCCTCTCCACGGCTAGGACGACCTTTTCAAGATGTCTGTGAGAGATCCTCAGTATGTACTCCCCCTCCCCTCTTGCAGGGCAGTCTGCCCGGGTGATCACGGCTAATGCGTTTCCCTCCCTAGGTTCAACCAGCATGTCCTCGTCGACACGACGCCAATGCCCGATGGCATCCCCAAGGTGCAGGAGATCGGTGCTACCTCTGCGCCGTTGATGAGTGCCTCGTACTTTATCGGTGACCGATGCCACGCCTTCAATGAGGATTATATGAAGTGCAAGGCCGAGGCTAACGGCCGCGGGGAATTCGAGTGTATGAAGGAAGGTCGCAAGGTTACCCGCTGTGCGGCTAGTGTGTATGTTTCGAAAACCCTGATTGGAAAGATATGGGCGATTGCGCACCAAAGAGGGGAGCTATGTTTGAAATCAGGAACATGACTAATTGATTTGCGTGCAGGATCAAGGATATCAACACCCACTGCTTGAAGCAGTTTAACGCACATTGGGAATGTCTCGAGAACAACAACCACCACATGTGGGAATGCCGAAAGCCCGAGATGTCTCTGAACAACTGCGTGTTTGAGAAGCTGGTACGTCTTCACATCATATATAAACTACTACTACGTCGAAGTCACGGAGAGATCTAATTCCAAGCAGGGCCTCAAGAAGACCATCCCCGGAGCCCCCGAGAACCAGACTCCCGTACATCTGCGACCTAAGCAGCTGTACGCTCAATTCCCCGGACCTCAATATTAAGGCCGTTCAATGCTGTTTCCTTTTCTGTTTGATTTGGGTGTTTCCAATGAAACTCTGTTTGTGTATATATTAGCATCAGGAATGGTCAATGGTTTCAAACTCTGTTATTATGGCTTAGATATATGTCTAAGCTCATCATGGATGTAGTCGGTTTGTTTTAATAGTTGGGTGTATCAGTACATTGATATCTCCTCTAACAATGGTCAAGAAAAGCCTCGCTCTAATGTTAGAATACAGCCCAGGTTCCTCTAACAACGCCAGGTTAACCAAGGAAACAAAGCTTCTCAAGTTCTTTTCGAATGGTACATCGGAAGCCAAACCAACGCAAAAGATCAAAGATGAAAAAAAAGGACCCTCCAATTGAAGAAAAAGAAAAGAAAAAACACTATGTACTTGAAGAATAAGAAGCCCCCAATGACATCAAGAAAATTATGGTAAGATTAAGAAGAAGAAGCAAAGGCAATCCACTAGGGAAGCGTAGGAGCCCGACGAAACCGTCTCAGAAAGCTCAATCTCGTCAGTCGACTCTTCACCCCAGACCATCCAACCTTGAGCTTCTGCTCGAGTCGTCGGTCTCCCCTGAGCCGCATCCAGATCAGCAACACGCCCAGCATGGCTATGTCCCAGATGATCTGGCGCAGGGTCACCCAGACCAACCACTTGACCCAAGCAAAGAGACTGTTCCGGCGCCGGTTGGCCAGCGCACGCACCTCCATTTGCTCCCGGACGGCGGCCACCTCGGCGGTCATCTTGGTCAAGGCCTGCTCGACTCTCCGTCGCCATCGTCGGCTATCAATATCGCCGGGAGGTTTGGCGCCGGCGGGTGTTCTTCCCCTGCCTCGCTGTAGAGCCCCGTCATCATCATCGGATATGTGACTCTCATGGTTATGCTCATCATCCTCGTAAAGGGTATCCTGGGCTTCCTCGTACTCCTCGTCCTCATCATCTTCGTCCTCCAATTCTTCTTCCACCACCTCGTCCTCTACCCCATCACCCGAATTCACCACCCCAGATCCACGTCGCTGACAAATACCATCCGGTTGACTAACGGGACTCAGAACCCGTAAGCTGGAATCACCTCGCGCAGTGGCAATCATATCCTCATACTCCGGCCGTGCTAGTCGCCCCCCGATACTCGCATAACTCTGCCGTGGCAATGGGGGTACACCGACGGACTGATGTACGGGACTAGACATCGACGATAGAGAAGAGGTATTCGACTTGATCTGGTCCCAGACAAACTCAAGTTCGGCGACGAGTTCACGGGCCTCGGGCGTTTGCGATGCGTAGCGGTGCATTGTATCAATCAAGGTGGAAATGTAGCGTCTCTTAGCTTGTGTGCGGGTCTGGCCGCGTTGGGCGAACCATGCATCCCTATATCGAACTCTTAGTATGGGCTTCGTTTTTTTGCAAAACATAAGCTCAGCTGTAGAGCAAAAGACAAGTCGTACCATTTCTCGCACTCCGCATAGACATCCGCTGTATTTCCGACCGGTCGATCCATCACCCCTTCTACATCACCCTCTGAATTACCATAAAGAAACCACCGGTCAGCCTCAGAACCAAAATCGGGAAGACGTGAGCGCAATACCCATGCTCTGTTTGTATAGTCCATATAGCTTCAGCCGCTCCGCCGCCGGAGGTCGCGCGGTGCCCGTCCGCGGGATCCTTTTGACGGTATTCAACGCATGGACGAAGACTCGATCTAGAATACACCCCAATTACCGATTAGTTTGCGCTTCAATGAGACCCTAATTTGAGAGCCGAGGGAGAAGGAAGTAAGAACATACCAACAGAGTCCGACATGATGAGATGAAGATAAGAGAGAGAGGCCTTTCTCCTTCATCAGAGCGGGGTTTGGCACCGGGTTACGCGGTCGATCCGCATGGAGAAAGGCGTATGTATACAAAGGGAATCAAAGGAGCGACAAATGAGAAGCAAAAACGAGCGTGGAAAAGGTCAAGTCGAGATCCTTAAAGTGTCCGAAAAGGGGACGCGGTGGATTGATTTGATTGATGATGATCGGAGCGGATCGCAGGTTTAGCTGGAAAGCTTCCCCGGATTTGATTTCGGGCGTTTGGAGTGGGATTTATTCCGAGGCAGCACGGGGCAGGAGACGCAGAGCGAAGCCAATTAATTAATCCGGGGCTTTGTTGCAGGCAGCGAGGAATGAGATCGGGAATGTTGGGTGGTTTTCTTCAGTATGTCTTGTTCCTGTCGGGGGGAGATGATAGCAGGTGGTGTGTTGGCTGATCGATACTCGTGGGGACAGCCAGTGAACCGCGGTTCTCGGAGTCTCTTTTATTCAAGCCATACCTGTGACAGGCGACGGCCAGCATCACTGACTGCATCAATTGTGGTGATGTTTCTGGATGTTAAATAAATAGTTAGAATTAAAACAGTTAAACAGGTAAACAGTTGTTTGCATTTGTGTAGCTACAGCTAATGGTTCTGTGATACGTGCCGGTAGTTTTCACATGATTATACTCGAAGTACTAGGTATACTGAAACATGAACAATTCAATCGTGATATAAAATACAAGAGATCATAACATTTATAAATCAGCCTTCTTCGTCCCCTCGGTCGCAGATGCATTCTCAGCATCTATTACCGCCTTGCCTGTCATCACCCCGGATTCCCCCGGGTTATCGTCACCGGCCAGCGGTGGTCCCGTGAAGCTCTTGCGTGCATAGATGACATACCACACCAGGCTGATGGCCGCAAATCCAGCAAATACGACACTTGCATAGTTCATCGACTCTGCGTCGACCGGGAGCGAGACGGGCATGCAGAAGAGAACCACGGCGAGGACGATCCAGCAGATGGTCATGATGTTGATGGCGTATCCGAATTTACCCAACGAGAAGCTGGAGTTTTTCACGGCTTGACGTCCACGGAGGAGGGAGATGAAAATCGGCAGGCCGTACGAGATCGACAGGCAGATAGTAGCTACTCCAGTGAAGGAGTTGAAGGCAGCAGTCGATCCGAAATAAATCAATCCCAGGAGACAGTCCACCACAGCGGACAATAGAATGGCATACACGGGGACATCGAGAGTCTTGTTGACCTTGCTCCAGATTCGGAATCCGGGAATCGCACCGTCACGGGCAAAGGCATATGTGCATCGACTGGCCGCAGTCAGGGCACCAATTCCAGCAAACATCAAAATACCCAGGAGCAAGAAAAGCAATCCAAATCCCCCCGCAGCTGACCCGGTAGCAGTCTTAAATACAAGCCCGATGGGTTGGCCGCTGGCGACATCTAACAATTCTTTGACGGATGGCAGGACGAACATGATCGGGATCAGGTAAAATAAACCGGTTATACCTGCGGCTACGACCGACAAGACGATAGCTTTGGGGACCTCGCGCTCGGGGTTCTGCACCTCTTCACACATGGAAGCTACCATACCATAGCCAGTCAGGGTATACGCAGCCTGCAACAAACCGACAAAAAACGCCCATCCAGAAGGCCTAACACAGTCAATCTCCAACTTTCGAACCAAGAACAAGGGGAAAGGGTTTCATACCATCCGCTTTGGGAAGCGTCGTAGTGACCAAAAACGAATTTGGCATTTCTTCGAGTATCATCCGCCATGGTCAATAGCGTAACCAGGATGATAACCACACTAGCTGCCGTCCACACAATACAGGCCTTGTTGATAAGATCGAGGTACTTGGACAAGAAAATATTCACCATAGCACAGACGAAGATGACAGCCCAGAACATGAGAATGGTCTGCCAGGCATTGGCGACGAAGTCCTCATTCCACAACGAGATGGCACTCAGGATAAGCTGACCACCCGAGAAGGTGATACTCAGCGTGACGGTCCAGTTTCCAACGAGAGTCAACCAGCCGTCGATGAAAGACATCATGGGCGCCCATTTTTTAGTCGACAACATGGCACTCCAGTAGTAAACGCCTCCAGCGGTTGGATAGACGGCGCAGATTTCGGCCAGCGAAGCGGCGATGCCAATGGAGATGAGGGTGACGAGAACCCAGCCCCAGATGACGGTGACAGCTTGGCCATCTGTGAGGGTGATGTAGAGGGTGGTACTCAAACCGAAGGGGGCGGCCATGATGGCGAATGATCTACACGGACAGTCAGTTAGTATATCTCTTTCGACTGCTTACAGTCACTTCAAACAATAGAGGATACATACAAACCCAAGATACTCATCATACTCAGATTCCGGGGCAATTCACTCTGGTAGCCCATTCGGGCCAATGCCTCGTCGGCATTATCCATAGACGGACGCATGATGGAAGTAGATGTAGATGAAGTCAGATAAACAGAAGCAAAAGCAAAGCACTCAATTCAACAGGAATAGAGGCATTCCGTGAGCAAGAGGGGACAGCAGCCGCTCTTGAGCCGGATGATAGACGGTGGGTATATAAGACCGACACGACATGATGACGCCTGAAGCTGAAGAAGAGGAGAACGATAAGGAGGGGAAAGAGAAGCTTAAGGTTCCCGTTACAGTCTAGGAAGGGAGTCCACCCCCGCACAAATCGGTATTGTACGGTCATTACGGACTCCACTGGCCACCCAACAGGCAGTCAGGCCCTGATAAGGCGTCCCATTACGGTAAAAGGTCCGTATCGCCGGTCTCGGCCCAGGGGCGGTCCGGAAGCGCGAGTTTAAGAGCGCGCAGAAAGGGCGGAAACGGTGAAACAGACGATATCATGGAGAGATAGAGAGAGATACTGTGTCATGGAATCGATAGAAGAGATATAGAAGGAAGAGATAGGTAATAACTGGAGCTGTCAGTCATACCCGCACTTATCCTTAACTAACACTTATGGAGATCAGATAAGTTATTCTGCTATTATTCTGCTATTGAATGGATGAACACATAGTAAGGCAGTCTGCTGAATACATCACTGAAGGCTTGGTATGCATACAGATACTTCGAGAAGTAACCTAGGAGTTATCTGACGTCACATGTCTTGATTTCATGAAGATAAGTCAGGCAGCACGTGGCCTTTTCAGCCCAATAATGTACTGCGTATTAAAGGGGTGAACCTATGTAACTTCATGGATACTGTGAATAACCTCAATGTCCAACACCTACATACATGTTCGTGTATGAACGACATCAACCACCACTCTTCTCTGGTCATGTATTAAACGAATCCTCTTAGAGTCGAGGCAATTATATCCAAGGTAGTATTCAGATGAATGCTACTAACATGGCCCATCATCGAACCACGGCTCTACGAGGGGAAACTCGAGCTTAATTCATCTTCAACACAGCAAAGCCCAAAATATGCATTCATATTTGAATTTTTATGTAAATAGTTAGACCTAGTGTCCATTCAAGATACATCACATCGATTGTCACACAAAGAGTGACGGCTGCCACATCTGCTTCCTGCTTCTGCCCTTCCATCACCAACTGACCAGGGCGATGGCCGGAGCACCAACAAGGATGAGCGCCAAAAATAAAAGGAAATGGGGGGAGGTGAAAGCGAGGGAAAGGAGACATAAATAGGTAGGAACAGGAATATGAAACATCCAAACCATAAAAAGACATGGGGGATTTTTGAGGGGGGGTATCAAAGGCAATATGAGACAGCAAAATCTCTTTTTTTCGCTTTTTTTGTGCTTTTGTATCTATGGTACGTGAGGTGTGTAAAGGCTAGGGCGAAAGTAGGCCCTGGCATGTCGAATCATGCCCAGACGCTCGTGTCGGTGAAGGGGCAGATGCGGTGGGAAAGGGGGGGGGGGGGGGGGAAAGGGGGGGGGGGGGGACAGACAAGATAGAACGAAACCAAAGAGGCCCAGGAGGATCAACTGCGAGGATGAGGTGTAAATGGAGGTGAGCGTAGCGTGACTGTCGGGTGGGCCGATCCGGCGTGTCAGGGCATCAAAGACACCCCGCGGTTTGTGCCCGAGTGTTGTCGTCTTCAGCAGTAGAAAAAGCAAAAGCCACAAGCGAAAATAAAAAAAGATCGGTGACCAACTCCTTCTATCCCACGATCGCTTTTGTTGCTTTTCTCCCATCCTCCATGCTTCACTCAACATGACGCCGTTTCCTTCATAAAAAAAAAAAAAAAAAAAAGAAACATCGCGGGGCCTCATCTTTCAAGGCCTCGCTCGGGAAGCTGAATCGCAGCGGTGCATCAACGCCTTCATAAACAAACAAAATGATCAGAAAAAAGAGGCAAATCAACAGCAGAAAACAAACGCCCAATCATGCAGTCGTCAGTCCAGATAAATCGTTACATGGGATGATGCAGTTATAACGGCAAGCAAGTACAAAAGGTCTAAGAATGGCAGCGCTCACAACAACGTTCAGGGGCTCAGTTCAGCACCAATGTCGTCGGTCCCGTCTAGCCCAAACCCAGCCATGTCGACCGAGTGAAGAGAACCGGGCCCGCGCCCTAGAGAGATGTCTGACGAGGCATAGTCATGTTTTAGTCGCTCATGGGGCCCAAAGAACGGTCGAGTCTCTTCGTTTGGCGTGTTCCCATCACCGGCGGCCCATGGACCATGCTGCCAGAAGCGAGTGTTGGCCTGCTGGTCTCCAAACAGATCGTGGTGGTCATGATGGGTTTCTGCACCATGGCTGGTGAAGTCGTTTGGCGACTGGAACCGCAGGTGCGACCGACTAAAACTGGAGCACGGCGAGTCCGCGTGAAGAGGAAGGTCGAGACCAGAAAGAGGCATGTCTTCGACGGTCGTGATGTCGATAGTTGGATTCTCTGTCTGCTGGGCCAGCGCCGAGGCCAGTCGGAGGTTGGAAGCTGAGCTCTGACGGCTATGACTCACCGACCGCTCCATGGCTCGTTGGACGAAACTACCGCATGTCTTGAGAATCTTCTCCTGGTCTTCCGGCGAGAGGCTAGCGAAGAAGTCGTTGGCCAACGATGGTTTGGGCAGTTGGGGTTCACACGGTGTCAGCTCGAAGGTCTTCTGGGCGTACTCGGTGAAGCCCGACGGCATGTCGTATGGAGACTGGTAAACGGTCGGGGCTTGAGCCCGTTGCTGGTCGAGGTACGCGTACTTGCCTGCCAGCTTGGCAGCCGTGACGCTACCCTTGTCCACGGTCTCCTGCTTGATATTTTCCGACTCTTTCTTCTGAAGCACGTCCAGTCGTTCACGGTGGCTGACGAGCGAGAACCGAAGCATTTGCAACAATCGGCTCACCTCCTCGGAACGCATGTTGAGAGGCTGCAATGGAAGCAGGGTCCCATCGGGGGCACGGGGTTGCACCCGTTGCTGGGCCATGGCAAGCTCAAGCTTTTCGAGGCCGATTGGCGGCGGCACCGAACCCATGGGACCCAACAATGTCTCTACCACTAGCTCCGGACTGACAATCGTATACCCGGCGAACACATTGGCATGGTCGGTGATTTGGGCGAGCCGGCGGCGGGCAATGAGCTCACGGACATTGGCAAAGGTATTGGCGGGGAGGTGTTGCTGCTGCTGCTGCTGTGGTGTTTGATGAGAGTGGTGGTGAGGTGGTGATTGATGAAGTTGCGACTTGGCAATCTGAGGATAAGGGGCATGACGGGCAGATTGAGTTGGCAGGGATCGATAGGCCGACGGCATCGCAGCAGCAGCAGCAGAGGCAGAAGAAGGAGGAGCACCGGGCGCAGAACGAGGCGGAGGGGCGAGAGAACGCTGCAGCAGGGAAGGGCGGGAGGCAGTAGCTGCGGCGGCGGCAGCAGCAGCAGCAGCAGCGGCAGGTGAAGGGAGGTGGTGAGGAGGAGGGGCAGCATACTGCTGATGAGGAGGAGCGAGATGGTGGGGGTAAGAGGGGAGTCGGGCCATCACGGCGCCAAGGGACTTGACGCTGTCTAGGAAATTCGCCCGCGGGTTGTGGACAGCCACGCTAGGGTTGTGCGTATATTGAGCCCTACATTCGGTCGACGACTGGCCCAGGTAATACCAGATCTGCTCGCCCTTGTTCAGGTCGACCGGCGCCTGCGGTGGGGCGCCGGCGTGTTTAGCATAGTCCACCGTCTCGAACTCGGCCCACTGGTATGGAGATCGTCCATCACCAAACGGATTGCCCGCCACCGGCACAGCCGACTCCAGTTCCTTCCGGCCTTCAGGCTTCCGTGCTAGATGAGCTGGCAGTGGTTTGGTTCCTGGAGCTAGGGGTGAGAAGTTGCTCTTGCGGGCGACTAGCATCCACCGGTATGGAAGTTCGATGACATCCCTGCAAGTTTCAAATGGTCAGCCGTCATGTGAATTTTCCCCTCCAGAGCCCCTCCAGTTGGGGGAGCTTGGAGTAAACAAACAAAAAAAGAAAAGAAAAGAAAAGAAAAGAAAAGAAAAAAAAAAAAACAAACATACCCTCGTGGGAGAACCTTGAGCAGAAGAGCCCTTTCGGCCGGTCGGTTTTCAAGCACAACTGCACCGTTGATTTCTTTGTCTGCTTGGAACTGCACCAGGTCTCCTGCGACTAGGCGCTTTGCCGTTTCATGGAGTTTCCGATCGTGGCCGGATGACTCCGCTGTCATCCAACTGGGTCTCTTTTGGCGGTGGTACTTGCATTTCAGATCGACACTTGGTACTGAGTATTGTCCACCGTCGTCAGCGATGACGGCGACAGAACCTTGCTCGGCCTGAACACCAGCCAAAAGAGCGCAGGTTGCATGATATGCACGCGTGCATTTGCCAAAGTTACACTGGAAGCAGGCACCGCGGACCTCACGGCAGAAAAGACACTTGAGGCCCATTCGAGCCTTGGGGACCTTTTCCACATCACACACCACTTCTTTTCCAGACTCATCGCGGAGAATGCTGGTTTCTTCGATGTATAACGCACACCGCCGGTGGGCGTGGTATTTGCCATTCTCAGTGGGGAGGAGATCTTCGTAGTCCAAATTGTTGGGGCACAAGATACAGGGAATCTTCCGGGGAATCTCAACATTGACTCTCATGCGTTTCGACGTGGTCGACTCGCCGTCAAGCTTCCGCTTCCGTCCACGGGTGGATTTTTCTGGAACGCTGCGAGGTGGGGTCAGGAGATCGGAAGCGCCTTCGAGCTCCATGTCACTCTCATAGTAATCGTAGAATTCCGGAGTCGATTCGCCCCGTAGCTTCCGTTCGATTTCATCCGTGTCGATCCAAACGCTGTCCGCTTCGCAGTTGCACTTTTTGGCGATGCGACCATATTCCAGCCACTTTTCAGTTGCAAAGTTGACTGATTCGGCGCAGTTGTAGCCCAGGTTGTATCCCGAGTGGTAACCGTACGGGTAGGTGATCACGAATTCGCCCTCATAATGAACCATCTTGTTGACAGTAATGCCATACTGAGACTTGAGAAGACTGGGAGAAACAAGGTAGGTCTTGTGACGAAGGAATTGATCGCAGTTTTTCGCATCGCTTGTCCAGATGCCTACATCAAATCAGTATTTTTGCGGTCGCAATCGCCCAGAATGCCCAACTTACTCTTCATGGCCTGCTCAAAACGAGGGGCATCTTCCTGCGAGATGCTGTACCATTGTTTCGGTGCACCAAAGTGAATGTAGTTGATACTGTAAAGATCCACGTCCTCCAAATGCCAGGCGAACGTAGCCTTCCACATGCCCAAATAGAGGTACGCAGTGTTCACACCCGGCACTTTCTGTCCCAACACATCCAGCAGATTGGGTAGCTTGGCAACATTCCACGAAGTTGTGATGTTCTCGTCGAACAGAGATCCAGGCATGTCCGCACCATACATGGGATTATTGAACATAAGGGACTTCCAGTATGCGGTTTCAAGCTCCTCGCATCGTTCCTGTGTATAGTCCTCGTTGTCGTGGATTCGGTAATCGAAGTCTTTGAAAGCCTCATCGTCTACATAGTCCACCGAATCGCCCTTGTTGTTCTTTCTTCGAGCGTTCACGGACTTGGACTGTCTTCCCTTGGGTTTGGACGAGGGCAAAGATTCGCCATCACTCAGCTCTTCGGTCTTGGTTTCGACGGGATTGGATTCTGGTGATACAGGAGTGGGTGGGCCTTCGGGCTTCACCTTATCGAGGCTTTCCTCAGCAGGAAGCTCCTCTTTGATCTTGACCTGGTTTGCTCGTTTCGGAGGGCGGCCTGGGCCCGGACGACGCTTCGGTTGCTCTGGTCGGGTAGTCTGAGTCTTGGGGGGTCCGGGAGTACGAGTGGCGCGCTCTTGATTCCGGCGTCTTTCACCTCTGCGAGCGGGAGGCTGATGGCTACTCTCCTCACACAGGCCCTTCCACTGCGGTAAGTTGTATGATCGTTGTTTCTCGATATTCGCCTGGGTATATGTTCCGTGAGAGCCGTGGAATTCCTGCATGATGGGGTTCTTCACTCGAATTTTCTTGATGGCTTCATCGAGAGCGGGTAGAGAGTCGGACCTGCAGCGGAATACACCAATCAGACTTCTAGTAGACCAAACGACAGAAAGGGGCAATCGCAAACTCACCATTCCTTTGGCGGAACAACCTTGACGATTCCCGACTGCATGCCATACTTGTCGACTCTCCTGATGAAAGATTGAAAGTCCCGAAACTGATCCATTGTCTATGACCACCTAGTCAGCGAACGAATCCAAAGACCGCTTGGTTTCATCGCAGGCGCTGAGCGAGAAGCTCCCTCCCCGTTCTGAAAAAAGGAGCAACTCCTCCAGCGCAAGCCCATGGGGGTAATTATATCCCACTCACCGGCTTGAACACGGGGATCTTGCCGCCGCCATAGTAATGATCCGGTTCGATATCCTCCTCCTCCACGGGCGTATCTGGCGCAGCAGCGACCTTGGGATCGAGCTCGAGGTCCGACAGGTCGGCGGGGACTCCCTCCGGCACCTCTTTCTTGCCGTTGGCGCTATGAGGCGGCGTGATAGAAGCGGCAGCATCTGTCGGCGGAGGAGCGCCCGGGAGCGACTGGAAAACAGGTTGATCAAGCGCAGCCGCCATCATCTCAAGGAAGGTCGAAGAAGTCGTAGAGAGATTGTTTCCGGTCGGGATTCAAGGCGCCGTCGTCGGAAAGTGCGACCGCTGATCGACGGCGATATAAAGAGGGATTCCCAGCGGTCGGGGGAAAGATTGAAAAAAAGAGCAAAGAGGTGAACCTCTTATTTTGGTGTTGATGACTTTTGTCCTTTCACCCTGTGATTTTGAAATTATTCAACTTTTGTTTTGATTTCCCGAAAGAAATAAAAAAGGGGGGGGGGAGAGCGTGGAAGGGAATTGGAGTATGAATAGGTCGTTGGGGAGGATGGAGAAAAGGATAGATAGATAGATAGAGTAGTGTAGAAGGTTAACCGGTGGATGATGATGAGATACTAGTCGTCGTCGTAGTCGTCGTAGTAAGAGGAATAATCGCCAGCATTGGAGAGTAAAACGGGCCCCTCTTTCTCAGACTCCGATCGAGGGATTGGAACGAGAGGATTTGCCGTGGTTGCAGCAGCAGCGCGCAGTAGGCTGAGAAGTAGTGCTGGAAGTGGGAAGCAGAGGCAGATCGCTCAGCGGTTGAGCAGAAACTGCGAGTTAGTCTTGGTGGTTTGGCGGGTACGGGTGAGCGAAAAAGGGCCAATGCAAGCGTCACGTCGGGAGTGGACCAGCCAGCAGGAAAGCAGCAGCAGGGAGCAGGACGCAGATGGCCTGATGCTGGAAGTAGTGTGGGTTTAATTAACTTAGGTTTGTGGAACACAGGAAGATTAATATTAGGAATTAGGATTATTAGGATGATGCGATGAAGGGGCCAAGGGGAGACAGGAAGAGCCAACGAGGAGGACTGGAGAAAAGGTGTGACGGCCTGTATTTGCAGCCTGAGGCATCGATTCTGGATGCAGCAGGAACCAACTCCGGTGTCGGACAACAATAACAACAACAGAACAAAACAAAGAATAAAAAACAGGAAACAGAGTGAATATCAGAGTATAGAAAATATCTGAAGAGATCAGCATACCAGTGCCAGAATCAACACGGCTTCGAATTCCCTCAGAATCTATCCAGAATACCAGAATGAATGCCTGATTGACAGATAAAGCCAGCTCAACCACGTGATATACATGCTACAGTCGCAGAGGTAGATGACACAATATACTCGGGCAGCTGCAGCGCTCAGACCAAGCTGTGCTCGGATACCGCCGGAAAAAATCAAATGATCTCACCGTCCGACGCAGTGACTGGCCAGATCAAATTAGCCGGTAAAGGCGGCAGCTTTTATTCTCAGCTCTATCTGATGCTATCTATGCCATCAATGATCAAGTGAATATGAATGAATATAAATAGACTATCAGGATAGAGAAGCCATTTATTAAAATTGTCTAGCTGCTATGGAGTATTCAATTCATAAATCCAGTGGTAAATACGAAAGACTACCCTCAGAAAGAGAACTAAGTAAATCATGATCAACAGAACAAGTCACCTACATATCAAACTAGTCCTATAGTGCCCAATCTCACCCTCCCCCCAAAAACCCTCAAATCATGCCATGCAGACTGCATCAATATACTTGCATCCCTCGTCCCTGGTTTGTCAGTGGCTCTATCATAGCCTGCCTGTGTTCATAACCCCATGCCCATGTCCATGCCCTATCTGACGCATATATATATCCGTGCATAATATGCAGTCTGTCCTGCCTGTACTCTAGGTAGGTACAGTAGCTCTAGTCTAGTCACTATCTATCCCATAGTTGGGCACAATTACCGTGGCGTTTTTTTTTTTTTTCTCCTCCTGCTTCTGAACGTTTTGGGTAATTGTCTGATATATCATCTTATGACTCCAACTTTTCCCCCTCCCTCTCTCTCCAACGCGCAAAAGGCCCAAGAGCCAAATCGTTGATCGTGTTTCGCGATTATCAATTTATCGTCTCATTCTGATATGACGCTATGTTATGCGGGCTTGCTCAATAGTTAATGTCATTTTGCATTCGTTTCGCTAGATTCGTTAACTGCAGTACATCTACTATTCCAGAACGCCCCCATGAAACATTGCCCCTCTCCTCCCCCTCCATCATCAGTATTCGTTTAGATGTAGCTTCTTTCCAACAAACCGCCGTTTCGCGGGCTTATCTCCCCGCTCTCTTTCGGCATTCACTCCCTTCAGTGCATGAAGTAGCATCCCTGCGTCGAAGAATCCGTCTGATTTGTTGTTAGTTATTGTTTCGCAATCTATATTTGTAGAGGGGGGGGAAGAAAAAAAAACTTACATCCGCCCATGCCATCATCTTCAATCTCGCCGCTATCTGTCGTAGGTGTATCCGCTCCCCGATGGCCCGGGTCGCCCCGGACAATCCGACCCCGGCGGTGATCACGCTGGAGTCGGTCTGCAATCTGCTCCATCTCTCGGGCCCGGCTAGTGCGCGGGCTCATCGTCTTGCGCTTGGTCGCGTGCAGCAATTTCCGAATCTCAAGCAAGTATGACTCCAACGTTTGCATCAGTCGCGCCGTCTGTCGGTGCTTCGACGAGGCACAGATCGATATCGAGTCCTCCTTGATTATGTATCCGATGCCGAACCCGTCCCCAGATGTCGGCCCGAATCCAAAATGCCTCAGACACGGGTTGCCGCAGTTCGAGGTTGACAGGATCGTGTTGTTGATCCTGTCCCAGCCTCCGTCGCTGAAGATGGCGGGCGTGGGCTGCAATGTGCGCATCCCACGAAGACTGTAGCTCTGAGAAGATAGGCCATCCTCCGATGCTGATGTCGACATCTTGGGCGACTCAACTGTTGACCCGTTCTCAACGGGGCTGGAGTACCCATTGGAGTAGGAATCCACACTGTTACCAGCAGATGAGGCCCCCTCGTCAAAGGAACGCTGCCACAGACAGTACAGCGCGTAGAGGTGTCGATCATGACCCTGTCCTTTGGAACACTCTTTGGTAATGGCCGTATGTTTTTCTGCCGCTTTTCGAAGAGCGTCCACCTTTTGCTCGGCTGGGTTTTCTCCCCAGAAGGTCTTGACAAAGTCCACACAATCGTTAGTGACAGGCCGGATCGCCTCTGTCCGTCCATGAAGGAAGAACTTGGTCATTGCGGGTTCATAGGTGTTCTCCATGCGGCCGTAGAGACCGTAGTACGCCGCCTGGAACGCCATCTGCACAAAAGCATCGGGCGAAAACCCCATCGACGTAATAAAGTTCTTGCCATAGCCCTCAAAGTCCAGCACATGGAACTCGTGCTGCTGGAGCAGATCGGAAAGATGGGACTCGGCGAACCGCAGGGCAATGCTCAGCTCAGGAGCCATGTCCCATTCGAGTTTCCGGGGCGTGGTGCTCACATTGCCAAAACTGCGGGGGTCCCGCTTGGATGGATCGGGGCTGTTGGACGTCCACAGGGTCGGGGCTTGGCCGTTAATCGTTTTGGCGAAGCGAAGTATGGTGTCTGTGTATACATCGCTCGCGAACCGAAGCACAGTGTGTCCATCGACGCCAGTATGCTCAAAGTTGATTCCTGCGCTGCCGTTCTTGCAAACAATAATTTGGAGCTTATCGTACCACCGGTTGGTGCAAGTTCCAACCTGCACACCCTTGATTACTTCGCTGGTACCGCACAGCATGTTAGCACAGAGCTCTGACACGCTGCTTGGTTCAGTGTAATCCAAGCAAAGGACGAAGAGAGCGGTGTCAACAATGTTCAAGCATTCCGCATTGTTGGAGCCTTCATCCTTGGTCAGGGTGTCTCTCAGTCCTGACCACACCTTGCGGTTTTCTGTACTAAGAACTCCGAGAGCTCCCTTAGCAGCCTCCTGGATAGGTGTCTGTTGAGCATCGCCAAGGATGACCTGCAGGTTAAGTGCAATATCCTTCTCGGTCATAATCAGATCATGGTTTTCATCAAGGACATCAAACCAATAGATCTGTCCTCGACACAAAACCACAATATGTTTTGCTGTGGGATCCTGGCTGATAACACAGCCATTATCGGTTGGTACTCGCGCCGTGCCGAAGAGTCGCGAATATTGGTACATGCAGAGTGGCGTTCCCCGTACGGTGTCAGGTGGCAGCTCTTCTCGCCTGACTGCTCGGACAAACGACAGAGCCGAGGCAACCAAGGAGGCAGCTCTTGTGACCTGGTTATTTCTCGCGGGAGTTGGGTCATCTTCCAACAAGAAGAAGGGGTTGAGGTTCAAGACGACGGCTATCAAGGTTAGTATTTTATAGCGAGCTTGATGAGGAATGCCTTACGATTATCAAAATTCAGGTAAGAATCATACCCTAGAGAATATTAGTTGTGTCACTCTCAAACAGACAAGGCCAAACCTACAAAACTGCTCGATATAACTTGTTTTCGACGATGCATAGTTCTTGAGTCTTTCCTGAAGCACAGGACCATCGGAACCGAGAAACTCCTGCACCGCCGCTTTCGACTCCTCTTGCTCTCTAGGAGTCTGTACAGCAGACAGGGACTCGAGGTATTTCTGACAAGTACCTTCAAGATCCGGAATAGGTAGTTTTGGGAGCGAGTCTTGGTTAGAATATGTTACGCCCTTTTTCTCCGGCGCAGCATCTGTGTCGTTGGGCTTTGTGCTTGTGGACATCTCCACGGTCTCTGAAGAGGTATTGGCAGAGGATTTGATCTTGGTCTCCAAGGTAGGCTGAGACGCCTGGGATTGAGAGAAGTCCATCGGATCTCTCAGTGGTTTAGGTGAGGTAAAGAAACGGACTGCCGTGGACGAGTAAGACATGGTATCAGCGAGAAATGTCACAATAGATTAAGCGTAGCGACAAGCAAGAAAGGTAGGGATAGAGAGAAGACGTAAGGCACTGCGATAGAAATAGTGGCAATCTTGCAAGCAATATGAGGGCATTGAGATTATTCCATGAAGTTGACGAAAAGACAAGAGATAGAAGCAGAGTAAGTCACGCAGAAAAAATGAACAGCAATGGACGATGAGAAGGAAGACAAGTTATATATAGGGAGAAGATAGTATATCTAACTAGACCCTTGAACCCCGCCATGGAAGGTGGAGTAACCAAGGACGAGAGGGCCGCGGGACGAAAGGAAGCAGAACAGCATCAGGGGACGGAAGAAAGGGAATACTGACAGGAATGCAATAAGCAATCAATCAACGAGCAGATGGTGCAGCCACCGGTGGATCGTCTTTCCGCTGGTGCTCGCCTCCGAGGCTATTAGGACCAGGGTGTGCAGTTGGCAGTCGATGGTGTTTGTCGGGGGAACGGATCAAGGTGGATGGTATTAATATACCGAAGGCCAAGGATGTCCCCAGAGAAAGTACTGAAGCAGATGTGTTGGGCGATTATATATCTAGGAACAGCCATTTCTTGTGAGAAGATAGAGGATGAACATGGTCAAGATGATGAAGATGATAAAATGCAAGGTCTGTGTGAAGAAGAATGACCAAAGCAGTGGATAGGATGCGCTCAACGACGTAACTGAATGGCCTGAAGAGCGATAAGCTCGACGGTTAGCCTGCTTACCTTAATTAACGGCGAGGCGGGGCTGTTCTGTCTATGCAACAACCATGAAGAGGATATAGCAGTGGCAATGCATCAATTCATCCAAACCAGACACTGCCAATGATAACAAAAAGGGTGATATATCCACTCTCCAGACATAGGCTCATCTCCAGGTCTGATGACGTTTCGGACGAAGGGAGAGGCTGATGTGAGGCCCAGCAGGCTGCTTGCGGGGATAACTTTAATGTGCGGTCACGTGGATGGCGGATAACTAGTAGTACATTGGGATAAGCTATGATAATAGTATGTGGTTACTGACGATAGAAGCCTACTAAGATACAGCCGTCCATTCCTGTTGTAATGGGTTCCAAAATGAAATCATCGAGAGCGGGGAGGTCTTTTGAGTTCAAGTTCATGATTTCGTTTTTGGTCATACATAACAACTCCATTCAGGACGCCCATATCCACAGAGACAGAAGGATGAAAAAAAGGGTTCAAATAATTCAGATGCGGCCACTGGTGGGGTGTACCATCACCAGAAAAGAGAAGAAGAATATTCACAGATGAAGTAGAGATAACGTCATGTGCATGTCCTTCTTTCTGGGCTGGTTCGCAACTGGAGAGGAACTGTGTGGGGGAACCGATGCAGATCTCCCCGGCGGCAAAACCGACTCAGAAAGCAAGTCTTGGCAGCAGGAGTTTCAACACGACGCATCTCTCAAGCTCAACATCGAAAATTCAAAAAACATGATAGAATAAAACCAAATAAGGATAGACGGCAATAAATTGGACAGACAGAAGTGAAGATGCATGAAAAAAAAAAAGGCCATCGCCAGAGTCGGGGTTTGGCGTGAATTTTGAACACTCGGCGGGAATCAAGGTCCTGCAGTACCACATCCATATCAATCCTTTCCTAGTCCATAGTCGAGAATAGGTTCGATCAGATGCACGAGTCGTCAATCCAGTCGAGGCGAAAACTCAATGTCAAAATCCCGAGATTAGGCAGAGTACATAGCCTGTCCTAAGGGCTGAAGGACGTTGGTGTTGTATTCACCGTCGTAGTTTCCTAGGTGTAGAATGTCAGCCCATCTCCGCTGGCTAGTAAAACAAGATCATCTTACCTGCTGGGTTGTAGTTGCAGACGGTGAATGGCAATGGCTGGCTGGAGTCAACGTTGCCAAGGCTCTGGCAAGTGACGGTTGCGCAGCCGACAGCAGTGGAAGCCTTCCAGACAATCTGGGTGAAGTGACCCCAGCTGTCGAACAGGCTCATGTCAGGGTTGGCCTGGCCGTACAAGTTGGCGAAGTAGCCCATCTCATCGTTGTACATCAGGTTGGAGATCATCTGGCCAATGTTATCGGCCTCGACACCATATCCGATGTTCTGGCCGTAGCCACCACCGTCAATGCTCCTGCGATAGATTAGATTGAACAGACATCAGCGCGTTTATCGAAAGGTACTTACGTGTCGTGCTGGTAGACACACTTGTTGGCGAGAGTGCGGGCGCTGGACTCGAGCGAGGCCGACCATTCCAACGAGCTGGCCGAGTGGTTGCTACGGTGGACGTTGTGGTTGTACAGGATCGCCGACTGGTAAGCGTTAGTGGGCGAAGAACCGGAAGCACTCGAGGTGGAAGTGGCCAAGGTCGTGGGAGCGGCAGCATCTCCAGTCCAGGTCCAGGCAGTGGAAAAGGTGACGGCCTCGCCACCTCCAATGGTGGCCGCGGCGGCGGGGGCCTCGGTGGTCGTCGACGTGGGTTCGGCAGGCGCAGGGGCGACAATCGTGGTGTACACAGCGGGGGCGGGAGCGGGCGAAGCTGAAGTTTGCACTACAGTGTCAGCACTGGACACAGATTGAGAAGTTTCAATAGCCTGGACTGGCGCGTATGTAGGAGTAGATGAAGTGGAAGTAGAAGTCGTCGCAGGGGGAAAATCCGTGACAGTTTCGGTCACAGTGACGACACTCCAGTCGGTTTCATAAACACGTTTATCGAGAGGGTTACCCATGGCAGTAGCTGCGCAGATGGCGCTCAGAAGGATTGAAGACCGCATATTGATATCGTTTATCGTATTTGCCCCCTTTTATCTTTTACCGAACAATATCGCACAGATCAACTGTGTTTATATTGGCAAAAAAAGAATAGCTTCCCCAGGAAGGTATTCAACAGGTCGAAGTAGGAATCGAAGAACGTAAGACGTCGAAGAGTCGGGTTCGTGCAAGGATCGAGCTTTGTACTGGGATGTATGTATAGTCGCGCGGTTGCGGGAATTGGGGGGGGGAAAGGAATGACAGCCTTAGTGAACACTTTTTTGAATGAGTGGAAAAAAAGTGAACCGTAGGCGGAAACAGTGGATGAATCAACTGTATGGAAAAAAAGAGAGAAAAAGAAGGTGATGGGGGAGGGGGGGGACAAGGCAATAAAATAGATGTCGGAGAGAGAAGAGAAAAGAAGAGCGAGAAGAGGACGAGGAGCGGAAAGTGGAAAGGAGAGCGATGGAGCCGGTGGCAGAGCGAGCGCAGAGGGGCGCAGTGGGGCCGAGCGATCTGGGATTAATGGATGGAATCATTAAACGCAAATTAAAGGCCCAGAATCAGATGGCGCTGAGGTGTGTGAGATGCTGCGGCTGATGCTGATGATGATGACTCCCTCCCGGGAGACTCATTCATTCAGATATTCAGATAATACAGAAGAAAAAGAGAAACGCGACCCTCGAAAGAAAAGGCTTTCTATCTGCGTCGACGGCATCTTTTCATACTCCAGCGGGAATTCTCTCTGTTCCCCTGAATCCTCGGCCAACCACATACCAGTATGAGTCCTGCATTCCTCAGGCCAATAAGCGCCGACCCATGCCTGTTCTGTTAGACCACCATATCCCAGAGGCTGGCCTCAACCATGGATATCTGATATAATTGCACACTTTCAGTCTGGATTATTGACTGGAATTACTCCGATATCCACTGTTCAATAAATCATTATTCGTGTATGGTACTGTATGTAATAATAATATGACCCAAAGCCCCTGATGCACCAACGGTTGAAGATTCCCGGGTGCCCCTGGCAGCCGCTAAACCGGATTGGACGGTCTCGAATGCCGTCTTGTCTCAGGCACGGACGCTCATTGGCTGCGATAGTCGTGGACCCAGCCAGTTTGGACCTCCTGGGCCCCACTCTTAGTCGCAAGCCAAGTTTTCTCTCACGTTGTCGGCATGGCTTGGATGAATGCATCTACAGTCATCGAGATTGAATATAGAGAATTCAAGTCTAATATCTGAATGTGCTGAGAGAGATCGGACTGAGCCACACAACAGGATGAATAGACCTCGTCCCGATCGTAACTCTCCCCCCCCTGACTCAGATGGTTGCGCCTGGAGACTGAAACAGTAGTGTTGATCTGACCCAAAAAAGAGCAACGAAAAGGAATCAGAAAACGGGTGGCATTGTTTTCCCAAGTGTCAGCATTGATGGAATTATCCAGACCTATTGGCCAGCCACCCTTGGTGATCCTTGGGTCTGTCAATTCTCTTCTATGATTTTTTCTCTTTTTGTTCTGCTTTTCTCTGACCATTGATTATATGCTATGATGTCGCCAGATCAAACAAAACTTGGCTTCTCGATAGTCTGGTGTATTGTCACCGTACAGTAAATCCACCGTGTTTCATCTTCGCTTCAGCTCCAATCTAATTAATTCTCCGTTTTATTATTCCCCGTCCAGAAATCAAACTCATCATATCCAATTTCCTCCCCGCTTCACTCTCATTTTCTTCTTATTTTTTCATTGTCTGGGCGTCTTCTTCCCAGGGCCCAGAACGCCATGGCATTTCCAGTTTTTCATCGTCCCCATCCGATCCTCCGTACTAGCGCTTTAGTCTGGATTGTTTCGCCACGGCTTGGTATGACACCTGTCGTTATGATGGGGAACATATCAACTTGCATCGTGAGATAGTAATCCAGACATCAGAAACTGCGGATTAGATACTATGACTTGTCCAACATACGTAGCCTCGTTCCATTGGTACCGCACCCCTCACCTGGATGACGATGGCTGATGCTGATGCTGATGATTACTCCGTCCACGTGTTTGCCAGCCAACTTGTTCGGTTCCAGTCCGTTGGTTCGTTCCGTACATTTTTTTTTTCTCTCTCTCTCTCTGTTTTTTTCTTTCCAGGCTTTGCTGTTCTATGGATCGGTTATCCATACTGCACGCCCGGTGAATGGAGCGCTCAAAGAAAATCTCTTCGCTTGTACGAGGCTTTCATGGTTCGTCGTGGAAGCAACGTGGAAGGACCTCATGCCAGCGTCAACTTTGGTTCGACCAAAGTCAAACTCTTCATCTGAAAAAAAAAAAAAAAAAAAAAAAAAAAAAAAAAAAAAAAAAAACTCAACTGTTAAAACCTCATCCAGATAGTGATCTATACGAGAAGTCATCGAAGCTTTGCCCCCAATCCTCGACGCCAGACTTTTTGGGGAACAACTAGAATGCCTGTAGAACAATCTCCGAATCTTCCGACTCGATTCTGGTGTCTGCTGATTGGATAATAACATCGAATTGCCTGGTCCTGGAGGCCTTGTTCGATTGTTTCATCTACATTGACCGTCATATCCCAGCATCTCGAGAATCGGGACTAATTGTGGATTCCCAGCGGCACCCCGGCCATGTACTAAAATCTTTATTGATTGATGCTAAATGACTATATCCACCATAATCCCGAAAGAAAATGAAAGTAATAAAAATGTTAAACCCTGTTAGATTGTTTGTTTATACATCCACCACCCGACAGCTGCCGCTCTCGCAAATCTGCACTTGGTTCTTTGTCGCCCGTAATTCCTTGTACGTCCGGTTCCGGCCTCGCAGCCAGAACGACTCGTTCCCGACAAAGTCCCCCAGATGCGCCGGTCGGATATCTACCAGAGCGACCGTGGTCGTCGACGTCGACGTGGCCAGGCCTGCCTCTGCCCGAACCTTCTTGACGACCAGATCTCGTCCTGATATGGGCTCGTCTATTTTTCTCAGTAGGCTGTTGCTTCGCGAACTATCCGAGCTGCTCACGTCGGCTGTGGCAAATATCCCAGTCACGCTGCGGGTGCCGGCTTCTAGACCAACAATCGTGTCCAGCAGCCCAACAAATAGGAATGGATGTTGCAAAATTTCTACCGCAAAAGAGTGGCATGTCTGGCGCGCGAGGATCCGGTATTCGTCGTCCTCCAGCAACGAAGACAGCCGCAGAAGGTTGCGCGCAATGACTCCGTTGATAGATGGCGTGGCCGACTCGGTTCCAGTCTTCAAGCGAAGAAGAGGGCCAGGCATGCCCGGTGTCATGGTGGATGGCGTGCTATAGTAACCTGCTGGTGTTGACCCCGTAAACGCAAGGAAGTTCTGGTTGAGGTATCCTGACCGGTGTTAGTATCAAAAGTCACAATACTACCTGGGGCGTTGACTTACTCTGCAACTGCTCCGCAAATTGTAGGTAGCTGTCATCAAATGTAGTCTCGTACATATCAATCAGCCCATTGATCATATATGCATAGTCGTCGGCAAATCCGGGTGTTGTTCCCTTGCTGCCATCGCGGTAGATGCGCCAGAGCTTCCCCGTAGGCTTATCAAAAAGTGAATCCTTGATGAAGCTGATAGCCCGCGCTGCTGCCTCCCTACACTGCAGGGCTTTGGAGCTTTCGATCTCTTCGAAGAGCGCACTGCACTTGGCGAGTGCCCCAATAGCAAGTCCATTCCACGACACAATAATCTTGTCATCCAAATCAGGCCGCACCCGTGTTCGTTCCCGATACTCGCGCAGTTTCTGTCTGCCTGACCGGATGATCCTCACCACTTCATCCTCTCCCAGACCAAATTCTTTCGCCAGCTTGCTAGGTGTAACCTTGACAGAGAGCACATTCTGGTTCATGAATTCATCATGCGGATCATTTTCAGGCGCGACGTTGCCATCCGGGAGAACACCCCAGTGACGAGCACAGACTCCAGCATCTCGGTGGCCTAGGACTTGCGTGAGCTCCTTCAATGTCCAGACATAGTATGCACCCTCTCGTTTTTCGGTGTCGTTGGGGCTTGGCAAACTGTCGGCATCCTCCGAGGAATAGAATCCACCTGTAGGCGCTTGAATCGGAGCCGTCGTCAGGTAGGTAGCTAGATCATAGACAGCGCCCAGCAATTCAGGGTCGTGGGTTATTTTGAAGGCATCGACATAGATGTCTAGTAATTGTGCCTGGTCGTAGAGCATCTTCTCAAAGTGCGGCAGGCTCCAGTCCTTTGTGACACTGTACCGCGCAAATCCGTGACCGATATGATCTCTGATCCCTCCGCGTGCCATATTTATGAGGGTGCTGACTGCCATAGCAGTAGCCTTCTCACACTCATCCTCGCCAACAATATCAGACGCGGCGCTTGGGTATTTCCCCAAGCGGAGCAGGAAACCTAAGTTTGCTGGTGTTGGGAATTTTGGTGCCCTTGAAAATCCTCCGTATACTGGGTCATAACGAGAGGCAAAGTGTTGATAAGCCTCCTCAAGTAGCTCGACGTCCAGGTCTTCATCGGCCTCGCGATCCCCATGCTGAGAGTGTGTTCCTTCTTCCGCAAATTCCCTGAGCTGTCTTGTAATTTCCTTTGCACTTTCGCGGCATCGCTGCTGCTGTGTCTGCCAGACATCTCTCAGTTTCTCGAGGATCTCGATAAGCCCAAGTGTATCGTCCCCAATGTGTGTTGACGTGTTTGGGCCAGGCCAGTAGGTGCCTCCAAATACCGGTTCCAAATCGGGTGTCAAAAACACATTCAATGGCCAGCCTCCAGAGCCTGTCGTGGCTTGGACATAATTCATGTAGACATCGTCAATATCCGGTCTCTCTTCTCGATCAACTTTGATAGGGATGAATGACTCGTTGAGAATCGACGCGACCTCTTGTGACATAAACGACTCTTTTTCCATCACGTGGCACCCTGGCTCTTGTTAGCAACTCTCGCGTATACCAGAGATGAACCACGAACAATGACAAGCAGAATATCCGATGCTGAGAAAGACCAGCCGGTTGGACTTCCTGGCCATGTCGATGGCTTCTGCGTCCCATAGCTGCCAGGCGACCGGGTTGTTCATATGACCCCTCACCTATCCATCGTTAGCAAGGTAAATCCGCTCCTTCCTATCATGAAATCCAGTACTCACATAGGGTGATCTGCTCTCATGCAGTCGGTTGACGAGCTTGGAACCTGTTTCTGTCAACCCCTCGTGCGTATGCACATGCATGTCCGACGGGGCCGCCATTCTGCAAGGACGGGCGATTTGACGACTCAACCTGTTCTGATAAGTAAGACGCTATTCCAGTACGACGATGACCGCGTTGACAGTGAGATCTGGGTGCAAGGGGGGGAGGGGCTGGTACCCGATAAGATACGAGGGACGATTTGCACCCCAGTTGGCGAGACGGAATTCACGCCGAGGACGGACCACTAAAACAGTACCTAGTCTGAATTTGCGCAGACGCGAGACAGTACTGTAGTACATAAAACGATGAACGAACCAGGTGAGAGCGGGCCTTGAGAAGGGAAGAAAGGGCAGTAGTGGAGGGCTTCCTCGTGTCCAGAAACAACCATGTGTACGATCGCTAGACTGGCCCGCAACCGGGAGATCATCGCCCACGGTGCGTCATTTATGCATCACGCGGGTCACGTGCCCTCAGCATTACGACAGTGCAAATAATATGTACGGAGTATCTTGGTTTGATATTATGTGCATCTCTCTATTCACTCTAGCATATGCAATTCTAGTCATCGGCCATTAACTCGGCCAGCTCTCGTTCCTCCTCCTCTGTCAACGTGGATTCCGGGTTGGGTTTGTTCTCCTCGTCTTCTGTCGGAGGCTTCCTAGCCCTTTCCACGGCAGTTTGAAGCTCATCGGGCTTGAGGGACCATCGACGGATAGTAGCATCAATACTGACACTGACAACTGTTGATCCCACGAGTGCAAGTCCTGTAACCTCTTCGAAGTGGCCAGAAAATGTGTGATGCAATTGTCCAGTCTAGAAATCCTAGGTGTCAGCGAATTCCATATCATTTGTGACCTTCTTGAACGTACTGATCGGTTCCACACTCGGACCTCCTCATCTCTACACACAGTAATGACCCAGCCCCCCTGCTCGTAAACTACCACGTCTTTGACAAAGTCCGGGTGCTCTAATGTGAGGTTTGCTTTCCAGCCATCTTCCCTCACGAGGCATTTAGCGGTTTTGTCAGCTGAGGCAGTCCATAGATCGCCATCGCTGTCAAAGAAGAGCTTGTAAACACTGGTATCGTGGGCGATGAGAGGCTCTGTGCCGGTGAGATCACTACTTCCTGCAGCAATGTCGAAGTGTCGAATCTCCCGGTCACTCCCAGCACTAAACACAAGATGCTCCGCGCTCTCTGTTTCAGCCGAAACTGGGTCAATGGCAAGATCCTGGATTCCCTTGATGTGTCCCTTCAGTACGTGAAGTCGTTGGGCACTAGCGATGTCGAAGACCAATATTTGCTTATCGGCGCCTCCCGAGACAAGAAGATCTTGCCCACGCAGCCTGGTGCTGGTGACGGATCTCACAAAGTCGGTGTGGCCTTCATATCTCTTCTGGGGCTTCCCCGAAGCAATCTCCCAGCTCCAAACGGTCTTGTCCCAGCATCCCGCAAACAACAGCTTGCCATCCGGACTGAAACAGATGCTCGTCACGGGTGCAGTTGGTCCTTTAAAAACGGTAGCAGTTTCACCTGTCTACAGACATGAACGATAATGACGAGTGACTTAGTTATGGTCCTAGCGAGGCATCCGGCAGGCAAGGATACCATGCACCTACTTCGAGTATGATCTTTCTGACCGTGCCACCACTCTGGGCCACGAACACAGAACCGGCATTCAAGGGATCTGCCTGAATTGCCAATATCTTACTTTGCAGTCTGATGGGGTCACCATTTGTGTTCCGAGATTTAGCGTCCTTTCGCTTCTGCTCGTCAAGGGTTGCCCTGTATAAACCCGGACATCAGTGACTTGCACGGCATTAATAGAACCCTCGAGATCATCACGAACGTGGTTTGGAAGAAATCATCACGATGTGAAGAGCGCGACATGTTGTAGATTCACTGTTCCCGAGTGACAGACAATAAGCACTAACGATTGGGGGGACACAAAAAGCCTCGTAGATTCTCGCCCTCGAAATCCCCAACCGAAAAGCAGGAACTGCTCGGGAAGCTTCTGTGGGCCGCCGTAGCCCCAGTCAATTTCAGCACAAAAACCACCGATTTTGCTTCTTCTTCCCTTTTCTCTCCTCTTCTCCTCTTCCGTCTCTTCCCTATTTCTTCCTCCCATCCCCCTCTTCCACTCTCTTTTTCCTTCATTCTTCTCATCCCGCGCAGTTAATGCGCAACACCCGTCAGCATGGATATGAACCATTTAATAGGGTCAGTCTTCTATGCCTACTGGTCTGAGCCAGGGTTTGTGCGGCTAGGCTGGAGTTAACACCTGGCAGTCAGCGGTTCAACCTCATCTCTAAGAGTGACATTCGGTATGTTGTTCTTCTCTTTCCTTTCACTATTACTCGCTTCCTAACTCTCTTGAAGATATGTTGGTACTTTACATGAGATTAACCCTGAGGCCTCGACAATTGCTCTTGAAAATGTCGTCTCTTTCGGGACTGAGGGTAGACGAGGCAGCCCAGCTGAGGAAATTCCTCCGTCTACCAGTGTCTACGAGTACATTGTCTTCCGGGGTAGTGATGTAAAAGACATCAGTGTAGCTGAGGAGAAGGAGAATACACAGCCTGAGCCACCTCAGGTTCCTGATGATCCTGCTATCTTAGGGGTAAGTCGAGATTCCCACCAAGAAAATTCTTCAATGCACCCACTTTTTGCCCCCGTGCGAAACTTTTCCACGGTCGGACACTTGATCTTATGATGAAATATATTCGGATGTAAACTCACAGACCTGTTCTGAATGCGCAAAATCCTTGTTGATATTTCCGTTGCCTTCCTTCTGATCATGATCAAGACCCATTGCACATTTTTGTCACAAATTCTTGGCTGGTAACAGTTTGCTAACCTCCATGAATTTAGAGCATGTCTCGTCCAGGACCTAACCCTGGCGTTCCTGCCCCCGCTGGCCCCCAGGGTCTTCCTTCTCAGCCACCCCAACAGGCCCAGGTTCCTCGTCCTACCCCTCCGGGCTATCCTCAGCAGCCACAATTCCAGGGCTTCTATCCACCCTATGGGCAGCGGTATCCCGGACCTCCTCCCGCATTTCCTCCTGGGCCTGGTTTTCCCGGTATGCCATATGGAGCTCCCCCAGGATGGTTCCCTCCACCGGGACAAGGATTTCCCCAAGGGCCGCCAGGTCAATTTCCCCCTCAGATGCCTATTGGACCACCTGGTCAGCATCAAACTCCCCCTCCACAGCATCGTCCTGGGGTTCCTGGTGCGGGTCCTGTAAACATTCCCAAGCCAACATCTGAGCTTCCAGTTGGTGAAAAGGGTTCGAGTAAGCCCACCAGCCGAGATGGTACGCCTGCCCCTGTTGCGGCGACTCAGAATGCTCCTCCCCCACCAGTTGAATCTAAACCCTCCGTAACTGAAGTCGCCCAAGCATCCGCTTCGGCTCCTGCTCCTGCCGCTGCTCCGGGTACGCCATCCAAGGTGCCGCCTACTGGGCCTAGGAGCGGTCGTGTGCAGCCGGCAATTCCAATTTCTCACCCCAAGCCGCCAGTTCCAGTTGTAGCCAATCCCCCTCTTGCTAGTGCTTCGGGGAACAATGGACAGGCTCAAGCCGCAATTACTGAAGCGACTCGTGCAGCTACTGCCGCGGTCGCAGCTGCTATGGCCAAGTTGCCACAGCCCAATGCTCCTCAGAAGAAGCCCCAGGATGCCTCTGTGGAGAACGTCACGAAACAAATGGGTGAATTGAGACCGTATGATGGCTCGCGCCCCCAGCGTGGCGGTCACAATCCTCGTGGTGCGCGTAGTGGCCATCGCGGCCAGTATCAAGGCCAGGGCAAGAAGGTCGAAGTCCCGCAGTCTGACTATGATTTTGAAACTGCCAATGCCAGGTTTAACAAGCAAGACTTGTTGAAGGAAGCCATTGCAAGTGGTTCCCCCGTGACGGAGGCTGAAATGTCCATTCCGGACGGTGGAGAACCCGAAGTGGTAGAGCCTGCCAGCAACAGCGCCGCCAACACGAGCACTGTTAACTCTTACAGCAAGACCAGCTCTTTCTTCGACAATATCTCCAGTGAGGCCCGCGACCGCGAAGAAGGAACCGGAGCCCGAGCTGGAGGTCGTGAATGGCGTGGTGAAGAGGAGAAGCGGAACATCGAGACCTTTGGACAAGGCAGCGTCGATGGCTACCGTGGCAGCTACAGGGGCCGGGGCAGAGGTCGAGGCTATGGAGGTCGTGGCAGAGGCTACAATCGTGGTTACGGTGGACGAGGCCGTGGAGGTGGCTTCCGCGGCGGCCGTATGTCACAGTCCACCGGTGTCCCGACGCAGACCTAAACGTTTTTCTGTCTGTTTTCTTTTTGGGCTTATCTCATGGCGCGATATTAGCGGTGGTTCATTTTTTCTCTCTTGATTTCCATATCTTTTCTTTTGGTGTGGCAAAACCTTTGCAAGGCTTCTGCTTCCCTTGATATTCCCCGGCGTCTGGATGATCGCATTTCTCGAATGCTGATCTTTACAATCTCCGCGTTGAGATTTTGCTCTTGTATTTGGGACTAATATGGGTCTACGGTGGTATTGGTGAGTTTACGTGCTGGGACTGGCTTTTCACACACATCTGGGGTCGACTTAACTGGCGTTCTTTCTTCTTTACACCTTGCATGGGTATATTCACAGCCCCCCATTGCATTGCTTATGCACCTTGACGACTATCATGTTTCTTTCCTCTGGTGGAATTCGATTCGATATCCGTGGGAACTCGTGGAGAATGCCGTCCGGTCAAGCACCGTTTGATAACAAGCAAACGATCTGTATCATATTCAGACGATCAACAATAAACAAAAAACCAGAAAAAAAAAAAGGCCATTTATTAGGTCAATTACTTGATTCTATTGTAAACCGTCTTGCCATCTACTGAAGCCATATCTATAATGCCAAGTTTATGTGTAGAATAAGTGACCACTCATTGCATCCTGATTATTTAGAGCAGATCTACTAGAACCTTGCAGCTCTCAAAAAGAGATCGTCTTGGCCGTTGGGGAGTTTTCTTGCTCTTCACCTGCAGCTCCTTTGTATGATGGATTAGCCAGACACTCTGAATGAATCTCTATCAGCAGATGGATATATAATCACCATCATCATCGTCCTGGTCACTTTTTTTGCTGGATCTACGCTTCTCTTCCCCATGAGTCTCTTAATCACCCCATCATCCTTCCATCTCGGCCAGTACACACATAATTCGGTCTGTCCCTCGGTATCTCGTCGGTCCCACCATCTCTGCGCACCGGCAATTAGCCATATCCAACTCCAACTCCTTAGCGAAGTGCGGAGAAGCCTCGCCACCTCCACATCTCCTTCTTCTTTGGGCCATGATGGACAGCAATGAGGAGCCGTTGAGAAGCTGCAGGAGGGGTATGCTCCTGGATAAGAGAAGATGTAAGTTCTCTTTCTGTGTGTCTGTATGGGCTCTTTTCTCTCATCCACCGCAAGATTGCCAGACATCGCCATCAGTCCTCGAAGCAAGCCGGTTCGATTAAAAACACAACCCACAAACTAAACTCGCACACCGAGCTCTCCAAGCCTCTCTAGCTGCTCTCCACAACCTTCAACTCTTCATCCGCGGTTCACCGATCCTATTTCTTCGGCGGCATTTGCCTCCTCCCATATTTCCTCCCCCGGAAAAGGGCGATCCACCAGACTCCACGCGAACCAGAAAAATATTCAATAGTTAAAACACCTGGACAGCGTGAAACGATGGCTCAGAGATCGTCAGCGAGTCATGATGGGGACGGTCTAGTGGTTGATATTTGTAGGTCTTTGACCTCTCTTCCTGCTTCCATCTTCATCTCGGCCTCATCCTTACTACTAGGCAACATGTCTACCACTATCCAAGACCCAGACCAGCTTCCTTGGGACCCTAATTCCACCCAGTTTCCCTCCCGGAAGAAGCTTCCAACCCTCCCGGGAGCTCCGGAGGAAGCTGCCTGGGTATGGGGGGAGGATGATTCAGTGGGTTTGGTTTCCTTACTGTCTTGAGATGCATACTGATTGTATGAAAGATAGGAAGATTGAATCTGTTAACACCGTCCAGAGTCAAAGCAGCTGCTGGGGCGATCAAAACCGGTGATATCATCCGTCTGGAGTAAGTAGGGCTTTGAAATATCTACCATCTGCTTATCAGACTTGCTAATGGTGCAGTCTTCCTCTGAATATCCCCGAGACTCCAGCTTTCCACCGGGAAAGCTTCCAGCATAATATCAAAGAAGTAGTGGAAGATCTCGTATACGACGATACGTATGTGCTGAATACACAGAGTGGAACTCAATGGGATGGATTCCGACATGTAAGTTCAGCTTATCATCCCAATGACCGTGATCTATCTAACGCTATCTCTACAGTTCGCCCATCTACCAACCAAAACTTTCTACAATGGGGTATGTTAACACATTTTCTCTTCCCGAGAAAGAAAACTAACACTCCCAGGCCAAAGCATCCGACATCATCGGCCCCAACGCCAACCACCGCTGTAGCATCCACCACTGGTCCACCCACGGCATCGCGGGCCGAGGCATCCTCCTCGATTACCGCCACTGGGCCCTAGCCAACAACCGCCCCTATGACCCCTACAAAGCACACGCAATCTCCATGACCGATCTTCACGCCTGCGCCGCGTCCCAAGGCCTCGACAGCCGCCCAGAATCCCAAGGCGGCGATATCAAAATCGGCGATATCCTCATGGTCCGCTCCGGGTTCGTAGAACGGTACAACGAGCTCACATCCGAGGAGCGGAAAGCAGGCGCGCAGAGGGAACACGGCAAGCTCGAATGGGCCGGGCTGAAGCAGGAAGAGGACGTGTTGGATTGGTTGCATGATTGTTACTTTGCGGCTGTGGTGGGGGATTCGCCCACGTTCGAGTGCTGGCCGCCGCTCAAGGAGAATGGGTATATGCATCAGAATATCCTGGCCTTGTGGGGGATGCCCATTGGGGAGATGTGGGATTTGGATAAGTTGGCGCTGAGGTGTCGTGAGTTGGGGAAGTGGACATTTTTCATGACGAGTGCGCCGGCTAATATTGCTGGTATGTTTGAGTTTTATATCCCGTTTTTTTGGACTTATTGGTCTGCTAACTGTCTGTCTCTAGGTGGTGTGGCTTCTCATGGAAACGCTACAGCGATCTTGTGATTAGATAGTGGAATACTGTACAGTTCGAGAAGAGATGTAGATGAGTTTTGTTTACGCCTATCAAAGAAAACATCATCATGACTATGAAAAGAAATAAACCAGATTTTGACTCCTACTTCGCCATACTGCGTTCCAACGTTCATCAAAAAGACAAAAGAAAAAAAGATAAAGGAAATGCGTTACAAAAAAACAAACATAAGCATAACATAACATAGCATCAAAGGAAAAAAGAAAAAAAAAAAAAACAACGGATATCATTATCAATTGCCAACATCAAATCATCGCTTCAATGTGCGATTTCCCTATCCATCAGAGGGAAATCAAAACATGCATATGCATTCGAGTCTGGGTTTTCTCTTTTCTGTCGTAAAAGTCGTCATATTCATCATGTGGTTTTGGTTGGGTTTCTTCTTGCTTAGAAGATATCATCAGGCCATTTCCAATTGTCATCAACTTTCGGCTCCTGGAGGCTGGGCTGTGCCTTGAGTTTTCTCGAGTGCGTCTGCTTCCGCTTCTCAATTTCTCTGGCCAAGCGTCTGTCTACCTTGGCTGCCGTGGCTGCGAGATCCTTGGGGAGTGGAGGAACAGGTGGAATCGAGTCACGCTGACTGTTCTCTCGTTTCCGGTTGGGAGCGGGACTCGGGCTAGACTTGGGTGATATGATCTGATCTGGGTCGAGGTGAAGCTGCCCTTGCATGTAGAAAGAGGGCTTTAGGGCCTCGCCTTGGTAGTTCTCTTTGTCGGGAGAGTAGTTGGCGCTTGCGGAACGAAGATTGTTCTGTGCCTTTTTCGCGCGGAGACATGGGGCGGTGTTTATCCTTGAATTGGGAGATGGTTTGCGCGGCGAGGACGAAGGCGACCTTGAAATGGGCGGGACAAGGAACTGCGACTTTTTCCCAGTGGTTGAGTTGTCGCTGTAATCTGACCAGATCTGTTCTTTCGACTGTCTGCGTTCGACGGACCCTGGACTGTCGCTTGTGCCCATCTTGGGTAACTTTGCCTTTCGCGATCTGGGAGTCTGACCAGAACCAGCTGACCTGCCACCTTCATCGTCGTTGGTGGAAGACTCCTTCTGGTTAGATGTTGATCCCTTGGTTTTCGAAATGGAGGCAGGATCCGGAGACTTTCTCTTGCGAGAAGGGCTGTCAGCGGTCACAGTGGATAATTTGGAATCCGTGGATGGCTTTGGTGGAAGTGTCGCAGAAGTATTTTTGGTGACCGCCAGACAGTCCGATTCGTTTCCTGGGCCTTCGGTGATTTGCAGAAGATTCTCAGACATCTCACTGGAAGGGGCCGGCTCAAGTTCAAGGTCAGGTTGAGGTTGAGGTTCAGGGGATGAGACAAGGTGCTCGTTCAAGAGTCTCTCCGAGGGAAGTGTTGGAAGTGCCCCGGGCACGAATTTTCTAGGATAGGGCTTGTTTTCCAGACATAAAGTCCTCGGAGGGGGAGGGGGCACCTCTTCTTCTCCAGTCAAGCCGCGCAGTTCCCGCCTGGCTTTCGACAGTTTGTCCTCCAGGTTGCTGACCTTCTTCAACAGCCTGGCCTGTCGCAGCATATCCTTGCGGGATTTCTGCTTCCGCACCCCTGAGAACCCTTCCAAGTCTTGAGATTGTCTATCCGAATAGGGAATAATCGGAGCCGGGGATGATACATCGCGCTGAGGGACAGAAAGAATACCCAAAGAGGACTTGGCCTTTCGAAGATCATGAAACGTCGACCGGATCGAAGAAAAACTGTCCCCAGAGCCCTGCCTCGAATGATGCCCCGAAGACGGTCTGTAGTCCATCTTCTCCTGGATCGCTTTCCAAGTCTCGTCTGGAAGGCCACCGGGCCCGGACTGGTTGCCTTGCTGCTGCTGCTGTTGCTGCATATAACTCCCTTTCACGGTCCCCTTATACCCAGCCTTCTTCAGCTCCGCATAAGCCCTCTCGGCCTGAGCAAGAGGGTCATTCTCCTCTGGATTCGCCTCCTGAGCCTTCCAGATCTCCGTCACATTCCCCCACACACCAAAGGGGTTGAAAGCCGAAGCGATCGCCTTTCCGAACCGAAAGATCCCCGAGTTCCGGTGTGTGACACCGTCCCCGGCAGACTTGGCCTCGTCGCGCAGAAAGATACTCGGCGGCCTCTCACTGACACTATCGTTCATCTTGGCCTCGACGAACCGCGACCGTCGGGGCCGAGAGTCGGGGCGCCCAAGTCTGCAGGAAGCTGCAGATGATGCACGCGGGGAACCGTTGTAGCTTGTTTTGCGACCGTTGCTATGGGGGTAAATGCGCCAGCGATTATGGTTATTGGTGCTGTTGTCGCCTGTATCGTTCGAGGTCCCTTCTTCGGTCGTCGGATTTTGCTGGGTTCGGTCGCGAGGCCAATCGTTGGATCGGCGTCGCTTGGCTGAATGCGTGGATGGTGTGTTGTCGTTGTTGTTGTTGGTGCTGTTGCCCTGGTATCGGTCGGGAGAGTCGAGTTCCTCTGCGTCGTCAAAGCGACCAGACACGTCTGAGGAGCAGTAATCAGACGAGTCGGAATAGCTGCTTGACCGCGAGTGCTTTCGAGAAGGCGTATACGACGGACTGGGACTGAACTCGGTGCGACTGGCGTTCAGGTGAAGAGCCAGTTGTAGCTGGCGGTCGGCTTGTAGAGGATCCGTATCCAAATTGATCTCGATGTAAGGCGTCTATCAAAACAAAAACCAAAACACACCATTGTCAGTGAGTGAGACCTTTTGATGATGGCTTCAACGTAGCATGGAAAAAAGCGCAAGGGGATTTTATCAATCAATTGATTGATATAGTATTATTATTGCTTTGTTTGAGACTCACCTCCGCACCGGCTTCTTTCCCCGCCATGATGGCCGACTTGGGATGTTCCTCTATACTGAAACCAAACAAGTAGAGACCAAAAGCATGTAGAAGGAAGAGAACGGAGAAATAAAGAAGAACGACGAAAGAAACCACTGAGGGGTTGATGGCCGGACGGAGAAAAGAAGAAAAAGGCGTTGTTTACATGGAAGGGAGAACAAGCGTTGTTTACTTTAACTAGATTCGCTTGTTTTGGCAAATAATGCGCCAAGCGGGCTTCTAGTATGTATGCATGTTCGGAGCCATGCCATGAGCCAAAATATCCTCCCCTCTTCATCGATATTCTTCCTCGAATATTATTCCTCCTCTGTCCTTTCTCCTCTGACCGTTTATTCTCCTTTCGACGATTCCATGAACCTGCGGGGCTTGCAAAACGGGGATCTGCAAGGACTCGATATGAATGTCTCACAGGGACATGCGAAGCCTGGCATGCAGGTGTCAACAACCTGCATTCTCCGGGCTCCTTTAGTCTTACTGAGTTATGAAGTCATGGCTCCTACTCGAGCCCAAAGTCTTACATCTGGCTTGATCATGCCCATAGGATATATTGAACAAAGGAAATGGAAGGAGTGAATTCGAAACAGCCCAAAAACCGTTCACTATCCAACAAAGAAGTTCGATCTTATTATCCTTTCAAAATCTTCATATCTGACAAGGACATCTCATCTCGTCTCGTCTCGTCTCCAGTCCACCCACGACGCTCCGGGTGCAGTAACACTTTGTAGATCGTTCAAAAGAGGTGCGCACATATATTGGACGTCTATAGAAGGAGAAAGAAAAAGAAAAGGCCGCTCAACATGCAGTGTTCAAAACAGAAGCAAGCCAAGAGAATCCACCAAATAAGAAGAATGACGAAGGGTAAGTGTAATAATAGTTGAACATAATAGGCAAAGAAAACGCATCCTGGACGGAAGGCAAGAATATTTAGGGAACAAGTAAAAGAAAAAAATTGTATACAGAAGAGAAAAACAAGAAAAAAAAAAAAAAAAAAAAGGTGGTATAAAACGTCAACCGGGGTTCATAAAAAACTCCTCAAGTCCATGGACCGGAGTACCATATAGAAAGCAAAACCATCCGAAAGAAGAAGAAAAAAGAGAGGGTGGGGGATTAGACCAATCCAACCGACGAGCTTGCGCCAAAGACACCGTCCTATATAATAACTTTTAGGCACATTACTGCAGCTTTGGGGGCGCCTTCCTCGCCATTCTCCCGTTTGCGCGCTTGTATGCCATTTCATCCGGAAAGGTATCGTTGTAAAATTCTGCTTGAGCATCGGAAATCTTGGGATTACCAGGATACGACTCCGTATCGGGTCGCATGCCATTGCGAAGTGGGCGATCGTCAAGACCAAACGATTCGCCGTGGGAACGCTTGGCAAGCGAGGGACCAGTATCGTATAAACGCTTTTCTCCATGCTCGTGGACTGGGCCCGGGCTCGGGAGGCTGGCGGATGGTTGACGGTAGTTGTTTTGGGGAAATCCGCCAGAGAGAGATTTGAACGATGGAAGCGATGTGACAGGAGTTTGGGAGCGAGGAGCAGCAGATTGGGCCATGGATTGGTACTCGGTTGGGTTGGAAGAGCGTCGCTCAACAGGTGGTTGCATGCCCATAGTCTTGGGGAGGTCTAGACGAAGAGGAGGCAGAGCGGTTCCGTCGAAGAAGCCGGGTCTGTCGGAGAATCCAGGACGTTCGGTTGGCCGTGGCTGGGAGTAAGGGTGTCCAGAGGGAGCAGGCTCGTACTCTGTAGCATTTGACGAACTCCTTGTGTGGACATGAGAGATGTGAGGAGAGTATGCGCTGGGAGGGTTGGCAACTTGTTGGGTCGGGGGCAGCGGAGGAGCCTGGTACTGAGACTGAGACTGGGTCGCGGTGAATGTTAAATGAGAATTATAGGCCTGGGCGTGCGATGGCGTGGGAGGAGCAGGACCCGGAGGACCCGGAGGAATAGTTCTTTGGTATGGCGGCGGGGCGGGGAAACCATAGTCGGTAGCAGAGGGACGTCGCTGAGCATCCGGACCGTAGGCATATTGAGGGTCGATAGTGCTGGTACTAGTTGATCGGGGGCGTTCAAAGGGAGTTGTAACATGGGCGTCGGGCGTCTGGTACTTGTCGGACGATCGAGCGTAAACCCTCTCTTCATCAAACTCGTAATCCTCCGTTCGCTTGTCTCCGCGGCGTCTCATGCGGACATCACGTCTAATACGGACACGGCAACCTTGCTCGGCAATGACACGACTCAGGGCGGTGCTTGTTGACAGACCAGGGAACTTCTTGGCGCTGTAGACACTGAATGGAGCAGATTTGACTTCGAGGCGGAAATTGAGGGACGACTGGGGAGCGGTCGGCTTGGACAAGGGCGAGCGGGCCATAGTGTTCTGCATTGGGGTATCCTTGTCGGCATCCTTGGGGTCCTTGATCTCTTCGTACAAGTTGAAGTTCAACCGGTATCGACCTTCGTGACGCACGGACAGATCGGGGAAGATGAAGTAACCGGCCTGGGTTGGGCGATCCAGATACGCCACACCGGCGACAGGTACACCCGTCAAGACCGGACAGGATGGGATGGCGGGGACTCTGCCGTGAGCGATAGGGCGAGCAGTATCGAGGGTCGCAAACAGGAAGAAATTGGCGTTGTAGGCGAAGGTGATGTCGGTCTGGTGCATGTCATCGTTGGGGTCGGATTCGAAAATGCGCAATTCGACCACGGGCGGAGGATCAACAGGTCGACGATCGGCCGATGCTGTCGAGGCAAACAATTAGCTTTCCGGATACTCTCTGACCCACGACGATGAGGATGATGAAGGCGTACATTTGGCGCCCGCGTCGCAAGCTCTAGCACGCTCGGGCTGTTGCATGACAGCGAGCTTATATGTGAGCTTCTTGCCCTCCCGCGTAACTCTGCTGACGGAGTGGGTCGTCTCGTTGACCGGAGCCAACATGGGAGCTCTAGTCGCCATCTTGAAGCGAGTGAATTATATACTGGTAATCAAGTCTAGTCACGGAATCAGTATATAGCTCGATGGCACGGATCAATGGACGACAGGGTCTCAGCAGCGACGCACTTGATAATGATTCCATACGCAAGTAGCGAGCGAACCAGTGTTACTTATATGGCCTCTTGGCGATAGGGTATTGTTCCTTGCTTCAAGCAGGTGTTGATTCTTTTCGATCCTTCGTTTCGATCCACCAGATGCAATCACGAGACGGGGCTGGACTGTGTGACCAACAATGTGGGTGATGGGTGAATCAGGCGACTTGGGGTTAATAGCTCTCCTAACAGGGCCAACTATAGCAAAACGAAGAGGGGATTAGGGAAAAAAAAAAAGTACTGGGTCTGCTGTATACAAGGACGACAACAGATGAACCCAGCAATGACCCCGTCCGGCAACGAAGGGGAAGAGGCGATAAAGATACAGGCGAAGAAGGAGATATATTGAAGAGAGAAGAAGAGAAGAGAGGAGAGCGAGAGCGAAGAGATTACTAGGAAATGAAGCGAAGTGGGAACGCTGTGTATGCACTCCGTACTAGGAGGAAAAGTCAGCCGTAGTGCGCGGTAGCTTAGCTGGACGATCCAGAAATACCGTACGCCGAATACACGGACAGAATGGGCTGTGGGCTGTGGGCAATTGTTGTATGATACAGTACTGATACGGCGGTTTAGTGCTTCGGCAGTTGCGTCCCAGCGTGTATTGTTCGGATTCGACACAGACCAGGTCCGGCGAGCCAAAGCAGTGGGTTTTGGGTAGGGGAAATAATCAAAAATAATAATAACACTGCATATTATGATTCTGGCTTGCTGCATTTCCCAGGCTCTTTGGGTCGCTTTGGAGGGGGAACAAAAGGCAAAAGCACGCCCAGCAGGATCGGGGCCGCCGGATGGGGTTTAGCGCTGCGGTTAAGTTGAGTTGCAACAGGCAGGAAGGAGAGCGGGGCTGATTGGCGGCAGGGGATTGGCCAGCAGGGCGGGTTTAGCGTCAGCAAAAAGGCAGCCGGTGTTTCTGGGGGAAGGCAGATTTCGAGGTCCGTGGGTCAGTAAGATACGCTCAGGTGGGGCACAAGGTTGGGGCTAGCAGGCTGAGGATGTGAGTGGTGGAGGGGGGGTTAATCTGGACATGTTGGGCCTAGGATAGCTATCAATGATGAGGGATGTTATCATCTAGCTCAGTCTGCCAACCTAATACTGATTATCGTTATTCTCTCTCTCTTTTACAGAATACATTTATGTCTATACACTATACAGATTCATATCCATCTGGACAGTCGGATCGTTCAGGAGTTCTGCAGCAAGCACAGACTCACTAGTCGGCCACACTAAAAAAAAATAACCCCTGTACAGGCATGACGGATGACCGGTCCAGCATTCCTCCTCATGGTGCCAGAAAACCCACGGGACCGATTCCGACTCCACGTAACCAGTTATTGTCTACGCTGCATTTTACTTTTGGCTGCCACACCCAGTCCAACGGGTCGGATTCCTGCTCAGGTCCAAGTGTCTGGCTAATGTGATCCTGGTGGTTGCAGCCAGCATAGCTTACCTAGTTCTCTATCTCGGTATCCTGATGATACAGGCGTCAAAGTGCGTGGGCAAAGTGAAAAGTAAAAAAAGTAAAAGTAAATAAATGGTCGATCGGAATATCCGAGCTAGGTCGATAAGATCACAGGAATCCTCCTAGAAGTCTGTTAATCCCGTCTTCGTGCCATCCAGCCACCCAGACTAGTCCACTGTGATGAACTGACAGTTGAATCTCCACCGTCCGTCAACCGATCGGGGCCAATCACAGCCCCCGGGGATACGACTGATCGCTCGGTGTGTTGCGCTCGCGACATGGAACCTGATCAGAACAGAACAAATCCCGAGCCCCTGTGTTCAGGAGACAGGGATCCCCTGCCTAGTCGCCACCTTTGCCCCGGGTCTGCCTTCCCATTGGGTCTCGCTAATTTTCGAAATAGCTTTTCTCCAGCCGGGCGGTGGAGATCATCCGCCCCGGCGAATCACAATTATTAAACAATTACACGCAACAATTACACGCTAACCCCATTTAGGCAACAGTCTCTGCGGCCTTCTCATCCAATCATTCACTGGCTGCCCTCTGAGTTTCATGCCGCCCCACTTGGCGGTCCGCACCGAATCGAGTGACGGCCCCATTCGGCCAATTCATGATTCAGACTGAGAGTCGGTGGGATTGTCAATGGACTCACTCACTCACTGGGATGACATTATGAAGAGAACTGAATATTCTTAGAGAAGTTGAGAATGAAGATGAGAATGAAGATGAAGAAGCAATTCTAATCTCAGCCATTCCTCTGCAGGACTTACAGTTGAGCATCCCTGAACAGCTTCTATCGGTTCTATATTGGCGTCGGTCGGCCTGGTTCTCAATGGGGAGAATCCTCCGGAGGATCACAGGCTATGCACGGAGGTGATACTCGACATATCGCTCGATGATGATGATATTCCCAGGCTCTCCTTATCCCTGAGTAACGTTACTCTGTTTATTGGAACTCGCAAGCTCAAAAATTCGACGATAATGGCGAACCTCTGGTCAAAGTGCCTATATGCAGACTGTGCTATATCACTTTCTTTGTTTCCAACGGTCGATCTTTGCTAACATTGCCAGACGCAAGGTATTATTGAGAATCATATCGGTCCAACACGCAATCTATCCAGAACCCTAACCCACAGCATCAAAAATGCAAACCCCGCTTCATGATTCATATCCCGATGACACAATGACAGCACTGCAGCAGGCTCAGCAGGACCAATCCGTCCGGCTGCAAGGATCGATATCCCCATGACTCTGATCGCCGTACCTGGCATGAATCGGCCCATCTGCCCAATTCCCAGCTGAACCATCCCAATCGACCTTTGCACTGATCCAGCATCCTCATCCTTCGTCTCTCCCCGATCCATTCCACCGGATCTACCCGCATGCCATCGATCTGCAATTTCCCGTCCTTTTTGGGATAGAAATGGGTGTGGAGTCGCTTGTCAGGCCGACTGTTTGAGCTTCTTGACCAGGATTGCGCCGGAGGTTTTCAGCCTGATTCAGGAATTTGTTTCAGTCATCATCTGGATCATCCTCATCATCATCATCGTCATTCCCAGAGACTTGGTAGGGTTTATCCGGTGGCAAGTCAGTGGCAGTGCACGTCCCCTTCTAGCGTTGCAGATGTCGGTGAGTCTTCAGCTGAGGATATGAGCAATTTCTTGCCCTGCATAAGATGAGTCGACATGCGGTGTGCTAGTTATCAGGCTCATTCATTCTTGGATCCCAGCAGTCTGGTTCAAACGCAGGGAGGCAACTTCCATGTAGGTCAAGTGCTGCACCAGCATGTCATGAGATGTTTTGGATATAGTCTCCGTTGCTCATGGTTGATAATCTATGGAGTGCAGATGCAGGATAATATCATAAATGATGGATATATATAGCACTTACTACATCGTGATTCATCAACACCATACTTACTTTATATATCTACTCAGTACAGTTGAATAACTGCAAGTATAACACGTGCTTTACTGATCAATCCGACATGTCAATCAACTCGTATTTCAACCAGTGAGACCTTGATCAACTGCTGATATCATTATATACCATTATCACCCATCTCCATACTTGTCAGACATATCCATCTCAATAGATCTACACATAAAATACGCAGATCAATTCATGCATCATCGTCTGATCCCATTACCGTTACACGATTATATATCGTGACTGGTAGTATATGCACGTATACAAAGATCCAACGACTCGAAAGCAAGGGTTATTTAAACAAAGAACATACTTTAGACAAGACTGGGTCTGTATTTGGTAACTGTATACGCATTGTGAGACATCTGAGCTATTCGAAAGCATATTTTGTTCCTTTGTTTTGTTTCTTGCCGCGATTGCCAGCTGATGGAGGTATGCATGCCATATGGAGTATCATGTTACGATTTCACGTGGACGTCTCCTTGCAGCAATCATGTTTATGATTGTTCCTATGGAATGTTCCTTTATTGGAGTGTCAGATGAGTGGTGAAGTTATTTAGATCGTCTGGGATGGAGTGTAGTCGACCAGGTTGATAAGGCTAGTTGGTGACCTGTTGATGCTGACTTGACAATTTGTCGAGAATTGATTAGAATACGTGATGAAGATATCAACTTCAAGAGTTGACTCGAGACTGTGTCGTATACTATCAAAAGTGCAGGTTCCAACGAGGAAGAAATGTAACCATCCTGATTGGTCCATTTCCTCTCCCCGACTTCCATTTTCCCCTCAACGCCTCTTCCTCCAACGCTTCTTCTTATGGATCTTCTATCAGTCCTCCCGGGCTTCGCGACTAAACCGTATGCACATATCCTCCCTCCTCTCGAACGAGCCCAAATCAACGTCGTCGATCTCATCACCCTCGATACCCTCGAAATCGCCAAACGCGCTCACGTCCCCCCGACCGATGTCCGCCGTCTGTCCACCAGCCTCGTCGACGCTTTACACCGAGATGTCGGGTTTGAGAGACCTCAGTCGGAGGTAGAGTCGTCTGAGGATGCTGAGCCTAGCTCGAGTGTCAACCTCGAGACCCCTCTTGTCCCTGGTCCGACGACTAGGTTAGATCTGTCGCAATGGAGTGCGATCAGTACCCTCGACCCCGCGTTGGATGACTTGCTAGATGGTGGGATTCCCACGGGATACGTGACTGAAGTGACAGGTGAAAGGTTTGTGGCATTCATCGTCATATAGAAAAAGATTGGTATCATGAACTGAGTAATGAATTTGCAGTGGGAGCGGCAAGACGCAATTCCTCCTCAGCCTCCTACTCGCCGTTCAACTGCCCAGTCCACGAGGCCTGGGCAAAAGCGCCATCTACATTTCTACAGAAGCCGCACTGGCAACTCCACGCCTCTCGCATCTCCTCGACTACCATCCATACCTCTCCACCCTCCCCCGTGACCATGCCCCGTCCCTCGAGAATATCCTGTCTATCAATGCCATGGACCTCGAGTCCCAGGAGCATATCCTGAACTACCAGCTTCCCGTTGCTATATCCCGGTACAATGTTGGACTGGTTGTCATCGACTCCATTACCTCGAATTACCGCGCGGAACACTCGTCCAGCGGTATTCAGGCTCTGTCGATGCGGTCCGGGGAACTCGCGAAACTGGGCCAGCTGCTGCGCAACCTCGCGGTCAATGAGAACTTGGCCGTTGTAGTTGCGAACCAAGTCTCAGATCGGTTCGACCAGGGCGAGGGCTATCCCATATCACGGATAGGTGGTGGTAATAGCGGTATTATCACCGGTTCTCAATCCCCAATGCCAAAAAGTCGACCAGAGGCAGCAGCAGGAAACGCAGAACTACTCTCGCAGCCTAACCTCATGCTTCCGGCTTCTTCCCCGGCCTTTCCCTCGTCTCCGTATGTCGAAGAAGAGCAGCAACAGCAACAGCAATTCGACGGTTCATATCTCGTCGGGAACCCCGTTCGCAACGAGATATTGAGTCTAGTCCACCAACAGCGTTTCTTTACAGGGTGGGGAGATACACCACCACAGCAGTCGATTACACCAACGCCAGTTTACAGTTCGTCATTCCACCGATCAACCGACAAAACCCCGGCTCTGGGCTTCGTCTGGGCCACGCAGATTGGCTGTCGAATAGCATTGAAAAAGGAACTGCCCCCAGAGGACATAGCCGACCTGACAATCCCCGTCCTCGAGCAAAACACATCCACACCCACAAATCCTCAGCCACCAACAGGGCCTACCGAAGACAAGACCAAACCGGAACCCTCAACACAACAACCACCGACCAATCAAACCGGAGAGTCAGAAAAACCAGCATCCAACCCACCTACTCTACAAACCACACCACCAGAACCAGTTGAAAGGAGCATCAGGAGAACAATGAAATTGGTATTTGCTCCTTGGTCTGCTGGATCCACGTTGGCAGATGGGAATGGGAAGGAAGAGGTCCGCGGAATCAGGGATGAAGTCGGTTTCAAAATCTGGAAGGGCGGATTGCAGAGTATCAGTTACGATTGATTGATTGATTGATCATCTGTCTTGTTTGAGCTTGATTGCTCAGGTAGACTTGTACGGTTGCACATAGATTATGATAGAGCATATGTGATTATGAAGCCTTTGCCATCTTACCCACTCGTATAAAACCTTAAAAGCCCTCTTCAGTCTCAAATCTGGGGTTACGGAAGCTAGGAATACCTTATTCAAGTTCCCCGCAAATTCAGATACGCTTATCTACTAGTAAGTAGACTGGTCTACGGCTACGGAGAATAATGCACTGATCCAAGGTGTCTATCAATAACTTTCATCTCGTGATTCGTGATAAACTAGCCAAGTCGAGGTCTATGGTGGCTGAACTGGGGAGACAGAACCAGTAAAACAACTCTTGTCGCAGACCAAAGACAGGAAATCTTTCGCTGGAAACATGACGAATATATGCTGCGAAATCAAAAAAGGGCGGATGATCAAACGATCTTCTAGAGCCAATCATACACCGAAACAGGACTCCCAAATTAATCACAATTATAAATAAGAAAATGGTTACATCGAGAATTTTGCCGTGTCCATACGCCTTTGATTTTCCAATCCATCCACTCAATAATGCTCCATCGCATCTGACATGAGTGCCATATCGTGGCCATTTCGATCCTGCGAGAGCACCACGGAGGAACGCGGAAAATCTCTATTATCTCTATGCGTTATCGACAGCTTTCTATTTAGCAGCCATCTTGGCGGGAGGAACACCAATGCCGTTGGTGTTGCGGTAGAAAAGCACGTTGGCGTGCTCGCCCGTGGCGCCCTCGGTGGGCTCGACCCAGTGGCAGACGCGAGAGCTGTTCCAGAGGGCCTTGAAGAATCCAGTCCAGCCGGTCTGGGCGTCAGTCTTGTAGTGCTCGCCCATCACCTTCTTGATGGCCTCGCTAGCCTCGTCGGCGTTGTAGAAAGGAATAGTGCTGACGTAGTGGTGAAGAACGTGAGTCTCGATGATACCGTGCAGGATGTTACGTCCAACAAATCCGAAGTCACGGTCAATGGTGCAAGCAGCTCCGCGGGCAAAGTTCCAGGCTTCGGGCTGGTAGTGAGCAAGAGTGGGGTCGGTGTGCTGCAGGTAGGTGATGGCGACTGAAAAAAAAAAATTAGCATTTGAATATTTATCAAGCATTGTAAAAAAGTACTTACCGAGCCAGTGGTTCACCCAGAGGTAGGGAATTCCGTACCATACGAGCAGGTTCATCCAGCCAAAGTTGGTTCCAAGGTAGTAGAGAGTGCTGCCAGTGATGAAGAGGCCGAGGTCACTCAGGGCGATCAACTTGGCGTCCTTGGCCTCGTAGAGAGGGCTACCGGGGTTGAAGTGGTTGACACCGCCGAAGTAGCCGTTAGACTTGCCCTTACCACGACCCTCGGGCTGGCGCTCGTGGTTGTTGTGGCCGGTAACGTTGGTGAGAAGGTACATGGGCCATCCAAACAACTGCTGGAGAACCAGGTTGAGAGCGGTCAGAATCGGGGTTTCCTCCATGAGCTCGCCGAGCTCGTGAACAGCCTTGCCGACGCGAGTAGCAAACTGGTCTCTGGTCTTGGGAACGAAGACCATGTCACGAGCAATGTTGCCGGTAGCCTTGTGGTGCTTTCCGTGGGAGATCTTCCAGGAGAAGTAGGGGACCAACAAAGCAGAGTGGCAGATCCAACCGACGGTGTCGTTCAAAGTCTTGGAGGGAGAGAAGGCCTGGTGGCCACACTCGTGAGCCAGAACCCAGACACCGGTAGCGACCAAACCCTGGACGACGGTGTAGAGAGTCCACAGGGCAACACGGGCCGGCATGGAGGGGATGTTCTCAGGGGTCACGTAGTTGTAGTAGACGTAGAAGACGGCGGCCAGAATGGAGATGTCCCGGAAGACATAGTACAGACTGGTGACAGCCGAACGCTCGTAGCAGTGAGCGGGAATAGCGTCACGAATCTGCTTGATGGTGAAATCGGGGATCTTGAACTCGTTTCCGTAGGTGTCGAGCATCTTGCCCTGGTCCTGGCTCTCCTTGCCCGCATCCGAAGCCATGGAGGAGAGAGAGGTCGAGGAAGGCGAATGACGGGGGCTATCGAAAGGGGAAGCCGTGACAGAGCTGGGCACGGAGGAATCCGTGGTAGGGTTGCGATGAAGCGCAACGCGCTTGGGGAGAGCTGTGGAAGACATGATTTTTTTTTTTTTGGAGACTGATAGAAGGTCCTGTCAGTGGGAATTCCTGAGAATATCAAGCAGCCGAACACACCAAAAAGTCTAGCTGTTCAGAGGTTGTAGATATGGAAAGGTGCTAGGGCTTGCTGAATCTGACGATCTGCAAGTACCTCCGAAACCCCTAACCAGAAGGAATTGAAGAAACAGGACGAGAAGGAGAGTTTAAAAGGACGAGCAGAGGGACAAAGAGAAGGAGGAGAGAAGATGAAAAGGGAGGGGAAGGCGTTAGAGAAAAAAAAGAAGAAGAAGAAGAAGAAAAAGAAAGGAAAGGGAGGGAAAAAAAAGAACAGCCAAGGGGGAGTCTCGATGTATGTTCGAGGCAGGCAATGGGGTGTTTGCTGCCGTATTTTTCGTTCTTCCAGAATGCCGGGCGGTAATTTGTATTATTATCCTACGCGCTGATTGGCCCGTTCCCCTATTGTGACCGTGCCCATACCGTGGATCCCATTGATTGGTTATTGATAGACTTTTTTTGCAGTGATTTTTTCGCCTTCTCGGCCTGAAGGATCGGCGTTTGCCCCCCAGAGCACGCTTAAGCATTGCTTTTTTCTCCTTTCGCATCAGTCAATAATACCTACGATCGACTAGTGTGGATGTGCAAATGAGGGTTTTTTCTCCTTTTGCCAAGACAGGCTGAAATGCGCTGAGCTGGCGGTGTATTCTGGCTGGCAATGGCAATTGGTGGATAGTCATTGGACGCTGAGATTTTCAGCTGATGAACGCCTGCAAAAGACGCCACTCGCTGGGAGACTCGGAGATGCTCAGGTTGGATCAGACGCCACTGATCTCCATCTGTCTGTACTATGTAGTCGGTAATACTACTCTGCACTGAGACTCTACTGAGTACTCTGTTTGGAGATAGACTAGCTGAGTATAACTATCCTTGATAGTCACCTAATGTATTCCAGTGGTAAATCAAGGTGACCAATAGATGCAATTGGATTGTTTACAGAGAATCACACCACACGGAAATCAGAAAAAAAGCAAAAAGAAGAAAGAAAAGAAAGTGAAAATTTCCAGGAACCGATACCGGGGAACCAGCCTTGTGAGAAAAAGCAGCCAACAATCGCAGGCGCAGCGAGACCCACCCGGTTTGGCTTCTCAACAATCGGGATTTAGGCTTGGCTGCTGCATTGAAGTTCCGAGGTAGTATACAGTATATAAAATGTTACTACGATCGTGTAACCTCGATGCCCTCGGATAAAATTAAACTATATAATTTAATCAAAGAGTTATGTATATGTCTACTGGTTAGGAGAATGGTACCCTACATAGATAAATCATCAGACTCTGAATAAGATTGTGGAATGTGGAGTCGGAGATGATTCGGTAGTGTCTTATCACCTACAGGGGTCGACCATATTTACCTACTACATACATCCTACATGCACATCGTTCATGTTCCTACTGAAAACATATTGGTTCACATGCCAGAGATTTCCACTTCAGTCCATGTGATGGATGGAGATTGATCATCTATCCAGGACAGACCATACAGAATCCTCAGATTCACCGTCACTCCTGGTTTACCCGTATTTATCCTTGCTTGTATGCAACCGAGATTCAGATCGATCCTTTGTTCGACATGTGATATGGCCACTCAACACTGGCAGGGCTGATTTAATCTACAGATATAATGCCATTCTGTACTTGTATAGTCTGAGAATATAATAGCACATAATAATATCTATCGATCTATAACTGTATATCAATATGTACTCTGTACATATTGTGTACATATGGTTGTCGATGATCTTGTTGGGGCGGCCCAGGTTTTGTTGAGAAATTCGGGGAGCCGGTGGGGCCACCGTGAAAGTCTGGGTCTGTCCAGGGGATGCGGGCGCTAGTATCGCTGCTTTTGAAATTTACCAGTGGGCCTCCCCGATTAAGCTTTTCATTGGTTTTTGCATTTTGCCGCAGACATGTATGTCAGTGGTGGCTGGCCCCATGGTTGATGGCCCGAGTCTGAGCATATTGCACTTTGCAGACCTTCTTCTTCACATGTGATTCATTGCTGGATCATGGATCATTGATCGTTAACTACTATTATACTATACACTCACGTCCGTTCTTCGCTCCGAGTCAACCAACCACGATCCTCCCCCGTGGCTTCCTCCCGATGGACTCAGGCTGACCGTCGTCTTGCGTAGATCGGGAAGTACGAGCACTGTCTCGCCGTGATTGCGGTAGTCCACCTCACACGCAATCTGTCGCCGTTGGGCCGGTGCCATGCCCCCCGCTCCCCCCACTCCCGCCGCCGTTGACGTCTGTCGTTGTCCTGCCGAGGGTGGTACGAACGTGCGGATCTCCAGCCCTGGGAACAGAAGATGTCCCGACTTCTGTGGCAGCAGCATCACCGCAAACGTGGTCGTCTCTCCTTCCTTGGCCGTGAAGTTGCCCCGTTTCCGCCCTCCAATCAACCACATCTCCGGGTTGGAATGAATCTCGTATGAGAATTCCAGCGGCTCCCCAGCATTCTCTTGATGCTCTGTTGAGCACCATCTCCGCGTATGACGTAGACAGAGCTCTGCCGAGATCATCTCTCCCACTGCTGCGTGCGCTGGCTGCTCAGATAGATTACCTAGCTTCAACTCGGCCGTATGCACCACTTGGATTTCAGGGATATCTACAGGGATGATGATGCGTCGGTTGGGGATGGGCGGCTGCCCAGCCAAGCTGATAATCGGAGTTTTCTGCATTTCTCGGCATCAGTACCCCATAATTCGAAAAAAAAAAAAAAAAAAAAAAAAAAAAAGAGGGGTGCGACACCACTTACCTTGTGCCATTCCCCGAGCCAAGCCCTTAACCCTTCTTCGGGCTCCTTCAGCGCACTCAGCAGATTCTCCCAACGAATACTTTGATATGCCAGTGTTTCAATTTCCCGTGTGAGGCCAATCACTTCCATATCGGAATGCGACAGCTGTGTACGGAAAGCCTCAACCACGTGGGACGTGAGCAACGAGGAGTATGGTCGATATACGCTGGCCTCGATGGCCGCTTTGAACGTCTTCTCGACCGCATTCAAACACTCGTCATCCACACAGGTAAACTCAACACTGAGACGAAGAGAGCGTTTTGACCTTGGCGTGGACACGCTATCCTCACGCTGTCGGATCTTGTAGAGTAGTGATGCCGGCTGCTTGGGGAACACGTCCATCGCAACCGTATCTCGGATGCTGGATTGAACCTCGTAGACCTCAGAGCTCGGGATATTGCAACCCAGAATCCGGAGTGGGGTCAGCATTGCCGGGCTAATAGTGAATCGAGAGAACAGTACTTCATCCTTGAAGATGTCTTGCACGTTGACACTGATCGGTAGTGCCGAGGAAATGCTGTGTACCGAAGAGTAGGAGAAACGTCCGTGAGTCGTCTCGTATCCAACTTCTGCTCGCGCCGTAAGCATCGCGTGAGGCTCCTCAACCGTGTAAGGGATCCTGAACCGAACAAAGGATTGAGCTCCAAATTTGGTGAATTCAATAGTGCCGGATTCGTTGTTGGCAACTATATTGATCTCGCCTTCTACCACTTCCGCCTCCGCGATTCTCAGACGTAGCCCAGCAGTCGCTGGCCGCACCCGAATCGTACCCGTCTGGATATCATTCCATCCACTATGAAGTTCCAGTTCAAGTGTCCGCATCCCCTCCAGATTGACCAAATGGGGCGAGACAATCTTTGCCCGAAGCCCATCGGGCGGCGGATGACAGTATATATAGGGTCGGCTGTCTTCTTCCTCTGCATCCACTACTTCTCTAAAGCCCAATGGAAACGCCGAATTCTTCCCACCGATTAGGGTGAAGACAATGTTGCCAGCTCGAAGTTCAAGGCGGTCCACAAAGTATTTCCCTTCTAGTACCATCTGTATACTGTTAGCATACCAAGAAAAAGCCTATCTTAAATGCTTTCCAAAGACTACTTACTGAGGAATCGATCATTATTTTCGTTGGTGACGACCGAATCATGGCCTTGGTTGGGGCATCGATCCAATGTTCATTGCTCTGAGTGCCACTGGCATTTACAAGCCGGGCTTTGATCGACTCGACATCAATCTTTTCCCCCAAAAGGAACCGCAAGGAAAGTTGTATCTGGAATCCATCCTTGTCCTCATAATGGCGAATTGCAGGGTTAACACGAAGATCCCCGAAGAAGTCCGCCAGAGGTGCTGAGATTTCCTTCTGGAGGGCACCAGAGGCCTCAAATAGCTCATCAACATATTGGGAGACTGGCGACTTTTCAGTGAAGACAGACGAAGCGTCCAGCGTCTTTTGTCGACCAGACAGGTTTGCCTGACTATACGCAGCAAACTTTGCCAAAAGACGAAGAACCATCCGGACATACTCCTCACTCCGTTTCAACTCCTTCAAACAGCGTGCGTACATCTCCAACATGATTCCCTCCAGAACAACCCAATTCTTACTACCGTAGAACGGAGCAATGTGGTGGAAAAAGGACGCAGCCGCACTATAATCGGCCTGACGAAACCGTAGGATGGCAATATCTGCGACGGCCATTTCAGCGGAAAAGGTCCGATTTGCCGTTATATGATGGCGAAATATTTGATCCGTAAGCTCGGCGTATTGTGAAAGAAAGGCTTTTCTCGAACTCAAAGCGGCCTTTAATCCAGGCAAATCGATACCGCGGATAGAAGGCACTGTCTTGGGCTCCGGAGCCGGCGCCTGACCCTCATCGTCCAACGAGACGTCTGCCATGTCTCTCTCTCCTGAATTCTTGTCATCGAAAAGAAGACCCAAGTCATTCCATTTCTCTTTCCAGCCACACACCGAGGCAATTTCCTCCAGAACCCGTCGGGATTGAAGTAGCAACTCCCCCCTTCCAGAAGCAAGTTGCTCTGAACCAGTCTTTTGGGTTATGGTAGACGTGGGTACGAGGGGCTCAGTACCTGACCGAGTGTGTATAGGAATTATAGAGTCAGGTGAAAAGATATCCTGGCTATTTGGGCGATTGGGACGGTTCGGCGGGGCAGCAACCAAAGAACTGGAGCGTCTGGGGACATCAGGTCTAGTCTCCGCGATGGCGGCCGCGGGACCAGCGCCATCTGCTGTTTTACCGACGGCATGTAAGGAAGACTCTGGAAGTGAGAGGTTTGGAGTAAAGGTCTGCGACAAGATCTGTAGCGCAGCAGCATAAGTCCAGGCAGATACGAGGTTGTTGATGATCTCCGGTTTGGCAGGATTGTCAACATTTGTGAGCCCAATCTCCAGATCGTATCGGAGAGTTCGTGCGGCGAGACTGATGAATTCAGTTGCCCTCTCACAGATCTCAGATAGCAGCATCAAGTCTTCTGGTTTTTTGTCCTTCTTTGGGGTTGTTTGGGCCGAACCCATTTCACTGTTGATCAACGACGGTGCTCTTGCTGCCCTCAGGAGCAAGGTCAACTGCCTTGAGAACACATACGTGCGGAAGTGAAAGATTGAAATGTCACTGGCCAGAATCATCTCTCGGTAAGGCTTTTTGTTCGAGTCGAGTGGGAAATCCTGAGCGTCAATTTCAGGAATTGGTGTCAGCACTTCATCTCCACTCTTGGGGGCATCCTCTGCATCAGCAGACTGCGAATTGAGAACTGCCTGAGCCTTTTCCCTCCAATCCTTACTGCATGTAAGGAAAGCACCGCCGTGCTGATCATTGGTCCCTTCAAGTTGTTCGTTGATTGCAGTATCCAAGCCGACAGAAAGTTCATCATATCCGACCAATGCATCATCGTATAACCCAACATTTTCAAAGCCCCGCGCAAGGCCTTCCTTCAAAATGAAAAAGGTACAAAAGTTCCATCCAGGGAGACTCCGCTGGGAATCCTTTTCCTTGATGTCCTCCTCATACTGAGCAACACGAAGATCAAACGATGCCAGAATGGCATTCTTGATCTTCTCCACCAAATCCTCAACCTGGTCTGCCAGCTCTGGAGGCTTCTGGTTTGTCCCGGGCTTGGGTAGACGCAATTGAGCCACGCGGTCCACGGCGGACTTGGATGACCCGTTGAAGTCCGCCTTGACCTTCTCCAGGACGGTCGTGGTCCCGCGACCCCATTTCGAAGAGGGGACGGCCTTGTCCGCTCCACTCCCGTCCTGCACCACGTGTAGAATCAGCCACTCGAAGGCGTCATGTTTCTCTTGACTGCTGGTCGATGTGGTGGACTGTGGCGCCGCCGCGGCGTGGGTTTTGATCCATTCGCGCACCGCCTTTCGGGCGGAGGCCTTGTAGGTTTCGTTGTCATCGCAGCGGAGGAGATAGATCTTCAAGTAAGGTGTTTGGCGCAGTCCTGGGATCTGATGTCGTCGATGATGCGTGACTGCGCCAGCGATCGTATCACTGGACGACTTGCGCTCAGCGACGTCATGTTGGCCAGGGACGAAGCCGATACGGAGCGATTCGATGGAGCGAACGGGGCGGGTGGGAGACTTCCAATGAAGGTTTTTCAATGGTAACTTGCTCTCGATTATGGGCTGAACGGAGGGGAATAAACCGGAGGGGTCGGTATACTCGACTAAAAGAATAATAAAAATGAGCAAAAGTAGTTGTGACCATTGATTGTTCCTCACGTACCGGTCACATTGTTCGAGCCCGCCTGCGGTGATGTGTCCATATTTCCCGAGCACTATTCGGGACTTAGCAGACCAACTTAAAGCATTCCGCTGGGGTGGATAAATAAGAAAAATCCCCCAAGTCAATGAAGCTAAAAAAAAAAAAGCCCAAAGCGCGAGTTGTTTGCGAAAGACTGTCAGGGATCGATGCGGTCGTTGCCCAAGAGCGACTGGGGGAGGATGGGGGCTTTCCGGGCACGCACAGGCACCATCTTGGCAGCTTTAAATACGAGGATTGTACTACGGAGATTAAATAGGAAATTTTGATGTCTCTATTGGCATCATGTTTGGATTATGTTATTGAAAGTAGGTAGTACGCCCTAGAAAAAAGAATAATCCGCGGGTGGATTGAAGTTGCTTCGACATCGCAAAGATCAACACAAGCCCCCTGTATACAGTACAACAATAGCACCCAAAAACACGCAATCATATCCCGTCATTATGCAAAACAAAAGAAAGACATCCATAGGGTCACTCGCTCAGAGGGGGATAACGCCTTAGATCAAAATAACAAAAGAAACAAAACATAGGGAAACAAATATTAGCTGATTAGACACCAGCTTCCAGGGCCCGTTGTGTATAACGGGCCTTAACGAACTCATAGCCGCTGGAAAAACCTTGCCAAATACCCGGAATATAGTTTCTAACCCAAGCACAGATGACAAGAAGCAGGAGAGGAATCTAAATTAAGTCAGTCAGATTTTCTCCCCACATGGAAGGTGGCTTTTGGTTACTTACCCAAATGAAATATAAATTCCGATCACTGCCAAGTCCCTTCATTCTCTGTGCCTGCTGTTCTCTGAGATGCTTCTGCTGCTCGCGAGAGATCACATTGTCACCAATCCGGATATCTTTGAGTTCCTCCTTCTCTTCCCTGGCAGGTACAGCTTTGGAGGTGCTAGCCTGCGCCTCGAAATGCTGGTCCAGTGCTGCCTCGGTGGCTGCTCTGACCAAAGATTCCTTCTTCATCGATGAAGCTTCTTCCCCGCCCTCTTCCTTATGAGGGTAGAGTTCCTCATACGACGGTAATTCTGTGGTGTTTGGCGCAGAGTTACCCTTCAACAGATCCCACCAGCCGTCCTTGGCCGGCCATGAGGCAGTCGGCCGGTGCGGAACAAGGTTGGTAATGCGACGCATCATTGGATGCGCTTGGTAATCAGGCAATGCCGGCATGGGTGGCAGGGCAGGAAGATTGGGGAAGGCATTGGAAACACTTTGCTGGAATTGATTGATTTGGGTTTGAAGCTGGTTTCGCCATGCAACAAGAGCAGCTGGAGGAGAAAAGGGTCGAGCGTGCTCTGCTGGCTCTGTTTGGTCGGCAGAGGATGGAGATTGTGCGTCTTGGTGGACGCTCGACCGTCGTGATGCCGAGTAATAGAAACCGGGCTCAGGTTCGTCTTCGGAATCAACATCCTCGTCCTCTGATGAATCAGAGTCATCGACCGCTTGATCGAGAGAACCAGATGCAGAGGAAGCTTCCCAGAGGGAATGGAGAGATGCCGAACTGCTATGTCTGCGACGGGTGGATGTTAGAGACCCAGCACTTCGCGAACGGTAATGACGCGATGGTATTAAGGCTGCTTGATGAGCAGGCAGTGTTGTTGCAAGGTCAGCTGGAGTAAATGCTCTGACGCTACGAGCATTGGCATTGGCACCAGCAAGGCGAAGCCTGTGAACAATGTGTGCATGACCGCTCAACGCTGCCAGGTGCATGGGCGTATTCCCAGTGCTGTCCTGTACATCCGGATTGGCGCCCCGTGCAAGAAGACCAGCAACAAATCGAGTCAAGCCCAAAGAAGACGCGAAATGCAGAAGAGTTTGACCCGTTCCGCAACGAGAATTGAACTTGGGCGGGCGGGGGCTGTCATCCAGGTCGACAAATTCGAGATACGTCAACATCTTGGAGTCAAGATCGCTCAATTTACCCTGAGAATCTAAGCCTGGGACCTGTCGTTGATGGCCGCCGGAACCACCCTGGAAATCTTTTTGGAAATTGAAGATGGCCTTGGGGTCACTTCCCATGATCTGCTGAGCCGTGTGGAACGCATCTGCTTGACTTCCCAGTTTCTGTCCTAGGATACCCAGAGCAAGTCGATACATTTGCAATTCCCGGTCGTCTACATACCGGAAGAACTGCTGCTGTTTCGGCATCAATGGTTGAACTGGTTGTATCTGACCAAATGTCGGGTGCTCGTGTTTGAAAACAACCGCCACTAGTCCTGGTTGGAGTGCTGGTGGAGTCAGGCAGTTCAGACACTTGTCACCCCAGAACGTTGTTGTCGTGGCAAGGGTGTCACCGAATACAACCTCCATTCCAGGGTAGAACCCGCTTCCCAGCAGCGTTACTTCTGTTCCGCCCGTAATGGAGCCTTCCGCCGGCACCAACTTGTGTATGACAGATGGTAATCTGTTCCCGGCGTTTGTCAAAGGAGGCCACAACGGAGTCGTTGGGGCAGGGCCGATATTCAAATTGAGAGCCTGTTCTTGGAAATTATTCCGAGCGGCAGTCCCAGGTGTCCCGGGGCGACTTGGCTGAGCTGAATTTGGTGCTGACATCAGCTGCTGCTGAAGAAGACTATCCAGGCTTTGGTGTTGGGCGGAGGGGTTAAAGAATGGGTTATTGTCGTTGCTATTAGGGGTAGGTGGGCCGTTGGCGAAGGGCCCGGTCATGGCAGACGATGCCACAAAAGGCCTCTCAGATGGCGATGCGAATCCACGAGCTGCGGGGAATTGCGGGGCATTGCTCATGGCTGGTGAAGTCGAGGGTCCGGCGGTAGAAGATTGAGGGGTTTCCAGTTTAGTCATTGTCAACTCTGAGGGAAGTCTTCCGGAGTTGCTGTGCTTGCGGCGCTTGCTCATTGGCCCTTGGAAGTCATTCGGTGATGTCTGCCTTGAAAGGCTCCTTTGGGAGCTGGGGGTGTTGTTTGTAGGATTTTGTACAGCAAAGGATCCCGGGGTCAATTGGTACTGTGAATTAAGCCTCTGCTGGAGACCTTGCAAATCAGTGGCTGAAGGAGAGGACTGGAAAGATTGCTGGGCGGTAGCTGGTGCTTTTCCTCTGTCCAAACTAGGCTCCGATGGGAAAACACCAACACCAGGCAACTGAGTCCCGTCGGGCAAAGAGGGAGAAGGCCCAGGAGCCGGAGGAGCCGGAGGAGCGTGTGTTTTGTGGTCATCTGTGATCATAATAGAATTGGTGATTGCTTGAGCAATTACATTTTCCATGTAATCTTTGACAGTGAAGATGACCCTAATTTCTTGTTAGTCAAAATTTCGCATTCAAATGGGGCAAAATATGAACATACTGAAAACCAAGCTTTTCGTTCTGGTGTCTGCAGTAACATGCTATTCGCATAGGCAATTCTACTTGCATTGCTCCTGCGGGGATAACAGGCACAGGAATGTCACCATACCCCGGCATGGCGTTCTTGGACGGTTCAGTCCACTCCTTGAGCTCGTTGGTATTAAACACAATGACCCTCTTTTCTTCATCCTTCTGAAATAATTCATCCTCTTCGGGTTTCCTCTGCTTCTTGCGGGAAGCACGCTTGCGTTCACGTTGGATACAGCCGGCGCAGATTTTGACTTCGCCGCCATCCAAAGGCTTGTCTTCTTCTTGAGGGTCTTCGACAGATTTGGGACTCGAATTGGAAGAGCGGCGTGGGATTTCGCCTCTTGCTCTTGCGTACGCCCGTTTTAACTTTTCCTGGTCCTGCATGGCACTTGTGCACACAAGACTGGTATGCAATTCCATGGTATCGGGGGAACGTTCAGTGCAAGGCGGTGCAAGAAATTTGGGCTTCGAAATGGTATGGCTCGGCAAGCGCAATTTTTTCACGCCTTGAGGCAATGGGAATAGAGTCAATCTGATGGGGATTTGTGTCTCCACTCGTGATTTTAAAGATGTAGGGTGGACTGTCAGAACATGGTGCGGAGATGGTTCTGTTTTCAAGCTGCTTTGAGGTGGTGATGGTGCAAAGTTGATATTAAACGGAAGGCCGCTTTGTCCAAAATTCAAGCCTGATGAGAGAGATGGGTTCATTGGAGATCCGCCATTCATGTTGATACCCCCAAAGCTTTCCTCCAACAGCGATGAGGGAGATTGACCTCCCCACGGACCAGGAAGCTTTGATACTGAAAAGGGAGATGACTCTTTCATAGATTGGGAGAAGAAAGGGGATGCTGACGTAGGAAGTTGCTGGGAAGAAAGTCAGCCAAAGGTTCCTTTCCAAATGAAGGATGAAATCATGACTCACAGGGGAAGCGGACTGTTTTAATTTGGAACTGGATGGATTCCGTAGTTGTGATTTTAATCTTTTCTGGACTCTAGGCTGCGGGGTGCCGTCCGGCTTCAACGGGCTTGGACTACTAGCCGCACTCTCGAAATCGAACGCAGCATCCATGGCCTTGTTACTTGACTCGAGGTCAGTATCTATCGTGAACCCACCCTCCATACTCGGAAGCGCAGCATCCAACCCAAATAATGGCTCCTCCTTCACGGCAGCAAGGTCGGGGTTCATCCAGTCTTCGGACGGGTATCTAAAAGGCATCATTGTGCTTTCACTGTGAACGGCAGAGGTAGACGAAGCAACAGACGAGTTTCGAACATGATTCCGCGGCGACTCGGACGAGGAGCTCCGGCTCGAGTCATCTGGGGATTCGGCGGGCGAGTCTGAAGCTACCACACGAGGCTGTTTCAGCACATCCTGCTCTTTGAAATGACGCTTGACAGATAAATCCGAAGGGGACAAACATGATGACTCCGGGTCCGCGACGGCCCGGGAAGAAGTAGCTCGAGCAAAGAGATCATCGAAATCCCGACCCGCATCTTCTGTCGACATCTGCAGCCTTGTGGGATCTAAAAAGTCCATTCCTGTATCTTGGTAGGCGTTTTCCATCTCGTCGTCGACGATTATCGGATCTAAAAGGGGAAAAGCAGGTGAAGAGGCGGTCTCGGCCGGTCCCATCCTCTAATGAATCTTCCTTCTTTATGGATAATCGGGTAATTTGAGACGATGAGAGCACCAACTCAACCGTCTCCGTATGTATAAGTCGGTTCGGGGGGGTATTGTTCAGGTATAGTATTGGTGGGCGAAAGAATCGGTCGAGGGAAACACTCGGGGGGTTTGACCGCAAAAGTGTCTGACGCGGCGCACAAGGTCCAGCCTCTCATCAACAGCAATGCGTCTGATCCATCTAATTCGGTCGGAACCAAGCCAAAAGGGGGGTTTCAGATCGACGTCCTGACGGGGGGGAATGTGTTGTGATATCCGGGGAAGATGTTGAACGTGTGTCGGGTGGTAGTGTGTCAGGGCAAAGCGAGGGAGGCGCGGCTGGAAAGTCAATCTGAGGCGTGGACAGCGACTGTGGAGCGGAAAAAGGAGGAAAACCCGGCGATTGATCGTCCGAGAGAGTCGAGGAGGATGAAAGAGGTCACGAAGTTCAGGGCGGGCAACGGGCGCGAGGGGAATTAAAGTGATGATGGAAGGAGAAGTAGGCTTAGGAAGAGAGGAATGATTATAGGTGCTGAATGCCGGGGAAGAGAGGAGAGGATGGCAGATAAGGCCGCCTCAATGGTCGAAAGAGAGAGAAAGGGGAATTTCGCGGTGAGGACGAGAGACGGGCGTCTGACGGGGCCGCTAAACCCGACTAGGAAGGATTGTTGCTTTTTAGGCGAATAAATAGCGAGGAATACTAGTTGCTGGGACTTAGTGGTGATGATGTGTTCGACTTCAGCTGAAGAGATTCATCGACCGACTATTGTTTGTGATTTGGATTCGGATTCAGATAGTCGTAGTTATCAATATCGCTGATGGTCGTGGTATGGCGATGATGACATTCGAATTCCTCCAAAAGACACGCGGGAGAAGACGGGAGGAAAAGTATCCAAGTGCTCTCGCTTACCCAGAACCCCATGTAACTTGTAAGACACGATCAAGTCTCATCATCTGTGCGCTGGTATAGACTACTGGCAGACCTGAGAACTCAAGCGTGACATGTGTGGACATTGTTCTCGTCGACGGCATCTCTGTACCACCATGGCCCCATTGATTGGTGGTACAACAGGATCGTCCTCCATTCCTCGGGCTGCTGTTATCTGTTCCTCACCTGCAGATTCAACTCAAAGCAGTATGCGTCAGGGCGATACACAGACCAGCTGGAGGTGTCGAAAAAGAATGGCTCGAGGTGCGAAAGACGATCACAGAGATGCTTAAGCCTTGAGGTGGTACAAACTATGATCAGAGCACCACATCTGCCACTAACCAACAACCCCCAGCGAATCATTGTGCTGTTATTCTCACCACTGGAGAGGATCCAACTAGTTGCTCCTAATGTACATGCATTCCAAGCACAAATAGTATTCTTATCTATTCCCAGGTTATTGATCAGATCATCCGGTGTCGATCCGCATCAGACAGCCACCGTCAAAATCCTATTTATTCTTTTTCTATTCTACTCTTTCCTGGTGTTGATGATTTTGATGATTTACAATATTTATTATGGTTTTATGACTTTGTATTTCCTCAAATACCCTCCTAAATTTTATTCTAATTTGGTCGCTAGGCATAATCAATGACACATATCAAGCATATTGCGACATCATCTGTTACACAAATGTTCCATCTGGGCTGGAAGGGCTGAGCTGGTTACCCACAATTTGTCACATCAGTGCCCTACAAGTGACAGCCAGCTGGCAGAAAATGAAAAAGCAAAAGCAAAAAAAAAAGCAAGCAATAAGAGAAAAAAAGAAAAGAAAAGAAAAGAAAACACCGGAAAAACAAATGCGACAACCATTACAGAATAGAATTGAATGGTTCAAAACTCAATTGCTGACGTCTGCAGACTCCAATGAAAGCATTATCTCGCCTCAAATCGCTGTAGCTGTGGGCTAAGCTGCAAATCAAAGTAAAGCCCTCGCTTGGTGATGTGCTGACTGTCTGACACCCTCGATTTCTGCCGTCAAGGCTGCATATTCGAGATAACTCAATATCTTCGATATGTGACATTGTGCTTAGACTGTGCATGCTATACGCATCGTCCAATAAAAAGAAACAACACGAGAATGTCAAAAGATACGGTTTATCTTTTTGGGCATCCGTATCCCATCACCTTCACGGATGACTCGACTTTTATGTCTTGGAAGATATCCTTCTGAGTGAATTGCACTTGACAACGATATCATTTGTAGCATCCAGAAGTTTGAAGGAGAGTCAGAATATGCATATCATGTGGACAGTCCAGGCCTTGGATAGAACGACATGGTAAATTGCATTCGGATGAGCAAGCCAGAGTAGGTATAGCGACGACTCCAAGTTGCTGGATGTTTCAGAATAATATGCACACAGCGACAGCACGATGGCATCGGCTACAATCGACTTGGTCAATAGTCTCTTTCAGCTGTTGAAGCTAAGTCTTCGTGTTGGTCGGATATATTAATTATTATTAATATCCACCAAGGGGTCAGATAGCCGCCCACATCCTAGGAAGGAGTATCACAATCGTCGGGTTGTTTGACCGGTCTGTAGTCCGACATCCCTGAGATATTGGGAATTGGTAGACTACTGTCACAAATCACGATCGAAAGAGACTGGCGGTTTCTAGGATAATGGGTCAGCATAGGTGGACTCATCATGGTATGGTTAACCCAGATAAACGCAGGGAATTCAAACTAGTCAGCCGGATCCATCGATATAATCCGAAAAGAAAAGCTGTGAGATGATTTGGCGGTTCCCCGGCAATTTATAATTAATATAATTGTCGCCATCTGTCATATGGCGGCGTTGTTGTCCCCAGACAGCCAGGCTATCTGCAGGGAACCAGTATCGCAGTTCATCACCATCGTGAGTTCCATTATACTCTCGAGCGAGGCTCAAAAATTATATGATGATAGACAGTACATCAATCGCGATCGAAGAACACGTGGAACGTGGAGATTGCTGTTGTCGATGATATTCTCACTCTGAAAGAGCCAAGATGCCAGTTCGACCCCGAAATGGAAGAGAAAACCGACTTTCAACCGCCATGGCACACATACACATTGAAGATCATAGCAGAGCCAGGGAAATTACTCCGAATCAAAGGAGGAATGCCATCGTAAGGCCAGTAATAAAGCTGCTTGGCATGGCGGAGTTGGAGAGGAGGAAGTCCAGGTTGAAACCCGGATTGTCGCAGACAAAAACATCACGGGCTCTCGGAGCAAACTCCACACGACCCTTCCTGAGCCTCAGCCCTCACCACCACCCTGATTGCAATATATGCTGAATAGATTAACGGTCCCATAACAGTGGCTAGTGAGTCCATACCCTTAATTATCTACTATCGCAGTGAACCACTAGGCTAACGTTCCTGGCAGTGGCCGTTGTTTTCGGACAACGCCCGGCACATTCTCATCAAGGCCCCATTGGCTGGTGGTTTATCTTCATCTATCTCGGACTTCTTCGCCTTGTGTCTCTCTATATCGATGATTCTCCGCCTATCAGAGGGTAATGAAGGCTTGTGGGGATCTCAAACACTACCGGTGACCCTCATTCCAGAATGGAACCTGCAATGAACCTTTTTATATTGCTTTCATTCAATATGGCGTGAGCTTCGACCGAGTCTAGAGAACTGGAATGGCCGAGGGATTCGCTCGACTTGGGATATAAAATACCAGTCACTGCCCTTTCTTCTTTTCTTCTCATCATCAGTCGCTTGACCTTGGTCTTTCTTTGCATTCCTTACTTTTCTGGTCCAAGACCTTTCCATTCTCTTTCGACTTCATTGATTGAAGTCTCTTACTATCCTTCTTTTCAAACTTTGTTCGGTCACTTCTCGACACCAAGATAACGCTGTGCGTTAATACCACACAACTCGCAAAAATGTCTGTCTCCAAGATCGCTGGTCTCCTCCTCAGCTCGGCCGCTATGGTCGCTGGCCACGGATATGTGTCTGGAGCTGTTGTCGATGGCACCTACTATGGCGGCTACATCGTTTCCTCCTACGCCTACTCCGACAGCCCCCCGGACACCATTGGATGGTCGACCAAAGCCACCGACTTGGGCTTCGTTTCTCCCAGCGAGTACTCCAACTCCGATATCATCTGCCACAAGGACGCTCAGCCCGGTGCCATCTCTGCCGAGGTGACTGCTGGTGGTGATGTTGAGCTGCAGTGGAACACATGGCCCGACAGCCACCACGGTCCTGTCATTACCTATCTTGCCAACTGCAACGGTGACTGCTCGAGCGTTGACAAGACCTCGCTTGAGTTTTTCAAGATCGATGAGAAGGGTCTTATCGATGACAGCAACGTCCCTGGTACATGGGCCACTGACAACCTGATCTCCAACAACAACAGCTGGACCGTTACCATCCCCAGTAGCATTGCCTCTGGCAACTACGTCCTGCGTCACGAAATCATTGCTCTGCACTCCGCAGGCAACCAGGACGGCGCCCAGAACTACCCCCAGTGTATGAACCTGAAGGTTACTGGCGGCGGTAGCGACAAGCCCGAGGGCACTCTTGGTACCAAGCTCTACAAGGACACCGACGCTGGTATTCTCGTCAACATCTACCAGTCTCTCGACTCCTACGACATCCCCGGTCCTGCTTTGTACACTGGTAGCTCCTCTGGCTCTTCTGCCTCTGCCAGCTCCAGCGCTACCCCCGCTGCCACCGCTTCGCCTACCGTGAGTGCCTCGCCGATCAAGAGCTCTTCTGTCCCTCACTTCTCCAAGCCCCACACTAGCAGCTCTGTTGCTCCTGTCGTCACTTCTGCTTCAGTCGTCACATCTGCTCCTGTCCCAACCGTGACTGATGTTATCACTGCCACCCAAACTGCCACTCAGACCTCTACCGAGGTTGACAATGTCACTGTCACTGCGGCTAACCCTCAAAAGACCCAGGTCGCAACCAGCAGTGAGAATTCCGGCAGCTCTTCCGACAGCTCCTCCAGCAGCCAGTCTTCTGGTAGCCAGACCTCGTCCGCCCCCGCCGCCAGCTCCAGCGCTGCTATCCCCAGTGAAAGCAACCTGACCAGCTACTTCGACTCCCTCAGCGCTGAGCAGCTTCTCAACCTGGTCCGTGAGACTCTCTCCTGGTTGGTCAGTGACAACAAGAAGCACGCCCGTGACCTCTCTATTTAAACGGGATAATTGGTTTCGGTCCCGAACAACATCATATTCTTTTTATATTTACTTGATATTTGCGCTCAGTCGCCGAACTGACGATTTTTCTTTTTTGGATCGGGAATCCCATTCTTGTCATATGTACCTTTATCCAAAAATTTACTTTCTCTGAAGCTTCGCGCTTCTCCCTTTATATTAACTGCCTTTCTCTTGTTGTATTAATGAAATCAATTTATTCATCTTACTCCTCTGATCCTTGAAAGTATTACAGTAATGCAAAAACCCATACTACCAGGTCTTTCCTCGAGTAGATTCTTAAATGGCAGTTGCTCCTTCCCAAACACAGTCGCTGCCTACAAGTAACCCTAGGACGTAGACTTCCACTCTCACCTCTGCCCTCAACCTCATCCAAATCTCAACTTCTCTCTCTACAAACAAAGTCTCTAAAATCGAGTCATTTAATCGATATCACTGAGTCTATAATCTTCTCCAATAATAATTCATTGCCTTCTATCGGAGTGTTGCAGCTTCCTTCGCCCCAACATGCCTTCCAACACCAGCCACAATTCCAGCTCCACCGACATCCAGCCCAAGGATAAAAGCCAGTATCGTTTCCTGAAAGATGCAGGATTGATAATATGTATCATTTCATGTTATCCTATCAACTGAAAATATGGGATAGCGATGATTATGAGGCGGCAATGCGAGTTTTGGCATGTCTTCGTGAAGCGGAACAAGAGGATTGAGAAGAAAGACAAGGGGCGATGGGACAGTAAGGGAACTTAATGGATCTGGCGGTATGTTCTTGGTATATATATCTTGACTATGCTATATCAGTCATTAACATGGATTAGCTAGGCTGCCTTAGCCCTTCAATCATCGATGACCGCCGTCATTTCGTTGCAAAGACATATTCTTTCTCGGAGCAGTTTTGCGTCTGTTTATTGTCGGAGTTACTTTTTTTTTTTTACGCGAGAGTTGAGGGCATATCATGATGTCCAGAATTAATGTTTAATTTTACACTGCTTCTCTTTTCCAATGCACTTCTTTTCTCTCGTAATTTGTCGCTGAGTAGATTCGGGGCGGGGAAAGAAAGCGGCCGATTGTTGTTGCGGGACAAAACCGAACGGACATGGATATCTCGAATTGCTTAACACACTTTCCATCCAGCTGACGGTTCATACCTAGTCGTGCTGACTCGACTGCTCAGTGTGATACCTGGTATCCTCTTTCATTCACTTGCATCACCATCTATACTGTCACTATGTTCAAGAAGAAGCCAACAGTACGTTGTGCCCCTCTCCCCGCACTTGCCCCTCAGCAGCTTCGTTTTGTGCCACTTGCTACACGCCGTGATGAATGCGATTTTATCTGGTGCATATGAATCGAAACAACCATATTGATCAATAGCAGATTAAAAACCTCTCCCCCTTGCGGTCTTCAGATCGACGGAAGATCGCCGACCAGATCATCAGCGACTACAAGATCAGCATCCCCTCGACAGCACCATCTGAGGCAAAAGGCGAAGACTCTACTACTCCGGCCACATCGAGCACTACGTCGCCCAACCTCACAACCATCCGAAACTCCCTTCTCCCCGATAACTCTCTATCTGCGCGATTTACAACAACGGCGGGCCCCCAACTCCGAGAGGTCCAAGGTACCGTGTACGTTGGAACACACCCAGAAGGCGAAGAACGGGTTTTGTGGTTCAAATTAGAACATGGACCCGGTGCAGATGGACGAATCTACCCGACAGTATACACATTATGGCACAATCCCAACATAGTTCCTTTGCTTTATACTCCAGACTTTGTCATGCAAAAGCTCCGCGGTGGCGCAGATTTGATGACTCCCGGCCTTGCGAATGAGCCACCCTTCCCTGAGCGTGCAGTGAAAGGGGCGGTTGTCGCAGTTGCGGGTATAGATCGGTATACTGTGCCTCTGTTCGTGGGAGTTTGCGAGATCGATGTTTCTGGGCTTGGGGAGGTCCAGGGTACAAAGGGACAAGCGGTTCGGGGTATGCACTGGGAGGGAGATGAGCTTTGGGCCTGGAGCTCATCTTCTCGACCCGGTCAACCTTCACCAGAATACTTGGCCGGTTGGGACGAGGATGAGGATGAGGAAGACGAGGTCGAAGAGGTAGAAGCGAGAGTCGAGGGATTGGCGTTGGAGAACAAAGAGACGGCCGAAGAAGGCGAGGAGCCTTTGGGCGAATCCCCTGTTGAAGAGCTGGAAGAAACTGCCGTCGAACCCACAACGAAGGGTAACTATCTCTGCTTGACATTTATGTTCTAGGATACTGACGCTATACAGAAATCGACGATGTTTTCGTAAAGGCTTTTCTTTACGCCCTTTACAAACATAAACAAGACAACCCATCTGCTCCCAACCACGGATTGTCTCTCCCTATCCAACCCTCCGCCTTGATCTCGAATATTATCACGCCATTCCTGCCGATTTTTTCTGCCCAACAAGCCCAGTTCTATCAGATCAAGAAAACAAGCTGGAAGAACGTGAAAAAATTCATCAAGTACTTGGACAAGCAGAAACTGGTCAAATCCAAGGACCGCAATGGGCAAGAGACTGTCATTCTCGACGTGGATTTCAACGACCGCCAAGTCGAACAATTTGTCCCTTACAAGCTTCCATCGAAGAACGCGATTGAAAACGCCGGAAAAGCTGTTGCTGGTGGAAACAAGAAACCCGCACCTACTGATGGGGACCCGGCTGTTGGTCAAACAATCACCGTCCAGACACTATACCGGCCAGCGTCGAAACTGGTTCCGACGATATTCCCGTCTTTGCCCAGCAGTAGCCCTAGCAACTACTACAAATACTCCGACGTCTCCAATCGCTTGGATCAGTATCTTCAGTCACAAAATCCACCCATTATCTCAAAAGAGAATCGACGGATCATCTCTTTGAATCCATTCCTCGCCAACACCGTCTTTACTTCTTCCTCCACCGAAGATAAAAGCACCCTTGCCCGCGGGAAAACCACCCGGGACGGTCTTCTGAAACGTCTTGTGGAGGACAACTCTTTCCTGGCACAGCACTATGTTATTCTCAAGTCCGGCCAGACCATTGCCGATGTCAAGCCCAAGGCTGGTACTGCGCCCAAGGTCAATGTGATCCTTGAGCGTCGGACGGGCTCAAAGACCGTTACCAAGGTGTCTAACCTGGAAGTATTTGGAATCATTCCTAGCCTTCTCGCAGAGGAGCTGCAGAAGAAGTGCGCAAGCAGTACCAGTGTAACACAGGCCAACGGAGCACCCAAGGGGGTCATGGAGGTCTTGGTCCAAGGCGATCAGAGAAAAGCTTTGGACACGGCACTTAGTCGACGAGGATTGCGGACGCAGTGGATTGATGTGGTGGACAAGACAAAGAAGAAGAAATAAGGGATAATTAGCAATAATTAATAGGCAGTTGGTTAGAAGCATTGGATATACTATTTGTACAGCAAGCACACATTTGCATCATGACAACAACAACAACGAATATCAAATCAGCATTCGGACATAGCATTACCGTAATCTGAATAAGCCCGACGAAAATTATGAACTAGAACCTAGGCTATTGATCAGAATCGGAGATGAGGCCGATACCCCACCATCTCTTAGACTCTTCCCCATATGGGGTTGGATAAATACCCCTCACAACAACCCCCGATCAACATCACCGCCATCCCAAACCATCTAAATTCAAAAAAAATCATCCCAAAATGCCTGTATACCATATCGGTAAGTGGTCCAATTCTCCAAATATTCCGATCCAACAAACTAGTACTAACCACCTACCTAATCACCAGTCCTCTTCCGCCTCAAACAAGGCGTCACCTCAGCGCAATTAGCCACCTGGTCCCAAATCAGTCAGGCCATGGTGGGTAAAATCCCCGGCCTCATCTCCCTCAAGACGAACCCCCCTCTGCCGATTTCGGTTCCCCGTGCAAAGGGGTTTGATATGGGTCTCGTGGCGGTGTTGGAGTCCCCAGAGCATGTGGCTGGTTATGCGACGCATCCGGCTCATCTGGAGTGAGTTCTACTATTCCTTCTTTCCGTAATAAGGAAACAGGCTAATATGGGAGTGTAGGGTTCATAAGATGAGAGAAGAATTGTGTGAAGATACCTTGGCGTATGATTTGGAGTTCTGATGATCAAGGGATATTGTCATTTCAATAGCATCGAAGAGTATGTATATGGCTTGAATACTAGCCAACGTCTGTATGATTTGACTCGACAAGATTGTTCTTGAAGCAAGAGTACACCGTCATAAAAACAGGAAAAATGAACCATGATATACAACGCCAGAACCAAATGGGATCCACACAAATCCTCTCTTTTTGTCTTTTGCTTACCAAGATGTAGGCGTGGTTGGTAAAAAAAAATAATTGCCACTTTTTCACACCCAAAGATTTTACAGATGAAAGATCGCATAAAATAAATTACTCCTTGGCGTCAACCTTCTTGGCTGGGTGGTCGCCGTTGGACTCGTCCTCGCGGCCACGCTTTTGGCCGGACTCGGCGGTGCTCTGGATAACGGGGACACCGCTGTATGTTCATGTTAGCAGGTGTTGTGTGAATGGTTTCAAGCAAGAACTTACCGAGTGTCCTTCTGGATTTCACGGGGGGCGTTGTTGTCCTTGAATCCATTCTTCTGGTCTTCTGCCCGACGCTCCCTCCAGTCGCGCGAGCCACCACCACGGCCACCACCACCGCGGCCGCGGCCTCGTCCTCGGTTTCCACCACGTCCACGTCCGTTGCTGGGCTTGATGCGACCAGCTTCGATATCCCGGACCTTCTCCTCGCAGTATTCCTTCTTGCTCTTGATGGCCAGGTCCTGTCCCTTCCACTGGGGTTTGGGGTCCAAAGCAAGGAAGGCCTTTTGCTTCTCTTCCGACTCGAACTCCACGAAGACACTTCCTTTGAAGATCTTGTCAGGAGTACGGCGAAGGCGGATAGCGTTGGTAGGGCCATATTGATTGAAGAAGGACTCAATATCGTATTGAGTGCTGGGCTCCTCGGTTCCGAATCCCTTGGCGTAGATGCTACGGCTCATGGCCTGGTCTTCGAACACCTTGACGACGTTGGGGTCATGGGCATCAGAAACCGACTCGGGGAGAGGGGTCTTGCGGCGCACAGCGGTGTCGTTGTCGACCAGCTCGACGGTCTCAGCTGACTTGAGAGCCTCAACGATAGCACTGAAGGGTTGGAACCGGCGCATGCGCTTGAAGGAGTGCAGGAGTTCGAGGGGCACGGCATTGTTAGCGCTGCCGCCCACCTTGGAGAGAAGGAACTTGTCCATGGGGAGGTTGGAGTCGGAGAAGTAAAACTCGACTTGCTTCCGAATCTCAACGGGGTCGTCCGTCTCCTTCTGAGTGGAGGCATCGAACTTGTTGTTGTTGCGGCGACCGCCACGACCCTTGTTGTCGTTGCGGGAGTCGCGCTCCTGAATCTTGGATTCTTCAGCCTGAGCTGACTTCTCGCCGAGCTGCGCAGCTGCGGCGACGATTCGGGCCTCCTCGGAGTCGTTCTCCTTCGACGCGGCGGGCTCGGTCGGCTTGTCCGCAGGGGCTTCTTCGCCCTTCAGCTCCGCCAACACGTTTTGGACATCCTTCTCAGCCTCAACGTTGGTGGGGGCAGGGGCAGTGGTAGGCTTTTGCTCGTCAGACATGATTGCGACTGATTTTCAAGTAGCGCGACAAGGCGTAGGTTGAGGTTGTCAGACGAAGATGGGGAGGGAAAAAAAAAAAAAAAAAAAGAAAGAAAATGCCCCGCACGATAACCCCTCCTATAACGTCCAAACTCTGCGTCAGCCTTTGCGATTGTAATTCAGAAATAAAGAAAACATAAAAAAACACTAGGGAATGTGGTGTACTCTACGTACAGATCTCTCTGACAGGTTGAATCACGTTCAGAAATTGACCAAAAGTCAATGTTGCGGAGGACGGGAACCGAAGGGATTCAGATCAATCAACGTCTCTTGGTCAAGACCGATGAAAACTTAGACGGGTATGAGATAAATTGAGAGAAAGAAATTGCCTAGACAGAGACTTACAAGCAAAAGTCGTTCTTTTCGCCAGTTGCGAGAGAGAAAAATAGCCCGATGCGCGGCGGGGGAAATTTTCTGAGAGCTTCAGCCATATAATGCCTGAGGCATAGATAGGTGTGGCGCAGACAATGACTAACACGCCAAGATTAGATATTGTCGCCTTAGGAATAAGGCATGAAGTTTAACCTCTTTGGGTAGGTTCAAGTATATAGTGAGCAAGCAGTTGGTAAATTTAGTGAATTTGTGTCTGTATGGATAAATTTGATTGAATTTAAGTCTAGGATTTTCAAATAATCTACGTGTGCCTCATTGTATTACTGTATGATACGGATTTAGCCTGTCAATGTTGTGCTTCTTTGCTCAGGCAACCTGACTTGGGGGGTACCTGCCTCTTCAACAGACACACCAACAAATTCTCTCTTGACATTCTCAGACCAAATTCTTCTCCAAAGACACTTACATATCTTCATTTATCTCAGTATCCGATTTGCCGCTGGTTTGAGTGCTTTGGTCATTGTTAACTCTTCTGGATATAAGTCGGTCATTTAAAGCAGCATCACCTACCTTTCGAGGATTCTTCCTGTGTCACCATTCCTTAGATTGACGACGGTAGCACAAGGCTACTCAGTTTGAGGTGTCTTTTCATCTAATCAGGTCAGTTCCTGTAGCTTCAAATCATAAATAGTGGCCTTCTTCGTCTAACTTTCCGGCAAGACAGCAGCCAAATCCATCGCAACGCAGGTAATCGACAACAGATTTGCGTACAGAATGGCTGCATCCTAATATCTCATAATACACAGGTAGGCGGAGGTCTCCATTTTGGTTTCCCCATTTCTTGGGCAATCTACTCACTGCAATTATGTGATCTAGCGTTCAGAGTTCCTTCAGCAACCTGGCTCTCATTTGTGGTTTCAAACGTCTTTCTACGAATACGATACGACATCTCAAGCTTGCCATAACGATTTTATCCTAAAATAAGTACGACACCTTTTTGCATTTGGATCAAACTTGCTTTGGAGAGGACGCTCGACTATGACAGAGAACAATGATTCAGCCGCGCAGGCAATATGGCCAGTCAAAGATGTAGGTCAGCGCCTATTTGCAGCTTTTCCTGGATCTGACGATAATGCATTTAGATCATCTATGTGTCTATCATAGGGCCTGTTATGGTAGCAGCTTTCCTTGAATGGATTCTTTGGCTCGCCGCATTCTTGTACTGTCTAGTGAAAGTCTTTCAGAAAGCGGATCACTGGAGTATAAGGGTCCTTGCTGTTATCATGATGGCTCTTTTCTCCTTTTTCAGGTACCTTTTCTACATTATCAAGCTTTTTGAAGGTTAACTAACAGTATTGCTATGACTATAGAGGGATCTTTCTTCCCGTCATGGTCGTAACCTTACCGCTACCAGTGCAGTTGACACGGCATTTTCCCGAGCGAGTCGTTTCCTTCCTCCAATGGTTTGCATTTTGGTCATTCTCCGTGCTTCTCATTGTACCGTGGCTGTTTTGCGTCCACAGGCTTGTCACCAACTCTCTGGGCAGGACAAAAAGGGTAAAACAGGTCCTTGACGACCGCACTGCCCCAAAAACTGTCATTGTTATGCCGGTTTACAAGGAGGATCCAGCAGTCTTGATAAAAGCGATCGATTCGGTGGTCGATTGTGATTACCCACCATACTGCATCCATGTGTTCTTATCATACGATGGCGGTGTCGTTGATGAGCCCTACCTTCGAGTTATTCATCATCTTGGGATCCCGATATCGTTGAAAAGTTACCCACAAAGCATAGATGTCATATACAAAAGCGCCAGGATCACAATTTCGCGGTTCAAGCATGGAGGTAAACGACACTGCCAGAAGCAAACCTTCAAGTTGATTGACAAGGTATACGCTGAATACATCAAGCGTCATGATGATCTTTTTGTACTGTTTATCGACTCCGACTGCATTCTTGATAGGGTGTGTCTGCAGAATTTCATGTACGATATGGAACTCAAGCCAGGCAGCAAGCACAACATGCTCGCAATGACAGGGGTTATCACATCCACTACTGAGAAGAACTCTCTTATTACGGTTCTACAGGATATGGAGTACATCCATGGGCAGCTTTTTGAACGTTCCGTGGAATCTGGCTGTGGCGCTGTAACTTGTCTTCCAGGAGCCCTAACAATGCTTCGGTTCTCTGCTTTTCGAAAAATGGCCAAATACTACTTTGCAGATAAGGCCGAGCAATGCGAAGATCTATTCGACTATGGAAAATGCCACTTGGGAGAAGACCGCTGGCTCACACATCTGTTCATGATCGGAGCTAAAGAGCGCTACCAGATCCAGATGTGCACAAGCGCATTTTGCAAAACAGAAGCAGTCCAGACGTTTAAAAGTCTATTGAAACAACGACGTCGATGGTTTCTCGGTTTTATCACCAACGAAGTCTGCATGTTGACGGACATCAGATTATGGAGGCGATACCCCCTCCTGTGTATGGTTCGCTTCATGCAGAACACGATCCGGACAACTGCCTTGCTCTTTTTCATAATGGTCATTTCAATAATTACGACATCCAATAAGATTGATAACCTCCCCGTTGGCTTCATTGCGGTATCGCTTGGTCTTAATTATTTCCTCATGTTCTATTTTGGGGCAAAGCTCAAGCGATTCAAGGCGTGGCTGTACCCTCTGATGTTCATTTTGAACCCATTCTTCAATTGGCTCTACATGGTGTATGGTATTTTCACTGCAGGACAACGTACATGGGGAGGACCCAGGGCCGACGCGGCAGCAGCAGATTCTCACACCACGCCAGAAGAAGCTGTAGAACAAGCAAGGGCTCAAGGTGACGAACTCAATGTCAATGTAGACACTTTTCGAACAAATTTCGATGACAAAGGAGTTCCAGTCCACCCGTCGGAAAAGATTGAGGGTCGGTTTTCTGTTCCAGAGCAGCGCCCTGATGGAATTTATATGAATAACGATTCTGGAGCTACTCTATCTCAAATGGCGGTTCCGCTTCCAGACATTCCTCGGATTCATCTGCACCCACGTTACTCTTCCGATTCGGTAGTAACAACGGACTCGGGCACAAACTCGGTTTCCATGCCGCACTATGTGGAGAACCTAATGAGTGAGGAGGATCAGAAGAAGCTTTTACTCGCTCGTCAATCGCGAGGATCAGGTTTTTTTGGACAGGGGGCGAGCACTGAAGGCACCCAAGTCTTGCAGCAAAGCGACAACCATGCACCTTGGACTCAGAACTTGAACCCACCGCTACGTGATCAAGGGCTGCAGTCAGGAACGGCAGTGTTGGCGGAGAATATTAGCCCCAACCCTCTTTCGTCGAATCAACTGGGGTCAGAACCACATCATGCATTGTTATCATCTCGCAACGATCCGCCTGAATGTGGTCCAGTGACGGGGAATCTTCAGGGAGTGCAGGGAATTCGCCAGAAGCTTCAAAAGAGGCTCTCTAGCCAGCCGAAGCGGCTAGAAAAGCCCGAGAACATGGTCTGAGAGACAGGCCCACTAAAGCCATTAGGGGTTTGGTACGTTTATCAACAACTATTACGATTCTCATTATCAAATTGGGCTAGGGGAGTTCTGGCAGGCTTTATTTTCTTTCCAAAAGTCACTCGTTTTATTTTGGTGATGGGATTCATGATAGTAGTTAGTGGCGTAAGCGCGAGTGTCATTCCCTATTCTTTAGCGATGTTTGTCAGGAGTGGGCAAAGCAATATGTAGTTCCTGTGAACTAGCTTAATAAAGCATAAAAATCCAAGCGATCGTTACATATGCAAGATAGGGTCAGGAGAAATCATCATCATGATCATCATCGTCTAGCCAGACCTGGTGATAACTTCATTTATCGATAAGTGACCCCGCCTAAAGCGATGGGGTTCTGCCAAGGTATGACGCCAGGCGGTGAAGGCGGGAGAAATCGAGGAAAAGCCCAGAAGGTTCGACGACAACGCAGCAGGACGAGAAGCACAGGAGGAAATGTTGGGCATTATGATTCAGGTTGCCTGGTTTCCGGAGTTTTGCTGTGATATATATATATTTTTTGAATTGAATTCCGGCTGCTGTCCTTGCTTATTGTAAATATTTCCCAAGTGCCATATAAAAAGTTTTTGAGGCAAAAAAAGGAAGAGAAAAAAAAAAAAAAAAAGAATAAGAAAACTTTGATTGACCGCTGGCCCTACTACTGAGCCACATCTGCCGCCGTTTATCACCGCCCGATAATAGTGGCGCTGCCTTGCAAATTCTCCCCCTCTTAATCATTATTCTCGCTCTCTTTTCTTCCCCGTCTTTTCACCACCTCTTTCCCTCTCCCCCTCCTTCTTTTTGATATTATTTCACGTTTTACTTTTTACGACCTAAATCTCCTACGATGTCTGTCGTCGGAATAGATCTCGGTGCTCAGAGCACTAAGGTCGGTGTTGCCAGGAACAAGGGTATCGACATTGTGCGTATATATAAATGTGCCCCTCAGCAGCCCAATGCTTTTTCCACTTCTCTGCTCCTATTGCGACTTTCCAATTCATCATCAGGGACATATTTCGCTGACTTGAAATTTTAATACTGTGATTAGATCGCCAATGAAGTTTCCAACAGACAAACTCCGTATGTTGAAGATTTTCATTCTCTTTTGTTTTACGATGGATTATCAGCCACATCATCGCGATAGTTAGAAGCTGTTGAGTTATAACTGACTGTTGTATTTCTTGTCAGGTCTTTGGTCGGATTCAACGCCCGCAGCAGAGCTCTTGGAGAGGCAGCTAAGACAGCAGAGACCTCGAACCTGAAGAACACGGTCGGCAACCTTAAGCGCCTTATCGGTCGCTCTTTCAGCGACCCCGATGTTCAGCTCGAACAGGAGTTCAACACCGCTACTATCTGTGACGTCAATGGCCAGGCCGGTGCTGAGGTCTCCTACCTGGGCAAGAAGGAGAAGTTCTCCGCTACCCAGCTGGTCGCCATGTACCTGACCAAGATCAGAGATATCACCTCCAAGGAGTTGAAACTCCCCGTTTCAGACGTCACAATCAGCGTTCCCGCTTGGTTCACAGATGTTCAGCGTCGTGCCATGATCGATGCTGGTGAGATTGCCGGTCTCCAGGTGTTGCGACTCATCAACGACACCACTGCCACCGCTCTCGGATATGGTATCACCAAGCTCGACCTCCCCGGCCCCGAGGAGAAGCCCCGTCGGATCATGTTCGTCGACATCGGCCACAGTGACTACACTGCCTCGGTTGTTGAGTTCAGAAAGGGTGAGCTCAACGTCAAGGCCACTGCCTATGACCGTCACTTCGGTGGTCGTAACTTCGACCATGCTCTGACCGAGCACTTTGCCGAAGAGTTCAAGAAGCAATTCAAGATCGATGTCCGCACAAACCCTAAGGCTTGGGCCCGTACCCTCGCCGCTGCCGAGAAGATGAAGAAGGTCCTGTCGGCCAACCCTGCTGCTCCCATGAACATCGAGTCCCTGATGGACGACGTTGATGTTCGTTCCATCGTCAAGCGTGAGGAATTGGAGGTCATGATCAAGCCTCTGATGGACCGCGTCACCGTTCCTTTGGAACAGGCCCTCGCTGAGGCCAAGCTTAAGCCCGAAGACATCGACCACGTCGAGATGGTTGGTGGCTGCACTCGTGTGCCCGCCATCAAGGACGCCATCAGCAAGTTCTTTGGCAAGACCCTTTCGTTCACTCTTAACCAGGATGAGGCTATTGCTCGCGGTTGTGCCTTCAGCTGCGCCATTCTCTCTCCCGTCTTCCGTGTCCGTGACTTCTCCGTGCACGACATTGTGAACTACCCCATCGAGTTCACCTGGGAGCAGTCGTCCGACATCCCTGACGAAGACACCAGCTTGACTGTCTTCAACCGTGGCAATGTCATGCCCTCTACCAAGATCCTCACCTTCTACCGGAAGCAGCCTTTCGACCTCGAGGCTCGCTATGCCAAGCCTGATATGCTTCCCGGAAAGATCAACCCCTGGGTTGGCCGATTCTCTGTTAAGGGTGTCAAGGCTGATTCCAACGATGACTTCATGATCTGCAAGCTTAAGGCCCGTCTCAACTTGCACGGTATCCTGAACGTTGAGTCCGGATACTACGTTGAGGACATGGAAGTCGAGGAGCCCGTTCCCGAGGAGGGCGAGAAGAAGGACGGTGAGGTGAGTTATAATCCCAGGTGTTATGAAGGTTTCGATTTTAATACTGATTTTTTCCTAGGCTATGGACACCGATGCTGCCAACGGCGATGAACAGCCCAAGAAGACCCGCAAGGTCAAGAAGCAGGTCCGCAAGGGTGACCTGCCCATCTCTAGTGGCACCACCGCCCATGACCAGCCCCTCAAGGAAGCTTGGACTGAGCGTGAGAATGCCATGTACATGGAAGACAAGCTCATTGCGGAGACCGACGAGAAGAAGAACGAGCTTGAGGCCTCGATCTACGAACTCCGTGACAAGATTGACGGTGTTTACGCCGAATTCGCCAGTGACGACGAGAAGGACAAGCTGCGCGCCAAGCTGACCGACCTCGAGGTAAGCCGTCTTGTTTTTCTCTTCTAAGTGTTTGGAAAACTCGTACTAACAGATGATCCAGGATTGGCTCTACGAGGATGGTGAAGACACCACCAAGTCCGTCTACGTGTCGAAGATGGACGAGATCCGGTTTATTTCCGGCCCCATCATCCAGCGCCACAAGGACAAGGTTGAGAACGAGCGCCTGGCTAAGGAGGAAGAGGTCGCTAAGCAATTTGCCGAGAATGAGGCCAAGCGCAAGGCCGAAGAAGAGGCCAAGAAGGCTGAGGAGGATGCTAAGACCCAGGCCGATGCAGAGATGAAGGATGCCCCGGCCGAGGGTGAGGCTCCCGCTGAGGAGAAGCAGTAAACGCCTCACGTCTGAAGAGGCCCTCAATTGATTTATTATTGCGCACACTGCACCTCGCATGTGCAGGTTGATGACAAAACGGTCACGATCTAAATCGAATTATTTTGACCCCCTTCTTTTGCACATTATTTCCCCCTTTCACTTTTTTTTATGATGTAGAACGCAAATTTCCCTTTCTTGTTTTTTTATTTTTTATTGTCACCCCTTCGACTTTGGGACCTTCTAGGTTAGGAGGTCGCTTCATGAGTGCATGGATGATAAATGAGGACAATTGGAAGCAAAGAGATCTCATCTTTGCAATGATGGCAAAGAGAAAAGAAAGATCTAGAGCGTGATGAGATATGGATAGAAATTCTTAATTATTAGGAAGAGAAAAGTTACAAATTCTTTGCTCTTTAACTTGAGCCTTTTTCAGCATTGACAAGTAAACAAACAGTAAATACTAATGCATCCTAGCATAACACTCGTTCTCCAATCTGTGACTCTCCATTCTATTCTAGAAGAATGTTCTGGGTGCCTTTAACGGGCCATGGATAGACCGAGCATCACAGGGTATTTAGCTCATGGTTCCGTGGATCGGTTTTTGTCAGAATGATTCCTACACCGCTGGTGCATATGAAACAATTATGATGTACTTATTGACAGTGATAAATATGCAGTGCCCAGAAGTCTCATCGTTAAGACGCAATGTTGAAGCGCAGCATACAGGAAGCCAACCACACATGAAATGGACCCTTGGGACCTGGTAACTATTATATTTGCAGTATGGTTAGTAGCAACTTCGAGATACCCAATGGACCACGTGGATGGCCAGATCATCATGGATGACCATCTTTGGCAAGAATACGGCCTCAACACATCGGCAGAGTATAAATACTTCTATGAGCCAGGCTCCAACGATACCCTAGGCCACTATGACGCTCGATTTTTCAATGGCATCCTTGACGATGAGAAGAAAGCGGAGGTCATAACGAGGATGGTCCGGGCGTATCTAAACTTCTTCGACGAGAATGGCTTAGAGACATGGATTGCACATGGTTCTCTTCTGGGTTGGTGGTGGAATGGCAAGGTAGGAGGTACCTGATGTGTAATCGCTTTCATGCTTCGCAGCTGACATCTGAGGGCTTTTATAGATGCTCCCCTGGGATTGGGATGTTGACACCCAGGTATCAGATACCACGCTGATCCACCTGGCGGATCTTTTCAACCAGACTGTCGTCGAATACAGCGCTGCAGACTCAAGCGTGAAGAGCAAATACTTGCTTGACATTAATCCTTGGGCTCGAAATCATGAGACAGGTTTGGGGTTAAATATAATCGATGCCCGATGGATTGACATTGGAAGTGGACTTTATGTCGACATCACTGGTCTCAGAAGAACGATTCCGGAAGAGCCTTATATATGGCAGTGTAAGAACTTCCACAGATATCGAACGGAGGACCTTTTTCCGCTCCGCAAAACGACATTCGAGGGTAGCTCAGCCCATGTGCCTTTTCGATATGATGCAGTTCTGATAGAGGAATACAACGAAACGGCCTGGGTGGCGACGAAGTTCCACAAGTGAGTAGTTTTGGTTTACCTCAGCCATGATTTTTTCACGAAATGACTATTTTTGCAGCCATACATGGTACCCGGATCGAGCAGAATGGGTTCGAAATGGTTGCAGAAACGCTGCTGGATGACTTGTTGCTGTCAGTTCCATTAAGGTGTGTCGATCCCAGGTCGATCTTCAGGGTCCCTTTGTGCCTGAGGCAAAAGTTGGTGATATCACGTGGTCTTATCCGTTATCTCCGGCTGACAAACGCAATCGCCGTGGAAGTCGATCGAACTGTCCGTCGCGTTTTGCTTTTGGACTCATCTCTGCTCTGCTTCTCTGCTTATTTCTTTCTTCTTGCATCGCTGTATCTGAGAAGCCTCAAAACAGTTTCATCAGCAAAATGGACACAATGACGTCCGATTCGCTGAACTTGACCGTTCACCACCATGGAACACCCCATACTTTCAATCTCTCCTCAGACACAACACTTCAAGACCTCTCTTCCCTCCTCGCCACCTCTCTTCACATCCCTCCTGAGAATCAGAAGCTACTCATCGCACCAAAACCGGGAATGCAAAAGGCTCCCTTCCCCGCCACCCGATTGGACAATATCATCCCACTCGACTCCCCCAAGCTAAAGATCACTCTCCTCGGCAGCCCGGCCAAGGAAATTAATGATTTGAACACTCAACTCGCTGACACCCGACGAAGAAACGAAGCGCGAGCTGCCGCGCGCGCCTCAGCGGCATCATCACCCGCCAGCAGACCCAGCCGACGCAGCGGCGGCATCCACACACTCTCTGACTCGGGCGACTCCTACACCTTCCACCGCTTGCTTCCTTTACCCTACCTCCCGAATCCGTCACGATCACACGAGTTCCTAGCCCGTCTTCGTGATGACCCGGGCATCCGCGCCTCGATGGCAAAACACCGTTTCTCCGTCCCATTGCTGACGGAAATGAACCCGGCCGAGCACACAACGATGGACTCGCGGACGCTAGGTCTGAACCGGAACAAAGGCCAGGTGATTGAGTTGCGTTTGCGCACGGATGCCTATGATGGGTACCGCGATTACCGCACCATCCGGAAAACGCTATGCCATGAACTGGCGCACTGTGTGTTTAGTGAGCATGATCGGGACTTTTGGAACTTGACGGCGCAGATCGAGAAGGAGGTTGATGCGGCAGACTGGAAGCATGGTGGACGGAGGGTGACAGAGCAGGACTTTTACAACCCTGATGATTGGGAGGCGGAGAAAGATGCAGAGGTGATCGATGAGCGGGGATGGACAGGTGGAGAGTTTGTTCTTGGGGGGCCGAGGCAGGACGCAGTGGGAGGTGGGCGAGAGCAGATTAGATCTGGGACTGAGAGTCGGAGAGATATGATGGCCAGGGCGGCAGAAGAGAGGCTGAGAAAGGATAAGGACAAGGGCAAACAGGAAGAGTGAGACATCTAGGTGGTTTTGAATATGCTTATGAGATATGACATGGTATGATAGTTTACTCTTTTGGGGTTAAGGTTTATTCTTGCGGACAACATATTATAATACTATGTGCATTTGTTCAAATATAGACCCATATATAGAATGGACTTGAGTATAGTCTGACAAATTAAACCTGCTCGTTTACAAACAATCCTGCCATTCCTTGTCCAGTTCCGATACACATGCTGGTCACCAAGACCTTCTTCTTGGTTCGCCGTGCCTCGCTAAGAATGGTACAGATTTGGCGTGCCCCTGTAGCTCCCAAAGGGTGACCGAGGGCGATGGCGCCTCCGCGTGGGTTGACCTTTTCGTGTTCCAAACCAAGGTTGTTCAGACAGTACACAGCCATAGAGGCAAAGGCCTCGTTGATCTCGTAAATGTCGATATCATTCTTATCCAAGTTGAATTTGGACAGTAGCTTGGGGATGGCAGCCGTGGGGCCTATTCCCATAATACGCGGGGGCACACCGGCGACAGTGGCGCCGCAGAATTTGGCCAGGATGGGCTGGTTGAGCTCGATGGCCTTGGAGCGGCGCATGAGAAGAACGGCAGCGGCTACACAAAGTTAGTTTTCACTGTTTTCTCACTAGGTTGCTTTAAAAAAGGGGATGTACTCACCCCCATCAGTCAGCTGGCTGGCATTTCCACCGGTCGTTCTGTTTCCAAACTGAGGGAACGCAGGGCGGATCTTGCCTAAGGACTCGGGAGTGGTTCCGTATCGGACCCCCTCATCGCGAGTGAGAGTAACCTCTTTCACCTCACCAGTTTTGGGGTCCTTGATCTTGGTAGTGATGGGAGTGATTTCATCGTCGAACCAGCCCGCCTTCTGTGCGGCCTCAGCACGACGGAACGACTCGGCCGCATACTTGTCCTGTGCCTCACGGGAGATATTAAAGTCTGCGCCAACGTTCTCAGAAGTCTGGCCCATGGGCTGCATGCAATCAGCAGCTTCTTGGTTCTTGAGCACCTCCTCGTTGAACGGCCGGGACAATCGGTCGCCGCCGGCAGACATCAGCTCAGCCCCGAGGGCCACACCAACGTCGATAGCACCCAGCTGGATTTGGTTTGCGATGTCCTGAACAGCCTTCAGACCAGACGAGCAGAAACGGTTTACAGAGGAACCGCCTGCAGTGTGAGGGATTCCGGCAGCAAGGGATGCGGCGCGGACGAGGTAAGCGGCCTTGCCGTCGTTGACCTATACAAGTACGAGTTAAGAATCGCAGGCCTCAGGAAACATGTTTGGGGGCGAAGCTTACGTTGCCCAGGCAGACATCCTCAATGAGCGCCGGGTCCAGCTTCGACTGCTCCAGCGTCTTCTTCAGCAACGAGTAAACTATGTAGTCAAGCTCCGTGTCCTTGAATCCACCCTTGACAGCCTTGGCCAGGGGCGTTCGCAAAGCAAGGGTAATCACGACATCATCTGGGTTTTTCTGGGTGCTATTCAAGCATTAGAATGACCGTCACTGAAGGCTAAAAAGCGGGCTTACATGGTTGATAGTCCATTGCTCCCTGAAGGCCTCAGGTGGCTAAGAATCGAGCTCAAACGGTCGGCGGCCATTGTGCGTGCTAGTAATAGTGCTGGTCATATATATTAGTAAATTGATATGACTGGTATTTGCTGTAAAGAGGGAAAAGAAGAATTGGTGACGACAGCTCGTGGCGATAGCAAAGGTGCGGGGAAAGCTCGAGAGCAACCACAGCGGTGTTCTACCGACCGAACAGGTAGAGAGAAAAGATTCTTGTAGATATGAAGATATATACTCACCTGATGAGAATATACAGCAGTGATGATGAGGAAGAAAAGTGGAGGAGAAGATAGGAGTAAGTAGTTAGTTGTCATCCAGGAAAAGACGGCCGTTTCTTCTCCAACCGAGCAACTGCCGAGGCACATTTTGTTCTCCGCCTGAGGTACCCTGTACTTCTGCCCCCGCAGCATGCAGGTGACAACACAAGTACCTAGCACTTGATGATTTACAGCCGAGATGCTAGTTTATCATTTACGATTAATCATTTGAGGTGGAAATAATGAAATAGCAAAGGTGAGTATAGCGTGAACTACTGAGTACTATATATACAATCTTTCTCAAGCAATGACCCGAAATAACGAAAAGGAAGCCCATAACGCCTAATGTCATATCAAAGCCAAGTGAAGCAACGCGATAGCAAAGCATTCTTTGTCTCTCGGGTTTAAAAAACCAACCCAAGCATACAAAGCTCTATTACAAATGGTGGATATCGTCATCGCTGATTACACTACCAACTTCTGACCAACTAGCCGGCGTGGCAACGCCCCCAGTGGTTTGCCCCAGGTCACTCAATGTGCCATCTGAAGATGCATCTTCGGCAGTTTCATACACATGACTGAAACTCCCGTCAGCGGAGGATGGCGTTGTTGGCCGTGTCTCGTGAACAGACGTGAACTTTTCGGAACCCAAGTCGGACAGATCTGCAAATGGTGATCTAAGATCCTGATGGGTTTCGTTGCTCGGTGGATCCGGATGAGCATGGGCATACCCCTGCGATTGCTCCTCTGTATGGCTTGATGCTAATGAGTCTGTTTGAGATGCCACAGAAAAGAACCCTGATTGGTCGATCTCTTGCGAATTACCATGGTCCGGAACCTCGGAGGTAGGTGTTAAATCGACAAGGGTTGTTGAACGGTTCCCAGGCGATGGCATGTCAATATGTAGTCTATCTCTATCGGTAGTGTCTAGCATTTGGTTCTCATCCGAGTGATTAGCGGAGATACCGCCCCTCTGAACGTGTTGCGATGCCGCCAGATCCACAGCTGTTGAGGTTGCAAGCGCATCGGTGGATTTTTCGAGAATATCGAGGTCTCGCAGACGACCCTCATCGTCGACAAGGCTATCAAACGAGCCGGGCTGACTAGTCCTTTTCCTTCGACGTGCGTCGAGAAATACACTCCGCCGTTGAATCTCCTCCCGGGCAATGCGCCTTCGCTCCTCAGCCGCTTCCCCAACTTCTTCGGACATTGAAATGTCTTCTCTAAGCGGGGAGGTAGAATCGCGAGGCTCGATCTCATCACCAAGGTTGTGCAGAGCCAGCGCAAGCTTTCGTCGAGAGTTGTCTATCCATTGTCGGAACTGAGGAGATTCGTAGACCGCAATACCAGCGGCAACGAGGGCTGATACAGTAATGATAAGCCCTGGGACGGAGTGTCAGTAAGAGCCAATATACCGTATTCCATCAGCCACCCCAGGCGCATCTCCAAAGCGAGATATTCAAAACGTGAAAATGATCTACTGATAAGCGCACCGCCCGGCCGACTCGGAAGATGAAGTAGTATGGATGAGATGCGAATGACTCAGACAATAGTAGAATAGAAATTGGAATTAAAGAGAAACTTACCCTTTGCAACGGGGGTAGGCATCGTGACAATATCCCCAGCCCTGGTTTATTTTGATTTCTTGTGATTTCTTTCTCTTCTGCCTGGTTTCTTATACGGATGCCAGCAAGGAAGAATGTCGGCGTCATCTCCAACAGGTTGCCGCCCCGCTGCGCCGCCACGTGACGGATACAACCCTTATCCGCAGCCCTAACTCCTGTCCGCTTTCGGCATCCCATGTTTCCCCGCCGCGTCAACGTCAACAACGGGTTCAACGGCCTGACGATCGGCTTCATCGAGGATAACCATCAAATACAACTATCCAAACAGTCTTGCGATAGTCCAACATGTCTCGTCCTTCGTCTATCGCCCAGCGCCCTCTCACGCTCACAGAGGAGCTGGAGAAGCTGGAGCAATCCATCACGCTCACGCTGCAGGGTAAATAAACTATGACCCCAGTCAAGACAAGCAATTGCTAACCAGGATTGCGCAGAGATCGACCATAATTTCAGTCAGGCGCATCGGATCGTGACTACAAGCATCTTGCCTGTCGTTGAGCAGTACGCAGAGCATTCCAGGGATGTCTGGGAGGGGGCAAAGGTTCGTTGACTTGCACCCATACTTACAGCTCAAACGAACAATGAGCTTACTGATCCTTGCAGTTCTGGAAACAATTCTTCGAAGCGAGCGCCAATGTCTCCTTATCCGGATACGAGGAGCGACCCAACGAGGATACAGTACAGGAAGAGACCGCCATGGAAGAGGACTCGTCGAACATCAACCAGAGCAACCTCACCGAGACCGCGTCCTATGAAACACCCTCGTCCGAACGTATGCAAAAAGCAGACGATGTTGACCTCACCTCCCTTACCCTCGAATCGCATAGTACGCCGCGCGCACCCTCGCACGAACACCATCAAGACGACGACACCTCAACCTCGCTCCCCTACTCCCCCTATGAAACCTTGAAACAACAGATCAACGAGACAGAAGTACCCTTCGACCTCGAAGACTCAGCCCTTCCTACCACACCCGGAAAACCCTACCAAAGATCCCACGGCTTTTCCCATCATGCAACCGATACCCCCATGTCCTCCTCGCCATTTGTCCCCCCTGTTTCGTACGACGACGAACCCTCCACCGCCCAGCGCGGCCACGAAAATCCCGTCATGCATCAAATGCCTGATAGAACATATCGTGTGCAAGCTACTCCCATCGGAAAGAGCTATGGCAACAACCGGTCCAAGTTCACCATCACCCCGAAAGCGACAACCTCGAAATACACCTTCGACGACTCGCCCATCTCCAGTCCCGAGCCCGAGGCTCCCCAATTGCACGCCGAAATCTTCGACTCGCCGTCTAAAGCTATGACTCCGGGAACAGGTCGAAAGCGCCGCCCTAGCGCTAATCTGCGCATTACCCCCAAGCCAGGCATGAGCGTGCTCACTCCAGCGAAAGGGAGCGGGAAACAGCCAGCTTGGGATAGTGACGATGAACTGGCTGGCGATTATTATGATGATGACGAGGACTTTGGACCCAGTCCTCCGAAGACCATGCAATTCCACATCCCGCAGAGTCGACTCATGAAGACACCAGGTAAGTTTTTCTTGATACTTATTCTTCACTTTTACACCATTAAATACTGATAATTGTTCCCATGAATAGCCAAAGAAGCTTCCAAGCGGATCGTGTCGGATCTACTCACCACTGCCGGCGCAGAGGACATCACAGACGACTTTAATGATGACCAGAGTCCAAGCGTAATTCGACGGGTAGAGCGATTGGAGGATGAAACTTTCTAATTAGATTTGAAAGCTGGACCCTGTATACTTTTGTAACACATCGTACTTCTTCCAAATGCATTTAGATTTTCGCGACATCTATGGCATACAATCACATGACTTCTACTTCATCTCCCCATAGCCAAATACTAAAACAAACGCCGATGACCGCTCGATGGATCGATCGATAAACCAAATTTGATAGAAAGAAACTGAACTCAAGCAAGAGCAAGAGCAAGAGCAAGATACACAAGCAAGATGTTCTCGGACAAGAGGAGAATGGTAGAAAAAGGGAAATGGGTATTTCTTGACATCCAAATACGCAAAAAAACATCGAGTGCCCCAGTGGAAACGTACAAGACAAAATGTATGACTAGCTTCGAACCTGCGGAAAATTGTAAAGGGGGGGGGGAAGAGACATGACGGGGTATCAAGCGTGAAGCGCTGACTATGGATAGAGGGTTTACGGGGGAAGGGACGTTGAGAGATGATGGGTAGAGCAAGAAGCAGCCACGCCGTCATGGTATATGTACACTGTGCCTTTTGGCGCAAAGTTGAGGGAAGGGTATTGTGGATAAAGGTGCTGGGGAGAAAAAAACACGGCATGAACGACAAATTTTCCAATCCGTTGCGCCAAACAAGGCGAGCCAGACCTGAAACAATGTGAAATGCAATGGCATAGGAAAAGAAATGGCAAAGATTAAGCAAAGGGGTAGATATTAAGACGAGGACCCAACATCCCTGAAATGGGCGAGATCCAATCGAACTTAACCCTGCATACCCATAAACACCTCCTGACAGTTATCCACCAAGAACTTCAAGACTTCGTTCTTCTTCTGCACATCAGTCATCTCGCGGGCCAGACTCTCTGGTCTCATGATAGTCGGAGCGAACACCACAGCGATATTCTGGCTAGTCATCAGGTTCTCCTTTTCGCGCTCAACCACACGCTTCAGGTGGAAGACGAGGAACTCCAGCACGTCCTGGTGAACGCGCGGCAGCTCCTGAAGGCTCCTTTGGAGGGCCTCAACGCGGGCTTGTTGTGAGGTGATGTCGCCAGTGTCAATAATTAATTCGTAAACGTCGTAAGTAATCAGAGGCGTGGGCAGCTTCCGGAAATACTGCTTCAAAGCCGATGTCACGGCATGGATATCAAGATCGGGGTCTGAGATATCATAATCTTGAGGTGATCGTTCAAACCCTTCACGAATAGTCTGGATAGCTGAGCTTGCACCAGATTTACGGTAGATTCCTTCCATGTCCATTCCTGAGAAATCCATCAGCATCAAGTCAAAAGAAACAGGAAACTTGCCAGAACTCACCTCGTAATTCAACTTCCTGTATGCAACGGGTAATAATAGCGGGAATGATGCTCTTCTCGTGCTCCATGCGTGCTTCCAAATCTGTGCCAAAAAGTCCTCCTGATAAAAGGATTAGTAAACAGTGACCGTAACCATATAGATAGTAGAATATACATACCAGCAGGAGTAGCATCAGTCAAGACTGGAACGCTATCAGTTTGGGGCATTTTCGTTCCAGCCTGCTTGTTTCTCGGGGCTCCAAAGAACCCAAATCCTGGACGGCTGGGGTCCTGGGTCTGGGAGCGCGGAATACCAGGGGTAGGATCTTGGTCGCTTGATCCGAAGGCACCTTTAAGACCCTTTGTGACTCCCTTGGCGACGTTCTGACCTCCTTTCTTCCAGTTGAACTTGCGGGGTTGTCCTTTGCGGATGCTGACAACCTGAGGGCCGGGAACAATGGTGGCCGGTTCAGCCTCCTCTGAGATGTTGGCAGACATGGAATTGGCGAGGTCCCCAGCGGGCTTCAAGGCATCGATGGAATTCATGGATTTTTCTTTGCTGTGAGAGTAGATTCCAAGACCGTTAGCCCCACGGTTGCCATCGACAGAGTTTGCCTTGTAGAGCTCCTGGATCTGGTGGACTAGCTGGTTGTTCAATTCGGCGAGTTGTGCATTCTTGGAGGACAGCTGCTCGAACTCCTGGAAGCTCTTATCCTTCATCCTGTTCAGGTTGGCAAGCTCCTCAGCGGTGTCGTTGCGCTTTTGAACAAGATCCTCGATTTGCGGAGTAAACGAGTCCTTGAGTTTCTGGATAGACTCGACAAACTCCCGCAGGACGTGGTTTGTGATTTTCCCGAGATCCAAAGGACCGCTGCCGCCGCGCTTCTCGGCCTCGAGGTGATCGGTTAGCACACCAAGCTCCCGCATGACAATCTCCTTTCTCGCATCCAAAACAACCATGGTGGACCGCTTCTCGTGGAGTTCTGTGTTGACCTGCTTGACATCCGCCTGCGCGTTAAGTATGGCTTCCATCTCGGCGATCCTTTGCTCCTTCTCGTTGACACGCTGGCGCTCTCTGCGCAATTCGCTGCGAAGCCATGCCACATCATCTGTCCGGTTCTCAGGAGAGCCCGTGGCGGATGGACTGCCAATGTCCTGCATGGGCGTTGTTCCATTGACGGGGGACCTGGGCCACTTGGCATCTCTGGAAAGGCGCGAGCCCTTGTCGCTGAAACTGCGACCGTGGCGTACAGAGTTTGAGACACGGCGCAAAAAGGACTCGCTGGTGATACCATTTTGCGAATCGTCCGAGCCCATTAGTCGCATCATATCTTCATCCATGGACAAGTCTCCTCCAACGCTGTAGCGCAACAAGGACGGAGAGGCCGCACGCTCAGCCGGGCGATAAGGGTCTGATTGGAGGGTATTCACAGATTCATTGCGGGCATGCGGTTTCGATGCCTCAGCATTGAAATCGCTGCGGGGGATGCGTGGAGATTCACCCAGTCTCGGGGTGGCCTTGCCAGTACCAGACGTGTATGTGGATGAGCCATCTTGGCCCAAGGCAGGAGTTGAGCGCGCACTCCACTCCTCGCCTTCGCTAATTGACTGCGAACGGGGGGATGCTCCCAATTCTTTTCTTGGGATCTGGTGCAGTTTACTCTCCAGCGAGTCTCCTCGTTTAGGGGGGTGCTGCATGCTTGTGGCAGATGACGGGAAAGAGCGTGATGAATCCATGGAATTGTTTTCATGCAGCTTACGAAGTTCATGGGATGGGCGAGAAGGAAGCGTAGCAGTGCTATCAAGTGCAGTCGACCTCCGCGAATCGATTGTTGAGCTGTCCTTATTGCGGATGGTCGATTCGACACTCTCGGGGCTCGGCGTAGAGAAAGAACTGGTCAATGGCAGGTCGGACCTCGAGCTACGGGCAGAGCTTGATTTGGAAGTCTTGTGCACATCATGGGCTTTGAAAGCATCCAGGTTATGTGCGCGAGACTTATCAGCAGAAGTCCCATTTGCTGCGGCACCAACTTCCTGACGCCAACGGCTCGGATCGATGTCGGCGCGCTCTCGTCCCTTCTCCTGGTAGGCAATATGGGGCGACGAAACTTCGGACGTGGGTTGCGAGGATCCAGCAGGCTTATGGCTAAAGTAGTTAGGTTCATTGCTATGCTGTGGCGGTTGTGGGTGTGAAGATCGATGTTCCTCAGCGGGGTCGAATGCAAGAGGAATGAGTAGTTCCCCGCCACCACCATCGGCCTCTGTTGTATCGCGAGGTATCACGGAATAGCGATTGCTTCGGTAAGTGCTCGACGGGAGGATGAGGTCATCTGGAGTTACACAATCATAAATTAACCCCCTACTCGATCTCGAAATTAATTTGAATGTGAAAGGTTGCTCACCTTGATGAGTAGACTGGCGGTGCGCCGAGCGGTCAACCCTTCCGGCATCCAAGGCAGGCGCCGCACCGCGGGAGGCTACCTCTGTTGTAGCGTCGGCATACGAGTCGGCGGCAGGATCATCGGCCGGGCGTGAGAGAGATTCGGGGTCTTCTGGGGGTAGCGAGGGGAGGGACTTGTCGAGTTTCACGCCAGGCGGATGTTTCCTACTAGGAGCGACACCGCGGTTTCGTTTCCTCCGCCGCTGCATCAAAGATTCGTGACAATCCATACAAAATATACCCTGAGAAGTTCGAGCGTAACGTAGATTCTCGATTTTCCTTTTGCAGTTCCGACATCGAAAGCATTGTGCGCAGAAGGCCTGGTCACCAGTGAGGATGGCCAGATCCTCGATCTTGTCTCCACATGAGCTGCAACTGTAAGTACAATTGCTGCAGATCAACGAGCCATCTCCGAGAAGCAGCAAATGCGCGTCCGAGTCCAGAAGGGTGGCGCATGTACTACAACGGAAACAGTCGATGTGCCATCGATTGCCCGCTAGACAATTGTCAGTTCACTATCCAAGTGCCATTATAAGGGGAAAAAAAAAGGATGCCAATCGAACAAACATACCCAATTCAAAAGCCTTGCCTTCTTCGAGAATCTGTAACAGGAATCCGTCAGCTCTTGCCCTTTGTGATTCCAATTTAAACCATAATCATACCTCTCCACAACCCTTGCAAGGAAAAGGAACATCATCCTGCTCCAAAGGAGAATCCGGCGGATATACAGCCGGTGATTCCATGATGACCTTCACCGACCAAGCACCCGATACTTTATTATGAAGGGAAACGGCGAGAGGAAGAGGTAGCTAGCTGTTGTTTGTCCAAGATACCCCAAGGTGTCGAACGCCCGGTAGCGGGCCAGCGATGCTACTGAGACGACGATTCGGAGGCGCAAGAAAGGGGAACGGGAGCGATCTGGCAGAGCATCCGACAGGGTGAATCGGAGAAAATAGCCGGATAACAAAAGTAAAGAAGGCGAAACGACCAAGGGCAAGACAAGTAAAAAAAAGAAAAGAAAAGAAAAGAAAAAAGAAAAAAAGGAGAATAACCAAGTCGAAAGTCGAGTCGAGGTCTGGATGCAAGAATGGGGGACAAAGGAGGGGGGGTGGGTTATTCTGTTGAGCGTGGAGCTTGCGTTGGTGCCAGGTGGAAAGTCAAGTAGGGACCCGCTTTGGAGGAAGGAGTAAGACAAATTGACGCGCGATAAAACGACGGCAATGGACGAGGGAGACGCTAATAGATGAGGAAATTGGCTCCGACAGGCGCAGAGCAGGAGAACAGCCGCAATTTAAAAACGAAGTTGTGGAGGCCGTGGTGGTGATCAGTGGTTGATGGTGGCGGCGCGGGGGGGGGGAGTTCGTAGAGGGAGACAAGGAGACGTCGAGCGGGCCTAAGGAAGAAGAAAGAAAGCAGACAACCCGGTCAGTTAAGCAGTTCAGATGAGGATGAACATGGTGAATGACATCCAAAGGACAAAAGAAAGAACAAAGATACCCCGGATCTAGAGCAGGGAGCAGGGGAGGAGAGAAAGTACCAAGAGATGCACTGTGCAGGAGAAGCACCGTGGACTAGGGCGGGATGCAGGATGCGTTGCTGACTCGGACTCAGGGGAGGGGAAGAAAGAGGGGAGAAAAAAGAGAAAGAGAAGAAGAGGAAGAAGAAGGGAAAAAAGATTCAATAATGAATCAGTTGAAACGCAGAGCTTTGGACGAAGCCGATCAGGAGAAAGAAAGAGAAAGGCAGCGAGGGAAGAGAGAAGAGGGAGAAGAGAGGGAGAAGCGATGTTTCAGATAGACTCGGGCGCGGTGGCCAGCGGGAGTGGATCGGTGGGGAGGATATGCAGCAGATTGATCACTACGAATGAAGATGAAGATGAAGAGGATGAGGATAGAGATGATATTGATGGTGTTAAAGAGAAAGAAGAAGAAAGAGGGAGAGAAAGAATTATGAAAGAATGGCTGGTGTTGGTGAAAGCCAGAGAGGGACAGCCAGACAATAAGGTAGACGGCTCGACTTCCCCTCGAGGTGAAACCAACAGAGGCTACGATGGTAATAACCGTAGAATTAAGAAAGGAGCAGTTGGAGACACGATGATTCGTAATTGGAAGTATTTGGATTGTCTGGATGTATGAATAGTAACATGATGCTATTTTGGTGCCTCGAGAACTATACGAGGCTCACGAACCTCTCGATTCAACCACGAGGATTAAGGAGTACCCATCCCAGTGCCATCAACGGGATACCAATTATCAACCCTGCGAGTCGAGGAGTCGGTGTCATTATTTACATGAGAAGATCCCTCATTCAGATTCCAGAGATCAAACAATGTGGAGTGTTTCATCATGGTGGACCCCCGGAAGGCCAGCATCGCGACAGTCTGGATATTCGACAGCTATCAGTATCAGGCCAGCAGAGGCCATGTGGTCTGATGGTGAATATCATAGGCTAGAGGACAGTGGCGATTGAATGCTTATTATCATCATTTGGATCATGCTATTCTTCACTAATTATGGTTAATATCTGTAGACTTAGCACACACTACAAAAAGTACGTCAGGTCACATGATGTTACACCACATTTCGAAACAACAGAGATTCTATGCTCTATTCCAAACGCCTCACAATTATTATTATCCCATGTACATGCAAAAAATCTATTCAATCTTTTTTCTTCTTTTCAAATCAAAGAAATCAAAAACTAAGTCTCAAGAGACTGGTGAATCACACTCGTCCGGTACATCTCACTTCTCTGGATCAACTCGTCGTGCGTGCCTTGTTCCGCACACCGTCCGTTCTCGATCAGATAGATCTGATCCGCCCGGTGAATGGTGTTCAATCGGTGGGCAATCGCCACGATCGTCGTCCGTCCTGCCAGCGTCGCCAGCGCTTCCTGGATGCGCTTCTCCGACTCGACGTCCAGCGCACTCGTCGACTCATCCAGCAGCAACATTCTCGGCTTCCGCACCAATGCCCGAGCAATCGACAATCGCTGTCGCTGTCCACCGGAGAATTGCTTTCCGTCGTGACTGCAGATTGTCTCGTATCCCTCCGGCAGTGCCATAATCACATCGTGGATGTTGGCCATCTTGCAGGCCTCCTCGATCTCGGCCAGGCTGGGCTCATGGCCGGGTCGGGCGCCCAGACCAATGTTAAAGGCCACAGATCCTTCGAACATGACGTTCTCCTGGGGCACTAGGGCGATATCGTCGCGGAACTCGGTGCCCAATTGACGCGTCACGTCCACACCGTCAATGACGACCGCACCTGAAGATGGACGGTAAAACCGCTCCAGCATGGCGAATGTAGTCGATTTTCCAGATCCACTGGGACCGACCAGCGCACAGAACTGACCCGGTTTGATATCCAGGGTGAGGCCCTTGAGAATGGGGGCCTCCGGTCGTGACGGATAGGTGAAGTGGACCTCGCGGAGCTGGGCACCAATACCGTTCTCTGGCAGCACACCGGGAGTGAACGACTGCTTCTCTGCGCTGGCCTCAACGTCTGGAGTCTTCTCCTCAAGGAGACTGCTGGAGGGCTTGAAGCTCTGCGAGGAGCCAGGGGCCAGTTCTTCCTCGGCAGACCGGGTGGTGAGAAGATCCACAATGTTGGACGAGGCCACACGAGCCTTGGAAATATCCGGAGCGAGAGCGAACATCTGTCCACACGACTGGGTACTGAACAGGAGCGCGGGCAGGACAATGAAGAACTGTGTCTGCGAGTACAGACCCGAGGCGATCTGCCGGGATCCCCACCAGTAAGCCAGAGCGTAGACAAAGTTACTGATACTGAACGCCAAGGCCAACCACGCATTACCAGAGGCAATCGACTTCATGGTTTCCTTGTACGGCTTCTGCAGCGACCGGCCATATACTTCATACGATTGCTTCTCCAGCGAGAACGCAGCAACAGCCCGGATATTGTCTACCGCCTCGACGGTTATGGCCGTAGCTTTAGCAAACGCCTTCTGGTGGCGCTCTGCAAACTTGGCCTGCACACGTAGCTTCATCATACCCGCAACCAGCAGGACGGGAATAGTTGGCAAAAGAACAATAGTAATCTTCCAAGCAATGGCGAAGGAAATGACCAGACCGGCCACCAGGTTAACGGCCGTGGCCAACAAAAGACCAATAGTGGTACCCGTAATACCACCCAGAGCGGATGCATCACCGGTGATGTAGGTGATCAGCGTTCCCGGGGTGCGGTCTTCCATGCTGTGCCATTCCATGGTTTGTCCCAGGAGAGATCGCAGGGACAGGACTCGGATACGGTACAGGACCTTGTCGGCGGCCCAACCATAGGCACAGCCACTGAATACGTTGGCGAAGAACTCCACCAGGGCAAGAATAAAGAACAGCAATCCATAAAGGTTACCGCTGTGGGCGATACTGTCAGCCCCCTTGCAAGGACTCAGGTTACCCACTGTATGACCAAAGACCACAGCTTCGGCAGAGTAACTGCCACCAATAATCACAGACATGAGAAGACCCGCCAGGATGAACATGATGTTGGGTCGGATCAAGGAAAATGTATACTTGGTGGTGAACCATCCTGAGCGTCTGTACTTCTTCTTCTTTTTCTTGTCCTTGTCGTCGCCGTCCTTCTTTTCCGATGGCTTGACAGCCTCGACAACAGAATCTTCTGTGACGTCAGAGCCAGTGATCAGAGCTTCTTTTTCAGCCTCAACAGCTGGGTCTCTTTCCGGAGCAGCGTTGCGGATCGAGTCCTCGGCCGCAGCCATGTGCTCGGGACCCAGCTTGCCCAGGTTCTGGAGTCGCACCATCTCGGCATAACCACCGCCTGCGGCGATCAGTTCGGCGTGAGATCCTTCCTCAGCGACACGGCCCTGTCGGACAAGAACAATCTTATGGGCTTCCTTGGCAGTCGCCAGACGGTGTGCAATAGAAACAGTTGTAACGCTTTCAGAGACCTTCTTCAGCGCAGCCTGGATCAGCTGTTCGCTAGTAGAGTCGAGGGCGGCAGTAGCTTCATCAAGAATCAACAGGCAGGGTTCTCGGACCAGAGCACGGGCGAGGGCGATACGTTGCTTTTGGCCACCACTCATCTGGTTTCCTGCCGTACCAACACTTGTGGCAAAACTGTAAGGCAGGGCTTCAATGAAGTTGAGAGCGTTGGAGGATGCGGCCGCCTGTTTTACCCGTTCGACAATCTCAGCAACAGCAGGGTCATATCCAGCCAAAGCTTCCGATTCAGAGACGCCGGAACGTATCTTCTCCGCAACTTCGGGGAGGGTACCATCCAGGATGAAAGGAGCGAGATGCTGGTGCTTTTCAGCCGAAGAAGAGACGAGACCATAGGCGATGTTCTCCAAGATAGATCGGTCGAGCAGCGAGGGCTCCTGCTGCACGAAACCGATATTGCCACGCAGATACTTGACGTTCAAATCGCTAAACCTCTGGTTTCCAATCCAGATGTCACCCGACTTCGGGTTGTAGAAGCGCTCCAAAAGAGCGACCACGGTAGACTTGCCACCACCAGAGGGGCCAACAATTGCAGTGTGCTGCTTAGGGGGGATAGTGAAGTTGACACCCTGCAACACGGGCACATCCGGACGGGAGGGGTAGGTGAATTTGACGTCGTCGAATCGGATATCCGCCTCTCCAAAGGGAGCAGACTTGTCACCCTCGTCGGAGGTTCCGTCAATGACGGAGGGACGGTTGATGATTGCCAACAGTCTGTCGGACGCACCCGCAGCAGCGGAGAAAACGTGAATAAAGGGAGCGACTTGACTGAGAATGAAAGAAGCATCGATGAGAACGAAGATGACTGTGTAGACGGAACCCACAGAGACACCGCCATTTTCACCGGCGACCGACTTGGAAATCATCTGCGCACCCTCCCAGAAAGCCAAAGCGTTGGCGGAGTAGGCGACGAAGTAGAGGAAACCCAGCTGGCAAGCGTGAGAGGTGGCCTTCTTCACGGAGGAGACACGGGACTCGGTCAGGTATTGGGCGAACCGCTTCTCCAAGCGGTCATTGGCGTTGAAGGCCTGGACCAGCATCAAGTGCGACAAACTGGACGAGGCAATGGAGGTGGCCGCCGTGATCTTTTCACCCATCTGTCCGGCAAACTTCTTGATGTAGTGACCTCCAACCAGGGACATGACGAAGAAACACGGCACGACTGAGACCAACATTCCGGCAATCTTGGGGACCTTGATGAAAGCCACGATGTAGGAAACGACAAAGTACGAGATGGTGGAAATGACCAAGCCGACCTTCTCAGAGGTACCCGACTGCACAACCTCGATGTCGGTAACCATGCGCGAATAGACATCACCGGCGGGAAGCGATTCAATGAAGCTGGCCTCCTGCTTGATCATAGCCTCAAAATAGCGGCGACGGTAGCGACGGGCCAGACGTTCACTGACCAGACACCAACAACTGGTATGGATGTAGATGAAGCAAAAGTTGGCGATGGTGATGTAGATGACATACAAGACCTTGGTGCGCACACTCGACGAGAGATCGCCGCCGCCGCCAGAGCTTGCGGAATCGCAAGTCGTCGAGTTAAGGTCGTTGATCAGGTCACCGAAGACGATACCAAGTAAGGGGAAAGGCACACCAGCGGCGATACCAAAGAAAGTGCCGCACACGATCAGAAAGACGTCCAATTTGGTGTAGTCCAGGGAAAAGAGCAGATGGGCGTAGGTGAAGCATCTCTGCCACCCTTCTTTGGTGGGGATGCACTTTTTCAAAGCTCCCATCTTAAGAGAAGCGGTCAGTTTCGTTTTATTCTTTCTTTCTCATCCAGTCTCCGCGATATAGCATTCCTTGAAACTTTACCCGACCAACCACGACAAAGGGGGTTGTGACCAAAAACGTACCACAGGTGTTTTCTGGGAGCCATTGGAGGACTTCTGCCCGTCGACAGCAACTTCAGACTGCGACATTATAGATGATTCGGAAGGGTATTCGAGTCGGAGAGGGGAAGAAAGAAATACGAGTAGGAACTGCGGGGTACGAGTTCACCCTGCAGAGCTAAGTGGATCAATTCACAGAGATTCGAATTCTTGGTGATACAGGATGTCCGATTGAGAATGTTCAAAAGAGAGACCGTGCTCTAGAGAGTTTTGGTGAGAGAGCTCGAGGCAGGCTCACTAGCATTCCAGATGACCTCGAAATGAAGCCAGGGATTCAATGGAGTTCCCCCGCAATCAGATCAACACAATGGGGAGTGAGGGCGCTTCACTCTGGACAGAACCCCTCAAGAAGCATCACCAGAGATGATACGACAAGAGTGTTAGGAGATGGGTGAGGAGAGGAAGAAACGAGAGGAAGGGGAGGGAGAGAAAAGGGAAGGGAAGAGAAGGAAAAAAAAAAAAAGAGACGAGAAAGACGAAATGCAACGAAACGGATCCTAACAGCGCAGGACTAAGTACCAGAAAGGGAGAGATTGGCCATCTTGCGGTGGCTCCGGTTGCGGCCCTCCAAAGATTAATTGGGCCCGAACGTGCAACTTTGGTTGACGCCATAAGAAAATTGAATGGAAAGGAAGGGAAAAAAAAAAAAAAAAAAGCGGAGAATGGGAAAACGACCAAGTACCTCAAGGAAGATCTCCACTTGGCAGGGGAGCAGAGAGAGAGAGAGAGTGGGGGGGGAAGAGAGAATACGATGAGCTGCAGAATATAAAGTGGGAGTGAAAATACATTACAGACTTAAGGTATCTAGATACCTACAGTGTGTACCTACAGTGTGTACAATAAGAGTATGGACGAGTGTTTAGTAGTGATCAATGACAATAATTATAGTGTGTGGGACGAATTATCTGATGCTCCGTTATTACCGTATTATCAGATGTTGGTATTACCTAATGGCCAGCCACGGTGTGGACCTTAATTTCACGTACATCTGATAACCCGCCCAGCCAATCACAGCGCTGCCTGCTCGCGTAGGAACGCACACCGGCGGTTCCTGCCTCCATCCACGCCCCTGTAATTGCCTATTCGGGCACGTCCAACTGACTCTGCTCCCACAGACTCTGAAACACGCCCAAGCCTACGCTGGATTTCCGAATCATCAGATAATAATAATGGAGCCTCGGTTATGATTCAGGCGCAGTGCGGCGCCATCCTAGCCCGTCTAGTTAATAACCGGTTCTTCAATGGATGGAGCCCGTACGTAGTCGAATTATCTAATCTGATCGATCGCGGTCATCTGTCGCTCACTACTGTCAGGGACTTGCTGGCTCAAGTACCTGAGGCAGTAACCCTGCGTGGATCGGCATCTGAAGAAAAAGAAATCATAGAGTGGGGGTTGAAACAAAAAAGGGCAATCAAGAAACGAGAAAAAAGAAAAAAAAAGTAAAAGAAAGGAGGCGAACAGACCTCATCGTCGGTGGGTTCTCGTGGGCAGCATCTGGGCACAGAAACCAGAACCATTCCAAAATTCTAGTCCGGATGACTTCATTTCCACGGTCCAGGACTATATTTGTTCGCTCTGCCAACTAGTCCTTGCTACCGAGTAGCACGACCACTATCCAATATTAAATGTCCACATCACGAATCCTCCGGCTGGTCAATCTAATCAGATCAGCATCTAATCAGATTTGCCTCCAACGCCCTGTTATTATTCGCCGCCGATCGTCGGCCTATCCAAAACACTCGGTCGTCCACCCCGAGATGGATACGACTATCGACTTTGGTTACTATAGTCAGTATAGTCCTCCGGTCTTTCCGGTGTCACCCTCTCACTTTTCTTCTCCTGTCCGTCATCGACTCATCCCCCGTCTTTCCATGCCGCAGGGCTTAATAAATCTCCCGATTTGGGATAACGAGCAGCTCCCTGTCAATCCGTCATCGCCACCATCCTCATCACGGCTCCTTCCATCCCGAAGCTACTGAATGGGATGGAGTGCATGGTGTGCTTAAGTCCCAAGGCTTGAGACTCCATAGTCTGTCTTGGACACTCACCCCGCGGGATCCAGACCTTGGGCATCCATAGTCCATGTCAAAAGAAGAAAGCTGCAGAATCGAAACGAATTTGACACACCCTGCATATGTATCCTCGTCTTCTTCAGCCTTCCACAGGGTCAAAATCATGTCCAAATATAAACCACCCCCGTCGATCAGCACTCGTGGTGATCGTCGGTCGGAAGCAATCCCGACCCTCTCTCCCGTCAGGCCAACGGCTGTTCCACGTCGGGTCTTCTGTCCACCTCATCCTATACCCATCTATACGCTGTACACATCTAGACAGTGTAAAGATAGAAGCCATAATCAATGTCATGGATAATGATGATTGATGGTATTAATGTTACAGGACTTTTTATACCCCCGCTTTATAAACAACCAAACAGAAAAGAACAAAATCAACATGAACAGGCTCCCCCCTTTTCCCCGTGGTATAAAACTTAACAAAAAACAGACTCTTCTTCCTCCTCCCTCAACCACCACCCCCTCCCCTCCCCTTCCACTTTCTCTCCTCTCCTCCTCTCCACCCCCTCCACCCCCGCCCGCGGCCAACCCCAGGTCCCAGAACCCTACCTGACTACAGCTCAGGATTTCCTGGCAATGTAGTAGGTCAGCAGGTTCCGGGAGTTCTCCCGGGGCGACCCGAGCACCCTCCAGAACCTCTCCTCGCAGGCAATCTGCGTGTGTAGTTGCACACACAGATCCGTCACTTGTCGCCTGACGTCGGCTTGCGCGTCGGTCAGGTTTTGGTTGGCAAATTTGCCAAGACGGTCCACGATGCGCTCGGAGAGACGCACGTGGCTGCCATTGAGGCGTCGGAGGATCTTCGACGAAACAGAAACCCCCATAGTGATTGCGCGGTAGCCCCCTTCGTTCTTGTCTTCGTCCCACATGAGGTCTAGAAGGGCGTCGATGACGTCGGAGGGTTCGCAGATCGCAACAATCTCGTCGGCTGTTTCGTCGAGGCCACTGACGATGTGGCAGTTCGATTCGTACTGTCGTCGTGCTTTGACAAGCGCAGTCATCGCCTTGGGACAGTGTACCGTAAAGTAGTCTCGGTTATGAGCGAACATGATTCGAACAGCGAGGAGCACTTGGGTCTTCACATCTGATGAGCGGGCAGATGATTGTTTCTTTTCGGTAGACGGACTTTCCAACTCGTCAAGCAGAGCAATCAACATCTCATTGTACATCGCTTGTTCGGTAAAGATGCCGTCGTGATATTCGATAAGCTTTTGCAACTTGCGGTATCCGTGAATATCCATAGATTTGGTGCGAATGCGGTTAATTCCCTTGGAAATCATTTCTCGTGCATTGGCGGGGTCTTTAGAGCGTGGACTGATACTCCGCTTTTCCGTGGGTTCAGCTTTCCTCCAAGAACGGTAAGATGGGTCAACTTCGACGGATTGTTGTTTAGCTTCGACATGTCGAGGCTGCAGGTTGTCTCGATGAGACGGTTCGTGTGTAGGAAGCTCCTCAAGGGCATTGCTTTTAGACACAGATCGATTAGCGGGAGGAACGGGAGCAACCCCGTTGTATGGCGTAGTATTTTCGTTGTCATTTGCAATGGCCGAATCAGATGGGCCCAGTGATGGGATACCGTGGATTCTTGTAGAATCTGCAGGCGTAGTCGAATAATGAGCCACTAACGGCGATGGCTTTTTTGGTGTCTCAGGTTCTTCAGGAACGGGCAATTCATTATGTGTATCGATATTCGTGGGATCGGCCTCCGGCACATGATCCAAGCCAGAAACCGAGTGTTGAGAGTCATCCGGGATGGGCGCTGATTCAGGTGCATCAATGGGGATAATATCTCGATCTTCGGGCTTCGGTTCCTCATCCTCAGCCGGTACCTCTGCAGTAGTAGCAGGTTCGTCGGGAATAGCGATATCCGCATGGTGTTCCGGTTCAGCTAAAGCCGGCAAGATGGGATCTTCGTAGATAATCACAGGCTCGGGTTGCTTAGGCATGTTGTTTGAAGCGTTATTAGGATGGTGTACATGATTGCTGGGCTCCGTAACAAGATCGTGTGGGGGTTCAGGGGCGCCTGGTTCCTCGAAAGTCGGATGTGGATCATGAGGCGCTGTGATAGCATCGTTGCTCAGGACAGACTTGTGCAGAGCAGGGACTGGCTGATGCATCATGGGTCTTGGAGGACTCTCCAGTTGGATTGGCGCCGGCGACTCGGGTTCATCCATGGGGCCAGGAGTGCTCGGGTCGCGCGCTCGTTCAAGATATTGGTGCGCCGTGCTCTCATTCGAATTACTTCTTGAACGGCTTATGGCAAGATGTGGGTCATGAGATCGAGATTTGGAAATATCAAGTTTCTTTGGTTTGCTCTTAGTCGTGCTCACATGCACCGGATCAGTCTTTTGTCTGGGGCGAGTAGCACTGGGTGGTTTCGATGAAGGTGTAGATGATTTGGTCCTCGTTGTCCTCGGAGAGCTGTCAAGCCTAGAGGGAGCTTTCGAACGCGATTCGGTGGCCGTAGACTTGCGGGAAGCATACGGATCCGCAGTTGCAGGACGAGCCAATTCAGGCCGTCGAGGCTTCATAGCCGGTCGCATCGGGGCGGATGAAAGGGAAGATAGAGATGCGCCTGTTGGCACAGTCCTGACTGTCGATGACTTGGGGGGAAGATCAGACGTTTTCACTTCAGAAAATGACGATTGAGCTGACTCCGGTCGAGGAGGCATCGGATTCGCCGGCTTAAGCTGAGCCTTCTTACGGGCGGCAATGGCCTCTTTCAAGGCAGAACGGTTCGGGCCCTTTCGTGCAGCCGGACCTTTAGATGCGGAGTGGTCAATGTTTGGATTTGATGGATCCTTTTCAAGCAAGGAACGGGATTTGGCATCGAGATTCGATAAGATGCTGCTTTTGGTTAGCCAAGGATTTAAACATGACTGGATGGGAGACAAACTCATCAGCTTTTTCGGTCCAAACGCCGAAAAAGACCCAGAATGTGCTGCGCATAACCTCCCTGACACCAGGGTTGGCATCGGATAGGCCCTTCTTAATGGACTTTTCAACCATATCCAAGCCACCGCCGTGCTCCATGGAGCTCCTGTGATGGGCTTGCTTGTTGATGATAGTTTTAAGCCAACCCGCTGCGCTAAGGCGCAATTGGACATTCTTGTCCTGACAAGCGGATGTGACATGTTGTAAGATACGTGAAGTGAAGGTCACATTTCCGATTACTGCATCGACAGTAGCATTTCCATTTTGGGAGCTGATTTTCTTCATTCCAGCACAAAGTTTGACAAGATTTTGCATCATGATTTCAACCATTGGGTCGATTCTAGGACCACATATTTTGGCGAGGTCTTGTATCAATAGACAGCCGTTTGTGCACATCGTAGTGCGCAGAGAATTAACAACCTTGAAGATGCTATCAAGTTGGCTCTTCATGGCACCGAGGAATTGGGCGGGGAATGCATGGGGAGCATTGCCATGTGTAAGTCGTCTGAGGGTACAAACACTTCTTTCACGAGCAATCCAATTTTCCTCAGTCTCCCTACCATCAAACCAAGGGATCATATCATGCACAATGTCATCGATTTCACGAGCTGATGCGATAATCAAAGGTTCGACATCATCGCCCACCGGCGGGCTGTTCTGAGGAATAGAAGCATCGGGCAACTCTTCAGCACCACCATGTGGCACACTGATCATTCGGCTCTGATCACTTTTGGATGAGATAGGGCGGCGTTTAACGGGTTCAGAATCTTGGAAACATAAGAGGTAAATGTCAGAACTAACACGTACGATAATTGGAATTGGCTGGGAGAGGCATACCTTCGTGGGGCACTTCACTGTGGTGCTGAGAACGTGAAGACATCACTGAAACAGGCCGCTGGTGTAAGGCTTCTGCCCGAGAAGCGGGTCGAGAAATAGAAGATGCATGTTCCTGATCGGAACTCAACCCGATATTCGTTAGGATCGCATTGACGATTGATTTTCTGACGTCATGAGCAGCCATTTGCTTTTTCAGGTCAGTCTTGGCCCGTGCGGGGGCATTCCTAAAACTTGTTAGATATGGGGGCATATAAGAGCGAGAACGCAATACTTACTGAAAGAGTTCGACAACAGTCATCTTCGCTGTGTCACGAACTGCAGGGTCGGCATCTTCAAGACACGCGACGAGACTAGGTACATATGTACGGAAAAGAAGACCATGGGTTTTTGTCATCTGGATGAGGCATTAGTCGATACGATGAAAATAAATATGGCCAGAGATAAAAACTTACATTCGAAAGCCATATCATGCTCATTTCCTTGGCTCTGGCATTTTTGCCCACTAGAGCAGTTTCGAGTACATAGTGTTCGACATCCGGACCCGCAGCCGGCCATAGATCAGTAAATGCTTGGGCGGCCTGAGCTCGAACACGCTCTTTGTGGTCCCCCAGGCGCTCCAAAAGGATAGGGTAGAGAATACGGCCTTGGAGTGAGACATAATGGTGCTGGTCTTGGATGAACAGCCGCTTTAAAAAGTGGCCGAGGGTGGAAAAGCCAGCAGAAAGAAGAGAGGAATGGTGAGAGGCTATGGACAGCCGGAGAGATTCAAAGACGGATGAAATTGCCCCTTCTGGAACGTTTTTCTGTTTGATGTCGGATTTGACGCTTGTGAGGTGAGCCACCTTGTTATCAACAGACAGGTTGACATTCTTCAAGGTCGCCACGAGCTCTGCGGCTTTAGCCTCCATCTTCGAAATCAAGAGTTGGACCTCAACTGGATTCACGACAAGGAGAACATAGGTGCAAGAAAAGATAGCGAGGTAGAAGAAGAACTTGAGGGGGTTGAGAGAGATGATGAGGGTCAGGAGAATGGCAATGAAAGCCGGGTTCAGAGCAGAATCCGATCTGTTGGGTACCATGGTGAAATATTAGCAGCACGAACTGGCTGGAATCCAAAACAAATGCCGATAGTCCAAAAAGAAGCACAAGGTATATAGAAGCAGGGAATATAAGAGTATCCAAGTGACTCGCAAGAACGCAAAACACAAGACAACGCAAGGTATACAGCAAAGTAACACGATAGAACAGTGGGAACGAAACAATTGTAGGAGAGAAGAAGAAGAAAAGAATTGGGAAAAGACGGGGGAAGAAGATAAAAACGCAGGACTGTCCACAGCACGAGGGTGAGGAAAGAACACATACCTGCAGGTATCGGAGGCAGTCGCAAGGACCGCTGTGATCGCAAAGGCAGTCGCTCGAACAAGCCGGCTTATAGACGGCGATGGGGAAGCAACGTCGGGCGACAAATATGACGTTTATGCGACGAAGAGAGGACGCAGGACGTAGCGATGAAGGAGCGTTGAAGATGTCGAGATGTTGAGACGAAGACGGAGGAGAGTGAAGGCGGCGAGGGACGGAGGAGAGACTTGGCACTGCAACGGGGCGATAAGCGAATAGACGCGGCGATAAGCGCTCTCAACTCCACTTGTCACATTCAGGGGGGAAAGAAATATTTGGAATTGACGTGAATTGAAGCTGGTGGTGAAAGATGGATGGTAGGGAGTTCGTTTGGAGGGAGCGAAAGCAATGAGGGGGGAAGGGAAACTAGCGGGGCTTTTTTTTTAGGGAGAAACTGTTATTATTATGGCGTTGCTTTGTTTACCGGCAGAACCGGCGATTGTTGCCCGGTGGGGAAGAAACAACCAGAACTACGGCCCAACTACCAGTTTTCTTGGGTGTCCATGAATAATCGACAGTGGAGGGAATTAGGATGGGTGGATGGATTGATTATTGGAGCTTGGAGTCTTCTGGAGAGTGAGATAGGGTTCAATGATGAAACGATGCAGTGTGTTGTCAATCCCTTTTTGTGACCTCGATATATATTTATCACAATCAATAGTGCACTCGGTCGACGCCACAAATTGAAATATTAAAAATAAGCAAGCAAAATGTCTCAGTTGCATACTATATTGAGTACCAAGTCTAGATGATAATAATATATGCATTGAATTACTCCTATTGACCATCGTGAAGTCGTTCTGCACCCGCAGTTCGCACGTCCACGATCGCCGCTCCACATGCTGGTCACCAGCATAAGCGGCGTGTCAAGAATGGAGCCGTTGTAGCCCCCACGGATGGAATCATGGAACATACTTGGACAATAAGAATCCGACGGGAGAGTTCACGATTCATCGACAGTTGGTGGTTGCTGATTGGATGCTTCGCGTATAAACTGCAGGATTGTCGCAACTAGGCGCGCATAGCATTCCTGCGTTGATATCATCAGGGACCCCACTATCTGAGTGGCACAGAGACAGACATCCATCTTCTAACTACCACAGAGTGTTCAATTCCACCATGGCACCTCACGAACAACCCCTTCCTTCTGCAATTCCCAAGGCCGCACCACAGGACCATCACCAGTCAAGCAACTCTCCACCCCTTCCCGAACCTAAGCTTCGTCTCCAACTAAACCATCTACGCCATCCCGCTTCTAAAGCCTTCCTTCAGCTGATACCCGACGTTGTATCCACCCTGGAAACAGCCCTGAAGAACATTGTCCAAAACCTCTATACTTCCAACTCCAAGGAAACCGCTTTCACTCCGTCTGTTCCTCCAACACGCTCCGTAACGGTTATCCTCCACGACTTTGGTGGTGTCGCTTATACTACCGGCAAAGAACTCGACAATGATCACAAGGAGATCCACTTTTCGCTCTCTTATATCCAGACCTCTGCAGCATCCTCAAACGCCGTGAATGAGCTAACCGGGGTCCTTACTCATGAGCTAGTCCATTGCTACCAGCATACGGCGCCCCCTCCACCCGAGGGCAATGGTGTCCCTTCTCCTCCCGGGGGTTTGATCGAGGGCATTGCGGATTTTGTTCGTCTCAAGGCTGGGCTGGAACCACCGCATTGGAAACAACCTACTTCTGCCAAGGATAGACCGGACAAATGGGATCAAGGATATCAGCATACCGCGTTCTTTTTGGCGTGGCTCGAGGACGTTCGCGTTGGGAAGGGAGCTGTCGGGTTGCTGAATGACCGACTGCTGCGGGTTGGATACACGGAGGAGACAGGATTCTGGAAGGGGTTATTCGGGGTTGGCGTTCGGGAGTTGTGGGAGGATTATGGCAAGTATCTTGATACCCTGGAAAAGTAACCATTGGTCTACTAGATTGTGAAGTTCCAATGCAGTTGCAGCTTAGGTGTTGGCGGGGATGGATGAACAATTCTTGTTTGAACCTTTAATATCATTTGACACATTTGACCGGTACATCTATCCTATACTAGTACCTAGACATATATTGTCTGTCCACAAACTTCATCTTCATGGGCCATATCCTGGCTTAAATAAAAGGGACCTGGTCAAAACGAGAAGGAAAATCGAGAGAAATAAAAGAAATAAACAGAAAGGAGAAGACACCAAAAGAATAGAAATAGATAGATTTCCCATACTGTACAGCAGCTGATCTTGCAAAATAAGTAGTGATTTCTTTTTGCCGACAGCCATGCTCCCGAATCAGGAACAGGCAACAGGCATAATAAAATGATACAGTGCCTTCTCTTGTAAGGCTGGCACTCAGTCTTCGCTCATCTTACACAATAACCTCACCCAGATCCACGTGAACTGGTTTCCAGGGCGCGGCGCCCTCCTCTTCCATCGAGCTGGGTACACGGACACTCAGTGGGCTATACAGATACCATCCCTTGAGTGCCGCGACGGCAGCCCTGGATCGAGCCTCAACTAGACTGGCGCCAGCGCCCTCGCCCAACTTATCCTGACCAGAGAAGATGCCGACAACGAAAACAGGGTGTCTACTCTTGCGACCGGTTTCACTGATAATCTTGGCGACGGGGGGTTCGAAGTTTTCCCGTGCACACAACCGACTGAGGTCACGAGCCGGCTGGGAGAAGTTGAACAATTCCGAGATGTTGAGGTGTCGTGAGAGGAAATGCTGCTCAAAGAAACGCTTGGCAGCAGGGCGGCCTGCATGCAAGTAAATGGAGCCCATAACAGCCCGGATGAAGGTGGCACTGGCTTGCTCAGCGGTGACACCCTTGATGTTCTGGGACTCTGGCTGGAGGGCTGGGTCAACAGCTCCCTTGACCGGATCGCCGAATTCATCATCGTAAACAATCCGGGAGGTCAATCCCTTTCTCCATGACTTTCGGTGATCGTTGGGCCTGGCTGTGCCGGTGATTGTCTCCGAATCCAATTCAGAACCTGGGAGAACCCTCTTGAACTGTAGCAAGCCAGGGTCCACCTCTCCTCCGGGTGCAGCCGCGAGCTCCACACCCCATTCCTTTGCCATTGCTGCGAGAGTCTTGGGCCCGACATACGCATACATGGCTGCAAAGATGACGGTTAAAGGAAGTCGAGGGTATGTGCAAAGGAGGTGTTCGGATGTGTAGTGGGTCAGGAGGTCATGGCCAAGCGTGGCCAGCGATTCGTTATTGAAACTGGCATTGGAATCTGCTGAAGAATCCACCAAAGACCGGGCCAGCGTCTCAAGAGGTAATCGTGAGGGGAGGTAGAGTCGGGCGTGGAGTGCAGCAAGTTTTGCGGACTCGCGTGCGGCCTCAACCGGCGGAGAAGGGAGATGGTATCTTGACTTTCGTGAACGGGTGGGAGGGATTGGCGAAGCCAGAGATTGTTCGTTGATCAATTGATCATCCTCGGACTGGGCAGCAGGCGAAGCGGTCGATTGGTGCCGTAACCCAGTGTAGAGATGCTGCTGCAGCCGGCTACCAGTTTGGGCCCGCGGCGAAAGGACCGAACCGCTCCATCGTTGGAGCTGCAGCCTTCTCATCTGGGCAAATGTGCGACTCGGAAGCCTTCGAGTCAGAGGTCAACAATTAAAATAAAGAATGACCGGCACAGGGGATGACGTGGAGGGTGGAAGGAGTGATGGTCCAATGCGAACAGATATACCGGCGACACGAACTTTTGGCCGCTGGAGAGAAAAATGTCGAGCTTCGGCGGGAGTCACGGGATCTGGCGGTCGTGTGAGAAAGGCGCTGTGATGGCACTAAGCCGCATTGGGACCTAGCGTCACGGGACGAGGGACGTTCGACGGCCATTTCGGCTTCAACCCGCCTGAACGACGACAGTCTCAGTATCCCCATTGTCCCCTGTCTACTTTCTACATTCATTCCATTCCCTTGTCATCATGGGTGGAGGCGGCAAGATCTAGTATGTTCCGAGTTTTGCCTGAGTTTTAAGCCCGCGTGGTTGTTGGAAGGGGGTGCTAACCGCTGTCCTACGCAGTTATCCCAAGGAAGTCTGGTCTCCCGCGGGAGGCTGGTATGCTCAGCCCGCAAACTGGAGGGTCAACACCATGATAATCGGTGCTGCCGTCATTGGAGTCGCTGCTGCTACCTGGACCCTTAGCGCTGAGCGTGAGCGTCGCGAGAAGATGCCAGAGCCTGGAAGATTCTTCCCCAGTCGCTAGTCAGTAGTAGCTCTTCGTCCACTAATATCTCGTCAATTTGTCATACTGATTGTATATCTCCATCTTATAGCTGGAGCAAGCAGATCATCGAACACGAGAGACAACAAGCCGCGAAGAACGATTCATAAACGAGCGCATGGATCGGAGAAAGGAAAAGACTATGGAAAGGTTCTACGTGATGGCTGGTTTTGTTTCATATTATTGTGGGCTGTACGACAATAGAAGGGCGTTCCTTAATCAATCGGTCAATTGATTACCAAGTGTCTCTGGGGAGACTCTTCCAGTGTTCGATGCAATCGCTGTGTGTACAGACGGACTCGTTCCGTGAATTCAGTTTCGTTCCAAAGCTCCCTCCCATCGTTAGACATGGCTATTTGAGGCACGCCAATCTGCTCAACCACGAAGCTCGCGGCAACGGTGGCGAATATCAATGCCATTGGGATGCCCTTATGCGTTGCCCTTCTCCAATTCCCCGACTCTGCGAGAACGGATTCCGCAACTTTGACGGGTTCCCTCTCCTCGCCCACCATCCCCTGGGCCAAGGCCCCTAGGAATGAATTGCCAGCACCGGTGGGATCGACCACTTTCGTAGCTCCTGAGGAACCTGGTTCATGATAGGCAGGCAACCAGATTCGCTGATTTCTAGAGTATGAGTAGCTACCATCCTTTCCTGCTCTAATGACTAGATGCCCATTTCCTTCAGGCCCAATGCCCGATTCGAGGATTCGGTTGACCAATTCTCGTCCAAATTCGCTTTCTTCGCTCCAACCAGGCTGGCTGAACATCATCCCTAACTCAAGTTCATTGGGACTTACCACATCTACGACCCGATTGGCCGCGAAGAATTTCGCTTGCTCTTCTGGAGTACACAGGTCGGGCACCGGCTCCCAGACAAAGACTGGTCTCTTCGTAGCATGGGCAGCAGAAGGGGCTTTGCCCTCCCGTTGCAACTCTTCTCGTCGCCGCAATACCTCTTGCACAATAGATAAACATCGCGATGCAGAGCAGACCATGTGGAAAGTTCTCGAAAATATTTGCGAGTCAGAAAGCATCTCAGGCTCCAGGCGTATCTTCGGAGTCAGGTATTTGAAGTCTGCAGATTATCAATTATCATCTGGATTTGTTGACCAGAGAAGAATACCAACCCCGCTTCTCGTTGGGCCCATAACCATTCCAAGCTCTTGTGGTCAAGCGCCCCATATCCTCTCGAATGATGCAGTTTGTATCCCATGACTTGATCGTATCCAGAACTTCCTGGGGGAAATCCGAGCCAACATCGACAATCCAGCTCACAGACTGGGAATGGTTCTTGCCAGCGACTAGACGTGCGCCCACCACGGCGAAAGATCCTGCTCCACCAATAATGTTCTTTACATCAGGCCTAGAGCCCCCAAATTCAATCTCATCTGTGCCGGACAAGAAGGAGGCCTGTAAGTATTGTACACTGAAGATACGGCTGTTCATCCGAGTCGGGCGTGGTGACATAGCATACCAACGATGAACATGCCCAGAGTACAAAACTCGACATCACCATCAGGTTTCTCATTGGGGCTTACTGCTCCAGCCATATTGTAGAAGAGAGCAAGTATACTCTGCTCAGATAACCGTCTATTCCTTGGTATATTGAAGAAGTCTTGACCTGGCGGGGTTGGCAGGATGGGCGATGATAAGTCGGTAATAAATGTAATCTAAATCTTTGGAAATTAAATGATTACAGGCCAATACACACAACGTCATGGTGGACAGCCAGATGCCGTGCATTCTGCCGTACCGTACGGTAAGACCCGCCCCCGTGAAGCTGTCGGCCTCAGGAACTCGTTCAGGAGCATCATTTCGACACCGTTGCAACAGCTCTGGCTTCGGGATCCCCTCGATTGTTGTTGCAGTCTGTGTTGCAGGGAGTTGGTGATCTTGCCTGTCTTACTGCACCTATCTATTTTCCGCTTTATTGCATCCTGAATCTCTAGCCCATTCTACGAGTTATCTTTTGAAGTTGTCTCCTTGCTTGGACAGCCTTCAAGATGGCGTCGGGCAGCCACATGCATAATCTGACCACGCTTATCAAGCGGTATGTCTACGAGTGCCCTCTTTTTGAAGCTTAAAAGATATGGCATCTGCTCGATGTTCCGCGAAGCCTACCCTGAATTGTATGTGTTTGTGACAGTCTGGACTGACAATGTATGCTTGCCAACAGGTTGGAGGCCGCCACCTCGCGCTTGGAGGATATGGCCATGACCCTCGAAGAGCCTGGCTCACCGAAGGATTTGGGTACTGCACCAGCTTCTGGACCTGTTGCTCCTGCACCTCCTAAGCCAGCAGCTCCCCCGGCTCCTCCCGCACCCACAGTTCCGCCGCAAATCGAAGACTTCGACGCATTGATCAAAGGCGATGTTGGCAACTTTGTGGAGCTAGGAGCGAAGATCGGAAGCCTTGTTGAAGAACAGGTTAGACTACGCTGGTGCATGCGATTGGATTTCAATGGCAATATTTGCTAATGCCTCGATAGTCGAAAGCTGTCTTGCAAGCCTTCCAGGCGGAGCGCACTTACCTCTATGTCTCGACGAAGGCTAAGAAGCCAGAACCTCAGCCCCCGGAGCTTATGACCGAGCTTCACAATGCTTCTGATACTATCGATACCATCCGCGAGTCCAACCGACCCTCCCCCTTGTTCAACCACCTGAGTGCTGTCGCAGAAGGCATTGTGGCTCTGGGCTGGTTCTTTGAGACGAAGCCCGCTGATTTCGTCAGCGAGATAGTCGGGGGAATTCAGTATTATGGTAACAAAGTGTTGAAGGATTACAAGGAGAAGTGGGGAATCCTTTATATATGGCAAATGTACAGTTGCTGACCTTGTTAGGGACCAAACCCACGTCCAATACATCCAAGCCTACTATCAGATCTTTAAGTCGCTTGCCGCATATCTGAGAAAGCACTACCCCAAGGGCCTGACCTGGAACGATCAGGGTGGTATTGATGCGAAAGACGCCCTTAAAGAAGTCAAGGGAGGTGCTGGCGCTGGCGCTGGTAGCGCAGGACCCCCTCCCCCTCCTCCCCCCCCTCCTGTGCCGGCTCTGAATGTGCCCGGAGGAGCCCCCCCGCCTCCTCCACCACCACCGGGCATGCCTCCTGCGGCGCCCGCTCCCGCAGCACCTGCTCCTGATATGGGCGCCGTTTTTGACCAGCTGAACCAAGGAGATGCAATCACTTCAACCCTCCGCAAGGTTGACAAATCCGAAATGACGCACAAGAACCCCAGTCTCCGAGCCAGCTCGACTGTCCCAGAACGTCCCGACTCCTCGGGTAGCATCTCTCGCTCCAGGTCCCCAGCCCCTAACAAGAAGCCCAAGCCCGAGGCCATGCGCGCTCGCAAGCCACCTCGCAAGGACCTCGAAGGCAACAAATGGTTCATTGAAAACTTCGACAACCCGGGTGAGATTGTCGAGATTCCTGCCAAGCAGAACCAATCCATCCTCATCACCCGGTGCAACAAGACTATCGTGAAGGTTTCCAACAAGGCCAACGCTATTGCCATTGACAACTGCAACGGTCTCTCTCTCATCGTTGACTCTTTGGTCAGCAGTCTCGATGTTATCAAGTGCCCCAAGTTCGCCCTTCAAATCGATGGAGTGGTTCCCACCCTTCTCCTCGACCAGGTGGATGGTGCCGTGGTCTACCTGGGCCAGCAGAGCTTGAACACCGAAGTCTTCTCTAGCAAATGCACAGCGGTTAACATCATGCTTCCACCAAAGGAAGGAACCGATGAGGACACCAAGGAGTGCCCTATACCCGAACAGATGAAGACCTACGTCAAGGATGGTGTCCTTGTGAACGAGATTGTTGAGCATGCCGGTTAAATGAATCGCTGGGACATGCAATTTGGACTTTGAGATGTGTCGATATCTAGAATAATCTGCTAGGTGCTTGAAAGTGGTGGTCACCTTGGGAAATCGATGATGACTGCCCCACGAATTTCTTCATTATTGGTACAGCGAGAGTTCAATCATTTTCAAGCAATGTTCCTCTGCTGTACTTAGACTGAATTGTAGATAAAAATTTTCAGTACCCTCGAATTCTCCTAAGTATTTATGAAACAAACTTCAGCAGAGCGTGGTTGGCGTGTGATTATTATATCCATAGCTACTATCCAGACAACCTGAATACCCAAAGGAGAGAACATATGAGAAGGTAAAAAAACCCAGAGAAGCGAGGAAAGCCTCCTAAACACCCTGTAACCCATGTCTTGCTCTTCTCTTGTTGGCTATGTTAGCAGTCAGATTTTTTGATGATGACGAGGTGCCATGATAAAGAAATATAACCACTCTTCCTGGGCTAGTGCTAGACTGAGAGAGGAACTGAGATGGAAGCAATTCATTTTGTGAAAGTCACCTTCTAGGAGGCTGAAGTATGCTTGACTTTGCATGTAGAAAGTAAAAAAAGGGGGGTATATTGTGTGTCCTGTGCGCCTTGCCTATCTTATTTGGCTCTAAAAAACGAAAGATTTGAGTGCGAAGAGATGAGCCTGCATCTAGCTTCATGACGCACTGTTGTTAGTCGAGGCCACGGATGGAAAAGTTCCTGCTCGCCATCCATACCAATTAAGAATAAAGTTAAAAGATAGATATTATACCGATACCCTTGTTCTCTTGAACAAAAGGAGCACGATTAACGGATGAAAATGTCTTTCTGCGAAAATCTGACCATGATGGTCGTTGGTGTTAGGGGCTCGGTCAGCGAGAGCAAGCGGAGTCGTGTCTTTGTACGTCTAGTCCCCTGAGTCGTTTGGCAAGTAAGCTTTCTCCGGGCTCAGAACCGGCAAAGGAACCAAACGGAGACCCGCCGTATCCGATGTCCCCTTTTCTGAGTTTGTTGTACATTTCGGTTTCATCAACATCATTTTTAACTGATGCAGTATTTGTGGATTTATAGAGTTCAGAATCTCCCCATGGGCCTTGCTTCAAAGTCTGGTTAGGCTGGAACGAGTGTGGTACTCGCTGTGTAAAGTATGCCTTACCCTCAGGGTGAACGGCGACGGATCTGTCGCCACCCATCGGTGGGACTGCGAATGATTTTTCCTGCACAGTAGAAAAATGCTCTCTTGATCTTTCATAATCCGGAGAAATAAACTCCTGCATCAGACCTTGACCCACATTTCTTCTGAATGTTTTATCCGCCACCATTTTCTGGCCCATGTGAGAAACGTTGGCTTCACGAGTGGGCTTGTAGGGCGTGTATCGTGGATCGGGATGTTGGATCTCATTTCGCAATTTCTCTTTCCCATCGGGGACACGATTGGCAAACACAACGCGGATACTTGAGTGGAGGTAGAACCGACCTCTCGAGGGAGAGCAGATGTTTAGATGAATAAGATATCTCAAGATCGGCTTATCTTTGGGATCTTCTGATGCATTCAAGGATGCTTCCGGGCGATCAGTGCCAAAGTTTTTCCGAGCAGTAAGTGGCATGTCAATGATGGGACCAGCAGAATAACTCCTCTGTCGAATGAACGTTTTTGTTCCGGGTTCCATGTCGCTAAGATCGTATGGGACGAGGAACAGCTTGACAGCCGTTTTGTTCGGGTTTTTGATTATAATCTGCAGCTGGCCCTGTTGCGGTATTCTATAGCAACCTCCGGGTGGACATTTGGGCGATTCCGCCCTTCTGTTGCGTTTCTCTCGTCTGCGCAGCATTTCCGATTCATTATGTCTGGATGGAGCTGTATTATCAGTAACCGCATCGTCGTGAACGTTAACCGGGTCATGATGAAGCTTGCGACGTCGATTGATAGATGGATCGTCCTTGGGAAGAGAACCGTCAAGATCAATCAAACCAACGTATGGACTTGGGTTATCGTCGGAAATTGAACGTCCACGCCCCGACGTTGGATAACTATAAAACACTGCAGGAAAAGGGATCGACACATGTGGTGGACATTTGAGGTTGGCTTTGCACTTGCCTTTCCCCAGCACACCAATCTGCGCAGTGAAATCCAGCGGTTTGGATGGATTCATCGACATTCGCCCACGGAGGATACATTCCTCATATGAGCCAACCATTGGAGCATGGCACTTGGGTGATGATTCGGATGCTAAAGAGGGCCTCCGAAACCGCAACGCGGGGGTATGAACCGAAGATGCGAGTTGAAGACTATATGTTGAGCTTGGGTTTCGTTGAGGATGATGGGCTTGGCAAGAGAATGGGTCTGCGCGTTCATCAAATGGATTGGTCCCGTGGAAGCTGTTTACTCCCGAAAAGGACGGTTGAAGATACCGAAAGCTCTCTGGAGGCAAGGTACGACGACGATTGGCCTTTTCCATAGAATCAGAGAGATTGCCAATATCAGCCCTCGGAGAGAAGTCCAGATCTGTATTATTGGCCTGGTGAACCAGAGGGCTTGTCGGGGCCTTGAGAACATAGCTAGACGAAAATGAACCAAGTGATGGTGCTCTGGATCGGCCTCCCGTAGCAGCCCATGGTGCTCGGGACTGAGTGGATAATTGCGGCTTCCGTAGAGGCGACTGAAAAGCTGAGGGACTATACCAGGGTGTCGTGGGAGACGAGCCCAGTTGGGGTAAATGCGGACCAGCGCTGGGTTCAGCCGGAGAAGGCTGCGATGGTTCCTGACCATGAAGTTGGCTGGTTCCTTCCCTGAAGTCACCGGAGTGTAAAGCCGACCGGGGCCGTTGTATCTCTGCTGGGGACCCTAATTCTTCTTGTGTCCCACTTGGACGATACTCATCGATGGGCATTTCCCCTTGAGCGGAGACTCCTTCTATTCGTAGATGTTCGTCTGACACATGTGGGGGATAAGTGTTCCCAGACTAGTTCTTCCAGTCAACAGTGTCTCTCAAAGACAAAAGACAATGGTCTACAGAAGTGGGTGATATGTAAGACGTACCAAAGGATCTTCCCCCCACGTGGAAGTGTCGGCACTCTTGATATACTGTATCAATTCCGTCCGATCACCCGTATGCAACCTTGGGAGCTGGAGATCGGGCGAGCGACGATCGACAGGAGCTCCCACATCTCGCTTAGGGTCATTAAATCCCCCCCAATTTCCATCATGATGGTCTGCCCAGGAAGATGTACAATCTCCCCGTTCAGGTTCAGTGTGGTCATCCGACCACAGGTCATAGAACCGTTGACGATCGGGGTCTTGGAATATAGGCATAACGGCCAAACAATGTAGTTTAGAGAAAGAATCAAAACTAGTCAAGCATCTCAATAGACCTTAAATGCAGTAAATACTTGAAAAGCGATCGTAGAGCCACTAAAGAAGGAGAAGTGGTACAGTCGAAGCGGCCGAGATTCCGTTATCATGCGGTGTATGAATGCCGTCAAGAGGGGAAGAAGAGGAGGGTCAATCGACCATGGTGGAAGAAAGAGAGAAAGGAGGGAAAAGGAATCCAAAGCAGATGAGGAGACAACCAGTTGCTATTATATAAGGCGAAGATGAATCCGGATCCACCAGTGTATCATGCGACGCTGGATGTGTTGTTGTGTTGGGCGGAGGAGCAGGCCGGAGACAGTCGAAGGCGGGAAGTTGGGAGGATGAATCATGAGTCTTTTTGCACGTCATTTTGTGCTGCTGATGAGTTCCCCACTACGGCGTTGCGATAATGCAGGATTGATGTTTATTCTTTGCTTCGATTTTATCTGATTTCCTATTAATTACGACGGAGTCCTTTCTCTATTTCCTCGCTGAGATACATATCTTGGTGGGAAAGTCACTCCTCATTTCCTTATCGTTCCTTTTTTTTTTTTTTCTCTCCCCTTCATTTTTTTCTCCGCTCCCCAAAAAATCACTCGCCACTTTTATTCCCGCAATTGTTGCTCGACACTACAAGGAAAAGAAAGGCCAATTTTGGATCTTATTACTTCCCTCATATAATACTGAATCCATCAACATCATGGCGCCCAAGAGATCTCGAGATGCCGTCGATAACCCCGGCGAGAAGCGGGCGACTGAAGCGCCGATTAAGAAGAAGAAGGGCTTCTCTGTTGGACCTGCGAACCTGCCCGACGGCACCTATCGTCGAAAGAGTGCGTTGTCCTTCTATTAAAAGAAAAAAAAAAGGAATCAATAGTGAGATGGTCTATTTTACTAACGCTGTTTGCCCTATCCAATAGCTCAAAAAATCAAATCCGATTTGATCCATAAAGCCAAGATCAAAAAAGCCTACGCCAAAATCAAAGCCGAAGAACTCGCAGCTGCACCAACCAAGTCTATCTATGCCACGGAGGATAATGAGAAAAATAATGATGACGAGACAAACGACAAGGCACCAGAACTCCATCCAGACCGACAGGCCATGTTGAACGAGCCAATCCCCGAACCGACTGCCAAACCGGATCGCTCGCAGAATCGGGAGCGTCGAGCCCGGAAGCCCAAGCCGTCTGCTTATGCTAAGGAGCTGGAAATCGCCGAGAAACGCAAACAAGCGGCCGAGGCAAGGAGAAAAGAACGGGAGTTTAAGCAGAAGGACCGAGAGGCCATGGCCCGGGCTAAACGGCCGGATCAGAATGGCAAACGAAGATTGGGTAGGGAAAGCACGGTGTTGCTTAGTCGTGTGCAGCAGATGGTTGGTAAAACGTAGAGAATGAGGTGTTTTTTCGAAGGTGCTACGTTACGAGATGTTGAACCAAAAGTACTCAAAAATGATACCCAACAGATGTACAGTTTAGTTTGTTTAGACGCGATTCCGATTGGTCTCCAGAATATATTCCTCAAAGAGCACTCACTGCTCGCATATAAAAGTTTCTAGACATAAGTCTATCTGGCCCCTGTCCCACTCCTAGGTTTTCTGAAACAGGCAAACTCTCCCTTTGTCCTCTCTCTCAGCTTCTTCAAGACCCCCCTCATCTCACCAAGCTCTGCTTGAAGTTTGGCCCGCGCCTCGTGTGTGGTGCGTTGGTCCAACTCTACATAAATCTGACTTTGCAATGCCGAAGCTTCTTCTACCGAGTACTGTGACATTGTCTGCGCAATGAATTCGGTGTCAAGAGTAGCCTGCATCAAGGCGGCCAGCGAATATGAGGCCCGGGAGCTAAATGCAGCCAGAAGAGAGGAGGAAGCCTGCACTAGGAGATGGGTGAGGATAGTGTTCAACAACGGTGATGGTGCGGTGGGAGACGAGCGGTTCGAGCTTGGAGAGGATGTCGAGGGAATTGTCGTGGAAATCTCCGTGTGGACGAGTACAAGCGTCAGCATGGTATTGTACACGTAAGGGCGGACCTGATCAGGTCGAGTGGTTGTCGGAACCCAATCAGCGGCACCGATGCCATCAAAGATTATAGTATTCAGTGTCGCTATAGTCGGCTTGGTGTATGATTTGAACAGGCGGTCATCAATTTGATTGAGAACATCGCGGATTGTCTTGGCCTCCTCACTCAATTTCACAGAAAATGAAGTTTCGAAGTTTGCAATCAGCTGCGGAACGAAATCGGCTTGCAGAGCTTTGATGTTGGAAAGTGTGAGAAGTATGCGCACATTCTGTTTTATCTGTTAGCGATGCCAGAACAACTTAAAACATCTGGAAATACCAACCCTGTTTTTAGCATCTACGACATCGGCAGTAAGAACTGTGTCGTGAAGAGTCGACGTCGGCCCAACAACAGCAGCCCATTCATTATCTTCCTCAGGAACCGCCGGGCGTTCTGCATTTTCGACCAAACCGCTAAGTGCCTTATAAACACTTGAGACAAATTGCGTCCGCACCATTTGAAGTAGCTTCGCAGGGGGTTGAGTGACAACATCCACAGCACCAGATTTCACCATGGCTTCTGAGATGTAAAGAATCTTTTGTATTTCACCGAGAATAGCACTTTCAAAAGCCACAAATAGACCTGGCATCTTGGTCAAATCTCTTTTTTCCGGATCTCTCGTCCAATCTTCCAGCATCTTGCAATTTTCCGCGTCCTTTCCCCAAGCAGCGCAGGCTACACGGACGGAGCGATCGCGAGTGACGCTTACAAGTGCCTTGAGAAGATCATGAGTGTTGCCACTGCTTGATACTGGGCTCAATGCGGCCATTTCACTGGCAGCTGTGCCAATGATAACCAAGAATTTTCCGAGATAGTGGACTCCACTGAGCGAGGTAGAAAAGGGCGGCCAGAATGCATACTCCTCCCAGTGTTCCCCACGTTTGGGAGTCGGGAATGGCATGTTCTTTGGATCAAGCTTAAACCGGGATTCTGTGGGAGTAACACCACCCAGGTTTATCGGACTACTTGGGGTTGACGGTGATATTGGGGAGGAGAGAAGAGACACATCTTCCGTTGGAGGATCGGCAAACAATGACAGCACACTCTCGCGGATCAGATTGACGAGCTCAACAACGCCATTTTGCAAATCCCTTGTGTTGTTGACAGTGAGCTTATGGTGCTTGCGGCTCTCGCCCTCAAACCCAGCTGGAAGAAGCCTTTGCTTGCTGCCGTCGATGAAAGACTGAGCCACCTCCCAAAAGTCTAAGACTTCGCCCAAAAGACCCCCCTGTGATGACAAGAGTCTGTTCAAATATGTGTGAACGCACTCCCAAAGTTCAATAACTTGATCGGTATCTAGTGTCGTTTCTTGCGCGTCGGTTGGAGGCTCGCGTGGTGCTAACTTGAGATATGATGCCACCTCTTGGGGAGTCGGCTTCTCGCCGCTGGCAAGCCTGCGCCTAAGAATTTCGATTTCTGTTTTACAACGCTCACAGAACAAAGTGATCTTTGTTTTGAGAAAATCATAACGACTTAAGAGCCAGACCCAGATAGGATTGTCTTCCACACCAAGCTCAAGCAAAGCACCAATCAGCTCCATGTGCTCCTCAACAGGCCCAGATGCTGTAATTGTTGTAGATGTGGTAGGTGCATCGCCCAGACGTCTCCAAAGGTCACGTTTGAATGCTTGGACTTGTTGATCAACATCCATCCACATCCTACCCATAGCCAGAATAGTATGTGTTTCTTCATCGGTTAATGGCCGGCGGTTGCTGGCTGCTGCATCTGCGATATTTTTGGCGCTGTTCGCAAGCGTTCGTGCTTTGGTATACTGCTCGAACACCGATTCATAATCCCTCTGCTTAATGGACTTGGAAAGCTGTCCGCCTATTTCATAAACATCCCGGTGTTTCTCCATTGTATCAACCACTGACTTTAACATTTGCTCTCTCTCGCGCCCTCCCAATGCCGGTCCCCATACTTCCTCCGCCTTAAGAGAGGCCTCTAGAAGAGGAGCACGTATGCCTCTCATGCCGTATTCACTCTCTTTCGTAAGTGCATTCTTTCCAGGCGCCCCACCCAAGGCCAATGCGGGGGAGATGTCTCGGGTTGCCGAATGAGTCCTAAAATGTTGAGCGGATCTGCGACGCGCTTGAGAGATCGATGGGTCCTGTTCGGCCCCTTGAGTTCTCATCTCTGTGTATACACTATCGATGGTTGCCTTGGCGCGAACGAACCGTTCGAAATTAGCTTCGACGAGCACTTTCAAGGAGGCCGATTTCTGGTCGATAGATTGCGAAAGGTAAGCGAGACCATCGAGGAGTGACTTGATTGATGCATTCGAATGAGCCTGCGACAGAAAGAGGGCCGGCGAGAATGAAGTGGACGAGAGCAAGAATCGATTTCGCAACCGGCTCTCCTCATCCAGAGACAGCCCTCTTTGTTTCAGGATCCGGAGCACACTGTCCCCTGACCCCAAAGGATCGGGTTCATCCTTCTGGACCAAATTTTCCCTGCCTTTCTGAGATCCCAGATTCACGCCTTTCCGGTCGCTATTGGTGCGCTGCAACGCAAAGTATCGGGATTTCCGGGATTGTGACCGTTGAAGAACTTCATCTTCCGACTCATCACTCTCGTCGAGCTCGGCCGGCCATTCTTCGGGATAGGGAGATGGTAAATCATAGTGGTTTGTAATGTCCAGGTCGGTCATTTTAACGAGGCGTTCGCGCTTAGTGGTTCAGGAGGGAGGGGATGATCGGTCGACTGCCGGTGTAGGTAGGTTAGGAGACAAGGAGACCCCATGCAGGGACCACACAGCTGCAAGGGTGGGGGAAATCAGACACGAATAGAAATAAGAGAAATAATCATAAAAAGAAAAGAAAATAAGACATCACAAACGGCGTCACGCCTTGGGATAGCGACCGTTGGTTATCTGATCAAAGTTGCCTTGATACCAAGTGGACTCTGACACGAAACGGCAACCCAATGCGGTATCCAGCCCGGTCGGACCGCCCGGCGTGCCGAGAGGCAGGATGGACTGATCAAACAACCTCTTCTTCCGCTACTGGAGTTTCCCGCACAAGCAACCCGCCACCCTTCTCTCCTTTCCTCCACCTTCTCTCACTTCTTGTTCCTTTTCAAGATCTCAAGACCGGCCGCTGTGATCCCGGGGACTCGTCACAATGATATCTGCTAGAACCTTTATTGCCCCCGCACGCCAATGCTTGCGGACCACACGTGTGTCCCCAAGCGTTGTCTCGCCTTTCTCTCAGGTAACAAGCACTCTTTGTGCGGCTATCGCCGTCTCAATCGCAAAGGCAGCTGGGCTAATTGTTTTTTATATAGTTCCGCCGCTACTCTGCTGCGGTCGATGAGCGAGTCGCTAAGTTCAAGGGCCAGAAGGACACTGATGTATGTTGTGCGCTGAGCGATTTTTTCTTCCTTCTTTCTTGGCCCGATGGTTCCAGCTGTGCTCGACCGCAACGACAAAGCCATTAATCCGAAGACAATTCGACGAATGAAATTCTGACAGAATGTGTTTTGATAGGGAAAATACACCGTGACCTTGATCGAGGGTGATGGAATTGGTCCTGAGATCGCCCAGTCGGTGAAGGACATCTTCTCTGCCGCAAATGTAAACGCCCTCAACGGCCCAGCTGTTTATGACGTGAATGCGAAGTACTAAGTTGAATTCAGGCCCCTATCAAGTGGGAACCCGTTGATGTCACCCCCATCCTGAAGGATGGCAAGACTGCCATCCCCGACGACGCTATCAAGAGTGTCCAGAAGAACTATGTCGCACTCAAGGGTCCCCTCGCCGTACGTTGTCCTCTGGCCCATTCTGCTCGTGAATAGCAGTTCTCATTTAAGAATATATATAGACTCCCGTCGGCAAGGGTCACGTTTCCCTCAACCTTACCCTTCGTCGTACTTTCAACCTTTTCGCCAACGTCCGTCCTTGCCGATCGGTTGCCGGCTACAAGACCCCCTACGACAACGTCGACACCGTTCTCATCCGTGAGAACACCGAGGGTGAATACTCCGGTATTGAGCACGTCGTTGTTGACGGTGTTGTGCAGAGCATCAAGCTCATCACCAAGGAGGCCTCCGAGCGTGTGCTCCGCTTCGCATTCCAGTATGCCCGTTCCATCAACAAGAAAAAGGTCCGCGTTGTGCACAAGGCCACCATCATGAAGATGTCCGACGGTCTCTTCCTTAACCTCGCCCGTGACATCGCCAAGGAGTTCCCCGATGTCGAGTTCGACGCTGAGCTGCTGGACAACTCGTGCTTGAAGATCGTTACCGACCCTACTCCCTACAACGACAAGGTCCTTGTTATGCCCAACCTGTACGGTGACATCTTGTCCGACATGTGCGCCGGCCTGATCGGTGGCCTTGGTCTCACTCCCTCTGGAAACATTGGTGACGAGTGCTCGATCTTCGAGGCCGTCCACGGTTCCGCCCCCGACATTGCTGGCAAGGGTCTTGCCAACCCCACTGCTCTGCTTCTGAGCAGTATCATGATGCTGCAGCACATGGGTCTGACTGAGCACGCCGCTCGCATTCAGAAGGCCACCTTCGACACCCTCTCTGAAGGAAAGGTGAGTTTTACAATATCTCGTCCCTGTTTTCTGTCTCGTCATTTGCTAATCTACTTCACTAGGCTCTCACTGGAGACTTGGGTGGTAAGGCTAAGACCGCCGAGTATGCCGAGGCTATCATGAAGCGTTTGTAAGGGAGCTGCGTCACTTCATTGTAATATTCCCCCTCATTGCTCTCTTGATTCATGAACGACCTACTCAAATCTAGTGTGATCTACTATACCTACACCTGTAGCTACTAAGATGCCATTATTATATCGATATACATTTCCCTTCAATTTTTTTTATTCTTCGCCGGTTGGTTTTGTCCTTGAGTCAAAATCTGTATGGCTTATTATTGAGTGTCATGGACAACGCTTTTATATATGGTAAAATTGGATTCATATCTAGTCGGGCCTCTCCGGATAATCCTATCAAATGGGTTTTCTCCATCAGACGGAGAGGAAACTGCTAAATACACAAATAGTAGAAACAGGATAATCATACAACTCCCCCAAACGCCTGCTCGTAGTTTACAAGGTATCAAAGATTGCGGGTCATAATAAAAGGGTAATAGAAAGACGTGAAGTGCAGCGTTAACGTCGCCGAGCTGTTCTTCTACCATTAGTTCCCGTGCCCTTTTTCTCTTTCTGTTTCGTCCGCGTTGTTTGCGCTCGTGTGCTTCTGGCTGTCGGGGAGCCCCCCTCGGCTTCGTCATCGACGTCACTGTCGTCCTTCGCGGCGTCTGAACCATCGTCATCGCCATCTTCGTTTCCACCCGTGTCCTCCGAGTCTTCATATTCCTCTCCTGTGCCTGAGCTCTTCCGAGAAGAGTCAATTTCGACCTGAAGACGCGTAGACCGTGTACCTCGTCCCGGTGGTCGGCCGCGATTGGATTTTCGTCCTCGAGATGGGGCTGGAGAGGATCGTGCATCTATAGCAGAATAGCAAGTTAGACTTCGTCGTCTAATAGAAAGGGGAACAGATCAGATAGCAAAAAACTAACCATCTGTGTCGGCCACTGTGCTACCCCTCCTAGAGTCTGCATGACCGCTGAAAACGGGTGAAGATGACCCCTCCATTGCGAGTCTTCTCTCGAACATCATGTCACCATACTCGTCTAGTGGGAGCTCGAAAGGACAGTATGCCTCCCTCGATCCCTCGACATCGTCAGATGCGTCAGTTATTAATGAGTCTTCCTATAATAACATGAGCGACGCAACTTCAGGATAAACGATTCATTACTGCCTACCCGTTCATCAAGTGCCGGAAGATTGTAGAGTGTTCCGAGCTTTTTCCAAATGCCAGGGATTCGTGTGTGTTCGGCGTGGGATGGCGCATAGCCTTGGCTCTTCATAAACTCTGAGATAGCGATCATTCGAAAGTGTTTATGCATGCCTTTTTGACACCATTGTCGTCAGCTTAATACCCACACAGTAGAACGTCAGATCCAGCGAGGAAAGTTCGCAACGAACCAACAGGCTTCCATTTGATAATCCCTTTCAGGAGGGCTGTCTCCTGCTCATCGGTCCAAGGGTCCGTAACAAGATCGTAGTCTGCATCAGGTCTAGCAGTGCTTTCACTGGATGCTGGCGTGGTTGCAGAAGGCGGCGCACTTTCGACTTGAGAAGCTGAAAGCTTGGGCTTCTTTTTCGGGGGCATTGTTCACGGTCGGCTAGGCGTTTTTGTTATCGCAAAGGAACTAGTTGGACGACCTGAGGTCATCAGCGCATGAATTCCTCCCGCCTCGGTTTCCCGAACAAACGGGGTCTGGGCACTCGCTGGGGAGAGACGCTAGGCCGTTTGGGGGCTAGTGCGGCATGACCTCGCGCTGCCAACGCGTCGATAAACCGATAAGTGCTGCTCGACGGCGACGCCTCGAGGGACGTATGGGTGACGATGGAACAGGATATCTATGGATCGGACCCTTTCTCAAGTGAGAATCTGTGGAGGCTGTCCAAGTTCACCTTGGAGTCCCTGCAGCCATTGGAGCCGTTACTCTGGAACGAGGAGCTGCCTGGTGAGTAAATGCGGGCAGGTTAGGTTGCAATTGTATGGCTAACGCTTTTCTTCTTCGTCTAGATCTCACCGGGGGTTTTTTCAAAAGTCCTTTAAAACTATTTGAACAAGATGACTCTACGTTGCACAACCTTGATATCTTTGGAGACAATTTCTTTGATACAGAACAGCTCCTCGAGTCAACTACGGATGTGTCAAGTGAAAGCCAGATCAATGCGAGAACCGACCGCCCGGGAGATACCGCAGAAGAATCAGAGAGCCTATGGTCGCCTGATTTGCTATATGGTGCTCCGGATCGAAAAACACCTTTGAGGTCATGGGAAGGTTATCAAGATCGATCATTCCGTGAACCAGTTTCCGCGTACTTTAGTGAGTCTGGTGCAAAGGGATTCGACGCCGCATTGGCCCATAGTGAATCGGACCATGTACTTGGAGGCTCCGGTCGCTTGGTCCCAAATAGTATCTTCTTTCAGGCTCTATTTCGGGCTGGACTAGGTTGGAGTTCCATGTTCTTTCGGTTCAATGAGCAGATGAAAAGATTCGAAAAAGTACGAAACGATATCCGCGTCTCTGGGGTCAGCTTTCCGGCATTGAATAGTCTCACAGAGCAGATGCTACAATGTGGCACGAATATGCAGAAAATGCGGATGTTTGTTCGCAACACCCCGCTCAAATCCAACGAACCTTCGGCCTTATCTACTTTTTCCAGCGCTACAGCTGTGATCCTCTACACGCTTGAAAAACAGCTCGCTAGTCGCTTCACACATATCGGTTCGCTTATTCAGATCCAAGCTTTGTTCCAGCGATGTGGCGAATTGGTTGGTGCTTTGGCCAATATAGTCGATAGTCTTGACAATACTGCATCAGAGGCCCAGGTCATCTCTGTTGTCTTAGGAAGGGCTGCTTATTATTCTCAGAAGTTTGGTTGGATAGACAGGCTATTTCACGAGATTGTTATACGGGTTACAAAACCTTGGCTCGACTACGTCGAGGCTTGGGTCGGACTTCGCTCTGAAACTCCCACCTTGATTGAACTGGCAACGGGAAACAAGAGCTTTGTTGCAATCAGTTATCCGGAGGAAAACAAAAAAGCCAGGTTGGATCCCGGAATGATTGATTACAGATATTGTCCCCAACACATGCCATCTTTCATTCCGGCAGATCAAGCACAGTTGATGTTTGAAACTGGGAAAAGTTTGCGGCTTTTAAAGCGTTCTCATCCGCGGCACCCGATTGCCAGTGATGAATTTCTGTGCAATTCGGACTCCCCTAGGCTTCATTGCGTGGGTACTTGGGCCGATATTGAGAGAATACAAAGCAAGGCTTATGAGTACGAGGGCAAACTCCGCGCCGAGATACTCAAGTATAACCGAGGTGAAGCTTCTGGGGGAAACACCCTGGTGGAGCCTGCTCTCCAAGGCTCTTACCAAAAAGAGGGTAATGAAATAATAGCGGAGACCTTTGATGTTTTTGACATTGACGATGGGCGACGTGTGACCGGGCTGCTCGCCAACCATGCGTCTATAGAGAAGGACCAGCTAGGTCATTTGGTTGATGAAGCTGAAGCCAAAAGTCGCGGCTTAGACCTTTCAAGCCAAGAAGAGGGTCGTTTTGGTCCGGAATTCGCGTCCACTCTTTACTTATCCCTCGCTCCTCTCATTGCGTCACAGGGCCTACTGATTGACTTTTCTTGTCTCCATCTTCTTTTCAAGGAACACAAGCTCAGATATCACTTGACACTACAATGGCGCTTCCAGCTCCTTGGCGATGGTTTCTTCACGTCTCGTCTTTCCCACTCGCTTTTCGATCCGGAGATGGAAAGTGGTGAACGAAGATCAGGTGTGGTGCGTAGCGGTGTGCATACCGGTTTGCGTTTGGGAAGCCGTGATACTTGGCCCCCAGCAAGCTCAGAGTTGCGTTTGGTGCTTATTGGGCTTTTAGGCGAATGCCACGTTGCAGATGAAAGCCTGGGAGGACCAGATAATATTCAACTGCAGAGAGAGAAAGAACTTCCTGGAGGGCTAAGCTTTGCTATTCGAGAGCTAACAAGTGAAGAAATTGTCAAATGCAAGGACCCCAACGCCATTGAAGCTTTGGACTTTCTCCGGTTACAGTACAAACCGCCGGCTGTTCTGGAAGCCATCATTACGCCACGGTCTCTCAACAAGTATGATCATCTCTTTAAGCACTTGCTTCGCCTTATTCGTATGGTTTCGGCCGTCAAAGGCCTTGTTCGCGACTCGACTGCGAGAGGATCTCTCTCTGGAGATACGCGAAACGTATTTCAGAGGTTCCGCATTGATTCGCAACACTTTGTTCTTGCAGTAAGCGATTATTGTTTCCACGTTGGTGTCGGATCTACTTGGCGGCGTTTCCAGGATACCCTCTCCAGAATCGAAGACTGTCTTGACCGTGGTGATATTGACGGCACAATCGAAGCAGCACACTCTGTCACTAGGCTTAGGGATCATCATGAAGATGTTCTCGATCAAATTTTATTCGCGCTTTTCCTTAGTAAGAGGCACATTCAAGCCGCCAAGTTGCTCGAAAGCATCTTCGCCACTATACTCACATTTGCTCCACTATCCAGGATGGATGGGATGAGTGGTATACGCCATGAAAGCGAAACGACTGTCTTTCAACTTTACACCTTGTTTCGGAAACAGACGTCTGCTTTTGTCAATTATTTACGCAGTCTGGATGGTGGGAAAGCATCATCAAAGTCGTTCGGCAGGACCGGAGCGACATTTGCTTCACGAGAAGAGCCCACAAATGTCTTTGAAAATCTTCTTTCACGATTGGATATGAAGAAATATTACTGATTAATGAAAAGAATCTTTCTGCCGAATTTTACCCAACGGCTTCTTTTTCCGTGGTAGAACGAGACGGCCAGCCGCCGCAGTCGATGACATGACACGGAATCATAGGTTCACTACTTCGTTGTTGACTATCAACATTCTATCTCTGGGGAATTCACTATTTTAACGAATACAGAACTACATCTGGACGTAAATGATATGTGGGGCATTAAATTCAATTTCTACAGACATGAAATCGTAACATTTACCTTCTCAAATCCCATACCAAGAACCCTGTGCACAGCCTGAAACGCCAGTTTCTATTACCCAATGACAAAAATTCATGCGCAATCGTGATGACATGATGCTAGAAGAAATGAAGGTTCGACTCTGCCCAACCCTGCTCCAGAAGTATTTTTCGGGCAGACTTCTCCATGGCCTCTGGTCCGCAGACGAGGACCATGCTCTCAGCGTCGGCTGGCGCATACTCCTTCAGAAGCCCCTCGGAGATACGTCCTCGACGGCCCGTCCAGCTGTCTGATGCTTTGCTTAGTGTATGTATAACTTTGCACTTCTGGCTATCCAAAGCCTCGAACGCGTCGAGTTCAGACCGAGCTAAGATATCCTCCTCTTGTCTGTTCCCGTCCAAAACGACGCATGGCGTAGGGTCTTCTGGGACCTCCATAATAGCACGCAGGACTTGGAAGACTGGTGTAATTCCAGTTCCTCCACAGATCATTTTGAATGAGCGAACGTGGCGCTCCTTGCCACTAATCGACACCCTGCCATTTCCAAGGTATTCAAATCTGCCCGTGGGACCTTTGCAATCAATCACTGATCCCAATGGAAGTTTTTCGAGGGCCATTGTCATTTTACCGCCTGGGATGGTAGGTGTGTCGAAGTAAACCTTGATAAGCAGCTCCATCGTTCCCTCTAGTTTGGTATCCGACATGGGGGTGTAGGATCGGATGATGGCTTCCTTGGTTGATGGATCTGCGACTTTAATCATGAGGTGCTGACCGATAGGCAAGCCCAATTTCTGTGTCTCATGCTCCAATTGGAAAGTGAAAATGCGGGTGTCCCAAGATACGTCCTTTCTAGCCGTGAGTGTCGCTTTTGTCCATGCTCGTGATTGTAGGAACTCCGGGCGCGGTTCGTCTGATGTCTCTCCAACGTCGTTCTTGAGGGCTTCTAGGGAAGCTTTATCCATTGTACCGATATGGTATTCGGGCATCATCGCTTTTGCCGTTTCGCTATCTGTTCGAGTATTAGCAACATATTTTTGCATTGAGATCCCAAGGGAACTTACGAATGGCAAGGAACTCCTCCGAGACATCCAAGCCAGCTGATGAAATGATACTTTGGGCACCACCAGGATGACCTTCAAGGAACCCTTTGCCGTCATATACTTCACGGTTCACAATGAACCAAGGCTCACCCTTACTGGTGTGGCTCTTGAATTCTTGTAGGTTCACTTCCCTGTTAAGCCCTTCTTTCTTCATGTTGATCTCTTGCACGGGTTTCGGCTCTGTTGGTTCTTCGCCTTGGTTTCTCTCTCCCCAGTTTCCATTTAACAAATCGCCCCCTGCTTTCTTGACACGTTCCATCCAGCCTCCAGCCTTCGCAGGGTCGGTCGGGTGTTCAAATTTCAGGATTCCGTTTTCCTTTGTGATGGTCACTCGGAACCATGGGTTGTTCATCATACCCAAAACTGACCAATACATATCACGCGGCTGGACCATTAAAGACTCGTCCATTGCTCTGACAAGTAAAGCGTCGCTGTTCTCAAGGTCGGATGTCGGGATGTTCAAGGACCAAAAGCACCAGCAGAAACAGTTTTCGCGCCAGTACATGTCAACCTTGCCGCCGAATAGGTCGCCTTCGAAGTCTCGATACTTGTCCTCTGCATATTCTATGTCGGCCAAGCGCCAGGCTATACATCAGGTTAGCTGCATTCAACTTCAAACAACAGACAATCATACATTTGCCTTTATCCAGGGAAATTTCAACTCTTGTAACTCTCTTACCACCACCGGCATACGCATACCCTTTGGCAGTATATGTAAGCCCGGTTGAGGCAAGGTCTAACTCTTCGTTGTGTTGGGGATATGCGGCAGCGGAATTCGTGTTGAGGTCATAGATGGCATATCGCTCGTCCCGCCACCAATGTGGCTCTTTTGATGCCATATCTGGGGTGACCGTAGTTCTATGAAACATTAGGACTTGGGGATTCTTCACTCCGGACTCATTCCAGAAATGGTGAGCTTACGGTAGCACACGGTTATCATAGATATGGTACCAGTTGTCGCTTGGTGTGTCGGTCACGATCAACCTTTTCAGCCACTTAACACTTCGCCCTCCGATCTGACCAGGTACAACAGCTCTCAATGGACGCCCATGGTCTGGACGAAGGGATTCGCCATTCATCTTGTGAGCAAGCATGATTCCTCTGTTGGGGTCCATGGCCCAGTTCAGTTTGATGGACGTTCCATAGTACCCGTTAGGCTTTGAAAGTCAGCCACCAATTATATAAACCTTTGAGGCATGATAACAGCTTACCAGTTTATCAGCACCTTCCATACAGAGGAACTTAGCTCTGCGAAGAGGCTTCGCACTTCTCAGAATATCCGCCATCATGGGGCCAGTGAAGAGTGCCGTTGATAGACCGGCTGGACCCCATGAAAACCCTTTTGATTTTCGGACCGTATTTTGTTCTTTCCGCCTATTCCCGGCACATACGAGAGTTATGGGAGCTGTTATTTGATCATATTGCTGCAATATTTGTCGGAAATTGAGGACAATCGGTTTCTCGACCAGTCTGTGTCAACCCATTAGCGGCTGGCAAAGCTATAGAACGAAACGATGACACCAACCCTTCAATACTAATCTCCCAGTTGGGAATGTCCGCGTCGTGAACTTGGGGTACTGGTCCATGGTTTCGAACATAAAAGAGCTCCGGTGATGTCAAGAAACCTTTACGCGTGTGAGCTGAGTTAGCTTGACTTTCTCAGAGAAAAGCCCTTCATTGACTAGCAGGCATACCTTCATTGTAAAGAGCTGTGAGTGGGGCCTCGACGTTGAATGGATGAACACCAGTCAATCTGATCAATCGAGGATCACGGGGCACATGGTTGTCTGGTGTTCCCTGGTCTACTCCCAAGATCTCGCTTGGGTTTTTTGAAGGAGGCGGCAGAGGGATCTGTGACAAGTCTGGGCTTGAAACTTCTTCGACTTCAATATGGCTTCCCTTGAGAGGGTAGATTTGGGAAACCAATGTCTCCGTCTGAATTTGGGCGACGGTCGTCATGATTTTGGAATGGCAGTTGAAAGCACTACGATTGATAGAGCATTAATGATAAATAGGGCATGCCCACAGAAGACGAGACCCCCAATTCAAATGGTTCTCGTTCCAGGCAGAAGAAAATGGCGGCAGTCAAAAAAAAGAGCAATGGAATTAATGACGATTATTTTGATCTTCTGATATGAACAGTCGGCATTTGATCTAAGTTTGCGATATCATACCAGACAGGGGGTTGGACTGCATAGGAAAACGGCCTCGGAGAAAGAAAAACATGGTCTAAACCCATCAATAATGTTGTGGATCTCCGCGGGCTGTGAGAAACCATTCTTTTTAGGGCTGGTTATCATATTCATAATTATGGTAATAGCACATATGTTCCACAATTGGTGTAATTGTAAACGGTTGAGTGGCCGTGCAATTCGGGCCGGGTGGAAGAAGAGATCCACTCGGTGAGAGTCGGGAACGAAATAATATGGCTGCAATCAGGGAGGATTATTATTATTATTTCATTGACTTCTGGTTTTTGGTCATCGTCTATTAGTATCAGCATTGACCACATCATACAAATAAGCAAACAAGCAATAATAGTAGCACGACTGGATTCGACGATCATCTCCATTGGTTTGCTTCGAGAATTACTATGCATTCTTACATTCCAAGGCATCCCAAGAAAGGGAACCCCGGGAGAAAAAGAAAAGAAAAAAAGCCTCATCACCCGTGTAGTTGCATCCGCGCAGACTGTCTCAACTGGCACTTCTCAAGGGATGTCAGATTCCATTCCCCGGGAAAGCAAGGAAAGAGGCAAATTGGCTTATCTTCCAGGCGCGTGGCGGTGGAGAGAGTCCGGGATCCGTAGCGGCGACGATAAGACTCGATCAACGGCCAATCTGCTTCAGCACATCGTGGTTCTTGGTGGTTCTGACGATCTTCTGCCTCTCGAGCCTCCGCGGAGTTACCATGGTTAAGGTGGTGTCGATGGTTTCACGATATACTGATAACACTGCCAGGTATTTGGACCAACGAGGGTCTCTGCGAAATCGCTGATTAGAATCCCACATTTGTTGATTCGATAGAATCATGGTTTGCTCTTCTGAAGACCACGGAGAAAGACATGCTTTTTTGCTGCTTCCGGTGGCCATTTGGCGCTCTGAGGTAGATTGTATATGAGTATTCTATGTCGCCCATAGCCCTCGTGTCGAGTTGTAGTCCATCTCCACGATTTTATTTGATTACCCCACAGTCACAATGCCCTTGCTGGACGGGTTAAAGAACAGTGAACCTGTCAATGGCAGTGTTAGCAATGCTCTTTCCCATATGAATCGGGTCGACACACCCCGCGAAGTAGAAGAATATCCCAGAAACAATGAAAATCGGCGACAGAGGATCGTCGTGGTGGGACTGGGGATGGTTGCCATCTCCTTGATGTAGGTGGACAGTTGCAGCTGTGTTGGAAAGAAAAAAGACACTGACTGACTGGTGGTGGTGAATAGTGAGAAGATTGTCAAGCAGGACGCGGAGAGACGACAGTACGACATCGTCGTGATTGGCGAGGAGCCACACGTCGCCTACAACCGCGTCGGTCTTTCTTCGTTCTTTGAGCATCGCAAGATTGAAGACTTGTATCTCAATCCGACAGAATGGGTAAGTTGGATACATCTATCTTCTGCTACACTGATACTCACGGCGGTTTCGCCATTTTTAGTATGGCTCTGTCAAAGACAGGTCATTCGATTACCATCTCAACACCAGAGTGACCGAAATCATCCCCGACCAAAAGATTGTTAAGACCTCTACCGATGACTCGATTTCCTATGATCTCCTCGTCCTTGCAACAGGCTCCGATGCCGTTCTTCCTACACATACCCCCGGCCATGATGCCAAGGGAATCTTCGTTTATCGAACGATTTCCGACCTTGAGCGTCTGATCGAATTCGCCTCGGAGCACAAGGGACAAACAGGAGTCACAGTTGGAGGAGGCTTGTTAGGACTGGAAGCAGCCAAGGCAATGACAGACCTGGAAGATTTCGGAAATGTGAAACTCATCGATCGCAACAAATGGGTTTTGGCGAGGCAGCTCGATGGAGATGCCGGGAGCCTGGTAACTCGCAAGATCAGAGAGCTAGGTCTGGATGTTCTGCATGAGAAGCGTGTAGCAACTATCAAGACCGATGACGATAACAATGTAACCGGCATTGTTTTCGAAGATGGTGAGGAGATCGATTGTTGCTGCATCTGCTTTGCGGTATGTCAACTCGATCAATATTTTATAATGCTATCTACTAACACATTGGTTAGATTGGAGTGAGAGCTAGGGATGAGCTGGGACCCAAGGCTGGTATCCAATGTGCGAGAAGGGGTGGTTTTGTGATCGATGAAAGGTATGTATTGATACCCTCTTGATGTCTTCTTTCCCTTCGTGTTCTAACCTCACCTCGAAGTTTACAAACGTCTATTCCCGACATCTATGCTGTTGGAGAATGTGCAAGCTGGGAGAACCAGACCTTTGGAATCATTGCGCCCGGTATCGAAATGGCAGATGTATTAGCATTCAACTTGACAAACCCAGACAAAGAGCCCAAGTGCTTCAAACGTCCTGATCTAAGCACCAAGTTGAAGCTTCTGGGTGTCGATGTTGCCAGCTTCGGCGATTTCTTTGCCGACAGAGACGGGCCCAAATTCCTTCCGGGCGAACGACCCTCAGTCACAGCTGGCTCACAAACAGAAGATACAGATGAACCACCAGTGAAAGCCCTCACATATAAGGACCCATTCGGTGGTGTCTACAAGAAATACCTCTTTACCATGGACGGAAAGTATTTGCTTGGAGGAATGATGATCGGGGACACAAAGGACTATCTCAAGTTGAACCAGATGGTCAAGGGCCAAAAACAGCTAGAGGTGCCTCCCAGTCAATTTATTCTCGGGGCACAGGGTGATGGCGAGGAAAACGCGGATGATCTGTCAGTATTTTTCATCTACATATTATGCTCTACCAAGAACCGGTTATTGACTATACATTAACCAAACAGAGACGACAGCACGCAGATCTGCTCTTGTCACAACGTGACGAAGGGTGACGTCGTTTCGAATGTCAAGAACGGTACATGCACATCTATCGGAGAGGTCAAGTCATGCACGAAAGCAGGAACTGGCTGTGGTGGCTGTATGCCTCTGGTGCAGTCGATCTTCAACAAGACCATGCTGGATATGGGCCAAGAAGTGTCGAATAACTGTGTGTATCTACCATCCTTTACTGTGTCCTGATTTACTGACTAGTGTAGTGTGTATGCACATTCCACATTCGCGAGCCGACCTTTATAATATCATCGCTGTCAAGAGACTGAAGACGTTTGTCGATGTTATGAAAGCAGTTGGGAAGAACCCTGACTCCCTGGGGTGCGAGCTATGTAAGCCCGCCATTGGGTCGATTCTCTCCAGCTTGTTCAACCAACACATCTTGGACAAGGATGTACATGACTTGCAAGAAACAAACGACAGATTCCTTGCCAACATTCAAAGAAACGGCACATTTTCCGTGGTTCCACGAGTTCCCGGTGGCGAGATCACAGCAGACAGACTAATTACCATCGGTCAAGTAGCAAAGAAATATGATCTCTACTGCAAAATCACTGGAGGTCAGCGAATTGACTTGTTTGGTGCCAAAAAGCAAGATCTCCTTGACATTTGGACTGCACTAGTTGAGGCTGGTATGGAAAGTGGTCACGCATATGCAAAGTCACTCCGAACAATCAAGGTATTTTGCTTCGGTCTCTTCTGCAAAGATTTCGAAACTGACTATTTCCTACCAGAGTTGCGTTGGAACCACATGGTGTCGCTTTGGAATTAATGACAGTGTTGGAATGGCCATTCGATTGGAAGAACGCTACAAGAGTATTCGATCACCCCACAAGCTCAAAGGCGCTGTCTCGGGCTGCGTTCGAGAATGCGCGGAAGCACAAAACAAGGAGTGAGTAGATTGAGGTTCAATGTAGAATATCGTACTGACAGTCGTTAGCTTCGGTTTGATCGCTACTGAAAAAGGTTTCAACATCTTTGTTGGAGGCAATGGAGGTGCCAAACCCCGACATTCGGAGTTGCTTGCACAGGATGTTCCACCTGAGAACGTCATTTCCATCATCGACCGATATCTTATTTTCTATATCCGAACTGCCGACAAACTTCAGCGGACAGCCCGGTGGATTGAGAACCTCCCGGGAGGAATTAGCTACTTGAGAGAAGTCATCATCGACGATAAACTGGGCATTGGTGCCGAATTGGAGCAGCAGATGGAAGAACTGGTCAACAGCTATTTCTGTGAATGGACAGAGACTGTGAGAGATCCGAAGCGGCGCAAGGTCTTCCAGCAATTTGCAAATACGGAGGAGACTGTCGACACTGTTGAGGTTGTCCAAGAGCGTGACCAGAAACGCCCTACATACTGGCCCAAAGAATCCGCAACGGAGGATTTCAAGAATCACAAATGGTCCAGTCTTTCCTGGCAACCTATCATCAAGGCCGACCACTTCTCAGACGAGCCTCCACAGACTTCGTCAGCCAACGTCAAGCGCGGGGGGACCCAGCTTGCGGTCTTCAAGATCAAAGGCAAATACTATGCGACCCAACAGATGTGTCCCCACAAACGCGCTTTCGTTCTTTCCGACGGTTTGATCGGCGATGATGATGCGGGCAAGTACTGGGTATCATGCCCATACCATAAGCGCAACTTTGACCTCAACGGCGAGCAAGCTGGACGGTGCTCGAGCGATGAAAGCATGAACATTGCTACATTCCCGGTAGAAGAACGAGATGACGGCTGGGTCTATCTAAAGCTACCCCCGATTGAAGAGCTGGACTCGGTATTGGGTACAGAGAAGTGGAAGGTGAAGAAGGGTGAAGCGCCAGACCCATTCCAGAAAATGGACAAGAAGTACAAGGGCATACGGGGAAAGAAAGCATGCGATATCGAGGCGCAGAAACAGACGACAGTCCCCACTACCAAGGCGATTGACTGGTAGATGAGATATTCTTTTATTACAGGCGTTGGGGTATTGATGACATGCATGTAGCCGGATAATATGGGTTATTTAGTTTTTTGCATAGATACGAAACAATCGATAAGATCCTGCAATGATTATCATTTTTTATAGTAGTTTGATAGTCTGTTCATCATATCCAATATTAATCGCCTCGACTGCACGCTGCAATGCTCAAAATATCCATACATGCTATGAATGAATCTATGCCTTAGGGCACGTGAATCACGTGCGTATAGTATGCCTGAGGCACTTATCTCTCGACCAACCATAACCACCCACTTTGGGCTTATCTTCCCTCTTCAACGTAGTAAAGGCAAAAAAAGAAAATATCTATCAAGGTGGGGTCAAAGCATTGTTTTTTATCTCTCTATCTCTTTATCTATCATCGTCATGGTCTGATTATGTCTCCATCGACAGGTTTAAAAGGATCACCATCGCCTCTCAACATCTCCGCGGAGGTCAACAGCCAGATCCACGGCTTTTCCTCGTTATTTTCGTCTCGCTCGCCTCTGGGGCTCTATCGCTGAAGACACGATGTGGGCGGCCCTCGAGCTCTGTCCCGATAGCCACTCGGGATCCCGACCAGGACCCAATGAGATGCGGCGTGGTTATCAATGATCTTCCGCTACAGACTTTGGGACGACGTGCGGTGTCCCTGGTGGTTCCCTGGTGCTGCTCCGCCAGGTTCCAGACGGCCGCGGAGTTAGTCCTCTTCAGGCTCTCTTATCAGTGTGTCACGGCGTGGTTGAAGGTTTGTTTTCGTTTTTGTCCGTGGCTCGACAAAGCCATTTCGAAAATCTCCCTGGATTCTCCGGTTATCAGCATTGACGACTGAGCCACCGGCCCCGTATCATATCTCGAAACTCGTGAGAATACAACGGTCTGGATGCTTGGAGGGTCTTGGTCGTCTTGATCCAATGCCACGGACCTTTTTGTCAGACATGCTGGGCTGACACCAGATGGTGGGCCTGTCAAATCAGGATCTCCAGATAGAACTGATCGCTATCCGTTACGAAATATCCAAGAGGCAGTGAGAACCACCGCTAGTAGTATGCCTAATCTTGGGACTTCTGATACTATCTCCAGATTCTCCATGGCATTCTTCCATGGAGTTAGTTCATGTACGTCACTTTCGAGGAGATAACAAACGTTTGGGTTTTGCTTTCTACCATGTGTGATTCACAAGAAAAGTAATTGCAAAGACTATTTGCTTTTCTATCTCTTGCTGATATCTCCAGGTTTGAATTGGCATCAGATGTTTTATGTCTATATAGATGTCTCTGTTCCTTTGGTTCTCGATTTCTTTTGGTTCATCAGACACACTCTTCTCAATACAATCAGTCTAATTGATAATCATTATTTTGGTGCACAATTCAATACGCTCCACTTTATACACTATCCTTGTTCATCTCTATATTCATAAATTCATCTTTCCGGGGAAGCAGGCGAAATGGGGATGGAGTTCTTCAAGCTGTTCGTCGCCTCTCCAGATGTTGACCCAAACACCCGCAAGGCAAAGTCGATTCCTATTCTCAACCCATTCGATCGATATGGGCGCGTCTTCTTCTTCTCGTGGCTTGGGTTCATGGTTGCATTCCTCTCGTGGTATGCATTTCCACCTCTGGTAAGTACCGCAGATGCTGGAATATCTGTACAGCCCATCAAGTTGAATAAATTTTCTGACATCAAATTCCAGTTGACTGTCACTATCCGACAAGATTTGCATATGACCCAGCAAGATGTCGCAAATTCAAACATCATTGCCCTTTTGGCTACGTAAGGGTTGACCTAAGTATTCTTCATTGACAGTTTACTGACCTCCCTAGATTTTTGGTCAGATTTATCGCCGGACCGCTCTGTGACCGTTTCGGTCCTCGCTTGGTGTTTGTCGGTTTGCTACTATGTGGTTCGATTCCGACAGCCATGGCCGGTCTTGTCACCACCCCTAAAGGCCTGATTGCACTGCGCTTCTTCGTTGGTATCCTCGGAGGTACTTTCGTTCCTTGCCAGGTCTGGTGTACCGGCTTCTTTGACAAGAAGATTGTGGGAACTGCCAACTCGCTGGCAGCGGGTTGGGGTAACTCTGGTGGTGGAATTACATAGTAAGTTGTTTATTTGCAGCACCGTTTTTCCTCTGGTCTCCTTTTAACTTATGCTGTAATCTAGCTTCGTCATGCCTGCCATCTACGACTCTCTCGTTCACACCTCAGGCCTTCCGCCGCATAAGGCCTGGCGAGTGTCCTACGTGGTTCCCTTTATCATCATTGTATCTCTGGCGCTGTGCATGCTTTTTACCTGCGAAGATACCCCCACAGGAAAATGGTCGGAGCGTCATATCTGGATGAAGGATCAGGAGGTACCGGAAGGCAACATCGTCAACATCAACTCGGTCAACCCATCCAGCCCTCCCTCCGTCAACAACTTCATGACCCCCGATTTGGAAAAGAAGGGCGCACAATCACCCGAGGTGGTAGACCAAGGTCAAGCGGTCGGACAGGTGGACATCTTCAAAAAGGACACAGTGGTGGCCCCGAGCCGCAAGGAAGCCATGAATGTCATTCTCAGTCTGTCGACATTCGCCGTTGCCATTCCATACGCCTGCTCTTTCGGTGCTGAACTATCGGTCAACTCAATTCTTGGCGATTACTACTCTGAGAACTTTCCACACATGGGACAGACGCGGACTGGTCAATGGGCCGCCATGTTCGGCCTTTTGAACGTCGTGTTTCGCCCTGCTGGTGGTTTCCTTGCAGACGTTCTGTACCAGTACACAGACTCGGTGTGGTCGAAGAAGCTTCTGCTTTCATTCCTTGGAGTTGTCATGGGAGCCTTCCTCCTGGCGCTGGGTCTGGCAGACCCCAAGACTGAAGCAGCTATGTTTGGTCTCTCCGCCGGTCTTGCATTTTTCCTAGAGTCCTGCAACGGTGTGATCTTTGCTGTTGTCCCGCATGTTCATCCCTTTGCCAATGGTAAGCTTGCATCCCCCATGCAAAAATCAAGTATCTCCCCGCTAACAACACCTTAGGCATTGTCTCCGGCGTGGTCGGTGGTATGGGTAACCTCGGCGGAATCATCTTCGCCATCATCTTCCGCTACAATGGTGGCCACTATCCCCGCTCCTTGTGGATCATCGGAGTGATCGCCATTGCAGGCAACCTGGTCGTTTCCTGGATTAATCCCGTCCCCAGAAGTCAGAGGGTACGAAGCTAAATGTCGCTATCGACACACAAACATCTTTACATGATCGACGCTGGAATCGTTCACAATAGCCCTAATGATTTGTCTAAGAGCGATTTTTTTCATTATACAAGGAGTTTTGGGAAATGATATGGGAAATTGTACATAATTGTCGAGACATAGCGGGGTATATAGATGAATGCTGGTTCATTTTTTCAAGGCATATAAACTACTTTTTTGCTTCAGTTTTCTTCTTCATATCCTTTATCTGTAATTGATCTGATATTATCATTGCAAATTGTTGCACTGAACAAGCTCGGGTTAAAAGACCCCGAATGTGGGTTTCTTCTGACATCGTGAGGGGAACTAAGCTGAGAGGTGGGATGTCCAGAGAGACTGGATTGTTTCAAAATAACTCTCTTCCTCTTTTTTAATCTGGACTTAAAATATCCCTACCATTTACAATTATATCCATTGCGTACGGCACCAAGTAACTAGCCAGCTCACCACCAGAAGAACTCCACGATACAAAACAAACCAGAAACAGAAAAAATGGCACCCGTCCGCCGCATCGCCCAAATCGTGCACCTCAAACCCTCCGCTCTCGAAGCCTACAAAGAATGTCACGCAAACGTTTGGCCTGAAGTCCTCCAGCAGATCAAGGACTGTAACATTAAAGATTGTACGTCTACATTCTTGATATATCTCAAAACACACAATTACAGAAAGATAGGATAGCATTCTAATTCGGGCAGATTCGATTTTCTTTGATAATGATCGTACGCTTTTCGCGACGTTCAAGTATGTCGGAGATGACTTTGATGGGGATATGAAGCGGATGAGTGAGAATCCTAAGATAAAGGAGTGGTGGGCTATGACGGATGAGATGCAGGTATGTTTCTTTTTGTCTATATTGGTTGTAGTGAATGATGGTTGATTCGTTGGGATTGAATAGGAGAGTCCCATTCCGGGTGCTATTGGCAGTGCAGAAGGGCCTGGGTGGTGGAAGGTGTTGGATGAAGTGTTTTATACCGAGTGAATCGGAGATTGAATAGAATCAAGTGTATAAAATAGAAGAAACTGACCATGATAGGTTGTGTCATTTGCCGCACTAGCAGCTGGTTAAAATACATTAAGAAAAAGACAAAAGCCAAGGCCAGTCGCATAGAGGTACACTCAGATGTCCAGATAGCTCCAAGATTTTCAGATGACTGCCAGAGACTCCCAATTCCCAGAGACCCGGACTTCTCGGACTCCCTCTTGCCGGCAAAGGTTGGATAACAACTAGAATACACAAAACATTGCAAAGATGGGTATCTTCACCAGGAAAATGTTGCTCATCAAAGATTTCCGCTCCTGAACGCCCTGTTCGTAGAAAAGGAAAATTGGTCATGGCTCATTCGTCCCGACTGGGTACGAGTATTTCCGCATCACCGTCCTTTTTAGTCGACGCTAGGGGGAACATCTTTCAAGATCTCCCAGCCGTACTCTTCCTCTGGCTTCTCCGCCTCCATGCCAAGAGCGAAGCGATAAGCGCGGACTTCGTTTTGGAGACCGGCGACAACACGGATAGGGACCTCTTCTTCCTCACAGCGAAGACGGTAGGCAGTGCGGATCATCTCGGCGCACTTCATGGTCTGGGCATGCCAGTAGTCACGATCGAGACGGCTTTCCAAGTGGGAGTCACGTTCAGCTTGAAGAAGGTTGTTGTAGTGGCGCTTCTGGGCCAGGTAGTTCATGTTATTGTTCTGGCAGTAGTTTCGGATCTGCTCGACCATAGTGCCAACGGCCTGTTCGTATTCGCCAATCAATTTGGTGTTCTCGACCTGTTCATGCTTGAGGATCTCGACGGTGCGTTTTTCCTTTGCGAGAGCGCGCTCGAGTTCGGCGATGCGGGCAGCTATACTTGTCGTTAGCAGGGTCCAATGTAGCTGGATTAGCAAAAGAAGACTTACCACTAATTTCGCCATTCACCTGCTGCAAATTAGGACTAGCGCCCTCGGAAGAAGAGCGTTTCTATTGCTTGTCAGCCATCTTCATGCTAATTGATGCTAGAGCGGGGAAGGGGGGGAGGGGGAACGTACCATGATTTCTTCGGCGCTGTTGACAATGCTACTAGTCATTTCGCGGTTGTTCTTCAAGACCTCGCTGAGTTCGAGAACCATTTCGTAAACGTGGTGGAGATCCATCTGGTGACCGGCGTTCATGGGCATGCCACCGTTCATACCGGCCATCCCACCTCCATTGACCTGAGCAGGTGTGTGAGGCATAGCGGGGGGGAGAGACTGGCGGGGCATATTGGCCAGGTTAGGGGAGTTGGCGGAATTGTCAGCGTAGTTAGAAAACATGCCCGAGCCAGGGCCACTGCCAGCCATGCCACTTCCACTGTTGTTCAATGACATGGTCGCGGACGCGAAAGCACGGTTCAAGTCTTCGAGCTGGGGGTCGGCTGAAGGATTGGGATTCTCGACTGGAGGGGCTCCTCCTTCTTCGTACCAGAAGCGATTCTCGATGCCCAACACCTCCTTTCGGAATTTCTCAAGGTCACGGTGAGTAACGTGGGTGGAGCGGCGACGGTGCCCACGTACAAAGGGTGCCTTGGAATCAGACGAAGGAGCGGACGCGTCGATGTTGACGGCTGGACGAAGGTTTCCTCCTTCGACCCCAAGTCCTGCCAATGGGTATTGAATTCGACCTTTGTTAAGGAAGTCGTGGAGAGAATGAGAGCGAACTCGCTGGCGTAGCTTGCGTTGCTCCAAAGCAGTTAGCGGTCTCTTGATGAGGTCGGCGGAGTCACATGGATTATCAGCACGGAAAGGGGTAAGCGCCGGAGCATCGGGGAAAGAACTCCGGGCACTAGCCGCCCTGGCACGTGTGATTGGCGCAGAGGGGAGAGGATGATTGTTCTCCATGTTGGATGACTGCAAGAACAACAAGTCACAGTCCCAGGAGATGGAGGATGGATGTGGGGGAGTGAGAGAAAGTGAGAGAAAGAAAGTGTTTTGAGGTGGGAGAAACGCCGAGAAGAAAACAATTTTGTTTGGATTGTAGTCTACTCACTGTTGCTGGCAGCTGCTGTGACTAAATCTCACTCTCCCCCCTTGCACCTATACATACAGTATTCTTTTACTATATCCAGCTTATGACAGTTGCGGTGTATTTATGTGAGGACCTGCGGAGTGGAAGAGTATATCCCAAGATGGTTTATGGGTAATTTGAGCATTAAATCTTCATGCACGAAGAATAGGTATCATCTAAACAAGACATCTTTCATCAATTCATATCAAGCAGTTCGGCCAGCTTATTATCAGACCCGAGTTCGTACGAGGCTTCTTTTTCCTGTCCATCACTCGTTCTTTTCTTCTGGCCGATTCGACCTCCAACTCGGGCAACGAGCATTCTCATCTTATCCAACTCCTGTACGAGCTCTCCATCTCTGGTGATGAGGTTGGGCTGGATATTCTTCTGTGGCTCATGGAATGGCTTCAATAGCCCTTGTAGTCGTCGCAGTTGATCTAAGCGCCGCTGTCGTTGTTGTCGCCGGTTGTCAAGGTCAACAAGACGCTCACGAAGCCGCAGATACCTAAACATACATGTCAGCCAGTGACTCAATCGCTCAGGTATAATAAATTTCAGACCTCTGGCACTCTTCCTCAGTCGCAGAATGAACTTCTAACTCAACGGGCAATTTTGTAAGATTCCTAGTGCGTGTGAGTAGATTGGTATTCGTTCAAGTCCTCAAAGACTCACATATGATTTGACAAGTCGACTGTTTTCTCAACACCCCTGTCATAAGAGCCTAAGCTGCGCGTCTCATGATGCACAGAAGACCAGTAAAGGCTTGCAATCTGTTGCGCGACATGGTGTATCGCTTGCGACGAGTAAACGATGCGATTATGCTGCTTCAAAGCAGTATTTACTGGAGTTCTGTTAGTTCATGTAAACATTCAGATGATATGTCATTACGGCCATAGTTTCATTAAGGGATACGATGATAGAATTAGATTGAGAATCGTTCTTGTACGTACACTTTTGTATGACATCCTCAACCACCTTATCGCTCAGGTCCTCTTCCGATGGCTGCGTCGCGTAATCCCTCCAATTGTCCGCTGGCTGAAGACTCTCAGACAGGACCCTCACCTGGGCCCTGATGAAGGCAGATTTGAGCTCGGGAATGGTGCGGGTCGAGTCCATATCTCCATATCGACAAAGTCACCCTTTGGGGACTGTCAATTCCTCCAGAGAGCTTGGCGCGATGGTATCGATAACAGAGTCACGTGGCTGTCGGTCCATACTCATACAGCATTTGCCCATGCAGGACATACTCGAAAGGATGTCTCAAAAAAACCCCATGATCTGAACATCAATTACATATCATCAATTTAGAGGTACATCTATGACTAGACGACCAATTGTCTGTTTACAACGTTGGCCTCGGTCTTCTATGGCATCTTGAAATTACACCGACAGATATATAATTTAACCTCGGCAACGCGAGGAGTGTCCAGATACTCCGCAAGAACATTCATCGGCATTTCAATAACAAAGCACCAGTTATTTTTTCGAGTTGTTTTCTGTATCAATCGAGATTCCTACACAGTGTTATAATGGCAGAGAACAAGAAACCTCTGGGTCTCCTTTTCGATATCGGGGGAGTGTGTGTGAGACTGCATGAACATCTATCAAATCCAAAAGCCGACTTACTAAATGACTTCTAGGTTGTCTCACCCTTCCAGGCCATATTGGACTACGAAATATCTCAGAATATCCCACCCGGATGGGTGAATTTCAGCATCTCTCGGACATCGCCCAACGGCAGCTGGCACAGGCTTGAGCGAGGCGAGATCAAATTGGATGCCGATTTCTTCTCAGGATTTAACAAGGACCTACGGAGTCCGGCTCTATGGAAGCAATTCCACGAGAGAGCCCAGCAAAAACAAGCATCGAAGAATACAGCCGCTTCGGTTCCCCCATTGCCAGAAGTGGATGCTGAATGGCTCTTTTGGGAGATGATGCGGATATCACGAACACCAGACCCTTATATGTTTCCCGCGTTGAAGAAGCTCAAGGAGTCTGGGCAGTTTATCATGGGGGCATTGTCCAATACAGTCATATTCCCAGACGGACATGAGTTTAATTTGGACACGACTGGGGTGAAGTCGCAGTTTGACTTTTTCATTTCATCCGCGCACACCGGCCTCAGAAAACCAGATGCGAAGATATACGAGGCTGCATTGAAGGAAATGAATGCATCAGCGAAGAAGAAGGGAATAAATGGTGCATCCGCTTCTGACATTGTTTTCTTCGACGATATTGGGGAAAACCTGAAGGGTGCAAAGAAGGCAGGAATGAGAACGGTCAAGGTCACTCTTGGAAAGACACAGGATGCAGTGAAAGAGCTAGAAAAGATCACTGGTCTTCAATTGCTGGAGGGATCAGACAAGGCAAGGCTATAGATGTACTGCCTAGTACTACAGTACCAAGTATGTACTGTTCTCCAAGGCAATCATTCATTTGATTTTGAGCCGACGTTAGATTATGAAATATCTTCCAATGTTACTTATATCCTCCAACAGTAAATGCAAATATATTTCTTTCAGAATCGGCGACAATAATCGTGGTTGTTCCCTGACCCAGACTTACTCTGGCTCGTGGCCGACCTCAGTTCTGAGTCGGGATGCAGCCACGCTAAGCGAAATCCCCCACAAAGTCGGCCCACGAAATTTCTCTCCTCTTTTCTTTCTTGCAGCCATCGTCGACAATCCGGTCAATAACCCGCGGCAACAGTCAAGATGGTGAGTCTTATTGCTATTAGAGATGGTTAATAGACCGTCCTGCATTTGCGAAAGTCTCTTTTAAAAAGGTCCTGGAATTTTGTATTCGGTTGGGACTGGAAGAAAATGGGTCTTTGCAAGATGCTTCGGACGGATTTCTGAAGCGCAAATTGCTGACTCGGTTTGTGTTCTTTGCAGCCTTTCACCAAGACCGTCAAGAACAGCGCTTACTACAGGTGGGTTAATTCTTCATTCGCGCTCATTTGAACCGCAGGACAAGATATGCTGACTTTTTTACTTCTACAGCCGCTACCAGACCAAGTACCGTCGCCGCCGTGAGGGTAAGACCGACTACTACGCCCGTCAGCGTCTCATCACCCAGGCCAAGAACAAGTACAACGCCCCCAAGTACCGCCTGGTCGTCCGCTTCACCAACCGTGACGTTATCACCCAGATCGTCTACTCTGAGATCTCCGGTGACAAGGTCTTCGCCAGCGCCTACTCCCACGAGCTTAAGCGCTATGGTATCACCCAGGGTCTGACCAACTGGGCCGCTGCCTACGCCACCGGTCTGCTTCTTGCCCGCCGTACCCTCAAGAAGCTCGGCCTTGACGAGCAGTTCACTGGTGTCGAGGAGGCTGACGGTGAGTACAAGCTCACCGAGGCCGCCGAGACTGAGGATGGTGAGCGCCGTCCCTTCAAGGCCTTCCTCGACGTTGGTCTTGTCCGCACCTCCACCGGTGCCCGTGTCTTCGGTGCCATGAAGGGTGCCTCCGACGGTGGTATCTTCGTTCCCCACTCCGAGAGCCGCTTCCCCGGTTACGACATCGAGTCCGAGGAGCTCGACGCCGAGACTCTCCGCAGCTACATCTTCGGTGGTCACGTCTCTGAGTACATGGAGGGTCTCGCCGATGACGACGAGGAGCGCTTCGCCTCTCAGTTCAACAAGTACGTCGAGAAGGAGATCGACGCTGGTGATCTCGAGGAGATCTACAGCGAGGCTCACAAGGCTATCCGTGAGGACCCCTTCAAGAAGGACGAGGATGCCGGCTCCAAGAAGACCAAGGAGGAGTGGAAGGCCGAGAGCTTGAAGCACCGCAAGACCAAGCTCTCCTACGATGAGAAGAAGGCCCGTGTTGAGGCTAAGATCCGCGAGCTTGCCGCTTAGATGGATATATGTGTCACGATGGGAGACAAGTCGTACTTGACGAATAGCTGAGTGCGATAGTCAAAAAAAGAATTGTTCACTTCACACCAAAATATCCTAGGGGGACATAGGTTTTTGCCAACCGGCGTTATGATCAATTTACTGTAGATTGATTGGGTTTTTACGACATGTGTTACGTCAAGGGATTCTCGGAGCAATTAGTTTGGATTTCAAAGGATTTTATTCACCGTTCTAACTGCTCCGGTAAATGTCTATCAATCTTCCTACCTTGATGTGCTTGTAGAAGTAGATATGTGGCCCCGTATTCACTACAGAAAAGTGGGGGTTTGATTTTCATTTTGTCTAGTGGGCCTTACTGCCGGGCGGTCAGACTTAAGCGAGATCTCTGAAGAAGATACATCCATAAGTACGATGGAAAGTTTCCGGGAACTTAGGAAGAACTCGACAAGGAATCTAATGATATTTCTACATCTTCATCCCGGTATCCTGGCTATGTACTTTGAATATTATCCAGTCTGGCTTTACTGGGTATGTCTTCCTAAATTTCTTCCATGTTCTATTTCAGGCACTGCCAGGCGCATACATAGTCCCGGACTTCCTCCGTAGATGGTACATTCTCCCAAACGATATTGATGAGCTGTCATACTGGGATGGCCACATGTTCAGTTGATCATTTGACACCAGAATGAGATACTGTACAGAGTACCTACAGATGGGAGTACCTACTGAGGCCCGTAGATCCATCTGATTCTGGTGGATGGATCTCATAATGGCCCACCGCCCACATGACCAGCAAAAAAGAAAAAGATCATCATGGACTATTACGCCATAGACTGTGTTAGAAGTTGGAACCAGAAGATAATTGGAACTGGAACAACCAAATGATGTTGTTGCTAGTGATAATCATGGAGAAACAGCTGAGAAGTGAGAACAACATCGTGTGATGCGGTCATTGTTCCACCTTGTGGATCGGTTCGATATCATCGTGAGATATCCATTTGTAGGATCTGCGGTATCAGCCAATATCCCAATCCACCCGTCCATAAGCAACCGCGCCCAGCTGGTTCCTTGAAGTTAAGTCGAAATTACAGAGTGCTAGGGGACAAGATAGACGCTGAAATTCCGTAAACAGCGACGACTGAATAGACTACATAATAGCAACCTGTCATGGATATTCCGTATAGCCACCCAGAAATAGGTAGTCGAGTGTGACAATTCCATCCTAGCTGCCTCTCCGAGGCGTTCCTTTTCCCGCATGGTTGCAGATGTGGATCGAATCATGCTGGACATGGTGGGAATTTTTGACAGCACATCGTCGAAGCCCTCTACTGTTTCGGGGGGAGGCAAATCCTCCGATAGCGGGTGTCACGAGTGTCTGAGCGAGGCTGAAATAGCTGAAAAGTTGGATAGCTGAGATTGGACCGGAGATTCCGGGATTCCAGACTCTACTAGTAAGATGTACTGTGCGGACTACGGAGTAGTAGATTTTTATGCTTCTATAGCCTCTCCCCCTTTTGGGCAAGATGAGGATTGGGATAATGCCCCTGTATTAGGTTGTTTCGGTACCGCAGCTGGATTGAGAATTTCGCCAACGGTACGGCAGGTGGAAGTTGGAATGGAAATAACATTTTACCTTAACCAATGACATCCTCACCCTAACTTTCCCGACCAATCATGCAACTAGATATGTAAAGCCCTCTCGGGACCGCCCCACACCAAAACGGCTCCTTTGGGACTAGCGCCACAGATGCCGTTTTCTAGCTGTTTTTTGGTAATGGCCGCCCATAAATTTTGATCCCGCACTGGTGGTGCGTCCTTGGCAGGTTGTCGTGTGTGAGGGCGTTCTACCAGTGGCAAGAGTACATATCTGTGGTTGAACACCAGGAGATCTGCCTGCACGATGATGAAAATATCGCATTTGATTCAATCCTGCTTCGACGTATCATTCCTAGGTCGCAGGACAGAAAGTAAAAAAAAAAAAAAAAAAAAAAAAAAAAAAAAAAAAAACAGAGTCGTCGACGTAGCCATACAACGGCTGCTGGTAGTACCACCCCATTAAGGTCACCTGCACTGCTGCTCCCTGGCGTTCGCCCGAGTCCTCCCCCCCAGAATCCACTCTATGATTCTCTCCCCCTCCACTTTTGGCGCATCCGTCATTCCGTCTGTCTCTGGCACGGCACCGGTGGTCGGCCTGCGAAAAACCATCTGCTCTGCTGTCATCCCGATCGTTTCTGCCATTTGATCCGTGCTGCTGCTCACTTCGCCTTCCTTTTTTTTTTTTCTTCTTCCCTTTCTTCTTCGTCAACTAATTCTACCTGATTCTGACCACTCATTTCCTCTCCCCATCATGTCCGCTGCTGCACTCCGTCTCCGCCGCCCGATCATGGAACACTCGTGCCATCGCCTGTAAACAGCTCGAATAAGGGTGAATCGCTTTCTTCTGCCCGAGGGGACACCTCTACCTTGATTCGAACATATTACCTCTGCGATACCTTTTTTACTCGTACCCCAACAGCCTTGGTTTCGAGTCTCGACTTGGCCTCTGTGAACCGAGTCTGGCGGAGTATGCACTGTTGTATATAAACCTACTCCGACGCATCTATCTACAACACAAGTGGTCAATCGCCTATTCCTATCCAATTTATCTAGTCACCCGACAGAGGGACAGAATCAAAAATGGAGGGCGTTGAAACGGTTGATGTTAGCTGGCTACATCATTCGCAAAAAGGTGAGTTCGAAAAAAACTACCCCCGGCGGTTCCGCGGCATTGGCAGAATCGGATTACTTTGGGAAGGAAACTTGAACTTGGATACTAATATTTCAGATCACTTATCTCGCTGCAAGTCAGCATCGTCGACGGTCAGCGATAAATCGAGCTTCGATAACGAACAAGCTACTTCACAAAAATCCCCCGAGGAGAAGATACCCTCCGACACAAGTCCACCACCCCAACAACCACCCTCCGACCCTGCCCCCGAATATCAAGAAACTACTGAGAATGATGGATCTCGACTTGCACAAACAAAATCCCATAATGATGACAAGGCGGTGGACCCCAAACAATCCGGCTCGTCCATGGCCTTTCCTAAAAGTGCACCCAAACCAATTACAGGGAGAAGGAATTCATGGATCTCAAGTTTAAGCTCCAAGTTTTCTTCTGGCTCAACACCTCCATCACAGTCGAATGTCAAGGGGAATCAAGGCAATCTCAAGGCGACCTCACCAGTGTCGAAGCTTGATTTCCACAACCCCTTTGGTGCGGCTTATTCCCCCAAAGACAAGGAAGACGAGAAGAAGGAAGAAGCCTACCAGACCACTTCGACATCTCCCAAAGGCCCCTCATTTCTCACAAACGCATTTCGCAAGCTCTCCTCATCTGGCTCGGGAGGATTGGGCAAGTCCGCTCCAAACGGTGCCATTTGTGAACGGCGCATAATGAACATTGATCAGAATCGGGATAGGTGTAAGATCCCGGATTTGAATCAGGCAAAATTGCGACGTGTTGCTTTCTGTGTCGATGTTGAGATTGCGGGATTCTCACGTCGGGAATCCGACGACGAAGCTTCCCCAAGCAGTGGGCGGCGTCCTTCTGAACAAACCCTATCTAACCAAAAGTCCAAGAAGTCATCATCGAGGTCGAAAGAAAAGGAGGAAGCCGCTGCTTTGAAACATCCTCAAGCTGCTGCTGCTGATAAGGAACAGCATGGCCAGGTTAATGGAAATGGGAGGGGCAGTACGTCGTCGGAAACTCAAGCCACGGAGAGCAAAGTCAATGGTGAAGGAAAAGAACCCACAAGGAAACAAGAGAAGAAAAAACGGTCAGAGGAGGAGAGAAGGGAGCGCAAAGAGAGAAAACGAAGACAGGCGGAGGCAAATGGCTCAATACCTCTGCAATTGAGTGTTGATGACGACTACGAAGACTCCCGAATCCCTACTCCTGGGGTAACTCGGTCGAAAACGCAGACACATCCCACAACAGATCCTGTACGAATCTATCGAAGATGTTGCCAGCTACGTGAAACACCTGTCCTTAAGAAGGTGGTCGACCAAATTTCCTCGCCTTCCTCTATCTTGGCCGAATCTCCTGGTACCGTTGCCGTTCTTGACCTCAGCAACTTTCCTATGACCACTCAGGACATCGTTACTTTTAGTGACTGGCTCGCTGTTGTACCTGTCCGCAAGCTCATTCTCGAAAACTGTGCCTTGAACGATTTGTCAATTCGAGCTATACTTGCGGGTCTACTCTCGACCAAAACTGTGGAGCAGATGAAACAAAGGCGCAGGAGAGTAAAAAAGCCCGAGTCTCCTCCCCCCAAACAGGAGGAGAACTATGGTGTTGTGGAGAAGTTATCCTTGAAAGATAACCCTAGAGTTGGTCCAGAAGGATGGCGGTACATCTGTCTCTTTATCCATCTTTCAAAGTCCTTAAAAGCCATCGACTTGTCCGGAATTCCATTCCCGAAGAAACCCATCGCGGTAAATGACCCCGATCAGCAGACACGGCCTCAAGTGGATGTTACGACTATTTTCGCCAAATCCCTTGCGGAACGCTTCGGTGGTGATCGACTCGAAGAATTACTGCTCAGCGAGTGCAGGCCTACAACAGAAGACGTACGAAAAATCTGCGATGCAGCGATTACCTCTGGTTTAAGAAGGCTTGGATTCGCCAACAATGAGGTGACAAGAGAGGGCTTGGAACATATTGCTCGATATTTCTCAGCTGGCAATTGTGAGGGTCTCGATTTGGGTGGAAATCCTGTTCAGGATCATCTTGATGTGATTACCTCTTCTGTTGAGGGAGATCAGCCACTCTACGCACTCAGTTTGGCTGATTGCTCATTAACCCCATCTGTGATCTATCCTTTGCTCCAAGCGTTGACGCGCCTATCTAATCTTCGTTTTATCGACTTTTCTCACAATCGAGGGTTGTTTTCGGCTCAACCAGATGCACTGGCGACCTTCAGACGTTTCCTTCCAAAGATGCCCTCGCTCAAACGCATTCACTTAGCAGATGTGAACCTTTCTGCAGATCATACCATCGCTCTTGCCGAGGTCCTCTCTGAGTGCCCTAGTCTATGCCATTTGAATATATTGGAAAACCCATCGATCATGAGGCTGGCCTCCGCAACTGACCCTGCTGCTCAAGAGGAAGCCTGTGCCGTTTACGCATCATTGATGGCAGCTGTGCGTGTCTCTCGAACATTGATTGCGCTGGATATCGAGGTACCCAGTGCAGAAAGCAACGAGGTTGTCAAGGCTCTGGCATCGCAGATCGTGGCATACTCTCTTCAGAATCTCGAACGGGGTGCCATTGAAGAAGAACTCTCCGATCCAGCTTACTCGTCATGTGCACGCGCCAATGTCCCCGTCCCCGAAATCCTACAGCACATTGTCGGGGTTGGTGTTGACGAACCGTGTGATGAGGAGGACGAACCTGCTCCTGACGAAGACTACGTTATTGGAGGTACAGGTGTTGTCAAGGCCCTGGGAGTCTGCCTTGGTACTTTGGATCATCATGGTAGCGATCTCCCTGGGGACCAGTCTGCGCCGCCAAGCGGTACTACCACACCTAGACACAGAAGACCTAAGTCCTATGTCACTACCAAGAAGCCTCGTGACATGTCTAAGAATCTGCTGGAATCTGCTCGCAATATACGGACAAGGATCCAGACGGCCCTTGTTCGCGAGGACAAAGCCGGCAATGATCATAACTACAGTAAGTTCCCTTATGGTACTCGCATTTTCAAATGGAGACGTATGCTAACATCTATTTTACTAGGGCGTCTTCAATTCCTTGATTTCACACTGCATGGAATGATCCAGCGTTTTGAGGATAAATACCCAGAGACACGCATCGCTTCGCCACCGGTGCCAATTGCTGCGCAAGAAACCAGCTCACAGAACTCTGGCGATGAAGTTAGTGGCTCAGTCGGTGCTGGCGTTCATGAAAACGGTGCCGACGGCGAGTGTGCCATTGACGACGAAGATGGCGACCAATATGGCTACCGACTGTCCCGCGCCAGCTCCATTACTTCTCTTCATTCTCGCGCGATGACCTCCGAGGAAGGCCATGTTCATCGTCTTGGACAGAATCTTCGTCGCGATTTCCTCAGCCCTTCCTTGGATCCAGACGATGACCCCTCGTTGTTCCCCATGGATGACTCTCATGTCACAACTCTAAGGGACAGACTAGACCGTCTTCACGAGGAACAGACACGTTCTCACTTTGAGAGTGTCGGGGCAGACAAAGCTTTTGAAGAGCTGGGATCGACAGTTGAAGAACTCTGGGCCATTCAAAGACAGGACTCGGAGGCCTTTGAGAAATTCAAGCAGAGCCAGATCGCCGCACAGATTAATAGCGGCAAACGAACAGCTTCTCCGGCGAATCGAGATGGACCAAATCCAAAGTCCACCTCGTAGGATGAATGCTCACTTACTGCGACTATTTACTCGCTGATTTATTTTGTCTACTATCGATGAAAACTTTTTTGTATATACACTATCGTTTCTGTCTACTTCTGGCATTTTGCGCAGACAATCATCCTGTACATACTCAACTGCAGAACGTGTCATTCGATTATTTCCATGGGTTTCTGGCTTGTTATGTGTTGTAACCATATTGATACCTTGAGTTATTGGGATTATTGGCTCCGCTATCTTCTACTATCCGTTACGCGGGGGCGTCTTTTTCAGTCTTCTGTACACTTGTACACTTATGTTTTTCTTAGTGTTTTTTTATATTCTGTCACGATAAGGTTCGAAGGTTGCCAGTGATGTTCTATTATTTACAACATGATCAACTTGAGAAGTCCGAATACTCTCTAACCTGTATCTGATGTTGCATCCAAATGCCTCAAATTCCTCGGTATATCGGCTTACGTCATAGAGCAGCACCGAACAACCATGGAGAAAAGAACAACGAACAGTTAATTATACGGATAAATAAATGCATAAAAATATCTTGTCTACTTGAATTTGCTGTAGATAATATCTATCATCCCAATCTGATAGAAATACTGGCCCTTTAGTAGAGCCCAAGTCCCCACGCTTCCAGTGATCTGCAATCCCTCGGTTTGCTGCTGTTCCCCAGAAAACATTCACATGTCAGCCACTGCCCGCGTGCCTCTCTCTCTCTTCCTCTCCCTTCCACTTCATCATCACCCATCTCATTCTTCCCATCCCTCTCGGAAATCATCATCATCACGGCCATGTTCGCATTCGTCGACTCTGGCTAGGACCTATTTCATCCTCTCTGTAGTAGGCTCAGGCAGCCCCTTCTCGCCGCCATCATGGCTGCTATGTCCAAACTGCTCCCCCCCGAGCGCTCGTTCCGGCAGATCCTCTCCAGCTTAACGTCCCTCTATCTCCGCCATCGCACACGCATCTCTCGCACGGTCTACCTGGCTCTCTTTGCCGCTCTAGCAAAACGTGTCCATAATGCCATCTCCGAGCAAAAGGCCGCTTCCCAGCGACAGGTTGACCTGCGCAGGCGGCCCGGAACCAGCAGCCTCGGCGAAGAAGGCGACCGACCGCGCAAGAAGGTCGAAGTCAACCGTGAATTCTTCAGGAATCTGCTTCGGTTGCTGAAGATTGTGGTGCCGGGCTGGCGAAGTAAGGAACTTCGTTTGCTTATGAGCCACAGTGTGTTTCTGGTACTGCGGACTATGCTTAGTCTGTATGTGGCCGAGTTGGATGGCCGGTTGGTCAGCAATCTGGTGCGGGGGAAGGGGAAGGAGTTCTTGCTGGGACTTGTATGGTGGATGATTGTTGCAGTGCCTGCAACTTTTACAAATTCTATGGTAAGTCGCACTGTTTTGGCTGTGTCGACGGTGGTTCGATTTGACATGCTTTTCTTTCTAGCTATCCTATCACCAATGTAAACTTGCTCTTAGCTACCGGAAGCGCCTTACGGACCATATCCATGAAAAGTATCTGTCCAACATGACATTCTACGCCATTTCTGCTCTGGACGATCGAATAAAGAACCCCGACCAGCTGATTACTGTGGACGTCTCGCGATTCTCAGACAGTCTGGCAGAGCTGTATTCAAACCTGGCCAAACCAGTTCTTGACATGGCCATTTACAACTACTCGCTTTCCAAGAGCGTTGGAGGAGAGGGTCTCTTTATCATGAGTCTTTTGGTGCAGCTTTCGGCCAACGTGATGCGTGCACTGACGCCGCCCTTTGGCAAATATGTCGCCGATGAGGCCGTTTTGGAGGGTGAATTTCGCTTTCTGCACTCGAGACTGATTGACTACAGCGAGGAAGTGGCACTCTACCACGGCCATGAGGCGGAGAAGGACACCTTGGATAAGGGCTATTTCACCCTGATAAAACATGTGAATCGCATCTTGCGACGGCGGTTATACCACGGATTCATGGAGGATTTTGTCATCAAGTACTTCTGGGGTGCCTTGGGGTTGATCCTCTGTAGTATTCCGGTCTTCTTCAAGATCCCCGGTCAAGTCGCTCAGACTATGGGGGATCGAACTGAGAGTAAGTACTTCTTTGTAGGGGTTGTCAAGCTCACTACTAACGTAATTAACAAGGTTTCGTCACAAATCGTCGGATGTTGCTTTCCTCATCCGATGCCTTTGGTCGCTTGATGTTCTCATACAAGGAAATTTCAGAGCTCGCTGGTCACACAGCGCGCGTTTCATCTCTAATGGAAGTTATGGATGACCTCTTGGCCGGGCATTTTGAGAAGAAGTTAGTATCCTCAGCTTCAACAGAGGAAAATGCGGCCGTTCTTTCTGGTCGTGGTGAGGTTGAAGAAAGCGAATCTATCGAGTTCACCGACGTCCCTATCGTATCGCCCAACGGAGACGTTCTCATACGGGAACTGTCCTTTACCGTCCACCCCGGCGATCATCTACTCATTGTCGGTCCTAACGGATGCGGCAAATCGTCCCTGTTTCGAATCCTCGGAGGCCTCTGGCCTGTCTACGGAGGCAAGGTTAAGAAACCCCGCTTTGATGGGATCTTCTATATCCCCCAACGACCCTACCTATCTCGCGGCACTCTGCGACAACAGGTCATTTACCCCGACGGTGTTCGCGAAATGCGATCCAAAGGCATCACCGATGAAGACCTCTATGAAGTCCTTTCCATCGTAGAGATTGCATCGGTCGTCGACCGCCCCGGTGGCTGGGACGCGGAAGAAGAGTGGCGCGATGTCCTATCCGGTGGTCTACAACAACGTATCGCCATGGCAAGACTATTCTACCATCGACCAAAATTTGCTATCCTAGATGAATGTACATCTTCTGTCACCCTCGAAATCGAACGGGTCATGTACGAAACTGCCAAGAAGCTCGGTATCACCCTGATGACCGTTTCCCACCGTCGAAGTCTCTGGAAGTATCACAAGAAGATCCTGCAGTTTGACGGCCAAGGCAGCTATGTCTTTACCGGACTAGACTGGGAACGGAGATTGAAGCTTGAGGAGTAAGTTATGCCTTGAATCCCTTTCTTTCCACCGCCATACTTTCAAATAACAAAGCTAAAATGATAAATCATGAACAGTGAGAAAGACGATCTTGATCTCCAGCTTCGAGCTGTACCAGAGCTGCAAAGACGAATCACCGAACTGAGCGCTTCATAATAGACTCATATATTATATGGCCTGCTTTATTCTTTGTCGCCACTGACATATTCGACCTGATATCCATTTTGCCGATTTTTTGTGCTGATATTGAATTCTTGTGTATTTACTGTATGTGTTTGATCACTAGAGCGAGGTACTATACATAGCTTGCATGTACTTTGGCATATTTGTGAGTGAATGATCGTCATTCATCTCTATGGATAGTCGACACTATTGAATTGTATTTTCTTGTCAAATTGAGTTGGATTATGAAAAAAAAAGCACCATAACAAGCTCGTATTCTCGTTAATTATACCATATTAAACGGCAAGAAACAATATAAGCTAATAAAGAAGATAAATAAAAGTATAGAAAAGGTAACTTTCCTACCCAACTAATCCTTCACCTGCAGAGGCTCGACGTTCCAGATACTCTCAGCATACTCACCGATCACACGGTCTGTAGAGAAGAATCCCATGCGCGCCACGCTAGTGATGGATTTGGCGACCCACTCATCCTGGTTCTTGAATGCCTCGTCTACTATATCCTGTGTTGTGATATATGAATTGAAGTCGTCCGAGACGAGATAGTAGTCACCATGCTCCGTGATAGCCGTGGTAAGCGCAGAGAAGCTGCCGGCGTCACCGAACATGCCTCCCCGAATTGCATCGAAAACCTTGGACAGATGTGGATCGAGTTGGAAATCGCCGTAGAAATGTCGGTGACGGAGCTCTTCCACGTCTTCGGCCAGATTTCCGAATAGGAAGATGTTTTGCTCGCCGATCTCGCGAGTGATCTCGATCTAAAAAAAGTATCAGGGTCAGTTAACTGCATGCAAATGCAATGTTCCCCCTGCTTGTTCAGAAATAGTAACAACATACATTGGCTCCATCGCAGGTCCCAATAATTAGACCACCGTTGAGAACAAACTTCATGTTGCTGGTTCCACTGGCTTCAGTACCAGCTGTTGAGATGTGTTCGCTGATATCCGAGGCTGGGCAGATCATCTCTGCCTTGCTAACATTGTAGTCTTCAAGGAAAATCACCTTGAGGAGATCACCAACATCTGCATCATTGTTGACTACAGAAGCGACCTTGTTGATGAGATGAATGATGGTCTTGGCCATCCAGTAGCCAGGGGCTGCCTTGCCACCGAATATGGACACCCGTGGCACGAGTTTCTTTCTTTCTTCTGCAGACAAAGATTTGATGGTCAGATAGCGGTGTATAACACCAAATATGTTGAGCTGCTGGCGCTTGTATTCGTGAATTCGCTTCACCTGAATATCAAAGAGAGCTTGCGGATTCACACTGTAACCGGTGGTATCTTTGATGTGCTTGGCAAGACGGAGTTTATTCGCCGTCTTAATCTCTGTCCATTCTCTTTTGAATACCTTGTCATCGGCAAATGCCTCTAATTTATCCAAAAGTGTCAGGTCTGTTAAGAACTTATAACCACCAAGCTTGGAGGCAATCAATTCAGACAATCGTGGGTTGGCTTGATGAAGCCAGCGCCTGGGGGTGATTCCATTGGTGACATTGGTGAATTTGTCAGGTCCATAGATCTCAACGAAATCCTTGAAGATCGTGGTTTTAATAAGGTCCGAATGCAATTCGGCAACACCGTTGACCTTGTGAGATCCGATGATGGCTATATAAGCCATTCTGATCATCTTGGGATGGGACTCCTCGATGATCGAGACTCGAGACAAGATTTCCCTATCCTTGGGGAATCGCTTCTCTACAGACTGTAGGAAGAACAGGTTTATGTCATAAATAATCTGCAAGTGCCGTGGAAGAAGGTTCTGAACCAAAGGAACAGACCATTTCTCCAACGCCTCTGGAAGAACTGTATGATTAGTATATCCAAAGGTGTGAGTCACGATATTCCACGCTTCGTCCCAGCTTAAACCTTCTTGGTCAATCAAGATACGCTGTAATTCAACAATTGCCAGCGTAGGATGTGTATCATTCAGCTGGATTGCAATTTGATCCGGGAACTCGCTCCAGGGCCGCTTTGTCTTCTTGAATCTCCGAACAATGTCGAACAAGGAAGCAGCACACCAGAAGTACTGTTGTTTCAATCTGAGTTCCTTGCCTCGTTCAAGGTTATCATTTGGGTATAGCACTGCCGAAATGGTATCTGCACGTTGCTGATCTGCAACTGCGCTCTCGTAGTTACCGGCATTGAACTTTTGGAAGTCGAACTCCCCACTTGCTGCCTTACTCGACCACAAGCGGAGGTTGTTGGTTGTTCTTGTACCATAGCCGGGGATAGGGACATCATAAGCCACGGCCTGGACGGTTTCACCATCTTCCCACAAGTGAACAGTCTTGCCGTTCTTGTCCTCATATTTCTTTACCGAACCGTAGAACTGGATGTCGACGGTGATATCATGGCGAGGAAATTCCCAAGGATTGAAGTCCAGCCAATAATCAGGGATTTCAACCTGATATCCATCGACAAGTTCTTGTTTAAAAATTCCGTATCGGTAACGTAGCCCGTAGCCCCATGCTGGGAAGTTCATTGTCGCGAGACTGTCGAGAAAGCATGCTGCCAAACGTCCCAAACCTCCGTTTCCAAGAGCAGCATCGTGTTCCTGGTTGATGACATCCTCAACACGGAAACCCAGTTCGCTCAAGCCCTCTTTATTATCAAGTCAGTCTTTCTGTTCTAAGAGATTCATTTATTTGACAGTATTCACGTACCTCGGGCAACATCTTTCATCCCAACGTTAAGCATAGCATTGTCCAATGCTCTACCCATCAGGAACTCGAGAGAAAGGTCTAGAGAGTCAGTTAATTTTCCAAAGATATTGGAGCAAATACGAGCATACAGTAAACCCTCTTCTGATCAGCAAAAGACTGGCGCTGCTGAGTCTTGTTCCACTCGATGATCAGACGGTCTCTGAAGGCAAGTGCAGCTCCTGAATATGCAGCCCTAAATTATTCGCCGAACAGTCAGTCTACTTGATCAGAAGGTCGGATGATGCCGAGAACGTACAATTCATCGCAATTGTAAAGCGAACGAGCCAGGGTAGTTTCAACATGGCGCACGAGCTCTGTCTATATATACTATAGTCAGCAATGGACCTCTCAAGATGTTCAGCCCACATACCTCAAACTCCTCTTTATTCGTGAATCCCTTCGCGGACTACCATCAATAACGAAGTTAGTATATATCTAATCCGAATGCAGAACCAGGAGACCATACACGCTTCCGCCATCTACAGGAAACAGACAGTTAGCATCGAAACCACAGGTTGAGATTGTAAAGAAAGCAAATACTCACGCCTCTCTCAACGGCTCCGGAATACTAGCCTCGACACTCTTGGTCTCGGCCGGCCCAAAACCAGTAAAGGTACGCCTATGTTTTGGACGACTGAATCCAGGACCAACGGGGCCCTGAAGTTCCGAAATGGGGGCACCAACAGAAGGTCTCCTCTCACGACGCTCGGACGAGGCCATGGTTGAGGATTTTCTGTTGTGATTGAGTTGGGGGAGAAGCTACCTATGTGAGTATCAGGTGAGCTTGAGCTGAGGAAATAATTTGATTGTGGAATCCAAGTTACACTGAGAATTGGCGTATTGCAAAGGGATGAGACGAATGTTGATGGATGGGAAAGGAAAGAAAGGAAAGAAAAGAAAGAGAGATCGGGCCAGTTAAGAACGACCCTTCCCCTAGTCAATTGTAAGGTATTTGAATGTCCTTTCCAGCCAGCTTCACCTGGGGAAGAGACGAGACCAAGCAAGCAGCGATATCCGGGGAAGGAAAGCAGGATGAAGGAGTGGAGGAGGAGGGGTAGATGAGGGGGAAGAAGGGGCCATAGCTTTTTTTTTCTTGCTTCCTTGGTGGAGGTGGTTCAAGGTCAGACAAAAAGGGGGACCAGGGTGGGAAGAGAAAGGGTTCGATGAGGAAGAAAGTCTGAAGGTCACAACAAGAAAGAGAGACAGAGAGAGAGAGAGAGAGAGAGCAACATACGACTCTGGATGTTGGGGTGGGGCAGCTGGAGGAGTACCCCGGGACAGCGCAACAGCAACACCCGGATAGCATCATTTCACACAGGAACGGTGTTCAGTCTAGACCGAAATGGCCCGGTGGTCCCTGGTACATTTGTTGACATTACGTGGAGGATCGGATGAGCGTTGCGTTGATGGTGGTCGATGGTCTGGTGATCTGATAATAGCCACCTTGATGGCGTCCATGATACTTTACAATCTATAGTCATCGTATATCAATTAATCTTATAACCCGTATCAGTATATCCTATCAATCTGAGAAAACGAAAGATAAGAAGGTTACGCTGTATAAAGACTGGAACTATCGAGTCATGACGCAATGCGGAGTCTCCGCATACAGCAAGGTGGTTCATGTATGCCATCAGCATCATCACTCCAACACTGGCTGTAGCACCTGCAGCTGCTACTATAATCCAGTCGAAGCTATACCAGCAAGGTATATCAAGACACGTCTGTGCGTGCAGACCGGGTTTCTTCCTTGACCAAATACCTGTCATCATACGAAGTGATACTCTAGTTCAATGATCATTTCCCTGTGTGACCATATATATATATAGAACAGATGCAGATCCACTGCGACCAGACCTCCACACGAGATGCATCATGCATCTTAGTCTCTAACTCTCGACACGGTTGCCTGAGACCTTCGTTATATGCCTCATGTTGATCCTCCATACCCCGCCTTTCTACATCTATCCCCATGACCAAAGGTGTGCAGATCAATGTAGTTTATTAGTATATGGGTTGTAAATGCATGGTGGGCTTCCCTTCTCCAGCCCGCAAAAGAAACACTATTCACAAACCCCCCGACATTCAACGCCTCGAGGTTGCTTCTTGCTATGGTAGTTTACCGATCGCCTGATCTTAGTCCACAGCGTTCGGAAAACAAACAAAACCAAGAGACCCAAGGCATGAGGGGCGCGAGGTGACAAACGAAAAGGAAAAACATATAGTCGCAAGTGACATTGCATGCATGAAACGCTGCAAAATGGATGGCAGAAACAACGATGAGAAGCAGTTCGGATATAACAAAGGGAAGCCGCCATAAAAATGCATAATAAAAAGAGGTAAACATGACACACGAGAAAGGACGAAAGGAAAGCATGGCAGTAGTCAGTTCAAAAGGAAATAAAAAACGAAAAACGATCTCGACACACGAGAATGGATATCAGAAACCCTCGCACAGGTTACATGCAAGTTGTGTTCAGGCCAGAAAACTTTTAGTTGGCAATAATACGCTCATCGGATCCCAAGCCAAACAAAAAGAAAATAGAGGCAAGAAAGGAAATAGAGGCAAACACCATCCATGGTATTTACCCGATGCAGGTCCCCAGAAGAAAATTCCCCCCAAAATGAAAGAAATAAAACACCATACCACGGCTATCCAACGAATATATGACCCAACCGAGCGCCAGGGATATCAACCTGTCAGTCAAGACTAGCACCGCAAACGCCGATGCCGATCCACTAAACAGGGTAGGAAACAAAAGGAAAAAAAAGGGGGAAAGGTAAGGAAAAAAAGAGCATCAGATCCGTCAAGGTGAAAATGGCCAAGAGTATGAAGCCCTCCTGGGACAAACTCTGGCCATGGTGATAGACACTCGTCTGGCCGTACAGCTGCGTTGAGTGAAGAGCCACTTTATGACGTTTACAAAATACCCGAATCTTTGAGGGCGTTCTGCAGGATGGTCTCTTTCACAGCTGCAAAAACTAGACGGATATTTGTCGTGTCGGTTGCTTGTGTTAAACTGTAGGAAAGAGGTTAGATGGTCACAGCGTCCAGTCTGTCGAACTGTATGCTTACTGAGGGTATAGATTCAGATGCGCCCGATTGACTTGATTAAACCTCCAAAGGAGATACTTGGCCGCTCGGTTTACATCGTTGCCGCCAGAGTAGTCGGGAAAGTAATTGCTTAAAGGCGAGCGAGGAAGTTTTTGCCGGAAAAGATCCACCTTATTCAGGAATAGGATGATACTTGTTCGCATAAACCACCTCGAGTTGACGACCGAGTCGAAAAGGACAAGACTCTCCATCATTCGATTCTCCAGAGGAGTCAGCTACTACCGTGGTCCACTTTGGTTGAAGCATGAAACATACCTGATTGCTCTCTTCTAGCAGTACTTGATCGTATTCACTCAAAGCCACACAGAATATAATGGACGTTACGTTCTCGAAGCAATGGATCCACTTCTTTCGCTCGCTGCGCTGGCCGCCCACATCAAACATGCTGCAAGATAGTCTTAGCACAATGCGACGAATTAAGGGCGTGTTAAGTCTTACTGTATGCTCAATTGGCCCATTGTAAATCGCGTTTCATAGATACCCGTCGTCTTTGTTCGTGCGCGGAGAACATCCGACACATTAGGTATGTAATCTGGAGATGATATTCGTTTTGCTTCCTCGAAGAAACTAACAGAAAACTTAGTATGTCCTCGGGGCAGAAAGAGCGCTGGTCCTTACTATGGTGCGGAGTCCATCAAGTAGAATTCATTCTGATGTTCCAGCACGGTGGACGTACACGGGTCATTCCAGATGTACGTGATGGCGTCTCCCACCTTGGAATCGAGCGGGGTGTTTGGATCCGGGTCGATGTTGTATTCTAGAAGAAACTCGACAAAGTCTTTTACCTTGGTGCTGGAGGGTTCAAGGGAGAATTGGTGGTAAGCTCCTATGAGCGCTTTTGCGCAATCCAAAAGATTCTTGTACACCGTCAGACGATATAAAGCGAGCTCTTCCTGTGTGTAGCCATTTTGGTGGATGATTTTCATTTGTTTGACAATCGTAGACTTGCCGCTTTCTCCTGACCCTATTACAACACATCGATTAGCCTGAGACAACAATGCGATTTCCCGCGCTTCTCGACATAAGACTGAGACAAACCAAGTAGTAATATTTTGCATTCCTTCCGTAATCGCTTGGAGTCCTCTTCCAATCTCCGATCGATCATTTGGCTCTTCTTCTTCTGCTCCGCGTCCCCTGTGGACTCTGTGCTAGCACACAAACCCATCGTGACCAGATAATGTGTGGATTCCAGAACAAAAAGAGCTAGACCATGAGCTATACGCAGAAGCTATTGAGGGTCACCCTGAATGAGAACACCGGCACCCAAGGCCCTGAGGTTCATACAAATAACCTGCCCCTATGACGAGAAGGAATCGGGATCCCCAGAAAAATAGAAATATTGTCGCGACGAAGAGAGCAAATAGAAGAAATATTCGGAGATCAACGGGAGCTTGGCTGGAGAGTCGAGGTTTTGCGCACCGTGGTCAAAGGTAGGGTCGCGGCGGACAGTTCCGGGCGTCGAAGCTACGGCGGAGGAGAGATGATGGCTCGTGACGCTGTTGGCGCTGGGGAGAGCAGAGGACTCGGATCGGGTGGGAAATCCAGAACAGCGGTCGAGGAGGTGGGAGGGGAATAATAATCTGGGGTTCTTGAATATAATTTTTCTTCTCTTCCCCAACGGGGCGACTGAGGGAGGAGGGGCGAGGAATCAGTTGCGGAGCACAAGTGTGTGAGAATGACGAGCCGACGCTAAAAAGGGTAGCAAAGGTCGATCGGGAGGTGAAAAAGCGCGGATCTTGAGGGAGAGAATATATAAGCGGAAGCGAATCTCAGACTGAAAGCGAGAGAGGAAGAGAGTCGGTCAGATTAGTATCCAGTGAGGAGAGAGAACGAAGGTGTAGTGTGTATGTAGGTTAGGTAGAGTCGAAGTAGTGGTGGTGGTAGTAGCGAAAGAGAGAGAAAGTCCCCAGTCGTCATGTAGACAAGAGGAAGTGGAGATGCCAGACTTGAGGAGGATTACTTTGTTCGCTAGATCGAAGGGTGGGTAAAACGTGGACGGGCGATGGGTAGTAGCTTACCGCGAAAAGAGCCAGGCTGGGGAGGAGTAGCGATGATGATGATGCTGGAGATCAGCTAGGGCCTACTATATAGAGGTAAAGGTGGAAACATTTGGTTGCTCTTGGGTTAACGAGCACACACAAAGTTAATGGGGATAATAGGAGGATGATATTAAACGATGATAATAGTAATGTCCAGATGATGATGGTGATTATGTTAGTGAGATCGTATCGCAGGGGATTTTACGGAGGTTCGAACTTCCCAGGGATGGGCGGGCGCCACTGCAGAGAGTAATTAAATTACATTCCATCATCGTTATGGTTTCTTTTTTCTTGAAGATGATCATGAATCCTGTATGCCTTAAATTTACAGAATAAAATAATGAAGAAATAGATGAAAAAAAAAAAAAAAAAAAAACTAATTATGAGTTTTTTCTTGAAACATGTATGTACAAGAACGGAGCACATGCATACAACACCTCAGCCGTGCACCCATAACCTCATATATATTTAACTACACCCTGGTTCTTCTCAAGGCGCTTCGAGCCTGACACCCAGGCGTACTTGAAATATCAAGCCGGTTTGACTTCTGTACTCCGGAGTGAATCTATCTATCATATGCACCATTTGACTATGGAGAAGGCGTACCGTCTCCAGTGGAGATTGTGACGTTGTCATCTGGGGAGTTTCGTGGCATGTGCCATCACGAATGTGCCCATCAACTCAGCACACCCAGGTGATGCTTTCACTCTGGTAGACCCTGTAAACGCCAAAGTTTGGAGAAAATAAAGAAGAAAAAAAAAAAAAAAAAGGAAAAAAACATGATGAAAAGGAGGAGAAAGTGTGAAAACAGACTCGAGACGTGGTCAAAGGGGACTAGGGAGGGTTCACGTGCAGGTTTAGTTAGGCGGAGTCGTTGGCTTTCACCCCCACTGCGAGATGAAACACAAACCATGAGGATGGGCTATGAGGACGATCTGAACTTGGAGGAGCAGTCTGGACTGAATGATCATTGAGAAAAAAAGGGGTGACCGTTGAATGATCACTTTCTTTGTTGCTTGCTCAGTTAGGCGGGAATCGACGGAAGAAGCCGTTCTGCTGGCTTTTTTCTTGTTGGCGCTATGACCCAGGGGAATAAGGGCCGTTTTAACTTGATCTGGAGGAGGGGTTTGACTCTGGACCATCTAAAACCATCTCGATCAAGATAACAGATACGTATCTGGACGGATTATTCCTGTTTCTTACATTGGATGAGACGCGGTGGCAGAGAGACACGAAGTCGATGGAATTGCTTGGAATAGAAGCCCCACGTCGATTGTCGACATTGGAGAATGATGCCGTCCTGGGCATCAGAGCAGCTTGCCAGGCTGACTACTAGGTACTGGCTCGGGGATTGCTCAGCAGGCGGTCCTCATGGGCTAGATGATAGTCATATTGCAATTGATCGAGTCAAATTCCGATGAAAAATGACTGGCAGGATGCAGAAAATGACGATAAAGATCAAGAACGGTAACGTGTATAAGCACCAAGAATGATCAAGGCCAGGAATGAGGGGATACAGGTGTGCTTGCGCCAAGGAGGAGGGGTAAGTAGGCAGAGAATGGAAGAATCATCAGTCCTACAGTACAAGGCATTCCTCGGGGAGTTTCTAGAGTTTCTGTTCCTCCTTTTTGATCGTTGAACCGTCAGTTCTTGATGAATGACGAAATCATTCTAATGGACGATCATAAGAATCGCGAGCCCCTCCATCGCCATATGTATCATGTACGTGCCTGGATACAAGCAGACGAGCAACAGTTACGTTTGTAGCCCGTTATGTAAGCCCGCCTCATATCATGAAATAAATGAATTTCCCTGAATCCTTGAATTTGGAACCCTCTTCCAGCCAATGGATCGTCCATCTCCGGTCTAGACATATGATGATGACCGCGTGGGCGAATTTTGACTGCTGCGACTGCTGCGACTGCTGCTGATGAAGAAAGCTGGCTGTTCGTGTGTGCACATCCTTCAGCCCTTTGGCGATACTATCCTGCAATTTTTTTTTTCTTGTTGTTTGATTATTTCTGGTCGCGGACGTCATCGTCCTTGTTTTTTGCTGCTCCGGTAATCGAAGCAGACTAGGAGAAGTCACTTCCCCACACACCCTGTTGGACGCCACTTGCTACGACTCTTGCTTCTCTCTCTTCTCTCTCTCTTTCTCTTCCTCCAAAAACATCCTCGCCTTTCGATCCGTTAAAGAAATCCGGAAAAAAAAACTCAAAAAAGAAGAATTCCATCTTCAAACCCTACTGTTTCTTCCTGTCTCATCGCAAGCAGGAAGAAATAAAATCCCCCAATTTAAAAATAAAAAGAAAAGCTCCTTTCCCCCCTCCGAGCGTGGTGTCCCGCCCGTCTCCCTGGCCCAAGATGGCGGAATTCGTGCGTGCCCAGATCTTTGGCACCACCTTTGAGATCACCAGCAGGTACCGCAGACGCCCATCGTGAAATGCGAAAATGAGGAAAATCGTTTTTTCTGACCGTTTCCCAGATATACGGAGCTTCAGCCCGTGGGAATGGGTGCCTTTGGTCTCGTCTGGTATGCCCCGGCTCGGACCCCTCCTTTCTTGGAAATCACCGACTGTTTCGCGCGGGGGATAAATTTGGTGATACGCATCGTGGGCTGACGTGATTGAGGGATAAACAGTTCTGCGAGGGATCAATTGACCGGGCAACCTGTCGCCGTCAAGAAGATTATGAAGCCGTTCAGCACACCCGTTTTGTCCAAGAGAACATACCGAGAGCTAAAGCTGCTGAAGCATCTGCGACATGAAAACGTTGGTCCAACTTGTGGAAAAAAAAAAAAAAAAAAAACTCTCGACCCAGTGCTTATAACTAACAACTCGCAGATTATTAGTTTGAGCGACATTTTTATTTCCCCCCTCGAAGACATGTAGGTGGCATCCTAGGTCGGACTGTTGGTGACGCCTCACTAATCACCCGCAGCTACTTTGTGACGGAACTTTTGGGAACCGACCTTCATAGACTATTAACCTCGAGGCCACTGGAGAAGCAGTTCATCCAGTATTTCCTATACCAGATCCTGGTACGCTTCCTGGAGCTTGCTATGATGGAACCAGAACTAATAGTCGATAGCGCGGTCTCAAATATGTCCACTCCGCAGGTGTCGTTCACCGTGACCTCAAACCCAGCAATATCCTGATCAACGAGAATTGCGACCTAAAGATTTGCGATTTTGGACTGGCCCGTATTCAAGACCCCCAGATGACCGGCTACGTCTCAACGCGATACTACCGTGCGCCCGAAATCATGCTTACATGGCAGAAATACGATGTGGAGGTGGATATTTGGAGTGCAGGATGTATTTTTGCGGAGATGGTCGATGGAAAGCCGCTCTTCCCTGGAAAGGACCATGTCAACCAGTTTTCCATCATTACGGAGCTTCTTGGAACTCCCCCAGATGATGTGATTCAGACAATCTGCAGTGAAAACGTGAGCGACTTGTCTTGTACTGTTTGACCTCCAAATTACTCGCTAACCAGTACTCTTTTGCTATAGACTCTGCGATTCGTCAAGTCTTTACCCAAGCGCGAACGCCAGCCCTTGGCTAATAAATTCAAAAATGCCGACCCCGAGGGTACGTACACCATCCGACCGGTAGATAAGAGTTGGGCACTGACAATCATATAGCGGTCGACCTTCTTGAGCACATGCTTGTTTTCGATCCCAAAAAACGAATCAGTGCCGGTGATGCACTTGCACATGAATACCTTGCTCCCTACCACGATCCCACCGACGAGCCTATCGCGGAAGAGAAGTTCGACTGGTCGTTCAATGATGCGGATCTGCCCGTGGACACCTGGAAGATCATGATGTGCGCACCCTTTACTTCTATACACCTTTTTGAATCGCTGTCTAACTGGAAAATTTACAGGTACTCGGAAATCCTGGACTTCCATAACATTGACCAGGGCCCCGATCCTGGCCAGGTTCTCGTGGAAGGAGTCACGGGAGTCGGGGATGGCCAGCAGACCTTCGCATAAGCCAATCTTGCGCATTGCGTCTTGCGTGAATGAATCGCAAGCATCACGGTGATTTTCGGGCCATTTAGGATGGGGCCGTTTCCCCCATTGTCTTCTCTCCCTCTCTCCTGTGGATCAGACATGGCGATACGTTTGATTCCCATTCGAAGCCCTCCCCCCACCTCCCTATTCCCCCCTTTCGGAACAGGCGTAAATATGCGACTTGTCCCTGGAGTCTCTACCTACCCACCTCTTATCATGGCGTCGTCAGAATTGGATGGTGATGAGGATTGAAATGATAAAGTTTGAGCGAATTCTGTATACGACAAATCAACTTTGTTTTACTTGTTTTCATTTTTTCCATCGTTGGTGGTTCGAATTGGTGAACGAGTCGAGGTGGTTGAGCTCCCAATTGATGTGTTTGACGAAATAATAAATTTCCTGTACTCGCCTTTTAGAGAATGAATGGATGAAGCAACATTGCAATAAATCGATTCTAGATATCCATCTTTGATTTTTACTGCAACTGAATAATGAGACGAAGAATACTTGGCGCACCCTTAATTGTATACTAGCCTCCGACTTTGTCACCGCCCGGAGACCAGCCCAATAGTTATGATCAGGGCATACGACTGGATCCCTCCCCCGGCTTCGATCTTAAGCTCCGGTCTGCATTCTTTCTTACACGTGGAGACGCATTCTATTTCTTTTCATGGGAGGCCTTATTGCAGCGAGCATCTGAACCCAGGCGCATCCTTTCAGCCCCGATCCATTCACGATTTGAATGCCGGTTCAGCGCAATGTCTCGCGTTCAAAGTTGCCAGGCCCCTGTTGTGATGGTCATAGATTTCCACCACGCAAGGTGAGTTTCCCTCGAGTATCCCGGGAATGAAAACGAAGACAAGAAGAGCAGCGTGGCCGAGTCATTCGAGAGCATCGCACCCATCTGTTCATTCATTATTTGGCTGTCTTGATTTCCTCGGAACCCCTCCCTAAACCCTGTTTATTATCGTCGTCCACAATCTCAACACCACCAAAACACGCGGAGAAAAAAAGAAAATCCTCCCTTCAAACTAACATATATTGCTTCCATAAATAGGGGCCCGGAGATCGAAATATGCATCGGAGATGAAGGAACCGATCCTGCAACAGAAAATGACTGGTCATTGTTGCCATTCATGGCTCTGTCCGACGGGGCGCATTTGTATGATTTCCCCATTCCTCCCCGCGAATTCCACAACCTCAGATTGCTTTCTTCAACAACCTACGGAGTATATATCTATATTGAACCTAGGGGCTCGGTGCGACAGTCAGATAATTAACAGAGAATGTATTATCTAGATCCACCGAGGACTTCTCGTATTTTACCCTCCATCGCAAGGCGACAGCTACGGAACCGGAGACCTCGCTTTTCGGTATATCTTGTTCTCGACAGATCGACTCGAAAGCTCTTATATATCGCCCGCCAGACGTGACGAGATCTACTGTACAAAAGGCCGTGGTCGTCGTGACGGATAGTCCACAAAGTGTTGGGCAATTAAGAGAGAAGCTGTCTGTAGTGACGTCAGCATGGTTTGCGCAACGGTACGTTGACCACGATTACAACTTCTGGGATGGTTTGTTTTGGTTTTGGATATTTGAAGACGCTTGGATGTGACTTGGGAGGCTATGTGGTGATGGAATTGGTTGGGTTGAACTGAAGACTGACGCGGTTATTGCTGGTTGCAGGGATTTTTCGGATACCGACATCCTGAAGGTATATTACAATATTGCTGGGATTTACTTGGATGAGTTATACTAACTATACGCTTGTAGAAATTCCGCGAAGGCTTGGTACTCAGTCTGAAGACTGACGAAGCCAAGAAAGATCAAAATCTCGGTGGGTTTGGACAATTCTTGAGACCTGCGATCGAGCGCTGATTTGCTTCCAGGACTCTCTCTGAGAGAGATGATTCATGAATTTAAATACCAGACTTTGGTTCTATTTAAAGCTTTACTCTTGCAACCAAAGGTGAGTGGTGCTTTACGTTTCTCGTCGGTGCAGATGCTAACTCCATGCAGATGCTCTTCTTTGGCTCACGGTGCGAGCGTCTATGCATGATACAATTTTCCTTGGTATCCTTGATACCCGGTCTCATGAATAGCCTTGAAGATTGCGCGGACCCGTCATTCAACAGCTATGCGCAGACTGTTGAGAAGCCGACATCACTTAAGACAAGCGAAAGAAGCTCATGTATGGACCATAAATCATTCATTTGCCATCTTATCTCTAATTACAACTAGTGCTAGCGTATATGGGGTTGCCGCTGCAGATATTTGGCAAGGTTTGTACATCTGGACGAATGTCTCGAACACTTCTAATGTCAAACAGGGAAGTATGTTTGGTCCTTATACACCGTTACAGCAGCTGGATCTGTTGGCGGACGATGGCACCAAGTCCTATGTTGTTGGGTCCACCAATTCGCTCCTTCTGCAGCAAAAGGATCGCTACAGTGATATATTAATCAACGTAAGCGGGCTTCTATAATTGTTGGTTGTTTGTGCTTCTGACATGATCCTTTCAGCTTGACGAAGATACCATTAATATAATATCACCCTCCCTGCGGAATGCGTTATATCTGTCCGCCGCAGATAGACGCTGGGTGGATTCTCTGACCCAAATTATTAATGAAACATGGGACGATGCACACCCGGAGCGCCCTAAGGACCATGGTTACCGAGGGTCTGAAGAGTTCATTAGACTCCAGTTCGAAGAATATTTAGTAGCGCTACTCTCGAGCATGCAGTATCATGAGGAACTCGACTCTCTAAATGCGGGCGAAACAGGCAGTCGGTCTAGGGAGCAATTGGAAGCGTTCAGCATAGAGGGTGATCCGGCATTGGACTTTGGCCTGGAGTTCCTCACACAGTGGAAATCCACCTCCAACTATGCCTTATTCAAACGCCTTACCTCTGATGCGCTCTTATTTTCAATTACAGAGCCTCATCACCCCTGTGCTGGGGGCCTCACCATCGACGATGTCCAACGACGGTTATCGCAACAGGTTGCAGATCTTCACTTGGATGAGCGGGTACGCGAAGGCCGCGAGGCACTGAATAGAGGCCTTGCGACAGGACAAAAGAAAGTGAGCGCGGCGTTCAACAGCTTCTGGTCGGATATCGAATCAATGCGGGAAGCTCAACGAAAGAGAAACGAAGAAAAAGCAGCAACCCAATCGGAACGGTCATCCATTGATAAGGGATCTCTAGCCGCACCATTCTCACCAACGGAATCGACATCTTCAAGCACGAACTCATCTTGGCTTGGTGCCCGTAAAGCTCCTCCGCTTGATGTCTCAGGGGCACAGGCGTCTGTCAGTGCGGCAGGCCAGCGAGCAGGAGCCTACATTAGCTCGTGGGGTTCATGGGCCAGTGAAAAGCGGAAAGAGTGGCAAGAAAAGAAGAGCACTCCAACTTCTCCATCCTCTATCACCTCTCCGTCCACCCCAACATTGGCCAGCATCACAGAAGTCACAGCAGAGGCCGACCGAGGCCGACGGCGGTCGATGCAGCAGCGCCGCAGCGAAGACTCCATTGGTCTTTCGCGCAGTGGGAGCAGGAGGAAGAGATGGAGCAATATACTTCTCAGGAGAGAAAGTGGTGAATATTCTTCAGCTTATAAGAGAGACGATGGGAGCAATGACAGCAGCGAGCAAGAAACGCCTTTCCCCAAGTCTCCTTTGTCAAAAGAAGCACCGGGCTTTGAATCTGACCGAGAACCTTCTCAATCCTCGTCCTATGAGCCCGTGGCGCTTGATGAAGTCGGCAAGACCAATAAAACCGCAGACAATAAAACCGATGCAGATACGAAGTCATCTACAGTGAGCGACGTCATTCACGAGGCCGACGAGTTGCACTCGCGTCCATCCGCTGAGACCAAAGAACATCCAGTCCCGACCGAGACAGCAAATCTGTCCACAGAGAAATGATCGAAGAAAAAAGCCATTCAAGTCGAGAATCTGCCACAGATAATGCGGACTCAATTATGACTTGGCAGCCACAACGAATGAACATGACACGACGGGGGCCGACTTCATTATCGGCCCTGGGGCATACATACTGCATCCGCCCAATATGGGCGAACGTTTTTAACTCCCTTTCTTTTTGCTTAGAAGTACTATAATATAGGCATGTAACAAGCTTTGTTTGGTAGTCTTGTACAGCCTTTTTAATATATTCATTTCTTTCTTTCTTTCTTTCTTTCTTTCTTTTTTTTTTTTTTCCCTTTCAAATTTGATACCCAATACCCAGGAAAGACAATTTACATGGATTGGAAGATGCTCCTCTGTTCTCTGTTTAATACTTAGATTGACATATATTGTGCTCGTGCAATCTATCTTGACATTATTCAAGTTGTGGCGATGACAATACCAATAATTTCTCACATTGTAACAATATATGAATGTATACCTATTGAAGATAGTATTACTCGATGGTGGGAATTTTTGATGATATGAGCCTTTTACTTTTTCTTCGTAGATTGAAGTAGGTAGGATGGCTGCTATTTCATTGACCGAATAATAGCACTATATACAGTGGTACCTTCCATGGTCAAACAAATGAACAAACGCTTTTCTCAAATCGTTATCGTCGCATTCAACCTCAAATCCCTACTACTCGCCCCAACAGACACGGTATAATTCGCACCCTGCAGTCTCCACTGCTGCGCTACAACATCCCATATACTGAGATCCCTTCTTGTCAACGGGAACGTAACAGTCTTCGTCTCTCCGGGTTTCACGAGGACCTTGTCAAAGCCTCTCAGCTGCCGAATAGGGGCGTTGGGGATATCGAGGTAAAGCTGTGCCACTTCTGAAGCTGCGACTTCCCCGGTATTGGTTATAGAGGCAATGGCGAAGAAGAGCGTATCCCAGAGTTCTGGATGACCGCCTTGAATGATGGGGACACTCGGGTCTGGAAGAGGCGAGGTACTATTTTTAGTCTGGGTGATTTTGAGACCCGAGTAGTCAAAGGTGGTATAGGAGAGACCAAAGCCAAATTCGAATCGAGGGTCGATACCGTCGTGATCAAAGGCACGGTAGTCAATGTAGAGGCCCTCGGTGAAGTTTTGCTGCGGGAATGCGTCGAATGAGACACTCGCGTTTAGTAGATGTCCGTAGTCGGTTTCTTGTTTGGCGACAGTGTAGGGGAGTTTTCCAGATGGACTGACTTCTCCGTAGAGGACGTCTACAAGGGAGTGTCCGCTTTCCTGGCCTGGTATACCGGCGAATAGAACGGCGGTGACGTTGGGATGGTCGATCCAGGCGTCGACGAGACGGATACCTAGTTTGAATTAGAATTTGACGTTTTTTGACCTGTTGGTTGATTGAGGTATTTCCAGAACATGGAATCACTTACCAGCTGAATGGATGACAACGACGGTGTTTGAGCAATTTGTGGCAACGTTCTTGACCAGGTTATCGCTGAACTCGTCGACAAGGGTCGTGCGGTCGAACGCCTCTGAAGCATACGAATTGATGAAAACAAGACAAGCTTCGGTGTTAAAGTATGCGGCAGCTGGGTTCTCCGAGTAGAAATCCCAACGCAGTACACCATGATCGCGCGAAACGCGTTCCTGAAGTGCTTGGAACGGACTCACTACGTAGGGAGGAGCATTACTTCCAGAACCCCCACCGGTGATCAGAGTGCCGTTAAAAGTCTCCCATCCGAAATTTACTTCGTAGCCACCGCCGAAACGCGATGGGTTGTCCCAAGGGACAGCTTTGTCGGTAGCATCGTAGCCGTAGATGCTGAGATATCTGGGCTTTTTGAATGGCAGTGTATTGTTGACGTTTTTCACGAGCACAATACCCGCGGAACCAACCTCGCGGATCAAGGTTGCATGATCTCCTTGGACATCGATGAGCGGGTGAATTTCCGTGTTGGAATAGACTCCAAGAGATGGAAAATCTTTGTCCTGACCGGCATGGTACCAACTTGCCAGGGTGCGAGTGACCATGTCATCGATCCGATCAACACTGACACTTCCATTATTGACAGCGTCCGTCAGATTCTGACCCCAGAAGCCACCGTCCGGCATGACAATATCCAAGCCAGCATTGGCGGAAGCAATTCCCGTGTGCTGTGCTTGCCAATCGCTAACCACAAACCCCTCAAAGCCCAGTTCTGTCTTTAGGATGCCATTCATGAGCTTCGAGTTTTGGCACCCGTAGGAGTTATTGGCACGTTGATACGAGCACATCACACTGCCAACTCCTTCCTTGAGAGAATCCATGAACGGGAAAGCATATAACTCATGAAGGGTTCGATCATCGACATTCGAGCTCAATGACTCTCCAAGGTCACCTGGCATCCGTCTCCACTCCTGCTCGTTCAAGAGCCAGTGTTTTGCAGTGGCAATCACTCCTACATCTTGCATTCCCTTGGTCATAGCCCCCATCCCTGCTCCAGCCAAGTACGGATCAGGTCCAAACGTTTCCCAGTTCCTACCCCCTCTGGCTAGTCTTCCCAGAGGTCCTGCAGCGGGCCCCAAGGCCACATTAATACCTTTGCCATAGTATTCCTCCCCTAGGGCATGTCCCTGGCGGTACATGAGTGTGCGGTCCCATGTAGCCGCCACGTGGATACCAGAAGCAAAGGAGGAGACAAATTCCTGCCCTCGGATACCGTTGGGAGCATCTTGGAAACACAGAGGTGGGATAGAAAGACGGGGGACTGCACCGCTGTTTCCGACGCACTGTCCAGAATAGCCACGGGTGATATTCGCCTTCTCCTCGAGGGTCATTTGAGAGACTAGGTCTTTGGCACGCTGGTAGGCAGATTTCCAAGCTGAATCTGTAGTACCATTTCCGACAGCTAGGATGGTGTTTCAGCTTGACAATAGACATGGGAAATGATGTGATCGAAGGAAGTGCTGGCTGATAGACAACTTACGAGTAGGGTAGACTGGAGGACTGAGGCCATAGTAAGGAACCTCTGACTCATTGGTATAACCCCGAGCCGCGCAAAGAGTGCTTTGCAGATAAAAGGCAGAGACCAAATATTTCAGGCTCCTCATGCTGATGCTTTTGTCTGGCTTATCCACACCATCCACACCCGGGGGTCTTTTAGACCGTATTTAAAGAAAACCGCAAGTATCATCCCCATTTTGCCCAGCCGGCAGTCTATCCGGGGTTTGATGAAGAATAATAGTAAAAAAGCACGCTTTCGGGAGATATCCGATGGACTGACGGAAATGAGGCTTTTTCCTCTCTTGCTCCCTCAGGAAGGATGACGGGACGGCTCTTTTTCTGCGTAGTGACGTGATTCGTTACGGGGCTGGGCTCCACTAGAATGAGGTATATATGGAGTGAGGAGTCGGCGTTTGTCGGGCAGATAGCTTGTTTATGGGAGAAAGAATGCCGTGTCAAGGAGGAGTTGCGGGGAAAGAGAGCCAAGTCCGTATTGACGAGATGAAAGCGTGAAGCTGTTGGCTTGGCGTGGAGGGGAAATCGGAGAAAAATCCATCTTCGCTTTCACTGCCACCGGCAAGTCCCCGTGTTAAAAGAGAGAGATGTTACATGCCATCCATCGGGACGGCGTTTGTGTTCCTATGAAAGTATATTCTTGGCTTCGTTCGCCTTCAATAAGACATGGAAAGAAGACTATTTGTAATTTGGGTTATCATTGTGTCATATCAGTGTGCGCTATGAAAAGCAATACAAAAGATTTCTGTGTCATCCAGCCGCCTGAGCCCATTGACTGATTCTTGTTTGATGGTGAAATAATAGGTGAAGAGGTAAAAAATGAACCTGAGAGGGGGGAACACCGCCGCTAACGCAAGGAGAGGGAGAAAAGAGGGGGTGGTTATGAATTGAAATCAGGCCATATACGAGATTTCATCGCCATCCGCACGTTCTATGTAGTCCTTCTCCATGAGAGCCTCGATGTTCTTCTTGATATCAGGGACCTTGGGAGGGAATCGAGACTTGACTTGTTGGATAACTTCCTGGACGAGCTGCACATGCTTCATCTTCTTCCGTGACTTCATGATACGCACAATGGCGGACTAATCAAACAGGGTTAGCGTTCCCGAATATTTGAAATGGGGGAAAGTTCATGCCGAGAATAAACATACCTGAAGCAGAAGTTTTCGGTCCTCCTCGACCGTCTTGTGCGTAACATCAGCATCGGCCTTTTGCTCCGACTTGATTTGAATGTTAAGGTTAACTTTGATTTTCTTGTTTTTAAAGCCGTAGTTCAAATTGAAGGTCGTCCCAGGCTCCGGCTTGGCTCCCTCTGGACTGATGGTAAGGACCTTGGCCTTCAAGAAGATACTAAGGTTAGGCTCGAGAATTTCGGGGGCCAGTGAAGTGGCCTTTTGGATGTCTTCGTAGGTCTGGGAGTCATTCTCATTGAAGAGCAGGAGGATACCCATCTGGAAGGTCGAAACCTGGAAAGTATATGGCACCTTGGTGTTTTTGATGTAGTTGGCCTTAACTTCACCCTTGCAGAGCTGCCAGAGCCAAGTGAGCTTCCGACCACTATGCTTGTCAAAGTAGAAACTTTGGAAACGCTCCGAAGTCTTGACGATCTCCGGCGGCGCAAGGAAGTCAGTAGAGGGCGGGTTAAGAGGCCAGAATCCAGTTCCCAGAACTTGGAAATGTGAGTCAACCAGCTTCCTCCGATCATCATCATCAAGAACCTTCTCTTGCCAGTCTTTATAGCTGGTGTTGAGATCCTTAGAGATCTGGATGTCCTGGAACATGCGCTGAAGTTTGTTGGTATACTCGAAACCACATGCCTCTTTAAGCTTGCTGATCATGCTAGTTTCTGCGTCATCGGACACCGAGCTGACGTGCACCAACCGCTTGGCAAGCATCTTAGAATAGAACTTTTGGAAGACATCCTTGTCTTCGATATACTTGAATACAGTCATAATCTGCACCAACAGCTCTTCCAATTCGGATTCCTCCGTAGCCTTCGATCCCTTCTTGAGCAGAGAATCGGTGTACCGAGCCAGCAGCTCGGGAGACTTAGTCGAACTAGCCTTGCAAACCTTGTTTCGGTTCACAAACTCTCGGCAAGCGTTGTCCAGTGACCTGACAAACTCGGATTCTCCGTTGAATGCCTCATTGACCAGGCTCTGGTACCTAGTGTGTACTTGCAACAGTGCGTCGACGTACATTTTAGGTTCGAAGGATTCCCCACCCGCAGCGACCTTCTCGACTGCAGCCAGACCGGCCTTCCGGACATGGGTCTCGAACTTGGTTCGCAAAGGATCCAAGCCATCCTTGATCCGTGACAAGAGTCGGTACATCCGTGCAAGATCTTCTTGGCGTTCATTGTCCAGCAGTACCTGGAATTCATCCCGGAGCAGTTCTGAGTGAGCGGTAACGAGCACATCCAAGCAAGTATCGGTAAGACGTTTGGTAATGTCTGGGTGCAAGTACAGGCCCACGCGGGCCTTCTCTTCATCGAGACGGGCCTCTGCCTTCTTCATGTATTCGACCACACTGTTCTCCGCAACAAACTGCCGCGATTCATTTTCATAATAGATTCTGGTGGCGGCAATGAATGGCTTTTCGAAGTAGAACCGGTAGACCTCGAGTGTCGATTTGGTACTATCGTTTTCGTCCAAACCAAGGGAGACGAATGAATCGACAATACTCTTGATCTGTGATTGCTCAATTGTTTCACCATTTCTCTGCTTCTCGATCAAGTTCAAAACCGCATCCATAACCTTCTCATGAACCTTCATGAAAAAGTCGTCCTTCCATTTGACCAGGTGCAGAGTGTATACATCGTATACATTCTTTTTGCCTTCATCAATCTCCCGCTTGACCCAATGGCGGTTAAGATATCTGAAGAGATGGTTGACGTACTTGGCAGCGGTTGTGTAGCGGGCCCACTCGCGGATGTAGAAACCCAACAAGGCTTCCTCGGCATGACTCTCCGACTCTTTGTACACGGAATCGAGATGACGTGTAAGGTATTCTCCAAGCAGCTTGTATAGTTCCTCTCCCAACAAGTGTGCTACCAATAGATGTTAGTGACTCCCCCGGCAGCTGAAGAGAAAAAGAAAGACAAACCACCGCGGTGCGCTTGTAAACCCTGGCCATTACTGACTGCTTTTTGAGATGTGCAGAAGTTGTGAACCGCCCTTTTGTTGAATATGTCAGCTGTTGAGGGTCAACGATGATGGGAACGGGGCCTCAAGAGAGGGCATGATGACGCACGTGTACAAGGCCATGTACTGTTGAGGAGAACTGAGAGTTAGCCCTGCGCTGCGATGTCGGATTTGTTTCCCACCAAATATCAGTAGAGACTTACAGTCTTCATATCCACACCTTCCTCCAACTTCAGCATCACACTGTCGATGCCCTTCTCTAAGAATGTCCATCTGCATGGATGAGCCTGGTCAATATCCGTGACACCCCAGGGCACCAAATAATCCGTTGCTCTAGCCGGGAAACAAACTCACGTTTCACCAAGGTCATCCTTATGAGGCGTCTGAGGCATCAAGGGAGCCATATTGCTTGTAGATAAAGCGGGAGAAGCGAACGATCGAGTCTGGAATGACGCAGTGCCGGTTAGTGGTTGATGAGAAATAAGACCTTAGTGAGGCGATGCTGTATCGCCCCCAGACAGAACACATAAGAGTGAACCGAGACAGGAAAACCACAAGACAAACCTCGCTTGACACGCCACCGATATGGCGTGTTTTTTGGTTCCAAATGCTCGAGATCTCACTCCTAGCAATAGCTTTTGGGCACTGGCGGCAATGATTCCCCAGATACCCTCAGGATAGCAGAAATGCGGGAAAGACGCGCAGATAAACACGAAAAGAGACGGTGACTGAAGAAACCAAGCCTCAGACACGAAGACAATAACCCGAGCGCAAAGATCCCGAGGCAAGAATGAACGAGATGAGCCTGGGGAAAAGAGGAGGGAAAAGGTGAAGGCGGCGTTGGGCGGTGGTGAGAACAGCTGTGGGGGGGAGTACTGGTTGTTTCCGGCAGGCGGTAAGGGAGCTGAACAGCTTCTCTAGACCTACTCTGGGGATCTAGATCATCAATGATGCTCTAAACGATGGGGAGATCCTTCGAAGAATCGAGGAGATTCTCAGGCTCTATTTCTTCTTTATTTAAAATGATGATGGTAAAAAATATGACTCTGGCGCTATGAGGCTCTTTTTGCCAGTGGGGTGTTTGGTTTCTATGACTATTTATCAGCACAGCCCCCCCATGGGATTCCTTCAGCGCTAGATTCCCAGGCAAGCAGGCAACAGTTCTCCCATGATTACACCTTGTCAATACCGAACCTCTGGTATCTTGCGGTGGTGTTGGCTTTCCAGAAACCAAAAGCATTAGGAATCGAAAACAGAAGATCTTTTGGCATCACGGAATCGTAACCCGGGAGGAAATATGACGTCATGGAGGCTTTATCGCATCAACATCAAAGTTGGATTTAAATACCTATTTCCATCTAACTAATACAACTTCTCGTTCCCTTGCATTTATTATACATGCCATCGGTAGAGTTGCAACCAGAAGCCCAGAGTGATCATCATCAATCCTTTCTTCGTCGACGGGAAATCAAGAAACAAACGCAGACATGTTCAAATCTCCATCAGATATCCAAATTACTTCGCGTCTAATTCCGAAATGGAAACGAATTCCTAACACATCCATTCAGTCCAAGCCTCTCATGGTTTATCACGGAGCGTTTGACGCGACCCCCGACGAACTGACAGCGCATCTTGAGGAGGTCGGTGAAGTCGTGCCACAATGGGTCTATAGCATGTACAGCCAAACACACTTCCATTCCACCACTCATGAAGTCCTGGGGGTTGTGTCAGGACGCGCGCGCCTCTGCTTTGGTGGAGATGAGAATCCCAAACGCTTTGAGCCCACGGTTCAGAGAGGTGATTTTATTATCGTCCCCGCTGGAGTAGGCCACCGGTTGCTGGAAGAGCTGGACGCAGGCGAAGAGCGGTTCAAAATGGTCGGATCATACCCATATCAGAAGGAGTGGGACATGTGTTATGGACAACCGGGCGAGGAAGCAAAGGTCAAAGGCATTCAATGGTTGCGTTGGTTCCGCCAGGATCCTTTCTTTGGGGCCGATGGCCCTGCGCTGCATGTCTAACGCGTAGGTTCGAAATTCTCAAGTTGCATTACCTTTGGATCGTTGTATATCATCGATTCTCTATACATTATGTATGTATGCCGCAATGCATCCAAGATTCCGGTCTGTCTCAAACCACAAACTCCGTAGACTGAGAAATGGAGATGAAGCATAAAGCACTCGAGCGAGAAAATCAAAACAAGAAAAATTATGCCATGAAACAAAACGGTCTTCAGTGACGAGCAGAAATAATTCAAAGATGTAAGCAAAACATAGCGCAAGGTATGTATAGTGAAACCGAGACTTCACTTAGTAACCCGTTCGACAAGTCTATTCAGAAGAGATTGGTTAGCAAATAATCTATAACATAATCACAAAAAGTGCGCTCTTACCTGAGAACACTGACGGAAAACGTCATAAGCCAAGCCAGCAAAGCAACTAGTAAGACAGAGGCGAGGGCCTTTTGCCGATCACAGATCTTGTCGTTCTTCGGGGTAATTTCCTGGTTGACTTCAGCCAGCGTACAAGATCCCTGCACGGTGGATAACGATTCAAATGCCAAGCTTAGATTGGCAGAATCGAAAACAATGAAGATGATATCCAAGAGGATAAGCCGAGCCTTGGCCGATGCAGAGCGGAGGCCTAGCGGCTTAGATGTGTATTCGTCGAATGTGATATAAACCAGGTAAACCAAAGCCACCGCATCAACAACGATGGCCATCAGGGCAGATGGACCCTGCGGGTGTTGATCTTTGTTAGACAGATGCTGGATAGACCCTCCCAGGGCGAGAGCCGTGAGGGAAAAGAACCACACTGTCAGCCGGAAAATCAAAGGCACTATAGGACTCCTCAAAAGAGTGGTGTGGAAACGCCTGAACCAGATTTCTCTGCGTCGCTTCCTCCTGAGAGGATCTTCTGAATCTTCGGGTTGCTCCAGCCTTCCTCGCCATGGCTGGGTGTAATCGCCATGGTTCTCATCCATCCAATCTGGCGTCACGAGCTTTTCCTCAACACCATCTGGACGGGGATATGCAATAGCCCTGGAGAAGGTTTTCCAGCGCGATTCGCGACGTGGTGACACTTCCCGTTCGCCCGACTCTTCGTCCCCTCTATGATCACCGCGGTCCGGCCTCGAAGTCGAATAAGGCGAGTGGTTATGTTGAGCAACAATAGCATCATCGGGCTGCGAAGGGAGAAGCCGATCAGTGACGGCAGCGTCACTTACATCTTCGTCGTCGTTATGGTCAACCGATCGAATCCATGCTATACGGACCTCGGGTCAGCTCCCACTCTTTGCGAGATGACAAACAAACTGCATAATGTCGCAGGGATGAACCTACCTGGCAGAGTACGTATCTTCCTCTCTTTATCGCGCTGACCATCAATCCCTCCTACACCAACAGTACACTCTTCTGGAGTCCGCGACGCACTTGCTGACGGATCCGAGATGCCGCTGCGAAAAGGTTCAACGGACCGCGCGTCACCGTTCGGTCCGGTTTGCGAAAGGTCAGACGTTCGTGGTGCCCAGTCTGCAGCGACAGGGGCATTCAGTAGCTTTTCGTCAAAATAACTCTCAGGTTCTGGAGGAGGCGGAAAGCTGGAATCGCGCGCATCCTGCGCCATTTCCCTTCAGTCAACGACTGATCGCAGGGAGGTTGATTCGGACTCTCGGAGATTGCGGAAAAGCAGCGACGGATCTAGTCTGCATCGCCCATGTCCCTCTCGAATGCGGAGGGACGAGATAGATTGTCGAGCAGACGTCTAGTTAGTGTGTAAGAAGATGAGTGATCTTAGTCTGGGGGCGAGAAAATGATCTGCGATGGCCCAAGGGCGGAAATGCAAAACAGAAAGGACGAATTATTGGTCGAAGGTTGCCTGTAATTTCATCAAATCTCGGCGCGGAATGACGTCTCGAATCGTCGATACGAATGCTGGACACCTGAAAAAAAAAAAAAAAAAAGCAAAAGGCAGAAATTTTTTTGGAGAATTCTTCCATTCCATCACCATATTCTACCCAGGCGAACCAGTCAATCACGACCAACGAGGCATGCAATTTGTACAAACTGTACTCAATCGATTATTTTGTCTAGTCTATCGATAGTCGTCTCTCCCTGCGCCGCCCGCTCATCCCCACACCAGCTATCCTTGCACCCCTCGTTGCTATGCGCCTCTTTCTCGTTCCAATCTCGACGAAACGAGCCCTGATCTATTCTAGAGCTCTGAGCAGGGATATTCCTCAGCAGCTCTCGCTCCTCGACCGGATTACAACCAAGGCGGCTCAGACATGGTCGAGATGGGAAGAAGCTGATAAGGGGTGGAAGAAGAACCTGGTTTCCTGGGGGAATCGGGTTCAACAGCGTATTCCTTTTGAAGAATGGGGTCTGAAAAGTATTCCTTCTCTTCAAGCGCAACAGCGACTGGATGAATCACACGGGAAAACAAAGATCGATGTGTTATTCCCGGCAAATGCGATCAAGTCGGACAAGCTACGGTCGATATTGCAGGTCATCGCGACAGAGAGGCAGGACTTGCATCGTCAAAGGATGTTGTGGAGCCTCATCGCAGCACCTGTTACTGCTCCCATCGGGTTGATTCCGCTGTATGTGCCCTGTTAAATGAGCTTGGAGACATTGGTTCTGGTTTGCTAACTGACGGATCTAGAGTACCTAACATCCCCTTTTTCTACCTTGCCTACCGAGGCTGGTCCCATTGGCGAGGTTAGTTACATAAATTTTATAAAACCTCGCGTTGTGTATGCTGACGATCCCAGCGTTGAATGGCTCGAGACATCTCGAGTTTCTAGTCAAAAAAGACCTTCTCAACCCAGTACAATTCCCAGGACTTGAGCAACTTTACGCAAAGCGCCTCTCTCAAATACTAGATCATCCTGATCCCGAGAAACCCACACCGAAAACGGCGGACGATGTTGAAAAGAGCGATGAACGGCTCTTGCTTCGGATGTCCGATGCTAAGAAATTGGCGTCGATCCTTGACGCCCCTGAGCTTGCATTGGAGGCGGAGCGAGCGATTGTTCAAATCGAAGAAAGCTTGAAATCGAAGGCTCAGTCGGCTCAAGAAAATAGTGATATTAAGGCCTCGAAGAAGGATTAATCATCATCTTTCTTGCCAATCGGCCAAATTAACAACATTCGACATCTATTTACGATTTGATTGCCGCTATGGGATGAACATAAAGACTCTAGTATGCTTTTTGACGACTTTATTTCTCATAATTAACATACAATAAGGCCAAATCTTACTGTACAGAGATGGTAACCCAAGTTCCATTGCCTAAGGCCTCCGTGATGTGTTAATCTTACCTTTCTTAATTGCAATATTTGCTGAGCTCAACAATATTATACACAGTCGTGGTGAATTTACCGCCCATGCTTTTACATTTGATTGAAATCCAAGATGGTTCCTGCTTGATTAAACTAGCTGATCGGCTCTATTACACCATACATATCATCCCTTCCCCACTAAAGCTGAAGCTTTGAGAACAAAGATCAGATTCGGCACCGTTGTGATATGCCTAAGCTACCCCCAATGGTTCTGCTTCGACCTTGCGTCTATTACCCATATCTCCCGGTGAAAATAGATATGCGATTGAGGAAGATGTAGTGCTGGAGGCCTTGTTGGGATCGGAAGGGATGAGGAACTAGGAGATCTGATAGCATTCTGTCAGATTCAAATTGTGCACGAGGGTTATTCGGAGGAAATTCACTTACAAGGCACCAGTTTTGGAACCATTGTGGACGGTAGCTCGAATCAAGGGCTTGTTACTTCGTGAACTTTTCGTCGTGAGTCTATATCTGTCAGGTTCTTCAACGGGAATAAATAGTCAATCCACTGACAGGTTGGCTTCAGCTTGTACACCAGCCAGGTCATATTCGGGATATCAAAGTGGATTTGTCTAGGATGTAAATGGCAAAGTGTAGATAAAAGAGAGCCTAGATAATGCTATGACACCTAGAAAGGATCAATGCAGGTTGTTGATGGATTCAGTCTCAGGTGAAGATAGAAAGAGGGAGCCAATCCAAGGTCAACGCGTGACTTTCAAGGAAGGGCCGCATGTTAAGAAGTAACACTTGCCACTTTTTACTGATGGAAAGAATGGAAGTAAAGCAATGGTTTATGTCTTTATATCCAAGAGAAATAGAAGAATTCAGGTTGCGACAAATAGTCATATATTTAGGGTTGAATCCAATGGTTCCTTTCTGTACAATTTTCTGGTACGACCGACTCATAGAACCAACACAAATACACCCCTGCTGTACAATTAAATTTAAATCATCTTCAGAATCTCCTCGATTCCTATTCATTGATTTCCTTCTCAGCTTCAGAAATGAAGTCGTCCGTGTTTCTATACAGAGACCCCTGACTATGCGGAACTACTTTGATCCGATGCCCCATACGGAGCCACTGCGGGATGGCCTGTAGGAGTAGACAGAACGACTGCCCCGACTGCAATACGCATCACTCGGTTTCTTTCTGCGAGTTCCCTGCGATTCCCTGGGCATCTTTGTTTCTATCCCGCAATAATGTCAACCAAGAAAATCGAACAGTGGGAAGTCGAGCGCTACTGGGAGATCTTCGCATCACTGTCTAATGGCCAACCGCGCCTAAACAACTCCCAAGCGGCCTCGGTGCTCAGGAACAGTCGGCTTCGCGATGACCAGCTTGAAAAGGTTTGGGATTTGGCTGATGTCGATGGAGATGGAGAGCTGGATTTCGAGGAATTCTGCGTCGCAATGCGCTTGGTCTTTGACCTTGTGAACGGGGTATGCCACCTTCCTGGATCGATGACGTCCCTCCCCTCCATATATGCCTGCCCCCCTACCTCGGGGAATTGCCCTTGAAATTTCATTTCCGTTAACGAGTCACTTTGATTAGGAATTACAAGAAGTCCCCAATGTTCTACCGGATTGGCTTGTTCCTGAATCCAAGTCCCATTTAGTTCATGCGACCCGTGCTCTGAGCGGTGGTCAAGAGCAATTTGAGCGGATCGAGGATGAGGATGACACTCCTGGGCTAAAAGACGGGTTTGAATGGTATATGAATCCGTCCGATAAGTCCAAATACGAGGATATCTTTTCTGCCAACAAGAACCATCGCGGGGACATTACATGTACGTTGAGATCCTACCTCACCTCCATATTCTCTGGAATCAAGAACTAATACATTCACTCTTACAGTCGAATCACTATCACCCCTTTATGAGTCGCTCGATGTCCCAGACACTGATATTCGTTCTGCATGGAACCTTGTCAACCCCTCCGCTTCCCCCGCCATTAACAAGGACGCCACCCTCGCCTTCCTGCATATCCTGAATTACCGACACGAGGGTTTCCGAATTCCCCGAACCATCCCCGCTTCACTTCGGGCCTCATTTGAACATAACCAAATCGACTACCAGATCGATAATGCTCGCCCCGCGCAACGATGGGGGGCTAATGGAGACACGGAGACCCGAACTGGCCGCAAGGCGAAGTTCGGCGATACATACCTTAGCCGTTTGGGCGCTGGAGGAAAGACTTCATACACCCCCAAGGGCACCGATTTCAGTGATACTATTCAAGACGAGGAATGGGAGAAGGTCCGGTTGAGGCGTGAATTGGCCGAGATCGAGGCCAAATTGAACTCCGCCAATGAAGCTACTAAATTGGGGAGAGACCGTCCTAGGAACGACGGAAGGCCTAACTGGGTCATGATCAAAAAGGAGGCGCTTCAGCTTCTTGAGTATAAAGAACGTGAACTTCGCGAATTAAGAGAGGGTTCTGGCCGGGCCAAAGATGGCGAGAACCTGGAGAGACTGAGAGACGACGTCAAGACCGTTGGTGAACAGGTTGAAGGATTGAAGAGTCATCTTGCTCAACGGAAGGACATCCTTGCCGATGTACGGGGGCAGATTGAAGACGAGAGAGTTCGCCGATAAAGCTTCTTTTTTCCTTTGTGATTCTGCTCGTTAATCGTTTCTCCTTTACCTTATCGCACGCATAGTTGTTGCCCGAGTTATCTCATCATTTCTGGCTCTTTTGGTTCTGCTCATTCATGATTTTTTATTTCGATGTACAGCCATTTCTTTGGCGAGGAGCTTCAGGCGCTAAATGGATCTTGTTGTTTTGTGTTTGATTAGAATGGTTTGATTAGAAGATTTCATTAGCCACTGTTGCTTTGCATCTCAAGCCAAGCCGTAAATCTATCTATCTAATGTACATAATAGATCCTCATCCACAGTGAAGGTAGGACCTTGAGTTATTTCTTCCTTTTCTATCTCCAGAGTATTCCCGTACAGTAACCACGCAAACGCCGCCGTCAAAAGCAAGTCCACCTCTAACCCCGAAAGTCATTATGATTATCGTCAGTTATTATTCAGTTTCCACTGATCTCAGCCATGATGCCATTTCCTTCACGCTTGGTCTCTACAGCCTTGAATGCCCGTCCGGTCTGGTCTAGACCCTTCTCAGCACGAACATACGCCTCCTCACTGCGGTCAGTCAGGATGTCCAGATCCTTCTGCGATAGAAGAGCACTGGGGTCGGCGCCTGTTTCAAAGCGTTCAAAGTCATCTTCACCAAGCGCCTTCTTAAGGTCATCGACGTCGTTCTGGTTCATGCTGGAACCTGAGTCGAGAAGACTCTTGAACTTGCCCTTCTGGATGACCAGTCTTTCAAGACGACGCTTCGAATCGGCTTTCTCCAAGAGTGTTTGCTCCACGGTACCCTTGGTCGCGAGACGGTACACGATGACTGGCTTCGTCTGTCCAATGCGATGAGCGCGGTCCTGGGCCTGTAAATCTTGCTGCGGGTTCCAGTCTGAATCGTACAGGATGACCGTGTCGGCGGCAACGAGGTTGATGCCCTGCCCGCCTGCGCGGGTACTCAGCAAGAACAGCTTGTGCTTGGGGTCAGTGTTGAACGCCTTGATCTGAGCTTGCCGATCGGTCTGGCTGATTGCGCCGTCGATTCGGCAGCAGTGCCAGGATCGGAGCAGTGTGGCCCAGTCTTGGAGGATGTCTAGTTGAGTTTTGAACTGGGAGAAGATAAGGATCTTATGTCCCTTTTTCAGGAGGCAAGAGACCAGTCGATCCAGTAGAAGCATCTTGCCAGAAGCAGTGACCAGGGTTTCGTCGATCGCATTTGGATCGTCACCCCACGGCCAATAAAAGTTATGCGGGGAGTTGCAAGCCAAACGGGCCTGCATCACAGGGTTTTGTAGTTTCTTTTGAGATATTTCTTTTTCTGTATTTCAAATCTTGGTTAGCCAGCCACTCCTGATTGGTCAATGTGGCATTGAAAGGGTTATACGTACTAGCAAGCTTGATTGTTTGTGCTTTTTCGATTTCCTCCTGTTCTGTTTCACCAGGTCCTTCGCTTTCCTCCTCCTCTTCAACACCCAGCTCGAGGTCACGCAGCTTGGAATTAAACTCGCGGTCACTGAGTTCCTTGTAATTCTGAGTCTTTCGTCTGCGAGTGGACCCGGTGCCAGTGGCAGGAGTAGAAGAACGACTTGACTTGAGACTCTTGTTTGGAGTTGACAGTTCACTGCTATCAGCGCTGCGCTTTAGGCTTTCTGACCGTGTTGTCTTTCCATTCTTGGCCATGAGTCTTTCGCAAGCCTTGCCTTCGAGGTACTGACGACCAGTGCCGTTGAGAATTTCACGGTAGAGGTCTTTCTGCTCTCCAGTGAGGGGTGCATAGAGGATATACTCTCGTTTCTTGGGCAGTGTGTCCTCGACGTCGGTCTTGACTCGCCGTAGGAGGAACGGTTTCAGGATTGAGTGCATAGTAGAGACCAGACTGCGCTTTCGGCGCTCGACAAATTCCGCTTGGCCATTGTTATCCAGAACCTCGGAGAAATCAAACCAATTCTGAAAGCTGCTGAGGTCATTGAATATTTCCGGGAGGAGGAAATGCAACAAAGACCACAGTTCTGTAATGTTATTCTGCAAAGGAGTGCCGGTGATGAGAAGTCGGTTTGCCGAGTTGTAGTTGAGCAGCTCTTTGATAAGTCGGCAATTCATATTCTTCAGACGGTGTCCTTCGTCCTGTCAAATACTTAGTAACACGAACGATCTCCATGGTCAAGAGAAAGAAAACATACCACGACAATATATTTCCACTGGTACTGCGAAAGGAACTTTCGGTCGTTCATACAAATCTCATAAGAGGTACAAACGACCGGGAAGTCCATATCCCTCTGATTCTGCTGCTTCATGAAATTCTTTCTGATGGCTGCACGATCGTTCTTGTTTCCATGATACAGAACGGTCTCGATATCGGGCGTCCATCTCCGGAACTCGTCTACCCAGTTGCTCACTGTGCTCAATGGCGCCGCGATCAAAAAGGGCCCGGGGATATTCTTCTCCTTGAAAAAAGCAATCATCGAGATGGCTTGTACAGTTTTTCCAAGTCCCATCTCATCTGCCAGAATTCCACACAGGCCATTCATCCAAAGGGACTTGAGCCACTCCAGCCCCTCCAACTGGTACTTTCTCATCTTTCCGCCAGTCACCAGGCCAGGCTGCTGCGTAGCAACAAGCTCCTGCTCACCAAGTGCAGTGGGGTTAGCTTCAAACTCATCCGCGGCATGCTCCAAAGCCTCCTGAACCGTAGGCTTATCATCGGCAACCTCCACATCTGCCTTTTGGAAGTAACTCGAAATGGAATTCCCAGGGGCGGTCGATTTCTTGGGACGGCCTCTCTTGGACTTTACTGACTTCGTACTGCCGACTGATGTGGGTTGCTCCGGCTGGGTTCTTGCACTCGATCTTGTTTCACGTTTATCAGCCGTATCGTGTTTCTTTTTCACCTCGGTTGGCTTCTGTTGCTGTTGTCTGGCCGCTTCTAGTTTCGCTTCCTCCTGCTGTTTCTTCATCTTGTCCGCCATGATAGCCACGAAGACCTGAGGAAATCGAAAACGAAATGTCAGTTATCTTTCCATCGATTCCAGAAAAGACAAAAAACGTACTTCACTCGTGTTCAGCAAATGCATCAGCGCCTTGGCCTTAGCATCCATGTTCTCTGGATCTTCCATCATAGCTTTCTCTTTCTCTTTTAAATCCTCAGGCGACACCTTGGTATCCTGATCAACAGTATTCGACGAGTTCGGAGAAGATGGAAGCGTGGACTCCTGACGCAGGGGATTATCGCCCTGGGAGTCTGTGGGGGTAATGGGGGTTTCTGGGTTCGACATATTCTCGTCTTTTCGCTGTTTAAAAGGCCAAAAGGGGATTTTCGAAAGCTGGACCATATCAATGCAGTTTTGGGCTTTCTTTATCTTTTTTTCATTCTCTCCGCATTGAAGGAGCTGCGATAAAGAAAGATCTTTTTTTTTTTCTCCCTTTCTAAGGCTACATCGGACGATTGCTGCTTATTCTCTTTGGAGTAATTCGTGGCATAAGAAAGGAGAGATATAAAAATAGATACCTGTAGCTAGCAAACAGCCAGACTCCAGAGAGAGTTGGTTCCCCTGCTCTGGGATGATAATTGTCGATGTCTTTCTTTCTTTCACTCCTTTTGCGCGATTGCAAATCCGCCCAGGAGACGCGGAACTTTCGCGTCGGCGCACAGACCACTTTTTGATTGCTTTTCTATGCGTGTTGAAGTGCTTGTCATGATGACCTGCAGCACTATTTGAAGTTTCTTCTTGCATTTCATTATCATTATCATTAGACCTTTGTATTATAACTTTGACCTCGGTCTTTTCATCCATGGTATTAGATCAGGCTATGAAGCTCCGTGCCACCATCATTAATATCATATCTTGAAGACCACTGCTGATCTACAATGCATCAATGAATACATGGGCATTGAGTGGTCAATTGATCTCATTATTAAGGTATTGGAAGTAATAATACAGTCGGCATATGGAATTCCTCTATGCTTTGTTTCAGATCCTTTGGGAGATTTCATCAAATCGGCATCGAAATTCCATCATTCATTATCCGTTCATTCCCGTACTTGCTTGGTAGCAGATTCAATCCGCCAGACTTAGTCCCTGGCATTGCCTTGTTTGATCATCACAGCCGGCACAAGCACCATTTCATCTTCTTCGCCTTCTCCTTCATCCTCCTCCTCGGAGCACCAGTTTTCAGGTGAGTTTATGAGACCGACAGCAGAGGCTATTGACTGCGTCGGCTCATTCAGGGAGAAGCTCGAAACAGTGGTCGGTGATAATGCTGTCCATTCGTCAGAATCATACACCACGAAGGCACTAGCAGGGGTCTCCATTATAGACATATCCCGTGAGCCCTCCGTGGTTTCAAATGGGAGAATGCTATCCTCTCCTGCATCTGGTTCTTCAGGGTCCGATGGGAACATGATCCTTCCGGGTGGTGTCAATCGCGATTCGATTTTAGGAGTTATGGGACTTTGTCTTGGTTGGAAAATCGGAGAAATTGCATTGGCGTTACTACTTGCTTTGTTAATTTCTCGCTCTGCCCTCTCTCGCTGTGACTCTTGTCTGACCTCTTCAAGTCTCTGTTTTAATCTCATAGACGATGTAGCAAAAGATCTAGAGTTGTTTTCAGCGGAGCCATTTGACCATTGTCTACCTATGGTCTTCGATAATGCTCGTCGAACATTGAGGGAGAAACTTCCTCCTGAAGGTAGGCTTGGGCTTATTTCCGTGGAGGAGGTTCCGTCGATGACCCTGCAACTTGGTGGAGACCCATAGAAGGAACCAGGTGTTGGAGAGACATTCAAGAGCTCCCCTGCTGTACTGCACGAGTGTTCTGAATCGCGTATCTGAGCGGCCCCCTCTGCGCCGATCCTGAGTTGAACCATCCCACTGGGCGGGATAAATGGCTGGCTGATAATGTCATAAGTACTCTGCCTTTGTGGAGGCGCCTCCATGTCACCCTCTCGCAATATCAGTTGTTGTGGATCGACAGTGCCACTTCTTCCAATTGGGTTAAAGACAGATCTTTTAGTGAGCGTGGACAATTGGCGTTGGCTACTTGGAATCGCGCTTAGGGTCTGGTCACTGTTAGACACAGCAATGTTTGCCCTAGAAGAACACGGCTCAATTAACCTTTCTGTCCACTCAAATGTCTCTGGCTCCGAGTCATCTTCAAAGATTTGTAGGACCGCCAAACTATTGCTCCACGTCCCAGCGTAGCCCCTATCAATACCACGTTTGTGCAAGAACCTTCGGGCATTCATGATTTCGCCAGCATGGCACAAGAGGTAGTCTGTATGGATAGCGTCACGCAGCTTGTGAATATACTGTTTAGAAGCGTTGCGGAACACAAGCTGATGCGGTACCCGTTTGTGCCGACTGCTGTTGTCTATTCTCATAAGCCCCCTGAGTTGCTTTTCTCGCATGCGTTCAAGTAGTCGGTTTTCCAGCACGATCTGTTCGTTACGACCGGAGAAGTGTTCGCGGGCCTGATCGCATTCTTCGTCCGTCAGTCCAAGCATATGGGAGACACTTGACCAGCTATGGGACTCGAGAAGGTTCTCAAAGATTTCCACCTGAAGTCTTGGTGATAGATCATGCCAATTGGGGTCCTGAACTGGAAACGATGTCTGTTTTCTGTCAGTAAATGCTCTTCTTCCATCTGGAATTACACTGCGGGGTAACTGCATTATTCAACCTGCCTTTCGTAGTATTTCCTCGAAATTGTCCACCATCACTTCATCAGTATCGCTATCTTCCATGCCCCCATCCACAATCGAGAACTCCTTTTCTGCAGCTGCAATTCTGGTCATATTCTTCACGTAAACTGGGTTGAAATCACCATTGCTCGCAACGTAATTATCAATCAGATTGATTGGGACATCCTCAAAATCTACTCGCGTCTCCGTGTCTTTGCCACCAGCACCGTTATGACCATTCCTCGACGGACATTCCTCACAATTCCCCATCCCACTGGCCTTTCTCTCATCGCTATCGCCATCTTTCGTGGTCTTTGCAGGTACGCGAGGCGTGTCTAGTGTGGGGAACGCAGCAGGAGGCAGGGTAGGATCGAAATCGATATAAGGAGGTCGTCTTTGCCTCTTAGCTTCGCGAAGTGCCCGGTTTGGAGTTGGTCTATAAAATAGCTCGGAGTCATATCGGTCAGGTTGCTTGACGGTCTCTCGAAGCCTCATGGACATGATGGACGTGCTCCCAGAGGGGATGGTATCGAACAATCACCAGGTCGTGGACGCGTTCTGGGATGTTGAGGAAAGTGTAGTGGGGAGCAAACAGTGAATGGGACACAGATGCCCAGGGTACCAATGAGTAACATCAGATATTCTCTTTCTTCGATCAAGTGAACAGATAGGGTCTAGCTGCTTGGAGGTGTAGAGGGCCCGGGTTGAAGAAGTGGGGATTATGAAAGAGGAAAGAGAGCGCAACTGCATACAGACAACGATGAGATGCACTAGGGCATTATAGTTTTCTTTTCCATTCATCTTGAATAAGCTAGAAAGCAAATGCTGCATCTCTTTTCAAAAATAAATTCAGTTGAATTTCACATTAAAATCAAGGAAATAAGCAAGCTTTGTTGGATATTGCCTCTACCATCATACACAAGCTCCAGTTGGGTATCTTCATAAGGAGACGGAAGCGAAGAAGAACAAGAAACAGAAAAGAACCCCCGTAAGTCTAAAAACGCACACAATCGCTTGCAAGCAACCACCCCATAAACAAAGAGCTTGACTATGCCCAACGGTCCCGGAACGGTGCCATGGGTCTTCTATCAATAGCCAAATCTCCATCCTCATCCATCTCCATGTCATCGTCTTTCATGGTCTCATCACCATGCCGATCATCGAAACTTCTCTTTTTGGAAATTTGCATCGGGGGCGTGGCCAGATTCGAGTTCGCAATAGCTGCACGTTTAGCCTTTTCCACATCCCGCTTAGCCACGAGAATCGATTCAAAGAATGCCAACAGCTGCCTCAATGGCTCTTCGATGGAAACACAGAACCGCCTTTGCTGGACAACATGAAGGGCATTGGAGACGTCTAGGTTAAGCATCACCATCATGTACGCTATCATGACAGTCGCGGAGCGTTCGTTGCCCGACTCGCAAAACACGAGGATTTTCTTCTGGTGTGGTATTTCAGATAGTCCCATGTCAGGGGAAGAGATGTGATCGTTGATACGCCGGATCGCACGGGGGAAGGCGGATATCAGCTCTTGGTTATTGTCCACATCCACACAATCCGCCTCAATGCCCAGCTCTGCCGCTGCCCTTTCCCCGGAAACCAGACGTGCCTGTGCTGATCGTTTGTTTCGAATGGCGAGTAGTAGAGTAAATCCTTCCTTTGCGAGGTAAATCCTATCTCTCAAGCACGCCAGCGGGCCTAGATAAAGAAAAGGCAGTATAGCCTGGGCCTCTCTGCGCATTTCGTAATTCCACTCTTGGGCCTGGAACCGGTGGACAAAAGAGTCCAAGTCGACCCTTTCGAAAAATCCAGGACAGACAAAATCTCCCTCTTGGAATTCATGAGAAGCCGGGCTAATTGGATCCTTGTTGCATAGATTGTCGTCGTCGAATATTGGTGGAGGAGCTATCGATATATGCGGTTGAACGGCTCCTGGTGTGTATTCGTAGGTTGGAACATATGTAGAGAGGCCCTGTTGGTTCATTGGGACCTCTTTGCAACGCGAAGATGAGGCCATCTTCAAAACCCCGCGCGCCTTTGGCTCAACGCTGGTAAATTCTTCTGGTATTGCTCTTGCTTTTGCTTTCCGCGAGACGGAGATAGTCTCCACAGGCCTGAACCAGGAGGGGCCCGAAGAATACGAAGTGAAAAATCTCTTCCCAATTCAGACTTTGCCAGGAAACCTTGGTTTAGGCGAATCCATGCACAATGGAGAGATTATCAAAAGAGACAAAGAGATTGGCAGTCACTGACAAGTTGTGATGTGAGATTTACAGGACACCACACACATGATGAATGCCAATTTTCAAGTCAGTTCAATTCTGTTTTTCTTTCTTGGCCTTTTTCAAGCCCAGGGCTGTGAATATTTAACTGGCTTGGATAAGAATTCAATACGCCATGGTTGCTCCAGGCAGACGAGGACTGATGAGGCAGTCGTTGCCTAAGTCACCACTTTCTGGTGGAAGAGTAGATCATCATTTATGATCGATTACTCAGCTAGACATAAGTTGTATTAGTCATCTATCCTTCAGACGTCAACAATGGCATTATCTAAGGCATCCAAAACAAGGACATTGATGGCATCCATCATTATATATTTGCCACAGTACACTTCAGCTGTGCTGGTATGGAGCTGTATCCATGAGCTACTGCATATCACTCAAAGTCTACTGGGAAGCTGAGGATCGGGATCTAGACAGCCTCTAGTAGAAGCTACTGCCTCAGCTTTTGCCTATACAAACCATCACATGACTATATATTTTATTTCTAATCTATAACCAGGCAGAAGTGTGGTCAACGCGTGATTAAGGTTATGTAACCTAAGTGTGACTCAGAGTCATGGCGATATAAGAGTCATAAGGAGTCATTGTTGATCCACGAGAATGTCCAAGGTTCCACAAGAACAGGCTGGTGTCACATGTTGACTGTGTTTAATAGACTATTGTTTAAATACAGATAGTTCGAGGCCAAAAAAACAATACTGTTTTATGACCAAGGATCTCCATCCTCGGTTGACTGAGAAAGATAGGCACCGAGACAAGATTCTAGGTTTTAGTATTGGAGCAAAGACTTGGTAACATTGGAAAGGGGACAAAGGAAACATTTGTGTCAAAACGCCTGGGTATATTTCAAGAGAGACAAAAGGGAGACCACCGTAAAAAACACCACCTGGTCCGTATCATCGACTGGCAAGCAAACGCCATACTCTTCAGAGCTCCCCGTTTCCTGCGAAAGGGTGCCATATGTAAATCAATTGCGCATCTGAGATAGACCGACCCACTTTAAAACTTCCACTGATATTGCAGACGTTGGAACGCAAACTCAAGGCCCGTATTCTGAACAAAATAAAACGCCCACAAGATGCAAAGAACGAGTAACGATTATGAAAGAGAGGAGCAAGCACCGAAATGGAGCAGATTCAACCTGTGGGTTCATTCCTGTGGAACGGAAGGTTGGGGGATGGCCTGCTGCAGCCCTGCGACAACTCGCTCCAATTCCTCCAGCCGACGGTCCTTTTCTTGAACCTCGCGCCGCAGTCTCTTGAGTTCATTGTGCAGGTCAACGCCATTATCCTCCTCGTCCGGCATCGTAACAGAAACATCTTCAATCGACTCGCGTTTCCGTTTGAGAGGCGGAGGTGCTGTGATGGAGGTCGGGAGAGGCGATGTCTCATCGAGCTCCGCTGTTGGTACCAGAGGAAGCTCGGGTGACGTGCCATTCTCGGTGTGCATATGGCGACGGCGCAGATGCTCTTTCAAGTTCTCTTGGCGCGTAAATCCGTGTCCTGTACTGCGGTTGCAGTCGGCGTACGGACACATCAGAGGCTTCTTGGCATTGACATTCTTTTTATGCACTTCGCGTTGGTGCCTCAATAGTCCACCAGAGTACGTGAATCCTTGGACCTTATCACACCCCGGTTCCATGCATTTGTAAGGTCGATCATGTTTATCCATATGCTTACTATAGACGCGCCATGGTTAGCTCTGAGAGACTCAATGGGTGGCAAAACAGGAATGAAATCAATCAAGTAGCACTTACTTCCATTCACACGGACGACGGAAAGTCGGAGGAGCCTGCTGGCACTCTGGATGGTCGCAGTAGATTTGGCCTGCGGGATTCTTCGGTGGATCCCGCGCTCTTCTCACCGACAGTCGCGGGCGAGCTCCCTCGACAAAACCAGGAGACATTTGTTCATTCATTTTGGACGCGGGAGAAAGAGATTCTTGGGCAGTAACGAGAACAGATGTTGGCCCACCAGGACCTTCGCTTCGTGGACTTGGATAATCAGTCCCGTCGCCCATATCGTATCGCAATTGAAACCCCGCCGTCGTGTCAGGTGGGGGGGTGGTCGTAGCTGGAATTCGAGATAACTGGGAAAATCAAGTGATCTGAATGTTTCCTGAATACTGAGGCAGAAATAAAGACGGAAAAAAATCGAGGCAGCAAGGCCAATATATGTCGGGGGGTGTGGCACTGTTAGGATGTAGCGGGAAATGAGGTGAGCGCCAAATTTTTCAGGTCGCAAGGCATCCACAAGCGAGCTAGTGGTGACTAAGCGAGATCGGCTTGCGTGGGCGAAAAAAACAACAAAACGCCACTTCGAGGCGCAGCGGCAAATAAGGCACCAAAGTTGGACGAGGCAAGGAGTCTTGTATGTGTGGTGATAGTATGGGCTGGTCCACCGGGGATGTGCTCTTATATTAATATCTCATGGAAAACTGGACTGATTTGGAAAAAAAAATAAAATAATAATAATAAATAAAATAAAATGGAACTAAAAATCTAAAAAAAATAGCGTCAGTGCCTGCAACGTGGTAAACGAGGCGTAGGTAGCAAAAGACGTGGTGTAGTCTAGTGCACCGATCTGAGGCAGAGCTAGGGGACAAGATCTCTCGGGCTATGGCGGCAGTGAGTCATGGAGATACAAGTCAGGCAACCAGATATCTCGCTAGGAATGGTGATTATGAATCTCTCATTATTATTTGGGGCATTGCATGACTTCAGTTGGTTGTTATTATTATACCGGCGGAGCATGTTGTTATAATGCGCCACTCCGTCTGAGTCACGGGACTTTTCTTCAGCCACATCTCGCTGTCGATCCCCTTTACCGCAGGTTGGCTTCGGACGAGAAGACCACACTCGCCCACCATCTCAGTGGTTGGGATTAACTTTGGTTTCTAGCTGGGTCTGCACGATCTCGCAAATCTAACTGAACTAGTCGATGCCTTGACGTTTGTTTAGGCCGTATCGGGGTCACCGACTTATACGATCCCTACCCAAACATCCGCCATCAAACACAGGATTTGTCGCCCAATCTTGATCTCGTTGCTGCCAGAATGTTGCCTTAGCCTAGAAAAGAAAAAGGGCTACCAACAAGTGTCTACGAAAAAGAGCTGTAGACCGGTTTAGGGGGTTAAGGGGGGCAAACCTGCAGGTGGTTGGGACCTGAGTCTGGTGCTATAACCCACGCCAGTCCAGGATGAAACAGTGCAATTGAATCTCATGGACGACCTCTGCCAACGTGTCCGACGTAGTGGCGATCCATCCAATCCAGGCATGCCAGTTGATGACTTGGCTTGAGTTTGATATCAAACTAGATCTCAAGTGAAGCGATCTCACCATGGACGCAACCATGCCATAGCCGATGCCGATTTTTCTATCCCCAGGGGTTGCAACACTGTTTCAAGGATAGAAAACAAGGCAACTGACTTGTATCGCACGAATAATATCAAGTAGAAGCCACGATGGATCTCGTACAAGAAAGACCCTTCCTGTCGCCTCCGCCAACATGTATACAATACCCTTACTCAACGATAATAGCAACCGGAGAATAAACCCAGAAAATCGATTGCGTCACACATCAGGCATCTCAATTTCAGCGCTCAAAAATTGGAGAATGAGAATGCTCAGCGTTGCACAGGAAAAAGCAGTAGGATGAATAAAATTTGTCGATCCCCCTCATATCGTGGCGCAGCGTGCCAGAATGGCGGGAGTTTCGGGGGGGATGCCCTAGGTGTTGCGACTTGCTATCGTCGGTTGTCTCAGAGGCCCCGTGGAGATGTCAGTCAACCTTAGTTATGCTTCTTTTTCCCATTTTTGTCTAGCGATAGGTGCAAAATGCTGGTCAACGAAAAACGAAGGTGGCGGAGTATGCAGAAGCCAGGGTCAAGGTGCATAGATCTTCCTTTGGGGCCCTTTGAGAAGATATATATTAGACCATGCCAAGTCTGCAGATTCGTGGATGCCTAGTATTCTCAAGTATTCTATGCAGTCTATCAAGTCGTTCACTTGAGGGACTTGAGGAAATTGAGGGGATTCTTGTTTATAAATAGCAGGATTAACAGTGCCGCAGTCATTCGATTTGTTGAAGCCCTCGGCCGTTAGACCCACGCATGAGAATTCCGTTGCAAGGCCAAGAAAGGATTCAGGGATCTGTGGGGGATAATGGAAACAAAGAATGCATTCTACATGGAATCATTAGACTAGGATCTTCTGGAAGCATCAGGCGATGTAACTACGGCTTCAAGGATGGCCCCTAGACTGGCCAATCTTACAAGAGATAGGAGAACGAGTGACATAGTGGGATTTATTTGTAAAGGTAACGGCTAATCTGAATCCTGCACCAAGTAGCATTGTCAACGAGGCCTAAGCAGACCCAGTCTGACGCTGAGGTTGGCTAGAAGAAGTAGATCCTGAGCAATGCCCATTGAACATCCTCTTCGTCACCAGGTCCAGATGGATTCAAGGCAATCTCTGCATCGCCATGAAAAGGCCGCAAAACTAGAAAAGGAATCAACAGGGATGAAGATAAAAATAGTAAGTGACAACAAGAAAGAAGAGTCCATGGCATCTTCCACGATGAGTCCACTCTTGTCCACCCGTTCGTGGAGAAATTGGACTCGTCGGCATCCTCAGAATGGCCGAACAGGAGCGTAAAATCCAGCATGTAAAAGCACGAGGTGTTTCACGGACTCAGACCACCGGTAGGTGACCATAATCTTTGAGTATAACTATACCGACAGATACCAAGCAGTCGCTGTAGTCCGCGATGGTACATGATCCCGTGCCGTAAATAATACTGGATGCGATAACTCTTCCAACTGACAAATAACATCCTTTGCCTTGTGAATCGCAGCGGTTATCTATTGACAGAAGCTCCCCAAGTAGAAGAGCCCCAAGAAACCCCAGCTGGTTTGCAATGTAGAGCACCGGGAAGTTCACTCTCACCGTGGCTGTCCTATCGAGGCATAAAAGGAAATTTGCCATGTCCAACGAGACGATCGACAATGAGAGCGGGTTCCCAAGACATAAAGCCATGGCAGAAGCAACCCAAACCATTCCCGAGAACAATGATTTTTTCTTTCTAGTTCATGGGAACAAATATTGGCTTTGGGCACCACTCTTGCTGGTTTAGGATATTGACGAATCAAGATCAATCGTAATTACCCCCAACCTGGCTTGCAAACGCAGTGGAAACGCTGCGGGCATCGTCATCATCTTGGATGTGACCCGGGATGCCACGTGTAACACGGATGCTAGCAGAGCTGCCTCCGAAGATGCTGCCGTTATCAGGGACTCCCGTCTTGTAGGGTTCCCGCCCACCGGATTCCACGTAGCGTTTCAGTCGATCGGATTGGCTGAGACTGGGTTGCTTGTTCATATCATTGATGCTCAATCCAGCAAGGCTCACACCACCTTGGTCAACACTCTTGCCATCAATGATGCTTCCCGTAACATCGGACTCGGTAGCTGCAACAGACTCTCCAGCAACACTCGGCGCTCCTCTTCCTTTGTTACCATTGGGCCGACGACCACCCGGAAGGGAAGGCCAAGAATCTGCGAAGTTCTGGAACATCGGAGGGTAGCCAGAAGGAATTCCAACACCACCAAGGGCTGAAGAGTGGACCGAAGAAACGTCATCAGGGATGTAACCAACTACCGATCCAGAGTCGTGATAGTCGTTCCGGCTACCATTTCTTCCATTCATCATACCACTGGTGACATTGGACGCATGGTTATAAGCCATCTGGAAACGTTGAGGACCTCTGTAAGCCTGCTTGGGGCGACTGAATTGAATCAGAGATTCCTGAAGATTGGACAAAGGTCCTTCAACAAGACAGTGGCGTTCCTTGAAATGCTGAAGAAGACAGTTCCAGAGGGGATGCTTGGACAGCACCTTTGGATTTCCAAGAATGACTAACCCATACTTCGCTCGGGTGAGTGCAACGTTGAGACGGCGCGGATCACTCAAGAAACCAATACCCTGATGATCGTTCGAACGAACACAGGAGAGAATGATGAAGTCCTTCTCTCGTCCTTGGAAAGCATCGACAGAAGCGACCTCGATTTCCTTGTAGTGTTCCTTCTTGAAGGTACCGTTGGCTTGCATGGAGCTGACAATGTAGCTACGTTGACCTTCATAGGGAGTAATGATACCAATGTCCTGCGGTTTGACGCCCGCCTTGAAGAAGCGAGTAACAATTTTCTCCACATTCGTCGCCTCTGTACGGTTGAGATACGATGTTCCGGACGCCGAAATTTCTTCATTGCCCAGGTTTGACCAAAACATCATGGGGTTGTCACTGATTGGCCACGGGAAGTCGTCACGGCGAAGACGGTCAAGGGACGTGATACCATTCTGCAAAGACCCCTCATAGAACATATTCGACGGGAACTCAGAAAGGCACGGGTGCATACGGTACTGCACATTCAAACGGATGGGGGAACAGCCCAAGATAACGAGCCGCTCGAAAAGTGACTGGTTGAGACCAGCCTTGGCCGCTTTCTTATTCATGATAACAGGTCCCAGCTGCTGGTGATCACCAACCAGAACGACCTGCTTGCAGCCAAGAACAAGCGGGATCATGCATTCTGGCTCTGCTGACTGTGTGGATTCGTCGATAAGAACAGTTCGGAACTTGAGTTTGGAAAGACGAGGATCACCTGCACCAACGCAAGTACAGCAGATGACATCGGCGTTGTTCAAGATTTCTCGCTCAGCAGAACGAGTAAGTTGTTTCAACCTCTTTTCATCTTGACTGGACAATTCACCCAGTTCAGATTTCAATTGATTGAGCTTCTTGAGTTCGATGTTGGTGTCATTCTGGCGAACTTGGTCGTGCAAGGAGAGGAAGCCAACAGGGGACTCGACGTCCTCACGAGACTTGGCTGTCACACGCACTGTCTTGAGGCCAGTCCTGTGGATACGCTCACACAGCTGATCTACCGCAACGTTGGAAGGAGCGCAAACCAGAACCTGACCTCCATTGATCTTCGCAAGGTGGTAGATGATCGTAGCAGATGTGACTGTCTTTCCGGTTCCGGGGGGACCTTGGATCAAACTTAGAGGCCTCTGGAGAACGCTCTTGACCGCATTGATCTGACTACCGTTGAGTTCCGGAAGACCAGGAACACTGAACTTCTTGGGCATTTGAGTCTTCATCGGCGCGGCTGCCACTTCGTGTCCAAGGAGGCGATGGAAGATATAACCAGACACACTCATCTCATCAACGGCAAAGGTCTTCATGGCGAGCTGCATACGGTCGAAAGAGGTTGACTTCCAGACATAGTCTGCAGTGAAATTGTGGGTGCATTCCGTTGGAACGGACTTGTGATCTCCCTTCGAACGCAATTCAATGGTTACTTCATCGGATTGGTTGTTAGGAATCTTGATAACATATCCCACTCCTTCCCACTTGGGCCGCAATTCACCACTGTACTTCAGGCGCATTTCGTCACCAACAGCCAGTTTCACATCTCCAAGCTCAAGCTTCGGAAGAATGAAACTTGCGAGATGCTTGTTGTTAAGACCAAGATCCCAGCGCACAATTAAACCATCCTGTGACTGAGACTCTTTCAGCTTGCGGTCGTAGTCTGCCTCGATCTTCACAAGGGGTCCGAAGATATTTTGGTACTGGAAAGCATCATCGTAACGCAGGAGAACTGGAGCGGGTTCGTCATCGACTGCTGTGGCCTTCTCGAGATCCGAAAATGTCGCTTGAGAGTTTTCCTTCCACATTTCCTCCAACTTGGCAATCAATTGCGGGCTCAAGTGGCGTGCACGAAGCTGTTCCTGGTCGGAAGGCGCAGCCACAAGCCACGGCAGAAAAGAGCGGTCCTCGATAAGCGGTTGCCATCTAGATGTATCCCAGTTCATATCCTTTGATGACGGCATGGCCGCACAAGGTTGTCGACACAAAAGAACAACAACTGTGTCTGATTTTGCTGGGATGAAACCAAGGAGGAAAACATTTTTCGTGCCGCAGTTGTAGCATTCCAGGATCGTATCGCCTAGTGATGAGGCAGGGTGTAATTGAACTTCCTTATGCCGAGCTCGGACAAGATGGTTGACAATGTGCGAGGAGGAAGTGTTGCCACGGGCACTGCAAAACCATTTGGTGCAACCCAAACATTTGACAACACTGCTTGCATTATGGATACCGCAATACCTAAGGCAGAGAAAGGTTACTGTTAGCAAAACAAATAATATTCCTTAAACCCTCTTTCAAGGATCGAGAAAACCCGTGGTACTCACGCGCATGCATGTGGGGGAAGCTCTTTTTCTTCCTCTACCTTCCCTTGGCCTTTTGTATTCTCACCAAGGTGGGCACTGGTCGTACTTTCTGCATCGTCATCCCCGAGAATATCCGAACCCTCATCATCATCGTCATGTCGTCGCGGACGGGGTGCTCCAGACATGTTGAGTGTGCTCTCTTCCAAATCTGTTGTAGCCCTATCATCACCTGCAGGCGACGCAGTGTGGTGGTTTCCATCCATCTTGAGTGTTTAATAAACGGTAAAACAGTCGAATAAATCAAAGCAATATCCGAAGGCGAAGAATGCCCAATCCACCGAAAATTAGAATGAGTCGGTCATGCACGGACTTCTATTACGTCGAGACTGGGATAAGAGTTTCGAAGAAGAGAGTGTAAAGGAACAATCCGGCCGTCCTCCTAATTAGAAAGTAAGAAAAGTACCGTCCTGTCAATCGAAATGATCGAGCGTGTCACAATAGTGGAGGGCGAAAGAATGAGTAACTAAGTCCGGTCTGTCTCAGCAACCATTGCATTCATTCACCAAGATATGAGGGGAAGCAGCCCCGGTCCGCGGGAACACATACATGCTATTGAGAGGCAAATTTTTCAATTCCACTGAAGCCCACAGTCGCCACGGCACCCGACAAAAGAAAGTCGATTTGTCCTGATATCAGGATGTGCTGAGTTCCTGGTCTCCGCGAGTGGGTGGTTTTGCGATCGGTCGATCGATTTATCGGACGTTTTGCCGCCAAATCCCACACAATCGGGTGGCCCAGGCGGACCACAGACGCAGTTTGCTCCCAGAAAAAAAAAGTTGCCCGCTTTTCTCCAAAATGTAGACAAACCACTTCGAAGAACCAGACACACATTTTCAAGATGCTTGTGAGTGATATCTACAAAGGAGGCTATAGCAAGAGCAAAAATTCATTTACTAACTCTCTTACAGCGTCGTCAAGCCCGTGAGCGTCGGGATTACCTCTACCGGAGAGCTCTGCTTCTCCGCGATGCTTCTATCGCCGAAAAACGAGCCCAGCTGAAGGCTTCTCTGGCCTCCGGAAAACCTCTTGATCCCTCCATCGCCGATGACAAAGCTCTTCGTGAAGACTTCAAATATGACGAATCAATGCCTGCGTCGGCAGATAAGAAAGACCAGGACCCGGATGCATTGGATGTCGACGATGAATATGCCCTAACCTCTGGAATCATCGACCCCCGTCCCATCGTCACCACTTCCCGTTCTCCTTCTGTTCGTCTAGGCACATTTGCCAAAGAGGTTCGCCTGCTTCTTCCAACATCCATCCGCTTGAACCGTGGAAACCTCGTTCTTCCAGATCTCGTGTCCAGCGCAAACGCCGCAGCAATGACAGACATGATCCTCCTTCACGAGCACCGTGGTACCCCTACTGCGATGACAATTTCGCACCTTCCCCACGGCCCGACAGCCAGCTTTTCTTTGCACAATGTTGTTCTTCGAGCCGATATCCCCAACGCCGCTCGGGGAACCGTTTCGGAGAGCTACCCTCACTTGGTCTTTGAGGGATTCACAACCAAGCTGGGTGCCCGTGTGGTTCAAGTCCTGAAGCATCTTTTCCCGCCGCGTGAGGCTGGCAAGGTCGGCAACCGTGTCGTCAGCTTTGTCAACAAAGAGGACAGCATTGAAGTGCGACACCACGTTTTCGTGAAGACTGGATACAAGGACGTCGAACTGGCAGAAGTCGGACCGCGAATGACAATGAGACTATTTGAGATCCGGGGAGGCTCGATGGAGAAAGGCTCCAGTGGAGATGTTGAATGGGCCCTCACGCAATACACAAGGACCAGCAAAAAGAAGGATTACCTCTGAGAGCCTACGGTTTAGCATCTCAGTGGCTGCATGTATAATTGTTTCTTTTATGGAGGTAAAGAAAAGTATGATTTGGCGCACAAGGTGTTTGAAGGGGAATTAGAGGGTCAATATTTTTGGCAGTTTGGCATTCCTTATCTGTATACCCAATTTAAAAAAGTTGATATCTTATTTCATCCTGCTCTATTCTTCTCGATCACATAAGTGAAATACTGAATTGCATTTAACTGGCTCCTTAGGAATAGACACCTGTTGTCGGTATTTCTCGAGGGGTTCGTAGTAACCTGGAGAATGCATTGCCACCAACGGGCTTTTGTATTGCGAGCACAGAATAAAGAAAACCATCTAACTGCTAAGTCATAAACCCTGCAATAAAAACAAGGAAAACTGAAAAGCTTCGGGCACAAAAGTTCCTATGCATGTATATCCCCACCTGGATATGTTCAAGAAATCCATGTAGTATTTGCCTATATGGCCTCGTACTTCCATCCAAGTTGCATGTAACCAAAAAGACATTCAAAAAGCTTCCTTAAAAGGGATTCTCGATCGAGACATGAAAAGAAGCAAGGAGAAAATAAAGAAAATCCAGAACATATGGGGCATCGAGATTCTCAGTAACTGCGAAGATTTAGCCCTAGATAAAAAACGATATCTCGCCATATAGTATCACTGAGCGTGAAAACGCGGGTTGACATTGTTCACACACTCGGAGTATTTAGGAGGCTCACTGCTTTCACTCTCCCCCGAGTTACCTGGCTCTGCTGGCATTTTATTCACAGAAGAGGCATCGGGTTCTTCGAGGTGCTCTGCTGCATCCCCATATTCTGACCCCTCGTTTTGATCGATCTGGTCTTCGTCTTCCCTTGCAGAATTCACAGTTTTATGCTCGGGATAATGTACAGTCGAATGGTCATCGCCTTGTAGAGCCTGTTCTTTTTCGCGTGCATCTGTTGGCCCGTGTCGGAGGAAGCCTGCCAGAACTGATGTCTGAACTTCGTGACGAAACCATCCCTGATTTACAGGCAATACGTTGCCCTCGGAATCCTGTTTCGGTTGCGGTTGTATATGTTCGAATCTTTTTTCCCATTGCGTTCCTGTCTTTTGGCTGAAGAAGCCCTTGAATGCCTTTAAGGCAAGCTCTCGTGTGCTCCCAAGCGGAGCGAGAAGCTCGGCATCCGACTTGCCAGTCCTGCTATATTTAACATGGGTGGCATATTTCCGCGGCTCGATGTTTGATTCGTAGATCTGGTTGGACTTAGCATGTGGTTTCTAACGGAGGCATTGAACAATAATGGCTGTGTTATTCGACGACCAAGAAAACATCAGACGATGTGAAAGCAATCATATTGATGGTAGGTATATAGCTTAGAGACACTCACTCTGAGCTGGAATCTTTCTTTGGACTTGGCCAGTGGCCGTACAAGTGTGGCATAGTAGGGTTCTCCAGAGTCCAAGTCGAGGTAAGGGTGATAGTTCACTTCCAGTTTCCAGGATATCAACTTATGATCTTAATACCGTTTTTTGGGCATTGAATACGTACAGGCTTCTGTTCTGGCCTTTGATGCCCGGCAATTGCTATCGAAGATATCCTGGGTTTTTTCTTGGCTCGAGCATCAGTACAGAAATATATCACCAAGACAAAGGGAAACAATACTCACGTTTCTTCTTCTTTGGCTTCGGTGCCCTTGTTTTGGATTTGCTGGCAGTTCCCCCTTTTATCTTTGTATCTCCAACGAGGTTTTCTAAAAGGTACGGAGTTTCTTGCTTTGGCTTGCGCGATTTGGATGTCAATGAGTCCGCGATCCACTCGTACGATACAATCTTCACGGTTCTCAATCGTTTCGCCTTTCGGACTGTCCCAATACCATTAGAAAACCGTGATCTCCAGGAGAATATTGTGGAGTTTTGAGAATAAATACCAGTTTCGCCGTTCTTCTTGTATGCGTCTATTGTCGTAATCAAATGGGTTACGTCTTCGTTCATGACTTTGGAGTAAACTCCCCCATTGTTTCTGACCCATAGAGGTATCTTGTCTGTATTTCCTTCAAATTTGCCCACGGAACACGCGTGAACCTTTTCGAATGTCTTTGCCATGCTTCAAGGGCTAAAGGGGTGAGGGGTGTTAGGTGTGTTGTGGGTTTAGATGGGATTCTGGGTGATATGGAATTCGATGGTAGAGGGTAAGAGAGTTGGGTGAGATGAAGAGATTGGAGAGAGTTGACTTTAAAAGACGAAGGATTAAATAGTCTGAAGGAGCGAATAGGTAGAGAGAAGTAGGAAGGTTATCTGAATCAAGAGAATTGTTGAAGTGAGGCCGCAGTGGAATAGCTTCAGAAGCAGTGTTGCTCTGAAAGTAAGCTTGGGATGAGGTTTTACTGAAGTGAGGGAAAGTTGGTCTTGATACTGTCTTTGATCTACTGCATTCCTCGGGAATTAACGTCGAGCTATTCACTTCAGCCTGTGTTGATCTGCTTTGGATGAATGGAGAATTAAATAGGGCTCACGACTGAGCATCTTCGATGATGAGTTTAATAGAACACGGTCAAAGTGCAAAGAAGAGTCCACAGGGTGGATTGAAAGACCTATCTGAGGCTACAAGAAGGATATCATAGACATGAAACAGGAAATCCGAGACCATAATTTTACTTAGAAAGCGTATAATGCAGTCATGGCATACCCGAAAGTTGATGTAAAAGAAATTAAAAGCCCGAGATTTTGAAGCATTTCAGTTCATGAAAGATCGTCATCATAGATGTGTTGGACAAACAACAATGCTCTGCTCTAAACACATGAAGGTGTGTGTTGAATCATACCTAGCCCCAGAAAATCATAGCTGCAAGCCTTTCACTGCTTGGACGAATGCACGGATTTTGTCCAGGTCTTGAGACCCGTCTGTTTCTACCCCCGAGCTGACATCCACTCCAACCACCTTTTGCCCGGATTTGCCCAGGTTCTTGACAGTATCAACAACGTTATCAGGACCCAGGCCACCAGCCAAGATGACTCGCAAGCCGTCGTCACGGTCCAAAGCTTTTTGCACACGAGATTGGTCTAGCAATTCACCAGAGCCTCCCCATGCGGAATCCAGCAATGGCAAAGTGTGGTAAGCCCTTCGAGCGAGTCCAGGTTCGTCTAAGCCAAACCTGCGAATAACAGGCACTGGTATCACACTAGCCCATTCCAATGGTTCAGATCCATGCAACTGTACAACATCCAGCCCCAACTTTTGCTGCTGAGCCAAAACGTATGATAGCGGTTGATTCAGGAAAACACCAACAAGCAAAGCCCGGCTAGGATGGCGCAGAAGTTCGGCAGAGTGATCAAAATAATCAACAGAGGCGGCATTTGCCGATGTGTCTTTGGATAGGGCAGTCGGACGCGGGGTTGATTTGACAACCTGGGAGATCCGCAAAGCAACATCATCTGGGACAGTTCGTTTCCGCCCTTGAACGAGGATAATTCCGACAAGGTCTGCACCAGACTCAATGGCTGTCTTGGCCCCCTCTTCAGTTCGAGTTCCACAGATCTTGACCAAGGGGGAATTGTGTGTTGTCTTGGGGAGCTTCTCAGTGGTTCCACCCAGAAGCTCTGCGACAAATGCGGAAGTGTCAGGCGCTCGCATCAGAGCTTCTCCGACAAGAATAGCCTTAACGCCTTCCTTTTCATAAGCTTCGACATCCTTGGGGCCAGAAATTCCACTAAGAGCACACACGATTGTGCTTTCAGGTACCTGGTCCATCAGTCGGCTGGTAGTGCCGAGATCCACTTCAAAGCTTGTCAAATCTCTGTTGTTGACACCAATAACTTCGGAACCAAGGTCAACGGCGATCTTCATTTCTTCGGGGGTGTTGACTTCAACAAGAGGCTCCATCCCAAGACTACGGGAGTAATTGTACAGTCTTGTAAGGAGCTCAACACTAAGCATTTTCACAATGAGCAAAACAGTGTCAGCTCCTGCCAGACGTGCCTCCAGAATTTGATACTCGTCAAACACAAACTCCTTCCGCAGAATAGCAGGTCTGTTAGTCAGACCCTCTAGACTCTGGCGAACAGCACGCAAGTCATCAATGCTACCTTTGAACCACTCGGGCTCCGTGAGCACAGAGATGACACTAGCTCCAGCCTTTGCATATTCCCGAGCCTGAGCAGGAGCACAGGCTGATGCTGCGATCATACCCTTAGAGGGAGAAGCCCGTTTGATTTCTGCCATAAGCGAAAGAGGGTAGGGTGATTGCCTGAGACGAGCGGGGAACGACAATTGGGGAGGTGCGATATTAAGATCATAGGCGGCCTGGAGATCCTCCGGTCTTTGCGAAGGAATGGTCTTCTGGGCGGAAACTGCAGCTTTACGGTGGTCGTAGATCTTCTCAAGGATGGAGATCTTCTTCCCCGGCTTGGCGGGGCCGCTTGAAGCATCTTTCGGGGCTGACGACTTGTTGTTACCCTCCCAGGTGCCCGATGTAAGCTTGAGGAAGTTCCTGAACATGGCTCGTCCATATTCAGTGAGAATACTCTCAGGGTGGAATTGGACACCCTCAACAGCCAACTGCTTGTGTCTAACACCCATGATGACGGTCTTGCTGCTATCGCCACCGAACTGGGCCCAAGAGGATACTTCGAGGCAGTCAGGAATCGTGGAATGAGTTCCGGCAAGTGAGTGATAGCGGGTCACTGCGAAAGATGCAGGCAATCCTTCGTAGACGCCCCGGGAGTCATGTTTCACTTCCGAGGTCTTGCCATGCAGGATCTCGCCTGTAACATCAACCTTTCCGCCAAAGGATGAGATCATGCATTGCTGACCCATGCAGACTCCAAATACTGGCACTTTACCAGCGAAATGCTTGATTGCAGCATTGCTAATACCGGCATCCGTCTCGGGATGGCCCGGACCAGGGCTGATAACCAGCTGAGTCGGTTTCTTTGCAATCAAATCTTCCAGAGAGATTTCATCATTACGGAACACCGAGACTGTGGCCCCTTCCAGCACAAGGTATTGGTAGACATTCCAGGTAAAGGAGTCGTAATTGTCAATGAGAATTACATTCGAGGCGCTGCCCAGCTTGGCAGCTTTGGTGGGATGGTGGGGGGAGTGGTCAACGAGATCGGCCATGATCGCGATCTATATTTCAGAGAACGAGCGTTAGATTGAAGAAACTAAAAATATAAGCACCAGGCTATGGGGGGTTAAAAATATCCATTACTGACCTTCCCAATGTTAATTATGGGGATACGTAATGGACAATCCAACTGCAAGAGGAGTCCCTCGACTTGACTCAGCTCTGGAGGAGAAAAGAAACGGGAGTCTTTCCTAAACGGGAAGGGCTGTCAAACAGTGCAAAATGGCATCTCACCGCCCAGCGCTAAACCCTAATAGGCATTTATTGTTGACCTCTAGAGCGCTCCTTGAATATTCTTTTGGGCGGCCGCCGTCAACTGAAGCTCTCTTCGTGATCACTTTTTTTTTGACCACGAGGCTTTGTCGGGATTTCCTCCCCCACTGCATATTTTCTCCAATTCTTGTGGTGTCTATAATGATATAATTGTCCCGTCAATGGCTCCTGTCCCGGAAGCCTATTTTCCGTCCCTGGACAAGTGCTTCTCCGGGGACGTCCAGCTTCTGTACGCGCTTACTTTGCTACCAACCATGAGACAGAACAAAGTGCTAATGGGATATTAGGTCCTGGAGGAGAGCCTTCCTTTATACGTGCAACCCCGAAGATGACGTTGACGACGCGGGCAGTCTCCATGCCTTTTTATCGCATCCAGAGAGCGTCAGTTTATTATCGAACTGCTTAAATCCCTTCTCCGCCCCATCGACGAAAACAAAGACGGATTTCGAATCGAAAACCGCCGCAATCCACGCAGAGACTACTACCCAAGCTTCGTATGATTTGAAAGAAGTCAAGGCCGATGCCTTGTGGCTGAGTCAAAAAGCTGGCATCGACGAAATCACGGCCCTACGAATCGCGGTTTTAGAATGGCAGAGTCGCCCATCTGCGCGTCTTCTGGCCCGGTTCTCTGATGAGGAGACCACCAGTGTCCAAAGTGCCACCGGCGCTGATAATTTTCGTGTGTCGCTAGCCGGCCCGAATCTTACTGAAATCCTCAGGCAGAAACCAGGTCGCGAGGACAACTCTAGCTTTGCTTCCGAAGAAAGCAGGCGTTTTCGACTGCGCAATTTATACCTTTCGGAAAGAAGCCATGTTGTAAAAACATCCCGCAAGCTTTTTGCTCTGTCTTTGCACGACAGTACCCAGGATGAACCTCCGGTTTCCGAGAAAGATGGAAGCGATAGGAGACGTTCGCTGTGTAAGCTAGGAGAAGCCATTTACAAAGACGAGTCAAGCGGGGATTATTGGCGCCAGTTTCTTCAAAAATGCATTGACGCTGTGCGCGATCGGTTATCTGCATTGGAAGGAGATGGTGGTTGGTTAGGGGCAGCCGAGTGCAGCGAGGAGCTGGAAGATGTGTGGAGGACAATTATTACGGAGGAAATAGTGCATATCCTGCAAATCTTGTTCCTCGAGCTTCAAGCATCTACAGAAATCCCTACCGCGGATCTTTTACTATCATGGCTTCGCCTCATGGCCAACTATAGCTTCCTGGAATCCCTCCAAGTCGTGAGTCGTTTTTCTACCCGCCCTCTCCTAGCTTGTGGGCATCTCAGAGTCTGACTAACTATGTGACAGCCATGCCAAAACCCTATGGAAGTAATGCTACCTCTTCAGGCCCTTGTATCTCTAACAACCCTCACCTTCTTGAAATTGCCGCTTTCTATACCTTTCATTATCAACAAAACCCCATCAGAGCAAGATACATCTACTAAAACGCACTACTTCCTCTCGAAAAATGACATTTCCCAGCTCAATGATTTATTCATGACTGCCTGTGTGGACTTTAAAACTGCGCATCCAGCAGCGTTTTCATGGGGATTAGTTCTGCACACCATGAGAGAGCTAGCACTCAATGATAAAGAGACACGGGAGCTCGAACAATTTCACAGTGCAGTCGATTCGTTTCAGTCGAATACCCCCCATGCAAGCCCAGGCGGAGGCTCGGAACTTTCGTTATATGAAGAGTTGCTTGAATGCGCTCGGACTCCCAGATATACCGCTGATGAAACAATCGCTCTCCTCACTTCGGACGCAATGAAAGAGACGGTATTCGAAACCGTCATCGCGCTGGCTACCAAAGTTGGAGCGACATCAGCAATTGATGATCTCCTGACAAGCCAATGGGTTCGCGTCGCACTCTTGGATCTTGTTCGAGTAGCGATTGTGTACCTGGACTATTCCCCCGAGATCGTGGAATCAGTCCTAGCGATTCTTACCGGACCACCCCCAGAATCCGCATGGTGCCCGGATACCATTTCAGCTTCCACTAATGATCCTAAATGTATCTTTATGAAGGATGCTCTTTTGATGGACAATATATTTCGCATAGCACGCTCCCGGTTTCCATACGAAACTGTTCCTTTCTTGAAACTCTGCCGGGCTCTCGTCAACAAAGATCTAGTGAACTCGGATGGCCTACCTGAAATCCTCGGAGAACTCGAGAATATGAACACTTTCACTCAAATTGTGCCGCCAGAGTTTCAAGGTTATGAAACAGTCCGAGAAGACGAGAATGCAAATTTCGTCTCCCTCATTCAATCACTTCCAATGTTCGATTCTGCCCCCAGAAGACAAATAGCCGATCATCCTGAAAGCAATGCTTTGGTTGTCACTGGCTCTTCACAACTTCCACCTTCAACCATTGGTCAAGTGGTATCCGAGTCGAGGCCTGCAGTGGTGATGTGGCACCACCAGTACTCTTTTCTGAGCTACCTTGGAAGTCTGCTTGAGGAATGGAATGAGGTTGGCGGATACTCCTCGGGATGGAATGATGATTCTATCGCGGATATCATAGGGCTGCTAGCAGATCTTCTGATCGCTGCCAAAGATGCACAAACAGAGGATGACGCTAATCTGGGCGCCAAGAAGATTTTGGAGATGGCGAGTGATGGCCTATCTCGCCAGAGTGACATTGTCTCACTGATATTTGAGATCTTTGAACGCAATTTGCAGGGCATTGGCCCTAGAGCTGGATCAGAAAAATTGTTAGAGTCTACAATTGCTAGCTTGCGCTTTATTCGCGGACTCGTGGCAATTCTGCCTGGCAGAGTGTGGCCTTTACTCGCTCGAAGCAGCTTGCTTGGATCTGACGGGAAAGGAGGCACGATGACTGCGGTTGTTTCTTCAATGGAAGTAACATCGGGCGACTATCCCTTCCTCCTCAGCTGCGTGGGCTTGTTTGAAACTGTTGTCAACGATGCAGCCTCCCGTGCATTGCTGAGGAAAAGTCCAAACAGCGTTGCAGGTCGATCAGCAACAACCTCCGACTGGAGTGCTGGTCTTCCTTCCCACATTATGAGGAATATTCTTCTTAACTTCGTCCGTACAATGGTTGAGATTTACAATAGCAACATCAACTGGCGATTCAACGCACCGGAACAGAGACTGAAGATAAACACCGCCCTTGCTAATACATTTGAAAGAGTACTGTATTACACGTATGGTACAGATGGCATGACAAAATTGGAAGCAAAGGTTACTGGTGTCTTTTCTGCATCTGCAGCATACCTTATGGACGTGTTGCGGCCACAATCAGTTGCCGATCTGCCTTTCAATCCGATCCTCCGACTGATTGTCGATGGCCTTCAAACCCCACCCACTCTATACCTTCGCTACATGATGCTCGTGGAGAACCAAGTGCAATCGACTCTTGAGCTGTCAGTCAAATTAATACAAGCCGCCCATCTTCGAGAATACCCAGCCTCAGTGCTAGAAGATCAACTATTCAAGGCAACTCCAGTCCTTGTTAAATTATATGCACTACATGATAGTTACCGACTAACAGTCATTTCGCTGCTCAATGTCCTCATATCAAGTGCTGCTTCGGATCCTGTGAACGAGCCACCGTCTTTGGTTGGTCACTTGGGAGCAGACTCGTCTTGTCTCTTCCTCGATGTATTGTCGCAATTTGACAAGCCACTAAGTGACCAACCACTTTTGCTTGCTGTGTGGCGATTACTGTCAACATTTGTCAGTAAACGTCAGCAATGGCTTTCGGTCTATCTTCTCACAGGATCGTCTCCTCGAGAGTCATTGAAGAAGCCTGATGCTCAAAAGGCGCCGGCTATGAGAGGTGCACCGTTCTTGCAGATCGCACTTGATAAACTCTCGAATATCGAACAGATCGATCTCCAAGAAGCTCTTTTATTGCTCGAGTTCGTCTCTCATGCCCAGGAGAATTGGCCGTGGGCCACTCCCGAATTGAGGAAACATCCCCATTTCTTTAACGGTCTCGTGAGTTATGTCTCAAAATTGAAGATAGCCAGCTTGTCAGTTGTGAACCAAATCTTCACCACAAGAATAGCAGCGGTTGTTGCAGACATCTGTGCGGTCTACTTGCATTCCGCAAAAGAAATGCAGGATCGAACTTTTCTCAAGACACTCATCCCACTTGTATCTTGGTTCGCGAAAGATGCCGTTGAAGTCTCGGGTTACAATGCCTCGCTACACGCTAACTTGAAGAGAAACTTTGAGAGGAGATACAACGGGTGCAAGCTCCTCGACTTCAAAAGAACGTCTTTAGAGACTCGCTCTCTGGGCTCTGAGTACTATTACGATATTAATTTGGGCAGAAAACTCCTTTCGTATGATTTTGCCTGGGCCGGAACGCGAAACCAAGGGTTTGCTCAAGAGTTTGAACGAGCAAATCTTAACCTGTCTCTTGTTGAGGCACAAGTGGTAAGTCAAGCAAACAATTGCTTTATGCGGTGTCTAATCTAGTTTCCTATAGAGTCTTCTTCATAGCTGGAAATTCTTCGCTATTGAGCATTGCGTGGACTTCATGACCGACCGTGAAGTCCAAAAGTCCATGGCGCTGGTTGTACGCAACTGCCTTGTCGCCAACACCAGAGATGTCCCACAAGAGCCAATCTTCGAGAGGATCCAGCAGACTCGAGTGGAATTTGCTCAGGCTCTGCTTCAACGACTTGTCGAGGTAGGGGCAAAAGGCGCGGAAGTTTTTGGTCTCCTTGCTGTGGTTTGGGAAGCAATGCGCACTCGCCGTGCGACGTATGAAGATGCGCTGGTGAACGACGACACGGAATACTATCGGTCTCTACTCAATGTGCTATTCCTCGCTCTTCAGTTCCATGTCGACGGTCCATCTCGAACCGCGCCCGAGACTCTGACCAAGAAAGCAGAGATCTCGTCTGACTTGACGCTCGTCGTTGAAATCGTGAAGACAGTCGTGGCACAGGGTTTCAAATCTCTGACGACTTACCTACATGACCAGCCGCAAAAGTGCACACCAAAAGACTTTGCCATCCTAACTGCAATCCTGCAGACTTCACTGCAAGTTAAGAACGCAGATCGGTTGTATGAGCATATCGTATTCCATATTGAGGATAACGACACAGCTCGACATGCTACATCGTTGTTTTCATGGGCCGATCAACTGGCAGTGGCGGGTGATCCAATTTATGGAGATCTCAGTATTGCGTTCCTAGTCAAGTTGTCGACCCTGCCGATGCTGACAGAACATCTGGCCGTCGAGGGGGTGCTGATGAGGCTTTCGACATGCCGTTTAACAAACATCCTCCGCCAGCCAAAAGGATTTGGTCCATTCGACCCAGTGCCCAGACTATATACCATCTGGACGGGCGGTATTTTACCACTGTGCTTGAATATGCTCTATAACGTTATTCGAACCGCACCAGAAGTAGCAGCCTTCCTCAACCAGTTTGAGGGTCAGCTTACCCGGGCGGCCGAGGCGTTTGCTGCCGGTCGTACAACAGTCACATCCACGCCTGCGGTCCGAAGGATCTCCCTCAGCATGGCGTCTGAAGCTTACTCGCTTTCCTTGATTTGCTTCATCCTCGACCGATTCCGAGAAGCCGGAGCCAGCGTTGGGGTGGATGCCCAGTCAATCCAGGAGATCAAGTGGGACAAGGTGCAAGTGAAGGAAGATATTGAAGAGCTCCTAGGGCGAAAACAGAGTCTTCGGACACGCATTGTGGCGACAAGCGACAAGGAAGTGGAGATGCTGAGACAGAAACCGGTCAACAGCGCATCTGGGGCCGAGAACCGGCTGGAGGAGAAGATCACGAATGAACTGAAGGCGACACTGGTTTGTCTTGGGGGCGAGGAGGCGTAATGATTTTTTTCCTATAGCATTTTAGCCGTCGTTTGGGGTTTTTTGTGATTCCGTTTCATACCTTGAGGTATTCATCATTAGCTATTTCATTTCATGCTCTACGAAATATGGACGGTGGAGTGTAAAATATATTGGATAAATAGCATTTGCATCTGTTTCTTTTTAAACAAACCTTCGATAGTATGTACTTTTTTTATTTAGTTGGATCTATTGATTCTATATCAGACAGGGGTTTATTGTCTCGGGATGCCGGACAGCACACAAGACTGACATCTCACCATGCAGTCAATAGATCAAAAAGATGATGGCATTGCTGCTCCACACATACATCATCATCCCTACTTATAGTAAGGAGACCATTATTTTGTCCGAGGTCATCAGGCCGACCACCTCGGGATTTCCCCTCATTTTGCTGGGAATAACCGACACGACTCCAGGAAAATGCGGGGAGAGCTTCTATCCCAGCCATGAACGATGTGGGACACCCTGGAGCTTACCTAGACGGATAAGCCGGCTTGCGGGGGTTCATCCAGTTGGTTATGATGGATTTATGAGGGTTTGTGCTGGATAATGGGGGGATTTGGGAACACAAAATCTAACAAGGTCGATCTGTTTCCCCGTAAGACCGGAGGGGATGTTCTTCCTTTGTTGGCCGTATATCTTACACCGACTCCCCTTTCTTGACTGCAGGACAAAGAGACTGACATCTATCAATTATACGATTTGAGAATCAACGCAAATATGCCGTTCAAATCCCGCTGGCACGTCGATATCCCCGACGCTCACCTGGCTTCGCAGCTGTTTACGTCGCCCACGCGCCCTCTGTCCAAGACACATCGATGCTTCTCCGAGGCAGCTCGACCAGACACGCATTACTTTAGCATTCATGACTACCGGCTATGGTGCCAACGGTTTGCGGCTGGCCTGCGAAAATCTGGCCTCCAGACGGGGGATCGGGTGTTGCTCTTCTCCGGCAATGATTTGTTCTTCCCCGTCGTGTTTATGGGGGTTATCATGGCTGGCGGCATCTTTTCGGGTGCCAATCCTACATTTGTCGCTCGAGAACTGGCGTATCAACTTCAGGATAGCGGGTCTACCTACCTTATCTGCGCAGATACCAGCTTGGACACGGGCATCGAGGCGGCCCGAATGGCAGGCATAGAGCAGGATCGGGTGTTTGTTTTTAACAACGAAATCTTTGACGGAAGAGGTCAAGGCTTGAAGGGGTGTCGATACTGGGGGGATCTTGTGGCGTCCGTCGAGGAAGGAAGCCAATTCGCCTGGGACGAGTTGTCGACGCCGGAAAAGGCAAGTCGCACACTGGCGCTCAACTATTCGAGTGGCACCACGGGGAGGCCGAAGGGGGTGGAGATCTCACACAAGAACTATGTGGCCAACATGCTGCAGTATGACTATCTGTTCTATCTCTACCCAGATCACAAGGAGAGACGGGCCAGGGCCCGCTGGGTCTGCTTCCTGCCCATGTATCATGCAATGGCGCAGAACATCTTCATTGCAGTTGGGCTGAGACGCAAGGTTCCGGTGTACATTATGCCCAAGTTTGATTTTATCAAAGTGCTCGAGTACATAGAAAAGTTCCGCATCACGGACCTGATTCTGGTTCCACCGGTGGTGGTCGCGCTGGCTAAACATCCAGCGGTCAAGAGTGGCAAGTATGACCTGAGTAGCGTGGAGACGATTGGCAGTGGAGCAGCGCCTCTGGGAAGAGAAGTGTGTGAAGAGGTCGAGGCACTTTGGGAGCCGGGGCGAATCAACATCAAACAGGGATGGGGAATGACTGAGTATGCCCTGTCGATTTTTACCCCCTGTTACTTACTTGCTTTTGTGTGTGGCAAGAATTGGTTGCCTACAGGCTAATATGGAAACCATTGCAGGACCACATGTTCAATTATGGGATGGGACCCAACGCAGAAGAGTCACACAGCATCTGTAGGAGAGCTGAATGCCAATTGCGAGGCCAAGATTATGGCCGAGGACAACATTACAGAACTCGGACGCAACCAACGCGGTGAGCTGTGGGTACGAAGCCAGAATATCATGAAAGGATACTGGCGAAACCCGCAAGCCACTAGAGAGACCAAAACAGCAGACGGCTGGTTGAAAACGGGGGACATCGCTTACGTCGATGGCGATGGAAAATTCCATGTTGTTGATCGGAAGAAAGTAAGCAGATCTACCCTTTTGGTTGCCGCGCATCGTAGATAATTCCATACCAATCGCAACCCGCCTACCCATGTGAATGCAGAATAACTGACCCTGTTCTCCATTAGGAGCTGATCAAAGTCAAGGGCAATCAAGTTGCCCCAGCGGAGTTGGAAGCTCTCTTGCTAGAGCATCCTGCAGTTGCTGATGTTGCGGTGATTGGCCTGGCAGTGTAAGTGTTCCTCCACGAAATAATTAGCTTGAGACATGTCCAAAAAATTATTAGCTGATGCTCTCTGGCTGATAGCAACGATGACGAGCGTCCTCGAGCCTACATCGTGTTGGCACACGGCCAGACCGCCACTGCGAAAGACATTCTCGCCTTCGTGGATGGCAAAGTATCTGCCTTCAAACGGATCACCGGCGGAGTAGTTTTTGTCGATGCAATCCCGAAGAATCCTTCAGGGAAAATCCTGCGCAAGGTACTTCGTGATCGAGCCAAGGAAGAGACACAGCAGACCGCCACGGCCAAACTATAGATAATTTTCCCTCCCCCGCTTTTTTTTTATTTATTTCATCCCGTCTTGTTGGTGCAAAGAACTGGAGTGACGAATCCGCACTGGGGTTTCCATCTATGTATTGTGTTAAGATGGCGAGATCAACTGCATCAGCCTGCATGCATATCTATCAGTGAGGGGTCATTTGATCACAGTGGATACCTTCAGGTACGGAAAAGAAACAGCTCAGATACTCCGATAAAGCGAATAGAATCACCGCGGATGCACTTCCCTCTCGATCGGGCCCTCGGGCCTCTTAGGCTTCCATCAACCAGACCATCGGGCATGGTGGAGTAGAGATTCACCAAAGAAAATACAGAGTGAGTGTGTAGTTCTTGATCGAAAAGCAACGGCGCCACAGTCGATCTTCGGATTTCACCGCCACGCTGGGCTGATCGTTTGCCCCTCGACGTGTCCATGGTGCGTGATATGGCTGATTAAAAAAAATAATCCATTATTGACTCCGGTAAACGAACGAGTGGGTTTTTTTTTTTTTTTTTTTTTTTTTTTTTTTTTTTGGGACGGCTGCAGATAGACGAGCTGAAAAGAAAAGAATTAGTTGTTGTCTCAATGTAAATTGACTAACTATTACTGCCTCCATACTCACTGACTACCTTAGACACTGAACTAGATCCACCATGCATGATGAGGAGTTTGGGATAGAATGACGATCCATCTTTTGAGACAGACTGGACCGAGGAGTTAGAAAAAAATGACAAGAGAGATTCTCAACAGTGGATCTGGATGAGAGACTGGCTGAGCTGAACTGAGGATGGTGAAAGAGAAGCAAAAGAGGGAGAGAGAGAAAGAGGGGCAGACGGTCTGTCTTGAGGGAAAACTGGCGGCCTTAGACGACGAACAAAAAAAAACCTCACCACCTGGCACTCTCTGTGCTGAAGATGGGCAGCCTTACAGCCGTAATCGCTAGACGCCCTTGGATTTTTCCCTAACCGACCAGAACAAGGCCCAAAGGAGTCGACGACGCGCGCTGAGTGACTCTTGGACGGTGGCGCTGCATCACCAGAGCTGAACTCGCCTCGTCCTCCTCTCTCTACCGACTCCTTCGCCCGTGTCTTTCCCACATTTGGTCGACCACCCCGCCTGTTTTGACGGTGAACGGATGATGAAAGAGGATGGTTTTTGACTATTTGCGTTGAGGATTTGGTTCCTGTCCACTTCGTCCTTTGTCGTTCTCGTGGCTGACCGTGACACAGCTGGACCTGGGAGATCCCCTCCCCCCCTTCTCACGATGCTCTCGTCCTATCCAAAATAACTCAAACCCCGAGTGGAGTTCATGTTTTCTTCTTTGCATCTGGATTCAATTGGAATCATTAGATCATGTCGCTTCCTCGCTGTGATCGTCCCCCCCCCCCCCCTCTCCTGCGGGTATCTTTTGTTTCTTCCTGTTGGAGAAGATGGCCAGACTAGCCTTCATCATTCCAAGAACGCACCACCCTGCCGTGCATGATTATCACTATATCACTTTTAGTGCGGGTCTCACTTTGCATAAGCACCTAGTTAATTCCCACTGCACGCCTCCCGTGCTCGCTGCGGGTGTGATTGTCAAAGATCGGATCTCCAGGCCCTTGCCTCCTGTCAAATCTAAGATAAATATCCTCCTTGCTCTCCATCCCCCCTCAGTTGCAGCAGTGGATGCTATCACATCTTTTTTACGTTTCCTTTTGCCCAACTGTCATTCAACCTTTTTTTTTCTTTTTCTTACTTCTTCCCCTCTTTTCGTTCCTTTGCCTAGGTACTTAAGGACTGCCCCCCTCGATAGTCTTGTCTAAAGAAGGTTGGCATCCTGTTCTAGGGAAGAGCTTCGAAAGATACCCCAACGGCTAGAAGCTTTGAGAATGGAAAATACGGTTGTACCCAATTACCTTCAGGAATCCTCGTTATTGGCGCCTGGTCTTTTATACCCTGCCTTTTGCATCACGTGTGTTCTGGTCTTCTTCTATCGCATTAAACGTCAACGGCGTGAGTGGTATAGACCGCCAGGGAGGCAAATGGATTCGAAATCTCTTCCCCCTGGCAAGTCTAGTGGCAAACAGCCAGCTGCCACTGCGGGTCAACACATGTCTACCAGCGGGAACGTGACGGCCTCCCCCTTTCCCTCTGCTTGTGATGTTTTACGGCCACTGTCCCAAACCACGTCGCTGCCTTCTAGTGGCCATGTCGCAGCTACTGTCTTGGGACAAAAGAACCATGATCAGGCACAACCGCCTCGCCCCACTGGCACATTACCTGCTGCCCACTCGCACTCGCTTTCCAATCAGTCATCGTCCACGGGTTCAGAAGCGACTAGACGCCCTAGTGACTCATCTGAGGGTTCTGGAGATGAAAGCCGACAGCACCCGGTTTCGCTCTCTGCGGCAGCTAGCCAGCCCATTGAAGAAAGCCAACGACCAGCCCCCGGTACGCCAGACTCCAATCGAAGACCGGTTCAAAAGAATAATGAGACGACCCAAAATCTGTATGATGTAGATACAGATGGGGTCCGAACATGGAAACGATTGATCGTCGAGTACAATTGATGGGGGAGGGGGGGGGGCGTCGTCGTCTGACTTTCTTTTCTTTTTTGTCCATTCTTCTCTAATGACGTCTGTTGATTGGCCTTGATGATACATGATCTGGTATAAGCGAAGGGCCACAAAAACTAGGGCCTTCAAAATTTTTGGGTGGTGGTGTGCTTTTTCCCATTGAACATCTGTATTTACTTTTTGACGATCACCTAGTACCCATAGTACTAACTAACGATTTCCGCTGAGTTGAGCTGAATATGATGCTTTTACCTTTTAAGTACCTGATAGACTGCGAGAATAATGAGATGACGCATGTGATGCATACCATCACATCACTAACCCATCAACAAACTCAGCTTAGATAGAAAATCATCTGGTGGGATGCATGTATGTATGTTGATTGCTGACTCATCGCCTTGCTATCTCCGACTTTATTCTCCGTCTTCATCAACATTCCAACCATCACATTATGCTCACCACTCAACACGGCCAATCTCACTAGCTACGCTTACCCAGAAGAAGAAAAAAGAAATAAAATATGACGCTTACAATTTCCCCCCCAACAAACGACTCTCGCGACCTGGCCGTCCTAAATCTATCCCGCCTCTTCGCCCGACTAGAACACAACCTCCTCTCTCCATCAGCAGACCTGAAATCTCTAAGACGATCTGAATACCAGCGCATGAGAGTCGGAGCTGTACGTTCTTCCTCAATATATTATTCAATCCATGTAGGGGAAGAAGATGCTCACAGACACAGAATGTAGAATACGCCCGCACCAACCTCCACGCCCTCGAACGAACACTCCCAACAATCAAAGCTCTCGACCACCGCCACGAACTCCAAACCGATCTTACCCGTAAGCGACAAACACTGAAGCTACTCCAGGATATCCTGGATGATATCGCAGCCGAAGCGGAAGTGCGCAGTGCCAGAGAAGCGGAAGCTCACGTTGCCGATGCCGATGATGATGACGACGATGACGCGGAGGAAGATTTACTGGATGGGGAGGATGCGATTATTACGCCCGAGGGGGATAGTACACCTGAGAGGGTGGATTCGTCGGTGGAAGGGGGAGACTTGAATCGTGACGATGTTGTTGGTGATGATGTGGCATCACCGCAAGACGAACAACAATCACAACAACAACCCACACCTATAACGACAACGACAACGACACATGATAATACCCTTGTCCCTACGACAACCATACCAGCAATAACGACAGAAAAACCAACCCTCCGAAACCGTCACCACACCCAGCCCTCCCAATCATCCGCTACAGCAGCAGCAACCGCAACAGGCACCTCTCACCACGACACCCAATCAACCGAACAAACTCTCTCCACCCACCGTCTCGAACAAGAAGACCTCACTTCCTCCCTTCTCTCGCTCGCTTCCCAGCTCAAATCCTCCTCCCAGTCCTTCCAGTCCGCCTTGGACTCGGAGAAATCCGTCCTCTCCCGTGCGGTCGATGGTATCGATCGCACGACGACGAATATGGAGGCAGCTGGAAAGCGGATGGGATTATTGCGACGGATGACAGAAGGCAAGGGGTGGTGGGGGCGGATGATATTGTATGCGTGGATTTTTGGACTCTGGCTTGTCGCGATATTGATTGTCTTTTTGGGACCGAAGCTGAGGTTCTAGTTTTATTGGTGTTATATTAATATAGGGTTGAATACATAGCGTGCATGTTCATGGATACTTTAGGCGACATTAACCAGTATAATTCCTATTACATCCACTATCCACGTAGGATATCAAAAGTAAAAATACAGAAAACCAGATTTATTTCACAGTTCCTAAACCCTGACTATGACCCAATGACCGACCCGGCATGACACATGAGAAAAGACATGATAATCCGTATCCTGTCATTCCCTCGTGCCCATGGCCCAATTGTCGCTCATTGCTCCCAACGGACGCGAGACCAAGGAGAAGGATTGCGCGACGTATAGTTACACAGGACTGATGACGAAGGGCACCAAGAGATGATAAGAGGATATCCAGCTTTCAAAAAAAAAAATGAAACACATGAAAAAGGAAAAATGGAGACAGAATGAGGGAGTTGAGGGGTAGTAAAAAAGATTTTGGGTGAAACACGGGCGTTGGGAATCAAAACACATAACCTCAGACTCGACGCGAGCCCTAAGGGATGAGAGAAAGTCCACAAATAACCCGCTGCTGCTCATGATGAAGAAAAAAGAAACTCCTGCTCTGTGTCATAGGTATGGATATCGGTGATAATGAACAAAGAGCCGGCTAGATATCATAAATAAAGAGAAAAAAAGGAAAAGAAAAAGAAAAGGGAAGATTAGTAAAAGAGATAAGGAAAAGAATGTCTCAACGCCAGGGTCTTTAAAACAGATGAAAAGTCGCGACAAGGTATGACAGAAAAGAAGCGCATCCAAAACACAAGAGAAGTCACTGATGTCAGATTACAAGCCACATAGCGTACGGTCTAAATGTTGAGACGTCCTCACTCCATCACATGGTCATTAAATCAAACCACAGAGTCTGAGGTTCTCTTGGATGATGATATCTAAACACGACCGTCAGTAACCAAGCACCAAAATGGCATAGAAGGGACCATTATAACTTACCGTTTACTGCAGCCATAACGAACCGAATCTGTGTGGTATCAGTGGCACAGGTGAAGTGGGTGTAGATCTGCTTCTGCTCTGCCTGGTTCAGAGAAACGAAGCGGTTGAGAATGTAGTCGCAAGCGGCGGCGTAGTCGGCACCGCCTTCATAGTCGGGGAAGTAGTTCTTCATGGGGCTGACAGGCAGCTTCTCCTTGAAGCGATCGATCTTGTTGAGGAACAGAATGATGGAGGTCTTGACGAACCATCGGGAGTTGCAGATCGAGTCGAACAGAGTGAGGGCTTCTTGCATACGGTTGACGGTCTCGTCTTCGAACAGCAGCTGATCGTATTCGGAGATGGCGACCAAGAAAAGAATAGTTGTGACGTTCTCGAAGCAGTGAATCCACTTCTTTCGCTCCGATCGCTGACCACCAACGTCGAACATCCGGTAGGTCAAGTCGCCAATGATGAAGGTAGTTTCAGTGATACCAGTGGTCTTGACACGAGAGCGGAGGACATCCTGATCGGTGGGGAGGTAGTCGGGCTGGGCAATACGTTCAATAGCATCGAAGTAGCTAAAGAGATTTTATTAGCGAATAGTCTCCTAATCGGAACTCAACCAGAACTCACTATTTGGCGGAGTCGTTCAATTGGTATTCACGCGACCGCTTGAAGCACTCCTGCACACCGGTGTCGCGCCACAAGGCTCCGATAGCACCACCAACTTCCGGGGGAAGGCTGTCACCCTCAATCTGAGCGGGCTGCATAAAGATGGTTTGGACGTGGTATTCGTGACGAGCGTCCTCCAGGGGAAGTTCGAGCGACTCCATGGCCTCCAAGATAACGCGCATCGACTGGACAGTGTTGCTGTAGATGATTTCCTTGAATGATTCTCGCTCATCGCGCGAGTAACCGCCCTCGTGAATGAGTTTCATCTGCTTCAGAATTGTCGACTTGCCAGACTCTCCGGCACCTGTAAATCCATCAGCCGATCATCCATCAAAAAGACCCCTAACCGAAAAAAAATTCATACCGAGCAAAAGCATCTTAATCTCATTTCTCTGCATCATCTTATCCCGCTTGAGCTGGTTCTCAATCTCCTCGTTGCGGGCCTTGCCCTCCTTGTCTTCAGTACTCATTCCACAACCCATTTTGGCGGTGGTCGATTCAAGTATTCGGGGATAGAACGAAAGTGTAGTTTCTGATTGTTGGGTCTATATCAGACTGATGATGATAGAAAAGAAAATGTTAGCCCAGAGGTGAATTCTCCAACGGCGACCGGATCGCAATGAGTAGCCCGCTTGGGGGGGAAGATGTGGTACAAAAAAGAGAGGGGAACCACGGATGGCAATTAAAGAATGTAGCAAATGAGTGAGACTCTGCTGACGCGAGGTATCGCAGCTGAAGGGTGCAGAATTCCAGAATGTATCCAGGCTGATACAAAGAACCGAAAAAGCTGGAACACGGAGAGAGAAGAACATGGAAATAGGGCGACTCACGCAGCGCGAATTCCCTTCCGAGAAAACGATGTATCACTTCCCTTTCACACAAAGGACGGAAGATCAAAGGAGAATTGAAATCCAAGGGGGTATTTTATTAGACCGCAAAGGAACGGAATAGTGGAAAAAATATACGCGCGCACGGGAGCGATCCAGCGTAAAAAAAAAAGGAAAGGCGAAACACGATGATACACCTAATATAGGTGAAGCAGGAAAAAGAAAAGAAAAAAGATTACCAGGAGAGGAATTGGCACGAAGCACTTCCTGGTAGTCAAAATGAATTTTCAAATTTCGACAGATGGATTGAAAGAAAGGAAGAAAGAAAGGAAGACGAAGAAAAGAGAGTCGAGGAGAGAGAGAGAGAGAGAGAGAGAGAATGAAGACGGGATGGTAGGATTAAGGTCAGAGCCGGTAAGGGGGGAGGGGGAGAAAAGGCGAAAAGAAAGGAGGGGACGGTACGTTACGGTATCGCTGGTACAGAGTGGGGCGCTGGGGCTTCGGAGGCCGCCAGTGATGGAGCGAAACGGCTATTTAGGCCAATCAGAGGACGATGATGAACATCCCCCCTTTTGACGAGGGCTCCATTGCGCGTTATGGTACGGTATGGTATTGTGCAGTGGACGGTCTACAGATGGTCTACAAGGTTGAAACAACGTGTGACGGAGACGAGATGATTTGCAGCAGAAGAGCAGAATAATAATAGGATTCAGGTATGAAGGGAAGGACATTGGCCAGGATAATAACATCAGGAGAAGTGGATAAGCTGCATGGCATGGTGGAAGACCCGAAGAATATGCTGACTAGCGGACCATTACTAAGCTCCCAATTTCAGGAGAGAGAAGATACAGAATCAAAGATGGATATATTTACAGATAGACATGAGTATAGGGATAGAATACTTATATAGATAAAGATAGAAGATAACGATAGAGGAGGAGAATATCTGTACCTCGGGGGTTTCCTGCAGAAACCTCATGGTATGCAAAGCGACCGCCACGCGGTGGAGATGATACCTATCCTATTCTTCAGTTCCACAGATACAATAACACACAGTACCTATTCTACTATACACTCTCTTAATAACTAGACAGTAACTGGATAATATGACAACTGCTGATATCAAAATCAGACAATAACACTGTAGTGCACTGTATCATATCAGGTGTTTCTCCAGCTGATATCAATCCACACTGTCGATCCTTTTCTCCGCATCCACATCAAAAATCCTCATCTCATCTCCTGAATGAATCAACCCGTCCATTAAGACGATAATAAAGAGAGGATAATAATATAGAATACACAATTCTAATTAATATCGACAAAGAATCGAGTCTTTCATATTAATATTCACCAGTCCCAGCCCTCAACTCGCTGCTCGCCGACTCCACTGCCTAGTGCTTCTAGTCGGCTTCTTTACCGCACGCTATTCCGCCATGCCCCTGGATTGCTTGACTCGCGCTCATCATCGCGTGGCGAGCTGAAATAAATGGATCCGACTATTGACGCCGGTCGGTATTGCTCTCACCTGGTTTTACACTCCCCCAGTCTGCTCCTTATCATCCTCAGATTCACAGGTGATGTGATGCGAAATGCGACCGATTCCTCGGGTTCATGTGCTGTGCAAAATGAGGTCATCTTCGACACTCCACGATGCTCTATCTTAAAAGACACATAACACCAATCTCACTGATTCAAAGCCATCTGATGGACGAGTCAGAAATGCTTGTCCAACCACAAACTTTCGCATCCATGGATTTCAGTTCAGAATCCTCCGTACGGGCCTACGGACCTACGGTTCCAAAGGCTGTCCAAAGACACGCCTCGTCTGGTTCATCTCATCTTCGTCGGACCATCCGACCATCCATATCTGGAAATAAAAATCAGATCTGGCCATCGCCACATTGATTTATTCCATGCAGATACGAGCAAAAAGACCCTTGGGAGCGGAAAAACTGGGCAGATCTCGCATTTCTCCACCGACTGCGACCGATTCACTCTAGGGCATCTCCGATCTTCACAAGGAACTGAACTGAACCATTCAGCATTCTCAGCCGCAGTCCAGTTTCTGTTCCTCATTGTTTCTTTTCCAATAATTCGTCCCAGAGTCGGATTGTCGGATTTTCGTTGCAGTTTTTTTCATTCATCATTGTTCTACAGCCATGTCGCATGAAATGTCCCACATTGGTCCTCGGGGTGAGTCTCCTCTTCTCTCCACTTCTCACTATGATCTGTCTTTGGTACCTGGTGCCTGATCGATCGATCGCTAATTGAGTTAGCCTTCAACCATGACCAGTCTGGCGACGCAGAGGCCGAATATGATCGTCTTCGCAATCTAGCACGGCAAGAAGCCTCAAAGCGCGGCTCCTGCTTTCACAGAGTACGCCATCCCTCGATTCCTCTCCCGCCAAACCGCCGATTACAAGTCCACCAGCTAATCTACCCAACGATAGTCCCAGGAAGCCTATCAAAATGGCGATGGCGCAGCAGCCAAAGAATTGTCGGAGCAGGGAAAGGCTCACGGCCGTAAGATGGAAGAGTACAACAAGCAGGCCTCCGAGTTCATCTTCCGCGAAAACAACGCCAATGGTCGTGTAGATGCCGATACCATTGACCTTCACGGTCAATTCGTCGAGGAGGCAGAGGAGATTCTCGAGGAGAGAATCAAGTATGCCAAGGCTCATGGGCAGACTCATCTTCATGTGTATGTCCTCCGCTATCCGTCCTACTCCTGTGTACTAGGCTCATCCGTTTGTTTGTTATGTAGCATCGTCGGCAAAGGCAATCACTCCGCCAACCACGTCCAGAAAATTAAGCCCCGCGTCGAACAAGTCTGCCAGGAACTCGGTCTCCAATACGCTACCGAAGAAAATGCCGGTCGCATGTACGTGAACCTCACCGGTGGTGCCGCCGATATGCCAAGTAGCGGTCACCACGCCTCGCACCAGTATCCCGGCCAACAGCAACAATCACACCAGCAGCCTCACCAACAGCAGCAACAGCAGCCCGACGAGATCGAGCAAATCGTCAATGCTGTCCTGCCCAGGATTATGCGCAAGCTGGAGAAGGCTTGCTGTGTTGTTATGTGAGGCTACACCAGCTCATGCACGCGATATATACAGTTTTATGGTTATAATGGGTCATTTATTCTTCATTGGATGAAGAGAGAATCTTCCTGGATTCATTGACTTGGATGATTTGACGTATTGGACCGATTATACCCAGTTATTTACTTTGTTTCGTTGGTTTAATAAAACTCTTTTGGTTATGGATAGAATGATAGTCAAGATAGAATATGCTTTCCATCCGTCCAGACAAATGCTTGTTTCCAATTCATATTATTCAATTCCATCCTAGTTGCAGTACATACGACTAAACGAGGGTATAGCGCTCATGGAACAATATATCAATGTGAGTCAAAAATAGAGACAGCTATCGCTCCTTCAATGTCGCCTCAGTGATTTTATCGAGAATTGCTCGCACCATTGCCCCGTCCTGCTGTTCTTCCGCTTGCATTTCGCCTTCGATCTCATCAATCAGCGCCAGTGCCTTGCCGCGCAGATTCCTAATGACCTCCTGCGTATATCCAAAACTGCCGGTAGTTTCCATATACTTGATCGCGTATAGCTTGACCTCATCATCCTTGGTTCGTTGTTTAAGAATGCTAATGAGCTGGTGGTTGCCCGGGTTGGTGCGTATACTGTGGATAATAGGGAACGAGAATTTACCCTCCGTGAGATCCTCGCAGAGCCCTTTGTTTTTCGTATACGTGGTATGGGACAGGTTGAGGTAGTCGTCGCAGATTTGGAAAACCAGGCCCAGGACATTCACGAGACGCACGCAGTCTTTTCCGGAGCTGCTTTCGGCCTGCATCAATTTGACCGCGAGTCGGAATAGTCCGCCTGTTTTGTTGCCTACCATGTCCAAGTACTCGTCTTCGCTTGGGCAGGTGAGGGTGTCTCGCCAGAAAAGGTCCATTCCCTGGCCGCGGTGGAGGTTGAGGAGTTCCTTGGCGAAGATGTCGATTGCTTCGGGGTTGTTTAGTTTCTGGACTTCCTGGAGAGCTTGGAAGTAGACGTAGTTTGCTGAGTTTATAGTCTGAGCTGTCCCGAAGATGTTGTGAGCGACGGGGATTCCGCGGCGGAGGATTGAATTGTCTTCTACATCGTCGATTCTAGTCAAGGTGCATTAGTTTATGAGTCAACTGTGGTGAAAGAATGAGCTTACAGCAAGGAAGCTGTATGAAGCATCGCCACCACCTTATTGATAATCTCAAGACTCTCCGAGGGGACCTTCAACCAAGCATCGAACGCAGCGATGAGCTGCCGCCGAATATCCTTGCCCGGGTGCTGTAGCATATAGTCATACGGACCCAGGAGAATCTCCTCACTCCTCTGCGACCACTGCCCATCTTTGTATTTTGTGCCATCCAGACTAGATTGGTTCCGGGTGTGTTTGATAGCAGTGTCGGTGTTTGTTTGGAGGTGTTTCCCATCCGCCTCGGACACCAAATTCATACTCGATTTAGCTGCACTGGCCATGTCGGAAGCTGGAAGGGATGGTTCGGTAGACATTTTGTGCCTTTTTGATCATTTGTATCAGGAATAGTTCTGCCTTTTACTCCCTAGGCCACCGTGTTCTTGAATATGAACGGGGGGTATATGATGGATCAGAACGATAAAACCGGCTCCAGCTGCGTGGGGATGATGGCACAAATGACGTGGCCAATATTCAGGGAAAAATGCTTGCGCGACCTTTAAACTCTGAATATTTCTATCCAGGGTGAAGTGCAGGAAGAACCATGGTCAGTTGGCGAGGAAAAAGGGCGGTGATTAACGTGGGTATATACGAGGGGTAAAAAAAGAGCCATGACGCAGAGTATCACATGTGCCCCGCAATGGATGTTGACGATGATCGGTTCGACAGGAACGAGATGAGATCTCGGTGTCAGTAGTTGAGGAATTTATCTGCAGCCGAGTGGAAATGATAGGCTGGATTGAAAAAGGGAGCGTGAAGGGATGAGAAAAAACTGCAAGGTGCAGGAGGGGGACAGTAAGGAGCTACAAGACTACCACTGCTACAACAACTGACAATGGAGATAGAGAGACATAAGATACAATTATATGAGCTCCAGAAGAACCTGTTCATTAAGATTGACAATCTTAGCGCCTGATCTGAGCCATCCATGATCATCTGTACCCATCCCCAATCTCTCCATCCAGCACAAAACCAGCTCTAGTGGATCACCCCGGGCAACCATCGTGTGTTTTTGTGGTGGAGAGCGACAACGATATGGATTGATCGGCTTCAAATCAGGGCACAGACAGTTCATAGCCTATTTTTCAATAACAAATCATCCTCAGCCTCGGTCTTCATCACACTTAATTAATTAAGGTATATTTAGATATCCCATCACGTCTGGGTGGCTGGGTCAATCCCATTATCTTCCTAGATAAACACCCTGGGTCTTTTCTTCTCTTCTCTCTTCTTCTCTTTTTCTTCTTCTTTTCTTCTTTATCTTTTTCCCATCTCATTTATTGACTTCATTTATTTATTTATCTCTATCACTTCCCCATGGAGACTTTATTAGCACATTCATTCGACTATCTCTCCTCCTACGAACCCAGCAAAGTCCGTAAAGGATTGCGCCAGGTCGAAGGCCTCCTCGCCCAAATATGCCTGTCCAAGTCGAAACAACCGGCGCCTGATAGAAGGCGTTCATTATTATCCTTCAACACTCCTCAGCCCGTGCCCAAAGCCCTGTCCGAGCTCAAGGACGATCCCGCGTTCAGGGAGTTTTTTAAATTGCAGGAAGGTTTCCAGTGGAACGGTTCGTGCTTCGTTTCTCTCCCGATGGCTTCACAACCCACTGACTCGTGAAACAGTGGCCATGCGCCTGGTGACCTGTCTCGAGCATCTTCTGGGACGAGGCAGCACTGGCACCAACGATCTCCTCATCGTCTCCACCCTCGACCTTATCCAGGGCACCTTGCTCCTCCACCCGCCGTCGCGATCGCTGTTTGCCCGTGAAATCTACATGAACCTGCTCCTCGACCTGCTGGATCCCATCAACTGCCCAGCCATTCAGTCCACTACCCTCCTCACCCTCGTCACAGCCTTGTTGGATCATCCCGCCAATACACGCACATTCGAAGAGCTCGATGGACTGCTCACCGTGACATCCTTGTTCAAGCAGCGCGCCACCTCGCGCGAGGTCAAACTGAAGCTGGTCGAGTTCTTATATTTCTATCTGATGCCCGAGACCCCCACGACGACTGTTGCTTCACCAGTGGGCGCCAGTGCGCCCAACACAGCAATTATGGGCCAGCGCAGTCCGAGCAAGTTGGCCTCAAAGCCCTTTTCCAGGAGTGTCAATGCCGAACCCCAGAACAATGGTAAAGGAGGTCGCGATACACGGACTACAGATGAGAAGCAGGCATTACTGGGACGATACCTCAATAATGTGGAAGATCTGGTAGAGGATCTTAAAGAAACGGCTCCATTCGGGGCGACCGTCTATTAGAAGATGGAACGATTATGATGCATTACAGGGTTTCGGATCAGGTTGTACATTGAGCGACGGAGTGTGGATTGCTTAGGATATTGGGATTGGGCTGGTCTTTGGATTTCTTTTCTTTCTGGTTTTCATTTCTCTTCTTTTTCTTCTTTTCTTGGTTCTTCTTCTTCCACACCCGTCCGGTACGGCTTCAGGATTTTCGCATTTTCTTCGCCCTTTTTATGTCTTTTTTTTACTTTCTTTTTATTTTTCTTGTCTTCCCTCGTCCATGTCTACACGACCTCTTTCGTTTTGTTCATCTCTCATGACCCTCCAGGTCAACACTGATGTTTCATGGTGTCATGCTTCTGAACGACCTTTGAAAGGAATGACTCATCTTCAATGATAATATGAAATTTGAAATCAGCCTTGACTGCAATTGATACAGAACATAGTAGCTATTCTGACTCGCCCATCAACCGGGAGGGAAAGACAATACAAGCCCTAGAGCTGTTGTACTACCCAAACCTTTGTCGCCAATGACTTGAGACTCTTCTCCGTGAACAGAATATCTCTCTCGGACTCCCCTGCAGGCCGTAAAAACAAACTCTCGAAGGCGATCCTCAATGGAGCGTTTGAAATATGAATAGCCCCCTCTCCTGGTCTTCTAGACATGACTACTTGCTGCATCATCACTGGCGCATGTCTGTCTGGGTTTTCCCTAGTCGGCCGTTCCATCATCTCCCATTTCTGTAAGACGATTTCCTCTTTCTTTTGGTGGACTGAGATTGTGAGAGCAGTCCGCACCTCGCCGTTGGATTCAGCCAGCCACCACTGTGCATCTGTCTGGAGTTTCGATTTTGATTCAGAGTAACCAGTTTCCACAACCGCAGATGGCCATTTCCTCGTTCGACCCTTCGGGAGTTCGACGGGGACATACTCCTGATCTGCCTTCTTCTGTCGGGATTGTGTCTGGACCTGGGCAGATCCTATGAAACACATATTGTCTGAAAGTCCCATCTCAAGTATCTCCTCCTGTATCATCGCCGTAATGCCTTGGGCTGCCTGTTCGTGGACTTGTGTTGTCATTTTGAGCAAAAGAATGCTCTTGATGGGATCGTAAGCGCTGATAGGCGGTTTTTCTTCGAGTGTTTGAATCTTGTTGGTAAATACGTCTTCGTTGACGTCGAAGAAGATTATAAAATCGGTTCCCTTGTCTGGTCTGTTGCTTTTTAGGTTAAGGATCTGTTTGTAGTGGTCTATTCCCCCGTAGTGATATTCATTGGTCCCTGGGGGGATGCCATCCAGGATGTCAGGGACATGGTCAATCTCATAATATATTGGCATTTTGGGCTTAGATGCAGTTCTTTGTACGTTGTATAAAGCTGAGTGTTATTTAGGGAAATAATAATACTAATGATCTGTCAATTAGAGTATTACTATGGTGTTATTATGCATGACTTCATAGTGACCAGATGTATATAAATATACCTCTGTGGCACTTTATGTTCAACTAATTTAGATGAAATCCAAGACCTCATCGATTTGAGATATTCTACTTCAATTCTTCAATTGAGATAGTAGCCTCTAACGTAGTTATTAGATACTCGTGATAAAATTTTCATAGACTCGTATACCTCGGATATTAACGGTGACTCATGTGTCTCAGTCCACCAACATGAAATCTCTTCAATATATATGCGGGGTTGCACCTCTACTTGGCTTACTGCTCTAATTAAAATATCTTCATCATTTACCTTTGAAATATTCAATATGGCGAATACAATCCAAGAGATGCTGGGGGCAACGCCCTCTCAGCAACCCATCCAGTACATGGAGACTGTAGATGCATATAACAAATGGGCCGAAGTGAGCTACACCCGCCCATTCAGACATTCAAAGATAAAGATTAACCATTATATAGGTATACGACACAGACGGCAACTTCCTCCAAGGCCTCGACACTATTGAAATGCGCAGTCTACTGCCCTTTTTCCTAGCAAAAGTCACAAATGCCCAACAGCCTGTTAGAATAATCGACCTCGGTTGTGGAACGGGTCGAAATACCGTCCCGTTACTCTCGATGACATCGTCAGATACCAAGATTATAGGGCTGGATGCATCACCGGGTATGCTGGAAGTTGCGCGTGGAGCACTGGATAGAGCCAGAAACGGAGATAGCGATTCTCGGATCACGCTGGGGATTCTTGACCTACGACAGTCCCCTCCTGTGCCACCGGAGTGTGCGCTAGATGCAGCAGGGGTCATCTCAACGTTGGTACTAGAGCATATCCCGCTCAAGGAGTTCTTTGATGGTGCTTCGGCGGTGTTGCGTGCTGGGGGTCTGTTGCTTGTTACCAACATGCACTCGGATATGGGGATGATAAGCCAGGCGGGTTTCGTGGATGTTGCGTCTGGGACTAAGATTCGACCGACGAGTTACTGTCACCGGCCGGGGGATGTGGTGGATGCAGCAGAGAAGGCAGGGTTCCAGGTGGAGGGGTTTGAGGAGGGTGAGAAAATTCGAGAGAGAATGGTGGATGAGGGGCTTGTGGAGGTGTTGGGCAAGAGGGCGAGGAAGTGGGTTGGGATCAAGGTGTGGTTTGCCATTTGCTTTAGGAAGAAAGCATGAAAAAGAGCGCTAGGCCTCTGATTTTTAGTAGATTTCGCATTCTGTCAACGATGGGACATTTCATCCATCATTACTTGCATTGAGAACGTTATGATGGTAGTGTACAAAGTGGCCATTCAGCCAGTTGAGATTATTCAATAGGGAAGTGATCCTCATTCTAAAAGAAGTTCAGCAATCTTTCGCGATGTTGTACCAGGTTCTCGTGTCTCCTCAACAACTGTCCCAGTCGGTTTTGTTTCCACCCCATTCCCTCGTCCAGGATCAAATGCGTGTATGCAAAGACGCTGGCATCGAACAGGCCCGGGTTGGGACGATCGAAGAAATGCTGATTGTCGCCTAATAGAGTGGACAGGGCCTCGAATGCATTGCCTGCCTCCGCTTCCAAGTCGCCGACATCGATATACTGCGATGACTTCAGAAGTTCGTCCCGCGCAGCCTGCTGGAGCTGGGTACCCAGAGCGACTCGGACCAATGTGCTGGTAGTCGATGGGTCCACGTAGAGTCTTCGCGCAACCGCCTGGAAGTTCTCACTGTCGAGATACAGTGCGTATAGCTACTTGCGTGTAAGCATGGTCCTTACACCTATCGAATGATGTTGCAGATACATACCCAAGCATTTCGTATCCGGTGATCCAGCAAAGACGAATACACATCAAATCGGATATTCAACTGCTGTTCCTCCTCGCAGTGCACCTGTTCGATGGCCCATTTTTGAAGCTTGCCCGAAGGGATCGGGGTCTGTGTACCGGTTGGAAGAGCGGGAAGAAGGAAAGGAAGAGAGCCGGTTGGAGAGGCATGGTTATTCGAGGGAATTGTTTCGATCTCGACTCCGACAAATTTGAGATATGCCTGCACAGAATATACTGTTAGCCCCAGCCCACGAAGCAATCGACCGAGGCATCACCAACCTGCCACTTCAAACATTGCGGGTTAAAAGATGGCCTCCCACGCCTGGCACCCGCTGCATCTGCAAACACAAACAACCGATTACTGCGCTTATCCGACCATTGGTAGTGAGGAAGATCATTCGAAGGATATGTGGTAAGAGGGAACCGATCGAAGATACGTTTTATCGGCGCAGGGACGGAGAAGAAATCCCGGGCGCGCGACAGGGCGACATTGTCCGGCATCGTCTGGCCGGGGCCATCGTGACTTTCGGGGGACATGGGGAGATATAAATAATCAGATGAGGTGTTCCAGATCAAAATAAGACGAACGCAAGCCTGCCAGATGCGGTATGCCTATGCGGTGCACCAAGGGGTTCCGGCAGCGTCATAAATAACAATCGTCTCATTCTCGACTCCGCCAAGCCTCGCGCTTCCACCGTCTTTTCTGCCGGCTGCGATCGTCTCGCCCGCAACAGCCCCCGCACCCTCGCAGCCTCATCGCTCCCTCGTGGTTCTCTGATTAAAGATCATAGGCGGGGTTGCTGTCTTTCACCCCATTGATCATTCGACGATCTTCTATCCCCCTCCTTCTGTCCTGATCGATCTGTCTGCCAAAGTTGTCGTCTCCGACTCCGGGCACTCTCCCCACTTGGTCTCTGACAACCGGTCCGTTCCGCACTGAAAGACGTGCCTGTGCAGGAGAAGAAACTCCGGTCGCCTTTTTTTCTGCCGTCCATGTCGGTTTTTTTGAATGCGACATCTCTCCAACATCGTTGCTTTATGAACCTGGCGGAATTCAAAATCTTCATTCCTGTCCGGATCGTACGATCGGATCAATAAGCGGGGTAGCGGCTTTGCGCGTCTTGCGTCGGGCCTTGCGACTCAACAGCTTCATTCGGTGACAGATGGTGTGTTGAGGTCAATATATACCATCTGTCATCATGCCTCTCGATGAAGAAGGCGCCAAATGGTCATGGTAATGCTCCGGAGCTACTGGGTTGTTCATTCGCAAATGCTAAATGTTACCTCGAATCTCTAGTGAGCCATGTATCCGTGGCCATCGATCGTCAAAATGCCAGCATTTCGACAGACTGATGATGAAAGTCCCCAAAGCCGGGCGTCCGCTTGCGAAATGTCCTCATCCGAAAGGCACATGCAGCTGTCAGAAGTTGTATGCGTTCATGATTCGTATACCGAAAGGTACGTGATATGATCGTCTTCGGAATTCTACTCCTGCTTTATAGAACATCCGCTAACTTTGAATCCAGGTCCTACTTGTCTCTGCAGGCCAGTATACCAACTGCCCGCTGATGGGGATGAGACCGGTCAGCCTACCATTCCCACGCCGCCGGCCTCGATTCCTCCGATGGCTTCCCCGGTACCGGGCAAAGTGCAGAAGTCCGGCAGAAGGCAAAGCAATCTTCAAGCGGCACCGGAGAATATTGTCAAAGCATTGGACTCGGTATCCCAATTCGAAGCCCCGCAAATTCAGAATGGAATTTCGAATAACTTATCTTCCTATCCGGCTCATACGCCTGCATTTAACAACTCATATGGACCTTTGAACCTAGGATTCAATGGAAACATGACCCAGCATTCTTTTGACCAAGTCGAAAGTTCAACACAACAGAAAGGCAGCTGTTGCTCCAGTAAATCCGAACCGCCCAAACCAGTTCAGGCCAAAGGTCCTTGTTGCGGAAAGTCGGATTCACCAGCGGATAACAGCCCCAGTGGTGAGACCGGGATAGAAGAAAGTAAAGGTTCTCATGTCGCACCTTTGCATGGGATGCCGTATCCTCCATTCTCAACCCCTCAGGTATCGACTTGGCAGGATTTCAATGTACCGGGACAAGGTCAATACATGCAGCCTTTTGTCATGCATCAACCACAGGCTCAACTGCCAGCTTATCTGCCTGAATACATGTCCAGCAATGCCACACCCACCCCGATGGGCTACCCACACCAAAGCATTTCCCAAGATATATTTGCTCAGCCTCCCTTGTCATCTTTACCCGAGAATGCTCCGCAAAACTTCACATTTACACCTCCGCCCACATTTGATAGTGATTCAACCCATGAGTGTAGATGTGGTGACGGCTGCCAGTGCTTAGGTTGTGCTTCCCACCCATATAACAACACCACGAGACAGCATGTTCAGGAAATGGGTCTCTTGGTTACTCTTGATGATGGAAAGCAAAGCCCAGACAAAATGAATGGCCACCAAAACCACTTCCCTGCAAGCACTAATGGAACACCATTGGCCTACTCCTTCCCTCACTTCGGCCATCAGCTGAATGATGATATTCAAGCGAACGCAATGCACTCGTATCCTGAACAGACAGCTTACCCCCACAATGGCTACTCATCTCCCACCGACTATGCCCAGCAGCTAATGGAGCCTTCGGAATACTATACTCTCGAGTACCCTGTGGGACTACCAAATGCTTGTTCTGACATGTCTGGCAGTTGCCAGTGCGGAAATGACTGCAGCTGCATTGGATGTCTTACCCACAGCGGCCACAACGGTGTTCCGCTCGAGCCTCCAGTTACGACTGCCGAAGATGCTGTTCACCAAGCAACGCAGGAACCGTGGTCGTCTTCAATCCCAGCGGGCGTTGATTCGTCGCGGATACCAGTGTTGGATAACCTCTCTGTTCCAGCTTCGAGTCCACAAGCCATAGACCCATGAACCACTCAGCCCTGTCTTACGAGGAGATTGTTAGACATTCTGAGTGTCTCACGGGAAATTTTTGATGATTATGATACCCCCCTCCATAGATACTGAATCTTAGAGCTCACGAACGTTTCTTTCTCACTTCCTGTTTCTTACTTAATCTTTGGCGGATACGGAAAAAGGATACCTTAAGGCGCACTTTGGTTTATTCCCCTCTCTTTTGTTTGAGTCAATTGCTCATGCTGGTTACTTTTCAATGACTTTTTTTTTGTTGTGCGGTGTCCCTTCAATGTACTTATTTCTAAAAGGACCGGTTTGTCTTAACGACATGGATTGGAATGGTCATGAAATAAGAATTTGCTTTACGGACTATGCAATTGACCTGATTTAATAAGCCCTGAGATTCGAATATAATCGAAAAGGGCAAAGGAGTCAAACTACCGAGATTCCTAGGAATGTGATGTAAGAGGTGCACAAAAGGTGCACAAACTTGAAAAAAGTCCGGACTCAACGACCATAAATTGCATGCTAAAAAGAAAAAAAGCAAGTCTAGAAATTTCTTCCTAAACCCATGATACCACCATCTAGCTTGTTTTCACCACCTGTACAGGTATCGTACACGATAGAATTCCGGGGTATTTTTACCGACGCAGAGCCTCTCTCAGGGGCGAGTCGCCTCGTCGGAAGGAAGCTATATCAATTGTGTTAGTTATTGCTTTGTAGTAATCTCGCGTCCCAACAATGGCCGAAACCTAGGATACGAGAAGCTGGGGAAATTCCACATACAGTCTGCCTCTTCCCAAGCACGTCCGGCACCGAATCCGAGACCAACCCAGGCGGGCCAAGCTCTACGCTTGAAGAGAAGAACCGAGAAGACAACACCGAAGGAGAGACCGAGGGAAGAACGAATGAGCATGGAGGAGATGGCGCGGTCCCACTACAAAAGTATTAGCTGATAGTTCACCCGCGATTGGTGTGCCGTTGGCCAGAGATGGGAGGGATTGAGATTCAAGAATCTCGTCCATATTAAGCCCGGCTTTGACAATGACTGAAAAATAGAACGGGCGTGCTATACCTTTTCGTTCAGCAAGGCCTCACTGACAGGCTTGGTTGCCGGCACGACCGGGCGGGATTCGTTGGAGTCGGCCATTGCGGTAAATCTGAACGGTCAATTATTAGCTGCCAGCTCCAATAATCAAGATGCACAGGTTAACAATAACTCACTTATTTGCAACAGACGGTAGGAGTGAATGGAGCAAAGAGTATGTCAAGGGAGGTGTTTCGGGTGCGGACGTTGATCGAGCTCTGCCGGCCAAAGGCGGTCGGAAAAACTAGGCTGGGGTTCCGCCTTTCTCTGGCGTCAGTTTTCGGGCGTCTCTTTTTTTCTCTTTATCGTACTTTTGGTAGATGCGCTCAGGAACACCCCGCTCTTGTTTTCCATCGGGGACTTGATTCAAAACCATCTCGTTCGGGATGCCTTCAGCTGCGGAGGTGGGTTACTCTTTTGTCCGATTTCTTTTAGGTTCGAAGTAGAGAATGCCCAGCTAATACGTGGGATTTACCCCTGCAGCGCCCGCGCTCCCAAGAGGCCTTGCTCCGGCTTGAAAAGGGTACTGCCTCACCAACCACCCAGCTTAATGAGGCTGCCCAGATCATCGGTCTCGATCTTACATTGTGCGCCAGCCATCCGGAAATCAACAGAGCCTCTCAGATTCAAAACAATGCCGCCCCGAAGGAAGAATGGGTACTCCGGTGGTTATTAAAGAAATTGAAGACGGGGAAGAATTACCGCGTCGAACCTGCGTCTTTTCTCCTTTTGCGACAACTAATTGATCTTATCCCACCAAAGACGCTTGCAACAATACTGAAGGACCAGAGATTCCTTGTGACTTTGAACGATGCCGTCACCGACTTGGAGGAGGATGTATTTACCGGTCTTGAAAATGGAGCAACTGAATTTTTGCGCTCGGGCTCGGAATCAAGCCATACGTTGGACGGATCGCCAGATCAGAGTGGGAAATGGGACAAGAAGGGCACAAAGAGGAAGAGGGCCAGGGATCAGGACGCCATGGATATCGATGAACAGCAACAACCGCAAACGCCTACATCATGTTTCTTGGCTTTCATGCGCGCTTTGGACTGTCTATACAGCCTGGTGATGCTGGCAAATCGCACAGTTAGTCTGGATGAAGCGGCCAGCTCTCATCTGAAGCATGCTTTAAGGGGTGAGCCTGAATCAGTCGCCATGTTGCTGGGCCGATCGTTCAAGGTAGCTGCCGTGGCCACCACACAGTTCTTCAATGGACAGAATACCACGGATTTACAGCATTTGCTTTACGTGATTCCGGCTATCTTGGAAGTGTGGGAGCTGAGATCCTACCGCCGAGATGACTCGGACAATAAGTCCAGCAACGTACGTTTTTCCCTGAAGTACGGAGCAAACCTGCTGTAGAACAAAACACTAATACTTTTACAGGAGTCATTTTCCAAATACTGTTTCCAGCATGCCCTGAGACTTCAGCTTTGCATACGCTCGACTCGACTTGACACTGATGAAAGAGCTCAAGTGCTTAACGGCGTTGAACGCCTAATTGCCCTTCACGTAGTGCTCCCAGCACGTGCGGGGTTCTTCAGCCGAGGAGGTTCAGGTATTGATTATTCTAAAGATGAACCAGATTGGAACCCTGTCAAACCTATCTCCGAGACCTTCAGACCTATTCTTTGCCAATCATCTCATACGACCGCCGGCGAAACTGCAGCAAATGTGGGGAGAGGGAACTTTTGGAAAACGGCCGAGCTTTTACCCGAGTTCTTTAACACAACATGCCGGTCCGTTCCTCGAGATACATTCCGTCGACAAACCCATGAAGGCCCCTGGTTAGAGACTCTGTTTGTTGCTGTTGCGGAGCTGGCATACTCCATCGTTAAGGAAGAAAGCACATCCAACTACTTTCCCGAGTTTGTTGGCGTCTTGGAACGGCTCTTCCGTGTGGCCCTCGACCGCAAAGTTAATCTTTCTCTACACACCTTACTCACACACGCAGCCTACACGGGTCTTCTTAAGAACGATCTTTCGCAGGTGGAATGGGGGTTGACAGCGTTGCTGGTTGAACTTGGCGTCGATATCTTCCTGCCCAACTCTGGCTTGAACGACTCCGGAAAGCTACTAAACGCACTACTTGAAAAAATCTTGCTGCACTGGCGCAGCGGCACCTCCCACAAGGATGAAAATTATGAAACTATCAAATGTGGAATCGTGGTGCCTTTGCTGCGTGGGTTCACGGCTGCAAGAGACTTGCCTGGATTCATGCAGCTCTGGTACGAACAATTGATTTTGGTGGAAGAGGCACGCTCCCAAGATAGCAATCTGGGTGGTTTCTCTATCTGGGAAGACGATGATGTCTGCAACGTTTACAGTGAATTGATGCGAAGCCCTCTCACTGAAGTCCATGCTGCTGCCCAGTTACGAGCCGCTGCAACCGAGATCAAGGATCAGGATGACTCGGTCTCTAATTCACCCCGCGCCTATGCTCAGTTTGTGATACTAGAAGCTGGCATTAGAAGCCGGGCAACTTACTTTGAAGATGCAGGGGAGGCCTTGCAGTCTGTCACCGAAACCCTAAATTTGACGTTGTCCTCGAAACAAAGCCTTCATTGGCGGTGGCGCTTGTGGAGGTTTGCTCGGAATTTGCTCGATAACAATGTGCAATCAACAGATAACGCTCTAGGTGAAACAATTACAAACCTTGATGGCGCTGCTGTAAAGTCCATTCAGCGCCATCGCAAAGATAAGATGAAAAAGCCACGCGCCCCGTTGGAGTCTTTTGAGGCATATCGATTCGCACTGGCTACTGTCCAAGATTCCACCAAAACCAGTCATTCAGAGAAGTTCAATTCATTGACTAGTGAGGTTATGGAGTTCATCAAGTCAATTTCCAAAGAAGACGCATCGAAATCAAAGAAGTCGCCATGGAATGGTCGCATTGAGACTCTTGATTCCCCTATCTGTCTTGCTTTGGGCTACTTCCTTACGCTGGTTAGAAGCCCAGACGTCTGGCATCACGTTCAATCAGAAACTCGACGCGCGCTTTTTGAACACATGCTGTCTTTGGCGGCTTCACAGTACCGTTCACCTTCGTCAACCTTGGACAGCGCCCCTTCGAATGTGAGATTCCTTCAAGCTTGGGCCAGTGTGGTCTGCCATGAATACCTTCTCAACGCTCCGGTGATCGCTGGTGACCTGCTTATTGTGTTATCGGAATGTATCAAATCCGACATTTCTAACCGGGAACTATACATTGAGAGCCTTCAGCGTATCCCCGCTCCGTTGATTACACGCCGACAAAGGGGTATTCTACTTGATTTACTGCAGGATGTGATTCTGCGGGAAGATAGCAGTCCAGATGTGGTCGTCGGAATGCTGTCTTTGATGGCCAAGTTGGCCGATATGCCCAAGTCCACTGCCGCATTGACTGGGGATTGGGAACCTGTCTGGAAAACCGCCAAAGCCGTCACGTTGCAAGGCACAGATGTTGACCTCCAGGTTATGAAAGCGTTCAGAAACTTGCATCGATCGGTCATTGCTAAGTTGCTGGTTTTGTCCGAAGAAGAGCGCCAGAAACTGTTCAAGAAAATGTACCGCAAGGTCTCATCGAAGGTGTCCAAGTTGAAATCGATGGAGCGCGATTCGATGGACTGCTTCTTCTTGAGGATTTCTCTCTCGCAACTATGGATGCATCGTACACAACTGTCAAGTGCCTTTGACGAGGCGGAGCTCGCTGCCTGTCGCCAAAGAGTCTTTGAATTGGTAGTGGCCGATGTGAAATCCGTCAAGGATCAATGCAAGAAGCAAAAGTTAGAAGAAACAATTACACTGATCAAGACGCTGGACGCACTGGAAGATTTCGAGGATCTGGCAACTGACAACGTGGAAGTGGAGAAGTTTCTGTTCAAGATTGAGAGCTATGTTGAGAAGTCAATCGACTCTGGGTCGTCATTGCGAAGGCTCATCAGACGTCGAGTTCTCGCGGGTCGAGGGCCTGAAAAAAACGTCACCTTGCCTGTGATGCAGTTTGCAGAGACACTCCCGGTTCAGCATTTGTATAGTGAAGAGCAGCGACTTTTTATCCGCGCAACGATGGAACGATTTCGATCGATGACGGTGGAGAGTTTGACTGGCGTTCTTGCGGAACTTAGAGGGTTAGGATTTGTTGGGGAAAATGCTGAATATCGTCTGCTTGTTGCTGGTCTGGCTGTGGCATCGCTGGCGCCCGTTGAAGACAAAGAGAGCGATACGGCGGTAGAGCTTTCACTTCTTTGTACGGATGTCACGGAATCTATACCACGCTGCAAATCGATCGAGCAATTTACGCTGGCCACGGAATGTTTGGACGTGCTTCTCCGCAACCAGACACGCTGTATTGGTCAGTGGAATATCGATAGTATCCTGGCCTGCCTCGCAAACTGCGCTTCCAAATCCGGTCCCCGCATCCATACTGAGTTCGCAGGAACCGTCTACATCCGCCTGTGTCGTCTGATGGGTGTTCTACTTGGTATTCATCGTCAGAAACTCGGAGGCCGATTCCACTTGATCCTTTTGGCCATGCAGCGATTGTTGAATTGCCTGTTTGCGCGCTCCAAGAAACGGAGTCGATCGATGCGATCGGAGAAGGGAGCAGGCCAGAACCAGCCGTACTGGCTTGCGCCATTAGAGGCGTCGCATGCGGTGCACTTTACACGACTGCTCACCTCACTCTGCGACCCGACTGTGTCTGCTGTGTCACGGCCTACGCAGGCAGGAGCAGGCCACGAAGGCCTGACGGATCAGACCAAAAAAGCGAAACGGATTGCTGGCCAGTATCTGCAGTACTTGATCATGGAGTACGCGCAAAGCTCTCTCCGCGGCTCTCTCACGCCGGAAGTCAAGGCGGCTCTTCTTCCAGGACTGTATAGCGTGTTGGATGTGATGTCGCGCGACACGATGCGGGCGATGAATGCGGGTCTGGACATGTCAGGACGGGCAATATTCAAGGGATTGTACGATGACTATATGAAGTTTGGGAAATGGAACAAGGGGTGAGGGAATTGCATGACAGGAGTCACCGGCGGCACATTGCATTTGATTACTGTATATTCTACACATTCTTCTAGAACATATTATCTTTCTTTCAACCAATCAACCGCTCCATTCGTAAATTCCATGGCCAAACACAAGTCCGAGAGCACGTGCCAGATCACGGGACTGTTATCAATTACTCGATCACATCGAGTCACTGTGTTTTTACCTCTGCCCTGATTAGATACGCTCGGCCAATCAGCGGCTGCCGTCTCCCCGACTTTGCGGAGGAGCCCAAGTGGAGCAGCCGATCTGGTGCTGGAATGCTGCTGATAACGCCGTTTGTTACTCGACGCAATCGAGCAATGGAAAACAGGAGTCGCTTTGGCCGCGTGCTATAGGCAGTTGGCGCCGTGGAATGGAGGGTGATAAGGGCAGCGTGGCTTATCTTGCCTATCAAATGGGGACGAATTCTGCTCGGCTGCAACAGGCATACGACGTCGAGATACGGAGATGATGGGCATGATGATGTCTGAGAGACAATATGTATATCACTGGGATGGCTCGTCGATTCTCTGCCTTTATTCCCATCAGTTTTCTATCATATCTTTTTGATCCATTCTGATCTATCCTGACATATCCTAGCTCCTATACTACAATTCACAATGTCTCGCTTCAGACGATTACTCGACAAAGCGGCTGTTCCTTCAGAGCCCGGCCTGACCAACGCGCAGCTGATGCTGTCCAATGAAGACTTGCGGCCAGGTGAGATCACCTGACCACGCGATTCCCTCCTCGGACTGCGACGAGAAAGAATCAAGGAAGAATCAACAAGACTGACCGGTGCAATTCCTTGCTTTCTTTCGTACAGTCGAGCCCCAAAGACGCCAGTGGAAATGGTTCAACTTCATCGCCTTTTGGATTGCGGATTCGTTAAACATCGTGGGTCTTCTTTGAATATCTGCTTCATGGTCCCTCAGACTGACAATGGGTAGAACACTTGGATGATCTCCTCCTCTATGATCGTTGATGGCCTATCCTGGTGGCAGGCCTGGCTATGTGTCTGGGCTGGTTATTTCCTCGCTGCCTGTTTTGTCTGCTTGACTGGTCGGATTGGTGCCATCTATCACATCTCTTTTCCTGTTGCCGTTCGCTCTACGTTTGGAGTTTGGGGTTCTTTCTGGCCGATTTTCAACCGTGCTGCGATGGCTGTGATTTGGTATGGTGTTCAGTCGTATATTGGAGGTTGGTTTCCCTGTCTTTAATCCTCAATGGCAATGCTAATGAATCAGGTGAATGTGTGACTTTGATGATCGAATCCATCTGGCCAAGCTACGCCAACCTACACAACTCTTTATCCGCAAGTGCTGGTGTCGACACAAAGAACTTTACCAGTTTCTTCCTGTTCTGGCTCGCCTCGCTCCCAGCCCTCTGGTTCCCCGTACACAAGATCCGTCATCTTTTCACAGTCAAGGCGTACTATTCTCCCATCGCCGCCATCGCCTTCTTCGCCTGGGCCATTTCACGCGCTAATGGCCTTGGTCCGATTGTGCACCAGCCAAACACAGTCCACGGAAGCGCACTGGGTTGGGCAGTGGTGAAATCAATCATGAGCTGCATGGGTAACTTTGCAACCCTGATTGTGAATGACCCCGACTTTTCGAGATTCGCACGGAAACCCAAGGATGCCTTGTGGTCTCAACTATTCACAATTCCCATCGGCTTTGGAATCACCTCGTTCATCGGTATCATTGTCTCCTCGTCCTCGCAGGTCATCTTTGGTGGTGATATGGTGTGGAACCCTTTAGATCTTCTGGGCATGTTCCTGAAGGGCGCCAGTTCCGCAGAGCGGTTTGGTATTTTTGTGATCTCGACTGGTTTTGCCTTGGCTCAATTGGGAACCAACATTGCTGCCAACTCTGTGTCTGCTGGTACGGACATGACCGCGTTACTTCCTCGATGGATCAACATTAGACGGGGTGGATATATCTGTGCAGCAGTTGGTCTTGCTATGTGTCCTGTATGCTTCCTCCCTTCTTGACGGCGTATAACTCTTGTGGAAAAAACTAACAAATAATAGTGGAATCTCGTCTCATCCTCGAACCAATTCACCACCTATCTCTCCGCCTATTCCCTCTTCCTTTCATCTATCGCGGGTGTCATGATCTCTGACTATTACTTTGTCCGCAAAGGCCACCTCAACATCCGGGACCTCTACAGTGCCGAGAAAACCGGAGCATACTATTACAGCGCTGGCTTTTCATGGCACGCATACGCCGCATACATCGCCGGTATCCTGATCAACATCGTCGGCTTCGCAGGGGCTGTCGGACGCACGGTACCCGTGGGAGCACAGTACATCTACAACATCAACTACATTTCTGGAATCGTCGTCTCCAGCGGTGTTTATTACATCCTGACCCTCTTGTTCCCCATCCCAGACATGAACAGACAGTGGAGCGAAGCCGATGTGGACGAGGACCAACTGGCGGTCGCATACGGACAGGAAGTCGACGGTGACGAAGAGCGTCCGCGTCTCAGCACCGATTCTCGACTAGCTTCTGATGACCAAAAGGGGCCTAAGTTTTTCTCCAAGATGATGGGATGAATAGGCTAGACTTGGAATAATTGTACTTTTAGTTTCCCTCTTTCTCTAATGACCTAATGAATATGATGATACTATTGCTGTGACTAGTATCCTTGAGCAAAACTGGCTGAAATGATCTATCTGTCTGTATTCTATATCACCTCGACATATTGATATCAATCTATCTCTAACTGAAACTGCTGATGCATCAGACCCCGTGACCCGGCGGGGCCCAAAAGCAATTAATACAGCTGCAGCTGCAACTGTCAGCCACTCGCAGATTATCATTGGCATCATCCTAATTCGCACGACAAGATGGCTGCTATTTCTATATTCTCACCATCATCCTCAGTATCGTCATGGTGACAGTCTTCACCATCGTCTTGCAATGTGCTCTCGCAGCTTTGGTGGCCCGCGTGGTTTACCTCTGCTACTTCCACCCTCTCGCCCGCTATCCAGGCCCATGGCTTGCCCGCTTCACCGACATCTGGTTCGTCCCTGACATCATCTCTAAATGAACTCAAAACTAACCAGGCAATCAATATAGGAGGCTTCTCAGCTTTCTCAACGGCAATCACCATCTAACAGAACAGCGTCTCCATGAAAGATACGGTCGGGTAGTCCGTATCGCTCCCAACTGGCTTTCATTTTCAAGCCTGGAGGATTTCGAGACCATCTACGGTTTTCACAAATCCATCGAGAAAGGGGATTTCTACACTTTTGGTCGGGGCCGTGGCGGCGGCAGCGGGAGCATCTTTTCAACCAAGGATGAGGCCACGCATCGAATCAAGAAACGAAAGATTCTAGGCCCGGCCCTGTCCAGTACCAAGGTTGCCGGGTATGAAGCTATTGTCAGCAGACATATAGATGTGTTGGTGTCCCGGGCAGAGCAAGGTCTTGACGATCGAGGAAAAGTGAACATGGCGCCGCTGGTTCATCGATTTACTCTCGACACCATGCTGGAGGTCATTTTTGGCCCTTCTCTCTCTGCTCAGAAGCCGTACACCGACACTCCGGCTGGGGAAGGTCTCACCTCAGTCCTCCGCGTTCTGACAAAACGGGCATGGAGTTTCTCCCTCTGGCCTGTTTTCGGATGGTTGATGAATACCCGGCTCGCGAATGCGATCTTACGCAGACCAACTCATAATAAACAGGGTACTCCGACCGGCATGTCTGCCCTCTTCCCTGCCATCCAGTCTCTCATCTTTGCTCGCAACAAGGAAACCGCCGAATCACCGCAACCTGGGATCGTGAAGAATTGGCTTCAGGTTCCCTCTGATGACACACATCGCATGGAACTGAGGGAGATTTTCTCCGAGGCAGCTAACCTTGTTATAGCCGGGCCAGGGAGCACCGCTGCTGCTGTGACAGCGATACTATTCCATCTGGGAGCAAGAGAGGGCCAAATCTGGCAGGACAAGCTCCGTAAAGAAGCTAATGCAGCGCCTTCGTCATCGACAACCCTACCTCCACACCTCAACGCAGTCATCAAAGAGACGCTTCGCCTCCGTGCCGCCTTTCCGACAGCGTTCCCACGGGTAATCAGGCCAGGTGCAGAAACTGCTCTGTCCTCTACCCTCTCCGCTCCGCTACCTGTTGGGACGACCATCTCAGCTAACACATATGTCCTTGGTCGATCGCGCGAGATATGGGGCGACGACGCAGATGATTGGGTACCACAACGATGGGTGGGAGCTATTAGTGAGTCACAATATCGCGAGATGGAAACCCGGCTGGTAGCCTTTAGTAAAGGCTCACGAGGCTGTGTGGGACGGGACCTGGCATTGCTTGTCATCGGTCTGGCGGTGATGGGGATTGTCAAGAAGTGGAGGTTTAGAAGTGTGGGAGAGTTAAGTGGGAAGAGTTTTTTGGAGATGCAGTATGATGATTGTTGGATCGAGTATGAGTCAATCCGATGATTGTTGACTTTTTAGTTGGCTTTTTTTCTGTTCAGCTTTTCAGTTAGGATGGATGGCGCAGTTCAGCTGAAGCCTTCAGCTGAAAAGATCTGAGATCATGGCGATCCACAGTCTCCACCCACAGCCCGCTGTTTGTTTAGCTTCCAAGTTGTATGTTTTTCTTTTTTTATAAATTCGAGCAGATCTGCTCTTTTTCCATTTTGTTTCTATTCTTCTTTCATTCGCTCTTCTTCCCCTCTCCACTCCCCTCTTCCTTCAACCAAGACGGGGAAAGCACCACCATCACCATCACCATAACCCCACCTTATATATATATCCCGCTGCAGATCATCCAACATGGCCACCAGCGCTCTCCCCCAAACCCTGAAATCCATCACCGCCACCAAGATCGACGAGCTCTCCAAGCAGCGCAAAATCTTCGAAAAGCGCAAGCAAGAAATCACCACCAAAGCTGCCAATGCAGCGGATCTTCGCTCAAAAGCCCAGGTTCTCCTCGAAGGCGTCACCGCTTTAAAAGGCGATCCCAACGACGCCTTTGACAAAGAGAACCTCGACGATGAGGAAGAGTCCTCGAATACTTTTGTCGCGGACTGCTCTGAGCGCGCTGCACATGTCAACATCCGCCGGTTCCTGCTGCAGAGTCGGTATGACTCGTCTGTTTCGGAGAGGAGTTTGAAGGAGTGGGTAAGGCAGTTGGAGCAGGAGTTGAGGTTTTTGGAGATGAAGCATGAGCATGCTTCATTTTATAGCGACTTGGTGACGGAGTGGTTAGGGGCGTTTGATGATGACGCTGTGTCGGAGGATAGCCCGGAGCAGGTTGGTCGTGCTGAGATGCACGAACAACGCGAGACGTGGGAGAAGCTCGTGTTTTCTCCGGCGGATGTGGATGCAGATACCATCAAGGGATATCTGGATGGTCTGTTTGCGAAGACGACTCTATCGCAGCAGGCGCTCAAGGAATTACGGGAGAAGATCAAGTCGGTCGACACCGAATTTGCCGCGCAACGGGACTGGATCAGCGTCGAGGATCTCGAGTGGGTGAGCAAGGCGCTGTTGAAGTCGGATGTTCTCACCAAGGAGAAGACGGTGATCCTGAAAGAGTTCACCCGGAACACGGACGTCGCGCAGGAGGTTGTAGACGTGCTGAACATGCGTCTGGCTTCGTTGGACAACTGGGGATGGGATCCTGAGGGTATTCCCGTGGAGATGCGTCGCCAGCTGAACGGCAAGTACCGTGTCTTCATGGATGAGGATCTGCTTGATGGCCTGATGTTCCAGTATATTGGCCTCAATTGGGCGGTTTCCTTCCGGTCTGCGTTTGTGGACTTCCTCAACAGTCGTGCCTGGTCGCCTCTGCGTGAGAATATTCCCAAGCGCGACAAGGACCGTCGCAACTACTACCTGGACGATAACAAGCTGTCAGGATCAAGCACCGTGAACGGACATCGACAGAAAGTGTACAAGAAGGACTACTTCATGACCCAGTTGCCTTCGTCGGTGAAGGAGGGTATCCGTGAGTACGACGCCGACAACAATGCTGATGATGCCGATGGTGAAGAGGCCCGTATGAACCCCTTGGAAACGAAGCACTCCCTTCTTCATCTCCTCATCACCGAATCCCTCATCCACACGGCCCAGCATGGCCAATTCACCGCTGTCCGGTCCGACTTTGAGTACTTTGGTCCGTCTCTTCCGCATACCACTATTCTGACTGTACTGGCCTACTTTGGTGTCCCCGAGAAGTGGCTCAACTTCTTCAAGACATTCTTACAGACCCCCCTGAAGTTCGCCCAGGATGGCCCCAATGCTGCAGTCCAAACACGCCAGCGTGGAATCCCCATGAGCCACACGCTCTCGGAATGCTTCGGAGAGGCTGTCCTCTTCTGTATGGACTACGCAGTAAACCAGGGCACCAACGGCGCGTTCTTATACCGTCTCCACGATGACTTTTGGTTCTGGGGCCACGGCGAAACGTGTGGTAAGGCCTGGACCACCATGACGGAATTCGCCAAGGTGATGGGCCTCCGTTTCAACGAGGAGAAGACCGGAACTGTGCGACTGGGACAGAAGGATAAGGGTAAAACCGATTCTGACATCCTCCCCAATGGTGAGATCCGCTGGGGCTTCTTGAAGCTTGACTCCGAGGCGGGCCGATTTGTCATCGACCAGGAACAAGTCGATACTCATATCAAGGAGCTCGAACACCAGCTCTCTTCATGCCACAGTACCTTTGCCTGGGTGCAGGCGTGGAACAGCTACTTCGCGCGTTTCTTCACCAACAACTTTTCTAAACCTGCCATATGCTTTGGACGGGACCACATCGACATGGCTATCTCGACTCTCAGCCGTATCGAGAGTACCCTCTTCTCCAGCAGCACCAAGAGCAGCAACGGCGTCACCGACTACCTTCGCAAGGTGATTGCAGACAAGTTCAATGTCCACGACCTGCCCGAGGGATTCTTCTACTTCCCCGTGGAACTCGGCGGTTTGCAACTCATTAACCCGTACATTTCCCTCCTGTCCATGCGCGAGAACATCAAGCAGACCCCCAAGAGGATACTCCAGAAGGCCGCAATCCAGGACGAAATCAAGTACCACGCGGCCAAGGAGAACTTCGAGAAATACGGGGCCAGCCAACCCAGCGCAATCGATGATTCGGACGATGACCTGTCCGAGTTCATGTCGCTGGAGGAGTTCACACGGTACTCGGAATCTACTAGCGCGGCGCTCCTCGACGCGTACACGGATCTTATCAAGATTCCGGATGAGACTATCATCGACCAGACCGCGGCTTTCCGGGGCAATCAGCTGGTGATGGATGACAAGGCTGTCAAGCTGATCTCATCTGATTGGTGCGATATGTCGCCGTACTGGAAGTGGACGGCCGAGTTGTACCACGACGAGATGGTCAAGCGGTATGGTGGTCTGGCAGCGGTGAATCGTGAATTCATGCCGCTGGGAGTTGTCAAGACATTGAAGGAAGGGAAGTTCAGATGGCAGGCTTAGTTGGGATACATGATATGCTCCTTCTCGGGTAGAAAATAGTTTTATGATACCAATATGCCAATATATTAATATGTTCATTTATATAATTCACCATGGTCCTTTATAGCTAGCTCGTTAGTAAGGTTCACTGTGTCGCTTCAAATTCATCCAAAAGCTTTCGGAATCGATCCTTCTCTATTTCTCCTCCAAAAATCGCATCGAGCGACTTTTTGCATATACTCAGGATATCAGAACGACTAAGCTGAAAGTGCTGTGCAGCCAAAAGATATTCGTTCGAAACGGGACTACAAAAGAATCCCACATCGTCCGTCTATTTTAGTCAGTATATTTATACCCAAGAAAACCAAAGAAGCACTTACACAGAGAATCACCGGACAATCCTCATGCCTCCAGTAACCAAAATGATGATCCAGAAACCCCCCATTGATCATCTTCGCATGTACATTACACGACATGCACAACTCCAACCCCAGCTTGCGCCGCGCAATCTCCTGCTTAATATCATCCGGGACATGAATAACATGACCCAACCGATCAGGCTCAAACGAAAGCAACGTCTCCAGCTCCTTGGGCAAGTCCTCGGAAGCAACTTCGGCAAAATGCACAGTGACGCCCAGGCCGCTGGCTTTGGCTTTGGCAAATGCGTCCCGGAAGATAGATACGTCCCCTTTACTGGGATTACCGCAGACATCGACCCCGACGACGCCGCGGGGTTTATACTTGATTGCTAAATCGATGGTGTCGATTGCGTCGGCGGCGGTGTTGTGGCCGCGGTCGAGACCTAGGATGAGATAGACGGGCATTTGGTTGTTAGTCCTCGCTTTGAACTGGTCGAACGTGTCCAAGACCGTGGTAATGTATTCTTCCTTGGTAAAGGATGAGTCTGGGGGTGCGCGTGGTATGGAGCGAAGCTCCAGGTACCGGACTCCATCTTGGAAGAAGTCCTCGAGGACTGAGTTTGTTGCGTATGCTAGGGTTTCCAGATCGTTGCAGAGGAGATAGATGAATTTGCCAAAGGTTTGGAAGAAGCTGATTATTACCAGTTAGATGAACTATAACTATAACTTATCATGAATGACATACGTTTGGAGAGAATAATCCACCTTGCCCTTTGGCATTACCACCCAGGGATCTTCGACACCGAACCCCGGGTCTTTTTCCTTCTTCCGCACCCAGATTTCATGTAGACATTGGCGGCTGATACTACCGCTGAGATGGGCATGTAACTAGAAGGAATAAAAATCAGATAGCTTTTCAAATGGGTTGATGGCGGAGATGCAGATACCTCGATTTTAGGCAGAGCCTTGGTGAATTCTGCGTCGACTGGCTTGGAGAGATCCATGATGAGTGAGTGGCTTAAGAGTACGAGGAGTAAGTTTATTTCAATCCATATGTTTCTCCTCAAAGAGCCGTGGAGTATTGATGGTGATGGGAGATGGGATATTGAGATGTTGGATGAGGGGCTTTTCTGTGTTGTTGTGGTGGTGAATTGTGATCAGTCATGCAGGTGACTTGCTTAGGCTGCGTCTTTCTCGACGACATCTACACTTTTCCAGTTGGGTTCGATGGATTCATCGCCAGAATTGGATATTTTGGTTTTTTTATTGATATGGTTATCATATAATAGCCTAGTATGCAGTATGAACTATGAGTACTGGTAGATTCCTGGATTAGTACTGTCCAACGCCAATGTATATACTTATCCACAAGTAAATTCACATCGCGGTCCAGACAAGACAATACTAATAATTGAGATTCAATATTTTTAAGTCATGCCACCTACCTCTTCTCTAGAGTTGTTACATACCTTCACCCTTCATATCCCTCCCGTGTCTGGAGGCAAAGTTAAATAGACCGAGTTGGAGATGCCCCGTTGTTGCAAGACGGAACACTGGTATACGCAATCATTCTCCTTCATCTGGTATCGTAGAGATGCTGTAACGATTCAAGGTAAATTTTCTGGAGCATTTGCTGTTTTAGGCCGGCTGCCGTACCATCATAGATATAATACGAATGCGAACAGTAGATAGACAGTCAGATGGGAAAATCTCTCGGATGACTCAAAGATGTCGATTGCGATTTGCCAGTCGATCAATCTCACTCAGATCGACCTCAAGGTTAAGGATGACATCCTGTCAACACACCATGACAAGGTTGGTGGGCGGATTCGGATGACGAGGAGTATAATCTGTGCGATGAACCTTATCTCAAGTCAACTGACTCGACAACTGGCCATGGCGTTTCACAACCTGATTCGCATAGAATGCCAATTGAGACTTAGGTACTTCGCACTTGTAAAAAACTGCGTACGAGATCTCAGCCAAACAATACCTATCTTACCGGCTGCCATCGGTAATACAGAGCCCAAGAAACGCGATAAAGCCATGTCTTGGAATAATCGATTTGCTTTCTCCAGTTTCGTCTATATTGGGCGGTTCTGGTTTTGGAACCGATTTCTTTGTGGTGTTTCCAAAAAGCAGGACCAAATGAAAAGTGGAGTCGGCGGCACGGTGGCAAGACAAATCCCAAAACGATAGAAACCTTTTCTCCCGAGGATAATAATGATGATTATTATTTCTTCAATAGTAATCCTGCTTCAAAGTATAGTGCACAGTAGTGAGTCACATATCAAGCCGGAAGTTTTCCGTAGACTATTGCCTGATCTGGGAATTCCGTACTTTGCTCTCTTAGGTGGGGTGCATGGGAGTATCGACGTCAACTGACTTTCACAGCATGGTACAACCAAGGGAATTTGAGCAGAATAATAATATGCGTGCTGCTGTCGTGTTATGGGACGATATGTGCTCATCCAGAATTGACTCGAATCAATGGTCAGTGGTTACTCGGTATCCTGCGGAAGTCGGATCAGATTGAAACGGTCATCTCCAGAGCGGCGCAGTGCGTGCAGAATCAGAATTCGAATTGATTATCTCCCAGGTTGACTGTGTGCCGTCACTGCCGTGTCTCTCTTTTGGTCCTCATATCCTATCGCATGAGTCGGATGTAGCTTATCCCACCAAAAGACCAATCGCCGGCTTCCATCGCTAGGTATGCCCTGTCCTGGAATTGTCCGGCGTTGGGAAACCTGGCACTATGATGCACTATGAAGTATGTACGCCGGTACGAAATATTGCCGGACTTGTTCTATTTCTGACGCCTCTGGGGTCCTGAGCAGTAAGGCCATGGAGCCACTGTGGGCTCATTATCGAAGGATTCTAGAAACCACGTAGCACCAGTCCAGGAATTCAGATTGATTGGGGTCCATTTATTGAGGGGCTGGTCAATATAGCCAAGGCTATTTTTAGCCGAAGATCCGAAATGGAGTTGAGGAACATACGTAGTTGTTCATCAAGGATTAATCCAAGTTAATAGCGAGCACAATATAGCACAATGCGATTCGAATCGAATTATTGACCGCTTATTCCGGTGCCAGATTGACTGTGTAACGCCAGGAAATACCATCATTTGCCCGCGGAAGACTATGGCAGCTGAACCCGGAAGTGGCGTGTTTTTGTCGGCGCGGACCGTCTTGAACCTTTTTGAAGGCAAAAAGAGGCGAAGCTGAATTCATGGCCAAAACGCCATGAGAGGACCAATGACGCCAAATCATCTGCAAAGCCAGTTGATTGGAAGCTTTGCTCCAGATGTCACGCCGTAATTAACGAGTATTTGGTACCGACTGTTTTAGAGAGATATATTTAATATAACCGTGAAATAGCAGACGAGGCTGAAGTGGATTCCACGACGCAGAGACCATCTTACAGAATTGGAGGTGAGATTTTCGGGGCCTTGTCGTATTCCCACAAGGCTCAGGCTTTTGAGGTCAGTTCTTTTTTGGTTTTCTGGGGGGAGGAATTAAGCATGGCGGCCAGCAGAAATGGTGGGCCTCTACAGCCTCAATTTTCGACCAGGGTCTGCATTGGCCTGATATGTATATCCTTGGACTATAAGTGTTGTGGCTGACTGTAATTTGTAAGGACTGACTCGGAGATAGCAACGGCAAGGCTGCCTTCTCAAGACGTTATAGTCTTGAGGATGGGATCGATGAGAGGGTATGTATAATGTTGCATCTAATATGCAAGTGCATCCTATAGCAACGATATTAAGTCAGCTAGGGAAGAAAAAAAAAAAGCTCATTTGAAAGGGACCTGGTGAGGGGTTCAGGCAGCCCATATGTTGACGGAGGACAGACAAGACGCAGAAGAAGCGGAGATCCCAGGTCAGGTCACGAGGCTCGTAAGTTAAGACTGGAAAAATGCAGGGGGGGGGGAAGAGACGTCGGCGAATGCAGAGAGCATTGTCAGTGGTCGTGCAGGACTATTGGGGTCCTGACAAGCCACCGCACGTTGTCGAGGTGGATTCTTTGCAAACGAGGCCAAGGTCCTCTGCATCATCAAACTGCATCGTTAAACATAGGACGAGGTGAGGGGGGAGGCTTAATGACACCTTGCAGGGGATTTCGTGCGACTTGAAGCAATTGGACAGAAGGATGGAAGCATCGAAGACGCACCGAAGGAGACAACTGAGACAGGCTGGACTGGGCAGATGGAGATGAGATATGCCTCAGGCAGATAGCATAGCATAGCATAGCATCTACCTCAAAACAAAGAAATACACCGAGTATGGTCCAATCACTACAAGAACCATGGCTACAAAATGCCAAACTACTTACTACCTGAGGTATGATGATATAAACGCGGGCGACATCTGGCGCCCAATCCCAAGTATACCCAAATGCCCAGAATCATTACCACTACTTGGCAGTAGCAGATATCAAATGACGAGCATCCCGGCCAAAGAGACGCAACGTTCCATCCAGTTGGAACTGCTCAGTCAGCGGGTATTTTATGATGATTACATGATCTGTATCGGACAATCGATCCTGGATGGTGATGTCGATGGAACTTATATGGAGGGGTTCTTGTCTCCTGAAGATCATATTCTATTAGTTTTTTTTCTTATTTTCTCCTTTCTGTACTGAAATGTAATAAGGATGATTTCTTTTCTCCATCAACCGTTTGCCCCCTGAGTTGATGGAGTTGGTAACTACTAAGTACTTAAGCTGCGAACGGTTTCCCCATTGTTTTGGGCTTGAGCGTGTCATGGTGGCCACTCATATTGACACTAACCCAGAACAAAACCGTTTTTGGTATTGCGTATGGTCCGTATCGATGTACGGTATTTACAGTATTTATACCGGCGGTGTAATGACACGACAGGCGCTAATCAACTCATAATTACACGCTAATGCACCAGATGCAGTAACCACAATGGCGGGAGAATGACTTTTTTTTTCTCCCATCATAAAAATAATATTAAATAAAAATAATATTGATATTGTGCTTCAAATTTCTCGCGTGTGTGATGAAGCCCACTTGATGTGTATGATGTCATCGTTAATAATTTCTAGCCATCCATATTGGGAAGAGGCAGTGATGGATTAGGTGCACAGATGGCATTCCTAATCCATCCTATTTTTTCTTCTTCTACATTTTTGTCGTACTTTGGATAGAAAAAAAAATAACAATAATAAAGAAGAAGAAAATACGCCAGGGACTGCCGGAGTCAGCTGAGGGGTCAACCTCAATATCATATGTATTGCAAGGATTAATAGGGGGAGGGGGAAGAGGGGGAGAGGGCAAAAAAAAAGACAGAGAGAAAGTGGGGGGTTCGTCCCATCAGCAGTTCAGGCTGGCGGTGATCGTAGCAAGGAGTTCTCGGATGCAAGATCCTCAGCAAAACAACGAAGCTGTCAAAAAGTGGGCCATGAAAAAAACAAAAAAACGGTGGGAAAAAAAAGAGCGAGAAAGAAAAAAAGGAAAATTAACCAAACCCCACGAGGCAGGTCCCAGCCGTCCAATCACCGCCATGCATTGCCCTAAGCAGCATGATTGAATGATGCCACCCCTCCTCTCTCCCACTCTCTCTCGTTTCTCTGTCTCTCTCCCTTCCGTCCTTGATGGGTCATCTTTTTCAGGGGAAGAAAAAAAAAAAAAAAAAGGGAGAGAGAGAGGAACCGTTGAAATTCCTCACCGCCAATAATACCTTGCTTTCTAATGAAATGATAGCAACCGGTACCTACCTATCGGGCTCGTCCAGTCAGTGGTCACAGGCTCATCTCATCATCTCATCGCAGGAAGCATCTGAAACTACTACTCGACTTCGTGGCACGCCAGAGCATGGTCGAATGGTGCTCGTGGGCATAGGGAGGAGTAGGCGGCAAAATAAATGACGATTGATCAGATTGGCAATATTGGCGATAACCTGCGATTCTCCGATACTCCCCCCCTCTTTCTGCCGCCCTGCGATCATCAGTCTGCTTGGATCACACTAGGTGTTTAAAGAGGACTGGTAGAGAGACGGTCAGAGCCAACCACCTTTCTGAGCACGCGAGATCGCAGTTTTTTAAACGCCTCACGACATGGTTACTGTTACGGGGTACAGTAGTACTCACGTAGGGTCCGACTGTTTTCTGCTCGATCATCGTCCTTGGGTTGAGACCCGAGAGGGGTAAATGCGACTTGTGCCTAGGTACAGGATTTAGGTAGGCAGGTAGCTAATTAGGTCAGATACTACCCGGACTAAACTAACAACTTGAATGATTGTCGCTCGTTTTCTGACAAGCCAAAAATGAACACGCTTTTGACGCCTACTGGACTCGTTGTCATACAACAAGTGGCGTGCAGCACTTCTTTCTTGCGTCATGAAAGATCGCACCCATCACTGGCAGATATCAGCAGCTGTCTTTAGTTTATCGCACTGCCTTGGAAACCCGCCACAGCCGCGATACCATCATTTGGGCGCACGGATCCGGTCGGATAAGAGTGACACGTATGGAGGGCTTCGGGTGGATATTCGATCAGTGCAATATTGCGTGCATTCTTGCAAGATTTCGCGCCTTGTCTTGACGCCTGAATAATCTACTTGGTGCTACATACAGAGTAGTCATTTGCACCTCTCCCCAGGGCTTGCCATTCGCAAATGCCTATGTCGACGGTGAACAAGCTAGCGGGCGCGCCTCGGTGAGACAATGCCAGCGCACCAAATCTAATCAGTGTCAGCATCTAATCAGGCGTGGCCTCATGGACCGTCATGGAAGACTAAAAGAACCTTCCAACGACAGGTGACCTGGAGTAGTTTCCGATGCTGATTGCTGGTAAGAAACTCCGGAAGTGCCCGAGGTCAACCTTGTGAGCTTGAAGATGACGGTTGATAAGAGGCTCCTTGCATTGCCAGACAGGGTAATAATTCACCGTTGGTTTGACTGATCAACTTTTCCATCATGGGGGCAAGACCCAAGCGACCCATCACGGAGAAAACCCGGGATCGGGGTTTGGCCACAGGTTTTATTCATTTATTTATTTTTTTTTTAAAAAAAAAAAAAGATTCATATTTTATTTTATCTTATTTTTTGACTTCAACCGTCAATGAGCTGAATGAAAATTGTCGCAGTGAAACAAGGAAGATAAGATAGCAGGCATCGCCAACTCAGCGCAAGGCTCAGCTGGTGTGTGTGCGGGGTTGGGAGCACCCCGCAGGCGTGGTCTCACAGACTTACATGTAGGACCAGCATGATGCTGCAAAAGAAAAGCGCGCATGTTTGGATGATTAGGTGAGAGAGAGGCAATGCACTCCATGAGTCGACGATTAATCATTACGGAGGGAGCAGTCCGCCAAGTCTGATTAAAGTGGACAAAGCGAGGGCTGAAGCCAAGAGCAGTCGGAGTTCATAGGGCAGAGAAAAAGAAACATGCTGGAAGATTTCCTCTTTGGACAGGATTACCACCCCCTTAAAATACTGGTATCTGACACTTTTACAGCGTGATATTGTGATTTACCACGAGGATCAAATCGATCCCAATAATGTCGCAATCAAGATGATTCAACGGTGAACGTCAGGGAGTGTGGCTGAGGGCTGACCGCTCTTCTGGGACAGAGGGAAAACAACCCATGGCAAAGGAGGGGCAGAAAGAAGGATCTGCCAACTAGTGTTTGAAGCTGATGGTTTCATCATTCTTACCGCTCCATTGCGCCGACGATCCCAGCACTTTGACTTCTTTTCTTCCCGCCCGCTGGCCCAAAGTGTAAATAAGCTGTAACAGTCGCCCGTCACTGCCACAGCTGCTCTCCAGTCTCCAGCCTCAACTCCCCTCACTCCTCGCCGCGACGCGCGCGCGGACTTTCGGGGATGACTCAATTTTCCAGTCAAGCCCACTCGACCTAACCGACTAGGTAGATAGCTCACTAACTACCGAGTGAATGTGAACCCTACGGAGATGGAAAAATTCTCCACAATGATGTCGAATAGGGATGAGCTGCAGCACCTGTGCGTTTTCTCCGATTGTGATCTCCTTTTTTTTTCAATATCACAGTCACATTTCACGTACAGGGGGGTATCTACTAGTACGGAGGAGATGGAATACATTACCACAATGTACACCGCCGTAAAGAGTAACGGTGTCTGCTCAATATATCAAGTTTCTTTTGATTCATAGTGTGATATATTGATATCTATCAACTTGCTAGTTGCTACTATCATATAATGATACTATGTATCTACATGGGTAAAAAACCGGGGTAGATCTTGTTTATGCTGGGAGCAATGCAGTATCACTAGATGGGGCTAATCCCTTTCCATCCGACGACATTTTCTAATCCATGTCAAGCACTCCGAACTAAGTGAGTTGTTCATATTCTCCATCCTGTCGGAATAGCATGATGGATTTTGCCAGGGTGAATACTAGGCAAAGGCGAACAGACATTGGCTGTGACGAAGGGTTGATCATCGAGACAGCACTTGCGTTTCTCGGTTGGTCGGTTCATCGCCCAACCCTGGCTAACCTACAGACAGGAATCAATACATGGAGGAGACGGAGTACTACTACATACAGGGATGAAGGAGAACAAAGAACCAAAAGAAAAAGGTTTAATCAGTTATGCATTAATTGATTGAGAGGATCGAAACGAGGCATTCAAAAACAGACACTCCGCAAATCTTCCCCGGGGACCACCATGTCGGTAAATTCTGTAACCAAAAAATCAATAATTATGTGGAACTACCGTATGTATTGTTGGTATTTAATACCAGTAGGGCACGTCCTGAGCATACCAAGTATTTTGTGGGGGCGCCCGTACGAGGGCTCGGTTTGTTACAGAAACTATGGATCAGTAGTTGGGATCCACCTGGCAGGCGACTGTCCAAAACGAAAGTGCACACATCATTGTGGTTCTGGGAGATTAATGATCTGAATATCGATTTAGTAGATCTCCTTTTTCACTACTATTACTTTCATAATGTATATATCCAGTTGTTCACCGTTCAGATCATGAAACATCCCACTAAGGACTGTCTATTGAATAGGTACCTAGCGATTGATGACATCCACCCCAGGAATGATCGGCCAAGGCGCGGCAGATCTGGGGGGGAAAGGATGACCAATACCGCCGTAATTTCGGTATGACGGCTGGGACTGAAACAGTCATGGTAATCCAACCGGACGGGAAGGTGAAGCTTGGGTTTATGACCTTTTCTTTGGGTATCGTAGTCGGTAGGCCGTGGTCAACAAGCAGTGATGGGGTTTTTTTCTCTTGGGCCATCAGGCTTGAACAGCTCACAGAGGCAGTGAGTTCTAAATGTTTGAAGCAGTCAAAAGAGTTACGGCCCAGTTTAATCTGCTAACTCACTACCTATTCTCTTACATAGTATCCCTTTGCTGGGGGCTCTGACCGTAGATTAAAATATATAGGGAGTAGGGACCCCCCTCTCTCCTCTCCTCTCCTCTCTTCCCCCCTTCCCTTTCCTTTTTCTACATTAAATTGGAAACAGGTTTTTCTTCCTCGCCTTAGAGAAAACTCAAGATTTGTTTCTTATTTTTTATCTATTTTTTTCAACCCTTATTCTATTACTTTCCAGACGCCTCCGGAATCTACCCCTGTGCTCCATAGGTTATATCACCATTACACCTTTATCGTCATCGCATTCCACGGTATTACATACAGTACGGTACTGGTACCGTCTTGTCACAGAAACACAGATACAGTACGTCAGTCCCACTGTCGTTCAATCGAAATCCATCAACTCCATCGGGTTTTTCGAAATCATCGAGCCTTCCAAAACCCTTCTTTTCCGTGATCCCCATCCGACCCCCCGAACAAACGTCCTTCTTCCACTCTCGCTACTTCAGCTCGTCACGATCCTTTATTTTTCCCCTCGACTCTCCCTGACTCATTTCTGTTTTAGCAGTCCTACTCCTCCCTCCATCCCTCCCTCGACGTCGCGATTGTGTTTCAAACTACCGCCCTCTTCCTCCCGTTGCATGATCTACTTGCCCTCAAACCTGCAGGTCCTTTACCACGCACCACGTAACCGTGCAGGAACTGCAACAGCCAGACATCCAAAAACGCACTACGACAACTCGGTGCATTCTCCGATTGCTCATCCTTCCCCTTTGGACCGCCTGCATCCATTGTGTTGGCAGGCAATCCTGCATTATTACGGTTACTCCGATTAGTACTTGCTCGCCCTCCGACGACACTACGACGCAGCCCTTTTTTTGTTCCCACCAAAAAAAAAAGTAAAATAGAAAGAAAAAAGTGACGCCCACTGACGCCGTGCTTATTGTCCCCGTCCAATTCATAGTCGATACCTGCTAGTTGCCTGCCTAGAGAGAGGGGGCTCTGCTTCTGCTCTGCTGACAACCAAGCATACGCGCAGCGCACACGGCTTTTGACTTGCATACTCCCTCCCTTGTGGCCTGTCGTTGCCAAAAAAGATACATATTCTCTCCCCTCTCGCGACAAGAGCAGTCAATTGGCTCGTCTCCGCAACCCCTCCCCTTTCTTGCAGAACAGACAGCTTTCCCCACGTACCGGACGATCCTCAATTATTATTATTATTTTATTACCTCCCTAAAGAGGGGTAAGGAGTGCGAATTCCGTTTGGTGCATAAAGCGAAACAAGGAATCTCAGTCAAGGAAAATCAAAAAAGGATATATTTGCTTTAAAAAGCTAGGGAAGATAACACGCAGGGGCCGAAAAAAAAAATTACAGCATCTGCTGAGACCCCAAGACATCAGCCTTCCTTTTTTTGATAAGATTGAAAGATTGAACGGGCGACAAAAATACCAAAGCACTATCGGAAAGGATTAAAAAAAAAAAAGAAAAGAAATAAGGACGACTGGTCATTGATTTGTGTGTGGTCCTCCGCGCGAAATCAAAGCGTTGCACAGGACCACTGCCCATTGCAACCTGTTATCAGGAACAGGACTTTCTCGTCGTCTTATTTTCCTCTTTTTTTAAATTTTTTTTTTTTTTTTTTTTAATTTTTTCTCCTCGCGAGCGCTCTCCGGCAGGGCTCTCCGCATCGCATCAGAGGCGGGCCAAGATGCAGAGATCAAGTACAGAGCAATCCCGCTAAGGACGTGGCTTTTGCATCACACAGTCAGACACGTTCCCTCTTCCGGCTCGTATTGCATCTCAGCTATAACTTGACTATTTGACTATCGCCTCCGTTCATTCGTCCCTCGCAGAGTCCAGGTGACTCTGGTCTTGATATCCGGCGTTTTGCATCCGAGGGCTGCGCCTGCTAGGTAGCCGCAATGGCGTACGCCGCTACCTCATCGCAGTCGACCTTAAATGGCGATGCGCAAACTACTTTAAAGCTGTCGACTTCAGCCCCAAGGCCTCCCAAATTACACAATGTCATCACCTCCCTCCCTCCCGCTCCCAATCCTCCTTCAGCCTCTTATACTTCCTCACTCACCACCACCCCAAATACCTTACATCCAGCTCATAACACGTCCAATGCGTCCAGTCCCGCAAGTACTCCATTGCAGGCTGCCACAGACGCGCTTCGAGGACGAATACCGTCTTTCCCTCTCACCGCTCCCGCCCCCCTCGAACTCGGAGAGTCCGTGATGGCGGTTCCTGGCAATGCGAATGCTTCCGGCTCCGGGGACTATGTTATCCCCAACCCCAACAAAGGCGCCGGTTTGATGCGCCGAATCTCCCGAGGTGCCGCCAACAAGCTCACCCGCAGGAGACAGTCCGCCTCTCAGAATGACAAACGCGACCGCAGCTCCGGTCCAGTGATCATGCGCAGGCGCAGTGATAGCAAAACAGGCACCCAAAACGGTCGGGAAAGCGCCTTGGACTCGGGCAATGAAGACGAAAACAACGAAGGCCTCGACTCTCTGGGCCCCTGGTGCAGACCAGAGGCATCCAGTCTCCCCATTGAGAATCGTTTCTTGAACAACCGGGATCCTAGCACCATCGCACCCAAGGCTGATTCGGCCATCCAGCGCGGCACCATTCTAGAAAAAGTTACTCGCAAACGCAGGAAGCACGTGCGGTTCTTTCTGGATCTCGATTCCGCCAAGGTTTACTGGGATGCCTCAAACCCGACAAAACGATTCTACATTGACGATATCAAGGAAATCCGCGTTGGCTCCGATGCTCGTAACTACCGGGAGGAACACCAGGTTCCGCAAGAGGACGAAAGTCGGTGGTTTACAATTGTCATTGCAGATTCTGAACGGTCCAAGGGACGAGCGGTCAAGACCCTGCACCTCATCGCCCCCAACAACCGGGACCTCGAGCTGTGGACTACGACCCTCGAGCACATTTCGCGATACAGAATCGGTCTGATGGCTGGCTTGGCTGGCTCTGGCCAAAGTGAGACCGTTTTGCTGGCTCACTGGCACCGCGAGATGTCGCGACTCTTTCCCCAGGGACTAATGCCTGGTGACGTCGAAAGCCTCGACTTTGGAGCAGTTGAAAGTATATGCCGCAGTTTGCATATCAACTGCTCGAAGAATATGATACGGGCTCAGTTTTCCAAGGCAGACCTTGGCAACAAAGGAAGATTGAACTTCACGGAATTCAAGGACTTTGTCAGGCGTTTGAAGGCACGAAAAGATGTGGAGGGGATTTTTAAGCACTGTGCTATGGAGCCCAAGGATGGCTTCACTCTTGATGAATTTCTGGCTTTCCTCCGTGATGTGCAAAAGGAAGACGTCGACTCGGACAAAGCCTACTGGACTTCGATTTTCGAAAAGTGTGTTCGGAGGTCTAGATCGCGCGCTCAGTCTCCTTCGGATCCTCTCGACGTTCAGGTCCCTCGAATGAGTCTGGATGCCTTTAGCTCCTTCCTGGCCTCAGCCTGGAATGGAGTCTACGCTTCCCGTGCTCCCCAGTCAAGATTCGATCGACCGCTGAATGAATACTTCATCTCCAGCTCGCACAACACCTACCTTCTGGGAAGACAGGTCGCTGGCGCATCCAGCACTGAAGCATACATCACTGCCCTGTCTCAGGGGTGTCGGTGCGTTGAGATCGATTGTTGGGATGGCGCAGATGGTCGTCCTATTGTTTCGCACGGACGGACCATGACTACCAGCGTCTTGTTTGCGGATTGCATCACCGTCATCAACCGATATGCATTCGTCTCATGCGACTTCCCTTTGATTTTGTCTCTTGAAGTACACTGCAATCCGGAGCAACAGCTGGCAATGGTTAAAATCATGAAGGATACCTTCAAGGACCAGCTTGTCCTGGAGCCGTTACTCACCAACTGCTTTGTTCTCCCATCGCCAGAGGAGCTCAAGGGCCGCATTCTTGTCAAAGTCAAAACGTGCGATGAGCCCCAAGCTGGTCCACGACAAGAATCAACAGGCTCTTTCCTCTCGACTGGTCGGAAGCGCAGCTCAAGCTCCCCCTTCGTCCGCCCTTCGGTCCCCGAGATGGTTGTGCCTTCTCTTCCTCCTCTTTCGAACTCTGCCACTGTCGGTCCAGACGGCATCATCTCTTTACTGACACAGGACAGACGGTCACTGACTGCGACGAGCATGAGCAGTGCCACTGAGGATAGTGATGGTGCCATGGTTTCAATCAAGAAGGACAAGAAAAGGCAGAAGAGCAAGATTACCAAGCCGCTTTCGGACTTGGGAGTCTACACCCGAGGATACAAGTGGCACAGCTTCTCATCTGCTGAAAGCCAACGGTACAACCACGTGTACTCGTTTGCAGAACGGTCCTTTGAAAGCATCTGCCGCGACCCCGAAAACAAGTCTTCGTTCGAGAAGCATAACCGGAAGTATCTGACCCGAGTCTATCCATCCGGGTTCCGCCTGCGGTCTTCCAACTTCGACCCCCTAAAGTTCTGGAGACGAGGTGTCCAGATGGCAGCATTGAACTGGCAAACATACGACATTGGGATGCAACTGAACCATGCCATGTTTGCCGCAGGAAGCGACCGGACCGGTTACATTCTCAAGCCTGAAAGTCTTCGTGCGTCAGACCCCTTCGATGAGGAGAAAAAGCGACGCAAGGAGCGAAAGTTGGTTCGTTTCTCGGTTGATATGATCTCGGCGCAGCAACTTCCCCGGCCGCGGAGTTTCGGACCGGATGACAGCATCAACCCGTATGTCGAGATCGAAATGTTTAGTGCTGATGACCGGGGCCAAAGCGTTGTTCTCGGTGAAGGTGGCATGAATACCTCAGCGCGCAACAACTTATCTGGAATCGGCTCCCCACACCGTCGTCGTACCAAGATCGAGCAGAGCAATGGATACAGCCCGAACTTTAACGATCGATTCAAGCTGTCGTTGGAGACCCAATTTCCAGACCTTGTATTTGTTCGCTGGGTTGTTTGGAGTTCCTTGGATGGGCACGGCACGGGCAACAACAACAGTGTCCAACTGGCTACCTTTACCGCTAAGCTCAGCAGTCTGTCTCAGGGATATCGCTACCTGCCTTTGTACGATGGTAGTGGCGACCAGTACTTGTTCTCGACATTGTTCTGCAAGATTACCAAGGAAGATCCCGTGTTTGTCCAACGATTGGATTGTGAGGAACTTCGAGCCGAGCGAACAGGCATCCTTCGAACGATCGGCCAAACCGTTTTCAAACGCGCTGGGTCCACCGAGAGAGAAAAGGATCAATCGCAGGATACCTCACCGGTGTTGACTCCGACCGTCTCTACAGCGTCTACCTCGTCGCTTCCTCCATAGGGCGTCACCAAAAGCCCTTCTTTACCTTTATCATTTTCCAACCATCATGCCGTCATCTTGATCTGATTTCAGACCAATATGCCAACAAAAAGCAACGGCGTTTTCTCAATTTTCTATTGCATCTGTCTGGTTCTTTGTTTTATGGTTCGGAGCATTTGGCGTGTTGTGGCTTCTCGTATTACCCAGCGACGATTGGGAAGAAACCACAACTACCTCTGAGTGGAGTTTTTTTGCATTTGATATTTGCTCTATATTTCTCAACGGATGTGCATCACCGCTTCCAGGCATTGAGGATGCGATTTCTAGGCGCTCTTTTGACGTTTCTTTTACATTGTCATCTGTTCTGTTGACTTTGCTCCTGGATTTTACTGGCACTGTGCTATACCCGTCTCGCGATACCCTTTTTACATGCATCTCTCTTGTGATCATGGCTGCCTTGTTTGATTTTATGTTTTTTGCTTTTTTTGCTTCCTCTTCAGCATGGAATTCGGTTTCACGGTTGGGTCATGCTGGTATTTGAATTTGTTCTTTACTTTTCTTTTGCTTTTCTATACCGAAACCGGACTGGATGATAGCATTTGTGGGAGTCACCAGGGATATATGGTTGCATCATCGGACACATAGCGCGGGGATGCATACAGGAGAGCCTGGGACCTTGGGAAAAGGCCCAGTGCTACTTTCATGGCGATATCTTGTTTTATTATTCCGTTTCTTCGTTTCCTGTCTGTCGCTTACTGGGCTCTTGACACCCAGGTTGTGGCCCGGGGAGCCGCTATTTATGTCGTGAGACATGTCTGTCTTTATGGTTCTTTGACCCTTGTTTTAATAGGAAATGAAGCGCTGGGACGCTCGTTTGACTCCAGAGTATACATATCTTGTCCACTGTCCATGTAGATGTCGTATGAATGGCGTAGTGAATTAACTGGCCTGCTGTTGCCTAGGGAGGCCTACGTATACCTGTTGAGGCCTGTGTTTAGCAAGGCGTGTTGATGCTGTTATCTTCTACCCAGATGAAGCTATATCGACCTCATCCCATGGATAGAGCGAGTTGTTGCTTTCCTGACTGGGGAAAGTACAACTTCCGCGTCGCATCTTCCTTTCCAGGCAATCGTTCTGAAGGCCTATAAAGAGACATTCTGCTTTGCAGTTTCTCGTCTTCAATTTCTCCTTCTTCCAACCATCAAAATACGCTGAACTCCATTCATACAAGCCTGTCTTTCGTTCATATCAGTCTTTCCCTGACTGAAACTATTCGTTTATTGCCTCCTTGGCCTTGTGTATTTCATATATACACACGCCCCATTGAAGAGATGGATACTGTACACTTACATCCTTCATACACCGAATTCTACGGCCAGCCGGTGAAGAGACACCGGCTGGATGCCAACCATCTGCCCAACAGGGCACAGAATCATCTATGGTATGTCTTTTCTCACCTCCATGTAGTTTGAAATGCGCATACTAACATTTAGCACACAGGACACAACATGTCCATCGGGTTGCGTATGGCTACCCATCAAGCCAACCTCGACCATCACCGGGCATCCGATCGCCAAAGCCCAAGAGATCCACCTTCCCACTGCACTTGGTGCAAGAGATCTTCCTCACATGGGAGAAGGTGGATCTAGAAGACCCTGAAGAGATGCCGGAGGAGCTCGAGATCATACTTCCGGTTCAAATGTCGGATCCAGAGAGCCCGGCGAGGGAGAGCGTCTTTACAGAGGTGATGGACGTGTCGTGGTGTCCGCCAGAAGAGGTGGAAGCTGGTGGCATGGAGAAGGAACCCGTGGCAAAGGTCGTAGGTGATCTGGGGGTTTCGGGTCGGCTTAGCAGCAGGATACAGGATGCTGCTGACCGGTTGGTGTCGATTAGAAAGACACTGAAGAGGAAGTTTGAGACTTGATGGGGAAGTGAAGGTGGTTTTGCCTGCTGTATATTTTGGATATGCTTTTGTTTTATAGCGATGGTGTTGGGGTTACTTGTGTTTCTTTTGCTGTACACCACATTATTGATTGATGACAATACCACTTAGGAAAGAATATTTGATGAAGATGAAGCTATTCGATGTTCTTGTGTAGATGTAGATCAGGGCGGTCGGAGAACCTGCCCGAAAGGAGGCCAGGTCGGCCCACCTGCCGCCGCTCCAAAGGCAACGTGACGACTTCATTGCAAGTCGAGAGATTCCGCCTCCACGCCATTGTGATTGATTGAATTGCAGCCAGATAATAATAAAATTAAAACCCCAGAACGACCATTATCTCTCCTGTTTAAGTCGCCAACATGGACCCATTCTCGGCAGAAGGTGGTAAGTTGTCCACACGTATCCTTGTTCCATCTTATTGTTTGTCCCCAAGTCGACTCACTCGCAATCCCCCGTCACAGAGCTCATCAACATCCACAATGCCTACCACCAAGGCCAGTACCAGGAGGTGATCGACTTTGACACCTCGGCCCTCTCATCGGAAAACCACCTCCCCGCCCGAGTTCTCCAGCTCCGCGCCCGAATCGCCCTGGGCCAAACGGACCAGGTGCTCGCCGACGTCGAAGGCGAAGAGGAAACCCCCGACCTTGCCGCAGTGAAGGCGCTGGCGCAGCACACGGCCGGAGACGAGGAATCGGCGCAGCAACTCGCTCAGGATCTGGTGGAGAATTACCCGGACAATGGCATTGTGCAGGTTCTAGGTGGGACGTTGTTGCAGGCTCAGGGGAAGAGCGATGAGGCTTTGGCTGTGTTGGCGAAGCACCAGGGGAATCTGGAGGCGTGAGTTTTCTCTCGGGAATTGATATTATGGATGGATGAGATAAATATGGGGTGGTGCTGATTGTGTGACTGCAGTGTTGCTTTGATTGTCCAGATTCATCTGCAACAGAACCGGACCGATTTGGCTCTGAAGGAGGTTCAGGCTGCGAAGCGCTGGGCTCAGGATTCGCTCCTTGTTAACCTGGCCGAGTCGTGGGCTGGAATGAGAGTTGTATGTTTCTCTATTATCTATAGCGGAGTTCTGGGTTATGAAGTAAAGCTAACATTCTGTGCTTAGGGCGGCGAGAAATACCAATCCGCATTCTACGTTTACGAGGAACTTGCCTCCGCTCCTAGCACATCCGCTGCGTTTTCGATTGTCGGACAAGCTATCGCAGAGATTCACCTTGGTCGGTTGCCCGAGGCCGAAGCTGCTTTGTCTGCGGCTTTGGAGAAATACCCCGATGAGGTCGAGTTGATTGCCAACACTATTGTATTGAATGTGCTGGCTGGCAAGCCTACCGAGGAATTGGAGTCGTATGTTTCTTTCTTTCCCTGGTATCGTGGGTTTAGAGCTAACGAATGACACAGACGTCTACAGCAAGTCCAGTCATCGCATGCCCTCTTGGTCGATATCCAAGAGAAAAGCGAATTCTTCGATACCGCTGCGGCAAAGTATTCCCCGAGGGTTTCGTCTTAAGTTAATTTAATTGTTTTCTTCTGTTCTGTTCTGTTCTAGGGAGTGCATCTTTCGTTTCTTGTTTCTCATGAATTGACACGACGGCTGAGCTACTGTATTACCTACCATCCAGCGATGCCTTTTTTTCACCTTATTTCCTATTATTTTTTTCTTAAAAACAAAATCGTCGACATTTAACTACTATAGACAAATGACATGATGCTCAGACCCTATCACATTGGGTATCACAATCCGGAAAATATACCCGAGGAATGTTCCACCCGAAGTTCTTGCACTGACATCCTCGTATCATGCGGCTTGGGATCGTCGCACGATTCACTATACATGATGGCGTCCCCTAATATGTACACTACAATTGGGCTGTCAACCAACTCTCCACGGCCTTTGCCTGCTCCCCGTCAAACCTGGCATCATAAAACAAATCATCATGCGTATCTCCATGTCCTACGATGTAAGTAGTGTTGGGCACCACCGACTGACACGGCCATATCATGTTAGCACTTGCACAGACAAAATAGAACAGATCCTACTCACCTTGAACTTGTTCGCAAACTCCTCAATCCCCGAAAGCAAAATCTCATCACTCCCAGCAACAATCAATGACTGCTGCACCTTAGCACCTTCCCACCACTCCAGGGGAGCCCGAGACGGCTCACTCCAATTATCCCCGACAGTCGATCCATTCAGATAGTCAGTGGAATATTTATTTAGAAAGACCGTGTCGATAATATCCTTGTACTTATTCCTCTCCACCGAGGGTCCCCGGCATTGGTAGTTCACCCACGGCGCGATCCCAAGCACCGCACGCAGCGGTTCGGAGACCTCAACCGGCTCGATCTCCGGATGGGGATGGGAGAGATGCAAAAGGACAGCTAGGGCGAGGTTTCCGCCTGCCGAGTCCCCGCCTACAAGGACGTTGGTGGGGGATCGTTTCGTCTCCGTCAGGATGTAGCGGAGGGCTTCGACGGATTGGCGCAGTTGGGTTGGGTAGAGGCTGCGTGGGGTGAGGGTGTATTCGACGAAGAAGAATGCGACATCCCGGCCGTTGGCGTTGAGCCTTTGGATGATTCTGTAGAAGAATTCAAAGTGCTCTGGGGTGATGGGTAGAGCGAATGCGCCTCCTGTGCATGGGTTTTAGCATTTGGTCTGTATTATGTACAATACCTAGGGGGGGAAGAGGTATGTAAGGGATAGAACGCACCATGGTAGTAAACGACGACATCTTTGGCGTCCTTATTCCCAATCCAGTGGCCTGTGGCTCCATGGTTCAACGGGATTGACTCCGGTTGAAGACGCTTCTTTTTCATAAAAGATTCATAACATTCATTGGAAGTGGGGTTCAAATACCTACAAGCCAATCAGTTAGTCAATCTCCCACTTTTGTGAAAAAGAAAAGAAAAGAAAAGAAAAGAAAAGAAAAGAAAAGAAAAAAAAAAGCAAAGAAAAACACATGGCTAGGTAGTATACGCACTGAAGCTGTCGCGATGACATCCGCGCAAATAACACTCTCGTAACGCGATGGTACACATCAACAAAGTACCCTCTCGCACCTTTCTTCCCCCGGAATAACGCTGCGATAGGGCTGTAGAGTAAAATCCCGACCACAGACAGCGAGGTAGGCAGTATATCTAGTTTTTCCCACGACGTGAGAGTGGGCTTTTTGTTGGTTATATGGGCCATGATGGCGATTTGTTCTAACACGAGGTAGCTTGGAGGTGAAGTTGGGATAGAGTATCTAGCTCAGTGGTGGGATGATTAGTATCTTTAAGGTGGAAACTGGAAGGGAATTCCTTTTCCCCGCACGCTAAATCGACTCAGCTACCCATTTTTATGGCGCATGACATGTTCGTGTTGATCGCTCATTTCTGCGATTGTGATTGTGGATGCATGAGAATCCCTGTCGGTGAGGAGTGCCTCGGCGGTTGTTTTATATAGCCACCACCCTGCTTACTGCATTCCAATACTGAAATTATACTCAAATTGTGTTTTTTTAACTCATTGTAGACCTGTGCAGGTCATCCCGTGAACAAAGGAATGTCTTGATTGTAGTATCAGCTGCTCGTTGTATAGCAATTTCGCAATTATAACCTTGCTTCGATGGAATTTGAACCTAGTTCCCATTCACCATATCCTCCTTTCCCGTCAAGTCGCAGAACGCTTTGAAGGTAGTAAATACATTCTCGTCGCCCTCTCCCTCTCCGGTTCGCTCAATGGCACACTCGGCAGTGGCTCCGATGAAGAACACATATCCCTCCTTGACCTCTTCGGTTTTGGTTCCGACAGTAATCTTGCCCTCACCACTAGTACAAATCAAGATGCTTGGGCCTGCAATACCCTCGAATGTTGCCTTGGCTTTAGTCCGTCTCAGATCCGTCTTCACAACACTGAATTCCTCGATCGGTGGGTCGTACAGAACGCAAGATGAGGCACTGGAGTACGCGGGGGCATTGAGGACGGCAAACGGATAGTCGGTTGGCTCCAACTTCTGCTCATCAATGGGTGCGTATGAGTATGTCAGCATATCTGTGAGTGTATCCACATCCTTGAATTTGGGCGTGAATCCTGCTCGCACAACGTTGTCGGACGACGCCATGCACTCGATGATGTCTCCGGAGATGTATGCGTGAATATCATCGGCTTTGAGAAACATGGCTTCACCGGGCTCAAGCTTGACAAAGTTAAGGAAGAAGAACACAAAAGACCCAATGTCGTTAGGGAACTGCCCGTTGAGGCGAGTGACGAGAGCAGCCATCTCTGCAGGGTCGCTAGGGTTTGTATCAGGCGAGCTGGCCGAAGTAGCAAAGGAGTCCGGGGAGCTTTCCGCAGCTGCAACGAGATCTTTCGTGGCTGTCTCAATGTTCTCGGGAGTAGATTGCATCAGCACGGTGAAAAGTGCTTTCAGTGCATCCTTGTTCTTCTTGGCCACCGTGGGGTCCTCAGAATCCTCGGAGCCTTTAACCGCACGCTCAAATTCGTCGGCCGCCTGCGAACCCACCAGCTGGCGGAGAGGTGCTACGGCGTTGAGGAAATGGACGATTTCAGCCAAGGGACGGAAGCCGCAGAGTCCTTCGAACGGTGTAATAGCGATGGTCATCTCGGGCTTGTGGTTGTCATCTGCGAAGCTATTAATCAACTGGAATGGCAAAGACAGCCCTTCCACCTACCAGGGTAGTTCCGAGAATCTCTAGCATGAAGCTTCTCTGCAAGCTTCTTGTTGGGGTGGGCCTGGATGCTGAGAGCCTTCTGTACCGACAGCACCTTGAACAGGAACGGGAGCTTTCCACCATATCTCTCGCTGATCTCCGTGGACAGCAAAGCCTGGTTATCTTGAACCAAATCGAGCAGGGTCCGCTGGGTTTCGACATCTTTGGAGGGGAGGGAAGGATGGGTGCCCATCCACAGCTACATCCACCAAGAACCGGTTAGCCCATTGCCCTTCCATCCAAACATGGCCAGGGACCAACCTCTGCATAAGGCTTCTCCGACTCTATCGCGAAGTCAGGAGCAGCTGTAGTGGCCGCATATTTTGCAGCAGCCGACTGTTGACCAATCTTGCCTAAGACATTACTATTTCAGTGCGGGGGAGCAAAGAGTCATGGAAGCTATCCCCTACCCCATTCATAGCTGTTCACGCCTATTGTTAGGATAGATGGTTAGCGTCTACTGAGTCTAGAACCGTTAGAGATGGAACTCACCACATTGGAGACGAAGCAACGGGATCTGCATTTTGCCTGGAGGGAGGGTAGGCCAGACTCTCAGTGAATGAGGTGAAGTGAGGCCGATACGTCAGAGTAAACAAAGAACTAGTATCAAACGTTGGGAAAATTTCTTCTCATTCACTCGATCAGACTTCGTAAAAAAATAAATTCCAGAGAATTCTTCTTTCTCTCTCTTTCTTCCTCCTTCAATCGCTTCTTGTCTGTCTTGTCGATTCTATCCCACCTTGTCTCTCTTTCTGCCCCTCCATCTTTCTCCGGTCGGCCCCTCTGTCCGCATCCGGAATGCCTCCCACCAATCGCTGCCTCCGCTCGGGCGCAAAGCGCTTACCGCCTAACCGCGATGCGACTAGAACCGCCGAAGCTGGGAGATCCCCGGCCGACGCGTTTGGGCAGAATAGCCGCCAGCAGGCCGGGGAACTCATCGACTCTCGTGCTCCAGTCTATGCTTCTCCTCCCCAGACTCAGACTCCGCCTGTCCACGGACCAGATCGGGCGCTTGGCAAGAATTCGAGTCCTCCAGCTGTAGAGCCCCAGCCGAGTGATTCTTCCCCCGGAGGCCGTCCGCACAGTGAGCGACAGGGTGCGGCTCGTGGAACACGCAGTGCCCGCCAGGAACTTGTCTCCGCATTTGACTGGGAGGAGTTGAAAATTGCCAGTTCTAAAGCTCCCGGAGTTGCCGTATCCGGAACCAGTAACGGTCCGCAGCAGAAGAATAAGAAGAAGCAGAAGCAGAAGCAACCAAAACAATCAAAGCAGCCAGAGCAGCTGCCGGAACAGCAACCGGAAGCCCTTCCTGAGGAGTCGAGCTTAGCGTCAGCCGAGATGTCACGGAATCGTCCAAGAGGCCCTCCCATGCCCAGGGATAATGGGCTTGCGGCTAATGAAGAAACTGACATGTGGAACAAGATTCTTCAGGATCTCCGAAAGGCCAAGGAGAAGAATGATAAGCAAAAAGCCTTGGCTGAGCAGATAGCTACTTTGAACGAGAAGATCGGGAAAGAGGGTGGCAGTAAGTATATATTCTTCTCTCTTTTTGCGCCACGTCTACGTATATGTTTTGAATTTGAAATTTCCCATTGCAGTACAGCCTGATTTGTATTTACGTCATTGTTCACAATTCGAATTCGATCCTCAAGAAGCTAATTTGATCACAGAACCAACTCTAGCTGAGCACAATCAGCTGGATGGTCTTTACCGGCAAATGCTCAAACTATGCGAAGAGGAGAGAGCCATTCTCGTGGACGAGCCCAGTGATGTGATCAAAAACCTGGGTCTTCTCACAGCCCTTCGTCAGGCATCTGAGGCGGAGGCCCCGGCGCACCGAGCAACTGCTCTTTCCAAGTCACGGAAAAAGAGGAATGAGGTGGATGGACCAGCTACAGAATCCCCAGGGCCCACAGGCTCATCTGTGTCGGACAAAGCCAGTCGCACCAAAGGGGGCGCCGTTCCGCGCAGTACCAGTGTATCCAGCAACCAAGCCCGCGAAGGTCGTGAAAGCCGAGACAATGGCATCGCCGTCAAGACTGAAGAAGGCACAGAAAGCACCAAGGGTACTGTTGCAGAGCGCAGTGGGCATCTTACCGTCGGGGCGGAGGTCGTCTTCAAGCATAATAAAAACAAGCAAGGCGTTGAAGGCGAGGGCATTCAGTGCATCATCAAAGGGATTTCTGGTGATGGGCACAAAAAACGGTATGCTAAGAAACCCGAGTCCGTCCCCGCAAAAGATTGACCGTTGTACCTCCCCAAGGTATGATGTCCAGGACCCAGAACCGAACGAAAATGGCGAGCAGGGAGCTGTGTACAAAACCACTGCCGTATCTTTGATACCCATCCCGCAAATTGGCACTCCATTGCCATCGTTCTCCGTTGGAAAGCAGGTCCTTGCGAGATACCCTGATACCACGACGTTCTACCGTGCCGAAGTCATGGGCTCGAAGAAAGACGCCTATCGCCTCAAGTTTGAAGGTGAAGAGGATGATAAGGAGATGGAAGTTGATAAACGTTTCGTCCTTGACATCCCCAGCAAGTGATATGCGATTCAACAGCGCCGGCATTGATACTTTCCAATTTTCTATTTTTCTTTCTTTTTCAATTTGTTTTTTTCTTTCAAACCGGTGGATTTGTCGATGGCCCCAGATTGTCATGATACCCCTTTGAGCTAAATTGTTTTACGAATGGGAGCAGGGTCGTTTCGGGAGTCTAGGTTTGATGTTTATTGTCTCTCATCTCATTTCATTCCATTTCTTTTTTTATCATATCGAAGCTGTATATTCAACAGCAATCTGGTCCCACACAAACTATTCTCATCATCTTCTAATCCATTCCTTCTGGCTCCAGTGGAAACAGCTAGAAGAACAAGCCTCAACAAAGTATGTGGCCTGACTAATAGAAGGGGCGTAATATTACCAATGATTACCGCATATCCGCACATGTTTAGTCAATGATCGTCACCACCCCGTGAAACACAAATACCTTACTCCATGCTTAGTCGATACAGTGGGATGTGTGTCATATCCACCGATCATCGCAACGCAAAACACCAGTCGAATCGTCGATACAGGAACGGGCGGTGATTTTCTTATCTAAGAGGAATCTGATGCAGTGGGATGCAACAGGTCGGATCGACTTCGTTTAAGCTCATCGATAGAGTCTCCTGTCACTACAGGAGCTTAGCATGAGATTGATTGCATCCCACCGTGCAGAAAATGACAGATAGAGCCGGACTGCTCCTGTTAGATAAGATGGCGACGATGGCGATCCCACTGCCTCATGCCCATCAGCCCACCCCCTGTAGCTAACCGCTCCTCCTGCAATTTAATTATCACAGCATCCTGAGAGGGGGGTTTTAGCTATTCTTATTAGGTGTGAATATGAGAGATTGTTTGGGGCGTGGTGTTGATATTGCTGACCGCGTAACAATACGGCCCGTAAGAACTGCGAAATCCCACTGGGGCTGCTTTGTCTGCCGCGGCCTTTCCGAGGGTCCGGCCTGACGATGGCCGCATTTATTACTCAAATACTCTCCCCCCCCCCCCCCCCCCCCCCCCCCCCCATCCCATCGATCTAGTTCATCATCGCTGTCTCTTCCTTGGTTGATATTTATTTCAAGATCCCCTCTGATATGCACATTGTCTGCAGATAGATCTGTCTGACTTGAAAATCTACTCCTTCTGTTTCCTGCATTGATACTCCTGCATAATTCCGCCATGGCGAACTTGCCGTCCCACGCTTCTCCATACTTTTCACCGCAACCCCCATCTCCATCCAACCAGGATGTCGGAGACATTTCCCTCAATTCGTCGGATCCAACTACGTCGTTATTGAAAGAAAAGGTAGAAGAGTTCCAGGGCTATGATAGCCCCGTCAGCAACCCCGACCAGACCAATGGCGACGTCACCCCCTCCGTGCCGGCCTGCTTGCTCTCGCCTTCTTTTACCCCTCCCGCAACTCCTGGCGGCACATTGAACCCTGCACAGATTCTACAGCAGACCCAAGCCCAAGCAGCTAGCGCTCGAGAGACAAGTGCGAATACCAAGGCCCCGAAGCTCCTTCCACGTCTCCCCCATGTTGAGTGCATCGTGCGCGCACGCATCCCGACCACCAATGGTGCGGAGATGTTCCTCCACCTTTACCATAATGATCTGGACAACAAAGAACACTTGGCAATCGTATTTGGCAACCATATCAGGAGTCGAAGCTTGGACCAGGTTCGACCAGGGGAGACTGAGATGGACCGGATGATCCGCGGAGCGTATGTTGGTAAGCTGCACCCGGGCCGGGTGAGCAGCTGGTACGATGAGGAAAAGGCCGAGGCCGCTGCGAAGGAGCGCGCAGCTGAAGGTGCGGTGAACGGAGCGGCATTTGATCAAACCCAATCTACGCAGAGTAGCCCCAGCCAGGCGCCGCTGGTGAGAATCCATTCTGAGTGCTACACAGGCGAGACTGCCTGGTCTGCACGATGCGATTGCGGTGAACAGTTGGACGAAGCAGCGCGACTGATGTCTCTCCCCATTGAAACGCTGTCTGAAGTTGCATCGCAGCAGGGGCTGTCGGTGCCGTCTAACTCCGCTGGGGGCGTGATTGTGTACCTACGACAAGAAGGACGTGGAATTGGGCTAGGAGAAAAGCTCAAGGCCTACAACCTCCAAGATCTCGGCTCCGACACGGTCGAAGCCAATCTTTTGCTTCGACACCCTGCTGACGCAAGGAGCTATGGGCTGGCTACGGCAATGCTGGCAGATCTTGGCTTGAGCAATGACATCAACCCGCACGGGATCAGGCTTCTCACGAATAACCCCGACAAGGTTCGAGCGGTTGAAGGGCCATCCCGAGAGGTAGTGGTTAAAGAACGAGTTCCGATGGTGCCGTTGGCATGGAGCACGGGCGGAAAGATGGGCATCAAAAGCTCAGAAGTTGAGGGTTATTTGCAAACAAAGGTTGGTCGCGCCCCCTTTTTTGATCATCGCTTTTGCTCTTTTCGGCCTGGGCTCGTATTTCTTTTGGACTAAAGATGGCTAACTTGTCAATCTGGAATAGATCTCAAAGATGGGTCACATGCTTCAATAATCAACCAATCGCCGGCGACAATGTCTTTGTTAATATTTCATGGTTACTATTCGCATGATCCGAGTTGTTCTGTTTAGGGTTTCTTCCTTTGCTTTCCGGTCTTTAGTTTTATGGCAGGCCGTATTGCAGGCCGGGTGGTATATTTCTTTTTCCTTCTGAGGGGTGCAAATCCCTCGCGTTACGATATCACATATAACCGCGTTTGAGATTTGGATATTTTGATCTTTGATATATTTTTTGTCCATCACTGTTTGTCTTACAATTGATCTTGAAGGGGTTCTGGCGTTCTGCAGTGGATATAAACCCAAAATAGCCCCATGAAGCTTGACTCGAGCTGTACAAAATACCACACCACAACTGAGTTTCTCAACGGTCATTCTGCATCTGTGAAACAGATCATCGCACACTCAATAATAGCGTAGTCACTAATTAATTAATTAATATTGCGCCGTCACGAGATGCATGATTCACTCTGCTGGGAACGGGGCGGTTTGCGTGCGTCGCGGCCATCTCCACCCGCTCCCAGACTGTCTTTTTGTCTTCATCTCAACTTTAACGCAATCCAAACTATCGCCCCCTCTCTGAGCCTCCGCCACTAGCTCCAATGCTGCCCAATTGTCCCTCCCCCTAATCGGACCAGGATCATTCCTGGGGATAAAACTGAAAACGAAGGGAAAAAAGCAAAGAACACAAATCAATTCAACCTCATTCTCCCAGACCCCGTACCCACGTTGCATGGCCGTTGCGGATCGGTAGCACGCGAGTGAGAGGGCCATGGCCACCCGCGTGCCTCTAGAAAACAATACGGCGACGACGCCTTTGTCGACCCTGGAGTCCTCGACTATCGCCGAAAATGCTGCCTTGAAGCAAGAGGACTCTCCCGCGCCATCCCGGTTGACCTCCGCGGACGCAGAGACGCCCGTGGCAGGGGACGACGGCGGGCCCGCGACAACGGCTGCAGGCAGAAAACGCAAGCTGAACAGCACTTCGTCGCGGGGCGTGGCCAATCTCAACCCGGATCAATTGGCGAAGAAACGAGCCAACGACCGACAGGCGCAGCGGGCGATTCGCGAACGCACCAAATCTCATATCGATGCGCTGGAGCAGCAGGTTCGCGATCTCTCTTCTCAGAAGCCGTTCTTGGATCTCCAGTCGGCTTTGAGACAGAATGAAGCCATCCAGGCGGAGAATAGGGAGATCCGGCAGGGATTGAAGGCGATCATGGATCTTGTTCAGCCTTTACTTGGCAAGCAGGAATTACCTAGTGAGTATATTTCCTCGTGGGGTTGGAATCTGAAGAAAAGCTGACATTGGGCAAAAAGTTGCTGCTGCTACTGCTGCTGCTACTCTCAACAATCCTCCTCCGAAACCCATTCCACATCTATCTGTTACGTCCGATCCCTTTGGCGAACATAATAATTTCACCCCCAATAGCCAACGATCCGCGACGGTTGAACGATCCTACACCGAGTCCATTGCGAGTGTCGAGACCCCGTCCCCCACGCATTCCGCGCCCACACTGGGCGGAGCTCGTCGCGATAGTAGCACCACCACCAACACCAACACCAACACTAACGGCAATTCCTCGTTCCGTCTTGCGTTTGACTCCCAGCGCCATAATCTAAGCCATGGGCTGGACTTTAGTGCGGATGAGCGGCTGGGTTTCAAATTCTTGCTCGATGCCTCTCATCAAGTCCCCAAGATGGAAGGCTTCCGTCGCAGTTCAGACAATTTCCGACCTTCACAATTGAATCCTTCTTCGATATATACCCCGCCCTTACACCCTCCCATGTCTGACCAGAGCCTGCCGGCTTATCAAACACCCATCCGAAACGTCGGTCCCACTTGTCCTCTAGATGCTATCCTATTGGACTTTCTTCACAACCGACAGCGCGAAGCTGCGCAGGGGGTGCCCAAACAGAAGTTGGTTGGGCCCCCGTATCCCAGTGTGTCGTCGCTGCTCAATCCCGAAAAGAGCGCCTACTCGCATCCGGTATCCAAAGTGTTTACGGATATTTTGCGCGCTTTCCCTGACATTTCGTCACTTCCCGAGCAAGTGGCCGTGCTCTACCTCATGTTCCTTATCATGCGATGGCAGATCTACCCCACGCCTGAGAATTATGACCGACTGCCCGAGTGGCTGACCCCTCGCCCCTCCCAACTATTGACCCCACACCCAGCTTGGATCGACTATCTCCCTTGGCCACGCATGCGAGATCGCCTCGTCATGTCCTATCATGACTATCCATTTGAGAACTGGTTTGTCCCGTTCACTCGCACTCTATCGGTCAACTGGCCATACGAGGCGACCGATTGCCTGTTGGCAACCAGTGACTGTGATGATCTGATTATTAACCCCGTCTTTGAGCGACATTTCAGCAACATCGCCAATTGGTCTCTAGGGCCGGCATTTGCAGAAGCATACCCTGCCCTCGTGGATACTGTCAGGATCAAGAAAGACCCTTCTTCTTGGTCTGGTTAATCCCTTCTTTTCTTCTTTTTTTCATTTATCTGTATCTAATATCTGGGACGCTGAGGCACTCTGGCAGGCCCGTACTGAGAGTGCACATTGGGCTTTGTTGCATTCTGTTGGTGGTGATATATGGCGTATGGTGAACATAAGTTAGGCTGGTATCCTGGACTACAAGTCTATGTTTTTCTTCTTTTGGTGACTATTTACAAATAAATATATATTATCGACCACCTTTTTGAATACGAAATGTTTATATATTCTTCGTTTATGATCCTCCTTTTCTGCTCTTCTCATTCCAAAACTCCATGCCGGCTTTCTGGCGCAGAATTCCATACATGGAGCTGCTATCCAGGCACTCTCCACCGTATTCCCTCGCTGCCTCCATGTTCTCCTGAGCCACCTGAAGACCCGGGAGCTCGACTGAATGTTCTTTAGCAATGGTGGATGCATGTTTTGCGTCCTTGATGGCCAGGGATACCCCAAATCCGGGACGAGAATCCAAAGGTGGTGCATAGGCTCCGGTTGTCAATCTGAAGAGCGTGTGAGTAGAGCTATAGCATTTGTCTTCGAATGAAGCTTACCTCTTGGAATAACCACCTGCTACAGGTCCAAATGCCTCGCCGATGAGCTCTTCCATAGGACCAGTCCCTAATCCTGTGCGTTCTGCAAAGACCTGGGCTTCTCCGACAGCTTCCATCATGTTGACCGTGACGATGTTTCTACAAAATTCAGCTCATCTTCCACATAATCAAGACAAAAGACTTACCCAGCAATCTTCAGCATGGAAGACTTGGTCGCATCCTCACCACAATCAATCACCCGTCTACCCATTACATCCTGAATCAACGGCTTCACCACTTCAGCGGCCTTCCTCGGCCCTCCAATGGCAAAGACCAGCTTCCCATCGACAGCGATCGGATTCCCACCAAACACGGGCGCCGACAGAAACGAGGCCTCCTTTTCCTTCAATTTGGCCACGGTAAGTCCCACCGTCTGCGGATGAACCGTCGAGCAATCGACAAAGATCTTATCACGAAGCGACTGTCCCGATCCCAGAGCGGAGGAGATTAGGCTCTGAAGGACTGCATCGTTGGAGACCTGCAGATAATTGTCAGCTTTCGGCCTTGTTTCTTTTTCGTTTTTCCCAATTCAGGAGACAGACCATGGTGAAGATAATCCCGCATTGACCCACGAGCTTCTCGAAATTCATCTCAGGGACGGCGCCCATGGCCTGGAGGGGGTTCCCACGCGCCATCGTACGGTTGGAATAGACCATATTCAGGGCCTTCTTGGAGACGAGGTGTTTTTGCAGGTTACTGGCCATTGCCAGGCCCATGGATCCAAGGCCATACTGAAGATGTCGTTAGTGATCATGGGTCAATTTGAAGAGAATCCGAGAGATGCTATACCCAGCCGATTCGAGTCATTTTTTGTTTCTTTTATATTCTTTGGATTGTTGTTTGGTATGGGGAGAGTATCGTTATCAAGGAGATAGGGCGTTAAATAGTCTCGAAGCGATAGCCGAGCTCCCCGGTGTCGGCCGAAAGGGGGATTCTAAAGTCGAGGACTTGGGATGGAGATGTTTATTATCAAAGGAGAACGGAGGATTCCGTTGATGCTGGGAATCTACGTGGATATGGAGGGGGAGGCTTATTGTCAACGTGGTGGATGTGGCTGCTTGATGCTATCCCTTACAGCGATTATTTAGAGTGAGACTGACAGATAATCCCCCACGATAGAAAAATGATACATCTAAAGGTCTAGTGAGTCTATTATGGTAAATAGGCCATGAGGATTAATTGTTTCTCTTCTGGCGATGGAGGTTGGACTGACAGACGATGACGATGAGGCTCGGTGAGTGGAGTCGCCCTGCTGTTATTACGGGGAAAGCACCAGCACCGCAACTCCAACTTTAACTCTCGCTCTCCAAGTCCCTCTGCATCTCCATCGCCCTTGGATCCTCCCCACTTCTTCTCTTTCTGGTCCTTGGTCTATCATTGAATACAACTCGATCGTCAGAAAAAAGAAGCAACAAGAAACTCGCAGTCATGGCGGACATGCCCATTGGTGAGCCACCAACAAGCGAACAACACCGTCCAATCCCTCCGTTAACATAGCCAAACCCCCTTTAGTTCTCGACGGAGGAACCGGTTTCCTCAAGGTCGGATATGCAGCGCAAGTATGTCGTTCGATTCCATGCCATCTCGACCAAGCTGATCGTTTGTCCTCTCTTCCTAGAACTTCCCAGAGCATCAGTTCCCCTCGATAGTGGGGCGGCCCATACTCCGAACGGAGGAGCAAGCCGGTGATATTGTCGTCAAGGATATCATGTGCGGAGATGAGGCGGCCGCTGCTCGATCAATGCTTCAAATCAGCTATCCTGTACGTCTTGTCGCAATCTGATTCTCTCTCCCTCCCCCCGGGATCCCTTTCCCTTCCCATACCCCGCCTTGCCCTCTTGGAAGGCAGACGTGTTAACGAAAGGACCATTGCGTGGGAAATAGATGGAAAATGGAATTGTCAAGAAATGGGACGACATGCAGCATCTATGGAACTACACCTTTTACGATAAGATGAACATCGATCCTACCGGTCGCAAGATCCTTCTCACCGAACCCCCGATGAACCCCCTCAAGAACCGTGAGAAGATGGCAGAGGTCATGTTGGAGGGATACAATTTTGGTGGTGTATACGTGGCTATCCAAGCTGTGCTTGCTCTATACGCCCAGGGTGAGTGGGGAATCTTGTTAAAAACAAAAAAGAGGGACAGTGCAGCAGTAGCTCACGTCATTTTTCCTTTCTAGGTCTCAGTAGCGGTGTGGTCGTCGACTCCGGTGATGGTGTTACGCACATTATCCCCGTCTACGAATCTACAGTTCTGAACCACCACATCCGTCGATTGGATGTCGCCGGTCGCGATGTTACCCGGAATCTCATCGCCCTGCTCCTCCGCCGCGGTTACGCCCTGAACCGTACAGCCGACTTTGAGACTGTGCGCCAGATCAAGGAGAAGCTGTGCTACGTCTCCTACGACCTCGAGTTGGACAAGAAGCTTTCCGAAGACACCACCGTTCTGGTGGAATCATACACCCTCCCCGATGGCCGTGTCATTCGTGTGGGTAGCGAACGATTCGAAGCCGCCGAGTGTCTCTTCCAGCCGCACCTGGTGGATGTCGACCAGCCCGGTGTTGCTGAGATGCTGTTCAACACTATCCAAGGCGCCGACGTGGATGTGCGCTCTAGTCTGTACAAGGCTATTGTGCTCAGTGGTGGAAGCAGCATGTACCCCGGTCTGCCATCGCGGTTGGAGAAGGAACTGAAGCAATTGTGGCTCACACGTGTGCTTCAAGGAAACCCAGAGAGATTGAACGTATGTGCTGATAGAATTGGGCCTGGTATTGACAATTCGCTAATGCTGGGTACAGAAATTCAAGGTCCGCATCGAAGACCCTCCACGGAGAAGACACATGGTTTTCTTGGGAGGAGCTGTCCTTGCCAACCTGGTATGCTACTACTTTCCGCCACACCTCGACATAGCCATGATAACTAACTACTTTATAGATCGCGGACAAGGAAGACATGTGGGTGACCAAGCAAGAATGGGAGGAACAGGGTGCCCGTGCTTTGACCAAACTCGGACCCAGATAGTTTCTTTTCTTCTCGTGCTTCAGCCGTTTTCTCAAGTCTCTACCCAAACCCTTCCTTTCTTCGCAATTCAAGCTCGCATTGATATGTCATATAAGGCCTTAAGGATTTATACCTTATCTTGTTCCTGGTTTTTGTAGCTAGTATAGAAAGTAACCGAGCAAGCCTCTTGAAAAGCCCCCTTTTTTGTGAATAAATTCCCCTTAAATCTCTTTTTCTTGTTTTTCCAGAATATTGAGTAATGTGGAAGAATCACGGTCTATTTTTGGTGTTGCCAATAGATAATCTATAATTTTGACATGGCAAATGAGAACAAAGAAATTTAACCCGAACAGTAACCCAAATAAATAACACCCATTTGAGACGAGAAACCCAAAATAAAAAATATAAGAAATCGAAATATACATGAAGTTTATATAAGAAAGGTAGATGTTGGGGGGAAAAATATCGATATGAAAGAAAGGGAAAAAAAAATCCCGGCGCAGGGGCAGAAGCCGGCGCCTATATCAACCCGAGAGAAAAGCGGGGAGGAGAAAAAAAATAACCCAGTGACTTAGTAGATGGTTTATTCGTCACTCTCGGATTCTGCGTCATCGTTTTCGATGTTCTTCTTTTGCTCCTCTTTCATTTCACGGTAGGTGCTCCAACTCAAGAGGAAGAAGGCTACCATGATAAGGACTCCACCGATGATGGAGGCGAGAGAGAGAGGTTGCCCCGTGCGAAGCCAATCGACGATAGCGACGAGGAAGATGGTGAGGAGGGCTGCGACGGAGGATAGGACAGGTGAAGTGAGAGAGATGAGGACCAGGAAGGAACCAGAGAATGCTGTTGCATACTTTGTCAGTAATTGTTTTCGGGGGCATTTTATCTCAATGTAAATGGATAAACTCACTGGCATTGGCAAGGACGGAAATCATAAGCATCCATGCAGCCTCACCCGTTGGCCAGCGGAACGTCTCCAGGCCCGTGATATGGAGAATGGGCAATGGAATCCACAGGACTAATAATGTGAAGCAGCCAATCAAGCTGCCAACGGTGTTGGCAAAGATCATGCTTCGACCCGGGCTGGTACCTTCCGGAGGACAGCCGTATCGCTTGTAGAGCACTTCATAGAGACCGTAGAGCACACTACCAACACTGATGATGATATTTCCGAGCAACCTGTTTTCCGCCTCCTGCTGTCCCTTACCCACGGTTCCGTCCGCCGTCTTCTTGTTTTCGTCTCGGCCACCATATGCAACCACGAGGACACCTACAATGGCAACGAAGATTGCAAACACTTTATCGAACCGGAACTTATCCTTCAAAAGCGGAATTGAAAAGGCATATGCGAAAAATGCGGAGCAGTTGTAAATCGCAGTCAAATCACTGGCTGTCGTCATGTTCACTGCCACGTACCATGCACCACCCGCGATAGTAAGTGCAGTTGTAACGAACGCTGTCGTCTTGATCATGTAACGAATTGGTGATCGTTGGAAGCCGCGCGAGGGAGCGTGTAGGTCTTGTGTTTCCACCATCTGCGCCGTGGTTCGAAGAAGAAACACATGACGTCGCCAAAACGCCTCCCATGAAAGTGATCGTTTTTGTATTCGGAGGATGAGGAGCTGGACCGGCCAGAGGAGGGCCCACGAGCCATGTGTGAGGTACCTGTCCGTTGGGAATAAATGTGAGTTTGGTTAAGTCCCCTCAAATCGGAGAACGATCAGGAAACACGTGTAATTCCTCCGACTTACAGCATGCAATACGGTTTATCCCAATGCAACTCATGCTGAATATACACAGCTGTCTCGGTCTGGATCACGAAACTGGCCAGACTCAGAAACAAAAACCCCGACGCAATCAAATATTTCCGACGGGTAGCCTGCTGCGCATCATGCTCCGGACTGCGACTCCTGATTGTCGGCCGCCTCGAATGGTGCAGCATAGGCCTGCCTTCTGTGTCACCATTTCCATAGCTGGCGTTGGACAATCGACCCCGATCCTCATCCTTTAGCAACGGTTCTTGACCATCTACCGGGTGATACATGGACGCTCGATGCTGAGACATATTGTTGTCGTCTATGTCGTGGGAATCGAGGTTCGGCTCGGGATCCCGGTCCTCTCTGAGACCTTGTAGATGTGTACTGTCTGGAGCCACTTTGACGTTGGTACAAAAACCACTTTAAAAAAGAAAGAGAGCGACAAAAAGGAAAAGAGAAAGAAAGGATGTCAGAGGCAATGAAGGTAGAAACCTTTCAGAATTCAATCTTTCCCACGAAACAAATTGGTGGGCGTTAAAAAGGTAATGATTTACGTCGGGGGTTGCGACTCTCGTCGGATAAAGATCGAATTAGGAGAACGAAGAAACAACCTAGGAATCATCGAAGCAACAACGTAGCGAAGAAAAAAAAGCGACAAATGTTTCTGAATCGCAACCAAAGATTAATGTAAAGTGGAAGTGACGGCACAAAGCAAGTTCAGCCTTGCCAGACAGCCAGGGTGGGTTTCGACAACCGAAAACCGGGGGAACATGCAGCCCGTCAAACGTAATCCCGCTGCGGCCACGTTTGCGAAGGCGATATACACGGTTGAGGACCAGCCGCAACAGAGAGAGCAAAGATTCTGGGTCGATGCGACAAAGCAGGTAGCAAGAAAAAGTGTGGTGAATCACAGACAGCTCGAGGACGACGGCAAGTGAGGGAAACGGGGTCGATGGTCCGGTATGTCGTCAGTTATATAGCATGCATGCAGAGCCTAGTCACTTGCTATTTACGGGGCAGAACCAGGTGTGCCTGGCAGCGCAGGCACCACTATTCCGCTTTGGGCTGGTGGCGGTGAGCCTCACACGTGAGGGGCTGTTTCCGATCACCTGCTGCATCGGGACTAGCGCCTGGGCTGTCATCTCTTGTCGTCTTGGCCCGTTGCAACACGTCCGACTGGTCTCACGCAGAGCAAATGCATTACTACATATTATTCAAGACAGTCCATGGCCAAGGCTTGCTAATTATAATTCAAGGGTCTAGCTGGGTTATAATTACATAAAAACCGTCGTCTTAGTGCGAAAACCGGAAATCCAGCCGTTTGTTTCCCCTGTCTGGAGTCGTTGACACATAATCGACCCGCTGGTCCTCCGTCATGGCTGTCCACTTTCTATCGCGACAATGGTTGCGCAGCATGTAGTATAGCTTGATGGCTATATATACCACAATATTGAAGCAAAGGATAATAAGAAGCACCCGATTCCCCACTTCATATCGAGGCTCATCCCCTTTTCAATTCGATCAGCAAAGGGACACCATCACCAATCAACGGTCACTCACAGTCTTGGTATATATTCGATGCAATCATTCCTGCTGCCTGCGTGCACATGTTGTATATGGCTGGCGCAATAGCTCGCGATCGTATACTATTGGAATTACGGGAATTCCACCCGGATTGAAGTGCATGGGCTGGATGTGCATCGCCATCCTGTTAGTCAAATCCCTTGGATGGAGCACCAGGTTGATCTCACCATTTGGGTGGCTCAGCAATAGTGTTATTACCGCCCAAACAATCCATTTGTTGATCTGGGTGATGTCCACGATGTTGATGTACAGAAGCATTGGCAGCATCCAAACCTGAGCCAACATCCCCATCAGTGCCAGGGATTGAAAAACCTCAGCCGCATAAGTAAGCGCAATCCTGTTTACTATACTCAAAGCCTAGGCTTAATTAGCATTGCATCATGTACAGGCAGGTAGGTCAACTTTTACATTATACGGCATGCTCAATAAAATGGCCTGGAATGTGCCGAATCCCATGTCTTTCATGGTCAGGGTAAAGTATTGAGAGATAGTTACTTCAAGACCGTCAGTCAGAGAGCTGGAAGAATGTAGCTCAATATCACAATACTGACCCGACGGCGTCTGAAATGATAGCCCTATGAGATACAGCGGCCACAAATCATAATCTGTAAGACTCTGCCATAGAAGTTTGAATGTTATGGGCTGGCGATTGTGCATGGTCCCTTTACTTGGGTCCTCTCGGATAATACGATTAACCATTATGATCTCTTCTCTGTAATTGAGATTTATCAGCGCTATTCAAGCAAACAAGGAAGCTGGACTTTGAAGAATAGCTACCTTTCTGTAAACCATCCATTTCTTCCTCGAGCCCAACTGGCCGTTTGTGTCGGTGATGCTGGCATCAAGATACATGCCAAAACACCCAGGGTCAGAGTAAATAGCCCCTGTATGAGATTGTGAGCAGGGGTCAAGCATGGTAGATAGGCTGATAACCTATACAAACCTCAATCAAGAAAAGCCAACGCCAACCAGCATTACCGCCATAGCCTCGTAAGTGGAGAACTCCATAAGCTAGTAGCCCTGCAAGGATATCCGACAATACCCCTGCTGCATACCAGAATCCAAGACGAATGGAGAGCTCGTGGTGTTTATAAAAGTATGAAAGGTATAAAATCATCTAGATCATTTCAGCAAGGAGCAACTTCATTGGTAATATCTCAGATACTCACTGCCGGTGTGAATCCGCCCTGGAGTGTGCCTAGCAAGGCCCGACATATTAAAAAGGACTTTCTACCAGAAAGCCAGAACTGACAACTAGCCGTAATTGACCAGGATATAACCTGGAAGGGAATCCATCTGTCGGGGCCAAGCCACTTCCCAAGAAGTTGAGCAGGAACTTCAGCCAAAAGATAGCCCAATCTAAAGAGGGTATTTCCTAGATTGTAATCTAAGCTATAATGAGACAATTTACTCATGGATAAATATTCTGGACTCCGTTCAACTTACCGTTTCGTGACAGGTTGAGATCAGATAGGAAATTATCGGCATTAGCTTGTTCTAGTATCGCATATATTCAGCCAAGATATCAGTATAAAACCAAGAACTACACCTACGAATGTTAGCCTTGTCAAGCTCCAACGCCATCATCATGAAGCATGCCAGGAGAGTGATTCGGAGATCGATTTTCTTGACGATTTTCTATAACAATATCAGTCTGTTTTCAAGATATTTCCCCCCAAATGTTAGCATACACTTTCTTCTCTCCAAGTCCATCTTGCCGATGGATCAAAACGATGGATGTTCTCCCAGTCAGGCCGTGGCTTGTACTCCTCGGCTAGTACAGGGTCATCGAAAACAGATGGCTGAGTCGCTATCGCATTTGGATCATATCCTTTTGACCTCTGAAACCAAAATCGACGTTCATCAAGAGGATCACCAAGCTCCGGGGTGTCCGAGCAGGAAGCAAGCCTTGTAGTATGACCCTTTGGGGTCTTCTCATCGACTTCGGACCCGGTGAAGTTGGACTCGTTTTTGGAAAAACGAGCAATGACAAGAGACATCTTTCTGTTTAGCCCGTGGAGAATGAATGAAACATTTCGATTCTAGCGAGGCTCTTCCCCCCATTTTAAAGGCCAAATACAGAGCCCATTCTGCAGGCTAGTTCTCAACTTCCAGCACTCATTAAGGGGGTTTCTTTCCCAAACAAGAAATCTCCACCATCTTCTTGTTCTAGTCCCAGTCTATCACAAGACGCGATAGACTGGTATGAGGTGGAACAGAGATGCGGCTTTCCAGACACACAGAGCCTAGATCAAGCACCTTTCCTTGACACTGGGAATTCCTTGGTCTAGAATCCAAGACAATCAATATTCAAAATTATGATGTTTCAATTGCGCCATTCTTTGGCTTATCGAATGCCTGCCAGTCTATCAGGCGGCGTCGCAGTTCTCTCAATGTATTTTTCGTACACGTTATCTGGTTATAGAAAACGACATGGGTCCACGGGCAATGGTGTAGCTTCGAGGTCATCCGAATACGTGAAAGTACCAAGCTTCTCTCGATGAGACACAAGCCCCTAAATCTTCCATAATAACCAGTTAGCTTTGCATTCCATGTGTTGTTAATGTGTAATCTTTTTTCGTCTCTCCACGCTAGGATAGCACCGTATGCATGCAACACATGAGGGTCACACCAACAAAGAGACGGCAGACACCAATACTCGATAGGAGCACGGACGAATTGAGGCTTTTCGGCATACCTTGGGTTTGATCACAGCATTCTCAGAATGTGGCACAGTGTATTTGGCACTCCTCTGTCCACCGGACGACCAATCATCGGTCTAGGCCCTGGATGTAAGGGTGAGGCTGATGTGCACCCCATCATCATGCAGTGTAGAAGGAATTCGAAAAAAGGATCAAAGAACCTGCTGATTCAGTGGTTGTGTCTGGATAGCTGCACTGCAACACTGTTTTGCTATCTGTGAGGGGGAGTTGGGGCGAGGTTGGGTTGGTTGGGGAAGATGAAAGAGATGAAATGGAAGTGAAAAAAACTGGAAGGAAAGGGGGCAGAGCAGACGAGCCCTTCAAGGGAAAATTGTTAGAAATTGAGCTCAACGACTATTCGATACAGGCGAGAACCATTCTGAATACTGAGGATTTATCCTTTGGCTGAGACAAATTTAAATCTGGCCGGTCTTGCATCCATCCATCATGCGATTTTACATGAAGTGAAAAAGCAATAATAGCCGGCGAACCAGCCAGTACATTTTGTTCCTCTGAAGTAGGATGCCTCTTCGTCTAATACTGTTTCTGTAGTGTTTATTGTGTATTTCCCTCTCAGGGGATGAAGTAAAAGATGTTTCCATTGCACCTTGATTGCAGTCTAGTATTACCCTTTCCTAGTTTCCCAATTTTGTTGACAAAATTATACATTAGTGCATATCATTATATTTTGAGACTTTTAGTTTTATACAGACCCCTGTGTAGGCCTTTCTGCTGCGTCCTTTTGCTTTTGCTTCATTTCGGCCAGACACGGGGCCATGAATAGTCTCCCAGATATAATACCCTTCAAAGTTCCGGTCGAGACAACAATCCAAAGAAGAACGACAAGGATGGAAAGGATCTATAGTATGAAAGATATGATTAGTTCAGATCCCCAAATAGGTGTAACTCATATACATACCATTCCCAGCACCTTGAAAAATCCCGATGCCAATTCCCTTCCAACCTCACATGTTGCCATTGCATATGCCCCCAGTGGAAAGGTAAACCCCCACCAACCAATGTTGAAAGGAAATCGCTTGCATCTTACGATGGAAGCGGAGGCAAAGAAGAACCAAACAAGTCCAAATGCCCAAAGGAGAAGCGCGATGGCGAAGCAGATGACATAGATTATGGAAGCGGCATGGACTTCATCCAGTGAATTGTTTTTCGGAAGTACAGCTCGAGCAGCAGATCCAAGCTTCATCATTCTAGATCGGGATCAGTTGAAGTTCAGGGGGTTCAAAGGTATGAGTCGAGTCTTACGAGAAGGCGCCAGATCCCAGGGGTCCCAGGGGAAGAAACACGCTCACGATAACCTCCTTCGGGGGCAGCTTGTGGATCGTGAGTCGCTGGAAGTAGATGACGAAAACCATCATGGACAGGGGAATTCCCATTCCCCATAAGATATAGCTTGCGATGATTGTCCAGAGTGCGTATTGGTCGTGAGCTAGGTTATCTGCAACGATTGCCCCAGTTCCTGCAGCAACAACACAGGTGATAATCGGCATAAGCCACACTGCGGTCATAGAAGAAAGTTGTGTATCGATCCTTGTTGACATGCTAGAGTTCTTGGTCAGTCGAGGGTACATAGCCAGCAATCAGGAAGGGCCATACAGGAGAAAGGGCAATGAGAGTGCCGTGGCAACAGAGATCACAGCATCGATTATCCACATAGCCCAGGCAAAATCCCTAGTCCATTGGCCCCAAACCGGCACACACACAAAGCAAAACATATTGATGAGTGTTGCAAGTCCCATAGGAAACGTACCAATAAACATCGACTGCACTGGGTGAGTTAACATGTTCTTGAAAGTCTTCGGATACATGGTATATCGAAGCAAGCTGAGTATGCAACCCGCTGTGAAAAGGAAGACGTTGACGGCAAAAATAACAACAGAAATCCAGTAAAGCCAACGGCCATTGTATGGCAAGGTATAAAGGATTGTCGAAACAATTCCCGTCCCCATGGTCACCGAGAACCACCTGGTTTCCGGTTAGCATTTACCTATGTAGATAGCTTCAAGGACGACATACGAAGGAGTAAAGTTGTGGATGACCCTTCTCCAACCAACTTCAAGCTCTGTCGAGCACTTGTCGTCGTGGCAATCGTCATGTCTCTCTGACTGGCCATCACCATGGCTCTCATCCAACTCAGAATCAAGTATGTTTCGGCTGAATCTTTTCGACGAACTGCTACTGCTCAAAATGCTGGGAACTGAAGCTTGCCATGGCGTCAGGAACTTTTCCGTTGAACAATGAGGGTCTTGGTTTGTCGCGTATATTGATGTTCGCTGTTCACCCTGAATTCCAAGCATTTTGATTTCTCCAGGGACGGTCTTCCAGGCGATGAATGTTGAGAAGGGGAAGAACTTTCGCTGTCAGAAGTCATCTTTATTTTAAGGGCCTTTTTCGACTCCGCTTATGACACAACGACCGACCGTCGACGGCTAGATTTCCTGACAGAATTGGAAGCTGGAACTTGGTGTTGTGTAGTAACTCGAGTTAGTTAGTGTGTTGTTCCTAGTTCGTTCCCAGAATTTGGTTCAGATGGAGATCCACCCCAAGGATCGGTGGGCTACTGCGCGTGAGCAATAGTTGCAGCAATCCTAATTTGTTGCCAAAATCCTACCCAAGCCGCCGGCGAATAGCGATGGTAAAACGATATGGTTTGACACAAGCTGAACTCTGAATGCTTAGGCTTCTCTCTATCTCGTTCATTTTTTCTTCCGCTTCCCCGTGCCTCTGACGGCCTCATCCCTCGGGCAGAAGGTGTGCCCTGTTCTCAGTTCAGATTGGATTGAGATTCGATTCATGATTCATGATTCATGATTCATTTCCCACTTGGCAGAGCGGGTCCCTGAATGGGTAATCACCGAGCTTTCATGGGCCACGTTGATCCACAGGTTCGACGCTTGTGTTTTAGAGGCTACTCCTCGGCCATTTTTCGGCCAGTGCGCACCATTCCGATAAATATAACTGGATTATGTATGCCTGGCTGGAATAGGAATTCTAATAGATTAAGTACCCCTGGAGATCATGAACTGTTTCCAAGCGAGAATCGTATCTTCAGCTCAGCCTTGAACGCCCAGCATACTCAATAATTCGACAACCGTTGGCCAGCGATCCTTCAAGCGGTAGGTTTGAATAAAGCTCGAGTGTCATAGCTATATTTCAAATCGAGATGCCAATAGTTGGGGGCCGTTGGCTTTGCGATCAGCCACGCCTTGTCCAAAACCTCAACCACTTCCTCGGGCAGTGGACCCTTTTCAATGTCTCGAAGATTGCTTTCCAGCTGCGCCAGGCTGCTCACACCAACGACAATCCCATCACGACCATTATCCTTCATGTTGAGCGCCGAGTGGTGACGGACCCAGCGCAGTGCGGTTTCCGGCAGGGTCAATCCATGCTTTTCTACAACGGGCTCGATGATTCTCAGGGCATCAAACGTTGCGTCCTTGAAGTAACGGCTGCGGTACAACGCCCCGGATGCGGCTTTGTCACTATAACGACCTTCCTCGGGTACATCCTTCGTCTTGTATTTCCCCGAGAAGAGGCCGCCAGCAAGCGGGTTGTAGATCACTATGTCAATTCCATAGCGTTTGCAAGCGTGAACTAATTCGGTCTCGATTGAGCGTGCTAAAATGGCAAATCAGTTATAGTTCTGCAGGGATCTATCCTCACGGAAAAGGAACTCACTGATGGCATTATACATTGCCTGGTAGATGGTTGGGCGCACCCAGCCTCTTTCGTTGCAAATCGTGACTATCTCAGCGACCTCGAACGCTGTGTAATTACTCAGTCCCAAATTGACGAACTTTCCCTCCTTGTGTAACTCATTGACAGCCTCGAGGGTCTCAGCGAACGGGACAGAACGATCAGGGGCGTGCAGGTAGAAGATATCGACTTTGTCCGTGCCCAGCTCCTTCAAGGAAAGCTCGAAGTTCTCGCGCAGGACGGCAGGCTTATGATCGCCGGGGGTCTTGGGATACCATTTGGTTGCTAGGGTCAGGAAACGCTCCTTCCATTTCGCCTGGGCCGTGAAGGCTTCTTGTTGGCCTCCGACGTATATCCGAGCGGTGTCGACTTCATTATAGCCTTTTTGCTGCAGATAATCCAGGCACTTATTATAGTCGTCGAGGGAGGTGATTCGAGCGCCCTGGGACTCATCCGGTCCAAAGGTCATCAATCCGAGGATGACCCTTGGCATGAAGTTCTGCGCAATCAAAGGCATTTTCAGGGATGTCAACAAGGATGTCTGTGTGTGTCAATGGCAGCTGATCAGCGAGTTGAGGTTCGGAGGTGGGTTGGTTGGGAGGGAGCGGAATGGACGGAGAAGCGGGGTAACGGTTTGAAGATAAGGATAGCAGCCAGTGTCGCCATTTGTGTCTGATATGAGGTATAAGAGTCTGCCTTGTTAATCAATGGGTGAAATGTGTATATATAATGGTCTTTCTGAGGAAAATATCATTTCATTCTCACCATGTGTCTGCGTGGTTACAAGCTATTGTGGTCCAATATTTCCCCGCATCACCAGATCAACAATGATGATGCAAGAAGGTGGTATATAATTCTAAACATATTCCATCAGTCCATATATATTCTTAAAGATCCCTGCAATGAGCCGAATAAATAGACACTCAAGTGTCATGCTGATGCAGTATTATAGAGCCTGTATATTAGCTTGCCGTTGGCGCCCACACAAATCAAAAGCGATTCTCCAATTTGACTCCTTCACCAAACAAACAACCACCGTCGCTTCTGGCAAAGCGTTTGCCCGGTCACACCATACTTGACTTGCCTTCCATCATTTTCGACAAAACACAAGGAATACTCAACTCATATCTAAAGTGTTTGCAAAAATGGCTGCAAGTGATCAACACCGATTCTCAATTCTGGTCATCAACCCCAACACATCTACGCACATGACCGATGGGTTGAAGCCTATACTGGAAAGCCTTCAATATACAGATGTCCAATTCGACTACTTTACGGCACCTTCAGAGTCTGTTACACTTCCTGATGGACGCATCATTGAAAGCGTACCCAGCATAAACTCAGGCGAAGATTCTGTGCAATCCGCAATTCATTGCAGAGGTTTTTTGGAGCCATTGGTACCCAAATATGATGCCTTTCTGGTGGCCTGCTACTCGGCTCATCCACTCGTTGGGATGCTGAAAGAAGAGATTCTGAGATTAGAAGAAGCAATTCCAACAGGAGGATCGCTGTCATCGAGATCCCAGCGGAAATACGTGACTGGGATATTTGAAGCTAGCGTTACAACATCCCTGTCTCTGATCAGTTCCTTTCACCTCACAGATGATCGGGAATTCCACAAAGCGCAGGCCAAAGACACTTTTGGCATTGTATCCACAGGCAGCATCTGGGAGACTGAGCTCAGCAAAGCAGTCGCGGACATGCTTGTCAATTCCGATAATGTTTCCACCTCGCGCTTCGCTGGGGTCGAGACCACCGGGCTCACAGCAGTCGAGCTGCACACGATACCGGCTGAGGAGGTGAGGCGGAGGATGATTGGTGCTACTGAGAGGCTTATTAGGAGCACATCGAACTCTGTGAGTGCGATCTGCATGGGGTGTGCTGGCATGGCTGGGATGGAGGAAGCAGTGCGAGAGGGCTGTATTAAGGCATATGGTGCGCAACAAGGGCATAGAGTGAGGATAGTAGACGGTGTAGTCGCGGGGGCTGGGATACTTGTGGCAGCCTGCAAGGCAGGATTCTAAGCAGCATATATGTTGATGGTCAATGTTTGAGTGCTCCATGAGTATCTGGATGTCGTAATGGTTAGCACGGAGACGTTTGCCTAATATGTCAGAATCATAAAAGCGTAAAAGGATATCAAAACGAAGAATATCGTTATTTCATTTTGAAACAACCATCTCAGCCTCAATAAAGGTAAAATTCACGACATCACCCATTAATGCGCTTCTGTCGATGAAACAGAGAGGACATTACAGTGACACCTGAGGCCCCCACACCACTCCGAGAGAGTTTCCCCGCGGAAACGCGGTACGCGTAGCTAATCACCTCGACTACTTTCAGTGGTCAAGAGAAGATGCCCAGGTATGTACAGCAACGAGATGCGAGGCTTTCTTTTTCCTTCAAGAATATCAGTCGCTAATTCTTGCGTGTGGAGTATAGAGAAATAATAACCCTTCAAGCCGGCCAGTGCGGCAACAACGGTATGAGGCCCAACGAGACACAATCCGATTCACAACACTTACAGCTTCTTTCCCCCCCCCCCCCCCCCCCCCGCTTGGTCAAGACTGAATATGACTCTTTCGAGCTTGGATATATTGGATTGCTGATGGATTATCTGCAGTCGGAAGTCAATTCTGGCAACAGCTGTGCCTGGAGCATGGAATCAGCCAGGATGGTAACCTTGAGGAATTCGCAACCGAGGGAGGGGATCGCAAAGATGTCTTCTTCTACCAGGTAAAGATTGGGTCGCATTGATCTTCTAAAGGGATAAGAGAGCTAATATGGGAATTTAGAGTGACGATACCCGGTATATTCCCCGAGCAATCTTGATGGACTTGGAACCTAGGGTACGACTCCATTGCGAAAACCACTTCCACGGAATTATGATACTTGCTATAACAGAGACTAAATGTGCTATGATTAGGTCCTCCAAAGTATTCAGACTGGTCCCTACCGAAACATTTATAACCCCGAAAACTTCTTTATCGGACAACAGGGTATTGGAGCAGGAAACAACTGGGGTGCTGGATATGCGGCTGGTGAGGTTGTGCAAGAGGAGCTATTCGATATGATTGATCGAGAAGCGGATGGAAGTGATTCGTTGGAGGTGAGGCTCTGGAGGATGTGGCACGGAAATGATATCATGAACTACGGCTTACAGATGACTTGGTAACAGGGATTTATGCTGCTGCACTCCATTGCAGGAGGAACTGGTTCAGGTCTCGGAAGTTTCATTCTGGAAAGAATGAATGATCGGTTTCCAAAAAAGCTGATCCAGACATACTCGGTCTTCCCAGACACACAGTCCCCGGATGTCGTAGTCAACCCGTACAACAGTCTGCTTACCATGCGACGGCTAGTACAGAATGCGGACTCTGTGGTAAGACTCAGCACCCAATCAAAAGACATTGAAAGCTCCGACTAAAGCGTTGACCAGGTTGTTTTGGATAACGGTGCCCTTTCGAGGATCGTTGCCGACCGACTTCATGTACACGAACCTTCGTTCCAGCAAACCAATCAGCTGGTGAGTGATTTACATGGGGGATGCCAGAACCATGACTCGGGCTGACTTCAGTAGGTTTCGACGGTGATGTCGGCCTCGACCACCCCTCTTCGCTACCCCGGCTACATGCACAATGATCTCGTTGGAATCATTGCATCCCTTATCCCTACCCCCCGCAGCCATTTCCTGATCACATCCTATACCCCATTTACGGGCGACAACATTGAGCAGGCCAAAACCGTGCGTAAGACCACCGTTCTGGATGTCATGCGTCGTCTTTTGCAGCCAAAGAACCGCATGGTTTCGATCAATCCCAGCAAATCCAGCTGCTACATCAGTATTCTCAACATCATCCAGGGTGAAGCCGACCCGACGGACGTGCACAAGTCGTTGCTGCGTATTCGCGAGCGGCGCCTGGCACCATTCATCCCCTGGGGACCGGCCAGCATCCAGGTGGCGCTAACGAAGAAATCGCCGTACATACAGAACACACACCGTGTCAGCGGGTTGATGCTGGCAAACCACACATCAGTGGCCACATTGTTTAAGCGAGTGGTGCAGCAGTACGACCGACTGCGGAAGCGCAATGCTTTCCTGGAGCAGTACAAGAAGGAAAGCCCGTTTAGCGATGGACTCCACGAGTTCGACGAGGCCAGAGCCGTGGTGACGGACCTGATTGGCGAGTATGAAGCAGCTGAACGGGAGGACTATTTGGACCCAGACGCTGGGAAAGAAAAGGAGCTAGGTGTATAGATTACCATGGATGGATAATGTTTTCTTTAAGCTATGCCCGGTCTTTTGCTGTTTGCGATTGTTTCTGTTTGCTATTTGCTGTTTGATGATTTCAACGGATGAAAATCAGGTGCATTCCGACTGGTACAGGCGTTCTTTAATTTTAATATTATTATTATTCTGACTCTTTGTTTTGAAGATAATCCTGGCTTGACACCTTGTACAAGTGTCTAAAAGAGGGGGGAAGGCCAAAATGAGGCGAGAGATGACACGTAGATAACTCCTGTTTCAATTTGAGACCCCCATTCAGAAGACCCCATTAGTTGGAATAAACCATCCATCCTAGCAGATCGCTGGAGAGGGGAGGGGAAAAAAAAAAAAAAAAAAAAAAGAGGAGAAAAGCGAAACGCTTGGATGCAGATGCAAGCAGCAAAAGGGCCAAGGGATCCGATCGCAGGATAATTTCTCCATGGAGATAGTAGAGATGACAGTAGGACAGACACCGTTCGAAGGCTAGTGCGATGACTCGAGAAATATATTAATAAATCATGAGGAAATGCAACATGCAGGAAGCACGGGGATGGCTTCAAAAAAAGGCCTCAATGCTATAATGCCTAATCGTTGCCTTGTCGGGTTGTTTCTGTCCACTTGGCGAAGACATGGGGTTTGGAGAGTTGTACATAACACAGTAGAGTGTTTCACATGAACAAGTCATTTTATCTCTATATATCGTTCTGCGTGGACGTTGAGATAAATTCCTGGTATGGAATGGGTAAGTACTTTTGAGCTGCAGAGTGATGTATGAACGGTGGTGATGGTGGAGCCGTGATGATCGCATGGGGGGGGAAAGATGTGTGCCCAAGTGAGGGGATGCAGACAAAAACAACCATTGTTCATGATCTTCTGAATTCGACTACCACTTATCAGACCAGAGTCGAGAATAGCCCATCTCCAACTTCAACTCCCCAATACACTTCCAATACGTGGTGGACAGGGTGGTACTAACTCCGATAGTGCCTCTTTAGTCCAGGATAGAAGACCCTCGATCTCCGGGGCTTACGAGTATGCAATAAAGGGAAAGGAAAAGAGGGACAAGAGAAAAAAGAGCTGTCATCTGCACTGCTGCAACTGGAAGGATACGTGCATACGCAGTGGTCGATATAGACTCACCGTAGTTTGGGTGGGTTGGATCAGCATCCCTTGCCACTGAATGCCTTCATGAAGCAGATGGACTGGGAATAGTAACACCATCGATGCCCTGCAAGGATGAGCATCACGTGCTAATTATTTGAGGGGATATGGAGTAGTCGGGTAGTATATTGCTGAATATTCGTGATGATGACGAGATGAGCTGGTTCATCGGATATTGAAGCAATTATCTAGTTATTCGTCGTCTATCCAGGAGTCGTCCGCCACCCAAAAAGGGGTGCATTCGTGGTCACTTGGTCCATGTACCGATGAACTGTTGGGTTGCTAAGGTTTTCAAGGGACCAGAGATTGCTGTTCCTTGATTTTCTATCTCCATCTTCTATCTTGACTATCTTGAAAGGTGGTGGTGATACAACTCACCTCACCACTACCTACTCATCGTCATCCTCATCGCCATACTCATCATTATCACCATATTCAATTATAATCAATATAATCAATCCATGATCAATCCTCGTGGCCTGCATCCGGCTGTTGTAACTCGAAGCTTCTGGCTCCACCCCGTTGTCTTTCGCCTCCACCTCCAACTGCCCCAATTCCGTCACTCCCAGTGACTCAGCAGCTCGCCTTCTTCCTTCTTCGTTCTTCCTCTTCGCTTCTCTTCTTCTTCTGGTCTTTAAATTGACTTTGCGCTGCTCCATTTTGCCTCCTCGTCTTTTTTGCCTTTTCTTTCTTCTTCTCTTTGCTGTCTTTCTTCGTGCCTCCCGTCCCTTCCGATCGTCGGTTCGCTCTGTCCCGGCCTCCCCCCAACCATCCTCCCTTATATATAGTCCGTTGGGCGTCCTTATCTGCCTTTCAACTATCTTCTCTACTACTACTACTTCTACTGTCCATCCTCTCTACTACCCACCCACCTTCCACCTTCCATCCTCCATCTTACTCTCTCCTGTCGTCTATCGACACTCTCAATAAACAGTCGCTACCTTGTCTCTCTACTAGACGCCGGCCTCGGCGCTTACCGATCCTCTCCCCCTTATCTCCACCATCTCGCCACCTCTCAACATGCCTCCCCGCAAGCCTCGCTGCAACTTCAAGGAGTGCAAGGAAGCTGCCCAGCGAATCGTTGGCGACTGCAGTTTCTGCCATGGCCACTTCTGCTCTAAACACCGCATGCTGGAGGCTCACTCGTGCACTGGCTTGGAAGACTGCAAAAAGGAGTCCCATGCTCGCAATGCCGATAAGCTCAACAGCGAGCGTACCCACGTCATCAAGGGCGTATGAGAATCGTTCGATCAACCATCACACCAGCGACAGTATCGCCAGCAGCGGCATCTTTTCTTTACTTTTCCTTCTACGCACTCCGTCGCGATAATCGGACGTTGAATTAGCGCGGTGTTCGTCTCGATTCTTCTTATCTACATTCTATCGCCATAAAGCCATACCATTACAAGGATTTATTTTGGGCTGGGGGGCTGTTCTGATTGTTTCTTTTGATTTCGACCCCTTGAATTTTCTGGGTATCATATTGCATGGCGTTATCACATGTGGAGTTTGAAACTACAATAACTGTCTTCTTGAATTATCTTATCGATGTTGTCGCATGGGTTCTGGGACCTTGGTCGCCACCAACCTCTTGACGACGGTTTTAGCTGGCGGCTTTGAAACAATGCGACTTGTCTTATTTTACCCTTGTTCTTTTTCCAGTCATATTCTTGGATAGACTTGATGATCCGGACTGAGTCCGGATCGTCTTTCCATTGGCCTGTCACATGGCCAAGGAAGCTGCATATATATATTTTGACTAGCTGATTCGTATCGTGGCCGACTGGTAGCTTGTATTCAGCCTGATTTGGCTGCTCTAGTTTCTTAGCGAAACAGCTGGCAGGGTAATTGACCAATGGATATGTGCAACAACACCAAACACCAAACGTAGAAACGTAGCAAATGATAGATAGAAAAAGACAAACGAAATAATGTGAAATCAACCCGGTCCGATTTTCGGCCTAAAATCGTCAGCAACAAAGCAGATGGCGCAAGACAAAGAACAACAACAGCAGCAACATACATGTCGTGATGCTCACTCAGTCGACTGAGATACTTGTTCAACTCCTCCACTCGTTCCTTGTGCGTTTTGACCCCGTCACGTTTCAGCCGTTCTTGGAGCTACTCAAATTAGTCTCACCACCTCACCTCTCATTAATTTTAAGATAGGGTAGACAGATAACGTACTCTCTTCCTCCTCGCATCTTCATATTTCTGCTCCGCCTCCGTCTTCCCAACAACCACCCCACCACTTTCTCCCTCTTGAGGCGTAGAAGTAGCAGCTGACTCTTCAGCGCCAGGCACAGGGGTAGTCGCAGTCGCAGACTCATCACCCCCCTTCTCACCAGCACCAGCAGAAGCAACAGCCTTTTCCTCCTTCTTGGCCTTCTTCTTCTTTTTCTTCTCCACTCGCCCATCGCTCACTTTCGAGCCTTTGAGTTTGAGCTTCCCGCCCCCGCCAGCGGCGTATTCATCGCCGGGCATGATGAGATCGTATTTTTGCTGAGCTGGGACTGGAACTGGGGTTGAGAGTGCTGGAAGCTGGCTGGGTTTGTCTTTTTGCGATGCGATGTTCAGTTGGGTTGATTGGATGATTGGGATGGTTTTATGGGTCATGTGATGTGTTACTAAGCGTTGCGTCATTGGGGTATCTACATAAACTAGATAAAATGGGTATAGGATACTATGTATAGAGTGTTATGTAGCTTGATGGTATAGATGGATGATTTATTTATGGAATTGTTGGTTTAGGATATGTTGGTTGACTATCCAGGTAATTGATGTAGATTGAAAACAGTAGCAGCGATATATATCACTCACCTCACAGACAAAAGAAAAAAAGAAACACCAACTCAAACCTCTAGAAGTCAACCAAAAAAAAAAAAAAAAAAAAACCTCACCTCGGAAAACATATCATCTCCCTCCTCTCCCCAACATCTCCAAAAAGCAAGCTCTTCGTTTCCTCGACCTGCGCAAGCGCTGCCTTTTTCACCTCTGCCGGCGACAACTCCGTACTGCTGGATAGAACAATCGGCCAGTGATGCGGATATAAATGATGGTTGGGGTATTTGAAGAGTTTGTAGTGGCAGTTGTGGAGGGCTGTAGTGAGATTTTCAAACTGGGTTAGTTCGGTGGTGAAGGGGGAGGGGTTTAGGGGGGAGATGGGGGCGTCGATGTAGATGTAGTAGTTGTAGTTGGAGTTTGGCATTTTGGAGATAGTATACCAGTATCACTGGATATGATTGTAGCTCATGATGAGGTGTTGATGTGTTTATATAGGTGTATACTGAGACATTTTTGAGGACTTGATAATGAAATATCAAGTGCTTTGTTTTCTGGCTGTCTAGCATCTATTGTCTAGACAATGCGTCCATTGATTCAATACACAACAAAGATTGTCTTAGACAATATAAAACAACTGAACAGCTGATCTATCACGAACAATGAACCTATGTACATAAATACCGGTACTCGTCCTCACCCTCGTCCACTTCGCTCCACTTCAACTACTCCACCAACCGACTACCTACAGCACCTAAGATACAACTTCCAAAGATACAACTTCCAAAGATACAACCTACAAAATGAACACAGCATACATCTACATCGGCCCCTTCCCCGAAAATCTCTACTCAGACTTCGAATATCTCTTCCAAGCGCATCGTCTCCTCGCCATCCCCTCCTCCTACCACATTCTGCACGCTCCCGATCCAGCACTCGAAAACACGCACGTCACCATTGAAATACCCACTGACCAGCCCGTCACGCCCGAGAATGAGTGTAAAGTCCACAATGTCGTTGATGGTTTGTTGTCGGGGTATCTGGATGGGTTGACGAGGAGGGCGACGCAGGTGGCGTTTTTTTGGAGGAGGCCGGGGGGACATCGGATCTTGCTTGATTGAATACTGCGGATGGGGTTGTTTGTTTATTTGGTTTGATTATATTCCAGTCTGAATGATAATATCTACATTTCTACTTTTATATGAATGGATCAATCTATTTTCATATTTAACCTGATTGGCCTGAAAAGTGGAGTAGTGGATGTGCCGATTGGATCCACCGAGTCGATCTGAATATCAAACAATATCAGATTCAGAATGAGAATTCAATGTCTTATGATAGTAATTTTGTATTATGTCCATATTTCAATGTTTATCCAAACTCCATGTACCTGTTCATAATCATTAATCAAACGGAATCGGTCGTAGGCCTGTGTTGCCCATTCGTTTTCGCATTTCAGCCCCCGCTGCGATAGTGCTCGGCACCTTGATTCCGCAGCAGTCACCCCCAAAGTTGTCGTGGTCGTGGTTGGGATGTCCATGGTCATGGTGGTGGGCTATATCATGTTCATTCTCCCCGTTAGACTCTCCCATCCCAGGGACTGCAGAAAGAAGACTGCCAAACAGAAAATGTTGCATAATAGGTAGTTTCCCTAGCACCTCCTTCACAAACATCTTCTTCATTCCACTCTCCACTTTGAACCAGTTTTTGGCGCCAGAAATGTCATCAAGCATAGGGCTATGCCACCGTAGTCCTTTGACGGTCTTGACGCTATCCACCCACCGCACTTGGTCGAGGTAGATATACCTGTCTCCTTCCTCATCTAGGACGGCTGTGTTGTGAACTGCCAACGGTGTAACATAAGGATGATCCACAAGCTGGGCAGCACCAAACAGGAATGGTAGGAAATGATAATCATCGAGACCCCAGACACCGTGAGAACCAGCTGGTTCCAGGTAATAGGTGGTCTGGATTTGTCGCATCAGATGCATGTAGCTAACGTAAACCCGGAAAACAACCATCTGGAAATCTGAAGTAGTGATGACCTGCATCTGGCGAAGACAAAGCAACCACATCATAAAGTTCAACTCATGCCCCGACCCATAATCCAGTCTATCTCTCGAGCCCAAAGAGTGAAGCAAATATGTAGAGACTTCTTCAATAGCCGCCGCATCCTGCAATCCCAGTATTTCTCTGTGCCATGTTATACTCTGCGTGGCGACATCATCAAACAAATCACGGAAAGCGGGGTTTCCAAATCTCGACCCCCCTTGGTCGATAGAAGGATGTTTATCAATAAGGGAGGTCATGAGATCCACGATGGATACTATCTTCGAAACCGACGGAGACGCTGGTTTGTCCTCAAGGTCGGTGGTGGCCCGTCCACGAACCGAGTCGGAAAGGCCAAAAACAAAGGCAAGCAGTAAAGTATAGGTCGGCGACGAGACAAACGTTTCATGGTCATTTGGAGACAGGATCCGTCGAACTGGGTGCGTGTACTCATGGGGCGAAAGATCTGGAGGGGAAGGAAGAGGAGGGGTCACTGGCGCTGGCTCTCTGGAGGAGGCATGGGACTTGCGGTTGTTTGATCGGAGATCAGACAGCTTCTTGGACAGGTCGATCTTGGGTTTTGGTGCCGCATCCGACAAGGACGATACTTGAGCAGCCATATTGACGATGGAACACGATATATCGCAGCCGTCTTGCCTCCACAATCAATCGATGTTGGATTGTTGACGATGATGACATAAGGCGGATTGCGGCAGAAAATCAGAGTTGACACTAGTACCTGACCGCCTCCCTAAAGCAGACGACAGCTCCATGGCCAGAACAGGCTTAGCGCGGAACATCGTATGACATAAACATGTGATCAGCGGTAAATTACCGCTACGTGTAATCTGTGTAAGGCGCGTGATGCTTTTTGACCTCGAGCGCAAGAGCTGAAGGAGGAGAAGAAGCAAAGAGGGGAAGAGGAGCTGCTTATGCTGCTTCTGGGCTTGCAGGTTATTTGAAAAAGCAGAGCCGGAGGGGGAGAAGCTGAGTTTCTTCCTCTCTCTTGAATGAGCTCCGTTGTCTGGAACGAACCTCGGCGGAAAAAGACGACCTGAGATCCTCGAGATTAATTATTTACACCGATCGAAGAAAAATAAACTCCACAGTTGATGTGCAGCCCGTGAGACCAGCTTATCTCTTAAGCCCTGTCTATGGTCTGACGAGCACGCCATCATGGACTCTTCTGATTTGGTTGAGCCCTCCCGTCTCGATCCCACCCATGCTCGCAAAGATACCTCCTCGCATCGATCTTCGACCGGATTGGGACGGACGTCGCCTTCTTCGAGCACACGACGCCAATCCGCATCGCCACAGAATTACATGCAGCCCTCCTACGGCCAGGACCAGGCAAACCCGGTCAACGAAGGAACTCCGATTGTACGTGATGATGCAGAGTCTAGACGACGGAATTACCAGTCTACGGAAAACCTGAGGAATCGACAGTCGGGAGACAGCCAGGCAAAGAGCTCGACACAACCGGAGGAAGGCGAGGGGCATAACAACCAAAATAACGATTCTCGATCGAGTAGAGAACCTCAATCATCGTGGTATAAAAGGATCGCAGATCGATATGGCAGTCTGGAATTGGAAAACAAAGGCAGTGTTGCTCGAGATCATCTGGCCCTAGGTGTGTGCTCTCGATATTTGCTTTTTGCGTCCTAATTTATTGACTCTGTTAGAACGAACATTTCTGGCTTGGTTGCGAACATCGTTGGCCTTTGCTTCTATTGGAATCGCGGTTACCCAACTCTTCCGCTTGAATAGCTCTTCTGCGACCACGAATCCTAGGAGCTTCGAGGACTCGTCGCAGTCATTCCCTCCTCTTTTAGAGTCTCCATATTATGATGTCTCGGCGGCTCAGATCACAGTCAACGGCCAACGCCTTCGAAGCATTGGTAAACCATTAGGTACAACCTTCATCGGGGTTGCGCTCGTCATCCTCATCGTCGGGTTTCATCGTTACTTTGAAAGTCAATACTGGATCGTTCGGGGCAAATTCCCGGCGAGTCGAGGAAGCGTTGCTTTGATATCTATCATTGCTTCTGCTCTGATCATCGCCGCTTTTGTCGTCATCCTTGCAATTTCCCCGGGCGCGATTGAGAAGTAGACGACGAATCACCTTTATCTCTTTACTAGCCCCAGCCTATCATCGTTTGTGATACTCCCGCTTGTTGCATTGTTAATAGCGTATTCTGTCTACCTTTTTGTTTCTACCTTTGGTTCATCGATTGTTAGAGCTGGCAAGTGTGTTTTTATTTGGAATATCTGTACAAGCAAGTTAGATACCGCACTGTATGGAAATGCAGGAGAAATTTGAGATGAAAACAACTCGGAATAATCAATGTAAGTCTTAAGCTGTTCATTTTCCCAACTTATAGCACTGTTGATCTAACTGTTGACAGGAAATGCGTTCACCATAGTCAGCGCATTGAATTTTCGGATTCGTATTCCAGAATCACCTCATGATGCATGATTAGCACAACTTCTGCTAATCCCTACCCTAAGTGTCTTGTACATGAAAGGGCGTACGTCCCTACCATGACATTCATGCCCCGGAGCCGTTCGCCTATCAGTAGCACACCAGTCGACGCATGCGTTACTGGAATCATTGAACACAAATCCATCGAGGTAACAAGCGGGCAGAACCCGCATCATGGATTTGAAATGCTATATATCTACTGGTGTGGATCGAGCCTGGACAAGATTCATCTCACTTGTAAGTCTATTGAAAGAACGACTCTGTCAATATCAGCGATGGCGCTTCAAACCCACCCATTTGACACTCTTTCTCGGGATATCTTGTCGGTGGGTATAGCACTTGACATGTTTCAGATCTAGTCTAACTGACAGCATGCCGCACACTGTCAAAAATACATACCCAGGCGATAAGCTTACCTCACGAGCGGTGACGCTCTCGGAGCCCCCCCTAAAGCCGAGATGGTGCCTTATCTAGAGACAGAACGCTCAGGATGGTCTGATGTCCTGCCCCTCAAAGGAGTACATTGTCCATCTCTACTGAGGTGCAGCTTTAACTGGAGACTGGAGAGGTCATTACAGAAAAGAAGCTCATGGGGAAGCATTCCTTTGTAGATACTATGGACATGTCTGCTGCTGAGAAGGCTGCCTTTCCTCGCCGGAAGTGCAAAAGGCCATTCGTATCTTAGAGCTTCCTGAGGAGGGGGTAGGCTGTGTCAATACTTGGATTTAGAGGATGAACGACATGGCGGAAAGAATCATAACGGTATTTACCACGTCAGGGTCTTATATGTACCTGCTAACCTTTTATGAGTGCTACTTCCACATGCGCATTGGCAGTCATGGTGATGCCACATGCATACTGATTGGATATATATGTAGAGGTTTCCAGCGATCTCACCATCAAGAGGATACTCTCTACCACTGGACGAGAATGATCAGGTGGTCTACTCAGCGAGTTCCGAGTAAAGCCCTTGATCGGAGGAAAACTCACTACACTAGTGAATACCATCCGGATTAGATCCTGGAACGACGAACCACGACAAAACCGTACCAGGTCGCCCAGCCAGATGGGCCTCCATTTGAAGACAGCGGCCATTTGCTGACTTAGGAGAAGTGGCGGATGAGAGTTGGATTCAATTACGTAGCGTTCCATTTGGTGATCTTGAGAATTAAGCTGATAGACCTAGTTTGAGGGATTGACTCTGCAACGATGTTAGCTTGACGGCCGAAGTGCTCTATAGGCTTTCTCTATCTGAGATGTTGGAAGAATCTCATGCAATGTCTCTGAGTGATCCAAACGTGCACAACCCCTTTGGCGTGGGATACACGATAGTCAACATCACGCGACAGACACAACATGACTAAACGACGAGTATTCAAAATCATCAACGAGAAGATCAAAAACCCATGTCCTGCGGACCGGTGGGATACAAACTCATCCCCCACTACTCACAGACGGTCCTAGCACACCCCTCATACCACGTCAAGCGGACCGGGTCTTGGACATGCGGTCTGGGTCACCCGACACAGCAACAAAAAGAAGTACAGCGCAGGGGAGCACACGATGCAGTCAGTAGGCGGAGAGGGGATCGCATCTTGGTCGACCGGCACCGGTGAGCGTGCGCAACGAGGACATAGTGATATGGCACACGTTTGGACCGACGCATAACCCTCGCGTGGGGGACTGGCCAGTGATGCCGGCGGAAAAACCGACGGTATCGCTGAAACCGGTGAATTTCTTCCCGAGGAACCCGGCATTGGACGTGTGTATTGGTTCGCAGGAGAATAAGAGCATACTTGTGTAGGATACAGATACAGATACAGGTACAGTATATGCTGCAGCTCGAAACTCGAAACTGTGAGCAGAATATGTGACGTAGGTTAATTTCATACAGAGCACACCGTATAATCATAATCATAACCAAATCATCACATGCATCATAATATGATCATAAATTGCACCCAACCATGGATCCAATATTGAATCTGACATCATGATCGGGTTTGGCCGTAAGTATGATCTGTTTTTTTTGGGGACAATAATAAATTCCCCCTAGGTTAGCAAGGGAAAAAAGGCAACGATCCAAGGAACAGTCTCGACCTAGGTAGTGGAGTGGATTGCCCGAATCGGGGGTTTCCATGGGATTGGATCTGTTCCCGAGGAAGTTCTGGAAGAAGCAAAATAGAAACTAGATATGGATGATTTCCGGATGAACCGTGGGTAATAGACAATGGGTTCATTTGATGTGGCTTGGCTATATTGAATTAAATAATATTAACTTGATATATAATAAAACGTGTGATTATTTTATTTTATTAGACCCTTGCATTGAACGTGGCCTATTGATAACATTGCACAGAGACACAATTAAGCTCGAGACATTCGATGCGGTTTCGGTTGAGAGATCAATTCCAAATCCTGTCAAGGAAAGGGAGATACTGTATAGCTAGAGAGTGTCTGTATAGCTGGAGAATACTGTATAGCTATTTGACACTTGTACTCTACTCTGCCGACAGTTCTATTGATGATTATTGAAGAGTGTCGCCAGTATAAATAGATCACTAGAGATACTAGCCACTGGAGCCAATCAATAAACACCCAATGATCGCCCGCAGCGCTGTTTGCCACGTTTGCACTCATGTGTTGCTATTCTTTGATTTGATTTTATTTTACTTACGGCTAACTTGCTGTGAAACACAGTTACTCCCCTGGCGTCGGCAGTGGGCTTTAACTTCAGCTGTCCGCCAATCACAGGCCATACAACAGGCGCCAATTTGACAAGGCGGAGACAGCTAGGCTGCGTTGGGGATAGTGCCATGGGGGCATTGCATGGGAACCTGATCGTCGGCCAAAGTTTCGGAGCGAAGGAATACATAGATTGTGATGTTCAGGCTGGAATTGATGGCAATTAGTTATCAATAATGGGTGATGACTCTGACGAGATTCTGTTGCAGGTGTGTTGATTGATTATCTGGTGTTTATGCAGGATGAAGAGTACGTAAGTAGAGCGAATCGCCCGTGTGATCATCATCCTATGGGGGAATAGTGATACTACCTGGAGATAGGTCCTATCCATATATAGAATCATCATAGTGCACTTGTATGTAAATATGTAAGTATCCGAATACGTACACCAAGTAACAAGGGCCAAGTGTTTGAGACGACATGCTCTAAATGTCACTTGTTCTTGTTGGGACAACAGGTCGGAACAGACAGGGAGAATGATTCCAATTATTAGAGACACTCTTATACTCCTTCGACTACCTAGCTTAAGTACTCTACGGAGTACAACTCCTTCTTCTATTGTATCCCTTCATGTCAAATCTTGCAAGGATCACCCGCTGCCCATCCGATTCGCACCTCATGGCCCAACTCCGGAGTCTCTCAGCCACTAACGCCGCCCTAGTGCGTGGCGCTCTGCCGGCCCCACTCCCAAGCGAGATTTCGATCCCCGCCCACGCCATTGATTGGCCGGGCTGCTCAGGTACAGGCCTGTTAGTCGCTGGTGCCTAGGGCCATTCTCCGGAACAGTTCAATTAACTCATCCACCCACCGCGCATTTACCACCAATCAATTCGACAAGTGGAGTCCGGGTGGCCCCCCCCCCCTCCCCAGAAGTGGGAAACTCTCAACTTCCGTGAATATGAGACCTGACCATTATGAGGGCAGGCTGTGATTTCTCCTGTGAGCAGTCAGAGTCAGCCTCGGGTGAGATGGTGGTGGCGTTGTATTGGAATGTACTCCGTAGGTATGGAATCTGGATGGAAGAAGAAGATGTCAGATAAACTGAGATAATATTGACATTTGACTTTATTGTTAAACCAGGGATTTATGGATTGTATCTGGGTGGCAACCAACGCAGAGTCCATGACGTCCTGCACTTGGCAGTTTGACCACATCACCAGTCATCCAGACTCGTATTCTAACCTACTTACCTACTTAGTAACACATAATCTACGGAAGACGGGGAATTATCCCAATGAACCGTACCATTCATAAAACCGACTCATGATAGAAATAGAGCAATTTCCCCGTAAATTACCCTCAGAACCGTTAGATACCGGTATTGCCCTCCTTCTCCGCAGCGTCAGACCGTCCCAGAATATACCGTATTGTCACCGGACGGTACGGCCCCCCCTCGGCGCCCTCACAGCCAATCATCCCCTGCGGCCCTCCTTCTTACGGCCTCCACCCTCGCAGTCGCTCGCTTTTTGCGCTGTCAATTGGTCTTTTTCCCTCGATCCTCCGCTGTCGTTCGCTCCTCTTTTCTCCTTTGCTTCCCTTCCTTCTCTTCTCTTCTTGTATAGTCTCTTTCTCTCTCTCTCTCTCTTCCTCTTCCTCTTCTCCCCCCTCTACCTTGTTTCTTCTCTTCTCTTCTTTTCTCCTCAATCTTTCCTCCGATCTATCGTGGCCCGCTCTTGTGGCCGTCCGCTCCTTAACAACACACTCTCTCCTATTGCAAACAAACATACGTTGACCGGTTCCAACGCACTCTCTTCGACTCTTGCTTCGTCCTTTTCTTCTTACCATCCGAGGATTTCTTCGACTGTTGGATATAGTCGACTGTTTTTGTTTTATTTTATTTTCAACTGCTTATTTTCTGATTTCGCCTTTCTCTCCGTGGGAAAGGTTTCTCTTCGCAATATCAAGCTGTGTGGTTCTGGATCGAATTTCAATGGTTCCCTTCCAAAGGTGACGACCTCCAGACAGACATTTCCGGGCTTTCCATTTAACACTCCGGAAAGTCATTTTGGTCTGGAGGTCTTCGTGCGTCTGGATCTCTTCAACTGATCCATATCCGAAAAGTCGTTCCGTTCGTTCGAGGTTGGTGTTTTGGATCCGTTGACTATCCCAGCGACCGACGATGGCTTCGATTTCCTTGCCTCCGCAGACTCAATCGACTATGCTCTCTCAACACCTGGATGCCCCGACCCAAGGGCTTACCGGTCACAGCCGTCGAAATTGGTCCATGTCTGCGCCGCTGCCAAACCCGCCTTTCGTCTTTCCTGCTCGCGATCCCGATGATGTCCAAAGTCGACCTCCAGCTATGCGTGAACCCGAGTCCCGATCGGCCGCTCCCCTTCCCGCATTTTCTTTCAATCCTGGATCGGCACATGCAGCTCAGCCGTCCGTGTCAGTTCCTCCGCCCAACCGAGCGGGAGGACACCGTCGGCGATGTAGTGAATTTGTTGGGGGCGATCATTTGGTGAGCTCGGGGGTGCCGGAATCCAACCAGGGCAATGATGAGAACTCAACGCCAATGCCTGCCAATCTTGCTCCTCCTGGTCCCGGTTTCAGTACCGCTGGACATGGGAGGAGGCGTGGCCACGCACATCGACGCTCCGCAGCAGTGTCCAGTGTCGACCTCACTGCTATTCGACAAGCCCTTGACACGAAGCCGACCATTGGAAGTGCTCCCGTTACGCCCGCAGATGTGAAACGGGAGAACGTGGTGCATGATGAGATGCCTAGACCCTCCCAATCGGCCCCCATTTTGAATCGGCACACGCCTCCCGCCTCGCCGCCGATGCCGACTGGTGACAATTCTCCACACCACGCCAAACCCGCAACCCCCGGTGATTCTCTCCCTGTGGATCGCCCTCGCTCTTCCTCGGAGACTGCTGAAAGCACGACTACCATTCAACCAGAACCCACCGCTAGAAATAGCGAACCTGCTCTGGCGAACGTAACGCCTTCGCCAGCTAACCGAAAGGCTAGAGCCCGACCAAAGACTGCCGATGCATCTTTAATGTTCAATTTTAGCGCAACAGATCTTCCATGTGATGGGTCACCATCAAAACGGCCGCTGGCTGCGCTCGGTCACACCCGTCATAAAAGCTTGTCTGCTGGGATTCTTGACGCAGCCTTACGCAAAAAGAGCCCGACAGACGAAGATTACCGACTTTCTTCTTCATCCGACGACACCTCTTCGGATACCTCTGTTGATGATGACGACTCACCTCAGTCTTCTAAAAAGCAGGCTTCCAAAGCCAAGAAGAAGCAAAAGAAAGTACGATCATGGGCCGGTTCCATCTTGACTCGTGGCAAAGGCAAAAAGCACCATTCGAAGAAAGATAAATCACAGCGCCCTAAACCGCCGATGCTTACTAGGACAAATTCAGACTTCGGGTCAGGCTTGGACGTTAATTTTGACGACGACAACATTGTCGTCTTGCGCACCCCCACCAATCCCAGTTACCCCGAGTCCAGTCATCCCACTATCGACACGACTGAAACCCCACCATCGCTGGAAAACTCATGGAAGCCTAGGAGTTTCTATGAGCAGGGTACCCAGCAGGGTGATGTTTTGAGTCCCGTTATTGATTTAGATGCAGCCTTAGGGCCGTTTAATACGCCAGATCTGCGGTCCGATGGGCCTGCAACTGCAAGCACTGGGTTTTCGGCCGCAACAAAACGAATGTACAGCGGTGGAAGACGGGGTGAATTCGTCGGCCCAGAAATGCGCTATCATCGACGAGCGGAAAGTGCTCCGGAGATGCCCCCTTTCGACCGCAGTGCTTTGATCGGAAATCGATTTTCCAGCAATTCTGTGGCCGAGAACCCCGATGTGTTTTACGAAGAGGAGGAGGATGCCTTCCTCGCAGCCACCAATGAATCACCCATAGATGGCGATGGCAATGGCGATGAATTACCGCCATCTCAAGCTCTCTCGTCTCCAACCAAAGAACCCGATGACCAATCGGCTAGTAGCAAGGACAGCTCCGATACGCTGACTCGCGAACCGGCCGACGATGACGTGAAACCGCAGAACGCTGGTCTCGGGATACGGAGGAACGCACCGCCTCATTTGAATGTTGATGGAGTCTCTAGCAGGGAAGATCGCAGGGCCGCTGCTCAGCAGAATGCTGTTAATCAGATACACCAAGCGAACAACCCCTTCTCTAACCAACCAAAGACTCCAGTGGAGTTTATCAAGCAAGAGGAATGGCACCATAAAATGCCAGTGCCTCCTAGCCCTGACGTTTCCCCTCGGTTTTTACCAGCTGACAAGCGCCCGGTGACATCTCCCCTGGAACCCATGCCTCCCTTTTCTCTCCACAACGGATCTTCTCTTCCAAATTCCTCTTTTCCATCTCCGGATTTCCATGGTTGCTCGCCCGATGGTCCTCGTTCTATCACAACGTCATCGACAACCGATCGCAAATTCTCGAACCCTTCGTATAATATGTCTATGGACTTCCCACACGCGTCAATCGAGGATGTGCCATCGTTGACTAGCAGTGCATCAACCATGACCAACACAATGAACCGTTTCTCCGCTACCTTTTTCCCTCGTCGAGGTTCCAATGATCGCTCAGCGTCGTTCTCTGCTGCCGTCCACCGTCGCAGCAGCCACGCCCATAGTCAAAAGAGGACAAGCCTTGCTAGCTTGTCCAAGTTGATGGTTGGGCCACATGCGGAACGAAGTAAGCTCAGTTATGAAGAGAAGCCACCTGGAGATACGCCTGAAAAGACGAAAAAGAAGGGTCGCCGAATCAGCCGTCTAATGCATTTCTGGCGAACAAAAGATAAAGACAAGTCTAGCCCGCATACTGTCTACGAGGAACAATCATGAGAAATGTCTTATCCCATCCGTTACTATCCCTTCCCGGCTGCATTTACGGCTTAATACCACCATACCAGAGACCTCGTGGTCGCTGCACGATTCGCGCCCTCAAATGCTGGAGTCTTCTGGCCTCTGGAGAGCCCGCCTCCAATCTTCCTCCTGTACATAGCTTGATCATGATTTGTTCGCCATGGTCATTGGGGAATTGGTGCCGAACTTTTTTTTTATTTTCACTTCTTTTTTATCTTGCCTTTATTGTTGAGATAGCTTACGAATCTCTTTTTCTCGGTATGTTATTTCAAGCGTAAGAGTACGAAGCTCTTGTTACTTTTTATTTCTCTTCTTGTCTCTCGTTCATGTCCGAGTTTGCAATACGGACGAAGATATTTATTTCTCGTTTCTTGACCATCGTTCAGCGTCTTTCATTTTATCCTTGTTATTTCCAACTCTTCTGGCGATTTTACTTTTCGACCTTCTGAACACGAGGGCGTCGTTTGTTCTCGTCTCCCAACTATCCTTTGGGACTTTTTATTCTCTTCTCTCTTCGATTCTGGAGGTGTCTGTCATTTACTGTGAGGGTTATCTGAACGTCGTTGGCATTCAAGCCTGGAGGCCACCAGTTCACAAATTATTGAATCTACGGTCGTGTTACCGATTTTGAGAACCAACAAAATATTTACGTACTTAGTATTTAATGTCGTAAAGTAAATAAAATGGTCATTCTCATTGAGGATAAGTTGTCTGGTGTTGAAGTATATCGTCAAGAGATTTCGTCTCAACGTCGGGCCGGCTTGAAAAATTCTGGTTAATACAACAATCCACCAACAATCCATGATCAACGAGATCAGAGAAACAAACAAAAACAAGATATAAAACTGTACTATACAAAAATAAAGCAAAACAAATGGCACCACCAAAATCCAGCGGTCCAAAAAAGGGCCCCTCAAACACCAAAAAACAAGCACCAGCCAAAGACAAGAAACAGCCCACCAAACGCCAACTCCCCAGCAGTAATAACACAAATAAAACCCACAACCAACGAGACAGAGACACCAAAAAAGACCAACAACAAGATGATGCCTCTCAAATCAACCTCTCATCCACAATCCCTACAACACTGCAACAACTCCTCCTAAACGTCTTCAAATCAGCCTTACTCTCTCACAGCCCAGGAACAGCCAGCACCGCCCACCAGGAAGAACAGCTGGATATCAAGCCGCTCATCCAAACGATCAAGTCGCATCTGTATAACCGTGACTTTGACTCTGCGTTTACAGATGCGAATGAGGAGTTGTTGAGGGCGTATGCGTTGCGGTGGAGTGCGACGAGGGCGCTGGGCTATGCGGGGATCTTCAAGGGGGTGTTGAGGGCGTTGCCTTTTTTTGGGACTGGTTCTTACTCTAACTCTGACTCTGCAAAGGGGCAAGATGGAAGGATTGTGTGTATTGGGGGAGGGGCGGGAGCTGAGATTGTGGCTCTTGCGGGTGTTTGGAGGGAGTTGGTGGATGGGATGAAGTTGAGTCAGAGTGTGGATGGATTGGGGGAGGGCGTTGGGGCTGTTTCTTTGAATGATGATGAATCTAAAGAGGAGAAGACTACAGCAAAGAAACAAGCTCAGATCCCCAATCTCGCTGTCACGGCCGTTGATATTGCAGATTGGTCGAGTGTCGTGGATAGACTGTCGACCACCATCCAGTCGCCGGCTGTGACAGGTACCAGGAGCCATCCGGCACCGTTAATCCCGCAGAAGAGTGAAGAAGACGATTCAACGAAGAAAAACAGTGCCGGGTTCACGGTTGATTTTAACCGCTCGGATATCCTCACACTTCCCGATGATGAGTTGAAGGGTCTATTACTCCACCAGAACATGTCGACCGTCATGGTTACGCTGATGTTTACACTGAATGAGTTATTTTCGACATCAATGGCTAAGACGACGGGATTCCTACTCCGCATGACTGATCTCCTTCAGCCAGGCACTGTGCTTCTCGTGGTTGACAGTCCGGGAAGTTATTCGACGTTGAAACTTGGGAAGGCTAAAGAGGCAGCATCAGCGGAGGAGGGAGCCGAATCTAAGCCTCAGGAGAGAAGCTACCCCATGAAGTTCTTACTCGATCATACGCTTCTATCTGTTGCGGCAGGGAAGTGGGATCGGATCTATTCTCAGGATTCGCGGTGGTGGCGGAGAGATGCGGCCAAGTTGGGATATGAAGTGGGTGAAGGAGCTGGTTTGGAGGATATGAGGTTTCAGGTTCATATATACCGTCGGTTGGCTTGAGCTGGGGATATTTTACGGGTGGATATATGAGATATTGATGATACCATGTGATTATCGAATTAAGTATTCCGAGAAGCAGAGAGGAATAGAGATGCTATTGCTACAATCGACAAAAAAAGGCGTAGGAACAACCATACAACATAACGTTCGCCCAGGGGGGATCAGATCACGCACGCCCAAGTTCCCATATCCGTGAGAACAAATCCAGATGATACATCGGTATCTCGGAGATTAAACCAGCGGTATTTTGTTTTCTTTTTCCCCTTTCTCTTCATTAGTTTACAGACAAGCCCTTTAATTCCTCAAACCCAACAGAAGACTGGTGCTCTTTCCACCCTCCTTGCTCTCGCCTCCAGGCAAGTAGGTGACGTTCGGGTTGCCCGACAGTGTCTGCGCAATCTCCTTGCTGGCATCGATACGACGGATCTCAATGAGGCCGGCACCGGCCTTGGCGACGGCCTTGCTGATGATATCGGCACTCTCAGCCTCACCCTCGGAGCGGATGACGTTAGCCTGGCGTTCCTGCTCGGCTCGCTCGACGATGAAGCGTGCCCGCTCGGCGTCCTGCTGTGCAATCTGCTTCTGCTCGACGGCGCGTGTGAATTCCTTTCCGAAGGTCATGTGTGTGATGGAGACATCCTCCAGAGCGATGTTGAACTGCGATGCTCGCTTCATCAGGTCGGTACGGATACGGTTCGAGACGGCTTCTCGTTGTGTGATCAGTTCGGCTGCGTCGAACTGGGCGACGATGGATTTGAGGACTTCGTTGCCGATGGAGGGGAGGACACGTTCATCGTAATCGGTACCGTAAGACTAGAGTAGATATGTCAGATTAAAAGCTACACTCCATCAAAGCTTCTTGAGGGACCATTCAATATGCACATACCTGGTAGATGGCCGGCAGCTTCGGCACATCCGGACGGTGCAAGACTCGCAAGGTCAAGCTGACCATCTGCAAGTCCTTACTTCCAGTGGTGGTGGAGATGTTACGGGGCTTTGTGCGGACATCGTAGACGATGGCCTTTTGCAACCAGGGGATCAGGAAGTGGGTGCCCTCGTTAACGACCTTCTCCTGGACACCGGACAACCGGTCGAAGATGACAGCCCGCGTACCACCTCGAACGTCGTAGAGGGAGTTGTTGAGGAGCATAACACCGGTGGCCGCCGGGATGGCCAACCGGTAGAGGTTGTAGAGACCGTTTGCCGCCATGATGTGGGAAAGGGAGATGGGATTGAGTGTGATGGTGATGGGCGTCGCTCTCGCGGTGCTTTCTTTTGATGATGTCGGGCTTTTCGCATGCTGTCCCGATGCGGACTAGCGCCGGCCGCAGCGCCAAACCTCCAACTTCGCCGTTTTGCCCCGACGTCGACTCTCTCCCTCTCTCTCCCTCGTTCTCCAAACTCTTTGCTGCACGCATTCCCGTTGAACCGTCGTTCATTTTCTTCATTCAATACCTTCACAATGGTCGGCTCTGTTGATCCTAAGAACGGAATGTGAGTTTTGCGTCTTTGCGTTGCGGTCTGGCTCGGTTTCATCAGCCCTTTCGGTGGCCGGTTACGACCGCGACAATCTCCACTAGGGGTTTTTTGAGCCGTTATACGGTTATAAGATAATCATGTGCTGACGATTGGGATTGTGTATAGTTACATCGGTGGCTGGGGTGAATTGGGTATGTTGAATCGAACTCGAATCCGAAAAACGACGACCGCCAATAGAATCGAGGCTATTGCCAATTGAATTTCAAGTCCCCCAAAAGGACTGAGAATTGGATTGGAGATCGTTCTTGAATACTGGAATATAAGAGACACAGAATATTGAAATACTGGCGGATGCTGATGCCGTTTTCACCGTTGCAGGCTGCCCTACCCCCCAGCGCATTGCCAGCTACTCTCTGTCCCCCAACAGACAGAGACCTTTGGCCGGTGCTTTCAACGCTGCCATCTTCAACACCTTCCGCCGATGCAGACACCAGGTCCTCTACGTCGTTCCCCCCTTCGTCGCCGCCTACGCCGCCATGAACTGGGCTGTTGAGAGGTATGAAATGGCATACCCGGTCTTTCAGAGGCTGTGGTCGCTGTCGGAAAACGACATTTGCTTGCAGGTGACTGACAGATGTATTTCTTTAGAAACCACTACTTGCAGTCCAAGCCCGGCCGTCTTGCCGAGGGTGGTGAGGAATAAATGTAGTTCAGGTATTGGGTTATATTGGAGAATTGGGACATATGGATGGCCCGGGTTCTGATGGAGGAGTCCTTGATTGATTGCACTGTACATTAACTAGACGGCAATCGAAAATCTCGAGCGTTTTCACTGGTTTCAATATTTCCACTGGTGGAAGCTGGTATTTACTCTGGATATACACTAAATCCAGATATTCAGTGTATCTCCACTACGTACTGGTATAATAGAGAACTCTATATTATCTAAATTGCAATGATTAGTTGATCGTGATTGATCTCTTGAGTTATTTTGTTATCATCTGGCTGTAGCATGGAGGCATAGAGTACGGGGTACAGCGTAACAGTGCAACATGTCACAATAATCCCTCAGAAAACCACTCATTTTATTGCAAATCAATTGCCTTATATAGAACCGCATAATAATATAAGCTAGTATAATCCGACGATTTGCGCGTTTGTTTTGCTGCATTTGGACTGGCCGAACGTTCGCAGCCAGAAAAGGGCAAAAAACAGAGAAAAATCGGGCACCCCCACAAGCAGCGATAGCCCGCTACGATGCGCCTCTTCCTCCCTTCCTCTTTCTCTTCCTCTTCTTCTCTCCTCCGCTGCTCTCGCTTTTCTTCTCTCCATCCTCCTTTTCGTCCCCTCCTTCAGACTTCTCCTCGTCGATTCCATTCCGTCAAAATGAGCGAAATCACCCACCCCACGATCCAGGGTATGTCGACTCTCCTCTTCCACCCCTCCTCACACTTTTCAGCTACCCCGCCTTCAGCATCATGCGACGGATCTGTCGCGGGCTTCACGGCACCAATTCTTTCATATTGATTGAAATGGAAATTCTCATCATAATACCATTGCCATAATGATCAATTGATCAAAGCTAACTTCTATCCTCTTCAGATGGCTGGTTCTCCGAGAAGTCGGACATGTGGCCCGGTCAGGCCATGAGCCTCAAGGTCAACCAGATCCTGCACCACGAGAAGTCCAAGTACCAGGATGTCCTGATCTTCGAGAGCAGCGACTACGGCAATGTTCTCGTTCTCGACAACGTCATCCAGTGCACCGAGAGAGATGAGTTCTCGTACGTCTTGAGATTTCTGCGTGCTTGAAATTTTCTTTTCTATTTTTCTTGAAAAAAATCCAGCACTAACGAGTGACCACCAATAGCTACCAGGAGATGATCACCCACTTGGCTATGAACTCCCACCCCAACCCCAAGAAGGTCCTCGTTATCGGTGGTGGTGACGGTGGTGTCCTCCGTGAGGTCATCAAGCACGACATCGAGGAGGCCGTCCTCTGCGACATTGACGAGGTAGATGACACCCGTTGCTTTTGAAAATAAGCGGCAAGAGAACTAACAGCTTAAAACTCTAGGCTGTCATCCGTCTCTCCAAGCAGTACCTCCCTGGCATGAGCATCGGCTACAAGCACGACAAGGTCAAGACGCACATTGGCGATGGCTTCAAGTTCCTCGAGGAGAAGAAGAACGAGTTCGACGTCATCATCACTGACAGCTCCGACCCCGAGGGTCCCGCTGAGTCTCTCTTCCAGAAGCCCTACTTTGAGCTCCTCAACGGCGCTCTGCGTGAGGGAGGTGTCATCACCACCCAAGGTTGTTCGTCTCCTTTCATTTCAGTCTTCTACCCTGCCCATCTATATTTGCCCCTCTCCTTTCCCTTCCTGTCCGAATCCTCTACTTTTCTACTATTCAAACCCCGTTATTTCTCTTGACTTTTAAATGGAAAAGTCCATCCGAGCTAATCTTTCTACGTCCCAAACCACCCGACTCCCTCTCCTCGGGATCGGTTTGGGTTTCGTGTTTTACCCTATAGCCGAGAACCAATGGTTGCACCTTCCTTTGATTGCCAACCTCCGCAAGGCCTGCAAGGAAGTCTTCCCTGTCGCCGAATACGCCTACACCACCATCCCCACCTACCCCTCCGGCCAGATCGGCTTCATGGTCTGCTGCAAGGACGCCAGCCGCAACGTCCGCGAGCCTCTCCGCTCCTGGTCCCGCGAGGAGGAGGAGCGTCTCTGCCGCTACTACAACCAGGACATCCACAGAGCCAGCTTTGTCCTGCCCAACTTTGCCCGCAAGGCTTTGTCTTCCTAGATGTGTGGTTTTCTTGTCTTAGAAGATTAGACAAAAAAGAACTATCCTTGTTTCCATTTTAGATTATTCAGTGGTGGATTATTGATGACTTGACGATGACGAATAAAACAGACCAAGGGTTTAGTTTTGACATGTCCCGTGACTTACACATTTGAACAATCAAAGTATTTCGATAGTCTTTTTCTACTTCTAGTGTTTACTGTAATGAAAGATCTCGCTACGTCAGACCGTGAATCTTAGAACTCATGGTATTCTATTCATCTCTCTAAATCTAGAAGATACCAGATCAATCAAATAGGGAGAAGAACAAAGTTTTTGAAAAAAAAAAAAGAACAAAATTCGTTAAAACTCATAGGACTTCTCTCAGGGAAGTTGTGGTATAATTTTTTTGTTTCCGCAGAGATCAACCTCGTCCCATGTTGCCCATAATAAACATGACCGAAATTAAACAAAAGAAGATATCATGACACCGCTACAACCAAGCTTTTACAGGATCTGCTGGAAAGCACGGTTGACGGGCGAGCGCACGGTGTGGCCCTTGTAAAAGTCGATGGTAGCGAGAGCGCGCTCGCTGATACCCTCGGGAGTGAAGCCGAATTTCTAGATAAATTGTTAGCCAGATGATCTAATGTGATTTCATCCGATTTGGAAAAGTAACTTACGGCGTAGACCTCCTTGTAGGGGCCAGAGGCACCGAAGCGGTTGAGACCGAACTGCTCGTGAGAGTAGCGCTCCCAGCCCATGGTGGAGCAGACCTCGACGGACATGACAGGGATGTTGTCGGGGAGGACCTGCAGCTTGTAGGCCTTGTCCTGAGAGTCGAAGACCTCGAAGCAAGGAACGGAGACAACACGGGCGACGACGTTGTGCTTCTCCTTGAGGTAGGTGGCGGCCTCGATACAGAGGCTGACCTCGGAACCGGTGGAGATGAGGGTGACGGCCGCATTGGGGGCGTCAACGGCGACGTAACCACCCTTGATGGCAGACTCGATGGTGGAGTTCTCGAGCTGGGGCAGGTTCTGGCGGGTGAGGGCGAGGATGCTGGGGGTGTGCTTGGAGGTCAGAGCAACGTAGTAGGCAGCGCTGGTCTCGTTGCCATCAGCGGGACGCCAGACCATGCAGTTGGGCAGAGCACGGAAGTGAGCCAGAGTCTCGATAGGCTGGTGAGTAGGACCGTCCTCACCCAGACCAATGGAGTCGTGGGTAGCGACGTGGATGGCACGAACGCGAGACAGAGCAGCGAGACGGACAGCACCGGCGGCGTAGGAAACGAAGTTCAAGAAAGTACCACCAGCGGGGATGGTGGTGCCGTAGGCGGCGAGACCGTTCATGACAGCAGCCATGGCGTGCTCACGGACACCGTAACGGAGGTAGCGGCCGGACCAGTCACCAATGCCGTACTCAGGGGGCTGGAAGTCGACAGCGTTCTTCCAGCGGGTGTTGTTGGAGCCAGTCAAGTCGGCAGAGCCGGACAGGAGCTCGGGGATGACATCGTGGATCTTCTCGAGGACAGCCTCGGACAGCTTACGGGAAGCAATGGCAGCGTCGGTAGGCTTGTAGGTGGGGAGGCTCTTCTCCCAGCCCTCGGGGAGCTTGCCAGCGAGACGGCGAGTGAGATCAGCGTGCTCAGCCTGGTATTCAGAAGCGTACTTCTGGAGGAGCTGGTTCCACTCCTGCTCCTTGGCAGCACCCTCGGCGGCGTGCTTGCCGTAGAGGTCGTAGACCTGCTGGGGAACGACGAAGCTCTGCTCAGGGTCGAAGCCGAAGAGGGCCTTGACACCCTTGGAGTCGTCAGCCTTCAAGGGGTTACCGTGGACACCACCGGTACCCTGGAGCTTGGAGCCGAAACCAATGGTGGTGGTCAGCTTGATGACGGAGGGCTTGTCAGTGACCTCCTTGCACTTCTGGATGGCAGCCTCAATGCCCTGGAGGTCGTTGTCACCATCCTTGACGTGCTCGATGTGCCAGCCGTAGGCCTCGAAGCGCTTCATGACATCCTCAGTGAATGCACACTTGATGTCACCGTCTAGGTTAAATTAGCAAGCTGTGTGAAACTGGGATTTTCCATATCGGAACTTACCAATGGAGATTCCGTTGTCATCGTAGATACAGATGAGGTTGCCGAGCTTCAAGTGACCGGCCATGGAGGCAGCCTCGGAGGCAATACCCTCCATAGCACATCCATCACCGAAGAAGCAGTATGTGTGGTTGTTGACCAGGTCGTAGCCGGGCTTGTTGAAGACGGCGGCGGTGTGAGCCTGACCGATAGCCAAACCGACGGCGTTGGCGAAACCCTGACCGAGGGGACCAGTGGTGACCTCAACACCGGGGGTGTCGTGGGACTCGGGGTGACCGGGAGTCTTGCTGTCGAGTTGCTACAATTTCTGTTAGATCTATCGGTCAATTAGATAATCAAGGTATGCACATACTCTGAAGCTCTTCAGGTCGTCCATGGTGACGTCGTAGCCGTACAAGTGGAGCAGAGCATACTGGAGCATACATCCGTGACCGTTGCTGTAGTAATGAAAGCATCAGCAGCTACTCTTGATACTCAGGATGAACAAATCAAACATACGAGAGAACGAAACGATCGCGGTTGAGCCAGTCGGGGTTCTTAGGGTTGAAGTTCATGAACTTGTTGAACAGAACGTGGGCCACGGGGGCCATGCCCATAGGGGCACCGGGGTGACCGGAGTTGGCCTTGAAGGTGGCATCGACCTGGAGACAAGACAATTAGCATACGATGAAGCCGATAAATGTCGAATAGCAATGATAGCTGGTTTATTGCTCTCGGGGACAGCTGTTTGCAGCACAGGCTGACACCGGACTATAGTGGTCCGACGCAGCCGAATGACGATGGAAGGGAAGGAGAGACAAGGAAAGACAAGGGAAGAGCATACCGCGAGAACACGGATCGTGTTAATGGCCAATTGATCCAAGTCGGAGGCCATGATTGCGGTTCTAATATGGACAGATGGTTAGAAGAAAGAAGAGTGGATGAAGAGGGAAGAGAGGAGGGGGGGACGAACGGGTTTAAATTAGATTTCCTTCTTCAACCAGCCTTAACAAAGAAAGAAGGTAGAAGATGACTGGGAGGATGGAGAAGAGAAGAAAAAGAAAAGAAAAGCGAGGAGATGAGGGAGAGAAAAGAGGAAGAAGAAGGAATGCTTGGAGGGGTTGAGCTGGACGGGGTGGGGGGGCAATGATGTCTGATGGTGGGGCTGCGTTCACCGGGTGCTCGATTGTCAATGACAGTCCACCAGGAGAGATGGATAGATGAAGAGTAACAAAAAGAACAATTATAATAGTAGCTTTTTAAAAGAAAGATTATTATTCTACCAAACTGATTAAATGGTTGCAGGTTGATGGCATGAATGGATTGTTGCGTCAATGCCCTCGACGGCAAATGCCCCTCATTTCTTCATCCCCAACGGAGTTTTGCCATATCGATTTGACGGCGATTGAAGGGATTTGAACTTAATGTGCTGTTTTAATCATAGCATATCTAGTTAGTCTATTTACATATACTGACAGTCCAGTGTTCTATATGTATATGTTCTGTTATCCTCTTTAATGTATTCTACTCTATCAATGGAATAGTTACCCCTCAGATATCATATGCAGCACCCCAGACCCTTGTCGATCGACTGCTGAGCTGGCTTCATCCAATTCCTCCAAACCACTGAATCCATTCCAATTCCAATTCCATTCTCAATATCATTTTCGATAATCATCACATCTAAAACCGACATAACCGACTCCGTTGCCAGGTCGACTTTCTAGAAGGTCGAAATGACTAACGGAACAACGGTCAATTTTCCCTCTGGGTCCCGGAGGACGCTGCTCCGCGCACGCTTTTTGCTCACCTCATTATTTCCCTCCTTTTCCACTCCGAGGAGCTTGACTAAGGATTATTCATGGGATAAATAAATTGGCGATAAGTCCTCAATGCGAGACACTTTCGAGACGCTTGGGTATGAGGTCATTTCGCTTGCGCTATCTAACTACCTACAGTATGTGCTATGCACGGTAGGTACACTGTGCTCCGTACAGAGTCACGGTTTTCCCAATCAGGTCAATCCGAGGAAATGCCGCATTGTGTCGCCGCTGCTTGGATTTCCACCTTGATGACTTCCGATTAGATCTTCATGGTGTAACCGTTGACAGGCATCGAGTTCCTCGGGCTTCTGTCGTCCTGTCATGATGATCCAGATATGACAACCCCGCCTTCTTCCTAGAGACAAATCTTAAGGTCATAAATAATTTATCACATAAATCATCAATTACTGCATAATTCTCTTATGTCCACATGGCAGAGACCAAGAGTTGACTATATATACGGAGTTACCCAGATATCCAACAGAATATATATCCCATCCCCCAGACAACTCCATCAGGTATCATCAGAAAACAAAGTCAAAAAAAGACCATCCCTTGCTCCACCCAAAATTCAAATATTCCAATTTCCACATTTCAAAACTCCCAGTTCCTGAAATCAAAAGGTAAAAAAGGGCACAAAAAACTCAAACGGCCAATCGTCGATCCCAACCACCGGCCAATCCAAATTCGTCAATTTCTTCCTCAGCGGTTGGCATCATGATCCCCTGGAATGGATCCAAAACACCGGCATGCCGATCCCCGGTCTGTAACGGCAGATCTCCAAATGGGAGACTGGGTTCCACACTGCCCAGACTCTCGTCTGAATAGCTGAGAACACTCTGTGCTGACATCTCCTGGTTGGGTGGAATGTCGCTGCTGCTGCTAGCAGACCATGCCTCAGGCGACAGGCCTTGCAGATCACTCTGCGACGTCGGCAAGGGAACCGAGTCCGGCTTCTGGCTATACTCGGCAGTCAAAGATGCAAAGGGACCGCTGTCTTCTCCGCATTCCTTGCCGCCATAGATTCCCGTGAAGATGTTCGAGTATCCACGGTCCATATCGCTCAGGACGAATTCCCAATCCGCCATAGTAATGGCTCCGACGCCGGCATCTGAGGGTGCCGAGCAAGACATGGCTCGAGCGTGGTCATGTCCCAGACCGGAAGAGGCGGGATATACCGGCGAATGGGAAAGGTGGTGGTATTGGTCGGACAACGGCGAAGTAAGGCTGTTTCGGCTGGCTGACCGGATGTGATGGTGCACCACCGAGGGACTGGCGCCTGAAATTGTTGCTCTGCGCGATGTCGACTCTGGTTTTGCCGACTGGCCCGCGGCCATTTGAGCTGGTGTTCTCGAAGACTGCTGGTTCTTAGGAGACTTCGATGGCTTCTGCGACGGGGCCGACATTTCCTGATGTTTAGTCCCGCGTTTGCTGCTATCCAAAGCGATAAAGAGACTGGCCAACACGCTGAATTCCGCGGCAGCCGATGACGACTCGGATTCCAGCTGCTCAGTGACGGCGCTGAGCAATTTCTGGCTCTCCTTCACCAGCTTGCTATCCCGCTTCAAACCAATGTTCTGCCACAAAAGACCAAGGCCGCAGTTCAAAACAAGCTCTCTCCGGTTGATGCTGACAGAAAGGCAAAGTCGTCTCTCGTCGAGTAGCTGCATGATTTGTATGATGTGCTTGCTAGAGTCAGATACGGCGAGAACAGAAGGCGAGCTAATAGTTTCATCGGCAAAACAGACGGCTGGGCGATGGATCAAGGACCGAATAAAGTAGTAGACAAGGGACTAGAAGATTTTGGTTAGTCACCGTAAGAACATGATTGTTCACATGTATACTCACCAGAAGTGGCGACCGGCTACTTGTAACATTTGTGCTGGGCTTATCTTGACTGAATTCGAGCCGAAGGTGAGCGGGCAGGTTCTGAACCCAGTCATCCAGTTGACTTGCAACTGCACGCATCTTCGAAACGCAGACCTCATACCCGGATTCTGAGGGGTACAAGTCTTCCAAGACCTTATTCAAGATCCTCGATGCCGCGAAAAGTGCAATCGCGCTCGACAGTCGGGTGGATTCACCAGGGAGTGTTGGCAAGAAGCCCGTCTCGGTGATATTCTCGTCGTCAACGTCCTCTGGGTATTCAGTAAGGACGTCCTCTTCACGCAGAAGAATCGGCAAGCCCGTCAAAGCGGCGGCGAATCTATAAGCATCAGAACTATGAACAGACCAACAGCCATGTATATAAGAGTGCCATACCTATCAAGAACATATTGAGACCAGAAAACCTTTTTCCGTGCCTCACCCACAAGAGGGTTTGAGAAGTGCTTCTGGCTTTGGTGAAGTCGCAGCTGATGGCACAAGCCAACAGCCAGGCTCCGATAGCGTAATAGACCTTGGTACTCTGCCTTGGTCATACAGTAGATCTGAGCAAGAACAAGACATTGCAAGGTCTGCATGGAAATATTGCTTGAGAGGGTTTCAAGTGTGGAAGACCAGTTCTCCTCAAAGAAGGTGGGGTCCTGGTTTGTCCTCGACTATGGGAGAAAACGTTAGCCTTGGACATTAGATAGATTCAGTCCATTGCGAAACTTACAGTTGACGAGAGAGCAGCAATGCTAAAAATCAAGTTCAGCTGGACCAAGTCATGAGCATTTCCATGCAAAAATTCCGGGTTCGTAAGATATTGTTCGTATGCTTTGAGAATAGTGGGACGATGAACGACCGGGTAAAGAGGCGCCCATTCCTGGAAGAATATGTTGATGAGCTGATCAGACACGAGCCGAGGTGGTGTTTGAATGGGTTGGTTGGCCCGAGCATGAGAAATTGCCGGAGGCGATGCGGTCAGCGCTCGCGTCGACACACTTGACGGCAGTCTTCCCTGGTTCTTAAGTCTGCCTGTGAAAGTATCTGGATAAAAATTATTAGCTTATCAAACTGTTTCTTCCGAGCGTAAACCATCACATACCCGCAAAACCGTTGGTACTAGAAAGCCCGGTAGATTGGGCATCTATTGATTCTGACCGCGAGGCCTGTTGAACCTGAAAAACACCCTCGGCTGTGTCGGTCGAAGTGGGTGACTTGGCTGCCTCCGAGGCTGCTGGCGATCGTGCAGCGGCATTGAGTCTCTGCTGCGCTGGTGGTGAGAATGAGTGTATCCGGGACAGCACATCGATCTTTTCGTCCTTCTCGTCCAACAAACTCTTCAAGTCCTTCACTTCTGTCTCCAGCGCCCGCACACGTTCCTCCAGCGACTCTGTATATCCACGGGGGAATGCTCGACGGCTAAGCTTATCGCTGGTTTTGCACTCGAACCCAACATTGGCGCATTGGGAACAACATGGTCGGACGCCGTCACAGCGGATCTTTTTGCTGCGGCACCGATCGCAGGCTTGGGCAATCCGACTTTGCGAGTTGTTGCCCACCTTGATCACTTTCATAGGAAGAATTCCAGGCATCGTGGGGGAGGTCCTGCGGCGTCGACCGCCACCAGTATCGATCTGTTCGTGTTCACCCCGAATTCGCAACGGGGGTTTCGGTTGCTTTCCCGAACGAGGGTGTACAAGTGTATATCGTGTGAATCGAGATCACCGGCCTTTCAACGAGTAAAGAGCTGGTGAAGTGACAAAAATCCCAAGAATAATTCGTATAACTTCCAGAGAAGTAGGGGGAATGCAAGAAGAAGGACACGGAGGCAAATGGATTATTGGGAGGGAAGTGGGAGAAACGATCGAACCCTGGAGGCCGAGTAGGTAATCATGGCGATTCTTACTTGAAATGACCGGCCAGGGGCGCTGGACAGCGGAACAGCGACCGGGGGGCAGCCGGGATGGGCCAATCAGCGATTGTGATTTACACTTTCCGGTCCACCCGACAGCCGTGGATTCGTTAATTCTGGGGAGGCCTCGGTATTGGTACGGTATGGATACGACCAGCAGGGTGCGGGTGCGAAAATCGGAACAATACGTGCGTACACGGGGTATTGACGGAATACCGAGTCCTGTGACTCCGGGCGATAGATGAGGGAGTCGCAGAGAGAATAACCAGGGGCTCTAACGCTACGAGTCAGACGATGATGCATAAATCAGTCGTGTCCTCCAGTTCACAGCCATGATAGAAACTCTGCCTTGGTGTTGAAAGCGCTGGCTGGGAGTCTGGCACTATCGACTAGTAGGGTAGGTAGTGCTCGCATCCTGAGGATCATTGTGTGTCCATCACTTGCAAAGCAGCAAAAGTGTATTCTCTTTTTAGCCCGTTGGGCTGGGCATGTGGGGCTCGTGAAGATCCTTCAAGTCCATGGGACACAGAACAAATTGCTTCACCTCCACATTTCCGCAGTCCGCACTGCATTTCGGAGATAGCACTGGCAGTGATAACCGAAGGAATTGTTGATACGGGGATGACACCGTTGAACAGATCAGGTTAGGACAGCCATCCCACTTCGCAGAGACTGGCATCTCCGGTGGGAATGGTACTTGCACATGCAAGCATCCACACCCTGTGCACTGTTTGAGTCTGTGATATGGCCGGGATATGAGCCCAAAGTCCATGCCGAGTCTCTCTGGTCGGGCCTCTGCGAAGTCTGATTGGCCATTGACCTCTTCCCCGCCGTTCGCGCATAGCGGGCATGGAGAATCGCGGGGGATCGGAGTCTTGGATGGAGGAGAACAATTCACACACACGAAAATGAAGATAGAACAGGACGGGACAAAACTTGGCCAAGTTGGATTTTGAGTTTTTGATTTCAGTCCTGTTTCATTCGTGATGCTCGAGCAATACGTGTCTCAAAGTGGAGACCGCTGCAAGAGCGATCTTTGTCCGAGAAAAAAGCACCGCGTTGAGCGAGTTTTGGCCGAGATAATGACGGACGGAGTCAACTACCTAGGTAGACAGTGGGCCCGTCCCAACAAGATGAAGATGTGGAAATGTCTTGACTCTTAATTTGGGTTCTGGACCTCCCTGGGACGCTGTATTTGATATGGATCTGAAAACCTGGGGCAATACGGAGTATTACCCACCTGTATGCCAGAGCGGATGGGTTTAGAGTGCGTACGTTGTTTGTGTACTTTCATGCAGGGAATTGCAGTATCGATGCATCCAACTGCAGGAACTGTAATGATTCAGTCCAATCTCTTGCAGTCACATGAGGTGGTAATTTTATCATCCTCGTGGCCGACCAGGATATGTACTGCCAGGCCTTAATATCGGAAGGACATGGGAAACATCCATCCCACACTCTGGTACCTTTCATTACCCCAATCCTCTATAACCATTCTAGGTAGGTGCGAATGAGACCGTTCAAAGGAAGGCGAAAACGTCATCGCCAGACGGGAGCTTTTCTCGTAAAATCCCGGTAGTCGATACGTCCCAATGCCGAGCTTGAATGACGTTGAACCAAAAGACCCGTCCAATAATTTGAGCACATCTCCAAACTTTCTTTGTACCAATCTTGGACGATCAACACCCGGGGTATCTCATCTACTCAATGTATCTAACTGGATCCATGAAGTCTTGCCATCCCCGCTGTGGGGTGGAGACGGGTTGGACTCGGACTTGGTTACATGCTCACCATACGAGCCCTGGTAGCAGCAGCGATCTTAACCACACGGTAATTGCATTATATAGGCCGAGCTTGTTTAAATGAGCTCCAGTTCGCATCATAAATGTGTCATTCGTTGCCATTTTCGTCGGTCACAATCATGAGAAATCTTCTTCGATATTATCGCCTTGTTGGCCGAGATAAGCAGCCACTGTTTCGGTCGCCATCAACTCGTCCCTCTACATGCACCAATCATGATCAGCATCTTCGAAATGCGTTTTCGCATGCTTGCAGCTCAGCGACATGTGTCAATCACTTACCTTCCTCACCAGGTCCTCGATACCCCTCTCTAGCAAATTGGCCTCTAGCTCCCGCAATTTGGTAGCTATCCTAAAGACATCGGGCCGGAAAATTGCGCGCTTCAACTCCTCATCGCGGCTAACTTCTGATACAATCTGCTCTGTCTCACGAAGGGTGGCGAGTTGAGTCTCTAGTCGATCAAGGATAATCATCACAGCGCGAAGTTGAAACACCTCCCACATCGGATCAGCCGCTAAAATGTCCCTGAGACGACTAGAGACTTCAATACCCTCTTCCTTCCAAATAGCTGCAAGTTCTTTTCCTCCATCAGTCGTTTGAAGCACCGTGAAGTCGAGTCCGTCTTCTTCATTAACGCAGGCCCACCAAACGAAGGGACTGTCCCAAGTCGCGCCAGAAGCATTAGCAGCAGTCTTCACTTGGACCCCAGGTGCATCCCTGCAAAACCTTTTTTTGGCTAGCTTCAGGGGATCATCACCAGGAATGTCCAGGTCCAGAAAAGTCTGCTTTGCATCTATTCTCTCCATGTCAAGGAAACCGTATGAAAAGATCATCTCCGATGCCGGCTTCTCATCTCCGTATCTAGAACAAGGTTCAGGCATGAGTTACTGAGCCAAGACCTGTAGAGTCAGCGACTTACGAAATGGTAACCTCCTCATCAGCATGTAGCTTTCTGTCGCCGCGTAATTGAAGCACTGTATTTCCTTCCGAATCCGCATCATATCGTGCCTTCACTGCATCCTCAGAAGCATGGTTGGCCATATCCACGCACGGAACCATCGAATGACCACTTCCAGGTAAGTCCAGCATACGCGACCGATATACAGCATCCACATATCGCCAATCGTCGAACGATAACTTGCCCGTTTCCTCGCCCCACCAGTACTTCTGACACCAAGATATATTATCCGTAGCGTGACGCAGGTGCTCGAATTCCCGCTCGAGGGAAATGCCTTTTGCTTCCACTGCAGATCTGAGCGAAGTCCCGCGCAGTAGTTCCAATTCTTCATCCGTGTAGAATGTCGGTAGGAGAATCGTGGACGGCATAAATTTTATGTATTCGGTCCACGGGTTCGAGACGCCGATTTTATGCCGCTCGGTCGCAAAGTCTGGACTGGAGTATGTGATTTGCATGATTAGGAAGATCAATATTGCACCTCTAGCTGTCTGCATATATCAGTTCAAGGGGCTTGAATGGAATACAATTTCATTCTTTAAACTAGGGATATGGAAACATACTCTACCGAAATCGCCAGCAGCCTCCAACACCTCCCGTAGATAACCATCAGCCTTGGCATAATTATGCACCGTCTCGAGCGACAAGACCAGATCAGAAGGCATTTTGAGAAGTATTTCTGGATTCGACTCGCTTTCGTTGATTTTTGCCTCGGTCGCTACTATTGCACATCCCTTGTCGGTCCCATCTTCTGCTTGTAGTCGCCCGAACGCGACACCAGCCAAGGAAATACCATTGAGTTTTGCCCAGGCTGGGAGAGTTTCCACGGGGAGGTATTCGCGTTTCATATCGGATCGTACTCTGAAGACGTGCCGATATGATAGATTTCCTGATACTGCGTAGATTTGATGATAATGAATGCTCACGAGAAGCCGGAGAGCTGTCATGTCAATGCCGTTATCGATAAGAAACCAAGCCCTAAGCCCTATACCCATATCCCAATCCAGAGTCTAGACACTCGATTGCAGCATCGAGACGTCATACGAGACCATCTCAGCGTCCTTGGTTGGAATATGGTTTCCAAGCTACTGAGGGGTTATTACACCCCAGCCATAGCTTAAAGTGACAATTGCACTTGATATATAGACTAGAAGCTCCTCGGGTACCTACACATTCTAGTTGAAACAATACTATCAAAAAGACATTCGATATGCCGAGCAATACACGTCTTCCACCTCAGACTCCCAAGCTTCACAGTATCCTCGTTCCACGGCTTCCGCGGGTTAGCCTTCTCCCAATACGGTCCATCCTACAACCGGCTGTTTATACCACACCTAACAGTGTTCGCGCCCGTTTTAGCGGCTCCTCACCCAGCCAGTGGAAAGGATCGAACGAGCAGGGCCATGCGGTAAATAGAGCAAAAGGAGGTGATACCACGGATCCAACGACAGAAGCGTCCTACGCGGGTATGAAGAATCGGGAGGAATCAGAGGGCATCGCAGACAATACTAAGTCTGAAGCCGAAACGGAGAGAGGAGGGCTCAAGCATCAAAGGAAAGCAAAGGAAGAGCATCCCAATGCCCCGGAGCCAATAATTGGAATGAACGATGAAAGAGGCCAGGTGAGTTGACCGGCTGGCTTCCCAGGGCTTCATGTTGTGTGAAGCCCCTGAAACTAACTTGTTTACAGAAAGGCAAATGATTTCTGCTTTTGCTGGGAGAGATATCCTGAACTTTTGGGTTTTTGTGATTCTTAATGCAAGGTTAAATCTTTCTATACAATCGGGTAATCGCCATGAAAATTGCATCGTCGCAGTGATTTGATTCATTACCAAGAAATTCATTCCACATCGACTGTACATAATCATGATCAAACTACCGGCCAGGCTTGAATGAAAGCACCTGGAAGAAGAAAGAATGTGTTAGTAAACATATAAATGCATGGAACTGATAGGACCGGCACATACGTCGTATTTTCCTACTTGGACGATTTCATCCTCGGAGACTCGGGTTCCTCCCACGCCTTCAATGTAATTGATAGGCACGTCTCCCATAACCTTATGGGCAACTTCGCCCACAGTGGTGTTCCTATTTGATGTCAGATGATGCTGTATGAGCAGCTATTGGGATCGTTTGCACTCACCTCTTGACCAGGACGCAATCTCGGAATACGGCACTGCCGGCCCCAGAGGAGAATGTGCTGATATTTCGGACTGGGAAAACAGGCACGAGTCCCAGGAGCTCTGCGGCTCGAGAGAGACACTGTACAACACCAGTTGAGCCAAAGCGATAAAGGACCATATCCTTCAGGTTTTCAACACGACTAAATCAACGTCAGTAAAATGATTCGTATCTTGTGTGATCCCGAAACAACTTACGTCTTTAATTTTTCATCCATTTCCTTCAAGTCACCACCATCAGGCTCTCCCATCTCAATGAGGTCTTCTCTCGTATCTACAAATTCACTACCTTCTGTGTATTTGATGTAGCCTTGCTTTGCAAGTCTCCGAAGGAAAACTTCCGATATCGCAGAGCAGAGTACTATGGATTTCGGGTCCTGCATTTTAGCGATCTTGCTGACATTCTAAATTCTTGTTAGTCCTGTTACAGCAATAAGTCAAGAAACGCACCTTGTCTGCATCAGGATGGTCGATCTTATTCAATGCGAAAACCGTCGGGAACTTCTCGTCAATGAATGTTTTGACGACTAGCTCGACGGTTTCATCTGACCATTCCTCAAGTGGCTCCTTCATTGATAATCGATCTAAACAACGTGCGACAGTTTGCGTTGTGCTTCCGTAACCCGAAAATTGATTCTGTAGAGTATCCACGGCAGTCGACTCTAGCTTCGAGGTCAATATACCTAAATAACAAAGGGGTCTCAGGGCGCCATCGACTAACTTGTTGCACAGTGTCGTCTCTTGATAGAGCCCCTATAGGATAATCAGCACCGACCCTCCGTATTTATCTGTATTATATACGTACCATTTTTGCATCAAGTTTCCAAGCACCCATCGCACAATCTCGGATCGCAGCCATTCGATATCCTGCGAGGGGTCGTATCCTCGCGTTGTCTTCCCTGCAAGTCCCCAAATATCTCAGTATAATTATCCCACCTGCGACGCAGAGAACAGTACTGACCTTCGGCATCTGTAGTTCCGCTAACATCAACCACATGGATTAAAGCATCCGCATGACGCAGGTCATCCAAGAACTTATTTCCCAAGCCTCGTCCTTGGTGTGCGCCTGGTACCAGACCTGCAACATCCAGAAGCTCAATGGGAACAGAGCGTCGCCCGTCCGTACAACCTCCGTAGTTTGGTTTGCATTTGTCCGAGACATTGAATCGCTGGCATGCGCATTCTATTTGTAGATATCCGATGGCGCGCTGAGGATCGATAGTAGTGAATCTATAGGTGCCGAATTAGGTTTCATTCGAGAGGGATATTTCCGGTGAAATAAAAGAATTGGAGGCTCGTCGACTTACGGGAAGTTTCCTGCGCATCAAACGGTGACCATTAATGAAATTCCAATGTATTAAATTCGCATATACAAGTACTTAAACATACCAACTTTGGAAGAAGCATCTGTCAAACTATTGAGTGTGGTCGACTTTCCACTGGATGGCTACATGCCCCTCAAATCAATCAGCGGCGTATCTTCACTGAGAAACCAAGGAGACAGACCTTTCCAACCAGCCCAACCAATGGATCCTTGGGCATTTTCAAATATGAATATAATTCTAAATGCGAATAACAAGATAACGAAAGAACAAAAGTCTAATCTCTTCACAGCGCATACAAGACGAGTGACAAAAAAACCCTTATCGCTGTCGGCGGGGAAAATGGCCATTTTCTGCCGACTTATATTGGAAGGCGGTATCGAAATATAAGGAGGCGCTGTTTTTGGACGCGAAGTCTTCAACTCTTCGAACAGTGCTCATTGTTGCCCAGGGGATTCTGGCTATCATTCTAGTCATACGGACATTGCTATATAGTGAAGGGCCTGCAGGGTCAATTGTACTATACACAATGACCGAATGTCATTACTGGAGAGAACAGCACCGGACCATAACAATCAGATAGGCTTCAATTGAGCCTTATTGGGATCGAATACTGAAAGCCATCATAAAATAGTGAAATTCCCCGGTTGCCGTTTGTCTCTCGGAAGATGCCTGAGACAAGAGGACTCTAGGAACTTGGAATATTTCATTGTTCCACGAATAATAAGGATGCGACCTGACCTGATACAAGCTTACAGAATACATGATTTAGAATTCCAGAAAGCCGGATATGATGGCCAAGTACGCTGGGAAGATTCTATGGAACAATCTCAATCCTGCGATATGACATGGTTCTGCCGGCCACCTACTGGATTGGTTTTGCCTCCATCCCCGCTATTTTCACCGAACAAATACTTGATGCGAGGCGAAGCAAAGCTTGGATAACAAGTCAACATGTCGTCATGTCAAAAGCTAACGTCACTAGCCATGGATGTCTCCCAAACTGGCTCATGGGTTTGATCTCGATAGATATAAAAGCTTAAATTCGCTCTCAAACTGTTCGTGTCTAAATTTGATTCTCATACCTACACAGGAATCAAACTGAAATCCTTTCTGCTACATCGATCTCAATCAAATCCTTTATTCAAAATGTCGGACCAAACATTCCACACCACTGCCCAGGATCTCCGGAAGCCGGAATCCCACATTGCCAAAGTGCAAGGTGGTAAAACCCCCAAGGACTCTGATGTCTCAATGTTGAAGGTAAGTCCAGTAGTTCGATCTTTGCTTCGACATTAAACTAAGAATCTATTCGCAGTCTGTCATCGATCAGAACACAGACAAGTCCAAAGAAATTGAAGAACACAAGTCCAACCTTCCATTGCCCGAACAACCACCAACAGCTAGCGACTGGCAGTCTGCAGACCAGAGAAATGTCAACGTAGGTTCAGGACGCGTGGAAGCCCCTCTTTCTGGTGATGGAGATACCGCCCTGAGAGAGCCTGCGACAGCAAGCAGCAGCGTGCGCCAGTCTGGCGAGGAGCTGCACAAGAACACGGCTCCCTTGAGCAACGTTGGACGACAAGGGAAAGATAACCTGGATGGGCTTCCCAAAGATGCCCTGGCCCGGTAATATAATTATTCTGGTGGATGTTAAATGTAACTATAGATTTACTATTACGAGAAAATGGATGCCCTAATAGTATTTTCTTAATCTTCTCGACAATGACTATCATACGTTGTAAGATGTAGTTAAAACACTTATTGAATAAATTTGCGTCGAACATATTCATACAGACTGTCCCTTTAGCTCAATTGGAGAATTTACTAGAAAGCATCACCAGCCTGCTATAGTCACTATGTTTGAGATTCTTGATGAGTTACAATTTGCAATCGATTTAGACTTGTATACTGTCACGTGATGCTTCTCGTCCCCCCTTTCCAGTCCGAAGTTCTGATATCACTTCAACTTCGCGGGGCATAAGCTCACACGCCCGCAGCAATGATGTTTCAAGCAGAAAATTGACAGGTTAGACTTGATAATGCTTGTTACGACTTGAATTTGGTTTCGTCAATCACTTAGGCCCTGCAAAGGAGTTCGCGCGCCCAGTTTGTTTGCGGTCGTGACGTCAATCCGACTTCTGCCCAGTTCTCGAAAAGTCGACACGTCGACACCTCATAGCTGGTTTTTGCAACCCCGGGATTTGGTTTCGTCCTCATGGGCAATAATTGGAAAAAATAATGCTTAAACTGGCTCCATACTTGGAAGTTGATCATGTGGGGAAGAAAGCAAGATAAAATTGGGGATCGTCCTTGGGCATTGAAGGTCTGGATGTCTAGAACCTTAGGGTTCAGGTTTCTGTCGACACAGTATCTCCACCGACCGCGATCGCACTCTTTGATACGTCACTGGAAGTGTCTCGATGACTCTGGTGTGTTTCTATTGACGTACTTTGATGTCGCCAACGGTGAATTGGCTGGCGTGCGTCGTCAGAATGACATCACAAGATCCATGGGATATCAATCAAGACGACAGGGTCATCGATTATGTACAAGAGTCGAGGCTATATAGCTCTGCCATCGCACTTGACTTTGTTAACCATTGACTACTCTTCTATATCTTCACAACAATTCAATTTGAGGCATACTTTTGAAACTTCACACGCTCAAAACAAAACTTGCATTTTACGCATCATCAACCATCATCATGGATCTCCAAGGAAAGCCAATTAACCCGGGCCCCAGAAGCACCAAGGTACGGTCTATCGACTTTCACAAATTGCCAGCTTGAAATGTGAAACTGACAATTTACTCGTACAGGTCACCAATGACCCTGCTGCCAACAACCCCATTACCGAAGCCTCTGGGCCAGTGACCAACGACTCTCTCGCCGCCGAGTCTGCCACGAAAGGTGGTGCTTTCTCCCAAAACCGTGGCGCAGAGCCTCTCGGTGTTTCTGGTGGCCAGTCTACATTTAAAACCACAGACACTTCCGCGGCCACCAAGCTCCCATCTGCCCCAGTTGGCTCTGCTCGCGAAGACTTGAACAGACAGGATAAATACCCTGAGGCCCTGGGTGGCCAGGGAGACTACCCCGGTGCCCATCTTTCCCAGTCTGGCTACGTTGGCGGGCCCACCGCAGCCAAACAGGAATTGAGACAGGAGCACGAATACTCCGCCTCGCAGAAGCCCTCGCAGCCCTCCCAGGCCACTGGCAGTGGCTATGGTCGTGGTGACGAATTCCCCAATGACCCCAAGTACAATGCCAGCTTCAACTCGGACATTGGCAGCCGGAACGACCCTGGACGCGGTGCTGAGAACAAGTTCTCGAGCACCAACTATGAACGCGGACTTGATGCAGGTCAAGGTCCGAGACAGAAGGGTGTCGACAACCAGCAGCCATACGAGGCGCTGCAGCGAGACCAGAGGGCATAAATGAGTTACGAGTTTGGAATGGTTTAATGACAGCATATTAGCGATTCATGCGGTGTTGTTGTCCAGGAAAAGCAGGGCTATGATCCATGGACATGCCTTGTTTTATTTCACATACCTCTTGTAATATAGATAACGAATTGATTCTATCAAAATCTCAAGAAGTGCTCTCGTAGAGTTCAAGACAACTACAAAATAATATCGCCTCCATCCAATTCCAACCCTAAACCGCACTATCCTATGCCTTTTCCAAATCACCTTTTCTTCCCCTTCCATATCCACCAAAACCTTCACTCTCCAAGCCATCATTCACAACCCATCTCCCCCAAACAAGTTCCACATTCTTAACCACCCCAAGTACCAGAATCGCCAACCACATCATCGCTAGCAGAATCATGACAGACGCTGGGGGTCTCTCAATACTATGTCTCCCAACTACATTGACAGCCAAGGCGCAATCGATATCGTCATCTCCAGATAATGCTAACAAAGGCGTAGGCGAAATGACATCGCAACCCTTTGGTTTTGTCCCATTCTGGATGGAAGTATCATTTAAACCGTGGGACCAGCAAGTGACGCGATGATCCTGTCGATGGACTGGGAAATCCGATGACTCATTCTGGTATTGGTGGTGGGGAGTTGGAGGGGGGCATCCTAGGGGGCCTTTATGGGGGCAGGGGATGTTGTCTTTACACGGTTGGAATGGTTGGTCCTGATTATCATAATCATGGTTGATGTTGTCTTGCTTTTCACCGAGTATAGGGAGGTTTTTCTAAGCCAAGCGTCAGTATGAGATAGATATACCCTAGGAAAGACGGACCCTGTGACATTGATCTCGAAGATGATCCGGTAAAGGCAAATAAACAAATATCCATCCAGGTTTAATTTCATTTGTCGGGATAGCTGTTAATCTCCAATCACTAGGATAAGATAGTCGATGGATTGGAAAAGCAAAGATGGTTTGAAGATATAAAAGAAGAACAAAGGCACACGCATGTCGAGGGCGAATTGACGCCATTAAGAATACATCCACAACGAGGTGTGTTCTCATAATTAGTAAGAGGGGAATGAAGAAATAAATTATTATTTAAACTTGAGGAATCGTTCCTTTTTCTAGAGCCAAGTCTGCAGAGTATCGGGCTACTGTTGTCTGTTCTGTTACACAAAGACTTGCAGTGCGTAACCCGTGATAGTCGGTTTGCAGCAGATCTCGCAGGAGACAAAGAAACCTCGAGTTCAATGGGTTGGAATTGGAATGGTTTGGATTGATATTCATACCTTGTTTATTGACATGTGAATGTATCAGCTTCTCCATTGCACGCAGAGGGGATCTACATTGATTCTTCACTCGGAATATCTTCGAATCTTCACATGGATATGTACAAACGGATAGCTGCAGGGCGCAATGTAACATTAAAGGTCATTGGCATACGAAATGTTGTGCCACTTTAAATGGATAGAAAAAAGTAAAAAAGTCCATGCTGTCTATATATGCCTATCTCTATGTTTTGAATCGCTGATGCAAGTCTATAAATATTACTGTATCTCCATCTAAAATGCCCACTGCTTCAGCCAGTTCGTCATCAATCCCTGCGAAACAGGCCCGAGGGAATTCATCGTTGCGCTCGCTTCCTTTGTCTTCGTCACTTCGATTGGCGACGACAAAGACCCCTCTCCCTCCAATCCGCGGTAGAAATCGAGCAGCTTCAGCGCTGGCTTTGCGGCAATTTCCTCAGCGGATGGGTTCTCGATGCGCTCCAGCTCTCCGACCCATTCGGAGAGTTCAACCCGTTCGACAGGGTAGACTTCCTCAATGGATGGAAGAAGCGATTCCCAAGACGTGCTGGACGGGTTGATAAGATGGAAGACAGCACAGCGAGTGTCGACTTGGGTGGTGCGACGGGTATTGACAATCTCTACCATGATCTTGGCAAGTGTATCCTGTTAATTGTGTTAGAATATAAGAAAGGCATCCTGCATAGTAAGATTGAGTTAGAACTTACAACTGGAACCCAGTCGACTAGCATTGATCCTAGCGCACCCGGGACCTTTCCGAGGGTCTTGGACGTCGCAACAATGGTGGGCAGCCATTCTTGCCGACTCCAAATACCCTTCTCTGTAGTTGGTCCAGCAATTTGTCCGACACGGAAGACGGTTGTTGGCACACCAGCACGTCGAGAGGCCTCTAAGCACAGACGCTCGGCAATGTGCTTAGATTCTCCATAACCTTGGGGTAGAACAACTTCGCAGTTTTCCAGTGGGGCTTCAGGAACTGCTGGTCCATGAGTTGGTTTCCATGATCCAATGGTTGACACAGAGGATACAAAATGGATGTGAGCGTGGTGAGTGCTCTGAAGACTGAAGTCAACAAAGCGTCGGACGCCCCGGATGTGAACATCCTCGAAGGAATCAACGGAAATGTTGAAGTCCACCCTCCAGGCATTGTGGATGATGGTATCGACAGAACGGGCCATCTCGGCATACTTGTCACTGTCGAGTCCGAACTTCTCATCACCAAAGGCTACCTGAAGGAATTCAACCTCTGCTTCGGCTTCAGGACCGAAAGGCAGTCCCTTTTCCTGGAAGCTCTTGGCCTGTCTGTCTCGGGCTTCCGATCTGTTCAAACAGTACACCTTGCTGACGCTTGGGTCATTCAGAAGGGTGCTGAGAATATAGTTTCCAAGTGATCCCGTTGAGCCAGTCAGGATGATGGTGTGTTTATCATCCTTGTTGTGCCCATCCAACACCTGCTCGGGAAGATCAGCGGTGTACTTCTCCAAGAGAGCGTCAATCTTCTCGGAGCGAGAAAGCTTGTTTTCTACGGTTCCGCAAATGATACCATAGAGAGCTTGAGACAACTGCTCCACGTTTGGATTGGCATAGATCTTTTGTGCCGTGATGGTGTCATTGCCCTGGGTTCGTGACTGGATGGCGCGTTGAAGCATCTTGCTAAGTTGCATGGTCTGTAGAGAGTCAAGACCTGCAGCATAGAAGTCGGTCTGGTCCGAGATTTTAGAGTCCAGCAGGTTGGAAACAGTGTTCCGGACGAAATCCTTCACAATGGGTAGATTGGCATCCTCGGGCAGTTCGTAGCTCGCTTCATCGTTGCTTGAATCGGCATAGATCGAATCGATTTCCTCTTCGTAGTCTTTGATGACATGTCTTCGCTGTGTGCTTCCCTTAGGCGTGGTTTTGAAAGGCTTGTTCCGAGACGCCACTCCAATTTTGTTTTTCATGATTCGCGCGTGGCCTGGACCAGCTCGGTTTGCCTGTTGCACTGCTGGCCAAATCTGATGAATCAAGTCACTGACAGGCTTTCCTTCGTTCCATTTACACCAGCTGGGTTCAACGAGAAGGGCAGACTGAAACCTGGCCTGTCCAACAACGACGGCTCGCGATACCAACGGGTGTCCCTCGATGATCTTCTCCATAGTGATCGGGTTGAACTTTTCTCCGTTGCTGAGTACAATCACATCGTCAAGACGTCCATAGTATTTCCAAAGATTGGGTCGAGTAGGGTGTTTCGTAAAGAGATCTTTTGTATGATATTCCTTGCAATCCGGGAAAGTGTGGAAGATGCCATGAATATCTCGGTTTTCGCCTCTAGGGATGACCAGTTCGTAGAAACCTTCTCCCACTGGCTGCATACTGATTCCATAGGATGGAATCCACTCAAAATATTGCCAGTCTTCCTTCTTCTCTGGAAGCATCGAAGCGATCAGTCCAGCCTCGCTGCTTCCAAGGAAAGTAACAACTCTGCTTCTCTCGTTTATCAGCTGACCTGCGTCAGGTGAAAGAGGAGCACCTGCGAAGTATATATACTTCAAGCGAGAGAGAGACTCCAAGGAAGCGCTTGACTTGCACATATCCTCTAGGATAGATGGAGGGAAGACTGCGGCTGTTGGCTTAGCCGCGTTCAGCATGTTTGCCGAAAGCTCGGCCGACATGGGTTTATCTGGAGAGAGTACGAATGGAATACCGTGGAAAACAGACCATACAATCAAAGCGAATCCCATGAGGTGAAAGAATGGAGTAGTGGCGAAGATAAGGTCGTCCGATCCAAGGATTTGGGGCGTACCAATGGCCCTTCCAGCAGGAAGTGGGAGGTGTCCGTCATTCTCGAACGCACCCAAAAAGCCATGAGTGAGATAAACAGGTTTGGGCATTCCTAAATGAAGATGAAGGGTTAGAATCACCTTCTTATTTATCCCTGATGATTGCCGCAGGTTATTACATACCGGTTGTACCAGAACTGTGTATAATGAAGGCCGTGTCATTTTCAACTTCTTCAAACGACTTGGGAAACGGATAGAATGCAGTGTGGTTTTCTAGCATTTCCGTCAATGATGGAATTTCAAAGGCATCTAGATCAGGGCGAAGGTCCTTGATCTCGAGCGCTCTTTGTTTCCGTTCTGCACTGTAGGCCAGTTTCGAGCATTTCGTAGCATCGAGGAGATGGAGGTGCGCTTCGTCTGAATTGCGGGTAGAAGAAAGTAACGGCTGCATTTTGGTTGTTGATTAGTATTCCTGCCGTTGCACAATAATGTCAAGCCAGCACTCACCTTATATCCTGTTTTGTTACAGGCCATCACAACCACGAGATAGCGTATATCATTCATGCCGATATACGTCAACGTCTCGTTGGAAGAGCTGCGTCCGATCGACTTCTCAATCCACCAGGACATATAGCTCACGGCATGCGCAAGGTCTCGGAATGTGATGTCGAAGAAGCCATCCGATACATCAGAGCCCTTGCACATGGCGCACATCTTTCTGCCCGGATCCTGCTGTGCCAGGTCATCAATGACCCGTGCCATGAGCCTCTTCCCGACATCTCTGGGATTCTCTACTGCCATGGGGAAGAAATGCAAGATTGGTATGATTGGTATATGATTGAGTATAAAGGCAATTTCGCTGAGAGAGTAGGGAGTAAAGAATAAAATAAGATTGGAACTGGATATATAGAAAAGGTTCCACGGATTGCCTACCAAGCTTGCAGTCTTTATACTTCTGCAACCATGGACCTTGCTCCGTCGAGATCGCCACGAAGGAACATATTCTTACCGTTCACAGTACCGATTGTCCGAGGATATGTAGTATATAGGGCTAATGTGGCCCTCCCAGCGCACTGGTGTGGCCATACCATGAGGAAGGATCCAATAGCACGACTATTTGCAACACCAGAAGTGGAGTTTGCGTCACTTTGGCGGGATAATTCTTCTCACGAAGCACAGTCATCGTGGAATTTGGGCTGATAAGGGAACTCGAGAACCCGATCAACCGATCCTGGATGGATCCTAGTCGATTCTATGCAGGGGATTTTTATCAGCGTGGATACGAAAAGAACAAGCTAGAGCTCAGAAAAGAAGGAACCAAGGATAGTTTCTGGCTCGAGTACGTGGTCCTAAGCAGTCAAGCGTTGCTAGCTGGCGATCCTGCGAGTAGTTCTGCCATTTTCAGGCCTTGTTCGGCAAACCGATGGGGTCCATTGCGGTTTCTTGTGCCGACTGTCTTCTGCATAGAGAGGAAAATCCCAGGAAAGCATAATAATAGTGGCCGAAGCCGGGAGACCAAGTGGAGATCTGCTTTCAACGCTGGTCTGCAAAAATTGGCTCTTTCTTCGAGGTGTTGGTGGGCCTGAGCATAACAACAACCGGAGACCAAGGCAGGGCAGGTCAGGTGACATGGTATGCGCTGGGCGAGCGGCATAAGCCTCAGCATCGATGAGCCCAAAAGATAGGGCCAATGCGGTCCATGCCGGCATAACCGAATGAAATAAATATTTGAAATAAAGCTAATGTCGATAGATGCGGTCATAATGGAGACATATGTTGTTGTATTTTTATTGATAAGTTTCATTCTTCCTGCCTTTTTTCATACACCGATAGGAGAACGCCAGATTTGCAACAGACATATCGAAAAAGATCAACCCATGAATGAATACGTCCCAAAGGCCAGACCCCAAAGACATGCACTGTCTTGTCAAACAATAACGTGAAACTGTACAGCCATAGCAATTGACAAGGCAGAGGTAAAAAAAGAAAAAAAGGGCCTCGAGACTAGGAAATAACGGAAAAAGAAAGAGCAACCAGCCATATATAATTTAAACATTCACCTTCTTGGCCTCCTTCTCAGCAAGTTTGGCCAACTCTTCGAACACCTTGCTGAAGTCCTCATCGTCGTCATCAGCGTCCTTCTTCTTGCCCTTTGCGGCCGACTTGGGAACAACCATGGTCACACTTGTAGGGCGCTTGGTTGCAGCGGAGTTACCGAGCTCAGCTCTGGATGTGACAAAAACGTAGGGGATGCCGTGGTCTTCGCACAGAATGGGGATGTGGGAGATGACATCCATGGGCGAGATATCAGCAGCGAGGATAACAACACCATTGGGGAGACCGGGGGCGGCGTTGGGGGCAGGGACAGGCGATTTCCGGAGAGCCTTGACGACTTCCTTAACACCACGCTTAAGGCACTTGTTGACGGCAGCTACAAGTAGAAAAAGAAGCAGTCGTCAGTATCAAATAGACCGAGTTTTACTGGAGTATCATAGATCGACGGAAGATGGACACAATCATCAAAACCCATAGAAGATTTCACCCTCTCACGAGCCGATGGGACTGTGTCTGAGGAAGAAAAAGCAAGCGATTGCGATTCGAATCCTTACCTTTCTTGACGCTCTTCAAGACCTTCTTTGCGTTCTTGTCCTCGACCAAAGGATTGGCGAATGGCACAACTGCGCCAACGGGGCGGGCGGCGTCGACTTCCATCTCAACATCTCCATTGGCAGGAGTCTCCGAGGCGACAGCCTGGTCAATGCCATCCAAGACCTTGCTGGTAAGCTCCTGCTCTACAGCATCGGCGAGCACAGTCTTGTCCTTCTTCTCCTTCTTGTCCTTGCTGCTCTTGCGGACTCCATCCTTCTCCGAGCGCTTCTCCTTCTTCTCGCGCTTGTCCTTCTTCTCGGTCTTGTCCTTGCCCATTTTGACTGTAGGTCTCACGCGGTGAGTCTGAGTGGTTGGGGGAAGAAGGGGTGGGCGTGAGGGGGAATTAATTCGTTCGTGATGGAGTAAATCTTTCGAAGCCCGCAAAAAATCGAAATCATTTCAAAATTTCGGCCCTAATCCGTTTTGGGAATGCGAGCTCGAAGTGTGGTGCGGCTGACTCAGCGGATTGCCCCAATCGGGATTCTCGACGGCCCTTGGGAAAACAAGCAGCGATCATTGTTGCTCTTGCTATTATCATCGTCGATGAGCTTGTCGAACTCGCTCATCCCCTTCCCTGTCGGTAGAAGGGAAGGCTTCCTTTTCGGGAGAGCGTGGAATATTAAATTGACTTTTGCTTCTTTGGTTTTGAGCTGATCGCCAGAGTAAGTGCTTGACGGATGAATCTCCAAAGGACGTCGCGAAGACTAATCTGCTTCAGATGAGTTCAAGGAGGAACTCACGACTCTCAGTTGGGTCTTTAGTGGGGAGCCCTCCTCCCTCATCGATTTTAGGGGGTCAAAATAATACCTTGCGACAGTCCATGCGGCCACCTCAACCTCCGAAGCCTGGTTAGTCCACGATACTTGCACCTCGAATTGACTATTGGGATCCTGACTAGTTTTTTTGCAGATACGGAGAAGGATGAGCTTCGAGTGCAAGTCAATACTTTGAGATATGAACTCGAGAACTTTAAACAGGAGCGGGATTTGATGGTACTCCGCCATGAAAAGGAGCTTCGGGACTCACAATTGAAGGCAGATGCGGACTTTAGAAAATTTCAGGTTTGTCCTTGGCATGTCTGAATCCATGCCCAAAAACTGACTATTACGTTCCAGGCCGCCGAGTCTGCTAGTCATCGCGCCACCCACAAGAGCGAGGCTCTCGCGAAAGAGCTGAAGGAGGCCCAAGATCAAGCACTGAACGAAAAAGTCGATCTCGAACGGAAGATTAGAAGTCTTCAGGACCAAAATCAGAATTTGCAGGAGGAGGTTAGCGATACACAGGCACAACTGTCCGACCAGGAAAGACAACAAAAGTATCAGGTCAACGAGCTAGAAACGATCCGATCATCCCTTCAGAAGACCCTCGAGGAACTTCATAACGATATTCAAAATGTACGGAACGATTTACAGACCACTCAAGAGAAATTGGTCCAACGACAAAGTGATGTCGCCAGTCTAGAGACAGAAAATATACGCCTAAAAGCTGAGGGAAGTGATGCTGAAACATTGGCTGTGTTGAAAAGAGAGCTATCGGACCAGGTGAATCATATGAGGAACTTGGAGTCCACAAACCGGGAGCAGTCTGCAGAGCTTCGCCATCTACGCAAGATACAGAAAAATGTCGAGGTGGTGGAAGAACAGAAAAAGTCATTGGAGAACCAGCTTCAGTTGATGAAAGAGGTTGAGTCTGAATTGGGAACTGTTCAGATTCAAAAGCAGATGCTTGAAGACGAAAGGACATCGTGGACAAGTTTGTTACAGGACAATGACCAGTCAGCAGACATTGACTCTCCGGAGGCTGTTGTAAAAGCGCTTTTACAGGAGCAGATCGAGAAGGCCACTCTTGTCGACAATATGGGAAAGATTGAAGCGCAGTTTTTGGAGAAAGACGAAACGATCAAAAATCTGGAGACCGAAAGAACTCAAATGCGACAAGAAATGGAAAAGCTTCGGACTGCAGGAGCTGCTGCTGCTGCCGGAGGAGGGGCAGTCGACGGCCGGATCAAGGCCCGGCTGGAACGCCAACGTGCTCTTGCCATCAAGGAAGTTGAATACCTACGTGCGCAGGTGAAGATGTTCGATGCGGAAGAGGAGACCATGAATGCGGAAGAAGGCCAGTTTGACCAACAAAAGTCCGAGCAAATCGCGAATCTGGAGAAGATAATTGATGAATATCGCGTGGAGCTTGAAAAGGCCCATGAAGAGCTTTCAAAGCGTGAAGCCACGCAACAGGAGGAGTCGCAGCCTCGAGGGGTCAAACGGCCCCTCTCACCACCTGCAGAAAGCGAAGCAGAGCATGAACGTCTCTCTGTTCTGTCCCGCAAGAACAGAACATTGCAGGAATCTCTGTCTAAATCCGAGCAAGGAACAGAACTTCTTCGTCGCGAACTCAAGGCCATGAAATCGCAACTCAGATCGCTTCAGGCTAAATCACGCACCCGCGTTCTCGAACTGCGCGACAACCCCACTGCTCAGGCAGAGAATCTCAAAATGTCCACCATAACCACTCTCAGGGCCGAGAACCGTGATCTGCTCGCCCAGCTGCATGGCAGCCAGGCAGATGTCAAGGTTGTCCCTGTTAGTGCCCTGGAGAGCATGAAGTTGGACATCAGCGACATGGAGCGGTCGGTTGCCGACAAGGAGAAGCGCATGCGTCGTCTGAAGGAGATCTGGACTGCCAAGTCGTCCGAATTTCGCGAGGCAGTCGCTTCGCTGCTTGGTTACAAGCTGGATTTCCTCCCCAACGGTCGAGTACGGGTCACTTCCATGTTTCACCTCTCACCTGCCTATCGCCATGGTGATGGAGATGCGTCCGACTCCCAGGGTCCAGGCAGCATGGGCAATGGAGAGGAGAACTCGATCATCTTCGACGGAGAGAACGGCACTATGAAGATCTCCGGTGGCCCTAACAGTCTTTTTGCCATGGAGATTAAACATCTGATTAAATTCTGGGTCGAGGAACGGAAAGACATTCCCTGTTTCTTGGCTGCCATGACGTTGGACTTTTTCGACAAGACCACAAGGGCTGCGAGGATGTGAGCCTTTCTCCCTCTTTCTTATTTCTTTCTGTATGATTCCCCGGCACTGGTGTCATTTGTGCTATGTTTTCCGTTCTCGATTTCCGTGTACTGTAACGATGATATATGTGAGAAACCATGTTTGTGTGCAGAATATAGTCATATATCAACTCTTTTCATATGTTGTATATATGTCATTCCCTCCAGTCTTTAATCTACAGGCACTGCCATTTCCTGATAGGTCGTTCGTCCATGGCCTAGCAAATCCGGCTTGTAAAATATATAATATCAGCTTCACTCACTAAACATTTTATATGAAAACAAATCAACCCTCCCTGGTCGACCAGAGGGGTTAAATGTGATATTTATGGGATAGATTTATTTAAATAGAAAGCTGATCTTTTGAATCATGTATAGAGGTGCTATGGTACAGTTGTGCAAGGCCCTATCCAGGGGAGGTTCGTACTGAAATGTCAACAAAGCTAGACTCATGTCATAGTAATAAAAAGTGATCTAATCAGTTTGCAGTGATTTTTAGTGACTTCCTATTCTGATTCTCACGTATTTTTTTGCTCTATATAGTGTACATTAACTATATGTTCGCACAGTTATTGATTTTGACCTATTCAGCTGGGAAGGCCATGATCAAGGTACGTAGGTAGTTAGATCATCGAAATCCTGTCAGTTTTGCCTTACTATCACCACTTGTAGCTAAAATGCATCTAATATCGAATCACAGAATCAGAACCAGAGCAATAAATACTGTATCATCACTGCGCGCTGTCCGCGCAGTATCTGTTGCCACAAACCCAGAGAATGGAAGGGGAGTGGGTTGGAGTATTCGAGTTGAACTGATAATCTGAGCATCGGATTGAGCAGCCCATAAGCGACCTTAAGAAAAAACACCTACCCTCATTTACCTGCTAATCCGCTCTTCTGAATCGCCCCCATCGTTTCATCCAAAAAGCATTGGTATCATCAATGTGACTGTTCATTCTAGTAGGCCGCAGCAGAGAGAGGGAGTTACGACTATTGGTCGGAGCCAGAAGAGGGAGTGAAGCGGACAAAAGAGAGAGAGAGGAGATAGATGCAGAAGGGGAAAAGAAGAGAGACCGAAGCAGCTATCTACAACAAGAAGGGGAGCGCTGCAAATTGAGCTATCAAAGTAATTTTACCATCTCTGTCTTCCCCTGCGCCAGTGCAAGTTGACGAGGAGTGAGCCCTTCTCCGTCTGCTAGATCTGTCCGCGCACCTCGCTGTAACATATATCGGACAAAGTCTTGTTGATCATGCTGGACTGCAACATGCAGCGCTGTACCAATTATATCTCTTGGGTCGTCATCATCATACAGGTCATGTCGGAAGACCTGGTTGATGTCGGCACCGTGTTCGAGCAGTATAGTAGCAGCATTAATGCGGCCGCACTCCGCAGCACCCTTGAGGGCGTTTGAGCTCTGGACGTTTGCACCGTGTTGAAGGAGGAGGTTCACAATTTCCAATGAAGGAAGTGATGCGGCGCGCGCCAGGACAGAGTCGAAGGGGATCCAGTATATATCATTTGCGTCCGCGCCCTTGCTTAGCAGGAACCGCACCATCTCTACGTCTTGTCGCTGGATTGCGACTGTGAGCGGAGACCCAATTTTGTCCATTGGATGGTTGACAGGCAGACCGAAGTCCATGAGTGTTTGGAAGGCGGCTGGTTTAGATGCCTGTACGGTGCGCAGGACCACTAAGTCGGGGAGCACGGCTGACTGCCATTCTTCGGGAATCTCACGGTCTTCGATATCGATCGTCGGGTTCCACGGGTCGGTCGATTGTTGGCATTGCGGGAGATTGGTGAAGAAGTAGCGGAGAATATTGGAATGGCCGTTCTCGGCGGCGGTTGCTATCGCAAGCCTCAGAGGCGGGATAGTCCTTTTGTCGATGCCAGCTGTGGTGTATAGCTGAGGAGCATACGTTTTCACACTGGAGAGCGAGCCTTGGGCGCATGCTTTGAGGAGCGAGCGCCCAGCTGAGTGGATGGAAGCTGCTGTTATGTTAGTATAGTGATCACGGTAGGAGGAGATGACGAGCACTCACGTATGGTCATTTCTGAAACCCTGATCATTTCTGAGGGAGAAATGAAGAGGTTATTCTTAGATTAGTTGATATCTAGAGTATTAGAGATGATGTTGTTTTAGAGAAGTCGTTGTCTAGAAAAGGTGATCCTCATTGCGCTTGCCAAGATAAAACTGCGCCCTCACCACAGGTTGAACCCAGCCTCTCTGGACTGCAGATTGTAGGCTGTACAGATGCCGTCTCCCATTGCTTTTAGAAAGTGATAAGCAGAGGATGAGGATCTGCGTAGTTGACATAATAAAGGGTAAGATGGATGAGTAAGAATCATTCTGCAGAAGATGCAGGAACAAGGCTGCTATTACTCTCCATGTACTCTATAACCCTAAAAGATATTCTCGTCAATCAATTCCAAAAAAGATAACAATAAAAGTATTCCTCTGACTGCGACTGTCTAGTTCTAGTCACCAAGATGTCTGTTTAGCAAGAGCTGAGCCATTTTCGACAAACTGCCCCCAAGAACGAAGCAAGGTATCATTCTTGATCGCCCTTTTTCTATACTCATTGAGTATGCGTTTTGGTTATCTTCAGGATGCCTTGCAACGCGTGCTTGATTAGTGCTTATAAGATCATCTCAAAGCTCTTTCAGTGAGGTGATTGTTAGAAGAGTAGATATCTCAAGCAGCTATAAGAAGAGGGCTTTGTATGCTAAGACTGAGACGACCCTCGCCACTGATAAGCATGGCCCAGATGCCCAATCCTTCTACAAGACCGTCGAGGAGAAGATCCTTAACCACAACAAAGTCAAGATCAATGTGGATGATAAAAACTAGGGCTTTGCTGTGTGAGAAGAGAGGGGATGCCCTTTGGTTGTTCTTGTCATTTGTTCCATCTTTTGTAGTGCGCTTTTGTCTCCGAGTCTTGTATATATGATTCTTGGTTTCTAGGAGAAAGTGCCTGATTGTTCTTGTTATTTGTTTTCTTTGTGCTGCGCTTTTGGCTGTTATGTACATATATTCTTGCTTTCTGGATAAAATTAGAAGGGGAAGAATAAGTTCTTCGGAAAGAATTGAAAACTGAAAAATCAAGATGGTGTTTTGAGTAGAAAACCGTTAGCTGCTAAGATATTAGAAAAGACGTTTTATATATCTTCAATGGCCCCCATCGGAGTGAGAGCTGTTAGAGTCCATAGGGAGATCAACACAACCAGTGTAGTCTAGGCATGAAGCTATCAAGTTGGCGTCACAGTAGCCTTCAGGTTGTAGACTCAAAGAAGTCCCATTTGGTTAAATATCACCGTGTAGCAGACGCTGCCGCCCTGAAAAAAAGGGCGAATCCATCTGGCAGAATGCTTGTAAACTAGTCCTGGTCCTGTGATGACGAGGAAACATGGCCTGATATATTCATACCGAAATGGTAGAATGAAGCTAACTACGATGCATGTTTCTCTCTGGCGATCTATTACTCCTGGCCAATAGAAGGCTAACTACTGTATACACTAGACTGATGCAGTGGGAAATGGCTGATCCCAGAATTGGTATTTAGTACCGATAAGACTCCACAACTTCAATCACCAGCCTTAAAAATAAAAAAAAAGGGCAAAGAAGAAGAAAAAAGAAATTGTATTTACAGAACAATCACTATGCTTGTTTTATCCTGACAGCATGGCCAAAGTTCAGATTATGACAGAGAAAAAGTGGGAAGGGGGATGGACAGTATCGAGATGGGGAAAAGAAAAAAAAAAATGATCCTATCAAACCAAGAAGACATTGGCATAAACACAGAAAAGAGCAAAACTGCACAAGAGAAAGGAACAAAAAGAAAACATAATGATACCTTCCTACCCGGATAGTACATAAATGCAAGCAAATTTTGGCATCATCGGGCGGCATGGGGGGGGTGGAATATAACACTGAGGAAATTAAATGATTGCATCACAGGGTGGGAGTAGTTGGTGGCTAAGGAAGGGAATGGGAGGTGGTCTTTTCTAATTCGTAATATAGTCCAAGGTAGATAGAAAACCTTTGTACTTGGAGGGCTCATAGATTTGCAAATGACTCTATCAGATAAGGCCAAAGCCTCACCTAAGACGAGACATACTTCCCTCCAACGAGCTTTCGCACAGTAGGCACTTGGTTCCATGTGGCAGATGGCAGAGTGTTTTGGGTTCCAGAGTCGTCGTCGGCAAAAGGATCAGACTTTTGAGGGGATTCCGCGCGGTCAGAAGCTGCACTGATTCCTAGTCGGGGTCCAGTGCCAGCAGTTTGAACCTCAAACTTGGCGTCAACCTTGCCCTTCCGTGGCCCGCTGCTGGATGTTGAGAACCGAACCAAGAACTTGCCATCCCCTCCGGTCTTAAGCTCAAGTTCGGGGATCTTCCAGATTACGGCAGATTGCTTGCGACGGAATGTGGCCCCAGCGTTAGGGTACATAACTGCACTCGTAGCGTGAGCGACTTCGCCAGAGTCTTCACGGGGGGTTGTGTCCAGGTTCACTGTCAGAACCAGGTTCTTGAGAATCACCGATTCCACAGGGACAGTAGATGCGAACGATGGGTCCAAGGAATAAAAGACAATAGCGCTTGCTTGGAACTCTTCCAGATTCCACACTGGCTTAAAGATGACGGGACAGTAGGCTGAACTATTCGTGGGGTCGAGATGCACTTGATATTTAAAGGCCACCGTGGGCGAGGGACGAGAAATACTGGGAAGAAGAATAGTGTATTCACCCCTCTTCTCGTCTGCCTGAGCCGGGGCCTCATGCACAAAGTGGGGGTTTGCAGCAACCTTCTCGAGCACTTGGAAATTATCCAAACGAACACGAAGTTTATCGACCGCAGAGTCAGGGGTTTGGTTATATGCCAGCGCAAGCTCTCCAACGACAGATGACTTTGTCAATGCACCCTCCGAAAACCATGCACTGACAGTCTCTATGATCGACGCATTCAGACCAGCCTCATGTAGGTCAGAGTGCAGAGCCGGCCCTGTTATGCTACTGAGAGTATGCGACGAACGGATAGAGGTAGTATCCGACAGAGCGTGGTCATCGGTGGCAGTACTAGGAGAAGTAACATGCTTGGCGAGCAGACCTGGTGAGGCTGGCGAAGGTGCATCAGACCCAGAGGGAAGAGATGGGATTTCATGGCCCGGCGCAGGGACATTCGGAATGAAGACAGTGTTCCGGACGTCACGGCGACCACGAATAGTGCCCGCATTCCGTCTAACCCCAGTCTGCTGAGCCCGCATTCGCAAAGTGCTGGCCATGTCATCCATTGCCTGCTTAGCTTGATCTTCATCTTCAAAAATTGGCTGGTCACGGATGGTTAGATTCATGCCGGACTCTTCCAAGCCGGCAGCTTCTCTCTCAGCTCGTGTGATCTCGTCAATAGTCTGTGGCCGTTCTGTGAAACCTTCGGAGTCGACAGCACGGGGCTATACGATCAGTCAGTTATTGAGTTTCTACGTAAACGGCTGTATTATAACTTACTTCATTGGCAGGAGCAGTTGAAAGACCAGGCCCAACGAGCGTCTCCAACGGTGCTGCTCCATTTGTAGCAGCTGGCTGAGGCTCTGGACTGGATGATATCGCATTAAGACCTTCACGGTCCCGTGATTCGCTCAGATTCCGGCCAGTGCTGGGGCTGTCCTGTGAAGTAAGAGCGGTACCCGGGCGTTCCTGGCCAGAAGGTGGTGATTCAGGAATTTGCATTTCACGGGATGAATCCCCTCTCTTAAAGGAAGCAAATGGGCTGCGGTGCTTTTTTTCGGAGCCAAAGGCGCCTCCGGGTTGTACAATGCTCTTTCTTCTGTTCATGACCGTACCTAGGCGCTTCAGGCCTCCCAGAGTTGTGTTGCGAGGCTGTGGCTCAGGTGCTATTACAAATAGAAGTGAGCATTTATTCACGGAAGGATGGGAATGTAACAAAGCTTCTCTTACCAGGAGGCGTCCTGACAGGACCCGAATTCTCCGAGCGTTGACTAGCAGCATCGTCCTGGATGCGGGGTGGGGGCGCAAGAGGTGCAGGTGCAGGCGCAGGAGACGAAGTTTCCTGTCGAGATATTTCCTGTCGTGAAGCAACAGGTCTTCCGCCATTGATCTTGGCAGCAAATGTCTTGATTTCATCTGCGGTCTCGACATTGAGAAGCACATTCAAACAACTTTCGGCTGCCTGACGGCAACGCTCTACCTGATCCGCTTCATGTGTGCCATACTGAGTAAGAACGTCCCGAAGATGGTTGAGTCGGCCCTCATCAGCTGCCTGAAGCTGCTCATACACAAACGGGGCCCTCGATTCCCATTGCTGAGCGACCTCTTGCGCGGCGCTGACAGCGATAGCTAGCTTGTCCGCTCCTTTCGGGCCCTTTTCTTTAGCCTTGTCTACCTTCTTCTGAGACGTTTCCATGTTCTTGGCCAGTCCAGCGAGGTCGCTCTGGATACCGGGCATTGACGACAGTTCGCGGTTCTTGGTGTTGTATTCTCTCAGAGGACGCTCAACATCCTCATCGATTTTCTGTGCAAAGGTCTCGTGTGACGTAGCGACCGTTTCAGTCGAGCTGACGATGCGCTGCCATGGCAGCTGAAATATCCTTTTTCAGACAATCAGTCTCATAAAATTCCACAGTATGAATTAAATATCCCGAGGTATTGCCAGCTTACCCGAGCGCGGCCGCATTTTCTAATTGGGGGCGATGCGCCAGTTTCCGCAAGCCTTGCGCGTACAGTTCCTCAACCCGACGCCGTTCCTGTCGCAAAGATCGGACAAGTCAGCTTTCTATGATGCGATGAAACTATGCAGCGAGTAAATAGGTGGAATAATAATTGATGTGTCGTACCTGGAGCCAGTCCGCAATGTCCGAGTTGATTTTGTTGATGAGACGAATGCGATCATTGAGCACAGTACTGGCTTGGCTGGGCTGCAAAGAGGCCTAATTGACGGGAAAATCACAAACTGTCAGTCATGGTTGCTCGCTATTTCTTGAGACACCAAAGAGAAGAAAATATGGAGTCGAGCCAATCATACCAGCAAAGCTGGATACTCCTGCCGTGAGAGCTCCATAACTACTCATAGGTCACGCTGTGGAAAGGAGAGTCCGCGAGTCGCATAATAGGAAATAAGGATAACCGGTGAGAAAGTCAAGGATCGAACGAGCGATTGAGCAGCGTAGTAACGAATAGAAACAGCCCTCCGAACAAACAGAGCCGATGACGCTGGGGAGGACGGAGGGAAGAGGACGTAATGATGGATGATGCTGGATGTGATGACGATGGCGGGTTGGCAGCCGGAAGAACCACGGAGGAGTTGGTCCGAGCGTACGGTACGGTTCGGTTCGGTTAGGTAAGGTATGGTAAAGCAAGGGTGCTTCCAGGCCAGGGCAGGGTCTAATGTTACGTACGGGCGTGTAATGACAGGGGCGCTAGCCGGATAGGGGAAGGGATACGTCACATGGTCACGTCGATTATTGTGTTCCTCATCTACGAAAACGTCCAAGACAATGCGATTCAGACGGAATAGGGCTTCGAATTCAGGAGAGAAGACTTGTTGACTTCGTTTCCGACAGATCGTATAAGGGGGTATTGTTGATTGGCGATAGCTGATCATGGCTGATTGGAAGAAAACTCTGGGCTTCACGGATAGACTGACAGCCACCCAGTCCTTGTAAGTCTACAGCGAAAGACCATGGCTTCAAGTAGCTAGAAGCTCTATTAATTCTATCCTCATAGAACTTCAGCCTATCAACGGGCCTCATCCTCTGCAGCGTTTGCGGAAGCTCAATCGCAAGCGAGGAGATTCGAGAATGAGGCTTACGATAAAGCTACATCTAAGGTCAGCTCCTCCAGATGACACCCTCTCATCAACCTCTTACTGATTAGGAACTTGGCAGGAAGAATATGAGCGCATGATACAGGATGCTATTGACGCTGCAGAAGCCACAGGCTCGGTAGCGCCGGTGATCAGTAGTCCCGATCAGTTGCGTGATGACCCAGAAGAATCATGGACTGGAGGTGAAGACATTGGCCAATATAGATCATGTCTGCCTCATTTTGACGGGATTCATTCCACCATCTATAAGTCAAAACGGGAAGACGGGGCTCTGGTAGCAGTGAAAGTCACCATACCACATCTCATGACAGCACCACACGACGCCGAACGTGAGGTTCGGCTTTTGAGAGAAGCTGCTAGTGCACATATGATACCTCTCCTGGAGACATTCAAGCTTTCTGGAGGACGACTCATTCTCGTGTTCCCATTTATGAAGTATAACTTTGAACAATTGCTTCGTGGGGACATGGTCACTGCTGGGCAGACCAGGTCTCATTTGCGTGATATGTTCAGTGCTCTGTCTCATCTCCATACGTTGGGTATCATTCACCGAGATATAAAACCATCAAACATTCTCATGAACTCTCCCGAAGGCCCTGCGTATCTAGCAGACTTTGGAATTGGATGGAAAGAAGGAGACGCGGGGTCTGAACCCTTTGATCAAAAGATCACTGATGTGGGAACTACCTGTTATCGACCACCGGAGATATTGTTTGGATTAAAAGAATATGGAACAACATTCGATCTCTGGGCAGCTGGCTGTGTTGTTGCGGAAGCTGTGGCCGTAGGTCATAAACAACTGTTTGACTCGGGGCCTCTTGGAAGCGACCTGTCTCTGATCCAATCCATCTTTCACGCTCTGGGGACTCCAGATGAGCATATGTGGCCTGTGAGTAATCCCATTTTCTCTTGCTTTCCCCTCCAGTCAGGTCAATATATTGATATGCTGTCCAGGAAACCAAGAAACTTCCAGATTGGGGTAAGGTGGAATTTTATAAATTCCCCGCCAAGCCCTGGGATGAAATCCTCAAGGGAGCTTCTTCCAAAGGCCGTGATTTGGTGAGCAAGCTGGTTTGCTATGAGAGCAGTCAGAGGATGTCGGCTGCAGAGGTACGAAACGCGAACACTACTCCTTTACCTTTCTAACCTGCCACAGGCCCTGAACCATCCATATTTCTCTGCACCCTGAGAACAAATTGATATTGATATCATCCTGCCCTGCATCAGGTGCATAGTCCGAAATCTTGCATGAGAGCAAGAAACTAATTTGCGTTGTTGCGGTGAATCTAGATATCCGCCGGTGTTTCAGATAGGCGCTGGCTGCAGGACAGCAACTTTAGGGGGCAAGCCTTGTGATTCCCGGCCCTCCATGCATGATTAATATCCAATTATGACTCGAGAAAGGGAATTGGGGATCAGTTCGGTCTGCCTCGGACGGCTCGAATTATGATTGTGACCATGCCTGATCATATCTCTCTACTAATTAGCACGTCGAAACCAGGGGAGACGACTCAATATTGGATCAACCATACAAATTATGACTGAAGAAGACTATTATTAGAGAGAGGCAAAAAAAAAAAAAAAAAAACTCTTCTGTTTCAACCAGAGATGTTCTGATCTTGGGTCCTAATTATTTCCCCGGGCCATGAACTGATCTGTCTGCATAAATTGTGCCTGCGGAAGAGGCCGCGAGAGGTTCAGCACCAATTGGGCCGTGACTGGCCGACCCTGAAATTAGGACGAGAACGAGCAAAGCCAATCCCATCGTTTGCACGGGTGGTTCCCCTGGAGAGAAAGGTGCTTTTCATTTTATTTCCCGAGCAGGAGACGCTAGGATGGGCCGGAGGAGTGATATGCAGACCCGATATCCATCTTAATCACCGACTTCAATGTCTGCCTATTATCCTCTTCATTTATCATTAATCAATTTATTCTCCTCGCGTAGAGATTTATTCGATGAAAAAGAATAAAATAATTAGAAAAAAAAGGAGAAATCCCAAATCTGCATCCCTGCATGCAGCATCCATGGAACTGGGTGTTCCTCGTGCTTGCATTGGCCGGCACGGTCCCTCGTGCCACGGGTGACCGTTACAAAACCAGGCACAGGCACACTCTCAGCCAATCAGCGCTTTGTTGTCCAGTGATCCCCCCTAAATCAGGCTAGCGCCACCCGGAAAATACCCGCAGATACTGGCTGCTGATTGGCTGATTTAGCCTTTTGTTCTCTTTTTGTTCACTGCTTTTTGGGCGCCTTTCCCGATCGGGCAGGTTCCCCTCCGTGCCCAGTGCCCTTTCTGCTTCTCCAAGACGACATCGCAAACTCTCGTTCTCCTCTTTCTTTCCTCTCTCTCTCTTCTTTTCTGCTTCATCTGCTTGTTCGTGGGGATCCCACGCTTTAGTGTCCTTTTCGTTCTTTTTTTGTTTCTGTTTGAATTCTCGCGGCCTGGTTGTCCTTCTTTTACCGACTTGCGCCGGCTGTATAGTTTCCATTCCTTTTATCTCCCACACACTCTTTAAACGCGCTTGCGCTCGCTGCGCTTCGGAACGCACCCCCTATTGAGAAAAGCCAAAAAAGAAAGAAAGAAGCCGAGACAAAAAAGAAATAGGATCGTCCGATATTGAACGATTCGAGATTCGCATTCGAATCCTTGTTAGGGCTAGTTCCTATCCGCTCATTCCTCGCTGCATACTACCCTGTGCTTTGATAGTTGAATCACTTTCGCCCTATCCGATCTTGTACGACTGCTGGAATATATGACATTGGCTCAGTCGATCTGAGTGTCTTTGAATTGGAGGATCAGATAGATTCTAGATTCCCTTTCGACCTTGAATCATGGGACACGCCCATAGACATCGTGGCCATGGCGCAGGTCATCAGAAGCGCGACAACAACAATCCCCTGAACGTGGTTTATGTGACAGCCCCTGCCGACTTCGAGGGTGAAATTGGTGGTTATTTGACGAATATTCAAGACAACACCCCGACCCAGACCAAAGAGGCCAACGTAGGTGTTGGTGCTGCTGTGCAAGCAACCCAGACCAAACAGGCCAACGTGGGTGTTGGCGGTGCTGTGCGAGCATCTCAGACATCTTCCTCGCAGGAGGAGACAGCGACGCAGCAGGCGAATGTGCAAACCACCCAGCAAGAGCAGACTCAGGCGACTAGCACCAAAGAGCAGGCTCAGATTACCACCGAAGCGCCCCTGACAACTGCGACTGCCGCTGCGACGACAAAACAGACTGCCAACACCGCTGCCAACAATATCGATGAGAATGCTACCAATGTGCCATTGACTACCTTCTCGACTGCTACATCTGAGACAGGATCTGATGCGACAGCGACTACTCCCACCCTGCAGAACAATGCCGAATCAAACTCCGGCTCTTCGTCTTCCTCAAACTCGTCTGGTTCGCCCTCTGCGACCCCTGTATCTGCGGGTGGATCCGAGGCGCTCAGTGGAGGTGCAAAGGCAGGAATCGCAATTGGTGCTATACTAGGAGTTGGTTTGGTCGCAGTTTTGATCTTCTTTTTGGTCCGTAAGAAGAAGCAAGGCCAGAAGCTGGAAGAGGAAGAAAACGAAAAGGTTTGGGGAAACCATGGCTCAATGCCTCCAGGACCTACTCCCCTTCCTCCGCCGCCAATGCCCATGGTATCCGAGCCAGAGCCAAAGGTTTCCTCTACAGAGCCCCCTCAACTCAATGTTCGTCCAATCACACAATTCGCTCCCGATCTCACTCCGTCTCAGAGCAGTGTACTCTCTCTCGGTGCTGGTGGTGTTGGTCCTGGTGCTGGGTCAAGTGAAGGCGCGTTGCGCAATCTCACCGGTAACACGCCGCCCCAGACACCGCAATCAAGTATCAGCAACCCCAATCCATTCCACGACCCTGTCAATCCCTTTGGCAACCAGGCTGAGGCTGCTTCTCCGATCGCCCCTTCTGCTGTCCCAGGTCCTGCAAACACTGCAGCGCACTCGACGCCAGATTTAACCCACAATGACTCTGCTATCGGTGTTGCTGTTGCTGGCGCTGCGGTAGCAGGGGCTGCTGGTGGTGTTGCCGCTGCATCGGCTTCCAAGGAGAAAGCTCTGCCAAATCGACCTGAAAGTGCGCAATCACGATCGCCATCCCCACATGTTCCCACGGCACCAAGCCCTGTAAGCGCTATTAGCGATGATGCTGTGGCTGCCGCTCCGGTTGTCCCAACCGCGGGAGCAGCTGGACCCAGTCCCGGCCCAACCAACGTTCATCGGGTGCAGTTGGACTTTGCTCCTTCAATGGACGATGAGTTGGATCTCCGTGTGGGACAGCTGGTCAGAATGCTCCATGAATACGACGATGGCTGGGTAAGACCTCTATTTTCTTTCCTTTATGTGCGCCCTGCTAACAACCGTCATTAACAGGCTTTGTGTATCCGACTCGATCGTTCTCAGCAAGGTGTGGTCCCCAGGTCTTGCCTCTCTGCCGCGCCTGTGAAACCACGAACTCGACCACCTCCTGGAGCCGGCCCCGGCCCGCGAGGTCCACCTATGGGGCCTAATGGCCGTATGGTTGCTGCGCCTGGGCCCGGACGGTTCTACCCCGGTGATAGTCGACCCATGCCTCCAGTCCACCCTGGTTACACTGCCCCCCCGCAGCCGCAACCTTATCAACCGCGTCCCATGCCCCCTGCACAGTTTCCAGCTGCCCCCCGATCGTTTTCCCCAGGACCGAGTGGCCGACCCATGCCTCCACGATGTATGAGCCCTGGACCATATGGGCCACCGGGAATGCAGAGGCCCGACATGGCCCCCGCCAACCGGAGACGCAGCAACAGTGCTGGGGGTGCTCTCAGATACGGACCTCCTGGCCCGATGATGCCACCTCCATCAACCCAGCTTCCCGCTATTCCCAATCTTTCGTCGAACGGTCAGATTCCGAGAAAACCTGTCGGCAACAGTTACGATTTTTAAATCAAGCAATTTGCAATGCGCAGCTATGACCGTCCACGTTTAAAGGTCCCAATTGATAGCCATTGCCGCTGGGCGGAACGAGCCTGATGCAGCATTATCATTACATACGTCTGAGACGAATGCTCGCTTTGATTTTGCCCTTCAATTTCTTTTTCTAGCCCTCTGGCACCATTCTTTCTTTATTTTTCATCTTTTCTTCTATGGCTACGGCTCCACCATCGTGACAAGATAGGGATTCTTTCTCTTGCTCGGCTCTGCACGTCTATCTGGTTTTGTAAAATTGTTGTTCGAAGTGGACTTTGTTTATGCCAACACAAATATCCGCATGTTTTCTTTCTTCCCAACCCTTTTATTTACGTTCTTAATTTCTTTACTTCTGGTAGACACACCGAGGTATTATGCTGTTCAAGAATGTCCCTTGAAGGCCAGTCCTCCTTCATTGATACCGAGTATCTATTGTTCCTCTTTTCTCTAAAGCTGCATGCAGCAAGACAATTGATCAGAAGAAGGGCAGAGCCCGACTTAGGGATGAGCAGTTTTTTCAAGACCCCTTTTTTTCCTTCTTTAATGTTACATGTTTTATATCCCCTGTCTATTATGTCCGATTTATTTGCCATGTATGCTATGTTATGTTTCTTGATTGTGTGCCTGTGTGCAGAGTAGGGGAGGCATTGTTTACTTTCCCCATGTTTAAACTTGAGGTAACCACATGAAGATACTGAATAGATTCAAATACCCAACAAATATGATGTCAAATGCAAAAATCACACAGTAGTTTGGTTATCATATGCATATAACTGCCTCGGTTCGCTAACGCTGGTATCACAGAAGACAGGGAGAATGTACTGTCTATATACAAAAATTAGAGGGGGGAATTAAATCACCGTCATGCAGTAAAACTAAAGGTGTGGAACTTTTCCACTGGCGAGGAGAAGGTTGACAATGCTGAGGATACCCTCTCCTAGAATCAGCCCCGAGGCCAGAACAACCACTGCGGAGGATGCAGCGTCTGCCTCTTTCGCAGCCTGCTCTGGGGACTTTGCGACCGCTGCGTGACTCGTGCTTTCAGCGGCATGGGGTTCCACGGTCAAATGAACGTCAGTATCGCTGGCAACCTGGGTGGGAGGATTATGGTCTGCATGCTTGCGAGACCACCACCAAGCGATAAGACCTCCAATGGCTCTTGCCAGTGTGAAAGATGGGACGTTGAAGATGCCTACGGCGACGGCGATACCACCCGGGATCCATTCTCTCCAGGGAGCTGTGAGGCCTGGTTTCCCGCCGTTGGCGATGGGAGAGGCACCGACGATGCGAAGAACCGTCACGGCCACGAAAATCGCACCGGCGATAAGGGATGCTTCCCATGCCATTGGGGGCAGACCTTGGCCGGTAACGAGACGAGCAGTGAAGATCCATACGTATGCCGTTGGCGTTTGGAACATGGGACCGGGCACTTCGTAGACGTTGACATACATCTTGTAGACTGCTGTGGATAGAACCGCGCCAACTAGACTGCCGATCATTTGGCCGTAGAACTGGGCCTTGGGACTTGCACCCAAGAGATGGCCGGTTTTCAGGTCCTGCATCATGTCTCCGGCCTGTAGTGCCCCTGACTCGGAGACCGCTCCTGCAAGGAGGTTGGTGACAAGTGCGGTGCGGCGGGAGTACTGCGAGGCGGGAGTTGCGAGTGAAAAAATTAACTGGGTCAATTTGCTGATTCCAGAAACTGGGTTGAGATCCGTCTCGCCCAGAGCGCGAACGCCCATGACTGATAGAAGAACTGCGAGCAGAGTAGCTAGACTAGAAAGCAAAGGTGACATGACATCCCCAAAGACGAAGTGCATGCAGACAACGTTGAGTACCAAGGTTAGGGGAAGAAGAATAAGCACGGTGCGTGTAGATATGAGCTGCGATGGCGGTGCATCTTCATCGTCATCGACTTTGCCAGAAGGTTCGGTCAGTTGAGCGTGGTGCGCTGGCGACGATGACACCTCGGAAATGGGGCTTAAGGTGGAATAGCTAATGTATGAGTGACGGTTGCTGTTTTGCGACTCATTCGAAGCGAACTGACTTCCAAAGCGACTCGACAAGAATTTGGCCTTTAGCTTGGGAGCACGATGCACCAATGGTTTGGTCACCAGCCAACCTAGACTCACAATGGAGTCGGCGAGCATTATGGCCAACGATATCCAAACGATCCAAGCCTTGCTTCCATCATCCCAGCTGTCTACAGGTCCCGGAGCCCAGCCACGGCTCTTTGCCAGGGGAGACAGAATTCCCCAGCCTAGCACTGCGCCGAAGAGCATGTGCATACAGGTAGATGGGCCCATGATGATACCTTGTCCAACATATGCCGGGGATGGGTTGAGGGTCCATAACCAATTGTGCGCAAGCGAGAATCCTAAAATAGGAATGTCACGGACTTGGGGCACGAAGTAAGAGAATATAGTCTAGCTCCATCAGTATGGTTCAAGGGAAACAAATGAAACAACAATGAAGTCTCACATAAACACCGGAGACAAGGAAAGCGCCGACCAACAGGCGCATTTTTGACCTCCAATCCCTCTTCTCGTCTGTATCATATTCCGGAACATCCTTTCTCAACAGAGTGCCGGTTTCCTCGGACTCGCGCGGTAGAGCGAGTTCGCCGTCATCTCCTTCATCCTCTCGAACTCCTGCGGAATGACTGGCCCTCCCCTTTAATTTCTCATCACCGTAGTTACTCCCGTGAAGAACTCTTAGCATCAATGCGGATGCCGTTCCACTGGGAAATTTCAACTTCTCCCTAACAATCACCTCTTTTCTCAATGGGACCGCAAAGACGACGCCGAACAGGCAAACACCCAAGCTCCAGAGAACGAGTTTGCCAAACCCTAGCTTCAAAGGCCCTCCTTCTCCGGTGCCGCCATCTCCTGCTGGACCATCTTCCCCATCAGTGAGAAGGAACTCCAACGCGGGAATGACACCGACAAAACCACATCCCAACGGCATTGTTCCCACTGCCCCCGCCACCGTCTGAATAAGGACGTTTTCGATTGGAGTGAATGGAAAAGATAGGTATTTGGATAGGACCTTGAAAACAGAGAACCCAATCAATGCGGATGGCATTGCCATTGTACTAATCCATCCCGTCTGTAGGCCAAAGTAGGTATTCGAGAACGTAATCAAGGCGCCGATAATGAGTCCGACAAGGAGAGATCGAGCGGTGAAACTCTGAGCGGAGGTTTTGGGCCGTCCCATTGGAAATGTCTGTTCATATTCAGCATCATCAAGATTCATTATTCCTTCTCTTGAGCCCATGGCCGCCCTGGGTGGTGTTGAAGGCGAAGGGCCTTGGCCTGGAGGTCGGTGGTGGATACGACCCCCGCTGGAGGTATCGCCAGCCATGCTGATGGTCTGGTAGTTCATCGAACCTGATATCGACAACAACTCATTCGTCGCGATGATTTACACAAGATAGAAGGATTCAATGCTCCATGGTATAGACAGGCTGGAGGATGAGAAGGGATGGAAGTTGGAATGACTGCTGGAATGGCTTCAGCTGAAAGGCGCGTTAGTAATCCGCGGCGATAAGATACATCATCCGCCGAGGAAGACGATGATGTCAATCATTTTGATTATTCTGCTGCAAGCATTTACCCACGTGGATAAAAGTATTTTCAACTCGTAAATTATGTACCTGAGGTATTCTCAAAGAGAGTTGGCCTCTCTCCGTTTCTTTTCCAAAGATAAACAATGATGAAACAGTTGGTCTGGGTAATAGCGAGTACCCTATAATCCAGACGCCCAATGCGGCAACATGTCGGCTCCTCCACATCCGACATTTCCGACCATCAGAACAACACACTAGACAAGAATCAGACCGCATTTCTCCACGACTCAAGACGCAGTTCACGTCTCCAGAGACTCTGATGAGTCCGATCTTTCATGATGACCGCACCTTGCTTACTGTAACTTGCCCAGCACTGCCACTTCGAGGCCAAGACCGAGGTTTCATCCAATCTCTAGCGCAGCACCAGCAGCCTTGTGGATATAGAATCCGCATTTATTGGATCTTTTTAGAAAAGAGCCTCCTTAATGATGCAAGGCTCATGCCTAGATATGCATTTGTTCATCTGACGCGTACCCAAAGACTAACCAGGACACCCTCTTGAGATCTCAGAGGACCACATGGGGCCAAACACCGCCATGGAATCCACTAATTACGGCATTAGGACATCGGTTGGGATATTATTATTCAGGCTTAACAAGGCACCAGGGTATTGAGAGTCTCCAGGCTGTGTCATCTTCATCAGAGCCCCCTACGCGCGTTCAACGAGTTCAAGATGAGGTGTTCCAGGTGCTATTCTTGGGATAAAAGGGCGATGCTTCTCTTTTTTGCACGCTGTTATCCTTCTCAGACCACTGAAAAGTTGTAGAAACTCTGGTTTGATTACAAAACTCATCATGAAGAGCACCTTACTTCTGCCACTCGCCCTGATAGCTCAGGCAGCAAATTCTCTCACACTCAACCGGCGAGATGAGCCTGCCACTGTTGGCTTCAACCTGGCACGCAACAACATCATAGACCCTATACAACGAGAGCATTTTCGACAAAAGAGAGAATCGAATGCCAGCGCAGACCTTGTCAATGTGGTATGTGTTGAGTATGTTCCAATCATGTGACGATTAACTAATATCTGTCTCTTGCAGCAAGACATGAATCTCTATTATTTCAACCTAACTGTGGGCACACCTGGACAGTCAGTTTCGGTCGGCCTGGACACCGGCAGTAGCGATCTATGGGTGATATCCTCCGAGTCTACTGGTTGTATGGGCTCAAACGAGGATTGTGGGATTCTTGGCACGTATGATCTCAGCAACTCCTCCACGTCTAAGCAGCTTCATCAGAGTTTCAACATCAGCTATCTCGATGGCTCTGGGGCCACTGGAGAGTATGTGAAAGACACGTTAAAGTTCGGGGATGTGACCCTAAAAGACTTTCAGTTTGCTGTGGGGCATGAAACCGACTCGCCTCGTAAGTGATGATGTTGGGTGTACTTTGACGATTGTTCCTAAAAGCTGACAATTCTACAGAAGGAATACTGGGTATAGGATATGCCACCAAGGAAGCTAGTGACACTATGTACGATAACTTCCCACAAGCTTTGGTCAAAGCAGGCTATATCAAATCTGCGGCCTACAGCTTATGGCTGAATGATCTTAAGACGCACCAAGGCAGCATTCTTTTCGGTGGTGTGGACACTTCCAAGTACACGGGGGATCTCCAGACACTACCAATTGTGCCCACCTATGGTCAATACGGCGAGCTCGCCATCACACTCACCGGCATGTCCCTGCAGAAGGATGACTCGAACAAAACCTACGGCCCCTCTGATCTACCTGTCTATGTGGTCCTGGACTCTGGATCCACTGTGAACATTCTTCCCGATTCGATTGCCGACAGTATTTTCGAGGATGTCGGTGCCAAGTACAACTCATCGAGTGGTTACGCTACTGTTCCCTGCCGCTTGAGAGGCGAGAACTACAACCTCACCTACACCTTCTCAGGTGTTGACATCACGGTCGGCATCAGCGAACTGGTTCTGTCTCCAACTGGAGATAATCAATCGACGTGCATGCTGGGCATTGTTCACGCAGGAAAGGGCATGACCATACTTGGTGACCCGTTCCTCCGCGGCGCGTATGTGGTCTACGACCTTGCCAACAATGAAATCTCCTTGGCCAATGCCAACTTCAATCCGGGCAAAGAAAACATTCTAGAAATTGGAACAGGCGATGATTCGGTACCACAGGCCACTAAAGTAGCCTCTCCCGTCACCACTGCCGCCAATTCTGTCGGTGGGCTTGGTGTAACTTCTACCGGTACGAACACATCGGGGGTAGGTCTGACAGTCAGCAAACCGCACTTGTCCCTTGCCATACTAGCAGGAGCTGCTCTCTTTTTGGTAATCTAGCTTCGATCCGTTTGACTTGTTTCTTTTTGTTTATGCCATGACTCGGTGGACAAAGTATTCCCGTCCTTACCATACGACTGATGACTTTGATGATACCTTGGGCCCACTTTGTTAAAGTAATCCATTGCATGAGGTGTACATAGAACATTTATACAGGCTTCTGCTATATAGTCTCAATCTAGACTTCTCTATCGCATTTAACAGAAACAAAAACTGGTAAGAAAATCAAATCACAAGGTTAGAGGGTGAACCAGCAGCCCAGTCTTCGACAATCTGCTTCGTCATCCGGTTTTGATTGACTTTTGTCTTTCTCGCTGCCCAGGCCACGTGGGGGGTTACAACCAAGTTGAGGTCTTTGGTATCCTCTGCAAGCAATGGCGAATTTGCCGGATCTGCAGGCTCTTCGCGAAACACGTCCGTTGCTGCCCCCGCGATTTGATTTTCCTTTAATGCCTGGACGAGTGCCTCTTCGTCGACAACTCCTCCCCGTGATACGTTAACCAGGACAGCATGGGGCGACATAGATTCGAACTCGGGTGTTGAGATGAGATTCTTGGTGGATGAAGTGAGGGGCACGGCTAGGAAGATGACTGTGCTTTGCTTCATGACTGTCTCGAATGGCACTCGTTGATCATCGCTAAATCCATTTGACAAGTTGGGGTTACTGGAGGTTTTTCGACCAGAGATCATGACTGTCATGCCCAGAGCCCGTGCAAGCGTGGCGATTCTTTTTCCTGTCCGAATCGGTCAGTGTCTGTCATTATTCACTCCCTACTTCCAACACCTACCAACGTTTCCATTTCCCACAATCCCAACCACTTCCTCCTGGCACGTCAATGGCCTTTCGCCATCGCTATCGAGCATTCGAGCTATCGGGCTCTGCCCTGGTCTCCATTCACCAGCTCTAGTGAGCATATGCACATCAAACATTCTCCGTCGCGTCGCAAAGTACAGTCCAAGGGCATGTTCTGACACAGATTCAATATTTGCACTTGGACAATTGCTAACCACGATGCCTCGTTTCCTGCAGGCTTCCAAATCCACGCAATCGGTGCCCGTCGCCACTATCGCAATGAACTTGAGATGCGGCGATACTTCGGGGGACAATGTCACGGCGTCGAGTTTGATGTTCGCGAATGTGATAATTGTTGCATCGCGGATACGTTCATGGAGATCAGACAGCGCAGTCAGGGGGTAGATGATATTGGTATAAGTATGCGGGGCTGGAAGATCGAATTCAACGACAGAGGTGAAGTCGGCCTGAAGATGGACGATGTTGTGATGTGTTGGGGATGGCGGGCTCATTGTGATGATCTCTTTTTCCTTTTTCTATCCTTCTATAATACTAACTGTTATTCTACGCAGAAATGTCTTTGATGCTACTGTCTCGATATAAAAACGGTTTTGACTCCGCATATAGCCGTCAGCATGAAGCCCCGCTGCGCGCCTTATCGACGACATGCAGTGGGTCTGTTTGTCTTACTCCAACATGCGCAATGACTCAAGATCGAACGATTCCGGAAGCACTTTTGCGTGCTTATTTTAATATATGGATATAGAAAGATTGGATGGTTGGAAAAGCCTTATCAAATAGCTCATTACAGAATATTTTTAGGGAGGTGGCTGATGATTCTGATGATTTAAACTGAAGAAGTGCCTGTCAAGGTTTCATCAAGTTCTTGCTGGAAAATAAACCATTATCATTGATTCTTTCGGGTTGGTGTTGTTAAAGCTGCTTGATATATATCGTACTGATGAGTACAGCAAAGACATTGACCAAAATACACAATGGTAGCGCTACCAACATCTACGACTCAAGAGTCACCATCAGATCCAACAGCTCAATCAATTTCACTAAACGAAGATTCGAAGCTACCAGTATCATTTACGACCAAAATATTCTCCTCAACAGAGCTCCTCTCACAGCCATGGCTGCCGCAACTCACCGAAGTTATCAACGAAAGCTTTTTCCTACAACTACCCAACGTCAGGACTGATGCTATTAGACTACATTCAAACACCCAACTTTCCGAAGAACTAGGAGAAAACGGATTTACGGCTGTCGCCTTTTCTGACACGCATGGTGGCCAATTTCCTGGTAACGAGGTGGAAATCATCGGAACTGCCAGTGTCAAGGACTGGGTTGATGAGGGTATCTGGAGTCGATATGACAGCGAAGAACCAGAAAATGCAAGCGAAAGCAGCCCTCAAATCCAAGAGAAGTTTGCTTGTGATGGAGATCATGAAGTTGCAGTTGTCGCCATCCCACCAGGGCCAAGATATCGGAAACGAGGGATTGCAGAGAGCCTGGTCAAGGTGTGCGAACAGGAGATTCTACGCCGATTTCACAAGGAAACAGGTGACCGAAAGACAGCCAGGGCAATGGTCAAGGTCAACAAGGGAGTCAATGGTCTGTATTGGTCGAAGAAGGGGTTCACCCCGATTGGGAGTCGATGGTGCCCTAAGGGAACGTGGGGGCAGCTTCAGCCGTTCACCATGTGGGCCATGGCCAAGGATCTGTCCATAAGTGAGGTGAATTAGTCTTTGCGTATTTGAGAAATGTATTTGTGTTATTATCTATGCGATATTTTTAGTGATGGGACGAAGTATCTCGGCGAGACAACACTTCTGGTATACAACTCGTGATGGTCACGAGGACGTGACCAAGGACAGAAAATCAGCCCATAAAAACTGTCCAAAGCAGAGGCAAGTGGTCTGAAGAAAAAGTATAATTGACTAACATATGCACAGGAGTGACAGTGCGCATACTGTTAACAACGCGTGCCTTGCATGGAGTCTCCGTCGCCGTCCCTTGATTGAACATGGCATCCTGAACCCTTCCATGATCGACAGGTACATTGCCAAGATGCATCCCTACTTGAATAATTTATCCTGAGAATTCTCAATCTTCTTCAGATTAACCCAGTGAGGATGTTGCATTCCAGCAATCCTCCCATTCGGGGGATGTTTATGTTGTTGGACCTACATTCCATACTATGGCAAGGCCAATGTTGAGGTATTCCACGCAGGTACATAAATGAGCTGGATATCCAGTGGAAAAGCTCTCTCAATCAGCAGCATCTCTCTTTATCTCTGACAACTGTCCATTACATTCTTTTTGCAGTCACTCGTTGAGTCCTTTCCACAAACATCCTCACAATGTACTTCTCCAAGGTAAGACTCAGATACTCAATCCCCCATCACTATCCCATCTAACGAGATCAGCTCCTCGCCGTGGCATCTGCCTTTGCCCCCGTTGCACTCGCCTACTCTGTCGCAACCGTCGACTTTGACGCTCACGAACACTGCCCTGTTGGCAAATGGCCCACCGGCGACGCCGCTGACGAGCAAAAGCTCGTTGCCACCAAGGACACCTGCAGCAGTGCCAAGGTCAAGCACTCCTTTGACATCGACACCTACTCTTTCAGCGCCGACATCATCACCCCCGACACTCCTTTTGAATGCCAGGGCGTTGGCATCTACGCCAACGAAGACTGCGACGGAGAGCCCGATTACTTCCTGCCCTTTGACGGCAAAAAGCCTCACGTCCAGTCTCCCTGTCTCCCTGATCACTTTGACAAGTTCGTCTCTGTTAAGCTGCTTTGCCACGGTCACCACAAGCCTCACCACGGCTTCCACGGTCTGCCTAACACCCCTGGCGCTCCTCACGAGGGTGGTCACTAGATTATTATAGAGGAGGAAAAGGTCACGAGTGCTGCTATTCCTGGACAAATGATATGTATTAGCATTTGATTTTGCGTCTATCTTTAATTGCAATACCACCTAATTCTGTACTGGGACGGGTTAGTTCATTAATATAATAAAACTGATTGTATACTATGGCTGCTATTCAACATTAAAGTAGTAATGAAAGGCAATCTTTTACTCTTGGATATAGAGTACTAGTCAGAAGACAGGAAGCTTTATAAAAATACTATACCATTTTCAATAATTAACCATCATTAAAGACTACTACAGAGTAATGTTTGGGATACTGGGACTGGATGATATCAGCCACAGGGATGACAGCCAATAATGCGATGCCACGCCAGGAGGGGCAATCAGTCTACATCAGGTGTACTGGTTGCCCCTCAATAAAGACGCACCCTTTTACCATGTCCGAGTACATCTTCCCGTCCGTCGACTCTGGTCATTGATTCTTTCATTCGCTGTCCCCGATTCGAAGACATCCTAGCGAATATAAGGATGCACTCAGACGCTATCGATGACCAGCATTCCTCGTCGAGGGTGACCCATACCCAGATCATTCCAGCGAGCCTCTGCGATTTCTGTGAGAGTTTGGTGGAATCGGGTTTTTTTTTCACGCTCACAACATGGGCTAGAATTTGGGTCGCTTGAAGAGGTGCAGCGACGCTCCCAGGTCTGCGGGTTATGCTGTATGTTTATGCAATTAGTGCCGATGGTATACACATTCGACGCGAAAAGCTTTTACATATCGACTGGTGAGATAGGGCTCAGCCTTGTCAGGATACAGGTAGGAGTTCAAGGTGATAGTATGTCCATTTTTCACACAGCACCATACTGGGAAATCCCTTGGCTGACAACGGAACAATCGGGTATCCATTAGTGGGGCCATATTTTGATATTGATGATACATTAAACAGTCGTATGTCAATTTTTGATTTTGATGTTTTGAAAAATGTGAGACCCGAGGAGCGGTATCTGTTAAAGTCAAAGCCTGAGCCTGAGCCTGAAGTCAACTGGAAGATTGTCTCTTCGTGGCTGCATGAGTGTCGCAGCAACCATGAGCACCTCGTCTATGCAAACCAAGTGACAAACTTCCGGATCATCGATACTGTGAGAGGATGCGTAGTCATGGCCCCTGCATCTTGTGAGTATGCAGCATTAAGCTATGTATGGGGCAAGGCAACAGAGAACGATATGGCAGCAACAACAGCAACCATCAACAAGCTTGAAGCAGATGGCTTCCTTTTCCAGCATCCCCAACCTATGACAATCCAAGATGCTATAACAGCATGTGGAAAACTAGGCATCCGCTATCTCTGGATCGATAGACTCTGTATCATACAAGATTCAGAGGAGAAGTTGGCTCAGATTAATGCAATGGATGCTATATACAGCCGGTCTACTGTCACACTAGTTACATTGGCAGGTACAGATGCCAACCATGGTCTTCCTGGCGTTTCTAAAAAACGATATAAATGGCCAGTCCTGCAGACTCATCGCTTAGGCATTGCCAAATCGCGGGTGACGTACAATGACGCACTGGCATATTCTAAATGGAACACTCGCGGCTGGACCTTTCAAGAGGCTATTCTCTCCCCTCGCCTTCTATGCTTTTCAGACTATGGGGTCTTCTTTGAATGCTGTCATGATTCAGACACAGAAAATGAAATCGAATCCCTACACCCAGACGCTACAGATACTTATAGCACATTTTCGGATGAAGCAGCTCATTCTGTCCACTCTGATGTTACCGACCTTGTGGCGGATTACACGGGACGATACCTCACGTATGGAACAGACATTTTACATGCAATCTCCGGGGTGCTCAACGCCAAGTGCGGGCCATACCACCATTTCGGTCTATCGCTCCATGGCATTGACTTTAACAAGATGATCTGCTGGGGAAAGCCCCACGGCTGGACACCCAGAGTTCAACCCAGAGATGGCATCTTTCCGTCATGGTCCTGGTGTTCAGAAGAGGGGGATGTGGTTTACTGGCTTACATCTGAGCAAATTGCAGCACCATTTGCACTATGGGCCCTTGTCGCTACCGAATCGGAGGGGCATCCATTGCGGATTTTCCAATATGAAAACCGCGATGGATGGCGGTCCTGGGACGATTATTGTGCCCAGGGAGGTGCATTGGCAATGCTTTATGCGTGGCGGGAGGGATGCTATCCGGGGAAACTGCCACCTGCGCTCAACTTGCACGGTACATGGACGCAGATCAGAGACCACCTGGTGTCTGCAATGTCATTCTATGACTTGTGCAAGGCAGCCCATGGACTAGGGGATGATAGAACAAACCGATACTTTCCATCTTCTGCTATTAGCCTTGCGTCTCAATCCGGGCGTCTTCTGCTTTATACCCAGTTCATTCGACTCCCATTAAGCATACTAGACGAGGACCGCGAGTTCGAATTTTGGCTTTTTAATGCCGAGGGCCATCGTATAGTCTTTGTCGAGGCGTCTTACGCGAATGTGGCCAGGCTGGAAGAAATATCTTTGCTGGAACCAAGCCCTGATATCCACGTCATTGCCATGTCTCTCGGCTTCGTTGAACATTATCCGAGATACCGATTTGTTAAGCATTCGATCTATTCCCATGATTCGAATGGAAGACGTTTAACTTGGGATACGGACCAGCGTAAATTCCGGGGTTATGTTACTGGCAACCAATATGTGTATGCATTTGTGGTCAATGTGATGCTTGTTGAGATAAAAGATGGCATTTGCAAGCGAGTTGGCATTGGGGAAGTCTACCTCAGCAGGTGGATCAAGGAGAAGCCGGAATTTGGGACTTTTGTTCTGGAATAAGCTTTCTTCATATAAAAATATTTGAGTCTACTCTAGTCTCAAATCAGGAGTAAGGCCTGGTTGACAAGGGCCAACTCGTTTAATATCTATGCCAGATATAAGAGCGAGTGAATAATCACATTCAAATCCCCTTCAATCCCAACCGCCAAATCCTGCTCCTCCAAATCCCAAGAAACACATCCAGACGCTCCCATCCCAGCCCGGATCAACCGAAACCCACGACTCGACGACTCTTCCACCAGTTCTTCATTCGGCCATCGCAGCACACCCGGGGTATTAAGCCCTACCCCCAGCTCAAGAACGACAGCCCTCGCAGCTCCCGAAGAATTATCCGCGCTGTTGTCAAGGTCTTGCGACACCTCTCCCAGAAACCGTCTCCATTTCCGCTCCTGGCCTCGAAAGGGGGCTGGGTTGAAGTAGTCGCCGCCGCGCACGCAAATCGTCAACTCACCACCGCAGTACTGGCATCGTGGAATCTTGGACTCATCCGTGAGGATCTGCGTGTCGTAGTCGATGAACGGGAGAGCCGCATCGAGGAATGGCGCAGAGGGAAACACAGCATCCACTCGACATTTAGCAAAACATTGCAAAAATCGATACTGTCCCTGCGGCGTAGACACCATCTCAGCCTCGAATCCATTCGCCACGAATAACCCATCCGCATTGGAAGTACGTATAAACGACCGTGATTCAAAGCGGTTTGATACAAGGTCACGCAGAGCTGCATAGAGAGGCGAGAGAGGCCAGTTCCGCACCATGTTCAGGTGGAGGAAATAGTATCCCCATTTATGCCTCAGCGAGCTCCATTCGTATCCGAAGACGTCGTATAATCGTCTCAGGCCGAGGTGGGTGAAGGCTGGGAAGTGCTTTTGGAAGAGCTCGGTGGAGGTGTAATCGAGGCCTGTGGCTGCGGATAGGCCGGCGCCGGCTGTGATGATCAGGTAGTCTGCTTCTTCTATCCATGTTCGTGCTTTGGTGATTGCGGGGGATGTGATGATATGTGGTAAAGTTGGTTTTGGTGGAGTTGATGCAAGAATTATCTGGTCGGAGGTTCGTAGTGTTTGGATATTGTCTCGATATAGCTCCCAATCTCTCTCAAGGAATGTATCGAAAATGATGTCTGTCAAAGATGTACCTGGATGGTCTATACACCACTCTACCACCGTCTCTAATGCAATCTTTGCAGCCACGTCGGATGGAAACGCAAACAGCCCAGTCGAGATGCAGCAGAAAACCACCACTTTCCGACCATCAGGAAGCGGAGGAAGAGACTGTGCAGCCTCAAGACACGATCGATAGCATTCTGCGAGTTGGGTTCGATGCACAGCACTAGGCCTCTGCTTAGGCCTAAGTTGAGGGCCAACCGTATGCAAGACCCATGAAGCTGGAATATTAAACCCCGGCGTCACTTTCACCGATCCCACTGGTTCTGGATACCCCTGATCCAGCATGAGAGAGTGACATGCATCGCGGAGTCGTGGACCAGCGGCAGAGTGGATGACATTGTCGATGCAGCGATGTTCAGGACGGAAACAGCCCAGTAGTTCAGAGTTGGCTGCGTTGACGATGGCCGTGACGTCTGTCAGAGTGGTGATGTCGCCTTTCCAGACAGATAGGTTTACGGATAATCTGCCTGAGTGTGGATTTTTAATTTCAGCACTGGGGTGGATTGATGCTGATGGAGTCAACAAGCTGTGGCTGTGTTGGTGCTGGATAACGGCATCAATGTCGCACAGAATATCTGATGGCAGTCTGGGAACTGGAGGCCGCTGGCACAGCAATCCTCTCAGTGTTTCCAGCTGAGCCCAGGTATCCATCTCCAGAATCCAGTCTGTATTGTGGATGGAGTGCGAGTGTCGTTCATGGGCTTCTTGAATGAGGTGGAGGAGGGCTCGCGACAGTCGCGAAGAGACATTCTGAGAGTCTGAGGCTGAGTATTCCATGATTACTTGACTTCAATCAATGAAAAGGGCTTTGGATTAAAAAAAAAAAAAAAGCCATGGTGGACAGGCTGCCTATATATACCCTTTTGGTGCAAACATGAAGCCATCCACACTTTCTGCCCTCTGATTGGCTGGTGGACGCGCGAGTCAGTGTTTGAACTGTTTGTTCGCAATGCAAACCGTTTATTCAGGGCCCAGAGGAATCCAAAAGAATCAAATATTATCAGGACGATATTCGTCTAATTTAAAATGAGTTAATCTAAACGTGGATGCCATCATATCCTCTAGTGGTGGTGGTGGAACTGATCTTCTAAGCGTCGCGAAGGAATCCCGCTTGTCTCACTCTTTCTTCCCCTCTTCAACGTTTCATCTTCCAACGGCCACGATAGCCTCATCCATCATCGCTCTTGCTGTCCAGCGGCTGTTCATCTCGATATTTCTTATTTAAAATACCCTAATCCATGAGTGATTAACCATATCTCCAGTTTCCAGCAGCTTGAACCAAGCACTCTAGGCAGCCATGGCAAACAAATCAGGCAGTCGACTGATTCCATGGCTGTACGACTTTGGCCTCTGGATCTTCACTTTATGTCTGGATATCTTCTTCAGGGAAATATACCCTAGAGGCGCCTGGAGAATCCCGACAAAAGGCCCCGTTCTCATCGTGGCTGCCCCGCATGCCAATCAATTCGTGGACTCGCCCGTCTTGATGCGCCTGCTACTCGAGCAGGCCAAGCGGAGAGTTTCTTTCTTGATCGCGGAAAAATCCATGAATGAGCCGTGGATTGGCAGTCTGGCATCGTGTATGGGAGCGCTTCCGGTGGTCCGAGCGATGGATCAGGCCAAACCGGGGAAGGGGACTATTTGCCAGGCTGATCCGGTGGATGATCCTACTCTGATTCACGGATTTGATACGGATTTCACGCAGCCGGAGTACATGATCGGTGGGCAAATCACCATCCCCAAAAGATCCCCTGAAGGAAGTCCTGAGACGGGGTCGATTGCGGAAATCCTCGGGCCTGATGCCCTTCGACTCAGGAAGCCACTCAAGACTCTGGTGTCATTGGATGAAATAAATTCTGGCGAGGCAGAAGATCAGTCCCAGGGATCGACCTTTAAGATTGCTCCTCATATCGACCAAAGTCGCATGTTCAGTGCCGTTTTTGAAGAGCTCTCGCGCGGTGGGTGTATTGGCATTTTCCCCGAAGGAGGAAGTCATGATCGGTCGAATCTGTTGCCTCTGAAGGCTGGTGCTGCCTTGATGTCGCTCGGGGCATTGGCTCACGATCCTACCTGTGGACTTTCTATCATCCCGTGTGGCATGAACTACTTTCATGCTCACAAGTTCCGCTCGCGGGCCGTCATTGAATTCGGTCGTCCAATTCACGTGCATCCGGACCAGGTCGAGGCTTACAAGGCTGGAGGTAATGCCAAACGCAATGCGGTTGGTTCTCTTCTCGAAACAATCTACGAAGGACTTGCGGCTGTCACCCAGATCAGCCCGGACCATGAGACCCTCATGTTGGTCCAGTCCACCCGGAAGCTGTATAATCCCATCAGCAAGAAATTGCCTCTTCCGCTGGTTATTGAATTCAACCGGCGCTTATTAAGGGGTTACACTGATCATAAGGAAGATCCTCGAGTTGTGCAGCTAAAACGAGCCGTCAATGATTATAACGGACGGCTAGAAGCCTTGGGGATCAAGGATCACCAGGTGGAATGGGGAAATGCTGAGGAGAACCCGTGGTGGTTGACTCTCATCACCTTGTGTTATCGTCTTTCCAAGCTGGTTTTGATTAGCATTGGCACGTTGCCAGGAGTGCTCATGTTCTGGCCAGTATTCGTTATCTCCAAGATCATTTCGGAGAAAAAGAGGAAAAAGGCTCTAGCGGGCTCCGTGGTCAAATTGCAAGGTCATGACGTTGTCGGTACTTGGAAGATTCTCGTTGCGTTAGGGCTGGCTCCTACGCTTTATACATACTACACCGTGATTATCACTGCGTGGCTTCGATATAACCGCCATAACGGATATTATACAGATTTTTTGCCGTGGTGGATGGTTGCGAGAACTTATGTTCCAGATATTATCCCTCTGTGGGCATTTGCTGTGAGCTTTTTCGCACTGATGGTCTCCGTCTCCTTTGCTGCTCTTCGGTTTGGAGAGATCGGCATGGACATTGTCAAGTCTCTTCCCCCTCTATTTGTCGCGCTGAATCCATTGTCATCATCCTCCTTGGCCAAAATTCGAGAGCATCGCGAAGCACTTGCTGAGCAAGTCACCAACACCATCGACTCCTTGGGAGTTGGCCTGACTCCCGAATTCGAGGCCGAAGGAATCCCCATCGACCCCTACAAGCCTGATGCATACCAATCACAGTTGAAGAGCATGCCGCCTAGTGAGATGGCGAGCCGTGATCGCAGTCGTAGCAGGTCTACAAGTCGGGGTGTATCCGACAAAACGGGCTTGAAGCCTTTGAGTTCGATCAATTCAAAGAACGATTTGCTGGATGTCGACACAAAGATTCGATACGCCAGCGCTCTGAAGGACAGAGGAAGAAGATCTACCGGATTGACGAATGTGATGGAAACAGGCGAGTCTATTTTGCATTTCAAGCCATCCGAAACTGCCTCGGAGGAAAAGAAAGAGAGATGATATGGTTGTATTGGTGAGAGTTACATTTTATTGTATTGAATCAACCTGTATATTTACTTGAGGGGCGGAGCTGCCAATTGTGAATCTTGTGAATGTGTTGATAGTGATGATTGTATAATGCTATGATGATTTCTACAACCCAACAATGACAGATAGCGTTGTCCACGCCAACTGAAGCTATACAGAAGCATTCCTGCGATGCACAATATGACAGTAGTGGCGGGTAACCGTCGCTCCACCAACTGGAATGTGAAGCCTTCTGGAATGCCAGTCGGGCCTTAAATACATCTTCTTCAGTCGGGAAACCGAGATTCAATCCATTCTGTCCAGAGTCCTTTTTATTCTTCCCTGTCATCTGAATATTTGTTCTGATAATAAGGTATAAGAAGGTGAGAAAACTGATTGAAGAGAAGACAACACCATCTATCTCTATCAGTTTACTCTTGAAAACACACCCCCTTGGATTATTTGAACTACTTGAATTGCTGCTTTAATCTATTGATTGCAGGTTTCAGATTGACCGAGGAGTCGAACGAATTCACCACACATCGCAACCATGAACACCACAAATGTAAGTCTCACCACCACCATCATCCATCACACACAACTAACCCAACACCAGCCCCTATCCCTCCTAACATTCCTCCTCTTCCTCACACACACCCACGCCCTCACCACCGCCCGAGTCTGGACGCACTTCTACCCATCCTGTCCCACCGACAACGACCCCAACATGGCCGCCTACGAAACCGCCGAACTATCACCCCCCGAAATCGACATCCACGCCGGAACCTGCCAGGGCATCGCGACGCCATCCATCTACCGCAACGCAGTCAACCACGTCTCCATCGACGCCGAGATCTTCTGGGCCGAGCCCTTCGATACCTGCAATATCACCGTCCACGAAGTGCCGGAGTGTATTGATCCGCCGCTTATCGTGAAGGAAATTAGGAACCGCGTCGCGGTTAGTGAGTGTGAGAGGAGGAATTTTGCGGCGTATTCGCAGGTGTGGGTGAAGTTGGAGTGTGGGGAGGTTGGAGTCGGACAGCAGCAGAAGCAGTATTCGCATCGGCCGTTGCTGAATGCTGGGTTGGGGAGCAGTAATGGGACTGCGAGGAATGGGACTTTTGCTTTGCGGAAGTCGTGGATGAATCGATTGGCTCGACTTCCCATTGCTTGAGCTGTTGATGATGATGGATGAAGATTGTACAGCGACTCGAGGTCGAGTATATATGATGATGCATGTATTATGGATATGAAATAGACCAACTGGAATCATGACCCGCCTTAAAGATAGATGGCGCTTGCGAACAAATTGAATGCCCCAGAGTAGTATACAAGATGCATCGACTGATCCACCCAGACAAACAAGAGTAGAATAACAGTAAAAAAAAAAAAAAACGCAAAGTCATCCATGCACGTATGCATACATGCACCCAACGCCTACATGCTTCAACCAAAATGCAATAACCCATTCAAAATCCAAAACTATCAAGCAGCGAGTTCGCATCCGGCTCGTGGAACGTCGTAGGTGGCGGTTGGGGCTTCTTCGGTGGCTCTGCCGGCGTCTTGGGTTCCTGTGCAGGGCCACCCCGAATTGGCAGATCAGCCACCACAAGACTACTCCGGCGACGAAGCAGCTTCGTATAATCCACTCCATTCTCTTCGGCCTTCGATTCATCCTTGGCCGGTGGGGGTACACCCAAGAACTCCCAATGGCGCACAATATCAAGGGCCAGAAGATCACAGCCCATTCGATCGTAAAGTCGAGCGTTGCGGATGACAAAGTCCCATTCCTCTCGGGCAGGGACCTGCGATGCCCCCTTCAGGGTTTGCAATGTCTTCTCGCGAAGTTGTTTGTAAAGAACCACCAAAGCCGGGTCGTTGGAGAGATACGATTTGGCCTGTAAAGGAACCAATCTGGGGCTTGCTGGTGTTGAGGGTGTTGAGGGTATAAGTGTTTCAATAGGAGACTAGATTGCCGATCGTAAGTCAAAAGAAATCGCTTGGAAACAGTGAGAAAAGCTTACAACCAATGATCGGACAGCCATATCACGGCGTCCAAGCATCCAAAACGCCCATGATGCCATCCACCGGTTTCCCTCTGCAGCAGCATCGGGGAGAACCCTGTCTTCCAGAATCCCCTTCAGCACCGGTCCATCATCCCCTTCATAGGCTCGCGTAATAGCAATCGCTAGTTGAAGATCACCGACTTGATTCAGACACACATGCGCAGCATCACGCAAATGATCTGCAAGAAGGAAGAACATGGCCGCGTATTCTGGCATGCGAGTTAGTGGCTGAGCGACACAAGGCATCAAAAGGAAAACTCACCAAATCTCCGCTTCCCAAGCAGAGCAAATGCGTTCTTGAGTGCTGTTGTCTTCCATCGAGCTTCTTCAAAGTTATTTCCTAACAAACGTTGTGTGGCGGCTTGCTCGCGGTGCCATGTTGCCATGCGCCAAAGGCCCTGGAGGATCTTCTTCTTCCGAAGTGCAATATAATACAGGGAACAATCAATCGGGTTCTTTTCTTCCGTTTTGGTATATTCATTCCGTGCGATAACCTCAAGTTGCGCTCGCTGATGTTTGTTAGGAGGAACTCAGTAAACCAAAAAAATGGATATGTCACTCACCACAGCAATTGGATCTGCCAGCCACATGAATATACCACTCTCCCTAGCTGAGCTCCACCCCATCTTGCCGCTAAACTGTCTTGACACAAGATCGGTCAGGATATCCTGGCTACCGCTATGGAAAGCCCAGACAATTTCTCTCCAGGAGACTCTGTCCTTGTTAGCAACTCCTTGGGTTCTTCGTAGCATGTGCTGTCGGAAAAAGAGAAGATAGCGAGCGGCATTATCATCCATTGACCTTCGGTGCTTTTCCACAGTGGCAACACATTCAATCGTATCAGCCAAGCGGAATTGCTCCTGGCTGGACAATTGTGGCAAGGCGAACCGAGTCAGGTTTTCATTGATAGCTGCCGCGATACCCTCGTCCACCACTGATGATTCATCTTCAATAGAAACATCGGCATACGATTGCATTTCTTTGGAAGATGCTTTTTGGGGGATCTGTAAAAGTCAGTGTTCCGAACTCATAATAAATATTCTCCTGTTAGACTCACGTCGTGCTCCGCATAGAAATTTTCCAGTGGCATTTCCAAGAAACCATCAATAGGGTCGCCTTCTGTGTAGAATTTCAATTTTCGGTGAAGAGCCATCAGAACCGAGTGCACCAGATTGTTCTTCCCAGCGAGTATACATTGTGCCAAAAACTGTGGGTGATAGACAGGCAATGGGCCATTCAACCGACTCACGACCTCGAAGAGGTCAACAGATGACAGGCCTCGGGTCGGGATGCGAAGTTCATGAACGAGACGGTCTCCGGCATCAATATCTTTGTCATACACAAAAAGCTGGTTTCCAGAACCAATGACCAGATTACCGTTGCTAAGCCAGCAAGAATCCCCGATTGGGTGAGGCGTTAGATCCCTAATTCGAATTTCCCGTACTTGAGTCCAAGATGGACGAGAGTCCAGATAATCATAACGAAGCTGGGATAGTAGAATGACCTTGTGAGGAAAGCCGACCGCCAAAATCGATTGCATGTCCGGTGTCGACGTCCAGTCGAGGTCACGGATAACATCATGTTCGGAGAAGCGCTCCTCAAATTCCAACTGAGCACCGCTTGTATCCCAGATCGTCAAGTGTGTTCGGTCCTCATCCACGAGTGCAGCCTTTCTAATGGAGCTTCCGCTAGCCAGCGATATATTCTCAATACCTGTTTCAATCGTCGAGGTCAATAACCATTCAGCTCGGCTATTTACTTTGTCGACCTTTGCCGTCCAAGTCCGAACGATACCGCTCCGGGTATAAGTCAGTGCGATATCAGGAGAAAATATATCAAAAAATTCGGAGGTCTTGGCCTTTGGCCCAGCAGGGTCGACGGGTAGGATATAAGATATGTCTTCGTTGAGACCCAGGTTGAAAGAACAGAACTTTCGCAGTTCACACTTGGGAGTTGAAGAATCACCGTTCAAGTGGCTAGTAGTTGGTAGCCGGACCTCCCAGGCTATCCCATTCATATCAACCCCAATGGTCGCTATATATATCGCTTCTGCATTCGTTTCAGTAGTAGGGATTGGTAGTACGCAAAGGGGTTTGCTTGATAGTTCGAAAGTCGAGGCAGCAACTCTCTTCGCGTGGAATGAGCGAATGTCCCATAGGGAGATTCCATTATGATGGAGATTAACCAAGAAATCCCCATTCCCGACCACACAGGTACGGTGGATATGCTCGTCTGAGAATAAGGAACTCTTGCGGACAAGTACAGACCCGCTGTCCCTACGTCGCTGTCTCCAGATCAATGCTTTGTTGTCATCAGTACGAGAGACAAGCGTGTCTCCAATGGCATTGCGAACGATTTTCTTGATTGGGCCATTATGTCCAGTCCAGAACCCCCTCAAAGCAATTCGCCCACTGCGCGGTGCCGGGTCAAATAAGACATCAACTGGCGAGTCGAACCACTCGATCCTACCATCAAAGTGGTGTACCAGGATGGCGAGCGCGTCTGTGGAAGTTTCACTCTGGAACGCACACAGCTGAGTATAGTCCTCTTCTGCAGATAGCCCAGACATAAATGAGAAGTTCAAGTTCTCCACATGAAGGATATTAAAGATATTGAGGTCAGTCCTGGTTTTGGAACCGACATCCTCTAAAGCCCAGGCAGACATATGACCATGATCATCTATGACAACGCATATCTCGGGGACTTTGTTCGCAACCTCTATGATGTGTTCCAGGGCATGGTTCCCTTTGTTCCCTGTACCTCGCTGCACGGCCCGCTCTGTAGCAACGCAAAAGTCGCGGCTGTCTAGAATGAACCCGTATCGTCGCGATCCACTGTCCACATCCATTGTATGCCTCGGCTGAAGAGAAGCCCCCATGTCAATCTTCCCCCATAGGTGGAGAGGTGTCAAGGCCTGGTGGTCCGTCACTGCCCATACCCGTATCTTATTATCCGCACCCGTTGTGTAGAGAACATTTTCCATCGTCTGTTCCCGGTGGAATGGTTTGCGCCAATGTATCCCGGTAACAATTCCCTTATGAGGGAGGTATGATACTTCGAACCGGACATCATCTGCGCCAAAGGCGATCCGTCGCCATACCTTGACTAGGCGATCGTAATGACCCGTGGTGACAACCAGTGTCGCGTCGGGGGAGAATTGCGCAAATTTCACCGGGCTCGCAAGCTCCCGTTTCCACACTAGACGTGGCTCGTCGTTTAGAAACCAGAGGGTCAGATGGGAGTTGCCCAGGAGTAACTCGTCCGGAGAACCCCACGACAGCGTACGGATCGTCTCGTCGTCATCGTCGCAGTGGAAGGTATGAGCAAGAGACCACTGCAATTCAGGATAAATGCATCAGTACTGAGTTCTCCTTCTTCCGCTTCAATATCACGATCCCCATCCCATCCCCTCTCCACTCATTGTCAGGGACACGGACCTTTAATGTTTCATCCTTAACTCCATATGGCTGGTAAATAAAGACATCTGGTCCTCCACACACGGCTATCTTCCCAGACGTTTCTTCGATCGTAACTGCCTCTAGAGAATCGGTGTCGTCGACGTAAATTGTTTGGAGAAGCTTCTGCGGACCTCCGAGGATCACCAGTGCATGGCCGGAAATGTACACCTACGTCAACACAACGCACGACGGTCAGCAACACAGTTTCAGAGCTCAAAACGAATCACGATCGGGGTGTTAATTTGCGTACAACAACGCGAAGACCGTCCCACAGCGCAGTGCTAAAGGACTGGAGCTTCGCTGGGGGCGTCCCCGGCAATACCGCTCGCATAGAGGCGGTCGTTCGTTGGATCGGGACGCTTGTTGCGCTCAAGAGTGATGAACCATTGCCAGAAATGATCGCAGTCTGACCACGTGGTGTTTGGAGAATAAAATATGGTCAGAGCAAAGGATTATATAAGAAGCTGTTTAGAGCTGCTGCTCCAATGTCAGGACACGATGAGGTAGAGGAGGTAGAGTTGGAGCTGACCCGGTGGGTTGACAATCGATTACGCTGTGCCGCCGCTCCACTCCGTGTGACCACAACTCCAAGACTCCTTGGTTGTGGACTGGTCATGACGATGCTTGTCGCACGTGGGATTTGTTTACAAAAATATATTCCAGAATATGCAGAGAGTCTGTTCAAGTCTTTGATAACAAAGCATTCGCTTGTCGATGCTAAAAATGTCAATCCTAATCCAACACCATAGATACATCCCTATCCCAGAGCGTTATTCATCATCCAAGTCACCCAAATGACTATCACAATATATCCAAAAGGAAGGAAAGATAAACAATATCAAAAAGAGTCAAATGAACCTCCCAAAAAACCAAAACCCCGTGGACGATGCGCCATCCTACAATGCAAAAGGGTATCAAAAGGATCGACCCAAAAGACAGAAGGAATTCAACCAAAATATACAACGCTTCTTAAATCCAAGCATGCAATACAATTCACATACGCCTATTCGCTGATTTTCTACCATCGGTAGGCGACTCGGGTTCTTCGTCAACAAAGCGGACACTTGTGCCCAGTGAGCTCCCCCGACCATTACGTCCGCGTCGGGTGGTCGAAGCGGTTCTGCCAGCCATTACTCCTGCTCGAAGAAGTCGACTGGCGAAAGGCGTCTGGAGCGGTGTTGCAGGAGTGGTGGATACTTGCTCAATTGCTTTTGTCCTTGCGGCCCGTTTGGATGGCGAGGTTAGAAAGTTGGGTGTCGTTAGTGGAGTGGTCGAGGGACCCTGGGTAGGAAAGTTGTTGAACCTGAACGGTGTTGTGTTGGTCTGGGGCCAGGGATCGAAGACTGTCCGGTCAGATCCCATGCCACCTGCTCCGTCAAAGTTTCGCGCAGGTGTCACCAAAGGTCCTGGTGAGTCTCGCGATTCAAACTGGATTCGAGCCTTATCTAACCAGTGACGGAACATAGTCCTTGAATGCTTCCTCAGGTTCCGCTCTTTCAAGGCCTCGGCAGTTTCATCGGTGCTCTTGAGTTGAAATATCCGGAGGCTGAGCTTGCGAAGCTGTATATTTGCCTGTTTCAAAACATGCACGCGGTATATTCCACTGGCCTGTTGCTCCAAATCCCGGGTATCAATGAACGCCTCCGTCCAGCGCATCAACTGTTCATATGCAACTTGCCGAGAATAGTAGATATCGGCTTCTTCGCAATCTTGCATTCGCTTTGAGGTCTGGTCATGCCATTGCATTACGAGTTCGGATGCACTCCCCAATGTTCTTTTCCGGTGGAAATCCCGTGCCTGCTGTTCCATGTCTAGGACGTGTCGCGCCTTGGACTGCCAACTCGTCATAGCCTTCGTAGCAATATTCACCTTCATTTTCCTTCGGGTTTTTGCATAGGCATCCTGGCGACGTCGTTTGGCTGATTCTAGTGTTGCGACATGCCAACCTTTGACAAATCTTGTTGCCAAAAAATAAAACCGGGCATCTTGGGCCCATCCTTCCATCTTCGTCACATGCTGGTGTTTTGATTTCCATGCCGTCATCGATTCCTTCTGAAGCCGAGGAGCATAGAAATCCTCCACGGCAATAGACTCTCTTTGACGTTGAAGATAGAGCTGCTCCCGCCAGTCAGAAAACTTGGCCCGCAATAGTTCCCCGCTCCGGTGGTCTTCATGCATGTCTGCATGATGAAGCAGTCGTGTATAAGTCGTGCGGACATTTGTTACAAATATCGAAAATACCTCACGTTTGATGCGTTGTCCCCGAATACGTTGCATGAGACGATATCGTTCTGCTAGAATCCATTTGTACATGGTCTCCATCTTCAGTCGTTCTTCAATCCGTGCACTAAGAGCTTGACATCGAAGCAGGTCATTCCATGCAGTCCATGAATTGCGCATAACCCTCAGCTGATCCATTTCCCTGGATGCCTGGACCATTTGAAGCCGCAATGTCCATTGTTTGAATGTGGTTTGAAGGACCCGTTTGTCAACTAGTCCGGAGACACGGATAGCTGCAGGAGCCAGTTGAAACTTGATTTTCCACTCCTCATAGGTCTCATTGAGAAGTTGCTGGCGTTGCATGGCAGTTGCTTCTTGCTCAGCAGCAGTAATGGCTTTCGACCTCTGAGACCACATCTGCAATGCTGATCCAAGAGTAAATCGTTTATTCTTTAGTTCAATCTCATGGTTGCGCTCTCTATTGGTCCGGAATTTTCGTAGCCAGTACAATAGTGCGCGTCTCTTTAGGCGATAGTCATACCATTGAGGGGCCCGGCGATCACAGAAGCTCCAGAACCACTGCCAATAGACAGCATGTCTCAGGTTGGTATTTTGCACGGCGACTGCAGTTGATTCAATTTCTTTAACTTGTTGAGCCTTCTTTCTCCACGCATTGAAGGGTCTTCGCAATGAGAAACGTTGGGCCTTTAACTCATTAACAGCAGTTATATCACGCCAGGCATTGAAATACTTGACACCAAGAACGTGCCGTCGTGCGGCATTCGTCTTTGCAACTTCATCTGCCGAAATTTGAGCCCAGTGGGTGAACGCTTTTGTCACAAGGTAAAGATCTCGAGCACGACCAGCACGCTGCTCCAAATGCTTGAAAAATCGTTCCGTCCGAGCTGTCTGGCGCTTTCCCTGAATTATAGACCGCCACGACTGAAAGCCTTGTCGAACTAAGGTGTTCCAATCACGGTTTACTGCGACGACTTCCATGTTTTGATGAGTTTGCTGGACTTGGACGGCTTTCTTTAGCCATTGAGTAAGAATACGTCGGCTGATCGCCCGTTGTCGGTACATATTGAATGTTGAAGCATCCCGCAGCAAATCTGAGAGCGATGGTCTATACAGCATCTCGGGCGGTGGTTGGTGCTTTTCAACGATATTATTGTCAACCTGAGAAGGCTCGGAAGATCCTTCATCATCGTCGCCATCGCCGTCACCATCAGCATCGCCATCGTTGGAGCTTGCAGAGCTCCAAGAATTCCCAGTACGTGAAGCCTCAACCATTCTCTTCGAGCGATCGCGATCCACGGCAGATCTAGCATGTCGTCCGTTCGTGGGAGGAGCTTCGTCGGCCTTATCCTTTTCTAATTTTGGCTGCCCCATTCTATTTATCAACCGGCGCCCTACATCCAGGAATTGCGCAATCAATTGCGTTCTATCCGTGAAATCTGGCACATTATTATTTGCAGCACGTCCCAGTGACTCTCTAGGTTCTGAAAACTTGGGTTTTCCGGTCTGCAATCGTGACAGTGAAGAGCGGGAGCTGGGTCGGTTCGCGAAGCTCCTTTGCGTAGCATCTTCACCAACATCGTACATGGAGTTGAACGATGCCCGTCTCCGTCGAGTCCGCTGCGTCGTATCTTCTTGAGGCAGGGTACCAGTGACATTGTCGGTATGCCAGCCGTCAATTGAGTTCTGGTATTCGTGCGTTTTGTTCCCATGGCTATCATCGTCGTCACCAAAGTCAAGAACTATCCCCATCTGCTGGAGCACGTTCTCGAACTTGTCGTAAAGAGTGTCCCCCCGCACATCTTTGTTTCCCATCTTGAACAAGAAGCGCAGACACGCATGGCTTGGGTCCGCGTCGACGGCATGTTCGGCAATAACTTCATCGTATGCTGCAAATAATGCTCTAAATGGGAGTTGCTTGTGCTCCTGCTTCTGCTCCGCGCAGGTGATGACTTGGTAGAGAAGGCCGACATCTACACACGAGTTCCATTAGTCAAAAAAGGCCAATGCCGACCGCAAACCTCGAGAGATCTCTTCGCGTACCTTCGTCTGAGAGCGACGGGGTTTCCTGGGACAAAGCTTTTCGCTGAAGGGGATTCGGAGGCATCGAAAAGTCCGCGACCTAAGGCGCGTTTTTCGCAAATGGGTCATAGAGGCGGAAAAGGAAATCGATCATTGCGAGGCGGAGGGGTTCTAACAATTAACGCAAATTGGTCGCAAAGATGAGACCTGCGACCCCAAGGATATAACAAGTAAAGCAACCCTGAGCAGACAAGGCCGTTTATCGAAGCAATGGCATCTCCCGCCTTTGTTCTGATCCCCGATTCCCGAGTTGTTTTGTTTGTCGCGCCCAACCAAAGAAACGCCTGGAATGCGGTAGGTCACGTGTGGGATTATGTAACACAGTGTCATTCTCGGTGCTTCGTCTGTATGATGGATGGTTGCATCACCAGGAGAAGAAAAGGAACAATAAATGAAGAAAGAGAATATCGAAAATGTCATCCAAGGCCAGACCCATTGAAAAGTTCGCTAAAACCACTGCGAAGTGTCCTGCAGAGGTAGACCTGACCTGCCTTCCCTACTTCTCCCTCACATCTTCACCTTCTCTCGCAGGAGACTGGGAATAATGCAAACCGATCAACTGACTGTTTTCTAGCTGGCTACATATGGCAGATGCATTGCTGCTGACTACAATGGGGTGCACAAGGACAAGTGTGCTCAGGAGTTTATGCAGCTGAAAAACTGCTTTTTGGTATGTTATTGCTCTGTTGGGCCTTGGTGAAATCTAGCTGATGTCAAGAAATAACAGGCGGCATCGAAAAAGGGTTAGAAACCCATATGGGATTTTCAATTCAAGCATGGACCAGGCGCATAAAGGGGCTATTTTACTTAAATTTAATTCATTGTCTTGAAGAACCCAGTGCTACGGTGCAATCTTGATATACATATTCTCTCTTCTGTTCTTCTGTGAATGAATTTGCAAATTTTGATGTAGAATGCTATCTACTTATGATCAAGTGTATCGTATAAAAAACAAACAAACAAACAAACAGAATTCTACAACTTGAGCAATCTCAAGAGGAAGGTAGCCTTCTGAACTTCCTGCTCCTCCTGCAAGATCATGCCTTCTTCATCCCCAGCGGGAACCTTGCCATCAACAAGCTCATGCTGATCCAGTGGTCTGCGCACAACCTTTTCAATGGCCTTCGCTTGCGATTCAAATGCCTCTTTAATGCCAACGTTGTCAGGGTCAGTGAGAACCGAGTACTCCATCTTCACGTCATCTGTGGGAACCAAGCCGGCCTTCTTGCGGAGGCGCTGCAGCCGGTTGATGATCTCTCGGCCCAAGCCCTGCTGAGCCAATTCTGGGTACATGTTTGCGTCAAGAATGGTCAATGCATCGTCGTCGGTGTTGGGCTCCATGCCCTCGGAGGAGGAGTCCTGCTTGAGGCCTCGCTTCACCACAAGGTCACCTTCGACGAGCTCAATGCCATCAACAAGAATCTTCTTCTCAGAGACAAATTTCTTCACATCGTCGCTGGATAGCGAGGGCAAAGCCTTCTTAACCTTCTGAACGTCTTTCTTCAATTTCTTTCCAAGGACGGGCCAATCGGCAGTGACGCTGTACTGGACGTTATACTTGGCTTCATCAGAGGACAGGACTAGGTCATGTACGTTCAATTCCTCGAGAATGTAACCCTCCAGCGACTTAACATCATCCAAGTATTGTTGGTCTTGGTGAATGACGACCAGAGTCTTCAAGGGAGTCTTGAGACCGATAGATCGACGCTCACGAGAGATACGTGCCAATTCAATGACCTTCTGCATGCGTGCCACCCGTCGCTCAACGACCTCATCGAAGAGCTCGTCGCGCACTTCAGGGAAAGGAAGGAAATGGACACTTCGGCTGTCCTCACCACGGAGCGCCTCGGGGATATGGGAGAGGAGTCGCAAGTAAATGGTGTCGGTGATGAAGGGTGTGAATGGAGCAAGACCTCTGACCAGGGTGAAAAGGACCTCGAAGAGGGTGTTCAGGGCATGAACGGTATCGTCAACTCCGTTCTCACCCTTGAGACGCTTTCGGTTGAATCGGATGTACCAGTTGGTTGTGTTGTCAATCAGCTCGAGCAAACGAGGAACCACAGTGTACAGGCGGTATCCGGCCATCTCTTCGTTGACAAACTTGAGCAGACTCTGGCAGCTTGCCAAGATCCAACGGTCCATGACGTTGGTGTTGGTCTTTTCGGCCTTAGGGTCGAAAACAAAGTCGGTACCCTCGGTCTTCTTGAAAAGAGCAGCCTGGCCCTCGAAGAACTTGTAACTGTTCCACAGTGGGAGAAGGACCTTAGCAACGATCTCCTTGACACCAGATTCCTTGAATCTGAGTGGCTCGGCTCTAACAACAGGCGAGTTGATCAAATAAAGTCGCAAGGCGTCGGAACCATATCGGTCCATGATAAGAGATGGGTCAGGGTAGTTCTTCAATCTCTTGGACATCTTCTTTCCATCTTCAGCAAGAACAATACCGTTCACAACGCAGTTCTTAAAGGGCAATTTGCCGAACAGATGTGTACCCAGGACAGTCAGGGTGTAGAACCAGCCACGGGTCTGGTCCAATCCCTCTGCGATGAAATCACCAGGGAAGCTCTTCTCAAACTGTTCCTTATTCTCGAATGGGTAATGTTGTGAGGCATATGGCATGCTTCCTGATTCGAACCAGCAGTCAAACACCTCCTCCACACGGCGAAGGACACCCTTTCCTTGCTTGCTCGGGATAGTGATCTTGTCCACCTTGTCACGGTGGAGATCGATGAGCTCTCCTTCGTAGCCGCTGAGCTCCTTGAGCTCCTCAGCGCTTCCAATGGCAACAATCTCCTTGAAGTCGTCACTAACCCACAAGGGCAGAGGGGTACCCCAGAAACGGTTTCGAGAAATGTTCCAGTCTCGGGCGTTCTGGATCCAGCTCGAGAATCTTCTTTCTTTAACGAAAGAAGGCACCCAGTGTGACTCTTCAATACCCTGCAACATCGTAGGAATAATGGGGCCGATCTTAACAAACCATGCAGGCACGGCACGGTAGATCAAAGGTGTGTCGGACCGCCAGCAGAACGGGTAACTGTGAGTAATCTGGCTGTCAACAACCAGACGACCGGCTGCCTTCAGGTGCTTGATGATTCCCTTGTCGGCAGCTTTGACGTTCTGTCCCACGAAGTCACGGACCTCAGCCGTGTAACAGCCCTGTGGGTCAACGGGGTTGGGTGGCAGGCGCTCTTCGCTAATGACACCTCCCTCCATGCCAACTCTGTAATCGTCCTCACCGAATGCAGGGGCTTGGTGAACGATACCAGTACCATCATCGGCTGTGACGTAGTCGCTGTTCAACACACGGAATCCATGATCCTTGAATTCTTCAAGGAAGTAGTCGAAGAGAGGTTCGTACTTCCAGTCCTTCATATCGGATCCCTTGAATCTGTCGACAATCTTGAATTTGGCCTTCTTAGGGTCCTTGTAGATAGTGCGAAGCAAGGATTCGAGGAGAATGTAGTTCTTTCCGGAGGCCTCGTCGTGAATCTTGATGTACTCAAAACCGGGGTTAACACAGAGACCGAGGTTGGAGGGCAGGGTCCACGGTGTAGTCGTCCATGCAAGCAGGGAAGTCTCGGGGTCACTCTTCAGAGGGAAGGACACAACGACAGCAGGATCCTGGACATCCTTGTAATTCTGTTGGGCTTCGAAGTTACTCAAAGGAGTGTTGAGTGCAGTCGAGTAGGGCATGACACGGTAACCGCGGTAGACGAGTCCCTTGTCAAACAACTCCTTGAAAACCCACCAGACAGACTCCATAAATCCAGTGTTCATGGTCTAATTTGAAAAGAAAGATAATATGTTAATACTCATTACCCAACGCCGGGTTTTGGTTCGACATCGAGGCCTACCTTGTAGTCATTGTCAAAGTCAATCCAACGACCAAGTCTCTCAATGGTCTCACGCCATTCAGAAGCATATCTCATTACAATAGCTCTGCACTCCTCGTTGTATTTCTCAATTCCGAGCTTTGAGACAGCCTCCAGACCCGACATGCCCAGCTTCTTGTCGATTTCGTATTCAATGGGAACACCGTGGGTATCCCAGCCAAATCGCCGCTCAACATAGTGGCCCTTCATAGACCAATATCTCGGGATGACATCCTTGATAGTCGAAGCAAGCAAGTGTCCATAGTGAGGGAGACCGGTTGCGAACGGAGGGCCATCGTAAAACGTGTATGGCTTGCGGCCCTCGGAAAGCTCGACCTGTCTCCGAAAGGCGTCGATCTCTCTCCACCTCTTGAGGACAATGTCCTCCTCAGCCGGAAAATCAATGGACATGACGGGCGTGCTGTCGTGAAATCGTGGCTGGTCGTGAGATCGTGCAAACGGAGGGGGACCGCGGGGTAGATAAAAAGTGCAGGTGAGTCAGTCGGCGACCCCGCGACCATTTTTTCGCCAAGACTCTGCGTAACTTCAGTGCGCCCTGCGGGCCGCCCTTCGCTCTCTGTGTGTATGCAATTTTGGTCTACATCAACAACTACACATACGGGGGTATAGAGGGTTATAGTGCGATCAATGTGAGGATACAGTGAATCTGACCATGTCAAATATGTACGGGTCATGATATGTTTATCCAATAAAGTCATCAAATTGGTATCCCTCTATTCATCGTCATCATCCTCCTCTTCGTTGTCCTCGTCATCGTCATCGTCTGAGACTTCTTGCCCGAGATCCTTAAGCCGTTGCTAGAGAGTTGTTAGTCATTGGTCGAGTCATAATGTCAATAAGGCTCTTACCTTGTCCTGTTCTCGCTTCGCTTCCAAGTCACCAAACACAATCAAGAGATCTTCAAGCTCTGACTGCGCCGCCTGGCGAGCTTCCTCTTTCTGCTTAGCCTCCGTCTTGAACTTCTCAAGTTCAGCCTGGACTGCTTTGAGTGATTCGGCTGCCTTGTGGGCATCGGCTTCTGTTGATTTTGCCTTGCTTTCAGCCTGCTCTGCTCGCTTTTCTAGCTCAGAGGTCTTGGAAGAATGTCCATCTTGAGCCGCTTGGAGATCTTTTGTAGATTTCTCCTGGGCTTTGGCAAGGTCGGATTGTAAAGTCTCAATAATAGATTTAAGGCCGGTAACCTCGGTCTCATGCTGCTGCTTAGCCGTGTTAATTTCCGATTGCAAGGTCTCTATTGTTTTGTTGAGATCAGCAGCTTTAGTTGTATGCTCCGCACTGGTCTTGCTGGCATCCGACTTGAGACTTTCGATTGTGGTCTGTAAGGTAGCAACTTCGCTTGCATGCTGTTCCTTGATTTTGTCGGCATCCGAATGTAGGCCTTGCAATTTTGCCTGCAGGTCAGCAACCTCGCCTGCATGGTCGCCTTTGCTTTTGTCGGCTTCCGACTCCAGGATTTGGATTGTGGCTTTCAGGTCAGCAATTTCGCCTGCATGCTCCCCCTTGCTCTGGTCAAATTCTGTCTCCAAGCTCTGGATTGTGCCATTCAAATCAGCGACTTCGCTGGCATGCTGTTCCTTAATCTTGCCGGCATCTGACTGCAGTTTTTGGATTTTGCTCTTCAAATCAGCTATTTCACTGGCGCTACTGTCCCTAGCCCCTGCAAGTTCTGATTCGAGTACCTGAATTCTTTTCTGTAAGCCAGCCACTTCAGTTTCATAGCGTTGTTTGGCTTTAGAACTCTTTTGCTCGTAGTCGGCAGAGGTTGTTTTCAGTTGCTTGTCTATAGCCCGAAGTTGCTCGCTGTGTTGCTTCAGCAATTCATTCTTGGTATGCTTGTGCTGCTCTTCTAATCTTGCCAGGGCTTGCTCATGGTTCTTCCGAAGCGCCTCGTTGCTCTGTTGTGTCTTAGAAGACTCCAAGGAGCTGGTATCTTTGGTTTTCTGGTGCTCAAGCTGCTCTTGCTCGAATTGGCGTTGCAGGTTGAGCATTTCAGATTCCAATTTCTGGACAACATGGCTCCGATCTTCAAGTTCAGTTCGTAAGGAATCAACCATTTCGCGCGATACCCCTCTTTCAACTCCATTGGTTATCACTGAAATCTCAAGTCCCGGTTCACGGTCAATAGCCCGTAAAAGCCGGCTGAAGTTATCTTTGAGGAATTCAATGAAAGTTCTGTTAAAGAAGATGTCGGGAAGTCCTCCATCGTATTGAGCTCCCACCGTTTGTGGCAAAACCTCAAAATCACGTACTAGTGGACATTCTCTAAATCTCGTTATTTTGTCAATATATTGTTCTCGTCCCATTTGCTCGATCAACAATTTGTGCAAAGTTTCGCGTGGTATTGGAGAATCCTTCGAGGAATATTCGTAGATTATCCCTAGCAGAACGGTGCAAAGACCGGGCAAAAGAACGTTGGAAACGCCACGCTGCTTAGTTTCTTGCAATAAGCTCTGGATGCTGCTGCCCTCTCCCAGAAAATCATTCACAGCGTCAGGTTCTTCAAAAAGCCAACCGCAGAGCAGCATCAGATACCCAACAGATATCCTCTCATCATCTCCTCGCTGGATACCAGTAATCAAATTGCCGACTATTGTTTGGATGCAAGTGATGACTTCTTCACCATTCTCTGCATCACCTTCGGTGACCTTCATTGCCAAAGCTTTTGACTCAGGATCCTCGAAGAGCAATTGAAACATCAGGACAGAAGCCATCCACGTTTGATATGGATCGGCATTTCCGCGAGATTCTGGTGGGGTGAGCAAGACAGACAGTATGTTTGGAATTTCATCTTGACCGCTGATGTGTCCGTCGATCGCCCGGCGCAGCACATGAATCCGAATTCCAGGATGGTTCGCGAAAAAGGCATTTATACATTCACAGGCAGCAAGGCGTGCATCTAGCAGCTGAATGGAAGCGGGCTCGAGAGTAAGCTTCAGCAGAGCTTCAATAACGTTGATTCGTTGAAGTCCATTTGCCATGGCACCACCATTGGCTGCGTTATGGGGCTTTGAACCCCAGACAACCTCAATATCACCAAATTTCTCCTGCAAAGACGAATTACCCCGGATCAAATCGGCGCATGTTGTCAATGCCTAGACGGGTCAGCACGGGAATTAGAAATGCGAGTGCGGTCTCTCGAACCTTCGATGTCACCTTTACACTAAACCTCTGACCAAATGCTGTACTTAAGACCTGCTCCATAACTCCATTGGTCCAGAAGGCCATCTGGTTGGCTGGAGTGTTGACCCCACCCCGAACTAAGAACAGTTGGATTATGACTAATAACCCCCAAATATTCTTGTCTTGATGAGCAAGGGTCCATTGCGGCGTAGGTTCGTCTGGCTCTTGATTGACATCGGCAAGGAGCATTGCCAGTCTTCTGATGCCACCTGTTTCCCTGAAATATGACTGATTGGAGACGTTGAGCTTCAAAAGGTTGGCCAACAAGGAAAGGCAGTCTTCCACGACCTCCGATCCATGAGTCAAGGCACCCTCTGCTTCAATAAGGGAGAATATAAGATCGAAAGCATTTTCAAAGACAACAAGCTTTTGAAGCTCTTCGGAGTCGGGTGTCACAGCAATGAGCAACAGTAACGCTTCTATTAAAGTCCAAGATCAATTAGCAACGTCGTTTCGCGACAGTATGACCTTTGAAGCGAAACGACATACCATTTCGAACTGGCTCCCGAACATCACCCAGAGCAGCAACTAATCTCGGGATTCCCAATGGCGCTGTGAATATACATTCCTGTGTTCTTTCCGGTCGCGCACCAGAGATATGGGACATTAACTGTAACGAATAGAGGCGGGAGTAAAATTCCTTGGTTTCTAAAAGGTCAAGAAGAGCTGTAATATTATCTTGCCGCTTTCACTTTGTCAGCCTTGGTTCGGTATTGGCATGACATAGTAAGTACCTGTGTGAATTCATCCGCAAGCCAGAGGGCTATTTCATCAGATGCTTCGGGCTAAGATAATGAAGTCAGTACTCCAAGCTTGACTCATACAGAAAGGGACAGGAACGAACACTGTTCTCATCTGGGGAAAATAGCATCAACAAGGTCTCTAGGACCACCTTGATTGTATCCACATCTTCTCGGTCATTTCGGAGGCTGCTAATCAACGGTCGAAGCGCTCCTGATGCAACAGAGGCAGGATAGATCTTTGCAAAGCTTCTCAACCCTTGTATAGCCGCCCGCCTATCTTCCAGTAGTGTCACACTCTGCAACCTACTCGTGAGGGTGTTGATTGTGTCCGTAGCCGTTTGTTTGGCCGGCGCTTGCGATTCGAGGATTCGAAACATCGCGACTGATAGATCGTACTTTCATGGTCACCGCCGACCGGGAGCGTAGCAATTCGTAGGCATTGAACAACCCAACAAAGACAGGAGGTTGTAATTAGCTCTGGGTTGGGTCGATCTCGCTGAGTTGTTCTCTCCCAAGCTGCAATTATTATTATGGGGGTAGACCGTCGTGGCCGGAGCGGGTGCCAAGCCTCCACTAAAAAGCTCCCGGAACCGCGACAAAAGAAGCGCCGAAAAACCCGCATTTTGCTTAGTCCTCCGCAGTCAGACGGGCCATTATTCCCATCGCAGAGACTTCAACTTCTACTGGTCTGCCAGTCGCGTGTTATTTTGGCTGCGATCATTTATATATTCGAACTGTCTTTTTGGTTTGCAATTCATGTGCTAGTGGTTTCTGCGCGCCGTTTTTTTTTTTTCCTTTTCAACAACCGAGCTGCGGAGATTGGTTGAGCTACCTACAATCGAGTCGGCAGATGGAGAATATTGGCAGGACGTTTTGATTCCATACTTTTGATTCTTTCGCATCGCCATCATGGGTGTTCCAGCGCTTTTCCGATGGCTCTCCAACAAATATCCCAAAATTATCTCCCCCGTCATCGAAGATCTCCCCTACGAAGTCAATGGCGAAGAGGTTCCGGTGGACACCACGCGCCCGAACCCCAATGGAGATGAAATGGACAATTTGTATCTGGACATGAATGGTATCGTCCATCCATGTACTCATCCAGAGGGAAGGCCGCCGCCGGAGAACGAGCAGGAGATGATGCTGGAGATCTTCAAGTATACCGACCGGGTGGTGAACATGGTTCGTCCGAGAAAGGTTCTGATGATTGCTGTTGGTATGTGGTGCCTTTCTATGATGAAAAGTTGTCTATCTCACCTTGAATTTGGGCGATAGCAGCTTCTATATTGACAGACCGATGGAACAATATGGCTAATTTGTTTTACTCCTAAACAGATGGTGTTGCACCAAGAGCAAAGATGAACCAGCAACGCGCACGTCGATTCCGTTCTGCTCAGGAGGCCAGAGAGGCAGATGAGAAGAAGGAAGAGTTCCGGAAAATGCTTGCTAAGCAGAATAAGAACAAGGTGGAGCAGGATATCCAGGAAGAGGTCATCCAAAAGACATGGGACAGCAACGTTATCACACCAGGAACCCCATTCATGGACATTCTCGCCGCATCTCTGCGCTACTGGATTGCTTACAAGCTTAACACTGATCCAGCTTGGGAAAAGGTTTGACTGCTATCAATCACTTGGTAAATTTGCACTTCTAACTCTTGACAGCTCAAAATCATCATTTCCGATGCTACTGTTCCGGGAGAAGGAGAGCACAAAATCATGGAGTTTGTCCGGTCGCAGCGGGCATCGCCAGAACACGACCCTAACACCCGCCACGTTATCTACGGTTTGGTAAGTTGACAAAACATCATCTACTCTCAGACATGCTGACATCAAACCTGTTAGGATGCCGATTTGATCATGTTGGGACTTGCTACCCACGAACCTTATTTCCGAGTTCTGCGTGAAGATGTCTTCGCCCAAGAGTCAAAGCCAAGAACATGCCGACTCTGCGGTCAGCAAGGTCATAAGGCTGAAGAATGTAAAGGTCAGGCAAAGGAGAAGAACGGGCAGTTTGATGAGAAGGGTAAAGGCTCATCACTCAAGCCATTCATTTGGCTTCATGTCTCCGTTCTTAGGGAATATCTCGCTGCTGAGTTGTTTGTTCCGCATCAACCATTCCCGTTCGATCTCGAACGGGCGTTGGATGACTGGGTTTTCATGTGTTTCTTTGTTGGAAACGATTTCCTGCCACATCTACCCTCTTTAGACATTCGCGAAAATGGCATCGATACACTTATCGCGATCTGGCGCGACAACCTGCCTATCATGGGCGGATACCTGACCGAAGATGGACACGTCGCTTTCCAAAGAGCCCAGATCATTTTACAGGGACTTGCCAAGCAGGAAGACGCTATCTTCCGGCGTCGTCGACAAGCAGAAGAGAGAAAGCTTGCAAATGAGAAGAGGCGGAAGCAAGAACAAAAGGCCCGGAACGACGAACACGCCCGGAAGCGAAGAAGGAGTTCTCCTAATTACGAGTCTCATGAACCTGTTCCGAACAACCGATCCCGCGTCAACCCAGACACGGCCGCCCCCAGTGGAGTAGAACTCATCACCCCTGGTCGCGGAGAGCTGTCTAGACAGACAAGGGAACAAACCCAGAGTATGGTGGTCAATCGTGGCGCGGTCTACAAAGCCAATATGGCCAACAAGAGTGCTGCAGCCATCTTGAAGAGCAAGCTTATGAAGGGTTCGCAAGACGAGGAAACCCCTGAAAACCCCAACGAAACCTCTACCGATGGGCCTGAGGACTCTAATGACAACGCAGAACAAACTTCCCCTGCGGTCCTTGGTAAGAGAAAGGCCGATGAGGCGGAAGATAAAGCAGCAGAAACGGAAACACCAAGCAAAGAAGCTAAAGAAGATGAACTTCCCCCCGATTCCGTCCGTCTTTGGGAACCAGGATACGCCGATCGGTATTACGAGCAAAAGTTTGGCGTCGACCCCCAGGATCACGAGTTCCGCCACAAGGTCGCAAGATCGTATGCTGAAGGGCTAGCGTGGGTGTTGCTGTATTATTTCCAAGGATGCCCATCATGGACATGGTACTACCCTTACCACTATGCACCTTTCGCAGCAGACTTCGTGGATATTGGCGACATGGAGCTATCGTTTGAAAAGGGGACGCCCTTTAAGCCATTCGAGCAGCTGATGGGAGTTCTTCCGGCATCTTCCAATCACGCCATCCCTGAGATTTTCCATGAACTCATGAGTGACCCCAAGAGTGAGATTATCGATTTTTATCCGGAAGACTTTCCCGTGGATTTGAACGGCAAGAAATTTGCGTGGCAGGGTGTGGTTTTGCTGCCTTTCATTGACGAAACACGACTTTTGGAGGCCATGCACAAGAAATATCCCCTTCTCTCCGACGATGATAAACTTCGTAATTCTGTTGGTCGAGAAGTGCTTTTGATATCGGAAGGTCACCCGCTGTACCAGGACTTGGTCGCCAACTTCTATTCCAAGAAGCCCGGCCCTCCGAAGTACAAGTTGAACATGCGAGTGAGTGAAGGTTTGGCCGGCAATGTTGAGCGCAATGAGACATACATCCCACACGGCTCCTTGGTTTCGTCACTAGAGGAATACGGCATGCCAAGTTTGGAAGATGATCGCTCTTTAACGTGAGTGCAATCATCATTTTTTATTCAGTGTTCATTAAACTAACTATGAATAGGGTCAATTACGAAATTCCCAAGTCAAGCCATATTCACAAGTCCATGCTTCTTCGGGGCGTTAAATTCCCTACCCCAGCATTAGACAATGGCGACATCCAAGCCACCAGGTCTAGGGCTCAACACTCAGGCAGGTCTTTTGGCGGTGCCCCGTTCCGCGGAAGGGGTGGTGGTCGCATGGATTATGGAGCCGGTCGACCAAACCCGTTTGCTGCACATCTCGACCCTGGTTTCCAGCCTCCCGGTGGTGGTGCTCAACAAATGCCTTCCGGCTGGGCACCCCCAGTGCCTGGAATGGGCGGTTTCTCCAGAGGGCCCCCTCCACCTCCTCGTGGTGGGTACCGTGGTTCCTATGGGGGTCAGCAGCAAGGATACCAGCAGGGCGGTTATGGGCAGGGTGATTACTATGGTCGCCCACCCCAAGGCCAGCACGGGTACCAGCAGCAGCCATACTACAACCAACCTAATCAATACAACGGAAGACAGTCGGGCTATGACTCCAACGGATATAGAGGCGGTGGATATCGCGGTGGTGGAGGCTATCAAGGACGGAATCGGGACAACTATTCTTCACGTGGTGGTGGCGGTGGAGGATATGGCCGCTACTGATCTCATCTTCGACGTATGTACCTTATATTGATGTCATTCACATTGATTGGCTTTGATGAATGGCAGTAGCACGACTGGGATGGAATGGAATGGCGTTCAAAGGTTGTACAATGTGATACTTTAGAAACAGATCCTATATGCACAGGACAACTTGTTATGCTCATCATCAAGTTTCTTGTTGAATATACCATGAAAATCTATGTTTATCCCATCTCTTGCAAACGCCATCTCCTTGAATAGCTGGCGATGCCTTTCAATAGTCTTCCATAGTCCATCCACTGTGTAACGGTAATAGGCACGTGCCCCCCACCGGTATCGCCAAGTGCCGACGACATCGGAGGAACGGCGAGCGGGAATTTTTGCGACTGAGTCACTCTTTTGCTGACTGCTAAGCTGACTGGCATTCCTGGGGGTATATCATTGTAATCGCATCACGGGCGAGGCATTATCAATCATTATTATCTTCTCCATCTTCATTGATCAGAGAGCCCCCCTCTTCTTTGATCAGGTCAGTCTCCTTCTGCAGTCGTATACATTTCTAGGCCTCCCGCTGAGCCCCGCATCTGCAGATTAATCCTTTGACTTCTCGGTGTGCGATTTCCACCCTCGTCGGAGTGAAAAAAAACCACGGTTGGAGGAAATCCTTGGGATCTTTCTATCCACAGAATGAACTGAAAAAGAGACAATTATTTCCGAATTGAAGGTTTCTCTCTAACTCCTATCCCCAATCGCGAAGTCTCGCGTTCTTTTCGAGCACATCGCCCACAATGAGCGAACCCACCAGGATTCGCATCCTAGGTCAGGACAGCATAGTGGCTGATTTCGGAATCTGGCGAAACTATGTCGCCAAGGACCTGATCAATGACTGCCCCTCGACGACCTACGTCCTCATTACCGATACCAACATCGGTTCCATCTATACCCCCGGTTTCCAACAAACCTTTGAAGCTGCCGCTGCTACCGTTTCCCCCTCGCCCCGCCTTCTTGTCTACAATGCGCCCCCGGGAGAAGTTTCGAAATCGAGACAGACTAAGGCCGATATCGAGGATTGGATGTTGAGTCAGAGCCCGCCATGCGGCAGAGATACAGTGATAATTGCGTTAGGTGGGGGTGTTATTGGAGACTTGACAGGATTCGTCGCTGCGACCTACATGCGTGGTGTCCGCTTTGTGCAGGTTCCTACAACTCTTCTGGCCATGGTTGACTCCTCTATTGGAGGAAAGACCGCCATTGACACACCATTGGGAAAGAACCTGATCGGTGCAATCTGGCAGCCGTCGCGGATCTACATTGATCTGGAATTCTTGGAAACGCTCCCAGTGAGAGAATTTATCAACGGCATGGCGGAGGTCATCAAGACTGCAGCTATCTCTAGCGAAGAGGAATTCGCAGCTTTGGAAGACAATGCTGAGCTGATCATGAGCGCAGCTCGCAGCCAACCCCCCTCCGGAAAGGGTCGATTCGACGAAATTCAAAATATCCTGAAGGCAAGAATATTGGCATCTGCACGTCACAAGGCCTATGTTGTTTCGGAGGATGAGCGCGAGGGTGGTCTCCGAAACCTTCTGAACTGGGGCCACTCGATTGGCCATGCCATCGAGGCAATCCTGACCCCCCAGATTCTTCACGGAGAGTGTGTCGCAATCGGTATGGTTAAGGAGGCCGAGCTTGCCAGGCACCTTGGCGTTTTCAAGGGATCCGCTGTTGCTCGAGTTGTCAAATGTCTCACAGCCTATGGACTACCAACCTCTCTGAAGGATCAGCAGATTAGACGACTGACCGCTGGCAAGCACTGCTCTGTCGACCAACTCATGTTTTACATGGCCCTGGACAAGAAGAACGACGGCCCCAAGAAGAAGGTTGTTCTTTTGTCGGCTATTGGTCGCACCTATGAAAAGAAAGCCAGCGTGGTTCCAAATGAGGACATTCGCGTTGTGCTTGCACCCAGCGTCGAAGTGTCTCCCGGCGTCGCAAAGTCACTCAATGTCACATGTGCACCACCGGGATCAAAGAGTATTTCCAACAGAGCACTTGTTCTTGCTGCTCTCGGCTCAGGCACTTGCCGTATCAAGAACCTTTTGCACTCTGATGATACCGAGGTCATGCTCAACGCCCTGGAGCGATTGGGTGCCGCCACTTTCTCTTGGGAGGAAGAGGGTGAGGTTCTTGTGGTGAACGGCAAGGGAGGAAACCTCCAAGCACACCCCAGTCCCCTCTACCTTGGCAACGCCGGTACTGCCTCCCGATTCCTGACCACTGTCGCAACCCTCGCCACTCCAAGCAGCGTTGACTCGAGTGTTCTCACTGGTAACAACCGCATGAAGCAGAGACCAATTGGTGACCTCGTGGACGCTCTCAAGGCCAACGGTGCGGATGTTGAATATGTCGAGAAGAGCGGCAGTCTTCCTCTGAAGATCGCTGCTTCTGGTGGATTTTCTGGAGGAAGAATCAACCTCGCCGCTAAGGTGTCTTCTCAGTATGTCTCATCTTTGCTCATGTGCGCTCCTTATGCCAAGGAGCCAGTGACTCTGAAGCTCGTTGGTGGCAAGCCCATCTCCCAACCTTATATCGACATGACGACGGCAATGATGAGATCCTTCGGAATTGACGTGCAAAAGTCTACCACCGAAGAGCACACTTACCACATTCCCCAAGGCCAATACGTAAACCCTGCCGAATATGTCATTGAGAGTGATGCTAGTTCTGCAACTTATCCTTTGGCAATTGCCGCAATCACCGGTACAACCTGCACCGTCCCCAACATCGGATCCAAATCCTTGCAGGGTGATGCTCGCTTTGCTGTTGATGTCTTGCGACCTATGGGCTGCACTGTGGAGCAGACCGATACCTCAACCACGGTGACTGGCCCCTCCGGTGGCAATTTGCAACCGCTGCCTAACGTGGACATGGAGCCCATGACTGATGCCTTCCTTACTGCGTCTGTTCTCGCGGCTGTTGCCCGAGGCAAGGAAGAAAACCACACAACTCGCATTTACGGAATTGCAAACCAGCGTGTGAAGGAGTGCAACCGAATCAAGGCCATGAAGGACGAGCTGGCTAAGTTCGGTGTCGTCTGCCGGGAGCATGATGACGGCCTTGAGGTTGATGGTATCGACCGCTCTAACCTACGACAGCCATCCGGTGGTATCTTTTGTTATGATGACCACCGTGTTGCTTTCAGCTTCAGTGTTTTGTCCCTCGTGGCGCCTGAGCCAACTCTTATTTTGGAAAGAGAATGCGTTGGTAAGACCTGGCCGGGCTGGTGGGACACCCTTAAGCAGCTGTTCGCTGTGAAGCTCGAGGGACAAGAACTCAAGGAAGACGAGGCTTCAGCTCTTACTCGCCCTGACAAAGCGAGCGCTTCGATCTTCATCATTGGAATGCGTGGAGCTGGCAAGACCACTACTGGAAAGTGGGTTGCACGGACATTAGACCGCCCATTCACTGATCTTGACACCGAGCTTGAGAATACCGTGGGTATGACTATTCCTGAACTCATCAAGAAGAGCGGATGGCAAGGCTTCAGGGATGCTGAACTTACCATTTTGAGCCGTATGATGAAGGAGCGCCCAACTGGATGCGTTTTCGCTTGCGGTGGAGGTATCGTTGAGATCCCCGAAGCCAGGCAGATGCTTATCAACTACCATAAGACCAAAGGAAACGTTCTGCTCATTGTCCGTAATATCAAGGAGGTTATGGACTTCCTGTCAATCGACAAGACTCGCCCAGCCTATGTTGAAGACATGATGGGCGTGTGGCTGCGCCGTAAGCCTTGGTTCCAAGAATGTAGTAACATTCAGTACTACAGCCAGGGTTCAAGCCAACTTGCTCTTGTGTCGGAAGACTTTACTCGCTTCCTGCACACTGTCACCGGAAAGTCCGATCATCTTAGTGCCATGAAGAAAAAGGAACATTCTTTCTTTGTTTCTTTGACTCTGCCTGATCTCCGTCCCTCAGCCGATATTTTGAAGGCTGTCTGTGTAGGATCCGACGCCGTGGAGTTGCGAGTTGACCTTCTGAAGGATCCCGCTTCTGACGGTGATATCCCTTCTGCTGATTACGTGTCTGAACAAATGTCTTTCCTCCGCAGCCAAACCAGCCTTCCCTTGATCTTTACCATCCGAACCCAGGGCCAGGGCGGCCGTTTCCCCGATGACGCCCACGATGCCGCAAAGCAGTTGTACGCACTAGCATTCAGGTCTGGTTGCGAATTTGTCGATCTCGAAATTGCCTTCCCTGACGAATTGCTCCGCACTGTCACGGAAATGAAGGGCCACTCGAAGATCATCGCGTCCCACCACGACCCTAAGGGAGAGCTTTCGTGGGAAAACATGTCTTGGATCAAGTTCTACAACAGAGCACTCGAGTACGGTGATGTGATTAAACTTGTGGGTGTCGCAAAGAACCTCGATGACAACACTTCTCTGCGCAAGTTCAAGAGCTGGGCGCAGGAAGCTCATGACGTCCCATTAATTGCCATCAACATGGGTGATAACGGCCAACTTAGCCGTATCCTGAATGGCTTCATGACTCCTGTTTCCCACCCCAGTCTTCCTTTCAAGGCCGCCCCAGGTCAACTCTCTGCGACAGAAATCCGCAAGGGTCTGTCCCTGATGGGAGAGATCAAGGCCAAGAAGTTCGCCATCTTTGGTTCGCCCATCTCAGCATCGCGTTCTCCGATCCTTCATAATACCCTTTTCGCTCAGACGGGTTTGCCTCATGAGTACACCCGATTGGAGACCACCAATGCCCAAGACGCCAAGGAATTTATCCGCTCCCTTGATTTCGGTGGTGCATCAGTCACCATCCCCCTGAAGCTGGACATCATGCCATTCTTGGATGAAGTCGCACAGGAGGCTGAGATCATCGGTGCTGTCAACACCATTGTCCCCGTGGATGCTGGCAAGGGCAAGCCTCATCGCTTGGTCGGCTACAACACCGACTGGCAAGGCATGGTCTTGTCCCTTCGCAATGCAGGTGTCTATGGCTCCAACGGTGAGTCCAGCGCCCTCGTCATTGGTGGTGGTGGAACCGCTCGAGCAGCCATCTATGCTCTCCACAACATGGGATTCTCCCCGATCTACGTTGTTGGACGAGACGCGGCCAAGCTCCAGGGCATGACCTCGACGTTCCCCACCAACTACAATATTCAGATTGTGCAGGGTCAGGAGAAGTTGGAGAAAATCCCTGTTGTTGCCATTGGAACCATTCCTGCCGACCGACCGATCGACCCCAGCTTGCGTGAAACCCTCTGCCATATTGTACAGCAAGCGCAGGAAGCCGACGGAGACGTTCTTAAGGCTGAAACGAAAGCACCACGAGTACTGCTGGAGATGGCCTACAAGCCTGCCGTGACAGCGTTGATGCAGTTGGTTTCGGACCGCGGATGGCACACCATCCCCGGATTGGAGACATTGGTCGGCCAGGGAGTGTACCAGGTGAGTTTCTACTGAGGCTATACAGGCTGATCGAAATATGATTGCTAATGTTTAAATGCAGTTCAAATACTGGAATGACATCTCTCCATTGTACAGTGATGCAAGGGTATGTTCTATCGATTATTTCTTCAAGGAAATTAATATGAAATGCTAATTGTTTATCTTTTTTAGGAAATTGTTTTCGGCGCTTAATAAACCCCCTTACATCCATCCCATCGGGATTTGTTTACTTTTCGGGATTTTTCATTTTTCAACTTTCCTTAGAAAAAAGTGATTTCGGATGGATCTAAAAGCAACCCAATTTTTTCTCGGCATGTTTCGGGCATGGTTTATTTTCTCTTGTTTATTTGCCATTTTGTCTTTACAACTCTACGGAGTAGATATATTCTTATTATGATTGATTTATCATGGCCAATAAACCGTTCTTCGTAGATATAAATTAAAGCCTTTTGTCGGTTAATACTCAGCACTAATCTATAAGGAGCTCGTGCAATGCTGATCCGTCTGCATTCTGTATGTATGTACAATTTATTATGTAAAGCAGGCTATAAAAAGAATATATGCAAGAATCCACTAGTGCACAGCTGACTTTTCAAGACCGCTTGGTGAGCGTCAACCACAAATCTGTCCAATAACCAATACCACCTTTGATGTTGAACTTAGCAGCGGGCTTGTCGTTGGGAACCACAGGTTTGTAGGAACGGAAGAACTAGAGGCAAGGTCAGTCTGAGCCCTCATCTATCTCTGTCGCATTCTTGGCTAAAACATACCTGGAGTGGTCCCTTGTATAATTCCATCATCGCGATATCCTTGCCCAGACAGCCGCGGGATCCATATCCAAAGTTGAAGTTGTATTTGGTGTACAGCTTCGCCTGCTCTGGATCCAGCCAGCGCTCGGGACGAAACTCTTCAGCGTCGTCACCATACAGATCAATGTCACGGTGTACGATGTATGGGTTGCATGTGATCTCAGTTCCCGGAGGCGCAAATTTCCCGTACAGGTCGAGGCCGGGCTCAGAGACATAGCGCGGGAATATATTGGGAGCAGACGGGCAGAGACGCATGGCTTCTTTCACGCAAGAGGTGTAGAAGGGGAGGTGCTCGAGGACCTCACTGTACTGAGGAATTTCGGATAGGAGATTGTTGCGGTCTGCGACGTCAATCTCTTCCATCATGCGTTTGTAGGCCGCTGGGTGCGTCATCAGGTACTGGGTGAGGGCTTGGAAGGCAGTTCCTGTAGTATCGGCGCCAGCGAGCAAGACGAGCAGGACCTCTGCCTGAATGTATTCCATATCCAGGGGCTTTCCGTCTTCTGTGCGAGCTTCGAGGAAGGTTTGAAGGAGATCGACTGGAATTTTCTTGTTTTCTTTGATGTCATTCAGACGCTGGCCGATCAGCTTGTCACGGAAACGCATCAAAACACCGATTCCAGAATCGTCAGCCGGAGTCGCAACCAGGTATTTCTTCATGAATGTTGTCTTTATCCAACTAGTGAAAGGGTGTAGACGGGCGAGGAGACCAAAAGCAGGAAGACCATCGTGGAAACCTTCGATAAGACCACCGACATCTTTGCCTTGGTCGATAAATCCAAATGGGGCGCCGAAACCGATTTCGCTTATAACGTCGTATACCAAGAATCTGTTGTTGGGTTGCCTTGTCAGACCATCCGATGCCTTCTAACGGAAAATTAGGGCCGTTCGTATGGAACTTACACTGTCCACCATGCGAAGTCAAATGGGGTGCTGGACTGGGCAAACTTTTCGTCAATCTTGGAGAGCCAGCCTTTGATTTGAGCGTCTATCATTGGCTCCGTTTTCTTCATGTTGGAAAAGCTGTACGGGCCTGCAATGTGCTTTCTGAAAGTCGCATGGGTCTTGTGCGATCTCATATTAAACAGACTCTCTGTCTCTCCAAAACTTCCAGTAATGTAATGGCTGGTCTTGTCGGCATTCCGGTGGTAGATCTCTGGAAGCTTTTTAGAGTCGCTGACCAGCAGCAGTGTAGGAGTGATGCGCACAACAGGGCCTATATTTGCACCAGAATTAGCGATGAGAAGACTCTATAGACCTTCTACTCTTCATACCATATTTCTTAGTCAGTTCATGAACTACAGGCACCTCCGTCCCACGCAGATTGTGCCATGTAATCCAGAGTCTGGTAACTCCTCCCCAGAAAGGACCAGGGAAGATAGCCAAAGGGTGGAAGAAATGGTAGTATACAATCTGGTAGACGAATTTGAGTGCAAGATATGCAACAAATCCGAGGATGGCAGAGGTCACCGTGACCTGGGACAGAAGATTTTCTCCAAAACCCATGGTGTCAACGGAAAGTGATCAGCCCAGGAAAGATTGAGCAAAACATTTCGAGGGGCAGACCAGGATGGTCAGGGATTATAAGAAATAATAAGAAATAATATCTCTAGAGACGGACATGATGGCGACGACTGGGTCCGGAATGGATCAACTCGTCTGTTGTCCTCTTCTAACCCCTTAGCCGCATATATTACCAATTTCTATACCTTAAGTCGAGGCTCTAGCAAGCAGCAAGCAAAGGTCAATGGCTGGAAACTTGTCACTACTCAGGAGATTGAGGGCTCATACGGTCACTGTGGGAAGCCTCGGGCGAACGGTCTCATTCCGGAACGGCACTTGTGAGACCTCACACGTTCAAGCCAATAGCACAGTAGCTCTTGAAATAATCAGATTGCTCCAGGGGGTAAAGATCATCTAGTTTGACGGACAGGAGTGTTAGTCTGTCTGTCATATCAAGTCGCAGGATGTGAGAGAGTGGGGAGGAACGCCGGTACTGGTGCTTTTGAGGAGGGGAGGGGTATCATTCAGCATTACCAGGCAACACGGCTGATCAATTCCCTTTCTCATAGCCGAATGCACAATGGCATTGGCGCAGTTCGTTGTTCTTTTCCCCATAGAATTGGCGTCGTGGTGATTGGAGATGGAGTCTGGGAGGGTCGAGAGTGTCGAGGTGGACCAACAGAAGCAGGAGTAGAAATCATCTCCTCTCCGTCTCCCTCTTTCTTCTCCACTCCCGCGATGAAGTCACGTTTCAACGGTCACCACTTGCTCCATGACTCGTTTTTCGGCTTGATTATCATCTATAGACATTGGCCCATGCTTACAGAGTATAATGGTCATATGAGCATTGTTGTTTTATGTTTAATGGGATTGTTGGCAATCAGACGACACTGTGAGAGAGAAAGTCCTGACAGGTGACAATCAACGGTTTCTCCGCTGTCATTTCAGCTGTCATGTGCTAACTAACTTTCTGGTTAAACTAGTATACACACTATCATTGATCTTGCAGTTGCCTTCTCCTATTAGCAGGCTGTCTGGTGCCGCGGTGCCAACTTTGAGGGCATACGAATACTCCACTGCAGTCCTCTTGATTCTTGAACATCCCGCAAGCTAAATCTAAACCTTGTCAGGGGTGTTTCACAAGTCAAGGGAGATGACGGATGACGGATAACGGGGAACGGGGAACGGACGTTGAGAGCTGAGCCTTTAGGCCTTAGGGGCTCTCAGTCTCCATTGACAACCAAGACCATTCCCCAGCCGTCCACTTCTACGAACTGCTGTCCAATGTCCATTTCTGCGCACATACACAGTGCCAGCAACAGTCTGGCTGGTGGATATTCGCCTGATGATTCCGATAATCTGATCCACTTCGAACGGAAGAAAGGTGAATTCATCCGGGTGGTTATTGGCCGGTAGGATAATAGTGCATTATTGAGAATTCGCGACAACGTGCCATTTCAAGGTCCAGCCTTATTTCGACCAGCTTTCGCATGATCGGCAAAGGATTGTTTCTATTGATACCCCATACTCACGCCAACATTAATTGATGGAGGCATGATTAGCAATGAGGTCTAGAGATGGAGTCGCAGGCTGATCGTGTCAATCAGTCTTGGACTGTCAACGACTCAACGTCCGTTAAGACGACAACGAACTAAAACGTCCGCCCTAGCCCTAGGCCGGTGACAAGCGGCCTAAACACGAATCTAAAATAATTTCGCCAACAGGAAGTAAAGCCGGGGGATCCAAGACCATGCATGACTCAAAAACGACTGGCGTGCTGCGCCAGGTGATTCGGTGACATTCGGGGATGGATGTTTTCCTTGGTCTTCGAGTGCGACCGTACAGAAAGGTACTTTTGTTGCGATTATATTAAAATGGTCAGTGCCTCGCTGTCTCCTATTATCAGCAGCTGTCATCGTTGACCGAGGTAGCTTTGTCAGAAAATGCTCAGAGCTTCAACGACTCTGGAGATGAAGTCACCACGTGAAATAAGCCAGTTCATAATCCATGTCAACGACTGGGATTCTTAAGTCTGGACAAAGCCAGCAATTTTTATTTCTTGCAGGGGTCTGCACGACAATAACATTATTCTGCGGAGGGCTTTATAGTTCCCCTTTTCCTCTTGGAAAAAGAAACTGGCTTCTCATTTTCACTGACACCTCAGCCATTGCGAATACCTTGCAAGGCTACGGCCATGTAGACGCTAGCAAAAGTTTTGTGGCGCCTCTTGAACGATTTTGACAGCAATAAAATTAAACATGGTACTTTTCTCGTCTAGCCTCCTTAGTTTTTTCTCCTCCTCGATCAGTCCGACTTGAAACGACGAATAGTGAAAATCTCTACTCCACCCTTGGAGATTTCCGGCAATGGCCCTCCGCTTTGATTTCCGATCCGTGAAAGCCACCTGCCATCCATGGTCAATTCATTTGCTGAAAAGAGAAGGTTTTCGTTTGAACTGAAACAGAGAATGTTTCCCCTGGTCTCTCCGCCCCATTGCTATGTGCTGTTAGCTTTCAGCAGCGAAGCTTGGCATTTTGCATTCTGCGTTTGTCTACGACTTTCGACTTAGTGATATGACGGGAAGACACAGTAGTGTGCGAGTTTGTTCAGAACTAATCCTCTGCAAGATTATCTCGAGACCGGTTTCAAGATACCCCGAATTCGAAGTTCTTGGATGTCCTCTGTAGGGTAAATAAACATTCACCAAGTATCTCAACTCCGTACGCTATGACACTACACGTCATAACTTTGTATGTCGAAATCATCTCCTACACTTCCACATGACAAATTTTGCAAAGCCCCTCAACTTGATGAGATGATGTATCCGATGAGCGAACTCGTTCATAGGCAGGAAGAACCAACTCCGTGATTGAGTTCAGGGCGGTGCAAGCCGAGAGGAACGATATGAATCCATGGTTAACGGTGGAGCTGTTCTTTTGAGGGCTGAAAGTACGAACATGTGAGCTATTGCTCGCATGACCAATTCAGGGCCATAATCAACAATTTCTCGAGCTCACAATTTGTCGTATCTGCGACTGGCAGTTCAGACACATCCAAGACATTTGGAAAGAAAGTACGAACCCGAGGGACCGGAAAACTAGTGAATTCTAGTAGTGATGATATCCAGATAGACTGATCTTGGCCTCGCGGAGTGAATTCCTAAATGAGGCATTGGCATCCAAACTCGCCTTGAGACCTTTGGAATTGTTATTATTATTGGCATATGGCCAGAAAATGAGCCAGAGAGGGCCATTTCTTTAGCCTCGCACAGCGACTCCAGCAACTCCAGCAACTCCACCGGTGCCTCATCTCAGACGATCGATTCATCCATGGTCCAAGTCACGATTCGTGTCGATGGCGAACTGGCTCAATCTGCAATTGCCGAATTTTATGTTAATTCTGGTTGGTTATTGTGGTGTTTTTTTTTTTTTTTTTTACTGAATGCCGATGTCGTGGGATAATGTTTACAACATCTTCTCCGGAGTAATTAATAATCGATTCAGGCACTCGTGGACACTCGCAAGTCACATTCGCATGATACTCCGAATACCCTCCTATCGAGCTATTTTCATCCCCGTTGGATCCAATTCAACAGGAAATGATCAACACCAGGAAAAAATCCCCGGCGGACTTTAATTAGCCCCAAACCACCAGCCGTTTCTGGTTGCAGGAGGCGACAGGGACTGTGAATGAGAAGAATAATAGCAGCACTTATTCTTCTTCCTTGTTTCCGGGTCTGCAGAGAAACGTTTGCCCCGTCTATCTCGGAGAATCGATGGAGTTGATGCGTATTGTGGATACGGCGTACAGTCTGAACATGGTCTATCATCAAGTAATAGTATTTACAGAGAGGAAGTAGAAGAAACAGAAAAGAATGAATGCAATCAGAAGTACGGTACCGATAGTCAAATTACCTTTCTTGTCTATCACTTTTTTTTTTCTTTGCCCGAGTGGATCGCCGTAGGAGATGTATCGAGTACCACCCCTACTACAGCCTCAGCTCTGCATCCAAGCGGAGTCTTCCTGGTGGATCTAAAGCAGCCACAGATCTTTTTCCTTTCTTCCTTTGTTTCTTTGCTTCTTTTTTCTTTTCTTTTTAGTTCGAGTTTTGTCCAAGGAGAGCCTGTTATTTTCTTTCTTTTCCCTGATTTTTCTCTCTGCGTGGGCGATGTGAATTGGGCTCACCATCCAAGAATCAAACGATAAGAAATCTAAAGAGGAGGATAAAAGCTTCACCATGGCCAGTTCGCAGGGCCCCGTGGTCTCGGGCATTGCCATCGCCTTTGCCGTTCTCACCTTTATTGTGATTTGTCTTCGACTCTTTGCGCGCATTTATGTGCTGGGAAAGATGGGTCTGGATGACTGTAAGTGTTTCGATTGCAGAGTTGGCATCTTTAACTAATTCATTCAGATTTGATTATCGGTGCTTGTGTAAGCTTCATCTTCATCTCCATTCACTGCCAGCTCTGACTAACAGAACAGCTCTTCTCGTGGGCGTTTATTGCTGCGACTCTTGTTGGTGAGTTTCCCTCCCTCTTCCACTCAACACCAACACTGACAGTTGAAGCCGTCAAGAATGGCCTAGGAAAACATATCGACGACGCCGACCCAAATCTCCTCATCACTTATGCTTTTGTATGATACCTGCTCATCCTCATACTCATCTCGCAAACTAACCCCTCAGGCTGTCTGGCTCAGTTCCATGTTCTACCTGGCCTGTCTCGGATTCGTCAAGACCTCGGTGCTCTGTTTCTACATGCGACTGGGAGATCGCACTCTGACCCGGATGTCGTATGTCATGATGGGCGTCATCACCGTCCAGGCCGTCTCGTTCGTCTTGACTGCCGCCTTTCAGTGCTCGCCCATCCACGACGCATGGACCGGTGCGACGCCAGAGAGCAAATGCATCAACATCAACGTCTTCTATCTGGCCAACGCGGCGCTCAACATCTTCACTGATCTGCTCACCTACACTCTCCCGATCAGAGTCATTCTCAAGCTTCAAATCCCGCGGAAACAAAAAATTGCGCTGGCCTTCATTCTCTGTCTGGGTCTATTGTGAGTCATTCAACAGAAACCTACAATCTACGACCTACCTACTAACTCACACAGCGCCTGTGTCTCGTCCATCATCCGAATCACCTATATCCCCGCGATGCTCTCATCCTCCGATTCCACCTACGCGATCAGCGGCGCCATGTACTGGTCCGTCATCGAGACCAACGTCGGCATCTTCGCCGCCTCCATCCCCTCCTTCAAAGCCATCGCATCGCGCTTCCTCCCCCATCTCGTGGGCGAATACTCGAGCGGACGCAAATACGGCCCCTGGTCCGGCAACACCGACCCGAAGCGATACTACGGCTCGGGCTTCTCGAAAGTCCGCGACCAGAACTCGGTTACCCTGCAGACTCTGCGCGGGAAAGACGACGATCCCGAGGGTGTGATGGGAACACAGATCAATACTGGGTTTGGGGGGGACAATTCGAGCGAGGAGAGGATTATTATCCCCGAGGGCAAGATTCTTACCCAGACGCAGATCTCGACGAATGTGGAGGTTCAGGATTATGACATTTCGACTTCGCCTGAGCGGCGTCATTAGGTATGTTTGCCTGGTATATATACAGCTGGGTATGGCTAATGGGGCTAGTCATCTGGTCGACAGTAAAGCGCTGGACGTCAGACTGTCACTTTCTTTTGTTCAACTATCGTGGCTAGCCACCATCCTATTTCATCTAAACTACGGCCATAATAACCGATTGGGGGCGATTGCTTATGACTTTATACCCTTTTCTTTACACTACACATACATTATATACCCTACCTTTGGCTATTGGCATCACTATTCTTCAATTCAATGACTGCCTTCACTTATATCTTTTCCTTTCCATTCTCCTATCATGTTCATAACTTCGATTCCACCACGGCACCAATTCCAACCCGTCCACTGCTAAATCAGTGGTGTACTATATATATCTTATCTATCTTTCGGTCTTCCTAGATCAATACAATCAAAAACGCTTCTGTATTGTGGTTTTATCACAGACCATCTGTTCATTTCGTAGGCTTAGTATAAACCCTTCTATCAGCCAATGCTTACTGGACCCTTGTGGATATATGAATTGATGACTCGGATAAGCGTGTAGTCATCATCGCCCATATTTAGTTCATAGATTGTTTTTATACTTCTCATCTTATCATCTGGTCAGTCTGACATAAGCTACTACCTTACTCTAATTAATATCAGCCGAGTAGATTAAGGGATTTGGGGTTGATCGACGATGTTAAATTAATTGGGTCTATTCTAATCTGACTTTAGAAGTATCTTTCTATCTGAATTCCAGTATAGGTAGTGTAGTATGGCCCCATTGATTACATTAGCCTCACCTCATTCTAAAAAATAAGACCACATTTCTATCATCTGTCACCATCATACCACTGGGATAGACTAGTCTACATACTTTTTACACCTAACCTACTCTGCGACTCTAGAGTTGTATACAATAAACAGTACAGCTAGAATAGGGCTAGGCACTGTATCATACCAATATTTTCAATTTCATTTTATTCCATTCAATTCAATACAAAACTATCCACGTATCACTACGTCCTCGTCAAGACATTCGTCAGTTGGTACGTACGTTGGCAGTCGACTCGACTTAACAATGTCTTGTCTTGTTTGGCTAAAAATAGCCGGGCTGACGCACAAGACATGTTTCACTTGACATAACTACTAGCATTTAACAAACAGACAGAAAGACAAGAAAAGTAGGCAGATAATAAAAAAAACAAGGCAGATAATATTTCGCTATACTACATGCAGCATTCCGTGCATATCTCCTGTTGTGAAATCTGAAATATCTGAAGTTTGTTGAGATCTCGGCATTTCGTGGCCAAATCCCGGTCTAGACGGGCCGATGGGGGTCTGGACCGAGACCGATGGGCTGTGCTTGACTTGTATACTAGTTAGTATACTGTGTTGAGGTGGTATTCTGATATTGGTGTAGACTAGCAGGTGACTACGATTCATTCACATGATTCAATTAGAATATACTAGTCAAGTTAGTAGGCAGTAGAATAGAATGGAAAAGAATGTGGACCAGTACACACAGTACAGAGTAGGCGGTAGCACGGAAAGGACATCACCCAGTTTGATCATCCATGTGATACATACTAAGTCAGTAGTCAGTCAATCGGACGATATTCGGAGACTGCGGAGGAAACAGCCGTCGGTTTCTTGGGATTGGCACTATCAATGCAGACAGAGAATGTCAGATGTTGGCAGGTGACTCCGGAGTACGGAGGACGGAGCACGGCTTGATGTGACTCTATCTGCCGAGTCGAGTCATGACATTGACACTGTGAACTAGTATAGTCTGTCTAGTGTCTAGTCTACTCTGTATGTCTTACTTGGATCTACGATTGTGTGATTCTGTCCGTGTTGACTGTTGGACTGAGCTGGGTGGTTCCGTGTTGCCGAGATCTGCATATGGCCTATGCGGTTGACTGTTGACAGGTGGGTGTCCGGAGAAGTTCCAGGTTGTATTCCGTATGTATGTGTATTGAGATATTCGAGTCATCTATAGGCTGTATGTACATCTATCAGTACAGAAGTATATCCACTTGCCGTATATCAATGCCTAGCTGAGGCTGCTGAGGAGAGCAGAGAGAGCTGACTGACGGTCGCACTCCGTCAACGACCCCCAATCATTCCATCCTCACCACCCCGATGATCACGATCATCGATCTAGGAAAAATTTTCATCTGCACGAGTCTACAATGGTGAGGACGAAAAACTTCCCATTCAAGAATAGCCAAAACATCCTCAACAGGGATCACTGCAAGCCTCAGGCTCTCCCAGACCCCGATTGGCCCGTTCACCAACGCAGGGGCCAAAATTAGAAAGCTTCCAGAAGGGCCGTCGAACCGGAAACTCCGAGGCTAAGGTTTTCCGTGCAGTAGCGCTCCACCCTAGCGTAAACTTACCGCCTTGCATTACGGTACTGCATGTGTATTTGTAATACACCCGGAGCAGACCCACCCGCACGCAGCAATTAGGCATTTGTGGCTGTGCTAGCCTTGCAGCTGCTGCCCAATCACGGCGACTATCAGGGATGTTGGAAGGAGAGTAGAAAGAAAAATTCTGCTTCGGTGCATACTGGGTGTCTGTGTGTCTGCTTCTGCCATGTGTTTTTATTTTTCGCTCTGGGAATGAAAATCCCGTGTCGCACGATTAGGTGCTGACCTGGAAAACGCTTTTGCCAGACTGCCGGGTTTGACGGGCCAATGATTATGAGCCTAAACTCCATATGTCCGTCTGCCAGATGCCGTGCCAGATGCCGTGCCATATGTCCGTAGTAAACTATGACTCCTACCCAGGTGATTAATAAAACTGAATCGTTGGAAATAATCAGGCAGACACCAAATCAAACCCCAAAAATCAGATAGTGATTCCCCAGATTCACAGTCATACCTCCACAGAGGGTCAAACTCGGACTCAGATTGCCCGGTTGAGCGGGTCTCAACCTTGTTAAAGTTGCTGCGAGGCTGGGTCGAAGCTAGCTGTGAACTCTGATCGTATCAAATCAATATGGAGCAGCCTGGTATTTCAGCTTCGTTAATCCGTATGTCTTGATTGGACGAATCCCTGAGATCTCGCCACCATCTCAGCTAACGTCGATATGGTACTTACATACTCACTTGCTGGATCTTGCGTGGCCCTCGTGGGCGGCTGCTATGACAGGTAGCTTGACGTAAAGATTAAAGCCCCATGTGTATATCTGAGACATGGTCTGTCTGGCATCCTATCGATTACTGGCAGGCGAAATATTGACAGGACTCGTAATTCCTGCTTCATCCCAACATTTCCTTATTCATGTGACCAGGTATATTACAAACCATTAGCATTAGGCTATAGACAAGGCCTCTTGGAAAAAAGTAATGGATGAGTCAATCAATCGGCCATGAAGAGTCCGTCTTCCGACCAAGAATCCTTTCGCATCAGCTGATCATACACATTCTAATCCAACTAATGCACATGGTCGATTCGAGATATCCTATACGATCAATACGGCTACAACCGGCCGAAGCAGGTTTGTTTTTTTTTTTTTTTTTTTTTTTTGCTTTTGAATCATTCAGGCCAATTCTCGGTGATTCGTTCCGTCGGGTGCATACAAAGGACATGCGATAAAAAGCCGAGGCAGCAGCTTTGCTTGGCTGAGACTAACTCCGAGCCTTCTCCGCCCTAGCGCCTAACGGTGTACAAACTACGGAGGAACAAGAGGAACTTGTCCGTAAAATCCTTGATGGTCACGGAATACTGTAGTCCTTGCTGGAAAGATGCCGTATGCAGGATGCAGTGTATGCAGTAAATGCTATCATCATGACAGATTCACGGCCAACTCCGTCTGGGGACGGGAATAATTTGTTGGGAATACCCATGGAGTAGTACACTAGCCACATATCTGTGGCGCATGATTGGTTATGCTGGATGCTGTGGCTTGTACAACTCATAATCTACATAGGCATGTAGTTATCAGCATGTAGTACTCCATAGTGGACATCTACTCCATATTTCACACGGGATACTCTAAATGGCAGCCCAGATATTATCAGTATGGTTGACAAAGCTGAGCCGAGTTGCCGATCGGGGGGCAGATCTGATCTTCGCTGCTGTGCTTCCTGAAGAGGGTTGTGGCTTAGCCCTGGACAATGTCTGGCTCTTATTGGCGGGAAGCGTTCCAAAAAAAATTCAGCAGCCCCACATTTGCGACTAAATTGAGCAGACCTGGAAACTGGAATTGTCTCTACCGTTGTGATAATAATAAAAATAAAATACAATATCACTAGATCGATATCATCTCATATCATATCAATACTAATCCATACTAATCAATATCACTAAATTAGATAATCAAACCGTTGATGAAACTATGAGAAATAAAAATAGACAATCTGATCTACTCCTGGGTAATCGGCACAGTAAGCATCAGCAAAGCAGCAGCAGAATCGGATCGGCCGACTGTTAGTGAGTATGCAGCCAACGCGGTCGGGGCAGGAGATCGTGGCTGATCGCAGAACAAGCAAGAAGCCACAGGAAGGCACTGGAGACGGCAGCGAGGACAGCGCATTTGTGGCTGATGCTCTTCGCTCCAAATGGCAGACTCGGTCGCTGTTCCCTCCCTGCACACGGACCTTCGGTGCCGGCCGGAAGGTGGACTGACAGCGATGGAGGGAAACCAATCAACCCCGGACGCTGTCGATCGGCTGGACTAGTGGAAAGTAAAAAAACAAAAAAATAAAACAGAAAAAGGAAAAATAAAAAAAGAAAGGTATTTGTAACGTATCAGCCGTGGACTGCCGTACTAGCGGTAATTCCATCGCATCGGCGATACCGCACTTTACGACTGGCTGGTACATCTCATACCATTCCTAGCGGATGGACGTCATACCTCACTCATAATAAAAGACCAGGCCTCTGCCTCTCCCTCCATCTTGCTTCTCCCTTTTGTAATACTATTCTAATCATCAACCTCAGAGATCATTCTTTATTACTCCTCCGATCATCTCTGATTCCAAATCTTATCCTTCTCAATTGTTAATCCTTCCTTCTTTCGATTATTCCTCTATTTTATCTTCTCCCACTTCTTACCTCATCCCCTCACTCTGACTACAAGTTGTAAGAGTCACCACTCCGGATCCTAATCCACCCTCGACCCATCCCACGCCTCTCTCTGGTCCGAGTCCTTTATTGGGAGTCGATTCCCAGGCTGACCTTCTGTTCCAAAGGTTCTTACCAACTTTAATTTGTACGGATTCCCCGGATCGGGTCCTCTTGTCTGCCCGACGTTTCCAGACTCTTCCAGCGCTTCGCACCACCTTCGCACCGCCATATGCCACTTTGACTCTCTGATCAGGAAATCTTGCTCCGTCGGGACTCTTTGGGGCCTCTGGTGCCATCCTATTATTTAAACTCTCGAGCCTCTCCGGTGGCAAATCATCATACCCACCTGGAAAGCAACACTATGCTCATGTACCCTACTGTACGTAAGGGTCTCATCACCGAACCAACTTCTGTTCCGTTCCAGGACACCGTTCGCATACAAGACGACCACTTCCTCCCCGAGTTCTCCTACGAGGTCTCGTGCTTCAACCAGCAACCCCAGCCGAGACTCGACTCGCCTTTCCACTACCACCACCACCAGGACTTCCAGTTCTCTCCGCCCTCTTCCACGCCCTCTTCTCCCACCTTCTCCTCGCCTTCCTCTTCCATCGCCTACCCTCCGACCACTGCCGTCGCGTCCGAATATCCCGCCGTCTTTGACGGCCACACTTCTCTCGAGGCTCCTTCGATGACACCCGCATCCTCCTACAACCCCTCCATCCACCTTCAGCAGCCTGCGTCGCCACCGTCTTCGCAACCGTATCTTCCTCAATATTCTCAGCAATATTTGATTGACAACACCCCGATGTTGGCGCAACAACAGCCCGTCGCAAACAGTCACTGGGAAGGCAACTTGCAGTTGCTCGGCCCTGCCCCCGTTCAGAACGGTTTCCAGCGGGTATCGCAGCTCCAGGACTCCCAGAAGCGGTCTTCGCCTAGCTCATCGAGTCGCTCTGCCAACTCGCACCGAAGATCCAACAGCTCCAACGTTTCCAAGCCGCTGCCTACGCCTGTGCAGACTCCCGTGCAAAATTCGCTGTTGGCCACTCCCTTTCAGAACTACGACCCGTCTTCGCATGATGGTAGCAACGCTCATGCAGAGCTAGCTATGAGACGGGCAGTGATGGAACAGCAGAAGCAGCATCACCAGCACCACCAGCACCAGCACAGTGACTACTCTTTGGCTCCTTCAGTTTCGACTGTCAGCCACAACTCGCCTGTGACTCCTCAGACAAGCTTTGACGAGCTCGATGATGCGTCCAGGGCGATGGCCAATGGTGAGAACCGAGTTCCCGACGTAGAAAACTGGATGGATAAATACTTACATATCGATGCGTTCTCAGAATATGGCAATCAAGCCGGAAACAACATGATGGGCATTCCCAAGCTGAACCGCACTATCTCAGATATCTACCAAGATGAACTCTACAACCCCGCCATCATGTCTACGCCTCAGGTCTCCAAGCAACAACCTGCCGCTCAGAACATGTTGACACCATACCGCAACGTCTTCGCAGACCGACTCCAGGCTGCTAACCAAGGCCACATGTCTGCACGATCACAGTCTCCCGCAGTGCCCATCAACCGGGCCCATTCACCCTTCAGACAGAATTCGCCTCTTGCGGGCGAGTTTGGCAACATGCCGCAGCCCCAGATGGCTACCAGCGTGCCTATGTCTCAGACCACCAGCATGAGCATGGGCCAGGTTGAGCCAAAGACCATGTCTCCCAAGGACGCACTGTTGGATTTCAATGAGGGCGAGGATGCTGCTATGCCACCATTGTTCCCATCGAACCAGGCCGATTTCAACTTGGGCGACACACTGGGACTACGACGCGAGAGTTCCTCTTCCTTCCGAACTGCTCAGAACTTTACTACGATGGAGTCGTTCCCTGCTCAATACGCTACTCACGGTTTGCCACAGCAGTATCAAATTGCGCAGCAACCCCAAGACAGACGGTCATCGTCTCAACAGCAGCAGAACAACTTCTTGCAGCACACACCCGAGTTCCCTGCCTCGCTTCCTACCCTGGAATCCACTGGCAGCGAAGTTCTTCCTAGTACAGAGATCACTTCGCCGCAGCAAGCGCAGCGGGTTCCGATCAAGCAGGAGATTACGCGACCGACCGATACCTCTTCGGACAGTGGTACCTACACATGTACGTATCACGGCTGCACCCAACGGTTTGAGACCCCGACCAAGCTACAGAAGCACAAGCGTGAGGCCCACCGTCAGACCACTCCAGGGGGTCACCTGGTTGGGCGTGAACCTACATCGCGCAACTCTCAGGCCGGTCCCCACAAGTGCGAGCGGATCAACCCATCTACTGGCAAGCCATGCAACTCGGTCTTTTCGCGACCCTACGATCTGACACGGCACGAGGACACCATCCACAATGCCCGTAAGCAGAAGGTGCGCTGCCACCTGTGCACAGAAGAGAAGACCTTCTCGCGGAACGATGCATTAACTCGACACATGCGAGTGGTCCACCCCGAAGTCGACTGGCCCGGCAAGCAAAGGCGGAGAGGCAGGGAGTGAAGCGGATGATGGAGTAGACACCATCTGTTCATTTCCTAGCATGACCGCATCCTCCCGCAGAGCGACGAATAGGATGAACTGGTCGAGCGCCCTCTTTCCTGCGAGCTCCACCGCCTGCAGTTCTTCACCATGACTCAAGATGACGAGCACCAGCCTTCTACGTCATGGACTATTCCCAATCCGGAAAGGACTCGCTAACGGGGCCGGATCGGCGGGCCCAGTTTCCGTTTCGGGGCTAAGGGCCTCGGGGCCTTGAGGCCTGAAATATGGGTATGACATCATTGCGAGTTGCCCTGACGTATCCATCGACACGATCAGTCGTTGCGTCGATGCATGGAGACCCTCTACGCCTCCACCTCTTTCCTTCCTCTTTAGAACATCTTAATGACGCATCATTTTTTTTTCTTTTGTTTTTTATCTTCGGAAGCAAGCATTCTTTTAATTCTCGTTTTTCTTTCTCTGCTTGAGGGGATTCCTTGGCATTGCGTGGTTTTTAGATTTCTGATTTTTTGGGTTTTTGGGTTTTTCAAAACACTTTTGCATCAAAAGAAGCTATTATTTTTACTTGCGTATGGGATGTTTTTAAAGACAGGGCAGACTGATCCTGCAGCTGGGCTAATTTGGTTCCAAGCATGTTGTGTTACGACTCTTTTTCTTATGGTTGTACTATATTATTATCGTGTACGAGTGCTACGTTATGATGTCTTTGCATGTGCTCCTGGGATTTGCATTGGGTTGGTGGTGTACAGATTGAGACATTCGTACAGTTATTGTTGTATATTATGGATTGTACAAAATACAAAACAGATGATCATCATCAGACTTCTTCCTCATCGTATCCTCATTGCAGTAGTAGACCCATCAGCCATCAGTTTCAGACTGGAATAATTCCAGAAAGTGGATACAGCACGGGAAAATCAGCAGCAGGGGTAGATTCATAGCTGTTTGAAACAGATGGAGACAGCATCCACAAGCATCATTAGTGAGTCGACGACATACGAAACAGTCAAAAGCAGAAGCACGATGATCGTGTGGCTGGCTCGATGCAGTTTGATTGGCCAATTGATCATCTGCTTTCTGTCCAGTATGGAATATACTGTGATTATTACATGTACCAGTGTTTATACTGTGGCTTAATTTAATAAAACTATCATAAACACACCCACTACAGCGGTACTTATTACTCGTAAACCTATCCACTCCTCAACATGTTCGCTGTAAACTGCAAAAGTGCAGTATGTATACCAGCCCAGTCCGCCCCACATCCACATCCAATCCATCCAATACAAGCCCCACGCCGTAACTTCAAGACCCCGTAATACAGTACAATTGTAATAAAAATGCAATGTAGATCATGACATCAGTCCATCTCCACTTCATATGGATTCATTGGGCATCGTGGGGGAAGAAATGCAGAAATCAGTCAACAGTGAATCCAACGCAGCATGGGCCAATGATGGAGTGGAGTATGTATTGTGTATTTTGGATTGAGCTGAGTCTGTAGCTAGATTAGCTAGAGTGGATTTATTTAGCTGAGGCAGGTAGTAGGCAGGGACCTAGATTAGGTTATGTCCGTATGGGCTGTAGGACTTTTATGGGTATTGTGGATTGTGGATTGGACATGTGGCTGTATTTATGTGGCTGGTCATGGCTGTTTCTGGCTGTTTTTTCGTGTTTATGGGTCTGCGGCCTACGCTATGAAAGGTATCCATAATTCGGGTTGTTTCTTCAGCTGATGCTGTTGCGGGTTGTGGGGTAGGTTTGTTTTAGTTTATGATGATTGTTTATGCTTTACTCTAGGCTGTGGGTGTGGCTGGTGTTTTAGTATTGATGATCTGATGACAATAGTTACATGGAGAATGGCTATGGTCTTAGGCAACGGGATATCATATTATCCTAGTATTATCGTAACAGGAATTCGCATCGTGTCAAGTCAGTCATTCACATCTCAGCTCGACTTCTGCTGTGCAGCTCAGATGGAGCCTCATTCGCTTCCATCTCGTGCGGAATTATACTGTCGGGCAATTGAGCCGGTGGCTTCGACTGCCCTGATGGTAGTTCGATCATCTGTCCATCCCAATTTCGCCATGTTGCCCCAGTTGGGCTGCTATCGAAGCCCTTGTTCTCGGCTGCCTGCTGGTAGCTGGTAGCGGCTTGTTTTCTTCTGCGATTTATGATGAATAATATCAAAGCCACGATCAGAGCAGCACCGGCCACGGAGCCAACTACTGCGCCTGCGATCGCTCCTCCGCTGATCCCGCTTTTCTTTGACGGTGTGCTGCTTGTGGTGTTGCTGCTGCTGCTGCTGTTGTTTGTGGCTTGGAAGAAATTGGCGATTGGAGTGGTGCTGAATCCATTCGATGGTGTCATCATGCTTGCGTTTCCGTTTGCACTGTGGATGGTCAATCCGCATTCAAAATGGGCCATTCAATAAGACTTACTCTCCACCGACAGTATCATAGACCAGAGACGGGACCTCGTACGCCGAAGCTGACGCATCGTATGTGCTGCCCCATGTCAACGAGGAAATATCATACACCGCAACACCTTTAGTCTCCCAGTCACAAGCTGCTGTGAGAGCATCCGTCGAGCTTCCACCGACAGTCAGCATCTGCCTATTAGCCACCAGATGGCAGGTGTGTCCGTATCGTGGAGATTCTCCCTCGTAAATCCTCGTCCATGTGAAAGACGGAATGGACAACACGTAGATTTGATCGTAGACCTTGTTTGTAGCCTGGCCACCGTACATGTAGATATTATGACTCGAGTTATCCTTCGCAGATGCCGTCACTAAGCAAAAGTCGATCCGTCCGTCGGGTATATCACCACTCGCTTTCTGCTTGTACCAAGAGCCGTTCTCGTCTCCGTTATCGAGGGATGCAACATCGAGGAAGTCGATTTCGTTGAAGGATACCTAATTTCACGACACGGTTAGCTGGTGGCCAACGAAAACCTCTCAGAAACTTGACCTAATACACACATATGTCCCTTGATTCGAGGAGCTGCCGTCACTCGTGGGCTTGGTGACTCCACCAATCGCAACCAAAATTCCTTTCGATCCAACACCCGAAATATATGCCATACCCCCCTTTGCCCGTGGGAAGTTATCCATAGACGAGGTGGAAACATTTTTCGCCGTCTGCTTGTTTGTATCGATCACGATCAACCCATCCAGATAGCGAAGAAGTCCACTCTGACCCTCCAATCCATTCGATGTCCCATTGTCGATATACCCGTTGAGCCAAAAAGCGAGCCCTTGATCCGGTGCTTCGGCATATGCTCCCCCTGCAGGCCGATAAGGTGCATTGAGTGTCACATCATATTGGTTCCAGGAATCGCCATCGGTGTCGCACGACCACAGCGCATATTGTGACGATGTCGGTTTCTGGAAGCCCGGGAAGCTAGTGTTCAGGTAGGAATTGGTTCCACCGTAGAGGTAGATGCTGCTGTCGGTCGAAGCTCCCGAGTAAAGAGCTCCGCGGACGACCAAAGGAGGATCGGTTCCGGTGCTGGGGTTGGCGGTCTTGTTTATGGCGTTGATTGAAATATTCTTCTGCCAATTCCAGGAAGATTTCATGTCGACCTCCATCAGATAGGTGTCTATTGTCGGTGAGCATCAAGGTGAATGATATTTGTGCGAATAGATAGCGCATACTATACCCAAGAGTCGGAGCAGACGAAGGATTCCCATTGCTGTTCTTGTCTGTAAAGACCTCGATTCCTCCGTCGATGTAAAGACTGCCATTTTTCATCGTAGCTGAAGCTGTTAGCATGCGACCGGGCTGAGTACAGGAGAATCTTAAGCGAACATTGATGGTATAATCTCCAGCAATAGTTATCGATCGGATCGATGCCAGAGGTCGCCGCCTTAGAAGCGGCGACAAAAAGTAATGCGATGAGCAGAGTGATCATCTTTGCATACCAGGAAGATGAAAACTCAGCTCTGTCTGGTGTAATCAACAAAGCTTGGGTGCAATCCGGTCGACGGGAACCCTCCAGTATAATAGCAAAATAAGCATTGGCATAGGGGCCCACGAGTGGATCCAGATACTATTCCAGCATCCACAGGCCAGGGACTGTCCGATCAGCCAACCACATGTGTCGATAAGTTTTAGGTCTCGCACTCCATTTCCTATTAATGGTTAGTGTGGTATGGTCCACAATATCTGAGGTGCCCTGCCATAGGCTCCCTTCAGGAACACGAGATCAATTTGCCAGTAGCATGTGAGCTTGTGTGAAGCTAAGCCGTAGAAGAAACCGAATCCAGCAGTTTTATCATCACGCTTGGGATGTTGTGGTTAGAATCAACCTGCGCAATGTGAAAGGCGAGTCTCGATTCTGTCGATCGCACTGTCTTGGGCAAGCGAAGATCCCGTGCTCTTCACTATGTGGTCGACGGCCATGCAACTTATTCGAAACACAAACGCCAGGGTAGGAGGTCGTGCAATGAGATGTGCTCATGGCGACGATCTTCAGCGGTACACGGTAATGATTGACAGTCGAGGAATGAAGGCCGGGGCTGGAAAAGGTATTGCACTTTCAGAACAGTCAGTCCTAATTTTCATCTCTGGGAAGTTGAGAGATGGACTTCTTTTTCGCACCAGGATACAAGCTACTGTAGATGCAGCAGTTGATCTAAAGCTCCAAGATCATGAGCTCGACAACTGACATCAGACATGCGAATGAAGGGGCGAGTGCCCTTGCATTGAGCTCAGAAAAACGGTGTCGGTATGGTGCAATTTAAAGACACAAATTCAGATCAGATTCTGCATCAAAGCACCGGTAATATCCGATTCATGTGGACATATCCATTTGGATGTGGTCTCTTGGTATGGGAAAGTTCCTCTCCCATGTTTGCAGGCTAGCGTCGTGGGGAGAAATAACCTAGTCTAACGAGCAATCTCAGTCTTGGACGCTCGATGATAGGCTCTAGTGGGTAGTATTTGGGACTGTATTGCCCTTGCTGGTCGTATGTACGATGACGATAGTTCGATCTGCTTTTCATCGAGAGATGGTTCGGAGGATGTATTGGGTCCAGGACTTCAGGTCCAGACTTCAGCCTCACTCCCGGTCGATCTCATCGGCTCGTGATGTTGAGAAGCTCGCTTATCCGTTATATACCGGTGGCCGTCTTGTTTATGGGTTCAGGCAAGTCACAACGGCTAGACTTTTCACCATGGTATAGTTAGACCGTCCTGGTCTTCGGGTATTGGATTGCAGGTTGCTGCTGCTTTTCGCAGCTGTCGTTTCTCATGTATCTAGCGTCCGTTATTTTGTGAGCTTGTGTTTGGTTTTTCTGTTCATATCTCTGTGTCCGGCATCGATGTTTTGCTGGTGTTGGTGCCTGGTTCTGTAGCAGGCCGTTAGGCAGGGTCTGGGGTTGTAAATCGCACTCGATTTTCGGTGTACTTACTTGACCACTGTTTCCCGTTAATCCTCTCTATTTCCACGATGAGAAGCCGGTTGTAGAGGAGAATCAGACAATTTCTTGGATACTGGGGGGTGTTCGTCCCTCGAGGACAAGCAACGTCCTCATGTCTTGGCGATGACATAGTCTCGTGATTTCAGCCCATCGAGGGCAGTTGAATCAGATATGAACACTGACTGCGTATCTTTATCTGCCATAGGTTTCAATGCTATTCTCTGTTTATTATTGCATGGTTTGCGTTAATCGTAGTCGATGTACCCTGTATCCTTATCCCTTATCGCGAGATCGCCAAGTCGCCGAGTTGAACCCCCGAAAGGGGAAGTCCAACTAGGTCAAGCTATTGGAGCTGGTTTGCTTACGATGCTGATTTCCGCTGCACTGCTGGGATTTTGTAAAATTTATTCTCATAAACAGACATACGTAACTCTAATGAACATTTCTATTATACTATATTTATCCTGATCTTTCGTGGTCGGCTGAGATCTTGGTGGTTAATTACCCTGGTCGAATTGATTGCTAATCCCGCCAACGGAGCTCAGTGCAGAGTAGAAGCACATTGATCCTCTGCTTCCAGGCGCTTTCTGTGTGAATCTGGTGGTTGGAAAAGCTCTGTTTATTTTGAAACTCTTATATCCTCCTTCTTTCCTCTGTGCTTTCGAGTGTTTGGTGCTGGTTAAGTTTCTTCCATGGATTTCGTGATATATATTTTATATGCCCTTGGTCTACATCACATACTGTACGAATAGGTACAACATCTTCCTGATAGATACTGTACGGACAACATAGCCATTGAATATCAACCGAATTACTCGAAACAATAGCGCGATCACATATCACTGCTGCTATATAGTAACGGATATAGTCGATATAGAACCTCGATCGAGAAAGTCATGTAGTCGCGGAGTACCTACACACCAGTATACGAAACTACAGCGAATATAGAGTACACAAGAAAAGCAGCATTGAAATGCACCTTAGAATTCATAGTATTCACCAGTATTCTACTCAAGACCAATGGCGAGAATCTAATATTACTTGATTGCTGACTATACAGAGCCTGTCACCACGACGCGAAGACGCGTGACGCAAATCAAAACAATACCGAAAACACAACAAGAAAACTATATTGGAAGTAAAGAGGAAGTCTACAAAGGAACCAGTTTTGTATCATTTGAAATTTTTTTAATGTTCGTATTCATATCGGATCGTGTTTGATGCTACGATCTCGTCGAGCCCATGGCACCAGCCGAAGGATAAAGGCCGCTATGATACAGAAAAAATTCAACCACGAACACTAGCAGACCAGTAGTGGACGCGTAATAGTAAAATAAAATACGATAAAAAAGCAAACCCAGAGACCCATGACACTTGTAGTAATGAAAAGATTCAGAGAACACCCCAACGTCCCAGTCATACCGTGAACCAATCCGAAAAAGCAACCCTTCGCGTCTCTGCTGCGGAAGGACAACGGACGCGTCGACCGCGCAGGATGGCTAATTGAAAAAAAGAGAAAGCAAAAAGAAAACGTTTAACCACCGAAACCGTAGAGAGTACCTGAGAAAGAGACATGTTAGACGCGTCGATGGCGAACAGACAACCGAATGAATACTTACGTCCTTGTCTCTTGAGAGCGTAGACGACGTCCAGGGAGGTGACGGTCTTTCTCTTGGCGTGCTCAGTGTAGGTGACGGCATCACGGATGACACCCTCGAGGAAGGTCTTGAGGACACCACGGGTCTCCTCGTAGATCATGGCAGAGATACGCTTGACACCACCACGGCGTGCGAGACGGCGGATAGCGGGCTTGGTGATACCCTGGATGTTGTCACGCAAAATCTTGCGGTGACGCTTGGCGCCACCCTTTCCAAGACCCTTGCCACCTTTTCCACCTATTGATTGAAGACGCGTTAGTGACCTGTTCGAATCGCGTTCCTATGGATGACAGGAAAGAGTAAGCTACTTACGGCCAGTCATGATGATAGATGTGAATTAAAGTAGAGTTGAATTAGGTTGAAAATGTGGAGTAGAGGAGTTTGGATGGATGAGTGGATGACAGATGAGATAGATGGAGGGGAAAGAAGAGTTGTGGAAGGGCTTGGGACGGTCGATATTTGTATAGCAGAGGGAAGAGCGCGGGGAGGGTGTTGGAATCACGCGCTAGCAGGCGGATCGACCAATCAGCGGGCGGGATCCTCACGGCGCGTTTGATCTGTCGGCTTCGTGGCCGAAGAGCCATGATTCCGCTGGTATGTCCCTGATCCTGACCGGAACGCACCCAACCACACTGATTGATCCTGCGAGACAATCAGGAGAATGATTGCAATGGGCTTGCATTCCCCTGATCTCGTTGATCGACTCGCATTCTACGCCTGAGGCTGGGATCAAGCGGTGGTAGGGTGGCATTCTAGATCCGTGATCCTGCGCTCCCATTGGCTGATGCGGGAGCTGTCTCGCTTAGTGCTCGGAGCAAGGGCCAAGCCAACCCTTCCATTGATTCTCCCTACCAAAAGTGAGCCGCGAAATCACGGCTTATGGTGCACTGCTTTCCGAACGTTATTCTGATCAAAAGAAAGGGCGCTAAGGCCAACCCGCTTTGCAGGCAACGCACCCAGATCACCACCCGCCTCTCGCTTACTACAAATACCCTCCCCCACCCGCCTCCTCCATCCTTCTTTCATCTCACTACTCATTCGACCAACGATACTTTATCATCAACCACATCGGCTTTTCATCAAAAATCCATCTAATTCCATCAAAGAAAAGCCGCTAAAATGGCCAGAACCAAGCAGACAGCCCGTAAGTTGATTCCTCACTGCTCTTTCTCTTGACCTCGCTGCCTCGCGTCACTATCGCGTTTGGTCGACACAACGCGTCTTGGAATAGTTTCACTAACAGCTCATCTATAGGTAAGTCCACTGGTGGCAAGGCCCCCCGTAAGCAGCTCGCCTCCAAGGCCGCTCGCAAGGCTGCCCCCTCCACCGGAGGTGTCAAGAAGCCCCACCGCTACAAGCCTGGTAAGTTCCTACATGATCCAAGTGGCTATTGTACAACATTCTAACAGACAATTCAATAGGTACCGTCGCTCTCCGTGAGATCCGTCGCTACCAGAAGTCCACTGAGCTGCTCATCCGCAAGCTCCCCTTCCAGCGTCTCGTCCGTGAGATTGCCCAGGACTTCAAGTCGGACCTCCGTTTCCAGTCCTCTGCCATCGGTGCTCTTCAGGAGTCCGTTGAGGCTTACCTCGTCTCCCTCTTCGAGGACACCAACTTGTGCGCTATCCACGCCAAGCGTGTCACCATCCAGTCCAAGGACATCCAGCTTGCCCGCCGTCTCCGTGGTGAGCGCTCTTAGATTATTCTAATGAGTCGATTCTTTTTTCCGGTTGGCTCTTCTGGGAAGGCGATAACGGGGTTCTTTTTTCTTTTTATCATGACTACTGGCGATACATGATGGGTTTTGCTTCGAATATCAATGGGTTTCGGCACTGGGTTTTTTAGTTTTTTTATTTTCTACTGCGCAATAAATATTAGCTGCCGATGAAGCGGCTGGGTGGAATTGGTCATGGACGCGCATCCAAACATGTACATTATCTGGAAGCCTTTCCACCGTGGTGTCACCAATTCGCCACCTCATGAATAGACGCAAATGCAGTCGAACTGAAAAAAAAAAAAAAAAAAATCAAACCAGTCGCATAATAATATCTAATGTTCTCGTACTGAGTTCTTCTATAGTAGGACCTTGTGCTTTCTGGGCCTGCTGCGTCGCTACGGTCGCAAGTTGGCAGTCGTGATGAAATCGATGTGTTGTCATCTGAACAACGCATTCACTTGACCTACTGGATACAGGAGAGACAATAGACACAGCATGGAGTAAAATACCGATAGATTCGATGAAGTCTCGACTCCGAATATATGATAGGAAAAATCGATCCCAGTGATGCCTGGTTCGATATCGAGTTGAAGAGTTGAAGACTCGAAGTACATACAAAGCAGGCGGGGTTTTCGACTGACGCAATCATGTCGTCCAGCACACCTAGGTATGTCACAGTCGTCTTTGCATAATTATGCAACGTATTCTGGCATTATGAATACTACACCGATATACCAGATACTGATAATATGACGTTAAGTGTAGTTAGAGTTATGAATCAGACCTCAAAGCAACCTTGACACTGTAACTGGTCATCGAAAGTTCTTCAGTGACGGTCACGGGTTAATATGATTCATAATCAGACCAAACCAAATCCGTAGGCAAGGACATAATGGATAATGATTAATCTGATTACGAATTATGCAGTTCTCTTACTTCTGGTTTCTTCGAATCCTTTTACCTAGGCAGTTTTGCTTTTTGCCTTCTAGGTTTTTTTCCATCCCAGGGTTCTTCGATCGCTGTAGAACCCCAAACGGGGACCGATTCCGACGGTGTTGTCCGTGCCTCGGGATGAGAACGTGGCTATATGCTTTATGGGCGGGAATGTTGGTCCGGGACCGAGTTTCATTTTATTTTTATTTATTGTTCTATCTTTCTGTTCTAAGTGTAGTAATTAAGGTGGTGATAATTAACTGATTTTTGTATTTGATTTTGAGGTTGATGTTGGGGATATTCGGGATTCGGGGTATGCTAAATATATAGTTCGTAGTTACGGAGGACTAGACGGAGACATGCAGCTTTTCTCCGCGAAACAATATATCGAGGATAATTTCGTAGAGACTAGTAGTTATGTATAAAGGAATGACTCAAGAAAGTAAGCATTAACCACGGGCACCAACGGATAGATCCTATTAAGATTCTCTGAGTATGCACTTGGCCCCAGACGCTAGATGGACTATGGGTATGATCATCTACTCAGGCAGTAATACCCAGTGAAATAGCTAGAAGATGATAGATCTTGCTAGAAAGATTACAGTCTTACTGGTGATTGTACGACACACCATGGCATGCCATGCCTAAGCACCTGATTCGTGGTAGTCAGATCGAGCTACAGTCACCAGACTCGATTACACTGCCTTGTAGGTGGATATCCAACACTTTGAAGAGGAGATGGATCCTTGTAAGTGCCGAACCAACACCCAGCCCACCCAATCACGATAAACCAACGCCATGAGATGCCATGCAGAGAGATGGAGATAAGTTCATCTCCGGACAGACGCATGGATCCTTTCAATGCCGTGAGAACCGACTGCCAAGGCGCTAGAACACGCAAACGTTATCTTATGCACGGAACCACGTGACGCATAAGTTGACAGGATGGATGCAGACAGAATCCAGTTCTGGACACTGCAGACCGCAGGATAAACGCTTTCAACTGTCGAGTGTGTCAGTGTGATGTGATATCTCTCTTTGTAGAGGGTATCAATAATGTGCACCAGAGCAGGTCCTCAGAGTTATGCATGGCCATCCAACATAAGAAACATGCCCGCTCGTTTTATGAATACGATGGCGTCCTCCTCCAGACATCCAGACCGAATAATCCCAGAATCGCAAACAGCCGTCCCCACTGTTTCTGGATTAATGCGCTGCATAACGGCGGTTAATGCCCAGATTTCGGCTGTGGGTGGAGCTGCGATGCCAAAATAGACCGAGTTTCCTGGTTCAACGCCGGCTCGAGTCCGACACTAATTTCTTTAGTCCCTGATTCATAAAAAAAAAAAAAAAGGGAACAAAGCAATGGATAAAAGCTTGGGAGATGTCAGATTCCAGCTGTTATATATACCCTGCCCCAGTTCCTGGATTGAGCCTCGTTTCTTCACTTTTTCTTTGTCCATCTGTTCTTGTACACAACATCTCTTCACTATCTCCGCATTCGTCTTTCCATCAACTAGTGTCCCTCTTTGTACCCACCGCCACTCTCCAGTCTTATTGTTCTGCAGTGCAACACAATAGTCCTGCCTCACCATGGCAGACGCCAATCAGGATCGTGGGACCGACAAGATCGAGTCTTCCACTCCTACCAAACTCCCATACTGGCGCTTGGTCGTTGACCAGGGCATTGTGACCCAAGAAATTATTGACTACCCATACCCTGGATCAGGAACAGATGAGGACCCTTATGCCGTCACCTGGATCCCCAATGACCCCCGCAATCCGATGCTGTTCAGCGAGACTAAAAAATGGACCATTACTATCCTAGTTGCTATTGCGACTCTGGCTGTTTCCCTGGTCTCTTCAGCCTATACGGGTGGTATTGTACAGATCCAGCAACAGTTCCATATTGGCACTGAGGTTGCTACCCTTGGTGTTTCTCTTTTCGTTGTTGGTTTTGCTATTGGTAAGTGGCTATCCACTCAGAAGGAATATAATATGGATTGACACTAACTGATGGATAGGTCCCCTTCTTTGGGCTCCTCTTAGTGAACTGTTCGGTCGTCAAATCCTTTTCATCGTTACCTACTGTGCTCTTACGGCATTCAACTGTGGCGCCGCCGGTGCTCAAAACGCCTGGACCTTGATCATTCTTCGATTCTTCGCTGGCTCGTTTGGATCGTCGCCCTTGACAAATGCAGGTGGTGTCATTGCTGATATGTTCCCCGCAAAACAAAGGGGTATTGCAATGAGTGTCTTCGCTGCTGCTCCATTCTTGGGTCCCGTTCTTGGTCCCATAATCGGTGGATTCCTGGGAATGAACGCTGGATGGAGATGGGTCATGGGATTCCTAGGTGCCTTTTCTGGTACCGTCTGGATCATTGGCACTCTATTCATCCCCGAAACATATGCCCCCGTCCTTCTCCGTCGCCGTGCAGAGAAACTGAGCAAGCTCTCTGGCAAGATATATCGAAGCAAGCTTGAAATTGACCAGGGCAAGGTTTCTCTGGCAGAGTCCTTCTCCGTTGCGCTGTCTCGTCCATGGATCTTGCTGTTCCGGGAGCCTATTGTCTTCCTGCTGTCTCTGTACATGGCCATTGTCTATGGAACATTGTACATGCTGTTTGCCGCTTACCCCATTGTCTACGAGGAGGTCCGTGGCTGGAACCAAGGCGTTGGCAGTTTGCCGTTCCTGGGAATCATGGTGGGCATGCTGAGTGCCGTTATTTACACAATCCCCGACAACAATCGTTATATCAAAGTCCAAGACGAAAACGACGGATTCGCCCCTCCCGAGGCACGCCTTTCGCCTTGTCTGATCGCATCTGTTACTATTCCTGTTGGTTTGTTCTGGTTTGCATGGACCAACTATCCTTCCATCCACTGGATGGCCAGTGTCGCAGCTGGTGTTCCCTTTGGATTCGGCATGGTCCTGGTTTTCCTGAGTATCATGAACTACTTGATTGATTCTTACACGATTTTCGCCGCCTCTGTCCTCGCCGCCAACTCCGTCTTGCGTTCCATTTTTGGTGCTGTGTTCCCCTTGTTCACCACCTACATGTACGAAGGACTTGGTATCCATTGGGCGTCCTCGATCCCGGCGTTCCTGGCGCTGGCCTGTGTCCCCTTCCCCTTCCTGTTCTACAAGTACGGACCGGCCATTCGCAAGCGCTGCAAGTACTCCGCTCAGTCCGAGGCATTCATGCGCAAGCTCCAGGACCAAGCCACACAGCCCGAGTCTTCTGGAGAAGAAGAACAGCACGAGGAGAAAGAAGCACCCGTTTTTGATCGCACCGAAGCGCCTGCTGCAGTCGCGGACGTATCCGATGGCAGTGAAACCGATTCCAAGGTCGAAGGACTCCCGTCCATGAAGCAAATCCGCAGCCGTGCGCATTCGACTACATCCACCCGGACTGCTGGCTCGGTCGCATTGCCCTATGAGGGCAACCCATACGACGTTGACCGTGTCAACACCCGGGAATCATTTAAATAAGTTGGACTTTGTCGCCGACACCTTCAAAAATATACCCCCTACCGATACAACCTATACCCATATATACACCGACATCGCGGATAATTCATAGTACCTATTACCCACGCCAATCCCTCCGACTATATATCGACGAGATATGGAAGCAAAGACGAAGAAAAAAGTTTTGGATTTCAACTGTCGCATTGTCGCATTTTCATGGGCGCATATAATCAGTTTTGCTTTTTTTTGTCTTGTATACCCCGAGAACCATCTCGTTGAGGAGTTATTTCATTGGGCCTGCATTATAGAGATATGTAAATGTTAATGGAATGATGATTATGCATATACCAACACTATCCTAGTATCTAATCCCTCGTCTTAATTATCTATTCTAAGATCGGCCGGAGTCAGATCTTGTCTCCGATCGGAAAGTTGCGGCATTCGGCAACCCATGCCGACGGGAAAACATTTCTCTGCGATAAATGTTCTCCTGGGGAAATATTATTAGTTTCTGTGTGTTCTTAACTTCTTTTGCGGTGTAGACGTCTTTTCCTTTTTTTTCCCTTTCTTGTTCCTTCATTTGTCTGCTCTGGTGTTGTCAATCCTTTGTCAAGACAATTTATGACCTTATCGTTTCCCTGACTGTTCCTGCGTCGATTTCTCTTATCCTTATCCTGGTCCCTCGAGATACCCCCATAGATTATTCAGACCATTCTTTTCTTTTCTTCTTTTCGGGTCTCCCACCTTTTTTATTTCTTTCGTTTTCTTCTCTTCCTTGAATAGATATACAATTTAGACATGAGACTCCAACAAAGACTGCCCTCGCAGCTCGCCAAACGACCAACAACGACATCCCCGCGATCCCCAACCCACCGAACCCGCCAACACAGAACCCAATCCTCCAACTCACCCACACCCACAAACACGAAAGCAAATGCGCACAATCAACCAAAGCACGCGCCGCCCCCCTCAGGCACCGCAGCCTCATCCGCCGGCGCGCCAACACCGCCCGTGAGCCCTGCGCCTCGATCTCTGGGCCAGAGAATCCAGGCCGGCCCGGTGGGGAGACTGGGGAGGTCATACACGCGCATTCAGGAGCGTAGGCCGTATGCGACGCAGGTGGTCAGTTCGATTGTGATTTATCTGTGTGGGGATTTGAGTGCGCAGTTTTTGTTTCCGTCGGAGAGTTCGAGTCCGGCGCGGGAGGCGAAGGATGGGGATGGGGAGCGTGAGGGGGTGGAGGGACAGGAGGGTCAGAGTATCCTGGGAGGATATGATCCATGGAGAACGATGCGGCATTTGGCTGTTGGTGTGGGATCGAGTATTCCAACGTTCAAATGGTAAGTATCAAGCAAGCAGCCAAGCAAGCATGCACCCAAAGCCTAGATACTAACGCCATCCCGGAAACAGGTTCATGTTCCTCCATCGCAACTTCAACTACTCGTCCAAGTTCCTCTCTATCCTGACCAAAGTCACCGTTCAGCAAATCGTCTTCACCCCGGTCTTCAACACGTACTTTTTCAGTTTGCAATCTCTCCTCTCGGGCGCGACACTGGGGGAGACATTTGAGCGGTTGAAGAAGGCTCTACCCCTGAGTATCCAGAACAGTGTCAAGCTGTGGCCGGCTGTCACGGCATTCAGTTTCATGTACGTCGCGCCGCAGTTCAGGAGTATTTTCTCGGGCTGTATTGCTGTTGGATGGCAGACGTATCTGAGTTGGTTGAATCAGAAGGCTGCGAAGGAGGTTGCGGCGGCTGAGTACGCGGAGATGATGTCCTCAAAGGCGTTGACGTCTAGTGGGATTGATTCTTCGGCGACCTTGAAGACGTGATGATCTGATAAATGATCGTGTTTAAAATCGCTCTTTTTGACCCAGTCGGTTTCGTGTGAATATGGCGGTGTTGGCTGTACATAGAATTACCCTCATGTTTTTGAGCGTTGAGATACCAGATAGATAGACTCTTTCAATGATGATACTTTGTACATATTATAGAAACAAGCAATAAACCCCAACCTGTAAATACAAACGCATTTTTTAATCATCGCACGACGAGTGGAATGATTAATTAACACCGTTAAGCTTCCATCTAAACCCCGACCCGCCGCGATCAGATCGAGAAAACGCGCCACTCTTATCAAACCACCACCAACAAACACCCACACGGGGACATGTTACATGTTCCATTCCATGACATGATATGACAGTTCCCATTCAGTCGCAGGCATGTCCTGCCCACCGCCATCGCAGAAACTAATCCCCGCCGGATTCGTCGACGACAACGACGATAACAGCACCGATTACGGATCCGACTTCACCCCGGACGAAGTGGACGAACTGTTCGCCAAAGTCGCCCCGGAACACGCGACCGGGCAGAACGTGCCGGCCACCAAGGGAGAAAAAGAACAGGAACAGCAACAAAAGGAAGGGAAAGAGCAGGAGAGGAAGATTGTGGGTGATATTGAAGATTATTATGCGGGTTCACCGTTGTCTCCCCGCGTGCCTAAGGTACTTGGGAGAGAGAGATTTGGTTCGCCATGGCATCAGAAGCAACAGCAACAGCAACAGCAAAAGAATACTGGTAGCAGACCAGGTCAGATGCCAGGCAACGCTGGCACCGCGTCTGGTATTTTAGCTACTCCCTTGTGTTTTCTTTTTCACTGGAGAACTGACAGTCTGACGAAGCGTTTAGTTGAGCATCCGAATTCCATCGAGGGACGAAAAAGAGATCGTGAACGGGCCATCGCGCGCGAGAAAGAGTGGACGAAACAAGAGGACGAGAATAATAATGCGCCAGATCTTCGATCTCCGATAGAGCGATTCAGACTCCCGCCCAATAAGCCATTTTCGGTAACGGATTTGATTTCCCCCGCGTGGTGCGAGTTGCAGTATTGGTATACGTTGACCAAGTTTGGGAGGAAGAGACGGACGCCTGCGATGAAGCAGGGGAGTACCATACACAAGACGCTGGAGGATGAGATCTACACGACTGTTTCGGTGGAGATTACGACGAGGGAGGATGCGTTGGCGTTGAGGATTTGGAATGTCATTCAGGGTCTGCGGATGCTGCGGGAGTATGGAATTACGAGGGAGTTGGAGGTTTGGGGGCTGGTGGATGGGGAGCTGGTGAATGGGGTTATTGACCAGCTCTCGTTTGAGTGTCCGGATTCTGATCTTGAGGCTACGGCTGCAGAGTACTATGCCGATGTGGAGGTTTCGAGGGCGGCGATGCCAGAGTACCAGATGTCGCTGACGGATTATTTGCTGTCTCCGTCGCAGGGTGGGAGGAGGTTGTCTGATGCCTCGTGGCAGAATGCTCCTTCGCTAACCCCCGATGACTCGGTCAGCCAGCAGCTTTCCCCAGAGGTCTTCAGTTTGCCCAGGGTTTATATGACGGATGTCAAGACGAGAGCGAGTAACTCGACTCCCACTGTCAAGAGCTCGTCTTTTCGACCGACTCTGCTCCAGCTCCAGATGTATTATCATATGCTCAACCGTCTTGTCCTCAGCGACGATGTCACCGTGGAATTGCTTGCGTCACGGTATAACCTAGACCCTGAGCGCAGCTTCACGGACGCCTTCATCACCGAAGTGGGCGGTTTAAACGATCAATTCTTCGATGCGCTGTCCACGCAGGACTTTGATTCTGATTTCATTGCCTCCCCGGAAGACGCAAAAGGAATCTCCCGAGACTCAGACTTCACTCCCCCGGCCAGCCAGGACTCGAGCACCATTCTCCTCACACATAACAATCTCTCCAGTCTCTGGAAGTTCATGAAAGACCAACTCCGTCTCACATTCCTCCCTCCCCCCGAATCCATCGTCGCCGCCTCCATCCCCTCCAAGACTCAGCCAGCCCTTCTCGAGCCCTACCCAACCGTCCTATCTCCCCTCTTAACAGCCCGATACCTCTCTTCTGCCCCAACAACCGACCTCCAACCCCGAGTCCTAGGAAGCCGATCCTTCCTATTCGACCCCACGACCCTACACTCCTACCTGGGCGACCAAATGAGCTGGTGGCGCGGTACACGCGACCCGCGCGGCGTCGAGGTCATGGAAGCGTGGAAATGCCGACTCTGCGATTTCCGCGATGATTGTGTCTGGCGCGAGGAGCGCGAATGGCAAATGGCGAATCGGAAACGGGGGAGGAGGGGTTCTGCTTCGAGGGGGTTTGTGGAGGGGGTTGCATTTGGTTGATTCTCTCTCTCTCTCTCTCCCTCTCTCTGTTCTTTAAGCCGGAGGCTTTTTGTGTTTTGTTTTCATCTTTGGCGTTTAGAGATTTTATTTGCATGTGCATTTGCATTTGGTTGCCCAGATTATGGGTGGTGGTATCTGGTTACACAGGGTATAGAAGGTATTGGTCGTTTTAGGCAATTAGTGCTTGCGTGCGTGTTCTATTATCCACCCAAGTTTAGTAAATAATATGCAATCTTCTATATAACCATGCAGTTGAACCATCTATCAACCTCACTCTCAAGTCTTGCACTGAGAATCTAGCTTCATGGCTATCTTGATCTGTTGAGATGGAACATGTTATGTATAGCCTAACCTAGACTAAATCACAAAGGATAACTTCGAACTTCTTCCTCCTTCTCCAAATCCAGCCCAGCAGCCACCTGCTCTTCATGTTTCTGGTCAAGATACTCCAGCAGAACCTCCTCATACCTCTCCTTACCCTTATACCGCGACACATCATCACCCCAACTCCGAATCGCAGACGCAAGCCGACCAGGAACATACGGCTCCTTGACGATCTCCGTGATGGGCTCAAAATACGTCCGAATGGTGAAAACCACCGCCCCAGACCGTGGAAGACGACGCAACGACTGCCTCTCCGACCGGAAGAAGTGGTGCTCGATAGCCTTGTTCTTCTGCGCCGTGCTCCACGAGACTTCAGTCGCGTCTTCGGACCCGATACTATGCGACCAGGGCAGGTTATCGTCGACTTGGATGAAGTAGTTATTCCGGAGAACGGGGTCTTCGGGTTTAAGACGACGGAAGAAATTCATCATTCCCTTTTCGAGTTTCTCGCGGTATTGGGGCACGTCGCCGGAGGTGTGGATTTCGGATAGTCGCATCCCGAATTTGTCTTCGAGGCGCCAGAAGCCGGCGAGGAGGATTGCGCCTGCGAGGAGGTAGTACTCGCCGTCTTCTTTCTCGAACATTAATGCGAGGTCATCTTGGACGAGACGTGCGGCTGTGGCCATCGGGTCTTCTGGTAGTGGGCATTGTACGATGTTGAAGGATTCTCCTGTTACGAGGTTGTTGATTCCGGTTTCTGTCTTTTGGAACATTGAGGGATATCGTTCTGGGAGGTAGGAGCAGCTACACACGAGGAGAAAACCGTTAGCCTACGAAGTATTGAGATAGCATTGTTCGTGATATTGTCGACTCACAGCTCCTCCAGCAGCTCAATCGCTCCGTCCATTGCTTCGGGCGCGGTTCCATAGCATTTTGTGCCTCGTTCTTGGATCCGACGTGCCTTGTCAGCGTGATATCGCAGATAGTGATTATCGAGTTCTACGTAAACTCTGTGAGTATGAATTTGATTCGAGGAAGATGGTTGCTCTTACCTATCCATTCATCCCAGTTCATGCTTCTCAAGCCCATAGTGATAAAATACTTTCTGTACAGGCTCTTTGTCAGACAGTCGTCGCGACTATAGACATTGGATTCGACTTACGGGCCATATCTGAAAGGTCGGTAGGGGATTGGCTTTGTTGTGTGAACGTTCCAGTCTGGATATGGGGATGCGGATGGTCTTTTGAAATCCAAAGGTGCCCATTCTTCGTCACGAGCAGAGGTCAGTTACTTGCGGCTAAATCATCATATACTCTGTTATCGGAAGAGGGCTTCATACTCCCTGGCTCTCTGGTGGGCTTTTTGAATTTTGATACTGAAGACCTCTTCTCGAGGTCTGGGGTCGAGGGTATGGGGATCTGTTCAGCCGTCTTCCACCTCTTTGAGACGGTGATTGCAAGCCAGACGCAGACATTTAGTATCAGACAGACGAATGCTACATCTTTTATGTGATACTGGCCGATATGCAAATTATCAAGAGTCATTGTCATTCCTTGCTTCAAAATAGAGGGGATAAGTTGACAGGATCAACCAGGTCTTCGAAGAGATGAAGAATACTTCATCACCCCAACCTGTCAATAGGATGGTAAGCTCTTTTTGCTGCAGGTGGTATCAAGTAAATACCGCCATGCGGTCATATCAAGATAAAGATAAAGCCTGTGCCATTCGCGTTAATCGGATGCGATCGTGCGTTGACGGCGATCAGTCCCCATTATGATACCTGGATCCGACCACCGATAGCCTGCAGCCAATCCATGTACATCCTGAAGCAAGAATGAGTTCAATTTGCGGGGAAACCCTTATCTTTGCGGTCTGTGATACTGCAAATCTCGTTGGCGTTGAGGGATTTCTTATCCTAATTCGGTATAGGTCACACCGCCGGATGTTGATTTCCTGTTGTCGCCTGCAAGGGCGCATTCTGTTTACAAATATGGGCAACCGGATGTAATTCTATTTATACATACTATTATTTGTATTGTGGTTGGGTAGCCCCAGCTTATTTTGTTCCTGTACTTAGATCCCGTCGTTGGAGGAGACAGTACTGTCCCCATTGACGACGGAAGCGCTCTGGAACGAAGGGCAGATCAGGGATCCAGATCAAACGGCCCCAGATGCTTGTTCGGGAAGCATCAAGGAAAGAAGCGCAAGAAAGCTTCTCCCACTGCGCTTCGTCATCTATATAATGAGGTTCTAGTTCTGTTGCGACTCGCTCGGGGAAATGCGAATCAACGAGGAAAGAACACTGCGCGATGTCGACCTATTATTGATATTAGTTTACTGTCAGATAAGAAGCAGAATAAAGCTGCGCAAATGACTCACGTATTTCTCAGGATCCTCCTCGTTTAGATCGTTCATTCCGGCTGGAATCTGCGATGTGCCATCTAGAAGAGCCTGAAAGTTTGTGGCATCGGGGAATTCTCCAGGAAGAAGTCCCCGGAACTCGCTCCGTATAAACTTGGCCCGCATGTCATTGGGAAGGAAGAACGACGAGGGGAATCGATACCACTCCTTGCCGAAGCAAACCGATTGACCGGCATAAGTAATATCCAGATCCTTCAATGGCTCAAACACCTTCAGAGGAGCGTTGTATCCCGTGATCATCCCGGTAATCCGGAGCAAACCCGAGTTTATGGCAACGAGGACCAATGACAACACCACGGCAAGCTTGAACGGCGCTGGAACGCGTCCGATAGCCTCTTTCGAGTTGCTGGATCCAACGTAGGACAGAACCATGTGGAACGAAATGGCGGCATTGAGAGCCAAGAACGGATACGCAGGATGCATGAATCTCTCTTCCTTGTGAGGCTGGACGGTGAAAATAGCAAACCACATATAGAAAGGTGTGATGAGAGTAACAGTCCTCAACAAAGTCTGTTTAGTGGTAACTTGAGACCGGAAAACAGCTTGAAGAACGAGCAATGGTGCTGCAGACATAGCCAAAATGAACCAAACGTTGAAGTTCAGCAGGAGATTCCGGATATAGAACGTCCAGGGCTCTGTTCCAAAGATCTCGGGGCCTCTTCCCTGTCCACCGAAAATGTTGTAAGCAACAATATTCCATGGAACGATGGCAAATTTCCGGAAGAAAACATAGTCAGCAGCAATCTCGAGTGCCTAGAGGAATTAGCATGCTACCAATAACGAGCGATCGACAAAAGCGTACTAAGATTGCCAAGCACCCAAAGATTCCTTTGAAAATGCCTCCGAATGTCTTCAACATGGAACCCGAGATAAATCCAATAATGACCTCTTCAAGTAGTAGAGGAATGATGAGAGCTCCAGCAAATGGCCAGCCCACAATCGCACCGAGACCAAACCACATGATTCCCTGCGCTGTTTTCTGGCTACCTCTCCAATCCAGGAACGCCGTGAGACCCAGCATTGACGTATGCATAGTAAAACTAGATGGAAGGAACGAGGTAGACGCATGGAACATGCCCGGGCTGAAAGCGACGGCCATGAGGAACAAAAGGCCAATTCGGGGGCTGAGGGTGCGGCAAATGGCGGAGTAGAGTCTTGTCTGACAAGCAGCACAAACAAGAGCCAGGAAGAAACGGATCACGTAGAACTCAGAAGTCTTGCTCTGAAATGGAAAAGAGCCGAATTTTCCGACGGCTGCATGAAGGGAGACGTAAAGCCAGCTTCGGATCGAGTAGACGGGCGAATACTCCCATGTTTCAAGACCATATCCATGATTCAAGTAATGTGTAGGCTCCCAGAAGTTGAATACTTCATCGCAGTCCTGAATAGGCGCAAGGAAAGCGGAAATTCCATTAGAAATGAGACACAGATAAAGCGTTATGTTGAGAGGGATATAAAACGGCGGCGGAGGTGGACTGCAATGGGTCTTGAGGTTAGTTGGGGAGCTCCAATGTTATGACGGATATTCGAGTTATACCGTTGTTTTGTACGTGGTTTGACACGTCTTGATGGATCTGATGGTTCATTCATTTGGGTTCCAGTAGGCTCCATCGTCAATTGCCTCACAGACAGAGAGATCTTCGTCGAGCGATAAAAAAGATCCGCTGGAGATGCTCGATCAGACCACGATAAACGATAAACAGCTTGTCCGGTGGCCGCAACGGCAACTATGGCAGATCCCGGAAAAAAAAAGTTTCTTGACTTCACCTGCTCGATCAGTCTGCAAGCAACCTCTGATTATTTTATTTTTCTTGAAACTCTATTTTTTCGAGTCCAAGATGAGTGACCAGAAACTGCATGGTCAGTCCCATGGGACTCCAGGAAGTACTAGCGACGTTCCTCCTGCTAAACGTCCTTGTATGAACGATACGCCACCCATCGCAGGAACACCCGATGATGGCAGTGACTTCTACAACACGCCCTGGACCGCAGGAACGCCTGTGAACAATAACGAAGACAAAAATGTTGTCGCGACAAGTCAACCGAGCGAGCCATCCGCGTCTCCTAATCCAGCTCCTATAATCCCAGGATTAAATCTCGTCAACGAGTCTTTCAAGGATATGCAGCCGGCGAATAACGAATCGAATCCACCCCAGAATCCAGAAAATGAGAACATTGTTGCAGACACCAATGTTGACGACCAGACCGAAACCACCCAGAACAAACCAGAGACCACCGCGCAACAGGAGCCAGTGCCTGTAGCCGGAGAAGCGATGGAGGTGGAGCAAAATGGCGAGCAGCACAACCAAGAAGTCGCAAACCAGAGGTCGAACGAGACCGGCGCGGCACCTGCCCCTGATGCCATGGATACTACTCTGCCCGAGAACGAAGACGAGCACCCGGAATGGGAGGTTGACTCTTCTCCATACGAGTCGTCTTCTGACAGTTCGACGGATTCCTCAGACGACAGCGATGACAGTGATGACGAAGACTATCCAATCCTTAGTGCCGAAGAACAAGCCCGAATTCTGATGCAGGCAGAACTTGGCTCTGATGACGAAGGAGAAGGCAAGGGTAAATCGGGCGGACATATCAAAACGGCAAACGAAATAGTAGATGATGTGCCGCCCATCCCAGACATTACAGTTACTCCCGAGATGAAAACAGTTTTCCTGGGTAGTATCACCGCAATTGTGGAAAACACAATTCTCATCGAGGCCAGTGTTTCGGGAGAATATCAGGTGCTCGAGTCAGGCTCATTGCTTTGTCTCGAAAACCGGAACGTCATCGGAGTGGTCTCTGAAACATTGGGCCGAGTCGAGAATCCATTGTATGCTGTTCGATTCCCAAGTGCTGCCGATGTCGAGCAACACGGTCTATCTAAAGGAACGAACATATACTATGTCGAGCAACACTCTACATTCGTCTTCACCCAGCCCCTCAAAGGAATCAAGGGAAGCGATGCATCGAATTTCCACGACGAAGAAATTGCTGAGGATGAAGTCGAATTTTCCGACGACGAAGCAGAGGCTGAATACAAGCGAAAGCTGAAGCAGAAGCGTCAGGAGAGAAAGGACGCCAGGAATGAGAACGGTCCAGCGAGAGCGAAAAAGGGACAACCTGGCCCATCGAAACTCAGTCACACTGAACTCAACTATGATGACGATGCAGGTGAAGATGGGTACACTCCTCTTGCCCGCCCAAAAAATTTGCACGAGATTATGGGCCAACAAGAGGCACCGGTCGAGGGCGATGGCCCCTCTGCTAGAGGCTCTGGCTTCCGTGGTGGTCGAGGCCGAGGCCGAGGTGATCGTGGTCGTGGTGGGCGTGGTAGAGGAGGGTCTCGCGACTTCCGCGATCAAAACTCTCGTGATTCTCGGCCACAGGCCCATCAGCCAAGACCAGCTACGGACTCTCAACCTCAACCTGCAAGCTACGGCCAGCAGGCTTACCAGCCGGCACAGCAAGGTGCTTACGGACTGCCTCAGCAATTCCCATTTGCACCTTTCCAGCAGCAGCAGCAACCATATGCTCAAAGCGCAACCCCACCACAGTTCCCCTTCCAGATGCCTCAGATGCCTCAAATGCCGTATCAACAGCAGTTTCAACAAACTAACCCATATATCAACCCTCTATTCTTAGCTGCCCTGCAACAGCAACAGCAGCAATATCAGCAACCACAGCAGGCAGCTGGACAGCCGCAGGGCCAGAACCCATCAATGAATTTTGATCAGGTCAAGGCGCAATTGGATCTTTTGCGACAATTGAGCAACCAAAACCAAGGGCCACCACCCCAGTGATGCTGTGATACCACATTCATGATCTTCTTTTGATGTCTTTCCTCTAATCATTTTGGCTAAAACTTACATGGTTGCATATTAAGGAGCTGGTCATATGGCTTTCGGTTGGGAATAGAAAAGTTATTGTCTTTGGTTTAACCCGTTGAATTTGGTATATGTAAAGTGTATAGCACATAATTTATGTGAGAAGTGTGTTTGAATAAAATATTATTGCTTACTATACATGAGCATATCATCCATCTACCAGAAAACTTCGCGATAATCATGATACTTGCCTTTATTTGTATTGGGTATTCGGTTTTGTATAAAGGCAGAATTGACTACTTGCATTGCCCACAAACTCACGATTCACTCTGCTTTGAGCTCTTCGCTAGAACCCAAAAGTTTTCCATCTTCGCTCGAGCCAAAACGTCCTTTGCTTGCGTGTCGCTTTCGCACACACGGGCACCAAGCCATTTTCTGAAAGAGCGACCCTTAGCCTGACCCTCCCACAAGAGGGTGCAGGTATTGGTGCTGAGATCTTTCAAGTCACCCGTTTTTTCGTCTTCAGCGGCTAACCACGCTGCTGAAGCTTCACGGTTACCCTCTCGTACAGCTCCTGGACCAGCATTTTCTGTCCAGTCGATTCGGTTCATCATGAGTTTCTTGTAAGCGTTGATCGAGTGGGCACCTCCCTCGACAACGACCAGATTGAACCGGGGGTTCATGACGCAGACGCCAGAAAGAGCATTCTGTTCCGCATTTTTGCTGATCTTGAAGCGATTGCGTCCATTAGCAAGGCTGTCAATTCGATACACAGACACGAAAATTCCCTTTTCAGCATCCTTCTCCTGCTGACTTGCGAGCTTCTCTCGACGCTCTTCCTTGGTCAATTTACGTTCTTGATTGGCAGCTTCGTGCTGTGTACGACGGTCCGCGATCTCCCGGCCCACACGGGCTTCAACGGCCGTGGGGTCTTTGACTGCTTGTTCACCCAGAACTCGCATGAGATTGGACTTCTTGACCTTCGGTGGAGGCGCAGGTTCTAGACCTAATCTGATCTTCGCTTGCTGCTCCTTGAGGTCGGCCATTCTTCGCTGTCGACGGATCTTAGCTTGTTCCTTGTGTGTAAGATACATAGGTTTTTGAGCAGGCATGTGCTTGTCCTGGGGAGGATCAAGGAGGACAGGGTGCTGAACATAGAGAGTGACTATGGAATCTGGGGTGTCGATCTTGAGGTTCTTCTCGTCTTCAATCGCAGAATAGTCGGGTCCGTCTACCAGACCTTCATCCCACCATTCAATTGCCGGCGGAGCAGGCACAAGAAATGCCTTTTCCACATCCAGATCTTCATCAATACCAGCTTGTCTTGCCCTCTCCGCAATGCGTTTCTTCATAGCCTCCAGCTGAGCCTGTCGACGTAGAGCAGCCGCCTGTTGTATATACTTTCCTTTCTGGTTGAAAAGGAGCTGTCGCGTTTGTCGTGGTTTCGCAATTGTGGCTTTGGGGCCGAGGTTCGGATCGTAATAAGGATTATTTCTGATTTCGTCGAGTGAAGGTCCTGAAAGATCAAGCCCGGCTTTCTCTTGTCTCTCAGGCATCGGCGACTCGACCCGCCGGTTTCCAAACTTTTGCTGCGAGGCCTGCCGCCCTTTGCCGCCCCGGAAATCTGGAGTGGTATCTGAAAGCAAAGCGGGATGAAGACCGACATCTAAACCACCGCGAGCTCGCGAAGAACCTTCATCATCAAGAGCTGGCGGCTGGTAAGTCGGGGCAGGAGTGTGCGTTCTTGGCTGAGCCGCCGTGCTGGCTCTCCCTGTTGCTGCTGCCACTCTTGCTTTCATTTGCTCCAGCCTAGACATAGCAGGACTGGCCGATGGTGGTGTGACACTAGGGGTTGGCGCTGCTGGTGTCAGGGCTGGGCTTGCGCCTTTCGCAGCTTGAAGCCTGGCGCGCACTGCTTCTGCCTTTGCTCGTGCCTCGGCCACCATCTTTTCAATGTCGACCTTGCCAGAGGCAGGGCCTCCTTGTGCTGGAGCTGGAGAGCCATGATTGGAGCGGGATCTTTTCTGTGAGTTATTGTCTTCGTCCTCGGGATGAGGCCGCTTCAGCACGTTGCCTGACACGTCCGCCATTATTGAGACACGAAAAGCACACCACTCACCCGCGGATCACAGTCGAGTTGTATGACTGGTTATCGAGAAGAAGCTGGGACCGACAGCTAGACCGCGAGAGCGTTGAGGATGAGGAGGAGAGATGCGAGATAAGTTATGTGGTGGAAGGAGAATAAATCACGGGATGATCCAACGTGGACGCAAGGCGGTGTCGCACGGCAGAAAAAAGTTCTTGGGGTGGAACTTTTTTCGCAGCTTCGAGACCGACGAATCCGCATTTTATTCTCCAGGCCAGCAACAGGAAAAAAGAATTCGCACCGCCAGTGTCTTCTGTCGCTCCTGGAGCTGCGGGAACCATGGCGACTTTCGCACGGCCTGTGGCATCCTCCATTGGAGGGGTCGACTTTGGAGTCTATTCGAATGAAGATATCAAAACTATTTCTGTAAAGCGAATTCACAATACTCCGACTTTGGATTCTTTCAACAACCCTGTTCCTGGTGGTCTATACGACCCAGCTTTGGGCGCATGGGGTGATCATGTGTAAGTTATTCTCATTGCATTCTTCGGGAAATTATTTTTTGCTTTTGCTATTATCTACTTCCATCTTTGCTTCTGTCCTGCATACGGCGAAGGCTGATTCCTTGTAGCTGCACGACTTGCCGCCAAAACTCCTGGTCTTGTACTGGCCATCCTGGACACGTTGAGCTACCCGTTCATGTTTATAATGTAACGTTTTTCGACCAGCTTTATCGGCTACTTCGAGCGCAATGCGTCTATTGCCATCGCCTTCAAATGTCCCGGGTCAATGTGAATGCATATGTATGCAAATTGCGACTTTTGCAGTACGGATTGGTCGACGAGACTGCAGTCATAGACTCGATGGGAACCGGGAAGACAGACAAAAAGAAGCCAGCGAAGGATGGAGAAGGCTCCAGCAGTGAGGACGAGGACGAGGACGATTTGATCGCCAAGAGAAACTCCTATGTCAAGAAGAGCATTCGCGAAGCGCAAGCTTCGGGGAAGCTGCAAGGCCTGATGGCTGGCGCAAAGAATCCGATTGCCGCGGAGCAGAGACGAGCCGTTGTCAAGGAGTTCTTCAAGGACATCGTGAGCATTAAAAAGTGTACCAACTGCAGCGGGTATGTTTGTCTATTCATGTATCAAACATGCTTCAATTTACTGATGGAAATCAAAGTATTTCGCCAGCTTACCGGAGGGATAAATACTCGAAGATTTTCAAGAAGGCTTTGCCCGAGAAGTCCAGACTTGCTATGGTACAGGCTGGATTCCAGGCACCAAATTCCTTGGTCCTCCTCCAGCAGGAAAAGAAACTTAACTCTAAAGAGAAGAACGGCGCCTCGGATACAGTCAGTGTGGCTTCGGAGCCCCACGGAGCAGAGGAAGAAGTTGCTCGCGGAAATGCCGTTATAACGCAGATGGAGGACAAGAATCAAGCGGCCTCTGAATCCCAGCAGTATATGCCTTCACCTGAAGTTCATGCCGCGATGGCGCTACTCTTTGAAAAGGACGGAGAGATCCTCAACCTTGTGTACAACTCTCGACCTTTGCCAAAGAAGGAGTCCCGAGTCAGTGCGGACATGTTCTTCATTAAGAATATCCTGGTTCCCCCGAACAAATACCGCCCTGCTGCTGCGCAAGGCCCAGGCGAAATCCTCGAAGCTCAGCAGAACACACCCTTTACCCAGATTTTGAAGAACTGCGACATTATCAATCAAATTAGCAAGGAAAGACAAAATGCGGGTGCTGACTCTGCCACTCGGATGCGGGACTACCGTGACCTTCTTCAGGCAATCGTTCAACTCCAAGATACAGTCAATAGCCTTATTGATAAGGACCGAAGCTCCCTGGCTGGACCGGCGGGAGCTGGAGCTGCGAATGGCATCAAGCAGATCCTTGAAAAGAAGGAGGGTTTGTTCAGAAAGAACATGATGGGTAAGCGAGTTAACTTCGCTGCTCGTAGTGTCATTTCGCCAGATCCCAACATCGAGACCAACGAAATCGGTGTTCCGCTGGTATTTGCCAAAAAGCTGACCTACCCGGAACCTGTCACCAACCATAACTTTTGGGAAATGAAGCAAGCAGTAATCAATGGCCCAGACAAGTACCCTGGTGCTGCTGCTATTGAGAATGAAGTTGGTCAAGTCACAAATCTCAAGTTCAAAAGCCTGGACGAGCGAACAGCACTTGCAAACCAGCTACTTGCCCCGTCTAACTGGCGAATGAAGGGATCTCGCAACAAGAAGGTCTACCGCCATCTCACGACTGGTGATGTCGTTTTAATGAACCGTCAGCCTACGCTGCATAAACCGTCCATCATGGGTCACAAAGCTCGGGTTTTGTCAAATGAAAGAACCATTCGCATGCACTACGCCAACTGTAACACTTACAATGCTGATTTTGATGGTGATGAAATGAACATGCATTTCCCCCAAAATGAGCTTGCTCGTTCGGAGGCTATGATGCTTGCTGATGCTGACCACCAATACCTTGTTGCGACGTCCGGCAAGCCTTTGAGAGGTTTGATTCAGGACCACATCTCGATGGGAACATGGTTCACCTGCCGGGATAGCTTCTTTGACAAGGAAGATTACCACCAACTTCTCTACTGCTGTTTGCGACCAGAGAACTCCCACACCATTACGGAACGGATCCAGCTTGTGGACCCGGCAATCATTCGACCGAAACGTCTTTGGACCGGAAAGCAGGTGATTACGACGATCCTCAAGAACATCATGCCCCCGGGCCGCGCTGGTCTTAACCTGAAGAGCAAGTCCTCAACACCCGGAGAACGATGGGGCGAAGGCAGTGAAGAAGGAAACGTTATCTTCAAAGATGGAGAGATGCTTTGCGGTATTCTTGACAAGAAGCAAGTTGGTCCAACTGCTGGTGGTCTTATTGACTCCATTCACGAAGTCTATGGACATACCATTGCAGGAAGACTCATTAGTATTCTTGGACGACTCTTGACCAGATTCTTGAACATGCGTGCGTTTACTTGCGGTATCGATGATCTTCGATTGACCAAAGAAGGCGATCGTGTCCGCAAGGAGATCTTAAGCAAGGCTGCCGGAATTGGTCGTGACGTTGCGCTGAAGTATGTTACTTTGGACCAAATCAAGGTTCCCGATGAGGATGCCGAGCTGCGCCGACGTATGGAAGAAGTCCTTCGAGTTGACGAGAAGCAGAGTGGCTTGGATAGTGTTGCAAACGCCCAAGGTGGCTCTCTTTCTTCCGAGATCACTCGGGCCTGTCTCCCCAAGGGTCTTGTCAAGCAGTTCCCGCGAAACCAGATGCAGTCGATGACAATATCCGGAGCCAAGGGTTCTGCTGTCAACGCAAACCTGATTTCCTGTAACCTGGGCCAGCAGGTTTTGGAAGGTCGACGTGTCCCCGTCATGATCAGTGGTAAAACTTTGCCATCCTTCAGAGCCTTTGAAACTCATCCCATGGCTGGTGGTTACGTGTGTGGTCGCTTCTTGACTGGTATCAAACCCCAAGAGTACTACTTCCACGCCATGGCCGGTCGTGAAGGTCTTATTGATACGGCTGTCAAAACTTCTCGATCTGGTTATCTGCAACGTTGTTTGATCAAGGGTATGGAAGGCTTGAGGGCGGAGTATGATACTTCAGTCCGTGAGGCCTCCGACGGTTCCATTGTTCAGTTCCTTTACGGAGAGGATGGTCTCGATATCACAAAACAGGTGCATCTTAAGGATTTCGATTTCCTTGCTTCAAACCATAAATCAATCATGTCTCAAGTCAACCTGACCAATGACTACCAAACTTTGGCCAAGGACGAGGTCACAAACTGGCATAAGGATGCAATGAAGAAGGTGCGCAAGACAGGAAAATCAGATGCTATGGACCCCGTGCTGTCGCGCTACCACCCTGGAGGAAACCTGGGCAGTACATCTGAGAAATTCTCTGCCGCACTCAAGAAGGTACGAATTTATTTAACTATACTTATCTATATTTTTACATAACTAACTTGATATCTTCACAGTACGAGGATAGCAACGATGACAAGCTTCTGAAAGACAAGAAGAAGAACATCGAGGGTGTCATCACTAAGAAGGCCTTTGATACTTTGATGAACATGAAGTATTTGAAATCGGTTGTGGACCCTGGTGAGGCGGTTGGAATTGTTGCCAGCCAATCTATTGGAGAGCCCTCGACCCAGATGACTTTGAACACCTTCCACTTGGCTGGACACTCGGCAAAGAACGTGACACTGGGTATTCCCCGATTGCGTGAAATTGTTATGACTGCCAGTGCTCACATCATGACCCCCACAATGACGTTGATTCTGAACGAAGAGATGAGCAAGGATGATTCTCAGAAATTCGCAAAGGCCATCAGCAAGCTTAGCATTGCGGAGATTATCGACAAGGTCCAAGTCCGGGAAAGGACTACATCAGGCAACGTGAAGGCCAAGGTCTATGACATTGATCTCACGTTCTTCGCAGCCGAAGAATACATGAAGGAGTATGCCATCCAAATCAAGGATGTGCAGAACACTTTGCAAAACAAGTTTATCCCCAAAATTGTGAAGCTCACTAGAGCCGAACTCAAGAAACGGGATGATGAAAAGTCTTTAAAGAACTTCTCGGCCGCTCAACCTGAGATTGGTGTCTCTGTTGGTACCATCGAGGAGGCTCCTCGCGGCCCTGACCGTGAAGGTGAACCTGCTGATGATGACAACGAAGATGACGAGGACGACGCCAAGCGAGCCAGAGGTGCTCAGAACCGCTCGAACCAGGTTTCTTATGAAGGCCCCGAGGATGATGAAGTTGACATGGTTCGACAACAAGACGCCTCCGAGGATGACGATGACGACGACGAGAACGACAAGCCTCAACAAACACGCGATGTGGAGATGAATGATGCTTCTGATGATCAGGACTCAGATGGGGAAACCAAGGACACCAAGCTGCGAGAGGAAGATATCAAGGGCAGATTTGCTGAAGTAACACAGTTCAAGTTCAACCCCAACAAGGGTTCTTCTTGTACTATCCAGCTCCAGTATGACATCTCGACCCCTAAGCTTCTTCTGCTCCCTCTGGTCGAGAATGCGGCCCGCAACGCCGTTATCCAGTCCATCCCTGGTCTCGGTGACTGTACATATGTGGAGGCAGACAAGGGCAAGAACCAGCCTGCCCAGGTCATCACAGACGGTGTCAACCTGCTAGCCATGCGTGACTACCAGGACATCATCCAGCCCCACAGTCTCTACACGAACTCCATCCACCACATGCTGAACCTCTACGGTGTCGAAGCCGCCCGTGCATCCATCATCCGGGAAATGCACGAGGTCTTCGAGGGTCACAGTATCTCGGTTGACAACCGTCACCTGAACCTGATCGGTGATGTGATGACACAGTCTGGCAGCTTCCGTGCCTTCAACCGTAACGGCCTCGTCAAGGATAGCTCGTCGCCTTTGGCCAAGATGAGTTTCGAGACGACAGTCGGTTTCCTCAAGGACACCGTGCTTGAGAGGGACTTTGACAACCTTAAGAGCCCCAGTAGCAGAATCGTTGTCGGTCGCTCTGGAACCGTGGGAACTGGTGCATTTGATGTTCTCGCTCCTGTAGCATAGTTGGTGGATGATGTGTTCCATTTGTTATAAATTTTTTTGCCATTATCTTGTATATGTTTGCAACATCTGATTGTGTATCACGCATTTTCTTTGTTTTTGATGTGTCTTACGATTCGGAGTTTGTCTCAGCGAATATAAGAAAAGTCTTGTTCCTATTCAGATAGCATACACTTTGTGAAAACTGATAAATAGAATTTTCAGATACTAGTGCAAATGTGTCCAAGTTTACTTATGAATTCTATGTATGGAGTATTATTATTTATTATTCAATCAAAGCCCAAGCCACCATGGTATCTCATTTTTTCGACTAGGCCAGAAGTCAAAACGCCACTGACAAAACAAAAAATCGCTTTCTATGGCAAAATGTGTTTTCCCAAAATTATGTTCACTGTGCATCCAGCATCATGAGATCTTCATCAATGTCGTCGTCAAATTCATCCTGACCAACAGCAAGCCGGGCGCCATTTGCTCCATGTCCGTTGGTGAGCTCTTCTCTCCGCACCCTCTCCTCTTCAATTCTCTGTTTTTCTCGATGTCGTTCCAAGTCAGCCAAGCTCCATGTGGATATCCCCTCCTGGTCCTTGGCTTTAAAGGGTTGGGCCATGGTGCGCAGAAAATTCTTTGCTGTTGCGGCAGCCATATCTGTACTGAGATTCGTTTCGCTTTCCAACATAGCCTGACTGATCCATTTCGGAAGTTGCGTGCGCTTTTTCTGGAATCGACGGTCAGCTAAAACCATGACACCGTAATCATCCTTGCCACGCAAGACACGACCCAAACATTGAGCGGCATGTCTCATGGCGTCGAAGGACAAAAAGTCGTTTTCTCTGATGCGGTAGTTCTCCCGCAGGAACTCTAATCGAGCCTTTAATATACGAGATTCTGTATATTGGAATGGAACACCAATGTTCAACACAGCGCGCCCGTAGTGGTGGTCAAAATCGATACCTTCTGAAACCTTTCCTCGAGCCACGCAGAACAAGACAGCACCCCGACCATTGCAGCACGCTGTTCGGTAGGTTTCCAAAGCCAGAGAAGATTCTTGTGCATCGGGCGTTTCAACAAGAATTAACTTGTAGTTCCAAATTGAATCTAGAATGCCCATGCCCTGCCACATGCTGATGATAGACTCCATATATAGATATGATGGAAAGAAGACAACAACTCCATCAGGCGTGATACGAGAGAATTCGAGAACAAGATTACCGTAGTTGCGCACAACACCTGGATCGTTGCGGATTTGGAACGAGGAAGAAATCTGTGCTTGATCCGATCCACGAGTGACAATCATGGGTAGGAAGGATCGACGTGCTAGAGTCATGCTGTAAGACTCCTGCAAGACAGCGTTGAATCCCAGCATTTTGGGGTACATTTCAAGAGGCGACAAAGTTCCAGATGTGATGATAACCGAGCTAAATCGATCAAAGACCGGCTTGATCGCAATAGCGGCATCCAGGCATGTAAAATGTAAGATTGGGTTTGGCACAGTTGCTGCTTCCGATTCGAACGGCTCAAGAATCAGAAGAAATCCCTTTTCATAAGTGGCGACCAGGGTTGCAAATGTTGCAACCTCTTGAAGAGGCTGATAGTCTTCTATATTAATAAGTTCCAGGGTCCGCACCAGGGAAGTGAGACGTTCAGCGCAGAACCGCAGGGGCTTTCGTTCAATAAAGGTCAGATCTTTGACATGTGTTAAGAAAGAAGGCGGTGTTTCGGATATGGTATGGGTGACTTTCATTCGAGTCTTGAGGTATTCGATGAATCTCTTGAGGAAAGTGACAAAGTGTTCCGCTCGACGTATGTTTCCTGGTACGGCTTCCTTGAGCAAGTCATCTGGTAGGACAGGATTTGAGATAAACTGGTCTTCTTCTCGAGCTTGTTCTGCATCGCGCAGCCCTTCCACCAGCTTTGAGTATTCACTTTGAAGTTTCTCCGCATCAGAGCTCTTCATGTCTTGGATTTTCCGTTCCAAGTTGTTTGCTCCCCTTGTGGCTTTGCGAAGTGAATCTTCAGTCAAATCAATACTGAGGGACTCAATGCAGACGTTGTCGATGTTATGCGCTTCATCAAAGACCACTATGCAATCTTTCGAGAGCTCCCGCGATACTCTTTCTGCGATCTTCGGGTCGAGGAGGTAGTGATAAGAATAGATGATGATGTTGCAGAACGGCATCTGGCAAAATGTGGTTAGAAAAACATGAGACACATGTATATACTGGATAAGATTACCATGCGCCGTGCTGAAAAGTAAGGACATTGTTTGTGTTCCTCCCCATATTTCAATAGCCCATCAAGAGTGAAAACGCCAGGAGGAACAAGGTTGTGAGGTTCGAGGAGATCAAGGTTCTATGCAACGTTAGCAGTCAGCCCAGAAACAAATGAGATGAGCCAGCATACCTCATGGTATGTGCAGAGATCAACATCCTCGCCTCTTTCCTTCTTTTCTTTGACGAATCCTGCCGTCAAGCTTCTGCACCTTGCATCAACGACCGTACCGCTTTTCTCTTTTTTAACCGACGGGTGCAGACACAAGTTCTTTCGGCTCGTTAGACCTAGGGCACGGAAGTCCTCGGTATATCCAAGTTGTTCGGCACGGAATTTCATTAGCGCCTTAAGCTCAGCCAAGGCCTTTTCGATTTCGGACATGGTTCGAGAACAATAGATGAGTTTTCGGTGCTCCGGATAATGTTGCTGATACGCAACGATCAGCGATAGTAGAGATACTGTCTTTCCTGTACCCGAAGGCATCTCCAGGACACAGTGACCCCCAGCACTGAGGGTCTTTTTGAGATCACACATGTAGGCATATTGCTCGGGGTATATACGAGGATAAGGGAACAGCACGGGAAGGTCACTGGTTAGATAAAATACGATTAGACTTGAATTTCTTCTCTTGCAAATAACAGTGGAATCCCCAAACAAAAAACAGTCAAACTCACTCAATGAAGAACTTCATTGTGACGGTTGGGTGCTGGCCTCTGGAGCAATGCGGCGAAGAGATTCCAACTGAAGCTCTCTCATTCGAAGGCGCGAGAGGACCGCGTCGACTTTTCCTCTTTGGGCGATCGATGACACCAGCCCACGTGACTGTTGCCTATCGGGTCGCCGATTATCACGCCGCCTTTTGATATGCATTGGAAACCAGCAACTCTCCCCAGGGAATTTTGGAGATGAGAACTTCCCGGTTAGATTATTGCCTGTCTGCGTGAAAATTTGGAGTCGACGATTGCTAGGACTCTTCTTATTCATTTTATTTGTTTCCACACTCTTTTTTTAATCCTTTCGTTCCCATTTGGTTGTATTCAGCCAACCCCACATTATGAGTAAAAAGTTCAAGTCTCAGGCTTCAAGCAGCCGTGCTGCTGCTAGCACTTTTGGTTCTTTCGGGGGATTTTCAGGCTCTTTTTCTAGCCAAGGAAGGGAACCGTCTTCTCTTACATATGTGGCCGAGCCACCAGATCTGTCGCAAATATCAGAGGCGCAATTGGCTATCGCATTCAAGAACTTCTTGAAAAAAGATGAAGTGACAAGAACAAAGGCATTAGATGATTTGAAAGATTACGTCGCCACGGTAGAAGGTCGCAGTGGGACGCTTGATGATGGGTTTCTAGAGGCCTGGGTACGTCCACAACCTGCATCGTACATTCTGGAGCAATATAGTAACAATCGTGTCTCTCCTCTTGCAGGTTAAAATCTATCCACGGGCGTCAATCGACCTCGCTCGTAGAGTAAGGCAGTTGGCTCATACCATTCAAGGCTCTGTTGCAGGACTCGTGGGAAAGCGCATTGCCCGCTATCTACCCAAGGTGGTGGGGGCATGGCTTGCGGGACTTTATGACAATGATAGACCAGTTCAACGATCTGCAGTAGAGTCATTTACACGGGTGTTCTCAACCGATGAGAAGAGGAACAGTGTGTGGAAGATCTACCAGAGCTCTGTCTTGGATTTTGCGGATGATGTCATCCTCCAGCAAACTCCTCTCACACTGAGTGATGAGCGAACAGTTAAGCCCGATGATGCTGAAGCGAAATATGCCCGAGTGGCCGGAACTGCACTTTTGTTATTTAATCGAATCTTAGGTTTGTTGGCACACTTGATAAAATTTCACAATAAATCTAACTCGGATTTGCTCAGGAACCTCGTCCCATGAGGATCTTCAAAAGAATCTTCCCGCGATTGAAAGCCTACTAGGTAGCAAGTCACTGTTTGCTTTCTGCTACCATGAAGACCCTTTTGTTCGCCGGTCTGTTTATACACTTCTTCGATCGGCGGTTTCAAAGGAGCCCGAAGAGCTTGATTGGAAGATCATAAGCGCGGCTGTGATCGGGAAGTCTTTACATATCTCTCAGATAGGATCTGCTTCCGATTTGTCCGAATGCCTGTTGCAGGCAACATCCGCAAGGCCTCAGTTATGGACAGACGATTACACCGGAAAATCATCCTCCTCGAAGAGACTATTGCAATACATCCAGAAAGGGTCCCAGGGCGGCTCGGGCTCATTCTGGCCAAATCTTGCTCAATTGTTGCAGGTTATTCCACTACAAGCGTTGGCAAAGACTGAATCGCAATCGACTGTTGCTGAGGGTGGGATTAGTCTGCCAAGTGCCATTGCTCTGACAGAAGCTTTCCAAGAAGGTCTCAATTCAAGAGAAGAGCCCAGACAAAATCAACTGGTGGGGTGGAAATCGTATATCGACACGGGAATATGGCTGGCGACTTTGCTCTCTCAAGACGACAAACAACAGTTTATCGAAGGAAGACTGTCTCCTTTATTGGAGCAGTATGTTAAAGCCGAGCCAGATCTTGCTCGATGGTCACTACCTGCGCCCTCAGCTGAAGCTATTTGTGCCGATTATATTATCACACTAGTTAAGAATGATTATGAAAGGGAGTTAGAACTGCTATGGACGCGGCTGTCAGATGGTGTACTTGAATCCGTCAAATTGTCTTCTCCGGAGCAATCGAAGGATTTCAGAATGTCACAGGACGCAATATGCGCGCAAGCCAAACGTCTTCTCACATTGGAGGCTGCCGCCCTTGCCCGGTCAACGGATGTCGATCATGAGCCTCGGATATCAAGCGTATTTGAGAAAACAGGCTTACCACTTCTTGAAAATTGCTTGCAGGTGTTGCAGACTCGGAACGGTAAACCGTATGGAGCAGCCGCGGTGGTCGAAGAAACAATTAACAACAACTCACCGATTGCCCGACGCTCGGAGGAGCTGCTGAAGTTCGTCCAAAATGATGCACCTGAACTCCTGTTTTCACCATCAGCCGATCGACTAACTGCAATCATTTTGTCATGCCGTTCTTGGGATGGATTTGGCACGAGCTTTGAGAAGATCGTGGAACGGGTTATACAACTTGGGCCAGAACAGTCGAATGCAGACGTTCTTAAGAAGCTTCTCTCAACCCTCGATTTCAAAGAAATCGACGATAAGAATGGACTCAATGCGTTGATCATGCGGGCATTAGATAGGGCTTGCAAAGGCAATCCTTCTTACTGGCCAATAGTCATTGCTGCTCTCCAGAACCAGACCTCAAGGGGCGAACTGACGGATTCCATATTCTTGTCGATAATTGAGTCATTGTCTACTGAGAACATTGTCTTTGATGCCTTGCACGGACTCTCTCAGCTTGCAACTTCTGCTCCAACCGCGGTTAGAGAATTCCAAAACGGGGCCCATGGTTCGAAATTGGCGGGGAAGCTACTCTATCTCACGGAATCCCCCTCTGAGGAAGTAGCAAACCTCGCAGAGTCACTGATCAAGACACTGAAAGAAACTTCTGTCAGCGAAACAAGCACCAAGTCAAGTCTGGAGATTCTTCGGCACGGGTTCGACCATGTTACTGAGGAATCCCTCTCGTAAGTGATGGAATCCAAACTACCCTGTGATTATGCACACTGACTGAATTCCTTCTTAGGGTTGAATCGCTATTAAACATTGCGGAAGAACTGCTCCAAAGTTCCAAACCCGAGGAAAAGGGCCAATTGGCAAAAGAAATCCTGCCCTCTCGTCAATCATGGGAGAATGCTTTGGGACCATTCCTTGAGCTTCCGCCTCGAGTATCAACTGCTATCACAAGCCCTATTGGCGGTATCGTTCACCTCATCGATCGTGAACTGCCCGATACTTTCTATGGAAGCTATGAAAGAATACCGCGTGATTCAAATCATTGTTCGTCTGCATTCCGATTGGCCTATTTCACGACCCGGATCCTCTCGTTGTTTGAAGTCGCAGAGTACCTCGGGACACAGGATCTTGAAACACTATTCTACAACTTACCACTGGCCATACAAGTGATTGACGATGATCTTAGCATCGAGAACTGCAATGGCATAGCTGGCTTAGAGCTTCCCGAGCAACGAGAGGCATACATGGAAATCGTCAATGATGGTCGGAAGTTGATCAACACGTGGATCCGTTCGAACAGCCAGGTGATAGACTCCGAGAAGGAAACAATTTCCTCCGTGCTATATCATTGCTGGGAGAGCAAGCTGGAAAATCTAGGAGGCGTTTCTCCAAAAGACTACCGTGTCGGAGAAGCTTTTGCCAGGGTTATGGCTGGTTTGGACTCCTTGGATAATATCGTCACTGGGGAAGACATTACCAAAATCTGCAGGGAAAGCCGCACAGCAAATGCTATCCGTTCGGCATCTTGGTTTTCTGTATTGCGACCTTTGGTCATCTCCAACCCCTCCGGAACCAGACTTTGCAACGAGCTCGTTGCTGATTCCACAGGACTCAAGCCCCAGGATGAACGGAAAGATGGTAAGCACCTCAATTTTAGGTGTGTATGCCTGCTAATTTAATTTAGGTCTTCGGAAGCTCGCACTCCTCAATATTCTCTTCTCCGGGGAAGAAAATCTTGCTGCGTCAATTCCAACACAGCGATTGGTTTTCCTTGTCAAGCACCTTATGCAATGTCTCCAGTCGGAGCTAAAGTCACAGGGGGTTAAAGCTGAAATTATTCAGACTCTGTCATTTGTTCTTCCTTGTCTCCATGAAATATATGGCTCGCATTGGGAGGAAAGTATGGAAATTCTCAGTACAACGTGGAGAGAAGCGAGTGGCGGCGACGAAGCTTTGCCAGTTTTGATTTCATCTTTTAGACTCTTCGCACGATTGAGGTCCATCGCAGACAACGAAGATAGTAACGACGATGTGAAGGACGCCTGGTCGGATCGAAAGGCTACGCTTTGCAACAACTTAATATCGACTCTGCGGAAATTTGGTCAGTATTGTATGACCATATTGCAGGAAAGGATCTCCACTAACTTGACAAAACACCAGACTCTGAAACCGCTTTCCATCTACCCCGGGATGTGACGGTTGGGCTGTTATGCCGCTTGGTCAACACGATACCCGTTGAAAAGCTAGAGGATGTGAACAGGATATTCCCACTTCTGACAGCGCAGAGCCGGGTGATCCAGTGTGGTGCCTACATTGTTCTTCACCGATATATTCCTAGCATCCAAGAACAGGTATCGTTTAATGTGGCATTGTCGAAGTCCACGGTCAGCCTTCCTGATGAGCTCATGTCTCTGCTACTTGAGGCTCCCACAATGGAATCGATAGCTTCTTCACACGGCGATGACAAGATATGGACTACTATACGATCGTATCTGTTAAGCTGGAAGGTGGTGTTTGACCACTTTTCTAATGCGGTATGTTCAAGTCGCATAGCTTTGTGAATTTCTAGGCTAACATATAGACAGTCTCTTCCTGTTCAAGAAAACTACGTGTCAAACATCAAGGAGAACGACAGCCTCATTCCGCTGCTGGAATTCATGTTCGACTTCCTCCAAAAGTCCAATGAAAAGGTCATTGACGCATCGAAGTTCGACATTCGGTCTTTCGAGCTAGATCAATCGGAAACGTCCGAGAAAGAGACGCAATGGATTTTGGTGCATCTTTACTTCTTGTGTCTGAAGCATCTTTCCAACATGACGAAAAATTGGTGGCTCGACGCGAAGAAGCGTATCAAGGGACCGGTCGAGACTTGGACCGAGAAATTCGTAAGAACACCTTCATTAGCACTTAACGAATATCGTGTTAACCTCAGCTATAGATTTCACCGTTGATCATCATCGACGCTCTGCAAGGTGTCACTGAATGGAGTGCAACTCAAGATCCGGACGAGGAGCGAGCATTGAATGTGAAGATATCGCCCAAGACAGGAGAAATCATCGCAAGTATTGTGGTGGATGAGGAATCGCCGCCTGTTGCATTATCCATCTCCCTTCCCCCGGCTTATCCTTTGCAGCCTGCGTTGGTTGTCGGCAGAAGCCGGGTCCTTGTGGACGAGAGAAAGTGGAAGAACTGGTTGATTACGATTCAAGGTGTAATCATGTTTGCCAACGGAAACCTGGTGGATGGATTGCTAGCATTCCGAAAGAACGTGCAGGGTGCCTTGAAGGGCCATAGCGAGTGTGCAATTTGCTACTCGGTCATCTCAACGGATATGCAGACACCGAACAAACGATGCGCGACCTGCAAGAACGCCTTCCACTCTGTCTGTCTCTACAGATGGTTCAAGAGCAGCAACCAGAGCACCTGTCCGCTGTGCCGAAACAACTTTGTTTATGTATGAAGGGGAACGGATGATATACGTTAGACATAGAGGTGATGATTTAAAATTGGGTATTTGATTGTATAGATCAGTACATTTGCTCAAAAGTTCCACATCAAATATATATACCTTTCAGAGTTCAGACAAACCACATTAAATCCTTATAAGCAGTAGATGAGCAGAATGATGTACAGTTGATCCCTTCTTTGGAGGGACATCATCGATGATAATCACCGACTGCGGGGAAATCCGGCAACCGGAAACCCCCCACCAAACAAGTCCCCCTCACCACCACCTCATCATACCCTGTCGAAATACACTACTCTCCGGATATGTCCGCCTCTCATATTCCCAACCTCAACACACTTCGGCGCGGAGGAGGAGGAGCTCGCGGCCGGTTCAGAGGTCGCGGAGGTGCCAGCGCTGGCTCTGCAGGCGAAGACAGCAGCAGTCCTGGCACGCGTAGCGCAGGGAAAGACCGGGTGGTGCAGGGCACAGACAACGATGCCAGTGTTTCCCGGCTGAGTGCTGTCAATTTGGGGTATCTCGAGGACCCCTTTGCACAAGCATTGACACCCCCTGGGCTGGAGACGAGGAGGCTGCCCATCATCAACAGAGGTATGTGTGCGACCGCGCCGCCACTTACGGATTGTCACCGGAATAGTTATGGCAGACAGGCTTACCAAGGCGGGGGATGAAATATGACAGGTACCTACGTCCGAACGACCGCAATCGATCGCCTTGTCTCGAACTTTCTCGAGCAGGGTCAAAGACGGAAACAGATTATATCGCTGGGTGCGGGGTCGGACACGCGTGTTTTCCGGCTACTTTCCTTCCAGCAGCCTCCGGATGTTGTCTACCATGAGATTGATTTCCCAGTTAATGCAGCTGCAAAGATCAAATTGATTCGATCATTGCCTCTTCTGCAGCGGACATTAGGGGTAGGGAGATCTGGTGAAGTGACGATTTCAGACGCAGGGGATGCTTTGCACTCGCCATCTTACCACATACATCCCATTGATCTACGATCATTGGCAAAACAAACACCACCGACGTTTTCTTCCTCTTCCCCGCAAGACAGTACAGCGATCACCCGTCTACCAGGAGTAGACACAACACTCCCCACGCTCTTGATCTCAGAATGTTGTCTCGTCTATCTTACCCCCAGCGAAGCCGCTGACGTAGTCGGCTACTTTACCAAAACCCTCTTTCCCGTATCCTCGTCTACCGCACCACTGGGTCTCATCATTTACGAGCCCATCCGCCCCGATGATGCCTTTGGCCGGACCATGGTGTCGAACTTGGCTGCACGGGGTATCCAGCTGCAAACCCTGCATAAATACGCGTCGCTAGAGGCGCAGCGGCAACGGCTAGCGGAGCACGGGTTCGATGGGGGCCAAACTGCTGCGGATGTGGATTTTATCTGGGAACAATGGGTGAGCGAGGGGGAGAAGGAACGGGTTGCAGGGTTGGAGATGCTGGACGAAATGGAGGAGTGGAGGCTACTGGCGCGACATTATTGCATTGCGTGGGGATGGAGAGAGGGGGATAGTGGAGGATTTGAAGGATGGAAGAGCATTGCAGGGCAGTCGGAATGAGCTGCCATCTGGTGTCTTGAGCTTTGACCAGGGGAATCAACGTTGGTTGTTGGATAGTCTCGAGAGGGCTATTGGCATATAACATATGATTGCATCTCATGGAAATAGTCCAGAATATACGGAACATCGGAAGTCGACCCAGGATCGTCCAATTATCACTGCCAAGTTGTCAACACCGCATGTCGGCAACTATCATTCATAGACCATTGACTATTTAGTCTTTTGTGTCAAAATGCTCGATGAGATTCGGAAGTTCGGCCGGGTTACACGAATGCCCCCTTTTCCCCTTCACGGAAGGGATTGACAGGACGATCCCCGTGAGCACGAGAGTTTCGACGGTGTTGACTAGTCAGTGCTTGCTGGATAAAATCGAGGTTCTAGGCCTGGAATGTTATTCGTGATGGGCAGAGGAAGCTGAGATGAGCTGCTGTTGATCCGATCAATTCGGATGAGTCCGACTGAATGTCGATCTTATTTGTTGTGATTCACTTTTCGCCCAATATTCATCCCACCTGATCCATGGATAGTTCCAGTCAATCCATATTTCGGATATTCAATCATTCCCCGTGACACAGAATTGAGCTGCACATATTCAACAGGAAAAAGAAAACATGAAATCAAAGCTTGGATTGGAATGTTGCTTTTGTTTGTTTTGATGGTGTCTGTCGCTACGAGAGAAAAAAAGGTCCCTCGTAATCGTATCCGACTGTTCCATCCTTCGATGGATATTGTCCTAACCCTCTTTGACAATGATTGTCCATCGCTTCGACTAAAAAGCAACAGAAAAATTCTCGCCTCGTGATGGAAACATGACAGCCGCAGGGATAGGAGAATCACACCTGCCAAAATCGCAGCATTCCTCATGTCGGACGGGCTCTACTGCCTCTGATTGGCTCCTCGGAGATTGCGCCGCAGAACCCTCGTCCACTAACAGGCCCCACCTTCCCCCACAGCGACACTTTGCCCACGAACAGTCGGGGCTAAGAAAGACGCTAACCGCAGTGATTGGTCGACCCCTGGTATTAGTGCACCAATGGTTTTGGGGGTAGTGGGGCCCGAGCCAGACGTAAGACAAGGTTTGGCCAAATTGGCCTCGAGGCTGTCCCGATGGGGAAATCCGCCTGTGCCAGGGCTTTTCCTGTTTGGGCGAGGCATACTTGACAGATTCTAGCTAAGGCTGAGCCGGGATGGACCCTTTTTGGCTGCCTCTTTCTGTCTCTCTCTCTGCTTTTTCTCTTCTTCTTCTTTCCTCTTCGTCTTTCGCTGTCATTCCTGTTCGCTGCGTCCCTTTTGGCCTCTCTGGCGGTGGTTGTTGTTCTTTCTTTTACATTCGGTCGTTCTTTTTTACGTTATACACTCTTTTTTCAATCGCTTAATTCAGTCTTTACTTTCGACGCGTTCCGCTGGACAGGTTCAACTACAATTCACCCGCCATCTCGAGAAGGACCTAGACAATCGACCAATTGCGAACTAGGATATATTATATAGATCACAGAATATATAAACCAAAAGAACCGATATCATGAAGATCGACATTGTGCTTTCTCGTGCCGCCGCACTCGTTTCGTTGGTTGCCGGTGTTGAAGCCGCGCATGGCCACGGTCATCACGCAAGACATCACCACCGTGATGTCCAAACTCTGGAGAAGAAGGGAGGCCACTGCAAATTCCCTTCCGGTGAGGGGTTGATTTCCATTACTCCCCATCTCGACAATGGCGGCTGGGCCATGAGTCCCGATCAGCCCTGTAAGCCTGGAGGTTACTGCCCATACGCGTGCCCCTCAGGCCAGGTCTCGATGCAGTGGGATCCCAAGGCTACTTCCTACTCTTACCCTATGTCCATGGTAAGTGCTTGCGATAAGCTTGAGATGCCATGTCGAGTCCGGAATCTAATTGGTAAATAGAACGGTGGTCTTTTCTGTGATGAGGATGGACAGATCCAGAAGCCCTTCCCCGACAAGCCCTACTGCGCTGATGGTACTGGCGCTGTGGGTGCCCACAACAAGGCCAGCAAGCATGTGTCTTTCTGCCAGACCGTGTTGCCTGGAAACGAGGCCATGTTGATTCCTACTCTGGTCCAGGAACTGGCCACTCTCGCTGTGCCCGATTCCAGCTACTGGTGTGAGACATCTGCTCAGTGAGTCACCTCTTATATAGAGGCTTGATTGAATACTAACACCAATAAAGCTTCTACATCAACCCTCCAGGAATTGACGCCGAAACCGCATGTGTTTGGGGTACCTCGGACCACCCCTACGGTAACTGGGCTCCTTACGTTGCTGGTGCCAACACCGTGAAGAATGGCGACACCTACTTGAAGATTGGATGGAACCCTATTTATCTGGAGCCTAGCACACCTTTCCGTGATGTCGTGCCTGATTTCGGTGTCGAGGTGGTCTGCGAGGGTGACAAATGCGATGGTACTCCATGCAAGATCGATCCTGCAGTCAACAAAGTCAATGAAATCAGTGGCAGCAGCTCAAAGGGTGCTGGCGGCGCAGCCTTCTGTGTGGTGACTATTCCGAAGGGCGAGAAGGGTCACATTGTTGTGTTCGACAAGTCTGGCGGAGATTCCTCGTCTGCGACTGTTGAAGTTCCCACCAGCACTGTTGCCCCTTCGAGCACCGAAGCTCCTACCAGCACTAGCACTAGCACTAGTACCAGCAGCACCAGCACCAGCACCAGTACTAGCACCAGCAGCACTCCATCGACTACCTCGACCTCCAGTACCACCTCTAGCACATCTACATCTTCATCGAGCACCATCTCTTCCAGCTCGACACAGACCCCAAGCATCACTTCCTCCAGTAGCTTGAAACCTAGCTCCTCGGGCATGTTCCCAAGCAGCAAGTGGATAAGCCTGTCTGCTTCCGCAAGCTACACCTACCAGCCTCACGTCTTTATCGAGACGGGCAGTGTCGAAGCTGCTGCCATGGAAACCTCCGGTCCCAGTTCTGCTTCGGCTTCGCCGTCCACGACTACCCAGTCTGGCGGTGCTGGTACTATTGTGGTCTCAATTCTGAGCATGACTTTGAGCGCTTTCGTTGCGATTGCCATGTTGAGTCTGTAGACTCCAGGCTTCGTGGCGGTGCCACATCGTTGACATGTTCATACCTAAAGTCCGGCAGCCCTTGATCATCCCATTCCAGCCCAAATTTCAGTCATCTGCTGAAGATTTGCCGTCTTATTTATTCCGAACTTTCTTCCATTCCTGTTGGAATGATCTTACCCTTTTTCATATACCTTCTTGACGACTGACGTTGCCTGTACGTGACGATTTTTGATTTGTTTTCTATACCAGGGCTTTTCAGCAGTTCTTTCTGCTTGCAATCCTTTGCGCTCAGCCTTATCTTCGACGACCCGACACGTTCTGATTGATTTGATTGGGGTTATTTTCTTGTTTTTACTACTTGATTTTGGTAATGTTTATATTATTTTGGCAAGCTGGAAGTATATAGGAATGAAAGGGCTGTCTGACCGATCATTCAAAGTTATTGGGGATCGCCATGTAGATCGCGTAATATTAGAACTAAATCCATAGGGCTGGATTGTTGTTGCCTTGAAGCTGTCCGAGTCAGACGTCAGTGGTGGAGTTGTATATCAGTGGCCTGTGCTAGCTTGATCAACGAACTTCCCCGCCGACAGTCAACGGCTCATTCACCCTTCATCAACATCAACCAATCCATCAACCTCCAAGATGCCTGTATCAATACAGACAGTAAGTCTTCTTTATTTCATCATATGAAATCAAAACCACCATGATTTCCCTGTGATCTACTCCTCATTCCCTCGAATGAATTACCCCGCACCAACAACAAGCAGCCAGCCCAGCTATCCTCCCCTTCACCCTCACCAAGACCCAACTAACAATATAATTTTCCCCTCCAGAACAAACTAGTATCTACCCTCCGCCTCTTAATCCCGCGCCTCCGCCTCCTCCAAAAGAAAGACACCGCCTCCTCGGTCGTACAGCGCCGCGAGCTCGCCTCCCTCCTCGACGAAAACCGCGACGCCTCAGCACGCATTCGCGTCGAAAATGTCATCGCCACAGACACCGGCGTCGAAGTCATGGAAATGGTAGAGCTGTACTGCGAATTGCTGCTCGCGCGGGCAAACGTGCTCGATCAGCTCGCGTTCGGGGAGAGGGGTGGTCGCGCACGGAATCGGGCGAGGGAGGTCGCGAAGGAGATGAGTCGGCGGGCGGCGAGTGGTGGGGCAGCAGCAGCTAATGCGAATGCGAATGCGCGACAAGCCGAAGAGAAGAAGAATAGTAGTATTCTCGGGTTCCCGTTTTCGTTATCATCCAAGAAGCCGTCGGGTGGGGAGGCGGCTGAGGAGAGACGGGATGATACAGACGATGATGATAGCTACATGGACTCGGCGCTGGATGAAGCCGCCGCGGCGGTGTTCTACGCATGGTCTCGATTCCCGCATGACGTGCGCGAACTTAACATGCTCCGCTCTCAACTTACGGATCGATACGGGAAGGACTTCATGACTCTGGCGCAGGATAATAAGATCGAGGGGGTTTCTGTGCCCGAACGGCTGGTGAAGGGGTTACGAGTGCGGCCGCCGACGCAGGAACTGGTGGATCTTTATCTGCGGGAGATAGCACATGCGTACGGGGTGGTTTGGCCCAAGGGCGGCGGCGGCGATGAAGTCGAGCCGGATTTGGGCGATGCGCCTCCGGAGTTCCTCGATCAGCGCCACGATGATGATTATCACGGTGGTGATGGTGATGGTGATGGTGATGGCGACAATACCACGAGCAATCTACCATCCACCCCCCGCAAACAAACAGACACCACCCGCCCAACCCTCTCAGAAGCAAGGCGCGCCTCGGAAGCCTCCGAACTGAACAAAGTGACACCACCACGAGGTCTGCATTCCGGCAAGAGTCCCGTGAGCGTTGCCCCGCCGGGCCCGAGAACAGATAACCCCAGCCCTCGCGTGAAACTGCCAGGATCAGATGAGACAGGAGGCCAGGTTGGGGGAGGAGAGGCCAAGCCGAAGAATAACAGTGGTTCTGGGGGGATACCGGAGTTGGATGAGCTGACTCGGAGGTTTGCGGCGTTGAGGAGATAGTATAGATCTTATCTTGCAGAATGCAAGGTTTCCTAGTTAATCTACCCACGTGGGTAGATGGTTTATTGATATGCATTATGCATGATATGCAGGGCAGTGTTGGTTGCGTCAATTATCATTATGGTCATGATACCTGTTTTGCGTGATATCCAACGCTATTGATCTATTCATAGAGTACTTTACTTCATATGCTCGAAACCAATCTGTAGAACATAGTCTATCATTCAAGTGTAAATATTATGGTATGTATCTAGATACATCCAACTGGTCTGGTCTATACTCTAAATTCACCATCATCTGTTCCACCACGCTCAAGTCGAGTCAAGCTGAGCAAGTCCAATTTGCTTTTTTGGTCGTGTCATGCATCAAGGAAATAATCCACAAGAAGGAAAGAGGATAAAAAGAAAGCAAAGCATATATCACAAGAAGAGAAACAGCAGCAATAGATAAAAACAAAAGACAAAGTTGGTATCAAATCAGAAATAAAAGCAAATATCCATCCCACATGTTGTATGTGCTGTGAGATGGGAAATAGAAATCAAGCAAGATGTATGAGCAATGATAAAGCGCAACCTGATAGACACCGGAATATGCATGCGTCACCCATATGTACAGTACAGAAAGAATTAATGAAAAAAAAAAAGTCGACAGAGTGAAAGTTGAAGTCCGTATGGTGGGTTCACCTTATAATTCGTCTTCTTCCTCTCCCGGGAGAAGAATCTCATGGCCTGAGCCTTCGTAGACGAAGATGGCAGCAACACATCCGAAGACGGAAACCAGGGCAATCAGCCACCAGGCGAATCCGACCATACCAACTTCCAAGCCGTATCCGTACCAAGCACCGGAGAAGATAGGACCAATGGTTCGGAAGGCGGAGGAAACGGACTGGCCAATACCGTGAATGGTTCCTAGAACGGACGGGTGAGGAGAGCAGTTGTTCAAGAGGATGATCGAAGTCGGAAGGGTGAATGTACGGGCTGTGACCTGCAGGAAGAGGACGACAATGATAGAGAACCAGACCCAAGGGCCATTGGCCTGTCCGGGAGGAGGCGTAGACGACGGCGCGAGAGCGATGTACGGAGCAAAGGCGTACGCCAGCGGGAAAAGCGAAAGGAAATACTGGTAGCTTTTGGCGGTGCCCAGACGGCCGTTGATCGAGGGATAAATGGTGAACTGGAGAAGCATGCCAATCACACCCAAGATGGCAGTAGCGAAACCAACACTTTGCGGCAACATACCCAGACCTCCGGTGAAAGTGAAAGGCAGGTTCTGAGCGGGACTAGTGGGGTCGTTGACATCGTATCGAGGGGTGGAGAGGAAAAGCAACCAGAGGTTGTTAAAGGCACTGTCATCTGTTAGCGGCTATTACCATTTGGAGGTAAAGACTAAACATACCCCATCTGAAAGTCGAAAAAGCACTGAGCCAACAGTGTGCACAAAACGTTCTTTGTCCAGATCTTGGTAAAAGACAAAGTACGGGGACCGCTGCGCATGGGCTTGGCCTTTTCTTCCAGCTCGAAGCTCTCGGTGGTGTCCATTCGTCGGCCAAGCAAGGGACCCTGTTCTTCGTAGTCGTTGAAGGGAAGTTTCGAATATAGCGGAGATGAAGATGGAACGACAGTCTTGGCCAGACGGGTGAAGAGCTTCATCGCATAGGCGCCAGGACCTGGCTTACCCTTGCAAGCTTCCAAAGTCTATAACGATTAGCGAGTATTCCCTGCGATTTAAGAAAGCGTGACATACCTCTTCAAGACCGAAGAAGACGCAGACAGCGCAGAAAGTAAGGAAAAAGGCGTTGGCCAGCATAGGCAAAGCATAGGGATACCTCATAAGCCATTGCACGCCAGACTCGCCTCCAAAGGAAGAATTGGAACCGAACAATGCCGGGTAACTCGCGACAGGGTCAGAGAGCATACCACCCATAACTGCAACCTAGTTAGCCAACATACAAAACCAAAACACCACAAAAAGCAATAACTCACCAGGCCCAAACAAAGACGCCACATTAAACCCAATCGGCAGAATCAAAAACGCCCTCGAATGATACTTCTTCTCTTTAACATTCTCCGCAATCATGGTCCGGATAATCCCCACCGTCCCGTTAATAGCACCGCCAAACGAACGCCAGAACACGGCCTGCGCGAACGACGTCGAAAAGGCAACACCCAAACACGAAGCAGACGTCCCCAGCAAACCGACCAGCAGGACGAACCTCCGCCCACCCCATTCGGCATCCGCCACGCGGCCCCAGGGAATCGCCGTCGCGAACTGAGCGGCCGTAAAAGCACCCTGCAAGATACCCGCCTGAGTCGCAACGTCCGAGTTGGACAGGCCGGGATCAAACGACTTGAGTTGGTAGAACATGTACGCCTGCAGGGAAGCGATCTGCAAGAAATCAAAGACACGACAGAGACCCAGCAGACCCAGCTGCTGTTTTCGGGGCAGCGACATCCAAGTGACGGGGGCCGGACGAGCAGGGACCGAGGAAACGGGTGGTTGTTGTGATTGTTGAACGGGGTGTTGTTGTAGAGTAGTAATTTGAGGCTGGCTTTGAGAGCGACTGCGGGCATGGCCTCGCCAGTCCATCGAGGTGTTCTTCAACGCCATGTTGGAGTCGGCGTCGTCGAGGCTGTCGTCTTCGTTATCGCTGTCTACAGGGCCACCGGGACCCTCGGAGACGCTGGCGAGGGAAATGTTGGATTCGCGACGACGACGTTGAGGTTGTGCAGAGTCGGAGGGCTCGCCGCCTTGATCGTAACCGGTCGACCAAGAAGTAGCCCGCGTGTGGCGGGCATTCCGGTCCTTTTTAACGGAGATTTTGGCTGAGAGATTGGCGCTACCTGGGGGTTGTGACGCAGGCATCGAGGGCGGAGTCGGAGAAGGTGGAGGAGAAGGCGAGATAGAGAAAGAAGAAGTGTGGTTGGTGGTTGACACAGTCAGACGCGCTACGTCAATTCGGGCGTAAGAGAATAAAAATAAAATAACAATAAAAATAGGCAAAAAGAAAGGATAAAACGAAGGAACGAAGAAAAAAAAAAGAAGAGGCACAAGAGAGGAAGAAAAAAAGAGACCAATCCAAGGGTCCGCCAGAGTGAACCTAAGGTAAGTCCATCTCCATCTCCATGTGTCCAACACACTGAGCACAGTCAATACTCCAGATAAAATACAGGGGTGGGATGATCGTTTTCTCTCTCTGACACTTAACTTGCCCTCATCTCCTCCCACTGGTCAATCAACCCATCCACTCTGTCAGCGTAATCTATCCGTACTGCCCTCGTCACAAATACCGATCGGCAGCCGCCATCACTGCTTGCGACGCCCGCCCCACCCAGCCGCGGCCCCTGACTCGCCGCTTTAGCCAAGCCCCATAGATCTTGGCATCGGCAGCCACGATGGAGTCTGTTCCTCCCTGTGACGTATGCTTTTCCCGCTGTTTCTATGTATGGTTAACCCACGTTTCTGGCTGGAAACTAACCATAAAATACAGTACACCGACAGCCGTGTATCAGCCGTATCAGCCGTAACCAGGGCAGCTGTTAGTCTGTGTCAGGTGTGTTTTCTAAATATTGGGACATGTTCGTTTATCTGCACAAACTGTTTCATCTGTGCTCCAGGTAGACTAAGGTAGTAGCAATGATGGGCAGTCTCAGGGCAGAAGATGGAAACCTCTCCGATGGAAATAGGAAACAGGGAAAAAAGAGACCACGTTGGCTGAAGTGGAGGGGAAGGGAGAAAAAATATCGCATTATCGATTCTGAGTATTTGATTTTGATGTCCTGATGATCATGCTTTGACCTCCGTTGATTTCGGCGCGTACAGAGAACTGCATCTCAGGATTTTGGTATTGCTGGAACCGACGTGTAATTTATGTAAAATACCCTTCTCCGATTTGGGTCATTAAACCCGATGTATACCAGCAACGTGGCTATGCTCTATCAATTAATAACTATCTACAGTATACAGAATACAGAATGAATTATGACTATCGATCATGTTGGTGCCGTTCCGCCAACGGAAAATAATGCGGTGGTTCCTCGTCTTCATCCTCCACCCATCGTCGCCAATGCCACCATGACAGTCTCGCCGACCTGTCTATCGGCTTGCGCTCCTCCATCTCATCCAGTGTATCGGTCGACGAGTGCTCTTTGACCCGTGTCAGAGGATGCTTTGGCTGTCGGAACAAGCGGTACATGAGATATACCCCAAGAGCCAAGATAATGCCCCCCAATGCGACGATCCCCCATTCCGCATTATCTGATCCGGTTAGTTAGCATGTGTCAACGGGCACGGTTGGAAGAAAAGCTTACCATATAGAATTTGGATATAGTCGATCTCTTTTTCCTTCTCCTTTGCCTTCTCCTTCTCTTCCTCTTCTTTTAATTGCGATTGCTTCCCGTCGTAGTGATTCTCGGGATGTTCGGGGTCCACCCAGGGCACGGTATTGATGCCCATGGGGGGGATAATTGGTCTCTGCACGGGAGCTTCAGGCTGCATGTGGAAATCTCCAGGGATTCCGTATCCGACTGGATTTCTGCAGTCTTCTTCCTGGCAGAAGCCCTGCAGTTCTGGCGATGGTACAAAGGTGAATTTGTTCCGCGACTTGCTGAGGACCTTGCCTGTTCCGTCTACCGCTTCCGCATGGCCCCAGGGGTAATAGTTGACGTTGGTGTAGACGGTCTCGAATCCGATCTTCTCGACTTCGTCGAGGAGGGTATAGGGTCCTGTGATGTTCATGGCACCGTAGAATCGCCAGTACTTGACGCGCGTTGCGCCGTTCCAGCTGACATAAAAGGTCGTTGGGGAAAAGGTCGCGGTTGATTTCGAATATGTCCACAAGGCCGGTAAATCTGTTGGATTACCCTCCCATTCAAACTTTTGTGCTCGGTAGTTCATGATCTGAGATTTGGTCACGTAGCCCCAGAACAGTAGATTACCTGCCTCGTCATGCTCCGACACATATGGATTGTTGCCCCAGCCCATGAACACATTGCGATTCGGCAGCATCTGCATATTTCCCTGACTCGCGCTGAGAACACTCTTGCCTGGCGGTATATAATCCCGAAGCTGTGTGGCCGTCTTGACTCGATGGTCGATGAGGATGATCATCCCGGATGAATAAGTATGGGTATGGTTGAAACCATTGTCGCCATTGTTATACAACGACAACAGGGTATGAGTCGAGTTCTCAAACAGCCACCGCGCATCGTGCTGCTGCGAGAAACTAAAATTGATATTCTTGAACGTCGGACGCGCCCCATGCAACTTCCACAGCACCGACCCATTCTTGCCCGAGATCTTGTAGATCGCACACGTATGCCGAGACGAAATCAGATAGTCCCCGTCCGCATTCTTATCAATCGAATTGATATGGAAGTAATCCCACGGCGAGCGCGGTTCCAGCCCATTCCCCGACGTATCCGTAGAATCGGGCAGCGTATAACTATCAGACGGGTCGACATGGTCCAGCGACCTCCATTCAAACAGAACCTCGTTCGTCTCCACATCCACTTCCTGGAAGATACTCTCCATCAACCACCCCACCCCGGACTTGATATTCCACGCACTCATGTCAAACTGCCGCTGCTGGTAAACGGTCATCAGGGCCGTCTTGCCGTCGTTGATGAGCAGGAACTCGTGCATGTCGCCGGCCGCCATTCCGCCACCCGCCTGCACAGAGCGCACAATGCGGTACTCGTTATCCATAATAATTCCATGACCCCTGCAGTATCCCTTTTGCTGAGTCCCTTGGAAGAAACAAAGGTGGTCTTTTCCTTTATACTGGCATACGTGCATCCCGTGGGAATTGCCGGGGCCCGCGACTCCCCATCCACTCCATACTAGATTCTATATCAATCAGCCGGGTTCATTCCAATCGAAAAGAAGAAGGAATCCTAAATCCTACCCCTCGAGTATCATATATATACGGGCCCGAATTGGCAGCTTCATACGGGCCGACGAAGATATAGCCGGGGCTGAGACGTTCGGGGATGCTGAGCTCCAAAGTGAAGACCGGGGGGTACAGATCGGGTCTCTAGAGAATGGTTAGAGCTGACAAAGCAGAGCGTGAGAAAGAATAGAGTCATACCGATTTAAATTGAGAAGTAACCTCACCAACTTCCTCACCAAGAGCAAGCACATGGGTGAGGCATAGGACAAAAAGCAACAGGCAAGATGTCATGCGGGAGAGGATCGTCGCCGAAGCCGACGACGAAGAAACGGAAGTCAAGAAAATCATGGATGCTTTACATCACTAACCAAGAAAGAATAAGTATAACCAGAGTAAGTATAAGCAGGACAGTATCCAAACGAAAGAAATGCAAGAAGAAAGAAAAGAAAAAAGAACAACAATGGACGACTGCGACTTGCGCAGGATGAAGCTAATATGACGGTAAGGAGAGAAGGATTGCGAAGAGGCGATGATCAGCAAACACCAGGGGTGGGTGGAAGATGAAGAAGAACAGATCCGCCAACTCTACCATACATAGTACACTCTAATCTCTCTTATGCCTATTTCTCTCCTCTTCTCCTCTTTCTTCTTTCTTTTCTTTTCTTTTTCTTTTTGCTCTACTTCTTAGGCTGCTGCTCTAGTATTCTCCTGGTTACGACGCAGTCGCAGGCTAATTATCCAGTCCTGTATTGGTTTCGGTGGACCAGATGGAGAAAATAATTGGAAACAAAGGCTGCTCGCAACGCTGATTGGTTCCCAGGCATGTCATGCGGGTCCTAAAAAAGCATCGACGATGAAGAATTCCAATAATTGAATAAAGTATACAAGTAAAAATATCCATATGCATATAATACGTATCTGTATAAGATTAAAATATTCCAAAGATAAGCTCACAAGACAATCAAAGAGCAAAAAAGAACAACCAGATCTCCAGACTTGGTGGCTGAAGATTGGCGGGTAGTTAGACCACAACCAAGCTTCGTAATGTTGGGTCCGTGTGACTGTGGAGGGGGAGTTGACACTCTTTAGCTTCACTTTTAATGGTCTGGACTGTGGCTGAGAAGACTTCTTGTATACGTATACCTGCCAATATCAGCACATTACTCGTGGGTGTCTCGGCCCCAGCTACGGAAAACTACGACGACAGTCGACGACGACGGACCAGGATTAAGATAGATAGATATAATCATGCAGACTGAGCCACCCAGTAGTGCTTTGTAGAAGATAACTCCGAGCCGGGTATTGCGGTTACATACAATACACACGCCACGTCACGGTAAACTAACAGGTAAACTAAACAGCGACACCCGATTCAGTCGGCTGGGGCTTTCCACTCAAACCCAGTTATGTAGAGTTACCATGGAAGGTTCGATACTTGAAATGATCCTTATCTAAATTGGGATTCGATTCATAGAATAGAATTCATTATTAGTGCAAGTGTAAAGTGTGCAATACATAATATGGAGGATATCTTTCCCACCAGCCACTCTGAAGAAACCTCGTTACATAGAGTTTGGGATCATCGTTTGTCGATCAAGTGCAAGCAGGAATCAGGATTAAGGGGATTTTAAAGGAGATTTCTCCTTTTCTTTCTAGGAGAATAGGAGAATAATCTGTAGACCTGTCAAGAATAGAATTAGAAATAATAATAGAAATAAATAATAAATGTAATCAACATGCATGATTATGCCCGTCACAGCCACGAAATCCTTGGCTAATCTGGGCTTTTCCTTAGCGAATCGCCCCGTCTGCATCATGGCGCACGCCCAGACATTGGCAGGGCTGAGACATCAATGCACATTATCTGAGACATGGAGAACAAATGTCAAATGTTCAGAAAGTATAGAGACGGAAAAATATGATCTATATCTGCATCTGATTCATGTATGTTCATTTCATTCCTCATTTGCGCCTGGGCGCTTTCGGATGTTATACAGTCTGTAAAATAACAAGACCCAATATTTCCCAAGAAATAGTAATAAAAACTGTGCTCCACAAACTTCAAACCAACCAACAGCCAGAGATATTTTTTGTTGCTGCCAAGAATGGAACCGACATTCAGGAAATCCAGCAAATATGAATAATAGCCAACCATAAACACGAAAGAAAAATTATACAGGCCTTGGCTCTGCATGCTGGGAATCAATTAAAGAAAAAAAAAAAAAATAGTAAGAAAGAAGAAGAGGAATCTTCAGTCGCGCCAGCGCCCTGAAGAATCGTGCCTGGGTCATATGCCTTAGCGGACGAAGCGCTTGAAGACCATGGTTGCGGCAAATCCGGTAGCCAGGAGAGCTCCTCCCATGGTAAAGGCTTGCAGGGCAGCATTCATCATCTGGTGCTTGTTGCGAGTGCTGCAGCGCTTGAAAAAGTCGGCCATGTCATTTCCACGAGGGAAAGGAGTGTCGGGGACCTCCTCGTCCAGGAACTCGCACAGCGGGCCCCAGCCGTCACCGATCTGGTATTCGAGCAGTCTCTCAGGAGGCACCAGGCTGCGGACCTCCTCAACGTGGTCGAGGTAGACCTGCTTGCCCTTGTTGGGGAAGTCGCCGCGGAAGAAGGTGTCGAAGAACTTCTTCAACATGGGGTAGTACATGCCGGCAGCCCAGCTGAAGTTGGAAACGAAGCTGTGCTCGGGGTCCGAGACTCGCCAGAAGACGGTCTTCATCACGGATGCGTGCCACGAGTCGACATCACGAGTAGACAGGATAACCTTGGCGTTGGGGTATGCCTCGATCAGCTCCTTAGCAAAAGCACAAGCGGGCCAGTCGCAAACAGCCTGAACCGTAGTCAGTTATAAACCATCTAGATAGTATAATCTAGGATCTCTTACCTGGCAGTCACCCAACAGCTGGTCCCATTCCTTACGGCCAAACTCTCCCACACCGTCGTATTTGGCCTTCAAAGCATCGTGCCACATGAGGCAGTCCGGAGGGTTCTCAACACTGGCAACCATCATGTGGTAGCATCTCAGGTATCCCAATCGTTCAAGAGCAATACGAAGGGCTATTCAGTCGACCGTTAGTCCAGCTCCTAATCCAGTCTGCATAGCATAGAACATACAGGCAGTTCCCGTTCTTCCCACACCCAGAGCAAGCACCTTCATAGGCACTGTACGGTGGCACTTTCGCTTGTCGATACAAGTATCACTGGTAAAGACATCGGTCATAGGCTGAGGAGCCAAGTTATCCGAGTGAATCAACGACATGATGATATGGAGTAATGATTATTGTATGGTATTATAGTGGAGTGATAACGAAGGATAGGTAGAGAGAAAGAGAGAACGTTGAGTACAGAAAGAAAGAAAGAACAGGCACGACAACGGAAGATAGATATAGATATAAGAAGGGGAAGAAAAGACGGAGAAAGTGGACTAAAGAAGGAATCCAAGACGAGCAGATCGATAAATAAATTCCAGAATCAGAACGAGATGGAGACAACCTAAGATAAGTGCGTACGAGTGAGTGAAAGGGTCTCCATGGATCCATCCAGCGCTATAACCTAATTACTTAACCGTACGGAGTAAGTAGCAGGAGTCAGTCGATGGAGAAGTACGTACTAGGCGGTGGCAACCCGCATTGGATGTTTTTTTTCTGTATGTAATTATTTTTAATATTTTATTTTTCTATTTTATTTCTATTTATTATTATTTATTCTATTCGGCGAATATCCGCCCACGTTCTGTTAGTAGTGTAATCCTGTAGGAACTGACTGTACCTGTTCCCAGGACGTCACAGGCTGACGCACCCGAGCAACGATAGTCAGGGGGAACAAGCGAAGCGGACGAAATGACCGCCCACTGCCAGAGGAGATGCCAAGACTCGCGGTCTGCAAAGACAGCGATCGGCCGCGTAGGCACAAGCAGCAAAAGCAGCAGCGGAAGCCATGGAAGGCATGGAACGTCCAGTCCTTCTCCAGCCTGGAGAAACGAGCCGTGCGAGGCCGGGCGCTGATTGGCTGCGGGTGGCGGAGACGACGCGTACAAGAGCATCATATTTATTCTCTCTTGAAACTCATCCCCACTGAGCTCTGTATTTCGCTTGGGTTAATATGTGTATCGTGTGTGTGTTTTGATAAGGTGCATATCCCGGAAGTAACAGTGTTGAGTGTCTGTCCCCCACCTTCTGGTGCTGCCGTTGTGGTGTTTGAGAATAATGATCTTGGATCTGATCATCAGAAAGTCTGTCCTGTTTGGGTATCTCCATCAATCAATCTGGAAGTATTCAAATCATAAGGTCAATAGAAAAAGAAAAAGTAAATAAATGAAAAAGTAAATAGACATCCATCCCTGGAACACCACTCAGGAGGTACTGTACAGTAGTAATCTCAGGGGCTGGAATTGCAGCATCGACCGTGGTACTCCGTGTACTTCCATTGATCATGTCTGTGTGGCAAAACGGGCCAATTCTGCCCACTTCCAAGTTTTGTCTCCCCCCAAGAGTCCAACACTCTCCCAGGGCTCCGCTCCCGCCAATGACCACGGCCTCTCCCTACAAGACTTGGCCTTGCCAATGTGCCAAGAGTCCCACACAAAGGATCAATAATCTTCTCTTTCCCCCAACGGTGGCCGGGGTGGGGGGTGATCGTCTTCGCTTCAACCTCGTTTTTTGCTCAGTCTGGTAACTGTGCTGTCGTTGATCAACAGTGGGTGTGTCTGCCAGGTACTCGGTGGCTGGTGCAGCCGTAGGGCGACGAGACGGCAGGTAATGACAGGGCGTAGTACAGCAACCGTTCTCGAAATTCTCGCAATCTCCATGATGATCATCAATTTCAAGGCCCGTCTCGTCTCGTTTCCCTTCCCTGCTATGCAGGTTATCCGAAACTGAAGACCTTTTTTGTGACTTTGTTCGAAAAAGAAAACGGCGCATCTCCGTTCCTGGTATGGAACTTGAAGATCTTCAATGTATTCGGTGAGGACACAAGGCCCTCCTTGTATTTAGTATTGACATGTGTAAACTGGTGAGATGATAGTCATGATATGCATTATGCTATCTTCATCGTTGAGATTTCCTCACTTGAAACGGGTCTGGAATTGGAGTAAGTGGTCTGAGAGATAAGCAGTTTCATCTTTGATAGCAGTTTGTTGTTGGTGATACTCTGTGTGTATGGGAAGATATCTGGGTTTGTCAGAGCACAAACATGCATCAAACATGTAAATAAAATGTAGAATAAAAAGATAGCATTGCTGGAATCCTCAGAGAGCAAAAAGTCGAAAAGAATCCAGCAGGGAGCGACTCGTTCTGTTTAAATGTATATTGCCAAGATAATCACGATCATTTTCGCAATCGCTGACCTTGATCACCTCACCTCAACTATGTCCGCTTTGAGTCCACCCATCCCACCCCATGAATGTGAACAAAGTGAGACATTCCTGGAAACTATGCCTTACGATCTGGTTCTTATTTGAGCTTAAATGAATGTTGGCCTGTTCGTGTTGGGGTCCAGTTGGATACGACTGACCATGTCTTGTCCCACCTCCGGCAGTCGTTTCGGTTGTTGTTCGCCCAATCCGGATAGCTAGAGACAAGGGAAAAGTGGCATCTGAATGCCATGACGCATCTCCTGACGTACTTCCAAGACTCCAATGGAGCTTCTATATATTAATGATCTGGATTAAATACAGCCATCTCTAGGCAGAATAACAGATGGTAAGATGGTAAGATCCTAAAGCGCCCCCATACCGTATGACGTACATACAGTGATATAAATAATGATATCAAATCATATCGCAAACCCCATAACTCCATGCAATGACAGTGTAACTCGGATGCAAAACCCTTGGCAAGAGAAGTTCAAATAATCCCAAGCCCATATGCGAAACAATCCATCTGTTTGCTTGTCTCTCACTCCAACTTGTCCAAATGCTCCAACCGTGTAAGCACGACCTGTTTGCTGGTTTCCTCAATCTCGCCCGCGAGGAACACTTCGTCTAATATAGCGTAGACCTGGACGGAAAGACCGTGTCAGCATATTTTCCCAATGTGTCACTGTTTGATGTCGTCTGTTCCCAGTTCCCAAGACAGTCCAACGTAGACCCCTCCCCCTGAAATCGCAACCAAACGCACCTTGTAGAAATTGAACACCAAGTCCAGCTCGCACACATTCCCGAAGAATTGATCCAGCACCTCGACGAAGAAATGTATAGCCTCCAAATACGCTAACTCATTATCGTTTGCATCCACGCAGACGCAGAAGAATAGCCCGGCATATCTCCGATACACAATCTTCGTACTCCGTTTAAACTCGACAAAGTTCGACTGGTATTTCTGATCTCTCGGCGCGACAAGGCGGTGGACCTGAGCCATAAACAATCGTTAACGGGTTGGACGTCATGAGGGGTTGGTGTTGGTTATCACGAGACAACACGAACCTCGCCTTTGAGCTTTATTTTCTCCTCATCCTGCACATGAACGATTAGCTAATGAACAATTGCAGCAGTAGGGTCTCTTTGTATACGCACACTGTAAGGGGAATACCATTTCGCCAGGCGCGTCTTGCCCCTGTCCGTCCATTAGCGATCGTCGAACAATTCAAGAAATAACCGTCAAGGAACTCCAAACGCACTGGCGATTCTGAACAATGATAAATGAAAGAACCATCCCGCCCAAAATAATCCCAGCGAGTTTTTTGCAAATCCGGAAACGTGGCGTCGACTCTCGTGGTATCTGCAGCTTTCAACGGTTCGACTGGGGTGCTTCTCCGCGACAGCCCGCTATCTCGACTCCATAGTCTATACTGCCATGATTTACCGCCCTCTTACGGTGTCTTTGATGGCACACCGACTTAAGTGTTGTGGACAACGAGGAATGCTACGATTGTGGATGAATGGTATTGTTTGGATTAAGTTTGATATTAGATCCGAAATATAGTAGCTATAGTACTTGTTGCAAGGAGTGTAACAGATATTATTGAGTATGGATACAACTGTTGTGAGATAAATAATCAAATAGCGTAAGATTCGTGAGATGGAAATAAGAGGGAAAAACAAATCCTGTGAATCACAATCGTGTACGTGAGTTTTCTAGGGATTAGAGTCGGGTTGTGCGATGGCACGATCGCACTTGCAAGAGACAGGTTATCACGCAGTAGTAGTATTGCTCCTCTTGCCAAAAAGTCTGGTCAATTTTCCAGGGAATCGGGTCTAGATGATCGTTTAGCTATCGCAATCAACGACAAATTGTCAAGCAGCAGTCTTACCGATTGTTTCTCTGGAACCGTCGTTGGCTGTGGTTGTTCCTCGATGCTACTAGCATCTTCCTCATCCTCGTATTCCATGCTCTCGTCATCGTCCTCCTCGTCCGTCTCTGGAAAATATCTCTCTGGATCCCCATTGTAAACAACCCACCAGCCTATCTTCTCGCCAGGAGCCAATTCATCCCGCAGTCCCTCCAACGCTTCTGTCGTCGCAGAGGGTAGCCCCGGATCCTTCACAAGATCTTCAAGATTCCAACTGAGACCAGCCCCGGGGGCACCGGGATCGGGGATTGTAATCACTTTAGCAGCGACATAGGCAAAAGGCTGGCTGACAGCGGTGTTGCTGGTGGTATCCTCGGGGTCGTACGCCTCGATAAGCTGCAGGTCTGGAAGATTGGGCATGAGATTCGGCTTGCCGCGTTTCAACGAGTCGAGAATCAAGCGAGACGTGAGCGGCTGCTGGAGATACTCGGCCGTAGCATCTTCCAGATTATGGAGAACGACATAAACTCGAATGCCGGTGAAGCCAGCGCGTGGCCACCGGAAACCGTGGAGCACGTAAACAGGCATTGCGATACGATACGAAGGGTGGCGAAATGCGGAAACGATGAACCGATTGCGTTTGATGTGCCCTTGAGGTTTAGCTGAAGAAGCGAAGGTGCAATAGCCCTGATGACTTGGTGCGCACTTTCATGTTATCTAGGAGACAACACAAGGCCCATGATGTTCCACGGTTGGGCATGCGGAATTGAAGCGTGTGCTACCTTGCATGATGTTCGTTTTCTCCTGTCATTTTATTCCACCAAGGCAACGCTAAATCGAACTCGTCAGATCGAAAAGCGACTTAGATAGCACTTTGTGCATAATTAGTCACTCGTGAAACAGATGACCCTCAATAACGCCTTTTGTGTCGAATTTTTGCTTTTTCTCAAAACTTATTTTGAAATTCAATGCAGAGAAATGCCTGTAGAGACATGGGGTGCTCTGAAGGCTTGAGATTTTATGGACGACCGGGGAAGTCAATTCTGTGGAGCCAGTGTAACTAGCGATTATATATACGTGGATGAAGACACAATGATCAGAACTTTTCTTCGTTTTATCATAAATATTGGCATGAAATGCTATATGCACATTTTGTACTCATAGAAGCAAGGGGTCTTGTGCTTATGAGCTGGCCCCGTAACCTTTTGCCCACTGGGCATCAAAAGTTGCTGTGTCCACCGCAAACTGTCTAATGTAGTCTCTCTCCAAGTCGTGCGTCTTTCTTCCAAGCAGCACCAGACTGTGGAGCGGTGGTCCCATATCCACGTCTGTCAGTTCCTTCAAGGTTCCTGCAACCAATTTCTGATCGGCAGCTCCAACTCTTGCAGCTCCAACGGCAAGGCTGTCGGGTCCGAAGGCACCCTCCTTTCGCTCCTCCTCGGTCTCCAGCATCTGACTGGCACACTGTGCGACCGTCATGTATCTTGGGGGCTCGTAGATCATCCGGCCTCTTGCTAGGTTTTCCCACGATGGCTCCTTGACCTTGATATCCACAAGCACCAATGTATGGAGGCCCAGCTGCACGTTTTCCTTAACTCGGTCGTAGTAGGACGATGGTTTCCAGTTTTCAGTGAAGAATACCATGCTCACAGTCTGTCCGAAGTTGTAAAGCTGCAGACCCGTGCAACCAATACCGGACATGATCGATGCGTTTGGAATGACCCTGGACTCGATGCCCAACTCGCGGGCTCGAAGGACTAAATCGGTGTGGGTGGTGGCGCTGGAATGGTATGAGAATCATGATCGAAGGTCCGAGAGAGAATATCACCTACCCAAATGGATCGCCAACCACTAGGAAGGCCACATCGGTCTTGTCGGCTCCTGCGAGGATATCATCGCTGCCGCTTTCGACTAGTTCTCTGTCTGCTACGATAACAGGACGTCCATAGAAAGCTTCCTACTGATGAACCATCACATCTGTTAGCCCAAGATATCCAGAAACATCAGCGCAAGAGAGGAATAAATCTAGGCAGCAGAACGGAATTCCATTTTGGATACACTCACTAGCTTCTCTTTATCCACAAGTAGAATACTGGTGTATGCCTCAAGGTAGACTCTTTCCGCCTTTTTGACAATCTCCAGACCCTTGACAGTAATGTCAGTTTCGTCGGCCAAGCCGAGTCCCACGAGGTACAACATTGTGACCCTTTTGCGACAATCTGTATATCAATTGAAGTTGCGTAGATGCCGCCAAAAAGTTCCTTCATCACCCCGCCAAACGCGGCGGCGGAGGACCGGAGCTGGAGAAACCTGGGATCCGAACATGTGATCGCCAAAGCATCTCCCTTGGACTTGCGACATGCTCTCTATTAGATGCAGTGAACCTGCGATTTCTCCAAAGCAGAGACTTCTTTGAGCTCTGAGCTCTGCTTTACTGAAGATATCATTTCTGTGAATCATGCTTGGTATCTCTTCTTGATTTCACAAAAATGGCGAGCGATCGTACCCCAAAGTACCGGCAGGAGATCCAGCAGGTAAGCTTTATCTATCATTTTATACCAGTGTCTGGTACAATCTGGTACAATTGGAAAATCATGCGAATTCTTTGCCTTTTTTTAAATTATCATCATCGATTTGCTTGTTCTCTTTATGTTGTTTTGGTTGTTTGGCGTGTTATGCGCTTTATACTGGTTTGCGACATGATGTTTTATGGCATAAATGGGGGAGGTCTCTCATCGACAAATATTATTCTCAGATTGCTTCTTCTGCTGGCCTGAAATGATATTGAAACTGTTGCTCTTGAATATTTGTGTCTTCCCACAGCACCAGTCTGTTTATGTCCTTCACTTGCCCCTCCCCTCTACCACCTACCTGTCCACGCCCTTTTCCCTGTTGATACACTAGATTATTCCGTTTCCTTTATGGCTTGATCAATACTATATCCTGAAATGTCGATGCAACCTGAGCGACGAGGCGCAAGTGGGCGGCTGGTCTCTGAGGAATCGGAGTTTGAGCAGTCTTTTCCAAACTCGCTTGACGCATCTTCAGAGAGTACAATCTCAGAAGGCCCAGCTTCCCCAAACCCGCAGCAGACGAGGACTTTGACTTCTCAGGATGAAAGTGTTGATCAGGCTTCAGCGATTGAAACTCTGCAAATGTTTCGAATCACACTTACTCACCTCTTGCACCAGATGATGTTCGTCTCTGGAGAGACTGCCGAGCCATCCATCGAAACTACCAGCTTGATTGAGGAAATCGTGCGCCAGCAGGTTATCGAAATTGTTGTACCCCTAAGTTCCCGCGATTTTGTACTTCCAATAGGCTGACTTGACACAGCTTACTCGAAGCACAGCACTAGCTACCCGACGAGGTGTTCGCTCTATTTCAACTGATGATCTCATCTTTCTGATCCGTCATGACAAGGCCAAAGTTTCACGTCTCAAGACATTCCTTTCTTGGAAAGATGTCCGCAAGAACGTCAAAGACTCAGACGACAAAGGCGGCGGCGATGCGGCTGATTTTGCAGGCGCGGATGATCCGATTGCTGGTGGTGTTGCAGGACCCCAAGATGTTGCAGCAAAACCAAAAAACAAGAGAGCCAAGGTCGGTCTTGCTTGGGATGTGAATAGCTTTTACTCGGTTCAGGTCCCTGAAAGAGACGACGAGGAGGACGAGGAAGAAGAAGAACAGAACTATGCCACCCTCCAGCGTCTCGCAGCTGCCGATGAGCGGACGAAGCATATGACCAAGGAGGAATACGTGTTTTGGTCTGAATGTCGCCAGGCATCGTTCACCTACCGCAAAAGCAAGCGTTTCCGAGAGTGGGCTGGGTTTGGTATAGTGACGGAATCGAAGCCCAATGACGATATCGTTGATATTCTTGGATTCCTCACTTTTGAAATCGTCCAGACTCTGACCGAGGAGGCTCTCAAGGTCAAGGAACGGGAGGAACGGGAAAAGAACCGCCGCGGAGGCACCGAAAATGGAACCGGCGAACACATGAAGAAGCGCAAGAGGGAGACTGGACTGTTTGACCCTCCCGAGGAAGGGCGCACTCCCGTGGAGCCGAAGCACATTCGTGAGGCGTATCGCAAACTGCAGGCGACTCCCAACAAGAACATTGCAATGCTCCTTCACAACGGACGCCTTCCCCCGCGCACTCCTCTGAGGCTGGTAGGTCTATGCCGATCCCAATCATCCGGTCTTCTACTAATGTGTTTTCTAGATTTGATTCGGGCGTTGGTCTGGCATCCTGTTGACCGCTACCACTTTTTCGGTGAAATTTTGGGTCTTCGGCGCTTGGCTTTGTTTCTTTAGAGCAAAAGGAGTTTGGATGATATTCACAGATACCCATGGAATGGATGAACGTACGATATCGAATTGATTCTATCAGCAGAGATGATTACCCGTTTTACTATTCCTCTGCTTTTTATGTGTACAAATACATGGTTACCAACATTGGGCTGTTAATAAATGTTTTTCATATTCAATATCCCGGAATGATTAACTTGTAGGTCTTCCTAATGTGTCATTAGAGTATAGCTATACAAATTACCACGGAATTTGGTTTAACACCCTAGATTCGTGAACTCATTAACCCCATTGCAAGATGCACTGTATGGTCATTTTAGGCCTTGTGTGTTCGACGCCCTTGAACAAGTCAGCACAATCAACCAACATCACGAAAAGAAATAAAGACTCACATTCAGCCAACTCCTCCTGAGACAACTCCCGAATACTGTTCACCAACGGCACATTGCCCTGAGCCGCACTCTTGACCGTTTCCACAGCCCTCCCAAACACACCCTGTCGCACAACATCATAAGTCACCAACTTGGACTCAAGCCTAATCACTCCTATCCGGGGGTCTGTTGGTCCACCGTCATGCACGCCGTCACCCAGATCTCCAAGCCAAGTCTTCAACATGGGAGTATAGTATTTCCTGACGGTCTCTTGGTCTGCGACGATGGAGGCAGTGCCGGAGATAGACGCCCACGCGCCGGTGATGGGGTCGAGGAAGGACATGTTTGTTTCTTGGGGGTGGATGGTCAAGTCCATCGTTTTTCCGGAGAAGAGGTTTGTGTGGAAAATGAGGTCGATGCCGCCGTTTTCCTGGTATCGTCAGTTAGACTAGATATTGGGGCCTCATCGTTCTTGGAGATTGTGTATACCTTATCTGCCAGTGCCATGCATCGTGAAACCAGGTCGTCACCAGAGGATGACTTGGTTGTCAACATGCCAAGTTTGATATCTGAGATGAGTTTGGACAGGTCCTCGACTTTCTTTGGCAGAGGCGGATCCTCGACACTCTTGGATCTGTATGGATCGACGGGCTGGTTTCCCACGCTGGTGTTGATTGTAGCGGACATTTTGTATATTGTTGATTTGAAGAGAAGATGCTCAAGATATTGATATCAGAATAGAATATTGATGATCGATATATGAAATGTAGTACTATTCGTAAATCCAGACAAAAGCTGCAATAAATACCCAACCAACAAATCTCCAAATCATATGAAAACACTCCAAAACTGGGAACAGACAATACAAGTTTCAATGGTTTCTAACTATGATGTGAAGCAGCACGTCAAGTCTGGCGTAGCTGTGACGTCAAACGGCGATATCAACCAGATTTCCGCAATCATCGACATCGAAATTCATTGGTATGTAAGATATGTACTAGAACTATTTATTATGATTGATGTCATTCAATTCTATTCAGTTTAATGATGTTTGGTTTTAAAATAGAAGTTATGATGTAGTAGTCGATATATATTTCCCATTGGAGTTGTGAAAAGGGACTGTAAATCAGAAATATTAAGCAGCCAGCGTTTTACGCATGCCATCTTAATCTATGCTTACACAAAGAATCCAATGCCACCCAAAGAATCATGAGAATGCTTTAGATGTAGCCTTTGGGTTCTGCTTGATAACAGCCTGAGACATTGCTTGAGTTGACGTTACATCCACCGACAGCCAACTCAAGGGATTCATCCACAATCAAGAATGTTCTTTTTTTGCCTCTTGATGTATTCAATGAATTTCCGTACAATATTGGTGAGAGATTTCCTCGAAGCAGCATTTTTCCACAAGAGATAAAAAAAAAATCACTCCTATGCAATGTACCCGTGGGAGGAGAGACCCTACCGAGGCGGTATTCTTTCTAGGTCGGTTGTAACTGCCAAATATAGACAGAAGTGAGCTAACGACTGCACTTTTCACAGGTGGTTTTCGTATTTCCAGGCGAAGGATATACTGTTTGGAAGTATAGGAGTATAGATGTGTTTGGAATGAAGTCAACCTGAGACGACTGTTTTATGACCCATCTGATAGTATCCTTGGAATCGGTTTTCGCTGAGCAGAAGCCTGTAGGAGTTCAGAAAGAGCCCAAATTATAGATAATCTAAAGATCCCCCCAAGTCGGATTATCTTCTCACCTTGTAGAAAGACTCCACACCAAGCTAATGGAGAGGAAAATAAGCCCGATAATGAAGACTGCAAAACAGAAGGCCAGTCAGAGCAGCAAAGTAAACTGTCTCACTCAAACGAACCTTCATATCCCAGGTTCCTCGCCAGTGCTATCCGACCCTGTCTCTTCAACCAAGTCGGCACCATATCCCTCTGACAGGTTCTTCCCTCGACGACCAAACAGCCGCCAGCGACTCGTCGACACTCAGCATGTCGTCGCCTTCGTTCCATGATCCCTCGAACCCTTTCGTTGCAGAACGACTCGTCAGTTCGGAAAGAACACTTTTCCATCGGACATTCCAACTTTCGTTCGAAACGTTCCACCAGCCAGTCGACCTTGAGATGAACTCCTGTGTAGACAAAGCAGAAGAAATGCCGGCAAGTGTGTTTGAGAGCTAGGGCATCGGGATAGGAGAGATACGAGGCGATATGAATATGCAGTTCTGTGGGCAAGCCCATGAGAGTATGCCTGCGGTCCATCATGAATCAAGAATCAACGATGTGGATGAAAGAATCGAGAAAGATGAATATATTTCTTGAGCCTCAGATCTAGGGCTCGAGAAACCCGCAATTATTTAAGACAGTATCCCAAGGATAGCAAGAAAATTGTTGCCTGAGACATTTGAGACAAGCTCCAAGCCAACATGACCATCGTAGAATGAAGCCAGATGTCAGATAGTCATTTCAAGGGATATTATTTCCAGAGGATTGTTGCCTATCCGGATACGAGGACGAAGTCCGTGATCGACATTGTACAGCTTCGATGACGGAAACGGTTAAAGAAACCCTTCCAGAGCGAATTCGACAAGCATGATGTAACCAGACCAGGTAGGAAAGACACAAAACGGGATGAAACTGATCCGGAAGAATCGATAAGGATAGCAGACAATTTGTTGATCGTGAGATGAAGCTGTCGCCTTTGAGGCCACCGCACGGACCAACTGCTTCTCTCCCTCTCCGCCACTCTTTCGCATCACATTATCTTCAACAAAACATCTTCAACTACCCAACCTGGTTGAGTCAACCAAAATATACCCTTGAACTTCACCCTACCTTATATCTATTACCCAGATTTACTATTTAATCACCTTCGCCAGACACATCCACGCCTACCCTCATCATGTCCAACAAACAAACCGCCGCCCCGGCCTCCGACACATCCTTCCGCAAAACCTGGGACAAAGAAGAATACGCCAAAAAAGCCGCCGACGATGAAGCCAAGCGCAAAGAGGAATCAAAGGCCCGCTATGAGGCAAAGCTTCTAGGCAAGAAATGGCACGCGCCAGTAGACTACGGCAGTCTTGATGCGACCACGAATCGATCACAGCGGCTCGATGTTGCGTCCATGGTGGGCAAGACCACCATCGTGCCCTCGGGATCGGCAGTGGGAAAGCGAGGTCGGGGTGCTGGATTCTACTGTTCCGACTGCGATCTTACTTTCAAGGATAACTTGCAGTTGGTGGAGCATTTGAATAGCAAACAGCATTTGATTGCTACCGGGCAGAGCGGAGAGGTTGTACGTGCCACTGTCGAAGACGTGCGTTTGCGACTGCGGATGCTGGCTCATCAGAAGCGAGTCAGAGAGGCAGAAGATAAACGTGTGTGGCAGCTGGATCTGGGCACAAGGCTAAAGGAAAGAGAAGAACAGGAGGCCAAAGAAAGGGAGGAGAAGAGGAGAAAGAGGAACGAAAAGCGGCGCAAGGGTGGAGAGAACGGCATCAAGCAGGAGGAAGACAGCTGGGAAGGACGACTGGGTATCATCGCATAAAAAGGGCGTTTTTGGATTTTTTCTTTACTTGTATCAACAAAGGCAGGCTGGTGGAATACGGAAAGGTGCTTTCATCAAAAAAACAAGAGGCACAGTATATACCCATGGCGTTTGATTTCTACCGGTACGTTTTGAATGAGTTGCCTCGAGGCTCAGAATGGGAGATGGCGTTCATATACCGCAATGACATTTGACCATAAAATTGCTTCCAAATATTGTACCAACGAATACCAAAATAGATGATTATACATAAAACGCCAATCCCCGTTTCCTTTCCATTCCGTCCTGCTAATTAAAAACCAAATCCCTGTAATAATCAATCAATCAATCAATCAATGCATTCAATTCCTTCCAATACGCGCATGGCCCTTCCACCTTCTTTCTCAAATTGACCGACCAAGCGCTCGCATTCTCGCTTCAGTCTTTCTTCTCCATTCTTTGCATTCCATAAAATCCATTCTTCAACGGTCATCTTCTTCTCTGGGCTACTCAAAGCCCCCTTTGTATTTTGAGTTATACCGAGATCAACATTTTCCTTGTCGCTGGCCCCGGCGAAGAGAACCTCTTCAATATCGGTGGGAATCCATGGGTGAGATGTTTTTAGGCCCCCGGCGTTCGCATTGCGCTTTGAAGGCGAGGGTGTGCTGGGTGCTAGAGGAACTCGACCTGTCTGTTGCTTGGACGGAGATAGCACAGGAGTCCTTGACACAAAATGCTTTGTGGAAGGAGGTTGATTCTCAGCATCTGACGACTGAGGCGACAGAGATGGTGTGCTCTTCGAAGGCGAAGGAAGAGGCGACACGGCGTCGCTCGTTTGTCTATCCGTTTTGTTGCTATCATTGGGTGTGGCATTGACATTGGAGCTCCGCGACCCCGTAAACGATTGTGCAAATTGCTTATCTTGAGAGATGTCGCTGTACCGTTCGGTTGTCTTTGGAGGAACTCCCGATGACCTGCGACGGGCAGGCTTTTGCTCAACATCTTTCTCCACGGTCTCTTGCGCTTGGGACTCGGGCAAATCGGTTTCAACCTCAACAGGCTTTTGTCCCTGGGAGCTGCGTCCTGCGTCAACCTTTTCGGCGAAACCTCCACTTGACTCGGAACGCTCTGCAGAACCCTTATCTGATTTCTTTGACTTCTTGGCCTTCTCTGTGTGGGGGGCTTTCTTTTTAAGCACCTTTTTCTTCGCTTCTTGACCAGCAGCCTCGGAGTCAGGCTCTTCATTCGGATCTCTTGTTTTGATTTCCACGGAGACAAAAGATTCATGGTGCCCAGCTGAACTGGCTCTGTCCCCGTGGGTTGCATTGACTTCCTGTGGTGCCTGAACTTCTGAAGATTGTTGAGCAACCTCTTCCTGCTCCCTTGATTTCTTTTTGCTTCTCCGCTTCTCCGTGCCCTTGCCTGATTCGAACTTCTGAGTTGGCAACTCAGTATGGGTGGGCTTTATTTGTTTCGGCTCAAGGTTCTGACTTGACTGTCCTTCGTACTCAGCATCTTCGGTTACATTTTCCGGTTCTTGAACGGGTTCTTCTGGTGCTGCCTTAGCCTTCTTGGTAGACTTGGATTTCTTCGAGGGTTTGCGAGTAGGTTCCTCCTGTTGTTCTTCAGCTTGAGGCTCTTCGAGGCCAGCCTCGATTGTTGCATCCAATTCGGAGTCACGAGGTGCCTGAGACTTCGATGTGGATTTTGATGTGGGCACGGTCTCCGATACTTTCCGACCTTTAGAAGTCTTCTTTATGGTTCGTCCTTTCTTTTTAGGCTCTTCCTCCTTAGGCGTGGTATCATCCTGCTCTTGGACATCTGGCATGGGCTCATCGTTCAGCTGATCTGGTTCTTGCTGAGCAACACTGCTGCGGGATTTGGTAGCTCTCTTTTTAGCAGGCGGTTCAGGCTGATTGATGCTTTCCGAATCAACTATATCCGGTTCTCTCATCTCCATTTCATCAGTCGATCTCTTCTTTCCCCTGTTAGTTCGCTTTGCCTTCGGAGGCTCAGGCTGCGCATAATCCATGTTTTCGGCATCGACCTGGCTGCCGGTCTCCACGTCTTCATTCTTCTTGGACTTTGTACCCTTTGTTTTAGACTTGGACGATTTCTTGGTAGCCTTGGTTTTAGTTGTTGACTGCGACATGATGCTTTCGTCCATTGGGTCCTCGAGGTCCATAGAAGGCGCAGGCGCTTCTGAAATAGTAGTGGTGACAGACTGGTTGGAGAGGCGAGAGGCCTTCGAGACTCGCCCCTTCTTGGATTTGGAAGACTTTGTCTTTTTGCCAGCAGGCTGGGCGAACACGAAAAACGAACAATCGGATGAACGTCGGTAGTGCTCGTCACTGGAGAAGTCAGTTGCGTTGAAAAAGGAAAGAGCAACAAACATCCGACTCACAAAGGATCATCCTTGGGTTCCCAGCCATCAAGAGACAGCTTACAGTAGGCACAGCTGGCCAAGTCATCACTTTCCTCATTGGGGCAGAAATACCAGCCGCCCTCGACCATCTGCGACAACAGCCATTAACATGCAATCTGAGAAATTGGCTTATCAATTACACTACCTTTTCTGATTGGCACACCCAGCCTCTCTTTCCATCATGTGGCCATTGTTCACCGAATGTTGCTTGTCTTGCTTGGGTTATTCTGTCGCCTGTAGGATCTTCAATCTCGGCGGGGTTTGAGCTGTGCTGCTGAATGTCCATCATAATAGCCCATCCGCAGTCATTTGAATGCTTAAGGTGCTCCGTAATCGGGTTATCCTCATCTTCCCAGCCATCAAGCGCTCGGTTGCACTGGAAACATGTTGTATTATCGGGGTTTGTCTCGTAAGGGTTATAAAAGAAACCTGCATGCGCCAGCTACAATAACAGTCAGCCAATTTGTTGCTGTCCTCGTTTCAAGTCGAATAACGGAAGCCTAAGTACCTCAGCAGGCGACGGTTTTCTATGCGGCCAGGCAATGGCCTTTGCAGACTTTGCAGTCGACGACCTTCGTTTCTCGGGTTGCAATACCCTATCGAAGCTCGCCAAACGGGCGGCAAACGTCTCCATGTCTTTGCTCATTATTATTGTAAAATAGCTGTCATCGCACAACAGGCCCAAATAGTCAATAAGCGCGGGTGTCGGCCGAAAATTTCCAATGTCGAATTCCTCTGGGTGATCAGGAAATGGTAACGTCAAGAAGCGTTGCGCTCTGTTTACTCCGTTGTTTGGGTGGATCGTCAAAACGCGCGCCGCGGAGAAACAGTGTCACGTGCAGGTGTGGCACAGGACAGATGTGGCACAGCATATTACTGACTAACGCTACTCCCTGCTAATCGATCACCTTCGAAAGGCCGAGAACGTCAGCCGAAAGTACGTCAGATCCTCAGCTTCATGCCGCCCATAAAGTGTGGTTTGATTCACCAGTAGCATTGTCACATTATTCATTGCTTCTTTTGATTTATTGCTCTTCTCCTGGAAACCATGATTTGAGCTGTTGTTCCCAGACGTTCCCTGATCCATCCAATTATTATTATAGCCCTTGTTGTGGTCTTCATTCCTTCCCGTTTACCGAACCGCAGCAATGCGAGAAGTGACTGTAAGAACACCATATTCTTGTGCTTCCCCTATCCAATTGAGCCAACGGCGGCTTTGGAAAATCAACTCAATACTGATTGAATTCTTCTGAAGACCCTTCTTTCTAACGCTGGCCCGAGGTCTTACGTGCGTCTACGCTCGGTTTACCCGCCTTTCCCGAGATGCTCCCGAGTCCCAGCTTCTTTACGCTCCCTTTCCACCGAGTCTCGTTCAAGCCTCTCATCTTCCGATCTCTCGCGCAATGGAGGGTATTCTCCTTTGACGTCTGCAGATAGTGGGCTTTTGCTACCTTCGTCTTCCAGAGCATCGTTCTCTACCTCCACACAACACTCCGATGCGGATTGGGATGCGCATCCAAACCTATCAATCTCCGAATTTTCGGAGCTCCCATCCAAAGATTTTGGAGTCAATCAGCATATGGTTATTAATCAAGAATTTAAGGAAGCATTGCGCCAAATTCTCTGGCAGTTCCGGGCGCCAATTCGATATGCATTTGCCTATGGATCAGGTGTGTTCCCCCAAGTGGGCAGCGCACCAGGTTCTAGCCAGTGTCACCCGTCAGCCCCCGCCGCAATCCAGACCATGCAGCAGGGCAAGGGCAAGATGATTGATTTTATCTTCGGAGTGTCATACTCGCAACATTGGCATTCATTAAACCTGATGCAGCACCGCGATCACTACTCTGGATTAGGGTCTATGGGATCCTATGTGGTGTCTCAAGTGCAGGACAGATTTGGAGCTGGTGTATATTTCAATCCTTATGTCACAGTAAACGGGACGCTGATTAAGTATGGTGTCGTGAATATTGACACTCTATGCAAAGACCTCAGCCAGTGGGATACCATGTATCTCGCTGGGAGACTGCAGAAACCAGTGAAGATTCTACGAGACCACCCGCAGGTACGCTTGGCAAACCAAATCAACCTGCTATCTGCTGTGCGTGTAGCTCTGTTGTTGCTCCCTGCAGAATTCAGTGAATTCCAGCTGTACAGTACGATCGCCGGTATGAGTTATATGGGTGACCTTCGCATGGCACTACCGGCAGAGGATCCTCGAAAAGTCAACAATATTGTCTCTGGGCAAATGGCCCATTTCCGACGGCTCTACGCACCGCTTATTGACAATCTACCCAATGTCACATTCAACGACAAACGTTGCACCCAAGACAATTGGATCGACGACCCAGATGCCAACGTGCGACTGACCCAGGATATGGACCCGGTGAAGCGCGGTAATATGGTCCGTCGGTTGCCTGAATCATTCCGCGAGAAGTTGTACTTCCAGTACCAGGCACGCTATGGGATTCCTCGCGCGGAATTCGATAAAATGATGAAGGAAAGCAATGACAAGGATCCCGAACTTGTCCGCAAGAGACAGGGCGGCCCATTCGAACAACGTATCGCAGATGACGAGAGCCTGAGGGATGAATTACAGACCTCGATCACAAAAACGATCCGCTGGCCAAGTACGGTCCAAACTGCCAAGGCACCTCTCATGGCTGGAGTGGGACGGACATGGCGTTATTTGCGGGAGAAGCAAGACAAGTATAATAAATCCGGCAAGCAGTCTTCTTCATCCGAGGAGACCTCTTCCAAAACAAAGGAAGAGTAGATGTCGGTTGTCTTGACTTAAATTCTATACTATTGTTTATGCGATGAATCAAGCATGAGTGGGTCTGGGTAGAAGACGCTGGAATAGAGATTAGCTTCCCTAGACATCTTGAGGCATATACCTGGGCGTTCTTTTTTTTTTTTTTTTTTTTTGGCAATGAGGTAAATATGTATCTATCTACGGTATTTTCATAGTCAGCTACTATGCATTAGCACAATAAATAAATCGAAGAATATATACAGACAGCATGGAACTACTCATAAGTAGATGAGTCAATAAACATGATTCATCGTACCTGGTAGCGTCCCTCGACATACAAAAGGCGATGAAATCCGGTTCCGGCATCGGTTCCGCTGCTATCTTTCTTCCCCGCCACCCCACCATCATCGTCTCTTCAGAAAGACACTCCATCACATCACACGCATCAACCTACCACAATGGCTTCAAGAAACTCAGCTTTCAATCTTGAAACATGCGCGCGCCCAAATATTCTGAAATTACAGCCTTACCGCTGCGCAAGAGAGTGTGTTTGCCCTTCAATGTCTGCAACACCTTGGGAGCTAATGAGTCAGTGACTACAAAGATGACGGAACAAACATCCTGCTCGACGCCAACGAAAATGCCTATGGACCTGGACTTGCCCTGAATTCTGAGGGTGCACTGCAGGAGTCTGCCGCAACGGGAGCCTCGACTGGTTCCTCCAAGCCAGACATTGACTTTTTGGGATTGAATAGATACCCGGACCCGTAAGTTTCAGATGCGGCTTTACCCCTCAGTCGTGATGTGATTTCCAAGGGAATAATGATTCTGATGAAAGGGGTTGTCGGATTTAGGCACCAGATCGAACTCAAGCAGCTTTTCTGCAACCTCCGTAATACCCACGTTCACACCCAGAAAGACCTGCGACCCGAGAACCTCTTTGCTGGTGTCGGTTCCGATGAGGCCATTGATGCCCTTCTGAGATGCTTCTGTGTCCCTGGAAAAGACAAGATCCTCACCTGTCCCCCGACCTACGGCATGTACGGAGTTAGCGCTCAGGTCAATGATATTGAGATTGTGAAGGTGCCTCTGGATGTCAACAATGGATTCCAGTTGCAGGTGGAGAAAATCAACGAAGCACTATCAGCAGACCCTTCGATCAAGATGGCATACATTTGCTCGCCCGGAAACCCCACCGCGAACCTGATCCGAAAGGAGGATATCCAAAAGGTCTTGGAGCACCCGACATGGAACGGCGTCGTCGTGGTGGATGAGGCTTACATCGACTTCGCCCCCGAAGGCTCTAGTCTTGCCGAATGGGTCACCGAATGGCCCAACCTTGTGGTCATGCAGACCCTGAGCAAGGCCTTTGGTCTTGCTGGCATCAGACTTGGTGTTGCCTTCACTAGTCCCCCGATTGCTCTTCTCTTGAACAGCCTCAAGGCACCCTACAACATCTCCAGTCCCACTAGCGCCCTTGCCATGGCCGCTCTCTCTCCCACTAACATGGCCGTTATGCGGAGCTACCGCGAGCAGATCATTGCTCAGCGCGATCGCATGCTGAAGGAACTGCCAACGATCCCAGGAGTTGGACGCTTCCTTGGCGGATATGAGTCAAATTTCCTTCTTGTTGAGCTCTTGGATAAGCCCGCCAATGAGGGCGGAAAGGCCAGCAATGTCATTGCACTGGCTACATACGAAGCCATGGCAGAGAAGCGAGGGGTTGTGGTGCGATTCCGGGGCAAGGAACTAGGCTGCGAGGGATGCATTCGTATCACCGTCGGAACGGAGAAGGAAGTCACTAGGTTCCTGCAGGAGTTGCGGGTAGTACTGAGTGGTCTCCACGCCGGTGTGGATATCGAATCGTCGAGGGAAGAGATTGCAAAGGAGGTCAAGGCGAACCAGGTTGTCGCCTAGATTAGACTATAGGTTTGTACTGTTTTTGAATATAGACCATCTATCTATACCGTTTAGAGATACTGCTTCCAGGCCTGTTTTCCTAGCTATCAAGCTTGATTGTGTTCCTAGATCCGTGATGAATCACATGCAAAGCGCATTATGATTAGCTGTACACTGCTGATTGGCCTGATAATGGCCAAAAATGGTGATAAAAAAGTGTACCTACAGCCACAACCAGAAGTTGATGCAGGGCGCGCTGCTTTCAGACGCCTCTTTGTACCTGATGCTGACCAATTCTCCGAAATTTCATCAAAGAGTGGATCGATGGCCTGGATGATATGAAGGCCCAGCAACTCAGTAACGGTGATTCTCGCAGTTATCAGTAAAACCATATTAACACAGCCTACACAACTCCTGCCAATTACTTTTTCTCTGCTCGATCGTCTCTACCACACCTCCATCCTGACTACCAGTTCTTATCGGTGTTCGGCCCTGTCCGAGGATGACTGACCTTATCTCGTCTTTGATAGAGTCCATTTGAACGATAAGAGGGTTGCATTTATGACCAACGAGAATGCTGTAAGAGAAGAAGAGTGTAAGAAAATAAACAACGAGAATCAATGCTTGTCGAATGCATGCTGTGTAACTGATATGCCGCCACGGCGCGTGGAACGGGATACCATGTGGGACAGGAGACGGGCATGTTTTCTGTTTATTTTGACAAATATCTCGCACAGAGGATTAGAAACCATAATAATATGCTATACGTAGGAGGATTAAAGATAGAATTCCGATGATGGCATGCTCGCTGGCTGTCAAACCACCTGACGTGCCGGCACAATGCGCGGTTATCTCGAGTGGTCCGCAACAATAAAACCCTCATCGTCATCAGCTCCACCAACTCTCAGGGTCACGACTGTCCATCCAAGGATCAACAACTCAGCGACCAACCACTTGGGACTACCCTGAGAAGCTTCCTGGGCGTCCACGGATGCAAATCATACCCGGACCAATTCCCCTTCATCGGGTCTCTTTCGCTGTGTCTCCAGTCCAAATACGAAGAGTTGGATGGTTGTGGCTGGTCCAACCGTTCCTTGTCGAGGACAATCACACGCGCTTCGCAGAGGCCAATCTCTCCGCCCAGCGTTATCTTCCGTCTTCGTCATCTTATAATCGCTGTTATTACCATGGCTTTCTTTCTAGGTTCGAGAGATACAATCTCTAATCTCCACCTGTCTTCCCTTTGGCGCCCACCGCGCGATTTTCGCACCTGCCCCAAGACTAAAATAAACGCTTCGAGTCTGTCTCCTGACTCCTTTATATCCTGCTCGCTGGAACAGCGGTGAAACGGAGCGAGGCTGGCTTTTTGTCATTCACTCTGATCTTTTCCACGTCGCCTTTCCCGTCTCACCGCGCATCCTCGGACCATTCTTATTGATAATTTTGCCTAAGAGCCGCGGACTGACCGTATTCAAACGTTCATCTCCACTCGTGTTGGATCTCTCAAGTGTCAAAGATCGTCGCTTTTATTCCCCCGTCTTTTTCCCCACACTGGACTCGAATAAGCACGTGCGTCATAACTGTCCAGCGATGAACAATAATGTGAGATGTGTCTGGTGCCAGATCATTATTGCAAAGCCACCTAGGACTTCCTGCAAAGAACTTCATCTGAATAATTGACCCCGACGAGTTGGTGACCTTCCTGACCCCTCTTCGGAGGTGGCTCAGACGGCCATAAGCTTATAATCAACAATGCTGGATACTCGTGGAATCTATTCAAATGTTCCTCCAGACATCAGGACCAGGGTGCAGGACAATCCCACGCTCTTGGTGAGTTGGTGGGCAACCGCTTTCTCTCTGGCCATTATTGTGACTAGGGTTTGTGGTCGCTATATTCGGATCGAGCGATTCTTCCCCGAAGACAAGGTGATGATGACCAGTATCATACCACTACTGATTCGAATGGCCTTTGTCCATGTTATTCTCATATGGGGTACAAACAATACGAAGACGGATGGATTGACTGCGGAGGAAATTCGACATAGAGAGATCGGCAGCAAGCTCGTTCTTGCTGCGCGGATTTTCTATGCCATCTTGTAAGGATTTTTCTTACCTTCTTTCTGATTGAGCGGGTTGCTAATGATGGGTCTTCATTTCACAGTATTTGGACCGCCAAGGTGACCGTATGCCTTTTCCTCAAACGTGTGGCCGGAATGATTTGGAGACGCTCCCTGCAGAGGTTTCTGCAATTTTTATACTACTTTTTGGCTTCGACATTTATTGCGGTGGTGATTGCCACTTTGACCGAATGCCAGCCTTTCAACCATTACTGGCAAGTTGTTCCAGACCCGGGTGCACAGTGTCGGTCAGGTTATGCCAACTTGATTACAATGGGGACGTGTGATGTTATCACAGACTTACTCCTAGTCGCCTTCCCGATTCCTCTTGTCCTAATGACACATATGTCTGTGAAACGAAAAGCATCTCTTGTCGTCCTTTTCGCACTGTCGCTCATCTTGGTCGGGATTACCTCATATCGAATACCAACAGTTATCAGCCACGGTGGCTCACAGCAGTATCGATCGCTCGTCGCCTCACTGGAGATATTAGCCGCTACGGCTGTTTCCAACGCTTTGGTGATTGGATCATTCGTGAGGGATAAGGGTGTTAAGAAAGTGAAATATCAGAAAGCAGTAGGATCGGCATCAGTGAGCGAAAGCGTGGAACACAGCTCGATTCAACGTTCGCACATCACACACCATCAGTGGGGAAGTGATTCTGACCTTGCTGGTGGCTTGGGCATACGCCTTGCCCCCGAATTATGCTCCTTCGATAATACAGTACCACGTCCAGCTCCTATTGCAGCTCCACACCATACCTTTACGGCCCACACGGGAAATTTAACCCCGAACTGGTCCTTTAACCGCAACTCGATGGGGGCTGAAGATGATGCGATCTCTACTCCAGACAGTTTGGATGTCAAAGTCAGCCCTCGCGAATATATCGAAACAAACAAAACACCAAGCAAGAGGCCCAGCAATGCCATGTCTCATTCATCCCAGAGAATGTCTATATTCGATGTCGGCGGTCTGCTGGATTCCACACCAACAGCCAGTGATAGTGCCACCCATCCTCATATTCCACAAGACTTCGAAATGAGTATAAGGCCACCTCGTCGCAGTGGAACTAGGACATTTCTCCAGGACGTCGGTGGCCTGCTCTCTGTTCCGGGCACTCAGAACCGCCCGGCTCTTCCCCCGCAACCTTCACATTCAAATTTCTCTCGACCAGGAATTCTATCACTATCCGGTCATACCCAAACAAACACCGGGCGACGAGGCTCAAGTGTGCATTTTAGCGATGAAACCGAGGCCCCGGTGCCCTCATACCGATCACATCCTGATGTGTCTGGCCCTATCAACGAAGGGAATGACATGGAGCTTCAGGATGTTGGAGGTCTGCTTTCACGAGACACATGATGATGATTTGACGATTGTACAAATAGGTGGATCTTTTTTGGTATCTTGGTCGTTCTATTTTCGGACTTATATCTGGATTTGGGAGATTTTGGAGAGGTTATTGGGTTAGGTTTTTAAAGCGATGGCGTTGGAATTGCACTTTCACTTACCATACTAAATGAATATCCATAAATATTAAGGTAATTTAAATTTTGGAAAAGAACATGTTGATAACCACCAGATGAATGATAAGATTGGATTACTGTATTTGCAATTTGGAAAGATTTTCTAGATATACCCACCCGATCCAACAACCCCTCTGCTTTCCGTGATTGAATTTGAACGAGAACAACTTCATCAATCGAAAAGACTCCAAGATATCAACCGAGTGATTTCGTTCTGAAGAGTTGCAAGGATAGGAGCAAAAAGAGAATTCCGCACCAAAATCATGATTAAAAAAAAGAACTGACATTCCCAGCCATGAAACGTCTCTGTTTTCGCCCTTACGCCATGCTGCCCATAATACGTACAATAGGACACATATTTTTCTTTTCTTCCTTTCCTCTGTCCTCCGATCTAGCCCTTTTTTTGAGGGGGTTTTTGTTTCTTTGTTTCTTTCCTTGTTTCCTCGTGGCCCCAATGACCTTGCCCGTCACCAATTGTGGGTATCGAAGATGCTTGTATACAAAGCCAGGATTGGGAAGATTTCTGTCTTTTTTTCAGAAAAGAAAAGGCTCCATGATCCGTTGACTTAATTTCCCGAGATAATAGCGTTATTTATATCACCCACCGGTAGCTTGCATAGCGACCTGCTGTTTCACTCTTCCGGATAATCTTCACGACCTGTCCCCTACGCAAACCCAAGTATCTGGCCACAGGGTCAGAGACCTGCATACGGGGCAATTGCGATTCCTTCAGACGGTAGCGCTCCAGCAATCGAGCCTTCTCCTCGGGGCTCAGCAAAACGTGCTTGGGGACCAGTTCGTGGCGGGTGATGTTGACCAGCAAGTCCTGCTCCTGGAAATGTTCGCAGATACGGCCGGGGATACCGCTCAGCAGACGAACGGCAGAGGGGGAGATCGGGGTCTGGGTGATGAAAACACCGGTGTGGAAGTTGTTCTCATCGACAAAATGGTTGAATGCGCGGACTTGCTTGGTTCCCACACCGCTGGAGTCGGGGCAGAATTCAACGTAGATGGTGCCGCAGTCGGGTTGAGGGTCGGGGTTCGACTTGCTGGGCAAAGGTGTGTATTTGCCTTGCATGGATTCGGCGGGGCGAGCGCTGACTTTCATCTTGTTGCGACTGCGAAAAAAAGAAAGATCGCGTTAGACCACAATGAAAAGACAATCAGTTAGATCAAGGCGAGCTGAGGATCGCATACTCAGGGTATCCAAGAGGGTCTGCATATTTTCGTTTGAATTCGTCGAGGGGAATTTGAACTTCTTCTTCGGTCACTTCGTAGCCCTTTCAGAAAGTACTCATTAGCAACTGCAGTGAGAACCATTGGTAGAAAATCGCTTACCCGGTCCATCAGCATCTCGAAAACTGTTCTCCAGGTACGCCAGAGTCTGGTCATCTCGCGGTCGGCGTCCGCGGAGCCAGCAGAATAATCTTCATCCATGACTGAAATATGAAGGGGCGCACCCAGGCGCTCTTTTTATTTTCAAATTAATGCGATAAAAATGAAGCGCTGAAAACGGACGACGGAAAGACGAGCCCCAGCACGGAGAATTGGGCGAGCTGAGAGCTAGGTGAGAGGTTCTTGAAGGCTGGAAAAAGATGGAAGCGATAGAGTCGGAGGTTCTCGAAAAATCGGCGGACCTGCGCTAACAGCGCCAACGGCCGGACAGTAAGCGCAGTAGAGCAAAAAGCAGCCGAAAAGGCCAGACCGAGAAAACAAGCACGAGCTTCGCTTCTTTTCATCCTCCCACTATCCACAACCTGTCCTGTTTGGCCATTCTCCCTCCCCAGGTTTTCTGATTCCTCTGGACTTTGTTTCTAGAGATCGATTCTGGGCCAATCTCTTTCACTATCGATTGTTACTCCCCTCACTCCCCCTCCAAACAAATATGGCCGCCGCTCAGTCCGCTCCTGCTGTGGAGCAGAAGGTCAAGCCTACAAAGCCCAATGAGGATGCCTACAAGGCTGATCTCGCACTGGCTGAGAAGGAACATGCTGCTATCAAGGAAAAATTGGTATGTGTGTTTTCAATGAACTGTTTGCTTTTCAATGATGGGTTTGTCATCATATTATCTATATTTCTACCCATTGCCTTTTCGCTCCACCCCCCTTTTCCTTCCTCATTTCCTGCCATTGGACCAATTTCTGACCACGAGCTAATACTGTCACAAGACCCAAATCAAGGCCAAGATCGAGACAGCCAAGCCCAACAACCAGGACTCGCCCGCCGCGAAGAGACAAAAGGAACTTCGTGCAGAGCTCTCTTCTATCCGCCAGAAGCAACAAGGATTCAAGTCCTCGAGATCGAGCACACAGGAAAAGATCAATGCCTTGGAAACCACCCTCAAGGCCCGCATTGCCGAGCAGAACAACTCCCGTACCAAGATGTCGTTCAAGAACGTCGACGAAATTGACCGTGAAATCGCACGCCTTGAGAAGCAGGTCGACTCCGGCACTCTCCGCTTGGTGGATGAGAGAAAGGCGCTCTCCGACATCTCGACCATGCGCAAGCAGCGCAAGAACTTTGCCGGCTTGGACGAGGCACAGAAGGTGATCAACGACCTCAAGACTCAGATCGCGACCCTCAAGAAGACTCTGGACAACCCGGAGTCTAAGGCTCTTAGCGACAAGTACTCCGAAATCCAGAAAGAGCTGGATGCCATCAAGGCTGAACAGGACGGTGCTTTCAAGAACCTCAATGCTCTGAGAGATGAGCGCACCAAGCTCCACGGCGAGCAGCAGACCAAGTACACTGCTATTCGCGAGATCAAGGACACTTACTACAAGTCCCGCAAGGCCTACAAGGAGTACGAGGACGAGGCCTGGAGGATCCGCCGTGAGAAGCAGAAGGCTGAGCGTGAGGCTTTTGACCGCGAAAAGAAAAAGAAGGTCGCAGACAAGAAGTTGGAGGAAGCTTCTCGTCTCGCATACACCGACGAGATTATCACCGCCCAGGGACTCATTCGCCATTTCAATCCCGCTTACGACTTCTCCACCCTTGGTCTGGACAGCAAGAAGGACGAGGGTGCCAACTTCCGCGCTGATGTTGGCCGTACCATTGATGACGCCGGCATCAAGGGTGTGAAGGTTCTCAAGAAGGAGGACCGCGAAGAGGACTACTTCAGTGGTAATGGCGGCAAGAAGGGTAAGAAGGGCAAGAAGGGCAACACCAACGCCAAAAACGATGAGGGAACCAAGTTCAACCTCAACGTTGGTATCATTGAGGAGTTCGCTCAGGTTAAGATTGATCCCCCTATGACCCAGTCCGAGGTGCCTGCTGTCGTGGAGAAGCTTGCCGCCAAAATAACTGAGTGGAAGGGTAGCCAGGCTACCAAGACAGAAGAGGTAAGACCACTCCTTTCTCGTAAAGATTCTATATGCTAATGAATTTCCCATAGAACATCAAGAAGGCCAAGGAGGAGATCGCTCGTTTGGACGAAGAGGCCGCCAAGGCCGACCAGCGCTCGACTGACACCGCCAAGAAGCCCGCCATCGAGAATAATGGCGTTGATGGCAGCGTGTCTGCCGATGCTGAGCTCAAGCAGGAGAAGGATGCTGCTGCTGACGTTTCTGAAGAACTTCAGAAGGCCTCGATTGAGGACAAGGCATAGAGGATACACCACTGATAGAGATCCTTTACATGCATGTGCCCTTGCATATTTGCTTGCATTATTACATGCATTGAGCAAGCTTTGGGCTTACTGGACCCTTTTCCAGTCTTACATTTTTTTTATTTCTTTGTGGTTTGTTTTATTTCTGCATGTGCATCATTTGAGATATTTCCTTTTAGTTTTGCAGACTACGGTCCTCTCCAGTTTTGCCTTATGAAGAAGCCATGGGCGTTAGTGATTTCTATATTCCTTCCTTCCCCTCTTCATCGTCTCCCCCCTCCCTTTTTCTTCTACGTCGTTGGGGTCATGTCTTGCTGATGCCTTCGGGGTCGTCGACATGGCCTCGTTGCTTATTTTTATTTTTTCTTTATTTCTTCTGTAATCAAGTTTTCTTCCGGTCTCTTTCACCGAATGTTTATGCATGATGGCCTCCCAAAAAAGAGAAGAGCCGCACATTGTTTGTTCCCTCTTCTCCCCTCCCTTCTTCCAAAACGTACCCCACAGAGAAAGATGTTAAAAGATAAAAGAGCGGCTTGCAGATTTCCTTCTTTGTTTCCTGTAAGTAGCAGCGTAAGCGATGAACAGCAAATTGACCCAGTGGACATATTATTTTGGATGAATCTGTAAGCAGATGTCCACTACGGAGTACAGACCAATTTAACCTGAGGCCCTCTCCATCTCCATTAGCTGTCATGCGCCCCCAATACTTCCTTAAGGAAGTCTACGATTGCGTTGAATTGCTCCGGCTCCTTAAGCCAGTGCCCATCGTTCGGGGCCCCTGTATACATTTTCCAATCGACTTTTTGGAATCCCAGACGGACCAAGATCTTGTAAGCTATCAGACCCAGGTCTGCATCTACCCATTGATCGTCTTCGCCGTGGCTCAGGAAAACGGGAGTATCGCATGAGGATCCCCTAAAGCCGTTGTTCTTCGACTGCCACCGTTCATGATGCTGCAAAAACCCCACCGGAAAGAACTGTTCGAAAACCTCCTTTCCATGTCCAGGGGTCGCTTCCCCACTGTCGAAGAGAGATTCAATCCTTTCTGCAAAAGGAAGCCAGCCCATAACCCCGACTAGACCCCCTAATCGCCTCTGGGCGCAAACCAAAGCCATAATCGCCACCGCCATACCCTGACTCAACCCGCCTAGGACCACCCGATGACCTTGGTCTTGATCACCATCGAACCGATTCACCTCCTCCTCCACGAGATGTAGAATATACTCTACGCTCTCCTTGAGCTCCTCCAGGGCTGAAATGCTGAGCTCTTCTTCTTCCTCATAATCCTGGTCGCTACCTGGAGGGTCTTCAGATGGAGGGTCGGGATTAAACCATTCCCCCACGCTTACTTGAAAGGCATCGGACCAGCGAGGCCTAGCAGACGGAAATACCCAGCGAGACGAAGGAAAATGGTCCAATATCGACTTGCCGGATGATGTGGAGGACCTGGCCATCTGGGCGGCTAACTCGGGGCCGTTACTACCACGGCCATGAAGGAAAATGATGGTTGAAGTGTGCGTTGAACTGGGGAAGAAGACATGGCGAGGTGGGAAGACTTGTGCCATTCTTGCTCTCCTTTAGATAGATATTCCCGTATTCGGGAGATGGGAAAATATTAATAAAAATAGCTGATTTGAGCTGTGGCTATATGACACGAACTATTTGTGAGGGGTCGAGTTCGCCGTGTCTGATTAAGGGGGTTGAGCCTCTCTGTTCGAATCTCCTTTCCACCCCTTCTTTTTCTTGCCTGTTTTGGATGATTATTATTATCGACTGGATTGAATCTGTGGCTTTGCCAGGGGATATGATTCGAAAGATGCACTTTTTGTCACACAGTAGTGTCTGAGGGTGTTTCGCGAGTGCGGTCTGTCGTGCTTTGGTGGAGTAATAATGGCATCGTTATTCCCCCGTCGAGTCAGCCATCTGCATCATGTATCAAGACACCGGAGTAGAACCGGAAAGAATTCGAAATTGTTCTCTGGAGTCTCGATCTTGCTGCGGGGCGATGGAGCATGACGAGTCATGGCGGCGGCGGGGATGTATGGAAAGTGGCGGTGCAACGGGTGAAGAAATGCAGAGTGTACGGAGGAGAGATATTCTTCCTTTTTCTGGAGCGATGACCAGAGATTGAAGCCGGCCATTTATATTCCTGCAAAAACTGTTGGGGATCGCAGTTAACCGCCGTCACTTTCACCTCCTCTCATCTTCAGCCGAGATTGCCTAATCCGGACCTTTCGCGCCAAGTGCTTGGGACGCTTTTGCTCTTCCTCGGCGCAACGACGACCAGTACGCCAACTCTCCCTTCTCCCTATCTTCTCATCTTCTTTTCTCCCTTTACTTTCTTCGTTCCATCCTCCATCCATACTCGCGGCTGATTGTTGCTTCTAGCCTTATTCTTTGCTATACTTTTTGCGCAGTCTACCCTTTCTTTCCGGAATCGCCGGACAGGCAGACGCCTTCTTTCGCTTTCTTCTCCATCGCCCTGAGTCGCAAGCGAGTTCATCCATCCCAGTGTTCATTTCGACAGTCTAATCTGGTCGCATCGTTAATTCATCATCCAAAATGTCTTACAAACCCGTATGTCTAGCTAGCTCTGCTCCAATCCCCAGTGATACTTTGAATTCAATCAACTAACATCTATCTCCATCTAGGACGGACCCCCCCCTTCATACCCGCCTCCGGTTCACGACGCAGGCCCATACCATCCTAACTCGCCTCCTCCAGGTGGTGCCGGAGACTACTACAACCAGCAGGGCGGTTACTACCCGCCCCAGAACTACGGACCTCCTCCTCAGCAGGGTTATGGTTCTCCCTACGGTTCTCCTCCGCCTCAGGGTCAGCCCATGTACTACCCACCACAGGGATACCCGCCACCGCAGCAGCAGCAAGGACACTTTGCCGGTGACCGAGGTGGATCTAGCGGAGGCGGTCTCTGCGCCGGTATCATGGCTGCTCTTGCATGCTGTTGCTGCTTGGATATTCTGTTTTGATTTGTGAGAAGCGGTGAACAGATGAGGACTTTTTTCGTGGGGAATGTGAAACACGGTGACTCAACGGCAGTGCCAGTTGTCCTTGAATGCTCGGTTGAGGTGGCTGGGGGAGCAAAGGTACGGGATCGATTTTGGATCCACGATTACCGAGAGGAAGAATTGTCGTTGGCCATTTCTCCTCTTTCTTTCTTTCTTTTTTTTTTTTCTTTTGATTCCGGACTAGTTGGTTGCTTTTTTTTCTACCATGACTGTCACGGCGCAAAAAACGGACACGGAGCATAATCTGGACTCGGGTGTTTGTTTCCTTTTCTTTTATTCCCTATCATCCGACCTTTGAGGGCTGCCACTCTGCACTGCTTTGCTGTCAAGGTGGATATCGTCTGCTTACCGGTGTTCCTAGCCAATTATAACTTTAGAACGAGGATGATTGCTCGCTGGCAGGGTGATTTTATAGCCATGAATAACGATTGTCATGTTTAACCTGGTGCATACATATTGCAGAATTGATGCAGATTTTTTATTGATATTTACACTATCAACAGATATATACAGAGTATATCGGATTCATACACTTCCTGGACCAGTAGAAGCCAAACACAGCACAGGAAATGTCATGCATCATAAACCAGCGTCATTAATCAATATGCCATAAATCATCATCGTAAAAAAAAAAACAAAAAAAAAAAAAAAACATATCAACAAGCGGGTATCCCAAATCGTAAATCAACAATAGAAAGCATAGCAAAGACGTCCTGTAATCCAACCATAATCTGTAATCTTGCGGGCAGCTCAACTCACCACCCCTGCAATTTAGCAAAAAGAACATCATCAATACCGACTCCCATCAATACCGACTCCCATCAATCGAACTCCCATATTCATACGGATCAACACTCCGATACGACCCCCTCCGATGTCGTCTCGGCGGCGGCCGCCCAACAGACGAATGCTCCTCCTCCACCTCAACAACATCATCATCATCCGTCCTCGACCGCGACATAACCGACTCCTCAACAACAACATGGTCATGTCGCGAGCGCGGCCGTGACCGCGACGACTGCGACTGCTCCTCAAACACCTCCACGATATCCGAGTTGCCAGGCGTGCGGCGACTCCCTCCACTCCCGCTGCCTCCGCCGCGACGACGACGCGAGGACGGCGTCCGACGGACCTCGACGCGCTCTTCCTCGCCCACGACGCCGCTGCGGTTTCGGCCGGAGCTGATTGCCAGGAAGAGGAGGTAGAGGAGGAAGATGAAGCCCGCTACGCTGCCGAGGATGATCCCGGCTACTGTGCCTGGGGAGGGGCCGTCGTTTAGGCGACCATAGCTGGAAGGGATGGAGTAGATGTTTGTGTCTGGGTCGGGGTGGGAGCGGGAGTGAAGGGGGGAAGTGGTGGAATTGACGGTTGCGAACTGGTGGGATGATTGTTGATGTTGTGTTTGCGGTTCAGTGCGGAGGTGGAGTGGAGCGGTGATCCAAACTGGTGGAGAGGAGAGGAAGGTCGGTATAGGTATCGGAGCCATTATTTATTATCGATGTGGAGGGTATATTTTGGAATTGACTGGTAGAATGGAGGATTGGGTATGTAATGAATGGATCAGGACGAGAGTAAATGCGATTTCAGTGGAAATAATCCCGGCGTCAAGCTTGTCTGCTGTGTTGTTTCGATTGATCGGCAATGGAGGAAACGAACGACATGGGGATGGACTCTCTGCGAGGATGCGCGACAGAGACGCTCCAGGATGGTATGATTGCGAGAATATGTAAGATAGAGAGAGGAAGAAGAGGAAGAGAAAAAAAGAACGAAAAAGAGGGTGAGAAACCAGGATGGGATGACGATCGCGGCGGAGCGATTGTGAAATGCGGTGGCTGGGAAGAAATGAAGCTGGAAAGGCAACAAACACCACAGACTTGTTTTATTCTTACACTCTTCTCTTGATAAGAGTTTGAAAATATTGATCTTATTCAATACCTTTCTATAACTCGTACAATGCATTTAATATTCATCTAATCGCATGACAGGTAAATAATGCGGGGTGAATCGACACGTTCGACTCCACAACTTGGCTCGTCAGCCCACATGGGTCTGGAATCTGGACGTAGAACATATTTGCAATATCCCCATATGAATTCATACATTCCATTAGTGCCATTAAAGACATACTATGCCTATCCAACATCATCAAACTAATACGCCCCCTCTCGCTTCTCGTACTTGGGCTGCTCCGAAGCCTCCAAGTCCTTCAGGGCAGTCAGCACCGGCGTCGTGTTCGCCAGCTCAAGGCCATCCAACTTCGCACCATCTGATTCCAAAGCCCAAAGAGTCACCGCAAGCCAGTTTGTTCCGCGGTAGTTCAAAATGCCCTCGGGCACTGGGAAGCTCTGCTGAGGACCAACGTTGTTGACGTATTTACCGTACTGGTATCCGTTGACGTAGAGCTGAACCCGATAAGCAGGAGGAGGGGAGGTGCTGTTCGCAAAGTTGAAGAACAGCGGCACATCCCATCCGGTTGGGATGTCAAGGTCAAACTTGGCGCTGTAGAACCCAATGCCTGGTTTGGTCAATCCGTCAAAGGGACTGGATGACTCCCAGTCATCGCTCGGGGGCTGGGGCTGGTGGAAACCTTGACGCTCAGAAAAGAGCCCTCCTTCATTCAGAGGTCCTCTCGTCTTGTCTTGGTAGTCCTCTCCGCCGAGATTACCGGTCAGCTTCCAGGTGATTGCACTGGAATCGCGTCCAGACAACTTGTAGCCCAGAATACCACGCGGGTCCTTCATTTCATCACTGCCAACGGTCCAGTCCTCGTCAAGTCCCATGTTGTCAACGACAACGGTGAACACATAAGGCTTACCTCCCTGGAGCTTAGGGAGCTTGTAAGTCGAGTTGCTGTCCATGTCCTTATCAATTCCGGCCCATGAGCCCACGTATGTCTCGTTTAGCCACACCGAGCTTCCGAATGCCGAACCACCCTGTGTGTGAATGAAGAGACTGCTCTCATTACCAGTGGCAGTGAAATGACCCCGGTAGATCAAGTACCCGGCGTGGAAGCCGTAGTCGGACGAATACAGAGACGTAGGAGTATCGAGAGGACGAAGGGTGTTGTCCGTTTTCTTGAGATCGGCAGCAGTCCAAGCAGAATCATCGTATGAAGACTGGATTTCTGGTAGAGTATCGAGATACTTCCAGTCCAGGTCCTTCAAGCTGGGAAGCTCAATCTTAGGAGCGGTGTATTCAACCTTGCCCGACCAAATTCCATTCTTGTCAACCGAATGCTGGATCTGTTTCTCGTTGATGTAAAAGTTCTTAACACTGGATGGGGCACCGATCACTTCAACTGTGGTTGTAGCGTTGAAGTCTGCGGTAAGATGAAGGTCTTGACCATCCACGTAAGCTGTTCGCACCAGATAGCCTGCGTTGACAATGATAGAAGACGCGGTGTTCTTCTGGGTGCTGTAACCCGGCGAGGTTCCCTCCGCAGGAAGCTGGGGAACCCAGTAGTTGTAGGCAGAGTTTCTGTCTGATAAACAGTCAGTTTTATACTAGCTACAGTGTTGGGTTTACTTACCGAGAAGGAGAACTTGGAGATCATCAACCTGGATAATGCGGCGAGTGGATGAAACATCCCAGCCAACGACGACTGTGTTTTTAATTTGCTTCGAAGAGATACCTGATTCCGATCCCTCGATGACCGACACGTTTGATTTCGACGAAATAGCCAATTCATGGTGTTCGTCAGGTCCACCGTAGAGCACGAGAACCTTCTTATCAGCAAACTTCTTCCAGGTGAAGACCTCTGCGGTAGAATAGAGCACGTTGGTACCAGACACGTTGTAATCAACAACATGGATCTTGGAATCGCGTCCGTTGAGGGATAGAGTTCCTCCAAGCTGAGGAACCGTCAGATTACCAGCACTGGTCGGAAGACGGAGTTTGTAATCAGTCGAGGCCTGGCTAGTGTAGTCTGAGTGTCTGACAACGAAATACGAGCCAGAACCATGTCCGACAAGAGGAGTCACGGCCAATTCAGCATTGTTTGTATAGGCCGATGTGGTGAGGTTGCCAGGAGTAGCCAGAAGGTATGACGGAGATACCTTGGCAAAGTTGCCGATCAGTTTGAGCTCGCTATACTTCTCACGGGTGATGTTTCGGGTTTCGGTTAATGGAGAGCCATAGTCGTAGGAGGTGTACCCTCCTGGATGACCGAGATTGCCCCAGTTGGTACCACCGAATGTCTTCAAAGAGTCAGTATCCCGCCATGCATCGATCGCATACTAGGCCCCTACCATGTATAAGTTCAGGATTGCAACACCAAAACTGAAATCATTCTTGTAGAACACTCTCTCAAACTCATGGTTGACAAGACCGGCACATGCGTCAAATCCCGGTCCTCCCCATGGGTCATAAGCTCCGGCTTGGAACTGCACTTGAATTAGCAATGCCAAACCCCTTCTACAAAGAGCTACATACCTCGATGAGAGAGTATGGGGTCGAAGGGCTCTGCTGAAGATGCAGATCACGGAAATTAGTAGGCAGACTACCATCTGGCCACACTGTTGGGTTTGCCTGGTTCATGTTAGATTTTAATAAACACTTCTAAGGGGGGTTCATACGCAATCGAAACCGAGACTAAGGAGCACGGTTAGTGAACTGATTATATTCGGGGAGTTGGCACAACTTACGGATAGCTATCATGACCATAGATGTCAACAGCACCTTCTCCGCTTCCAGGAACGTTAGTTCCCTTGGGCGAGGCATCGTTGCTGATCATAGGCACGACGATTCCAGCTTTCCGGGCTTGGTCCATCACGTATTGCATGTAGCCCCCATCAGGGAAATCGTCGTAGCCACAGCAGGCACCAGTATATTCGTTCTCGGGCTGATAGAGAATAACCGGGCCACCATTCGTGATTTGCGCTTTGGCAATAGTAGCAGCAATGTGGGCAATGTAGCTAAGAAAGAATGTCAGAGTTAAACGAGACAAAAGCGGTGATTATCATACTTATCAGTGGACTCCAAATAGGTCTTGCCAGAGGTTCGAAGCGTAGAATTCACCCTCTGCAGCCATCCGGGAAATCCACCACCGGAGACTTCGGCATTAATGTAGGGGCCCGGACGAGCAAGAAGGTAAATTCCAGCTTCCTTGGCTGCATCGAAGAAGGGTTCCAAAGCAAAGACACCATCGGCTCTGTATTCACCCGGTTTTCCTTCCAACAGAGCCCAGTTTGTGTAGAATGAGACGCAATTGAATCCTAAAGCCTTGATTTTCTGGAAAACATCGATCCACAGTGACTGAACGGGAAGTCTGTTAAGCAGTAACAATTAGTCTCGGCCTCAACATAAAAAGAGGGAAATAAAGAGCTTACCTAAATGGGTGGACTTCGCCACTGAAGATCATAATCCTCTCGCCGTTGACGAAGAGAGATTTGTCATCCCAAGTCACCTTGTACTCGTCAGTTTATACCAAAAGTGCCATAATTCGGGAAGCATACGTGTTTCTGCAACAAATCACGTTTGGCTTGATCCGGATGCTCTGTGAGAGTGAAGCCATTGATGCGGTGCTTGATGGAGGCACCCGCAGCTTGTGCTGCCAGCAGGGCAACAGCACAGACTGACAGAAGCTTCATGGCGCTCAGGTCAGAAGAATTGATTTGACCCTAGAAACAATGGGAGCTACCTGGATCCTGGAGAAAGGGTCTTGGACTCTTCATTTATAGCTCTCTTCCCCGCAAACACGGGTCCTCACCATGTCATCGTCATTGTCGACATCACCCGGGCAGGGAATGGGAGGGGAGGGAATGTGGGACCAATAAAGGCCAGGGCAATTTCATCTTGAATCCTCGATGGCCAAGGTAGCAGCAGCTAGAGTTGAGAACGGTTAATGGACAAGAGCCCGAAGGCAATCGGGCCGAATCAAACTTCTCCAGCTCAGGTTCTCCATAATTCTCTCCATCGAGGCTGGGAAAAACAAGACAACGAGCAAATCGCGTGGATAGGTTGGATCCGGAGTCCCCGCAGTGAAGAAGAAAGGATGATCGATCGTCCAGCAAAGCGCGGGGCAACCTCGACACGGCGACAATTTTTCCACATATCGGAGACCGAGTGCGGGATGGGTTGGGCCACCGATATATCACCAACGGATCAATTGCTTCATTTCGCTAGACTGGACAGCTGCAAGGCACCGTTCGACGATGTTTTCTGGAACAAAACAGCCATCTCTCTTAATTGTGTCATTAACTCCAGTCTTCTCCAGATTCTACAATTGCGCTGATTACCCTTGACGACTCGACACGAAAACCATCGAAATTAAAGGGATCCATCATGCCATCATCGTCCAAGACATCAAGCATTCGGGCTATTCCGCTGCGGGGCCCGGAGACCCCGGAGTCTTGGTTGTCCGGCGGGGTTGATGATATATACTGAAGCCTTGGGAGAATCTCTCGACATTGAGTATTACGATTATTATGTTACATGTCAAAAATTCGATTGATAAGTTTGCTATGTCGATTTGTCACGTAGCAATATCATGGATAGAAGTGATACTCAGATACAGAGTAGAGACTGCATTTCGGCATAGGGACGATCGTTAATTAGCCGACACCCTGCAGAATGGAGATGCTCTTTGCCGACGAATATCCGCGAAGTATCCCCGGAATTCTCCCAAACGAGGCCATTATGAAGCGGACATTGGCTGTTTGAAATGTCACTAGTCTTCATTTTGTAGGTCAATATCATGACGTTTTCTTTTAAGGGTCATCCAATCGCCCATCAACCATCCCATTTTGGCTAGATTAGTCTTGAATCGAAAGTGCGATTCCACGATCATGCAAAGGCTTGGTGTGAACCTAACCACCATTGATATGCCTATGAATAGCTGAACGACTGTCAATATGAGTTAGCACTCAACATACACGTAAAGCTGCTGTGAACGCCTTTATAGCTAAGCAATGTTTTTGTGGATGACAACAGCGTTGTTAGCCTTTTGTTCCCCATATCTTTGACCTGTGGCTGCCTATTCCCAGGACCTTGCACCGATTGCGATGGATCGTGAGAGCTGCACCATCACATCTGTATAGCAGAAAAAGGCTTCCATATAAGGATGTCTTAGCAGAAAGCTTGTTTTGCCTAGGATCAACAACGGTCATCATAGAGGATAGCGGTCGGGGGGTTCGTCAAAGTTGTATGTTGGGGCACGGCCTCGAGTCATCATCTGAGAAGCATATTCAAAAATTCTCGTCAACATATGGGCCCAGGACTAAAGAGAAAATGCATTGATCGATTTCTGTGCCAGCCAACGGACCAGATTTTGTGAGGCCCCTTTGCCCGAATATCTATTGACACTTGGAATATCCGCAACTTGTGGATTGTCGTGACAACAACTGCTTCTTACCAGGCAAAATTTCAACCTTGCATGCAGTAATAACAGCGTGCTGTCATTCTTGAGTATGGAGTCATCTAGCCTTTTGCAGGCCAACCAGAACCGTTGATTGAAACAAGATTATCCGAGGAATCGCAAGGCTCCCAAAGGATATCACCCAATTTGCTGCCACGCAATGACTGGAACGCATATCTGAGAGGAAGGGGGTAAACCGATTTCTGGAGACAGAGAGTGAGAGTTAGCACAAGGATACAGACACTCAGACTGGTTAAGAATTGTCACCATAACTGCTTATGATGATAGATGATATGGAATATGAAACACCAGAGTCCCAAGTGCTTAGAAGGAGAGATATTGTGTTTTCACCAAGGCAGAGGTCGTGTTAGGGTGACAGAATTGTGCTGTTGGAAATGAGAAGAGTGGAAGGAGCGTTGATGCCACTGCCTGATGGCCTGAGGCCACCTACTCTAGCAGTCACGCCCACAAAACAATTTTTTCTTTCTGCACTTGATTGCAACGCGATTGGTGTTACCAAATGAAAACATGTGAGATCACTCTGGGCTTGAAAAGGCAGTGACGCTCGCAGTACTTTTGAAAACCAAACCCCGCCTCATCTTGGCCAAAGGCCAGATGTAGTGTTTGAAGATCATGACTAGAGGCGGAGTCAGTTCGTGGCTTGCTCTGATTCTTGACACCCAATTGGCTTTGTATATATGCTGTTCTCGGCTCTCCCTCATGCTCGTCACAATTTCCATATGAAGTCTTATTACACTGGCTGACAATTGAATTCTTTGAAGGAGTCATTGGTACCAAGAAGCAACACAATATCCACTCGATTATCCAACTCGTTTAGAATATTCCAGTCATTGCCTTTTTCCGGCTGCAGCATAAACACTCGCTATAGACCACTGCAGTCTACTGCAGTCTACTCATGATCACAGCTGAGAGCTGATATCAGCTCAGCTAGAGATTGGTATGCGGAACGGAGCGCCGGAGCTTGTCGATCGCTTCACGAACCATGGAGATCAGCCCAAAATAATTGGATAATAGGAATGACAGACGGATCGTGAACACGGTTCGAGGCCGAAGATGTCTATCTTAGGTTCCTTTTCAGGTGCTTGCAGGAGGTCTGAAGATCTTGACAGGGCTCTGGACATATGACGCCCACCAACCTGTTTCCACCACATTCTCTTCCGGTTATGCTTTCTCTTCTGTTCTGTGGAATATCGAAAGTATGCATTGTGGATCTATGGTAGAGCAGAACTCATCTGCTCAGGGGTTTGGTGAGTTGTCATGATTGTCACAATGAGCCAGGATGGAGATCCTCGAGTGGCTCCAGCTCAGCTGAACGTAACCATTACCTGCTTTAATTTGGGAGGTGGCAACTGGGCGATGCGGCTGCAGACAATCCATGAATGTCTCTTACCGAGTAAGTGTTCTCAGTGGAAGCTGCCTTGGTATCTCCATAACAGACCTATTCAACCATACCATTTAGGCACATTTAATGCCTCACCTTTGAACAAGCTCTCGTATAATAGACTCTAAAGGAGGAATGATATTCTGGAATAATCTGGCGGGGTAAAGTGGGGATATGCATGATTGCCTTGTGATTTTCGTACGGCTTGCACGAGCGCTATCCAATATCAACCAGGCATTATCAAGTATTCTTGGCCAATACTGGATGAAACGATCTCAAAGTAATAGTCTGTATACTTCAAACCAGGAATAAGTCAAGAACCCTCTGTAGTCTGTATACCCATGTATTGAGAGCATCGTTCAGCTCTGCCCCATGTCGGAGGCAGTGGAGCAATCCATCTGCAACTAAGCTTAGGATGCGTTATCTCTTTTCGGTAAGCGGCATCACCATTGCTTTTCCTTGTCCAACTCAAGAAATCGCCAAAACACGATCTGCATCGGATTGCCGGAACTTTCTTACATGACATGTTGGTGCTGCCTTTTCTGTGGTCAGAAATCCTTCCGAGCTGTCAACTTCGCCGAGCAAATCAGACACGAATAGGTCAATATGCCAATCCTGTAAGTTGACATCACGCGTCAAAAAATATGCAGAATCACGAAGAACTACTGCTGATCCTCACTGATTTCTTTCTCCACAGATTCATCTCGATGCCATCTGAGACACCGTGGCGATGTACCTCTGCTTCTCCGTCCAGCGTCTCGCACAGCATCAACCAGTCACTTTCCGCAGCCGAGGAGTCTGGGATCTTTCGAACATTGGATCTACGCGAACTGAGGACATGGATTCAGCTACGACTTTCAGCTGAAGTGCGGGTCTCGGAGAGGCCGGACGAGGACGACAATGTCATGATCCACGATCGCAAGGTCTGAAGAGGCATAAATAGAGGGTTCATGCTGCCGCAAGAAAGACCAGAATCAACACTTCCAATCCCAAGAATTCGAAGACAAAATATTCACCCATCATGAAGTACTGGAGCGCTCTCGCGCTGTTCACCTCTCTCCCCTTGGCGCTTTCGGCTTCCGAGACCCCTGCTGCAAAGATAGTGAGTGGCCCAATTCATAGACAGATTAGAACAATGCTGACGAGAACAGAAATCGATTTGCGAGTCCAGAGGTATACTTGTAGCCTACGCGTGGCAGTAGGAGATGCTCATAAACTACAGGGCCAAACCCCTCAGAAAAATGCTGGAGGCTGGGGCTGTATCCAGACTTCCAGCATCTGCGAAGCGGACAAGGACCAGAGCACTCTACACGAGGATCCCAAGACGGGTGACTGGGTCTGCTGCGACAAAGTACAGATCTTCCAGGACGGAGCTTGCGCGAAGCCCGCTGGAATGTCAAGCTCCAAATCGAGAAAGTCTACAGTCCACTAGCTGGTCTAGTATCGAGTTTTCTGGAGACTACCAGTCAAGTGAGCACGACACATCCCACCTGTTTGAAGATGCGTATTGATTGGTGTTTAGTTCTCGAGCCGAGTAGCTGTGGACACCACCTCAAGGATGCCGGGCTGGAAAACCTGCTTCGTGCCCTTCTGGGCCAGTGTTTCGTCCACGACACCATCACCCTGAACGCGTTTATTGAGTACTACATCACCATTCTCCACCAGGCCATTGACCTTTACGAGATTATCATCAAGAATGGGTGTGACAAGCCAGGTCCCAAGCCAGATCCCAAGCCTGACCCGGAACCTGACACCTGCGATTCGCCCTGCCAGTGGCTTCCCTTGGAGCTCAACGCACCTAGAGATCATCTATCCTCGACAAGCTCTGGCCACAAACAGTTGCCCAAGCCAAATACTCTCGCCCCGACTGACAAGTACCCATTCGATACGTGGGTGACGACCTTCCCTGACGATGACCTTGATATCTATGTCAACAACAAGAAGGCCCAGCCAGATGCATCTGGAACAGGATACTTGATTCCCGGCGGTACGTTCGACACCTGAATTGACGTAAACACCCCAACTAACTGGCTGTAGGAACCCCGGTCAAGGATGTATTCTACAAGTCCTCCAAGGGCGCCGATATCCAGTTCTTCGGAGCCTGCTCCAAAGACACACCATGCGTCAGCGACGAGGTGAAAACCTGGACCAACGATGCTGTGACGGAACCTGCCCCCACGAAGGACTTTGATGTCAGCGACTACGACTTCGACCTTGTTTTCACCGTGCAGGATACTTCAATCGCCACCGAGCAGTACACGATTCTCGCTGATGGCGAGGAAGTCGGTAAGACGCACAGCCGATTGACCCTGGGCGACGACAAGTACAACACAAAGCACATTGTCAATGCCTACGTCGGTGACTACGCTGCTGGCGCTATCAATGGTATCACCCATGAGGGTTTCTGGGGTTCTTTCATTATCCCTAAGGGTAAGTACTTTGACTCATGTGTACTGGAAATATCTAACATCCTTTGCAGAAACCAAGACGGTGACCATTGATATGGAGTTCTTCAAGAGCGCCTACCCCACCTATGTCTTTACTTACCGCCTGGACAAGCTTTGCGACTGCTGGGGACAGCGTGCCTGAATGGGTTGATGTATCGATTAGCATATAGGGGGACATATGATTGACGATGTATGGCCAGTGGCTGATTGAGTGGCAGTAGGAGCAATTCAAGGGGAGGAAGTGCAGTTTATCTATAGCATATAGCATGATATGGAAATGAATACAGTTGGAAAGTGTGAAAAAAGGCGTCACGTTGTGAACATAAAATGACATTCCTAATTTGTCACTTTTAAAGCTATTCCACTATTATGTTTCTAGTATTAAAATGTAGTTTTGAACGAGCAAAAAAATTAATTATGCTGAGGGTCTATCTCTATCTCTCCCTATAATTCTATAATAATTGCTTTAGTCAATGCATGATGAAAGAAAACAATCTAATCAAAAATCGACGCCTTCATCGAGTTAGGCTGAATATACTCCGACGCATTCCGGAAGCTGGTAAACCCCCACCGAATCTGTGCAGCCATGGAAATCTCCACATCCAAGTCCTTGGCAAAGTGCCAGGCAAGACCGGTATCACGCTGGAACGCCCGTCCAACAAGAATAACATCGAGGTCGTTCTCGGTGAGGATCTTGTCAGCCAGATCACCGTGGTTGATCATGCCGACTGCAGCGACGAGGAGCTTATCGCCGACGGCCTTTTTAACGGCCGCCGCGAAGGGAACCTGGAAGGCAGGGCCGGCTTTGACCTTTTGGGAGCTGTGGACGCCACCGGTGCTGATGTCGATGAGGTCGATTGCGCCCTGGGCGGCGAGGGCGCGGGCGAACTCGACCGTGTCTTCGGATTTCCAGCCGTGCTCGGTTGGGCTGTCCAGCCAGTCGGTGGCGGAGACGCGCAGGAAGACGGGGAGGTTAGGGCCGACGGTGTCGCGGGTTAACTGGGCGACTTCGAGGGAGAGGCGAATGCGGTTCTCGAAGCTGCCGCCGTATTGGTCGGTGCGGTGGTTGGAGGAGGGAGAGAGGAACGACGAAAGGAGGTAGCCGTGGGCGTTGTGGATCTCGATAAAGTCGACACCGGCAGCGAGGGCCCGCTTGGTGGCAGCAACCCAGGCGTCTTTGAGTTCCTGGATGTCGTCTGCGGTCATGGCCTTGGGGACGATGTCGGTAGGGCCGAAGGGGATCGCGCTGGGGGCCTTGACGTTATCCACCCATCCACCGACGGCGTTGGTAGCGGTGACACCACCCAGCCAGGGCGCGACGGTGGAGGCCTTCCGACCCGCATGGGCGAGCTGGATACCGATCTTCTGGCCCTGACTGTGGGCGAATTCAACAATCTGCTTGAGGGTTGCGATCTGCGAGTCCTTCCACAGACCGACACAGCCGGGTGTGATGCGGCCCTCGGGGAGAACGCCAGTCGCCTCGATGATCATCAGTCCAGGGCCGCGCTGGGCGATTCCACCGTAGTGGGCGACGTGCCAGGGTGTCATGTGGCCATCATCAGCACTATATTGGCACATGGGAGCGAGCTGTACCTTATGGTTAGTATGGTTTGTCGGTAAACGGTACAAGGGACCACTCACACCGAGGCGGTTCTGGAAAGTCTGGCCTCTGACAGTTAGAGGCTGGAAAAGCTTGGGGATGGCCTTTCCACTTGTCTGGGGGTTGCGAGCAGTTCCAGCTGGGGGGCTCTGGGCAGGAGTGAAGAAGGAGACGCCCTCGGCGGGCTTGACGGGGACATCAGGCCAAGTCATGGTGTTGCTTTCGTATATTATTGTTTAGGGTATAGAATAGTGGGTAATGAGATTGATGATTTGATGGAGAGGAACTGTATACTGGGATAGAATGTGGTTTATATATCGTTGTGATAAAATTGCAACGCTACATGGAGGTTATTGGACCGATGATTGCTAATTTTCGGACAGTAATTGAGCTGGTTAGAACATTGATTTCAAACTACAGTTTCTGCAGTATATCCATCTTTGTCAGAACCCAATCAGCCTTCCAAAAGTCTCCGAATAAACTACGCCCGACAGTCGGTCCAATTCGCCTCCGAATGGCTCCGGCAGATCCGGGATTTGGCAGATCCCGTCGGCAGATGCCGTGGAAAAGTTTATTGCTGCATGCAGTCGCCACCTTTGTCTCGTGTATAGAGAATATCTGAGAGTCAGGGCTCACCACGTGGCTGAGTCTACTCCGCCAAGCCCTTCAGGAGACCCGACTCTTGCACAATCTGAAAAGCGCCGGTTGGGCGTTGACCTACACCGGTATTATCAAGCACGGAAACATTTTCCCATCTCCGCCACCGAATTTCGTACCTCGGCAGCCACAGGAAATCGACAGCTTATTCATGTCTATCTCTCCGGCGGCTATCAAAGTCTGACGATATGGCCCGAAAATAATGAGAACACGGGATCTCTAACAAGTGACATATGTCTCCTGGTCCACAAACCGGTAGACCGACGTTGATTTGAAGTGGAGTGGTTTCAGTTCGGACCGCGCAATGGTGTCACTGCGCGCTGGAGCGCATTTCTTGAAACTCCTGCGGCATTCTCATTGCCAAAAATATCCGTCAAGTATGGTATATCGACATTCCCGTTCAAGGGGTTCCATATCCAGCCGAGGTTTGGCGAGCACATCGATCTCCCCTGTGAGTCTGGTCAACCTTGAATAGAATCATATATATTGCACTCACTGATTCTGACTAAGCAGCTAAAGAGAGCTACATTTCCCGGGAGCTCTGCAACACCCATGGAAGTGTGAGAGACCGACAATGACCTACTGAAACTCCAGATGATGCCTTTTTCCCACGCCCAAAATGCGGTATGTACATGCAGCCCATCATTACTAGATCCAGTCCAGCCTGGCGATACGTCGAGAGAGCTTTTCTACGTGTGATCCATTCGGAAAGACCCGGTGTTGTTCGATCGGCAAGATTTGATCTTAAAGGGTTGATCTGCCCCACCGCCCCACCTCCTGCCCATACCGGATATGGGTTAGTCTGCCATGCATAAAAGTATACTATATATTGCCTCTGAAACGGCAAGACAGGCCCCTCAACGGCTCTGGCAATACCCTCATTTCATCTGGAATGACGCTTTCAATCTGCTGATATTGTCCTTCGCCGATCATCTCCTTTTGAACGTCACTCTGAGTCTGGAAGGAGATATCTGCTGACGCTATATGCCCGGGGGCGGATCCTTGCCACTGCAGTCTTCGGCTTTGAGTTCAGTCGATATCGATGCGTACTAGATGGCACCGAAGAGACTTGAGAACTTGGTGCTGTATGGGCCGTGATTCAGCATGAAGGCAAACATGTCCATGAGGGCATGCTCAAAGTCGCGCCGATGAAAATGCCGTATGCGGACCAGAGGATAGATACTGAATAGGCGTAGACGGTGCGGTCAGAGGACATGGTCACCTTTACACGCGGGGGGTTTGCGACGGATAGATTAGATCTATTCAATGTTAGAAATGTATGGAAGAAGGTATGAATGACATACTGCAGTAGACAGGAACTCCTAAGGGAGACGGTGACCTTGCGAAACATTTCCTCAAAACTGGTGGTCTCCAGCATCTGGGCCATTTTGACCGGGTTGAGATCCTTTGTGTTTGCCAGTGCCGTGGACATGATGCGAGTATTGACGGTGTTGACTTGCGAAAATTCCACAGAAGAGTATCCCCGGAATGTCCCATTAATCGTATAAACTGCAATTGCCCCAGTGACAATTCTTAGTATTGAATAAGGTTATTGATACAAAATTAGAGCTCTTGAAATTATCATGAGGCTATATTGGGGTTGAATTCAGAACAGTTGCCAGTTGAACATTCAGCGCCCAGAAGAGCTTTGACCAGAAAGGCAAACGCAGCGGTACATAGTAACGTGGTGAATATGAGAATCGGGGCAGAATATTGTGCTTGAGGAAAGGACATCATGTTGGGAGAGTCAGCATGGGTTGTAGAGTGGAAAATGAGGGGGTGAAAAGGAAGAAGGCCAGCTTAGCTTGCTGTGATCAGGCTGAGTATCCTGCATAAGGTCGAGGCCGAGACACAAACTAGGATGGGCGTCTGTATAGAATCAGTATGGATCGACACATAGTCTCGGTGGTGATAATGAGTTGTCCAATCAGAGACCATCATACGGAGACTTGGAATACTTTGACGCTGTTAGGAAATGATCTTCAGACCTGTTGATTCGAAATCAACAGTTACTGATCAATGCCAGAGCTTACTACATAATAGGGTATAGACATGAGGGTAATGCCCAAGCAATGATAGTCACGTTGTGGGAGTTGTTCAGATTCAGGGTTATTCATTCATATATCCAGTTAATTCTGACTGCATTTAGAGTGACCATTAATGAAAGTGGGAGAATGGGTTGAGGCTGTGATATATAAAATGACTACCATTGGCTGTGGAAAACCCATCTCATGTGACAAGGCTGCGAGCACCTCCTCTATCTCGACTTCAGGCTGACTTCTTCCCTCTAACCATCGTCCTCGTGCCTACCAGCACCTTTTTATCTAGGAGTTCAACTACTATCGTGCTTATTCTCTGCTGCCATATCGAGAATGAGCTTCGGGTTCGGCATCGGCGATTTCGTTGCCGTCATTCAGCTGGGGAAGAAGATCCTAGACGACTTTGTCGGCGCCCCGAGCCAATTCAAGGCTATTTCCGAAGAGTATTATTATTCTGCTTCGATATGAGCATTGCTGATGTTTATAGATTCCAAATCCTTGTGAAAATACTCGAATATCTCGGGGTCGAGCTCTCTGATCGGGAAATTGACAGTAAACAAAAGGCAGAGTTGCAGAAAATTGCAGACTGCTGCAAAAACACCCTTCACGATGTACAGAATACCCTCAAAAAGTACAAAGGGCTGGGGGAAAAATCAGCCATAGCAGTTTTGAGACGATTCAAGTGGAACCCGGTTGAAATTCGGGATCTCAGGCACCGGATTACCAGCAATATCCTTCTTTTGAATAATTTTGATGGGCGTGTCATTAAGAGATCGTTGATAAGGTTGACGCGACGCAAAGATGAAGCAGAAAGACAGGAAACTCTCAACTGGCTGTCCTCGGTGAATTTTGCGACACAACAGGCCGACTATATTCGTCGACGACAAGCAGGCACCGGAAAGTGGTTCCTTGAATCTCCCGACTTTCGAACCTGGACTGAAAATTCCAAACAGACCTTGTTCTGTCCTGGTATTCCTGGTGCCGGTAAGACAATTCTCACCTCCATGGTAGTTGAGGACTTGGAACTACGGTATCAAGATGTTCACTCGGTTGGAATCGCGTATTTATACTGCGATTTTCGCCGTGGTCATGAGCAAAGTGTTGAGGGTTTCATGGCAAACATACTGAAGCAGTTTGCGTGTCGATTGCCATCCATACCTGAAGATATTAAAATAATCCAGAAAAGAAAAGGTGAATCAAAGTCTATCGAAGATATACGACGACTCCTAGTTTCGACTGCTAGTCTTTTCGACAAAGGCTTCATCATCATCGACGCGTTAGATGAATTCTCTTCTCGAGGCGGGTTGATAACCGAGATTTTCAAGCTCCAGAAACAAGTCAATGTCAATATCAATATCCTTATCACATCCAGGTGTCTGCCCGATATCATTGCGGCATTGGGTGGGAAGCCATCCTTAGAAATACGTGCGGATTCGGGCGATGTGGGGAATTATCTCAAAGAACAATTAGAGGAGCTCCCCTTCTTTGTATCAGCGGAAAAAGATCCTCCAGATACCGATATTAACAAAATAACAAAATCCGTGGATGGAATGTGAGTTTGAATGAATCTTGATTGATATAACGCTGACAGCTGTAGGTTCCTTCTCGCAAAGCTATATGTGGATTTTTTCAAGACAAAGACTTCAACCAAACAATTTGAAGTTGCTCTTCGACATCTTCCTTCAGGATCGGATGCATACGATCATGCTTATGATCAGCTGCTGGGAAGAATCGAAAGTCAGAGTACCAACTTCAAGGAACTGGCAAATAGGGTCTTGATATGGATGACATTTTCCCGACGACCTCTCAATACGGTTGAGCTTCAACATGCCCTGGCTGTTGAAATGGAATGTAACAGCCTGGATGAGGATAATATTTCTCCCTTGGATCTTATCATCTCAGTTTGTGCTGGTCTGGTCGCCGTGGACAAAGAAAGTGATGTCATTCGACTGGTCCACTACACAACCCACGAATACTTGGAGCGTACTTGGACAACTTGGTTTCCTGATGCACACTTATATTTGGCTCAAGTGTGTATCAAATATCTTTCATATAATCAATTTGCTGTCAGGGTGTGCACTTCCTGGGGGGAGCTCACGGAACGGCTGACAGGGAGTCCGCTTTATGACTACGCTGCTCGACACTGGGGATATCATGCACGGGATGCCTACTCGAAGGTTGAAGAACTGGTGGTTTCATTCCTGCAGAGCAGTCCAGCGCTTGCTAGCTCTATCCAGCCTTTATTTTCTGGAAGTCTGGGTCTAATTCCCACTTGGATCATTGCAATACATCCCGCAGCACACTTCGGTTTGAACAGAAGTATACCTCAGCTACTGGGGCAACTCGCGAATTGCAATGATCAAGACAGTCATGGCCAGACTGCATTGCATTGGGCTGTCAAAGGCTCGCAGACAGAAACGGTTGAGCTTCTTTTGCAGAAGGGTTCAGATATCAACATGGCGGACACTAATGGGAGAACGGCATTACATTATGCTGCAAGCGATTGCGATGAGCATATGATACATACTCTATTGAAACACAGACCACACCTGGAACTCAAAGATAAAGAGGGACTCACGCCATTTTTGACTGCAGCAAAGAACGCAAAACTACGGTCAGTTGAGCTGCTGTTGGATGGTAGAGCTGCAGTCAATACTCTGGACTATAAGAATCGGAATGCGCTGCATCTGACAATAATCACAGCGAAAGGCGATGGCATTCAGCTTACGGGTCACCTTCTGTCGCAAGGCGTTCGTACTGATGTATGTGATGTGGATAATATGACACCACTCCATTACGCAGTTCGAGTTCAAAATGAAGATATAGCCAATATCCTGCTTCAATATGGAGTTGATATAAATATAGGGTGTGACAGAAAGGTTTGGGATGGGAGGATGGAGGGTGGTCGAACGATCTATACACTATCACAAAACAGGGAATACTCACCTCAAGTGCCAGATGCCGTTGGGCTTACTCCGTTGCATTTTGCAGCATTAACAGGTCGACCTGAAATGATAAAGTTTCTTCTTTCCAAAGGAGCAAATCCGAATGCACGTTGTCAGCGTGGCGAGACTCCGTTGCATCTAGCGGTTCGTCGCGACACGCCCACTAAACCTGGATTGTCTCCGGATGCATGGGACGACGACATATCGAGAATCGAAGCTTTGGCTGACTTTATTGACGACTACGAAGGAGAGGAAGCAATGGAGACGTACCGCGTCATCGATGAAACTCGAAAAGAGACCCTGGATGCTTTGCTTTCAGATGAACAGGTCAATGTGGATATACAGAATGTGTCAGGACAGTCTGCATTGCATTTGGCTAGCGATGAAGGCAGCAGGACATATGAACTTTCCAGGTTGATAGATAAAAATGCCAATATAAACACTCGCGAGGAGAAAGGCAAAATGCCTTTACATCTGGCCTGTCGAGCAGGAAATACTGCCATGGTGTCCAGACTTCTTGTTGCTGGTGCTACGCTCACCATGATGGACTCTGAAGGACTGACTCCCTTTCAATATGCCGTCTATTCGGATAGATTCGAAGCAGCTGAGCTGATATTGACGTCATCCAACTCCGATTCAGGTATATGCCAGCAAAAGGATGAAAAAGGCCGATCATTATTACACAATCATCTGGCATCATCTTGCTGCTCTGTCGAAATGGTTCGCATCCTTCTCAATCACGGGGCGTCTATCGATGAAATAGATGCAAAGGGAAACTCACCATTGAGTCTCTATCTTGGGAATTTTCATTTCATTACAAAGTCGTCCATTTGCCAGCTTCTACTAGACAATGGTGCGGACCCATTTTGGAGAGATGGCAGGAACAGAAATTTGTCTCATATCAGCATGGGTTCTCCATGCATTGGTACATCAAGGGAAGCGCACCAAGTTCTCGACGTCCTGATGAATGCACAAGTGGATATTTCAGCGAAAGATGCCGATGGAAGGGGTATTCTTCACCATGCGGCAATCCATGGCTCTGTTACTGTTGAAGTTCTTGAATTCCTTTACCAGAACGATTCATCATTCTGTCCTTATGATATGGATAGACACGGCAAAACACCTCTTTCATACGCTGAAGAAGAGGCGAGTCGACCAAGACATCCATATCTTTGGAGAGGAAACCGATGGGCGGAAACTGTGAAGGTGTTGAAGGTCGCTATAGAACGCTGGTGCGAAATAAAGAATATAGATCAACCGGATATATGATCGATCTGCCTGATAGATGGACCGGAGACTGGTATGAGGACGCCATCTCCATAAACATACACACCTACGATGCCAATCGCCTACAAATCTATCCTGATTGTTTGAATTGATGGTCTTGTTGGTGGATATGATATAGTTTAATTTGAAGATATACTCGTTTGATGGCTTTGGTTCAGGAAAGTGGTATATTGCAATGCAGTATGATTGCTTTGGATAGACGAATATATCTGGTATATCTATATCAAAAAACCTCCACAACAGGCCCCGTATAAACCCTCCTCGCTCTAATGAAATAATAAACCACCGCGAGAATAACGGTCCCCACAGTCCCAACAACACTATAATTCATACTCTCCACCTCAACCTGCATACTTGTAGGCCAAAAACTAAAGAAAACCACGATAATCATATAGATAACTGCATATCCATTCAGCAATATCCCCCAGATACCCGGGACGCGGAATGGACCCCAGACAAGTCTCGCTCCGGGAACGTTCATGGGTGATGTATCGTTTGTGTCGTAGATTGATATATCACCTTTAATACGGCGGTAGAGAAGGAGAGATGCGACTGTTAAGTAGGACGCGTAGAGGCCCGAGACGGCCATGGAGAGGATATCGTTGAGTGCAACGCTAGAGCCGATATTGATGAGGCCGAGGAGACACGCAATGGTCATTGTCAGTATGACCGAGTATATCGGTATAGACGAGTTCGGCGATACCTATCATCATCAGCATCCACACATCAATCAAGTACAGGATAAATTACCCTACTCCAAACCCTCCACCCAGGCACGCCTCTATCCCTCGCAAACGACCAAAACTGGCGCGAAGTAGCCGCCAACATCCCAATAACCGAGCAGATACCTATAACCAACAATACGCAGATCATAGCCACTGAACCAGGGATAGAGTGCGTCGCTTGATAGAAGATTTCCATAAATGGATACCCGGTCTTACTGTCGACCGCGTCTTGGACATTTCCCATGCAAAAGAGTACGGCGATGAGCATGGTGAAGCCGAGGGTGCCGTTGATGAGAACGCTGAGGAGGATGGCGCGGGGGATGGCGGTGGATGCGTTGGCGACTTCTTCTGCCATCTGGCTTGTTAGTATAGTACGTACTTATTGTACAGGATGGGAGTAGGAAGAGGGCACACATGAACAGCAGCATCACCACCCGCAAAAGCAAAAACACAGCCGGTCATGCCTATACACCACGACAGACCCTGTGATGGAAAACCGCCATCATTCAGAAAGTCCCGAAACACCTCCTGGCTTGTCTTGTGGTCCGCCAGATCGGTCATGGGAATGAGAATGCAGAAGAATCCTATAACATGAATCCCGAGGATGAATACTTCCAGTCTAGGCAGAAACTTGCCCCCGATTAGATTGCCTGCTAGGGCGACGAGTAATCCAGCCCAGAGGATCAGAGTGCCATGCCATGGCTGTGCGTTGTAATTTTCATGGGCGAGGATAGCAGCGCCTTGGATTTCTGTGCCGGCGAGATAGGCGGCGGATGCAAAGGCGGTTTGCCAGCCGATGATTGTGAGCCAGCCTGAAGATTAGTAGATGATATATGGCAGAGGTGGGTATAGATACCTGTGATGTAGCTGAGGAATTTCATGGATGATAGAGGTGCAAGCATAGCGCACCAGTGGTATTGTCCCCCGGATGTTGGGGCAATTATCTATCAGTACCTTATATCATAAAGATAATGATAGACATACATAGAAGACATCTCCGCCAGAACAGTAAACGAAGCAGCCGTTCCCGTCCAGGCAAAGATATACGCATAGACGGCGCCTGCTGGGCCTCCACTGACGATGTTAGCATAATTCAATCATCAGGTTGAGAACCTACTTTTGTAAAGGAATCAAGAATGTCCTATATCATCAGCGCCATCCACAGATCCAGAAGAGACATACGCAAATAACCCCTCCCACGTCGAAAGAATCGTACAGCTGAACCCCAGAATCGACCAGATCCCGAAATTGCGCTACATCATCAGCTCATCCAGATAATCAGGACAGGCGTAAGCATACCTGGAGAACACTCCTCTTTCCCAGTCTCTCCAGATAGGCTTTATCCCGCTCATCGCTAACATCTTGCTGTGCTGAGATTGGGCGTTTGAAATCATACCACGCCATGATGGTAAGTCAGGTAATTATTGTTTAGATGTTTGAAAAGGGATAAATCTCTTCAAAGGTTATTATTAATTGCCAGCCAAGAGAGTTAAGATTAACGTGGTCCAATAATTTGGTGATACATGCATATGCATCCTTCGGGTGGGGGCTGGATGATTTGATTTGGTGATTTGGTTGGACAGGAGGATGGGTTAATATAAACTGCAGGGATTAGGGTACTTTTGTGAAATCCTCGTATTTTAAAGTCCACAGTTCCTCAAAGCTTGTGTGTCCAAGACAAGGTCCGTCTCATTTCGGACTGGCGGTCGGTCCATAAGGGGTTGAAAATGAAGGAGTAGAGGTCCAGTAATATATATAGGATTGATGACCACCACCTGTGCACAATAAGGCTGACCATCAAACTGCCACTTTTCAATAATAACCTCTCTCATCTTATCAACACCTACTAGTAAAACAATCCGAACATCTCCACTAGAACTATCAAACCACCATCTCGCAGCTTCACGCAGTCTAGGCAAAGATTTATTCACACCAGCCTCAATAACAAGCGTAGGCCACCCACTAAACTCATAATGAACGGGTCTTCTAGATCGAGGAAAGAAACACTCATCTGGCTCTTTTCCTGTCGAGATATCGGTGTTGGCATAATGCGCTGACCTCATGCCGAAATTATAGTCATCAGCAGGAACACCCATGGACCGGACCATCCACTCGATTTCTCCGCTGAGTTTGCGGGTTATGAAGTTGTGTGTATATGAGGGTATTATCTTGAGTAAGCCTGTGGAACCCTCAAAGGAGAATCTGTATTCGACTCCTTGTAGAATGCGTTCTTCGCCGAATAGTCTATCGATGGCGTGTTTGGGGATGTTGTGGAGGATGAGAAACTGATTACCGCTTTCGTTTGAAGTGAGGAGGTTGCCGAGTATTGATCTTGCTGCGACGCTCAGGTTGTCGAAACTGGTCCATTCGATAGATGGGCAGTCTACTAGACTGGATAATATATTCTGTGGCTGCTGCATCGTTGCAGATAGTATATTCTACAGCCACAGTCTTGGATATAGTCAGGTAGTCTTTCAATGTCGTCATATTGACTTTGACATGTGGTGTTTAGTACCATGGAACCACAAACCTTATCTATTTATACCTCTACTCCCCCTGTTGATTGATAATAATTCCATCTTATCAAACCAAGCAGCGAATACAATTACCAATTTATTATCAACCCTCGGTCGGCCATCGAGGTCGGTGTACCGAGATTCTCAAATGAGGTGAGACAACTAGCCTTTCACGAAGGATGAGGCTGTGTCACTGTAGTGGGGATAGCACAATCAAGCTCATTATCTCCAATTACTAACGGCAGTACAAACGGCCCCCATCATTGCCGCTATACCGACTGACTCGTATGTCGGCATGTTAATCGCCGACGCCGACATCGACATCTACATAAACAGAGATTCTCACCAACAAATCCATCATTCAACAATCAAACATCTGTTCTATCTATAAACGAGTCAACATGTCTACTACAGCAAACGCCATCATCGACGGCATCAAGGGTCGCCGCTCCATCTACGCCCTCACCAACGAATCCACCATTCCCGACTCTCGTCTGGAGGAAATTCTCACCGAAGTCATCACCCACACACCCAGCTCATTCAACACGCAGACGTCTCGTGTCGTTGTGCTCCTCAAAGACGAGCATCAAAAGCTATGGGACGTTGCGCGCGAAGTAGCCAGTTCGACTGTTCCGGCGGAGCTGTTTCAAAAGTTGTATAAACCGCGCATTGAATTGTTTCGGGCGGGATACGGCACTGTGCGTTCTCTTTTTATTTAAACTAGGATATATACTGACTGTTTAGATCTTGTTCTATGAAGATCATGCTCCGTTTGAGCCGTTGGCCGAAAAGTGGCCGATGCTCAAGGATAAGTTTCCTGAGTGTATGTTCTTTCAGCATCATTGTGTTCGATGCTAATGTATACAGGGTCCAATCATTCCAGCGGAATGCACCAGTTTGCCTGTGAGTACTGCCAGCCCCTATCAGCGATAAATACTGATCTTGTAGTATGGACACTCCTCGAAGCAGAAGGCCTGGGCTGCAACCTGCAACACTACAGCCCAATGCTGGATGAACCTGTATCCAAACACTGGAACGTTCCCAAAGAATGGAACCTCAAGGCACAGTTGGTCTTTGGGAAGCCCGTTGGTCCTCCGAAAGAAAAGACTTTCGAACCACTCAGCCAGAGACTATTTGTGCATGGAAAGTAAGAATGGTATTGGTGATTGTTGACGGTCTGAGGGTTGGATTTTATGATTTTTATTATTTTATTTTTTTATTCGGTTAGATGAGTTAGATAGGCTGCCTGGAAATAGGTAACCTCACGCTGTTTAGAATGTGAACTGGCGGCTGTATACGATTATAAATGATCTCTAATTATAATAATATAATGATAGAGTTGATAATACTGCAGGCTATAAGGCTTACTCGGAAATCATACTTGAAGGCGGGAAAGAGGATGGGCATTGTACTTAGTCCATTGCGGAGCCTAGAACAAGGCAATCGTGCACGTTTTCAATATTGGATTCTTAGGGTGGGTGGTTAATAGGTGACATTCAATGAATAGCGCCGGGATGAATGTATTTGTGGCTATAATTACTGCAGTGCAGCACTAGTTGTATGTCTGCCATATATGCAATGTTTCATCACATATTACCTCAAACGTACAGAAAGACTCATGACCTATTAATAGTCTGTACTATACAGATCCTGTTTGTATATATAGATATCTGGGGCTGCATGATTGTAGATTAGTCTGACAGCTTCAATCATAAAAAGTGTCGGTGTGACCAAGCATACGTGAATGATATTAAAATGTGTATATCCCCTTTCAGTAGGATATAGCCATATAGTATCGTTATTGGAGCCCAATACTGTGTATACCATTCCTCATCCAATTCTACTACCATGACAGTCACCCCCGGTATCATCACGCGTAATGGCGTGGACATCTACTACGAAGTCCGAGGAAAGGGCCCTTTTCTCATCCTCATCCCTGGAGCGTATGGAATGAGCATCCCATACGAAAAGGAAGCCGAATGCCTGGCAGCCGAATTCACCGTCATCACATTCGATCGCCGCGGATTTCTGCGCAGCTCCAAACCAGCTCCATCGACAAAATGGCCAGACCTGATCATAGAAACGCCCATGATACTGCCGCTCTCATCAGACAAGTTGCCGGAAACCGACCCATCCTCGTCTTTGCCTCTTCCAATGGTTCCGCCCCTGCCATTGAGCTGCTCCGTCTGTATCCAGGTCTAGTGCGAAAACTGGTTTTGCATGATCCCATCTTGTTCGACATGCTCGGTTCGGACAGCAAAGAGCCTGCGAATTCTCGGCGGGTGGTTGATATCTATCGCTCATCGGGAGCCGCGGCAGCCAGTCAAGCCTTCCTACCAATGGTCACATCTGAGTCTGATCGGGAGGGCATCCGAGCTTCAGCCGATTATCAACAATTGGTGGCGATGGTGATCGAGGGATTCCCGTTCTTTTTCGACTGCGAGATCGAGGCTATCCTTGCGTATAAAACGCCTACGGAATTCCTGAAAGGCTGTAGGGGCAAGATCTGCCTAGTCGCCGGGGAATTGACCAAGACGACAGCGACGGCCGAGCCGATCATCGCTTTAGCAAAGGCCATTGAATGCCCGGTCAGCCGCATTGTGGGGGGACATACTGGCTATATCCCGTATCCAGAAGAGTTTGCCAGAGATTTGAGCGCAATCTTGCATCGCTCAACGAATGTGAAACGCATGGCAAAGATTTAGATGTTGAACAAACAATGTGATACTTTCATACAGGAGAGATGAAAGAATGGTAGTAGGACTATTGCTTTGTTTGCGTTGTAACGAGAATGACCTGGATAAACCCAGCATTCAATTACAGCATCTTCGGTAATCCATTACCCTGTAAAAACAGGACAGAACAAAGCAAAAGTAAAACAAAGAATAAACACCAGTTGGCACATGACGCGCTAGGCTCGAAATGGAAATGGGCCTCAGTACAGCATCAACTCCTTGGAAAACTTCCACTACTGCAACCAGTTGCGAAACCTGTCCTGCCATGGCGGCGACAGTCCCTTCAAAGTTGCCCTGGCTGCTTGGGTACGGCTTGTTTCCACCCCAAAGGGCTTAATGGCATCACTCGGGGTGATCCGGAGCAACGGGAGGAACTTCAGTGCCGGCCACTGCTCCTCGATCTCCCTGGCTGACGCGTCGAGCTTCTCTAGCTCCGCCACCCACGCGCTCAACAAAACCATCTCGACGTCACAAAACTCCTGCACAGCTGAAATCATATCCAACCAACTGGTCGTGGAAGGATTGACCAGATTGAAGACGGCAAACGGAGACTGGTTGCCATTCTGCAGTTCCTGGTGACGAGTCACAAAAAGTGCCACCATGATCTGTGCGGCAAGTTCTGTAAGGGATGAGATCTGTCAATACTGATCTCGTACACGAGGCACACCGACGATAACATACCGAGGGGACCCGATTGATGTTATTCAATTCACCCCGCGCTGTTGGAATCTGTCCCCGTATAATAGAAGTGGCAATGATGGCAGGGACAATCTCCTGTGGGTTCCAAATGCCCTCACTCTTCATGGGACCGCCCAGCTGACAGGCTCGATTGGAGCTACAGCTGAGGCCCAAGTGAGAAGATGCTGCCTCCAGAATGCAATAGCAAGACGCGTTTCGATTCACCGTATACGTACTCGAGCGGAAGGTGGCTATCATGAACCAGCCTTTCGGGGATGCTTCCTTCATACCAGTGACCCCAACGACTCACCGTCCCCATCGAGGAAATGAAGAATATATGTGCATGATTGGTCGCGTTCTGCCTGGAATTGATCAGGTTCCCTGTTCCACGAATATGACTGTCCTCGAAGGCCTCAAAAGGCAGAGAAAAGGCCACAGCCCATACACCTTCTGCAGCTTTGGTGCGAATGAAGGCTCCTGCAAGCCCAGCTTTCCTTTCCAAGACTCGTTATAACATACTCTACCACTGAATCTTCTGCGGCCTCTCCCTCGCTAACAACATAAGCTCCAGACCGAAGAACGATCTATTGTTAGCAAATTCATGTATCCTGAGGTGCCCATGGCCTACAAAATCACGCTTGCCAATCTCAACCATGATTCTTAGCTTTGCCACGCATTGCCAGAGTTTATGGAGTAAATCACCGCTAAGCGAATTCGGCACGACATCAACTCCCTGCCCGTGAGGCTCACGCATAATGCTGTCCAAGAAAACGGCACTTTGCGAATCAAATATTCGCTTCGGAGGAATCCCATATTTTTCGGTGAGATATTTCCGCTTTTGGTCATCTCCTGCTGTCGCGTAGATCTAATTACACCTGTGACTATGCAGCATTCTGTTTTGGAAACATCTCAACATACCTCTGCCCCGATCAGCTTGACTACCTGGATGGCCGACTGTCCGTTACAACCACCAGCGGCGGAGATGTATAAAAGATCTACTCAAAGGTCAGCTTGAATGAAAAATGCCACGTGAGCGGAACGTACATTCCAAGCAATGATCAATAGAGGTCCCAAGAATATCATTAACGTTCGTGGAGTGACTTCGGTTCGGGAAAATATCACCGCTGTGAATGTCTCCAACGAGAAGCTTGTTAAAATTCTGGTGGATAGACGTGATCGCGTCTGCGAGAAGAGCACATTCATTCCGGCTAAGATGAGCAGCAGTATCGCTGATTAAGGACTGGCGAGCAGGACTTCAAAGTACTCCAGGTTGAGTTTTCTGGGAAGGTCAAGAGTTTCCCCTGGGATATCTCAACGGATTGAGACTTGCCCAGTCGCAGTATCTCTGGGTTTCCACGGTGGCCTTGATATTGTTGGATTGATTGACAGAATCCAGGATACACAACACGGTGAGCTTTTCAGCAGCTAACCTGGCTTCTATACTCACAACAGGCTGTAGCATGCCGCAATGAGGTGTGAGCTCAATATGGGGGTGTCATTGCAGCTCCGCGTCAGCAAGTGAATCTGTCCCGTCAATATCATCATTTGAGGTAGACTGGTTTGAGGCGGCACCGCCACTCTCTCGGGCGTCCTACTTCCATCATCAACCTGGGTGCCATGAACGAGATTGGTGTGGTTACCGAGTCACGCTTTTCACTGGAGAGGTTTGCGTTTCAGGGAGTACCATTGTTGACTGAAAGGGACCTCATCGATGCCGTTCAACTTGGAATTAGCTGCAGCAAAGATGGTGCAGTTCCCACGCAGCTCAACGTGGGCCTCGTCCGACGAAGCTATCAGCCCGGACAGTCTGTGTCGTACAAAGAGGACGCCCGCTTTGGCATCCTCCACAACATGAGAAATGAAAACGTGCTCCCAACAGAACAAGGCGGCAGCACCGACATCATCAGACAGCTTATGGCGCATTCCGGTACAGACCCATCGATTCTGCAACAGAAGCGACCCAGGAGCTGTTCGTCCAGCACGTCAAAGAAGTCTTGGGAAGACTACTTGCTCTGCCGGCAGCCGAACTGAGCATCATCACACCCTTGTCAGTTGTTGGTATTGATTCTCTGGTAAGTATTGAGACTCGGCGATGGTGGCGCCAGAATCTGGGATTGGAGATTAGTATCTTGGAGATTACGAATGCGGCTTCGATCACGCATTTGGTTGGAGCTGCTATTCGGGGATTGCAGGCGAAGATGGGACATGTGTCGAAGTAGATCATGGAATTTTAGTGGCTCATCTGTATGCAGGTTGCTTGGCAGTTACTGGAAATAGACGTGTGCAGTTTGTGTAACCACGTTCGCAGGAGCCATGCATTCAGTGTTACACAGATCAGTCATTAGTATCTAATCGCAGGTCAATTAGATTCAATAGATAGTGAATTATATATTCTTGAGTCCTCCCTTGCATTAAAGTGCAACCATCCAAGGCGGATGTTGAAGTCGTAGCCAGCATGTCGGCTGACACAATATCGCTTCAGCAGTCTTATATAGCAAGTTTACTCTATGATTCCCATCTTCAGTACGATCAACTAAATGTCTCTCACAACAGGAACTCTCGTCCGAGATAACATCGACCTCTACTATGAACTCCGTGGAACGGGACCTCCCCTTCTGCTCATCCCCGGCGGATACGGGACATGCATACCGTACACCAAGATAGCCGACCACCTCTCTGCCCGATTCCGCGTCATCACACTCGATCGACGGGGCTATCTCCGCAGCAAAAAGCGCCACCCATCAAGGTCCAACTCCCAAACCCTCTTCACCGAGAACGCGCACGACATCGCCGCTCTCCTGCAAACCGTCACACGCGAGCCGGTCCTCGCTTTCGCCTCCTCCTTCGGCACCTACCCCTCCATCGAACTCCTCCGTCTATACCCATCTCTCATCCGCAAGCTGATCATCCACGACCCCGTCATCGTCGACCTCGTCACCCCACGCAACCAAATCCCCGTACGAAACGGCCTCAAAGCCGGCGTGCACGCCTACCGCACCCACGGAGGCGCAGCGGCAAGTACCCACCTCACACACCTCGTCACCAACGAGGCCGACCACGCGCTGATCCGCGGCTCGCGCGGGTTCGCGCAGATGCGAGACGTGATACTCCAGTCGTTACAGTTTCTGTTCGACGAGGAGGTCGACGCGGCGCTGGGCTACGTGACTGATGTGCCGTTTTTGCGGAGTCAGCGCGACAGGATATACCTCGTGAAGGGCGAGCTGACGAGTACGCCGTTTACGGCTGAGCCGGTGGTGATGCTGGCGAGGGGGATGGGGGTTGATATCAAGGAGATTGTGGGGGGACATGCGGGGTTTGTGATTTCTCCGGGGGAGTTTTCGGGGGCGTTGGAGGGGATATTGGGAATAGGGAGGGAGTCGAAGTTGTAGTTGACATTGATTTATATAGTTGTGTTACAGCCAAAGCCGGTGATTTTGGTTGTAAGATCGTCGCCTGTCAGCCACGGCTCGGTTTCGAACCATCTGTCCTGGTCGTCGTGTTTGGGGGCTGGATCTCCAGCTGTGACGTTGAAGATGTGCATCTGGTTGATCTTGATGTTCGTCGTTGAACCTGCTGTATCTCCCACTTCTTTATACCCACTGTCCTCAGTTGAAGTGACCTTGAAGATAGCTCTCCTTGTCTCTGGATCAATGTGTAAATTGACACCATCATCTCCAATCGAGTAGGCCTTTGTATACTCTATTCCCCCACCGCGCATGATATCCTTCACCTCTCTTTCGGCATTAACACTCTTCGCAAGATTTATACACTCCCCACTCCATTTAAACAGCCTCAATCTCGGCTTAAGCTGAAAGATAACATGCGACGAATCCATAAGCGTATACCTCTTTCTCCCTCGGTAGTCCCTCCACCAAAGTGGTCCGGGGAAGAGGACTCCCACCGTAACTGGTGTTTCATCATCAAAACCAGTGAGTAAAAGGATATGCGGCTGCTGATCATTCAGAGCATTGATAGGAACAGCCAGTCGTATATCTGACAGTTTGACCGGATCTTCGAGTAACGTTCGCGTATCTTGTCGTCTTCGATGTGCGTGTGGGGATTGTGGCAGAATGAGCGATATTGCAGCGGGAATGGAGCCGGAGATACCGTGTGGGATTCTGGATAGAGACCCCATGGATGGCTGGAGGATGACGGCCCAGAGTTGGTGGAAGCGGCGGTGGAGGTTGGACTGGACATTAGCATGATCTGTGTATACGGTGGTGAGCTTACCAGTAGCTCCATGGCAGTATCAGACAGTTCTGATAGATCTCCGAGCGCATCAACGAGTATATCAGCCAGACCCCCTGAATCTGATCGTTCAAACGTCCCGTAATGGAAATTATCACCCCATCTCGGTGTATACAACCTCAACTTCAACATCAAATCCACCAACACCACCAGATCCTTTCTCTGCAGGTCATACCGCACACTGATTCCATCCCCAAGCACCCTCCTAACCACAGGTTCCAGCTCACTCTGTGAAGGTAAAAACGGCATCATACGAGGCTGCACCATAGCCAGCACATCCATCGCATCATTCAACACATCCACCGACTCATACTTGACCTCCTCAACAGGAACAGAAATACTCCGGAATATGCGCTTGAAATCAGCCTTTTCCGCATACTCTCGGTTGTTATGCCAGTAAGCGTCGCCGTATTCATCCGTACCGAGGAGGTCTGTTCCTTGGACGGCCAGAAGTGCTATCGCGCGTTGGAAGGCTTTATAGTCGAGTCTGTCTGGAGCCGTATGTTGGAATGGATGGTAGGCGTAGAAATGCAGACATCGCCAGAGGATCGGGATGGCTGGTTCGGGGATGAGGATCCCATGTTGGTTTTTGAGGTATCTTGCGAAACATGCCTCGTCCCAGTCTATTTATTAGATGGATCTGGATGGTTGATGGATGGAGACGTACATCGCTCGGTGTCTTGTGCACCGTCAATGCTGAATCTTGTCTGTAGACTGTCCAGCTGGTTGGATTTTGGTTTGAGTATTTTTGTGAGATCGTCGAGGATGGATTCTATTAATATTAATACAGCTTTTTATATCATAGTATAAGTTTAGTACCTATCGTGGCTTCCTCGTGATATCTTTTTAGTTTTTTCTTGTGATCTCTGAATAGAATTGCCTGGCCGATACCGAATAAAAATGATGCCATTGTTAGTTGATTTCTTTATCTTTACAGCTGAAGGTTTTAATATATAATAAGCGCAAGGCTGCTACGTGTCCTTGTCATTGAGGCTGTGTATCTACACCGCAGCCTGATGAATAGCCCAATCATCAAAACATAGAAACAAGATAAAAAGACACCATCATCAAGAATAAAATAAGAATAAAATCATCCATCCAACCACCTCACCAATTCATCCTCAAAGAATCTCCCCATCGCATCCTCCTGCAAACAGACCCTCACCTCCCAATCCTCATCCACCCTTGGCAAAATCCACACCAACCCATCCACCCTCGAATCAGGAATGTCAAACCTCTTCATCTTCCCAAGTTCTGTTCCGAAATCAAGTTCGTAGAATGGAAGCGCTCGCAAACTGCTCAGTGTGACGTCGCCCTGGCCGACTACCACCGCGCCCCAGTCGTGTGTATGCTGGACTTGGGAGATGAGGCTGCGGATGTGGGTGTCGTCTACTGCGGTGATGGATTTTTTAATTTCGAGGGCCAGGGTAAGGATTAGTTCTATTTCCTCTTTTGTGGGAGACTCTGAGGTGGTGGTGGTCATTGGGATGGGCTGGGTGTGTGTCCCGATGAAGCCATTTCCGATATAGGCAGATGGAATGGGAGGGCGGATTCTCCGGCGGATGTCCATTGCAAAGGCCAGTGTTGACATCTTGTCATCTCGTTGACTGAATCGTGCGTGATATATGCACCGCCAGATCAACGCCGTCACGATGTTATTCAGAGAGAGTGTCATGTCTGATATACCCTTCTCTAACAACAGTTCAACACAAGTATCATGGAGTAGTCGAATTCTCTCCGCAGAAAACGTCACCTTGCGACTGATGACTCTCGCACCTTCGCCTTGCATTCCAGCCCATCCAGGCTGGTCGTGAGTGTTTGTGTCTGTCTCAGCATCTGACTGGGATATTTTCTCATTCAACCGCTCCCGGACTTGCGCCTGAATCCCCAGAGTAGTCTTTATATCAACCGACATTTCAGATCGACAAAACCCCGCCACCATTTCCATCACAGTAAACACACCCACCGCATCCATCGCTGTGTGATGAAAGTACACACAAAACAATATCCCATCATCTAGTATATTCGCCTGAAACCGGATAACCGGATGCGCCTCCGATGGTAGGATATCAAACGGAACGGGTGCGTAGCTATCATTGAAGACATCGTCAAAGGAGACACTCTGGGGAGTATTCTGCTCAAGACATAATCCCGGATGATGTCTCGCTTGAAACATGGGGATGGAGGGTGAGGGAGATGGTTGGACCTGGCGGATGTTGATCTTATCTTTGACAGTGGCGATGGCTACGTCGCCTGTCAGGAAGGGGAGTTTAGCGATGACGTATGAGATGGCGGTGTCTAGTATTGGGATTGCTGATGGTGGGTTATCTAAATGGAAGGCGAAGAAAAAGGCCATGTTGGATGGGGGGATGGCATGGTCGAGGGGGGAGAGAAGGTATGGTTGGAATGACATTGTGCTTGTATTCTTGGATTGTTGAATGTTGGATGTTGGACTCTGGATGGATGGAATGAGGGGTATACATAATATATATTGTGGTTATAGAGCTAGACAAGGATGCTAGTATAGGATGTCTGTCATTGCCTACTAGGGTTTAGTGCTCACTCATCATGTCTGTATATGTTAACTATCCCCGAGTCTATGTATATAACATTTATACAATTGCATATAAACTGTATACAACTACAAGTTATAAGTATGCTCCTGAATACTGATAGTCTCCACCTCCCACGTCTTTCCCCCATCCGAACTACTGAATCCAGACGAAGTAGCCTCATTCATAGCCAGGGTATCTCCAAATGAAGAGTCGGCTTCTTCCAGCACGATCGTAGTCGATAGATATTCTATCTTATTAGCTTGTGCTACATTCGAAATAGAAAAAGACTTACTGTGTGCAGCTGCAGTGCTCTTGCAGGCATCGTCCTGGCATTCAACGGCTGTTCCCCAGCCTTGGGCGTGACCGGAGCCTAGACTGTTAGATATATAATATAGATAGAGGATGGATACGTACTGGTTGAGAGGGTAGAAACAACCTCTCCGTTGATAGAGACAGTCTGGTCGTATTTGCTGGTACTGTCATTATACTCATCTATCTTATTAGCGATATTCACCCTCACAATGAAGAAACTCACAATGCATGGTAACCCTATCCCCAACAGAAGCAGGAACCTGCTTCCCACCCAGCTGGGTTCCCTGCAGTGTACTCGCCCACGTACACCACTGTCCAGCCTTTGCACCGCAGTTTCTAAACAATCAGCATGCACTATATCATACTTCATGGGATGCTTACGCCTCCGGATCACTAAACGACACCGCCAACGCCTGGATCAGATCACCCCCACTCGTGCCCATGCCCGGCCACAGCGCAAGCCGGTCCTGCTGGGGACTCGGAGCCTCAGGAAGAACAATGGTAGTGTTTGCCTCGCGGATCCATGACGACGCAGGGCCGAAAGAAAAGTACGGGCCGAAGCCGATGGTGTTTTGGGCGTTGACGAGCCCGAGAGAGGCGAGGAGGGCGAGGGTTTTGATCATTTTCACTTTTGTTCTTCAGTTTGAATTATCTGGATGTATTTTCTTGGAAAGCGCAGGTTAGGGGTTTATATATTCTGCGAAAATAAATTAAGGGGAATATGCTCAATATTAAGATGTATGAAACGGTGGACTTGGTGGGACAGTTCGTTGTTTCATGTTTAGCTGGCGGAACATGTCTAGTAGCAGTCTAATACTGGTGAATTCATTATGAATAATTAAGAGTTTCATTTATTTTATCCGAATCATTCAATTTTTCGATTTTTGTCAGGTATGTTGTGGGTATATTAACTAATGTATATGTCGATGCCATGTGGCACTACCAAAAAAGGCAACATTAGGCTGGACGTAAATAAATTAAGTTTATGCATGCATTGCACTTTGTGACATCTGCACCCCACTTATTCTTCATCATGGATCTCAATCTACTCACAGTATACCCACATTTACAATGTCTGACAAAGTCTTCTTCCCCGATTATATCGACAAGGAGATTACCTTTTCTAATGAAAACGGCTCTACGACATGGATTCTCACTGAGAAACTTAGTGAGCAGAATGATCAACTGGACGAGTTTGAATTCAGGGAATTTGAGGATGTCTCGGCTGCCTATGGAGTCTTTCGTTGCAAGAATGCCAGCAACCCGCGTGACACTGCTACTATGAAGATATTTATGCAGTGTGTCTACCCTTAGCTACATAGATTTATATTAACATGATCAGGGTTCCCTACGCAGGATCAGAATTCACCTCTCGTCAAAAGAGAGCAGACCAGGCATCTGACCGACTCACCTATCAAGCGGAAAAAGAAACCGATGCTCTGAGACAGTTGACAGAGAGGAATTGTCAACATGCACCCAGGGTACTGGGGTATCAACAAGATAAGCAGGATGAGGAGGGACTGGTTCCAAACGGCTTCATTGTCTATCTGGTGATGGCGCTGGTGCCAGGCGTTCAGCTGGAACGTTCTCTCTATAGACAGATGCCACTTTCTGAACGGCAGAAAATTTGCAGGGCATTCAAGGTTGCCTGGCTGTATGTCTTCCTACTCTACCCAGGGCTACTTGCTGCTGATATCTGAATAGAGATTGTGTCATGGATGGGGGAATCTTCACTTATCGACATGGTATTTGCAGTGTTTCTTGGGATTCGACAGAGGAGAAGATGTGAGTATTATTACGGTCTCAGGTGCCTTCTGAATATCGCTGATAGGTGTCTGATAGTTACATTACCAATTTTGAATCATGCCGCCAGAGAGCACCGACTGACCGCTGGCAAGACATTATCTTTCTTCAATGGGGCTTAATGCAGCCACCTCGGGGATATGTTTGGTATGAGGAGACTGAGGAGCATCCTGATATGTCTTTGTGGAGGATCGAGTAATATCCTCAATTCAGTAATACCGTCCATTTAACTTAGTTCTACTAGGTCAAATAGCATGCATGGTACTTGAAGCAGGTTGTACGCCATGCCTTGCGGAGATAGCCACCATGTAATCATCAACACCCCGAATAAAGATGGGTGTACACGTGGGATTGATAGTGATCGGGGAAGGGGAATTTCCATTTCTGTATGTATTCCAATGCCAATTAATCAGTTAATTAAACAAGGGGGCAAAATCCGCCAAGTCTATATTTCTTTTACTAAAATGCCGTCAGTCGGTGCCTATGCACTTATCTCCGCTTCTCCGACTCCGAGTATGTATTTAAGAGCAGTGAAAATATAATATCTTTTATCTTCAGCTCTAAACATATAATATTCATCTCCAGCATACTTCTATCATGCCCCTCAAAATCCTCATCTCAGGCGGCGGAATCGCCGGCCCTGCCCTCGCCTTCTGGCTATCCAAACTAGGCCACCACATCACCATCTTCGAACGCTTTCCCTCCCTCCGCGCGTCAGGCCAGCAAATCGACCTACGAGGTCACGGAATCGAAGTTATGAAAAGGATGGGATTGGAGGAGATATTCCGGTCGAAAGCAGTTGCAGAAAAGGGTCTTCAATTTGTCGATGCCCACGGCAAGCAAAGGGCTTTCTTTGCCGTCAACGCAAAAGAAGGACTGCAGAGTTTCACGACGGACTATGAGATTATGAGAGGCGATCTCTGTCGGATATTATACGATGCTACCAAGGATAATGTGCAGTATATCTTTGGCGTGTCGGTAGAGAGTCTAGCACAAGATGCACAGCGCGTGAATGTGCACTTCTCCAACGGAAAGCAAGACACATTTGACCTCGTCGTTGGGGCAGACGGGCAGAGCTCTCGAACAAGACGCATGATTGTCGACGCAGACAAGCCGGATCCGTTCCGTTTTCTCGGTCTGTATACTGCCCACATGACGATTCCGCGGGAGGACGATGAATATGTTAGTTCGATCTTCCATGCGCCGGGGAAGAGGTCTGTTTTTACCAGACGGCATGCGGAGGATACGATTCAGGGGTATCTGAGTTACTGCGGAGTGTCTGATGAACTGCAAAATGCTCGGGATATTCAAGCACAGAAGAAAGCATGGGCGAAACTGTTCGACGGCGCAGGATGGCAGTCTAACAGAATCATCAACGCCATGCAAACCGACTCAGCCGGCGACTTTTACTCTGCCAAAGTCGGACAAGTCAAACTGGACAGATGGTCTCGCGGACGAATCGTCCTCACCGGCGATGCTGCATTCTGTCCATCTCCAATGACAGGAATGGGCACGACATCCGCTCTAGTAGGCGCGTACGTGATGGCTGGAGAAATTGGGCGATTCTGCAAGAATGATAATAGTGAAGAAGCAGTCATGGCTGCATTAGACAGTTACGATTGTCGCTTCAGGCCGTTTATCGATCAGGTGCAGCGATTAGCCCCTGGGATGCCTGGGTTGGCGTTTCCGGAGACAGCATGGGGAATTGCGATACTGCATTTCCTAATGTGGTTGGCTGTGTTTTTGCGGGTGGATATTCTGACCTCATGGCTTCTGGGTGAGGATGTCAAGTGGGAGATGCCTGAATATGCAGAGCTTATGCAGAGCTGAAGTGATTGGTTTTAATTGTTGTAATACTCTCGTCTCTGGAGGTCAAATGAAATTGCGATTATCGTATGTAGTCAAGGATAAAAACCCTACCATCACTGAAGGCAAGATGGCCGAGTTGGTCCAAGGCGTGAGGTTAAGGTCCACCTTAATACCTAGCTGTTAGCTTCCTCATCATCATCTGATGGCGTGGGTTCGAATCCCACTCTTGTCATTTCTTTTTGCTGGACTCTGGACCATCGCCTGCCTCGGGAATATCCCACTATCCTGTGGGGCTCCGCCATGACTCTAACAGCCGCCCCACATCGATCTTGTCTGATGGAAAGTTTCCGCCGTTCGGAGAAAATCAGTGATGTGGCTGGCTGTGCACATAGATGCTTCCTGCCTTTTGCATGCTGCATACAGACTCCTATTCCACCTGATAGAAGCGGCCAGCATACTCAGGTTGAGCTCGGGTGGGAGGATGAGAATCCAGGATGAATGTTCTGCTTCTGGTTTGATTGTCGATCGTTGATGTTAATCGACAACGTCTCTTAAAAAGACCCTTGCTAGAATTGAACGCACCATTCCAACTATCGATATCGTATGATTCCTTCCAGGTGTAGCACAAAGCATCCAATTGGACTGGGATCTGGGTAATATCAAAAACTCGAGGATTCTGCTCGACGAAAGCCCAAATCCTGTTGGTTGTATCCAGATTTGGCTGGATCTCCGGTGAATGGACATACTTCTCAATCTGGTCACGGTAAAAGCCAACCGTCCTCAGCTGTAGATCGAACGATCTATTGGAATAGGTCTGACAACTGTTGTTGGTAGAGAAAGCCGTACACGACCTTCTTGCAGAGTGTTGTTTTGCCGACACCTGCCTAGCCTGCTATGAAGATCCGTCTAAGATAGAGTTCTGTTGTCTTGTACTCTTAGTTTGAAAAGGTTAAGCAAATATGTCTGCTCTCCTGTTGTGTCGACAACCGCTAGATTGATATAGCAGTGACTCATTGGTAGCCAATTGCCGGAGAGGCGCTGGACACCTAGTCGTCTATTTTCATCCTCGGTATAATACCCCAGCAAGGCGGTCTTTGTATAGTATTCTCTTGCGGTTTTGCACCTCCGATAGGTGCTGGTGAGGAAGCTGCCATGGCTGTCGACCTCTTCACCTGCTACCTCCAGCGATCCGAACGCTTTGAGGGACCAGCGGTATGTTTTCTTGTTGAGCTTCTTGAATGAGAGACGATCATGCGCCGTCAGTGATTCACACCGAGCGGAACATGCAATCTATGCCTGCACACGATCATCCTTACTGTAAGGGATTTGGGTGTAGATATGGTCGATTCTTTGCGGAAGCACATCTCATGCTTGTTCGAGCTATGAATAGAGACCACATAGGAAGTGTGAATTCTCTCGACACTGCGCCTCTCTTGTGAAAACCTCGAGTTGATTTAATGCCCCGCTGCGTATTAAGATGCTGGTCGATCGGAGAGTTGTGTACCACGTTTTCCCAGTACGCTTTTTAAGCGCATCCCAGGTGTAATCTTTTAGTTTCAAACCACTCCTATCTTTATGACTTCCCACATCTTCCTGGATCAATGCTGGTGACAGCGCTAACGGTCATCATCGTGAGATCCGTTGCTCGAAGCACACCACGCAGCGACGCGCTGCCAATTGTGTCATCGTCTGGTATACCACGTAAAGCCAGACCGGCATATCAAGCGGTGTGCGCTAGGTGGAGCTCTGAATGCCCACTCAGGTCGTCAAACAGGCCGCACACCGGTTTGTACAGACTATCGTGGCTAATATCCGAGACTCCAGTGTCTGCCATAGCATCCAGCACAATTCCGAGGACGTAGGGTATTTCGTATCCTTCCAAACTTCCCTGCTCCCTTGCTCTCTCCAAGCTTACTTTCAAGCTCTGGAACAGCGGCCCAAGCACTGATTTAGTGTCTGAGTGCGGCTCAGCCTGTCTAATGGCATACGCTAGAGTGCGAAGGAGGAGTGGATCGAGAGCATTTCCGTCTGCTGTCCTGTTGATAATCGCGTTCACGAAATTCCGCAGTAGCCTGATACGTAGGTCGTTCGACAGGGCTTCCAAGAGTAAGGCAGCCTCCCACGCGTAATTTGGAATCTCTGTAGTGCGAGAACATGATTGATCGCGGTTCTGCACCACGCTTTCAGAGCGGTTTTCTCGGGGCGATCAGGCGCTAGCAACGGTTCTTCAACCGGCCAATGAGGTCGGCGGTGTTAATCGGGCGCGAGGGAATATACAGGAACTCAGCTGACATTTGTATCGTTTGTGAAGGTGGCGGCAGAACTTCTCTTCGAGGGTGGGGGAGAGGAAAGGTGTTCCTCCCCACCTGCCAGCTGGCAGGTGGGGGGGCAGGAAGACGAGGATCAACAACCGCTGATTTAATCCTGCCACGAAATACTACACGATAAATAAGATGAACTCGATCGATATCGAATGAAAGTATCCTCACTTTTTATTCTTATTTATATTATTATATTATTGTTGTTGTTGTTGTTGTTGTTGTTGTTGTTGTTGTTGTTGTTGTTGTTGTTGTTATTTTTGAATACCTTGAAGAATTGGAGATTACTCTGCGGGTTTAGAATTACCCCGCAAGCATAAGTATCCTCCGCAGACCCTGTATAACAAAAGGGAGCCCTAGGTGTATACCTAGTATAGAAGTAGGTAACAGTCTGATATAATAGACGGTTATGCTCATGTACTGCACTGCACTGCGACGGTAGTTGCAGTATTATGCAGGCACCCGAAAAACGAATCCGACATAAAATGTGCCTTACTTCATCTTAACTGATTGATTCACCTCTGCTGTTACTAGACATAAAACCACCATATATTCATATTCATCCTGTCATTCATAATCGTTATACATAATCTCATTCAGCATCAAAAGAAACATAAAAATCACCTCTTTGGCTGCCACGCTCGAAACAATAGCACACTCCCAACGACATGACCCTCGACCCTCCCAAACTCCTGTTCAAGAGACTTCATAAACCCATCTTCATCGTCCTCGTGGTTATGGAAAATGCCCTTTTGATTGTACAGCCGCAGTATATGTCTTGTAACCAAGCTGTGACGCACACCATTGCCTAGGACCGTAGCCCCGAACAGCACTCCATCATCCTTGAGATGCTCTTTCACATTGGCGAATACACGGCCTTTTTCTTTCGTAGTTCCAGAAAGACAATGAAGAAGTAGAATCATCGAGATAGAGTCGAATCGAGGCTGTGCTGGAATTGTAAAAGGACGTAAGACATCTGTATTTATGCAGGTGGTGTCTGGTCGGTTGATGCGATTGGCAGCGAAGGTGAGGGTATTCGGGTTCAGATCCACCAGTGTGATATTCTGTAATATCTTTGGATGGCTCTTTGTGATGGATGCTGGGAAATAGCCAGTCCCGACTCCAATGTCCATGTGGTTATGTCCAGTGTTTGCTTGGAAGAATGGGAGGAGGACGTTTTTTGTTGGACAGCGCCATATATATTTATTGCTGAGTCCGAGAACCACCGTGTCGTAGATACGCAGGGTAAAGGGTTTGTATGCAGCTGCACCCGCGTTTATTTGTGCCATTTTTTATTTATTTATCTGAGAAGATGAAATTAAAATAAAACAATGGGATTATCAGCTTTAAAATATTCAAAAGTATTCCCACCATCCCATTGTGCCCGCTAATCCGCTATAACCAGACTAAGGCTGCCACATCATCAGTGCCCGCTTAGCAGCCGGTCTAAATCCCACCGTCACCAGGTTGATTTCAAAGCTTATACGGTCAGGCCACCAGCCTAGACTCTCTCAAACCAAATCAGCTCCTCCAAATCCTCTTCGAAATGGATCCCCATTCTGACAGCCTTGTCGTGTTCGAATACAAACTCCGCTCGGATCCCGACATCCCCACCTTCGAGGAAATCTGCCAAATGAGCGAGGTATTTGGTCTGGTCGCAGACATGTTCGAAGGTCAGTGTAAATCCCATTGATCGGTCTGTGGCGTCGACAAAGAGCTGTCCGTCTTTGATTTGGACTGTCAAGGTGTGATATCCTGCGTTCCAGTACTCGCCTGTATAGGAGTCGAGAGGCTTCTCTTGAGGCTGGGACTCTGTAATACCAGGACACAGCTTCTGCCGTGCTTCTTCCGTTTCTTTCTTTTCGTCAAAATCAGAAGCAGACTCGATTGCATTCCAATCAGGCCGTTCAGAAGTTGGCACCTTCAGCACCTCATCGATAAACTCCCTCATGATGATAACCGCCACGGTCTCCGACGCCGCTGCATTACCCAGAATCACACCCCCGAATTTGAAATCAGGGAGAAAGAAATGGCAAGATGCAAAGCCTGATACGCACCCATCGTGGCGGATGACTTGGTAGCCTTTGTAATAGAACATTTCCAACCCGGCGCAGTACACAGTAGGTGAGATGAACGGACCTAGGTCTTCTGCGTCGGGGTTGGGGAATGTCCGTGTTTTAATGAGACCTTTGTAGACGTCGTCATTGATGGGATGTTCGTGGTTCATGAGTGCCTTCACCCAGAGAATGTAGTCATTTACACTCGTCATGATAGACCCCGCACCTTGCGCTTCAGGACAATCTGGTGTGTCAAATCCGTTGTACTCCTCTTTCTCTTCATCCCAGAAATATCCACTTGCAATGCGATCGCCTAGTCCATGAGCTCTAGCACGCTCGGGTTGGAGATGCGTCGACTTCATCCCGAGTGGCTGGAAGAAGTGTTGATGGAGAAAGTCAGGAAATGACAGTCCACTCTTCTTTTCAACGAGATACGTAGCAACAGTATACATCATGTTGCAGTACATATATTTCGATCTAATCGGTGTTGAGACAGACAAATTGCGCAGATTCCTCGTAACAGATCGCGCATCATCCGGCTGTGCTGCTCGCGGACTTAGATACGAGCTATCGTGTCTGTTTCTGTCAGCGCGAGCTGCGAAAGAGTAGATAACTTACCCAGCCATGCCAGTTCGATGACTCAGTATATCTTCCACAGTTACACTCTCTGTATATCCCTCTCCCGGCATGACAAAATCATCCGGCAGTAATTCCGACATGATCGTCTCATACTGCACATCAGGATACTTGTCATCATCCACCAACAATCCCACAGACGCAGCTGTCAGAGACTTGGAGGATGAGGCAATGTCAAATATAGTATCTGCCGTACATGGCTTTGGTGGACTCAACGATGCCTTGCCGTATCCAGCTGAAGCAATTGTTTCGTCCTGGACGACTGCAATGGCGAGACCGGGAACGTGGTGTTGCTCGAGGAGATCCTCGATGTGAGAGGAAAATGCAGGTGAGTTGAAGAGATCCATTGTGCTGTTTTATCAATAAATTACCTATGATTAAAATGCCGGAATCGTCAATTAAATATGTTTTTATATTGTGATCAACCAGATGACTCCGCCACGTCACAGCCTTGCTTACGTGCATTTCTGACCATAATTGAGAAACAAGGTAAATTTAAATAAAGATCCAATTATATACAAATACTTAAATATATCCACATTGACTCATAATCTTACTGCCTAGTATTGCAGATCTTTCCCGCCACAGCATTGTGACTCCGCTGTGATTGAATGACACTCATAGCAGGACAGTTCCACCAAATGTACTATCAAGCATCAAGTAGGCCCATGTAAAGTATTCTTTTAATATACAGTTAAAGTTAAGCAAGTCATTCAAACCTGCCAAGCTCTGATATATACCCAAAGATAAGCACGGATTCCTTGTTGACCGTCAGTTGCCGGGGTAGGCTCTTCTGGCCTTGCTGTGTATTGCCAATCCCCAACTACCTTATCACCTGGATGTCTAGGACCTCAAGTAGCAGTGCCTGATTATAGTGGTCAAGCCGCTGTTCGGCATACTTGATCGGACATTTATGTCATATTTCTATGCCAGTGGGCGTAAAAGACAAAGCCATCGTAGTCCGGATCGTTCTGGTTTTGCATGTTTTAAGTTCTCTAACGATTCGTGTCCCGTATCATCAGCACCTGGATCCGGTGGTATAGAAGTTATAGCTCCCAAATATTGTCCTTTCAATCGGCGAAGCGTAAAAACCCAGGAAGTGGTGCCTGTCTAAGAATGCCCGGTTGGCTGGTGTACGAGCCAGCATTCCGAGTCCGTCCCAAAGACCAAGCTGCTGCTCAGGCTTGAGTCTCCATTCGTTTCTGGATTTGCCCGTTCTGGTCGGAGATACACGTAGATCTGGGAGATGGGACCAGCTCAACCTGGCCGACGTTTTGTTGGAATCGGCCAAATATGCATGTCTCGTCTGCGTGCAGAGGACGGTCGTAATGATGGATTTCTAATAGTTTTGTTGCAACTCGCACCAGGAACATCTTGCCGGGACTGACTCCAATTTGTTGGACTGGAAGCATTGTCTCTGGCAGGCTGGTGTGGTGTTGGTTCCATTGAGAGGAAGTAATTTGAGTTTATTTCGAGAAGGACAGCATGACTTCCCTTCTTGGTGAAGATGCCAGGATACCTCTGGCTCTAGGTTGGTAGAGGACTGCATGAGACTGATGATCTCGTCGGTAAGGGTAGGTATGTGGAGCCTGCATTTGCGATTGCTGCCGAGAAAATCGTCGTTGAGTATGTAGTCAGACAACACTTGATTGAGTTAGTATAGCATTCATACTGTGAGAAAGGACATACTGTGTGAATATTCTCATCATAGCTGCCAGGTAGGATAGACAAGATCGACTATATTCTCGATCGATTTGATGGATCATCCTCTAGCTGGGATTTTCCAAAGTTAGAACTCCAATGGGCTTGAGTATGTCGAAATATGAATTCCATGAAGATTAATCATAGTGATCACTTTTTTAGTCGAATGGATAATCTCAAGAGTAGTTGAAGAGATGAAGAATGAAGATGTAGGGCAGACATCGGTATATATTCGGGGAATTGGGTGAATTGATCGGTTTCACTAGTATGAAATTATCTGTAATGGCTATTCATTGCATACAACATGGGAATTGACAACTCTGTCTGTATGTATTCACCATAAAAATAATGGGCTGAGCATCTCCAGATAGGGTCATCCCGTCCCGCCGGCTCGGGTAAAAAATATAAAACAAGAAAAAGAAATGACAAGAGTGGGATTCGAACCCACGCCATCAGATGATGATGAGGAAGCTAACAGCTAGGTATTAAGGTGGACCTTAACCTCACGCCTTGGACCAACTCGGCCATCTTGCCTTGATGATTAATCACTGCAGAAATGTATGGTTCACACGGTAGTTGATATACGTAGTCATTTCTGCTTTTAACTACAACTTTGCCAACTTCAGCTGCACTCTATCCGCCAACTCCTCCAAAATATCAGCCACTCGATCCGGCATACTCAGAAAGGGGAAATGCGAGCTCTTCAACGAGTATATCCACTCTGTCCCGAGTGTTCCAGCCATATGTTCCTGAATCGGGAATGGTAATGCCTGATCTTCTTCACACAAAATATAAGCAGATGGAATAGAATGCCACGGTTCATACGTCGAAGCACCAGAGAAAACACCGATCGACGTATGCGTCAGACTGTCACTCCATTTCTCCTGTTCATCGGGAGAGACATCGTGGAATCCGACTTTGACGCGGTTATCGACGGATACATAGTCGCCCTATTCATTAATATAGTGCCACGAAAGATTAGAGATACTCACATCAATATTCATCCACGGCAGAAACTCCCCACCCAGCATATCTTTCAGACTTGTTCCCTTTGGAAGGACAAAAGCAGACATGTATACGACCAGGACAACGCCTCCTTTTTTGCCCTGTCTGCTTCTATCGGCTTTGCTGAGTCCTTCGACTGCGTTGGAGGTCACGACGCCACCGTATGAATGTCCCACTACCACAACATCTTTTCCTTCCTCGACCAATTTTGTCAATGTTTGTCGGAGGGAGGAAACATCGTCTGTTAGTGTTTTTGTCGGTGGTTCTGCGCCGATCGACGGATGAGCAGGTGATTCGGAGGGAATATTCCTCCGCGATAAACGAGACTGAAGTTGTTCATAGACTGGTGGTAAACACCAGGCACCGAGGACGAGGACGATAGTCGGTTTGGATGGCATTCTGCTATAGCTTGACTGGTGAGGGGGAAAAAAAGGCGCAACCTCCATATTATCCTCCATATTATACTATCGGAGTATCACCCCCGCTCATTGCAGCTAGCGCGAGGTCGACGCGTTTTACAGCCTGTCGTGTCCAGAAATTGAGTCTGACAGGTGAAGCTATACCGTTTCTTGCTACGTGCATGTGTCAGGACGGCACTAGTGCTGTGGCTAGTTTTGACGGTTGTAAACATCGGCATTTGGTGCGGGGAAGGACGAGGCTGAGATATCACTTTGTTATCTTCATATTAATGATGCCAAGAATACTGTCTGGATATACTGTAGATATTAGTTGTCAAGGAACGTACTTGACTTCTTTGATATTCAAATATTATGATCTTTGATAGTTCTCTGATACAATGGAATGCTCAATGGAAGTGTCTTTGATCCTTTGAATATAACGAGGATGTCTTACATGTAATAAAGGCCCTGTCTGGTCAGGCAAACAAAGAAGATGTTGTGTATTCATTGTCTACAAGACTTAGCCAGCCCACCTTTCCTTTATTCAATGCCATTGTCCTTTGAAAATGTCACTCTTTGTTCGATGGTTGAGATTGGATGACTTTGAGATATAAAAACACCCATCCTTCCTGGGTATTCTCCATCCAGGCATCCAAGTCCTCATCTTCTATCCCACACCTTCAACTTCAATCATCCTCAATTGTCTTCAAACATCAAACACACCGTCGAAATCATCCGCAAACATGCCAATTCCAGTAAGTCTCCCTTCTCACATTGAAATACTAATACTAACGCAATAGAAACCCCTCTACGACAACGCCACCAAACTCGTCATCCGCAAACTCGACCTCACCTCCACCCAATTCGAGGTATGTTTCGCATGGACCGAAATCCTCCAATTCTTCTTCCCCACCACCCCCAGCCCAGCCGAGTACACCCTCAACGCAGACCTCTTCTCCCAACTGCCTCTACTAACCACGACTCTCACCCGCACACAGGGCAGCTTCGCCGGAACCCCCCTTCCTGCACCTCCACTTCAAACGCGGCGAGGATCCGAACGACATTACGCCGTTTCAGTGGGCTGATTGGGAGGCAAGGCTGAAGGCGGATTTGAAGGCGTTGCCGAATGAGCGTAGTGTTACGCTTGTTGGGGTGATTGCTGTCGGTCAGTATGTGCGGTTTTATTCGTTTTTGTTGGATGGGAGTTTGGAGGGGAAGTTCTGGGATGGGGATAGGCAGACGTTGCATTTGACGGTGGATCATCGGTCGATTGCGGAGTATTTGGAGGAGATTAAGGGGGATTGGTTTTAGTTTTCTAGTTATTGGAGTATTTGTTTTGATTTCAGTCAGTTGAGGGTATGTGAATTGACAATCTTGTTATTGGGGCAGTCAGTCAATGCAGATCTGATCTATTCCAGCATCATAAACTTTCGTCTAACCTGACAAGGCATCTGACAAGCAAATGGAGCATAGATTTACGAAAAATGCATAACCATGTCCCTGGGCACATGGTTAGCTTAGCTGAAAGCATCAAATGGGACCATGACATCACTTCGATACCAACACTCATAGACAAGATAATTGGCCAGGATCTAGTGCTTACAGCACCCCGTACTGACATAAAAGCTTGTCAGACACCCCTGAATCTTCATTTTATCATCAATGAAAATGCGTGAATGAATCCAACACCGTGAGATAGAGACTCACCAAGGAAAAGATGCCATTCTCGAGGCATCTTTTCTGAGAACATCAAAGCACCTAGGGCTATTCGAAAGATAAATTTATTCGTTATCCTTTATCACAGAAGCTTCGGTGGGACTGAATGCAAGAAGCTGCTTCTTCAAGAGCGTCATCATGCCCTTCGAGGATGCTCCCTCGGTCTCATTCGTAGATCGCCTCAAAAAAAACGTCACCATCTACCCGGATTTTCATCTCCGTCGCGATAGTAATGACAAGAGCCATGGCATCTCGTAAATGAACACCGACGCTAGGTTCTTGGGGCATGGCAGTGACCCAGTACACTTTCTGGAATGAACCATTCCTCTTCTCCGCCTCTTTAGGCAGAGCGAGATTGAAGACCAGGTTGGAGATGGGTGGGATTGTCAACAGTGCCTCCCTCCAAGCCTTACTGAGGGGCCCTATATCAAGGAATTCTTGATTGGAGGTACCGCAGACAACACCGTTCGGTCTGCGACGTATCTGCGAATCCGGATTTCGGCAGGCTTCGAGCAAGTCAGGGTCAGAGAGGGGCTGTAAGAGAACCAGTTCTATTGGTTGCCTTTGGGTTGGTGACTCAGATGCATTGCTAAGGCTGGTAAGGTCAATCTTGAGGTCTTGTATATGTTTGGGATTGGTGATACGCTCTGTCAGATTTTCAGACATGATTAAACCTCATGCTGTTGATTGTGTTCAAGTGTATGACGGCGAAAGACAAGAGCAAAATATTTCAGTAGTGAGGCGATGAAAATAGAAGAATTTTTTAAATATAGGAGGGGTCACAGATAAGCAGCGCACCGTGGAATGATGTAATATTACGAGTGCCGCTTGGGCCGCTGTGTTGCCTGAGACAATCTCAGACTAAACAATATGAATGGGATTTTGGTAGGCGATGAAATGTATTTTTACCATTTCCTCCGCTGCCTATCAAGGGGAGCATTGCATTGGCGGAAATCTTAGCTCGATGGCACCGGGCCATAATTGTCATGTAGTTGGTGCAGCCCACAACATACCACGAAAAATTATTCAATCATGAATGGAGTGGATTCAGCAAGTTACTACCTAATTACAGAAAAGTTTTAAAGTCCACAAATCTTTCCAGCTATCTTTTCCTTTATCTACCGCGCGAGTCACGCCCTTCGCGGTGGCTGCGGCTGCGATTATATTCTTCCCGCCTGCGAAGGTCTCGCTCCCGGTTTTGTATCTCCGCATCTCTTTCTTGCAAACGTTGTCTGGCTCGTTCTAGCTCCAATACCAAGCGTTCGCGTTCCATGTCTTGCTCGCGATCTATACCCACCTCACTGTATGCACTTCTGCGATCCTGGTAATCATCCCGCCGGTCTCGAGAACGGCCTCTGTAGGGGCTCCGTCGTCGATGGTCTCTGCGCGGCGATCGGCTTCTACGGTGTCGATTACGAGAAATAGAGCGTCGCGGAGATTGATAGCGAGAGCGATACTGAGATCGGGATTGCGAGTGATGATGTCTGGAACGGGGACGGTTCACACTGGGCCGAGGGGGTGTTCGTCTCCAACGATCTCCACGGGCATCGAGCGCGGGCAGATTCTCGTCAATGTCCGTCATGTTATCAAGAGGATGAATCGACTCGTCCAATTGCTGTGGAGCTGTAGACTGTGCTGAGCGAGATTCGTGTGCTCTTCTGCCGTCTCCAGGAGCTTGCTGGTCGGTCACGGTTTCTGGGCCATTCCACGAAATGGTGTGCCTTCTTGATCGGACATCTCTGAGTAGCTCGATTAGGAATTTGTTCCTCTTGTGAGACTGCATTTGCCTGATGGTGCTGTCGTTCCACACGGTCAGGTTTCCGATTATTATCACGACCTTTTGACCTCGACTCAGCGCAACATTCATGCGTCCCGTATCCGCGACGAAGCCGGTACTCAGCGGCGACCCTTGCGAAGGCTTGGTCAGTGAGTATATTACAACGGGCGCTTCTTGTCCCAACGCGGTATCGACAGTGAGATTGTCCCTGTATCCCACCCCTTGTTCACCGAGCTTCTTCTGGATGAGTCGACGTTGGTCCTTGTATGGACTAATAATCATCACATCCTCTGGGCGAACCCCGTTACCGTCTTTAAATCGGTACAACTCGACCAAAAGCTCCTTGATCACATCGACATGAGTTGAGTTGGACCAGGACCGACTGTTGCCCACCTGCTTCGCGCTGCCGGTGGTGTTGATAAATAGGCGTCGGACACCGTCGACTCCGGCCTGTCGAAACCAAAATCGAGACTGTGTAAAGCTGTCCCATGCGCTTCCGACTCTTTCAAGCTCTGCATTTTGAGCATTTGGCACAAGGCAGCCCTTGTATGTGATCCGATTGTAGAGTTCGAGGATCTGTGGATGGTTACGGTAATTAACCGTGAGTCTGCTGGACGGATACCCGGCGTCATGAAGCCTTTCCATGAGAGAGCGCTTTAGGTAAACGGAGCCCTCATTACTGCCGTGGTCGGAGAGAACTGTGGGCGAAAGCTGGTCAGGGTCGCCGAGTAGCGTCACTGCTTTAACGACTCCATGGTCATGGCAATCATATGATCGCCTTCCATGCACTGGCCGGACTCGTCGCATACCAGCACGTCAGGGCGGAAATCTGATGACCGCAAAATTTCCTGAGAGGAATTGCTCAGAGTTGTGGCAACGATCTTAGTCTGCCCGAGAACCCTTCTGATGATGTGCTCGTAAGCCAAACCCAAAGCCTTTGCCTCATCCTGACTGAGTCCATGCTGTTGGTCAACGCGAACCAGACGAATGAATTCGCCGCAATCCCTATCTGCCAGGCTGTTGTCACGGGCATATTTCTGGGCGAGTGCGTGAATCTGACACGGTTCTAACTCGGCTCCGCAACCAGCCAGGTCTCCTCTTGCCTTTCTTGCCTGCAGTTCACTGGCGCTGTCCTCCCTGACCACTGACATCTGATACGACAGTGTCCGGAATCTGGCAAGTTGGCCGCACCAACGGCGTAGATTTTCATCACCTTCCAGAGCCTTGAACACCGCGTATGTAAGGTTGTCAACGGCCTTGTTCGACCCAGCGGCTATGAGGACTCTAATATCCAAGGCGGCAAGAGTCAAAATGATGGCCAAGGCTGTTCTGGTTTTTTCCGGTACCAGGAGGGCCTACGATAAGGTGAATGCCGCCATTTACCGCCGTGGTTGACCTTTCCCAGGCGCTGCGTTGAGCCTCGTCAAGAGGAAATCTATTCATGATGTATGTGATTCGCTCTTCTTGTAGCTGACGGTGAAGAGTAGACATTTCGCACATATTCAACATGAAGAAGTGTTCACTACTTTCATGGATTTCCGTGCCATGGGCAAGTATGGTTCTCATCAAGGAGAATCCTTGCTTCCCACGGTCTCCACACACAACCGGCTTGCTAGCATCGTCGAGGGCGTCGATCTGGGCTTGTATTGCCGTCAGGTTCGGTTTGATCGAGATGACAACCGTAAGAGTCTTGCCGTCGTGGCTTGGGTCGAAGAAGTCTCTGGTCATCACGACAAAGTCCAGCGATGTCTCCATATCAACGATGTGACCAACATGTGCGAGGCTAATATCACCAGATAGCGTTTCTCTTCTGCCAAGTACACAGAACTCCACACGCACGAGCTCGTCCATCTGAGGCGCACTTGAACTTTCGGATTGACGATCGGGCAGAATTTCGATGTGCAAATACCAACTTTTCTTGTCTCCGGATCGAACAAACTTTGCATTGTGATGACGCTTTTGATTAAAGAGATCAAGAATAATGTTTTCCTGGTAATCCCTTTCGACCTTTGTGGCTTCCAGCAATCTCCATCTTCGGTCGTGATCGTCCAGGAAGAATGGGTCCCTTGGCTGCCATGGGCAGTAATTAAAGTACTGTAAGTCCTCGGCACTTTTCCACAGCCAGGGCAGTCCCTTTCGTCGCCGATCCTTCCTTGTAGAGCACGTGGCATAATAGTACCAGAAAGTGCGAGGGTTGCCATCAGAAGAATTCTTGTGTACGAGATTAACTAATTCTCGCAATCGGTCCAATGTAGGTCGTACTGTAGTAAATTTCGGCAGGTAATTGAACCAGATAGTGACCTCAGTTGTCGTCAGCGTTTGCCGGTCGGCCAATTGGTCCCTAGGCACGTTCCAAAAAGCACCCGCGACAATTGGTTCCTGAAAAGGCCGAAGCTTGATGAAGCAGACTTTATCCCAGGTGTCAAAGACTTTGGGGAATCGAGCCCTTTTGATGTCGGATATAGTTTTCGGATGCTTCATCACCCTCAATGCGCATTTCAATGTCACATCGCTCGGCCGTGAAGACAACCTGGCCATTTTCCTTCTTGTCAAGTGTGATACTGACACGGGGCTGCTGGGAGTCCAAGAATACTTTAGCTTTGGCCCACGTGTGAATGTCGCCGAAGGTGATCTGGCAGGCTCTCCATTTTGAGCATTTGGCGTTTAAAGAAGTCGGATAATCCGTTCCTTGGGGGTGGTCAAACCACGAGGGCCAGCTCAGGCTTTTCTCGGTCATTTTCCTCGATTCTATCTGAAAGAATATGGCTAGCTTGTCTTCCTTTTTAAACAAACAGGATTCTTACCAAGTTCTCGAATATATGCCCTTTCTAAAGGAGATGGCTTGTCTTGCGGAATCTGCTGCAACAAGAATCAGTATGGATAAACAGAAATTTCCATATGGACTAATGTCTTACCACTCGACGAATATTCAGAAACTCACCCTCGAAGAGGGCAAGTAATGCACAAAGTGCTGGTTAAATGCCAACCTACCCTCGTCGAGAGTAGGTTATAGAAACAAGTCCTCTTGGAGAACCAGTAATGCACAAAGTGCCAGACGAATGGAAACAGAGTCTCTTGGAGATCCTATGACGCACAGAGTGCAAAAGGGTAAAAGGGTGGAAACAGGTCCTCTTGGAGAACCAAGCTTGAACATCGTCAACAGTTATGAGCAAGGAGTTTCACAACAAGTGGATCACTGACTATTTGATCCGAAGATCCAGATACGAGACAAAGCTCATAAGAGCCGTCAGCATTGATTGGAAGTAGAGGAAGCTATCCGGCGACACCAGGAGGGGTTAGCAATCATTTCAACGGTTAATTGGTAGGTTCAATATAAAAAACGTACCAGTTCTTCTATCTAGACAGCAACGGGTGTGGAAATGACAGAAATATGTGACTCCTACCTTACGGCTTCGAACAGAGAGAGAGGCGCGAAGGAGAGGAGAGACAAAAAAATCTGTTGTGGGAGACAAATTCACTCCTCTTACCCCTTTGGGAAGTCACGCGTAGAACTCGTGACACAACCACCGCCAAGCCCTCGACTAGCTGTTTGGGTCTCTTTGAATATCTTCAGCCTGACCAGGGTTGTACGCTGCACTTCTCCATTCTTTCGGCAGTGAAGATAATTTGGCCATTTCCTTTCCTGTCTGATGTTATCGCGACGTGGGGTTGCTGAGATTGGACAGTGATTTTACTAGGAGCCATCCATTCATATCCACCAAAAGTATTGTCACATTTTCTCCGTTTGGAATAGGCGACATGTAGATTTCTCGGGTAGTTGGCTCTCGTTTGAGTCTCTTCAAATAGTTGTGGCTACTTACTGATAATATCCCATCAAAAATATGTAATTAACAACTCAGGGTTCTCACCGAGGCCTTTGAAGTAAACTAGTAGACTTTGAGAACCAACTTGGACCACGATTAGCCAACATAGAATAAAACTCTTAAACCTAGATGACTCACTTCCTGACTGTGATATCAAGAGCTTACTTTCCGAGAAAGCAGCAGCTGCACACTGTGGAGGTGGATTGAAATCCGATCCTCTTTGAGAAACAGACTGAATCATGAACGACGAGTTGCTTTGTAAGCTACCTAGTTACTGGCTTTCTATATTAGGGATCGCCAGATATAAGCCTCTTCTACAATAACTAAATTTGAAGTACGATCCGGGATATCAAATGCCAGGGAGTCGAGATGCTGTACAAGACCACCGAGGACAAGCAGACAACGTAAAACCCAACAACGGGACAAGCTGTGAGGGCCAAGCTCTGCCAAAGGGAGGTTCAAGGCAAGGATAAATGGAGAGAAGCTGAAATTTTTAGAATATTGTTGTGGGAGGTGTTGCGAACCCATTCACTGCCCTTGCCTTTCCCTTTTGGGTAGTTTCGTGGGAAAACACCAACGCGCCAGCTCCCCTCTTCTCTTCCTCGAACTTCTCCAGGTTCCTCTCCAACATCTTGTTCCAGCTCTTGGAAGGAATCGTCAAGATGAGTGACCCTTTGGAAGGTGAAAGCTTGGACAATCTTGTCAAGCCCACTTCCAAACGGGAATGGAAACATGAGGCGTCCACAGCCGTATTCGAGCAACCCTCGTCCGCAGATGCCGAGAGAAAGAAGATCAACCAGCAGAAGCTTCACATCGGAGAACACCCTTACTATGTCCATCCTCGTGACCTTAGTAACTGGCGATCGGCTTCCCAGCTCCAAATATCACACTACTTGACCCTGCGGATAATAAACAAATTCCAGGTTCTGAAGAACTTGACGGCCGCCAATTTTCAAGCCATGACCAACCTTTCCACGGATGCAGACAACAAATCTCGAGAGCATCTGAAAAGCCTTTGGGGCTGGAAAGATTTTCGAATCGACATAAAGAACAATGGGAGTCAACGGCCACCATTTGGACAAGCGAAAAAATTGGGATATTTATCATCAACCCGGGACCTCCAATTGGCCATCGCGCAGAGAGTGGAAATATCCTCTGAAGGGGGATATGGAGGACCAATCACTCGATCTACACCGGCAGAGGCTTCGCAGAACGAGAATCCCACTGATATGACACCCATCTCCAGAACAACTACCGGCATCTCGGCCTCGGGCGAAGCAGCCCTTACTCGCGTAACAACCTCATCCGATAGGATGGATACATCTACCGAATCCAGTGCAAGCCTCAGTCGTGCGATCAGCAAAGTTTCTGCTACATCTATACCTGATCCTGTGCAGTTCCAGAAAACAAAGGGTGAAGACATTGTTAACCAGGCCGCGGTTGAACTCTTGGCGGCTCTCACTCGTTATTGTCCTTCATTGAATCTCGAGTGGTCAGCGCACAAATACGAATTCTCTTACCGGTTAGGTGAGGCGTTAATCGTAGCGATTACCGATGGATGTTTACTGGCCGAGGACATGGATGATGTCTACTCGATTCTCGAGGTTAAACCTTTTGTGATTACTGCACAACCCCAAAAAACGTTCATGCAGGTAGGATTACAGATGATAGGATTCATACTCAACTGCGTTGAGAAGGGGAAGGCCAAAGACAGGTGAGTTACGAGTGACATTCTACAAAATACACCTTCCATGCTAAATAAGTCCAGGTACTTCCTCGTGTCGCAATACCGCCATCAGGCATACATAACAGTTGCGAAACCTGACGCCGGATACATCGAATATTTGATGTCCGAAGAAAACGTCCACATGGAGAACTTGGACGACTCAGACAGCTTGGACAAAATTCCATTCTTGACGTTGACGCACTTTGGACCCTTTGATATTTTCCAGTCAAAATCTATGTTTGCTTTGGGCCGGATGGTGGTGACTATTGCGATCCAGCTAAGCATGGATCGGTTAAGCTGAGACGATACAACCGGAGAGCAGTCAGGAGATTTGGGTGGCTCACAGCCAGTGCTTGGTCAAGACAGGCTATATGGGCCAAAGTCGTTCTGGCGGTTTCTGTACTACAATATACACAGTTACAAGGTATCATCGTGTGCATTAACGCTGCAAAAGTGGAATGGAACAGGATCTAAGTCATAGCTCCTACACAGCAACCACGTAAGGTATATTCAATACAGAAAGTGTTTTTTCTCGATAGTAGTATACACAAGCAAGAGGCAAATGGACATTAACCGAACAAAAGCCTCCAGCTATGACTCAGTGCTTTGGCATGAACCGACTGTGTTCTCAGCCTGGCTAATAATACCGTGCTTCTTCTCATAAGACTCAGCTTCCTCATCCTCCTCATCTTCTGAGATAGCCTGAAGACCAACCAGCCGAGTATCGCCATTCGTGGTTGGAAATATCCACCGAAGGAGACAGTCCATTCTCTCGACATAATTCGGGACGTTGAAATCTTGACATTTGCTGAACTGGACTTTGAGTATTCCGTACTCGAAATAGCCATATAGCACTCTTACTCGAGCAGGTTTCATGAAACAAAGGACCAGGGTCTATCTACCAGTCAGTAAATGAATTTAGGGCTTGCGGAGAGCAACGAACCGGGAATACAATGTGAAGTCTTCGTTTGTTGAGCTCCCTGCGCTGGTCTTTTGACGGCTTCTTTGGAATCTGCGCTTTGATTTGTTCGAGTTGGTAACGCATTCCCCCCAACATCCAAGACACCAACCCAATCCATTCCGATACCGACGGGCGATTCTCATCTATATCTTTGTCTACCAAGACTTTGACAACACGGTGCGACTGGCTGGGTCGTCGTGCTTGCATTTTTCCATATATCATGGTTTCGCGCACTGCGCAGCTCCCGGTGCTTCTTCTATCTTGTCTGTTTAATAGGTTAGAGACCGTACAATTCGATAGTCTCAGTAAATACGTACGGAATGGGCAGCTCCCAGCGCTGGTCAAATTCGGGCTGCTGACGTTCTCTGATTGCCCCAACATAGCCACCGAATGCCAAGTGCAAATATTCGTACCAGTCGTACTCCCCAAAAATCCTTCTTGTGTTGCTTCTATTGAAGGTGTTGAATGCATCGTTATCTGGATGTATTCCGCTATTGGAGACACTGACGGTCTTATCCTGACTCGGCATGAAATAAGGGAAGATTGTAGAAGAGGTCTCGCCAGTTTCAAAATCAAGGTCGGACAGCTCGATGCCAAGGTTTCGAAGCTCTTCGTCGGTAGGGGTGTACTGAGTCCTTTTCCAATACTCCATCTTCTTCATTTGGCTATTGAAGTACCCCCAAATCCCCAACAGCTTGTCCTCAGCTTCGGTGTACTCCCTGGCCCATGATCGTCGTTTCGGCTCGGTACGTGGCATCATAGTGGACGAGTAGTTGCTTTGCGATGTGCTATGGAAACCGAAGGGAGTCGGTCTGAGCCTTGGCAACCTACTAGGCTATCACGTTGACATACGTCAGGGCAGTTGTCCCTGACATGAGTCATCAGCTTTCTCAAGTAGTAAATGGCCTGGCTCAGCCGTCCTTCAATAAAACAGAGAGGAAGTTTTCTTGCGCCCAGGAATTTCCAGGGACATCCAACGCGCGATCAAAGCGTTGGAAAGTTCCAGGCGACAAAATGTTGTGGCAAATTAAGCTCTACATGGAAGGCACCCTGAGCAGACTAGACCTAATCGGGCTGACGCAATGACTTCAACTTCCTGTCATCACAGGTACCTGGTACCTATATCTAGATCGCGATGAGTTATAACATCATAAGGTAGTCCATCCGCTGCAGTATCTGTTCCACCCCAAAGACGCAACTTGCTTTTTATTTTTTTTTTTTATTTTTTTTTTTCCCTATAACATATTCAGATGGAGCTCGGAACGCACACTCCGAACTGCCTTCAGACAATCAAGCTCGAACCAATCAACTGTCAATATACGGCTTTTGTCATGTGACATTTCTACTGCGTATCCACGGCCCTGCTGTCGGCTCGGATACTGAATAGCAGTGGTTATTTGGCAAATCAATGACTTTGTTGCTGATGAATCGGTCTAAGGTTTGATGACCTATATGCGAGGATCTTATATAGAATGAAATTGTATAAAATGATGCGACAAATGCTAGTAAGTCTTCTTTCGAACCCCAATCCTGCTTCGAATCATGGATGTAAGGATACTGATTGTTCGCGGAGCGGTCAGGTTTTCCCCAAGACGAATGTACACAACACCGTTACCAATCGAGACACATGGCACGAGACGAGGACAGCGACTATTGGATTTCTGTCGCTGTTCTTGGGAGGAAACCATTTTGTTTTATATTTAATTTATTGCTATAGTATCTCGAGAAGAAAGTCGGCATGTCTTGCAGACTTGGCCCTGATACCCATCGATGGCCATCGGGTGAGAAATATTCAAAACATGCTGTCCGTATCCTCAAATCATCGCTTCAAATGAACATTTTTCCTGACCAATACCATCAACCAGTATCATCATATGATCTGCCTCTCCTTCATCCAGTCGCTCTATTAAGCTAAAGTACAATCGCTCCGCGTATCTCCCCCCGGGTACCTTTGTCAACTTCCACTTTTCCCATTCGGTTTCCGGCTGGTGCTCATCAAGCGCACAAAGCACGTCAGGCACAACACGACAACCCCACCGCTTTATTCCAATCGCTGTCAAATCCGATATCTGAATCGTCTAATATTAATATGTCAACTTGCCTTTTTTTATTTACCATGGTGAGGAATTTGAAGCTATAATGTCGACACTGAGGGGTTGTCCAACCGTGTTACACAACATAAATATCTCTATAAATATGTCGTGTTCACCGACAGCATCAACAACATCCATTCTTTCTTCATCAATTGAATATGCCCCCTCGCTATTGTCGCATTGCTATCATCGGAACCGGGCCATCGGGTCTGTCGACTGTCAAAGCTCTCCAAGAGGAAAATATCTTCGACACAATTCGCGTTTTTGAACGACGCGACCGTGTCGGCGGAACATGGCTCTACGATCCTGTCGCTGGTCCATTTAAACCACCTGGGCAGAAGGAAAAGCGAAATGAAATCCCAGCAAAGCTGCCCCAATTTACCCCAAGCGTTTCAGAAGACACGACAACAGGGATCTACAATACATTAGACAGTAATGTCGGCGCCAAAGCAATGGCATTTACTCATACGCCTTTTCCGGAGGTGAACTCGGCTCAATCGGTCGAGAAACTCGGACGGGCAAATCCAACGCGCCCATTTCGTCTTGTCGCAGGGTATCTGGAGGATTTGTTCAAGGATTACTTGCATCTTGTCTCTTTCAACACAACGGTGGAAAAGGTAGAGAAGAAGGGAGAGGAATGGATTGTCACTCTTCGTCGGTCTGGACAGCTGCATCATGGCGAGCATAGAGACTACTGGTGGCAAGAGACCTTTGATGCTGTTGTCGTTGCCTCGGGGCACTATAGTGTCCCGTTGATTCCGGCTGTATCTGGATTGGATGAGGCCGTCAAAGCCTTCCCCGGCAGATTCGAGCACTCGAAAGCATATCGCGACCAGAATGCGTATGTTGACAAAAAGGTCGTCGTGGTAGGAGGTAGTATCTCAGCAGCAGATACTGTCGTGGATCTGCATGCCATCGTCAAAGGACCGTTGCACGTCTCTCAGAGAGGAAAAAACGAAGCTCTTCAGAATGCATGGGATCTACCAAATGTTGAAATAAAGCCCACCATCCAACACATCTCTGCCGACAAAAACGGAGTCACGGTGAAGTTCTCCGATAACACTGAAGTCAGCAACATCGACAAAGTCATCTATGCAACTGGCTACAGACTCTCATATCCCTTCCTCTCCCCAGACCCCGTCACACCCAACAACCGCGTCGCCGGGTTCTACCAGCACGTTTTCAAAATCGGCGACCCATCCCTCACACTCGTCGGCCAGGTTCGAGCAGCAATTAGCTTCCGCGTCTACGAATACCAAGCAGTCGCTGTGGCGCGGTACTTTGCCGGCCGAAACGCCAAGGAACTACCCAGTCCGTCTGAGCAAGATCGCTGGGAAGTCGATCGACTACAATACAAGGGTCCTTCTGCTACCTTCCACGAGATTAAACCCGATTTCAACGACTACTTTAGCTTCCTGCGTGACTTGGCTGGCCCGCCAGCTCCAGGAACGAACGGGTATGAGCTCCCGCCGTGGGAGGATAAATGGGCGGCACAGGGCTTTGAGATTCTACAGCTGAAAGATAAATACTGGAAGGGATTAATCAAGGCAAAACTTTGAGTTGTTCGTTTAGCCATGGTATGTATTTATGCGTACATTATGGGTCCTGCTTTGCCCACTCGCTGCATGCTATTTGCTCGTATTATGAAGTACATATAGATATTTAATAGAAAAAAAAAAAAGCCTGTGGGACAGGACACAATCTCCAGAGAACCACTGTGGTCTATAAATGCCCCAAATGTGCACCAACACTTGATAGACAGCATTAAGATACTGTCAAACAAGTCATCGAATCATTCGTCTCAACATGAAGCTCGACAGCATCCTTCCTCTTTCCCTGCTCGTCCTCTGCCTCAGCAGCCCCGTATAGGCGCAGTATTATATAAACACCTCCCATACCAATCCCACCGCCATGCAACCCACCAGCAACTCTGTCGCTTTCGTCGCCGGACAAAGAAAAAGTAAACACCACAGCGATAATCAATATCCCACCTTGAGCAACGCCAACACCGATACCGGCCCTTGCCCTAGACGAGAGCCCAGCGCTAGATATATCATCTGTAGATATTTGTGAGGGCAAAGAGGCCGTTACACCTGTAGGGGGTGTCGAGAAATCTGTCGATTGCCAATAAATCGCGAGAGAGGGGAGTTGGAAGCATGCCTTCATCAACCATGGATCAGCTCCCCATGATCCACGGGAACCAGAAAGACTAGCTCGTACAGGAAAGCAGTCAAGTGACAAATGCTTTCGTCATCAATTGCTAGTTTGGAGATTTTCTAACAATTAACACACACCATCAAGGGAATTCAAATGTACATACTGCACCGCCTCGACCGCTTTTTGAATATCTGTGCTGCGATTGCTGCTATTGCTTGCTCGTCGGTCGGGGTGGTCATTCTGCGCGGTGCCGAAGCTGCCCAGGAGGGCGTTGAGTTCGGCTGGGTGATGTTAGTCGATAATCAACTAGACTGTTGGACGTATATACCCTGGTGATGGTCAAGCTGAGACTGAGCACTCTGGCGTCTGGCTTTCCGGCCGGCAACGTCGTCCCTGTCAAGTCGCCACTTGTGAATGAGATCCATTGCGTAGATGATAGAATTGGTGTATAATAGGCATTAAATATAAAGCCATCGCTTTTTATATAACTCCTCGGAGCCGGATCAATGGATCATATGACCTTTGGTGATAGTGTTTGTTACAAGGTTCTAGATGCGGTCGTGATCTCATGATAATGTCTCGTGACCACTGTGGCTGTGTGAGAGGTTTAATTGGAAATCTACGCCACTGAGAGACGAGGTTCTTTGATTTCCAAGACATTCCCGTCATCCGATTGGAAATCGAAGTGGCTGAGCTGACTGACGTATTGGTTGGTGTATTCTGCCAGTGGTGTTGAGAAAAGCCTCGTATATTTGGCCGACGCTTCCCCGCATTGGTACCCCACTCTGCGGAAGTCGATGGCATTGTCAGATATCGATGCTACATAACCTATTAGAGCTTTACTGTATTATTGTCATATTATACCAGTCACTATTCCTATCTAGTTTAGTACATTAATATACTTTAAATTGCTTTATCGATTACTTTCTAGCCAAGATCCCCAGTCCACACAAGAACATACAGCCTGTGTATACAACCGTAGTTCCTGCCATACAAGGAAAAGACAGAAGATTGAGGGGTCTTAGGCTGCCATATTACCGGAAAATGCAAAATAAATCGTGCTGGAACCTTTCACCTCCGCCGCTCCTGGTCAGCTCGAGACCTATTGGCTTTTTTCCAATTTGGAAGTACCATTCTTCCGGGGAGTCCGTATCTATTCTTTTTCATTTTTTTTCTTTGGTCGGGGGTTCGATTCTTGTTCACCTCGTTTATTACCCTCACCTCGTCTTTGTTCGTGAGAAAGAAAAATAGATATCAGTCTTCTCTGATTTTCTTAAACCCCTTAAGACCTGGTTCATTGTATGTAGTGAATTTCATACAGTGCGGGGTTCTTTCTATTAACTAGAGTGTATTATAATAGTCGTCTAGGCTGTTGAAGTAAGGTTGAGTTCCGACGAGTAGATATCCTGATTGGTAGTACCGGAGGGGATCTGACTGGATAGACTATTCCAGAGATAATACAGACTCAAACAATGGCCATAATATCATAAAGTGATCAAATAGTCTTCGAAACCAATTCATTATCATCAATTTCCTCCTATCGTCCCCGTATTTATAGAGAAGCAGCCTGTTCAACAAGATGATGCAACTGCTGTCTATCAGCCCCAACCGACTCCCCAACCTTCACACCATCCTTAAACACAATAAAAGTCGGCGTGGCTCTGACGCCAACCTCCTGGGCAATTTGTTCTTGGGCATCGACATCGACTTTGTAGGCTTTGAGCTTGGCGAACTCCGGGCGCTCGGAATATTGCTCGAAAAGGGGGGAGGTGAATTTGCACGGTCCGCTTGATTCGAGCCAGAAATTGATCACGGCTGGCTGGCTGCCGTTGATGATTTTCTGGAAGTCGTCGAACCTGGCGGGTTATTTATCAGTGGTTGAATTGTATAGTGCTGGGTGGGGAGTGTCTTACGACTCGATCGCTGTGACGGGCATATTGACGGGATTTTGAAGAATTCACGGTAGGTGATATATTATCGGTGAGGGGGGTGAAGAGGGAAGTTGTTATATTTTATGGACAACTGTCGACCGTAGACAGTGTGAATTACCCCTCAGCTGAAGACATCCCAATGAGCGATTCGCTGTGCTTTGATGGGTGGATCTCAGCTAGATAAAATCGGGTTAATCAGTAAGTACATGATGTGTTATTTGGAATGATGTCATAAGATCTCTTAATCTGGAAGAATACTCAACCTAAACCCTATAAAATCTAAAGTTTAGATAAGATAATCTACCAGTCTAACGACTTTCTTTCATCATGTATCTCAAATACAGCTGTTATAAGATAAGAACAGATAATGATATTCTATAACAATTTGATAAGCTCCTCCTTCTGTCCACTGACAAGCATCTCCAATGCCTTGGCTCTACATTCGCCACAATCTGTATACTCCTTCAGATGACCCCCCACCCAACAGTGTTCTTTCTTTTCACCCGGATGGTTGACCCTATCCCTCCAACGAACAAGGTAATTATCTGGCCGCAACTGCAAGCTCCCAACTCTCGCCGCCCCGTTTTTACCTTCCAGGACGACAAGAGCAACCGCCCAGAATGTATTATCGTGGTAGTTGTACTCCTGGACAGGATCTAACTGGCGGAGAATAATCCCTTTCAACAACACAGAATCCATCGTTTGGAGTGTTGATGCAAGGTGGTCATCCACCAGATTGATCTCGATCAGAACGTCGCAATCTGTACCATTGAATACAGCACAGCATGGCATCGACGACTCTCGACAGACAGTCAGTGGAACTGTTGGTGCCTGCACGTATAGCTCCGCCGGCAGGGATTTGAAATCATCATATACATCCCAATTCCTCGTGTGACACATGGCCTCCCAGTCCACCAAGCCCTGGTTCATTTCCACAAACAGCTTCGCCTTGGTCAAACTCTTCCTAGTAAGCCCAATATGAACCAGCGAATGACCAGGCCCCTCATAAACAGCAATCCAGCCAGTCCACGACCAACTAGGAAACCCCTCTCTGCGCAGTCCAGTCCCCCTCGTCTTCCAGGATAGATTCACCAGAAATGCTTCCGTCAGCGACCAGCTTCGACTGAGATCCCGACCAATCGCCTTGCGATGGTTGATTAACGGCCCGAGAATTGGAATCCCAAAGTAGTGATTCATCGGGTATGGTCCGTTTTCGCAACGCTTCAATAGCCCTAATACCCCGTTCAGCGCGTCAGATTGGTATGTCAGCTTCCGAGATGTGTATTGTCCCAGAAGATGGTGGATGGCGCCTTCATTCTTCCACACGTTGTCGTACATGTATAACAAGACCGAATCTCCCCCTCCCAGACCCCCATCAGGGAACATCTCGCACGACGTCTTCCACCCGCGTTCCATATTCGCCCACTCTTTATTCGAGCGCTGGAAGAACACCTGTTCGTCCGTGAAGGCGATCCAGTTCCACGAGAAAACGCCCTCCTGGTGCGTCCAGGCGCGAGTCATCCATGTGCTTTCGCGGACTAATTTTCGCGGGTCGCTCATACTCGACCACAGCGTGTACGCGCCGATCTGGATACGAGGTTGCTTGACGCGCAGTGAGCTGACGCCGGGTAAGCCGTAGTCTGCGTGTGAACCAGCCGCCCCGATGATGGTCACCAGTGCGTGTCGGTATATGTCTGCCATCTGATCAAGCTGGGCTTTAAACTCCGCCTTGTTGCTCTGGTCTAGACAATACCTGTCTACCCAGAGATACTGCAGGCCGAGTTCTTTCACCACAGTAATAGCGTCTTCGACGGTGCGCGGAAGGTGAATAGGGAGAGACTTCCCCTTGGCATCTTCTGCTGCTGCAGGACCCCAGACGTAGCTGAGAGCGACGTAATTGCAAGGCCCGCGCACTGGGACAATTTCCCGCGTGTGGCAGTCAATCACCGAGACGGGGAGCACGTCCATTTCGTCTCTTGGAATCTTCTGAATCAACTCGCACCATTTTCTCAGCGGTGCGTAGCTGATTTTTTCATGATCGATGAGGACCGGCGTCTCGGGCGCTTTGCTATAGTTCACAAATGGTAGTTCGCTCAGCGTTGGTTCACCATGTGTCTGAACGAGGAGAGTCGTCCTGGCAGCCATAGCTGGTGCAATCTGCGGCGTGTTTTGTATAGAATAGTTTCTGGTACTTTGCCGGGCACGGTATATTGATATCTTCGTGCAGATATCCCGTTCTTCAGAGGGAATCATATCGAGAAAGAAGTTGCACAGAGGACATGTCGGGTCTGTCCGATCAAGGACGAGACTTGGGGATGGCTCAACAAGTTCTTGGGTGGTTACTTTTCCAAAGAGGTCATCCAGACTTACGCTCTGACATTTTGAGCATAGGTTTTGCAGCTCGTCTGGCATTGTGATGTTATTGCCAATGCCTGATTTTGGGCGCTTAGCACCAGGTCGAATGTCTCAGCATAGTAATCACATGATTTGTTTATGTAACAAATACAACCTATCATAATCTTTCCAATGTCAAGGGTCGAATGGTTGCTTCTGATTGGTGGAATCAGAATGGATGACTGATGATACGAGGTGTGCAATTCTCTCTCAACGCTGATATTTGGTAAATAAATATGGAGTTCCGTGTCCGCCTGCTAGAATTGTATATTATAAATCGTAGTATTTAATCAAATTAAATCTATTAGATATCAAACTACTAAGCTAACAGCTAAGCCTTAGAGCTATTGGCGTTGTCATTACACTGGCAATATTCAAATGTTCCGAATTTGGAAAGCTAGTAAAGAGAAATACAACCATAGCAAGTACAGACCATGCCATAGGCATGAGCTTATAACCCAGTCTTACTACAATTTCCAAAATGCCGTATGCTGTAGGAGATAGACTCCAAATCGGCAGTATGGTCCATCCATGATTTATGAATGGCCTCTTTGATAACACAATACTAGGCAACTTCGCAGGTAGTATGTTGAAAATGCAAACTAACATATACAACATGCACATAACATGGCTAAACTCCATTCCCATCCATGAAGACCCCCGCAATTGGATTGATCACATGCAATGGGTTCATATTGACATGATTTGCAAACCCTAGATCCAAATTCAAATCCAAGTCATCCGTGTGGTTATCCCAGTTGAATTCCTCCAGCCCATTCGGAAAGACGATGGGAGAACCATACCGTGACCAGTCAAACACATCCAGCACATCTATCGAGGGACACGCATTCTCCTGCGGTACCAGACTATGCTTCCCTTGGAACTGAACGAGTAGATTGTTTAACATTCCAATTGCCTTGGTAGCTTGCGGATGTGACTCTCGCATATCTCCGAGCCCGGATAGACAGCCCTGGAAGAGGAAGAGGCAATCTTCGTCACCAGTGAGGTGGATATTTACGAGAAGGATGACTGCAGCTGTGGAGACAAAATGAACAGCTGGACTGGGCGATTGCCGCCAGTCGTAGAAGAGGGAGTAGTCGCGTGTGAGCTTTGCGATGTTGGTTGCGGCCAGGGCGCAGATGGTGTTGGCGTTGTGCGACGCTTCATCGAGATTGGATATGGAGGTTACTGCGTGTCGATGGTCGATGAAGGGACGGTGCAGGAGGATAATGGTAAAGTAGAATGTCATACTATATCATTAGCATTTTACATTATATTAGATATTGGGTGTATACATACTGCATGATGAGAATATGAGGCGAGGCAGGCGTGCTAGTACTATTCGGCCAGGACAATTCATCATCCAGATCCTGATACCATTTGACCAGATTGCGGTGGATGTCATTCGCGGCACTCTTTAATCTGAATACATCACCTGCTCGCTTATGAGAGTACAATTCACCTAATATCCTGAAGATATGCATGGCAAGCAAAAGAGCATTCCAGTGCACTGTCGTTAACATATCTGTTGGTCTCTCTGCCCATTTGGCTGTGATGTCAGGATCAGATATTATCGATGGTCGGCCTGCGTATACAGCCCACAGTCTGGTTATTAGCTTCCTCCGTGTTATGTCAAGGCAACTTACTTGTCCTGCGTGTAAATCCCGCAGAATACAGCCGTTCGTGCTTGAGCCACCTGTGAAGGAAGACGATTTGCTGCAACTGCCTTTTCGCAGTTGAGATGCAGCCCAATCTCCAGGGCCGTCCGAGCAGCAATTCCTATACCGTCAGATTCAGATACCTATCGATATAGGAAGAAAGCTCACCACTATACGTCCACCCCAGCGACATCTCCCCCAGCGTCCCATATCTGGACCCAAGCAGCATCGCCGTCTGCACCGTTGCCACGGATGGAACCCCCATCTGCGCATCGAAAAGCCTCTTTGCCTTGTCGAAGAAGACATCCCCTGTCTGTCCACCAGGTCGGGTACTGTAATATCTCACTCCTCTATCGCGACTTACCATCGACGCCAGCGCCATCATAGCGTATAGAAGTGATGGAGAGAAAAAGTCTCGTTTGCATGGTGGTTCAGACTCGAAGAAGGCTTTCTTATCAATGAGAAACATGTTTCGATGAATGACTTGTACGTGAGCTGCCTGCCATGTCCAGAATATATCGACAAGATGCGCCACGATGGGATCTGGTTCATTTCGCGGATCTAGATCTTCGGGAAGATCTAGTGTTGGTGTATCTTCTGCAGTGCATGACTGCAAAGATTGAGAATGATCGAAATGCCAGATACTGTTATCGAAATACGTCTTGCATTCGCCATGATCATACGGCCAGGGTTCTTGGGCAATCATCCCATCCATGACAGTAGCATCACTAGCCGTCTCCGCCTGCTGCTCCGACATTACCATCCCACTGTAACTCAACTTCTCGCTATTCAGCAGCAACAACTCCTCCAGCGCCGTCACGCGAGCCTGCAAATTGACCTTGCGGTTCGCACGGCCCCTCCTGCGCCGTCCATCATTTGCAACCCGCACATCGCAGATCTCGCCCTTTGGCGCGCAGTTCGTGCAGCTTCCGCCATGCTCGATATTGCATCGCTGCTTCGACCGCTTGCAGTTCGTGCAGGCCGGACTTGAAAGTTTGCTGTTGCGACTATCCGCTGATCTCACTGATGACATGCTGTTCGATGTACTTGACAAGGTAGATGAAGTCCCGCATCCCCAGAAGAAGAATAAGAGGCACTTTGTACAGATAGGCGGGGATTATCCCAAACAGGTAAGACATCCGACAAGTCCACCGGGCCGATTACCCTTTCGAGCGGAGATAAACAGACATTCTGCTAGCATAAATATAAATGGTTGATTTTGGAGAATGGAGTTACCCGTGATATTTCAAGTTCGACTTCAAAGCGTACAAATGGGCATTGCTTTTTTTGCTGCATCTCTACCATGGGTCACTCGTAGATGGCCTCGATAATACATACAATGGCGTTCTGGCCATTCAGGAATTCAAAAATCACCATGGCAATCATATGGAAAACAGCCTGAAACCGCTGGCTGTCGATCTCCCCTCCGTTACTGCGTCGATGATCTATATCAGTGATCTACTCGTGCTTCCAATTCAGCACTCACCAATGAATGCTGGGGTTGAAAGGCTGTGTTCTGGTTTACCTCGCTGTGTGTGTTGGCTGGCGGGATTGTCTAAATGGCGGATACGCACTTTGATCGTGTTATTATTGCCGGTCGAATCCTTATTGGATTGGTCGTGGGCTAATTCACTGCGTCTTCGCTGCTTTATATCGGAGAGACAGCTCCTATCTAAATCGAGGGCCGGCGTCGATGATGTTTCAGTTCCTGCAGTCATGCTCGCAGCTCAATCACCGAAACACTTATTCCAGTAGAGTAGCTTGGTCTTATACCGCTATGCACACACTAGAGATTGACTCCTCCTGCGGATCTATATCTGGCAGACACTCCGCACTTCCTATTGGCTGGATATATGCAGCTCCCCGCTTACCGAACCAAAAAGCTTAGTTTTACATCTTGGCTGCCTTTTTTGGAATGCCAAGACATAAGCTGGAACGTGGGAGAATCAGTCTGATTCTGTCAGATATCAGTTGTATTGCGAATTCTCTTGATATAACCCTTTCCCCAGATCTTATCCTTTCCGTCTATCAATTGATCAAACGCATACCATCCGCAATGCCTCCCAGAATCCATTTTGTCCGCCATGCACAGGTGATTACTCATGATATCTTCGATGACTTGATCTGATAGAACAGGGCTTTCACAACATCAGCCTCGCAAACTGGTCCCTCATCGACCCCCTCCTCACCGAGAAAGGCAAACAGCAATGCGTCGACCTTCGAGACCGTTTCCCTCATCACTCAAGCGTCGAATTGATCGTTTCCTCCCCGTTACGACGCACGATATATACAGCCTGGGAGGCATTTCAGCCTGTGTTTCAAGCACACGAAGATCTGGAGATGATACTCCTACCGGATCTTCGGGAGCTGAGCGCCTTTCCGTGTGATACTGGCTGTGAACCTGGTACTTTGAAGGAGGAGATGGATGGAGCGGGCGTTCCTGTGGATATTGGTTTTGTGCATGATGGGTGGACCGAGAAGGTTTATCTATCCTGCTCTGAATCTGGGTGGACCTTCTAAGATGACTGCGAACAGAGCGGAAGATATAAACCTACCATCGAGACAACGGAAAGCCGCGCTCGCGACACAAGACGGTGGTTGAGAGACCGGCCAGAAAAGGAAATTGTGGTTGTCACGCATGGAGCTATGCTACACTTTCTGACAGAAGATTGGGAGGATAGCTGTGCGCATGAAGGTATGTCCATGTTGCTTCCCCACAACCTTTCGACACAGCTGAGTTATGTGGGATAGCGACCGGCTGGGAGAATACAGAATATCGCAGCTATGATTTCCAAGCGACGGGGGATGCAATTTTATTTGAAACACCCGAGTCTCGTCTCCGCCGTGGCAAGACAGGCCTAATACCTACACCTGAGGAGCAGCTGAAGCTACGCGAGGTTAGTATACCGCACTGGGAGAGTCAAGGATATACATTGAGCGGTTCGAGTGCTATATCGTCCAAAGGGACGACTCAGACTGTAAAGGAGGTTGTATAGGACTCTTATAATATTAATAATAGGGACTATGTAGATACAAGGATTGCTGGCCTAGTGCTATTACTGGATTATGATTGGATATTTAGTCTTACTACATTTTAAGCGTATAGGTTATGCGTACTTTTTGACACGTGGCTGGTTGATGCTTTCTTCACATTTGATTTATTGCACAGAAACATATTCTGATAAGTAAATTCCATCCTCTAATCCTCTACCCATGTAGATTAGTACAAATGATAGCAAATATGTGACCCACTTAAAAAGCTTGTTTTTACATCTTGGCTTCCTCTTTGAGTTTAGGTTAATTATGCATAGCATCCAGGTACAATGAGACATATAAATATTGTCAAATCCCACACATGCTGAATTCTACAGATGTTGACACATAATTGCCAAAATGCACCTCAATTGCCCCTATGCACACTCTGTCTATGTCCAGCCTGATGGCCGCACATACAGCCCTCCTCTCTTGGGTTCTTTATCTTTCGAAGATAATGTACAGATACAGTCTTTGATCAATCCTCAAATCGATATCTGTCTTGTTCGAATGGTCAAATGGAAAGCAGTATCTTCAGAAACCCATACTGGCAAAAATCCCTTCGCTCGACTTTCCCTTCGACGTTCACCCTCAAGAGCAGAGCATACTCTTGTATTATCTTCAGTAGAAGAGCTGGCCCGATGCACCATCACCATCCCTCCGCTGCCCACAACCCAGGGGCACTTGGAATTCTCCATGTCCATCCCAAGCAACACTCCACCGACGACAAATACTCCCATTGCAACAATCTCCTACGCGATAGTCGCCACCGTGAACAGACCACCCGAAACCCCAATAGTAACAACCCACCCTATGCAACTTGTCCGGTACACTGTTCAAAACGAACCCCAAAGCATCCAATATATCCGGACATATCCAAACTCGAGGACACGCACAACAGCTATACTGCCCCAAAACGCAACTACCGACTCAAGACCAACCATATCTTTTTCTGTGACGATTTTACTCCGCCCGGCAATTGCGCCAGGTGATCGGAAGACAGAGATGAAGCATATTGTCGTCAAGGATGTCAGGTGGCGTGTGGATGAAATAGCCAAATTATTTGATAAACCAATTGAGGGTCAAATGCAGAGTATCTGCAAGGATAAGCATGTGCGTTCATTATGCAGCGCACGCCAAAAAGGACATTGGAGCATACCCAAAAAGCAGTGCTTAGAACAACACAAAGACACACAAATATCCATCACGTTCGACATAGACATTTCCCAGGCCGCAATGGCCGCAGACGACACCAATATATCTGCCTTTACCTGTGGTCATTTATACTCGCGCCCCCTCGCCTGCGATAATGTCGATCAACCTTCAACAAGCAAGGCAATAGCGATCACAGTCGATCATCAACTAGAGATCGAGCTGCTCGCCGATGAAGATACTTTTCATATAGAGACTGGGAAACTGGTGGATAGGAGACACTGGAAAGCATTCAGTGCCCAGTATCCCCTTTCTTTATGCAAATACTTAGTGGAAGAAGAGGTTCTACCAAGATACGAAGGCATATCCAATGCACCGCCAGAATATGCGGGGCAGTATTGAAGGATGTGGGATACGGTGGCATTGATCGTGCAGTTTAACCTTTCTTCAAGAAAGATAGAATGTTTACATCCATAGACAGTAGTTAATATATGATGTTATGATTTAAAGGTATATAGCAATGTTTTGATTAGAACTCTAATCGTCGTCCTCGTTCTCAACTTCAACAATAACCCCACGCAGTTCTCTCAATCTTTCAATGGTTTCCTCATCGAGTTGTTTGAGTTCACTGGTACATCAGTCAGTCCATACCATTCTTGTCACCCTTTGCCTGAGAAAGGGTCAACACTTACAATGGTATAAGCTTAACTGGAGGGAATAGATTATCTAATTGTGGGTAATCCCCTTCGTCAAGGCCAACACTTTCTAGGATTCTATGTCGGATATTAGCATGTCTCCTGCAGAGATCGTATGTAGCACAGATAGACTCACTCATTAACGCTTTTTTCATGCTCTTCCCAAACATCAGGACCTTCGAAACGGATGATTGTCTTATATGCATCGTATACATTAGCGGTGAATCTTTAAGTTGTAAAGTGCTAATGGAACATACCGTCATTTTGATGTGATATTTGGATTTGGATTTGGATTTGAGAAAGGATGAAACGGTATGGACAGAAGCTTCTCAAGAGAAAATTGAGGAGCTATTTCTGTAAGAACAACAGAATTATGAGCTCTTGCGAATTTTCAGCTGGTGTCATCTGTTCAGCTCTGTGCCCTGCAGTTCAGCCGCAGCTGAGCTGCAGTATCCAATAGGAGCTGGTTATATGCCTATGATCCCAATAGAATGACGTATTCGAGAGTACTGTCGATTAATTCAGCTCTTGGCATTGTGATCTGCAGTGGTTTTCTGGCAGTTAGATGCGCCTGTCGTATACGGCAAAAGACACACTAGTTAGAAATAGAATATTCTAGTATATGAAGTACTCCTTTACTACCTCTTGATAATATTGACAATCCAGGGAATTAATTGAACCGATGTGGTCTGTTATCAGCCCAAAACCTCGGTACGGACTGCGGCTAAGAGATGAACCACATTCAGCTAAGCGAAGAGAAGCGGGGTATATACTCCAGGTGGAGCAGACAAGGGCGGTAAAGGTATTCAGCCAATCATAAGGCGCTGAAAGACTCAAAGTCTAAAATCTGCATGTATTTTCATCTAATTGTAGATGAGATAAATAAGTAAATATAGATTGGCTTGCATGAACTCTCCCAAAGAATGCTCTGACTTTTCAGTCAGCTGAAGCGGGGTAACAACACCCCCTGCTAAGGCTATCATTGGCCATCATCATGGACTACCTAGGCGATGATCTGATTATCTCAAGGGATTGGCTGAATGGTTTCAGCTATGATGCAACGATCATCGTGAGGAGGAAAAAGCAATATACAATCTGAGTTATAAAAACAAAGCATCTTCTTGGTTTGGGCTCTGGCAACTCACACTCCAGACCAGCAAAATGAAGTTTCCATTGGTAGTTCTTGCACTGTGTGCATTCCTGGTCAAGGTATGTACCACATCCCCTTCCATCCCGTCATGATCACATCTGACATTTTATAGGCCACAGACCTAGACGATGCTGGCTGTTCTCAGGGTATGACCAGCCTCTCATCTGCCAATACAACTAACTAATCATTCAGTTGCCGAAGGATCCGTGGCAGAATACGACCTAGAAGGTGAATTCCTCGGCTGCAGTAACCCTGTCGAAGACGCCTTTTACGAAGAATACTTTGAGAATGAAGACGCCTTCGAATGCGAGGGAGACGCATATATCGACTCTTTAACTGGCACTTATCAGTGCTGCCCCGCTGGCCAGATCTACGCCTGGGATGAAAACAGCGAAGAAGGCGCCTGTGTTGACGACGAAGGCTTCAGCAGCCCTTTGCTAAACGACCACGGCCCGCAATCTCAGCTTGAAAGCTTTCTGGTCGACAACCCACCTGCAAACCCGCCTCTGAAGCCCGGAATCCCCGTCTACCCGAGTCCCGGCAACCCTTCTCCCCCATCTAATCCTGGAAACCCTTCGCCTCCAAACCCCGGCAATCCCTCGCCTCCGTCTAACCCCCTGCCCAGACCTGGTAACCCCTCTCCTCCAAGCCAGCCTGCGCCCAAGCCGTACCCGAGATTCAGCTGCCCGGCAGCCGGCGGAACATATGAAGTGGTCGACACGGTGATCTATAAGATCTTGTGTTACCAGGGATTTAACACACGCTCTCGGAGGCTCAAAGTTACCTATACCAATACTGCCTGGGAATGCATGAAGGCCTGCTCAGCTGAACGCATGTGTACCGCTTCGAACTATTGGTGGAACACTAACAAGTGTGTTCTTGCAAGGGGCAGCATTAGGCTGGGGCGATACTCGAGGAGAGATAAGCTTCTCGGTGGTCTTGTCAAGGGGCAAGTCAGGAACTAGCTGAGATGGGACATAGACCGGCATACATTCGATATATATTGTTCAATCCCTTGATCACCTGTCAGGATGTGTGCGAGCTTTACTAAATATGGGATTCTGGCCATCGTGATTAGGAATAAATGACAGCCATCTTTTATCTGAAAGCAGAATCATCATAGAATAATAGTACATTTTTTTCCTGTGTCCGATATAGAGGTAGATCATGTACAATTTATATTCACTGTTACGTATGTATATTTCTGTCTAACTCCCCGGATACTTTCAGTTAGTGAATAAAGCTATTGATGTATTTAGCCTTCCCATATTTATGATTGTATAATTCCGTTTCTTTGACCCCTAGTGAATATGACTTTGTGACTGACGTCGTCTCCCATCATGGACTTTGCCGCCTCACTCATCTACACCCCTACTCTTACCACAAACATCATGGAGTCAAATCAAATTCCCTTCCTATCGCATCTCCCAGACAATACACCAAACGTCACTGCGTCTACATCCCGCGCTGTCAAAGATGCCATCCGCACGTATTTCGATGAAGACGGACCCATCTCAGACTACGTCATTATATCCGACGTCAAACAGCAAGTTGTGGATGGACTGATCGAAGATCCAAGACTTCATGGACGAATCAACATGCGCATGTTTTACAACGAAGACATTCGAAAGTTGATCGTCAAACTACCCAGAGCAGAGCATGAAAAAGCCACCCATGCGCTTTCCAAACTCATCTACGATGAAACGTTTATCCAGGGTATGAATTATGACTTCACCCCCTGCGGGGCTACTACCTTCCGTAGTGCGCCATACTCCAAAGAAGGAGATATGTCATTCATGCCCGAACGTCCTCTCCTTGGGCGAAATCAATCTTGGCCTACTGTTGTTATTGAGACAGGTGCATCTGAGAACATACATCGTCTTCGACTCGAGGCGGAATGGTGGATAACCCAATCTCGGGGGTTGGTCAAAACAATCGTCATCATCTCTATTGAGCGTACGGACCCTCGCATCGCTTTTGAAGTTTGGAAGCTCCAAGCCGCTGTGTCCCAGCATCATCATCAGCGCTATGCACTTCGGACCTTTGGCACACCTATTGTTCCTACCAAGGCTCAGGAAGTAGTGATGCGTCGATCTGGAAACGCGACGGTGACAAACGGAGCCCCTCTCATCATCTGCTTCGAGGATCTTTTTCTGAGGACCCCTTCATCTTCAGTTGAGAAGGACTACAGCTTTAATGCTGTTCAGCTGGAAGAAGTGGCTCACCGGGTCTGGCGTGGACAGGGATTCATGTAGTAACTCTTCGTTTAACACGAGTCCTGATGTTTTATCTCAGCTACTCTTTAGATAACCATCCCAATCCTATTTTTGCTTCATTCTTTACTAGAGGCAACTGCAACCCGACATAGTCTTCGTAAGCCATCATGTTTCCATTTACTCCGGGATAATATTTAAGCTGCATATGCCCCATAAGCCATTATTGGTTGGATCTATTGTATGTGGGTCGTAAAAGCTTAAATGTTGCCCCATCGACTCCGATTGGCCACTCTCTTTGCAGCGGGGCATCGCAAACCAATCCCGTTTACGGTATTGATCAGCCTCGGGGATCGCCATGAAAGTCGGGGATCGCCAGTCTACGTACCCCAAAGGAACTCCATCTGTGGTCTGCACGGGTACCTGGCATGGAAGCCGGATTCTAGCCTGGAAATTTCTAAAAACAGCGTGGGATTTTGACGAATTGCACTCGCGTAAGGTGAAGATCACATACTAACTAGGGGTGTAGAATTGACGATCTTTATGCGGTACTTGCTATAAATTCATCGTGATTTACTCTCCTTACTGTACATTACATCCATCCATCCATTCTTTCCTTATTTCCTACACTCTTTCTATTGCTTCACTCGCTTCACAATGAGAATCTCCAAGTCCCTCCTTTCAGCCACCACGGCACTCCTCGTCTCAACGGTCACTGCAACCTGCGACACGGCCGCCCTCAACACCACCACTGGGTTCTACCCCATCACCGAAGAAGGCACAACCATCTTCGACGTCGCCAAAGCCACCAAACGCGGCGTCTGCGACATCGCCCGCAGCAACCTCATGGCCGACGTCACCATCCCCCCTTCCGTCGGCGAATCAATCTACATCCCCGCCCAAGTCTGCACCCCAGACAACGACACCTGCATTCTGAAACCGAACAACACCACACGCACCTGCATCAATGGCGGGCCTCGTCTCTACTACACCGTCACCGGGGACACCTACGAGCGCGTCGCTCTCCGACTCAACATCACCACCGAGTCCGTCATGAAGTACCAGCATGGGAATTACAACGCCACCGATGTGCTAGAGACCGGCCAATTCCTGAAGATCCCGCAGTGCTCGCCCAGTCAGTGTATCATCCAGCCGTACTCGTTCAAGTATGGTGTGTACAAGGATTTGGCGGAGAAATACGGTACCACGGTCGGCCAGATTATGATGCTCAGCCCGACGTACAACTATAGCAGTCTGGTGCATACGTCTGGTGGAACTCCCCCGCCGATTGATTTGGCGATTAACTGTACTGCGCTCTCGAATAATGTTACTATTCTGGCTTAGTTGGCTGCATATTTGTTTTATGGGATGTGTATAAGCTATGGCCGAGTGGCAGTTCATCTGCCTGTTCGTGTATCCACCAACATCGCATAAAGCATATACTTGATCAATATCTTCCCAGCATTCCACTAAAATACAACGATGGCTACTGAAGCGTGACGTTTGCCAAGATAACCTTATCTTCTAAGCTCCTGTCTCCACTTCAGCCGCATTTCGCTGTCATTGGGACTTAATCGGGCAAGTCGTTTCATAGCAAATGTAATCTATTAATAGGCAATACCATATTTCTGCTACTGGATTAGCTACTGTGAGGTGTTTACTAATGTAAAATTGGTATTGGTAAACGATTTATACAGAACAGCGATATGCTTGTTTGAGAAACTATGCAAAACGAAGAAATTATGGATTTTTCTTTACACCTGATGGCTGATCGCTGACATGCACCTAACATCGTCTAAAAATTAATATACAAACCATTGAAGATTAAATACAATCAGCAACTCCAGTAACAATCCATATCTTTATCACCACTCATACCCCTCACGTCACAGTGAGGAATTTTCTTTTTATCAGTATCATCCTTAGTATTCCACGTGATACCTCCCGCGGAAAAGATAACAGGATAATTGATGTCTGTCCCTACTACGTCAAATGATAGCATCATCAGAAGGTTGTAAGGCAGTACACTGTGGACATAGAAAGTTCCCCCAAGGTGTACTGTGGTATCGTTGGCACCAATATGCTTGCCCCCTCCATCGTAGATAGTTGCGTTCATGTCAGCATGCTCACCGGCAGAACCTACTTGTTCGGTCAGGTGTATGCGACATGTTCCTGTCTGGTATGTAGAAGTCGTTCCTCTGGTTTCGGTTGTTGTGGATGGTAGCTCTTGGACTGTATCTGTATTGGCTGATGATGGGGTGGACGATGTGCTTGTATAAGATATAGATGTCTCAGCATCTGTCTTGCCAGAAAGGGTGGATGCTTTCGAGGTCGTTGTGGGCGAGACCGGAGATGAAGTACGAGAAGCTATAGATGTCGATGTTGATCTTGAACGTGCAGTAGCAAAAGTAGTGGCGGATATAGATATAGATGCAGAGGCACTGTTGGTAGTCGTGGCTTTCATATAGTCTTCCAGATCACCATCAAGCTGTCCATAATCCTCAATATCCGGGTTCAGCCAGCTACATGCAGAGATGGTGGAAGTCGTTGTTGTAGGTACTGCAGTGCATCCCTCGACTGTAGAGCATGTTTTTGTGAAGCATGCCAAGGAAGTTCCGGTTGTGCTGCAGATAGATGTGCAATCGGTCACTGTAGAGGTTGCAGTACAAGAGGTCGACTGTGTGGTTGTTTGGGTTGTGGGCATTTCAGAAGAGATAGATGAAGTCTCAGATGTCTGGGTAGTGTCTTCCTCTGTAGCTGACTTTTCAGTTGTTGTCCTTTTGCTGTCATCATCATCATCATTGCCCCCTTTTTCTCCGTCCCCATTATCACCACCATCACCACTATCTGTCTGTGGCGGAGAAGTACAGCTCCCAACTGAAATCCCAAGGACCTTAATACAAGGAAAACTGAACGGGGGCAACTTTGGAAATTGAGGAAAATTGTACTTCACGTTGGGTACGACAGGCGCATCATGAAGGATAAAGCCACCCACAAGAGGTAGAACGGTTGCATGACCGCCTTCGGTTGTCGTGATCCATCCATTATCAGTCTGTGTACCCTCTGCCTGTATGATTGAAAAGCCTGTTGGCGCTGTTGTGATGGTTGCTGATAGGGACTCGGGGCCTGGGGTGTATGGGCTTGTAAGGTCCGCAGGTGCTGTGTCTATTGTATCCGCTGTTAATGTACCTTGAGCTGTTGCGGAATATTCATCCGTCGAAGATGGGGGCTCTGTAGTGCCTGGTCTAGAGGCTATATGGCTGACATGGTTGCTTGTGCTTGTGCTTGCTTGCTTTATGGGCGTCGATGAACGCATGGTACTCGATGAACCCCCTGATGATGGAGATCTAGACGGCCCTTGAGCGGGGGTAACAGGGTTCTGATGGCTCTCAGGAGTCTTATTTGGCTGGGCACGGGAGCTGGATCTGGAGCTTGATGGCAAGGAAACGGTGATAGATGCCGTTTCAGATGTACTCGAAGGACTTGATCCCACTTGCAAAGGGCTGGATGAAAATGGTCTCCCCGCGACTGATGAAGGAATTTGAATAGATGTTGGTGAGATAAGAAGACTCGAAGAAAGTGTGTGAAACGGGGATAAGGGAACGGAGGGTGTTCCAAATATCAGTGAAGTGCTTGAGATAGCCATTGTTATCTGGTAAAAGTATGAAAACGGTGCTGTCCCAGGACTTTACTTGGAGTAAACAGTAAAGCTTTATATAACTAGAATGCATAATGGGCATAGGGCTTTTCTTGGTTATGTCTGCCTTGCAACTACTTGAAATGCCACATAGCCACAAAATAAAAGATCACACTGTGTTAACAGCTACCTAGTAAAACAGCCAACAACAGCCCAATGCTCATAATTCAAGTTATCACTGCCCTGCGAGGCAGACTTCACAAGGATAATATGTACATGTTGGAAAATCGCTTAGATTTGGGCGGTAATAACCAGGGAAACGAAGTACAGACAGCTCAGCCACCATCTAAACAGTTGTGAATGCATTGAAGCATTGAGACTTTTTTTTTTTTTTTTTTTTTTTTTTTTTTTTTTTTTTTTTTTTTTTTTTTTTTTCATAGGATGTCCGATCATTCCAATCGAAGTGAGTACATCCTAGTCGATTGAGTCAGTGGAGGTATCGTATCGTACACGATAAGAGTTGATTCACCTTGAAGTTTAGTCCGACAAAACGGACATCTACCTCAACCTCACCGGGGTTCAACTCGGATTCCTGCGGAACCGGGCTCCAGTGAAATGTTTCTAGGTGTCCAATACGCTCCATTGCCAGCCTTCGGGGGAGTTGCACAGGCGGGGTGTATGTAAGTTGTTTCGTGAGAGATGTCGGGATGGTTCGACTGGTATATATGACACCTTTGTCTAGGGCGAACTCATACTCCTGACGTGGATTCGCTAGCTCTCTTGCCTGTTGGATTCGTTCATGAACAGTCACCAAAGTGTTGGCTGTTATTGTATCGAACCCGTCCATCTCGAGGACAGATATATCCATCGATGCTTCCCATCGAAGGGAGCGAGAAAATCCATAGACGATGCCAAATAGAGGGTCTGCAGAAGACAATGTAACTGAGTGCGTCACCCATAGAAATCTACAGTCACTGCTCTGAAGCAGAAACTGTTGAAGAGCCGTGAAACTTTCTCCAGAGAGGTCGCGCAAGTAGGGGCTTTCAAAATCCAGTAGCGAGACGACAATCTGACCACAGGGCGGCGAATCATCAAGCGTTGTGTAATTGATGGTGTATCCCTTTTGCCGAAATGACTCCTCTACCTCTGAGATCCACCCGTCTTCCCCCAATTTGCGGGTCAAAAGGGTAACTTCTTTGCGAATAGTGGGTGGAGGAGAGGGTCTGCAGACAAGGGAGAAGCTTTCGGCGAGTTTACGTTCTCGCTCACTCTCCATTGTTTCGATCTCAGTAAACCCGACAGCACGCAGCTCTTGGTCCCATCGATCTGGCGAAACACAAGGTGAATCGATACGTTTATCATTTTCACCTACCCACCAACCGGAAAGCGACCCCTAACCAGACGAGAATATTGTCAGTGCAGGGCTTTGTCAAGCGATTCAGAACAACTTACCATTATATATGGAACGAAATGCGTCTCTATATATTCGATTTAGCGACAGCCTTTTCTTGGTTTGTCTTCAAAGGGTACTCACCAATGGAAGGTTCGTGGAGCAGTAAACGGCCATCGCTAGCTAGCAGCGAGTGGACGTGTTGCAATGTCTCGCGAAGACTAGGGGTGGCGTGGAAAACCTGTGACAAGGTCAATCTTATTCCTCGGCTCTACCCTGGGAAGTTGTAAGATGGGTCTCTCTTACATTAGTAGCAATGATGATATCAAAGCTACGCGGCTCGAATCCTTGCTCGCTGGGATCACGACTAATATCCAAGGTTCGGTATTCTATATTCTCCTCCCGGTGCAGGCGGTCCCGAGCAGCAGGGAAAAAGCCTGCCGAGATGTCGGTGAAAACGTACTGAGAGTATAGACGTGTACCAGCGCTGGATTTGAGGGATGACAGTGCTGTCCGTGTTGTCGCCCCTGTTCCAGCACCAACCTCGAGTATACGCAGGGCTGGGTTGGCATGACCGAGCAGCTGTAGGAGCGGACCCCAATCACCGTTGGGCATATCATAATCCTCATGGAATCGTCCAAGCAGATTCTTTTCCATCAGAACATCCAGTGGTGAGGAATCCCCGTTCATCATGCTTTGACAATTGTCGAACACAGTCCTCATGCACTGAAGAAAGATAGGACGGCATACATCGTCTGGCAGTTGATCCATTTGCTCGTGAATGGTCTCCAGTGCGCCCAATGGGTCTATGGTCATCAAGCTGTCTACCGGAGAGGGTGGGTTTGATAGATCATCTGATTGCTGGCTCACCAGGGCCTCAATGGTTTTCATCAACAGGCAGAGGTGAGGGTCATTGCCTGGGTGTAAATCTCGAACCCAGTGTGACAGGGGTATGAGACTGGGGTGCATTCCAGTATGAATCATATCCGCCTCCCGAATAAGCCACGCTTTCCATTTCATGAGGTGGGCTTGTTGTGATTCAAGATTTGCGATTCGGACAGCCGTGGCACGAACGTACAGCAGACTTAGAAGCCCGGACATGCGGGTCACGTTGAAGTTATCGACGTAATCTGATTTTAGGAATTTGCTGGGAGACAATAAATCGATATCTGGCTGCCAACTGATTCTCGCAGCCAGATGGTCATCGTCATCGGATGCCCTGGGCTCCCCTGGTCCCGTCAGGACGGCACCCTTCAACCTGAGGATTGTCTGACCCTCCGATGTACCGATAGCGCTGGCACATTGTTCCTTTAGGGCAACGGGTTGACTCTGGACCGCGAAGATGGTGTGAGAAGATGGTCCTTTGCTCACCACTAGACTTTCAATTCTAGAGGGAACGAATGCCCCACCGAGTTTGTGAAGCATGCCCTTCAATGCGGCAATCCCAATCAACTGCAAGCACTGGTCGATCGTGGTTGGATGGAGGGTATAGCGGCTATCGTACTGCTCCTCGGGATCACAGACACTCCCTACCGCAGCAGGATGTATGGGATCAGCGGTGATGTTCCGCAGTCCTTGAAAGTGTGGGCCGTACTGCAGGCCAGCACGCTCGACTGATCGATACCACCGATTTGATTCGACCTGTCGGGCGAAAGGGTGTATCTGGGTTTGTTTCGGCTCGATGGAATGGTCCGTTCCAGCACGCACAATACCCTTGCAACACTCGGTCCATGAAAGGCTATCATACGCAGACACTGAAAAGTGATACCAGCCCGAGTCGATACCATCTGCCAGCTCAATGGGCTTCAAACTGGTGATAATTTCCGTTGCAGCCTCACTGGTCAACAACAGGGGGGACAGAAAGTGTACGTTTTGAACAGAATAACAGTTAGAATCAGGGACCATCTGCTGGACGGCTTCACCAGCCATAGCAATGTATCCGGCCCCCGGGAATATCACGTCCCCCTGAAGCACATGATCCGACAGCCATGGAACATCATTCAAATGTAACAGGTTCCGCCAGGCGGGTTCGAAGGAGGTTGATTCCATCACCCGCGATCCTAGAAGCTCGTGGTGGGGGAGTGACCGCAGGCGCCAGTCCCGGCAAGCGCGGCCTTCAGACCAGTACCGTTGATCATGCTTCCACGGATATCTTGGAAGATCGGTGAGAAGACGGCCGTGACTAATGCACCTGGATAGATTCATGGGCTACCCGGCCACGAAGACATGGCCTGCAGTTGCGAGAAGCAATGATTTGGCGTCTTCATCGTTGCGAGCGAGCGTAGGAATATACTCCGGGGGCGATTGTGGAGAAATCTTCTGGAAGATCTGCCGAAGGGGCGCCGATAAGGCGGAATGGGGGCCAATCTCCACAAAGACAGGATGAGACGACGAACCACTCCTTATGATGGTTTCAACAGCACCGGAAAAGAGAACAGGAGACTCCAGGTTCCTGCGCCAATATGCCGCTCCCAGTTCAGAAGGGTCGGTGATGATGTTGCCTGTCACCGTGGATGACAATGGCCGCATCGACCGGCCATGGTTGATGTGGTGGGCGATAGCACTTTCATACCGAGCTCCAATGGGTTCCATGTGGGCTGATGCTTTTATCAGTGGAGCGAAAGGAACATTGCTATGGAAGATCACAACTCACCGGAATGGTAGGCGATCCGGACACGCAGTCGGCGGCAGAAGGTTTCAGGAAGCGACGCCTTGATCTTCTCGAGTACCTGTTCCATTTTCTCCTTGTCTCCGGAAAGGGTCACATTCTGGGGACTGTTCTCACACGCCACGACGACCCCTTCGGTCTCGATGAGAAATGGCATCACTGCCTCTCGGGACAACCCGATTGCTGCCATGGCACCAGACCCTTCTTGCAACTTGGCCAGCTTCCCGCGGTAGTATGCCACGATGATGGCTGATTTGAGCGTGATTGCCCCTGCGGCATAGGCTGCGGCAATCTCGCCACTGGAATGGCCAACCACAGCCTCAGGCTGGATGCCCCAGTGGACGAACACTTGGACTAGGCCCAGTTGGAGTGCAGTGCACAGCGGCTGCGCCAATTCTACCTCATTAACCCGTGAGAGTCCATCATCTCGCGCGAGCTCCTCTGTTCGAAAAGTTAGTTAGAGACGGCAAAGACAATATTAAATGATTCAGAACCTTTGAGCGACCATTCAGGAGGGTCTTCCAGGCTTTGCAATACTTCGTCCATGACCTCAATTGCTGCCCGGAAGCGTGGCTCGGTGTTAAGCAAGGATTTGCCCATTCCAGGCCATTGGGCACCCTGTCCGGTGAAGACATAGGTTACTGTCGGAGGCGCTGGACTGGCGGTGGATTGTAAGGTCTGGAAGTCAGATGGCTGAACTGGGGTATTGGGGTGGACGACAGCGAATGCACGCTTGCCGAGGTGTTCACGCCTCACCCCCAAGGTGTATGCGACATCTTGCAGGGATGATGATCGTTGCTTTTGGATATATCCCGTGAGCTGAGATATCTTCATTTGCAGGCTTGCACCATCATAAGCCGAGAGCACGAGCAGTTGGGGCTCGGCCGGGGCTACGTGAGATGCGTAATCCAAACCAAAAGAGCTGGAGGAGTCCAGGATGACATGCGCGTTAGAACCCCCAATGCCAAAAGAGTTGACGCTCACACGTTCCTGACGGTCCTCTGGCCACACCGTTGGCTTGGTTGGAACATGCAGTTTGGTCTCGGTGAAGTGGAGGCGAGGGTTAGGGGTGTTGAAATTTGCATTGGGAGGAATTACACGGTTCTCCAGGGCCAAGACGGCTTTGATGAGACTATTCAGCCCACTGGCGCCTTCCGCATGGCCACAATTGGGTTTTACCTGATCGGCATCTAGTATTAGCTCAGGGAACACGCATAGCCAGTTGGATGGGGCTGACAGACACCACCAATGGCCACCCCAGCGCCATCAAACACCTTGCCTACGACGGTGGCCTCAATCGAATCGCCGGCAGTGGTGCCCGTTCCGTGGCATTCAAAAAAACCTGTCTGGCGAATATCATCAATCTGCGCCCGCCTGTATGCGCTTCGAATGAGCGACTCCTGTGCAGCTGGATTGGGATTGGTCATGGCTGCTGTTTTGCCATCTGAATTCGCGGCTGTAGCCCGGATAATCGCACGTATCTTATCCTGGTCTCTCAGCGCGTCGCTGAGTCGTTTGATATATACCGCATTGATTGCTTCTCCACGCCCATACCCGTCTGCCGTCGCATCAAAGGTTTTTGACTTCCCACTTGGTGAAAGAACCGTGTTCTGATGCATGGCGCCCGTCATCGTCGGCGTCCAGATCAGGTTGCTGCCAGCCACAATGGCGGCCGAGCATTGCCCGGACCGCAGCCCTTGGCAGGCCTCGTGAAGACTGGTAAGTGACGCAGAGCAGGCCGTCTGGATGGTCATACTACAGATCTAATCAGCGCTGTCTGTTTACCGCGTCGGAAAGGCTTGGTACCTGGGCCCGCAGAAATCAAATTCATATGAGATACGATTTGCCAAAGCAAACCCCCCGGTGCCCATGGCATGGAACCGGGTTGCCCGAGGCTCCAATCCCTTGAGTTTCATCTCCAGCCAATCTTCCCCAAACGTACCCACGTAACATCCAACCTTCTTGCCGCGCCAGCCAGTTTCGCCTGCATTTTCTAGACACTCCCAGACCACCTCGAGAAGAAGCCGCTGTTGAGGGTCCATTTCGCTCGCCTCTTTTGCCCCGATCGAGAAGAACGGGGCATCGAAACAAGCAGGATCCTCCTGAAGGAAGTAGCCGCTGGTGGGTGCTGAAGACGGGTCAAAAAAGGCATCAGCATTATATCGGCTGGGGGGAACGGGTCCATGGCCATCTCGTCTATTCACAAGCATTTCCCAGAATTCAGCGGTTGTGTGAACTTGGCCGGGCAACCTCAGACCCATGCCAACAATGGCGATTGGCTCATCGGATGTAGATTCGCTGTCCCGGCAAAGGGTACGAGAGGAGTGCGGAGGGTCCATGTTCAGGTCGATTGAGAATCAAATTGGATGACAGAGTGTTTAGAGATGTTTCGTGTTGCAGAAGTTTAGAAAGACCGTCTAGCAAAGAGTGTTTCGTGATGGTTCTCATTGAGGTAGTCAGCCTTTATCTATACTTGTATCCGGGTTACGGCGAGGAATTTTACTTTGCTCCTTCCGTCATAGCAGCGGTCAGATCCTCTCAAACGAGCCAAGTACTCAATTTAGTCTTTTATCAATCAGGTAGGGACCATGTTCTAATGTAACAGTAACGAGATAATTTCATATCAGTGTCAATCTGGTTATTGTCACCCAAGCAATGTTGTACAACCCCCTGGAAGTGAGGGCGCGTGGGTAATTCTTTTCCGAAGAATGCCAGTGAAAACCACTCGATGTATGACCAGTGAGGCAGCTGCCAGCAGTGGCTAAGGCCTCAGGATCATCGTGTCGTCGTGCGGATTAAGGGGAGATCTGTGCAGAAAGCTTAACTCCTTACAGGGCTGATTTATGGCAGGGTGTAGCTGAGGGTAGAGATAGTTACTAATTCTCTGGCTCCCTTACATAAAGCTAAAATAGGGCGAAAGAATTTAGACCAAAATTATCTGGCATCCCCTATATACTATATACCTGTAGTATGCCTGGGTAGAAAGTAAATCTTATTTTACATTAACCTAAAGAGGAATCTATGGGTTAAAATGACAAATAAGTGTGATGACCTCATGTTACATGCCTGGCTGGCATACTGAGATGTTTATTATATAAACCTAACCACATCTAGTTAGTAGTATTACTTAAATAAGTCAGTCTAATAAAATTAGGTTTTTATGGGTAAATCGGCCCCAACCTTGCCCCAGTGCAACGCTACTAGATATATATCTAGGGAATACTTATATTGACTAGGCTCTAGATATAGTTTATAATAATAGATAAAACTACTATATTTTTAGATCATGATAAAAGTTATCTTAGAATGTATAGATCTTGGAGCTAGAAGTCTCTAACCCCCCTAAAGGTTCCTCGATTCTGACTTGGCAGGCCCACCCAGAACTTCTCTACCCCCTGAACTACAAGCGGTCAGTATGCAAGCAAGGGAATGCGGGAAAGTCTATGCACAAAGCAGAATGACCTGTTATCGGTCAGAATATCGGTGTGAATACTGGCAGTATATGCCCGAGGTTGGTGAGTAAAAGGTAAAGACACCCCTAAATAACCCCCATCTCATCTTGACCTCCTACTCGAACGAGACAGGGAAAAAACGAAAGTAGACAGCTTCATGGCCAATGCTTCAACTGACTGGTACCGAGACCAAGTGGTCCTGTTGACTGGGGGTACAGGAAATCTCGGGGCATGTCTCCTGTACAAGCTGGCACTGCAACTGCCGACGAGAAAGATCTTCGTCCTGGCTCGTGGATCGGTGCGAAGAGCAGTCGGAAAGTTGGAGGCATCCATTCCTGATCACGTCGATGATATTCTGGACACTTCTCGAGTCCATTTTGTGGTGGGAGAGACCACCCAGCCGGGGCTGGGACTGAAGCCGACTGACCTCCAACGACTCCAAGACGAGGTGACGGTGGCCATCAACGCGGCGGCGGATATCTCCCTGCAGCAGCCATTAGCGGGGAGCGTCCGAGTGAATTGTGTGGCTCATCTCAATTTCGTCACGCTCCTCCGCAGCTTCACTCGACTCGCGGCTTTTCTCCATGTCTCCTCGACCTCGGTCAACAGCTTTCTCCCCAGCGGCAAGGTCGAGGAGCGCATCTACCCGCTGTCTGAAAACGAGCCTGATCCGAAAGAGATCCTATCGACCATCCAGACGACCGGTCAGTCGTCCTGGGGCGATCGGTTCATAGCCCCATACTCGCTGAGCAAATACCTGGCCGAGCGACTAATCCTGCACCAGGCAGACGACCTCCCCTTCTCCGTGTTGATTGTGCGTCCAGCAGTAATCGCCCCGGCAATCCGTCATCCCTATCCCCTCTATGGAAGCAGCGAAGGGCTTCCCTTACACTCGACCTTGCAAGTGCTGGTCACCAGTCCGGATTATGGGCTGGCCCGACTGGCCGAAGAGATTGATCCCGAGACGGTCGTTGATGAGGTGCCGGTCGACCTGGTCGCAAGCACGTGCCTGGGTCACCTGAGCGCACGCACAACGGGGGTCGTCCATGCCTCTGGGCTGCTCTACGCCCCACTGACCGTGGGCGATCTGGCCACTGCATTGATCCAGCACACTCCGCCCAGCGTGGCCGACAAAGTTCTCGGGGGGCATCTCCCTGCGGAAGATCTGGCTCCTCACTTTTTTCATCTTGCTACACAATATGCAGGGAAGTGGGAGAATAGCTGTCTGCGTTCGGAGCCTCTGAAAAGCGTGTGTGGCCCGCTCGGCCTCAGCCTGCACGGCCATGATTCCGAGGCCTTTATGAATCTGCGCTGGAAAACCATGACCAAGGTTTCCGATCAGATTGACAAGATCCCTATCCCTCCTGGCTCATGAGCTGTTTAGCTGTCAACCTTTGGGTGGTCTGTTTCATGTTTCGTACAGATGCTCTAGTGATAACTCCGATGGCAAGACGATACGATTCATCCACTTCTACTATCCGGTAACCTAAGACTGCGTAGCTAAGAATACATAGTGGATTGTCTTAGAGGGCTAGTTTTTGATCTGTAGTGCAGTGGTATATCACCAGAACCCTCTATGATAGCTATGACAAGGCCGTCTACTAAGGCAACCACCAGTCTCATAGTGGCATATACTGTGCGACACCATATGAAATAAGGTTCCATGAATCATTCCTCGTATACCTACTGTTGCAATCCTAGGAATGTGGAAATGACCTGTCAACCAGATGGTGCATTGATCCTGCTGTGCTCTTTCCCTTCATTCCTCTCCATACTTACTGTGTAACACGGAAGCATGGCACCCGCAGCAAGGGGAAAAGGGAGATTGTGTCTTCCCCTTTTTGGTAATCGGTTTCATCATGGCTATTTGATGTGGTTGTACAAAAGGGGTAGATGTGATGTCGGATATACACCTGGCCCTATTCGTCTGTGTCCATGACTAGAAATTATCCACATATCCTCGAGCATGGTAATCTAGACTCCATGTTACTTGCTTGTCAGTTCAATCCTATTGAAAATGGCGCTCGTTCTTGCGATCCCCGCTATTTCAGCCCTGGTTGCTGCCCTCTGGCTGCTACTCTAAGCCATCACCACCCGCTACCAGCAAAGCAAACTATCCAGACAGTGGAATTGCGAGCCCTGCAGCCATATACCCGGGGGAGTGTTTGGTCTCCATGCATTCAGCCTCATCAAAAAAGCCCAGCGGGAGGGCCAGGTGGCACACACCCTCCGCGAGTATCACCTGCGCTACGGGAATACCATCAATTCCAACGTTCTTGGCCGGAATTTGATCTTCACCGTGGACTCGGAGAATATACAGGCCATGCTGAGCAACCACTTCTCGAGCTTCGGTCTCTCCACACATCGGTATGCTCAGTATTCGCCCTTTCTGGGTGAAGGCATCTTTACCTCTGACGGGCAAGCCTGGGAGCAGACCCGTAAGCTGCTCCGGCCGCAATTTGCAAAGGACGCCATGCCGTCCCTGCAGTGGTTTGATTATCACTTTCAGCATCTGATGCAGAACTTTGCATCTGATGGCCAGCCGTTTGATATCCAGGAGATCTTTTTCCGTCTCTCTCTGGACACTGCTACGGGGTTTCTTTTCGGAGAGTCCGTCGAGTCTCTTGTTTCGGCGTCGCAGAACAGAACGGGCATCCCGGAGAATTCCGTGCGAGGAAAGTCACCGGGTTTCGCCGAGGCTTTTGACCACGCCCAGCACATCTGCTTCCAGCGCAGTGCCATGTTGGAGTTCTATCCGCTCATCAACCCAAGTAGCTTCCGGACGGCCACTGCGGTCGTGCATCGGTTCATCAATTACTACGTGAACAAGGCACTGCAATGTGGGAAAGAAAAGGACATCGAAAAAGACCCCGACGGGCGATACCACTTCCTCTGTGCGCTTGCCGGCCACACGGACGATCCGAAGGTGCTGAGAGATCGGCTGGTGAATGTGCTGCTTGCCAGTCGCGACGATGTTGGCAGCCTGCTCAGTTCCATCTTCTATCCGCTGGCTCGCGACCAGGTCGCCTGGCAGAAGCTCAAGGACGAGGTGACTGCCGCAGTCAGCGGTGCTGGTGGAGTGACGCTGAAGCAGATTCAGAATCTCCCTTATCTCCAGGGGTTGGTTCAGGAGGTAGGCAATGCACTCTGATTCCACCAGCAATACCTGCTAACATGATGCAGCATTACGGCTCTTCCCCCCTGTCCCCTTGAACGCTCGCTTCCCCCTTCACGACACCACACTTCCAGTCGGAGGCGGTCCCGACGACCAATCCCCGGTCTTTGTTCGCAAAGGCCAAGTCGTGGGCTACTCAGTCTGGTCTCTCCACCGACGCCCTGATCTCTGGGGCCCAGACGCAGAGAGCTTCCGGCCGGAGAGGTGGCAGGGACGCAAGCAGACAGTCGCGGACTTTCTTCCCTTTAATTCCGGGCCACGCGTCTGTCCAGGCCGTAAGTTTCTTCCCTCTCATCTACCTTTCTAATGCCGATGCTGATCCCGACAGAGCAATTTGCCGTGGTTCAAGTCAGCCACATGATATTCCGGGCAGTGCAACATTTGGATCGCGTCGAGAATGCCGACCTAGGACCCGACCTGGGAATGCATCCTCGCATGCGCCAGACTCTGACCATGTCTCATGAGAACGGGGTGTGTGTGCGTGTGTATCGATCAAGTGCTTAGGTACCTATGGTCTTTGTTTATCCAATAGCTATTCTGTCCGGACGCGGATATAATACAGAGAGCGTTTAACTAAGCATATATATTAACGAAATATACCAAATATACCCGGGTGAGCTCCCAAGTTGGCAAACAGGTATAACTAAATCTAAACCAGCATTTTCCAGTGTCCGAAATATTGCCCTGCAAGTAATTTAATACGGTTACCTGAAAACGAATTGAAAATGTCGCAGAGCATTGACCTACAGCCAAAGGAAACAAAGCTAGGAGGGGATCATTCGATGATCTCAAAATCAAAAGAAACCGCCAGTCCTTATGAACTCATTTACCTGATTGCTGCTGTCATGTTCGGGAGTAGGCGGGGCACTACAATAGTGGGGTACGTGAGTGAGCTTGTGTAGATATCATCACACCCCACCTGACAGCAAGCTGAATAGAACGGATAGCCACATGTATGACATATACAAATCGAATCCAGTAGATAGAGGTGAGCTGAGCTGAAAACGGCCACAGTTCTCCACTCAATCCCGCTGAATTACACAACAACTCATCAAACTATGACGATGTCATGCATGAACATGAGTGGTTTCTGGGCCAGTCAGATTGAGAATTGGGTTTGGATGGATCTACGAACCATTCACGTACATTGTGTCATCTGGTGTGGGGAATTCTGCATATGCAACTGTAAACGTATTCAGTAACGATCGTTGTTCTGTCAGCTAGCCACATTGTGCTCCCCCTGTGAGGCATTCACGCATGATTCAGGTTGGGTATCCTGATGGAAGAGAGTTTTGTGAATCTTATAGTGTGAAGTTAAGTGTATAGAATGGATGTATTAATGAGTATCTGGTATGTAGAGCAGAATACAGCTGTAGATATCAGACTACTGTCTGTGGTGTAGGGTGTGATGCTAACGGCAACCAGGCGAGATGCGACCTTGGGAGAGTGAAGAGGGATGACATGATCTGCAACCTCCACCAGACACAATTCCGGATGGAAATCCAAGGATGCTGGTCTGGCCACCCAGCGTCTCTGGCCACGATGAGCTGGCTTGTGGGTGGGGAGACCAACGAGGTGTCAAATCATTAGCACTCCAAGGCGCACCAGACAAGGATGAGAACCGGATAGACAAGAAGAGGCGAGCTGAAACCGAACAAGCCGGGAGAGAACGAGTTGGGCTGAGCAGGTTTGGAACCATCGAATATTCGGAATCTTGTTATAAAAATCCCCGTCGATTCCAGTCTTCCTTTCTTTTTTTTTCTTTTCTTTTTCTTTCCAGAGCCGAGAAAGCCCAGAAAGGAAAGAAGCAGATTCACCATGGCTGTCCGAGCTCATGCGAACAACGGTGAAGACCAAATCACCAACCAAAATGTGATCAATAATTATTTCATCGGCCCACGGGCTAGCAATATGCCCGATTTCAGAGCAAACATCAACACTGTCCTCGATGAACTGCTCGAAACCAGGCTGGATTATTACCCCGAAGACAACGTACCCTCACCCTCTCTCTGATCTGCTTGCCGGGATTAGCTGACCTTTTGCCAGAACCAAAAATTTATCACGAAGGAGGTCAGAAGATCAAAGGAGTTCCAAAGGGTCAGAGACAATTTCGGTGATGTTGTCCGAAAGGTTGCCCAGCTCCTGGGAGAGCATTCGGTGCCTTTCTGGTCTCCACGTTATGAAGCCCACATGTGCACCGACTTGACCATGCCTTCCCTGTTGGGATACTTCATGACGATGTTGTACAACCCCAACAACGTCGCCCTTGAAGCCAGTCCCATGACTACCGTCGCGGAATTGTTGGTCGGACAGCAACTTTGTGGGCTGTTTGGATACAGAACTCCTCACACTCCTGATCCGAAAGGAAAGAGAAAGCAAGAGGAGCCCTTGTCATGGGGTCATATTACCTGCGATGGCACTGTTGCCAATCTGGAATCCATTTGGGTTGGTACGTGCTAGCCTTCCAATATCTCTCGGATCAAGCACTAAGAACGTGACCAGCGCGAAACCTGAAGTTTTACCCCTTGAATCTTTATCTAGCCATCAAATATGGAAAGCTCAAGTTCATCGCGGATAAATTCGAAGTGGAAACCCTTACAGATGGGAAAAAGAAGTTTGCAAGTCTGAAAACCTGGGATCTTCTCAACCTGAAGCCCAAGACTGTTCTTGATCTGCCAGATCTGCTGTTCGAGAACTATGGAATTTCGAGTGACTTCCTCAAGGATGCTTTGGAGCCCTATAACATCCAGTCAGCCGGTCTAATGCATAAGGAGACCGACGAGGAAAACAGCACTCCCGAGACCAAGGAGATCGACAAGTTTTACAGAAGCCTTAAACCGATGAAATTCATTCTGTCAAAGACTCGCCATTACTCCTGGCCGAAGGGACTTGGTATGTAATTCCTCGAATATGCCTGTTTCACCGAAGCAAAGCTAACTGCCACAGCAATTGCCGGCCTGGGCTCTGGAAATCTCCTAGAAGTCGAGGTTGATGACGATGCCCACATTGACCTTGTGCAGCTAGAAGAGAAGCTTGAATATTGCCTTGACAAAAAGATCCCCGTGTATGCGGTTGTCGCCATCATTGGCTCCACTGAAGAAGGAGCTGTCGACCGACTGTCGAAGATTATCGATCTTAGGGAAAAGTTTCAGAAGCGAGGTCTTTCTTTCATCGTTCACGCTGACGCTGCCTGGGGAGGCTACTTTGCCACCATGCTACACCGGAGTCGAGATGGCAGACCTGAACAGGGCGGTGCCGACAGAGGTGCTGTGCCCGCACTGACCCTGCGAAAGGAGACTGAAGAAGACCTTATAGCTCTTCAGCATGCGGATTCAATCACGGTTGACCCGCACAAGGCTGGATATGTCCCATATCCGGCAGGAAGCCTGGTGTACAAAGACGGACGGATGAGGTATCTGGTGACATGGTCCAGTCCCTATTTGTCTCAGGGATCGTCGGAGAACATCGGTGTCTATGGTGTAGAGGGAAGGTGCGTTCTTCCGCAACTGCCCCAGGTAATCAGCCGATTGCTAACCATGAACTGCAGTAAACCTGGAGCTGCTGCCATGTCGACTTGGCTTTCTAACCAGACAATCGGCTTGGATCCAGATGGATATGGAAAGCTGCTTGGTCAAGCTTCTTTCACGAGTTCCAGAGTAGGTTCCTCATGAGTAAAAACACTGATTCTCTGCTGACGGTCTGGCAGCTGTCTGTGCGCTATGCAGTTCACAGTAACTTCAAACAAGGAGAGCGCAAGCCCTTCATCTGCGTCCCTCTCAACAGACTGCCCAAGGAGAGAGAAGGATTCGCCTTCAATTCTGACGAAGTTGAAGGAGACCGTGACGAGATTCGAAAAAAGATTCTCGGTAAAGACAACGAGGTCCTCATGAAGCACCCTGACGCAATGAAGTTGCTGCGTGAACTGGGCTCGGACACGAACATCAACGCCTTTTCCCTCAACTTCTACCTCAAGAAAGAGAAAGATGAGAAGGAAGAGAACACAAAGCTTAACACCGACGTCGAGGAAGCCAACTACTTGATGAAGAGAGTGGTCGACAGACTTTCAATCACCACTGCCAACACCGACCCAACAAAGATCCCCGTCTACTTGACCTCCACAAAGTTCGAGCAGGAACTGTACGGGAAGTGCGCAAAGAACTTTATGAAGAGACTGGGCCTCGCAGAGGTCGACGAGGATCTTTTTGTCCTGCGCAACGTGGTTATGAGCCCCTTTCCCACCAAGCATTACTTCATCGGGAAGCTCTGGGATGAATTCGAGAAGGTCGTTAACCAAGAAGTCAGAAGAGTCAGGACTCGCAACGATCCGGCCGCTCACAAGGCTCAGTTCCTGTTGCAGGGCACAGACAAGATCTTCCTGGTCTTGCAGACTTCCTTCCATACTGCTACTCTCCGGCAGCAGCTCATTGTTCGTGCAGACCTCGATGATGAGCTCAAGCAGAAGTATGTCAAGCTCAAGGGGGACAACCCAGAAACTTCTCTCCTCTTGGTGTCCCGAGGCAAGATCAATCTTAAGGAAGGTATTGAAAAAATTGAGAGTCTTCCTGGCAAGACTTTCGAATTCGGGGCAGAGATCTTCAAAAAGGCAGATTATCTCAACAACCCAGAATACTATCGTCACGACCCAGATCTATATCTCCGCAACTTGAACGCATACCGTCATGATCCTAAACAATTCCTTCGCAACCTAGACGAATATATTCAGAACACCGAAGAATATCTTCGCCACCCAGAAAAATATGTTCACAACCCAGATGACTTCTCTCAAGTCCTAGAAGAACAAATCGAGGACGTAGGAGAATATCTTCACAACCTGAAGGAATATTTCGCCAAGCTGAAGGACCCCAAGGAGTATGTTCCCCCTATGTTGCTGAACCTTGAATAATACTAATGTCACTTTTGAAGGCCCACCAAATCCTTGGCCCAAGGAAAGGTCAAGATCACAAGGGACGGCATTATCAAGAGTCGACCTTTGAACTCGATCAACCGAGACCTTAAATATCCCCAGGAAAACATGCCTTTCTACCTTTACGGTACTCCCGACCACGTGCACATCTCCCACGTGCTTGTTCGAGCCCCCAACATCGCCCTCTCCGCCGCAAACGTCAAATTATCAATCTTCGCCGGCGTGGAAGACCGTCTGAGTGCTGACGATCTCTCCAAGGGATTGATCCTCGGCCTGACCGAAAAGCCAGAAGTCGCCATGCAGCCATTCTCAGGACAGGTCTCTGCGACAGCCGAATCGCCCGACGAGACCTTCTTTTTCCGCAGTGGAAAGAAGTTCCAAGTCAATATCTGGCGGGACAAGAAGGCAAGCAACGCCGCGGGCCCCGGACTGTTGAACGACCTGGGAGATCCCTTCTGGAGCGGAACATTGACTCTAGGCAACGATGTAGACTATGATTCTGAATGGCCGAACAAGGATCCGGCGGCTACTCAGAAGGTCGATGCTGATCGCTGGCAGACGGAGCTGCGCAGTATTGGCAACGTTCTCAATGCCGGATACGTGGACCCCCCGGCTGAATAGACGGCGACGCATGTGATGTACTATTCAGCTCACTCATTTCTTGAACTTGATTATACTACAAATATTAAACACTATGTTGAAAAGTATCGCATACCCAACTACTAACCTGCTGGCGTGTGACTTCTTATTTTTACAAAAGAGGTGTGGTATTATATAAAAATGTTGAATAAATTTACGTTCATTATTGACAATACAGAGAGGTAGAGCTGTAGGTGTGTCAAAGTGTAATAGGGAAAGTGGAATTAAGTAAAAATGCTACTGTGTAAGTCATAAACGAATTTAACGGCTGGTTAGATTCTGTGAACCTTGAGTTGGCATTAATTCAGACACCTCTTTCGTCCAGCGGTATTTCATTGTGAATAGATTCAACCTGCCTTATACGGGTGAAAATGGGTTCGGTTCTCATTCCTCAATCAATCTGCTCCCTCCTACTCATTATCCACGGAAAGCGCACTCCAAAGCGAGATAATGCAGATGCGGAGATATATGTACGTTCGTGACTGACTATTGTATCATTGGGATATAGTTTCTTGGCTTCCATTGCCATAGAGACTGAGTCCACCGTCAATGATTTATTCGGTATGGCTTGTGGTGTCAATGAGCCATGTGTCAGTGCGGCTCTTTTTCCTACTGGCTTTTTTGCTGGTTCTAACACCTTAAGTTCAGCTTCGGCAAGGATTCCGTGCTTTTTCAACTTACTTCGCGGGTCAAGTTGCGTATGGGAAAGCATGTCGCCAAGTGCTTCCTTATCTGCAACTGCATTCAGCCTGCTAGCCATGTTTTTGGATTCGAGGAGACCGATAAAACATATTGCCGGGTGGTCCGGCAGGAATGCCCACAGCCTGACGGGCATTGAAACAAGCACGAGGGTCGATGATGCGTGATATAATGCTTCAACCTTGATGTCAGTGACCCCAAAGGGATGGTCTTTTAGCCATCGTAGCAGCAACGGCTGGATATCATCCAATGTCTCATGAAAGAGGAAAGACACCAGTGCTCTTCCGCCATGATTGAATAATAGACTCATATCACTGTCCGCCCCATGTCCTAGACAATCTTCTGGGCCTTGGTGCTCTCTGTCATATAGGGCTGTCAGCTCAATAGGGGTCCTTCCCATGACAACCACATGAATCGGCTCGATAGGGAGCTTTTTTCGCATTTCGCAACGTAGCTCGAAGATGCTGAAGCCAGAGCGTCCGAAAATTTGGTACATTTGTTGTAATTCCCGTATTAATATTTTTGTAAATGTGAAATCGCCTGTAGCATAAGTTGTGCCCCCAGCTCGACAAGCTGCCAAAATCTCTTTCGTGTCCGTACGGGGCGCTTTAGCTGCTGCCCCTGCATGGCAGCAGTCCAGAATCATCAGGACGTCTCCTCGATAACGCTCAAACAACCAAGGTTGAATATTGGACCAGTTCAACTCTGCTGGTGTGTCGCGTTCAGTGCTAATATCTCGTATTAGTTTAGACGCCGAGACATTAACTGGATTTTGTGTACTTACGCTGTCCAAATAATGTCACCTCTGTCATCCATGTCTCCGTGGCCACTATAATATACAATCAAGAGGCCATCTCGACCTCCACATTCGACCTTGAAGTCCAACACGTGCCTCAGCAGTTTGTCTTCGGCATTTGAATCTAGATCAATTTTATAGTTGTCAAAGATGTAGAATTTGAACTGGTCTTCAAGGATTTCCCGAAGCTTTCTGATCTCGGCATCCCATTCCAGATTCGTGACGTTCCAGCTTAGCAGCAGGACGCTCACTGCCTTGTAAGGGCCCCGTCGTCCGCCTCCTTTTAATGCGCGGTTAATCCCCTGCACCTCTGAAGAGTGAATAGACAGATGAGATGAACCGATAGTAGATGGGAAAGTAGCGGAGCCAAGGCAATTCTGGCAGACAGGAGACGGCCTCAAAGATGTCGGTACCGTTGAAAAGCTTCGTGAGGCACCCGACTCTGAAGGAGAAGATGATATTGAAGGATCCATTGTTGAGTAATTTAAAACAATAACTTTGAATTAGACGAAGAACCCTTCATCAAATAGTTTGTACTGAGAAGTATTGCCTTTAAATATTGTATGAAGTAGGGTGGCAGAGACTAAAATGTTCTAGGCCCTGGATGTCATAAGGTTCGAAGCTTTTTACTAGTGTATGAAATAGAACAACTCCAACTCTAGGCACCATGTTGTGGATGATTATGTTTGAGTTTGCTCATTATGACTACTTCTTAGTTCTATAAATACGGGTATTGGTCGCAGCCTCATGTTCCAGATTTCATATTTTATGGCACTTACACCACCAAAGCAAGGTTCCAGAGATTTAGTATAACGTAGAACAGTCTATGATAGATAAATTTACAGCAGGTGAGGATTTAGCAATAATTCGCAACTTACTTGCAGACATCCATTAAAATAAATGCTTCCAAAGCTAATGTAAATCAATCATTTATCCCTCGACCGTTTGCTTTCTTTGGAATAAAAATAACGATAATTGTAGGCCCGTGTTTCTTTCTTTGCCATATTAGGGTCGAATCGGTATCCTTGAGATTATGGCAAGCGATCGAGGCTCATTTAAAGCAGCATGCACATAATATCTCACCTATATTTTACCTATCGATTGGTGCAATAAATGGCGCCTCCAAATGTGAAACTATATCTAGCAGTCTACCAGCAGACTGTAATCCGGTTACTTTAAATAATAAAAAATTTTATATGATGAATATGTTTTGCACAATTGGAAAAGCTCTTTCCCAATATACGATTTTATAATTTTAAGCGAATTCACAGCCGTGTCTTCTAGTATATACTAAACTCTCAGGCGATTATTTGCGCCTTAATGTATGCTTACTGTAAAAGGGAAAACTTCGGTGTTTAGGAAGATAAATATCACATTTGTAGCCCCTGACATCTCATCATACCAAAAAAGAAATGAAAAGAAAAATCAGCTATTCATATCCCTTATTCATGTTTCTGGGCCGAAAAGTGAAAACCCATTATCCATAATTCCTATTAAGTGATCAGTCTGCTGCAATTGCAATAATTAGCAGGAAAATATCCAGTCTCTTGGTTAGGAGAACAGTGCATATTATGCTATTCCTTCTTGGTCAAAATTGAAGTCAAAATGCTGTTTAGACCAGCTTAGGGATCGCGGAAGGCCAAAGCAACGTCTTCTCCTTCCCTTCAGCGGAGTAGTAATGTCCTTCTGAACGGACTCCAAAAGGGTTTGAGATATCTACTTCTGATCCTTTAACCAAAGGTTTCAAGGGTTTCTGCACGGGATTAATACATTCCAAATGATACTAGAGGCTGATCCATACCTCAGGCTGAAGTAATGCCCTGATCATCCGGAATTCATACTCCAACCCACCCACAAACATAACCTTGCTCTGCTGCCTCTAAATTAGCTGTCCTGGTCATTATAAGTTTTTTAGGAGGCCTACTTGCCTGCTTCAATTCCTCATCAAACCCAAAACCTCTCCAGCTACCTATATTTGTCGACTTGCCCCAGAATCCACCTCCAGTAAGCTTGCCCATACTCCAAGCCTCTGCTGAGACACCAATGCACATCTCTTTTTCTCTGCCATCCCATTGTGTAATAGAGCATCGATTTGTGGTATAAAGCTCGGTGATTATGAAGAAATTCCGTCGTTTGAGCTCGGGACCGAAGGTCTCGTCTGCGAGGAGCTTCGGGGCATTATCTTTGCACCATTTATGAAACGGTTCCTTATGTGGGAAAGCCTCATATGTTACAGGGTCCGCCATAAGAACAGCCCCATAACCACTTTTTTTCGCAAACTTTAGGCTTACTCCGGCAGTCAATCCTGGGACACCTGGGATGCTAACCTCTGTCAGTAATATCTTATGTTAATAGAAGGTCTTCCGGCGTACGCGACACTAGTGTCTTCTTCAATGCCACATGACTTAACCGAGCTCCCAAATATAGGTCCCCAGCGTTGAGCTTCACTCATACTTGCTACTGGCAACTCTGCCAGCGGTTTATACTTACTATGATCGGAATCGATGGTCATAATATCAAATATGTCTCTCCACCTGCCGTTATTGTCGAAGTAGCCACAATGCCCCAGTTTAAGGCCTTCGCTATCGGGGTGATACATGGGGTCGCCGATAGAGAGATTTTCCAACGATTGGATATAACGCTGGTGAGCCTTTGGGGACATATCTGCACCGCTTTTTGGCTGATCTTTAACAGTTTATTATCAAATCTCGGGAGGAATGAGCTATTGAATAATGGGTTCATTTGAGAATCGCTACATATCATAGAAGCTCTTAAATCATAATAAATCACTAATCCCCAGATCCACATATACTAACTAGGTAAGTTTGGACTTTCCTGGAGAACCAACCGAGCTTTGGCATTCCTTGGTTTTTGAGGGCTAGGAGGTTCGAAAGCATTAGTAAGGAATTTTGTTTAAACTAGAGATGACTTTAGACTGTGACAAACAGTGAAGCTTCAAGATGTTCTAGACCGTCTCGAACCTTAAAACATCAAGTATGTGGCCCAGAAATGCGTTGATCTGTATACATTCTAGCCTGAGCCATAGATATATACTAAAATAGAAGGAATATAGTAACTATTAGCTGGTAAAATAAAGTAAGAATATATAAGGAGAATAAGATCATGGGTCAAAGCACAGCCTGGAGGGGAGCAGACACAACCCAGGTTACCTGCTATCCTAGGTATATGGATGAGTAGTGGTCCTTTTCCCTATCAAGAATCCCAGAATTCATGAATACAGTGATCGTAAGGGTCAATGTGAGGTGATATAAGGAAACAGAGGAACCATAACCTGAAAGCGAAAAAAAAAAAATTTAAAGTTTTAGTCCACACTAAATTAGGTTATTCCATGTCAACCGTTGTTCTAGATTTAGTGGATCTAAGAACAATGACAATTTAGTGGTTATTAAAATGAAGTGGCTTAATTTTCTACATTTTATATTCAAGTGTGCATGGGCTCAGCGTAGCTGTAAGTTATATAAGCTTATAACCTATAGTTAATATTTAGTTAATGGAGTGAACTATTATTGAGGAGTACTGATCATTATGAGGTTTATGCTAAGTATTAAAGTTTATACCTTAACCATAGCTGAATTGTGAGCCTGGTTAACTTTATATAAAGATAATATATATAACTAGTAAGCTATAAATTATAGTAAAATATAAAAGATATATAGTAATACCCTTCTCCTAGTTAGTTTTATATCTCTGAGTCTAATATAATGGTAGTACTAAAACTATAATATATAGAAAGTAATTAGCTAACTTTATAAAAAATTTAAATAGTTATAGCAGGATTATGTATTTATAAAAATCCTAAGATATGAGGTAACTTTAGCTCTGCTATTTAAGTTTATATAACTCCATTTAATGATGGGACAGTTAGCAGACAGCTGAAAATGGCTACTTTGGCTGCCACACTACAACAGGCCGCCAGTTCAGTGGTCATCCAGATGCAATCAGGCAAGATAGCCTTAGCCAAATACCTCGGATAAAGTAGAACGGTTGAAACAGAGACCTGGCATATCCTCATGCCTTGCCACCGGCATGCAGAAGCCCGGCTCAGTACGCTGAAGCAGGGTCCTCACAGATGCTGGAGTACTGGGCCTACCTTACTCAGCCCAGCGCGTAGCTAAGTTCATGTTGAAAACGGGCTCCTCAGTCAATTTAGAGCCTTGTCAGCGACATACTGGCTCAGTACTAATAATGGCTAAGTGCTGGCCTGTAAGAAAAGAGCTGAGCAGCAAGCTTGCAGCTGGATATAAAGTCTAAGACAGAGGTATTCTATCTCAGAGTGCAACTGGTTAAATTAATATCTTCAACGCCTATAAGATGGGAAGAAATAGTTGTTAAATGCATAACTTATGCTATTTTCTTTCTCCGATATTAGTGACTAATTATCAGTGAGTGACTGTATTCTACATTATGGCACCAACCCAGAATTAGCACACGTGTAAATGGAATGCCGGACTATCTCTCTGCCTTATACTTAACATTATCTAAAGAAGTAGAGATCTTCCATTTTATGATATTAAAAGTCACTTTCAGTTTTTGTTAGAGTAGGATATTTTAAAAATGCGGCAGTGATCCTAAGGAGTACTCAGTACCGTAGAATAGATGAAGAATGGTAGCTTAAACTAAGGACAGATCAGCTCATCCCCCCCGTCAAGATTGGACAGCTTCAGGGAATTATCTAAATAGGGTGAAGGTAGGGTGGCAAGGGCAGTAAACCCACTTAAATAAAATAAAAAGAGAAAAACATACAACAGCAGGGATTCGCTGGTGGTCACCCACCCAACTACTAACCTGCCGGCGTGTGGCTTAAGTACGGCTGAGCGGACGGGAAGCCCTGTTCTCCACACCCTGTGGTCGTATGTACTTGAGGCTATACAAGAGAGGGTTATATAGAAGAAAAAATCAAAATCTATACCAGGTGGCTCTTAGAGGGTAAGGCTGCTTCTTAGTTATATAACTAAGGGCATCCTAGGTAAGTAAAAAATAGATAAGTAAGCTTACTTAGTACATAAATAACTGAGTAAGGTACTATTATCTAGTAGTAAGTGTCTCAACTCAGTCTAAGCCCTGACTGGATGCAGGCCCGTGGTCCCCATAAGAATTCAAGTTCTTCCGTCAAATTACAACACAGCAGATCAGCCCATTTTATCACAAACAAGCCTTACCAAGCTTTCTCGCCCCACTTGGCCTGATCCGATTGGGAGAATCAGCATATGTAATTGCGACATGTAAACCCCTCTAGCCGAGGGGATGGAGGGGTAACTGGAAGGTACCTTGGATTTGCTCGCCAGAAATTATAAATAGACCCCTTTCCCCCATCCTCGGTTCTTTCCCCTAACAAAGTCAACTCTCACATCTCTCAAAATGGGTTTCTTCGACAGTATGTTCCAGTTCCATCGTCGCTCATCCCATCCCCACCAGTCTAACCTATCACAGTCTTCAGCGGCCACAACGACGAATACCAGCAGCTCAACCCCCAGGATGAGGGCCACAAGGCCAAGTTCTCCCACGAGCTGATCGCCGGCGCTGCCTCGTTTGAGGCGGCCAAGGCCTACGAGAAGCACGTTGCAGCCAACGGTACGTTTACATCATTACTAAATGCTTTCTTTCTTGTTTTTTTTTTCTCCCTGCGGTCGCTAATGCATCACAGGCAAGCCTGCCAGCCACGCCGAAGCCAAGGAGATCTTTGCCGGTCTCGCCGGTGCCTTCGTCGACCGTGAAGTTGAAACCAAGGGTTTGGATTTTGTGGACAAGGAGAGGGCTAAGCGCCAGGCTGAGGAGAACTTTACCGAGGAGGCTTACAACTCTTACTAGAGTCTGTGATGCATGTGGTTATGCTGTATAGATAGCTCTGCAGCGTAGATTGAAATACCTTTGGATATAAATGTCTATACTGTCCCACCTTGTTGCACAATATCCCTGGTACCGTGTGCATATCACCGTACATAACAACAAGCCATCTGACTTAGCAACAATAGCAGTCTATTATTTTATACTGAGAAATAACAATAAAGAATAATAAGAGAGATTGCTGTATAACTATATTCTAAATAGAGTAAATATAGCTTACTGGGTCATAAAAAAGTTTAGATTCTAAAAATCATTTTAGACCTATATCATGTCACGGTCTCGCCAAACAGGGAGCATTCTGGTGGTTAATACCGCTGCATCACAGCAAAAGACTAGTATTCTAAGACGCCAGTCATAGATCTTCTATATAATCTTAACAAGGTTGTCACTCTATAGTCGATGCTCCAGCATAATCCTATGTAGCCACATTGCTGCTGCGGATGGTAGCTTCCAGCGGAAACACAGAGCTCTCAACTGTCACGCCTGCATAGACCCGGTCAAATCGCTCCTTCAGATCTTTGGCCTTGGTCCACTCATACTCCGGATCACGCAGCCAAAGCCGGAGAAGGTGGCGTCTACAGACTAGCGTTAGCGCCCCCGGCTAGAAACCAGTATCTGTGTACTTACTGCTTCTCTCTGGAGTCAGTGAATGCCCCTCTGGCATGGAGAATGCTCAAGTTATTGGCAAACTGAATGTCGCCTTTGTGGAATTCCAGCGCAATAGCGTGTTTTTCGGCGGTAAAATGAACGGCATCTAGGGCCTCTGCTTGGGCTTCGGTCAGCGGTGGGATGCTGGCAGACCGCTTGCAGTCCAGATAGCCAGTCAGGTTTCTTCGCGAGTACTGGATGATTAGTCGCTCGGGGTCGGCCTCGGTAGCAGGCTGGTAGTATAGGAGGGGTCGCAGCTTGTACACGTCGCCAGACGGGGCAAAACTAGACAAACATGGTATTGTTAGCTCTGTCCGTGGGGTATGCTTTGGACAGCAGGGTAACTCACTCGTCAAAAGGCCAAGGCTGGGAGAGAGTCTTGATCAAATCAGGGCGCGTGGCAACGAGCACGTTATACACATGGCAGGTACTCGCAAGATAGCTCTCGCCACCCGATTCGCCCTCATTCAGACAGAACAAGGCAATGACATCACCCGCATCAGTGTGGAACACTTGTTTGTCGGCGGTTACCACAGGACCGGGGATGTCCTTGGAGTGGCAGGATTGACTCAGATCCTTCACATGTGCAACAAGGACATCAGCCGGCTTGCCTTGCCATTTGCTGTCTTGGCGACCACGGATCGGTGCGACATGGGATGAGATGCCGGTGTAGATGATCACGTTCTCTTCGCGGTCGTAGTTGTCCACGGGAAGACCGCGGATGACTTTGAAACCGTGGCCATTATGGACCTCGTTGGAGATTTCGCGCAACGCAGCATGCAAGTTGGGCAAGGGGAAGCTGTCTGGCGAGATCTCGCCCATTGGCTTGCTTAATGCTGTTGGAAGTCGACATTAGTATGAATATAGCTATGGGATGGATGAAGCATACACTTGAAATGTGCAAGAGCATTGTTGATCTCCTCCAGGTCCTCGGCAGTGAGATGGTAATTCCAGTTGTAATGGCTGGCTAATGTATTGCCTTCCCAGACAAGGTCACCAGACAAACGGGCAGGAAAGCCCTTTGGGAGGTGCTGATCCAGCTTTTCGGTTTCTTGTCTGCGTTTGCCGCGCGCCAGATACTTGTCGTAGTCGGGCATGTACCCAAAGTCAGGGTATCCGTTGGGATATAGAACAGTCATGTTTGGGTTTATTTCGTTGCTTGGACAAAGATAGAGACGTATAGACATGCTAGATAACTTGCAGCTTTTGTATTCAAACCGTACCTTGAATGTGACACTAACAGAAATAACGATGTCGCAATCGTACATTCAAATCGCGAGATCCCTTCTAGGCCATGAACCCCACTATTCCTTTCCTCTTATTCCCTTCTGCTTTCCAACAATGAATAGTTGAGTCTTGGAGTATCATCGGAGTGAGTGTCGGAGTCGGCGTCAACAACAGAGACGCTCAGCCGAAAGTGGGTCCAGTCGGGATGGCGCAATAATGCCATCGGGGAAGATTCAATTATCTTTTACTGTAAAACAACGACAACTACTCCCGGTGTTTATACACGATGCCGACTCCGACATCCAGGTCCGGGAAGCTTCCTGCCTGTGACCCATGTCGGACAATGAAGCTGCGATGCGACCATGAGAGACCGGTGTGTTCGAGGTGCAGGCAGAGAGACCGGGCTGCGGACTGTGCATACCGGCTGAGACCGTTCAAGAGGCCGTTTGGTCGGAGTCTAGGCAAGCAGAAGCAAGTGGTCCAGCGTGGCTGTTGTGGGGCGTCATATTAACAAGAGGCCAGAGAAGATGAAGCAAGATCTGTTGCGACAAGTGCAGAGGTTTCCAGAGATCTGGCGATTCCCTCCGTGCAGTATCCCAACCCGGGCTATTTAGGTTCTTCCAGCCATACGACACTCTTCGACCAGCTACGGCTTCAACGGGATACAGAAGGTGCTTCGAGTCGAGAGACGGAACCTAGCCCCAGTGTCCAGACCGACCATGCGGTTGATGACACCTGCATCTCCAGGGGCGCAGAGCTCATCCTCGAACTGCACCGCGTATCGACGATGCAGCCATTCGCCCTCCTCTTCAAGAAATGGGTGGCCACAGGAACCAATCTCGCGTTGGCCGGCCCCTTTACCGGCCCTTGTGCATCCGCCGTGGCCCACACTCTGTCCCGATGCGACGGAGCACTCGCATCCGCAGCGGCCATTAGCAGAAACCTCTTTGCCCGTTCCCGTTGCCCTATATCCGTCAGTCCCGAAACCACATTCGATGAATACTGCGCTCACTTTGCTGGACAAAACGCTCGATGGGAAACGGTAGGCCTATTCTTCACTGCTGTTTGTCGAGCCTCTGTAGACTTGGCCTATGCAGAACCGCTGTATGGCTCGGAGCAACAACGTCGTAAGATTCAAAAACTGACCCTCTCGTACTCGGACCGATGTTTGGATCTCTGTCTACCGCTGGACTGTATGAATGATCTACAGCTTGTTCTCCAGTATGAGAATTTCATCTCTCACTCGCAGGTGGACGGGGATCAGAGCTATCTCTCGTGGCGCAAACTGGGAGACGTCGCAGCCTCCCTTTTCGCTCTGGGCTACCACCAACAACAAACCGAATCCTTCAGCGCGGCCCCTCCCTTCCTTCGTGACCTTCGCCAAACCGCCTTTTGTCGGACGTATTCGGCGGATAAAAATGTGTCGATCTTTCTCGGCAGGCCACCTCGCATCGTTCGCAAGTTCTGTCACTTTTGTCTTCCCGGGAACCATGTCCAGCCCGCCCAGCAAGCTACCCGTAAGCCAGCTGCCTGGGATCCTGCTGAAAAGCCGGATTTCATCTCGGACTCGCGGTGGGCTGGTCTCTGCGCGATCTTGAAGGAGGATATATTGGATCTGTTCGCCGAGGAGAACTCGGAGGAAAGGGTCCGACGGGCACGGTACTCCTGATTGTTCCTGTTCTTCTGAGCTAGCTTATTACTGACACAGTGTCCAGGCTCATAGAGACCGATGCTCATGCTCAATGGACTGCTGTCCCCCAAAGCTATCGCCTCGAGGGCAGTCTCAAGGCCTGTGACCGGCGACCAGTGGAGCGCGACTTCATGGTCAATATGAAGCTCAATTATCTCCACGTCCAATTCCTTCTGCGGCTGGCTTTGGTCCGCCCGATGATCACCGACCCCGACCCGGAATTGTTCACGATTTCCATGGACATGCTTAGCCTTGTCATCGAGACGATTATGCTCAAGGAGCAGATGATCAATTCTGGCACATCACTAGTCTGGAAGGTAAGTCAGAAATCCCAAGACTTTCATTGGAATGACTGAACTGATGTTATAGGTCGCATACTACGGCTTGTCAGCGGCGGGGCTGATCTCCCTCACTCTTGTAAACCAATCCTTCGCCACAGACACCCTCCAGACGAGCATGTCCAAGGTATTCCAGGACCTGAGCATTCTCGTGGGAGAGATTGAACGTGGCACGTTGGTTTATATTGACTCGCCGAATTATGCCCTGCTGGCTCGTGCCACTCAAACCATCAAGAGTCTTCTCGACCGCATGATGTTCCCTCCACACAACATGACAACAGCTTCAGGCCATCAACCAGCTCTGGTAGAGTCCGAGCAGATGGCCCCCTGGGATGATGGAACTTGGGGTCTATGCGACCACTATCTCCAGGATTTTGAAATCAACTTCTGGCATAATCTTGCTAGCCATCCTTTTCTTAATCATTGATGCGATCAGTTCGTTGTCTACATCGAGTGAAGATATAATTGTCCATCCAAGACCAACACGTACCACGGAATACACCATGACACAAATCAAGTACAAACAACGAAGACATAGATTGCTCTTTTCCAGCAATCATCAAAAGACCAACTGTAAAAAAGACATTAAATAAGTCCAAGCATGCCGCCTGGGGACGCACTACACCAGCCCCCATAGCTCGTGCTATGCTGGACGTCAGAACACCAAACAGGTCTAGAATCGAAAATTTACATTAAATAAGCCGTCTTATACGTAGCGTTATCCTGTTATTGTGTGCTGGGAGGATCGTTTCAACTGCGTCGGAGTCGGGGTCTCGGGCTGCTGATGACGCCGAGCGGGAGAAGCGAATTGCTGCTCACTTGCCCGATCCTTCAGTGGAACTACATATGTCTGCAACCCGTCTGTATAGGGCCAATTGCTCATCGATTGTCAAAATGGCACAATATCGCCTTTGATCCTTTTGTGGCTCATTAAATAGCGCACTGAGCATCCCCCAGATGGGCATGCCCATAAAGAAGACACCATCATGGCCGAAATCACCTCGCCCTCACTCAGTCATCCCCAGATCCTGCTAGCCGTCCTCTGCACCACATATGATGCCAGTTGATGTGGAGAAACAGCCGCCTTTGGACAGGTCCACGTCCTTCTCATCCCTTCCCCATGCCCAAATCGACAATGCCAACCAACTGGCGCGCAAGCTATCCCCTCGGCAGGTCCAGATGATCGCGATCGGTGGCACGATAGGGACAGGCTTGTATCTCGGAACTGGGAGGGCGTTGGCGACCGGCGGTCCGGCATCGATGCTTCTGGCCTATACGATCTGCGGTGGCATTGTCTTCATCACCATGCTCAGCCTGGGAGAGATGGTGGCATTTATTCCGGTGACAGGCTCATTCTGTACATTTGCGGGGTATGCTTAATCCTCGCCATAGTGAGATCCAAGCTTGGTCTAATGGTCTTAGACGTTTTGTGGACGATGCTCTGGGATTCGCACTGACATGGAACTACTGGGCCAATGATGCAATATCGACGGCTTCGGATGTTATAGCACTGCAGATTCTGCTGGAATACTGGACTGAGCATTGCCCTGGCTGGGCGCTCAGCCTGATCTGCCTTGCGTTTGTCCTTTGTCTGAATCTCTGCTCTGTGAGGGTCTATGGAGAGGCAAGTAATTGACGTGAATCTGCATACGTGAGATAGATCCTAACCAACACCTAGACCGAGTACTGGCTGTGTCTGCTCAAGGTTGTGACCATTATAGTAAGCCCCTGGTGCCGTATTCCTCCCGTGCGCTGCAGGTCTAATGAATCTTAGGTCTTTATTATTGTCGGCATTGTCGTCAACTGTGGCGCCAACTCCCAACGTACCTATTTCGGCGACAAATACTTCTACGTGGGTGATGCCCCCTTCGTGGGTGGGATCGGGGGCTTTGCCTCTGTTTTTGTCACGGCGTCTTTTGCATAGTAAGACCGATTTCACTACAACACAGATTTCTATCGCTAACTGTTGGGCAGCGGTGGAACAGAAAATGTGGCAGTCACTGCTGGTGAGACCCAGGACCCAGCGCGGACCTATCCCCGCATCATCCGGAATGTCTTCTGGCGGATCCTCCTTTTCTACGTCGTGTCAATCATCATAATCGGGCTCGACGTACCATACAACCATCCCGGGCTTTCTAGCGAAAACTCCTCCACCAGCCCCTTTACAATAGTCTTTGCAGAAGCCGGCAGCGCCGTGGCAGGCAGTTTCATCAACGCCGTGATCATGACCAGCGCCATCTCGGCCGCCAACCACGCCCTCTTCGCGGGCTCCCGCCTTCTCTACACCCTGGCGAGAGAAGGATACGCCCCCCGCCAACTAAGTCTCACCAACCGCTTCCGCGTTCCCTGGGTAGCGGTTCTCATCACCGTAACCATCAGCGCGCTCTGCTTCGGCGCCAGCAAAATCGGCACCGGCCAGCTCTGGTCGTGGCTGCAGAATCTAGTCGGCGTTTCCAACCAGCTTTCCTGGGTGTGCATCTGCCTCGCCTCCCTCCGATTCCGCGCCGCCATCCGTCGTCAGAATCTCGAGCATCTCCTCCCGTTCAAGAACTTCACGTATCCCCTCGGCCCGGTGCTGGCGGTCGGGTTGAACATCTTCCTCGTCCTCATTCAGGGCTGGTCGTGCTTTAGCCCGGAGTTCGATGTGGTTGGTTTCGTGTCGTTCTATATTGAGATTCCGATCATGTTGGGGATGTTCTTTGGCTGGAAGATCTTTAAAAAGACCAAATTCGTTTCTTTGGATGAGATGGATTTGGTTACGGATCGGTACCAGCTTGAGACTGGGGGGACTTCACCAGACTCGCGTGGCTTTGAGGCTGTGAAGAGCAGCAGTCTTGGTAATATTCCAGGAATGGGGATGTTAAAGAAGGTCGGGAACTGGATATTTTGAAGGTCTAGCATATACAGATGTACATACATATAAACTTTAAACCATCTACGACGCTGCCGATGAAAGTAAACTAGACCCTTCGCATGTTATCAAGTATAACATAATAATAGATATCCTTGACGATGGCTACTGGCCATGGAAATCTAATCAATGTCCAATCGGCGCGAAACTTGACCCCGAAGTCCCACTATCCATGATGGCACAATCTAGGATCAGTAATATCACGATTAAATAAAGACAAGAGCGCCGCTCGCAGTAACAGGGAGCAGACATAATCTTATTCCTTCGCCCAGTCCACTCGGAAGTATGCTTCTGATAAGTGCCTAGGAATCTAATTTTATTCACATATTTTGCGTCTACCTTTCCAGACAAGTATATGTCCGTTCCAGACACTCTTTTACTTGTTTTCGAGCCCCTTGAACGATCTCTGCCGCAGTAGTCTCCTGATTGATCATTCCTACTCCTGTGCCGGCCCATATCGTACTCATCTCCTGCACAGGTACCTTCTCAGGGCTCTGCATCGCCCGGAAAAGCCCTGCGCGGATAGATTGAATGCCAACCCCGTCTCTGTATTCCTCATAAGCTGCATTCCGGAGACACCTCCCATCGTATGTCTGGGGCCAGATATTCGGGCCCCAGATCTCATCAAACACACGAGACCTGGCAGTCGCTTCCCCTCCGTCGGTGGCGTCAAAAATAGCCTCTCGATAGAAAGACGGGATGTCCGCCTCACGCGCTGCGAGAAATCGCGTCCCCATCACCACGCCACTAGCGCCCAATGTCAAGGCTGCTGCTGTGCCTCTCCCATCTGTAATTCCCCCCGCTGCAACGAGGGGAATGTCACCCAACCCCCGCTCCTGAAACGCATCCACCACCTCGGGGAGAAGTGAAATCAGACTAGCCCCGTCTCGATGCCCATGGCCTCCAGCATCGCTGCCCTGGAGTACAATCGCGTCTGGCTGACACTCGCGAGCGATGTCGATTGCGGCCGTGACACTGCCCAGCTGGATCCAGACCTTTGTCTGCGGGGAACTCCGACGGATGCGTTCCGTCCATTGCTTGAACTCGTGTGTCGCGGCAAACGAAAGCCACGCCACGGCGGGTTTGTACTCGGTGAAAAGCTCCATCCATGCTGTCATCGGAGAGCCAAATGCAATCACCCCCAGCCCAATTGGGAGGACGTCGGGGTTGGGGAGCCCAGCCATGATATCTTGCAGTTCGTGGCGGGCGGTATGCAGATGCTCAGACAGTTTGTCTAGGTCGTCCATATATCCAATCTGGCCTAGTCCTCCAGCTCGAGTCACTGCGACTGCAAGGGCGCTGGTGGCGATACCGCTCATGGGTGCGTTCGCGATGAGAGGCGATTGAGTCCATGGAAGTAAGCGTCTGGATGTGCGTAGAGCCATGATTCACTGATCTATAGATATATATTTGAGGAAGTTGGACAGGCGAATGAAGAATATATACTCCAACCTGTAGGTGACATAATCAACCGTTACTTGATACGGACTTTGATTCGGGCTTTGATACGGGCTTAGATCGCGGAGTTTGAAAGTCTCAGCCAACTTGACGAAGAATGGGACTCGATGCTGAATGATCATCTAAACTATGCTTGGTGGTTTATTATCATTTTGATTATTTATACGGAATTATATCTCATTAACTAGTACATGCGACCACAGGTGTGGAGAACAAGGCTTCCCGCTCAGCTGACTTAATGTGGCTTCTACCAAGATAGAGTATGGAATATAATTGTTGGATAGGATATTCTTGTGAGGATAAAAGTCTTCGAGTTAAATATGCATGATAGAAATGTAGTTGGGTGTCTATCCAGTACTACTGTAAGGGTTATGCATGGGTAGTGGTCTATAGTGGTATAGACTGGCATGCAAGATTTTAATGTGGGACTTTTTAGAGAGTTTTGATATGAAAGGAAACCCAGAGAGTGATGTATCTTAATAGTTTGATACACTACAGGTGTCACTCAATCAAGTATAACCCCCTTGCCTCCATCAAACCGGCTGTCATGGGCATATACCATAGGGGAAACAGCCATAATTTCTTCCAGCAGGATATCGACTCAGCATACTACTACAGCTGAACAATGCTCGTATGGCATATTGTATCACCTAAACTGTCTGGCAACATATCTTGTGTCACTAGTAGTCTTAATCAGCTGAATATGTTCATAAATGGCATTTGGCCTATATGGCTCTTATGCTTCAAGTAAAACTTAAGCTCTTGGAAGTTTTAATATAATAATAACACCAGACCACTTGCTCTTATTCTTTTCAGGGATATGCCCTCTATATCTGCCGGTACAAGTTGGATGACGGTTGGTCTCACGTGATATATCAAGCCCTGATTCTTTCAAGGCCTGAGCGTCGTGTCAAATGGTGTTCCTAAGCTATTTCCAATGGCAAGAATAATGAATTTTAGAGAAACCGCAATTATGGATGGAGAAAGGCTTAGTTTATGTCAAGGCAGTTGCTGTGGAGGGGTTTTGCTTCCTATTTCATATGCTATCTTTTTCTGTCTATTTACTGTAGAAAACTGACCACAGATAACAGGCGTAAATAACAGGTAAGAGGATATATCGTCTAGAAGCCCATAATTCCATTGAGCTCTTGCTCGAGCTTCTTCGATTTCTCGTCCTTGCCGTTGAGTTTCACAGGACTCAGGCCCATGGCCACTTTACCAGCTTCGGATTGGATGTTGGCAACTGTTGCTCTGTCAGAGAACTGGGACTCTCCAAGTCCACCCGGGAAGTCTGGTGGCGGAACGCCCTTTAAGAACGCCTCGCGCTGCTGTGCGATATATTGCTGTGTAATGTTAGCACAAGGTAGGCGTTATAGCATGGACAACTTACCGCATTGTTAGGGGTTAATGGAACGGATGGAATGTAAAACACACAAGCGTCAATGTCGCCTGTGTTTTCCATTTCCGTACCGTGGATGGTATCGGCACTCCAGAACACTATCATATACATCAGCTTCGTCCAGTTTATTGAATATCGAATAGCGACAGCTTACCGGTGTCACCTGGCTCAACAGTGGGATAGGGGATCATGGTTTCGGCGAGTCTCAGATGGGGATGGTGGTCGGGGGTATGCTCTTGGGCAGTTCCTGGATTGGCGCCATGCAGATAAACATTTCCCTCGTCATCATCCAGGGAGAACTTCCATCCATCCAAGGAGTCCTTTCGTGTCGGCTTGAAAAACGGCCGAAGCATCCAGTACGCAGTGGCGGGCTGCAGGATGGGATGAACGACAAGAGTGCCTTGCTGCGGCCCATGACGAGACAGTCCGAGCCAGCTTTGGAAGCTTCGGAAGACTGAACAGCCTCCTGGTCCTTCGTACATGTTCATGTTGGCGTCAAGACGGCCAGTGAGGTCCCATGGGTTGTACTCCTGCCACTGCATGATGTCAGTTGTTGGTATAGTATCATAGGTGATTGCTTTGTCTACCTTTCCTTGGAAGATCTTGCGGTAGGTATGGTTGTAAGCGCGGTCCTCCCACCTTTCCACTCCCCCTCCATCGACGTGAGGCGGAAGCCCGAAATGCTTATCACCAGGTGGGCGGATTTGGACACGATCACAGTACGTGAGCGGGACCGAGAGATCAACTAGAATCCGTCAGCTGAATTCTGAGATTTCCTCATCGTGTTAATTACTCTTTTGATCAGCGTCGGCAGTATAGAGCTGATTCATCCACGATTGTGTGGCGAGCATATTGGGGTGCGATCTCGCTTTCACTTGTGAAGGACTCCAATATGATTCGTAGACAACCTGTCCAAAGTCAGTTCAGATCGAGCAGTATAAAAACTAATTGATCATCACCTTCTTGTCCGAAGTAGACGGGAAGCCTCTGAAAGGCCGGGAAGTCAGGTATTGGCGAGCGTCCGAGAGAAGGCCTTCGGTGACTTCTTTGTCGACAACCCCTCTGATGACGGCAACACCGGTGCGTCGGATGGCAGCAACATCTGCCGGCGATACAGTGCCATCTTTGATGTCGGAAAAGTTCAATTGAGGAATGATCTCTCTTAGTTAGTGCATAGCCAGCCAGGAAGACAATGAACATACCTTCTCTCGCTTGGAAGCAACCTCTTCAGTCCGCACTTTCAGCACCTCCACAAGCTCATCCCACGACTTTTGAATCTGCTCTTCAAACCCAGCGGTCAGGTTCCGCTTTATATCCCGGAACCGCTCCGGCAGCGGCGGGCTCTTTCTGCCCGAGAACGTCGAGAAAACAGACGAAATATCGCCCTCCGTTTTGTCTTTGCGGGCGATGGGCGACGCTTCAGTGGCCACGAGTCGCTTGGCTGTTCCTGCGCATTTTCCGGCGCGGAAAGTAGGGCATTTCAAACAAGTCGGTGATACAGTTCTGATCATGGTGAGCGTGGAAAATCTGTGCAGCTTGCAGTTGGGATAATGCCAAACATTCATCCTTCTCAGCTTGGTTTATATACTGTTCAGATGCCCGGATCATAGAATGCAATCTATACGGAAGCCATGGTTGTTAACCCGATTTGGCAATGTTCCGACGGTGGGGAAAGGCGGCTGAGCCCAATACGGCAGGTGGCCGCCATGGAAATGGAGTTTGTTGAAAGCTAAATGCGGGGATGCGGAGCGAATTCCTGGGGCAGTAATAGAGTATTTCTAATAGAGTATATTATAAAATAATATCAAGGTGGGTAGTCATATGCAAAAACAATACCAAATAACAGTATCTCCAAGTAAATGAAGCCATTTCACTGTTCATATGGAATGCTCTAGTATCTGTAAGAAAGTGTTAAGGAACATGCTATACTAGTGTAACCAAACCAGTCCACTATTACGCCATACGTGAGTCTAATATAAAGTCATGTCTGTATCTCAGTAGGACAAGTAGGCAGATATGGATGATATCCTCTAAGATAATTCAGCATCACATGCACAGAATGCACATGAATGACAGTAAGTATCATTACATCATACTCGTCATACTCTGTCAATGACAGATAAAGTGCATAGGATGGCATCTTGTCAGGCAAGCTTGTTTTGACACTTTTTATAATGCTTGATTTAATATAACCATGAAAGTACTGTATGCTCTTGTCTACCAGTATAAGCACATCAGGTAGTCTGATCTTATGGCCGTGAAAATACAACCCTTGGCTATTATGAATATAGCAGGTAGCACTGACTCGTGTAGGTGTCTTACAGCATATTATACTTATTGCAAGGCAAACTCGCTTAACTAATCTAAGCTGCTCCCATCTATAAGTAGCACCGTTGGACTTCTAGCAATTAAGGTTGGGGCGGTTGCCTTTATCTATCAATTCCAAATCCATCTTGCTTGCCTGTCAATGCACATTCAACGTAGCAAAGTCTGGCATGATTATCGGAGAGAAAGCAAGGGGGAGAAATAAAGGGTGCACAACGTGGACTGCATTCACCCAATGTTTCACCGCCAGTCATATTGAAGCTGGTACTATAGCCAGTACTATTTAAACAGTATGAAGATAATAATCTGGCAGCAACCCGCTATCTTCTCAATCTAGCATACAACATACTCACAATGCAGTCTATCTGGGCTTTTTTCGTCGCCATCTGGAACTTCATCCTCTCCATCATCAGCATAAAAGTATTCCCATTCGCATGGCATGTACGAACGCCTCCCTCCACCTGGTCCACCTTGATACTGACATCTCCAGTGCCGATTTATCTACAACTACATCCACAACTGTCACTTCATCCGCAAATCCCCCATCCCCCCTTCCACCCCGGACTGTCTCACCCTCTTCCACCCCTCAATCTACACGACCCTCACCCCAATCGGCGAAATGGACTTTTTCGGCCACAAGTCCAACTCGACATACCTCACCGACCTGGACATGGCGCGCGCAGTGCACATCTGGAACGTCTTCCGCGTCGGGATCAACGATTTCCGCGAGAAAGATAAGGAGAGGAAGCGGGAGCAAAATGTCAATGATGTTGAGAAATCGCGAGCACCGCAGGGCCCGACGAGTGGGTTGCTCGGCCTCGCGATGGGTGGTACATCGTGCAGCTTTCGAAAGCAGATTCGGCCCGGGCAGAAGTATGAGATTTGGACGCGGGTGCTGTCGTGGGATGAAAAGTGGGTGTATCTGGTTTCGCATTTTGTGACCAAGGCTGAGACGCCGGCTGTGTTTGTTGATGAGAAGAAAAGCCAGAAGAAGAAGAAAGACGCAGCCAGCGAATCTCAAGAACCAACCATCCATGCTGTGTCTATTTCAAAGTTTGTGTTCAAGGAAGGGCGGAAAACTGTCAAGCCATATGGGTTTGTCCAGCAGTGTGGTCTGATGCCCGATGACAGCATGACATCTGTACAGGATATGGAGATAAAACACGCAATTGAGACAAGACGGCAAGATGGAGCAAAGCTTGCGCAGAGCATGGCGGCGCTGGATGAGGGGTTTGACTTTTTTCAAGAGGATTCGGTGGCTTTTGCAAGATATTGACTTGCATGTCATTTATAAGTGTAAAGAATGGACATATATCAACCATACAAAATGTCTTCTACTATAGTCTGACTATATCATAGAAGGTATCCTCATACCATTACACTATACATTATCATCTATACTCTACTGCAGTTTATCTTAATGACAGCCACGTGGGACATCATTCAACTGAACTCGGTGGGTCAATAATTGCTCTATTAGTCTGCAATAAGATAGATCAACCTGATCAAGATCTATGAGAGCTGATCGATAAAACTACGCTATGATTGTATCTTGGTTGTTACTTATCATATTGAAAAACAAGCATTCTGAAACCCATATCAAGATCTCTTCATCCATGTGGAATAGGTGGGTTCATATACATTAAGGAGAGAGCTCTTATGCAAGGGAAGACTCAACGAAACTTTCCGTTCAGCTTGTTGATAGATCGCAGAACGGGGGCTACGACGAATTGTTTAATAATTCCAAGTACGTAGATGTATGCAAATCAGAGAATCCATTTTAACCTTTTAATTCCCGTGTTTAAGAGTAGTACAACATCATACAAAGCAAATATCACCACATAAATATTGAAAATCCCAATGGCAGAATCCAGATTGCAGGCTTTTATGTTCTGTCAGACCATTGATAACTCCTGAATATTCAAGCTGCGGACATCTAGACCGTCGTGTTGACGCGATCTTCCTCGTCTCCAGCCTTGGTCCATGTTTCCCGTGCGTCCGTCTGCTCCTGTTGCTCCTGTCCGATAACAATGTTCTCCTTTTTGATGGCGTTTTCCTCAGGCTCCGCGAGAGCTGCAGCAGTGGCACTTTCTCCTTCAGCGGTCTCGGCTTCCGGCTCCGGGGACAAAGCTTCTACCACTTTCTGCTGCTTCTGCGTTGTGTTGACCAGCGGGGTAGTGTCGTTGAAGATACGGAGAAGCATGGCGCGACGCTCCTCCTTCGGAAGCATCAGGTTGAGCGAGTGCATGGACCGCCAAAGAGGAAGCACCATTCGCTCACTGTAGCAGATATATTAGCAACCCATCAATAATAAATAAGCTTGGGATGGTCATACCTGAATCCGTACTCTGCGCTGTTCGGTTCAATGGTCAAGATGCTGCAGCCCATGGGAATGTCCCTCACACGCTGGCCAATCTCTCCCAGCTCCTTCCATCCATCACCATCAACCTTGGGGAACATCTCCACAAGCAGTTTATGAAGGGTCGACTTCTGGGTCAAGGTGACGGACCGAGCAGGGCCCAGGAACGGCTCAAGAAGTCTCAATCCATCGGTCTGGATGCGCCAACGGCAAACATCCGCGCGTTGTACATCTTGCTTCACAAACATCTTGACACCGCAGTGCACAAATTTGATGCCCTGGCCCTCGTTCGAGGTCAGGATATCGCGTGCCAATTCACTGGTGTAATAGATGGTCTTGTTGGGGTACGCCTGGGCGTTACGGACCATGAATCGGTCGCGGGGGAATCGGTCTGAAGCTTGGTAGAAGCTGAAGATCGGCCCTAATTCCTCCTGGTTGGGATCCAAATACTTAAAGGGCTCCTCGAAAACTTGGTTGTTCTTCTTCTTTTGCGGAGGCTGGGCTGGCTGGGCAGACGAAGCAGCAGGTGCAGGAGTAGTGGCATCAGAAGTCTCAACAGTATCGGTTTCGGGTCTGGCAGGAGGAGGATGGACGGGACGGTCGCCAATAACAGCTTCTGTGCCATCATCGACCTTGGCCTTCTTGGCCGGGACCTCCTCATCAAGTTCGTCGGCATCTCTCTTTGCAGCCGGTGCTTGAGCAGACGCGTCGAAAGTAGCCGAGTACGGGACTTGGTGAGAAGCCTCGGCCACGGTTGCATTCTTTTCGACCTCCTTCTGTGCCTCCTGGTCAGGGACCACCAGGTCATCCAGAGCATTGATCTTCTCTAAAGGCTGTCCGTTGCTGTGCTTCTGTTTGAAATCGAGCTCCTCGGCCAAAGCGGCAACAGAGGCCTTAGGAATAACCTTGGTGTTATCTTCTGGCTTGGCACGAATCTCGGTCAATTTTTCGAGCACGGTGATGAAGAAACCACCAGTGTCCTGCTGGTGAGGGTAAATGCGAGTACATCTTTCAAGAGGCAAGTCGGCATTCTCTCCGACAGGGGGGAACATGCCCTCGGCGAGTCTTCCGAGGCCATCGATGCCTTCGCGCTGTCTCTGCTCGTCGACCTCCTGCCAGCTGCCCCACATACGACCCTCGCGATCCATGACCTTCCACGATCGCATGCCAGGGGATCTCTTTAAGCCTGGCAATTCCTTGCTGCAGTCGATAATGCTGACGTTGGCCGCACCACCACAGCGCTCAATCGCACTGGCAATGACAGCTTCGTTTTCAACTGGGTTCATACTGCATGTGGAGTAAACGACACGTCCACCGACCTTCAACATTTGCAAAGCACGAACGAGAATCCGGACCTGCGTAGCGTGCAAGCCCAAGCCGTTCGACGGGTTCCAGTCCTTCCAAACGTTGACGTTCTTTCTAGCAGTACCATCTCCAGAGCAAGGCACATCCGCAAGAATACGGTCAAACTTCAAGTATCTGTTCTTCTGGGCCTTTCCATCAGCCGATGGGAGCGAGGGCAGCTTGATAGAGGGGTACATTGTAGCGTCGTGGTTCGTGACAATCAAGTTCGGAGAGTTCAACCGCTTCATTTGATGGATAAGCATGTGCGCGCGCTTGTAGTCGCTGTCGTTGGCAATGAGGAGACCTGTGCTTCTGCCATCATCGTTCAGACCCTCAGGCAAAGGTGCCGGAGCAGCCCCGTTCTTGATTTCGCGGGAAACCTGAAGCATCGTGTCCTCCTCTCCCGCATGAAGCAGCTCCATGAGCTGTGCGGACTTACTACCCGGGGCAGCGCACATGTCCAACACGGTCATACCAGGCTTGGCATCGATCAAGAGCGGAGGAATCATGCTCACCACCTCCTGTCGACTAATGTTTCCAACATCAGTCTCGGCAACGAGGAATTTCTGGAACGATGCGAAAGGTCCGAAACGTCGGATGACATTCTTAGGCGTGGCCATAGACCAGGCAAGCTGGTCGGGGTACCAAGGAACTGGGCGTGGCGGCTCGACAAAATTGCCCTCATACTGAATCGAAGTGATTTCGGGGATATAGTGGTCCTTAAGACGTTGCTGGACAGCAAGCGCATGTCTAAAAGTTCACGCGACACAAATCAGCATCATGATAAGAACATGAAATCGACCATGACGTACCCTCGCGAGCCCGTAAATCGGAAGCTGTTGGGGAGACCTCTTTTCAGAGCATCCCAAAATGCCTCCTTCTCTTCATCTGGAATGAATCCTTCCTCATTGTAGTACCGCTCGAGCTTTTCGTTGCTTTTTTCAACTTCCTGCCAGTTCGAGCGCGGCGCACGCCCGCCGCCGCCGCCTCTGCCACCAAACTGCGACACAAGAACACGGCCGGTTAGCGAAAGATTCAAGGAATTGTTCGGGATATTGCAATTGCGGAGATATTTACCTTCTTGCCTCCGCGTTTTCCCATGGTTAAAAGGAATTTCTGCTGATAGAAAGCGGATTTTTACTCCGTCTGATCTCTCAGAATTATTCTCCAAAAACATCCCACACCGGGAAAACATCGGCCCGGCTACGGTTTGATTATGTAACACCCTCTTTCCTACTAGTCCGTTTTGGGATCTACCTGTGCTTCAACAACAGCTCGAGATAGTCTCTCATGATATCCATTGCAGTAATGGTCTGGAGTATTCGACTTTTGTCTCTGGAAAGGCCAAGCATGAAAAGTCAAGATAATTTCCGGCAGCTATGTCCCTGAGCGTTTATTTTCAGCCTCAATCACGGGATAGCCTCACAGGCTATTCCAGGATAGCACTGGCGCATCTCTTTCATAAGGACTAACAAAACTCAGAGCTATCAATTGACTTGGATCAAATTTCTCATCAAATGCTCATTTCAGTCTTTGCTAACATGAGATCAACACTCTTAAACTACAAGTGCAAGACTTTACCGAGCGGATCGACATCGTGCGGCTCGTATTCCAGTCTCCCAACTCCCGAAATGGACATGAAAATTCAAACTGACGTGGACCAGTATGAAAATTGTGATTTATTTCGATTTGAGGCCTTGTAATCTTGGTCTACAACATGTGTATTCCATGAGAAATAGGACTCGTTTTCATCCTCGCAGCCCAAGAACTTGTTCAAACTCGATCAATCGATGTGTTTGGGGGCCGCTCTTAGGGCGACATGCCCCTATACAACGGCTTCCATCCACCTGCTATTTATCGACATCTTAATCCGTCCTCGTGTTTTAGGTTTGCCATAGTCGAAGCACAACTGCACTAGACCAAAAAAGCATGCTATGTTCAGTTCGAGATACGAATTTCTGCAAATCATTTTCTGAAAAAAGCCCCATCACATCCCAGGCTTCCTTGGCCTCATGTCAATCTCGATTTCCGCTTCCTGTCTGTTCTGCCGGTTCACCAATCAGATCTTGTCGCTATAAAAACACCATCCGAGTTCCCTTGACGGTATGCATCGTTGGGCTTGTCTGGCCTGAATACCAGTTGGGAGATCTCTGGAGGCTACAACGCCTAATTTAGATCCTTTAAGATATTAAACCAGCCCGTCCCCACCTTAGTAGCCTACATAAATCAACCTTCTATCCCCTCTGCAATCAAATTTGTCCGTACAGACCTTTTGCCATTCTGCAACCAATTCATCATGTCTGAGAAACAGAACAACGACCTAGAGCAACAGGCTGCCCAGCCCGTGGCCACCACGGAGTGGTCAAACTCATTCTGGGATTGCTGCTCCCCCACAGATACATGTATGCATTCTATCTCAGTCTCCATTGCTATACTCCCTGCGCAGTTAAGATCTAACATATCCCAGGCCTTATTGGATGGTGTGGGCCATGCTGTCTCTTCGGCAAGACCCAATCTCGACTCGAGGACCCTGCTCTGAAAGAGCACAGCTACGTCAACGGTCACGTAAGTCTATTCAACGATACACCCAGAAACCTTTCAAACAGGTACTAACTCTCCGTCGAATACAGTGCTGCTTGTACGCCCTCCTCAGTTACTGCGGTTTCTACTGGGTCCTCCTTATGATCAAACGGGGTGAACTGCGGAAACGTTTCGGGATCGAAGGATCGGGCCTCCAGGACTGCTTCGAATCATACTGCTGCCCTTGCTGCACTCTCGTACAGCAGGAGAAGGAAGTCGAGGCGCGTTCGAACAATCCCCAGGGAGGTTACCAGGCTCCTGCGGGAATGACTTATCCTCAGTGATGATTTTGGAGGACGTGGTTTCTTATTGGTTTCTTTCTTTCTTCTTATATATCCCTTTAGTTAAAACAATTATGATGGTAATATTAAATTGAATCAATTTTCTGTTGAATTCTCATATCTAGTTGCGGGTCAAATGTGTAATGGAATAACTGCGGCATTCGTGTAAGACCTTGATGGGAATGCCTTCACTTTGCAGTGGCATATACATACACTGACTGACTATTAATGGGATATTTAGACTATCGCTAACACAGCAGTATATTCCAATATAGCCGTTGAGGTATATATTACTGTGCAAGACAAGTGAGAGGGTGAGTTGAGTGGAAAGATGGGGTTATTATTCAGCTAAGCTGTTTGAGACTAATACTAATTGATATTCAACTCCAGCCTACAGTCTACAGAGCGTTCATAGAAAATGAATAAACAAAAAGAAAAATACAGTTTTTGAGTATATCAGTGGACAGTTGTATACTGTACAATACACGCTACTTCTGCGACTACCACCTCATCTATCTATTAAATCACCAACAAAAACAAAGGAAAATGGAAACAAAAGGGGTGGCGGCCATAAACTTGATATGAAAACACTGTGACTAACGTTGCGCGTTTACAGGGTGTTTCGGCTCATGTCCGCTCTCACACGCTGGTAGTCCAAAACACCCTCGATGCTGCCGACGGCGCTGACGGCGACGTCCTGGTCCCACAGCTTGCGGGAAGCAAACTCCATGACATCCTTCTCAGTGATCTGGCCAATGGTGCGCTCAATGTCCTCGGGGGTGAGGCGGCGGCCGGTGGTGATGATCTGGCGACCAATGTCCTCGGCAACAGCGGTGGTGCCGTCGAGAGACAGAAGGATGGAAGCCTTGAGCTGAGCCTTGGCACGCTCAACCTCAGCGGAGGTGACGTTGAAGGTCAGACGAGACCATTCACGGAGGGTGAAGTGAACAAGGTCATCGAGACGAGTCAAGTTCTCGGAGACAAGGTAGATACCCCAGAGACTAAAGATATCAGTCAGCAAATAAACTCGCAAGATAAAGACTGTGTATAACTCACCCAGTGTCGCTGTAGCTGGTGGAGAAGCTCATGAAGCTGTTGGCGAGGTTCTGGTGGTCGACAATGGAGCTAAGCTTGCTGCCGAGGTAGGGGGAGTTGCCCATGGCACGGTCCCAGTTACCAACGATGGCCTGGGTGACGAGAGCGGTGAAGTAGTCATCGTCCTTCCAGCTGACACCCTCGACGGCGAGAGCGATGTGGGCAGAGGGGAGAGTGTCATCACGGAGTCTGACTTCGGATCCAATGAACTCTGGGGTGCGCTTCTGCTCGGCGGTGAGGGCAAGGGCAGCAGAGGTGGGGGGCTTGCTGGGGAGAGAACCGAAGTGCTCCTCGGCGAGTCTGACGAGCTGCTCGTGGGGGATACCACCAGCACCAACAAGAACCATGCGGTCAGCGGTGTAGTTGGTCTTGATGTAGTCGGTCAGGTTGTTGCGGGAGATGGTCTGGATGTTCTCCTTGGGGCCAAGGATTGTGCGACCGAGAGGCTGGTTCTGGAAAGCAGTGGCGTGAAGGTGGTCGAAAACAACCTCCTCGAGCTGCTTGTCAACCTCCTCCTGCTCACGCAGAATCACGTCTCTTTCGCGCTCAATGGCACCGGGCTCCAGCTTGGAGTTCTGAAGGATATCGGCGAGGATGTCGACCGACTTGCCGACGTCAGAGTTGAAAGACTTGGCGTAGTAGACGGTGTTTTCTCTCTAGAGGCGCAATTAGTTCCATGCAATTCTTATCATCCTTGAGCCATGTTCCCGGGTCGTACCGATGTGTAGGCGTTGAGGTGAGCGCCCATGTTCTCAATCTCGAGTTCCAATTGGTGCTGGGATCGCTTGTTGGTGCCCTATAGTGTGTCCTGTAGTCAGTAACCTGCTTTGAGTCTTCAAGGATAGAAATGAATGTACCTTGAAAGCAAGGTGCTCAAGGAAGTGCGCGGTTCCGTTGGTCTTGTCAGTCTCTGCCCGGCTACCGGCGTCGATCCAGACACCGACGGTAGAAGTCTGAGCCCATGGCGAGTGCTCAGTGGCGATCTAAAGCCCGTTAGCAATCACGCGATGCAATTGATATGGCGAGTTCTCATACAGTGAAGCCGTTGGAGAGGGTGGTCGACTGGGTGGTAGAAGGCAGGGCAACCGGGGAGGCAAAGCCACGCTTGACCGGCTGAATGGCCTTCAAGGCATTACGGCTGCGGAGAGCCTGGTTAAGGTTGAAAGCTAGGCGCCTGGAAGCCATTGTGATAGACTAGTATGAGTCTGGAGGGAAAGGGAGGGATGGAGAAAAGATGCGGCGGCTGGTAGAGACGGGCAGCCCTGGAGATGCGAGGTCGAAGTTCGGAAGTCAAATTGTTCGCCAGCTCGCCAGCCAATCACATGACCCGCTTTTCCAAACCACCCAGCATTCATCCCGACAGTTCCCTACAGCCGCTAACGGCAACACGTCGACGGCGATATTGTTGGGCATTGTTTATTCCATTATGATCGATCAAAACGCGTCTATATATCACTATGTTTATGGAACGAATAATATATATTGTCCAATGGCTCAAGAATTGATGTTGAAAACGCAATAGTTCCTTCTACGGGTAATAATGGCTTTTCACACATGAGCTGACATGCCGATACCTATTTCAACTCGATTTTCAATTGTCAAAATTATATAGCAAAGATGCGGTTCATGTGAAAGGAAAAGAAGCGATAAAACAAATCTTCAAAGTTTGCGGCAAAACAACACCCGGTGACCCGACTACCTATCATACAAACTGGCTGGCATACTGTTTAATATTCTCAACCATAGGAACATCCTCCGAAAAGCCCAATTTCGTCGCCCGAGCCGTGCTGAAGTGAGGAGACCATGTTTGCACAATCCTGTCAATATCCGCATCATATTTCTCCTCCACCAAAGCTCGTCTTTCCGGTCCACCCACTTGCTCCAACGCATCCAGCATCTCTTGAACAGTGACAACCAATCCGGGCAGATTAACGGACCGAGACTCGCCAAACGCCTCCTTGGGAATATCCTTTGCGTGCAAAAGATTCTTGACTACCGTGTATGGCGAGCAGATCCACATCTTCGTTTCCTTGCTCACGGGAAGAACCGCCTTTTTCCCATTGAACGGTTCTCGGATGATGTCGCTGGCGAAACTGCTCGCGGCTTGTGTGGGCTTCCCGGCGCGCACAGTCACAGTTGGCAATCGAACGGCTCTGCCGTCCAAGAATCCCCGCCGCGAATAATCATTCAGCAGTGTCTCAACGATGAGCTTCTGCGAGCCATATGAGGAAGAAGGCACGGGAGGGAAGTTGGTCTCGTCAATGACGAAGCCCGGAGGCGCAAGTCCATAAACAGCCAGTGATGATGTAAACACCACTTTCACGCCGGGCGTCGTGGTGCGGAGTCTGTCAAGGATATACCGAGTCGAGTCGAGATTGACTCGAACCCCGAGCTCGAAATTAGCCTCGGAGCCACTGGACATGATTCCATGGAGGAGGTAGACGGTTTCGAAGCGATTGGATTCGTTGATCAGCTCGTCGACGACCTTCGTGGAGGTGAGATCTGCCTGGATGCTTTTTACGCGTGAGGCATGCTGGGCTGGAACAGCTGGCTCGACAACATCCGTAAGCGTCACTGTAGCAGTGGGCGAGCTGGACAGGAGAGCAACAGCCAGTTCCTGGCCGACGTAGCCACCTGCGCCTGTAATAAGTATCGACATGGTGCTCGTGGTGGATGGATATAGACGGATAGATAGATAGACAAAACAAGAAAATAACAAGATGCTCTATTGACTCGAAAATCACTGTTGCAATAATATCACAATGCCTCCCACAATCAAACCAAGAATACCAACATACCCTCGACCGGGCCCCGTTATATAAGTACCCTTAGAACTCAGTCCCAGCGGCTCAGATTACTGCGGGGTTGAAGCGGAGAGACAGAAAAAGAACCCCCCTCCCCTCCTCCCGCTTCCCCATCTCGGTGCGTCTCCTGGTTTGCATCATCTTGAATCGATATCATCACAAGCGAATTGACCATCATGGTGGGAAAGGGAATGACACCACGCAGCAATTCCGAAGCCGATGTCGGTGAGAAATCCGACTGCCGAATGACTGGTTCGTATATTGGCGATTAAGAGGATACGGCGGAAGTCCGAGATGTGTGTGACCTGGGAAGTGGGATGGTTGAACGGGCCTTTGTCGGGCTTTTGGATCGGTGGATGGTCTGTGATTTATACTTTTCATTTTTGTCCTTCTTGAGGCTGCGGTGGGATACTATGGGTGTCTGTTGTGGGACTTGATTGGTTATCAACTTGACATTCGTATAAGCTGTCAAAGTGTCATTGTTGGGATACTCGGTCATCATTGCGATGCTATTCGATTCGTGAATGAATCAACGTCTACAAGACGAAAGCACAGCAGTCATCCAAATGGTTTGATTACTAAAAAGCAATACTTCCAAGCGAGTACTTTCTTAAATGACAATAGACCACAAACCTAGAGAATTTTCTGACTCAAAGAAGTACATGTGTAAGAAACCTCAAAAAATAAGAACATTTCAACATATCACGGAACACTCGACGCCAGAAAAAAAAAGACATAAATGATTGAACATGAACATAGATTAAACCACCTTTTTATGCAGAACGCTTGTAGAGACCAGCCACTATACAGTGGTCACGTTCGAACGGCTCAAGAGTCAACTGCTCCTTGGGCTTTATTCTCTCCTCTCTCATCTTCTGGACCTCCTTGGCAAAGACCACCTCGGGCTTAGCGGTACTGTCGATACAGTTGGCCTTGATACTGACAATGACACCACCCTCGGACTTGAGGAACATGTGGGCGTTGAGACCGACGATACGGGCCTGGTCGGGCTGGGCAACATCGGCGAAGATGACATCGACCATGGGGACGAGCATACGGTAGCGGAGAGGGTGTCTGGCGTCCTCAACAATGGGGATAACGTTGGTACGGTGAGTAGCCATGCCGATCAGATCACGGCCGGAACGGTGAGAGAACTCAACGGCGTAGACGTTTCCAGTGGGTCCGACAATATCGGCGACGTGACTGACGGAGGTACCGCTGGCGGAACCCAAGTACAGAACCTTGGCGCCAGGGCGCATGTAGATCTCATCAAGACCACCCAAGATACCGGCAGCAAGCTTGCTACGGAAAGGGTTCCAGACACGGTATTCGGTCTTGGTGACGGCACCATCCTCAGTGGAGGGAGTCTCGACAGCAATGCGCTTCTCGCCGTAGACAGCCTCACCGGGGGTCAAGTTCTTGGTAACGAGCAAATCTTCCTTACCACCGCGGGCAACGAAGACACCACCGTGACGGTGGGGTTCCTAATGAGAAGAAATGTCAGTAGCTGGGACACTCCAAAATCATCATTCACGAGGAAATACTTACAACAATGACCTTAGCACCACCCCTGGCACCGGGCTTTCCACCGCGGCCACCACCACGGGGGCCGCCACGTCCTCGGGGAGCACCACGGCCACCACCACCACGGGGGCCGCCACGTCCACGGGGAGCACCGAATCCACCTGGTGAGAATTAGCATTACCATTCACGAAAACGAATACCACAGGCAGACAACGCCGAGCAGTCTCGAAGCAGTAGCATGGAAGACAGCCAAAGCAGCAGTCCTGCTTAGAAGAAGCCTGTCTGTGATTTCAATTGAGCTTGATCGGGGTTAACAAACCTCTGCCACCACCACGGCCACCACCACCACGGGGAGCACCACGGCCACCACCGCGGCCAGGAGGTCCGCCACGTCCTCTAGGAGCACCGAAACCCATTGTGATTTATGAAAGGATTAAATTCGTGGATTTGAAAAGTCGAATCGTTCTTTTTCACAACCGGAATGGTTGAGAAAGTTCGGGTCGGAGAGCTCTGCAGAAACGCAAGAGAAATTTCGAAGGATAGATAGGACCGTTCGGAATGGACGGGACCTTGAATCGCAAATATCACAGGGGCTGGATGAAGCAGCTTGTGTAAAAAATCGCACCCGTGTTGGCTGTCTGGGGTCGGTCAAAGCCGTGCTGCTTGTCGCTGTTGCGGTCGAGAATCGAGATTTTTTTGAGCCTTTGGATCTTTCGAAAATCGGAAATGCGCTATTCCGGGTATGGACTAGCGGGTTTTGCCGTCCGTGTGGGCACATTATACTCACGTGATACCGCTGGATTCATAGCGAGGTCACATGACATATTGAAGCCCTGCTCCCATTGGATCCTGGGTCTTGTCTAGTATGGACAGCGGCGAAGGATATTATGACGGATTATGAAGGACTAGGATGCAAGGTAGTTGTGCATCATGGTTATAAAAGTTGGGCGCTGCATATATCTGTGACATCACTTTGGAACATGCAGTATGCCAGTCATTCGGAAGCATCCTACAGAGTACGTCTCGACAGATGCAAAGCACAGGTATAAAAGCAACAGAAAATCCATTTCCCGTCTAAAACATTCAAGTAAGATACCCAGAATCATAAAACAACATATATACACAAAAAGCCGCATTCCACCACCGGCTAATATCATTCCTTTCCATAAAAGTAGTAGTTTGCAGCATACTGGACTGTGATGGTTGATGGCTGGTTCTCGCATGTCTTTGGTGGTGATCCTCCGGCAGTTTGGACTCGATATACGCTCTCATAGTCACCTACGGTGCCATTTGTGGCCGTAAGGTAGAGCCATGCAACAGCGCCGTTATCACCCTGGACTGATCCAGCTGGAGCATTCATTGAAGAATCCTTCTTGGTAAATGCAATCCCGTATTGGTGGTCGGGTGTGGTGTCAAGGTTGAAAGTTGGCACAGAACCAGTGAAGAAATGGTGACCAAGTAGGTCAATATCGGTGTGCCCAAGAGCAGCCGAGATGTCGGCTGTCAGGGGTACTTTGTATGCGAGGTTTGGCAGCATGTTTGCAATGTCCGGGTAGTTTGCTGCGATACAGGTGACGTTGTAGAGGCTTGCAACAGCCCCGACGGCAACGGGAGAGGAATCCGATGTAGCGCTTTCACAAGTGTAATTCTATATGATTATCCTTTGTCAGCTGTCTGGTCTTATACTGTATAGGCTCGATCACTCCTCACCTGAGTGCCACGACCAACTCCTACATAGATTGGCTTCTGACCAGAAGGAGACGGCAAGCCAGATGCATTGGCCGGCAATGCAATCTTGGATGTGTCACACACTGCCGAAGAGCCGGTGGACTTTTTGGCGTTGTCGATGTGCTTACTGACTTTGCCAATAAACTCAGCCACATCATCTGAGTAGTTGAATAGACCGTTGAGCAGGGTCGGTGCAGCGATAGAGGTAGCGGCCAGGCAGGTGATAATAAAGAGAATCGAACGCATTCCGGATGCTTTTCGAACGCACAGCGTGAGGATTAAAGAGATAAATCAGTGTGTAGAAGTGTAGATGAGATGAGTAGAGAAGACGGTGAAGGAGAAGGTTGGTGTGTAAATAAATAACTCGATCCAAGCGAGAAATGAAATGGCATCAAAGGAAAGACAGGAAGATAAACACTCCACGATAGGAGTGCGTGAAGGGAAAACAAAGAATGAAGCACAAAGAGGGGAATAGTATGGTCTCGGGACCAGCACCGAGAGTGTTCATATAAGTAGCAACATTCCTATCTCCATTTATCTCCATGAAACATTGGGCGGATCAATAATAGAAACATCTTCAATAATCGGAGCCGAACAAAACGTATCTAATAACAGTATCAAGTGGGAGCATCCCTGAAGCCGCCTGCACTGAAGATTGCGGGTTCCCGCGCTGTGATTGGCGCTGCTATGCGCCGGGATCGAAGTCTTGACCGGATCTAAAATGACGATGGCCCAGGCGAAACGGCGATAATTCAGTGGGCGGTTTAAGCTGCAGAAATCGTCCTGCTGGTCGGAGATTGGTGTAGCCCTGTCCAATGTCGATGGAGGAGGTGGGGAGATGGAAGAGCTGCCCTGTTGGATTGTTCAGACCTTCGCGCGGGGTTTCCATAATAATGGCTAGGATCTAAGAATATCCCCCATGTGTTTGGAGTTTCATCCCGGCGCTTAGGGAATTGCCTATGCTGGTTAGTGTGCAGAACAATCCACCAGCCCTACTGGTTTGTTGAAGAGTCAGATCGAAGAGTAATTGCTGCAGGGGTAGCTGGGTGGATATTTTTGGGCGATATCATATGCCTGCCCTATGTGTCAGTGAGCTGTTTGGTCGCTAAACATAGACTGTGCTATCTTCTGATGTATCTATCCTGTGCTCATACTGTTTGTACTTCGATGGACTTGTTGACAGCCTTGTACTTCGTACGTTTAAAATATATTACCGCATATTGGGTTGGGCTAACAGTATTTCGTACAACAAAAACATTTGATACTAGAACACCATAATTGAAAAGGAAAGAAATAATAAATATGGAGAATAAACAATAGCACAAATTGGAATAATTTTAAAAGAAACCAAGAAGCTTCGCAGCCATCCGCAACAGAACCAGCCATCCCTATTCTCAAGTACGCATTACGAAATTTGCCTTTATAGGACGTAAGTTTGAAAGAGCTATCACCACACCAGTGGCTCAATGGTTTAGTGGTATAATTCTCGCTTCGGGCTTCCCGTTACTGCAAAACAGTAACACATTCACTTGAATTGCGAGAGGCCCCGGGTTCGAATCCCGGTTGAGCCCCATCTTTTTTTCTTTTTATTTTTTTGCTCCTCTTTATTATTTACCACCACCTGTCTGATTTTGGTTTTATTTATCTTATTTTCTCAAGTATTAAGTGACAGTCACTATCGTACCTTGATTTTACTTTATTTGATCTTACTTGATATCTTGATCGGCATTCTCTTGTTTGCATGTCGCAGTTACACCCGACACCACTCCAGGGTAGCCAGAGTACGTCCAAGACAAGAATAGAACAAAAGCCATTGGTCTAGTGGTCTTGTTGTTACATTTCCCCGCAAGCTAAATAAAGATAATGGACTTGGTGAATATCATTAAATCTACAGTATCACCCGAAACGCCCGGCATATAGCGACATCCAATCGAGCCAACTCCAGATTGCTACCTGCTAGAAAATATCCGAAACACAATGGTCAAGTGACAGTGAGAAGAAAAAGTACGGTTGCATCAACCGGCATTGTTGAATCCCTCTTGCTGCCAGTCATCACCTCGCAGTTGCCCGCTACCACTACCACGGCCATTGCCTGCCGCACCTCCACCAGCCATTACGGCCGCTGCACCTAGACTGGCGGCGCTATGCTTTTCAATTTCTGTGGTGCTCATCATATATAGCATTGAAAACAGTAGAATATGCAGGGCGAAACAATACCCTGCAAAGAGGTTTCGGCTCGTTCGATTGGCAAGGATAATGCGTGTCAGGGAGAAGACGATCCGCTCTGGGAGACTCATGCGTTTGTACGCTCGTGCTGATTCACGGCCCCGGAAAGCAGCAAAAGGTGAAATCTGAGCTTCATAGGCGGACTGGTACCGATCAAGGGAAAGCCCCGACGGTGTATCCGCAGAGAGGTGCACAGATGTGGTGCTTGGTTTAGTTGCAAATGCGGACGCAGATGAGGATGCCCCACCACCACGGCTGTACGTTGACACATAACGCGTCTTCTCGTAGAGACTGAGGTTATCCTTTTGAAGAGAAGCAACCTCTTGCCTGAGGGACTTGACATTGCTGTACATCTTGGATAGCTCTTCCTCTAATTCTGTATTCTTCTTCTTGAAGCGGTCCCGCTGCGCCTGGATCATGGGCAAGATGCCAGAGCCACCGCCAACAGGTTCACCAGAACGTATAGCATCCATTGTGTTTGAAGACGCTGGGCTCTGGTCAAATCCCGAAATTATCGACGAGGTCGGCGATGTTGCTCCTCTTCGAGATGAGTAGGGGTACTTCGAGCTGTAGGTGCCCGCGACAGACATTGCTGACGAGGGGAATGTATTCGCAGCTTCCTGCTGCACCTGGAGAAGGTCATTCTCGAGGGTTGTCGAGAGTTTCTGGGACTTCTCGAGCTCCTGTTTAGTGGATGAGAGGTCCTCACGTAGGATTTCGAGCTGACCCTGGAGATCGCGATGCGATACCCGTAAGACGGTGAGCTCGTCAGTCAGCTTTTTATTTCTGGCCAGCAATAGCTGCTCTAAGGTATTATTCTTTCCACCCTCCTTGGACTTCGCCGTGGTACCATTGGTAGCGCTTCCGTTTGCATCGTCCGTGACATCTCCAGTCTCATCATCGTCACCAGCGGAGAACTCAATAGACTTTGGCCGAATTAGCACATTTTTCATCCATGGCTGCGAAGTATGTTCTCACCTTGATTACTTCAAGCTCTCGACGGAGGTCTTCATAATCGGCAACCTTCTCCAACCTTGATCGTAGTTCATCCCTCTCGGCAGTCACTTTAGTACCTTGTCTCTCAGCTTGTAAGAGCTTGGCCTCCCACGAATTACGCTGGGAATCTTTATCAAATCGCGCAGCATCCAACTTTCTCAACAGCGAGGAGTTTTCGGACTGTAAGCGAAGATATGATGGGTCGTCTTCAACAGATGTCTGCTCAGCGTGCGGGTGGGATACAGCCTGAGCCAGCTCAAGCCTCAATTGCTCATTACGAGCCTCCACCTCTGCCAGCCTTAGACTAGTCTTTTCCAAGTCGGCAGAAACAAGCTCCAACTCGGCAGCAGAAGCTCCGTGTGGAGAACCGTCCCCATTATCATCGTCTTGGCCCAAGCGCTGCGATACCTCATAGCTTGCTTTGAGTTCTTTCAACAAACGCTCCTGGTTTTCCACTTTCTCTTCCAAGCTCTTTTCCTTGGCAGCCCAGTTATTCGACTTCTCTGATAACACTGCTGACCACGAGTCCTCAATCTCTTTCGCTTTGGTTTCCTGGCTCTCCTCTAGTTTTTTTCTTGCAGTCCTCTCTTCCTGTAGCCGTTTTTCGGTATCCTCAAGCTGGGATGTAAGCCGATTCACAGAGCCTTGAAGTTGGTCTCTCTCCGATGTTAATTTAGGGACCGTCTCTTCCGAATGCACAAGGGAATCGACTGATGCCTCAAGAAGCGGGTAGGGATCGGGGGCTTCTGACAGGGAGGAATATAGTTGTAAAAATGCGGAGGATGAGGATTTCCCTTGGTTGGTTAGGAGATCGATAAACGTCTGGTAGGCTGTCAAGAGCGGACATGTTAGTTGTAAGACACTAGGGCTCTAGTCGACACAATACCCACCTTTCAAAAGACCCTTGTATTCTGCCAGCTTTGACGCATCCTCTAGTTTCCTGAAATCCTTGGTTTTTTGAGCAAGATCCTTTCTCTGAACAAGTGCATCACGCTGCCCAGAGACGATATCCGAAGCAGTACCATCCAACTTTGCGACAGTGCTGGCCAAGTCAATGCCTAATTGTAATTCAATATATTAGCCATCGGTACATTTAGAAGCGCATAAAGTGCGTTTCGAAGGACACACCTCTCCAAGCTGCAATTGCACGCTGGAACTTGTTGGCCCCCTCCGGTAGCTTTGCCGAGTTGGCCTTTTCGGAGTCGTGGCTATCCTGGTTGTTTGACTCAGGGATGATACCCTCCGTCATTGCGAACGTGTCCATTTTCTGCTGATTTATAGGCGAGTGATCTTAAATCACCATCCCCACAAAATATTAGAAAAAACCAACACCAGCAGCCGACGCTGAGCAGAAAGAACCGAAATGAAGCCACTGATCTGTTATCGCAATGCGGAGGCCGCTTCACACGCGGAGCGGCCCGACAATGTTCCGAACGCGTAAGCTGTCGCTTCAGGCTGAAAGCGTTGTGTTTGTTGTCAAGAAAAAGCAGTATATATTAATCATTGCATGTGAGGATAAGCCATGGGGGCCTTTCAGTAGCTATGTATTAATAGCTGGAAATCCAGCATCGATATTATCCCAAATGTGAGGTATAAAATATAGTCTGGCAACGTGGAGATGCCTTGCCTCGGAGATCTAACCATTGTGCTCCGTACAGATGTACCCACATTATGGAAATGGGGGTCATTCAATAAAAACAATGAGGGCGTCAGAAATTAGCTTACAATGAAACCGTGTATAAATAGATGTCAATTGTAGTGGAAGCAACAATGATAAACATGGTGGTTGGCTCCTGACTCAGCAGGAGTTAACTCCGCGCCCTGGCCCACTCTGTACATCCAGCTCCAAAGCTCCCGACTTCCCCTCACCATCTATGAGGCTCCGCCAAACATATATGTGGGATTGAATATCCAGAGCTGGGCTTACGATGATGCCAGAAGATTATGGCATCGGCCCCCGCAAGAGGAGACGGATTGGCCCTCCCTATGCAGCGCCATACGTGCTCCGACACCTCTTCGACGAGGTACCCTTGACCACCGACGACCCCAACGAAGACGTTCACATCACTTGCGTGGAATACTGGAGTATGTTTTGAGCTTCCAGCTACTTTCGAACATTTGTGAAATCTCCGCTGATCCCGATTCTAATAGATGATAATCTCTATATTGGCACATCCACCGCGGAAATCCTGCATTTCGTCTGCCTCGCACCCGACCCCTCCGACAAGTCGAATGAACCATCCTTCATCCTAGCTTCTCGATTGCCCATTCCATTTGTCCATAATGCTTCGCTTTCCCCGAACCAACATGGTATCCAGCAGATTCTTCTGCTTCCGACGGTTAACAAAGCATGTATCCTCTGCAACGGAACAGTCACCTTCTACATGTTGCCGGAACTCAGTCCTGCGTTTGGAAACACCAAGGTCGCAAACAGTCTGTGGATTGGGGGTGTAGACTTGAATGCGACATCGGAAGATCTCGAACTCCCAATGGTTATGATCGCCCTTCAAAATAGAATTATGCTGGCCACCGTCGGTGACGAAGCTCGACGTGTGAGGTCTATCGGATTTCCAGGTTGTCTTGCAGCGTCGCGACGGGACACAATTGCATGTGTGGCAGATAAACATTCGTATTCGCTGCTCGACGTAGAGCATCAGCAGAAAATACCCTTGTTTCCAATATCCTCCTCCAACGAGGTTTTTGAGTCTGGCCATGTAGAAGACATGCCACCGTCAGGCTCCTCCAGATTATCCCCATCGTCTTCTTTCCCCAGCTCGCCTCCTGGAGACAGTCATTCGCATAGGAGAAGCTCCAGTCAGAATACATTGTCCGGGATGTTACAACCAAATCAAGACCGATCGAGATCGGCAACCCCAGACCTTTTTCCTGATGCAGGGACCCCTCAACGGTCCAGTCCGCAGCAACGAGGTGTCGGATCGCCGAGAAACTCTTCTGATAATCACGGCGAGGGCTCCGAGGATTCGAAGCCTCTCCCACCTCTGCCAAAGCCGGGTTCAAAGCAGTTAACGCCCCATGTTTTGTCACCATCCCCTTCTGAATTTCTGCTGGTTACAGGAACAGAGACAACAGAACCTGGCGTTGGAGTGTTTGTGAACATGGACGGCAATGTAGACCGCGGCACGATAAATTTTCACCGGTACCCAGAATCAATTGTCATTGACAAAGGCCAAGAGGACAGTTTGATCCAATCGAGCGAAAGTACACAGGATGAGTTTGTGCTTGCTGTCATAGAAACGGATCAAAATGGGAAATCATGCAAACGCTTGGAAGTACAGCGGTGGGACGTGGATCCAGGGGAAGCTGGGAGTCAAAGGAGATGGGTAGAAATACCTCTGGCCGAAAATACGAAGTCACCTCAGGTTGGCCTTCGCCATACAATTAGCCCAAGCCAACTCGAATTCGATGAAATGGGAAATATCTTACGAATGGTCCGACTTCAAACCCCGGCATTATCTCCCCATGTCCCTGCAACAGATCCAAGGACCCAGGCATCTTTAGAACATCTCCAGAAAGAGAAGGAGCTTTTTGAATCGCAAGAATTGACCGATTCTGAAGGATCGAAAAAGGAACGTGGTTGGGAGGCAGAACGAAACGCGGAAGAGGCCAAATTTGCCCATGGGCTGGGCAGGACTCGCAGCAGCCTTATAATGTGGTCGGGTAACCAGATATGGCGGGTTTTGAGGAACCCTCTGACCATACAGCTTGATGAAGCCCTGCAGAGCGCGCAGGAAACCCAAGAAGGCGGCCACCGAGTATTGGACAGGGCTGTCATTACCGACATCATCCAATCAGTCCAGAATACAGAACCAACATCAGAGGCGGAATTTCTGGGGTTGAACTACGTGAAGCAAAAAGCAAGTTTGCTGCTATTTGGGGACCTCATCTCCATGGACCAGGCTGTCAGAAGCGAGGCAGCCATTGAAGCCACAGAGCAAGCCCTTGAGGCAGGGAATCTGGATCCTCGCTTGGTCCTGCTTCTGATACCTCTATTGCGCAGCGAAATTCTGCAGGGCCCACAGGGGATTTGGATACATGCAGGCCTGGCGAAACTTGCTGATACTTACACCCAGCAATTTAAAAATGAAGAAGTCGGGTCTCAGAAAACCAAGGGTGTGGATGGTGAAGTCTTGGAAATTATCAAACGCTTCCTCATCTCTTGGCAACAGAAGAGGGGCTATGGTAGCATCACGGATGAGACGTATGTCTTTGACAGTGTCGATGCTGCGCTTCTCCATTTGCTTCTGGAGCAAGACTCCAATGTGCCATTGGAGCTGCGTTCATCTTCACCAGTTCGCGCCGAGCTGAACAAACTGGTCGATAACTGGAAGGGTAACTTTGATCGGGCAGCGGCGCTTCTGGAAAGCTACGACCGGCTTTTCATTCTGAGTCGCCTATACCAAAGTCAGAAGATGTCCGGGAATGTTCTCAAGACCTGGAGGAGAATCATTCAAGGAGAGAACGATGCTGGGGGTGAAACTACAGCTTCCGGTGTCGAGGCGCAAATGCGCAGATACCTCGTCAAAATCAAAGATGCGCAACTTGTTGAGGAGTACGGGTCGTGGCTTGCGGGTCGTAATCCAAGTCTCGGTATTCAGGTTTTCTCTGACAACAGCCGCAGAGTCAAGCTGGAGCCAGCAGACGTGGTTACGCTGCTAAAGGAACGAGCTCCGAATGCGGTTCAGGTGTACCTAGAGCACCTAGTCTTCTCAAGAAATGTGAGTTTTATCCATATTTTAGTATTGTGTTTGTTTCGTTTCTAACTCTGGTGCCTTCAGTACACGCAATATGCGGACGATCTTGTTTCATACTACTTGGATTCAGTGCTCTCGGTTCTCCAGTCTTCCCCTGCTGCTCGGGAGTCGCTTTCTGAATCGTATTCCACATATCGCGCTCTGCGGCCACCAAAACCGACCTACATGAATTTCATCACAGAAAACACGCCCTCAGAGCCTTGGTGGCAGTCACGATTACGACTTCTTCAACTACTAGGTGGCGGAAGCAGTAGCCACTTCTCATCGATGCCATCGTCTTTGAATTTGTCATACTCCATTCCCGCGGTTCTTGCTCGCATCGAACCATTCCAGAATGAGTTAGTTTCTGAGTGCATCATCCTGGACGGTCTACAAGGCCGACACCACGAGGCCCTGCGCCTTCTCACCCATGGCCTCGGTGACTATGACTCGGGTGTTCGATACTGTCTTTTCGGCGGGCCTCGTAGCACAAGCTCTACGGGTCCACTAGGGGAGTTTGCCGACAGATCGCTCCAGTCAGAACTTTTCAAACATCTCCTCAATGAATTTCTACAGATAAAAGACCCGTCGGAGCGTATTGAACGGACCAGCGACCTCCTAGCCAGGTTTTCTTCTTGGTTCGATGTTGGCGAGGTTCTCAGGCTCGTCCCAGATGATTGGAGCGTTGACATTCTGAGTGGGTTTCTCGCGCATGTCTTCCGGGTCCTTGTGTCGCAGACCCGGGAAGTGAGAATGGAACGAGCACTGAGTGCAAGCCTGAACCTACGTGTTGGAACTGAATATATCGAAGGGACTGAGAAGGTCGGTGGCTGGATCGAGGATGGGGAAGGAGTAAGGAGAATGAGAGATGGGGTCAATCAAAACGGCCAGTCCGTACAAGTTGACGATGATTTTGGCGACATGGTCGAGGCTGGGTCGGGACCGTAGTGCCATTTCCTGCGGTATATATGCAGTGCTTCCATGATACCTCTTGTATTAGCTGTGATTGACGATATAATAATGACTCCTTCTCCATAACACTTGCACTGTAGAAGTAGTGTTGTCGTTAGGAGTAGTATTACTTTCTACTAATTTTGTGCGCATATTGCTTGTATCTAGTAGAGGTAGGATAAAATAAACTTGGAAAAATAAATCTGAGAAAAAAAAAGAAATAGAAATAAATTTTTCTTTCTATATAAGGGAGAAGAAAGAAAAAGCAAAAAAGATAAGCGGCCCGAGCCGCGGATCGAACGCGGGACCTCTCGCAGATATGCTTGGGTTGTTAGAACTCATTGAGCTCTCCCTAAGCGAGAATCATACCACTAGACCACCCGGGCTTGCTTGTATGTTTAGGTTTTCTTTGTTGGCATTATAGGGGAAATAATATATGAGTATTGTGTGTGAAGGGAGTGTGCGCTAGCTTTCCTGTGTGGTGGGAGGGGAGGAGGTAAGTAAGCATAACTAACACTTGCTGTTGCTTTTTAATATTGGTTCAATCAATAACAATAGTCGTACTTCTGGAGTGTGAGTTGTTAATGTCGTTTTTACTATCAAGACTAAAAGAAAGGGGCTATAATTCTGATTGTTGGTGTTACAGCCGGAATATATATCTTCGGATATATTGTTTTCGAAGTAGTCCAAGCTCGACTTTTCAATATTTACTAGACAACTACAGCCAACGAATACTACACACCATAGACACACAATCAATTCATTCCGCATAGATAGTTAGGTACTGGTATATATACAACAACAAAAAAAGCAATCTAATCCAAATCAGGCACAGGCAACCCATTCACAATCTTCACCTGCATGCCCAACTTATCCAACGCAAACCTGGAATTCTTCTCGCGCAGAGCCTTTGTGTCCTCATCGGAAACCAGTACAAAGTCATATGTTAACAAGGCGTGGTCCTCGGAGACGTTGTATTTCTTTGCGAGTTCGGGGCCGGCGCGCCCGATGTCGACGACGAGGGAGTCCTTGACGCCGAAGACGGCGTCGGAGGTTTCATAGGGGTCGTTACGGAGGTAGAGGGCTCTTTAATAGATTGTTAGTTTGGCCAATTGATAGGCTGGGGTCAGGGAAGGAGATATACGTGATGAGATGATCGTATCCCGGCTTCTCGAACATAAAATGCATATGCGACGGGCGGTACGGGTGACGATGTAACTTCTTCAACAACTTCCCCACAGGCCCATCATGTGGAATCGGGTACGGGACAGGTGTAATCGCATTGAACCAGAAGACACCATCCTTGTCACTGCGCATGATGCAGCGGCCGTCTGGCCCGTCGCGACCTGCGTACTGCACGTCATAGTGTCCTGTAGAGTCTGTTTCCCAGATATCGATCTTGACGCCCTCAACGGGGTTGCCGTTGGTGTCGCGGAGGGTGCAGACGACGAGGAGAGGCTCGCCCTTGGGATCGTGGGACATGGAATCGCCCTGCGCCATTTCCTCTGCTTCGTGGGTGTGGAAGGGGCCGAGGACGGTGCCTTCCGTGGAGCCTTCTGGTTTGGGGTGGTCGATGGAGTCGACTAGAATGGATAGACCGAGGACGTCGGAGAGGAGGATGAATTCCTACCAGTAACGAGTCAATCTTCATGTTTTTTGTACAAGTAAGCGGGAAGAACATACCTGTCGCACATCACTGCTAATCTGCCCGACCTCTTTCAAAAAGTGCAATCCGGTCATCCACTCGCTGGAGCTCAATCTGGTTTCACGGGCGAAATCGTGGAGGTGGGTGACCAGTCTCTCGAGCACATATTTCATGCGCTCGTCTTCACAGAGGGAGTTGATCCGGATGACGTTTTCTGTGATGTTGTCGACCGTGAGGTTCTTCATCGGTGGGATCTTGACCTGAGATGGATCCATGGTGTCGGTATTGAATAATCAGAGATAGAATTGAGTTGTTATTATCGACTGGATGAAAGATAAATGAATTAGCAACTGTCTTCGTTGGCTATGCAAGTAAGTAGCTCTCAAAATGACGAAACCCGATGGAAGACAAACCTAGCTGTATTCCCCAACCAAAGGTAAAGCTAATAGTAACTTATGAGAGATATTTTAAAAAGGCCAAAAGTAGACAACCAGAATCCACAAAATCAACCACCAAAAAGAAAGCCCAGCAAGAGGACAGGGCGAGCCTTATGAAGGGCCACCCCGCAAAAGACAGCTCGGCACCCCGCCATGGCCTGCTATCCGAGTCGGCTCGATGACAGAGGAAAAAGGAGCATAAGGTAATGCTAGAATAAGCATCAGTGAATCCTCCCCGAGTCGTGAAACTGCTACTAGTGAGCGCTTAGCAGCAGGAATGGAGCATCATCCGTAAATCCGTGTGTGGTGGTGAACCAGAAGTTGAGACCCGCTGACAAAATGGGTCGCGATGATTGACTGAAGTCCACCATCGGGAATCCCCCTATCATTCTATCTACTCTTGATTGATTATTAGACACGGTTATAAATGCTGTTACTAGCTATCTTGTTATAATACTAATTTTTATCTTCATCTGCATCTTCATCTGCATCTTCATCTCAGATATCCCTAGATTTGCGTGGATCAATTCTGTTCTCCGCATCCCCACCTGAAGTTATCCCCATCGGAGCATAACACAGCCATGATGACCAACTAAGGAATCTATTCCGCACCAAGACGAGGTCTTCTTGCGGGGTGAATTCTGTCTGATTTCTATAGCACCGGATGCTGAACACCGACGACGGCTATTTTCTTTTCCTATGCCCCATCTCGCATAAATATTTTTGCGTTTGCCGCTTGGTGTGTACTGCACGATCGGCCAGAGAAAGTCCGTGGAATATCAATCAGATCAGGTGATTCTCATTTACATCCATCCAAATATATAATAATGTTCATCATACAATGATATAAAACTCCCAAATAAACAACCGGGGATATCCGCTAAACTCGCTCAGACAGTACAAGGCATATTCAAACACATTCTAGGATCGTCACGTCCAGACCAACATCTTGGACACAGAACCACAATCAAACAAAAACATGAAATTCCAATTCAAGAAAAGAGTGGGGAACAAAGCATGCAGACAAGAGCCTTACGCTCTCACCATTTTCCGCTCTCGCTCTCTCTCCCTCTCTCGTTCTTGTTCCCGCTCCCGCTCTCGATCATGATTGATATTCATGTTATTCTCCCCTTCTTTCCCGGTTGTTGTTACTCGGGCATGATGGTCGACTGTGTCCAAGATGGCTTGCATCAGTCTCTGGTTGGCACCAGGGTCATCATCATCTGGGACAGGATCGGTATTACGGTTGATACTGACCCGTCTGTCGTGACTCGCCATTGCGCTTCCATGGATCTCACTCATGGCCCGTCTGGGTGACATCTCCTTTCCTAACGGAGTTCCTGGGGCTGGACCCGTAGTTGGCGCGGATTCTCTTCGCGCATTGAAGTTTGAAATATGTTCGGCCCCCCGTTCCCGTCCCCGTGGCTGTTCATGTACATGCTCTGGAGCAAATGACGCTGGGGTGGGGACAGATGTGGGGACTGTCACTGCCGCGGATGATGGGTCGGTTGGTGGAGCGTCTTCGGCGTGTGCCCGGGGAAGGCCGTCGATTCGAGTTTCTCGTAGCTCATCCTCTTTGACATCCTTCCAGGAGCACTTGGCATGCTTTTTCGTACAGCCCATGCATGCAGTCAGGTTCTTGAGGCAGTCCATATGTAGACGGCGACACCGGTCGCATGGTGGTAGGATGCGATCCCCTCGTTGCAGCTCCTCCATTCGAGCGACCATTTCCATCTTGTAGGGACCACCGTCATCTTTCTCGTGACTGTTCGACTTGGGAGGAGGAAGTAAAGAGGAGGGGGTGCTCGGGATTGCGACGGTGGTCGGGGCGGGGTTGTTGTAGATGGTGCTAAGATCTGCCGTCGCATCCGAGGCTCTCGGCCGGGGACGCGATGACTGACGGGCCATTTGCCCAGGCGGATCCTCGTAGCCACGCGCTTGACGGTCCGCAGTGGTGAAGAATTTCTTCATCAACTCCATTCGGGTCGTCGGAGAGGCGCCTTTGATGGAAGTCCCGTTGATGATAGTAACGTTTTCTGTGTTTGAGTGGGAGAACATGAACTGTGAAGACAGCGATCCTTCTTCTCCCATAGGCTCCCCTGCGGGACGGTTGGCGTTGACTGCGACAAAGCCGGCCGAGGGAGACTGGACATTGGAAGAACCGTTGCCGTTTAACGGATTCTGGCCGTTGCCATTGGCATCTCGCCACGTGGGGCTGATAGAACGAGCCTGCTGGTTGTGGAGGACAAGATCGTTCTCCCGTCGGCTGACGATAGCTGTTCGACGGTTCTTGAGACGGTAAGTGAGTTGTCTTGCTCGGGCAGATACTGAATCGGAGAATTTATGTTAGCGACCGATTGTTAAGACGCGCGAAAGAGCAGAGTAAGGAAAACAAAGCAACCAACCTTGATCGGCGATTTGGGTGATCTGCTGCAAGTTCTTCTCCAGAATCTCCAACGCACCCAGTTCCTTTTCTTCATCCTCGATGATGGGTTGTGGGGGGATCATTTTCTGTGGCATGCCCGAAGCGATCAGCACAAAGTCCTCCTCACTGATCTCTACCCGACACTGCTTGGTGTAAAACTGGCAAACCCGCACGCCATTGCGGGATTTTTCCAGATTGAACTGCTCCGGTTTGCTCTTGGCGAATTCGACCACATCGAGCCAGGTGATATTGGGCGAGTCCTTGCCGTGCGATTTCAGCACGCGCGGAGGGCCATCGAACAGACGCTCGAAGCGCTTGATCAGAATGGGACCCAACGGACAAGCGCCCAGGTTCCCGGCGATGCTTTCGTGACGATGGAGAACACCATCATATTCGCCGATCAAGTGGACAATGGCGGGCATGCTATCATCAACGGAGACCAAGGGGAGGTTGTCAGGATACTGGCGGGCGAGATAGTTGATTTGCAGGTGATTCGATTGCGTCTTGGGAACTTTGGATGCGATAGTAGGGAAATCGCCCGAGGGTGATCGAGGTCGTTTGCTGGACGAGGACGGCTCAGCCGTCGGGGTTCTCGACTCCATTGCGACGAATTTTTCGTGAGGATCAAGACCCAGACACGATGTTTGGTTAAGAAGTTGAAGGGGAAAAAAAAGCGACGATAAAGTAGATCGATCGCAAGAAAAATAAAATAGAAATAAATATGAAAAGTTAATTAAGAAGAAATTCAATCAGTAAAAATGGCAGTTCGTGGAAGAAGAAAGAGGCTGTTGAAGAATGTGTCGCCGATGGCGGAGCATCAGTAAGGCCCCCAAACCCCAAAAGACAGATTCCAGAACGAGAAGAAAGAAGAAGCGAAAGAAAGGGCAAGAACAGAGGAGCAAGTCAAGACGCCAGAGAACCGAACAAAAGGCAAAAGAACGAAAGGAAAGGGCCGAGGGGAGGGAGGGGAGGAGAGGAGAGGAGAGATGGAGAGAAGCGCAGGGGAGAGGAAAGCAGGAAAGGTGGAGAGGCGCGGGAATATCGTGCGGGCGGGTCGGTTAGTTGGACGGAGGACGAACAAGTAGTGGGCAAAATACGGGTTGCGCCCAATGAACAGGCATCCTCGTCATGCTGTCCACATGGCCTGGCGGAACGGGAAAGCGTTGCTGCTGGCGTTGCTATTCGGGATGTCATCCGTATTCTGGTGTTATTGTATCATGATTATCTGGCTCGTTGGCCACGGGGAGAATTGGCGATGAGCAGGCTGAGTGCCAGAGCGAGAGAGAGAAACAAGGAGAAACCAGAGAAACGAGAGGGGGCGGAGTCCCGCCGGGCTTTTCCGCTGTCGGTGTGGCCCGGAGAACGGAAGTTACGGTAATTACCATACGTTCTGATACTTCAGGTTGTGTTGACATTTGCTGATAGGCATGATTCGCATTAATTATTAGTTAAATATCTATTCTATCAAGAGTATAGCTCTAGATGATGCTCTATCTAGATACGGTCTGGGCCTGCGAACGGACTCGCTCAAAGGGTTCCGGGGCTACTCCCAAGCTAATTCGGCATGGAGTAAGGTGTCGAATCCACCGGGTTGCATCTGCGCTTCTTTCACAGACTTCACAGTAGTCGGATGACGCGATCTGGTTCTGTTCATCTAAGCCCTGATATACCAACGATCCTAAAACATTCTGCCTTCTGCCACGTAACGCCTCAACAGGTTGTAACTTGTAAGCCACTAGATCCAGCCGCGCTGTGCGCTCCGCCCAATATTGCTGCCTGAGGGTATCTATGTGGTATCGTACGGTACGGCACGGTAATCTTGGCCCGAAAGGGTCGTTACTTGCCGCCCACTCCACTGCTTGAGGTGTGGAACAACCGGGTAAGATTGCCTGGGAAACTGGTATCGTATGGTAAAACAGCGATCCTGTGACACACGGACATTTCTGCTGCTAATTCTGCAGCTTCAGTGGCATCTTCCTTGGATGTGAGTGCTTCTCACTAAACTGCTTGCTAGCTGTGCAAATCAGATCCACTGGATTCCAATCCCTCTTTAATCTTATCCTTTTTTCCTGCTGCCAGCCTCATCTTTGTCAAGTGACTTTCTTTTTTTTGCCCACTCTCTTCTCCCACCGCTTACCCCTCCTTGAAAATCCATCACCCGAGGGCCCTTTTCCCCAACCATCCAGGTGTAACACGCCCCTCTTCCCCATCAGACCAAACATATCTCTTCCCTCAACCCCTCTTCTTCTTCTCCCCTCTCACAAATCCTACCTTCACTAGGCCAAGCCATGTCCGAACGAGGCTCGTTCCGAGGGGGCCGTGGCCGCGGCGGCGGAGGTTACGACAGGTCAGGCGGCCGTGGCGCCCACTCCACCCAGCACAGAGGTGGCGGTGCAGGTGGCGGTGCCCAGCAGCAGCAGGAGAAGCCCAAGAAGGAGAACATTCTTGATCTCACCAAGTATATGGACAAGGAGGTCAAGGTCAAGTTCAACGGTGGCCGAGATGGTGAGCTATGAGTTCCTGAGTTATATTTTATATCAATACTAACCATAGCAGTCACTGGAACCTTGAAGGGTTACGACCAGCTTATGAACTTGGTTTTGGACGATGTCAAGGAAGTTATGCGTGGTAGGTTTAATTTGACAGCCTTGTTGATCCCTGTCTGACAATGCCTCTAGATGACGAAGGCAACGAGACTACCCGCTCTCTCGGCCTGATTGTTGCCCGTGGCACTTTGATTGTCCTCATCTCCCCTGCCGATGGCAGCGAGCAGATCGCCAATCCTTTCATGCAACAGGAAGAGTAAACAGCGGATTGAACTTCAACGGCATCTGCTATCTCTAGTCATCGTTTCGACTTTCTAGTCCAAATAGAAGATGACTAAGTTGAGAACCAAACAGAGCAGTCGATTCTTGATCAAATAACTCCTGGGTCAATTTTGAAATCGCTGAGCCTGTCTCGAAGCCTTGCCTTTTACTCGGCGGGTGCTCGACGCCAACATCTTAAGGAACGAATGAAAACGACGAAACGTACGCCTATGTCCGATGTGTATCATAGATCCTATTCTGAATGCATGACTTTCATTCCTCGCCTGGACCCCGAGCTCAAGTGGGAATGCATCGGAGATTCGAGCGGGATGAAGATCTCGCATTGGCTATATGCATTAATATAAGCAAATAATTGAACCAAAAACATTCAAATACGAGTAAGAGTTGCATTGACTACCTATTTTAAGAGGACTCCATAGAAAGAGAAACATTAAACTGCCCACATCCAATCATTATGAATTCTTCAACATCGTATTACACTAATTGATCATCCAGAATGAATCAATCGCATCTCTTCGCTACCGGAGTTGTCGTCATCCGTCCCAGGTCTCTAGTGCATGATCGCTTCTCATTCGAGTTAACAATACGATTACGAGCACTCCATGTGAAGATCCACCGATATAAAAAGAATATACCATTCCCCTGTTTCTGTCTTTCCTTTTAAATAAAAATCTTTGAACTCGACAGAATTATCTCCTTGATCAATATCTGTTATGAAGACTCAATATCTCGTGCCGTTGGCAGTGCTGCCCTTTGCTCTTGCCATTGCTCTCCCAGCCCACCATGTTCTGTACGAAGATCATGGCACCATCGATTCCAACGTCTTAATTGACTTCTTCTCAGATTCCACTCAGGATGATACAAGCTTACTGACCAGTGGCAATGCATTGGATGACCCCTCTAGAACAACCCTCACCAACGAACAATACACCATCAACTTTTTCAACACCATCAACGTCCAAGACAACAGCAACAGCATCCCCCAAAATCTAGACCATGACCTCCCATCCTGCACCGATAAAACAATCTACGAACTCCTCACAAACAGTAAATCCACCACCATCCTCGCGGCCATCATCAACGACGACAAATACCTCATCGACACCCTCAACACCACAAATGCAAACATCACCGTCTTCGTTCCCACGGATTCGGCCTTTGCCAAAATCCCCGAAGACGCCCCTAGGGCTTCCAAAGAGTTTATCCGGAATGCTATCCTCTATCATGTCCTCCCGGGTGTTTATCCTGCGCATCGCATCTTTGATGCCCGCACGCTTCCTACGTTTTTGAATGGGTCGGCTCTGGGCGCAGATCTTCCTCAGAGACTGGCTGTGCGAGGTGGCGGTGCGAAGACGGGGTTGACGGTGAATCCTTATAGTCGTGTCAACGATGCTGATATCGTATGTTTCTATCTGTCATATCATGTCTGCCAGAAAGAAGAGACTAAACTAACCCAAACACCCCCAGACTACCTCAAACGGCCTCATCCACACCATAGACTCCATCCTCATCCCGCCCCCTCAATCCCTCACCCTCCTAAACATCGTCCCTGCAACATTCAGCACCTTCACACTAGCCCTTCTTCAAACAGGCCTCTCTACAGCCCTAGACACATCCGCCCACCACGGTGCCACCATCTTCGCCCCAACGAATAAAGCCTTCCTAGCCCTCGGCCTCAAAATAAACGGTTTCCTCTTCTCAAACCCAGGAAGGAAGTACCTACGCGCCTTGATGAAGTACCATATTGTCCTGAACAGGACTCTGTACTCAGATGTCTTTTACACTGTTGATGGGGATGTTGATTCCTTGGGTGAGGATGGGTTCACGAATCTCGACTTGCCTACTCTCTTGGTTGATCATAGCTTAGCTGTTGATGTGGCCCGGCGCGGTTCCGAGATCTCGATGAGGGTTAATGGATTCCAGTCGGTGGCATTTACGGATGCATTGGCCGAGGATGGGGTTGTGCATCTGCTTGATACCGTTTTGATTCCACCTAGAAAACCCAGTGATAGCTCCAGTGATGCTTCAGCATTGACTATTGAGGAGCTGAAAGATCACTTAAGTGATTGGGTTGCGGAACACGATGATGTGGGGTCTGTTCATGGCGAATTGTAATGTAAACTTCAATACCTAGGCATTTGTGGTTTCCTGCTACGATCCACAAGCAGCTCATTTGAATAGCATGGATATATTTCTAATCAATAATTTCTGTATCTTTTCTGTATATCAGAGGCAAAAAATCTGTCAAGTGCACACAACACATCGTATGCTCATTCTGTTCTGTGGCATGGCACAAATCCACAAATGTTGACGTGACTTCAGAAAATCACTGGTCACGGATAAAAGACAACTTGATGGCAGAGACACAATCTCTTTTTGCGAACACTTTCTTTTGAGATGTTCGCAAGTCAAAAGAAGACACCTTAAAATTCAACAATTTCATGTTCCCAGTAGACAGCGCCCGTCTGCCCATGTTTTTACCGACTCATAATCATCTCTTATTCCTTCGACATATATAAGTTCTGTCATTCATCGTTAAGCCATGAGGCTGAACGCCCTTCTCCACAAAAAGGGCATATGAGAAAGGTGGCTCAGTGAAGCCTTCTTGCGGGCTTCAGCAACGCCTGGAAGGATGATTCGAGTGCCTTCTTGAGCTCTTTGTAGCTGACAACAAAACAGCTCTGCTCATCTCGACTCACTAAAGTGATCTTCTCGTCTGTTCCGGCGTCCAACTTGTTCAAACATGCAAGTATATGACCCAAGTCCACTACGGGATCACCTTGTGTGTCCACTTGGTGAAATACGTAATCCCGGAAGATCTTCAAGAAATATCGCTCGCCGTTTTCGGACCATTGCCTATCGTGTTCGTATTCTGGCCGTTCATTGACAAGGTTGAGTTTTGCCATCAATCGCACGAGGCGGCCATTTTCGAGTTCGCGACTCAAATCTGATGTGAGTTGATCATCCAAATGCAAGGCCGAATCGAAAGTTGACATCAGCTGTGACGATATGCCGGTGATGAAGATGTCAATGTTTCTTTCTTGGTCCTTCTGCAACCCACTGAGCAGCCAAAAGACAGAATTCTTCAATTGAGGACTGTAGGCACGCGTAAAATGCTCCATGGACTTTGTGGGGTTATGCATGACATTCGGCGAATTGGAACCAAGAGTAACGATCAGTTGCCCAAAATTGACCAAATCCTGGCGTTGAAGGTCGGCAACTGACCGCTGCGTATCAAACTGAACGACATCCATAATGGCACAAGCATTCAAGCGAATGCGGTTCTTTCCAGTCAACAGAATTTTACTGGGGTCTATAATTCTTGCCGCAAGACCATTGCTGTGAATGGCCTTAAGAGCATTCGCGATCTGGGTCATGTAACCCCAGAGAACTTGCTCGGAAATGTGCACATTGTGTCGGACTTGGAATCTATTCCCAGCACCAAGGTGTTGTTCAGCAAGTGTTTTCGCAAGTGGGTGGTAGTCAGTGACAAAAATCAATGAACTATCTTGGAAGCTTCTGCTCGTAAAAGCATCATGAACAGTCACAACACTGCCATTACACACCCGTTTCCAAGCCTGGACGGATCGGATGGCCTTTTCATTTGTCAAACGAAAGCCTGTAAACAGTCAGAGCTTGCCCAGGCAAAATAACATTGAATCAAGACATAGTATACCTTCCAGTCTCCGAAGTGCATAAAAGTTTCCATCCTTATTAGACTGTGCTTTGTATACCCAACTAGGATAGCCGAAAATAGTTGCGTTCTTCTGATGATTCAAATCCAAAGGAACAAGGGAATGGAAGTAATCGACTTGGGCCGGCAGCTGGGTGTCTGACCTGGAGTCAGCCTCTTAGTTCTCGTTGAATTATTACACCAACGTACTGGGCAAGGTCTGTAGCGTAGCGGCAGCTTTCTTTTGCAAATCTTCTCGAAGATCATTGGGGAGGAAAAGGTCGTGGACGTTGCGTTGGTACCCCAGAGTGTTCTGACTGTGGGGTCCAATAGGTGCGTAGAGATGATATTGAACCTATGGAAGTTAGTTTTGGAAGAGAGAAAAAAAGAGTCCAGGGGCGCAGCTAAAAAAACTCACCGGCTGTTGGAAACCGCTCTGGCTTGCAAAAAAGGTGGCCCCGCTCAGTGCGGCAGCGGTGCTATCGTGCGAATAAGGGTTTGCTTGAACGGAGCTAACAGCGGCGGCAGCAGAAAGAGGGGTCGAAGCTGTCACAAAAGGATCGAAAGCACTGGTGGCCGCAATGCCATTGCCATTTCCTTGGAGAGAAGCCTGCAAAGTTGAGTTAGCGTTCGAAAGGCAGATGCTAGAAGTACGCCTTTTGAAGCGAACACCTTGATCCAACACAGGTGATGGGGTATCTCTGTCTGGCTCAGAAGAAAATGACTTTGTGCGGCGAAGCAATGAGGGGCTCGGGTCAAAATCATCAGCAAGGGCATTCAAATAGCGAGAGCACGGCATGTTAATGGTTGAACTCCTGATAGATTAGAGGCCTGCTCTAGCAGCTTGAATATTGCCCAAGTCATAATTTATGATTCTAAAACCCCGAGGAGGCCCAGACGCCCTTTTAAACACCGAGCTACTTTTCAAATGGCAAAGGCAACTATGGGAAGGAAGAGTTCCATATGGGGAAGCAGCAGCCGGGGATGGCAGCCGGACAGGCGTGAACAAGGAATGTGCAATCTTACCAAATGAGAAGCGTCAAATCCCTGGGGAAAGAACTCTGGAATTTCTGATACAGCCCAGTCAGGAGTCGCTGTTTCCTGTCGAGTAGTTGGAGTACTAGAGTTTGATCCTTTTTTTTGTCAGCGAAAGAAAAAACTACTGGACGATATTACACGAAGTGTGGAGGAACACACGTGATATAGCACCCCGAGGTTGGAACGGAGCCGCATTTGCAGCTTTCGGAGATATGGTGGCCAATTTCTTTGCTGATGACGCAGGCGAGCCATTGGCAGACAGTGAAGAGGGGGTGAAGCTTGGGGAGTCGACATTGAAGCGCTTTCTATTGCTGGCGCTACAAAAAGATTCCTTGTAAGCCAAATTTCCATCCTGTAAATCAAACCTGACTTATGAATTCGGCTTTAACAAAAGTCAACTGGGTATCCTAACCTGTCCGACTGATATGCCGGGTTGCCTCGATGCGGGTCGTGATTGAAAGCGCAACCTTTACGCAAGCATGCCAACGTCAGAATGAATTCGCATTGTAGGAGTATATATTAAGGACTAAAGGAAAAGAGTAGCACCTTTATCTTCATATCGACATCGACCGTAGATGGTTACATTGCGACATAAGGTGTCTTTCGCATTCTCTAGAAGGAACATATCGTTAGCAATTTCTTTCGAGTTTCCATTGACACTTCCCAGAACCAAGGACCGGCTAACCTCGTGCCTTCAGCTTTGGAGATCCCGTCCCACGACGGGAATCGTCCAGAGCAGGCTTCCCGGCGGAAGCCATGATATCTCCACAGTTGGGCGCAGATCAGCGTAGAGAAATCTCCATTGAATTAAAACAGAGGAAAACCGGACGACCGAATGTGTCGAGAGGAAACCACATTCCTCTATACAAGAAAAGTCGTGACCTTATCCAAGAAGTGGTGAGACCCGCGTTGTTGATTCCGCGTCGAGTAGGTAAGGTGGATGATTCACTCCACTAAAGCAGCTAGCTAAGAACAGCTCGAGAGTTCGAAATTATTTTTCCAACAAAATCAAAAATTATAAATCCAAGTAGGCCAACCGAGAGAACACCACAAGCAGAGGATAGCAACGAAGCCACCTTCACGCCATGGGACGGAGTGGGCTGAGATCGCAAGGGAACGAGGGAGGACTCAAGCCCGCGGGGAGAGGGGGCAACTCGAAGACAGCCTGCTGCAAAGTTGGCCCGTGCACGAGGCGGTCAAGCGCGCGCTTAGCGTCACTGGAAGCGGCGATGACGGAGCTCAGGAACAAGATGACAGCTAGCTGAATTGTTTCCCCCTACGACGTTGTTGCATCGTGCTCCTAGTCTTTTGACTTACGTTTCATACTGATCATTGAATGAGGGGTTGCTCGAAGGCCTAATCCTTTGTGATAGAGCCCTGTTGTCTGCCCAATTCGCAACATTCCACGCCACCTCCGGCAAATCCATGGAGACTGCCTAGGACGGTGTACCTTATTGCTTCTATTTCCTTTGTTTCCTATGGATCAGAGACCTTGATACATAATGTCGTCGTCTGACGTTGATATTGACCGACTCACAGACAGCGAGAAAGCTGCTCTTGAAACCTACACAGCGGTGACCGGTCAGGAACCCTCGGAGGCCATTCCTTTGTTGCGCCGCTCGCAATGGAACATACAGGTTTGTTGCAGGCCCAGCAGATAGCAGATATTAGAGGGGCTTTGCTGACGTATAGCTTGGAAGATTGCGGTATCTAAATTCTTCGACGGCGAAGGGCCGGATCCTGTCGAAGAAGCCCGTGCATCTCTCGAAAATGCTCCCCCAGCTCGATCGAACCGCCAAACCCAGAACCTCATGAGTGAAGATCTCTCTGCACAATTCTTCCCCGCTGCCCGAGCCGTTGAATCTGCTCCTCGAATAACAACACAACCGGAAGATCAAACTGTCTACCGGCCCCCTTTTCTATTGGCTATATTCTTTACGCCATTTAACCTTCTCTATCGAATACTCTGCGGATCCTTCCGTCTCTTTGGGGCATTGTTCCCATTCCTTCCACGCTTTTTCAATGTGACAGCAAACCCGGCCCTCCAGGGGGCCCGGCGAAATACTAACGGGCGAAGGCCTCTAGCTCCTAAGGACACGGCCGCCAGATTTATCCGAGAGTTCGAGGAGGAATACGGAACCAATTCGCTTGGATTTCTGGAAAATGGATACAACATGGCATTGGAAAAAGCCCATCGGGATCTCAAATTCCTCCTTGTAATCCTTTTGTCGCCTGAACATGACGATACGAGCGGCTGGGTGCGAGATACGTTACTTTCGCGGGAGGTGACCGAGTTTATCAACGACCCTCAGAATGATCTGGTTGTTTGGGGAGGTAATGTGCAGGATTCTGAAGCTTATCAGGTCTCGAACTCCCTCCGATGCACCAAATTCCCGTTTGCCGCAGCAATGGTCCATACTCCCAGTGTATCATCGACGGCAATGTCCGTCGTTTCCAGGATCTCAGGGACTACATCGCCGTCGGAGTTTGTGGAAAAACTTCGGACGGCCATCTCACAAAACAAGGAACCCCTGGAGCGGATTCGGTCTACACGCGCTGAGCAACAGGCTTCCCGTAGCCTTCGGGAACAGCAGGACTCGGCGTATGAACGCTCCCTGGCTATTGACAGAGAGCGCGCGAGACAGAGACGTGAAGCAGAGGCTGCTAGGCAACGGGAGGAACAGGAGGCAGCGGAACGACGAGCGGCAGAGGAGAAGCGCGTACAAGATCTCCAGCAATGGAAGCTATGGCGGGCACAATCAATTCCTGATGAGCCAGGAGCAGATGTCAAGGATGCCATCCGTATTAGCATTCGACTACCCACGGGCGAGCGTGTCATTCGAAAATTTACTCCTGAGGCTGATATAGAAGTGCTCTACGCATTTGTGGAGTGCTACGACACCTTGCAGGAGCTGCAGCAAGGGGCCAGCCGTGCGCAAAAACCCGAAGGATTCGATCATCAGTATGGGTTCCGACTTGTTTCACCCATGCCCAGGGCTGTGTACGAGGTGGACGCTGGCGGGTCGATTCGGGACAAGATCGGTCGGGGAGGCAATTTGCTTGTTGAACCAATCAATGATGAGGATGACGACGAAAATGAGGAGGAAGAGTCATAATACCAATAGCAAAGGCGCTTGGGATGATATGTATGGTTTTGGGCAAGATTAATAGACTCAACTGTTTTCTCTACAACTTCTTTCCTCGTAGATATGCCATCTCCGCGTACATTGATTATTAGATCCACATCAAAGGAGCCGCATGGGGGCTGAGCCATGTTTCATAGAAAGGATTAAGGATTTGGCATCTAGGGAAACCGCCAGTCCGGGATTCGGGTAGATGCAATTGGTACGAACCGTGCACGCGGGAGTTCACTGCTCCGCAGCCCAGTGGAGCGCATCACTGCATTATCATTGTTTAACATATGCACGTTGCCAGCCACGAAGATGTTAGTTAAAGCTAGTGATTCATAATATCACCTGCACATGAAATGATAACTTATCCATACAATATATGTTTGCCATTTCATTCCAAATATTAAGGCGGTCTGTTGAGTCATCTTGAAAGGTTGACGCGCAATGAAGATCCCTGATCCTTGACGCCGAGAATTAAGCATGATAATTTCAGAAGTCCGAAATTACGGGACTTGGGCTTTTAGTACAATGCGATCCGAGATGTAATTTTGATCCGGTTGTTCTTGTGTCAAAATGTCAATCTTGTCGATCTTGTGTGCATCGACCCCATACTCCATACCAGTTACCATAGATGGTATGCGATAAGCTACCTTACTGCCGCGCGGTCAGCTTTTGAGCATGAGTCCAGTGGCACTACTGATTCTGAAAACAGTTATCGTTTGTCATGTTCCTGCCCTGCTTCATGAAGACGTTCAAGATGGAAAGCATAAGTTTAATAAGCAGCGTATAACTCAAATTTAACCTCAGTTGTGCTCGGATCCAGACGTGTCCGATACCGTACCGTAACGGCTTCTCTGCCCATCGAACCGGCTTCGGATCGTTTCAGTCCCGCCCCACCCTGGAATGCCCCCTTTTGGTGTTGCCACAGCCCAGGCACACAATCCCATCTATGTGGGTAGTGCCACTGTCACACAGTTGGCCATGAAATGCAAAGTCTATCTTGGATGCCTGGACCCTCCATCGGGCCCAAGCGATTCAATTGCATTCAATCATCCAATGGACTGGACTTTGTCATTTTGACTCGAATTAAGTAATAATGAGCATTGTTTGATGACTCGTGTCTCGTGTTGAGACGGTGTGAGCACAATAATCTTAACACATGGACATTATGGACTCCCTTACATTGTACTCTGCATTACGTATGGCCACGTGGAAAGCAGATGCCAAATGGTGAATGGACTTGTTTTCAGAATGCCTTGATGGGGGTGGGAATGTATCATCCTGCAATCCAGACATCCCTACTCCCTACTCCCTAACGACTCCCTAGGTATCCTACCTTAGCCTGCTATGTATCAGGATAGATAAAATGGATAATTCGTATCAACGCTCATGCCCGAAAAAGCATCTGCAAAGCCACTTAGAAATCAGAAACAGAGGCGTTAGGTCCACCGGCGCAGTTTATCTCCGTCCCCAGTGCGTATTATACGGTAATCCGCCGTATTATTTAGTGTTCGGGAGGGCAGCCAAACATCGTCCGACCCGGATTGAATGCTTTTGCTCAACCCGATTCGCGATTCAGGGCGAAGGTGAGCTTAAAATCGGGCCTAGAATTTTTCAGTCTTACGACCCTGTAACAAGCATGCGAGTTTAATGCATTACTTTAGGTTGTTCCTCCGAAGCCCTTCTCCAGCTACTCCTCGCTGGATCTCCCTTCTTTTCTTTAATTACTTGTCACCCCCTCCCTGGGTTGTCGTCTTAATACTCTTATATACCCTTATATACCCTATTCTTATTCTTAATTTTTATACACCTATTGTGATACCCCACACCTAATCCTGAGACTGAGCTTCTCAGCTTCACATCACCATGTCTCTCCTAGGGACGTTAAACCCTAATGTTAATCCCGAACGTACGGTGGCCGGGCAAGGCATCGACATTGAAGAGGAGGAAGCTCGAATCGAAGCCAACAAGCATGATGGAGGCAGCCTGAGCACCGATGACACAGCACTGGACCGAACACACGAAGTGGGCAACGAGGCCGTTGCCGACGAGGAAATCACTCGCCTGGCCCAGCGATTAACACGCCAGTCAACCGCCAACTCTGCCATCGCCGGTGGTGAGAACCCGTTTCTTGAAACAAAAGAGGATTCCACCTTGAATCCTCACAGCCCGAACTTCAAGCCTCGGAATTGGATGAAGAACCTGCTGGCACTCAGCGCTCGCGACCCAGAAAGATACCCCCGCCGTTCGGCAGGTATTGCATTCAAGAACCTCAGCATTCATGGATTCGGCAGCCCAACGGATTACCAAAAGGATGTGTTCAACTCGGTTTTGCAAGTCGGAACCCTTTTCCGCGCCATGACCGGCACCGGCAAGCAGAAGATCCAGATTTTGCGTGACTTTGATGGTCTTGTCAAGAGCGGAGAAATGCTCGTGGTATTGGGCCGACCTGGAAGGTATGACGGGTTCTCGACTTCTACAAACATATCCTTCTGATATTGGTGCTAACCAGTCTTTCAAAGTGGTTGCTCAACTTTCCTGAAGACCATGGCCGGCGAGATGAACGGTATTCACATGGATGAACAGTCTCATCTGAACTACCAGGGTAAGGACTTGACCCCTTGCTTTCCACATGGTTTACTCAACTGACTTACTAATTCCAATTCTAGGTATCACTGCCAAACAAATGCGCAACCAATTCCGAGGTGAAGCTATCTATACCGCCGAAACCGATGTCCACTTCCCTCAGCTTTCTGTTGGCGACACTTTGAAGTTTGCGGCCCTTGCCCGAGCTCCTCGGAACCGTCTACCCGGTGTTACACGGGAACAGTATGCAACGCACATGCGGGATGTCGTCATGGCCATGCTGGGTTTGTCGCACACGATCAACACCAGAGTTGGAAACGACTTTGTCCGTGGTGTCAGTGGCGGTGAACGCAAGCGTGTTAGTATTGCGGAGGCCACACTCAGTGGTAGTCCCCTTCAGTGCTGGGATAACAGTACTCGAGGATTGGATAGTGCGAACGCACTGGAGTTCTGCAAGACTTTAAACTTGATGACCAAATATGCCGGGGCTACTGTCGCTGTGGCTATCTACCAGGCCTCTCAAAGCGCCTACGATGTTTTCGATAAAGTGACTGTCCTGTATGAGGGCAGACAAATCTATTTCGGACGCACCGATGAAGCCAAGGAGTTCTTCACCACCATGGGCTTTGAGTGCCCTGAACGTCAGACAACAGCCGACTTCCTGACCTCCCTTACCAGCCCGTCTGAAAGACTTGTGAAGCCTGGTTTCGAGGGCAAGGTCCCCAGGACACCCGATGAATTTGCCGCTGCCTGGAAGAACAGCCAAGCACACGCAAACTTGATGAGGGAAATTGAGGAATACGAATCAACATACCCTCTTGGTGGTGCATCAGTGGACCGGTTTGTCGAATCTCGCCGAGCGATGCAGGCAAAGAACCAGCGTGTGAAATCGCCCTACACAATTTCTATCATGCAACAGATCAACCTCTGTATGGTTCGAGGCTTCCAGCGATTGAAGGGTGATGCCAGTTTGACCCTCAGTCAGTTGATTGGAAATTTCATCATGGCCTTGATTATTGGAAGTGTCTTCTACAACCTGCAACCCGATACCCAGAGTTTTTACTCCCGTGGAGCTTTGCTTTTCTTTGCTGTTTTGCTTAATGCGTTTTCTAGTGCGCTCGAGGTATGTGTTGAAGCAGATTCGGTTACCAAACCATATAAACAGTTGCTAATATCCTTCAGATCTTGACCTTGTACGCACAACGTCCTATAGTCGAGAAACAATCCCGTTACGCCATGTATCATCCGTTCGCCGAAGCCGTCGCCTCAATGTTATGTGACATGCCATACAAGATTCTTAATGCAATTACGTTCAACGTTACGCTCTATTTCCTTACGAATCTCCGACGTGAGCCTGGCGCATTCTTCGTGTTCCTTCTCTTCACCTTTATCGTCACTATGACCATGTCTATGCTCTTCCGAACGATCGCTTCTGCTTCTCGGACCCTATCTCAGGCTCTGGTGCCCGCTGCTATCCTCATTTTGGGTTTGGTCATTTACACTGGTTTCACAATTCCCACTCGAAACATGCTTGGCTGGTCCCGATGGATGAACTATATCAATCCCATCGCGTATGGCTTCGAAAGTTTGATGGTCAACGAATTCCATAACCGGAAATTCGAATGCGGTGATGCATTGGTTGTCCCAAGGGGTGATGGATATGATAACTTGCCATGGGCAAACAAGGTTTGCTCCACGGTTGGATCGGTCGCCGGAAACAAGGAAGTCCATGGAAACGACTATCTCAGCCAGAGCTTCCAGTACTACGCAAGCCACAAATGGCGAAACTTGGGTATTATGATTGCCTTCATGATCTTTTTCCTGGTCCTTCATTTGGCTGCTACCGAGTACATCTCTGAAGCCAAGTCCAAGGGAGAAGTGTTGCTTTTCCGCCGCGGTCAGGCTCCTCGTGGCAATGGATCGGATGATCTTGAGGTTACCCAACAGGTGGCCCCTGCTGAGAAGACCGAAGAATCGCACGAGCAAAAGGCTGGTGCTGGAATTCAGAGACAAGAGGCTATCTTCCACTGGCAGGATGTGTGCTACGACATCAAGATTAAGGGTGAACCTCGCCGTATTCTCGACAATGTTGATGGTTGGGTCAAACCGGGTACATGCACTGCTCTCATGGTTAGTAATTTGAAATGCCTTTGTATAAAACTCCTTTTACTAACTTTGCTTTAGGGTGTTTCTGGTGCTGGTAAAACAACGCTTTTGGATGTCCTTGCCACTCGTGTCACTATGGGTGTTGTCACTGGTGAAATGTTGGTTGACGGCCAGCCCCGAGACCAATCTTTCCAACGGAAGACGGGTTACGTGCAGCAGCAGGATCTTCACCTTCACACAACCACAGTCCGTGAGGCACTTCGATTCAGTGCAGTTCTTCGTCAACCTGCCCATGTCAGCCGCCAAGAGAAACATGACTACGTTGAGGAGGTTATTAAGCTCCTCGGAATGGAATCCTATGCTGATGCTGTTGTCGGTGTTCCTGGTGAAGGTCTCAATGTTGAACAACGTAAACGTCTTACCATTGGTGTTGAACTGGCAGCCAAACCCCAGCTGCTTCTGTTCCTCGATGAGCCTACTTCCGGTCTTGACAGTCAGACTTCTTGGTCTATTCTCGATCTCATCGACACCCTTACCCAACATGGTCAGGCTATTCTGTGCACTATTCACCAACCGTCTGCTATGCTTTTCCAACGTTTCGATCGTCTGCTGTTCCTCGCCAGGGGTGGTAAGACCGTCTATTTCGGCGACATTGGAGAAAAGTCATCTACTCTGGCTAGCTACTTTGAGAGGAACGGAGCCCCGAAACTGCCCGCTGATGCAAACCCTGCTGAATGGATGCTTGAAGTTATTGGAGCCGCCCCTGGATCGCACAGTGATATTGACTGGCCTGCTGTTTGGCGCGAGAGTCCTGAACGCAAAGCGGTGCATGGCCACCTGGCTGAAATGAAAGCAACATTGCCACAGAAATCGGCCGGAAAAACCGATGCTGATCCCAGCAGCTACAACCAATTTGCAGCCCCATTCACCGTGCAGCTCTATGAGTGTCTGGTTCGTGTCTTTTCGCAATACTGGCGGACGCCCATCTACATCTACTCGAAGACGGCTCTCTGTATTCTCACCTCGATCTACATCGGTTTCTCCTTCTTCCATGCGAAAAACAGTCAACAGGGTCTCCAGAACCAGATGTTCAGTATATTCATGTTGATGACCATCTTTGGTAACCTGGTTCAACAGATCATGCCTAACTTCTGTACTCAGCGTTCCTTGTACGAGGTTCGTGAAAGACCTTCGAAGACCTACTCATGGCAAGCCTTTATGACCGCCAACATTCTCGTCGAGCTTCCATGGAACAGTTTCATGGCCGTCATCATCTATGTTTGCTGGTACTACCCCATTGGACTCTACCGGAATGCCGAGGAAACAAACTCCGTCCACGAACGTGGAGCACTGATGTTCCTCCTCATCCTCACCTTCCTCCTCTTCACCTCGACTTTCGCGCATATGATCATCGCGGGTATCGAACTCGCAGAAACAGGCGGTAACCTGGCCAACTTGTTCTTCTCCCTTTGTCTGGTCTTCTGTGGTGTCCTCGCAACCCCCGAACAACTCCCCGGGTTCTGGATTTTCATGTATCGTGTCTCTCCATTCACATATCTCGTATCCGCAATGCTTTCCACCGGTGTCGGAAACGCACAGGCCACCTGCGAACCCGTCGAATTCATCTCCTTCGACCCTCCCTCCGGTACAACTTGCTACAACTACATGCAGCCTTACATCGAGGCCGCGACAACTGGATACCTCCAGAACCCGAACGCCACCAGCGATTGTTCCTTCTGCACCATCTCCTCGACCAACGCTTACCTGGCCCAGGTCGATGTCTACCCCAAGGACAGCTGGCGGAACTTTGGCCTCATGTGGGTCTACATCGTCTTCAACATCTTCGGAGCTGTTTTCATCTACTGGCTTGCTCGTGTCCCCAAGGGTAACAAGACCAAGAAAACTAACTAGGGGCCTTTTTAATTTTTTCTTTTCTTTTTTTCCCATAACCATTTACTGCTTTCCCCTCCTGCATCCTTTCTTTGAATAAAAAGAATGAATTCATGATGTTGATTATGTGGTGGAAATTACTCGTTTTTGGATGTACCACAATTTTCTTTTAATGTTAGATGTTTTGCTACTTTGGCGGACATGGAATTTCAGTGTTGTTTTCTAACCTTTTCTCTTCTCTGTGCATATTGGATTATATGGATTTTGTCTTTGGCGATTTGCATCCATTTCATACATAGGCTTCTTATTTTGCCTACATTGCTAAAATTCACGTTTTAAACTTGCTAGATACACTGGACATAATATAGCTAGCTCAATTAAATTAAGTCTACAAAATTTACTACAAGTGAAATTCCTGCATACTTTTCATAAGATGAATTGCATCATTGGTATCTTTGACATGAAAGAAGTGTTACAAGTAAATGTAAAGGGTAAAAAATATTTTAAACAGAGAAAGAAATAATAGTGGCGCTTATGCAGATAAAATGTAAAACAGAGAAAAAAAAAAAAAAAAAAAGAATGAGACAAGCACGTATGTAATATCTACCAAGTAAAAGCCTCCTCGGCAAAATCCACAACAGCCCCTATCCCGATATTAGACCTCGCAGCCGCGCGCACCTCATCCGCAAAAGCACCAGGCCCACAGACAGAGACGATCGTCGCGCCGACGCGTTGCGGTATGATCTCGTTGAGAACAACGTCTGGCCGACATCGTCCGGGGAACATTTGCACGGTAGCGGACGGGGAGACGATCTCGCGACTGCTTTTTGGTTTGGAGACAAAGAGTTTGATGGTGAGGATGTCGCGGCGGTTGGGGAGGCGGAGGATTTGGTCCATGTACTCGTGTACCCAGGTGAGGTGGTCTGTGTTGCGGACGGACCAGATGAGGTAGACTTTCTGGGTTGCGACGCGGCCTTCGGAGGCGCGGAGGATGAGATCGCGGACGAAGAGCATGTGGTGGGTGATGCCGGCACCGGCGGAGAAGAGGACGGCAGTGCCGTAGCTGCCCATGTTGGTGGCGTGGGAAGCGTAGGGTCCCTCGATGTAGCCTGATGTGAAGAGGGTTTGGTTGGGGGAGGCGAGAGCAGCGTTGTACAGTCTGCGGGTCATGCCTTGGCGTGCTCCGACAATGAGGGAAACAGAGGTGGGTTGTTGGTTGCCTTCCATGTATTCGTCCAGACCTGCTGGTTGCTTTTCAAGGAGCGATGGGTCTAGAGATGAGGAAGTAGAATGGCTTCGGGTCATGGTTTTCGAAGATGTGTATGGGGTGACGGCATTGCATGGGTCGACCCAAGCGACTGAAAATGGGTGGGACATCCACATCGCGACGCTGGGAATGTAGGCGTACACATGACAGCCAGGACTGATACGGACGCGCTTGGGGAGGTGAAAGGTTACTCGACATGCCTCACCGGGCAAAGCTTCGACAGCGAGCTTGGTGACTCCGTTCTTCATGGAGAAATTGAGGTATAAAAGTCGGAGCAATCGGGCAGTTCGTTCAAGAAGCCATAAGACGGCAATCGCCAGAAGCCAGGGCTTCTGAGGCAAGCTGTCGATGTTCAAGTGCATGTAGACGCCCAGGAAAGCCAGGAAGGCAGCGAGCTGGTGCAGATGCAGGAAAGTTTCGTAGAAAGCGTGTCGGATTGGAGATGGGGAATGAAGACAGAGAAACGCCATTGCACAAGTACCACATAGGCCCCATGAGAAGAAAGGAGTAGTGCGCAACCGTTCCAGCATGTGTGAGAAATCTTGTTCATCGCATGCATTGACTGCCCAAGCGGCTGTGTGCACCACACTCTCGATCACGACGATACGGCCCAGCCACCGGTGGAGGAGATTGTATGTGTCGAAACTAACGTGCAGCAGTGGAATCAAAGGATTATTGCGGCCAGCAAGGAGGAAGAGAGGTACCATATTCAGGACGGCCAGCGTTCCAGACCTCCCGCGAAGCTCAGCAACCAGAGCTGCCTTGGCATTGACCGAATAATCCAGAAGGACACAGTAAGCGATCTGACTTGCAAAATACAGCAATATCAAGATCCCTTGAAATCTTGACGGCAAGGTACCCATGTTGAGAGCAGACGACAACTGGATCTCCCTGTTATGCCTCTTACTACCCAGCGGGGCGTATAGAACGTGTTTCTTCAACTTCGCCCATAGCGATGATTCCTCCAAACTCCAGAATGTTTGCTGTCTTCTGCTTGCACCCAGAGACGCGATAAGGCGAAGGTAAGCATGACTGATCTGACCTACTCGACCGCAGAAGATGATGAAAGCCACAGCCAAAGCGGTGGAGTAGATGATTCGGGTGAGCAGCACATCTCGAGGAACGTCGACTCCACCCAGTCCTCTCGAGTATTCATAAATGTAGGTTGTATTAGATCCGTACGTGGAATTTGTGTCGTATGAACGTGGAGCGACGTGCTGGACAAGGTCCTCCATCGGAAATCGAGGGCTCGTGGGGCCCGTGGTGAACCGTTATCAGTGGACGCGATGGCGACGCAAGAAAGAAAGCTTTGACGGTATCGATTGTAGAGATAAACTTTGACAAAAGCCCTTTGACGAGAAACTGAAGATAAACAAACCAATTTTTATCTGATTAGGCCCAGCAATGATGCAAATGCTCGATGGCGGGGAAACGACTGGAATGCGGTACCCAGGACACAGCAAGTAGCTAAAATAAAGTCGATGACGTTTCAAAAAGAGCGTGGTCAATAAAGGGAGAATGAATGTCCCTTTGATTCTTCCAGACAAGATTGTTTGTTTCTGTCTTGGTCTGTCGAGTTGATTGGTTGTCTTTGACAATCAATGTCAAATGAGGATATCCCGGATGATTGATGTTAAAGAAAGTCTAGGAGTACCACCACCACAGTCTGAGATAGCGAGTTCGACGTTCTGAATTGTCTGAGAGCCCATACCATCAGTATCACTGTCATCAGAAGTGGCGTACCAGCCTTCGAATATCACTTACCTCCACTCTCCACGTGCATGATCGTGCAAAGAATCCAGCAAGGGGGGAGACGTTCAGCGTCGCGGCCGAAGACAGAGAAAAATAAAGTAAAATAAAATCAAAAGCAATGACATCCGGTGTTCGTTGATATGGACGTAGGTCTTTCGCTACAAAAGGAGGGGGCAAACTCTCGATAAAGAAAGAGATCGACAGGGAGGGAGAAAAGAGAGTTAAATAGAAAAAATAGAGGGAAGCACAGACACTTTTTGCTTTTAATAAAGATAATGTAAGAAAATTCAATAGCCCATCAAGGACAGTGAAACAGACCAAGTGGATGGTTTGAATTGATTAAGAGCGAGTGAATTGAAGCTGAGATGAGCAAAGCAGCAACCAGAGCCAGCTGGTTCAACGCGAAAAAAAAAAAAAAAAAAAAAAAAACACCGCGTCTTTCGGGAGGACAAAGAGAGAGTAAGAAAAAGGGGCAAACTCAGCAACACCCTAAAAAAAAAAAAAAGACTTTCTCGAAATCAAAAAATAATAATAATAATTTTCGAAATCCACAGGGCAGCAAGGAACGTTAAAAAGAAAACGACAGACAAGTGTCAGTAGAAATCGTCGATAAGGCCACTGCGGATCCGCCACTCAGGAGCCAACAAGCTCGTACGGGTTTGCAAGCTTCAGTTTATGCCGGTGTCTCTTATCCACCTTATGAGGTTTCAATCTCGACTATCACCACGGGCGCCTGCAGACGGTCTCGATCCTATCGGGAGGACTCCAAGGCAGTGCTAGACAGGGCGTCGTTTCTGATGAGAACCTTTAGGGCCGCTCGAGTCTGACGATTCCTAGACCAGGGAGACACAGTAAGCTTAGGAACAGAGGAATCATCGTCACACAGGAATCAGTCACAGCCGATGGAGAGAGAAGACCCTTGCAGATCATGTCCGACCGACGACAGCGCGACGCTGAGCGGGCCTTCTGGAGCCATTCGAGGCGAGTGTCGAGGCGCCGAGTGCCATCCCCGCCCGCCACTCAGCCCAAGCATCACCAGAGGGCCAATAATTCCACCATGTTGGTGTCTTCCATCTCACCATTGCACCTGAGCTGCTCAAAGCTGACCTGACAAGAGTCTGGTATTATTGGTCATCGCTTCTTTGTCGGTTTCACAATGGCCATTTAGACTGAAACGCTCGCTGCATACTGGGAACGTGAGATCCAGCAACGTCCAATGACCCCACTGGAATCACCGACAGACTGAGGTGAGACCGTGAGAGGAGATATTAATCTGTGGTAATTTTTTTTTTTCAGGTTCAAATATGAGACATTCGCAGAAATAGAACATGGAGAGCATCCGAATTCCGAACTGATGTCGATGTCGAAGAGGAATAATCGAATTGAGAGATCGCAGGAAATCTGGATATGGAGTCACATGGGGTCACGGGGGGTTTCCGGTGACACTAGCCTGCTTCGGCCATGGGTTTTTAATCTACGGGGTATATTAATTGAGTCAATTGCATTGGTGAGGATATAATCTATCCCTGGAATATATTATCCTGGCAATCATCAGGAGGGGCTTGTCAATCCAATTGCTATTTCTAAGGAAATTGAGGGTGGTTGGTTCAACATATGACCCATCATACGACTATTGCTCCCGGGTCAATGTCCCAAAAGAATCAGTCGGCGGTTCTCAGCAAGGCATGGAGAGGGGTCGTTAATCTATCCAGTGCGCTGGTTCAGAGTGGGCTCGTCAAGCTAAAAAGATAACATGATGCCAGTTACCTCGGATTGAGAGAGAGAGCCAAGACCAACGATATTATTTCTATGCGTGCTGGACCGGTACACAGTAGGTATAGCATAAGCAAACTCGTCTATTTACCATATCAAAACTCATATAGAGTTCATTTTTTTACCGCCCCATCCAGCCTCCGTCGACGCAAATGACATCGCCCGAAACATAACTGCTTGCCGGGCTTGCCAGGAACACAACTATGCCCTTGAAGTCTTCTGGCTTTCCCCATCGGCCAGCAGGGATTCTGGCCATGATTCCTGCGTTGCGGTTTGAGTCGTTGATAAGGGCTTCGTTCATATCGGTGGCAATGTATCCGGGTGCAATGGCATTGACATTGATGCCCTGGCCGATCCACTCATTGGAAAGGGCCTTGGTCAACTGAGCAATGCCTCCCTTGGAGGCTGCATATGCTGGTACAGTAATTCCTCCTTGGAAGGACAGAAGCGATGCAACGTTAATGATTGAGCCACGGCGGCCAGAGGGGAATTCGGATGCGTCTCGGGCCAGCAAGTAGGCACCAAATTCACGACACAATGCAAAAACGGAGGTGAGGTTAACTTCGAGAACCTGAGCAATAGATGAGCACAGTCAGCGTGTAGCTTTGAGATAGCGTGGACGTAAATAGATTGTCAAGTTTCCAAATAAAAGAAAACATATGATTCTTACCTCATCCCAATCCTCATCCGGGAACTTATGACTCGGGTGTCGCCTTTGGATTCCAGCACAGTTCAGCAGAACCTCAGGCTTCAGACCCTGGCTTGTTAATGCTGGAATGATGGCTTTGACTGATTCGCGGTTCGACAGCTCTGCTACATGAATCCATGCCTTCTTGCCGATGCGATTGATGATTTCGTCTCGTGTCTTTGTGTTGGACTCATCTCTCTGCTCACCATCAGCTTTATCAATTCAATCTATCTCTTTAAGGAATCGAATTGCGAGTAGATGGCATACTCTTCTGATGATAGACATACCTGGATCAAAACAATATCAGTGCCAGCTTCAGCAAGCGCATAGGCCATTTCCTGTCCAATTCCTCGTGTGCCACCGGTAACCACGGCGGTTTTCCCGCTCAGCGAGAAGAGTGACGCGACTGATGCCGACATTGTGATTGCTGTGACTGTGTCTAATGATGTCAATCGTCAAGTCAACTTGAGAACGACGATAAAAGTCAGACGGGGGTCTTCCAAGGATGATGATGAAGTTAAGTATTCGGCCACTTGACAACCAGGGAAAGAGGGTTTTTTATTCAACCGCCCAACAGCGATTCTATGACATCTTAAGAAAATCCTACACAAAGAACAAATCTCCCTCTGGCATCATCCCAACCCCTCCGCGTGCGGGGCAGAGATGACCTACTGCCAAACAGGGCGAGTTCCGTTGCCGACACGGCTTTCAGTAACCGATGGGCTCCGCTGGCGGTAACTGAACCAGGATCGGCATCGAGCCGAGGGCCACGTGAGCGGTATGGTTACGTATTGATATTGTTGTATTTACGTTTATTTTTGGAGATCAAGTCAACAACGAAGACGGGGATAAGAATAGGCATAGTGATGAATATTCAAGGAATGTTCTGGACTATACTGATTATATCCAAGAGGATATAAAGGCAGAGTGGAGTCTCGGAATATTATGTTTCAAACAAAGAATTGAGAATGTATAGCATATTTGTATGCACAACGAATCCCTTTGTAATAGCTTCAATGGACATCAAAGAGGACAAGATTGCGACCTCAAGGCCATTTATGTAGTTTCTGCTGGATATATGGCTTATGTAAAGCTTAACGAAGAGCTATCCATGGGAAAGTGGTATAAAGAGCCATCGTATGACTTCAAGGCTGCTTAGACCTATCATACAGTGACTGTGTTACCAGACCAATGGAACTCTTCTAGAATACGAGATGTGCATATGCACAGATCGCTTTAATTTAAAGTGCTTCATCAATATAAATGTTTAAATCAATGACTACTGCAGCACTTCACAGTAATTGCGTTGCAGTGGCAGGGATTGGGGAGCAGGTTGCAATCTTCGATGCATCTGCATTTTTGATCAATTGGACTAGAGAAGAGTGATGGGTTTTTAGTAGTTTAGAGATCATTAATGTGTGATATGCTGTTTTTTCATTTAAATCAAGGTGGTTGTTTGGATACTGAGCAATATATATTCCGACATATACTATTTGAAGATATCCATCTATGTCATATGGAGTGTCATTCCAGCACTTATTTTAAGGCTAGCATAATGACACTCTAGAGTCCTCTATATTTAAGTACCAGAATATACAAATTATATATAAAATCATTCGAAGTCGATGAACTGACTTTATATGAGGTCTATAAAAAAAAAAAAATCGTATTGTACTGTATGGTATGGTAATATACCCACCACTCACAAACCCCGCCTCCAATCATCATTCGCCGTTGCACGCATCGGTCAGCATCTAATGCTGAAATGCGTTGGAAATCGCATCCATTCTCCAAGTAGCCTGGAATTAGGTGAAAACACGCCATCTCAAAATCAGGAAACATCCGTGCTCGAAGCCACTGTAATTACAGTTACGGCATCGTCGAGTGTGGGGAAACACGAGCGCCTGAGAAGCTCTCCCCCAGAAAGAACACCACGTTGAGCCACAGTGCAGAAGAATCTCGACCTGCTGCAAGGATTTTTTTCTATTTTCTCCTCTTTCATCCTCTCCTGCTTGATAATATTTTCTCCAACAAAGCCTATGAGAATCTCCATCCACCTCCGCATCTCTCACAAATACCCCCCGTTTCATCGCTGTCCTCTGGATGCACGCGTGTCTTTGCCAAGTCGGGTTGAAACCATGCCTCTGCTGCATTGAACGACAATTTACATTTGTTATTTGAGGTCAATTCTCATCTTTTGAATCCGAAATGGAGTCAGAAGAACAATCCTCACAGGTGGACATTCCAACCATGTCGAGGTCCAAGTCACGCTCGGATAATATGAAGCGAGTGTCGAGAGCGTGTCTTCATTGTAGACAGCGCAAGTCAAAATGTGATTTGTACGTTCTTCTTTCTTTCTTTCTTTAATATTTCTTTTTGGGATACCATATTCCATGTGCATACAGATTTCATTGCTGATAAAACACAGAGATAGCAGTGGCAGCCCGGGAGTACCACCATGTCAGCGGTGTATTCGAGATCATCGCGAGTGTGTTTTGGGTGGTTCGAACAGAGGTGGTCGTCGCATTCGCAAAAATAAACTGAAAAACATCACACCCGGCGTGAATATCGCAACCCCGAAAAATTCCGAGTTGGATGCAACCAGTCCGCCCGATTCAGAGAACCGCCAAGCTACGTCGAGTGTCTCTTATCCTGGTCCAGTGGTTTTCATGCCTCAAAACCCCCCTACAACAGATTCGGCCTCGGTGGTGGACGAGGATGATACGGAATCCATTGGTTCAGTTCCACGAAATCCATCGGACGCCTGGCAGTGCCTGACCGGTATTGCGAAACGAGGTACCGACGGCACTAACTCAGAGCCACTTACAGATCCCTTACATTCGGTGTCTAGCGGCTTCGCATCATACAACACATTTCAGAACGGCAATGTGACAGACTTCCAATCCAACAATGGCATCAAGGCGTACAGACTGGTGCAGGCGCGCTCCTTAGACCCGGGAACTGTATGGCAATTGGTGAACCGTTACGCCGAAAACTTCCATCCATACCTCCCTATAGTACCACGGAAATATTTCGATCGCAGTGCTCTGGATTCATTTGCCGCCAACGAAAAACATCTGCTTACGGCTGTGCTCACAATTGCTTCAAAGGATTTGGTGGAACGACCGGAGATTCATGAATATTGCTCCAAGTACATGCACGAGCTAATTTCAGGCATCGCCGCTGGTGTTGACTGCGATGTTGAGGCTGTGGAGGCGCTACTTCTTCTGGCAGAATGGGAGCCGCAGGGTCTACGGCCCCGTGTGGAGCGTGTTGGGCGGGGAGAGGAAGACCGAGCCGCCTGGATGCATGTCGGACTTGCCCTACGATCTGGATATTTCCTTGGGCTGGATCGAACCTCATTCCGGGGCGACGCCTCAGGGGACGCTGAAACCGAAGCCCGCAGACGACTGGCCTGGACTAGTTGCTACATTTCAGACCGACTGATTTCTGTTCGTATTGGACGTGCCTTTTGGTCGCGAGGACCAGGCCCGATGACAGGCCTTGTCAGTCAGGATTTCCCCTCGCTACAGCCTGTCCGGGCTGGGGATGAGGATTATGCGAAGATATTTCAGGCGATGCTGGATCTGACTCAGCTTTATGGAAATGTCCACGACTTACTCTACTCGGGAATGCGCACAAGTAATCAGATGATGCTGATGGGAGATTACGTCAAATATGTGGATGATTTCCGCCTTGCGATCTTACGCTGGAAGTCTATCTGGGGCTCGTTGGCCTGTAAGTGGCTTCAATTAGATCTGTTGACTTGGTTACTGATCCTTCCAGGTTCGCCCCCAATGCAAGTAACGTTGCAGCTTTCATACGAGTACTTGAGGCTGTATACGAATGCGTTCGCATTCCAAGCAGCCATATCTCAGTCGTTGGTCTCGAAACTAAAGAGTGATGACCAGTCGCAACGAGAGTATTTACGAACCACTTTTAACAATGTGGCCTCCATGCAGGATGCTCGATTTATTTACGAGTCCGTTGATGCTGCCAGAGCTTACTTGACGATTCTCGTTGACGTGGTTGACCCTGAGAAGCATTTACATTTCATGCCACTCAGGTTTTATTTGTAAGAACTCTCTAACTAATACACCCTCTATTTCTAACGGTTTCAAGATACGGGATCTATGCCGCAGTATTCTTATATAAGGTAAGATCATGCCACTTCGAAGCTACCAAGAGTCTGCAACTGACTAGTCCAGGCCCGTTCATTCGGTGTCATGCCACCTTCGGAAGAGATGAAGGTGCGAGATCTTGTCACACAGACTACCGAGGTTCTCAAACGAGCAAGTGCTGGACCGGATGATATCGGATCTCGCTATTCAAAACTTCTTGAACTACTTTGGAAGCCCAAAACTGTATCGATAGCCTCACCTGCGGGGACCCATCGGAGCAACGATCTGCACATGCCAAATGCCCTATCAAGCCGCATGCCTGAGAGCAGTGGTGGTTACATGCATTTCAGCCCTGCAAATGATTTCTCGTGGTTAGATCTCGAGGCAGTCGGAGATTATGTCTCTGGAGACCAAATGCCTGGGGCAGGCACATTGGGATTCGACGCATTCCAGAACTCTGACATATACCAAACGGGACAAGACCGTTCTCAGATATGGCAGGCATCATTGTGGTCAGGTGATATGGCCAACAATCTTCTCTTCTAGATTTTCACCATCGATTATTTCCGCATTATCCTACATGGACTGCCACGACTCCACGTGGGGGTACTGGATACAATGGAAAAAAGTACAGTCATAATTCCCAGTTAAAACTGGCTTTAACACAGTGCAAATCTCCACTAATGCTGCGCCCTGCGACGGCAAATGATTTGAAGCCTATTATTGTTTCTCCTCATTGAATGCGGGGCAGCGGGGCAACAGAACTGACGTCGGGAATTGCTCCGATGTCTTTCTAGCCGAGGGGAAAACACCTCTTCAATTCAGGATTGCTCCAACAACCAAAACAGCAAATAACTCGAGCTGAATTTGTGACTTCTTTGTCTCGAGTCAATACCAACCAACCTGATTCGAGCACTATTATGGCTCAGTTGAATGAAATCCGAGGCCGATTGGCCCTGATAACAGGGGCGTCTGGCGGGTGAGCTTTCTCCCATCTATAATTGTATGTTATTTTGAAATCGAATACTGACAAGAAATTTTTCTAGAATTGGAGCAGCCTGCGCTCACCAGCTCGCCGAGAAGGGCGTGCATCTTGCCTTGACATACTCCTCCAGCGCGGCAGCAATGACTGCCCTTGTCGACGAGCTCAAAAGCAAATACGCAAGCGGGGATGGATCCAGTCCACTTCGCATCTCAGCTCACCAGGTTGATGTTTCCTCTGCGGAGCAGATCGAAGCCATGTTTACCCAAATAGACAAAGAGCATGGGCAGCGGCCAGACATTCTCGTTTCGAACGCGGGATATGGCAAGCGCGTACCACAGGTTTGGGATATCTCGCTTGAAGAATTCGATTATACAATCAACGTCAATCTCCGGGCGTCGTTTATTCTCGTCAAGGGGGTGGTAGAGCACATGAAGAATCAACGATGGGGTCGGATTGTGTTTATGTCTTCGATAGCTGGCTATGGTGGTGGGATTAACGGATGCCGTAAGTTATTCTTACTCTGTGTGTTTTATTTACAATGGCTAATATCGCTTTAGACTATGCTTCTTCCAAAGGAGGCTTGACTGGGATGATGAAGAACCTCTCAACTCGCTTAGCCGAGCATAACATCAGTGTCAACGACGTGGCACCCGCCATGATTGGCGACACGGGCATGATTCCTAATGCACAGGCAATTCCTGAGGTTGCTGTAGGTATCCCACTCCAGCGATTGGGTGTGCCCGAGGAAGTCGCCAATGTAGTGACCATGCTGGTGACGACAGGTTATATGACAGGCCAGAGTCTCCTGCTGGCAGGAGGGTTAAAGTAATGGCTAAATTGATAGTATAGGTAGTCTTTTCAAGAAATAAGATCATATATGACTGATGAGTAATACTCGATTTATTTTCATTATTGTTTTTTTATTTTCAATTTGCTTTCATTAAAGGTCTATACTCGCTCATCTACCTATACACTATAACGTCATCACACATCTCATGGATACAACTTGTACATCTCGCTTTTGTTTCCGTTACTTTTACTCGCCCTCACTCCGGTAGATTCTCAACAAGACTGGGTATTCAAAAAATAGGAGGGGCAAAAAAGAAAACCATGGGCAACTTTCTAATACAACCGAGCTCATGTTTCGCTCTCAATGACGACCTTCACAACTGGTCTTCCAGTCTCGTCAACTCCCTTTCCAGCCAATGCGAAGGCCCGGTCACCCTCTTCGAGCTTCACCCGGTGAGTAATGACCTGCTCTTCGACACGGTTGAACTTGCCGCTCGCCATCAAGTTGATAGCAGCGGGGTATGCGTATCCATCGTATCGGAAGACACCGATGATGTCGACCTCACGGAGAGCAGCGGCTCCGACGGGGAGACTCTGGACTGGGTTTCCCATGCCGATCTGCACCAGAACACCTCCGGCGGCGGAGGCGTAAATACCAGCCTGCACGCAGGCCGGGACACCGGTACAGTCGTAGACGCGAGTGAAACCGTTCGCGGCACCGGCCGTCTCCTTCAAGACGCTAGCGACGTTCTGGGCGTTGTTCAGCGCGTAGGCGATGTGGTCGGCTTGAGGAGCGGTAGGGGGAGGGGGAGGGTTGGACGGGTTGGACTTGGGGATAAGGGCGGTCTTGAAGCCCAGGTTGAGGGATTTAGCGATTTCGAGACGCGATTGGTCAATATCTGCTACGACGATTGAGGAGAAGTTCTCCGAGGTCGCCAGGGAAGCGGCAAGGAGAAGGCCAACGGCGCCAGCACCGAAGACCAAAGCGGCGGACTGTTCGCCCAGCGATTCGGCCAGCTGCACTTCTTCCTTGGTAGGAGGGTGTGAGCGGCGAATACCATGTAGACAGACGGCGAGTGGCTCGACCAGGGCGCCGCCAGCGTATGTTACCGAGTCCGGCAGCTTATGGCACATGTCCGCCGGGTGGTTGGTACGACCCATGAGGGTGCCGTCGAGGTGGGGGAAGATTTTGGCGCTGCTGCGGAATTTCATCTCCGGGCAGATGTTGTAGCGACCCTGTTTGCAGAGGACGCACTTGCGGCAAGAAAGACCGACTTCGAGAGCGACGCGATCCCCGACCTGCAGGGTGGTCACTTCAGGGCCGACAGCGGTGACGGTGCCAGAGGATTCATGGCCCAGGCACATGGGCTCGCGGACGACAAAGTCACCATTGCGGCCATGGCTGTAGTAGTGGAGGTCGGAACCGCAGAGGCCAGTGGCACGGACAGCAACTTGGACATCTGCACCGGTAGGAAGGGAGACTGGTTTAGATCCCTGGTATCGTTAGCTTTGAGATAAAGGACGGCAGAGTGAGACTGAGGAAAACTTACAAGTCGAAGATCTTTTGCGCCGTGCAAGACGAGTGCTGGGGTATCTGTAGCCATAATGAGATATATGGATGAGTGGATGGAAGGAAACGAAGGGAAAAATTCTTGTGACAGTTTTCTCAGCCCAGAAATCAGTGGATATGCGCTGTTAATAAGGAATCATCGGAATCGTCGCCTTCATCGTCGCGATCATAATCGCAGTTTCTTTTACCCCTCGTCGGCGATTGAAACAATGTGGGGAAAGCAAACCGGAGCTGGTCCGCGTCGGGAATTGAGCCAAAAGAGGCAGAAGTCAATAGCCGATGTAAGAATGGCGTATTCCAGTGGATTTGGGCTGTATCGGAGAATTTGCAGGCTGGTGATTGGGCAATAAATGAGAAATACAGTATCAGCGCAGGATTCAATCACAGGCAGTGAAATAATCAGGCTGGAGTGGGTGGGATGGCTCATGGCATCATGGCAGGATGCAACTTGAATTCCCCACGTTCAACGGAGATCGGCGGGGGAGGACGATGGAGGACATTGCTCCATTCCCTCTTCTTCTTTTCTTTTTCTCTTCATCATCTGTCACTTATTGATTCTTTTGTCAGTCTGATACTATCATCAATTATATATCCTCACTCCAGTCAGAATGGCTTCTCAAGCAGCGCTGTTGATCGGACCCATCACTCATGCCAGAAAGGAATGGGAGGATCTGTCGTCACTTCTGACCCTCAAGGTAACGTGCTTTTGGTGCTTCGCAATGATACCCAGTCGCTAATGGTAGCAGGAATTCCCTACAGGCACCCGCGAGGAATTCATCCAGAATTGCAAGGATGGTAAATACGACGACGTGGTGGTGATCTATCGATCGAATACATCAAACAAGGTGGGAGATCATATTCGCAACGGGATAATACAACCCAAATATTAACTTGCTCAGTACACCGGTCCATTTGACGCTGAGATGTTGTCGGTGTTGCCTTCATCTTTGAAGTATATTTGCCATAACGGGGCTGGATATGATAACATTGACATTTCCGGTTGTTCGCAAAAAGGTATTATTTCCACTTCCCCTGCTCGATCAATGAAGAATATTAATGCAGGATAGGAATCTCCGTGTCCAGCACTCCCGTCGCTGTTAACAACGCCACAGCCGATGTAGGCATTTTCCTGATGATCGGTGCTTTGCGACAGGCTCATGTGCCATTGTCTTCACTTCGCGCAGGTTAGTTCTATACATCCCTAGATAAGCAAAGCCAAGACTAACAGCCGCAGGCCAATGGCTAGGAAACACTACGCTGGGTCGCGATCCTCAAAACAAGGTTCTCGGGATTCTCGGAATGGGAGGTATTGGACGGGTATGGAATTCCGGATGATCTAGAGATACACAGGATGCTGACCATCGTAGGAAATGGCCAACCGCGCAAAGGCGTTTGGGATGAAGATCCAGTACCACAACCGCTCACGGCTGTCCCCGGAACTAGAAGGAGATGCGACATATGTCTCGTTCGATGAGTTGCTCGCCACTTCAGATGTGCTGAGTCTGAATCTCGCCCTGAATGCATCTACCCGTCATATCATTGGGGAGTCGGAGTTTAAGAAAATGAAGGATGGTATTGTGATCGTTAACACTGCCCGGGGTGCTCTCATTGATGAGAAAGCGCTGGTCGCTGCATTGGAGTCCGGAAAGGTAATCCACGAACTATCCCTTTTCGAACGTTTGTGAACCATTGCTAATGTTAAGCAGGTCCTATCGGCCGGTCTGGATGTTTATGAAAATGAGCCGGCTGTAGAGGCAGGTCTCGTGAACAACCCTCGAGTGATGCTGTTGCCACATATCGGAACCATGACATATGAGACACAAAAGGAGATGGAAATTCTGGTGCTGAACAACTTGCGTTCAGCCATCACCAAGGGCGAGATGATCACCCAAGTGCCAGAGCAGAAGAAGTGAGGCCGAGAGTACTAGTTATAACTAGATAGATCGACATAGATCAGCGGAGGGTATGAAGTAGAGATGGCTCGAAATCTGTTTCATTAGCGACATGCTGTGGGTGTTAGATTAGACAATCAAGATTCAATATCCAAGTTTATTATAATACTGAGTTGCAGACAATTGCTGTCAATCGAATGTCTTGTCTTTCTTTGTTGTCTTCATAATGGTTGTCTCGAACTGCTAAGACAAAGTATTGCCGGGCGGTGATGGCGATGGCTTCCGCAGCAGGGCTAGCGTTAGGGCTCGCTTAGGGTCTGCGGGCGCCAAGAGCGAAACGCACCACAACGAGCGACCCTCGCGATCCTCCGTTCCAGCGGCACGACGAAAAGCGACAACTTCTCACCCGACATCGAGGACCATCTCATTCCACCCCCTCGGCAACCGTTTCAAGATGGTGAGTGGATTTATTTTTTGCGTGGATTGAAGAAGCGAAAGGACGACGAGGTCGAGATTAAGAAAAAAGGCTGCCCTTATGCTGTGGAGGAAAAAAAAAATTACGACGACCTTGTTTCTTTGCGCACCCCCGAAAATTCGACCACGCCATGATCACCATGTCTCAATGCAATGGACCGGACGTTTGCTGACATGGGTTTCCCTTCTTTCAGGTCCGTTACGCCGCACAGGAGATCTCGTCCGCAAAGAGCGCCCGCGCTCGGGGCTCTTACTTGCGTGTCAGCTTCAAGAACACCCGTGAGACCGCACAGGCTGTCAACGGCATGAAGCTGCAGCGCGCCCTCACCTTCCTCGAGAACGTTACCGCCAAGGCTGAGGCCGTCCCCATGCGGAGATACGCTGGCAGCACCGGTCGCTGCGCCCAGGGTGAGTGGCTACAAGACTTTCCTTATTTTGGGTTGGAAATTGGCAATGGATGCCGGGGTTGAAGAATTTGGGTCGAATTATTCGGTTTCTGGATTGAAATGAAGGGTTTGATCGCAAGAGTTGGATATACGGTGTTAGGATCTGGATCTGGATTGGAACTATCATTTTTTGGAAGGATGATTATGCTGATGGGATATTTCTACAGGCAAGCAGTGGGGTGTCTCCAAGGCCCGCTGGCCCGTCAAGTCCGCCGAGTTCCTCATTGACCTTCTGAAGAACGCTGAGGCCAACGCCGACACCAAGGGACTCGACACTGGCAACCTCGTTGTCAAGCACATCCAGGTCAACCAGGCCCCCAAGGGCCGCAGAAGGACTTACCGTGCCCACGGTCGTGTATGTCTACTATTCCCGGGTTGAAACGACACAGTCAAAACTGACAGACCTAGATCAACCCCTACATGACCAACCCTTGCCACATCGAGCTCATCCTCACCGAGGCTGACGAGGTCGTCAAGAAGGCCCCCGCCAAGCAGGAGGTCCGCCTCAGCTCCCGCCAGCGTGGTGCTCAGATCCACCGTGCCATCACCCAGGCATAAGCGTGTCTAGGAGGGGGTCGGGGGTAGTTGGAAAAGGAATGGGAAAGCCGGAGTTTGCTGTTGTACGGAACAAATACCTGGTCACGGAAGGATACACCAAAACCAAAGAATAAGGAAAAAATTCGAAACAGCGGGGTGAAGACGATGGTATGGAGAGAATTAGGCTCTATGTTTAAGGCTTCCCCCGAATATTGATCTCTTCCCGAATATTTCCCTTTTGTCTTTGGACTATCTACTATTGAGGCCTGGTCTTGACGATACAGGTGTTCGAAACCAAAAAAGAAAGTTCCTTGTTTTCCGATGGCCTTCCTACAGCTATTCCGAGCTCATCTCTCACATCGGGGTTAATTATCTTCATGAATGGGATACGGATTTTTCTTTTCAAGTTAGAGACACTCGATTGAGCTTGTACCAATAACTAAACGCTGCAAGAGTCCTTTTCCATCCCACATCTCTGCCGGTGATTGTAGCCCTGCACCGTCATTCTGGATCCTCTGCATGACGTGTTCCCCCCACCATCTTGCAAACGTATGCGATCTTCATCCCAAGCCCATCATCGCCTTGCAGTTATTCTATATTGATGCCTGCACAGCCAAGGGTGGCTGTGCTGTGTGCCAAACAGTCCTGTAGCACGTTTCAATTGAGCTTAAGGCTACGTTTGAATTTTTCTTATTTCCATCTGGGCCCGTAAGCACTTAAGTCCGATTGAATTTCTATTCGTTGCCTTGGGTTGGGGTGTCGGTATATCATACCCCTCCTAGATATCGATCGTCATCACGAGCACCAAGACTATGTCAGTTGAAATACCCCCCTCATGATACTCTATCGCTTGAAAATACTCTCCTTGACAACCAAGAAATCGGTTGCGTGTTGTACACGAGGCTTGTTGCCACCCCGGGAATTCGGCGCTTAGAATTGGGGCCGTCTTTTGATCTGTTCTGGCTTCTGCCTTGCCGGCGCTTAACGACAAAAACACAACCTGGCCTATTTTTCAATCTGCACTCTCTTTTCTTCTGTTTATTATTTTTATTGCTTTTTGTCTTGATCTAGATACTGCTAGCCTGATTTGGTCTAATATCCAGCGCCTGTTTTCATCATGAAACGCATATTGGGCAAAGTGAAGAGTAAGTCGATTACCTATGGATGACGCTTTGCACGAACGCTTAACCCACAAAAGGGCCAGGTTCTAGCAGCCCCTCGAATTATCCGGAAGACTCGCCTGAGGGCATGATAATTAGAGAAGTGGTTAGTAGGGATCTGTGATATTCCTGCATGGTTACTGGAGCTTCGACTGATCGCAATGTTTGTACACAGAGCGCCTTTTGCGAATCTGGAGGTCCCAACGGTACAGTACGTCTCCTACAGCTCTCATTTCTCAAGCATCACTGACCTTTGCGGCATCCAACAGAATGGAGATGAATTCGTGCATCTTCCAGCGATTGTCGAAACTGCAGAGTGCAGCCCGAATGCCGCCAAAGAGGCCGCCTATCGCATTCGCAAGTATCTAGGCAGCCCGACCAGCCCGCATGCCTACGTTCAATACAATGCCATTATGCTCCTTCGCATTCTTGTCGACAACCCAGGTCATACCTTCACGCGCAATATCGACGCCAAATTCGTGTCTACCGTGAGGGGTATTGTGCGAGATGGGAGGGACATGAATGTGCAGCGCTTCCTTTGCGAGACGTTGGAGGCTCTCGAGGCTCGGCGGTCGTGGGATGAGGATCTTGGTCCGCTTCTGGAAATGTGGAAGAAAGAGAAAGGTTCACTTCGAGGAAAAGCGGTAAGGGTTTCTGGAAAGTTGGTATAACTGGGCACAGTCAAGCTAATGGTTGACATGGTAGAATGTTCCATACTGGCCATCGCCATCGCAGCCTCCGCAGGTTCCACCGCATCCACGGCAGTCAGAACAGCCAGGAAGACAGAACTATTTCGCTGTTTCCCAAGCAAGCGCTGCATTGCCGCAACCAGATGAACTGGCTGCTCGTATCGCCGAGGCCAAAACCTCTGCTAAGCTGCTCTTGCAATTCGTCCAGTCAACGCCTCCTGCCGATATTGCGGAGAACGAATTGATTAAGGAATTCTCTGACCGATGCCGGTCGGCATCCCGCTCCGTGCAGGAGTATATCCATGCAACGAATCCGGCACCCGACGAAGACACACTTATGACGCTCATCGAGACAAACGACGAACTATCTGTATCCCTGTCCAAATATCAGCATTCGCTCCTTGGCGCACGCAAGGCTGTGGGCAGTTCGACGGCTTCTTCGTCGTCCGAGGCCACTGCGTCGGGCGCGCGACCGGTGCCTGCGCCTGCAACTGAATCCCCTGCTCCCCGGCGGCAGACGCAGGATGCACCGTCACCGGTTTCTACATTGTCTGACCAGGACAATTCCATTTCTCGCTATGGCAGCGTTGTGAGCAATGGTACCTCCAGTCGATCTGAGTATCGCTCGGAAGATTACCAGGTTCAGAACCCCTTCGCAGATAGTAATACTTATACCATTCCGGAGCACGCTGTAAGCCATCATACAACAACAAGCCCGGTGGATGGATGGTCAAACGGTGCTATTAATGACATACAGAATGTCTCTCGCCGGGAGGTGTGATTGATTTTCCCTATGACTGTTCGTCAGACAGACCTGGCGCATGTATTGGTGGTTTGGTCTTTTCTGGCGACTGACGATTTACGTCTTTTTACCTGATACTCCTTGTAGCTATTTCTCTTTTTGGATGCTTTTTATGCATCGTCCATGATACCTCTTTGCAAATGATATTATTGTCCAGTGCATTTACGCCGCTATTTTTGGCTCCCTCTGGGATGATTAAATGACCATTTATCAGCTATCTATTCGCACATTCAGTCGTTTTGAATTGATCAAACAATATAAAACTCGGCATTTGATTGCCTCGACAGTCTACCAGTGGATCCTATCGTGATTTACTGTGTGGATTGTTTCCGTCTGCAACTGTTGATCGAAGATTGACCGACTCTCAGACAGCCTCACGATGATCCATCGCCATCTCCACTGACTGCTTAATGAAAACGAAACCATCATTGCCAAAAGTCCTGTCACCTCCTGCTGCAGCTGGTATTGATTATTATTGCAGTTTTTCTTTGTGAGACTCAATTAATATCCATGTGTTTCACGGCAAATAAACTTGAAACTGAACAGCCCCTCCTCGGCGCTTTGGACAAAAACGGTTTTAGTGAATCCGTTCGGCTTCATCCCGACAGCCCTGGATCATTAATATTATATTGAGAATTGAGATCGAACTGACAGTCGAGATGCCGTTAGGACCTGTCTCACCAGGATTTTTTTTGGTGGAGTTTTGGTCGGATGCTCGGAGAAGCGTCCCTGCTCATGGTCAGGATGTTGTTTCATGATGAGCTTGATGGAGTTGCTAGCACGGCAATAATTAAAACAGGTCAGTATATAGAGACCAGGAATGGCACTTGATCTTGGGTTCTCTCTCTTTTCTTTTCTCTCAGCACGCAGGCTTGCCTTTTCCCACATTCTCTTTCAAGTTATCCTCGGTCTGTGACCGTTTTACTCTTTCTTTCCTCACTTATACTTGTCTCTCTTTCGACTCCGGTATACTGGTATACCCGACAATTCTCTCTCTACTTCTCTTTCTATCGAATCCCGATCAACCTCCAAAATGAAGCAGACTGGTTCCATCCTTGCCCTTGCCGGCCTGGTCTCCATGGCCCACGGACACGGTTTCGTCACCACCCCCCAGGCCCGTATGCCTGGTTCGGCCATGAAGGCTGCCTGTGGTCAGCAGGTCGAGATCAACCAGCAGTCGGACAACTACGGCAACGTGCAGGGAGAGCTCCAGGTCGCCAACAGCCAGAGCGACTACAACGCCGAGAAATGTGACATCTTCCTGTGCAAGGGTTACAAGTTCGCCGACAACAAGGACAATGTCCAGTCGTACACTGCCGGCCAGAAGGTCGACTTTGTCGTCGACATCCGCGCTCCTCACACCGGTGTGGCCAACGTCTCCGTTGTCGACACCTCTTCCAACTCGGTCATTGGTGACGCCCTCAAGTCCTGGGACAGCTACGCCTCGACCGCGACTGGCGTGACTGAAGATGATACCAACTTCAGCGTCACCATCCCCGACGGCCTGGACAGCAAGTGCAGCACCGCCGGTGCCTGTGTGCTCCAGTGGTACTGGTACGCCGAGTCCATTGACCAGACCTACGAGTCTTGCGTCGACTTCACCGTCGGCGGCTCTGGCTCTGGCTCTGGCTCTTCTGGCTCTTCCTCTGCTTCCTCTTCCACCCAGGCTAGCGTTGCCATCACCACTTCCGCCAATGCCGGTAACAACGTCGCTTCCCAGCCCACAACCCTGGCCACCAGTGCCAGACAGACCCCCAGCTCTGCACCGGCTGTCGCCAGCAGCGCCGCCCCCGCTGCCAGCTCTAGTGCATCGGACTATGCGATCCCCAAGAATGGCAGTGACGAGGAGAAGCTCAGCTGGGTTTCCAGCTTGCTGAAAGCTCTTGTCAAGTTCTAAGCTAAGCATATGCTGCCTGTCTGCCTCCCCGTCTGAGTCTGTCTCTGTTCCATTGTCAATTTGAAGAAGATAGATCGTGTATGAATACAAAACATATTACTGCCTGCACTTATTCTCACCATTTTGGCATAAATTATAAAAAATAAATCGTAGCACCCCTAAAGATGCCTGTAGATCATCCCATGCAGAATTCTAGATGCAGTCTAGCGCATGACTAATGATCAGATAAGGCATCTAAGCCACCGCCAAGCCTGGGCGTTTTTTCAACAAAAGCGCGGGACATCGTCAGTTTGTCACGATCCCTCCTTAAGATCGGTTCTTTTCTCTTTTTTATCAGATCTGATCCAATCTATCGTCAATTCCTCCAGATCGCCCATCATGGAGGAAAGTCACATCCGCCAGAGCATGTCAAACCACCCCTCTCCCTTCCACCACCACACCCATCAAAGTCCCCGAGACCGCTCCACCTCCATCCTCTCCTACAACGAAGCTACTAGCACTGCTCTCGAACCCATCGATCATACCTCCCAGCATCGCACACACATCACCGTCGATGAAGAAGGCCAACCTCCTCCGCGATACACATCTGAAAATGACCCCTTTCAACTCGCCTCCAAGCTGAAATCCAGCGAGGAGATCCAGAAAATGGCTCGAGAGAAACAAGCCAACACCTCCCGCAAACGCGGCAGCTGCAACCCCGTCGCCATAGCCAGCAAAACACCCAAACTGGCTTCCCTCACCTCGAGACACCTCGAGGGCTTCTACCACACACAGAATGAAAACATCGAGCGCATGCTCAAACCAGTCGAGGAACACGTCCGCGCCGCCAAAGAACTCAACACCAACAACCAGCTCAAGTACCGTATCGCCGTCTACGGCAGTTTCGCAGCAAATGTCGTCCTGGCCATCCTCCAACTCTACGGTGCCATCGCCTCCGGCTCTCTCTCCCTGTTCACCACCATGGCCGACGCCATCTTCGACCCCATGTCCAACCTCACCTTGCTTCTCTGCAACAAGGCCGTCAACCGCGTCGACCCCCGCAAGTTCCCCGCTGGCAAAGCCCGCATCGAAACAGCAGGTAACATCTGCTTCTGCTTCCTCATGACAGCCGTGAACTTCATCCTGATCGCCTTTTCCGCCCGTGAACTCATCGAGGGCTCCGACAAAGCAACTGGCTCTTTCCACCTCCCCTCCGTCATCGCCGTCTGTGTCGCCTTCTGCACCAAGCTCGCCCTCTTCTTATACTGCTGGGCGCTCCGCAACCAGGTCTCCCAGGTCCGCATCCTCTGGGAGGACCACCGTAATGATCTCTTCATCAACGGCTTCGGTATCTTGACTTCCGTCGGTGGAAGTAAGCTCCGTTGGTGGATCGATCCTATGGGCGCTATTCTGCTCTCCGTGCTCGTCAGCGCCCTGTGGTTGAAGACTGCTTATTCCGAGTTCCAGTTGCTCGTCGGTGTTACTGCCGATACTAAGATGCAGCAGTTGATTACTTATATCTGTATGTCTTCCCTCCCCTAAATATGTCTACCCACCTGGCGAATTATACGTTGCTAACTTTTTATCAGCAATGACTCACTCCCCCTACATCACAGCCATTGACACTGTCCGTGCTTACACCTCCGGCCCTCGTCTGCTTGTCGAGGTCGACATCGTCATGGAGCCTGAAGAATCTCTGCGTGCTACCCACGATGTTGCCGAAGAGTTGCAGATGAAACTCGAGTCGCTGCCTGATGTCGAGCGGGCATATGTCCACGTCGACTATGAAACAACCCACAAACCGGAACACTTCTTGAAGAAAGAATTGTAATTTCGTTCACGATATCTTTTTAGCGTATGGTATGCTGCTTGTGGGAATTCCTTTGTTCAATGTTTTAATAGTTTAATTCTGGTAAGGTTGTGCATTTAGCGTTAACGATTAAGAATTGCCTACTTGGAATATAGATAGAGAATAGAAAGATTAAATGTTATGCGATGCAATGCAAAAGTCTAATTGACAACAGAGTGGTATCCACAAAACGACCCAGATCCAGTTTTCTACGGCTCAAATACACATGTGGCTCGTTATCCTTCGTAGTCAGGCCAAATACGAGACCAATGCAATATGTACCGTCAAAGAGTCAACAAAAAGGAAATCAAGAGGCAAAGAAAATGTCGAAAGATTCAAAACGATAGCCACGCTAACTTTGCTCAAAGAGAGCAATGGTAGAGCAGTAGGTACTCTCGTTCTCGCTTTCTGGGATAAGACCTTCGCCATTCGAAGATGTGACCATGTTGACACTGGCCTTGGTGCTCAGACCGTAGAGGTGCACATCAGAGCAGTCAACCTCCACCATGTTCTCTTGGCAGTCCTCGGAGTTCAAGCAGCTCTGGCCGTAGTTCTCGAAAAAGCTGTATAGACCGGCTCCGTAGACGAAAAGATCGGAGCTTTGCATGACACGGAGACCCCAGGCCTTGCGGCAAGAGGCTGTCGTGCAGTGGGAGAAGTCAGGGTCGTTCCACTTGGTCTGAGGAGTGAAGGGGGTCAGAGCATCGGGGTTGGATTGGTAGTATGGGGTTTCAGTCTGGATGAGAGCCATGAAGACATTCTCTGCGTTCGAGACCTGGTAGTTGTACAACTGGTTGTGCTCCGAGGCAGTACCATACAGCCACACAGGTCCATTGCCCTCGATGAGAACACCACGGCCGTTGTAGACGTTGATTTGGTTGTGGTCGCCGAGGTCAAGCTCGTGGTCTGCAGTCCAGAACCAAGCATTCTCAATGTAGGCACTAGCCTTCTCGGTAACGTGGAGCAGCATGAAGGATCCAATGCACTCCTTGTTAGGCGTGGTGGTCTTCTTGGGTGTCTTGGCACACTTGTCGCTCTGGAGCTCAGTGCCAGCAGAACCACCGATACGGAAGTGAACATCCCACATACCGGCGGAGCCTTGGGAGGCTTCAGCGACGTTCCATTGCATGAGGATAGCACCAGGGGCGGGGCCACGGGTCTGGAGGGCCAGATCGGTAATCTCGACAGACCCAGAGTCACCAACCTCACCGACCTGGAGCATGGGAATAGGGTTCTTCTCGTCTGAGAAATTCTCGCCGTAGGCCATGAGAAGGGGCCAGACTTCACCAGTGATCTTGATGTTCTTGGGAACCTTGATGGTAGAAGTGATAATGTAGGCACCGTGGTCGAAGTAGACAATTTGATCTTCCGTAACGCTGTCAAGGATCTTCTGGATAGCCTTGGTGTCATCGGTTTTACCATCACCCTTGGCTCCTTGAGACTTCACGCTGACAAAAGACGAGGCGGCGTAGTTCTCGTACAGGGGCTTGGAGCGCTCGACAACGCTTCCGTCCTTGGTGAGAAGGGCGCTTGGCTTGGCCTGGGTGGGCATAGTGGTCTGGACACGGGTCTTGGTAACAGCCTTGCTGGAGCAGTGTCCAGTGCCCTGGATGGCGCCGGAAACAGTAGCCGATCCGTGAGTAGCGGAAGACCCTCCGATGGACACAGAGGGCTCAGCAGTGAACGAGGCGACAGCAGTCACGGATGGCTGAACCGGCTCGGTGGGCTGCGAAGCGCTGGGCTGAACAGGGACGAAAGAAGAAGGTTCGACAGGAGTGGTAGGCTGCGCGGCAGTTGAGGGCTCAACTGGGGCAGTTGTCTCAGGTACAGTCGGTGCAGCTGCTGTTGTGGTCTCGGGGCCAACAGGAAGCGAGAAGGAAACACCGACGGAAGGTTCGGAGGAATAAGCTGTCTCCGGTTGAGCCGCAGTAGTAGGCTGGGGAACTTCAGTGGAAGTTGCCGCGGGCAGCGTGGTCTCCCCGATAGTTTCAGGGTACTGCGCGGGACAGACTGCAATGGTTTCAACAATCGTTTCAAGTACGACTTCGACAGGGGAGGCACGCTTGTTGATAGTGCTAGATGGAGTGTAGGTGTTTCCTTGAATGAAGCTGGCGACGACAGAGCCACCCTCGAGAATGGTATTGCCATCAATACCTGCGACGGCGACCTTGGAGCCACTGAAGTCAACGTTGTCGAGAACCAAAACACCACCACCAGTTGGAACACTGTCCTTGGTGAAAGCAGTGACAACACCGGTAGGGGTGTTAGTGAGCTTGCTGTCGAGAAGCAAAACGGAACCGACAGTCTGGTTCTGGGGGGAGGTAGACATGTTCAGACCAACCTCGCAGTTGTTGATGTTGACAGACTTGAAGGTCCAGGCCCAGTTCCAGTTCATGAAGATAGCGGTTTGGCAATCGTTGAAGGTCAGGTTGCGAGTGGTGAACTGCTGGTTACCCAGGAACATTCCGTAGTTACCACCGTTGAAAGTGAGGTCAGACATGAAACCACCGGAGCCGTTGTCCATGAAGATACCCTGCTGCTTGTTGGCACTGCCGCCACCCTTGACCATCTCGAAGCGGATGTTCTGCAAGCTGGTAGCCTGTCCAACCTGCCAGTGAATACCAGCACCAACACCCTGGGGCATATCAGTAAGATCGACGACGAAGTTACGAATGGCACGGAAGAAGTTGTTCTGGTTAGTGTACCAGTTGCTGCCGTCGTCTTCGTACGGATCAGCATCAATCAGTGCCATTCCAGCAAAGTCGGCGGAACCCTTGATGACAGGGAGAGTGAGCGCATCTCCAACCATCTGGGTGTAGTAGTACTGAACAATCGGTTTGGAGACCTTGTAGGTACCGGCAGGGAAGTAGACCAGGGCAGGAGTCACAGTCGACGAGTCGCATCCTTTACCACAACGGTTACCAGACGAGATGGCTTTGTTGATCGCGTCGGTGTCATCGGCAGATCCATCACCTGTGATCGTCAGTACCTTATCGTTTGATTTGTCTCAAAGCTGCATCTGCATACCTTTAGCGCCAAAGTCCTTGACGTTACGGAACACCTGGTAAGCGCTGCTGTTTCCAAACGCAACCTCACCCTGGCGCTTGATGTTCTCAACCCAATACTCGGATGAAGCACGTTCCACCAGCCCAACTTCGTTACGCAGAGGGAAGGCATCGACGAGACCCAGCAGCAGAATGATCTGTGCGATGAACAACATGGTGTTAAAACGAGCCATCTTCAAGATGACGATACTGAACCAGCCAGTTGCGTTTATAGTATAAAAGAGGGTTATTCAGCAACCAGCACTGAAATGATCGAATCTGTAAGTTTCTGACGCTATCTGCCAGCAAACCACAGTGAAAGAACGGACGGAGGGGCAAAAAAAGAGAAAGAACAGAACAGAATGAACGAAAAGAAGGGCAGCAAGACAAAGAGCGAAAGGAGGAAGAGAAAGACACTCCCCAGGAATGATGGATAAAGGGAGAGAAAGAGGAGGGAAAAACCAAAGAGCGACGATGGAGCAGGTGAAGATAATAATAACAGTCGATAATAAAAGGAGCTCCAGGAGAAGCTGAATCTTTGGTCTGTTTCAATTGTCGAGATTCGCTCGCTGCAATGGCCGGAAAATATCCAGTGTCTTCCTGCAGATCGGGCGACTAGAAGTAGCGAGAGCCAATCACAGCGCGTCCTGCCGATGAATTCTACCCACTCCGGCCAATGGGAGGCGACAGAGCCAGGATGCGCGCCCGGAGTTGAAACCGCTATTGTTCGGAGCTGAAACGAGCGGAAAGTCTAGACGAGGATTGTGAGTGGCTGATTGGAGGAGAAGTGAGATTACAGCGAGTCATTGGGGGGGAATCATACCAGGAAAGGGAATTACCGTATTAGTGACGGAAGGGAAAAACTGGGAAGGAGTGGCCAGAACTGGGGAAGGAGCGAACGGGTAGGAAAAGGAGAGAAAGTGGTGGTCAGTGATGAGTGAAAGAGTGGGATGATGCAGCTATATAGAGGCGCCCTCGAATATCAACAGCTCGTGTTGATGTGAAGAGTTGTTGTGGATGGTTGTCGGGGATGCAGCATTCTGCAGAGGAATGTTGATTCAGCGACTCTTTTCTATCAGGACAGGCAAATCCCCTTCAACATGCCAAATACCACAACACGCGTAGACCACAGGATCTGGATGCTAGCGATGGGGCCAGTGGACTAACCCCTGGGCTAGTGCCTTCGGGGGAAATCATCAAAGCTTGGCTTTCATTGTTCTGATTCAATTGTCTGGAGAAATGGAGTAATATAGTTATTGAATATTGATAGTAGTCTATATTCTGTATCTTCTATTCAATTGGTTTAATTATACCAATAACAATGGCAATGGCAACAATAGAGTGAATTATCAAGTGGTCTGTAGGTAGAGTGTATGCCCCCTGGATAGTGGACTCTCGGTTGGCTCGGCTAAGAATGCAACCTTACGTACTCGTATGGCCATCAACACTAGCCTCAGGCCTAAAGACACTACGAAAGCCAACAATGTGCTCTTATGCAGCCATACCTGTCATCTGCATCAAAATGCATCCAGACACACTATTAAACCATCAACTCATCAGCCAGCCACAATAGCCTCAGGTTCTGTTGTATTTATCCTCAACAGTTCCCTGTTCTCAATTGTCCGGGTCGGACCGCCTCCAACCATGGTAACACCACGTCTATTCCGATTCTATATAGATCTCGAGTCGCGTTACATCACAACCTCAGATCGATCTTCAGGACACTACCTGAGGCTCTCAATTGTGGTTACGACTGTATCGTGGCGCTACATCTCTTGGCTGGCGGCATTTCTGCAGTACTCGCTGATCTCCAAGGTCCACTCGCAGCTTAATTGCCAATAGGCCCTGTTGGTCTCTCAACGTAGGCATTTTCAAATGACTTGTAAAGTCGTCTAGCCGTCTCGTGCGAGTACTCGTCTGTCGATCGCCTGATTCATGGTGCTCACTTCGTATTCTCATAGTAAATGGTCCATATTCTTCAACATGCATCACACTGACATACCTGCTGATTTAACATGTCATTCGGCTTTCTGTACTCAATTGATATTTATACGCAATTGATAGTTATTCAACAATTGCAGCTCTTGCACTGGCACTCTAAGGATTCGATCGCAAAAGGCTCTATGCCACAATCGTCAAGACATTGCCGACTATGCTTGCCAGTCCACCTACTTTGCCTGATCGGCTGCACGACCAACGACACGAGCTAGTCTCCGTATGCCCTCGGCCAGCTGGTCCTGCGCTTCCCACACAAAGCAAAGCCGGAGACTCCGATTAAACTTATTGCATTCTGCCTTTTCGTCACCCTGCACCCTAAACAGGTCGCCAGGTGCCAATGTCAGGTTCTCCTCTTGCTTGGCTCGTTGCACAATCTCGTTTGCCTGCAAGGGCTGCGGTAGATCAATCCAAATAAAGTACCCTCCTGCAGTTTCCTGCGTCGTAGACGGAAGTGCCACTCCTAGAGGAAGGAGATGTTCACGGATCGCGGACATCACGATGTGATATCGTTCTGCGTAGGCCGGTTGTAACACCTTCTCAATGTGGCTTTCGATCACCCCGTCGGAAAATAATTGTGCGACAATAGTCGACGACATTTGAGATGGTGCTCCTCCAGATCGCGTTGAGCCTCTGTTTGTCTTAGCGGGTTGTCAATTGCTATACGATGAGGTATACATACGCTTGTGAAACACCATATGCAAGCTTGGGCGTCCCTTCTGCCCATCCCGTCCTCAAACCGGGTCCGATCAGCTTGCTGAAGCTGCCATTACTTACCGCATTACCGAACTCATGTTGCGGGCCACCGTCAAGATACCGGTCCACATCCACCAGGCGCGGTGCGCACCTTTGATCTGGTTGTGCGAGAGTTCCATTCGGATCCGAGGACCACTGGAGCAAGTCATACACATCGTCGGTCACAATGAGAGCATCAAACTCCCGTGCCAGGCGGACGAGCTCCTCTCTCCGACGAAGGGTCATAGTTTTGGTAGAAGGATTGGAGAAAGTCGGGGTCGCATAGATGACGTGTTTGTAGATCTTCCGCCATGGTTGGGCCGATTTGAATTGCTTCAGAAGTCAAGTTAGGGATGATTCCACGACAGAAAGTGCAAGAGACAAAGACATGAAAAGCAACATACTGACTCAGAATCCCCTTTCCACGCCTTCTCCGCCGCCTCCAACGCTCCCCGAAAAAACCCAACATTCAACCCCTCTTCGTCCTCTGGAACAGCTCTCAATCGGCCCGCAAAGCCCGCATCGTCAAAAATTCGACATGCGAGGTGATACCCCGGCGCGACCATCCATACATTTCTGGTATACCCGGGATCGGCAAACACCTGTAGGACGCATGCCAGATTCTGGCTGGCGCCACCAGTGATGCAGATGCGGTCTGCCGTGACGGGGTCGCGCGGGCGGTAGAAAGAGGTCAGCCACCGCGCCAGGTGTTGGCGCAAGGGCGGATGGCCATCATCAGGGCCATACAGCAGACCGGGAGTATAAATCGCGGGGGAGGAGTAGACAGTGGCAGAGGAATTGGCGAGGCTTGTTACGGGGAGCAACGCGGGGTTGGGCCAGCCACGGAAGAGATCGATAGCTGGCTGGCTGTCATTCCTGACAGTGGCATTCAGAGACATGATCGCTGTGTGAGTGTGTGTGTGCTTATTCTATTCTGTACTCAGATTAATCAGATTCTTCAAACAAGTCTCACTGATGGTTTCGATAATATTCGTAATCTCCATCATTAATCGACACAGGCACGTACCTTTGATGACGTCCTTAGTGTTGATGGGCGCAGCCATTCTTACCGTTTCTTACCGCTGCCTGACCGTCACAATACCGGTTCTGTTTCGTCCCGAGACCGGAGTTGAAAACACAGCGTTGCCCAAACTCGCGCTTCCATTGGTTCGATCCCGCATACTTGGGCGGATGGCATCATTAGGTTGGATGTTTCCATTCTGCGTATTCCGCATGTTGGTATTTGCTTTCCACGGATCTGTTTGTATTGGGCCTTCCAGGTTGTTTATTTTCATTTATTTTATATCTCTCATATAGGAGGTTTCCGGAACACCATATCCATAATAATTCATAAATAATATATGAAAAGTGGCTTCTTCTCACCGAGCGCGAAATACGGTGCTCCACCGATGGCTTCTGTGCTATTCTTAGAGTGGTCGGTCGATATTTTGCTAGTCCTCCGCTAAGCCTCCAGTTCCTTACGTGCATCCATACGAAACCAACACAAGGCGACCAGAATTTCACAGGATGGCGAAAAAGCTGTCGTGTGGCTGTTTGAATAAATATATCATCGCAGAAAAATAATCGAAGCATGACACGCCATCTGGGGGGGATTACCCAGAACGGCCAAGAAGAATTCCTGTGAGGCGGGCAGAAATATGTCTGCATACATAATAGCCAGGTTGGACCATGCAATATCCAGATCGATCATTGATCCCGAATGCGAAAACCATTACATTTCGACGTAAGGTATTCAAAATCATCATCACCTCATCATTAGTAGGACCCAACTGACTTATTCATATTTTTTTTTATGTCGAGTAGGCCCATTGGTGAATCTGACGATCCGAACGTCTCCGCAACGTGTCCGATGATGCCTCATCGCCTTGACGGTCTGATTTGCTGCGAGAATATAAATTGTAGACTTCTGCCTTGAGGGTAGAGAGCTCCGAATATATAAATATAAATCGGATGACTTGTACTCAATGTTAAACAAAATAACATCATCCTACTCCAACACAGCCTCTTCTCCTCCACCGTGGAAGCACTAGAAAAAGGAAAGGATCAGACAGTAAAAAAAAAAAAAAAAGAAAAAAGAAAAAAGAAAAAAGAAAAAGACTTCCCCACCGCCCAAGGATCCCAAATCAACAAACCGCAGTTCAAAACCAAACATCCAGAATATTCTTATTTCCTCTCGTTTACTTCCTCGTCGTGTTCGTCTCTATCCTAAACATCCACTCTCCTCTTAAATCGCCTCATTTCCGCTACGATCGTGGTTCAGAATAACCTTCAACCCACCCCTTTTCCCTCCCGCTGCTCCACCACCGCTGACTACCGCCAAACTTCTTCCTACCACCGCCATTTATTTTATTACTTCCACCTCCCACCCTGAACAACCCCCCCGATCCATCCATTCTTTCTAATCCCTCCTGCCGATCCATTCCCCATCACACGAGACTGGCACTTGTTACCCTGTCATCTGGAATTCCTCAATCACTCTCTTTCATGGTAGTCTTTCCGAGTCGCCAGCTCTTACCTTAACGCCTTTTTCCGTCGTTGCCGTTTCGCCGTCGCCGTCGTCCTCCTTTCTCGTGAACGGGTTGCACGTCCGGGATCGATCCCACCAGTCCCTTCCCATCTCCCTATCCCACAGCGGTGTTGACGACCATGCTCTCAGCTCCTGTCAAGTCGGCCAAGCGGATATCTTCGCTCTTCTCATTGGGATCGAACAAAGATGGCTCAATCTCATCGCCCCGATCCCCGGGCTTCCCCAGTGGCTCGCCAGACCAAGTCGCTTCGGATCACCAGCGAAGCAACTCCCGTCCGACCCGTATAGTCTCCAGTCCATATGATGCATACACAGAGCCCCGGACGGTTATGTCTCCCGCTCCAAACGACGGCTTTGATCTAGACGAGCCTCTTCCGCCGCCCCCGTCCCTCCTCTCCGTGAACCAAGACCTTGCAGGTAGTCAAGAGAGACCACAGAGCAGAGGGCGCAGAAGATCTGGAAGCAGACCTTCCAGTTCTGCTGGGCTGTTTGTACCAGGCCAGGGACCGGATTCGCGACCGGGCACCCCTTCTTCCAAGAGACGGAGTTGGATCCCAGGACGACAACGGGCAAGTTCGGTCGATACTCGGTCGATGATCTCGCCCACTCCCCAGCAGCCCAGTGCATGGATTGCTGGTTTGGAACAGAAGATTCCATACGACCTAGAGCCTCTTTCTCGGGGTGAGCACGTACGTAAAAGAAAAATCTGCATTGTGCATGAATTGCCATTGAGATATCCAATTACTGACTTGTATGCTGGAAACAGGTCCCCGAGTTGTGGAATGAACATGGCGATACCTTCGTTTATCTCTTCCCTCAGAACACTGGCAGGCCGCCATCCTTCAAGGTCGACTCGACTGTCTTCGCCGAGTCACCTTCTCTCAACTTTTTGGCTCGTGGAACGGACATGAAACCCAACTCACTCGAGCAACAAACCCGCTCCTTGTCGCTGGGCAGCCCGGGGGCCGGTGCCGCCTCGCCCCCCTTGGGCCCTCAGGATCGATACGCCGAAAATGACAATGACAGCTCCGGTAGCAGGAGAATGGCGTTTGACGATGCACCTGATGATGTTCCAGAGCTTCACCTTTATCTGCCAATTCCTCTCAACAGTGATGTTTCCAATCCTTTAGTCCGCACGTCCCAGGAGGACACGGAAACTCTGCTCCTGTTCCGGAACCTCTTCGCCTTCCTTCTAGGACAGTCCCTGATTGCAACCCCTCGTTCCCCCTCCCTCTTCTCTATCTTCATGGATGTCGCCTCCCTGCTTTCCCGTTTTGAGTTTACCAACTTTGATGGGTCGAATTTCGGTGAGACAGCAACCTCAAGCTTCAGCAACTACTGTGATGAATTGCACTTGGCCGACGCCCGCAAAAGCCGAGAAAAGACCATCGAAGCGATCGTTCTGGGAGAACGTCTTCGATTCTACCCACTGTATCTGGAGGGTTTCGTTCACGGTGTGGGCAAGCTGGACGAGCTGAAGCAGCTCCGAAGCCCGAAGTTCGCTCTTATTAGTCCTACCACCCAGAAACGGTTGGAACGTGGCTTCATCGATCTGGATACGCGTCTCCGAGTTCTTTACAGCAAGCTTGATGATTTTGATTTCCCTTCTGCATTTGCAGGAGCTGCCAATTCGAACACCTCGGCGGAGAGCAAGGTTGTCCGGTTCAAAGCCTGGAAAGCATCTTTCATGGAGTTCAGACGATTTACTATGCAGTTCTACCGACAGAAGTACGGTTCATGGCCTCCCAAGGCGCGCTCCAAGAAGAATCAGTTTGAGGAGAGTGGTCTCAACCGGCAACTCCTCAAGGACCTGTACAACGACTTCACCAACCTGTACGACTTGCTGGTCGACCGAGAGAACCTCACGACCAGAACAATTGATATGGCTTCGGAAACGACCGAAACATCCGACCCCGACGAATTGCTGACTAGGGCGCTGCGCCAAGTGATGAGCGAGTATGACAGAAGTACACCGCCCGTTCAGCCCCCAATTCCGTTTGACATTCCTCAACTTCCGTCGCTCAAGGCGTTGCACCAGAAACCGATGGACGCCAAGAAGGAAGCCAAGCGAAAGGGCAAGAAGCTCAAGGATGCCGATATCAACGCGGTTCTCATGGGATCCTACACCCGAGAAAGCATCAAGCCGACTGCTTTCATTGAGAGCTTCATGCAGTTCGAGCGTCGCTGCGCTCACGGAAAGAACGTCAACGATCTCATCGATTTACGATGCGGTCAATGGGTTTTCCTGTATTGTGTCATCCAGTCCCTGCCTTTGCTCGTGGTGGATGTGCCTGATGTCAAATTCGTTGACGGGGTGGAGTACTTCCTCTGTATCGCCCCTCGTGGCGGTGCACCCTGGATCCAGAATGACAGCAAGGCCGCCCGTAGCTGGTTCGGAGTCGCAGGCGGAGCTGGTGTTGTCAGCCTCCCGTCGGATGTTGTCATTAACGGTGTTGAGGGTATTTACCGGCGCAGTCACTGCTGGAAGGTCGCTGAGCAGTGGGCTGAGAAGGACGCGATCCTGGCACCACCGCCGGTCGAGGACCCATACGATAATGAGTCCTCTCTGTCATCGCCTTACCAGGCTCAGCAGTCTTCTACCGGTTCCTCATCTGAGCAGCAACCACCGCCTTCTCTTCTGGCTCCCAATGGGCTGACACCCCCTCCCCCGGCCATCCCCCGGACGAACTCGCCAGCCGCCAGTCGGAGAGCTGAGCATCGCCATTCGATCTACCCAGGTCTTGAGGCACTGCCACTGCCCGCCGGTGTCGCCCCCATTGAGCCTCCTGCCAGGCCAATCAGTCGGTTCAACCCCAACATGAGCTTCGATGATATCCTGAAGCAGGTTCCTCAGAAGGGAAAGAAATAAAATACGAGGAATAGCCAAACAAAAAATGTGTATAATTTTGCGGGAAACGTCTGCTCTGATGGAGCCCGTCTCTTCATCCTGATTGTTTACTTCTGACCTGGGGCGTCGGCCCCCCTTTTGCATTACTAATAATAATGTTGCTCCTCTTTTCGTGTCTTGACGTCCGTTGCATTTCTCTCTCTCTCTATTTACTGTTTTGTTTCTATTTTATTTTTGAATTTTCTTTCTGATTATGGGCGCATCCAAGTTGCATGGACTAAAAGGTTGGAATGGCGCCAGTGAGCAATCATCTAAATATCCGAACAGGAGGAAGACGGGAAAAGGAAAAAGAAGTGGAAAAAAAAAAAAAAAAAAGACAAGAATGATTTGTTATTCTAAATTTCAGCGAAGCATGCGTGGAGCGATGGCCTTTATAGCCATGACCTTGGGTAATTTCGTTTCTTTTCACTGTTCCGTGGTCGACTCAATTGGAGATATCTGCCACCCAGACCGTCTTGATTTGATGTTATTTACCATGGGATGGATAGAGATAATACTGTCCTGGTGGACTTATAATATAATTTTAACCCTCCACATTTGTATCGCATCGTGTATCGACCATTTATATCACGTAGAACATATCTTATGTGAACCATGGTTGCTGTTTCTATGGTTGACGGAACCAATGGATTACCGCATATATATATATTCACATCCCCTCAATCTCATCTGTCCATCATCCAACACCCGTCAAATATTATCAATTCCATCACTGATGTGTTATTTTCTACCGTTTTCATCAGATAAAGAGCTACTGTAGTATCGGATCGGTTTCCATCCTTCTACTGCTCTCCAATATGCTGCCAGCCCGCCGCTCTAAACGCCGTGCTAGCGGGCGACGGTGGTTGTTGAAGAGCGACGATGATACGACACGCTGCAGTCAAAACAACTGATCGTCCCGTGTTCCAGGCCCGGCCCCGGGGCCGTCGCACAGGTGAGACTGACTTCGAATGTCTCTCTTTTTTTCTTTGCAGACTCTGGGGGGATTTTTTCTACAGCCAACAACTCTACATCCCCACGTCCTCTGACTGAGACAGCGGTATCCGACTTTTCGTCTTATCACAGCGATCGTCATCGATCGACACGAATCCTTTTCCATCCTCGAAAAATACCTTCCCAGTCAGGCCAGGGGGGCAAAAAACAAAAATAACATGACAGCAAGCTAAGACACAGGGGGGATACACTTGGCAGTGTCAGAGCCTTAGGAGGTACGCACGGAAGCAACTAGCCAGTCAATTCAGCTATGTCCAGATCACGGTCCAGCATTGCCAGCGACGGCCATGACCGGTTAGAGCCGCGACTGCTGCGAGCAGCGGAAAACGACCATGTCGAGGCCCTGCGACGCATAGTCGAACTAGCCCATGAAAATGGGCAGTTCAGCGACAATTTCCTGCGAGTGGGGCTCATGCGCAGCTCAGAGCGGGGGTCTATCGCGGCCACACAATATCTGCTCAGTCTCGGTGCGAAAACGGATGTTCCGAGTCATCGCCTTGCGCCTCTGCTTCGCGCCGTGGAGCGCAACCATGTTCGTATCGTGCAGCTTTTGTTGGATTATGGCGCGGCACCGGAGACGACGGATAAGAAAGGGCGCACGGCGTTGATGACGGCCGCGTGGAGGAATCATTGGCATGTGTTGCAGGTGCTCATCTCGCGCGGGGCAAATGTGAATGCCAAGGACAATAAGAAGAGGAATGTTCTACATAATCTTGGCGCGGATAAGCAATGCGATTGGGGTGATGATGTTATTGAGCTTTTGCTTGGTACGGTCTGCAAAATTGATGGCGTCGAGGGCCATGACGAGCTTGGCCGGACTCCTCTGCACTGGGCTTGCGCGACGGGTAAATTCCGTCTGGCAGAGCTTCTTCTCACGAGGCCTCGTGGACCTATCGCAGATGTTGACGCGGTTGAGTCGAGGAATAAGACCTCGCTACATATCGCTGCGGCTCATGGAAGGGACGATATCGTTCAGCTTCTACTGCACCACAAGGCGGATATTAATGCTCGGAGTGATGGTGGGTGGACACCACTTCATAATGCCTGTGATCAAGGCTCTGAAGTGATTGTGCGCATCCTATTGCAAGCCGGAGCCAATGTAAACAGCCAACTGTTGAATGGCGTGACACCCCTACACCTAGCCGCACAGGGTGGGCATCGCGAAGTGGTCGAGTGTCTTCTAGAACGGCAAGATTTGAAGCGGAGAATCCGAGACAACTTTGGTAGCACTGCTTTCCTGCGCGCAGCCCAGTTCCGACGCAAGGACATTGTGTCACTCCTGGCACCTTTCAACAACGTGGAGGCCTTGTCGCCTGATGCGATTGGGGCATGCGAGAGCTTTGACGCGACAGTCGTCGACTTTGGAAACTTCCACAATGAGAATAGGGTGAAGAGAATCTCTGTCTTCAACCTGCTTTATGGGAGGGATAAGGAGAATCCGCGTAAACAAGCCTTTAACACTATCCCTGCCGACAGCAAAGCCACTCATTTCCGATGGATTCATCTTCCCGCCAATAATATGGCGTGGGTAGAGGCCCTGTTAACCAAATCTTTTATCGAAGAAGGCTCGCATGATGTCGAGGGTTTCAAGGGCCTTGAAAAGTCGTTCAATTATCAACACCGCGGGCAGAGAACGCATTCGCACTTCATGCGGCCGTTATGTCAGACTACGCCTCGGGCACCACGGTTCCGCGAGGAAGACAGCTCGGAAGAGAAGACCGAGGTGGAAGATAAGGTGCCGAGCATCGTCATAAATGGGCATTGTCGAGAACCCAAGCAGTCAGATGGCAAGAAGCAAAAGTCGCCAGGCGGGAAGCTCGAGCGGACGGACTCCTCTTTCTCACAGGATGACGGTAACAGTACCCCGGGAAAGAAAGGGAAAGGGGCCACGAAGCGTGGTAAATCTGCTGGGGGAGGAGGGACACAGAAAACTGAAACGAAGAATAAATCTCCCATTGGCAGATCGCGATCACCATTGTCGTTGTGCAAAGATCAGGGTCACCAGGCTACTTACAATGTGTGTATGTTCATGCCTTATCTGCACTTCGAAACAACTGCACGGAGAAAGGAAATGCAAGAAGCGATTCAACGGGCTGAAAAGAAATTCCCTCAGCCACAGCCAGGAATCAACCGGTCACCCACACGCGATGAGATGTTAATCAACGCTCATCTGGCGTCTTCCACGGCCTCCCTACATGTACGACGGACGCTAGATCAGTTCTTCTACCCAAACATCGACACCCATATCCGAGACCAGGATCAGGTCGTCTACCGCTACCAGACCAAAGGACAGGGCCGCGAGAGCGAAGACCCCAAGATCTTCATGGTAGACCAGCTGTGGATGTGGATTATGCCGAACTTCGTCGTGACCAGCTTTGCACAACGGTGGGATCAACCGAAGAATGACCCGCTTAATGTTCTGGACGGGATTATTGAGGATATCAACTCCAAGACGCGTGAGCCGGTGCGCTCAGTGTATGACCTGGCCACCATTATCACTAACCGTTGCTCGGGAGTCTTCGACCGCCACCGCATGGGAGACGACGAGTATCAGTTTTTGGATATGTTCGAGTCATCGATTGGTTTTGCCACTGATCGCGAAACGATACTTTTCCAGGAATTCAACGTGGCATCAGCGCAGGCGTCTGACTGGCTGAAAAACCATCGCAAGCTGAACCGCGCTTCACGGAGCCTGAAATCTAAAGAAAAGAGCAAAGAAAAGGACAAATGGGAAGAAAACCAGGAAGATGAAGATGAAGATGATGACGACGAGCAACCTCTTTTCGTTGACAAACTGTTAGACATCGGGCAGGAGACCAGTCTACTATCTGAGGCAAAGGATATCCGAGATGAATTGAATATCCTCCGAGTGGTCCTAGGTCATCAACAAAATATCCTCGAGGACCTGAAAGACCAGATCTGCGATATCTACCAAGGCCAGCACAAGCCACAATACGAGGTCAAAAAACGGTTCAAAGAGCAGCAGCGTACCATCGACATGCACCTAAAGGACATCGATCGGATGGACAAACAGGCCGAGCGCATTTATTCCTCTATCACAGACCTCCTCGACCTGAAACAGAAACACGCCAACGCCTTTGAGGCCCGTTTCGCTCGGGACCAGGCTATGGGGACTGCGAAGCAAAGTAAGGTGGTTCTTGTGTTTACTATCGTCACGATCATCTTCCTGCCTCTCTCTTTCATCACTTCTATTTTCACCATCAACCTCACGGAATTTACTTCGAAAGATGGCTCGCAACAGTTACATCTATCGTATGTGGCCAAGTATACATTCGGGATTGGGTTTGCAATATCCATCCCGCTCATCTTACTAGCTTTATCTGTCGAAGATATTGGGTATTTCTGCCAGGAGGCGATTCGATGGATGCGGAGACGACTATCCTCGCGAAAGAAGGAGTCTCCCAGGTCACTGGAAGAATCGCATAAGCTGCAGATGGTGGATATAGAGAAGAGCTGGAGCAAGGCCAGGACGCAGAAAAGCGTGGATACGGAGTTTGCAGGTGGGCTGTTGCCCATGTCGACGAGGGGTACGAAACGGAGTAATTATCAGTGGGAATATAATTAAATGAGTGCTACGATATGATTTGGCGATGATACTATGATATGATTTCTACGAGATGATTATGTGAAATATAGTTTGTATAGGACATAAAAAAAAAATCAATTCAACTAAATATTCAACCGATAACTCCTAGACTCCGTTCAAAATAGAATAGCATATTACTGAATGTCAACCTTGATAAACTCCCTCTCTTCATCTTCTTCCTCTTCATCAGACCCTTCCGGAGTGAATATCTTCTCCTCTCCCTTCTTCATCTCTCCTTCGCCGTTATCCTCAACCACAACAAGATCGTCTTCGTTCTCTTTCTCCTGTTCCTTCTTTTTCTCTTCAACCCGGGGAACAAAAACCGTCAAAATCCCATCCTCCAGTCTGGCTTGAATCCCTTCAACCACAACACCAAGAGGAAGGGGTACCTCCCTCTCAAACTCCCCCACCTGATAACCCCTCTCACTCACCACTAAAGCACGATACATTTCCTCATCCACGCCAGGGCGGTGCACAACACCCGCCAGACGGAGGGTAGACTCCGATACATTGTATCCAATGCTGAGATCAGTTTTCTTGGCTCCAGGAAGAGAAGCGTGGATGATTGTTTGAGCAGGGGTACTGAAGATGTCGATGGCTGGTGTGAAGCCCATTTTGTCGTTGTGATGGTGGTGGCGATGATGATGATGCATCATGAATGGGTGGAAGTGGAGGCCTTTAGGTCCTTTGCCATGTTTGCCTCCATGTTTTCCGTGGTGACGGCCACCACCTCGGCTGTGTTTCATGCCGGCGGCCCAGAAGTGGCCTTTACTATGGCCGTGATGGCCGCGTTTATTTTCATTGATTCCGAATTCGGGACCCCCGTGATGATGGCGATGATGACCATGGCGATGGTCACCGAATCCAAGCCCGAATGCATGATGTCCGAAGCCACGACCACGGCCTCCATGACCTCCATGGCCATGACCAGGCCCGTGACCGCGCTTCTCGTGGAAGTCTTTCATCCACATTCCATGTTTCTCATGGTGGAATCCTTTTTCCTTGTGCATTTTTGCACATTTTTCAGGATGAGGTCCCTTTTCAGAGTGGATGTTAGTAGTGTATGGAGGGGGTTGGCATGATGCAAAAAATGGATGCTCCTCTAGATTGCCATCAAAGTAGAGAGCATGGTGGTTGATTGAAGTGTGCATTTTGCCTGTTTGAGCTGGGTGAATTGCACTGATTTGGATAGACATGCTGATACTTGATGTGACTTGACGGGATATACTTGGGGTATTTATACACTTTGATTTCAGGCAGACAAGAATTGTCCGAAGGCTGTGAGTCAACAAGGTACGTACACTTTGAAGATCTGCCACCTAGGCAGCCGTTAAACGTACGAATCAATCAAGTGCAAGGCTGAAGGGGTGGGTGAAAGAGGCGGATACGTGTACAGTAGATTACCAAAACGGGGAATCAAGTCCGTTAGATGGATGGAAGAGGCAAATTTTCGGACATAATTCTCGGGATATTGCTCGGACTATTCGGGATTCGGAGATCGGCCTCGAGACATCGGAGCTGAGGCCGGCGATCTGATAACTAACGATTTGAAGAGATTCAGCTTTCGTCCTTGTTGCCACTCGTGTCATTGAATCCGCTGGAGTCATCGATGGTGGGAAATTGGCTGGCCTCGGATTCAACACTGCCTATTGCTGCGATATGGCCACTACGCCGCCATGCTCGTCATGGAAGCCAGCCATCGTTGTTTCCAAACTCAAGTTTTGCTACCCTCTTTGAGTAGCTTCCACAGTTTCATGGCAATTTGCTGCTGCTAAATGTAGTGGTGTCTAACGGGATTTGTTTGTCTTCAAACAATGTCTGCAGCCTTCTTGATCTGCAGCTTTAGCACTGCTTCATGCCCATGCACGTGCCCCGGACCCCCTTCTGATTTAAGGCAATTGGCAAAAGAGGGTTGTGTTCTTTGACAGTCCATTTGAATAGGCCATGTAAGAAGAAGCGGTTTGTTCAACATTCTTGTCAGCTGAAAGTGGCCTTTTTCCACTGCCTTGCCGTACTGAACGCCTCCCCGCTATCATTAGGACTTAGGCAGCCCAGAATGTTTCTCTGATGGCATTGCCTCGGTAGTTGTCATTTCCGAGAGGAGTGCGTAGATCCACACGACCGTATAATCTTGATGGCGATGACGAGTGGTTGCAGTTGTCATTTGGGTTGATACGAGTCTCATCATTTCTCGCGACAGCCTCATCGACAAGAAATCAATCTGTCTTAAATAGCAGGGCCCGTGTCTTTGCAGTCGATGCATGAATGATGCTTGAGTCCAAATAATCCTGGCTAGAAAGGCTGGATCCCTGTCCAAATCATATGACTGCAGATGCCAAATCGAGTCGAAAGACCTCATACGATCCCACGTGACCTGTATAAAAGGGCGTCCTACCCCTCTCGAAATTGCATCCTCACATGTCCTTCCATCAACAACTCTACAACCAAGCCATGAAGATCTTCATGTGTTTATCTTGCCAGGATTGACTCATATCTGGTCTTTATCGGGATTTTGAGGCTTCAGAGCCGTCACTACCCGCTGCGGGACTCGTGATGATGTCTTCAGCGATGACTGCAGAACTGTCTGCTAAGCTCAGACTACCGGAATTCAACAGAATGCTAATGCTAGATATAGGGGCTTAGGTTAATACAGTTGGCCACAGGAGCTAAAGATAATCGTTTCATTGATATTGAAGATTTTTGATGAGTCCAACTTGGGACTCAACAGCCTCAGCCAGCCCATTCCACTTGATCCGCTCTATTGCTCTATCGAATCCAGACTCGAGCCCCGAAGATTCACAATCACAATCTACTATTTACAAGAAAAAAACAATAATGATCCCGAGTGTCCTTTCTAGAAGCCTAGATCTTCCGACAGACACATGGGCACGTGCATTTACTCGGAGAGCACCGGATACTCACCGTTGTGTAGTACGGTTGGGATTTTTCTCCCATGGGCTAGATTGAGAAGATCCTCGGTGAGATGGAAAAAGCAATGGGATTTTTCGAGAATCAGACCCGACCGGATGGAATATACCGAGCTGGCGCATACATGTACGAACTCAGCATCCGTCCCGAGATCTCCTAAGTTCAGGGTCGGGATGAGGTCATCGTGTGCTCAGCTACCTATCAGTCACCAATAACTGTTGCGGAAAGACAGAATTTTAGTATTTAGGCATGGCCATTCCCAAACTCTTAAAATGACTGTCGATTCTATTTCAAAGTCGTGAAATTCTTCAATTCCAAACGCGCAATGAGGCCGTTGCCATTGAGCATAGTCCGACCTCGGAGCAGGCGAATTCTGTCTCCACGGCTCCCCCTACAGCTATCCCCTACTCGCCAGCTATTCTTTCGCCATGCGTCCACTGTTCCTGCTATTCGCAACGAGTGTCCAAAAGGCTCACGCGCCCTAGCCACCCAGGTCCAGCCGCCCACAGCCTTCTCCGAGCCAAGTAGCAAGGAGAGGGTAATCATCCTTGGCTCTGGCTGGGGAGGGTATACTTTGTCTCGCAAATTGTCATCCAAATCGTTTTTACCAACCGTCATTTCTCCTCGGTCGTATTTCGTCTTCACTCCACTTCTCACCGATGCCGCAGGTGGTTCTTTAGATTTCTCCAATATTGTTGAGCCAGTTCGTGATTACAATACCCATGTCGACTTCATCCAAGCTTCAGCACGTTCGGTGGACTTCCAGAAAAAGACGGTCCTGTGTGAATCGACAGTGGTCAAGAGAGGTGTCACCGAGACGCCTCGGGTTGAAGAAGAAGGCGGGAACAATGCGGCAGAGAGTAAGCCCCGGTGGGAACAGGGCGAGGTCTTTGAGGTCCCATATGACAAGTTGGTCATTTCGGTTGGCGCAGTTAGCAAGACATTCAACACCCCCGGGGTGAGAGAGCACGCCATGTTCTTCAAAGATATTGGAGATGCGCGGCGAGTCAAACGGCGGGTTCGAGAATGTTTCGAGCTAGCAGTCTTACCAACAGCGACCCCAGAAATGCAAAAATCGCTGCTGCATTTCACTATCGTCGGAGCAGGCCCAACGGGCACAGAGCTCGCCGCTGCTCTTCGCGACTTCATCTATGACGATTTAATCAAGCTGTACCCTGCCCTGAAGGGACTGCCCCGTATAACACTGTATGACGTCGCGCCCAAAGTGCTGTCGATGTTTGACGAGTCCCTTTCGCAATATGCAATGGATACAATGAAAAAGGAGGGCGTGGATATCAAAACTTCCCATCACGTGAAAGGCCTTCGCTGGGGTGCCCCTGGCGCCCAACCCCCATATGAAATGGATCCCAAAGGATGCCTCACATTGACAACTGAAGAAGAAGGTGAGGTTGGCGTTGGAATGTGCGTTTGGGTCACAGGAAACGCCATGAACAAGCTTGTCCGCCGCGGTCTTCAAGATGTCGAGACCTTTCCCACAGAGTCTGTGCAGATGAAGAATGGCGAGAAACCGCCAGTCGACGTCCAGGAATCTTCGTGGAAGGTCAAAAAGGCCCCTAAGGTCGGGGCGTTGCTAGTGGATGGGCAGTTCCGTGTGCAACTCGAAAGTGACGACGGGAAGACGGCAGTGCTTCAAGATGTATTCGCAATTGGGGACAACGCGATGCCCGAGACAGGTGCACCGCCTGCAACAGCACAGGCATCAGCTCAGGAAGCCAAATGGCTAGCGACACGGTTTAACCGAGGCGACATTAAGCAATCCCCGCCGTTCTCCTTCAAAAATATGGGAACGTTGGCGTACATTGGGGATGCAAAGGCCCTGATGCAGGTTCCCCACGACAACAAATATCTGCCAGAGGGTCTTAAGGGACGCACAGCTTGGCTTGTATGGAATTCGGCTTACTTGACAATGAGTATCAGTTGGCGGAACAAGTTGCGAGTGGGATTCCGATGGTTGTTGAACAATATATTTGGAAAAGATGTATCGAGATTTGAGTAGAAAAAATGGTAATGCTAGTGATAGTTAATCTATTATTCTTCAGACGAGGTTAATTAAGGGGCGCGACTTCAATGCAACCGAGGTTTGAATTACCGCGGAATTCGATTCCTTCCCCGCATTCTCCTCATCTTTTTTTCTATCGCAAATAGAAGAATCGTCGAGCTGTCGATCATCAGTTATATAATAAATTATATTCTGTTCTATTCCCACAATTATTTATCGAGTCAGAGTCCAGACGAGAAGAATTGCACGCGTCTCAACTGTCAAACCTTAACCTCGTGACTCAACAACACCACCACCACCGCAACGTATCTTCACCACCTTTAGCCCCCCTTGACTGAAGTTCTGAACCACCATGACAGTTTCCGAGCCCTCCTATATCCGAGTTGCCCATCGCAAACAAGCCCAGCTGGACTCTCAAATTCCAGCAGAATGGAAGCTCCCCGCATCTCTTATTCCGCCAGGAATGCTCTCCCCAGCCGAATCCATCACCAACGCCAAAACATACCAGCGGGTCAGCGTGATAGATATCCCCCGCACTTGTGGGCTTCTTACGGACAGGGAGCTGGATATCACGGAGAATTGGGATGTTAGGGGTCTTGTGGGTCAGATGGTGGAGGGCAAATTGACGGCGGAGGAGGTCGTGAGGGGATTCTGCAAGGTTCGTTGAGTTATTCTCTTGACCGGAACTATTTTCAAAATAATGTGAAGACTGACGAGCCGAAGCGATCCGCGATAGCACATCAACTCACTCGCTGTCTGACTGAACCCCTCTTCGAAGATGCCATTCAACGAGCCCAAGAACTCGACCGCCACTTCAAACAGACCGGGAAACCCGTTGGTCCTCTCCACGGCCTTCCCGTGTCTATCAAAGACCCCTTCCACATCAAAGGACGAGACTCGAGCATCGGCATTGCTGCTCTTGCATTCAAACCTGCAGCCGAGAATGCCCCTCTCGTCGAGCTACTCCTCTCCTTGGGTGCAGTGGTGATTGCCAAGACCAACGTACCCCAAACCATGGGCGCTCTGGATAGCTGCAACCATCTTTTTGGGCGTACGCTCAACCCACTCAACCGCCAACTCACCGCTGGAGGAAGTTCCGGCGGCGAAGGTGTACTGGTGGCCATGCGCGGGGTAATGGTAGGTCTGGGGACTGATATTGGCGGTTCCTGCAGAATACCTGCTATGTGTACCGGAATATATGGGGTAAAGCCAAGTGTGGGTCGGTTGCCTTATGGGGGGCAGGAGGGCGGACAGATCCCCGGCAAGGGGCGGATGGCATTGCAAGCTGTCGCGGGACCGTTGGCGCGATCTGTGGCAGATTTGAATGCTGTCATGGCGGAGATCGTGCCCCGAGCTGAGTTATACGGAGAGGATTGTATCCCTGGACGATGGTTGAGTATGCCAAATGCTATTCAACCTCCAAGGAACTTCACCATTGGCGTTCTTCGATCAGATGGTCTGGTTGAGCCTTTGCCTCCCATTGCCAAGGTTTTGGGTGAGGTGGCTCAAACATTGCGGCACACGCCTGGGGTTGAAGTGGTGGACATCCCTGTGCCTCCTGCACTAGCGAAGTGTCAAGCATTAGCGGGACGGTTAATGGGAGTGGACGATGGAAGCACGATGATGGATCTTCTAGAAAGCACTGGCGAACCCTTGATCCCGTGGCTCCAAGGCCGGATGAGGCGAGGAAAGGCGTTAACGGTTGTGCAGCTGGCACAGCTCCAGGCACAGCGGGCTGCAGTTGAAAAGGAGCTACTGAAGATGTGGACACTTGGTGGTGTTACTCGACAGATTGATGCCATTATCGTGCCTGTGGCGCCCCACCCAGTGCCAGAACTCGATCGGTACAATGCAGTTGGGTATACTTCCAGCTTCAACCTGCTCGACTTGCCAGCTGGTACCATTCCTGTGCGGAAGTTCCAAGAGTCTGACCTGAGTCTGGAGATGACTGCACCTGTTCTGGGAAGTTGGGATAAGGCTAATCGGATGTTGTGTATGTTTTCTTTTTATTATCGCTATCTATTATTGATGCAAGGCTGACTCAAACAGGGAACGAGAAAACGGTCGACCGGCGCGTGTATCTGGATTCACCCTTGAGCATTCAGGTGGTGACACCCAAGCAGCATGACTATGAGCTCATTCAGGCGATGGAAATCATCGACAGAGCTGTACGAGCACAAGAGGTTTCTGGGAGAAGCAAGTTGTAACTGCATATATAGCTACTAAATACATTCTAAACCAATGTACACTATTACAATCTGCTCCTTGTCAATACATTGCCTCCATCCGAGACAATCACCGCGCCGTTCAAATGACTCGCGGCACGACTTGCCAGGAAGACCACCAAGCCAGCAATATCCTCGGGCCTTCCGAGTCGCCCGTTCGGAGAGCTCTCCTCGAGCAATTTGGTGCCACCCTGTGCCTCGATCAATCCGCTGGCCATCTTGGACGGGTAAAAACCAGGCGCCACGGCATTGCAGAGGATATGACGGGGGCCCAGCTCGACAGCGAGGTTCTTGGTGAGATGAATCACCGCTGCTTTGGAAGTAGAATAGCTGAATGTCGCATTTTCGCCGAGACTACCGATGCCAATACCTGCAACAGAACCGGTGACGATAACCCTCGAGGGAGACTCCAGAGTCGCACTGGCCGTCAGAAGGGGGGTAAACCTGTTCATCAATATTAGCATTCAATACACTGCACCTTCAAATAGGAAAAGAAAAGAACAGACTTTTGCACCAGATAAAAAACACTCTTAACATTCAAATCCATCACCTTGGAAAACATCTTCTCGGGATGCGTCTCAAACTTCTCCCCCCACGTCGCCCCGGCATTGGCAAAGAGGATATCAACATGATCCGTCGTCTTGCCCACCTCACTCACCAACCGATCCAACTCGTCCATCCGCGAGTTATCAGCCGGCACCGAGATGGCCTTTGCACCGGGGCGTTTGTTGGGGAGCGCATTGAGCGCCGCGACAGCTTCATCGCACGCCTGGCCCTTTCGGGATGTGATGTAGACTTTTGCGCAGCCGGACTGCAGGAGACTGGCATTTGATTTTCTTTTTTTAGTGGTCTTTGCTTTTTTGGATCTATCTTATCCCGACTTCCCGAAGATGGGATAGTGATAGGAAATAGATTGGGGATACTATGTGTGACATACCCACTAGCAGCGTGTAACCCCAGACCTCGAGAGCCACCCGTGACGACGGCTACTTTGCCCTCGAGGGAGAAGATGTTGGGGAAGTTGTCGAGGTGGACTTGGTCTGTGACGGACATTTTCAATCAATTGATAATATATATGATACGATGAAATATGGAGAAATAGATGAGATGATAATGAAATGTTGATAATTAATTCTCCAGATGAAGGTGAAGTTATACAATTTTCTCGACAGCCGATATACGACAAATTACCTCGGTTCGGCTCAACCCCGCAAAAAGTTGATTAGTGATGATCGATCGATGTTTGAGAATTGAAGCTATTATAATTATTTATTTACTTATGACGATTACAATATCTATTAATTAATCCCAATTGTTAAACATCTTACCCCTAAGTGTTGTTTCTAACAATACTCACGTCACTAGTTGACAGTCGCTAGTTTCTCAGGTCACACAACATTCATCATCGCCCTTCGATAGCGCCAGCGCCACGATGGAGTATACCAAATCCCCTTTTTGCGGTTGCCCCAACGGCCCACCCATTGTGGAAAAGGCTCTTCCGTAGCTTATGCACCGTAGATCGCTTTAAAGGAGTAAGCTAGAAGGATTTCCAAGTGGATATTAATATGAATTTGGGCAATAACTAAAATTATGATACACGAAGGTGATAAATAATATGTACGCTGGACTCCAGAAGGTGGAGTCCGTCTTCACACCGCTTGAAGTAAATGCAGCATGAAAGCAAACAGTAAACAGCAAACGCAAAACAGGATAAAGGGACGCTTTTTTGCCCTCCCAATCTAGCAATCTAATAAGAATAAAACCAGAAAAAAGCAAAAACGCCATGCAGTAGTCGTCAAGTCATCGCCAAATCCACTTTTTGTTCCAAATAGTCCCGTTCCCCAAGACGCGTGGCCTTTCTTTTCTTATTTCCTAGCCAATCTTTCCTCGCGGGCGTGTCGCCAGCCAGGCCCATACTTTGACTCAATCCAGAGCAATGGCGTCATGCCAACTGTAATTCCAGCAAGCATAATGAAGGTGTATTCGGCTGTCAGGGCATCGATGATGGGTTGCACAACCGCCACTCCGGCGGCTCCAATAAGGCATCGGATGAGGTTGTTGACGGCTGTAGCGCTGGCGCTAGCGCCAGGGTACAGGTCGATGACGAAGGCACTGTTGATGGTGAAGATGCCGGTGGCACAGAAAGCGATAAAGTACTGCAGGATGATAGGAACCGCCAAGTGTGTGCGGAGCGAGACGCCATAGAGCGCTGTTGTGATCACGAACAACGCAATGACCCACCACGTGTTGCGCATCCGAGCAACCTCAATAGGGAAGTCGGCATGCGACTTGAGGTTCACCCGGGTTCCGCTTGGGTAACCTCGTTTCTCGCAGTATTCGCGCTCGGTCATGCGGTGGTTGTAATCCATCAAATAGCCGACCGAGTATGATCCAGACATACATCCAAACCCTAATTTATGTTAGTCATGACTTATCGAAAGATAGATAGATAGGAGACTTACCATTGCCAAGGAAGGTAAGACCAACTTGCAGTGTGCTCAGACCATACACCTCCTGGAACAGGGAGGTTGTGCTGGAAGTAACCATACTCCAGAAGGTATAGACAATGCTACCAAAGAACAGAGTGATGAAGACATCCTTCTCGAACAAAAAGGTCAGAGGAGAGAAAACAGCCTTCCAAGTCACCTTGGTCTTCTCCACTCCTGGTGTCGCCCCCTCCTGGGCGTGCTTTTGCGGAAAGATGTAGTAGATAAATGGCTTGTGGAAGCCAGTAAGGGGGACGGATCCGTTGCCGGCAATGGGTCTGAGGGTTTCGGGAAGGAAGACCAGGATGGACAGCAGACTGATAGCTCCGGCAATGGTGAGGAACCAGAAGATAGATCGGAATCCTAGGTACTCTGACAGGATGCCACCAAATACCGGACCAACACCCTGTCCCAGCATGCGGACTAGATTGTCAGTATGTTTCATAACGCAGGATGGCGTAAGGCTCTTACCTCCTCCAAAGATTCCAACCAAACTTCCTCGCTCAGAAGAGGTGGTCATATCTCCGATAACACCCGCACCTACATGTTTCAAAGTTAGTCGTTTGGCCCCTATCTAAGATGGGTAAGTACATACCGATCGAGATGGTGGCAGCACTGCCAGCTGCCTGCAAAGCTCGAAAGACCATGAGCTCTGGGTAGTTGGTAGACACAGCCAAGACGATGTTGGCAATGAGGTAGACGGCAAAGGTTCCGATAAAGACTGGTCGTCGACCAGTGGCATCAGACATGGAACCCCAGAAGGTAGGGGCAAGTCCTTGAACGATCATGTATACCGTGACGGTCAAGGTTACCAGGGACATGGAGGTGTTGAGCGACTATACAACTTAGCTATACTGGACTCGTTCCCCTTGGGCGATGTAGGGCTTACCTTTGAGATGTCTCCAAGGGCAGGGAAGTAGATGTTGGACGACAAGGGGGAGAAGATGGCTGCCAGCGAAACGATGTATACCATCTGAAGCTTTTGGCCTCGAGAGAAGACATGGTGAGGTGGTGGTGTAATTTCGGGTTGACCCTCGAGCTTGATAGACTCAGGAGGGCTGGTTTGTCTGGAACCGGGAAGGGAGGTGACAGTAGCCTCGGGGGCCTTTTCCTTAGAGATATCCATGGTTCTGGGTGGGCATTTAAGGGAATCTATGGGAAAGGTAATAGGAAATGGGAGCACGAGACCCTTTGCTTGATCATTTAAAAGAATGATATCCAAGATTCTGATCTAGAGAACTGGAGAATAAAAGAAGGTTCCAGGGCCGTCCCATCTAGGCCCTTTTGTATCTCGACAGGACTCGGGCTGACCATCCCACTCAAAAACTTTGCTCATCATGCCAAGCCAGGATGATATAGAAACAGCTCCACTGTGGTTCTATGCATTTGGAAGAATGGATTAACTTCCTAGGTGGGACGGGATAGTGGCAACAGCAGAGACCCTGTGCGACGGCGGCCGAAGGAATACTACCCAAGAAGCGTTTAGGGTGTCCATCCAATGATCTTGGCATGCTGATACTAGGGGTAGAAGGTAGAAACACTGGGCTGGCTTCAGGGTGGGCATGCATTGGCGTTCATTAACTTCATTTGCATTGCTTTTTTTGATAACCATGGCCTTGATGATGAATCGGAAAAGTCCTGTTGCCACTCGCATGTCCGCATGGCGGTAAACAAAACGCAGTGTCCAACCTGGCTGTCAAAGTCAAGTCAGAACCGAGTCGGAAAATAACGAATCTGAGATTGAGAAAAGGGTTATTCTTCGGGGAATATTCTCAAATTCGGGCACCAAACAAACAGAAACGGCAAAGACGATACCCCCTGATACGGAGTAGTGGTCAGATAGGATGGGACTATGGGTACGAGGGTACAAGGCGATCAAACTTCAAAGAGATAATGGCCAGTCCGGCTGATCTGCAGAGCCACTTTCGCATCCATAATCTAGGATGAACTTGTCGAGTCGTTACGACCAGCACAGGACCTTGGCACCGACGATCACGATGGCTGCAGGATACACATGCCAAGACGACTAGCTGACGGGGTTCCGAAGGACATTTTTCGACAGAGACGATGGGCGGTGATGTGGAAAATGACAAAAACCCAAAAAGGGAAAAAAGAAAAGAAGCGATAGATTGAGAGATAGTAGAGGGCGAGACGCGTCAGAGGTGTGAAGATGGAGAAAGCGGCGATTGGTTGGCCAGGGAGCACGTGCTGGGCAGGCTAAGCCCTGATCGGCAAAGGCTTCATCTGGCCCTGTAGGGTTTTGTAGGGCAGGATGTCGTGAGTTTGTACATGTGATGGAATATCACTGCTGATCTGAGCGCAGAGTCGCAGCCATTGAAACACTTCTTTCCTGATCGTCTTTTTCCTGTTGTTTCTACTTATCACCACAATTACTCAATATCAACATTGTCATCCTACGCCACTACGCATCCCTGAGATTCCCTTGAGGAAATCCACTTTGGCCCCGATAGCCCCCGGGATCGCCCTGTCCGTCCAGTCCGTCCGCACATCAGAGCCGAAACGCTTCACGAACCCCTGAGAGGCTGAGCCCATTGGGCAGTGTACGTGGACGACACGACCAAGCTGATTGAAAAATGGAGACTAAAATAAAAATGTGATGGAGTGGTCGGGTTTTCTGGTGCGGACTGCGGATACCCACCTCCTGGTCTGTCCGAATATGACTTGGCGATACCCACGGTATATCCGTTGGAGGGGGTTGACGTTATGGGTCAAAACCTTGTGTGTGTGGAAAAAAAAGAAGAACAGGAAATGAAATGATGATGAATCATGAAATGATGAAACCGACGGAGAATTGAGTCTGAGCCTCTGTCCCGATGGATCTGAACTGACTGACTGAATCTTTAGATATCACATTCCGACACAGATATGACAGGGTAATAATGCCATCCATCGGGATTCCAGAAGGGGGAGCACGAGAGCCCGAAAAGGGATTTCGGCTACCCGACGGTCTCACCATCACCGCCAGTGTCAGCCCGCAATCAGCCATGCAGCCTCAAGTCTAGACTACGCAGAAAACGACGTCTCTCGCATCATCACAGCCCCTGTAAAGAGGTCTAGTTAGTGGGTTCTTGGCCCTTTAGCCTTGAAATTAGGGAAAATGCGGCGACTGCTAAGCGGCTAGGCTGGATCCAGCTGAGAACCTGGCCACAGCTGAATCGCATCAAATCACAACGACTATTTGGTAGACGATCTACAGTCGCTCATCCTCTAGTCTAGACTTGGCAATCATGATGAATGGCTTTTTCGAGACCTTAGGGTCTTGGAACTGATAAGATAATTCCCAAGCCCCCGTAGCAAATCCCAAGTCCATACATAGTAGTACTTAACCGAGGAATGCGATCGAAATTGACCACCATGACGAGATATCTTGTTAGCATTCCCACCCGTTAATAATTTTTTAATATATACGAGGTAGCAATACTTTCAACCTGCATATTCTCTTCATGCACTCCTACCGTCCCCTGCCCATGCTGGTGGCTGCTCACCCGTGTTCTACCGTCCGTCATCAACACGAGCTTGGATGACTGGACGATATGGTGTCAACAATCAGCAACCCCTCATACATGATATTGTCAATCTTCATATGAAGATGACATTGCATCCGTCTCAATTCACCCCACAGACTTGTTTCAAATGCATCTAGTGAATAGGAAGAAGGTCAATACCACCCTAGCGGTGATGTCAATGCTATCAATCGGACCAAACCGCCCTTCTGGACTCAACCACGGGTCAAATGCATTGACAATGGAATCGACTCCCGTGAACCTTCTAATTACGATTGACCTTGCAATTATTCCGCTTGACGCCACAGCCGCTACTGAAGAATTGCTCATGAAACAGTGGATCCCTCTGGTTGGTGGTCGAGACTCGCACGGATTCATCGTTCAAGAATCAAGATATCCGACCTGGCAGTCAGCGCTTGATATGCATTGTTTCTTGGCACGATAGCATTGCTTACTACGAGGGATGAATGTTTATGCTGTGCTCTGTTTTATGAACTGTCTGTTATGCTATGCTTACTGTTTATACAGAAGCACAACAATTAGGGCTACTGACAAAGTGACATACTCTCATTCTACCATTCAGTAAACAAACCATCCTCACTGGAACTGACGATTGATGTCATCTATATTTAACATCAACGGACACCTGGACTGTATTTATATACATCCAGCCATGGCATCATCCACAGTTCACAATGAGGTGATGCTGCCCTCATTGCATCTCGACATGTACAGCTTCAGCATAATCCGCTCAATTCCCCTCCGATGATCCCAAGGTCCTTCCTTCTTATTCACTCAAACCTGCTCATTCTCGGCTAATCGAATCGGGTACCTTGGGATGTCAAATATCCTCGCTTCCCCTCTTCGCCCCTCTTTCTTTCTTCTTTCCTCCTCCTTTGTCCTCTTTCGACTCCTCTCATCTTCATCTCATCACCGTATTCAATCTCGCAAGTCAGGAACCACATCCACATCTCCATCTTTAAAATGGCTGCCAAATTCACGCTTCCCCCTCTTCCCTACGCCTACGACGTAAGTTTTGCTAAATACAGCGAGAAAATCCACCCCACCACTAACCCCCTCAAAGGCTCTCGAGCCCGTCGTCTCCAAGCAAATCATGGAAATTCACCACCAGAAACACCATCAAACCTACATCACCAACCTCAATGCCGCTTTGGCCGCTCAAACCAGCGCTCTCCAGTCGAACGATGTCCCCCAGCAAATCGCCCTACAGCAGAAGATCAAATTCAACGGCGGCGGTCACATCAACCACTCTCTCTTCTGGAAGAACCTCACCCCTCCCGGATCTCCCGAGGCCAGCCTCGACTCTGCCGCTCCGACACTCAAGGCTGCCATTGAGGGTCGCTGGGGCTCGATCAAGAACTTCTGTGATGGATTCGGTGCTACCTTGCTCGCTTTGCAGGGAAGTGGATGGGGCTGGTTGATCAGTTCGGGACCCAAGGGGAAGTTGGAAATCGTCACCACCAAGGACCAGGACCCTGTCACGGGCGATATCCCGATTTTCGGTGTGGATATGTGGGAACACGCCTATTACCTTCAGGTTTGTCTCGACTGTATCTTTTCCCCCCTGGGATCTGGACTGACAGTTGCAGTACTTGAACAACAAGGGCGCCTACGTCGATGGAATCTGGAAGATCATCAACTGGGCCGTTGCCGAGGACCGTTACAAGAATGGAGTCGACGGAGCGAGTATCTTGAAGCTGTGATTATCTGAGTAGTATGCATCCAGTAGTAGCATGAGTAAACGCCGTTGAAATGACTGCCAACGCAGTTGAATGAAACAAACAAACCAAACCAAACTCCATCGCTCAATCTATATACCCATGTAGTGCAGTGCAATATGCAATAAATCAATCAAACCCAACAATCCCTGTCCCTATCCCTACACCTCCCGCAGAGATGGTAACCTGTCTCCCCACAATCCCCATCTCAGACACCCCAAGATCCAACCTCTGCGGTAATTCAAACTCCAAGCTTTTATTCGGATTCAGCTGGAATGTATGCAGTGGTGTCCCCAGTGCCGAAGTGAGGTCACCGTGTCGTCTGTTTACATCAGTACACCATCACCAAACATACAACGACAACGATAAATATAGAAAGGGATAAGGCATTTACTCAATCCGCAAATCAATCCGATTACATCCCCGAAAAGCGGCCGATGTAGCAGGGTCTTCGATTCGGAATGTAGCCTTTGTTGGACTGTCGGTGATGTTGTGGAAGAAGATGGAGTAGGATGATGAACTTGGCGAGGAGGACGGGAAGATGACGGCTATTCTTTGGCCGGAACTGGGACGGGCGGGACCGCACATGATGGTACAATAAATAGGTAAATACCTTGTGTATGTAGTTATCTTGTATTATTATGAGAGTACATTGAAGAGAAAAAGAAGCTGGTACTTGAATTATCTACGTCAAGGTATTTAAGGGTTTCCCCCAAGGTCTGAGGGGAATCGAGCAGATTGTCTCCCAAGGTTGCTCAAATCTGCGCATTTGTACTCGGTGGGTCCAGCCATCCATGCCACATGTCGATCATTTGGTTCCACGAATTACATTCCGCATGCCTCAGCAATAACTCATGTCAATTCGCATATCAATAAGTATTAGGTACACGGTCTAGGAACGGTCTAGATACTGGTATGTACTGTATATACTCACTGAACCACCCGGATGGGATGGGCTTCGGTGTTGAGGACAAATGCATTCTTGCCCGCCCCCGGATTTACCTGCCACTCGTCGTCTGCTGGGGTTGTTAGTTCAGCTCCACTTGGTGAGGGAATTAAACAGGGCCTTGTTTATCAGGTGTCGACTCACCCCCGGAATGCGTCAGGTACGCGTATTTCAGCACCTCTGCAAACAGGAAACTCTCCTGGTTGTCATATTTGCCTCCTCCGTTGAGTTCGTTCACGTTTTGCAAACCAGCAAAGCCCGAGTCGGTGCGACAGTTTTTGTTAATCGCTACAAAGGCGTTCCAGACCCAGTCACGGTACTATATCAAGTCAGTTTGAACTCGTTCAATTCAGATTGATGTTGAATTACCATTGTGTTTTTAGTGATGCGGTACGCATAGTAAAAACTCTCAATCACCTCCGGCCGCAGGATGTACGCTCCACTGGTGATGTAGAATCCCGCCCGTTCATAGAGCTCCTTCTGGTCAGCCGGAACAGCACTTGCGTCCCAGCTGAAGGACTCGGGCCCAATTCCAGTCAGCGTCTCGTTGTATGTATCGTGGCAGCCATTGACCAGCTCCAGACCAAAATCGATAAAATCCTGTCGATTCAGTACCGATCCACCCAGCAGGAAGTTTCCGCCGTCAAAACAGGTCAGGTGCTGAGAGGCCAGGCCATATTTACCGTCCTCGTACGAGGCCAGGAAGGTGAGGTCTGGGCGAGATGGTGGGTGCGACTTGAGATGATGCATGGAGGAGTTGGCAGCGGCCACCCATCGGTCCCGGTACAGTCCAAACCGCTTCGTGTCATACACGTACATCTTAATCAAATACTCATAGAATGAGTCGTCACCACCGTTCCAACTAACAACACCGTCGGTAAATTGTCCTGTTTCCTTGTCGATGTGGCTGCCCACCAGGCCCGGGAAAGGCTCGTATTTAGACGGGCTCGGGTTCAGCAGATACGACTGAGCTTTCTGGGTGAGCTTTGCGTACTCATCGTCGCCCGTCAGATCGGACAATCGCGTCCATTCCAAAACCAACGAACCAGTCACGGCCAATCCATTGGTCTTCGTCCCATCATCTTCCTTGGAGATGATGTTGACGTCGTTGTTTGGTACACCGGACGGCGTGTCAAAGGCGAACTTGAGCACATCGGCCAGGGTCTTGGATTGGGTCAAAAGGGCATCGACATTGGAGGAATTCTTGACCAGATCGGACGCAGGACCTTTCAACAGATCGTATCCCGACAGCATGCCTCCAATGTACCGAATGGTGGTCTCGAACAGGCTGACACTGCTCGATGTGTTATGGAAGTTGATGGTAGGGATAAAATCCAGGATCTGGTTGACCACGTCGGCATTGCGCATCACAATGGCCGTAGAGAGGGCATCGACAGCAGAAGCACCCCATCCATTTCTATCTGGTCAGCTTTTCTGGTCCAAAGGAGGTTGAAAGCAGGGGTAATTAGTACCTGGAGTCGCCATGGCCATTGGAAACCGGGAGCAATTCGTCATGAGGAAACGCATATTTGTTATACCCATCCCAAGCATGCTGAAAGGCCTCTTTGACAGCTTCTGCTCGGGATTTAGTGTCGCTGAGTTGTTGGAGAGAATGATCGGAAGGAAAAAGGGAGGCCAAGGAGGGAGTGACCAGGGCAAATGCCCAAGGAAGGGATTGAAAACGCATTGTATAGAAACAATTGATTAAAGATTGTTATATAGATAAAAGAGTGGCAGCCTGGCAAGCAGGCAGTTTTAATACTCCTCCTAGGTCGGAGGGTTGTAGGGATAGACAAAAGACCAAAATTGGTGTTGATGTCGCGTGAACGGCGAAAGACCCTGGGGTAGGAGAAATTATTTATCTAGGAGTCACACGCCGAGGCATGCGGGGAAAAGCGAAGGATTTGCAATCCATCCAGGGGTACATTTCGATAACCGACGATGATTCGCGATGGAATTGGTCATAATTACTGGGTTTGTGGGTTGTTGATGCATACAAAGCGTTGATCTTGCCTGTGTACGGATGGTGCTATTGTCTGCTAGTCAGCTTCTGGGGATGATCTCGGATAATCGATCGATTTCTTCATCTATTGCTAGAGTAGATAGGATATAGGAGATATTATCATACTTGATCGGATAACAATTGTTTTTATTTGTTATTGTTGAGATCATCTGAATGGTGTGGAGTATTCGTATAGAATATTGTACAGCAAGGGATGCGGTTATATATTTCCGCAATAGGGTTATTTGGAGCATTAACTATACTCCAAAAAATACCAGTAAGATCATCTGATATACTCTATAAATTGCTATCATTAATTAACTAAATAGCTGAATATGCATATTTCTTCATCTGCAGGCTCAATAACGTCGTACGGAATGCAGCATCTGATCGAGCAGATGACTAGTACACGCTGCAGGAGCAGATGACAGCATTGATCGGAGATTTAATGACAATTATTGACATTGCATTATTTATTCAGTTCCTCGGATATAAACGCTGGATATCAAATTAAATCAACTAATTTATCTGATGTTGTATCATTATTATCGCAACCTGGCTGTCTGATGTTACTGTAGAATCCGAATATCCAAGATGAACAGCCAACCATCGTCTGCTTATTCCACCGTACACCAATATCCCCAGACTTTCTCCCCCTTTTATGCCAAAAAGAAATAACAATTTCTTATATATTATATTCCGATTACAATAGAATATATAAATATAAAAACTACAACTCTTATCGTGATTGACGTCCTTCCGATTCCCGGCGCGGGGCAGAAAAAAAGAAAAAGAGTCACACTTTCTCTTCCGCTTTTGCCTCTTCCTCCATCTTCAGTTCTCTCTCCATTGCCTTCTCCCCAGGGAACAGGGGATTTCATTCTATTTAATTTCTTCCTTGTGATAATCGCTTCATATCCAATTTCTTTCCACTGGCCTTGATAACCTCCGTCACAATGGCCACTCCCTTCCTTGTCTCCTTCGACCCCGCTTCCCCCTCCTCCAGCCTCACCCTCCAGCAGATCGCCTACTTTGGCCGTGTCTCTATCAAGGTTTCCTCCCTCGCCCAGGCGGAAGAATTCCTTCGTCAAAACTTCCGTCTTCTCGATGTTTACGTCGATGCTACCGACATCTCCTCCACCGGTGACCTCGTTGACGTCCTCAATGCCGGTGCCGCCAAGATCTTCATCTCCCTCGAACAACTGACTGCCTTGTCGCAAGAACAGTCCGTCCCCTCCTCTCGCTTGGTCGTCTACACCTCTTCCGACTCTCAGATTGATGCCTTCCAGCAATGGGTGGCCGAAAGTGCGGAGAGAAAGGATGCTGGTCTCTGTGTTGAGTCAGCCGCTTCCGTGAAGGCCGTCTCGGAGAAATTGGGATTGAACCCTGAGGCTCAGAGCCTTTACTGCAAGCCCTCGTCTGCCGTTACTGAGGAATCTCTTAAACAAACACTCAAGGATGGTGCCGTCAGCATCATTTCTTCGCAGAATTTGACCCTCGACCGCAACCAGGCCGACGGCAAGATCGCTGCCGCATCACTTATCGCCGCGCGCGCTGTCACCGACCAGAACAATGGCCTCTATGCCACTTCCGTCACAGATGAGAGAGGAACATGTCTTGGTTTTGTGTGGAGTAGTGATGAGAGTATCTCCGAGGCTCTCCGTACCGGAACAGGCGTCTACCAGAGCAGGAAGCGCGGTTTGTGGTACAAGGGTCAGTCGAGCGGAGATGTGCAGGAACTCATCAGAGTTGGCTTCGACTGTGACAGCGACTGTTTGGTCTTCGTTGTCAACCAGATTGGCCGCGGATTCTGTCACCTCGGTACCGCAAGCTGCTTTGGTCCCTACAACGGTCTCTCGCGTCTCCAAAAGACTTTGCAGGAACGTAAGGCAGATGCTCCTGCCGGTTCCTACACCGCAAGGCTATTCAACGAGCCCAAGCTGGCGCAGGCTAAGATTATGGAGGAAGCCGACGAGTTGTGCCGAGCAGAAACCAAGGAGGAAATTGCCTTCGAAGCCGCCGATCTGCTCTACTTTGCCCTGACTCGGTGTGTCGCAGCTGGTGTCAGCTTGGAGGATGTGGAACGAAACCTTGACCTCAAGAGTCTCAAGGTGAAGAGGAGAAAGGGTGACGCTAAAGGTCCTTGGGCTGAGAAAGCTGGTATCGCAAAGGCCGCTCCCGAGAAGCCTCAGGAGAAGAGCCAGCCGGCCCCCGTGGTGGATGAAAACGCACGGATCGAGATGACCCGTGTTGTTACCGCTTCGACCCCCGTGAATGTGGTCAAAGACCACCTCAAGCGGCCTTCGCAGAAGTCCAACGATGCCATCGTTGGCCTTGTCCGTCCGATCATCCAGGATGTCCGTGAGAACGGTGATGCAGGTGTCCTCAAGTATACTCACAAGTTCGAGAAGGCTACATCGTTGACCTCTCCCGTAATCCACGCTCCTTTCCCCGCTGAATTGATGCAACTGTCTGCCGAAACACGGGATGCGATCGATGTCAGCATTGGTAACATTGAACGGTTCCACGCCGCTCAAAAGGGAAGCAGCGGTGCTCTTCAGATGGAAACCATGCCCGGTGTGGTCTGCTCTCGCTTCTCGAGACCCATTGAGAGGGTCGGTCTTTACGTCCCTGGTGGTACCGCCGTTCTGCCATCCACCGCCATGATGTTGGGTGTCCCCGCCATGGTGGCCGGGTGCCAGAAGATCGTCCTTGCCTCCCCGCCACGTGCAGACGGCAGCATCTCGCCTGAAATCGTCTACGTTGCGCACAAGGTGGGCGCAGAGAGCATTGTTCTTGCCGGTGGAGCCCAGGCCGTCGCAGCCATGGCTTACGGCACAGAGAGCATCACCAAGGTCGACAAGATCTTGGGGCCTGGTAACCAGTTCGTGACTGCTGCCAAAATGTTGGTGTCCAACGACACCTCCGCGGGAGTCAGCATCGACATGCCCGCAGGACCCAGTGAGGTCCTGGTTATCGCAGACAAGGACGCCAACCCTGCCTTCGTCGCTTCGGACCTGTTGAGTCAAGCCGAGCACGGTGTTGACTCGCAGGTTATTCTCATTGCTATTGACTTGAATGAAGCTCAGCTGCAGGCCATCGAAGATGAAGTCGATGCGCAGGCCAAGGCCCTCCCCCGTATGGATATCGTCAAGGGATCCCTGGCTCACTCCGTCACCTTTGTGGTTAAGGATATCGCTGAGGCCATGACCCTCAGCAACGAATACGCCCCAGAGCACTTGATCTTGCAGGTTAACAACGCAGAGTCGGTCGTGGAGCTCGTGCAGAACGCAGGAAGTGTGTTTATCGGCCAGTGGACCCCGGAGAGTGTCGGTGACTACTCTGCCGGTGTGAATCACTCGTTGCGTAAGTTTTCTTTTTTGCCCAGTGTACCAGACTAGAGATGCTAATGCCTTTTCAGCGACCTACGGCTACGCCAAACAATACTCGGGAGTCAACCTGGGCTCGTTCGTCAAGCACATCACCAGCTCCAACTTGACAGCCGATGGATTGTTGGGACTGGCGCTTACAGTTGAGCAGCTGGCTGGTGTTGAAGGACTTGAGGCGCACAAGCGGGCTGTGAGCATCCGTGTTGCAGCGATGAAGAAGAACTAGGTATATAACTGCCTCGTTTCTTTCTCTTTTCTTTTTTTACGACCTGAATGCGGATGATATAGGATAGTAGATATGATTTATAGTTAGACATGGGACTCCAAAATTTATTCCAGAGCATATGTTGAAATAATCGAATTTGATATTAAGTGGTATCTCGAGACGCCTTGGTGGAAGATTCTATAGATATTGACAACAATCGATATGCAAAACTTTTCCAGACCATCAGACCCAAACAAAAAAGAAACATCCCAGATGGAAAAAAGTCATCATCATCATGGAGGTATAAGAAAACGAAACAAGGAACCGACAGAGATCACCTCTTGCGCTCTCTGATCTTCCACTTGATGCCGTTCTTGTTAGTTCCTCCCACTGAGTGCTCCATCTTCCCCCGCTGCCAATCCAACTCCCTCTCTGCGGCGGTGATATCGGCATGCTGCTTTTTGAGACTCTTCAACTTGTTTTCTCTCGCTTCTGTGGCCCTCTTTTTCATCTTGCGTGTCCGACGGGCTTCAACCAGTGCTTGTCGCTCAGCCGCGAGCTGTTTAGGCGTTTTCTTCTGGTTGAGCTTCTTTCCAAACGAGTCGTCGTCCTCATCATCATCCTCCTCCTCTTCATCCTGAATCCGCCGCTTCTTCATAGCTCTCAGCTCTTGACGATCATCCGCGAAAACCAACTTGCGCGATTTCTTGTTCTGATCCTCCTCATCCAAGTCGAAATCGAAATCGAAATCGTCATCATCCTCAGACTGATCTTCCTTCTTATCCTCCTTCTCAATCCCAAGAACCTTCTGCATTCCATCCTGCAGCCGCACCTCCTGCTCCACCCGCTCCATCTCTCTCCGTACCCGCTCTCCAACTGTCCGGAGGTACCCAGCATCCTGCGTCTTAAGCAACTTGATCGCTTCATTGCTGAGTCCTCGAGCAGCAGCTGAATCACGCGATGCTCGTCCGTGTTTGCCCTGGGCCCGCGCCTGGTCGGTCATCATCCCAAAGGCGAATTCATCCGGGTTGCGGTCGCGAGCCTTCTCTTCGAGGCGCTTAAGCTTGGCTTTTTTGGCATTGTAGTCTTTGGCACGGAGGGAGTAGTCCTATTCGGTTTATAGGTTAATATTGTATTTTTTTTTAAGAGGCTGGTTGAGGTGAGAATACCTTGTGCTTTTCGAGAATACCCCATTTCTCTCGGCCTTGAAGTTGACCTCTCTCACGATGTTGCCGTCTCTGGACGGCATTTCGCATGGACGACATTTTGTCGGTTTGGTTGGATATGCCCCAACAGAAGAAAGAATAAAATAAGATATATAATCAAACAACCAAGTTGATAGATGGTTGTCGGAGTCTCAAGTGGCAGCGGTGCAGAAAAAAAGTCGGCGGCGGCGGAGGAAAAAAAAGCAACGCAGAGCGACTGGAGCTTCTCCGCCCAGACTCTCTCTCCAACTACACTAAGCGTTGCTCTTCTTCGGTTCCTGGTGAGAAGCACCGCAACCCACCACGGAAACAATTGAACCTCACCTCCATCCATTGTCGGGTCCAGCGTTGCTGTTTGGCATTCTCGTCTATGTTGATGAATTGATTTCAGCAATTGCTTCTCTTCTTTTCTGCTCAAATCCCCGAAGAACTCCGACTGGCATCCTACAAAAGTCCTCCGTGACCTTCCCACCCCCCTCCACCTGCGAATTTCTCCTCTCTCTCCACGACGATCTCGATCTAATCAGATCCATCAACTATATTCAAGATGTCTTCAGACGCGGCACCTCCTAAACCAAAATATAACCTCCGAAACCCCCTCCCCCTCTCCGCCCCCCAAGAGGCAGAGGTAAAGCAACTATACTACAAACGCGTACGAGGACTTTGCGCCCCCGAAATCAAAGGTACTGCATCCACCCCCTCTCGCGCACTTTTTTGCTCTCGTGGATTGATTTGCTAATGCTGTGTAGCGTTCGCCGAGTGCGCCGTTAACCGAACGGTAACTGCCACCTGGGTGTGTCGAACGCAACGGCTCGCCATGAACGCGTGCATGGTTGCCCATGCGAAGCCGGAGGAGGAAGACCGTGCGCGCGAGGAGTGGTTCGCGACGCATGAGGAGCGGCGGCGGGTGAAGGAGGAAGAAACTGCCAAGGTGGAGAAGAGGAGGGCGGAAGTGATTCGGCTCATGAGGGAGGATGAGAAGCAGAATAGTGGACGGTGATGGAGAGAAAAAGGAAAAGAGAGCAAGGACGACGACATATGGAGGGACTGAGAGGGAACTTTCAGATGAATGAGTGATGATGGGTATGGTCTTCCATGTCTTGTATAGGGAGAGTACTCGTCTTTTTGTCTCGAGCCGACAACTGTACAGGGTATGGCGTATATAGGTTTTTTTTTCTTTTGAAGATTTTTGGGCTGGCGTTTCTGTTGCATTATCCTCTATCCTCTCTGCATGTTCCGATTGTGTACAGTACGCTCTATGAGAACCCAGGGCCTATCTCCATCAACAGGCTTGGGAAATACAAATATGAAAAAAGAAATCTCCACCCTCAGATATCTTGGTAGGTAACCATTCTTGCGCCTGAACTCCTTTTTCCCCAGCCTTTGATGTTGGTGAACCGCCGTACCATATTGCCTCTTTTTTTCCAAATCGAATCACAGAATGATGAAGACATCACATCAAACATCAGTCATGTCCTTATCCCCATCGCCATCGCCATCTCCTTCACCCATAGCGGTGTCATCCCCGAATATATCCTCCATCTTCCCATCGCCATCATCATCGTCACCTCCGTCTCCTTCCTCAGCTCCCGCCCCAGATGTTATCCCAGTCTTGTCCTCGTGGGTGGGTTCCTCGATTTCCTCCTCTCCATCGCTATCCCATTCATCTTTCATATTCCAGCCGACACCAGTCAAGCAGAACCGCTCCGGCGGCAACCTCATCCCACCCATCATGGCACTCTGGTGGGCCTGTGCCCGACTGGCGTTGGCCCCGTTATCAAACCCTCTCGAAGCCCCTGGCAAGGCAACCCGGTTTCTCTCCGTGGCAACATCCATCAAAAACTCCTTAGGCAGACCCGTCTGGAACTGATAATGCAGCCGAGATGCAATACTGAGCCGCAACGCCGGTAGCGATACATTATTTGTCTCCGACGCACCTCCACGACTGCCCGATGTGCCGCTCGCTTCGCCCGCTGCGCCCGCGTACCCTTCTGTAGCGAGATGTACGGAATCTTGAAGAACACTCGATGTGTACCGATACGCGAAGTCGAGGAGCTGCAGAGGAACCCGTTCTTGGTACGCCGTCACGCCAAGTGAGGCTAGGAGCATGTGAATGAGGCGGACATCTCGTGGTCGACGCGATTTACCACTGTCCGTTAACGATGTCGATGGGATCTGAGTGGGTTGCGAGATTGCGTTCGCTGCCGTTGTGGTGTTGTTCGGGTTGGAGGTGCCCGCAGGAGGTTGCGATGCAGTGTTGGCGGCATTGTTGTTGGTGGTGTTTGAAGATGGTTCAGCTGGTGGGGTGAGCGGTTGAGCTGTTGATGGCCCTCCGGGTTGGTTTTGGCCTGGAGATGCCATGATCTCGTGATGTAGTGTTGATTGAAATGAAGTTGTAGTGTCGAGCGGGTGAATGAATGACGAGGTGGTGGTGATCGGTTAGAAGCAATTGCGATCGAGGAAACGAGTGGATGAAATATTACGACGTGAGTTAAATCTGGTCCAGCCTAGCCTCACACGCACTTCACCACCGGGAGATAGATGTGTCGAGGGCCGAAAAAAGTCGATCTGATGCTGCGCTGTGGTGTTGCGACGATGATGGGATGGAGGCGGATTTCTTTCTTGGAGGAGCTCCGAGGCGCTATTCCGAGTTGGGAAGCCCCATACAGACATTCAATATCAAAAGTTCAAAGGCTTCAATAACAATGCTTTCTATTGTGATTTATATATATTCAAGCATGAAAGTGCGCATCTACACCAACACTGGGATTCTATCAAAACATATGTAAAAAGCAGTATATGCAATTCTCAACGGCAGAAACTCGAGCCATCTTGTATCCTCTTCGTGATACCACCCAAATGCGCCAGACCGCCCAATAATGCCTGAATTTAGAACAGAATAGGAGAGGAATCAACGCTGATCTCAATTCCAGTATAAACGCCAACGATGCAAAAACTAAAGCAGAGCAGAAATAAATAATGCAAATGGATCCCACAGCCCAGGGCAGCCCTGGGATTTTATTTTGAATCCGGTGCTGGGTATCAAGATGAATAGCAGCCAGATCGGTCGCAGAGAGACCATACCAGAAAAGTCCCACGTATATCCAAAATACTGCAACATGGCCCTATTCCCACTGACTTCTCAAGCTCATGAGGAATGAGAGACATCGAGTTGGCCAGAAAGAATTGAATCCTTCGACCTCGATGGCACGCCAGTCCCATCTCCATCCACTGCGTCGTCTCCATCCGTGTTAATGCTAAGAGCATCAACACCGGAATTGAGCATCGACTCAGTCAAGTTTGAATCACCCACTAGATCTTGCGAAATGTAGCTGGCAGCGAGGTCTTCGTCGCCTGGTTCATCTTCATCGTCATCACTTAGCTCTCCATCGTACTCTTCATCTTCATCCTCATCAATATCTTCTTCTTCTTCATCATCATCATCATCTTCTTCTTCAATATCCTCTTCGTCTTCTTCATCTTCTTCTTCGCTATCTGTACTCGAGAAATCTTCAATATCCTGGGGTAAATCTCGCCAGTATGTAAAATCAGTGTAGTCCTCACCTCCCGCTTGGACAAGCAAGCTGGTCGGTGGGAAGAAATGATCCAGAAGTTCCCGCATGGAGACATAACTGCTCTTGTATTTGTTGAGGCTCAGCAGATCCAGAGATACCTCAGCGTTCGAGTTGATTGTGAAGATTCTACTCGATGGAATGTTTACCGATCGGTAGCTCAAGGCGTCCGTCAGCCGGTTGCCGAATCCCGCATAGAATGGGTTCTCTTTCCCATTGAAGAGGTTCAGAATGTCCCGAAGACAAGCCATCTTAAAGACCTCTGGCTTCCGCAAGTAAATCTCACGTCGGAGAGCCGCCATTGTCCTGTCAGGGCTCATAATGGTAGGGCCTTTGGGCAATCTGTATCCATCCTGGCAGACCCCATGAAGATAGGCTCTAGTGGTATCCGCCTGGCCGACAGAACGACTGGTAAGATACATGATATTATAGCCATTGTTTACGATGTCCGTATACAATTTTGCTACTCCAGCATGAGTCCAGTCACGTCCAATCATGTTCAGCACATGACCCAAAGCGTCAGACCTGCAGGTTCTCATTAGTAAAATAGATACGACAGATAAAATTTGCGGGATGGAGCTCACTTGGTGATGGTTCCGTCAATATCCGAAATGACGATAGGTGTGTTTCCACTCCACAGATACATGGTTGCAGTGCAGGTAGCTCGGTTGACACTAAATGACATAGGGTTGGCACCCGGTTTCAAGTTCAAGGCCTTGAGTTGATCACTTGTTAAGCGCAATGTCTTCGCATAGTTGGGAGTAAACTCTGCTGGTAAAGAATCTTGTGTGGGCGAACGCGGTGGTGTGGGAAAGCCCGGCTGAACATCAGACCTGGCCCGGTGGTGCCGTGTCATCAACGATGGGTCGGAAACTGGCCGGTCGCCATCACTGTGATACCCAGGGTCTGAAATAGCGTCCTCGCTCATTGCAGCGTTGGATCTCATAGAGTTGAAAGTAGCTTGGCGGTTGGCTGCTTCCTTTGCTTCCTCGCTGCTGTAAATCCACAGATTTCCATGCTCATCGGCCCCAATAAGTGCCCCGATGTCATAGTTTCCTTCCAGCTCTTCTGCCAGGATTTTCCGCGCAACGACCTCCGCGCGCAAAGCGTCCTCCTCATTGCTCTTATAGCCGGTCATATCGAGCATGAGATCACCTGTTTCAGTAACATGCGAAGGGATATTGGATCCAGACAGCTTCTTGGACAGAGATTTTGCCCGAGAAACAGCCTCTTGAGGTGACAACGGAGGGGGGCTTTGGGGGCGGGGAGTCAGGCTGGGGTCCTCATTTGGGGAGTTTGGACTCAGAGGTCGTGCCCCAGTTGTATACTCTGACGCGCCTACACTTCCTGCAGATGCTGTCTTGGTCAGGAGAGCACCTTCTGAAAATGCTCGATCAAACGTTCCCGGTTCGTCACCGAAGGAGCTATGACGAGACCTGCTCATGTCAGACACATCAGGCGATCGTGAAAGAGGTGTGATTGCTCCTGTGTATAAGATGAGTAAGATGCCAATGATAAAGACTAGGAGGGAAGCCTATTTGCCATACCCAAGTCCGTGGATGCCCGCAACCCTCTCGATAACATATGTATGTCATGCTCTCCTTTCGATTCAATACCACCAGCAGGTGACTTATCAAGATCTAAGTATTCTGGTTCTTGAAGCAAAGCCGGAAGATCTTCTTCACTGCGTGGTAGTGGACTGCCTGTTGGTGATACGAGGGGCGATGTCTGTAACGAAGCGGGGATCTCGTCGGTCGTTTCAAAGACAAAGAAAGCCTCTCCACCTTCACCCAGCTTCATCGAATAGTCCTGTTTGACTCCATTGACTTGAAATTCCACCTATATACCAGCTCAGTCACACTGAAGGAACAACCAGCGCACGGTGCGGGGTTCAATATACCTTCTTCTCATAAGGCCGGAGCAGAGAGAACTTGCCGAAACGGACATGGAAGGGCGAGCAGGCGAGAGTTCCTAAAATCCAGCTATTAGATTCCATGCGATAGTGAACTGTAAATCGAACTCACCATCTTCCTGCTCAATAACAATCACATCAATGGCCCCGCTCAAAGTTGCTGGATTGATAGAATTCCATGTCTTGGAGACGGAGCCACTGATGCTTCGGACGTACTGCATCCCGCCGGATCACGTCCAAGTAAACCCCGCCGATAAAATAAGATATCGCCAAAATCTAACAGTTATCCGAAAGGCGAGAAAATGACGATAGGATAAAAGGTGTGAGCGTTGGGGTGGGAAGAATGTAGAGGAGATCGGAAGTTGCAGGAATCGCCGCCTACATACGGCCCATGTGACAATGCCTGATGGGGGAGCTCGAGCTGCACGAGGCGCCCAGAACAAAGGCTCAAAAATAGGACAGAACAAGGCCACCAACAAAAGCAAGTATCACCCCCCACCTGAAACGGGCGGAAACTAAAGATGAAAGAGATGCGATGAAGCAAGAGAACGTGGCAGCATCAAGTTCGTTCGACGAGCTCTTGTTGGCCGTTGGGAGAGGCGCTCAAAGCCTCAACAGCCCAACGATAGATTTGTTACCGTTCGGCAGTCACAAACGGTATGCATACGGCAAGTGGTAATTTATCCGTCCCTCGGCATGAATGCGTCGGAGGGGTTACGCTAGGTCGGATACGGTATAGCGCTGGTGATCCCCGTTTAGGAAATCATGTGGTCTGCCAAGATCCTGCTGACTCAGTGTTTACTAACGTTTCACGTGACTGTCCCACTGGCAACTGAGGCTGCGGCCAATCGTTAACCAGACTTGGACTTTTAGAAGCCGCCGGGACGAGGTGTGATCACAGCACCACCATCTTTGTCGCTCTCTTGTCTCTCTTTCCTCTCTTTTTTCTCCCCCAACCTCACCCGCGTCCATGGGCATACGACGCTGGGATGTATGAGCCATTGTATCTATCTTTTGATGCCTACCCCAGCGTGGTTCCACGAGTGAGGGTTCGAGGTGTCATGGCTCTTTTCCTGGCAGTCTCCATCCTTTGGGCTTTGATCTGGTGAGTTTCCCCGCAACTTACTCGCCCACCCTACAAATTCGCTGATTGGGGATCTTCCAAGGTTGCTGTACCGTGCATGGCAGGTCTGCCAGACTCCCAATGATGTTCTGGTCGAGAAGCTTGGGTTAGACATCCCTCCGCCGCCAGAAGTGACCCTAGAAGAAATCACCGCCCGTGAGATTCGCATTGCTTGGAAACAACCGGATTTTCACAATTCTATTCATAAGCATATAATTCAAGTCAATAGCACCAAAGGTAAATTTATTATTGCATCTATACCATCTGCGTTTTTCTATCCCTTTCGCTGTCGAGAAATGGCAGAGTGAGAGCTAATGATTGCCAGTGGGCGAATCGAAACGGGCGGAAACCGCAGTCGAAATTTTAAATCTGATTCCAGGAAGCATATACCACATTTGCGTTCTTTCGGTCAGTGCAGCCAACTTTCAGACTCCCAGTGCGATTCTTCATGTTCGAACGAAATCTCTTCCGTTGTCCCAAGCCCAACAAAATGCTACGGTCGGCGGTCCTACCATTCGGGCATCGATTCCTAGGTCAACTGCCGGACTCGCCGCCCCATCCGCCCCTGTGATGTCTCGCGAGCACAGTGGGGGTCAAATACAAGGGAAACGGCCTTCGGCCGGCCGGAAATTGTCGCCTGCAGCGAGTGGAGTGGATGTGTCGCAAACGGATGAAACGCAGAAGAACACGGTGAACGATGATATCGACGAGACTTTAGAGCAGCTGGCCGACAGGTTAAAGTCTTTACAACAAGAAAACGAAAACTTGGAAAGGCAGACTACTGAGGAAGAGGAAGAACATGTCGCATTGTTGAAAGATCTCGAAAAGCAACGTGATGAATTGAAGAAGCGGGTCAAAGAGAAGGATGAAGCCAGTGGCGATTTGAAGAAACACGTATATAAGCTGGAAAGCGTCAATCGCACAGTACAAAGTGAGAAGTCGAAGCGTGAAAGGCTCCTGCAGCAGAAAGATACTGCGCGCAAGAAGCGCAAGAACGATATCATTCGCTGGCAAGAGCGGATTGCGCGCATGACTGCGGATGTTGAGCAAATAAAGCAAGAAAAGGCGCGTGTTGAGGAAGAGGGGAAGCAACGGGGCGATGAGGTCCGGGAGAAGGTCTCTAAAGAGCAGGGGGAAATGAAAATCATCGATGACGAGATCCAGGACAAGGGCGGGCGTGTCAAGAAGCTTGAAGAAGAAAGACAGGGAAACCAGGGTGGAGATAGTGAGGATGGCAGAGAGTTGGATCGTATCGACAATGAGCGAGCTCGGCAGTGGGAAATCAAGTTGAGCAACCTGCATGCACGATATGCTACTTTGATCAACCTTCATACACAGGTTAGCAAACACTCATGTCGCTCATTAGCAGTACAGATACTGACCAAATATGCAAGGCCCAGCAGCAGTATCAAGAAGCTCAGGAGCGCCTGAAATGGCTCACCACCCAGCGACCTGGTAGCACTGGACCCTTTTCCCTGCCTCTGGATCTCGACTTGTCGAACACAGCAACCATCCGCCCCCGTGCCCATCGCGGCTCGCTCACTAGCAACGTCTCTTCGCCCATCAATTTCCCGGGGATGGAGCCGTCGTTCACAGGCGCGATCAATTACAACCCTCCTACTACTAGCTCACCTCCCTTTGGTCCAAGCCCCGCGTTCTTCAACATCAACAATGGAATGACCTTGCCCGGTTTAGCTGACCAGTCTGACACCATGCGGGCAGATTCAGATGTCTCTTTCAGTAACCCCCAAATGAGCCCACGTGCCGATTCCTTGCTTCCGTCTGATCTCCTCGGGGATGAGGAATCTCCAGAACTTCCTCGACCAATTATCCACCCGCGATTCTCAAATCTTGAGCCATCTAGCTCTCAACTTGATGGATTTCCTCACGGCCCGCCTTCCCCGGTATCCTCTGGGAGCCGGTCTGGGAGTATTTTCGCAAGTCCTCATGAGAATCATAATCGACCACAGGAATCCGATTCACAGCAAGTTCACTTGGGGCATGATGGAGAAGCTCCGAAGAGTGCATCTAGGAGACTATCTGGGCTGTTTGGCTTCCATCGGCCTCGTGGCAAGACACTTGCGGATGAACCTCCTATGCTAGGTACTCTCAAACCAGGACAAAGCCAGTCTTTTCCTCGAAATGTAGATGACATGGACCCTATCGGCTCAAGGCGTCGTCGATTGAGCCATACTGGCAGCTGGGCAAATCCCGCCTCGTTACTCCCAAGAAGTAACACAACAAGTGTCCCTGCTGACAGCTCATCCGAACATGTGCCTTCTCGGCGAGCCGCTTTCTCGAGCATCTTTTCTTCCAGCAGGTTTGGCTTCGGCCACGGTAGCGCTTTGGCCAAGTCCACCGAGAGCTCCGATTTCAGCACTGGATACAATCAGTTCAGTCCGAGGCACGATCCTATTGACCCATCGTCGATACTGGGAACAGTTCGGCGAGGCTCTCTGTCGCCCAGGCCGTCGTCAACGTTCTCGTTTGACAATCAACTTCCTCATCCTTCAACGGACAATCGGCATTTCGGATGGCCTTCGGCAGAAAAAACAGGTCATCGTAGCCCTCTAGGACTTGACTGGGCGTCACCTTCCACCTGGTCCAGAACTCAATCGCGTCGACCCTCCATTACGTACGGTTCCTCTGGGCATCTGCCACTAGGACTCACTGGAGAGCCGGATTTCCTCCAGGATTCTTTCGAAAGACAGAATCGTCCTCTACAGGCCCCTATCGGTACGCGACCATCGTCTTCTCATCGACCACTGACCCCGAAACTGAACCCTGCGGCACCTACCTTCAAGACAGTCTTTGACAAGGGATCAGACAAGGGCAAGGATACAGACAGGAGCAAAGACAGGGATTCCGACATGGCTTTCGACTTTGATGGTTCTCCGTCAGAGTCACGCGTCTCCAGGGATTCTCGGTCCTTATCTATCTTCACGGGGGACTCGTATGAGTCCTTGGAGCGGTTGCCATCCGGCACCTCTGTAGACAATGCCAGCACCAAGGAATCGTTTATTCGAAAGATTACCCGCAAGGGCAGCTCCAGCAAATTCGGCTCGTGGAAGGACCGGTCTGGCTTGTTCTCCAAGAAGGGCGACTCCTCTCAAGGTGATATTGATGAGGATGGAGGCAGTGAGACGCAGCTTGGCAAGAGCGTGGACAGCACTGTCTCCAGCGCCCCATCGGCGGACAGGTCGACCAGGAGCCTGAATTTCTTTTCTCGGAAGTCTAGAAAATCTGACAAGGCTGCCAGTGAAGCGAGTGAGCTAGCTAGCGAAACTGGCGATGAGGAGATCCCCGAGGAGGTTACTGCTTCTTAATTTCATTTCATCAAATCTATCATGGCGATATCTCTTTTCTACTTCCCACTACCACTACATATCTGCTCCCGATTTTGTCTATTTTCTTTCATGGCGTTTGATCTCCACGGAGTTTACTTCTGGGATACCTTTCACATCGAGATTCACTCTTGTACATATTTTATCTGAAGCATTTGCCCTCGTCTGTAAATCGAGTCGATATTCATCTGTATTTAGAGCAATCTAGTACATGGACATCTGCATATTTAAATCAGTCTGTAAACCCGTGCCATCTATCCAGATCAGTTGGTCGTAAATGCTTGGTGTTGCTTTTCTGTGGTTTGTCGGCTAGGTCCCGCACAGTTTCGACTCGCTGAAATGCCTCAATCGCAGTCATTCTTCCTCCTCCATCCACGCCTTTCACAGAGGATACAGAGACAAAATGGCAAACTCAAGGTATTCCGCCAGTTGTAAATTATTACTGTGTCTATCAGTACTCACTAACTCGCTGGAAACAGGTTTGAATACGTCAAGTTATTCGAGCAGCCGGACGTTTTGCTCCCGAATACTTGGATCGTCGTGCGCATTGATGGGAGGGGATTCCACAAGTCAGTTTTACCCTTGCTTCCTATCCTTTTATCGCTTTCAAAATGTGTATTAACTATATCAAAGGCTCTCTGATCGCTATGCATTTGCAAAGCCCAACGACCGTCGCGCGCTGGACTTGATGAACGCCGCAGCCGTCGAGGTGATGAAAGAACTCCCAGATTTATGCATTGCATACGGAGTCAGCGATGAATATAGGTTTATTTCATTTAATAAAACAGTTTATGCAGGCCATCACTGACGGCATGTATAGTTTCGTTTTCCATCCCAGCTGCCAATTATTTGAAAGGCGGGATGCGTAAGTCATCCATCTTCTGACCTTTGAGATAAAACTCGTTTAATGAGGTTTGATATTGACACGATGATCAGCAAGCTTGTGACTACGATCGTGTCTACTTTTACGGCGCATTACATACATCAATGGGGTACATATTTCCCCGATACGCCTCTGCAGCCACCATATCTGCCGTCGTTTGATGGGAGGGCAGTCATATACCCTACTACTAGGAATTTGCGGGATTATATGAGTTGGAGACAGGTTGATTGTGCGTGATATAATGCTTTTTTTATGCTTGGAAGTGAGATGCTAACGGATATACAGGCCATATTAACAATCTCTACAATACGACATTTTGGACTATGGTGCTGCAAGGTGGGATGAGTAACACTGATGCTGAGCAGGAGTTGAAGGTGAATACATTCTACGAATTCAGTGTTATAACCAGTCGTCTAACGAAACCAGGGAACCATATCATCGGTCAAGAACGAGATTTTGTTCAAGAGGTTCGGGATCAATTATAACAACGAGTTGGACATTTATAAGAAGGGGAGCGTGCTGTATCGTCAGGTAAGGTCTAACTCTACTTAACGACGGGTTATTGCTAAATCTCTACAGTATCAACTAGAAGAAGTCAAGCCAAAGCAAAGCTCTACAGATCCTTATGCAGAGGAAGAAGCTGCTCCCGGGCAGGAAACGACTTCCAGATCGCAGCAGGACAAGATCCGCAAATTGCGCCGAAAAGCGCAGGTTGTGGTTGATCATATCGATATTATCAAGGATGAGTTTTGGGAGAGAAGACCTTGGATTCTCTCGAATAAACCGGGCAAGTTACCCGCTGAGGCTTAAACGATTCCATGGATTACTCTTATAGAATTGACAGAATGTGATATGATTTACGTTGATGTGTTGTGATAGAAGAGCCTTTGTAGCAGCCGAAATGGGTATCTTCTTTTCAAGTCAAGCTCTATATATATGCATGCTGTGTGCCCTGTTTTATGCATCACAGGAATGAGAATTATGTGATTATGTCGCTCATGCTTCGGCAGATTTCTTCTCTTTTTTGGCCTTTTTCAACTTGGTTTTTGTGCTGTCGTCGGAGGATGCTTCTTTGTCGGACTTCTTTCGCTTCTTCGATTCCTTCTTTTCCTTTTTCTTTTGCTTCGAGGCTTCTTTCAGGTCCGCTGTCTCGTCTTGTTCTGGCTCTGTGGATGCTGGTGTCGGGTAGTTGTCTTCTGGGTCGGTTGCTTTTCTCTTCTTTTTCTTCTCTTTGGTCTCTTTCCGGGATGAAGATGAGGATGATGAAGATTCTTTCTCGCCGGTACTGTCCTCGGCCTTCTTCCTTCCCTTCTTCTCCTTCTTCTCCCTTTTCCTCTGTCGTCGTTCTTCCTTGCTCTCCTTTTCGGCTCCGGTCGTCTCATCAGAGGATTGCGGTACGGACGTCGCTGTTGATTCCTCTCCATCCTTGGCCTTTTTCATCTTCTTCATCTTCCTCTTCTCTTCTTTCCGAAGAGCCTTTTCCTCCTTCGTCTCTTCATCTCCATCATCATCCCTCTTCCTCTTCTTCTTCTCCTCCTCCTTCTTCTTCCGCTTCTCTTCCTCTTCCTCCTTCTTCCTCGCCTCAAAAGTCCCCACCAACGTCTCCCCCCTCACAAAATGCCGATACAACTCACTCGACAACGCGTTCGGCGCTGACGGCCCAGACGCAGGCGCATCAGAGCCCATCCCCTTCAGCGCATCATCAAACCCGCGCAGCCACCACTGGTTCGTGGGGTCTTTGGTGGTGACTTTGCCAACGCCCTGGTTGCCTTGTCGGCGCGCGACGAGGATGGGTTTTGTGAGGCCGAGGCCGCCGCGTGCGCCGCCTTGGCGGTTGGGGTTGAGCGGGTTGCCGGGTCCGGACCAGCCGTGACGGAGGAGGTAGGCTTGGGCGTCCATTTGGATGGATGGGGTGTGAGTGGTCTTGGAGGTGTGGTGTGGTGTGGTGGGTGGTGGTGGATTGTATGCGATGATAACGTAGGGATGGTCTGTCTTTCTGTTTGGTCGAGGTATCAATCTATCATGGCGAGAATAAAACAATATAATAGAAAACCAGCCGATGAAAAGACCCTCCAAAAAGAAAAGAACAGAAAAGAACACCCAACGTCCGTCCTCAGTCGAAAAATGGTCCGTCCGACAAAAGAAAAAAAAGTAAAGAATTCCCTATCAGCGGAGCGGAGAAAAAGTCAAATTTTATCAGCAAGCAAAAAATCAACATCAGTAAGCATCATATACCACAGTTGCGCTGCTTTCTTCAACATCAAGTCGCGTGGTCTAATGGTTATGATATCTCGTTCACAGTTAAAGTGAGCCCTTCCACTGGAAGATCCGAGATGGTTCCCGGTTCGATCCCGGGCGCGACTACTTTTTAGTCTTTTGATTTTGCCACCTCTCTTTTTTTGGTGGGGGTATTGGCTTTCTTTTTTGATATCTTAGTTGCTAGTTTTTATGTCTGTATATGTGTTTTATTTTCTAATTATCTATGGTCCTTGCCGTGTGCAGGTATGAGGTCTGCGAGTTGTATCGATATATATTCTTCCGCCATACTGAATACTGAACATCTCGCAGTACAATTCGAGGGAAAATTCCAACCAATCAATTAAATCAACAATCATAATTCTAGGCACCATGCCTAGTACGGCTTAAATCTCTCCTTCTCCCTCTTCTTCTCCTTCCGAATCCCCTTTGTAGATGATGTGTCCATCTGGACATCCCCTCCCTCTCCATCCTCCGGTTTCCACACACGCACGAAACCGTCTTCGCCGCCGGTGAAGACAGATTTGGACTATGAAAATTAGTGATATGGCACTCTGGACCAGTAAGGGGATGGGGAAGCCCACCTGTTCATCCAAATAAACCGAGCGCACAACCTCGTCACCATGAGCCCCCGGCAAACGCCAAAGGTTATTCTGGTCGAGTTGCCAAGATGGGCTAGAGAGCAGGGGGATCAAGTCCAATCGTTTGTCACTGTGGGAAAGTGGAGATGGGAATTAGAGTTTTTTGCTCATGTTCATCACAACAAAGGAATAAAGGAGAGGATAAGCGTACATCTTGTTTCCAGCGGCGATATACGGGCCTTGGCTGCCAATGCATAATTGGGCAATGTACTCGCAGGCTAGAGGTTCTCTCAAGTCACCAAACTGCACCGGGTCGGGTTCTTGCGTCTCATCGTCCGGATCCGTAGCAGGGTGAACTGAAAAGTCTTCATCGTGGCTGAGGGCGTAGATGGTGTTTTCGGAGAGGAAGCCTGCATGATGGACGGAGCCGTGGTTGATGACCTGGACGAGGGCGTCGTCTTCGTCCTCAATGGTAGTGTCGTAAATATTGACCAGACCGTCTGTGCTGCCGGAGAGGAGGATGTTGTTCCGAGTTGGGTGATATTGAAGCTATCACGAAGATTAATTTTGAGACAGAGAGTATGATTGATCGAGATCAAAAGTACGTACCTCGGTTACATCATCATTGTGACTCTCGACATACTGAAGACGGGGATGATCCGGTGATCTGATATCCCTGTCGCGTCAGTTAGCAGCTCGGGCATCGACAGGCCGTGGGGGGCAACAGGGAAGCCAGCTGAACCCACCAGAATGCAACGATAGCCTGGGAAGAAAGAAGCTCCGTGCCAGCAACGACCGAGTTGGTCTGAGGACAGCAAGCCACCGACAGCACGGGGGCGTTTTTTGCTACAGACAGGAATTAGCAGATGCATCAAAGAAATGCGAGTTGAAAAAAAAAAAAAAAGAAAGAAAGAAAGTATGGTGGGACAGCAGGAGCATTGACTTGCGCCCTTGTGTAAAAAAAGCGAACACAGTATGACAACAGGAAAAAGAAACACTTAAATAAAAAAAAGAATAATAATAAATCGATAATATTGACGATAATCAATAAGAAACTTACCAGCCTCCATTTCCACAACGGGCGAACCTTTCCCACTCCGCAAATCCCACACTTTGACCTTCCCATCTCTTCCGCCAGTGGTCAGATAATGCTGATCATATGCCTTCAAGGAAGTGACTCCATCACTGTGGGTGTTTGGTGCAACAAGAGAGACATGGTCGAGGTTGGCAGCATCAAACACACGCAGGGAGTCATCCGAGGAGATGGCGGCGAAGGAACCCGGGGATGATGAAGCCGTGATGGAGTAGATGTAGTTTCCCGGGGAGAGGGAGAGAGAAGAGGATGCGGTGGCTTTGAGGGTGTGCATGGTTAGGCTGTAAGGATTGGATCCTATTCCAGAAGGAGTTGGAGGAGTTGTTGTCTGGGATACTACCCTGATGTTGGTAGTGTGGGGTGGAGGTTATCGCCCAACTGAAATTTATTTCAAATTAATACGATTATTTTGATCCTCGACAGGCAATCCAGCCAAGTACTGAGTAGTCTTAAAAGTAGGTAGATGAGGAATGGTGCCTGGATAGGAATTCCTGACTCTATTGAGACTAAATTTCTTCTTTTTCTCTACAGACTGAGTGCCAAGAGTGGATTGTTGCCATATTCGTCAGGTATAAATTGCCGCATCACCAGCGTCACCGAACACATGCAGAATAGACAAAGTTACACATTTAATGTAAAAACACTACTGGATAGTCAACTGACACTTAATATTAGTTAATATTTAGCAAGAAATATCAGTTGATCTACAGTGGAGTTTATTGGCCATATTGGGATATCCGGCTTTGACCGATGCCCTAACATATTAGTTGCATCTGCACTGCCGCACAATGGGGACAGTTCATTATCAACGAGGCGACCTGAAGTTGCCTCGTCCATCGACTCGCGATGGATCATCTGGTTGAATTCAAAATGAGCATTGTCCAGCCGGATTGATCCCTGGTTATGCAGCTAGAAAAGTCATCTCGGTGCCTGGAATCCTGGAATCAATGTATTTGACTTTGACACTTATTTGATAGCTCCTGTTGAGGTGGTGTATATTATCTACCATGGTTCATCGTGGTTTAATTATGCAGGGGAAGCGCTTATCCGAAACGAAAATAGGCATTTTTGCCGGCTAATTACCGGTGTTTAGCAGCGACCTGCCTGATGCTTCGTAGCTTGAATTGACAGATGGAACGAATCACGACGAGCACAACGGACGGGATATTTATCCGCAGCATTCCAAGGCGTTTGAGACGTCAGGCTGACTAGAGGCTGTGGTATTCGCCCCCACTACTGCTAGATAGCATGAGCATAGTCACGGAGTACATACTTAGTATGTACAGATCAGTGCACTGTGTACTACTCGATACGGCAGTTCTGGGGTATGCATGCATCCTGACCCGAAGGACTGGGAAGCGGTGAGTGATTGATACACTAATACTGATAGGTATAATACCTACTGATACTGATAGTAATACTAGTTACCAGCAATACGTACATATCTACTGGTACTACCTAATAGTATCCGTACCCCCTACAGAACAATGAGGATAACTAAATCCTTCAACCAGTGCGTTGGAAAGTGGCAAAGAGGCCAAGTGGAGCCCGGAGATATTTTACGTTAGCGGCCCAGTGAACAGCGGTCCGCGTCCCGCCCGGAAGTCAGTGGGCCTGTAGAACTACAGTCTGTATAGGGGGTACTACTGGACTGGACATGAGTATCGACTATCGAGGGATATACATGTGAATATAGATATAGAGAGATATATATAGACAGCAAAGAGGGTAGGTAGAGATATACCAACTGCCATCTGCCAGGTATGATATATAATACAACCTAGTACGTAGTACAGACCCGAAAGCTCGGGTGATGATTACCCTAGTGGTATGTATCTGGTATTGCCTGGTATCACCACCTCTTCTGTCGCGCATGGATGCATGTACGAATACCTACATAATACCTCGCTGGCTGCTGTAGCGCGACTCCATCTCCAACTCTCGAAAACAACATTCGATTCCAGCCAATTATCCTGTTGTCGATCTTCCTCAATTGGCGCATCTCCAGCGCTTGCTCTGTCTCTTCTGCCTCTGCTTCTTTTCTTCTTCCTTCCTTCCTCTCTCTCTCCTAACCGCCCCGCCCTTTTTGGCCGCCCGTGGGCCCAACGGGTAGGGAGACAGCGGTTGCACAACCTTAAAACCCATGGCTGTCTCGCTCCCCTCCTTCACGGCCTCTTGCCCTCTCCGACTGTGTCGCTCTCATTGATCAGCATCCTCCATCCAGCTCATCACTGTTTCCTGACTCGTGACTGTCACCCTTCTCCCCTCTGTGTATCAAATATTCGCTTTGCGACGTTCTCCATCGTGACCGCTACTTGGAGTTCTGCCTCGTCTCGTGGATTGGGCGCCTCTTTTTCTTTTCTTTTTTTTTTTTTTTCCTTCTCTCTCACTCTCTTTCGCTCTCCCTCTAAATTTAATCGCGATTTTCCCACACCGGCTACTACTCCAACTTTTACTTTGCCAACTACAGACTCGTTCAATCCATCGGATTTAAACACTTTTCACCGAAATTGACATTCTTCTATTTTTGTCTTCTGATTTGTTTTTTATTTAAATTTCTATTTATTTTATTTCTACCCCCTATTTTATGCCACTGTTGTTGGCCGTTATCTTCGGTTCTTTGACCCATGCCCACGGGCTTCTCACTTATGCTACCGCATTGGATGCTTGATCGATAGCATCTATTGTTTAATATAGGCCTTATACTTTGTGACACCACCAATCCCTTCTATCTCCATCCTCAAATCCTGCTCTCATCGTTGTTGTGGCCAAATCATCTGATCCCCACCTCCCAATGTTTTTGAGTGGCCAAGCTGGGCAGCGACTTCCCACCATGGCCTCTCCGCCCCATAATTACCATCCGGCTTCCGCAAGTCCTAGCGACGCTGGCCGCTCCAGAAACAATTCAGATGCCATGGATATCAATGTCATCACCGATAGGGATCCTGAAGAACGAGGCCGCTCGGGCAGTGATGGCCCGCCGAGTATGGAGTCTTCGAAGAATCATAAGTATTTCTCTCTTTCTTGCTGCTTACTATGCACTATTTTTTATTGCACTGAAATCAATCGAACCTTGGAAAATATTGAGCTCATTCCATCCACGGTCATTAACTAACGCATTTCCTTTTTAGGACCAGTGTCAACACTTTTTCCTACCTGGAGAATGGGCGGGCTTATCATAACTACCGCAAAGGAATCTACATGCTTCCGTGCGATGAGGATGAACAGGATCGTCTCGACATCTTTCACAAGTTATTCACGGTAGCGAGAGTGTCGGATGGCTTGATCTATGCCCCGCATCCCACCAATGGTCGTTTCCTGGATTTGGGATGCGGAACTGGAATCTGGTCGATTGACGTGGCCAACAAATACCCCGATGCGTTTGTTGTAGGCGTGGATCTCGCCCCCATACAGCCTGCCAACCACCCGAAAAACTGCGATTTCTATGCGCCATTTGATTTCGAAAGCCCTTGGGCCATGGGGGAGGATTCGTGGGATCTCATCCACATGCAGATGGGCAGCGGTAGTGTCGCGAGCTGGCCAAATCTTTACCGGAGGATTTTCTCCCATCTCCGTCCCGGCGCCTGGTTCGAACAGGTCGAGATCGATTTCGAACCCCGTTGCGATGGTCATCGCTCCATGGATGGTACGGCCCTCCGTGAGTGGTATGATTACCTGAAGCTAGCCACCGCGCAAGCCATGCGACCCATAGCCCACAACTACCGCGAAACAAAAAAGGACCTGGAAGAAGCTGGCTTTACTGAAATCAACCATCAGATAGTTGGACTTCCCCTGAATCCTTGGCACCACGACGAACATGAAAGAACGGTGGCTCGTTGGTACAACCTGGCTATTTCTGAGAGTATACACTCTCTCAGTTTAGCCCCCTTCAGTCGCATTCTTGGCTGGCCCCTTGATAAGATTGCAGAAGCTGCAGCCAATGTCAAGTCCGAAGCCTTCAACAAAGAAATCCACAGTTATAACATTTTGCATATCTATCAAGCACGAAAACCGGTCGCTCGCGAATAACCTACCAAGTGATCGTAGCAAAGTACACCGGCCTTTGTGGGCCTACCAAGTCGGTGATCTTGGAGCTGCTAGCTACGCAAATGGACAATAACGCCATGCTACCTCACCGATTACCATTTATACATCATCTTTACTCGCCAGAATAGCATGACTCAGACGCATCTGGCTCAAAAGTCTTCAGTCATCTCTGGTTCATATTATTTTCACCACCAAAAGCAAGACGGCTGGACAATTCTTTACAGCGAAACCGAATGCGTTGATACAAATACCATCAACTAGAACACACAAACTTTTTACTGAAGGAACAAATATGCTATACCCCTGAATTGCGCGAAACAAAAACAAATGATAGAACATTGGGTCTTGGGAACGGAATGGAATACACGGGAAAACAAAAGGACAAAACAAAAAAACAAACATCAGGGAGCAAATGATTAAGGCAGGGATCAAGGGTACATCTATGGATACGGAAGGGATGGGGGTTGGCAAATGGGGAGCAAATATTATTATGGATGGTTGAGTTCTCATCGCGGAGTTCATTTTATGCAAGCTTGGTTTCAAAAGGTATTTGATCAGATTCAGGTGATTTTATTGCTTGTTACGCGGAATATACACGGCATTTCTGCGGCGTTTTCTTATTTTTTTAATTTTCATTTATATATCTTTTTTGTGTGTTTGGATTTGAGGTTTCGTTGCGCTTTGTGGCTTTATACCCAGACCTCTTTCTTTTTTTGCTATCTACCTTTTTTTTTTTTTTTTTTTTTTTTTTTTGGCTATATTTGCTTTGCTTTTCTTTCTATCAGATAATTATCATTTTTGCTGTTAATCTGATGGTCATTGCTTCTTTCCCCCAAGGTACTCTGTACAGTACAGTACATATGCAGTATGAATCTGCACTCGGCAATCAATAGATTAAACAGATACATAGATAGATACCCACGGTTATCAATCGATCGATCCAGTTCCTAGGCCCAAAGTTAATTACGGCAGCCGGAAAGTTTATGCGATGTGTCTTTCTTGTCCTGCAGAAACAGAGTTCGGGCGTTCCAGAGTTCGAATATAGTGGAGGGATTTTGTGGTCACATGGTCATATGCCAGAAATGTACTGATCATAATTTTTTAATAATTAGAATACCTAAATACCTAATGGGATATGATGCTGTAATTAATAAAGTCTCCCCATCCTGATCAGGTTAATTAACCCTCTTTTTTTGGTTTGAATTAATTTCAACGCCTTCCACCCCATTGAAACCCTTTAGACGGTAATTTTATATGCTGTGTATGTTTTGAAAAATCCCACCAAAATAACGCCACGCCAGGAAGTCCCAGAACTCGTAGAAATGGAAGGATATATGGCAATAATGATACAGTAGTGTGTGGTTCATCGTCTTCGTCCCTTACCCTGGCCTCGAGTGGTGCCGTTTTTACCCCCGGCGCCACCTTCGCTGTCATTGGCGCCGGGTGTGCGGCGTCGCATTGTGCCTGGCCCGACGGCGATTATGTCCTCGCCACTTTCGCTGTCGGATATGTCGAGGAGGACGGGCATGCGGAAGGTTTGGACTTCTTCTGCGTCGCTCTTGATCGGTTCGATGGTAAGTACGTCGGGGACTTCATCCTCTTGATCAAGACGGCGTTGGTGGATTTCCTCCGCGGGGTGAATGTCGAATTCATCTTCTCGCTCGACATATTCCACGTTTTCTTCGACTTCACCAAAGTCGGGAGCTAGGGCGGACCACTTCTGTGGCGAGACAATCGTCCAAGTGTAGATGCATCCGGATTCCAGGCCGCATGCTACGACCATCGGACGAGTTGGGTGCCATTCCACCACGCCTAGCTCTTCTCTTGGACCCTCGAGGATCTTGACCAGGGAACCGTGACTTCGTTCCCACACGTAGATATCAGGGTTCATGAAGGTGGACGCGATGACGAATTCACCGGTCGAAGAAAACGACACATGATTCCAGCTTAGTCGGTTGACCACATCTTGGAATTTGTGTTCGACTTGTAGTTTGATATTGGCTGGCTCGAGATCAATCCCCAACTGTGAAAGGTCTGGCATGGGAACGGTACGGATGACGCGATCGGAGCTGTTGGCCAGCAAGTCCCGGCCGTTGCTCGCGAGGCGGAGCAGAATCACAACTCCATTACAGAGTCGAGTCGAGTGGATGGTGGTACATGTTTGTGTTTCAATAATATTGATCCAGCCCTTTGACGTGCCTCCTATGATATGATTCCCAAATGCACTGAAGATCGTGACGCATGTAGAGTGTTTCGCATCTTGAGCGGCTTGTTTCGCAGCCACCGCAGGGTCGACATCCTCAGACGGCGGAGGACGAAACGGAGCAGAGGGAAGAATACGTTTGATAGGCTTAGGTGATGAGATATCAACGAGGACGGGTTGGTCTTCGAAAAGAGAAGCTACAAAAAGCAGACTAGTGAACGGATCGATTAGTTTGCAGCCAGAGAAAAACCGGAGAATCACATAGGAGGCTCACTGATTGAAAGGATGCAGCTCAGCGATATAGACAGGTGCCTCGAATCGGACAGTGCGAACCCGTGACCCATCTTTCATATCCCAGAGTATGCATTTCCAGTCTTGAGAAGAACTGAGGAGATATCGGCCATCGCGAGACCAACTGCGAGTGAATAGGTCAGCATATCCCATATCCCCGCTTCCTGTGAAAAGGGACAGACCTTAAAGATTGGATCTGCCTGGTATGCCCCCGTAACTTGCGTGCCACGCCATTTGTTTCAACATCGAAAATCACCACCGTACCGTCCACCTAAAGTTGTATGTTAAATTCGCATTCCGAATCGAAATTGACGGCCTTCAAGGGCAACTCACTCGTCCGGAGGCTAGATAATCTCCTTTGCGGTTGAATCTGAGACACGTGGCGTGGCCACTTCCTATTTTTCATCAGTTATTTATTTCGCGAAGCCGTTCATAGTTGTATGGTATGGCATACTCAATTTCTCTGCTAAAGTATCTGGGTAGTCCTGAGCTAGGACAAAGGGATCAATGAGAGACAAATTCATTGTGACAATTTCACAACTCTCAGCTGGTAAAATGAAAGACAAATGATGACATAAATTTCCCAGCCTGGAAGAGAGGCCAGGAGGGTTGGCTGTAAACGATCATCCAGCACCTTGGGTACCGCTATATTCGACTTCCGAGTGGGGGAGTCTTCATTATGAGTGAATCTTGAAGGTTGGAAACCGGCAGCTGGTAGGCGGTCGAGGGCTGTTTAAAACAGGCAAAAGTCGGACAGGCGGTATCCGCAATGTGAGTATTGTGATTGGTCAGATCTGGAGTAACACTGATAAGTTCCCGGATATTCACGCTAGCCCTCGCACTTTTAGAGGGCCACCGCTAGTGCTGGAACTGCGGCTCAAGAAAACTCGTGCCCCATCGGCCACTGAGGCAACCTCCAACCATCTCCCTTTCATCACCCCGACACCCTGCCTGCCATCGCCCAACGCCCAGGAATATCGCGTCTCCTATCGCGATATCTCTTTACGAGCTGGAGAATACGACTGGACTGATCGTGCCTCCCTTTTTTTCCCGCCCTTTTTTTCGAGCTTCGCGAACTCGGTGAACAGGGTCGCAGGCGCCCTCGTGGCAAGGGCTGCCAGAAGCCTCAGCCGGCCAGCTGCTTACAATCTTTTCATCCTCGCTTTTACGCTTCTGAGTGTTGACTGATTAGTTACACCTCAATTCTTCCTTTCGCGCCCTCGAGCTTTCGTTTTTACAGATACCTCAGTTCAGCCTATCCCCCAAATAACATTCACGCGACGACAACCTTCACCATGTCGAACGTTTACTTTCCTTACTCCAAGGCGCCCCTGCGCACCATCAAAGAAATCCAGTTTGGTCTTTTCTCTCCGGAGGAGATCAAACGGATGAGTGTGGTTCATGTGGAATATCCTGAGACAATGGTATGCGCTTCTTGCCTGAATTTTCATCGGATGACTTGGCGGTGAGGGATGCTGACTGTATGGCGATAGGACGAGCAGAGGCAACGGCCGCGGACAAAGGGTCTGAATGATCCTCGTTTGGGAACGATCGACCGGCAGTGGAACTGCGAGACCTGTGAGGAAGGCCAGAAAGAATGCCCCGGACATTTTGGTCACATTGAGCTTGCAACTCCGGTTTTTCATATTGGTAGGTTTGCTCTTTGCAAAAATTTTATGATTACCGTGTTGGAATGTGCTGCTAACATCCCCATTCTCTAGGTTTCTTGACAAAAATCAAGAAGCTCTTGGAAACTGTCTGCCACAACTGTGGAAAGATTAAAGCCAACACGGTTAGTCATCCCTTATGGGATGGCAAATCTTAATATGGCATTTTGTGCTGACCTTGAACCAGTCCGATTCAAAGTTCCTAGAAGCCCTACGCATGCGAGACCCGAAACGACGTTTCGACACTATCTGGCGTCTCTCTAAAGATGTCCTGATCTGTGAAGCCGACCCTCCACCGGACGAGGACGAACCATTTTCGAAAGAGAGCTCCAAGCCGTCAAGATCACACGGTGGATGCGGTAATGCCCAGCCTACGGTTCGTAAAGAAGGAATTACATTGGTCGGAACGTGGAAACCCAACAAGAGCATGATGGACGAGATGGATATGCAACAGCCCGAGAAGAAAACAATCACACCACAGATCGCTCTGAATGTTTTCCGCAGCATTTCTTTCGAGGATACTCGCATTATGGGTCTAAGCAATGACTATGCTCGTCCTGAGTGGATGGTTCTTACCGTCTTGCCGGTTCCTCCGCCTCCAGTCCGGCCCAGTGTTCTTGTTGGTGGTAGCACAAGTGGCCAGCGTGGTGAGGATGATTTGACATACAAGCTAGCTGAAATTGTTCGTGCAAACCAGAATGTTCAGCGGTGTGAGCAGGAAGGCGCCCCCGAGCACGTCGTGCGTGAGTTCGAGTCTTTGTTGCAATATCACGTTGCAACATATATGGACAATGACATTGCTGGTCAACCCAAGGCCATGCAGAAGTCAAACCGACCTGTGAAGGCCCTCCGTAGTCGTTTGAAGGGTAAGGAAGGTCGTCTGCGACAGAACTTGATGGGCAAGCGTGTGGACTTTTCCGCTCGTACCGTCATTACGGGTGACCCGAACTTGTCACTCGATGAGGTCGGCGTTCCAAAAAGTATTGCGAGAACGTTAACATATCCTGAGGTTGTCACACCTTACAACATTGATAAATTGCAGCAGCTTGTCATGAATGGCCCTAACGAACACCCTGGCGCGCGGTACATCGTTAGAGATAACGGTGAACGTATTGACCTTCGTCATGCACGGAGGGCTGGTGGCCAGCAGCTACTCTACGGTTGGAAGGTTGAGCGCCATGTCATGGATGGTGATGTTATCTTGTTCAACCGACAGCCCTCGCTTCACAAAGAGTCTATGATGGGTCACCGTGTCCGCGTTATGCCATATTCGACTTTCCGAATGAACTTGTCTGTGACATCTCCCTACAACGCTGATTTCGACGGCGATGAAATGAATTTGCACGTTCCCCAGAGCGAGGAGTCTCGGGCGGAATTGAGCCAACTTGCCTTGGTACCTATGAACATCGTTTCGCCTCAACGAAATGGTCCACTCATGGGTATTGTGCAAGACACTCTTTGCGGTATCTATAAGCTTTGCCGGCGTGATGTTTTCCTTAGCAAGGACCAAGTCATGAACCTCATGCTCTGGGTCCCTGATTGGGATGGTGTTATTCCCCCGCCAGCTATTCTGAAGCCTAGGCCGAGATGGACTGGCAAGCAAATCATCAGTATGGTTCTGCCTACTGGTCTCAATCTCCTCCGTGTCGACAAGGATGGCGCACCTATCTCGGAGAAATTCTCTCCCATCGCCGATGGCGGTGTGCTCATTCACGGCGGACAGTTGATGTATGGAATGCTCTCTAAGAAGACTGTTGGTGCCAGTGGTGGTGGTGTGATTCATACTATTTTCAATGAGTATGGACCGCTCACTGCCATGGCCTTCTTCAATGGTGCACAGACCATTGTCAACTACTGGCTTCTACACAACGGTTTCAGTATTGGTATTGGTGACACCATCCCCGATGCTTACACCATCCAGCGAATCGAGAACTGTGTCCGCAACCGAAAGAAGGAGGTCGAGTCTATCACTGCTAGCGCAACTGATAACACGCTCGAGGCGCTTCCTGGTATGAACGTGCGAGAAACATTTGAGAGCAAGGTCTCTCGTGCTCTTAACAACGCCCGTGATGAAGCCGGAAGCGAGACCGAAAAGAGTTTGAAAGATCTCAACAATGCCATTCAAATGGCTCGCTCTGGTTCTAAGGGTTCTACCATCAACATTTCTCAAATGACAGCTGTTGTGGGACAACAGTCCGTCGAGGGAAAGCGTATTCCTTTCGGATTCAAATACCGAACCTTGCCTCACTTCACTAAAGATGACTACTCTCCCGAATCTCGCGGTTTTGTTGAGAATTCATACCTGCGTGGCTTGACACCTACTGAATTTTTCTTCCACGCCATGGCTGGTCGTGAGGGTTTGATTGATACCGCTGTCAAGACCGCTGAAACTGGTTACATCCAGCGTAAGCTGGTCAAAGCGCTCGAAGAAGTCATGGTGAAATATGACGGTACTGTTCGTAACTCCCTGGGCGATATCATCCAATTTGTGTACGGAGAAGATGGCCTCGACGGTGCTCATATCGAGAACCAACGCGTGGATATTATTAGATGCTCTGATGACAAGCTCAGAGATCGCTTCCGTATCGATCTTATGGACCCCGAGAGGAGTCTGGGCCCCGATGTTTTGGAACAGGCCAATGAGATCGCTGGTGACATGGAGGTCCAGAGATATCTCGACGAAGAATGGGAGGCAATTTTGAAGGACCGCGCTTTCCTTCGCACTGTTGCTAAGGAAGATGAGGAGATGATGCAGCTTCCAATTAATGTGCAAAGAATCCTTGAAACTGCCAGGACCACGTTCAGGATTCGCGAAGGAACCATTAGTGACCTGCATCCCGCGGAAGTCATCCCCCAGGTTCAGTCGTTACTCGATCGTTTGTTGATTGTCCGTGGTGATGATATCATTTCGCGGGAGGCCCAAGAAAATGCTACACTGCTATTCAAGGCGCAACTTCGCAGTCGACTGGCTTTCCGGAGACTTGTGACAGAGTACTCTTTGAACAAGCTCGCGTTCCAGCACGTCCTTGGTGCCATTGAAATGAGATTCGCCAAGGCTGGTGCCAACCCCGGTGAGATGGTTGGTGTTCTTGCTGCTCAGTCTATTGGTGAGCCAGCTACGCAGATGACCCTGAACACTTTCCACTTTGCTGGTGTTTCATCAAAGAACGTCACGCTTGGTGTTCCTCGTCTCAAGGAAATTCTTAATGTTGCCACGAATATCAAGACCCCGTCTATGACCGTCTACCAAGAACCTGCAAGATCTCTTGACAAGGAGGGTGCTAAGCAGTTGCGAAGTGCCGTCGAGTACACGAGTCTGCGGTCTGTCACAGAGGCCACTGAGATTTATTACGACCCGGACATTCAGACCACGGTTATTGAGAACGACAGAGATATGGTGGAGTCTTACTTCATCATCCCCGAAGATGTCACGGACGACTCATCCCGCCAGTCCAAGTGGTTGCTCCGTATCATTCTCAGCCGACCCTCGCTTCTCGACAAGGGTCTTACGGTGCAGGATGTTGCTGCTAGAATCAAACAAGCATACCCCAAGGATATTGCTGTGCTTTTCAGTGACAACAACGCTGACGAGCAGGTCATTCGTATCCGTCAAATTCAAGACCACAAGGAAGATGAGGAGGACGATGATATCGAGTACGATGTGACGCTGAAGAAATTAGAGCAGCACCTCCTGGATACTCTTACCCTTCGTGGAGTTCCGGGAGTTGACAGGGCCTTCATCAACGAGAAGAGCAAAATCCGAGTTCTCGAGGATGGATCCCTTTTCTCGAGCAAGTCCGACCCTCTTTGCAAAGAATGGGTTCTCGAAACGAGTGGTTCCGCCCTTGCCGATGTTCTGGCAATCCCCGGAGTTGATACGTCTCGTACGTATTCCAACCAGTTTATTGAAGTCTTTGAGGTGTTTGGTATCGAGGCTGCCCGTACGGCTGTGCTGCGTGAATTGACACAGGTGCTTGCTTTCGATGGTTCCTATGTCAACCACCGTCACTTGGCACTCCTGGTCGACGTCATGACCGTGCGAGGTTACCTGACTCCTGTCACTCGTCACGGTATCAACAGAGCCGACAATGGTGCGCTTATGCGATGCTCTTTCGAAGAAACCGTGGAAATTCTCCTGGAGGCTGCTGCTTTCGGAGAGCTCGATGACTGCCGTGGTGTTTCGGAGAACTTGATCCTGGGACAAATGGCTCCTGCTGGAACTGGAGAGTTTGACATTTATCTTGACCAGAACTTGCTCAACACTGTTGTCTCGAACAATGCACGGTTCGGTGTCATGGGGGCTATCGGTGCTAAGGATGCCATCATCTCTGACGGTGCTGCGACTCAGTATGATACTGGTTCCCCTATGCAGGAGAGTGCCTACATTGGCACACCTGATCCCGAGTCCAATTTCTCCCCTATTCGACAGGATGGAGGTCAATCACCCACCGGTGGTCTTACCGATTACCAACCCAGTGGTGGCATTGGCGGCGGGTTCAGTCCAGCAGCCACGAGCCCTGGCTATTCTCCAAGCAGTCCTTTCAGCACGAGCCCAACGTCTCCTGGCTACTCTCCGTCGTCGTCTTACTCTCCCACGTCTCCTGGCATGGCAATTACCAGCCCTCGCTTCATGACGTCCCCAGGGTTTTCACCTGCCAGCCCGTCGTTCGCACCTACGTCGCCCGCATACTCCCCGACGTCACCGGCTTACGGACAAGTATCCCCAACATCACCGTCATACTCTCCTACGTCGCCCGGGTTTTCTCCAACATCGCCAAATTACAGTCCCACATCGCCAAGCTTCAGCCCAGCGTCTCCTGCGTTTAGTCCTACGTCGCCTAGCTATAGTCCCACCAGTCCTGCTATCGGTGGCGCCGGTCGACACCTGTCTCCCACTTCTCCCACCTCCCCCAAGTACACGCCCACTTCTCCTGGCTGGTCTCCTACGAGTCCCCAAACGTACTCGCCAACATCGCCTAATTTCTCTGGCTCCCCGACGTCTCCTGGAGGTCCAACCTCCCCGGGCTACAGCCCAACCTCTCCGGCTTTTAGCCCTTCGTATGTGTCTTCTTCCCCTCATTGAATATACCTCTGATTCTGACATTTCAAAACAGGTCTCCACGCCAGTGAGATTAGCTGCCGTATGCTTGGCTTACTTATGGCTTTCGTTGTATCATTGTACTATCATCGAATTTTTCAAATGAACCATAAAAATAACTATTTTGCATCTTACGTTGCGGAATTGGTTGGTTATCTTTTTTTACAATTTGGGCGTCTCTAGCCTCTTTTCGAAATGTATGTTTTTCTTTTTTTTTTCTTCCCAGCCGGAATGGTTTTTCCCCTCTATTTCCCCCTTTTCTCTCTTAATAGTTTCCAAGCCGCCTTTCAGAAATTGTGAATGGGTTTGTGGGCTGGCTATGCATGTTTCACTTGCGGACATTGAAATACCAAGCGTTCTAGAATTGAAGACCCTTACGGATCATTTCTCCGAGTTAATGAGGTGCTTTGGTCTTCTTTCGAGTGTTGTTCTCCCCCTTTTTTTTTCGCATGATGGTCATTGTTATTGAATGTATTACCGCAATCACTTTTCTATTTCGTGTACACAGTCTAGCGCAGATGATTTACTTAAAAGGACCAAAAAACAGATAATGAAGTGCTATTAATATGAATAACCTGCCATCATCGTAGCATCATCTAGTATTGTCCAAATGTAGATGTAGATAGGTAGCTGCTGAAGTACTGCGGTAGAGCCAAGCATGTCCCGGCGAAATGAACCTCCGCGGGGACAAGTGGCCCGTTCCGAGTAAGCTTGGGGTGGGTTGAGAGCGGTCTTAGAACGTCACTGGTGAATCTCACTTTCATCCAACAACTTCCCCCATTCAGGGCAGATGATGTATTGATTGAGTTTTAGGAGTCGCAATGCGCTTCTCACTCTCGAAATATACCACACGATCTCAGACACCATGAAGTATCCGTGGCTATGGCGGTTTCTGCCCTTGGCACTGCGTATGTATCAACCCGCCCGAACTTGACCCGTTCGTGACGGACGGAAGCTGACGCTGATAATCTTCTCACTAGTACTACTGCAGGCACTTGTGGCAGACGCTCAAATCCAGTCGAATGATGAACCCGCATCAGCAGATATCGCCCATGGACAATACCCGCTTGGAGCTCAATCATCTGGCGATCCCGAGGAGACAGACACCCGCCCTGCGAATGGTAATTACATGCAGAAACAACTTGTTAATTTCTTGTTCATCACGGCTGACTTATATGGTATTTTTCCGCTGGTAGAACATGTTGAATTGGCTCTCAAAATCCTTCGTGAATCGAAGATCGCCGTCGTTCAGACCGAGAAGCCATCTGGTCTCGTGGGATACGGGGTACATTATGCACAGGAAGCATTTCGGATTTTATTCATGAATGGACCTCGACCGGATTCGACTGAAAAGAAAATCAACCCGAATGTCGTCAGGGCCGTGAACGAATTGAAAATTGCTGCGCAGGAGGACGAGGACCCCGATGCGATCTTTCTATTAGCGGAGATGAACTTCTACGGCAACTTCACCCACCCAAGAGATTTCAAAGCGGCATTCAAGTGGTATCAAGAGCTTGCATCGTTGACCGGGAATAGTACGGCACAGTATATGGTTGGCTTTATGTATGCGACGGGATTCGGAAACGGAGTTGAGCGCGACCAGGCAAAGGCACTGATGTACCATGTTTTTGCTGCTGAAGGGGGGAATACGAGGTCAGAAATGACGCTCGCATACCGCAACCATGCCGGCATCGGGGCTCCTAGAAATTGCGACGAAGCAACATACTACTACAAGAAAGTGGCAGACAAAGCTATTCAGTACTATCGATCTGGACCTCCTGGTGGTCACAGTTTGACCCGGGAATCATACAGATGGGCAGATGAGGAAGGGGGTGTCTATGGTGAAGGTGCTAGTGTGTCGAGCTCTGGACCCAACGCGCTGCGCGATGGATCACATTCGAGCAACGAAGCTAGCTTGGAAGATGTTTTGGAATATTTGGATCTTATGTCCCGAAAAGGAGAGTTGAAGGCTACTTTCAGTCTGGGAAAGATGCACTATGAGGGGGCTAAGGGTTTGCCCCGGAGTTTCCGCAAGGCCATGAAGTATTTCAAACTGGTTACAAAGAGATACTGGAACAAGGATGGCTCAGTTAACCCAAGTCACCCAATGGGCATTGAAAAGCTGGCTTCCAAAGCGGCAGGTCACATAGGGATGATGTACCTTCGTGGAGAGGGCGTGGAGCAAAACTTCGCTACGGCTCTCACTTGGCTGAAGCGCGGTTTGCCTAATGGGGATTCTCTTTGCCAGTATCAAATTGGGCTGATGTATCTTCATGGATACGGCGTTCCTCAGGACGCATTTAAAGCTTCATCATATTTCAAAGCAGCTGCTGACCAGGACTTTCCGGCAGCGGAGACTAGACTGGGTGCTCTGTTTCTGGACCAAGGGGACATAGCTACCGCCACCAAATATTTCGAGTTGGCTGCGCGCTGGGGATGGATGGAAGCTTTTTATTATCTGGCGGAAATTTCTAACAACGGTGTTGGAAGGGAACGACACTGTGGGATGGCCGCAGCTTATTACAAGATGGTCTCTGAGCGAGCTGAGGTGATCCACTCCTCCTTTGCTGAATCAAATGCTGCGTATGAGAACGGCGACAAAGAACGTGCATTAATTGCGGCGACTATGGCCGCAGAGCAAGGGTACGAAAATGCCCAGTCAAACGTGGCGTATCTTCTTGACGAGCAGCGCTCTTTGGTGCCTCTCGACTCTATCCTCCCTTGGGGCCAGAAGCCTCGACCATCTCTGCTTCGAAATGCAGCTCTGGCTTTAATCTACTGGACTCGATCGTCCAAGCAAGCAAACATCGATTCTTTGATCAAAATGGGCGACTATTATCTCTCTGGAGCTGGGATTGCAGCAGATGCAGAAAAGGCTTCTGTTTGCTACCACACCGCAGCTGAAGCTCACCATAGTGCACAGGCTTATTGGAATCTTGGCTGGATGCATGAGAATGGTGTTGCTGTCCAGCAGGATTTCCACATGGCTAAAAGATACTATGATCTAGCTCTTGAGACAAACCAAGAAGCGTATCTGCCGGTAAAGCTAAGCTTGATAAAGCTTCGGATGCGCGCATACTGGAACAGAATCACTAATGGAGATATCAACCCAATCCAAGAGGAAGAAGGTATGCTCCCTGACCTTGACACTAACTATTTACCGGTCTATACATAATGCTGATCCCATAATAGTATCGAAACCACGTCGAACATTCAAGGAGTGGATCGCGGCATTTATCGAAAATGACGAGGAGGAGGAAGCTAATTACCGCGCTCAAATGTACAAACATGATGAAGACGATGATTTTCTCGCGAGCAACGGGGATTCCCGTCGATTGGACGGGGAGAACCGCCACGAAGATGGCTATTACGACGACCTGGAACTCGAAATCGATGAGAGCGTTTTGGAAGGCTTGATCATCGTCTCTCTGGCTGCCACCTTGCTAGTGCTTGTATACATGAGACAGCAACGGAATAGACAAAGACCAAACGAGAACGGGGCCCCTGCAGGTGCAAACCCAGCGAATCCAGGCGATGGGAACGATCGTGGGTTTTTCCCGCGGCCTGGAGAGCCGGAATTCGCCCAGTGGGTGGCAGGTGGAGTAGGACATTGATGATAACGAGGGTGCGATGATTTGATTTCGTCTCATTTGTATATTGGTGTATTATTTTGTGGATACTCCTCGAATCCAATACTTCAATAATCGCTTTCTATCTACCTACTCTTTTCCCGTAAGACATCGCGTGCGCACGTGGTTGATGTCATTTCTTCCTTATCGATAAGCCCACGCTCTTTTTTTCCGAATCCCCAAGAACAACACCGTCAATCCACCACTCCACTCTTCATTGAATTCTATTTCTTTCTAGCATTTCCCATCTAAAGGACATGTAATTCAGTGAGTGATGAATGATGGCGTCTGTCAATGTATCCGGAAAGCGACGTCGTCTTGACTACGCAGCTTCTACGCTTTCCAAGCCGTTCAAGTCTCCCCTCCGCAAGCCCGTATCGGCATCGGGGAACAAGGAAGAGGTGACAATCAAGGAAGAGAACAACGCTGATTCTTCTAATACTGCTATGGGGCAGAATGTAGCAGAGGAAGATACCAAGCAGAACCTTGTGCCCGCCACACCCATCTCTTCGGGCCCTGTCACCGGGAATCTTAAATCAACTTCGCCCATGACGAACTTGCAAACCCGCAAGAGGAAAACCCATGATACCCAGACTCCTACCAAGAAGGCTATATTCACAGACCCTATCACGTTTGATCTCCAAAAACAACAGAGAGCTTTGCAATCGCGTCTCTCCGCCCTACGTTCTGAGCTCAACACCGTGGAGCAAGCACTTCGGATCGAGTCCTCAACAAAGGATGTAGAGTTGGAAGACCTGATTACAAAATGGAGATGTGTCAGTCAGAATGCAGCTGAGGAGGTCTTTGCTGGGGCACAGGAACGGGTCTCCCGGATGGGTGGCATGGCAGTCTGGAGAGACCGGATGAATCGTAACAACAGCAGGTGGGACCAAGATGAGATGCAATCCTGGTATGGCAATGAACGGGCAGCAAGTGGTGAGGTGGATGAAGATGAGTTGGAGAGTCGAAAAGTTGAGTTGCTGGATCAACTCGATGTTCGCCAGGAGTCTGAGGAGATTAAGGACGAGGGATCAGAAGACGAGGTAGGTTTGACCTTGAGACTAACTGACAAGACTGCTAATGTTTTCTTTTCTTTATACAGGATTTTACGATGGATATGATGCTGAAAACGCTTAATATTGACCTTAATATAATCGGATATGACAAAAGTGGCCAAAGATGGGTCAAGAACTGATCGGTTGCCCCCGATCAGCCACATATTCAAGATGATTGAATGACATTCGAACTGTATATTACTTTGCTTTTTTATTTTGTTAACCTTCGCCCTGGCTTATGTTCTCTGGTTGATCTTCGCAGGGCATGATTTGCAGGATGCCAAACCAACGGCCCGGGAACCATTCGAATGACAATATAATTATCTTATAACTGCCAAGTGCAAAAGGAAAAGAATCCTCTTCAGACTGCACTATTTTTCTGAGTTTTCTCACCGTGATGATCATCCATGGATGTCTTATCTTATACTTTTAACTTCCCCGCAGCGGCACTTTTAGGGCGGTCCTTATCACTCGCACGGTTCCTTCGTATTCTCGCTGCCAACCACCTTCAACTCACACCTCGCGTTTTTCTTTTTTTCAGTCTTCTTAAGGTATTCAACTTATGCCCGAACGTACTAAACGTCCAAGACTTCTTGCATGCTCTCGATGCTTCCGCTTAAAGCGGAAATGTGATCATGCGAAGCCAAAGTGCAGCGAGTGCAGGAGAAAGGGAGCCGACTGCCTGCCGGCTTCATCACGCAAAGATGGTGAAGATATAACCATCCCGTTGAGCTACCTCAAAGAGCTGGAAGCAAAGGTTGCTGAATTAGAGCAATGCAAGTGGAGTTCAAGAACAGAGACGCAAGTACGGGATTTTGGCGTACAGACGGAGCCAATTGACGAAGTGTTCAGTGATAAATCTTGTCTTGACCCTTCTCTTGATTCACCAGGAAATCCGATAGAAGGGTCAAGATCCTTTAGGTTCTCACCAGTCCTATTCGATCGATTGTCTAGTGATGCTATGGAGACTGGAAATGCATTGATGCGTTTGTCCAACTTTTCCCGTAGCCCGACACCAAGACTCGAGGATGTTGATATGACATATCTTCTACAAGCCGACACTATACCACTAGACACTTTTACCCTTGACAACAGTCCTTGGTTTGAAGATCTCTACACCAATTTATATTTCTCCATTACGGACTGGGAGTGGCCATTCCTAAATCAGAGCGCATGGAAGTCATGGCGCAGCAACTGGGAACTTGAAAAATCGGCAGATCAATGGAAAGGATTCTACCTACAGATGGTGTATGCAATCGGGGCACTATTATGCAACAATCTCCAGCACGACCCATCGCATTCAGCACGCGCCAGGGAGCTTTATACGTCTGCAATGACATTTTATCCGCATGTCATTAGCCAAGCATCCACAGTTCTCCAGATACAAGCGTCGATCCTCCTGATACTTTATGCTCTCCACTGCCCATGGTCAGAGGAAATTGCGACTAGTGTATCTTCCATTGTTCCGTTCTGCACTGCTACAATGGCCGAGATTAGGAAGCTCGTATCTGCCATTGGTGCTACAGATGAGACAGATAGTCAAGATGATTTGTTGACCGACAAACTCTTTATCACTTGCTATATGTTGAATGAAATTATTGTCTCTGGATGGGACAGACCTGTTTCTGCTGCTTACAAGGCAATAGATGACGATGTAAGTTCCCAGAGAATCATTGAAAGGAGCCAAAACGACTCACTTTTTATACAGATGCACAGCTTCAGCAACGATATGCCACCATCCAACTCCAATACCGCCCTGAGTCATTTGTTTCAACTACGCAAGATTCAAGCCAACATCAGAAGATACTGGGACAAAACCCCTCGGCGATATGACTCGACTGAGACACATCAGGATGCCCCATTGAAAACGGCGCTGGACTCATGGAGGAAGGACATATCGCGATACGGTCTAGATAATGCACCCTATGGCCAACACCACCCTCTATGGATGGCAAATCTCTACAACTACAGCGTGATTATCTTAATACAAGAGAAGAGGGGCTGCCTGAGGAATCAAGATATCGAATATGCCTTTTCCGCCATAGTCGACGTCTGCATAAGTTACAGACGCTTACAGGAAGAAGGCCAAGTGATGTGCTATACCTGGTCTTCAGTGAGTAACCTCTTCTACATTATTATTTTGGAATCGCATTAACTATGTTATAGCTTGTTTTCCAATTCCGAGCCGGGATAATGCTCCTCTACATCTTTTGGGTGACACCACGCGGAGAGTACCACAACGTCCAGCAAGGGCTAGATGCAGTATACGCATGTGCCAACACCTTAAGTCACTTTGCAGATCGCTGGGAGGATGCCGTACCGTATAAAGAAGTCTACAAATATCTTATTGGCCAGGCTTCGTGGATCTCTGAAAATTGTGCGTATCCAGTTGGCCAATACGGATGTACGTTCCAAGAGCTCGAGATTCATTTGGAGAATCTGAAGAAGAGGTATATACATAAAGCAGTCCTAGGCATGATTGAGGACATGGTGTATCAGGGGCGCATTTATGATGTGATCGATGATGAGTGTATCTCGCAACCAGCGATTTCTTTACATGTGTAGAATTATGTGGGTTACTTGTTCTATATCACAGATTGAAACATCAAGCTAGAGAAGACTGAAAGTGAATATCGAGAGAAATATCAAGATTTCAATGCTAGTCCATCTCATTCAAACCTTGGCGAATACTTCGCGGGCCTGACGGAAGCGTGCATACAAAATCAACAAGGCACCTGCGAGTAGAGTTGCGCCGGCATACATGGAAACATCGAGATAGCCATGTTTGACCAAATATCCGCTGATAGGAGGGCCGACCAAGCTTCTATGAAAAAGAGGTTTCCTGTAAGTCCTGCACCTATGATTTTTCTTTTCGGGTATAAACAGGCAACGTACGAAATAGCAGGGGCAGCTAGGATTAACCCTAACGCAGCACCCTGTGATCCAGGAGGAGCCAGCTGCACTGCACAGGGAATTTGGCAACCGTAAAATGACTGGGTAGGCGTTGGTGTCAGCTTTCTACTAAATAATGGATAGGTATATCGACGAAGAAGGCAACTAACACCAGAGCTAAATCCATATGCCAGCGTGAAAATGATAATCCCAGCTAGAGTAGTAGCCTTAGTCCAACACATGGAGATTATCCCAGATAATACCGTGTTCATGAACAGCAAGTTGAAATTTCCAAACCGGTCAACCAAAAGCCCTGTAGTCAGTCTCCCCACAAAGGAAGCCCCGTTGAGAATCGACACGAGATAAAATGATAGACTTGCTGATAGACCACGGTCGACTGCGTAGGTAGAGACAAAGTTAGAGGGTGTGTATATGCCAAAACAGGCAATGCTAAACCCAATACAGAGCACGTAAAAGGTTGGGTTTTTCGTAATTTTCACATTCCCTTGAGCAATCTCATTAGCTTCCGGTCCCTGATTGGGTGCATTCTTTTCTTGGCCCGGTGCCTGAATAGTATCATGGGTATCATCTCTCATCCCTTGGGGCATTCGAGTGACCAGAATAATGAAAATGCAGAGAGACAACATCGTGAATCCGACGGTACGTAACGCCCAGCCAAGACTAACACCATTCTTGTTCAGAAGCTGATCGAGCATAAGAGGCCAAACAATACCTCCAATTGAAGCACCAGTGACCGCGGTACCTATTGCGGCTCCACGGTGTTTATCAAAGAGTCGGGAGACGATCGCCATAGGAGGACAGAGGAGAAAGGCGTTGCTCGCCCCGAGAAGAGCGCCTTGGGAGAGTATGAACTCATATAATCTATTGCACAGAGAAGCCATGAAAATGGCAAAACATGTGCCAAAACCACCAAGCAGCAGAAGTGGCTAATCGAACTCAGATTAGCAAGCCATATGGTTAATGTCCCACTATACTCCGTACTCAGGGCTATAATTTATTACCATGGGTCGGATTTTATCTGCTAACCGACCAGCAAGTGCAGAAAAAATAGCCATCATGAAAAGCGACACAGATGAAATCCATCAATGTCGGACTGGGGATGGCTGCTTAATTTGACATGGCTATAGTATTCCTGGAAGACACCAAATGCATCTTGGAACCCCAGTGTACAAAAGTTGGCAAAGAAAGCACCGACAAGGACGATCACAGATCGAGTTCTATGAATTCATTGATATCATTAGCAAAAAGTCCCAGAGTCCTTGACAATTGGCCCCTTACGAGAACTCTTTGGTGCTGTTGCCCATGGTCAGAGGCTCTGGATTAGATGATGACACCGCCATTTGAAAGGCAAAGAGAGATCATTCCTGATATCAAGAGGGAATTTCTAGAGCGTCAGCGAAGTGGTAGAATATATTGCTGCAGCATCTCTTGGTCGTGAAGTCAATAGATGCATCATATTGGTGTGTTACACCGCATCCACGGTGTCCGGGAAGGTCCGGGAGGTAAAGGAGACAATTGAGTCTCCATGCACGAGGCAGTCGAGAATAAATTGAATGGAAGAAACAAGCCATGGCTGACTCGTTCGTAAGTTGAAGCAGTTGGGAGGTTGACGTCGAAGATAGAGGAAATAAAAACAGAGGGCGATATGGACCGTTTCTGCCTGAGGTACCACATAGAGCCAGTCTAGGCTAGCTTCTTTGGACTGTCTTCTTCGACATCACGACAACAACCAGCATCCATCTCCATGGCTTCTTTTTCATCCTCGCCCCAGAGGCTAGCCCAGCCTGTGAATCGGGATATCAAATTCAATGGCTCAGAGTTTCACTGCATGTTGGAAAGGAAGTCTACTGGAAGCAATCTTACTATCGATAACCCTAAAAGGTTGGCTGTTTCTTGCCAGCCACATTGATGTGAGTACTCTGCAGTAGGTGATTCATTTGACTCATTTGAGAAGTAATCCAGTGACTTGTGCTGATGATATATTTCCAGCAATCGAGATTATCTGCCGGTGTATATTTTCGAGCAATTACAACTGAAGTGGTTTTCGATTCTTGGTGGGAATATTCAGTGGCGTATCAACGACAAGAGGCAGCCCCTGCCCGGGAGTGACTGAAAGATATTCTTTTTCGAAGATCAAATCCAACTTCTCTTCACTGCTAAGGTGGATGCACCCCGTATTGTACCTCTTTTATACGAAGTGATAGCAACCCAAAGGCGGAACAACTCAAACAGCCCATGGTTGGTAACCACAAACATGGTTTGGATGGTCCCTATGAGATGATGTGGAACTAAACCACGCTGCCACAATGATGGTTGTTTATTCCTTCTCTGAATTCAAAATATTTTGACTTTTCAACCCCCACTTTTAAAATGTCTGCATAAGATTTCTCGGGTGATTCTTATTCGTCTTCCTCTTTTACCCCGGTTTCATTCGTCGCTGTCCTCAAATCTAGATGGCGGACAGAAGTCCGCTACTCCCACGCGAGATACGATCCCTGGCAATCCCAGTCTGCCGAGAGATAACATCCCTTGCTACTTATCTATCTGCAGATAACAACAGATCAACACGACTGATATGTATATTTAAGTCGAGCTCGATGGCCGTCATGCATTCTCCCGTTATGTTGATCGAGCTGGATTTCTTCAATTATCGCCATGTCCGAAACTGAAACCAAAGAGGCTAAGATAGACGTTTGGAGTCATCAAGCTGCGGGGAACGATGGAAGGGATAATGATGTTGCACCGGGAGAGATCAGAGATATCGGAGCAGACCTCTACGCTGAAGTTGATCAACTAACTCCTGAGGAGTTGGAGGAGGAGGGTGTCCGAGTGCGAAAAATACTAGATCGACGAATTATGCCCATTGTATGTTTACTCTTCTTCATATTACTTTGTGGTATATATCTGACATTTTTTTAGGTCTACGTGGTTTATGTCATACAGTTCTTGGGTAAAGAAACTTCCTTTCAAACCTTCATTCGAGAAACTGACTTGTCTCGACTTTACTAGACAAACTATCGCTCAATTATGCATCCGCCTACTCCCTAATTCCCGACCTTGGCCTGGAAGGCCAAAGATACTCATGGGTAGCAGCCATTTTCAATTTCGGATATCTATTTTGGGCTGTCCCATCGAACCTCTTAATACAGCGTCTTCCTATTGCCAAGTATCTTGGTGGAATGATTCTGATATGGAGTGTTCTGGTGATTGCTCATATTGGAGCAAAAAGCTATGCGGGTATTCTAGTATTGAGATTTCTGCTGGGGATGGCTGAAGCTGGTGTGAGCCCATGCAGTAAGTTATTGATAACGGCACATTTCCTGATAAATATGCATATAAAGCTGACTGATCAAAAGTGATGAACATCACGTCCATGTTTTACAAACGTTCTGAGCAGCCCCTACGCATGGCCTTCTGGCTTAGTGGCAATGGCGTTGCGACTATGGTCGGCGCCCTGTTGGGATTTGGGCTGGGACATTCTCACAGTACCAAACTACGCAGCTGGCAGTTAATATTCCTAACCATAGGTCTTCTCAATTTTGCTTCGGGTTGTATTTTTCTCTGGATAATGCCAGACTCACCTAGTTCTGCGAAGTTCCTGTCTCACAAACAGCGTGTTGTCGCCGTGCAGCGGGTAGCTGAGAACATGATAGGGGTGAAGACAAAACAAATCAAGCCGCGTCAGGCACTGGAGATTCTATATGATATAAATGTTCTCTGTTGCATTGGGATCGGGATTGCATGCGGTGTCATCAACGGCGGCGTTTCCAACTTTGCCTCGTCCTTGATCAAAGGGTACGGCTTCAGTGGCATCTATGCCACAGTGCTTCAACTTCCCACAGGAGCCTTTGAAGCAGTCATTGTACCGATATGTGGTCTGATTGCCACCCGACTTCCTAACTCCCGCTGCTTTGTTCTGGCGGCAGTGTCTCTGATTCCTTTCGGGGGCCTTCTCGGCATTCGCTTCACCGACATCGATCATAGATGGACCCTTGTTGGCTGTACCTGGCTCCAGTATATCATCGGAGCCCCCGTGATTGTTTCTTGGAATCTCCTTTCTACTAACGTCGCTGGACATACGAAGAGATCCATCGCCAACGGGATATGGTTCACATTGTATGCAGGCGGAAATGTAGCTGGTGCCAACATCTTCTTCGAACGTGAAGCCCCACGATATTACTCTGCTCTGATGGGGCTTCTCATCTGCTATGCAGGAATCATTGTCTTGTCATTCATCGCATATTTCGCTATGAGACTGGAGAATAATCGAAGAGACAAGGCGTACGGGAATCCGTCCATGGGAGGGGAAGCTGATCCCCAGGCCATCATGGACGGGTTCAAGGACATGACCGATATGGAGTCGAAGAATTTCCGATATGCTCTTTGATTTGTATATCTAGTTGGGATGGTTATATCTTAAGTCTTGTCATTTTGAATTAGGTCATGAATGAAAGAAGTGGCAATTAGGATTTGTGTAACCTTGGGCAAGAGCTATATGTTCCCTATTTTTTTCATTTTTAAGACACAAAATTGAAGATTAGAACATGGTATATAGCCCAGACGTTAAGTGTGTTTACCCTTCTGGTAACTTAGACCGTCAGGATATACTGTTTAAAGATATCGCCGATAGCTTTGGCGCTCTTCTTGGGAATTCTCTTCTGGTCATTGTCATAGTCCACATAGGTGACACCAAATCTAGTTTTATATCCATCAGCCCATTCAAAGTTACTAGATCATCGTCAGCGGCTTGGTCAAGGGTTAAAAGGTTAATGCGAATCATACTCCATCAAGCTCCATGCCATGTATCCCCTAACATTGACTCTGTCTAGGGTATAAGCATCCGCCATGGCACCGATATAGTCATGGAAATACCGCGTCCGGAATTCATCATTCAGCAACTGGTCAAGGGGTAAGTCATTTTCGCCTTTGAGACTCGTTCCGTTCTCCGTGACGTAGATCTTGGGCCGACTGTATCGGTCACTGATCCATTTCAGCAATTTTCGGAATCCGAGCGGATACGGGCGTAACCAGGAAGACTGCGTCTCAGGTCCGATGCTCTTTCCGGCCTTGTTCTCCATTAGGACTTCGAGGTTCCCTGCGGTGTCGTTGGGGTCGGGCTCGGTGGTTTTGGCCTTGATATAGTGGGCACAATAGTGGTTCATGCCATAGAAGTCATTGCTGCCGTGGACAAGGGTGATGTCTTCCTTTGTCCATTCTGGAAGTCGATCGCCTAGCTGCTGAACCATGCTGTCTGGGTATTTGCCGTGATAGATTGGATCTGCAAACCAGGAGATGGAGAATTCGATCTTTCTTTCGCAGGCTTCAACGTCGGCGGGATTCTCAGGGTCCCATGGTTCGGCCCAGTCACCTATTAAGCATTAGTGTCACTGAAATATCCCATGACCAATCATCATTGTATATACTACATGGGGTAAGGGGATATACCATTGAGTGTAATTCCAATCTCGCCCTCATCCCTAGTCTTGAAGTCTTCTCTGTAAACCTTCACCGCAGCCCCGTGAGCCACGAGAAGATTATGGCCTACAATCCAGCACTCTCGAGAGCTATCACCCTCAGGGCTTTTGGTACGATCACTTGTTCTGCCAGGGGCAAATTGGCCCACGTTATACCCGAGGACACTGCTGCACCATGGCTCGTTGAATGTTATCCAGTGTTTAACTTTGGAACCGAAAGCGTTGAAGAGTATCCGGGCGTAGTTTGTGAAATCGGCAACAAACTCCTCCTTATTGAGGAATCCTCCATAGCGCTGGTTGAGCCCCTCGGGGAGATCCCAGTGAAACAGCGTCACGAGTGGGGTGATTCCTGCGGCGAGTAGGTCATCGACAAACTTGACGTAAAACTGTAGACCCTTTTCATTGATGGGATCGTTTCTTCCTCCGAGAGGAATGATGCGAGACCTAAATTATCCATAAGAAAAAGTTACATTGTAAAATGTTGAAAAGTAGGGAGGCCCACCATGAGATCGAGAAACGATACGCCTTTGCACCACATGCTTTCAACAAGGCGATATCCTCATAAGTGCGATGATATGAGTCACAAGCCACGGCCCCAGAGCTGCCGTCAGCTATTTTCCCGGGAATTTCACAGAATTTATCCCAAATGGAGGGTCCACGACCATCCTCATCAACAGCGCCTTCGATCTGGTAGCTAGAGCACACAGAACGCGAAAAGGCTTCACGTTAGATCATGTCCAAGGCAAAGAAGCAAAATATAATAGAGAAGTTCTAATAGTGTTGTTGGGGTTCAGCTCACCTGGCAGTTGCAAATCCCCAAAGGAAGTCTGATGGAAGGGTTGCTAACGCAGACGTCATGGTTGCTTGTTTATATAACGGGTGGATGATCTTCACGCGGGCTGTTTAAGAGTAGAATTTGATAGCTTTTCTTTTTTGCAGAATCAACAGGATAAAGAATATTTAAGTCCTTTGTCCGGCTGTCTGGGTGTAGAGACAAGAGAGGAGGGAGGAGGGAAAGGTGGGGGAGGAGCAAAGAAAAAGTGACGCATTTTGATCGAACCACCCAAGTCACACGGGTTCCTTTCGAGCGACACTCCGCGATCCACTGTTCTTTAGGAAAGCCATTAAGAATTTAAGATGAGCATGCTAGATCTGACATCAAGAGAATGGCAGTGGGGTTGAGTCCAAATAGCAACGGCTAAACGGGCCGCCGTCCGGATCCAATTGGGAATAGCACTGAACAGGGGTGAGAGACATCAAGTGTTCATTTATGACTTTGTGATTCAATGATAAGTTACATGCAGATCGATCATATGTAGACGCTATCGAAAATGATGCAGGGCTGAGATGCAAATAAATAACACGCCATGAGTACTCCATAAACAATAAACCCCGAAAAAAAAATACCCGAAATCCCTTCCTACCTCTGCTCAAAATTCCCAAAACACCAAAATGCATCGTTGATCGGTCGTTTGCTCGGTTCATTCATGATATCTCCATCCCTTCAACATCATCTCCCTCATACTCATCCATCTCGTCAACAGTAGAGTTTCCAAGAGCCAATCGTGGTCGCTTGGACGTTTGACCTGCACCCAATCCGTCTGGCCCCAGAGCTCCAACCATTTCCAATTCAGGTCCAGCGAGAATCCGGCCTTCCATGTCAACCACTTCACACAGCTCAATCAAACTCTGTCGGCTCAGTGATCTGAAGCCCTCAGTTCGGACGACGCGGCCCCAGTGGGTGAGACAGAACTGAGCCGCACGGCGCATCAGCCATTCTTCATTTGTTCGCCCTGCTCGTTCCCAAATAATAGCGGCATTCTCCACATCCAGCTCCCGGCTCAGCCGGTTGACACACAGCAGACGCAGCTTTGGCATGTCGTATAGATTTGCCATGACCAACATACCTGCCACATCGATGATATCGGAGCAGTATTCCGGGTGACCCGAAATACTATCAGTATACAGATAAAACAGAAAAGCACGTACCACCGAGTATGGCTCGGGGATATGCATTCTCTTTGAATGATACTCTGCCATCCGGGAGGCATACAGTCGCTTGAAATGCGGCCATCTGAGCTCCAGAATAATTCGATGCACATATATTGGAGATGAGACATCAGCGTTTGGTGGGAGAAATGCCGGTTGAGACTCCGAAATAACCGAAACCTCTGTCATTTCTTCCGAGTCCTCATAATCATCCTGGTTTGCAGTGATCGTGAAATCGGCCCCGCTACCAGATTCTGGAGACTGGTCAAACACTGCAGAAAGATCTGCACCTAATCCTGACATGGAGGATAATCCTGATCGGTCAGAGCCCAGAACCCTGCTTTGGTCGGGGGAACCGGCCCCTAGGTTGTTGCCCAGGAGTCCATATCTTTCCAGGTCGATGCAAAGGATTTCGTCCATGTGGTTATCATCAGCGGAACCGGTAACGTGACCGTCGAGGCTGCAACCCAGTAACCAGGCTTTAGTGCCAGTGCTGTCGATTGTGCAGTAGTGCCATCGATGTCCGGGTTTGAAAATCTCCTGTCCGTCAGCCAGTTTCTGCCAACGTAACGAATCGAGTTCCAGCGATGACAGATTGCAATCGTAGGTTCGCACTGTTTCAGATGGTGTGATTAGATCCAATAGAACCCCGGATGCGTAGGCTTGGAAATGGGTTCCCGAGAAGAGCGCAGGCACATGAGGACCTGAATGGAACCGGTGAGATGAGATGGCTCCAGGAGCAGCTGGCTTGCGTCGACTAGTGATGTTGCGAGCTTGCAAACTTCCCGAATTCGCTTGGTAACTACCAGACCGCTGCTGCGATGGATGATAAAATGCGCCTGTCCTGTGAGTCATTCTGCCAACCGTCCTTGGGGAATCCACGGTACCTTGTGAGGCGGCAAATCCAAGAGACGAGGATCCTTTGAGGTCTAGCCACCAGATATCAGTCGTACGTTCCATATCCGGACCAAGTCCTCCAAAGATCCAGAGACGGCCGCCCCAAACCCATGCGATATGGTCGAAGCGAGGGGTGAAACTCCAGGTGCGAGACCAGGTCCATGTTTTGAGGTCCAGATATGAGAGGTCATCTAGAATGACATTATTCTCCCCAATTACCCCGCCGATGATAAAGAGTTTGTCGTCGTCGATGACAGCCGCATGGCGCGCCCTGCCTTTCGGGATATGTCCACGAATCTCCGGTTGAGTCCAAGTCGCCGTAGGGATATCGAAAACAATGACGTCGGATAGGTGTTCACGATGCTCATTTTCACCACCGAACACAATCAACTTGTCCCCTTGGTAGAGGGAAGCAGTGTGGCCTGGATGAAAATACGACGATTAGCCCAGATTGCGACGGAAGGAGATGCTTAAGGTGTGACCAACCCATACGGACACCGGGAATGTCACCAAAATTATCCACCAACTCCCAGTGTGAGGTTTTTAAATCTAGTCGCAAGACATGGTTGTACACTATACCGTTATTGGCGAGACCATCAGTACAAAAGAAAACACTCAAATATCATTGCTGCGACAAAGGCACAGGAAATTAAAACGAACCTTCATCGGTATACTGATCAAACCCCCCAAAGGCATAAATCAGATCGTTGGTGTAATACGTCACCGAGGCATTGACCAAGCAAGCGGGAACATGACCCTGGAGCTTTCTGGTGCTCGGGCGGTAATCAGCGCTGCCTGGACGACCCCCCGCCGAACTAGCGGGCATCAGGTATGCGTCCTGCGGGTTCTGGTGAGCGGAAGGAGGATTATTGCTATTATTTGTAGTAGTCGTCGCCATCGTCGGAGGATAGATGATATGAGACTCTGAAAATGGTAGATCCGGTCCAAAGGGAGAAGAAGGTGGGTCCTCGTGGAACTGGGCGATGCCAGACAAGCGTTGCTACTACTAAGATTTAGCAGTATCAGTGGAGGTCAGCGATGGTTGCCGCGCCATCAATAATTGGAATAAGATGAGGATTAAAAAGGGTCTCAGACAAGAAAGGATAGAAGAAAAATATTTCCCCCCGTCACATCATCATTCACTGGTGCTTATTCACAGTCAACATTTAAAAAAAGAAAACGACGCCAAGAATATGACTGATCGACACAAATGAGGCGAAAAAAGAAAAATCGCAGACAACGATGCGCTCACGTGATCAAAGACAGGGAGCCGCATGTCATGTGGGTCGCTAGCCGCATCCGGGCTAGTGCTGTCGTACCTCCAGTAACGGTTGCCATGGGCGAGGAGGGCGAAAAGAAGTATACGCTGTATTTATTCCCCTGGTTCTCTGCTCCTTTCAGTCCAGATTCCTTCTTCCGTCCTCATCTTTGTCTTTCCAGCTTTTCTTCACCTATTTGCTATTGCTTGCATCCTCTATTTCTCTTCAATTGTTTTTCTACTTGCATTCAGTACTATATTGTTGGGCTAAGGTAGACCTGAGCTTCGCAGTTGAAGCATCTTCGTCTTCTTCCTAGCCTTCTTCTCTCTTCACCAAAAATTTCCCACACAATCACATAATACAATGGCTACTGCTTCAGTATCAACTCCTGTAAAGACCCATCATGGGATCTTTTCCTCCAAGACCGCTGGAGGCCGGATGCCTCTGACTCCTTCTCCCCATGCCCGGAGAGCCAGCATGGCCTCCAACCACTCTTCTCCCTTCACTCCTGGTCGCGAGACTGCGGAGACAACTAGGGAGAACACTCGATCCGTCTACGGCGGAAACCTTTCATCATACTTTGCCAAGTCTAGTATCTCTAAGCAGCCTCGGGGTGCCTACCGTGAATCTCCCAAGTCCAACATTGCCCGCACTCGCAAATCGCCCAGACATTTGGAGCTGGGGGTGTCTGACTGGACTCTGAGTGGTACTGGTCCCTCATCGACTCAGTCTCCTTCCAAGGAGCGGGTGCGAAAAGAAATCTCGACCCGGACACGGTCTGGAAAGACCACCGTCCGCATTGCACACAACGCCGGTGACAGATTCATTCCCAACCGCACTGCCAGTGAAGGACTGGCAACAGCTGGAACTGCGAAGCCCGAAGAGAGCCAACGGCCGAAAACTAGCGGAAACGAGGGTTCTTCCGTTCTCGCAAGTGCGGCCAGTGCCTTCGATATCGGTGGCCGCGGAACAGACGATGACATCACCGCTGCTTTGGAGAACCTTGGCTTGGAAGATAACAACGACTCTTCCTCTACATCTTCCTCTTCTTCCAGCTCCTATTCTCGACCAGCACCCGATGCAGTTGCTTATGAATCCTCATTGGCCGATGCTTGTGGTGTGAATCTCAACACCCGCATCCTTGCTTTCAAGCCGCCGCCCCCAGAGTCGTCGAAGCCTATCGACTTGCGTGCTCAATACAACCGTCCTCTCCGCCCTGGAAAGTCCAAGTCTGCCCAGTTCCGGAGACGTGTTCAGACAGCTCCTGAGCGAGTGCTGGACGCCCCTGGTCTTCTCGACGACTACTACCTCAACCTCCTGGATTGGAGTTCAGGAAACCAAGTTGCAATTGGCCTTGAGCGCAATGTCTACGTGTGGTCTGCTGATTCAGGATCGGTGAGCAGTCTCCTGGAGACTCCTGCTGACACCTACGTGAGCAGTGTCAAGTGGAGTGGTGACGGTGCCTACGTTGGTGTTGGTCTGGGCACCGGTGAGGTCCAGATCTGGGATGTCGAGGAAGGTACCAAGCTCCGCAGTATGTACGGTCATGACTCTCGTGTTGGTGTTATGAGCTGGTCGAAGCACACTCTGTCCACTGGCGCCCGTAGCGGCCTCGTCTTCAACCACGATGTTCGCATTGCCCAGCACAAGGTGGCCGAACTCGTTTCGCACACGTCTGAAGTTTGTGGTCTCGAGTGGAGGTCCGATGGTGCTCAGCTCGCAACTGGCGGCAACGACAACTTGGTCAACATCTGGGACGCCCGTTCCCTTAGTGCCCCCAAGTTCACCAAGACCAACCACCGTGCTGCCGTCAAAGCTCTTAGCTGGTGCCCCTGGCAGTTAAACCTACTGGCCACCGGTGGTGGTTCTTACGACCGACACATCCACTTCTGGAACACCACTACTGGTGCCCGGACTAACAGCATCGACACTGGTTCCCAGGTGACCAGCTTGAGATGGAGCAACCACTACCGCGAGATTGTCAGTTCCAGCGGCTTCCCCGACAACTCCCTCTCCATCTGGAGCTACCCAACCCTGGTGCGCAACGTTGAGATCCCCGCTCACGAGACCCGTGTTTTGCACAGCAGCTTGAGCCCTGACGGCCAGCTCCTGGCTACCGCGGCAGCTGACGAGAGCTTGAAGTTCTGGAAGGTGTTTGAGCGCAAGCCTGGCACCACCGCTTCAGCCTCTCGCGAAGGTGGTGTTGGTAGCAAAGCCCAGATGACCAAGTCGATGACCATCCGATAAAAGGTCTATCCGTCTTTTTCAACTTATTTCCGGGGCGTTCTCAAGCGCATCGGAGTCATTAATGGTGTTTCTTTCTGTTCTACTTGGGGAGTTTTATAAGGGATCGGGGTGTATTTAGTTCAGGTTGATACCTTGGTACATATTTGGTTTACGCTTCTTTGTATAGGATTTCGGTGTTATTATTATTATTAATGATGTCTACTTTTACAACTTTATTGCTCCTTTTATTTGGCATTAGGATAATTGTAGTGTATTTGTCTTTCATCCGCCCAAGTCTCTTCTTTCCCTCAGTTACCCTCCATGTCTGGATAACATCTCAAGTCCAGGGAGATCCTCTGCAAGTTACCTCACATGATATTAACTAATTTCCTGGGATTCAATCAAATCCTAGTGACAATCACTCTGGTGTTGCATTATGCATGAGTACGTGAGCCGTTTCATTCGTCGTCTGACTGCGGGTAGAGACTGGTGATGAGCTTAGTATTACAAGCAAAACAAAATCACACCCGCTCACTGGCCTCCCCTCCTTGAATCATTTTGAAGCCTCACTTCTACGGGAGAGAGCGTTGAAAGATATCTCATCTTGTCACTTCAATTCATCGAAAGCCGTCTAGCTAACTACGTGATTGATCAGGCGGTGACTAAGCAGGCGGGAAGGGAGAGGCATTTCGCCCGCTGGACTGCGACTTGCACCTCAACCACTCCCTCCAGCACGCCAGTTTCCCGACCGCCTATCCCCCGATTCTCCTGCCGATCGTCGAAGATTTCACCTAATATTCAGCATAAGATCGATTTCGATTCATTCATTACGTTGTCTTTCCGGTTCGAAGCTCTGGGTTTTGCTTAGGTATTGTGTTGTTGGAAGCGTTGCGGTCGCATTTCGCCCGTGGCAACCGAACCGACGGAGGAAGAAGCGTCACTTGTGATAAAAGGCAGAAACATCACATCCCCAATTTGATAGGTTTTTGTTTCTTAGACAGAGAATCGTGCGACAAGAAATCTTCTACATTGTGTTATTTTCCAGCATCGTCAACGCATTTCTGTTCTAGCAGTCATGTCGAACCAGCAGGTGGTGAGTGTTATCAGCCCTGCTTTATATGGACGGAGAGAGGAGCATCAGCAGTCTCTCTGTGGTGCCTCCTCTTCTGTCTTTCTCTTCTTCATCTTTCCCCGATCTTAGATCAAATGATCTTGTCGGTGCATCATAGTTGTGAGAATGTTGGCTTATGCCGTTGATTCAAACAGGGTACGGTGTTTGAACGAGTCATCCAGGAGGTCTGCGATGCCTCCCAGGTCGACTTCGAGGAGAGTGGTGTGGACCAGCAGACCCTGCTAGACCTGCAAAAGGTATGTTTCTGGCCTTTTTAATATCCTTCTTTGCTGCTTTTCGCCTTGGATGGCGTGGCGTCTTGCCTCTCTCCCAGGGCCACTGCGGGGGAATCCGAGATTTGCGGGAGGCGGTGCTGCTCTCTGGGGGAAGCACCGCTTTTGAGGCCTCTTTATACCGCTGCCGCCTTTACCCGCCCCGGTTTTTAGGGGCCTGTTAGTTCGCCAAGCCATCGTCATCTGGGTGGGATGATGATGGTGACCCTTACTCTCATTAATTTTCATCAACACCATTCATTCATTCATTCATTCATTCTGGATGCTTACCAACTATTACAGAGCTGGCAGAAAAAACTCTCCTCTCTTGGTGTCGCTCATTTCCCCTGGGACCCTGCACCACCCCAGCAGCAACCTGCCCCTCAACAGACCCAAAACCAAATCCTCCCTCCAACCGCGACCGTACCTTCGAATGCTCCTCGACCACCCCCAACTGCTCAAACACAACAACATCATGTCCCTCCTCAGCAATTACCCCAGTCAGTTCCTGGCACCATGCCGCCCATGCAGGCACCTGCCCCCGTCGGAATGCCGCCCATGGGTCAGCCTCCACGCATCAAGACCGAACCGGGGACTAACGGCCAGGGCCTACCTCCCTTAAATAACATGATGCCCCAAAACCCGCAAAATCCCCAGTCAGCAGTCGAGCGCGCCGCCAGCATGCTGCATCAGAGGTATGGTGCTGCAGCAGCTAACTCGGTCAGCCAGTTGCAAGCCCAATCCCAGGCAGCCATGACAATGCCTGGACAACCCCGCCCCCAGCACCCGCAGCACCCGCAGCAAGTACCAAATGGCCAGGGCCCTCCAATCAAGACCGAACATGGATACTCGCCTGTGCAACAACCCCCCATGGGTAACGCCCAAACAGATGGTGCCAGTGATGCATTGTCAGATTGGAAAGCAGAGGTTGCACGGAGGAGAGAAGCCGCTGGGAACCAGAACGGCGAGGGTGATCGGATCCTTCGGGAACACCTGAGACAGCGGATGCTTCAGTTTGAGGGTGGTGGTCTTCTTGTTCCTTTGGACGAACAATCCTCATCGAGAGCCGCCAGCGGACCGGCCCTCTCATCCGATTCTACCGTCGAACCATCATCAACAGTACCTAGAGTACCACGTGCTCAAGTCGATGGCCCCGGCGGCGATGACGACCAGGAGGAAGATGATGAGGATGCCATCAACTCGGACCTTGACGATCCAGATGATCTTGTGGCCGACGATCATGATGGAGATGATTCGGTGGGCCAGGTCATGCTCTGTACCTATGACAAGGTGCAGCGCGTGAAGAACAAGTGGAAGTGCACTCTCAAGGATGGTATTCTGACCACTGAGGGCAAAGAGTAAGTCTCCTAGTACATCAAACCCGAAGCGCAGTACTAACGTGAATAGATATGTCTTCCACAAGGGCCAGGGCGAGTTCGAATGGTAGATGATTCGAATCTAATTTATCTAACGAGACAGTGATACTCCGGGTTCTACTCCCGGTTGACCTTGAATCCATAATTATCTTTTGCGCAATTTTGAATTGGAAAAAAAAATAAGGACCAGTGAATTTCCATTCTACGGTTATTTTTGCCGCTTGGGCTTTATTCCGTAACACGACCTACACCCAGTCCTTGAGATATCAGAAACAATTTCTTGCAGTTCCAACATACCCGGCTTTTTCGCTTCTCTGTCCTTCTTTGCCCGTTTTGTTTTGCGCCCGTCCAAAGATTACGGACATCGAAGGTCTGAAAAGGGAAGAAAAGCAGAAAACGCACCCAGCCAGAAAGTGGACGTGGGAAGGAAAGAGAGCACAGAAGAACAGATAGATATGCCAGCTTGCTCATTCAAAATCAAGCACACATTTCAAAATCCATCTCTACTCTACTCGTACTACGTGAATCAAAATGATAGAGTCAACATCTCATTAAATGTCATATTTACTTATTTTGCCAAGGTAAATGTGTAGCTGTAAACATGCATACAAGTTCCACCCATAACCTCACGCTTCACAGTAGTGTAACTCTTTCATCTGCACCTGCACCTGCAGGTTCCACAAACCAGATTCAATTAATAATTCAATCTCGTCCAGCACATCCTTGCCTTTCAATGTACATATATAGCGTAGCATCATCCATTTATATTGATCCTATGGATACCAGTTCATGCCTGCATATTATGTACATACATACAAATCTTGGTATGGAAGTGGTGATAATACATGGATACCCCCTCACTCGTCTGGTAAATTACTGGATACTACATACTACCAATTTATCCCAGATCGGCCTACCTACTTGGTTAAAAATCTACAAAATAGAAGAATAACATAATCCAATAAGTCATGGCATCTCACGTAATGATATTTGAACTTTTCATTTTGTACCCACAAGGGAGCAAGAAAGAGACTGGAAACTGGAAGATAAAAGTAAAGAAAAGAATAACCTGACAATTGGGAATCAAAACGAGAAATAGAAGAAAAGACACGTTCTATGAGCAATAGGGGAGGGAAAAAAGACCAACGACATTTAAGAAAAAGAAGAAAAAAAGACAGTCTCCAAATTTTATTCCATCAACACCGAAATTGAGTGAGAAGAGGGAGTTGGGTGTGTGGACAGAAGTCTAGAGAGACGATATCTCGATTCTCTTGCAACTTATTCACTTTCTTTCTCTCAATGACTGAGAAATGAGACCCGTGCTTCACGCTCCAAAAGAAAAAGAGAAGGGCGCAAAACGCAAAACAAATACCATACCCAGTGACCAACCTCGCACGACCAATCTGACCCGATATCCCCTTTTTTTTTTGCTTGAATCAAACGCTGAATCATCCCACATCAACAAGCCTCTCGACTATCATTGCGTATCTGTCGAGGGTCTGTGATGGAGAACATGACAACGTGACAAGTATGTAGTAAGAAAGAAAAGAAAAACCACCCTTTTGAAAGAATAAAACCCAAAGCTTGCTTCCAGAAGATGAATGAGAAAAAAACTCTAGCCAAAAGAAATGACAAGAACCGAAAACTGTGTATCCATAATGTACCAGAAAGTCGAAAAAGACAACTCATAGGAAATCATGAGAAGCAATGATCTATCATTAGATCGAAGCACCATTGTCCAGAAAAGAATGGCTGCTGACATCAAGTGAGACATGACGGTATTCCCTAACGTAACTCCAAGCCACCGAACCGGTCATTAAATCGTATGTATAGCGACGAGGCCATTTGAATCGTCGAGTCGATTAGCATGGGTCATTATGAAGGATAAGTTTCCAAAATATGGAGATCATAGAAGACCTTCCTCGCCAATGCCAGGGAGGCCAGCCCCAGCAACATTAATATTTTGTCCCTGCATGACTCCTCCGCCCAGATTAATGCGTCCCGCGGCAAGCTGGAACTCGGGATTGCATGGCGGGGAGTGTGACTTGTGGTATTTCAAACCGTTCAAGTTCTTGTAGCGCTTGCCACAAACTTCACATCGGTATGGCTTCTCTTTCTCCATTCCAAGAGTTCCAGGATACGGCGCGGAAGTTTCGGGGTTAACAATAGAAAAGGTACCATCGGCATTGTCATGTAGCTGCTGGTTGTTGTGCCCATGCTGTGAAAATGTTAGATATGGATATATGTATTGCGTCCAGTTGGAAAGCACTTACAGCTTTGTGGTATTTTAAGCCATTCTGGTTCTTGTATGCCTTTTCACAGCCAATTACTGGACACCTAAACGGCTTGGGTTCCTCGTTGGGAAGAAGAGCAGTAGTGTCAGGAACACCTGCAAGCAGCTGCTGCTCTCGAATCCGTCGCGCAATCTCGCTATTGGGGCCGTACTGAGCTCCGCTCAGCTTGAAGTGAGCATTTGGCGAAGCAAGGCCTCCATTGGGGCTAAATAACCTTTTCGCTGGTTCGTCAATGCAAAGATCCACCATGTCATTATTGTTGGCAAATCTGTTGAATTGGGACTGGCCCTGCATCATCGCGCCGTTCTGCATGGTCAAGTCTCCAAAGCCGCCAACTACGCTTTCATCTATCTCTGCTGGCGTTCCGGGGGCAGATGAATCGGGGGTGTTTCGGAATTGAGAGGTTTGCAGGGGGTTGGCCATCAGAGTGGGCGTGTTGACGGAGGACACGGTAGGGTTGTTCTGCAGAGAAAGTGGTCGGGAAGAAGCAACGGGCGTTCCAGGTTGTGAGCCTTTAAGAGCCTGGTGGCTGGGGAGCATTGACAAGTTTAATTGAGGAGTTCTCGAATTAGAGTTGCCAAATCCTCCCTGGTTGGCATCCTGTGGTTGAGGGGAGAACAGCGCAGGTGATGAGGTATCACTATCACCCATAGGCTCATCCAATTCCATATCGTCAATTGTATCAAGATCAGCATGCTGTTGAGGAGGCTGGTTTTGGCTCAACTTCCGCTGCATGTCCAAGCCCCGATCTGGAAGCAACCCACGGTTTTGGTTGTTGTTCTGCTGGGTCTGCTGGTGCGCAATAGCCGCGGCCAATGCGGCCCGGGAATCACCCTGACTCGGGCGATGGCTCTGGTGCGGCGACTTGGTGGCATGTGCTTCTTCATAGTGCTGCAGGAGATCGTGAAGGGTCGGGAGGGTATTACCGCAGCAAGAAAAGTCTCGCATAAAATTCGCTTCTAGTTTGGGGAGATATGAGGATGAATGAAATGAGGGCGATTGGAAAGTAGTAAACGGAGATGTGCCGGTCATGATTATACTAGTCTTCTTGTCAGCTTTCCCATTCACTCGAGGAGGTGCGGTTTCGCGATCCACTAGGTAGATCACTGAGCTACTCACTCATCACGAATCCAACTACCAACAGACACACCACCCCAGCTCATTCCGCCGACTAAACTTCCAGCCAGAGACTCTCGACGGGGTATATCGCGGTTGGAGCCAGACATGGAGATTGGCTTGGTCCCGTTGCCCCATTGTGCCGTAGCTGTGGTGATGGAATCTTTGCGAGGCGGCGGGGCTTTGAACATACTGATTCCAACGCCATTAGCGTGGGACAAACTTCCCGTACGCTCTCCATTGCTGGCTCTCTGCAAAGCAGAGGTCAGGTTGGATGCCTGCTGCCCTGGCGGAGAGACAGAAGTCTGGCGGGTGGCGATGTCAATCGGAGCGGCTGCACCAGTCATTGTGCCAGATGCAGGAGGGGACGAGGGGAAAAGAGGAAAGTCGTGGTCCTCCTCAGGATGAGAAGGCAAGATGCGAGAATCGAAATATGATGAAGAGCTGTTCTTGTCGGTTCCTAAATTTCGAGGCCAGAAAAGATCCGAGTCCTTTTCCCTATCCGGTCTGCGCGAAGGCACGCCAAACCCGAGGGGAGTGGTGACGGGGGTCGAGTCCCGAGTAGAGGCGCGATCGTGGTCACCGACAGAGGGAGAGTGGTGAAGAGGAGGAGGGCTCTGCGCTTCGTCTAAGGACCAGATCATGAAGGAAGACGATTCCCTCGATAACAGTTTTGGGCGGGTTCACACAGGAGTCCACCCTCGGATATTGTCCCGCTTTGGCTGCTGGGCCTGCGGAACCGTGACGGATTCGGGAAAAGTGGCGGGACGCACGATTCGGGCGCGGGATGAAGAAAATGTCCCAGATGGGGACAGAGGGGACTAAGAGATGAAGCAAAAGTCCACACGATGGGGATAGGGAAAGATGAAGATAAGAAAGCTCCAAGAAGATGGAGATGATGATGACAAGGCAACTGGCGGAAGGGTGGGAAGGGCTTCGCGAAGGACGATCGAGAGGTAATGATACCTAGTGAACCAAACCAGACATACATGTGGATGGAGGCAAGCCCGTTCTGGTAATATTACCCTAGGAATAATACGGCATTTTGAATACGCCAATTTACTGAGGTAGCCACACTGCTGGAGCGGCCCTACTAGGCGGAGCTAAGAGCGATTCACCATGTAATTGTGCCTCCCAAGCGTTGAAACATACATAATCGAGAAGCAGACAGATCCACGGAATGGGCGGACACTCGACAAGATCGTTACGGTTTTCAGCAAGTGGACCGTTAGAAAGCGGTGGGTTTGACACCGCTTCCAGTCTAGCACCGCGCGAGTTGACGCAGTCGAGCAGCAGTCCTCCGTCATCGAATGTCTGGTCCACCTGTATTGTACGGTATGGTCATGTTGTGTTTAATACTGGTATTGTCAGGTACTCTTTCATACTGGTACACTGCGTTGTCCTTGCAACAACTACTGATGCATCCAACAACAACAATATTGAACATCCTTGACGATCTTATCGTTGGATTTATTATTGCTCATTTGTTATTCCTGCTTGCCGCGGTTGGATAGATAGTAGCCCCATGCGAAATCATTGCAGCAATAGTAAAGTCCCGCCATCCATGGTTCAGCATGCATGCATTGCGTTCATCTAACTGTTGCCTTCTTATTATTACACTCTCCATGGTTTATATAGACAATGAATGACTCATTTCATATTATGATAATCCCATTATCAAAAGTACGAATACATCTCATGTCTGTCTGATGTATGTATGATGCTCGATGCAACGTAACCGACAATCCAAAATTCAGGCAGATCCAACTGTTGGGCCTCTGATCTTCAAGGAGTCAGGGGGAGGTGGCTAATGGCTGACGAAACAATCCAAGTGATGGTGCTTGGCTTGGGGAAGTGAGAATATTATGATTCCCACCGAGCATGCATCCTATCGAGATCCGTTGCACTTATCGAACGCACGTGCATTATCTGCCCAAGGTATCAACTTGGGATAAATGATGATCGCAGTAGGTATCTGTATTCGATAAGCGATCATTTATCGTTTATCCCCGATTCCAACAATGACATCAGATGATCATTTCGCAATAAGCGGTCTGTAACTGTATGAAGGATGGATGGCTAATGGATACAGCAAAGCACACACCATCATGTACTACTCCACGCGAGAGACCCCAATCAGCCTCTGAATTCAGAATTGGAGTCTTGGAGATCACCGAAACAGTCCTCGAACTGACTCCTTTGCCGTGTTGCGTTGCGTGAATTCACTAGATCATGTCGGATCAATGATCATCGTCCTCCCCCCCTCTTCCCCTCTTCTCTATCTACCACTAGTCTCTTCCTCTGGTCTGCCCCCTCCCAACCTCCCCTCAATCTCCCTCGACAAGGAAAATAAACTTAGCTTCAACCTTTTCCCCTAGTTTCTCTCTTCCTGCACCAGAATGCAACGGTCTTCGACACTAGAAACACGGCAGAAGATTCCTTGGTGGAAAAGTACACCGCCTCTAGCCCAATTTTGGGTTTCACGCCCAATAGAAAAGGTGAGTTGGATCTATTGACGATGCTGTCTGCTTGTCGAAATGACAAATTGGTTGGTTATGATCCGACTTCCCAATTGCTCATCTCATCGAAAAGGAGTCAAGACTAAGTGCCGGATGAGGCGTTCGTTGAGGGACTAAAAGAAAAGAATTCTCCGACAACACCGTCACTTTGCCTTCGTCGTCTGTACTTCAGCCCATTGTTCTACGGAGTATTGAAAGACGCAAACGGTTCTAGGAATTGCCAGATATTCAGACCATCTAGTGCTACATGGACTAGTTCAGAGTAAGCCCCAACCTGAGACCCCCAGATATTATTCGGGGTCGAGGACTCTCCCATGGAACCGATGCTTTAGCTTCAACCTGATGACCCCAATTGTCCGACCAATTAAACGTGAAGTGATACCATCTTGCACTAAGATTCTCTAGAGGAACAGAAGTTCCCAACAAATAAGCTCGTATAGCTCAGTTGGTAGAGCGCATGACTAGTAATCATGAGGTCCGCGGTTCAAATCCGCGTGTGAGCACTTCTTTTTTGCTTTTTTTTTTTTCCCTCCGCACCCCTCGCAGCCGCCATTGACTTTATCTGCGCGGACACCGAGGTGAAAGTGCAATGCAAATGGCATTAATGAACTCATCTTCTGCAATATTACAAGAAATCGCTGCCATCGTGATATCTCCTTTTTAGCTTTCGTACCGAATGTACTCTGTAGATCTCTCGGACATTATGAGAGACGGAAATGGTGACGTTACGATCCAGCATATCTTGGCATCGGCATTCCGCAATCAATTATTATTTTTTTATACACATTAATTACTCCATGCTGTCTCCAGATTCAACACTCCACCATGTTCGGAAAAGACAGCCGTAATTGGCATCAACCATGAACTATCGAACCCAGCTGTTGAGCGCCGACCCTGAAGCTGCAATCATAAATGGCATTATTAAGACCAGTGGATAGTGCTGAAGCAAGCCATTGTTTTGAACAAGCGATCGTCAAAAAGGCTTTATGGATCCCACCGCCTCCACTCATTATTTGACTATCTTCCTCAAGTCTACACCGAACAGGGGTCAAAGAACAAAGAAATCGACAGCTGGCGTTCGGAGATTGAAGATGACGCCTGGTGATTGGGCATGATGCGAATTTTCGGCTGTTTTGACAACTCTTCAGCCGATGATCAGCTTGTGGATAATGGATACATATATTGTTCTCAATATGGGAATGATCAATGAGCAGTGCCACCTACATATATTAACGGGCTAACGCCTATGTGCTCCGTATCAATCCCACTGTCCCATCAATATTAAATTAAAACACAATCGACGCTAAATGAAAGCATTCCTGTCGGGCAACTCCAACCCCAGCATGGAGTAGTACATATTTTAAATGCTGACTTGTTCATCTCACCACAAGAAGAACGAGTCACACTGCTGGATATAGTTTTAGTTCCAGTTTCTTCGGCAGTACTGAATTACAAGGCGTGTTACGTTACATACTAGTGTATTATACGTAATACCGAGTCCACTGCTAAGGCTGTTTCGCGGCCACCCGACATGTGCTTTTGTATCGCCCGCACACAGCGCATTAGACTATCTTGGGTTGGTTCTTTTGGCGCAGAAGCACGGATGAATTTCTGATAGGTGGATCTGAATCCATCTGTTGGGTAGACTTCTTCCATGTAGCATCCATGTATCTGAGACTTGGGGTTACCCATGTTGCAGTCTGTATAAAAAAGATACATCACCTGTCTACCCCGGTCGTTATCTACCTGGCCAAGAAACTTATAATTCATGAATTCCTTCTCTATAATTTGTACACCCTATATCCATCAGATGCTGCTAACCCTGCCATTGACTTCGGAGCAAGGGTGATCTCATGTATGTACTGTACGAGCCTCAGCTGATCAGGAACCAATCAATATGCCTGCTGGTGTTGTGCTCTATTATAATTTGTTGTTACTCTCTCGGTAATCAGCAGCTCATGCTATCTGAATAGGTATTGATATAAATACTGGAGCTTTGGTTTTTAATAAGAGCAATGATGGCTTTCAACATATACTTTGTTGAATCTCACATATTATTGCAATATATATAGCATGGGATAGTAAGAGATGCCATGACCGACAATAAAGCCCAGCAGCGAGCAGCAAGGGAATACCTTCAACTGAATTCTGTGGATTGCTCATTTCGAGTAAATGTCCGATTTTCTTTGTTTGCCTTGTCTGGGAGCCCGTCCACGTAGAGTCGCTTGCTTGCTCTCTCCCAACTCCCAGCTCCCACCTCTCTTTCTTTTTTCTTCTTTTCTCCTCTCATCTCTTCGTTTCTTCCCTTTTCTCTTCTGCGCTTCGTTTCATTTCATTCCCCCCTACCTCATCCTATCCCGCTTTTGACGCTCCTGCAATATCCCTAAAGACAGATACCCTGATATCGACACCACTCGATAACGGTACCTCCAGAGCAGTATATTGTGTGAGATAGCTGGCCAGCATCGAAGATATAAATGTCCACGGAGTCACTGTTTTCAGGGTTGATGGCCTGGACAGCTGCTTTATCAGTGTCTCTCCATTATATATCACAGCCGGATCGAGGATATATAGAGGAAGAAGCAACGGGATACCTAGCCAGTTTCTGAAAACCACCTGCGGCATTTCAAAAAAAAAGCCCGGTGCCACTCCAATCATCAGAATTCGATCAAGCCCTAGACAGGAACACGACTGCGCATATATTTTGTTTAATACACCCTGCTACGAACTATGTTTCATCGCTTCTCAACGGAGTTTCCCCACGCCTGTCTTACAGTGACTCGCCATTAATCCGAAGTTACTTCGTATATATTGCTAGTATGATGGACAGCTACTGAGTTGACCGAGAAAGACATTATGAGCAAATGTCAATTCGATATATGGACCCTAATACCCGTGAGGGTTGCGCTCAAGTGTCTAACTCCCATAGCCTAGATCAACTCATTCTAAGCTCTTCTTTGATGCAAGGCGCATTCCTGCTTCTGCCCAATCTGCCACGATCTTCCGCAGACTCTACTTGATGCGATAGAGAACTGTCACATGGATGTTAGCAAATGTTTTTTGGGGTCATTCACAATCTTGGAATGGAATTGACTATTTGGAAAATCGACCATATCAAATGGCAAGGTGGCCGAGTGGTCTAAGGCGCATGGTTCAGGCTCACCTGAATCCCCACCATATTCTGCGGTACTACGGTATCACAGTTAAGTGGTGAATTTCCATGTCTACAACAGTGGGCGGGGGTTCGAATCCCCCCCTTGTCAATTCTTCTTTTGCTATTTCCCCAGAAGAGTTCCTTCTTTTTGTCTTTTTTTGGCGATATCTACAATTATGGCTTAAGCAATCGAATCGAATAAAGGCTTGCTAAGCCGGATTTGGTTGCATTTCAAAGTTTTTGAGCATCCAGATAACTCGAAGTGAGTGTCCCAACTATAATCAGCATTCAAAAATCGAAAACGCATGGGCCAGTGATAGTTAAGTCTCTTGTAAAAATTCAAGTAGTGTACATAGTCCCAATCACAATCGCACTCGGCCTCGCCCTCAGCAAATAATGAAATGATAGGTTGTGATGATTAGGAAATGCATGCCAATTAATTCTGAACTATCATGGCAGCACAACATTCACTAAATGGTAAAACTATATCCAGGATGATGTACCTATCCATCTATGTACAGCCTACAACGAGAGAGAGTATGACAGGAAACAAGCCCGCCTTGTGTGAGGTATCACATTCGACGGATAGGATAAAAAAAAACATCAAAAATTATATGACAAGGGGGGGATTCGAACCCCCGCCCACTGTTGTAGACATGGAAATTCACCACTAATGTGATAGGGATTCAGGTTAACCTGAACCATGCGCCTTAGACCACTCGGCCACCTTGCCATTGGATGAACAAAGCTCTGCATTTCTTGCTCCAAGAGTCAAAATCAGGATAATAGCAAATCCGTGCTACTCCCAGGCGTACACTACAGTATGTAGTCTTCTCTGCATATCGATAGCAGCACAATGACCTGTCTGATATCACTTAATCCCACTATCGTATAGCTTTACTACCATTCTTAACCTGCCCTTGGTGCATCCGTTACAGTGTACCTAAATCTAGTTGAATTGGTTGCAGCACGTTGCGCCCTATTGTCTTACACACTATGTAGACTAGACCGAGCGTAGCATGAAGCTAAATCCCGAAACATCTCGAGGCGAAAGGCAGGGCTTCTAGAAAGCGCAAAAAAAGGTTCACTTTCGGTGGGCTGTGACCCGCCCTTCTGGTATTCTGGTATTCTGGTATTCCTGTCTCATACACATGTATTACATACATCGTATCAGTACGCCGTTTCCGTCATGTACTGAAAGCCACTTACTACCGCGTATACCGCCGCTTAGGTTGTCTCTAACGGGGTCCGTCCTCTGGACAGTCCCCGATGGAATTCCCGTGCTGCACCGCCACTATCCGCCCGCTGGGGTTTTGTTGCGCCACAGCGGATATGCAAACAGCGCAAACAGATTGTGCGCCACTAATGCAGCCTCTGGTGGGATGCGACGATGGTTTTTTTTTCCCTCTCCAACAGTGATGATCATTGTTCAGAGAGCAGAGTGTCGTTGAACTGATTATCAGGTTTCCTCTCTTTGTAGGGGTTATTACGTTATTTTGCACTCTGAACGAATTTTAGTTCGCCCATTTTGACTTGTATTTTTCTCAATCGAGAGCTTGTCGCAATGGCTTCGCAGCAGCCGGAGGTAAACGCTCCGCCCGCCAGCGTCGAAACACCGGCCCCCAAGCATGATATCTCGGATGGCGCGGCGGCTGCCAATGGTGCCGATGAGCCCCCTGCGAAGAGAGCAAGATTGGAGGAACCGGACCAGCGGAAGAAGGGCGTCGCGCCTGTCAAGCCTGAGTGCGTCTTTCCCCACCCTCCCAGCCACCGGGGTCGCTCATGATGAATCTAATCAATCATGGAATTTTAGGTATCTGGTGAAAGAGCAGAAGGCACAAACCGACCCAGAAACCAACCCAGATGACGCTGCCGAAGCCGCCCACCACGAGGGTCGCGAAGATGACAAGGGAGGAAAGAAGAAGAAGAACACCGGCCAGAACACAAATCGCCGTTTCGGAAAGTCTCTTGACGAAAAGGGTCTTTGCCCAACCAGAGTCCACAGCCCTGAGCTTTCCGCGGGCGAATGCAAATTTGCAGAGAAGTGCAAGTTCGAGCATGACCTGCGGGCTTACCTGAAGGAGCATAAGCGGGAGGATCTTACAACCCTCGACGGCGTCTGCCCAATCTGGGATGCTAAGGGGAAATGCTACTACGGGTGGAAATGTCGTCTCGTTGGCTCGCATATGACCGAACGGGAGACTGAAGATGGACGGAAGGAGTTGGTCTTGGTTGAGGATGAAGAACGCAAGAAAAAGGCGCAGCCCCTTGTCCCGCACGCTTCCGAGGATGGAGTTGTCAACATTGTTCCAATTCAGGAAAAGATGGCACTGTCGAGGAGGAAGACAAAGTTCCCGCGATCTGATTCGTACAACTCTTGGCTCGAAAAATCAGCCAAAGAACTGGAAAAGAATCTCCACGCACGTCGTCAGGAAGGCGGCGAAGATGCTGAACCGACGGAAGATCAGGTCAAGGAACAGAAGGAAGAAAACAGAGCTCAGTATATCGAGCCCCCTTTCTTGCCCTCGGAAAAGCGGCGCCTCTATTTTGGTCCAGAGACCCCCGCTCTGGCACCGTTGACGACCCAAGGCAATCTCCCTTTCCGCAGACTCTGTGTTGAACTTGGTGCGCAGCTTACTTACTCGGAGATGGCTGTGAGCATGCCATTGATCCAAGGTTCAAAGTCGGAATGGGCGTTGATGAGGGCCCACGAGTCTGAAGCACTCCCTCCTACTGTTTCCCCAAGGGACAGCGTCGTGCAGGGCTATGACAACTCCAAGGATCTCAGATTCGGCGCTCAGATTGCAGCCAACAAACCCTGGCAAGCACTCAAAGCTACCGAGGCTTTGTCTCAGCTTAGCCCTCACTTACGTGTGATCGATTTGAACTGCGGGTGCCCCATTGATCTCGTGTTCCGCGAGGGAGCTGGCTCGGCCTTGTTAGAACATCCGTCGAAGCTGGAAAAGATTCTCCGTGGCATGAACACTGTTTCTGAACACATCCCCATCTCCGCTAAAATCCGCATGGGTACTAGGGACAATCAACCGAATGCTTTGAAGCTTTGCGAACGTCTCATCCTCGGTGGTTATGAATCTGGCTTGACCAATGCTGGTACATCTGGTGTGGCTGCTCTTACTCTCCACGGACGAAGCAGACAGCAGCGGTACACCAAAAAGGCCGACTGGGAATACATTGCCGAATGCTCTGCTCTCATCAAGAGACTGGGAGAAAAGACAGATGCAGTTACAGACACTATCCGAGAGCCGGATGCCCGGACACAGCCAAACGGCGGAAAGGTATGGTTCCTTGGAAACGGAGACTGCTACTCCCAGAAAGATTATGACGACCACATCAACAACGCTGGGGTCGACACCGTCATGGTTGGCCGAGGAGCAATGATCAAGCCCTGGATCTTCGAGGAGATCCAATCGGGCCAGTATCTTGACAAGTCTGCTTCGGAGCGTTTGTCGCTGGTCGAAAAGTTCGCCAAATATGGACTTGAGAACTGGGGATCTGATGAGCACGGCGTTGGCACAACTAGACGCTTCATGCTCGAATGGCTGAGCTTCACTCACCGTTACGTGCCCATCGGGCTGCTCGAGTACCTCCCTCCCAACATCCAGGACCGACCTCCGGCTTGGAGAGGTAGAAATGAGTTGGAAACACTTCTGGGAAGTGGCAACTACAAGGATTGGATCAAGATCACGTAAGTCTTCTATTTCCATTTATTAACTTTTGCCATGTATCACAAGCTAACTGCAACAACAGCGAAATGTTCCTTGGCCCAACCCACAAGGACTTCAAGTTCGAGCCCAAGCACAAATCCAACTCTTATGAAGCGGAGGGTTAAACCTAGACGATTACGAACGTAGATGTATATACTGTAGCTACCATGCATATAGAAATAAAAAGCAATGTGGTTCTTGATGATAAAATTCGAAGTGTGGACAGAAACTAAGGTAGGACTAGATAGATCTCTCATCCGGGCATGATCGACAGCCTCGGGTCGGTCGAGCATGTCAAGGTCACGTGCGCAGGACAGGTTTCTGGCGGTGATGACGTCTTCCTCGCACCCAGAATTCCGCTCGCAAAAAGACCACCTCTCCTCCAACATCCGAGTCGAGTTTGCGGCCTTTTGCTCTCGATTCTCAGAGACATTTCTCTTTCTATTTGAAACTCTTTGTCCATCGAATCCATTTTATTTGGCTTTCGACGGAACCCCTGAAAGCACGTCTGACTCCTGAACCTTTGTTTACCTTTTCAACTCTTATCGCAGCCTTTCAGGCACCCACAGCCCAAAATCAATTTCTTCAACACCGTTAAGCCTTTATTCACAGGCACAATGACTCTCTACTACAGCCTTGTAAGTATCGATAAGTTTCTGCTTTCGTGACTCGCATCTTGAGATTCTTCTCGACATACGCTGCAGCCTGCAGCTCCCGCCACTTCTGCAAAGGACTCGTGAGATTGCTGTTTGGCATTGGCTTTTGTAGAAGCTTTCAACTAACCAAAATGTCTATCGCTAGGTCTTTTGCCTTTTGGTGTTTGAAATGGCCGTCTTCATGGCCCTTATCATCCCTCTCCCCTTCGTCGTCAAGCGGAAGATTTTCACCTTCATCTCGGAAAGTCCGGTAGTAGCGAAATTGCAATATGGTTTAAAAGTGAGCTTTTCTCTACCACCAAACAACATATTTTTACTTGGATAATCGATACTGACAATGACTAGATTACGTTCATCTTCATCCTCATCCTCTTCATTGACAGCGTCAACCGCGTCTACCGTGTGCAGCTTGAGCTGTCCACTTTCAGCAAGGAGGGTGCTATGGGACTTGGGTTGGTTTCTCCTTTATCTAACCAAATAATATGGCATGCTGACGATATCTTCAGAGGAGCGGCTGCTCTTGGTACCGATCGTATGGAAGTCCAGGCCCGCAAGTTCTACTCCCAGCGTAACATGTATCTCTGCGGTTTCACCCTCTTCCTCTCCCTGATCCTCAACCGCACCTACACCATGATCCTCGAAGTCCTCCGTCTTGAGGACAGAGTCAAGACCCTCGAGGGTGACAAGAAGGCAGGTGGCAAGGACTCTGCCCGTCTGGCTCAGGCCGGTGACGTTGGCGAGATTGGCCGTCTCAAGGAGAAGCTGGCCGCCAAGGACCGTGACCTTGAGACCCTGAAGAAGCAGTGTGAGGGACTCACTCGTGAGTACAACAACCTGGGTGACCAGGTTTCTGGCAGCAAGGACGAGGCCCCCAAGAAGGATCAGTAGATCTTTCGCAGTTTCAACTGATTTGAGGACTCGGAATGTTTGAGCCGTGGCTTTGAATTAGTTTACGGGTTCACGGATTTTTTGAGCTTCGTCGATCATGTTTCAGATTAAGGGACCTGTTACGTGTTAGTGCGTAGAATTCGGTTTGTTTTCGTTTAGCGGAGATCCCTACCTATGCACGGCAAAACCCAAGCTTCGGCTATCATAAATTGACGGAGGAATTAGGCGGGGCATATCTATCATACAAGCATGATTTACCCGTTTGTTAGTTTATTTCACTTTGATTTGATACGTATTGCAGCTGCGATGTAGATGATCTGATCATTTGTGGCGATTGACTGTCAGGTTAGCAGCTGCGTGCGAGAATATAATTCTGATACGAGTGCTTGTTTTGTCTATTCTTGTGCTGTGTGGTGTTGATAAAATGAAGATCTATAGCTTACAGTATATGGAAGTATTAGTGTTAATTAGCATAAGGGTAGATATTGATTAGAAGTCTATTTATTATTCGTAATTCATAAAAACTTCACGAAGCTCAAACCAAGAATGTCCAAAAGCTAGGATAAACAAGTTCTTCCTCGAAGATCCGGCGCACCTGAGCAAGAACAAAGCGTTCCACTTTGCCAACATTCTTCAAAACCTGCTTCCCGTCCTCTTTGCGGCCGATCTCACTTTCAACCCTAATCTCCTGCAGCAAACCCCCTTGCCGCTTTTGCGATGCAGACGCATCCCCACCACTAGCCCCTCCCCCGCCTTCTTGCTGATCCGAACCGATCAGGGCATCTGCATCTTCGGCGGATAGGAAGCAAAAATGGACTCGCTTGCGGATGTACGCGATCACGGCTACACCGTCAAAGGTTAGACCTGTGACGTTCAACATCAGTGGTAATCCCACGAAGCTGGGCATGGGGTAGTCTAGAAGGATTTCCGCCGTCAAGGACAGACGTATGTCTCCTGCGTACTTGGCGTGGCAGAGTACTTGGAAGTCTTCGGGTTTACGCTCTCGCATGCATGGTAGATGGAAAGGATGTTCCGGAGAAGGGTCTAGAGGCTCGTCCTGTCCCTGGTGTGATCCGTGGTCGTTTCCAACCGCAGCGTCGCCATCCTGGGACGGATGGGTGTTGGCCGTTGATGGGCGGGAAGCGGAGTTGCTAGTATCAATGTCCGGTTCTGCGCGCTGGTGTTGTTGTTGGGCTGCTGCGTACTGTCGACTCTGGCTTCCGGGTCCTATTCCCGAATCTGACCAACCACTCGCGAAGGGGGTTCCACCTGCCACTGCTGCAAGGGGCGTTTGTGTTCCCGATAGCCCGCCAAGGGACATAAGATGGTAGCCAAGAGTCGATGTTCCGCCGGGAATACCGGGCGTTCCAGCGCGGGGTAGGAAATGGGGGTTCAGGTGCTCGCCCAGAGGCCTTGGAGATCGTAGGGGCGAGAGTCGGTAGTCGTGTTCGAATGGGTCTCGCAGCGGATGGTTCATGGGCAGATCATCTCGAAATGGGGACTCGCTGAGCCCTGAATTTGTCCTGGCCCATTGGCTGTCTGGCTCCGATACAAGGTCTTCGGACAAATCGGATGCTTCATCGTCTTCATCCTCCTCGTAGAAGTCTGCGAACGGTTCACAGAAATCTTTGATCTCCAGATCAGGTGGTATGGTACCAAAATCGAAGGAATGGACCTGTACAGAACGGATAAAGCGTGGGAGGGCCACCTGCTGGAACTTGTCGTGGATGAAGGAGCGGATACGCTCTGCCAGAGCTTCACCGTCCGGACCAGAGGTGGCTGTCCCCCAGTTAACGTCTATGGACATCACATGTGCGTATCAAACCAGGACCCGATACGGCGGAGTATCTCGAGGGCAAAAATGACCCCAATGGCAAAATCGACGATGGAGAGAGATGATGGGGATGGATTACAATCACGGATGCCCGTTGGAGAGCTGCGGGTGCAGACCAGATCACGTGCCACTGGACATCGACGACACGCCAACGTCAACTGCTCGCATCATTGAGACTTCGTCTTCGCACATCAGAGGCAACAATGTGCAGGAGGAGACTCCAGATGTTATTTACATTTGTCTCTGCACTGCAATGATTGAATGATACTGAACATGCTGAAATCGAGTGCAGACAGATAGTTGGCACGCCGCTTGGGCTCTACTGACCCAGCACTCTGGTTCACCCGCGGACTCGAGTCTGCGGGCCTTTTTTCGCGCACAAAGAAAGGACACAAATTGCGGCGCTGCACGGAGGAACTGCTCCAAGAGGAGAATGAACTCAGGCCCTCCGTCTCCTCAGTAGGAGATTAGCCCTCATTGCCGTGGGACCCAACCTACGAGATTGATCCATATCATAGGGCACCCAACACTCGCCGGCCTTTGACCACAGTCATTGGCTTCTCAATTGCCCTCGAGTACATAGAGATTGGCAGGAAATGCCTGCTTTTATGAAGTCAGGGTTTGTTGCGACATTTTACTCTTGCTTCCCCCCCTTTTTTTAACTTCCCCCCTCATTACGTTATAACTGATTCATGGGCATTGTGCCTCTCTTTTCCCATGATCAGCCCTTTATCGCACTATGGGACGGAGAAGGATGCCCCATAACTTTTGGCGTGATTTTTTTTAACGCGCGTCTGCTATCTGACCCTGTCAGGTTTCCCATTATTCCTCCGAGATTGCAGGGAATCCATTCTAGAACCTGTCTAAAAATCTTTTTCAAATCATTATGGTTCGACGGCGGAAATTGTACACTTGGACCTCCCCGAAGGGACATCACACTGCACATTGACCACAGTCCACACAAATCTCCAATATGGACACAATTAACGAGTCAATGGTCAACTAAACGCGTGCATTGGTTCAGGGCATTTGGATCGCCACTAGAATGTCCACGTCTCGAGCCCTTCGGGTCCTCTTCCGTACCGCGTTTCTTTGTTCGATTTGACAGCCCAACATCAGCTGATGAATCTCTTCTGCGGCGCTAATGCACCTTTGGGGCACCTCAACCGAGGCCAGTTGCCTATCGTTTTTTTGCCATTAAGAGCCATCAGCGGCGCAAGAACCTTTCAACTTGACATTTAGACTTGCTAGCAAATTCGAAACTTGGCACCAGTGGTGGGATTTTGCTAGCCATTTGATTCCCTCGCACTTCGCCATCTGGCACAGCTCTTGACGACTCGGGAGTCTAAGACTCCGGTGAACAGGAAATAAGTCTCCGTTTTTATTTCTCTCAATAATATTATTCCCTATTCTACAAGCTCCAACTTGGGCAGCCACTTTAGGTAAGACATCAATCTAAGAAAAGGAAGAGGGGAGAAAAGGAAAGAAAAAGAGCCCCGCTCGGGAGAGCGTAAATCAGCCGGAATTAAACGCCATTGATCACCGGAATTTCGTTCATTATAGCCGCGTGCATGAGTCTTGCAACATGGGTCAGCCTAATGGATGGCACGGGTGGCGTAGCCACCACCTACAACTCTGAACAGACCCTACCAACAACATACATTGGCCGAACCGCAAGATCGATGGAAAATCTCGGGGACTCCGTGGCGATGTCTCTTTCAAGTCTCACGTTCGGGGCAACCGCCAATTGGTGACCAGGTCCAGTTTTGTCAGCCGATGATTAGCTATCCCTACACGGCCTCATGGCACAACAATGCTACCATTATCTGGTTTTTGTTTTTCATTATTGAATGCGTGACGGACAACCTGCCCACGAGTCAATTCCCAAACCCGTAACTTCCCTGATCTCGTGGCACTCGGCCACGGCGAGTATTCTAGCCAACAACAACACCTCCGATCTCCCACTGCCCACCTCTTAGCTGCTTGGCGTACGGAAGCCGGCGATTGCTCCATGACAGGCAGATATGGCTGATCACTCGGATCATGGAGGGGCAAAGCATGCTTAAGTCATGCGATAACAATGAGATCAGAGGTCTCCCCCCTCCAACATGTAAGGGAAGGGGGGGGGGGTGGTCGACTTTAGAAATTCGAATTTCCCCGATAAATACTCGAGAAACTGGAGAAAGCAAACATGGAGAAAAGGGGGAAACAAGGCAGATCCCAACGCCCCCACCAACACTTACGATATTCCTGGGTTCTGATTGCAAGATATGAATGATGCCGCTAATGTGTTATGCACAAGCGCCTTCCCTCGTCACGGTTACAGTGCAGTGATTCATAGACACCTGATTCTCTTATCTTCCCATGTGGGTTTTGGATTATCATAGGGTTACTTTGATAGTACCTAATCCCTCTACATGTTGAAGTTAAAGTAGGATTTCGAGAGTCAAAATTTCAGGATAGCAGATAAACATGGCATTAAAAACAACAATCAAAAGGAGTGTAACACTAAAGCCAGTGGTATAATGAAACATAGAAATGTATGCTTGACAGGCGGAAAAAAAATACAAGGAGAGAAAGAAGAAGTCCATTTCAGCAGAGAGAAAAAAACGAGGGGAAAAAGGACCTGAACAGATCAGAAACCAAAAAAGCAGCAAAACAAGACAAGAAACAAAGCAAGGCAGAAACAAATCAGTCGGGGAATAGAACTGGAAGCCAAAAAAACATTGACAGACAGACTCTCCTTTTTTTTTTTTGGATCAGTTTTTATCAGTTTTCGTGTTGAAGGCAAAGGAAAAAAACAAAGAGTAGCAAAAATGTGGTCACTTCCCCCCGCCTCTCTCTCGCTCTTCTTCTCTCTCTCCATAGACTCTTCCTTCTATAAGACGCATCGAGACAAAATCTTTCAAAAATGCACAAGCTCAAGCAGGAATCGGCAAACTTCGATGGTGACAGTAATGCATATTAAGTGTTGAACACGGGGGGTGCAAAGATTCCTATGCCATCTAGTTAATACATGGGGCCCTTCGAATCTGGTTTTATATACTTACTCGGCTTGATATCTCTCTCGGCCTGGCTTATTGGCCACCATGCTTGGGGCAGTTGTATCCCTCTCTCGTTCTGATCTGCTGTCTCACGCCAGTGCAGTCACCTCCCCTTCTTGCGCAGTAGACGACATCTCCTTCCTTGTGGGTGCAGCCGCAGTCGTACTTGATGAAGTATTGGGAGCACATTTTGACGTGGGGATTGGGGGTTTTTGAAATTGAATGAATTCGAATAGTAGAATTGAAGAGGAAAGATTGAGATTGAGAAATGAAAGGGTTTATGTGTTTTTGTTGGCTTTGTTGTTGTCAAGATGGGAACGGAGGAAGTGGATTTAGAAACTTGGTGGTTTCTTTGCTTTCCGGTTGTAGGAAAGATGAATGGATTGATTGATTGATTGATCGATTGCTGTGCTGATGATATTGAAACAAATCGAGGGGTCATTGAGGGAGTTTATATAACATTTCTCTCTCAGCCCTGGAGGTTTCCAAAAGCCCGCGATGGAGAGGCAGCGATGACTGTGAACACAACACCTGTGCTGTGCCGCAACGGCAACGTACGCCGAAAAATCCAGGTGTCAGGGAACAACAGCCTACGCCTTTTTTTTTTTTCCTTCCCCCCCTAAGAAAAAAAAAATTAATTATTATTATTATTATAATTATGATTATTGTTTTTCTTTTTTGCCCCTGCTCTCACAAGGCAGCATTGCAAAGTCAAGAGATGCGCCGCAAAGTTGGTGATTCAATCTACATCTCACGTTTGAACGAAAATTATTCCAACAAAAGGAACCAAAAACTGACAAATCAAGGCTTACTTGCTCCGGATCGAAAAGAACTACTGCACCCGGTTTCCCCAACACCAGACAACAAAAAAACAACAGAATTGGCGGTTAGGTGGATCATCAACGACGGTGGTGTCCGCCCGGGATTCATCTAAATGGGAGGGAGTCATGGACTCATGGCCAAGGGGGGCCAATGGTGGATGACGGGTATAGGACCATCGGCGGGAGTCGATCACAGCCGTTGTCCCAAGCTTGATTAAACTTCCGCAGCTGCATCCTGGAGAACTTTGACATCATCCTGAAGACACTGCGGCAGCCTGCGGAGGGTCAGTCACATATGCTAGTAAGGGGAACCCAACAATTCCGTTATCAAATCAGTTCTCGCAGCCGACCAACAGTGTTCATGCATGCAGTCCTTGGGGTCATGCCGCAATAAGGCACTCAACGGGAACATCTGATGAATGTCACGCAGCGACAATCAGACCCTGCCTTGGTTCTATTCTCATCATGTGCTCTCCTAATACCACCCCCTGAATGGGAGGACGAGAATCGTTGCCATCTGGCCCACTGAGGAGGCTGTTCCCCGGTAGTCACCGTATGGGGTTTCTGCCAATCTTCTTTACCGTTGGATTGTTATTCGTGTGCCTGGCACTGCTTGGATAAGACTTGGGTGGGGACGAAAAGGACTGCGGTACAACAAGTTGACTGATGAGCCACTTGGATTTGGCCTAGTCAAGGGGGGGCCGCAATCTCAAGGCAACCTTTTCTCTCACACTTTGATTCTTTTTGTCCCACGTCAACATCATCAAACGACCGTTTGGGAAGGTCGATAAGGACCTGGCAACAGCATTGTTTGAGGCTAGAGCAATCAGCCTGCAAGGGAGTCATTGTCATCACAGGAATTTCGAATCACAGCCTCCAGACTGACCAATATCGAAACAAGCAAGACATAACTCCAGGGCGCAGTTGGTGATATCTGCAGGTCCCGGGGGCGATTTGAACTGGCTAGTAAGCTGCAATGTGATGAGAAAATAACAATAATAATTGGGAGGTAGCATCGAATGAAGGGGATCCCTCAGATGGCTAACAACCAAAAACTTGCTGAGTAGACTCAGTGTTGGCCGTCTGTGATATTGGCAGTTGGCGCAGAGTTTCGTTCTGGTCTTCCAATGTCGGCTAAACTGGCGTTCGTGCCGCAGAACAAAACAACCTCCGCCTATGGATTTAGTCCATCGCCAAAGGTGAAGAAGACAAATTGCGGGCACAGCACTTGCGGTGCGCTGGCGAAGAGAAGAAAAGAAAAATCCTCTGGCCCGTAGCTCTCGCCAGTGCACTTTGAGCCGCTGAGCTTCCGCGCCACAATCCAGCTGTGTCGAGTCGATATGGCGCGGAGGCTTGGGGCGCCAAGTGAGCAACAAATCAAGAGGTCGAACCAGGTCGATTGATATAGCCGCCGTTGGCTCTCCCTGTCGAATGGGGCCGTGGAGAGGAAATCTTCTGGCCGAGCAATAAGCATGCTAAGGCTGTCTAGAAGGCTGAGAGCAAGGGGAAGGGAAGAAGAAAAGACGTCCTGTTTGAGTTATGTGTCGAGAGCGCAGGAGGCTCGGGGCACGTGACTTGACGCTTTTCTTTCGTTTGAACGACTGAACAACAAGTCAACAACTGCATTCTCTCAAACAAATCGCTCTGATCAACATCGTGATGTTTTTCTCGTCTGTTCATTCTTCCCAGATCATCTGTCCCCTGGCTCGAAAAGTCACGATCAACGATAAACGATAGATGCACCGTGTCAAGTACCAAGGCAGAGTGCTGCAATAATTTTACCCCTTCATAAAAGATTCATCCGATAATCGGCCTACAGCTTCTTATCTACCATTCTATCGACTGGGCGCCCGCATATTCTAGAAAGGCCCCTCCGAAACCTGGAGAATGGCAGATAGAGCCAGATTGCCTCCGCTCTGACGTTGAGCTCACCCTGCCAAGTGAACAAGACCGAATGATCGACTGGGGAGAATGCCCAGACGGATACCAGCCAGAGAGGATACTACATGAAAAATAAAAAAATGTAGTTTGAAGATGCATCTATCGGCTTCGGTATTCAATAGTCAAGGCTGGCTGTGTCTTGGCTTGCAAGCTTCCTGGTTGCTGATCATCCGAGACTGAATTTCGGGTGCGTGTCGGGCCTTGTGGGAGGGGGAGGATGCTTGCGCAACAAGAGGGACAACACAGGCTTGGCAAGTCCGGATATGTTATTTTTATTGACTCCAGACAGGCTGACATGGTGTGCCTGCTACCAGAAAGTCCGTAAAGGGGGAGGGGGGGGGGTTCGTGATGTTCGCTGGGAATGACGCCGAGGCCCCATTCATTTCCGGTTTGGGCGGAGGTGGCATTGCTCCGCCATACATGTGAATTGCTTTTGCAGCATGTTTTATCAGCTCCTTCAGCTTGTCCCACTGCCGGGGAAGAGCGACGATGACTGCCTGACCATTGTCTATTCCCCCCCACTTTATCTCATCTGCAGGTGGGCTGGCTGAGATACGCTTGAGGTTGATCGGCATCCGTCGGTGACTTCCCCCCATGGCCTCCGGTCAACCCCTCCATCGTCCAGATGCGTCTTGACTCTTGGCCGGCTTTTCAAATGTATATAAAGGCTGCTGAATCCCCTCGAAGAATCAGAACAACAACTCTCTTCTTCCCAGTTTCCAAAAGTCTTTCAATCTCCAAGTCTTCCATACCAAAAGTTATCCACCTTTACCTTCTACCAACCTCCATCAAACACAAACACCTCCAAACACTCAAAATGTACACCATCACTCCCACCGCCAAGTTCCTTGTCCTCTCTCCCGTCCTGAACGGCCCCGACCGCAAAGTCGAAGCTCCCGCCCACAAGTTCCTCGTCTTGTCGCCTACCCAGACTGGCCCTGACTCCGGCGTCTCCAGCCAGGCCTCGTTGAGCCCTACTCTCACTGCCCAAGGACGTGGACGGTCCGACAGCTACTCCTCGACCAGCACCAACGAGTTGTAAATCTTCTCTTTCCACATGGGCTACGACGCTCTCCCCAAGACGAACCAGAGCATGAATCGCGCGGGACACGATTATTCAATTCACCGAGTCGAGATGCCTCCATCCCAACTCTAGGACCACTCGAGGAGGAAATCTTTTGAGCGGGACGTTTTCTTTTTTTCCTAACTTTTCATTTTGTGCGATTTCCGGATACCAAGGGATACAGCCTATAAGCGCGGGTTGTTTTTTTGTTTTCTTTTTTTCACGATGCAGTAGATACACACAACACACATGCATACATACAATATGTACGAATGGCTGCCTGATGAGTTGATATTTGCCAAGCCATGTGCAATCTGATAAATACAAAACCGAGTTACACAAGCCAAGCCATACTGCCATAGTAGTCTTTATTTTTAATTTTCCAGAAATTAACTTCTGTGTAGCCAACCTGCCAAGCGCACTGCCCCTTGATCTGAGCTTGTAAGGAAGGGGGGAAAGGTAAATCTGAAGATGTCTATCTTCAGTCTAAGACACATGTAGCCCCCGGTGATGATATCCTGAATCATCCCATCTAGATTAAGCCGGGGTAGGGGTGGTGTCTGAAAATCTAGACCAACCAAAACACCCCACATTCCGGTGAACATCAGCATACTACTACCAACTACTACCTGTCACTCTCCGTCCAGAGTACTACTATGCACAGCAAAACACCCTTGCTAATAGCATTATATCATTATTCTGTATCCTGATAAGAAAGCCGATCATCGCAGAAGGAGCAGCAAAAAGCAAAAAAAGAGCCAATCAGCGCGTCGCCAGCTTCACGTTTTGCGCGTTGGGCCACTTGGCATTTGCCATTTCGGTTACGGAAAGGGAGATGCACCGCCAAGGATTCTGTGGTCATGGGACTTGTCTTTTTTTGTTTTTATTTTCACTATTTGGTTTTGGTGTGAAGTTGATGAAGTGTTATTCTGTTGAGGATAGAATGATGTAGAGGAGTACCAAGGTCCCCATCTCCTACACTCATCATATCCATATCCATCCATCAATAACATCATCATCATCATCATCATCATCATCATCATCATCATCATCATCATCATCATCATCATCATCATCATCATCATCATCATCATCATCATCATCAT